TTCTTCCACTTATTTTTCCGTCCTTCCATCTATTGGAGAGACAGAGGCATGAATGAAAGAAAGGAAAACAAATGAGGATAAAAGGCATTTTCCAGGGGTTGAGTGAAGAGAGAGGTATGTAGGACGAGAGGATTCCAAGGAGGGATGAACATTCATCAGGGGCAATTGGGGACACGAGGAATGACCACGCTCACTATTTTATCTCCCTCTCTTCTCTCTCTCGCTCTAGCGTTTGTCGTTGTCGCTCTTCTGGCCCCTCCTTGATTTGTTGTTGCAATGCTGACGAACGAAAAGAGGGGAACGAATCTCAGAACGAATCTCTAGACAGAAATGGTATAGAGGTAATGGTATATGATGGACGGTCAGGTAAACAAAGAGAGGGGCGAAGATTGACAGAAGAGATGGACGAGATGGACGGACAACCCTCTCTCCATGAATGGTGTGAGCGAGGAATAAGACGATAGAAACAAAAAGTGGGGTGTGGTCATTCTAGTCATAGACCAGCTGAGGAAGTGGGTGACAAAGAGAAAAAGAAGGGAGATCAGAGCTCTCTTTGCTTTTCTCGCTTCTTAATATTTTCTGCCGTTCTCTTTCGTAATGAACGATACGTTGTGATGAAGGTCGCGTTCTAGACAGAGTATTTACAGGGAGGGACTTGGAACATGATGGATGGATGGAGCATTGAGATTTTTATTTGGTTTTTGGTTTTGGCGCAACAAACAACAAACAGCAGACAGCATTGGCAATTGAAAAACAAACCAAACCGAAAAAGCAAACCAAACCGAGAACGACAAGAATCGCGATTTGAGAGTGCGAGTGATTGCCCGCTCTTTTTTTTTTCTTTGTTGTTGTTGCTGTAAATGGACGGTACGTTGACAATTTGGAAATGGGCGAAGTGCCCATCCACCAACAACAACACAAACAAAGACGCAGACATACAAACCAAACAAACGCAACAAACAAACATACAAACATACAAACATACAAACAAATGCATATAATCAAACAAAGCAAAAAAGGCAAGGCAATGCTCGCAAGACAATGCTACGCAATGCAAGAACAAAACAGCAAGCCCAATAACAAAGGTAGAGCTCACACTGCAACGACTAACGAATGGCCAAGAAAAAATATTATCAAAAAACCAGAGGACACACCCATGTCTGCTGTTGAGTTTATTAGTATTGGCAAGAGTAGGTTTCCTATCTCTTTTTTTTTCTCATTAGTCCACTGCATGCTCCCTCCTAAATCTTCGATCCTCTCTCTTAGTGAGTTGACAACATAAACTGTTTAGTTGCATTATGGAAGAAAGAAAACACGAAACGAAACGAAACAAACAACGGCAACAGAAAGAGCACACAAGTAGAATTGCCGATAGTTAGTTAGTTAAACGGTTAGGCTGGTTAGGGTTGAGGAATGAGGCTCTCGTCTATTGAAGACGCGCGCCCACTTTCCCTTCAATCCTCACCCAACCATTCCTCCTTTTTCCACTCCTTCTTTGACCTTCCCTCCTTTTTCTGATTCTTTTCCCCTTGTATGCCTTTTTCTAACTGCCTCATGATGTTTCTCTTTGTTTTTTAGTTGCAAAGATTTTTATGTTCTTTGACCCCCTTACTCCTGCTTTGTTGCATTGTAACGAAGCAGTGTGGTCTGACCAACATTCTTCTCTGCAAAGATCACTACAAAAAGAAGGCGGGAGAACGAGAGAGAGAAGCATAAAAAGGGAGGGAAGAACGGAATAAAACAATCCGTTAGGATAGTGAAGGACCCATAGCGCGCCTTTTTTTTTCTTCTCTTATTTTTCCCCTGCCTTGTTCAGCGCCATTGACGCTGTTGTAGGCTTCGGGTAATAGGTGTGGCCCATCATGCATGGTTGTGCTAAAGTGTTAGAGAAGGACCTTTCTTTATTGGTGTCCTGCTTGAATTGCATGATGAGGGGCTTGAAGAAGGAGACACGATGGAAGGGTTGGGGTTTAGTTAAGTTGGGGGATATAAGTATTGTTGCGAAGAGGACCACACACAAGAAAAGGCAGGGAACTGGTAAGAGAATGATGCGGTGTACGCTCACATACAGACACACACACGTTATTAATTGCTGCTCTTTGACACCATTTAGGCACTGCAGGCTACATAGACGAGACAAGACAAGACAAGTCAGGGAGAGGGAGGTCCACACTACGCCCAAAGTCAGGGATTGAAATGGCGAAAGGAATGAACAGAGAGGCACAGGAAAGTGCAATTGCTGGGACTATGCATTGCATATAGTTGACAATCTTTTTTGAACTAGCCTTTCTTTTTTTTTTTTTTTTTTTTTTTTTTTGAATGTTACCAAACAAAAGAGAGGGTGGGAGAGCCAACCCCATCATTTTCTTGGTGCTGTACAGTACAACACTTTAGCAATTGGGCTGTACTCTGTCAATTTATGTTGTCTACGTTGTCAAACGTAATTGAAAGAGAGAGTGGCAATTGCAAAGGGAGGCGCAAGCGAAGGAAGGGAAGAGAGAGAGAGAGGAAGGATGATGTATGTGAGAGCTGTTGTTGCATGCTGCTGTTATGACAGGTGTTTAAATTGCTGTCCATGCTCACGTTCGTTCGTCATTCTGCCTTCTTGCCTTCCTGCCCTTTTTTCTTTTCTTCTTTTTGTCCCTCGTTCTTTACTCCTCCTTCCACGCCTCCTCCAATTACAAACCATTCCCGAGCTACCTCGTTTTCCCATTGCTTGTATTTTTTTCGTTGGCCATATACAAGAGCTACGAGTAAGAGGTATAAACGGTGCACCCGACTCATCCGATGAGTGCATGGAAGAAGGGGTAAAATGAAAAGAGAGGCCGGCCTGTCATATTGCTGTTTACGTTGCCCTTGGCTTTGATGGGAACACAAAACACACTTGTTTACGAGAGCACCTAAAACAAAGAGGCGCCCAGCCATGGACTGGATAGGAAACATGACAGGGTATGATCACCATAGCCCACTTTGCCTTCAAGAATAAAAACGATACCGCGCCAAGTAATGAAAGTATATTTAAATGTAAAAAAATGGCCAGTGTGGAATCGTGTCCTCTTTTGGGCAACTCCTCCACCATCCCTCCTTCCCTCTCTGCCTCCCTCTCACCTTATGGCGGTCTGCGGTTGTTCGGTTGCTAGTGTGTATGCAAACACAACAGGCGCACAACACTCTTGTTCATTTTCGACTGGCCCACTCTCACTGGTCGAGCTTGTTTCTTTGTGCTCATGGGAGACAGAATGACAGTTGGAATAATTACATTTGTAAACTCACGGATCTTCTCCCAAGATCTACTTGTTTCCCAGGACATGGCGCAATTTGAGAGAGATGCTATTGGTCAGTCGAGAAGGCGAGTAAAAATGGTGAGCCATGGGTCAACTGTTACACAACAAACCTACACAAGGGAAGCTTTTTTGGGATTACGGCTGTTGAACTGGGGAAGAGAGAGGAAAGAGAGCGGAAAGAGAGAGGGAAGCAGAACAAGAAGAAAAAGGGTGACAAGGTCCATACGCGTAGAGTGACGAACGGAAGGTGAATATCTTTAACTGACGAAAACCAGTCGAAGCGGGAAAAGACAAAACCAAACAGAACCATGACGATATGTTTAGTGTCAAGGTTGAGGGGGTGAGGGTGTGCCCTTTCCTTTTTCCTCTTCACCTCCGCCCATGGTTAAAGTTTTTTTTTTCTGTTCGTAATGGCAGAAGTTGAGTATGAAATTCAAAGCCTGTCGAATGCACGAATGCACCAAAGAGGGAAGAGGGGAAGGTTTGTGGAGCAAGTGAGTTTAGAGAAACGCCTCGACCTTTCTTTTTTTTCAGGCTTTCTTTGCATAAGGGATGGACCGCCATGCACAATGCACTCCACTTTTTCTACCCTGTTCCCTTTTCTGTCTGCTGTTGAATCGAGGCACTGGTAGTGTCGGTACTTGGCGATGAATACCTTTGTTTTTTTAAGCGTCGACTCTTCTCGCTTCTCATTTTTCCATCCCACTCCCTCTTTGTTTTCTCTTCACTCGCTATTTGTAGGTTGCACATTCAAAACGTTAAATAAATGTTGGCGGAGTCTTTCATAAGATCGCATTGAGAGGCTCCACCACTTTGCAGAGGCAGACTGAGAGGTAAACAAGACTCCATTAATATTATTGTTCACGATACGCGAAAACTATCAGGTAGACAAGCTAATATTTTCACAGTGCAGTTCGCTCGGGATCGACAAGAGCAATATACACAGACCTGTCCCGGAAGCACATATGAAGGCATCATTCTTTCATGCCACACCCACCCATGCCTTTTTCTTATCATCTTTGCTGCCACTTTTTTTTCGCCTCACCCACCTCCCTTTTTTTCCATTTTTTAAAGGAGAATGCACGAAAGCAATGATACATTTTGTGCTCAGGGCAGCATGTGTCCATTATCATCTGTTTTCTCACTCGCAGTCTTTCTTTCCGGCTGGGTTTTCTTGTTGTTTACTGACATTTCACATTCATAATGAAATAGCCGACGACCCGGTCAAGAAAGATCTATGCCTCGGTTGCAAGCAAGAATGAACAGCGTTTCGTACCTGAAAAGGGCGATGGAAGGATCAATTGCGCGCCTATGGATATGTTTCGCTCTCAAAATAAGTATTTTTCTACTTTTTTTTTCAAAGGAAAAGATGCTCGTCAATTTCATCCAATCAACCTCACTCAGTAAAGTATCCTAAAGAGCACATGAGGATTGCACAGCCTGTCCTCACCGGGTCAAGAACGACGCGTGCGAGTCCCAGACGACCCCTTGTTGCTTTGATTTTCTACTCTGAGTGATCTTCGATCTCTGATCACTCCTCCGATCAATGGTATGCACGTGACGAATTCGCCAGGTCAAATGACGCGCCCTTGAAGGGTGGCTACTGCTTTTCCTTGGCGCCAACTCCTTCGGACACTTCACATCCTCGGGATTCTTTCTTTTGCTCATGACCGAAGCCAACTCGCCAGGAATCAACACAACGACACAAAGCACGCAATGATGAGCAACCCTAAGTCTGCAATATTTCAGGGCAGTAAAGAGCTAATGGACTTGCTCCGGAGCATGGGGCTCCTAAGCATCAACAGGAGCAGCAATGACGAACCTTCTTCAGCACAACAGACAGACACCGATGACCCTGCCAACCAGCCAACTCTCCCACTCGAAGGCGAGTTTTATAAAGCAACCATCCAGGAGACCACCACTGCCACATCGAGTAGTGTGAGGTCCAGCCTAGAGTACTCGTTCGGGTCTCTCCAGGTCACGGACGAAGATTGGCTGGCTATTGATGAGGTGACCGCCGCTCACACCACAGCTGCCCCTGTCCTCAAGGACACCCAACCCGCACCATACAAACCCGCACCATACAAACCCTTGTCAACATCAACAACAATGCCCGAGGTAGCCAAGTTCAAGTTTTCACCCTCAGTGCTGGCCCACCATGCCAACACCGCCTGCGAAAAGATGCTGCACCTCAAGGGACGACAGCTCTGGGACCAAGCCCTACAACAAAAGGCAACTCCAGAATTGGCAGCACAGGAACAGGAACAACGAGCCCGGTCACCCGTGGCCATTGCTGACGCAACCACGAGGCGCGGGGTTGTCTTTGAGAGTCAGCTCCAGGGTGGGATCAAAGACCGCGTCGACTGTGAGGCTGACCAGGACAAGGACTCGTACTTTAGACTTGCGACCACACCCGACAACACGACTCTCTGTCAGCCCGTCTTTTCCCTTGACAAGAGTTTTTACACCCAGGAGATGGAGAAGGCAGGTATCGTCTTTGGTCGGTTCATTCCGGATTTCATCCAAGTGCTTCCGGGATCTGTTGCTCCGGACGGGACGCGCAAGAAGCGGATTTTTATCATCGATGCAAAGTCATCATCCCATGTCAAGATCAGTCATCAGGTAATCAACCATGCCTTAGCGCAGTGTTCACTTTTAGCGATACCAACCCATTGTTCAGTCACTGACCGTATTCTCCGTCAAATTATTTACATCGGTAAAAATTAGTTCCAAGTGACACTCTACGCCATTTTTCTGGATCATCTCATCAGGGTCAATGGACAAACAGATCGCGTCGAGGTGGCTCCTCAAGGCGGCGTGTGGACTCCAGACCGCGGCGATCCCCATGTCTTTTCGTTGGCATTCATGCGCCCCATCATCGAAAACTTTATCTACAAGGAACTACCAGCCATCCTGATGAAACCTCTCAACGAAGCGGTCTGGCATATCGACAGCCCTTGTCTCCAATGCGAGTTCCTCGATAGCTGCAAGGACGATGCTCGGGAACAGATGACACTCTCGCTTATACCCATGCTGTCCAAGAAGTCTGCTTTGGCGATCAAGGCCATGTGTCGGTCCAGGTCAGGGAAGGGAAAGAATGAAATTGAGGACATCGAAGATCTTGTCGCCAATCGTTCTTCATTGCCAGATACGCACCAGAACTTCTTGAAGAAGGAACTTCGGCTCGACGACAACGGTGTCAGTCCACTCATACAGTCGTACAAGGAGCGAGTCATCAAGGTGAGAACACCTTTAGTTTTATTTGGTCGCACGTACAAGTTCTGGATTGACCAAATCTGACGACCATTCAAAATTGTTTCATTGCATAGGTGGTGCCTGTCAGGACAATGGAGCTGCCACGGCAGCACGGTGACCGGTTGCTCATCAACCTCTTGATCGACCCCATGATGCTTTTACCCTACGCCTACTCTCTCGACATGTTCAAGGAGCAAATGACCCGATCCACACACAGCGCCTCAGGAGCAACTCGCTGGTCATCGCACCTTCAGCCTGAGCGATTGTCGCACCAGATCGTTTTGGCGGTTGAGCTCATTGATACCCTTCACGAGTGGCTAGTCAACCTCTCGGAGATCAAGCCAAGGACCCCTGTCCTCACTATCTTCTTTTACAATCGCGAGATGTTGAGCGGCTTGTCGAACTTGCTTCTCAGGGTGGTCTCGTCAAAGAGCGAAGATACCACATGGTCTCAGCTGACCAAGAGTCGAGCGATGAACCTCTTGACCAACATGTACGAGGACCCCAGCTTCTTAACGCTCTCCGAAGTGTCAGGATCCAACGTAAGACTGCCAGACTTGCTGCAATTGGCCCAAGGGTTCAAGAAACCGTACCCATCGCACGACAAGCGGCTCTTTTCTATCGAGACGGCGTTGAACGCATTGCTGGTGCTGCCTGTTGTTGGGTCGTATACATTCAAGGATCTGATGACTTATCTGGTCGATGTCGAAGCGCCGTTTATCATTGACGACAAAGACAGGAACGACGATGGGTTCGACTCTGCCAACATTTTCCGCACCTGGTCCACTACCAACAACCCCGACGCCAGTAAGCCTCTATGCAAATTACCTCCAAAACGCACGTTCCATTTCATCCGATAGAAAAATGACTGGTTATTAATTACTGCCTTGAATGTTTTGAATGTAATAGTCAAGACACTGCTACAGAAATGGGCAGAGCAGCAGAATGTGATCCTCATCGCGCTCTACGCAGTCGTCGGGCAGGAGCACAATGACTTGAAGGACGTACTCCTAGCTCCTCAGTCACATTTCAAGATGCGACCCCAGTTCATGTTCAAGTATAATCTCCTCGCGCAGTTTGCATTCTTCTTGCAATGGGAAGTGATTATGCAGGCACAGAAGAGACGGCAGCGGCGTATCAACATGACAGACGAAGAGGCCATCCGCCACCAATTCGCGTTTCGGTGTCGTTACCTGAACCGTCATCTTGGACCATTCCCCGCACCTGGTAGTAGTTCGCCACTTCTTGCTGGAGCGGCTATCAAGGAACCTTCAAACTCGGATTGGTCGGGTTTTGTTGGCAAGTTTGAGATTACGAGTCCCATCAACCCTGGCGTCCTCACGAATGATGACTTTAAGCAATGGATCCTTAGTCCCGATACCCCCGCCGTAAGCTACATCCTGCGCGAAGTTCTTCAACCATGCTACGACCGCGAAGCTATATCTCTCTATCGACTTGTATTTTTCTTAACCTTCATTACTTGTATGTCATAGGGTCATGGGGCGAGGATGCGGTACGACGAAGTGAACTCGGTGTTCAAAATGTTTGGCGTAGGCGTTCCAGCTGTAGTTTCTACATCATATTTCGATCCCGAGACCAAGATTGTGTACCTGAAAGGGACCTATCGCAACATGACATCACCCAACGAACTCTGCTTGGCCGAGAACGAGTACTATATCCTAGAGCGTCGGGAGCTCAATGTCACCCTCACGACAACCATGAAAAAGCTTATAGAGATGAACGAGGACAACCGCTTGTTCTTGGTAAGTGAGGGTTCTGAAGTGTGCACCTAAAACTTTGTTGTTCTTGCAGCCCTTTTTCGCTTCTCTAACGCGATTGTTCATCCATTACTATAGAAATTGCTGACGAATCCTAACATGTGGGGTGAGCAACGGCCGGACAAGAGAGCGGACGTATTCTTAGAGTCGATCACCAACTCGACGAGGCGGTACGACATGACGATCTCGCAGGAGCAGGCCTTCACTCGAGTTATCAACAACCGTCTTCAAATCATCTGGGGACCTCCAGTAAGTCCTTTCGCAGTCATCATCTCACAGGAAGCGCGATAATTTCCTCATGTACTGACGCTTTTTTTTGACGATTGGATTTTTCTGTTTGCTGATAGGGCTCGGGAAAGACACACTTTTTGGCGTTGACGATTCTCCGGTTTGTGGATATTTTGCAGAGTCTGGCGATCAAGGGCAAAGGACAAGGGCCACAGACGATTGTCTTGACGGCATTTACTCATTCGGCGATCAACACCCTTGTCAAGCGAGTCGCTCAACTGCACAGGGACATTGCGCCTCGTGCTGGAGCCGAGAATGTGGTCCAGCCGCTGGTGTTTTATCGTCTCAGCAATGCACAGGCCAGTGAGGCGGATGGTGTTCAGCAGGTGGATCCCAAGGACTTGGCCAAGCTTCAGCGACGCCCTGGACCTGGTGTGACCGATGAGAGTCAGGAGAACATTATCCGGATCGTCAGTGGAACCGTGTGGCAGATCCGTCGAGCTGCCCACCCAGAGACTGGAGTCGACTACATGCGTAACGTTCAGATGTTGATGATTGACGAAGGCAGTCAATTGTTGGCGGCGGATTCTATCCATGCGATTGAGTGTCTGGACCCGGACCATGGGCGACTTGTTGTTGCGGGCGATCACTTGCAGCTGGGGCCAATTATTGCGGGCGAGTACCTCAAGTCCGAGTTGGCGATTGACCCGACGGGGTCGATTATGAAGAACCTGATGCGCAAGAAGGATAATACGCCCGTGTCCTTACAGTGGGAGGGGAGTGGGCCTGAGATGGATGTTGGGCCTTGTACCTTCCAGCTGCAAGACAACTTCCGCATGGTAGGTGTTATTTTGTTACAGTTTCCCCTCCTAACGCATTGTTGTGGCAGCAATGTTTTAACTGAACTTTATTCACTTTTATCGTGTTCATTAGAATGAACAATTGGGCAAGTTTATGCAGTCGATCTACGGTCCAAAGTACGTGGTGCGGAACCCAGAAAGGTCCCTCCCATACAGCGAGAATGTCGTCCAAGGAATGTCATTCTCCCCCGATATTCGTCGGATCCTGGACCCAAGTTTATCTGCAGTCTGCATCGAGCTCCAGTTGACCGAGGATCTACACAGCACACTTGCGATCCAGGTGCGGAACGACATCCGTGTAGCTGCCAGTGTGGAGGCAGCACTGGTCGTGGAGATTGTCGAAGCGTATCTAGAGATGGTTGGACGGGACACTGTGACGACCTTGTTTGTGGCGGTCCCTCATCATGTCCAACGACTTGCAATCCTGAACAAGGTCGAGAGGGCCGGTCTTGTATCCGCGTTCCCCATGGCGTTGATCAAGGTGGACACGATCGAGAAGATGCAGGGCCAGGAGGCGGATATGGTTGTAGTGTGTTTTGGGATGTTCGATGAAGATACGCTGGTCAATGAGTTGGCTTACCTGTACTCTGTCCATCGATGGGTCGTGGCACTTTCGAGGGCACGGTGCAAGACGGTGTTGCTGATAACACCCGAGATCAAGGCGCCGAGGATCATTGGCGGATCGGGCAAGACGGATGCGGGCAGTTTGGAGAGGTTGGATGGGTGGGGGCTTTTACAGGCATTTGAGAGGTATGCTGAGGGACTGGGAGGGAAGCTTGTCTGGCCTATTAACGATGAGCTTTTTTTGCAGGGCGCTGGTATCCACCTTTTCTAGTTCATTTTTATCCGTCGCCAAGGATATGGTGGACATATTCTCATAACATAGATGTCCCATTGGACATTGGACCCTTGCGCGCGATGGAAAATAAATGCTAGATAGTTTTATCAACATTACTATGGCGGCATGCATCGCAACAAACGAGAAAGAAAGATGTTTAACATATTTACAATCACTAAGAGGTTTATTCAAAGAGAAAATGGTAAAAATAAGGATAACAAAACAAAAACAAACGAAAGAAAAGAAGTGGATCAGATGCGGAGGTAATGGGGGAAAGGGCTCTAGTTCAACTTCAACTCGGCAAACTGCTTGGCGAGGTCGAGGGCCTCCTGGACCTTCTCGGCATGCTCACCAGCACCCTGGGCAGAGTCGTCCTTGCCACCCTTGCGACCACCAATGACCTTGACGACTACGTCGGCCCACTCGGTGGCCTTCAAGCCGCTCGATCCACTGAGGATCTCCTGTCCGACAACACAGGCGTGGGAGACCTTGCCGTTGGTCTCGTCGACAGAGAAGACATAGGCAGCCTTGTCCTTCAAGTTGGTCTTGACGTGTGTCACAACAGCTCCGGTGGCCTTGGCGTTCGAGCCAACGTCCAAGAGGGCAACAAAGACCTTGGAATCGGGGTTCTTCTCAAAGTAGTTCTTGACCTGATCGACAGAGTCCTTGACCTGCTTGGCCTTGCGGGCCTTGTCGGCATCGTCAAAGGCTTTCTTGATACCAGCGAAGCGCTCCTTGAGGACAGACTTGCGGTAGGCAGAGATGAAAATCTCGTCGAGCTCCTTCGACAAGACCTTGAGCTGGGACTCGAGCTCGTTGCTCGAAAGGGCACCAGATCCGACGTGGTTGAGCTTCTGCTCGAACTCGTTGGCAACACGCTCAGCCTGGTGGGCCTCCTCGCCGGTGACGGCGACAATACGACGGATACCCTTGGCAATACCGGTCTCCTCAATGATCACGAACTGCTTGATGTCCGAGGTCTTGGCGACATGGGTACCACCACAGAACTCGATCGAGGTCTTGGTCCACTTCTCGTTGGAAACATCCTTCAAGATGTCGTTGACGTCATATCCAATGCTGACAACACGGACGGGGTCGGGGTAGACCTCACCGAAAACGGCACGGAGACCGTTGATCGACTTGGCAACAGCCAAGGGGACCTCCTGAGAGTAGACAGCCAAGTTGCGCTTGATAAAGTCGGTGACAATCAAGTCAGTCTCGTGAATCTGCTGGGGAGTCATACCGTTCTTGCATGTAAAGTCGAAACGGAGCTTCTCGGGAGCGACCAAAGAACCCTTCTGGTCAACAACGTTGCCCAGAACCTCGCGAAGAGCATAGTTCAACACGTGAGTTCCAGTGTGGTTGTTACGGAGAGGCCAGCGGCGAAGCTATCATCAGCGAAGAAGGATGTGATGGTTAGAGAGGCTGTTCGTCTTCGATAATCGTCAAAACAATTCAGTACAGTAGCACTGAACAGAGGGAATAATACCTCGTCGAACTGGACGACGACCTCATCGTTGACGGCGAGGGTTCCGTATTTGAGGTATCCGGTGTGCAAGACGTATCCACCGTAGACTTGGACGTTCTCGACAACAAACTCGGCCTTGCCATCGACGGTAATGCTACCGGTATCGTACTCCTGTCCTCCCTGCTCAGCGTACATGTTGGTGCGGTCCAAGAGAATACCGAATGACTTTTGCTCCTCGATCGACGAGGTGTCCTGAGGGAAATCGTGGTTGCGGTAAATCAACTTGATATGGGCGTTGATGTTGCCAGACTTGTACTTGTGCGAATCGTCGGTCTTGGGGACAGTACCCTTGGCCTCAACAGCAGCAATGTCGTGGACATCAAAGGCGACAGTCTCTCCAGCGCCAGCGCCGGAACCCTTGCCAGCTCTGCTGAGGGCCTTGGCGGCCTCCTGCTGCTTCGAGAACTCCTCCTCATCGACCGAGATGCCGTTCTCCTCGGCCATCAAGCGGGTCAGATCAACGGGGAAACCGTAGGTATCGTACAGGCGCCAGACATCAGCTCCGGACAAGTGGGTGGCCTTGGCCTCAAGAGCCTTCTGCAAGTAGCCGTCGAACAACTTCTCACCGCGATCCAAGGTGCGAGAGAAAGCCTCCTCCTCCTCGTTCAAGATCTCCTTGACATCAGCAACACGGCTGCGGATCTCGGGGAAGGCATCGCCAAACTCGCGCAAGACAGTGTCGACGAGGGACGAGAAGAAGGTTCCAATCTGGACGCCAAACTTTCTGCGGGCATAGCGGGAACCACGACGGAGAATACGTCTGAGGACATAGCCACGTCCCTCGTTGCTGGGGACACCACCGTCCGAGATGGCAAAGGTAAGGGTACGGACGTGATCGGCAATGACTCTGTAGGCCATGTCGATGCCGTCCTTGTCCTCAGCGCCCAACAATCCAGTGTAAGGGCGAGCTCCGGTGACCTCCTGGATGGCAGCGAAGATAGGCTGGAACACGTCGGTGTCGTAGTTGGAGGGCTTATCCTGAAGAATCGAGACGAGACGCTCGTAACCCATTCCGGTATCAATGTGCTTGTTGGGGAGAGGACGGAGAGAGCCATCGGCCTCCCGGTTGAAGGCCATGAAAACCAAGTTCCAGACCTCGATGACGTTGGGATCATCCTCGTTGACCAAGTGAGCAACATCACGACCTCCAATGCGGTCGTAGTGAATCTCTGAGCAAGGACCGCAAGGACCCTGTTCACCCATCTCTATTAGCCACAGGAAAAAAAAGTGTCAAAACATTCATAAGTTCTCGGCACACTATTCTTTGATTCCCTTGCTTCCCTTGCTCGCATTTTTTGCTCCAAACGGTCCGAATACAGCAAATCGCTGAATGAAAAAAGACGTACCCCAGAAGTTATCCTTTGCGCTACCGGGAAGAATGCGGTTCTCGGGGACTCCGACCTTGAGCCAGAGCTCCCTAGCCTCCAGATCGGGGGCAAGTCCCTGTTTCTCATCACCGCCAAAGTAGGTGACATAGAGACGATCCTTGGGGAGGCCGTAGACCTCGGTCAACAACTTCCATCCCATATCAATGGCCTCAACCTATTCACGTTAGTAGCAGGAGTAGAGAAACATTTCCTCGTTAGCGTGAGTCATAATGAGTTAAGTGTGAGTGAGGGATGTAACTTCGAACGCAAACAGTAAGAGGACATACCTTGAAGTAGTCGCCGAAGGACCAGTTGCCCAACATCTCGAAGTAGGTGTGATGGTAGGTATCCTTTCCGACATCTTCCAAGTCGTTGTGCTTTCCTCCTAATAAGTTGAGGGTTCATGAGAATATAACAAAGTTATTAATATCAGTTGATTCGCCATTGTTGTGGTGTCCCATGCCTTGCTCCAAAGGCGTGCGCATCGCACCATAGGGGTTATCAACCACCATCTACGCCTTGTCCTCGTCGACTCACCCCTTTCTTTCTTTTGTTTATGTCGCTCTGGTCTCTGATCCACCTTCCCTCCTCTTCCTCCTCGTTATTCCTGCGCTGATGGTGAACTAAAAAAAAATCCTGCTCTCGCTTGACTTACCAGCACGAATACACTTTTGCGAGTTGACGGCACGAGTGAGCTTTCCGAATTCTGTGTTGGGGTCAATAGTTCCCAAGAAGATGGGCTTGTACTATTTTTTGTCACAAAGGTACATGTCGTATGCATGGGTGCAGTGTCAGTCCTTCGTACCGAATCGTGTGAAGATAATGAATAGCTTGGCAAACAGAAAAAAACAAATCGACGACAAAACAAGCCCTTTACAAGTCCAAAGCCTCCAACATACTTGGTTCATTCCTGCGTTGGCGAAGAGAAGAGTAGGGTCATCGTGGGGGATGGTGGAAGAAGAGGGGACGAAGGTGTGTCCGAACTGGTCGCGGAAATACGAGATGAAAGTCTCGCGGACCCTGACGGCGGTCCAATGTTCAGGCTGGAATGTCATTTTTTGTGACCTATGGAGAGATTCAGCATGGTGGCAACATCAAGAAGAAAGAAAGGCTCACTTTTCGTTAGCGCCGTTTCTTATTTCTCACAATAAACAGTGACAGCGACAGTGGCAGGCTGTCTTCTCAGGGCAGGAGGGGCAAGATGTTGATCAACAGCGAGGTTGAGTGTCGTTGTGATCATGAGACGCCTCCGGCTGCGTTACTATGTTTTTGGTGGCAACGAGAGAGGAAGGGAGAGAGAGAGAGAAGTACGTACAGATATCAAAAGGGATGAGGAAAGAACGAGTTGGTTGAAGAAGAAGAAAAAGAAGAAAAAAGGAAAAAAAGTCAGCGCTCCTTTTGAAAGTTTTGAAAGAGGGTGCTGGTTGGCATGAGGTACTAAGAGGAAGGTTAACCAATGGCAACACAGAGAAAAAATATTTGTGGCTTGGCTCTCTTTTCTTCTTTTCCACGGGGTCTCTGCTTGCCTGGTCACCGTTGACTCAGCCAGGACAACATGTACATACACTCCGCACGCACAAAACAAGGCACTTTGACAATGGTTGTGTACACAAGTGCATGATACTTTATAAAAAGGGCAAACAATAGCCTACAGCTACCACAAAACAAGAGAGAACACAGGGCTTTAGTTCTTAACCTGAGCAAGAAGGGAATCGATAAGATCTGCCAGGGGCGCAAGCTCCTTGGACTCGATCAGTTGGAACTCCTTCACAAACAAGATAAAATGCTTAAAGCTCGTGTTCAAATGAGCCTCCTCTCCCAAGGAAACAACCACCGAGAAGTGGATCACATAGATATGTGCATACACCCGAAACAGTCTCCGGAAGATTGCATGGATCACGCTCTTGAACGATGCCGGGAAATCAACGCCAATCTTGCTAGGAAAGATGGTCTCGTTGTCCAACTGCGATTGAACCCACGACATCAGATGGTCAACATACACCGGTGCACTCACTCGTGCTGGCTTCTTGAACTGGCCCTCGTCCTTCCAGTGGTATTCGTATTTCGGTCCTGCTGACATGACCGGACAGTCCTGAGGTGTACAAAACTCTGTGATCGTCCCGTACAGCATGTTGATCTGATTGAAAAAGTCCACCGCTAGGTTGAAAGAAGGCATAGGTAGAGAAAAAGTGTTAGCAGATTGTTGTTTGTGTCCTCGAATGGTGTAAGATAGTATGAACGACAAAGAAAAGGGTAGAGTGAACATATAGAAACATGTAACAACAATAAAGAAAGGCGCTTGTTTGTTTCAACTTACTGTTAACGGCGAGCCACTCGTTAAGATCCTCGCCTTCAGGAAGATGAACAGCAAGACGCAAGTTCCCAGAACCAAGTGTCTGCTCCGCATACTCCTTGAGGAGGTATTGCTTCTGAAGAGACGACGCCGGTTTCTTGCTCGACTTTGGTTTGCTTGACGATCTACGTGCAAAAATTAAGTGTGAGAACAAGGGCTTGGGTAGGTTGATAAGCGAACAGGTGTGTTGAAAGTGCCCAGTACTTACAGGCCTAAGAAACTCATGTTCACAGTCAATTCCTCTGCTTGCTTTGTTGCTTTGTTGGTTGCTTGGTCGTTCGGTCGCTTCGTAGCTCGCTGTTTTCCTTGTTCTGTGTGCTGTGTAGTGTCGACGTCTGGTGTCCTAGGTAGGGCTCTCTGTGTAATACGCTATTATCCTCTTTGTTTCGGTAAACTTGGACGAAGTCAGACAGATGCAGTTGTGGTATGTCGGTGATGAGTGAAGAGCGGGATGTAGAAAAAAAAGAGGATGAGTTGAGAAGAAATGAACACCATACCGTTTGTCCTCAAAAAGAGAGTATAAGTGCGTGCCTGTTGCGAGTCTATCCCTCCTCTTCCCCCTTCTTCAGAAAATAGGGGCAATCATCGGCCCACACGGACACGTTCGTGTCACACGTATAGCGCCTCATCGACCACTAAAGGACACACACACCATATCATGTTCGTCCAAAGAGGAATGGCTAAGCAAAACCTGTCGGTCCCTCTGGCACAACCTGCACAGCATGATCTATGACCACCGTGGCATTCGCTCAATGAAAGACGAAAGTATTTACAAAGAGGGATAGAAGAGATAGAGATCCCGATTGCCTGAGCATGTTTATTCTTTCTCTGGTTTTGGTTTTTGTAAAAAAAAGGTTGGGTTTGGTGTATTTGGTTAAAGAAAATGGCAAGTACTCTGTAGGTTCCTTCCACCATCTGGGGTTTCCGGCGGTTAAAGAAAAGGTCTCTCCAAAGAACAAAACTGTTTTGATTTTCCCAAAGGTTGCAGAAAGCGCTTTTAGTTCGTTACTAGTTATTTAAGCAGCAACGGCCTTGACCTGCTTCTTGGCCTGGGTGCCCTCACGGAAACCGTTCTTGAAGCGACGGTTGACATCGGACAAGTGACGCATGCGGCCGGTACCGGTGGTCTTTCTGCGAGTGGCCTTCTCGCTCCAGTTGTCTATTAGGTTATGTCAGATAGGAGAACATTGGTTAGCTACACGTTCAACTTTACTGAAAAGGGTGTGTTGGAAATGTAATAGCGCCTCTCCGTCGAATTCTCCTGTCGTGTCGTCCTTCTAGCCTCCTTGAAAGGAATGAAGTTTGCTTTGTTGTTGGTTGCTGGTTGTTGACGGCAGGCTTGAAACTCTTGCATCGTCATTGTCGATTGTCAATATCGCAATTGCTTCCAGATTGCGTCTCCTCGCAATGCGTCCTCCTTGATCATTTCGCCGGTATGGTCAAGTAGCGGTGCCTAGAAACGTCAAAGGCATTGTCGTTTCTTTCTGCTTGACAGCTGCCCGAATGAAACTCGCTGCAACCACTGACTGTCTCCATGATCTCCAAAACTGTGACAACCAACTCCTGTGGAGTCGCTGGCTCGACAACTAGGGTAGACTCTGTCTTTCTGATATTCTGAATAACTGCCGAAGTGAGCGCCTGAAAAGGGTGTAATATGTCGTTTCCTGTTGGCGCCGCAATGATCGTATCCTGACTGATGAGAAGGGAAAGAGTAAAAGGCGCGGGATGCTTACAAGAGCGGAGCTTGGCAGCGGGGTAGCCGCACTGAGCGCAGGTCTTCTTCTGGTTGTGGAAAGAACGACGTCCACAACTAATATGACATGATCAACAAAATGGTGGGAATGCTTGTTAGTTCCTCTGTTCCTTGCAGATCGACAGTTTATATCCTGAACAAGAACCATTTGACGCTTCGTTTCTGCGCGTAGAGTGCTCCTGTATGACATACCGACGGCACAAGGTGTGAGACTTGGTGTGGCGTTTACCAAACGAAGAGGTACCCTTAGTCTAAGAGTGTTTTCAAAGGATAAGAAAACGATCCTTGGTGGTCAGTTGATGGGTTCCAGTAGAGATCTTGATGTATAGTTTTGTTCCTGCTTTGACGTTGACTGCTGGTGGTTGAATCAGAGCTTCCAGATGCAATTTGGACAAGTGGACTGATCTCTTTCGCTGATTTGCTGAATCCTGGAGATCGCCAGTGTTTGTTAACTGTTTAGGAGAGTTGACGAGATGTTGGGAACCTGTTGGATTCGGTGGTGCTAGATTCCTCTGTCGAATAGAGGCTGTCGCATCGTTGTGAGGTGCTTCTTTAAGAGCACTCCTGTTACAACGGCATATGGCGTTCCTTGTGGGATCCGCTTGTCGAGATGTAGGGTTCCACTTTGCTTTTTGAGATGTCAGGTTTTGCGCCCTTGCTGTTTACTTGCTGCTCCAAACACACAAGTTATCGATGGTTGTAAGCGTGGGTTCCGATATAAAAAAACGGGTGCTGATGATGACAATAGTGCCGATACGGATGGCGGGTATGCATGTCGATGGATGTGTGTGATGGCGAGGATGTCCCGATGGATGGTTGAGTGTGTTGTCCATGCTTCCTATGGATGTCCCCACATATGACCGCACTATAGCAATGTATATTTCTAGAGACCATTTTCGCTAGTGATTGGTTTGAAAAAGAAAGATTCCGCCGGGCCACGCTCCTGTAACTGTGATATGGACTGGGGACCGTGAAGTATCCTGGATCGTGCACGTGACTCGGCTAATTTTCATACCTTTCGTAGTCCTTGCCCTTTTGGCTTTGCCCTCTTGCATCAATCACCTTTTCTCACTTTCCTCAACAATGTCATTCATTCCCATACTCAATCACTTCAGAACACCCTCAGTCTCAAGAATAGCGACCATGGCTTCTGTGCCTACCATCACCCGTCTTTTCACCACCAACGCCACACCCGCCGGACCAAGTGAGGACTCCTTCGAGCAACTCGACATTTTTTGTTAGGTTATGCTTCCACGTCCTCAAGACATAAACTAACTGAATCCAATTGATCACGCCAACAGCGGATAGAAGAACAATCGTAGTATCAGGGCCCTCTGGCGGTGGCAAGTCTACACTCCTAGAACGCCTCTTTCGCGATTATCCCACCACCTTCGGCTTCAGCGTCTCCCGTACGTTCAATTACATCGTGATCCAACTGATCGGTCCTCGCACAGCTTACTTGGCACCGTCTCTTCTTTTTTTTGCGTCGCACCCTAACAAGTGAATATAACATTGATACATGAAAAAAAAATTCATAGATACCACGCGTAAACCAAGACTAGGAGAAGTGGATGGAGTAGCCTACCACTTCGTAACCCACACAGCCATTAACGACATGATCGCGCATGACCAATTCCTCGAACACGCCGTCTTTTCCTCAAATACTTATGGGACTTCTCGCAAGGCTGTCCAAGATATCAAGGACAGCGGCAAGATCTGTATCATGGACGTTGAGCTTCAGGGGGTCAAGCAGATTAAGGAGTTGGCTAGGAAGAGTCGCGAGGAAGGAGGAGGAGGAGAGGGGTTTGAGGCGCGGTATTTGTTGGTGAGGCCGCCTAGTTTGGAGGTTCTTGAGAGCCGGCTGAGGGCGAGGAAGACGGAGAATGAGGATGCGATTCAGAAGCGGCTGGAGGCAGCGAGGCGGGAGTGGGATGTGGGATCAGACCCTAGTAATTTTGAATGTATCGTTGTGAATGACGACCTTGATACTGCGTACAGAGATCTGCACCGATTCATCTTTGGAGCAACGAGAGAGAAGTGACTCGCTTTTCCCCCATTGAAATAAAAAAAAAAAAAAAAAAAAAAAGGAACACCCTCGACTGGGGAGGCTCAAAGGAACAAGGTTGTTGTCTTTCTGTCTTTGTCTTTGTCTTCACCCCTTCACCACACGCATTGTTCACCTTCACTTGTTCCAAATGGCACATCGACTCATCAAGGACAACCAGACCACAGGAGTCGCCATCCACGACTGGACTGTCCTCTCCCACAAGACTTCCATCCTCAACTCCCAGGAAATAGACACGTAAGTCTACTCACATCGCCTCACTCCCTCTCGCTCATCAACACACTCAACCGCAAAAGGCCCCGCCAGGATACAACTACACGGAACACGTTTCCTGACTTATACCGCTAAACCTCTACTTGCAATCAATATGAGCAGCGCGTCGGCAGACTTGGGCATCCCTATCCCAGAGATGATCTTTGGAAACAACTTCTTATCGATTGAACACAAGACCTCAGGTTTCAAATTCGAGTTCAAGGCCCTCCCCGCTCTGGCCATGGTCGACCAGTCCTCGACCTCCAGCGACAAGATCAAGGTCTCTTACGCCCGCGAATGGTTCGAAAAGCGCAGGTAAACATCTACCTTTTCTTTTTTGTTCTTGTAGTTTATGGCCGTCTTCTTGTTTGTGGTCAAGCTGAACTATGAATATTGTTTCCTAACCACATCTCCTCGTATGAAATATTTGTTGTAGCATGGTGAACCAGGAACATATCACAGATGTGGTGAAGCCATACGACTGGACATACTCGACAAAGTACAACGGATCCAACACCAGCTCCAAAGAACATCTCAAATTCCAACCCACCAACGAGGAATCCATCGACATTGAGCAACTAAAACGACCCGACCCTATCCTCTTCTACGACGAGAACATTCTCTTTGAAGACGAACTCGCTGACAATGGCACCGCTGTTCTCTCCACCAAAGTCGTACGTTGGCACCAATGCTGTTGTTTTTTTTACTGTGACAAAGTGTAAAAACAGCTCCACGTGTGTGCTCTGAAAGGACTCTCGTCAATTAACCTTTTTTTTTCACATCTGATAACAATCCCAATCTGAAATAGCGGGTGATGCCATCGTGTCTATTCATCCTACTGCGCTTCTTCCTGCGCGTCGACGACGTCCTCTTCCGGATCTACGACACTCGCATCTACCACCGCTTCGGCACAAAAACCGTCGTCCGCGAATCCTCCTTCCGCGAGAGCTCCTATCTAGACACCCGCGCCGTAAGTCACTCTTCCTCATTTTTTTTCTTGATATGGTCTCTTCTGCGATGGTTATGTGTTGTTGTTTGTTTTATAGATGAGATTTTTTGGTTCATGAACTAATTGTGTTTGTGGGTGGGATGTTTACTTGCGGATGCAACTTGTGTATAGAGGATCCCACGTTCAAAAGGAGACGACCTGTCGTTGCTGCTGGATTCGAATTGGGTCTCGTCCCAGCTACCAGATCAAGAATCCTACGTCGAAGTCCTTCACCTGGAGTAGTCCACCGCTTCCATATAATAAACCCCCCGAGGATCACTATCATCTATATCTATACTATCCGTCGACACTCCATGTCATTAGTCGCTTCCCCCATGAGTCTAGCTACTTTTAATCAGAAGAATTAGCAGACTGCACCTTCTTATAAAACGCCTCCGCAAATTCTGCGACCGTCTGCCCATTTGATAAATCCGTCACGTCCGCAGGGTACCGATTAAACGCAAATGGCTGCTGCATATGACTCCCCGCCGCCTCAGATTCCAACAACCTCATCGCCGGCAGGTGGTCCAATTGTTCTTGATCTTCTAGATCCAGGAGGAGGAGTTCTTTCCAGTCAAATAAGAGGGAGTCGGTCTTTTGGGCAAAGGGGTTGAAATCGATGAGGTAGATCCTGTCCTTGTTCCTGGTAATGTATACATCGAACGTGTCTAATTATTGATTTTGAGTAGAAGGAAGGTGACAAGGAGGAATCAATCGCTTGTTGTTGTTGTTGTTGTTGTTGTTGTTGTTGCTGTTTTTCCTCCTGATGAATCATACAGCAAAGCGGAACAAACAAGAATATAGGCTTACAGTGGCTATCGGGGAAGCGACCTTTGATCTTGTCCTCAAAGAAATCAACAATCTTATCCTCCAACTCTTCCTGAATGCCCTTCAAAAAGTCATAGTAGGTCATGTCCCTCTGCGAGATGGCTAAACAAAACACACAACAACAAAACCAGACGTGTGATTAGAACGGAAACCGACAGCCAAAGGCATAATAATAATAAAAACACCCTCATTCCTCAAAAGACTGCCACAAGAAAACCAAACTCTTACCAACAAGCTTGTTCTCGCGAACAAAACACCTAAACTCCATCGAGGGCGCAAGGTCAAACCACTTCCTCAACACCAACTCCACAACCTCAGGTCTTTGCCTCACACCCCCCGCACCCTCCGCAGCGGCATCCGAACAATCCTCATAAGCATGCGCCAGATCATGTGCAATGAAATCAGACGACTTGAGGAGAAGGAAGATATCGCTCACGTTCTGACACTTCAACGTATTGGTCGCCGCAATCCAGCTGGCATCCCTTGGAGAACTCCAGTTGAGTTTTGGAAACACCTCGCCTCCGAATTCTGCGATCGTCTGTTCAATCTCCTGTTCCAGTCCTGGGAAGTATGGTAATGGTGCCTGAGAATTGGAAAAGAAAAACAAGAACGGGCGAATGGTGTTTGTCAGCTTTGAATCGAAGATGACTCAGAATGTCCAGGAACAACATGGACATTGGGCGAATGCTTGCTGCAGGAAGGTACGAGAAGACGAATTACCTCGCCTTGCTCTGACTCATCGTCCTCCTCATCATCGCTACTGTCGTCCTGACCGCCTTCAGTCCTCTGACGGAAAGTAGCCTCTTGAAGTGCCTTGAATCGATCTGCATCGCTAATGTTCTCGTCCTCGCTCTCGTCCTCGCTGTCATTCAATGCCAATGTCAGGCCGCTAATCATATACATGAGAAAAAGAAACCTCGTTAGTAAAGCAAAGCAGGAAAGAATCAACTAGACAAGAAAAAAAAAGCTACTTTCCAAAAGTTTACCTCTGTCCTGGGATAAAGACGCCGTCGGCATTGAGATAGGAGACAAACTCGTCGGGCAAAGGGATGATCTTGGATTTGATCGAGATGGATCTGAACTTTGGGTACCAGGACGAGAAGGCACAGTTCTCGAGTCGCTGGTGGGTGAGTGGTGGAAACACCAGGGGTGTGCCCTCCGTCGTTGTGGCAATCTGTTGTTGTTGCTCCTGCTGGCCTGCCTCCTGCTGCTGGTCGGGTTCTTCCTCTGGTCGGTAGATGCTCATGTTGTGTTGTAATGTTTGGAATGAAAGAATGTCAAAGAACAAAAGAAAAAAAAAAAAAAGGTGCGGAGGTCCTTTTTTGCTTGTTTTATTTTTGTTTAATCCGCTTCCAATTACAAAAGATTGTGATTACAAAGGTTAAAATATTTGGTGGCGCAAATTTATTAGGTGCTGCGGTTGCGTTGTTATTTATTTTTTCGCTTTGCCTCTTGTCTTCGATCTCTTGTTGTCCTTGGCCTCACCCCTTGTTCATCCCGCCGCTCACTCCTTGTGCTGCTTCATCTTTGCTTGATTTGGAGTCGCAAGCTTGATCGCTCGATCAACCTTGTCAGGTCTCAGGAACCTTCTGAATGCTTGGAGGACGGCATTGGAGTCCGATGTCAATATCGAAAGAGCCGACAGGGCAATGGCAAACGCTGCCTGCTGGTCGCGGCCTCTCACTGTGTACCCGTATCATCGTCCAGGACAAAAGGGGTTTCCGACACTCATTGACTCCGTTCACACGTACCGTTCTTGGTCCGTTCTTTGTAAGCCTGACCGCGGTCGCCGGGTGTAGAGTGGATAAACACAAAACGCGCAATTGCGAGGTCTTGTGTTTCGTCCACACAGGCCACCAATGAGTACTGCCTGTGTTCCTTATGCAAATACCGCCTGCCTCTCTTCCGACATCCCTTCAGTCATAATCCTACTCCAGAGCCAGCGTCTCCAATCATAAGCAGAGTAGCTACTTGGGGCTTGAGCTTGGGGTACATGACCCTCTCTGTCCTGACTGGTCCGCGTTCATTGTGAGGGGTGTGATGGGTCTTTGCAGCGTGAGCACCAGCAGCCCAATGTTGACACCAAGCGTGTGGCAACTTCGCGCCGCGTGGGGGCGTGAATTGACCCTGGACGAAAGCTCTATACCGATGTGCTGCTCTAGAGCTATGAATATGGTCCTTGGAAGTTCTAGTGAGAGATAGTTTGATGAAATTACGTTTGTACAAGGTTAGTCAAGAAATGGGTCCAATGACCCCTCAAGACGTTTCTGACCGTTTCTTCACAGCCTTTAAAGATATTGCCAGGAAACCTTTTTAACTGTGTTTCTGAGTTTCATGGCTTTCCATACTAATAGAAGTGCTGAGCATGCTAGCTGGACCAAACATGCAGAAAAATAGAACAGAAGGGAGAGTAGGAAAATATTGGTGCAACAGGCGAAGACTGAGACAGAGAAGTAGAGAACGGGGACAAGAGTTAGAGCAATGATGATGATGTTATTACTATGATACAGCTATATATGTACAAAGTCGCTAACTAGGTTTCTAGGTGTAGTGTCATGAAGTGTCAAAGATGAGGACGTGTGACATAGAATGACTAACTAGAGAACAGTAGTAAACCTGATATGTTGCAATTGGACCCATTTTTGATCCACTATACAACATGATACAAAGTGGAGGAGGGGAATAAACTGAATGAAATGAGAGAAACAGCAAAAAGTCAAACGAAAAAAGAAAAAAAAACAATAGCATGGATAGGATAAAGAGGAAGAAGAGGGGAAAGAAAAGACAGGGCGTAAAAAAGGACATGTATCTCGCCACCTTAGAAAGGCAAGGGCAGCATCTCCTTCATAATGTTGGTGTTTGGTTGTTGTGATAGCCTGTTGTGGCAATTCTAGTGTAGTCGTGTCGTCAATGTCGATGCCACAATTGCAGACCATCCCTTGTTGCTGTAAATTGACGCTCAAATCCCTCCATCTAGTCGCTGAGTCGTCGGTTGGTGTATCCTCCAGTCATGCCTCCGGGTCCATTTGGTCCTGCTGGTCCACGGTTGCCGCCATAGAACCCGCCACCATTGTTCCCAGCCGACCCTCCGCCAACTCCTCCTCTTCCTCCGTTGGGTGGTCCTGAAGCAAAGTACTCGCCCCTACGTTCGTAACGATCTCGCTGGTCGCGTTCACGATCCCGGTCATGGTCGCGGTCTCGGTCGCGTTCCCTCTCTCGCTCCCTATCGCGGGGCGGTGGTGGGAGGCCTCCGCGCGGACCGCCTCGGTAGCCGCCATAGTTAATCGACTCCATTCCTCCATAACCTGTCCAATCGTCCCCGTTCATCGACCTATGGCGCAAACGCTCATCCGACTTGTAATACTCGCGGGGCCCAAGAGCTGTTGGCCCTGTGGGTGACGACAATGGTCCAGATCGCTTAAACGACGACGGTGACTCGTCATTGTAGCCAAAATGACCTCCTTCAAAAGTCGCATTGGGGAGAGGGAGAGTACCAGATGTCAACGACTGCTGTCGTTCTCTTGTGGGCGAGCCGAGTGATCCTCCCAATGGTCTCTCTGGTCGATCCGAAGGCGACCCATGGAAGCGAGGGGAAGTAAGACGCCCTTCACCACTGCTCGGTCTAGGGTCCATGTTCCTGACGTCCACATTCGAGCCATTGCGGTAATTACTGCCGCCTCCGATTCCTGAGCTCGAACCTGGAGGGGACCCCCCTCGTTGACCTCGCGGCGTCCTCCATCCAGGAGAACCCAGGCCTTGGGGCGGGGGTGATCCGTGTCTGTTCCCAGGACTCAAACGCTCCTGCATTTCTCTAGAACCGGGAGAGACCATGGGCCGGTGAGCCACCGGGGACCTTCCTGGCGAGATGGCGGCCCCTTGTCCTTGTCCTGAGGTGTAAGGACCATCAGAGTTGGATGGTGTGTGTGGAGGCGACGATGTTAATGTCATCTTGGAAAAGGGCGTAGGCCCTGCAGAGAGCGAGATGGGGCTGAATGGCTGGACTGGGAAGTAATCGCCTGAAGACTGAATAGCCTTGGTGGAAAGGCTGATCCTGGGCGTTGACAAGCTGGTTCCAACCTCAAAGTAGTCAGAGCGATCACGTTGGCTTTGCTCCGCCGACCCTGTAGGGCTGCTCACTTCCTCCTGTGGCCGAGGCTGCTCGGCCATTTCTACGTCGACAGAGTCGGCAGAACCTTGAAGTGCTTGGTTGTTGTCGCGACCCAGGGAATCCTTACTGCTCGTGTTGGCATCCTGATCCTCGGGATTTATCAAGGCAGATCCGTCAGAAGCCACGTTATTCACAATGCGTTGAGAAACGCCCAAACGCTGCTTCTGGTATTCCTGAAGAGACAGCTTGACCTTGGGAATGGAGGGAGTGAGCTCTGCCTTGACAGTGGGTGCATCTGCTGCAGACTCACTACCGCCTTGAGAGGCATCGGCAGCTACCTCAGCGGCCAGTGTGCCTGGCTCCTTCATCTCGACATCAATGCTTTCAGGAGCGACAGGTGCAGTATCCAGTACAGTGACGGTGACCTCTGCTGCGGCGGTCGTCGCTACCTTGGTGTCATCCGAGAGACCAGGAGAGGTTGATGCAAGTCGCCGGGCATGGTAGGACTCGAGGCTGAGCTTTTGGATGGCTTTGGCAGGCTTCTCGGGGCTAGGCTCTGTAGGGACGACGTTCGACTCTTGGACAGGTGCGGGAGGTACAACAACGAAAGGCTCCTCAGAAACAGTGGATCGAAAAGGTGACTTGGATCCGTTCCGCTGTGCATTGTTCGCCTCACGTTGACTTGAAGTTGGCCCAGATGATGAAAGCGTCGTTTCTGGTCGGACATCCTCGTGGAACAGGTTGAGCACATCTCCAGCTACTACTAAGGACGTTTGCTCAGCAGGAGGTGAAGCTTTGATGGACTCCATGGGCTCTGCTTCTGAGGGAAGAGCAGTAGCAACCACCGTCTCAACAGACGCCACATTGGGTGCTGGTGCGGGAGCACCCATGCCGGACAGGGTATCATCTTCCTCCTCCATCTTGAGATCAAAGACCTCCTCGGCCTTCTTTCTCATTTCCTCGGCCTTCTCACGAGCCTCCTCCTCAGCCAAGGCGCGCTGCTTCATGTAAATCATCTTCCAGACCTTCTTGCAAGGAAGAACTGAAGGCTTGAGCGAGGCCACGGGTAGAGTCTCCTTGGGCATGTTCTGCTCGCGCAAGAGTCGGCGGTCGGCACGGTGGCTAGCCTCTTCTTCCTCGTCGCTGGTGTTTCCGACGATACTGACAAAACCGCCTTCTACCGAACTGGAGCCCGACAAGTTATGAGAATCATCCAGGGTGTCGTTTCCTGCATGAGTAGGTCGCTCCTTGGCTGCCTTAAGGCTGGAATGATCGATCCGCTTGCCGCGAGAGACAGCTGCATAGGGTTGCTTTTTGCCGGATTGGAAAGGCACTGGTCGCTTGCTTCCTCTGGAATCTTTGCGCTCAGAATCCGATGTCGCCGGGGACTGGGACATAGTATCAACCTCCATCTGGCTCTTGTCTCGATTTCCTATGTTACATATTGAAAGAAGAGCATAAACTCGCGTTAAGTACTACCCGGAACTTCTATCGACCAGAAATGTCATAAAATTGATGATCCAGTGCTAAAAGGCATACCTTGGAAGAAACCAGGTTGAGGCAGCTTGTGAGCAGAGAGTGGGTCTCGCCTTGAAAAGCCATTGTTCGAGTCAGAGTCGATTCCACTGTCTCCAATGGAGATGTTGTCGTCTTCAAAGTTGCTGGTCTTGAGGCGACTAGATTCAGGCTTGTGGTCCGATTCTACCGATAGTTTGGTCTTGTCCCGAGGACGAGAAGGTTGAGTAGATCCAGTTCCTGACCGTTTGGGTGGCAAAGAGCTTGAATCCTTGGAGGTCGATTCAAGCCCCTTCTGCTTGGAGGAATGTGCCGCCAGAGCAGCATCCTTGTCCTCCATCCTCTTGATCAGAATCTGCGCCTGCTTGAGTTCCCGGGGAGACATCTCCTGGTGATTGGAGGTGGAGATAGTTGCAGCGACGTTGGTCCGTTTGAGGGGCGATCCTTGTCGTTCGGCGAGTGTTTGTTTGCGGCGACGATGGCTGTCTGAGTCCGATTCCGAGTCACGATCATCGACGCGGTGACTCCTTGAATGTAACGAGGGCGAGTCGTGTCGTGCCTTCTTGGAGGATGAATTTTCGGATTTGGCGGCTTTGGGCGACTTGCGGCGAGGACTAGATCCAGCGACAAATACCTCTTCGTCGTCGCTTGTATCCTGATCCGCTGATCTCTTGCCGTCGTGACCATCCATCCCTGAGCGATCCCGGTGACCGCCGTACCGCTGGCGTAAACTCTCCGGCGGCGTCGTCTTCTTGGGTCTGCTTCCTTTGGCTGCAGAACTTGAGGACTCTTGCTCACGAGTAGTCGAGTCAGGGGCGCCGTCCTTGAGCATCTGGTGCACTACGCATGGGTCCTTGGTTTCGCAGGCGCAGTCCGTCTGAGCCAAGAGCGTAGACGCGACCAAATGCTTGGCCTTGCGAATCTCCTTGAACGTCTTCCGTGAGGATCCGTCCTTGGCCTTTTCGATCGAAGCCGCTTTGATGGACTGGAGTGCCAGGTGATCTTTGTTCCAGTCCCAATCCAAAGTAATCTCCTGACCTTTGCCAATGGGCACCTTGGCAAAGAGGCCAAGATGAACTGTCTGATCCTGAACGCCAGGGACGACAATGCTCTTGATCTCGGTGTTGGGTGTGCATGACCTCCGGACAAACCTAGCATCGTTTCCGCTGCGCCTTGCATCGACCACCAGATTGAGATGAGGGTGAAAGAGGACGAACGGCTTTGGTGTTGCCAGGATGGAATATTGATTGATGGGGTCGGACTTGTAGGTGGACTTTAGCGAAACCTCGCCCTTAAACTCGATCATGAATCGTCCGGCGCCAATATTGCTCTCGGCAAAAAGACCATACTGGGGTGCTGGAGAATGAGGCGATTTTGACGAATGCAGGATATGCTTAACGACAGTCTTCATCAGGGGTCGAGCCAGAGATTCCCGTTCCATCGAGACGACATTAGACGCGTCAGCGGTGGTGGTCGACAACAGGGGCGAGGGCTGTGTCTGAGTTCCGAGTGTTGTCAAGGAAAGATCGGGGCTTTCCGGTATGGACGGGGTGGCGCTATTGGTGCCATTGATTGTCGAGGGGTTGGAAGCGACGAGTTCTTGAAGTTTGACTCCCGATGTGAGCGAGAGGGAGCGCTTCCTCGACTGCGCCTGCCGAAACTGGGTGATGACTTGGCGAAAGAGCTCCTGGACGGCCTTGGAGGTGACAATATTCACCTCAACAGACGAAAACTCGAATTGGTAGGCATCGGGTCCGTCGTCCTGGCTATCGCTCTCCATATCCAGATCCTCGTCTTCGTTGGCGGTTACTGATGATATCCTGGGGTTGCTGTTGGGCGGTAGTCCTGAGGTTTTTTGTTTCGGGTGGTGGTGGTGGTGATGAATGTGTCCTGAGGAAGTTGTTGATGAATTCGATGGCTGGGCGTTGGAATTCTGACTGAGAGATCCTTGGTTCGACTGCTTAGAGGGGTTGGTGTTATTGCTGGTGCCATTCTTGGACTTTTTTCCATTAGCGTCCGGTTGAGAAGTCGAGGAGGAGGAGGTCTTGCCGTTACTGGTGCCGGAATTGGATGTCGTTGACTGGGAGTAATCCTTGGAGACTGAGTTGGAGGAAGAGGATGTGGGGAGGTTCGAGACGCCTGGTTCCGACACTCCGCTCCCAGATCCAAACTGTTTCCGCGGCCGGCCCACACTGGTTTTCCTCCGGGAAGGGGACTTTTCCCTCTTGCGTTCGATGGCTCCATTCCGCCTCCGCTGGATCTCTGCTGCTCTCTTCTTGTCCATGGGCCGCGGACTACAGAGTTCGCAAAGATACTTGTCTGGAACGTTGGAGTGGCCGATCCCAACACAGACGGCGTGCTGCCAGACAAAGCAGTTTTCGCACTGAATAGTAAAGCCGTCATCGTCAGTGAATCCGCAGATGCAGCGAATGATTCCAGCGTCCTCGTCGTCTGGTTCATTGTCTCCTGACTCGTCGTCGTCTTCTGCCGCTACAGCCGTCGTGTTGTGGTTGGTTGTGTTGGAGGTAGGGGTGGTAGAGGCAAGTCGGTTGAGGGCTTTGTTGGAGAGATTGGGGATGGACGGCGATGGCGCCGTTGCGCCCACTTTGGCGGACATGTGTGTGTGTTGTTGTTGATGTTGTTGGCTTTGTCGTTGGTATTGGACTGAAGACTCTATGTTGCAGAAAAGTCGTCGTCGTCGTAATCGTCGTCGTAATCGTAGTTGCGATCGTAGTGGCAATTGTGGTGAAGGGGGTCGCTTGGACGGTGGGTGACGTTTGGCTGGTTAGCTCCTTGCTTAGAGTAGTTCGATGCGGGTAGCATTCATGGTACGTCCAAGGGTGGTGATAGGAAAAAAGGACAGGATCGTATGCGACCGTCGGTGACAATTACAAAAGAAGAGGATCTATAAGCAAGGCGATGATGAAAGAGGCCGAGTTGGGGATGGAATGGGTCGTATTTGGAATGTTAGCTTTTTTCTTTGTGTTTTTTTGCGCGGTGACAGAAGGGGGGGGGAAGAGAGTGTGTTGACAACAGAGGGGCGTACTGTTGTTGTTTGTCAATAGGGAGAAAAGAGCGGTTGTTGCCTGCTGGTTGTTGGTTGTTTTTTGATTGGTATCCGGAGACAAAGCCTCGTACTTTTCCCGTGTATATTTTGTTTTGTGTCGATAGAAGAAGAGCGCGAGTGACAAAGTGGAAAGAGGGTGAGTGAAGAGGAGGAAGGGAAGAAGGGGTGTTGTTGACACTTGCTGGACTGGGAGGTGGTGGGATGATAGCAACTGTTGAGAAATAAGGATTGAGTAAGAAAGGGGGTTTTGCAGTTTTGCAAGACACTTTCCCACTCTGACTGTTTGAGTGTGTCAGCTCAGAGCAGCAGGGAAGAGAGTGAAAGAAAAAGAAAAAAGGAAGGGACAGAAGGGGACAGACAGACAGACAGGAGAAGGGGAGTGTGTGTTATTGTTGTGTGTTGTTGCCTCCCATCTCCCATACTCTTTCTTTGCTCATATGCACCACCCGCGCTCTTCTTCCCTCTCTCCCTCCTCTCTGTTCGGACATACAACAAAACAGCACACACACACAGAGAGAGGACGGAAACAAATGTTAGAGCCAACCAACCACTCAGTGGTCAACAATGTGTGAGTATGTTGCAAAATAAAATAAAATAAAATATTAAAAAAAAAGGCTCGCTTTGAAAGCTGGGACAGTAGTGTCCTTGTTGGTTGGCTAGGAGGTCGGTTGCGATGGAACGACCGAGAGATTAGCCTGATGGGGTGGTGGTGTTGCCGATGGTGTTGGTGTTGGTGTTGGCGATGAAAGTGGGAGGAGAGGAGAGTGGGTGTGTCAGCCTGTCAGTCAACTGCTTCTCCACTGATAGGACTAATTACAAACAAACAACGGCGACAGAAAAAAAAACAATAATAATAAAAAGCGAAGTGAGTGGTGTCCTTCGAGAGCCCTCTTTTTTGTTGTTGTTGCTGTTGTTATGCGCCATTAGGCTCAAATCGCCTCTTGTACTTGTTACTGGTTAGAACGCCCATTCAAAAGAAGGATTAATTACAGTAGAAATGATCGTGAAAGTGATGGCAACATGGGTGATTGCGCTCTTGAATCAAAAAAAAAAGGCGGTAACGACGATTGATTGAGAGTGGCGATGTCCCACTGAAGGCGATAATAACGAGCAAGGAAAGGCGGGTGAGAGATGTGATGATGTGTAAGGGTGACTTACGACAGGTGTGATCGCTGGCAGGGCGATGGCGTTAAGGACAAAGGGCGATGATAGTAGAAGGAAGAAGGATAGGTGGATGAATAGTGAATGGGAGTGGGAGTGAGGATGATGTGATTGGAATAAGTGATGAGTGAGGGGTGGAGTGGAGGATGGATGTAAGAGAGAGAGAGAGAGAGAGAGGAGAAAGAAAGTGAAGAAGAGGAGAAAGGGAGGAAGAGGGTAAAAAAGAGAATGCGAAGAAGGGAGAGGACTGGGATGAGAAAGAAGAGAAGCGATCGTGGGAGTGGTGAAGAGTGAAAGAGTGAGAGTAGAAAAACGAGTGAAAAGTAGAAGGGTAAAGTGAGGAGTCCAGCTGTGTGCAGGGAAGGAAGAAATCCGTGTAGGTGTGTGTGTCCGCGGGCACTCTGGCTCGTTACTCCGCTGTCACTCCTCCAGTGTTATTTCGCACAGTTGTCAATCAAACAAGCTCAATTCTTGAATCTCAAACAAGCTCTTTTTTTCATGTCATCTCAAGCATCAAAAAGCATGCAATGGATTGGAAACAAACCCCGAGTGCATGTATGCGGCAATGTTGTTCAGCTGTATGGAATAGTGGTGTGTGTGTGTATTGTGCTCTCTTCTCCTCTCTCTCGTCTTGTTAATTGCTTTGTCCTCAGCCTTAACTTTGGCTTTAGCCTCAGAGGTTCGTAGTCTAGCATGGCCCTTCGCACTATTTTCATAATGCATCTCACCCGCACAAAATATGGTCCGGTTGGAGAGCCATACACCATACACACATCATACATCGGATAATATTGCGTGCATGGCAATCATACTTCATCGCAACTGATTTTCATGCTGTGCAACACCCTCTCTTCTAGACCCTGTCTCTGATGACACCTACCTTATTAACGCCACCAAGTTGGAACCTTGCCTCCTTCTTCTGCCATCTACAAACACATGCTTATGGTAACATGGGACAGAGGAGACACTTCCTTGTGTCTTTGACTCCAGGCTTGCTCCTCCTGTTGACATCCCTACAGTTCGTATCTTTGCTGTTGTCTTTGGGTAAACTTTTTTTTAGGATACCATCAAACCCCAACATGGATCCTGCTTCAAAACAATAGTGGTTCACTCACCATTCTTGCTCATGACTCCTGATTATTATTTCCAGCAAACAATGACTCCTCCCTTTGTCGATGACGATGATGATCATGTTCTATCCTTGGATTGGTATGGAGGAGGAGTAAGCAAAGAAGAAGAAGAACAAAAGAAAGAAGGACGACGATGATGAAACGTTGGCTGTGTCGTTTTTTCTTTTTCCACGTGATGAATAACAAATGGATGTCCGCACGGCCTGAAAACCGCCCGACCGCTCTGACTGTCCTTGCCCTGGCTCTTTTTTTTTTTCTTTTTTTTTCTCTCTTGTCCCCTTTGTCCTGTGCCAAGCGAGAGAACGTTGTTTTTCTTTTTCCTTTTACCTTTTTTTTCTATTCCTTCCTTCCTGTTCTTTTTAGCCTTCTCTCTCCCTCCTCCTTCGATCATTACCACTACCGCTTTCCTTTTCAAGTTCACCTCCTCACCTTCCCTTTGCCACTCACCCACACACTCACTCACACCCCCACTCACACCGATCAACCACATTCACAAAAGCAGACCAGCAACTAACCATGGGTCCAACGATCATCCAGTCCAGGAAGCCCGAGTACCTTACGGCAGAGTGCATATCCTGCAACACCCCCGTCGAGTTCCTCATGCCCAAAACAACAGGCGAGATCATCTACATCGAGTGCTTCCAGTGCAAGCAAGTCCTCTCCATCGACATTCAATACCCACAGAAGGGCGCCACCGCTTCCTCTACCTCCTCCCCTTCTTCCACAGCCAACTCCTCGTCCAAGCCCAACGCATCCAATACCAAGAAGGACGCTCCCACTAAATCCAGAAAGAACGGCACCGGCACAGGTACTATTTCTCTTTCTCACTTGCGCTCAATACAAGTTATGCTAGAGCAACTGTGTGAGGAAGGAAAACTAATAGCTTTGGCCACTATTGTTATTGTTTCTTTGCTACACTCGGTCATAGATGCAAACCCCTTGGAGTCGGAATTGTACGATGTTTTGGGAGTGTCACCCACCGCCACCGCTTCAGAGATCAAAAAGAGCTACAGGACACTTGCCCTGCAGAACCATCCCGACAAGAATCCTGACCCTGAAGCGCACACTAGGGTAGGGCTAACTTTCACTGGAGCATATCAATGCTGCTGCTGTTATTGTTAAAGTATTGGACGGCCGTGGCCCGTTCTTACATTCATGGCTGGACAACATTACTCATCATTATCTCTTCCACACTTCTTTCACCATGCCAACAACAGTTCCAAAAGATTTCAGAGGCATACCAGATTCTATCGGAACCACAGTTGCGCTCCAACTACAACATGTATGGACAGAACAAGGATGTGTCTCCAGAGGGCGGCTTTGGTAAGTAACCTTTTTCTCATATTCGACAACTCTCTTGTGGCCTCATAACGATTGAAATGGTTCTATTTTGAAAGACGAATTCCTACTCTAACTACATATGCATATGGTTATATATCGTCTGAATAGTCAACCCGGAGTCATTCTTTAAAAAGCAGTTCGGAGGCGACCGATTTGTCGACATCATTGGAGAACTCTCGATTGGACGTGACATGCAGGATGCCCTCAACGAGAACGGTGAGGAAGAGGACGTCAGTCTGACACCCGAGGAGAAGGCTAAGCGAGATACAGCTGTCAACGAGGTCAAGGACAAGGCCAGGGAGGAAGCTCGCGCGGCTCGCGTTGACATGCTGGTCAAGAACTTGACACATAAGCTCAGCATTTACACCGACGGACCTTGTGACTACAATGCGGCCAAGGCCTATCAGGAGATGATGCGTTTGGAGGCCGAGGATTTGAAGGTGGAGAACTACGGAGTCGAGTTGCTGCATGCCATTGGATTCACCTACACCTTGAAGGCGAAGCAGTACCTTGGCAAGAACGAGATGATGGGTCTCGGAAGCTGGTTCCACGGTGTCCGCGAGAAGGGTCATATCTTGTCTGAGACTGTCTCAACCCTCCGTGCTGCCATGGATCTCCAGCAGAGCTTTACGCAGCTCCAGGAAGCCGAGAAGGTTGAGATGGACGACGCTGCCAAAAAGGTTCTTGAGGAGGCTGCAGCCTCCAAGGGAATCCGTGCCCTTTGGAAGGGATCTAAGCTTGAAGTTGAAGGTAAGAAAAGGGCATACGAGGAGGCGGTGAACAAAAAAAAAACAAGATCATCCAGGGACTAGAAAAAAAAGCATGTGATCGATGGAATGATGTTGACCCTTACTTACTCTTTTTTTTTTTGTTCATCCATCGAATTTATGTTGTAAAGGTGTCCTTCGTGAGGTGTGCGACAAGTGCTTGAGTGACCCAAGTGTGCCCAAGGCTACGCTGTTGAAGCGTGCAAGTGCACTCAAGATCGTCGGTGCTGTCTTTGAAGGAGTCAAGCCAGACAACGTTGACACTCAGCCCGCTGACAAGAAGGGCCAATGAGAGTAGGACATAGACTGACTGCCGGCTGAACCAAGTAGAGCTGTCGTAGGGTTGAGTTGGCTACTGTCACCATGTCGCATTCCTCTCTCTCTCTCTCGCTCTCTCTCTCTCTCTCTCCTGTCTGTTTCATTTTCATCACTCTTTAGAACACATGTCTCTCGATTCACTCAAATAATGTCTATTAAAAATGTAGCTCATTCGTCCGTCTGGAATTGTTTATGTTGTATTTTGTATTTCGTGGTCAGGCAGTCCAAGAGGTGCAGGCAGCAGCAGGAGCAGCAGCATTGAGCAAAGTGGTGATGGTATTCGCCACATGGCACCATGCTGCTGTCTACTTTGTTGTTTGTGTGTGTTTGAATTCAATGGACAAGATCTGTAATTGACAATTGAATGTGTGTTTTCTACTTTATCTTTTTTCTTCTATTTTTTTCTCTTGAGAATTCTCTTCTTCTTCTTGTGGATGGATCTCTTCCTATGTTTTCTTTTCTCTCTTTCCTTCTTCCCACTTCTTTTCCTCTCTTTTTTTATTTTATGTATCCCCCACACCCCCCTTCGCCCTTCATTGTCAGTCCCTTCCCTTGTCTCTCCCCTTCCTCCTCCTCCTCCTCCTCCTCCTCCTCCTCCTCCTCCTCGTCCTCCCTCCCTTCCTTGCCTTTCTTTTCCACCCCGAAACTCCACTTCCCCCTCCACACCCTCACACTCCTCCACCTTCTCCACTTTCACCACACTACCCCTTTCCGATGAATGCGCTGATTGCACTGGCAGTGTGGTGCCAGCCCCACGGACCAGTCACCATCCTCACGACCCAACACAGACGACCGCTCTCCTCCCGCATCACCACCTCCTCTCCTGGCAAGGACACCACTACCAAAACGACTTCTGAAAAGACCAATAACGACTTCAACTCGACCAGTAATAATACCACCAAGGCAGACACTCATCATCATCATACCCCAAGTCTCGCAGTGGACCCCTCAGCCCATCCCTCAGACGACCCACCTTCCCTATTATTATCCAACAGCAATAACAACAATAATGGTCAGAGCAATACAAACCATAGCAACAGCAACGGCGGGTCCTCGTCCACCTCCACCTCAAACTCATCACTCGATGTCACCGCAGCTGCACCCTCGACGACAACCACAACGACAGCAACGACAACAACGACTACTGCAACAGGGGCACTAGAGCAGAAAAGGTTTAGGCGCTCTCTCAACCAACCGTCGAACCCTGCAACCCTTATTCCAGGTGGTAGTGGTATCAATAGCAATGGCTGTGGCAGCAGCAATGGCAGCAACAACGGAAATGGTGGCAACAGCAGCCGATCAACCGGCCCTTCCTCATCTAGCCACCCCATGTCCCCCTCGACAATCACATCCACCTGTGAGTGTCAATTCAGTATTCCCAGTGGCGAAAAGTCACTTCACTCAGTCGATCCCGCCAACAGCGAGCTTTCGTACATTAGTCAACCCGTCCCAGTCGACACCAGTCTGTTTGCACCCATCCGAATCGCCTGCATCCGATCGTACGTTTCAACACCTTCTCGTCCTATTTGTTTTTTTCTTGCCTTTCGTTCTTGTCTGATAACCGCAATAATAACTATTGAGGCTAACAAATAGATCATCTTCTAACGTTTTTGCTATGTATTTCTCTCTCGCTCACTCGCTCACTATTTAATCCGTCTCAATCTCTCTCGCTCTCTCTCTCCCGCTGCTGCCGATGGGGAGGACAGACTCAACTCGGAAACGTACTGCGGTCGGGAAGGCTCAGTGTTCTTTGGCGACGGCGTGAACGGCTATGTGCTCTCGTACATGTTTACAGTGTTTGACGCGCAGTCACGAGGGCACCGTGTGAAGTACACCATCATGACCATGATGACCGACCGCGTCTATCTCGTCGCCAGCATGGAGTACTTGATCAGGTATGGCACCATCATCGATCGAGGGACGGACTAAGGAGGAGCAATTGCAATTGAACCAAAACCCCTTCCTCCCCTTTTTCGCTCACTTTTGGACCAAAGAGGATGATGCTGTCTGATGCTGTTGTCCTCTTGGAAGTACTGGTTTTTTTTAACGTTTTCCTTCTCTCTTTGCTCGCACGCTCTCTCTATCACGTTGCTATTCTGTATCGCAATTTAGTCAGTTTCAGATCATCGCCTCCAATCTCCAGTCCATGGCCAACGCTCTCTGTCCCCAAGTCCAGTCGCCGGCACCTCGATCCATGTCATACTCCTCGTCAAGCCGTCGTGGAACTATCATGCCCGAGAGTAAGCCCCCTCCCTCCTTTCTCAATTGCATTTTGATCGCGATGGTCAGTAGGATATCACGCTGATAAACAGATGACCTCTTATTGGTGTAATTACCATTGACGCCTGTCTACTTTAGATGCACCAACAAAACGAGGGAGACCCTTGACAGATGTATTAGCCAAGCCCGACATATTTGTTCAATTGCATGCAGCCTTTGTGTCCGTGCTAAGTCACTGTAGCCAGCGCCTCACAGAACGGCACATCCACGGACGACCTCATGTAAGCCTCTCTCAGCTCGTTTAATATTCTCCGTGCTGCAGTGCTACTTAATTCACTCTTTGCCAACATACATATGCTAACGTAACTGACTCTCCTTGCGACTCTCCAATTGCATGGTATAGAACGAATGTACATTACTGGAACGGAATCAGGCATGGGAAGCAGGAGCGAACGGCGGTGGCGAGAATGAAGCACAGACCATCGAGTCCTTACGGGAACTGCGGCGTGTCCTCGGAAGAAGGCAATTCAATCGCCTGATCTGGAACAGTCTTGTGGGGAACCAAGTCATTATTCGAGGAGAGGAGTCAAAAATAGTCCGCGAAGTCATCAAATCGCTAGAGGTAAGAAGCATCTTGTTTTTTTCAAGATAACGATGCGATTATCGGGGCACAGACATCTTGCCCATCACAGAAAGACGGCTTGACTAACGACCTGCTCGATATGATACGTATCAACCCCATGTAGGACATTCTGCCAAAGGACTGCTGTACAATTATCATGGATGGATCAAGCTATGAGCCAAGTTACGCATGCAATATTCTTGGACTGGATCGCTCTATCCCAATACCACCAGACATGGACCCACAGGATTTCATTTTACTGGACATTTGCACCAAATCTCTTACTCAGCCTATTGCAACTCCTCCTACCTCACTACCGGCAGATCGCAAAAAGGGACAATCGAACTCTCAAACACATATTTATCAGGCGGACTGGTCGACTACCACTCTGGTGGCAGATCTGAAGGAAATGGCGACTGTGCTGGAAAAGATCCCGGTGGATGCCAAGGGTCAGAATGGACAAAAGACAGCAGAGAGTTCTCCTCGCCCTCCAAATTCATCTCCTGGTTTATTGTATTCACCTGGTGGTGGATTCCAGGCACAGCGAAGACAGTACCTGTTGCAAGCCGGTGAAGAACCACCCGAGGCATTGGATATGCCGGAGACAGATATGCTCGTCAAGGATGCTGTTGCTCTAGGACAAGGACAGGGGGAAGTACAGACGGGTCTGCCCGGAGGTCGGGCGTCTACTTCACAGAGGCAATCGCATCCTTTATATATCGAGACCGTCAACGACATTCTTGATTATAGGATGCCTCGTCTTATCGAAGCCAAGCGCCTCGCCGTCCTTCGCGAGGAGTGGATCAGGTACATTTTACCACTCCTTTATGGTCCTTTGTTTTGCGTGCGGCCAACGTTCGTTCACTAAAGCATATTTTTTTTCTCACTTTGGACTAATAGCAAAGCACGACAGTTCCATAACTTGTACAAGTCGGGATTTACATCGGACGAGACGGTGATTCATCGATTCCTGCAGTCGATGGGCGTAAACCAGCGTGATCTCAAGATTCTCCGTTTCTTTACCCGCTGTGCCCGAAAGATCCTCTAGTCTTTGACATAAACAAATAATCTTGTCTCCCTCCTTCGTTTTGAATATTTTGCGCAGTATGTATGCATGCAAGCATTGGAAGAGATACATAGATGGAAGATGATGGATGAGGGGGGGAATAAAAAAAAATGCGTTCGGTTGCATTGCATGGTTATGTTTGTGAGCTTGGTTGATAAAGATAAGTAAGAGGGGAGATGTAGCCGAGAAGACGAGGCGTTCCTTCCATTGTTTAAAAGGACACCAGATTGAACGGAAATCTTCTTCTTGCGACTACCGATCTGCGGACTCCAAAGGGATCAATTACACATCCCCCTAGACATACGTATCAGTTTCGCGTCGAAAGTTAAAGATTTTCCTCACGGCTGCGTGACGGGTTCAGGTTTTGTAGTCGGGCAAGTGTGGACTGGAGAGTGGGTAGAGCTGTTGGTGTTTTGAGGGTGATTTCGGAGTTGAGATTCATGGGGGTGATCCACAGGAGGACAAAAAGAAGATTTGAAGGAGGTTGATAACCTGTGATGAGGAGGTGCAATTGAGAAGTAGGATTTCGCAGTCCTGCCCTGACTGACCTTCACGCCTTTTTGGTGGCCAACAGACCCTTCTCTTTCAACAACTCCATCCCACCGCCTTGTCCAGAACACCAGGAAGAATAAGCCTACGCGCGACAAGGAAGAACCAAGCAACAGAGCTAGGACAGGATACCAAGAGAAACACACACGCTGAACACCACCCACATCAGACGAAAAGAGAAAAAAAAAAGGCGACAATATGAATCAGGTCACCAAGTTTGACGGAACCCATGAGGATCTCATCCACGACGTTGCCTTCAATTACTACGGCAACCGCCTCGGTAAAGCCTTCATTTTTCTTTTGCTGGAGACGGAGCAAGAACGTGGAAGAATAGCAACAAGAGGAATCGCTAACACTTTTTTTTTTTTCTGTTTGCGATGGATTGTTGCTGGAATTGTAGCGACATGCTCATCGGACCAGAGGATCAAGATCTGGGACTATAACGAAGGAGAGGGTATCTGGGAGTCCAGCATTTCCTTCAAGGCAAGTGCACTTCAATCATTTAACACCTTCCAGCCTATCTGGTTCAAGGACCCACATTGGCAGTAATTCTTATTCTCAATGCCCTATTTACCATTTTTTTCACATTTTTCTAATAGGCACACTCGTGCGCAGTATTAAAGACATCGTGGGCGCACCCAGAATACGGCCAGGTCCTGGCGTCGTGTTCCTTTGACCGCAGTGTTATTGTCTGGGAGGAAAGCTACCTCGGTAAAAACAACAATTACTGGATACTTGGCGCGGATCTAATTTTTCTCAATTGTTAAAATGACCTGACTAACCGAATGTATTTTCTATTTTTCTTCTTTAGACGCAATGAAGAAGTGGACACCGGTTGCGACGTTGAGAGATGGCAATGGAACTGTACAGGATGTTGAATTCGCACCCAACCACTTGGGCCTTCGTCTGGTAAGTGGGAAACCCTTGACCTTTTGACGCAGTTGATTTGCGAAAGCTGAAATACACAGCAAATTAACGCCATTTTTTTTTCTTGTCTTTCCTAAAGGCGATTGTGGCAGCAGACGGATTGGTCAAGATTTACGAGGCGATGGATGTTACAAGCTTGGCACACTGGACCATGATCGACTCATTCCCCGTCGGAGAGGGCCCTAGCAAGGATGAAGAAGGCAACCACTGCCTCTCCTGGTCAACCTCGAAATTCACCTCTCAAATGATGGTCGTCGGATGTGCAAAGGACCATGTGGCCAAGATTTTCCGTCAGGATCATAACAACAAGTGGCAGGCCTGTGAGGTCCTTGGAGGACACGGTGGAGTGGTTCATGATGTGAGTTGGGCACCCAACATGGGCAGGAGTTATAACCTGATTGCAACGGCTTGCAAGGATGGACATGTGAGGATATTCAAGTTGACGGATGATAGTCAGGGTGGTGCTCTGACGGGGGGTTGGTCGAGAAAGATGTTCAATGTTACGTGCATTGCGGATTTTGCGGACCATAACGCAGAGGTGTGGAGGGTTGAGTGGAATGTAACGGGGACGATCTTGTCCTCCTCTGGCGACGACGGCAAAGTCCGTCTCTGGAAAGGTATGTCTTTACTTGTTTGTTGTTTTGTTGGTTTGATTGTCATTATTCTGTTCGATTGCTCAATGCTAATCAATATGGTTTCATTCATTTGTGATGATGTTAGCAACGTACACGGGAGACTGGAAGTGCATGAGTGTTGTCTCTGCAGAGGAAGGGCCCAGCGGCTTCCAGCGATAGAGTTGTTGGTGTAAAAGGAGAGTGGCGCCTGTTTATAGATAGAATGGGGAGCACTAGAGTTGTGGAGTGCGGTTGAAACAATGAACAATGAACGAGTGAAAACGATTAGACAAAGACGTGAAGAATATGCTTCCTGTCCCTTCCGAAGGCATGTCTACAGATATATCCTGGCTCACGCTTCTCTATGTGCCAGTGTCGATTGATCTCTGTTTGTTGGGTCCATGTCCTTCACCTATATCCATACAAACTGAATAAGGTTGCTCCACACGGGCGATGGAAATTAAAAAAGAGTCTTGAGTCCTGAGTGCGAGTGTGTGTGCGAGTATGTGTGTGTGAGTAAAGAGAAAAAAAGCCGTCCTCCCTTGACCCATTCCACCGAGTCGCCTTTAAAAAAAAATCGCTTCCGGGCTCCGACAAAAAAAGGGGAGCATCTTCTCTTTTGCATGGGCCTAGCACGGTACTCTTCAACTTTCACTTTTTATTCGTTCGATCCACACGCTCTCTTCTTTTTCTTGCTTCTTTCCCCTCCCTCTTCCTTCTCTTCTTCTTTCCTTACTTCTCTCTCTTTCTCTCTCTCTCTCATCTCCACTCTTCTCCTTCACCCTCCCCACTCTCCTCCCTCCACCCCGACACTTATAAACAAACATGCTGTCCGCACTCAAGTTCGCAAAGGCCCTCCCCGCCTCAACCTTTGCCCGCTCTACCGCTCAGCGCGCCTACTCTGCCGCCGCCACCGGCGAGGTAACCCTTCCTATTCTTTCTTCTGGGGGTTTTTTTTTGTTCTTCTGGCGAAGGAGTACACGGGAAAGAGAGAAAAGGAAAACTGATTGGTGAATGCAGAACTGACAGGAGTGAGGAATGAATGTGTTTATGGCGGTTGGTGCCATGGGAAAAGCCTAAAACCCCGGCCTTCAGGAACGGAGTCCAAGAAGTGACCAGTCCACTTTCTTTGTGAGAAAAAAAATATCAGCGTCCATGGACTCTTAACGAACGCTCAACGAACAACAACACTCTTACTAGAATGCTAACCAACCCCAATGCTCTCTCTTTCTCTCTCTTTCTCTCTCTTGTAACATTTCACATGTGCAAATAAATAGGCTTTGAAGAAGACCGTCCTCCACGATTACCACGTCGAGAACGGCGGAAAGATGGTTCCCTTTGCAGGATGGTCGATGCCCGTCCAGTACTCGAACCTCGGTGTCGGTGCCTCCCACAACTGGACCCGTAGCAACGCCTCTGTCTTTGATGTCTCCCACATGTTGGCCACCAGGTACGTTTTTTTCTCTCGATAATGGGTTTGATTTGTGGATGATGGAGAGGCGCGGGTGATTTTTGTAACGATTCCTCCGTATTCTCAGCAGATCAATTGAAAAAGAAGGAGGAAAGAAACGTTCCAGCGGGAAAGAAAAGGTATCAACTGTCCTAACAAATCCCTTTCTCTCCCATCTTCTTCCTTCTCTCCCTCTGCTCATCCCAACCGCCTCACAGAATCACCGGAAAGGACCGTGTCAAGTTCTACGAATCCATCACGGTCGCCGACATTGAGAACCTCCCCGTTGGCAGCTCAACCCTCTCGGTCTTCACCAACGAGAACGGCGGCATTATCGACGACACCATCATCTGCAAACACCAGGACTCGCTCTACGTCGTCTCGAACGCCGGCTGTGCCGATAAGGATCTGGCCCATATCCGTCCTCTCCTCAAGGCCTTTCAGAACAAGGGTGGCGATGTTGATCTGAAGATCATTGAGGACCACCAGCTCATTGCTATTCAGGGCCCCAAGGCTGCTGCTGTTATTGAGGAGCTTGTTGGAAAGAGCTTGCAGGATTTCCGTTTCATGGATGGTCGGTTCATGACTATCAAGGGCATTGAGTGCCATGTCGCTCGTTCCGGATACACCGGCGAGGACGGTTTCGAGGTACTTTTTTGAAGATTTCTTTGTCAGTGCGTTGCATGGAAGTGAATCGACATGACAACAGAGTAGCAACACTAACTTTCTCTCCCCCAATGTTACCCTCGATGATAGATCTCGGTCCCCAACTCGGATGCAGTCGAGTTCACAAAGTTGTTGATCGCCGACCCCCGCGTGGAGCTCGCAGGATTGGGCGCCCGCGACAGTTTGCGCTTGGAGGCCGGTCTGTGCCTGTACGGCAACGACCTCGACGAGACCACAACCCCCATCGAGGCCGGTCTCACCTGGACCATTGGCAAGCGCCGCCGTGCCGAGGGTGGATTCCTCGGTGCCGAGAAGATTCAGGACCAGCTCAAGAACGGTGTCACCCGTCGTCGTATTGGTTTGGTCGTCCAGGGTGCCCCCGCTCGTGAGGGTGCTCCTATTTACGCCAACGGCGAGCTTGTTGGAAAGGTGACTTCTGGATGCCCCTCGCCCTCGACCAAGAAGAACGTTGCGATGGGTTATGTCAAGAATGGTGTCCACAAGTCGGGCACTGAGTTGGAGGTTGAGGTCCGTGGCCGTAAGCAGAAGGCTGTTGTTACCAAGATGCCCTTTGTCCCTGCCGGTTACCACAAGGTCTAAAGCGGTCTTTTTTGACCCCCCCTCCTTCTCGTGCTTACTTTTAACGACACCATTTTTCTTAACACTTTTCATTACTTTTCGTTCCAACATAAAAATATCATCCATGTACATTCAACATCCCATTTTCACGTTTTTGCCATAGAAAACCTCTCAATAATATTTTCTTCTTCAACAGAACAAACCCAAAACCTCCCAAAAACCAATAGTTGTATGCTAAATAAGCGATCTGAAATTAATCGCGATATGAGGAAGAAAAGGGCGCGAAGACGCGACAGAGGAAATCAAACTCCTTGATAGATGTCACCTCTGGTGGAGGAAGAGCTGACGTAGGTCCCGAGGCCCAGGTCCCAAGACGCGGCGACCCTCTCCCACATATCCATGTCCATGTCCACCGAAGCCTTGGTCAGAGGTTTGTGGTTGACGCTCAGGGAACGGTACTGATACTGTCCCTTGGGCTTCACGGTGGAAGGTGCTGGCGTCGATGGTGAGGTAGGGTTGTTATACCGCGCGGTGGCTCGCTGCTCGAAGATGTCATCGTTATATTGCTGCTGGAAATGCTCTTCCATCTCGATGTCTTCGCCCTCTTCCTCTGCACTGTCCGTATCCAGGTAGCTCTCCGCATAATCATCCTCATCCACATCATCTTCATACTCATCGCCAACACCATACTCGTACGCCTTCTCCTGCTCCTGCTCCACAGCATCGTCCCTCTGAGCCTTTCTTAAGACTCTGCAACGATCCAAGAGATAAGTACAAAACTGCCACAACAGAAACTGGTGGCGATCATTATAGTAATGACGCCATGATCGGATCCAATACAGACCCCAGTGGAAACAGACGATCCCCATAAAGAGGTGGATGAAGGAGACTGTTGGGAGCCTCCACCTTTCACAGATGATCGTTATCACCACTGACGCGACCATCGGGATCACTATCGGAGTGTAGAGGTATAAAGGGGGGTGTCGTTAATGAGGTGTTCGGACGGTACCTGAAAAATACGAAAGCTGTTGTTGGTGACATATGGACTTGCGCGCTGTTCGGAGACCGTGGATCAGGGTCAAAACTGTTATGACCGCAAAAAACAACAGCATAAATTCTGACCCCATCCGCGAGACCATCAGCCCTCCTCCTCCTCCTCCTCCTCCTCGAACACCCCCTCCTTCGATCAAGACAGACTGGCTCTCAAGAACTCTCCTAACAACACCCCAAGTGCCCAAAAGTGGTCTAACCCTTCCCAAAGCATCCTCCTGGTTCCTCCAAAACTCCTCCAAATCCCGACTCAATCTTTCGACATTCTCCGTTGACTCCCTCGCCATCTGCCCAATCTCATCCACAGTTTCCCTCATTGCCTCCGCAACATCGGTCCGGAACCCGGTCATGGTAGTCTCAGTATCGTCTTTGATGGTGTCGAGGATTGAAGACCAGGCAGTGTGGGTTTGGGACGAGAGAGTGTGGAGGGATTGGAGGGTTGAGTGGAGGAGCTGTTGGGTGGAGATGTCGATTTTTTGGGTCCCGGTGATGTGGAGGTCTAGGAGGTGTGTTGTTGATTCGTGAGAGAGGTGTGTGAGGTTTTGAAGGTGGACTTCGAGGACGCCGGCTTGCTGGGTGATTGAGTCGATTGCTTCGTTTGAGTGTGCGATCTTGGCCTGCGAGTAGAGGGAGGAGAGAAGGAGGGGGGATGTGGTTGTTAGAAAAGGTTGGGTATAGTTGGGGGGTTTTTTGGTACTTTTGCGAGTGGAGGCAAAGGGGGTGGTGTTGGCTGTTGTTGAACTTACGATGGTGTCTTGATTCAGGCGGTCGATTTCTTGTACGCGAGATAGTCCGCGTTCCAATGAATCGTCCCAATGGCGCATCGACTGGGATATTGACGCCAGTGTCTGTACCATATAGCGTGCAATAATAAAGAAAAAATTAGAACGATGAAAACCAATGCGTCCATTTCGTTTGTAGTAACTAGATCAACGGGAATGACAGTGAAACATAGGGTTACCGAGTGAACGATGTTTTGGTACTCTGCCAGGATCCTGGCGTTGGATTCTTGGGTCGTCGTGAGAGCTTCGCTCTGTTGAAGCGCTCCTCGTTCGAGGGACTGGGTCAATTTCGAGACTTCCTCTGTCACCGACCGCAACGCGTCCTTCAATGCACCCGCAGAGTTCTTTAAAAAAAAAGGTTGAAGGTATCACAGAACACTGGTTAGATAATTTCTTGGCTAAGACGGTACAGTATCCAGAGCAAGGAAGGGCGTGAGGCGATTACCAGCATGGAGTTGACTTCGGCGGCGATCGTGGAATGGAGGTCCGAGAGTTGTTTGAGGTGCTCAGTCCCGAGTCGATTAATCTCTTTCAGAACTCTCTGCTGTTCATTTAGGAGCCTGATCTGGTCCGAGTGTGTCCTGCTCAAGTTCCTCTGTAGGCTCCTCAGCTCACCTGCATTGATTTGTCAAAACTGAACGATTAGATGTGTTGCATTGGTGGTGGTATGAGCGTCATATCTCAATGTTAACAAGTAAAGTCATGTGTCTCACCATGCTCGAGTGAGTGCCGGGCTGCAAGGCACATCACCTTGACTTCTCGAAAGTAACCCGAGTATGAAGTCCACAGCTGAGGCACACGACCCAGCGATCTAAAAAAAAGGGGGTGACAGAACAATGTCCGCACGTTAGTTTCGAAGCTAACAAACAAAAAACGTGTGGTCCCAAATTACGGTCGAGTATGCAGGGGTCCTGACACTTACTGAACACAGCGCGAGATGTCATTAGTGGTTGGCTGTTTGTTTGGGTCACTCTCTGCAGAGGCGAGGGAGTGACATTCCTGCGGGATGGGCATATTTGCCGTTGCAATCTCACATGCCGTCAACCGAATCGCATCTAATTCATGGGATATGCATACACAGAAAAGAATCGCGTTAGAAAGAAAATAAGGCATGGGCGTACCACCAACTTTGTGCAAACCAGTCTCTTAGAGGTTACTTTACAGCGCGTTTTCTCGTCTTCATCGATATCGATGCTCTTGCAGCCCTGTCGCAGTGCCCGTGCTGCATCCTTGAAGCAGTCCGGCTTGGAGTCGTATGCCTTCAGCGCATCTGCTCATACATAAACGCAGAGGGTGTCAGTCATATCCCTTACTCCTTTTGTTGCAGCATCGTAACTCTGCCAAACAAAACAAGTGCTGGTAAGGGTACCTGTTGCGTGCTGGAGGGTGTTCATCTCCTCGAGAGAAACGATATCGTCCCTAGCAAACGAGTCTTGTTGTAAGTATTCGTTAACCCCATCGTCCCATCCTTTGCCCGTTGATCGGAGGATTCCTTTATGCCTGCATATACTTTTCTGTTTAGTACCATACGAGGTTTGATCATTGCTGTCGCGAACATCAGGCTTGGCGTGCTGTTGCTGCGGTCGTTGTTGTGACCAAAAGGCGTGTGAGAGTGAGGACAGGGTTGCAAGTAGGAGTAGTGTTGCGAGCAAACACACGATGCGGTGAAATGGAGGCGTCTGCATCCTGTGTTCTTTGCGTTTGTTTTCGATGGTGGTTAAGAAAGGAAGAAGGAAAGGAAGAGAATTAAACTCGCGTGAACAAAAAGGGTCATGAGAAAACAATGTCGATTTTTGCTATTTTATTCGTCTTCACCTTCGCATCACCTCTCCTCTTTCTCCCACTCCACTCCACTTCCTCTTCACTCAACTCAGGGTAGACCTCACACAACCATACACTCCTCCTCTCTCTTCAAAGCCAACTCACTCTGCACACACACACACAACCAACGATGGCCTCGGATATCTGCTTCCTTCACTTTCGCATCCACGACTCTACCCTTTCATCCACCTCAACCGCCTCAGCAACCTCCTTCTCAGCTAGCAACAATGAAAACATCGACTCCTCAGCTCGACAGAGTTCAAACGATGCCAAAGCAGGAGGTCTGCAAGAATGGCTTTGTCAGCTCTCGATCGTTGACGACAAAACGACCATCCGTGGCCTGCTTGGCCCCCTTGTTGACCCTGAGCGCAAGAAGGCTGCCGTCTTGGCCTCTTGCTGCACATTCCAGGTCGCTACTGTGCCCCGGACCACTCCTGTAGGTGCTAATATTACGCAGGAACAGCAAGCACATGGTCCTGCAAGCAACAAGAACAACAACAACAACAACAACAACAACAACAACAACAACAACGCACGGGTGCTGTATGCCAAGACCATCCAGAGTGAGGATCTCTTTGGCCAGGGAGTCGAATGTATGTGTCCGCGATGATTTCATATGACTTGGGTGTGTGAAACCATCAGCATTGATCATGGCGATTAAACTCACTCTCTCACTCTTATGGTTTAACCAATACAAAGTACTTACTAACACCCATGCATACTCCCTACTGTGTGTATCTCCTCCAGTCTACGTAGACAGACAGGATGTGCTGGTGGATCGCCACTACTACGAGTTCACTCTCATCCTGTCATCGCTGCTCATCAAACTACTCGGCCCTCCCGACGGACCCCAGGACACTCACACCCTCGCCCTCTCTGAATCAGACCCCGTCGCCCGCAACGTCGACCCCCTCGTCGAAATGATGACCCAGTTCCACCAACACAGCCCCACCGCAGATGTCGAATGCCGCTTCATCGACCGCAATGGTCACGTCCGGCTCTATGTCCGCGCCCATCAGGCAATCCTCTCCATCTACCCAACCTTCTCCGAAAAGATGGCCCAGGCACAGTCAAACCCCTACTTGCGATCCAAGAACACGGTCGTCGTCCTCCAGATGCCTGTCGAGGACTGTGCTGCTTTTCAGAGAATGCTCGAGTTTATCTATTCAGGAAAACTGCCGATGGAGGCTTTCAACCCGAGGGATAACGAGCAGTGGAAGAAGGCGTTTGATCTTGCCAAGGAGTTCGGACTCGACAGGAGCCTCAACTCTATGCCTTGGATGGATTGGCATCTTCAAGAACTAAAGCAAGTCTTGACAGAGGAGAATGTGTTGGAGATTTACTTTGCTTGGGGGTATGCGCACGAGGATGTGATGAGACTATGTGTTGACCATGTGGCTGAACGACAGCATGTTCAATACCAAGGAAAGGAGTTCAACTCGGCGGTTCTGGATATGATCAAGGGTCGGTTCATGGGCAAGCCGGGATGTCGAGAGTTTCAGGATGCGTTTGTCACCAGAGGCTGGGGTTTATACGCGAACCAGCAGCAACAGCAGATGAATCAAAGAGATCATGCGATGAGCTCTCCTCCTATCCGCCCTCGACAGCAACCGATGATGCATCAGCATCAGCAACAGCGCCAACGCCAACGGCAAGGTCGATTTTGATCCAAAGGGTCATTTTGTCTGTGTGGTGAGTTTTACACTCGAAACAAACACAACTCCATTGCTTTTCCTTCCTTTTGTTACCGACACCCTCTCATCCTATTCACAGACCTGACACCAAAATGCTACCGCACCTACACCTCTCTTTCGCATGCTTTTCAGATTCGTTTTTGCGCCTGTTAGCAGCTGTCATCTCGTTGGGTAGCCAATGAATAAAGGACAATTCAGTTTGACCCGCCGTCTTGGACAGACTTTGGTTTCATAGCTGTTCCTGGCTATGTCAAACAAACAAAACAACGGAGGAAGGAATGTCCAAAAGAAGCGTTTGAAAAGGCTATATGGGGTAACAGAGACACGGAAAGAAAGTGATGTAAGAGGGGAGTGGGGAAGGGTAGACAAACAATGGCCAGGGGGAGGGCGACTGAGTGTGTCTGCGTCTGTTTGTTTACATGAGTTACAAGGACAAAACAACCCCGGCATCCTAAAAGGAGGGAGAGAGAGATTTAACTTCTAATTTGAATAACTGATAAAGCATGGACCACCCCAGTGATCAAAAGCAAAACAAAGGGTACGAGATAAGATCCTTGTCCCATTGCTCCTTCATCTCTTCCTTTCACCCATTTCCTGTTTCCCCTCCACATTGGCACTGTATGTTTCTCTCTGTCGCTCCATTTCCTTCCCCTTGTTACTCCCTTCCTTTACTCATTGGCAAAAAGAAAAGAAAAAAAAAGAAAAGAGAAGAGGAGAGAATACCTCTTGGAAGACAACAGAAAGAAGGAAGGGAAACTGTATTGGGGAATTGACACTGGTCGAGCAGGACCTATTGTACTCTGCGCGGGAAGAGTGTGTGCATGAAGAGGGGGCAGATGTAGATGGTGTCTCACGCACCAATGGGAAGATCATCATTATTGTCGGATGAAGAGTGATATGTTTCAGTGATCAAGATCGGATCACAAACAACTTTCATTTAAATGAGGCTGGGTTCACCTGTCCTCTTTCCTCACTTTTTTTTTCCATCATCAACATCTTTAACCAAACAAAACAACTCCTCCCTTCCTTCCTTCCTTCTCTCACTCCCATCACATACACATCCACATCATACACATACTCACATACACAAACAAAATATGTCTGCATTCCAGGAAGCACTCAGTCAATTCATCCTCTCAAAGGACCAACTCCAAAAAATCGTTGACGGCATGACCCAGGAATTCATCGAAGGCCTCTCAACCACCGACCCCAAGAACATCACCCAACAACCCTCCTTCATCACTCGTCTCCCCACCGGCCAAGAGACCGGTCTCTACCTCGCCATCGACATGGGCGGCACTAACCTCCGTACCGCTGCTGTTCATCTTTTGGGTGACGGTAAAGTCGGTGTCACGATAGAGAAGCATGAAATTACTCAGGAGTTGAAGACCGGGACGGGCGAGGCTATGTTTGACTGGATTGCTGATTGTACTGCGTCGTTGTTGAAGACTGTTGCAGTCGATATGGGGAATGCGGATCTCCACATGGGTGTCACCTTCTCCTTTGCCCTCCAGTAAGTTTTTTCTTTTTCTTTTTCGTTTGTAACCAATTTTTTGCCTATTGGTTGTTTGTTCCTGCAGAAGAAAAAAATAATAATAACGCAGAGCCTTCCTCTTTACTCCCATTCCCTACCAACCGATTAGCCAGACGGCGGTAAACAGAGGAAAGGTCCTGGCGATGGGTAAGGGTTTCGATCTCTCAGGTGTGATGGGCAAGGACCTGAAGGATCTCCTCGAGACCGGGTTCGCCCGCAAGAACCTCCCCGTGACAGTCTCGGCCATCATCAACGACACCGTCGGCACCTTAGTCTCGCACGCCTACATCTCGCCCTCGACCAAGATCGGCGTCATCCTTGCCACAGGCACCAACGCCGCTTACATCGAGCGCGCGGCCGAGGTCTCCAAATATACCGGCCCCGCCTGTGGCCAGATGATCCTCAACACCGAATGGGATGCCATGGGTAAAGCTTCGTACTTGCCCCAGACCAAATACGACAAGGAAATTGACGCTGTTTCCTTGGTCCCTGGGTTCCAGGAGTTTGAAAAGATGGTTTCGGGTCTGTACATGGGTGAGATCTTCCGTCTGGCGCTCGTGGATCTGATTGAGCAAAAGGCCATCTTCGAGTCTTCTCTGAACGGAAAAGTCCCCGAGTCCCTCCTCCCGACCAAGGCATTCAAGACCCTGTTCATGTCAACGATCGAGTCTGACAGTAGCGCCGACCACCAGGCAATCGACAAGGTCTTCAAGACCGCCTTTGGAATCGACGGTCTCACGTCCGAGGACCGCACCAAGATCTTTTCTCTCGTCCACGCGGTCGGCCAACACTCTGCTGCCATGACCGCTGCCGCTTGCGCCGCCCTCCTCTACAAGGCCAATGGTGGCTCTGTCCAACTTGATGCCGTCAACGAGATTACGACTATTGGAATTGATGGGTCTGTGTTTGAAAAGTACCCGCAGTTCTCGCAGAAGATGATGAAGGAGCTGACCAAGATTTTGGGAGAGGATCGTGCTTCGAGGATTCGTCTTGAGCTTGCTCGGGATGGTGGTAGTATTGGTGCTGCCCTTGTTGCTATGATCTCTCACAGCGGTGGAGCCATCTAGGTGTATTCTTTTTAGCCTCCCTTTCCCTTGATTCAAACTTGTACATTACCATATCCCAAATAAATAGTATGCAACATATCTTTTATGTAGGTCTGCTAACAAGCAAATCGATGTCACGAAGGGAGGTGAGGATATGAGGAAAAAAAAGTCGAGGTCGAGGAGCACAATCGTCCCCTCCCTGTTCGCATAGATCCACAAAGGAAAAAAGGCAAACCAGGGGTCATGTCCAATTGACCGTGGCCAATACGAAAAATCAAACCATACAACCAAAAAAAAAAAAAAAAAAAAAAAAAAAAAAAGGGCAAAAGCAAAAGCAAGTGTACATTTTCACAATGAAGTCATTTGGAAGTAAAAAAAGGACTACAGACCAAACTATTCAATGTGCCATCCACCAGTTCTAGTCCAGTCCGGAACTTGGTTCTGCACAACAATTATTGCTGCTCTTCTTAGCTTAAAGGGGAGACAAAATAAAATCAGACGCGAATAATGTGTATTCCTCCCATCTTCTCCATCATTGATAACCTCCTCCTTCCTAACACACTCTCCAACAACCGCTTGTTAGCAGCTCGTGGGTCCTTGGTCGCTCCAGGGCGCCTTCTTTCATCATGTGTGGCTAGCGAAGCGCCACACGGGTAGAAACCATCGTGCGTGATGTAACCGTATCCTTGACTCCTGTCGCCTCGGAGGCCTGTGTACTTGGATGTCATGTCCTTGGCAGAGATGCCATGGGTCAGTTCCCACGTGATCGTCTTGGAGCACAGAGGTTTCTAGATTAGCTCTGAGGCCTTCGTCTCCAGGTAGCCAACAAAACTTGTGCAGGAAAAAAAAAAAAAAAAAAAAAAGGGCGAAGTTCAGGCACGGCCTTCTTCGACATCACATGACCTGATTAAGGGTCACGTGGATAAGCCGTCAACTGATAAGGCACAAAAAATTGCCGCAGAAAAAGCCCGGCTAACTCAATCGGTAGAGTGTCAGACTTTTAATCTGAAAGTTGCGGGTTCGACCCCCGCGTTGGGCGATAATACCATTTCTTTTTTTTGTTTTGCTCGGGCGAAGCAAGAGGAAGGGAAAGGAGGAGGAGGAGTGACTTACTTTTGTGGTTGTCGTTAGTTGTTCTTTGAAAGGGAGGCAGCGTAGCATTTTGTTTTTTGTGAGAGGGGTGCGCGGAGGGATGAAAAAAAAAAAAAGGTGAGCAGCAAATGTAGAAAACCTTATGAGTAAGGATGAGATCCTGCCTTCAATCTCCTTAGTGCCTGAATATTTCGAACAATTCAAATATACATTTTCATAGTAAGCTTTAATACGGTCCACAGGAGAAGAGTTGTGCTACATTAAATAAAACCAAACATCTTGTTCTTCTTCTTCTCTTCAGGGGGAGGTGGTGCATGGTGCTGAGGAGGATGCTGAGGAAGGGCCGGAGAGCGAGGAGGGCCATGAGGGGAAGGTGGTGCCACAAACCGTCCCGAGGCATCTTTCTGGATCGTCCGCATTCCACCTGGTCCTGGAGCGCCGCCGCTTCCAGGAGCCATTGGGCGACCGCTTCCTTGTTGTGGTGGCGGACCTCGGCCTTGTGGTGGCATTGTGTTATTGCCTGGTCCTGGTCCTGGTCCAACTGTTCGAGAGCCTCCCGGTCCTGGTCGCTGCTGCTGCTGCTGTTGTGCATGGACTGGTGCGGAATAGGGCGGGATCACCGGCGCAATGGGTCTCAAAGGCCCCCTCGCCAAATCCTTCAAACTGAAAATAAATTGCCTCGGCGTAATAATATGAGTCGACCCAATGACAATATCCCTGCCCATCGAATGGCACAACTCATACATGGCCCGGATCTCTGAGTAAGTGACCCCTCCCGCAATGAAAACCATCAACCTCGATCCCTTGACGTTGGGTCGTTTCTTCTCCCAGGCCGGTTGAGCCGTCTTGCGGAGGGATCGTGTAGAGTCTTGCGAGTCGAGAGTGGGTGCCTCGGTGGTGTATGGGTAGAGGATTGGGTCAAGGGTACCGCTGATGTGCTCCTCGACGATTTTCTTGGCCTTTGTGATGTACCGGGAGAGGTCGAAGGGTTGGTCTTCGTCCTCGGGTTTTTTCCGCGGATAGAAGGGTTTCTTCTTTGACCTCGGTGCCGATCCACCCTATCAATGTAATAAGACAGATAGAAAGAGTTAGTAAACGCGAAATGAGCGCGCTTCCATTTCCTGGGTCAAAATAATGACCAGAAAAGAATTCAGTCAACTTACTCGCTCGGTGTTGACGCCAAGGAGACCGAGGTTACGGATGGCCTCAACATTATCATTCGACATCCTGGCAAGACCCAAAAGCTGCTCCTGATCCTCATTCCGCAGCCCCCCACGACAGATCATATACAACATCAACAACCTCGCCTTGTCCATCCCTGAAACATCGGGATCATCCAAGAAAGGCACCATCTCTGCCAACACTTGCTTCGGCAAATGTCCCTCCACCGTCTCTCCAGTCGCCAACTGCTGCTCAACCAAGCCCAGCTCATTGATTTTGGACTCTTCAAAGATCCTCATACACTCCTTGGCGATATGGATATGGGTTGAGTATTTGGCCTTCATGTCCTGGAACTGCGGTAGGTTGGCGAGCTGGTCCTTCATGTTCCTGAGCGAGGCCACTTTATCCGAGTCGCCCCTCAGCGCCTCGTTCTCGGCGACGAATTGGTTGAATTTCGAGGTCAGCGTGCTGGCGGTTTCGACGATATGAGCGTGGCGGATATCAGTGAAAACTTGGTCCGACTCGTCAATCACCACCGAAACCGCCTCGGTTGTCCCGTCGCCGTTCTCGATGTCGTAGGTGAATTTTGTTCCGTCCTCGATCGGTAGCAGGTCGTTCGCCATGGCCTGGTATGTGAACTCGTGCACGATTGCCGCCGTGATATCGATCGATCTGTCCAGAATCAATATCGTCCCTTGTCCCTGTTGCCTTCCCTATAGAAATGGATTGGCCCGAGAAAAAACAAATATATTTTAGCTTGAGCGGTGATATGAATGAGTTGAACGCGTACCAGAAAAAATAATGATTCATGGTCTTCCTGATGGTAACACTTACAGCCATGTCTTGGTTCGATCGGATATAGGCCTCCAGTTCACTCTGCAGCAACCCTGCGAGTCTCATGGACTGTGTCCGCTTCCCGTCCTCGGTTTCTGGCGGTCGAAAGTATCGGATCGAAGGGAAATCGCCCAACGTCGCAATCACCGACACCAGCTACATTCGTTTACATAAAAAAACAAGACAACCATCATGTTAGTTTTGTGCGAATATAACATACGTTACATAGAAATATAAGTAATGGCTTTTGCGAATGGATTGAAAATGTTGTACCTGTTTGGCGATAGAGTCCATTTCTGCAGAAAGCTCCATTTTCTTTGCGGGCGAGTAGAGCGTGTAGAAACTTGAAGGAGACTCCAAGGAAAACACTCTTGACTCAATGGCTAAAAGGAGGTTGTTGTCAAAAGTAAAAAAAAAGTCAAATTAATGAAAATGAAAAGGAGCACTTTTCAGAGTATTTCTCCGCTTGGCCCTGATCCAATTTAGGGATAGCATGCATGGTTAACGATGTGATACCTGTAAAGTCCATGAAGAGCTCCCTGAGTGTTTTGATGTACTTTGAGACGGGCGATTTTGTCAATCGTTCGAACAGACGGTCTTCCAGAGCTATGAAAACGACATACAGAGGCGTTCAATGTCAATCAATTGTTCAGTTGCAATACATGACGAGTGGAGACGAAACACTACAACTTACGAGCTGTAAAGAGGACGTGAGCGGCCTTGTATTTTCCGGTGGGGCTGTCACTTGGATAGTCGTCCATCAGCCGCTGAACCGACTCCATGCACGGCGTCAACAGGTAGACTGCCTCCAGGGAAGCGTACGCCTGACGTTTGCTCTCCAGCATCTCCACCACTACATAAGAAAGAGAAACAGGGAGAACAAGAGTGTGTCAGAATCCTATTAGCTATCAAGCAAAAAAGGAATAAAGCGCGCTAGACATAACAACAGACCGAACAGAGCTCACATGGGACAATACTTACAGGTGACATTCCTGTCCATGATGTCAAACATCTTGCAGGCGCTGAGGACGATTTTGTTTGTTTTTGCATCCAGGACGACAATCTTGTACCTCTCTGGAGGTTGAATCGAGTCGATACTCCCGATGATGCCTAGCGAGAGAATGGAATGAAAAGTCATGAAGGTTAGTGTTCTGAAGGAGGGTTGAGTGTTATCCTGGTGTGTGGTGGCAGTAGTCGACTGGTGGTGGGTTGTGGCCATACGGTCGTGGAGCGCTTGGACGATTGAAGTCATCGTGGACTAAATAGCTTAGCGCAGAGAGCAGTCAGTTGGAGAGATGGTATTGAGAGTTGGTCAATCGGTTGAAGTGAAGGAGAGGTGGAACAGGTGGTGAGGCGTGAGGAGGATGTAGTTTGTAGTCAAAGGTGTGTCGGGTGGGAGAGTGAGGATGATGGCGGAAGAGATGATGAGAAGAGAAAGAAAAGAAAGAAAGGAAAATAGAAAAGAGGGAAGGGGAAAGAAGCGCGGTTGATGAAAAGAAGGGCTACGGTCGTGAGGGGTGAGACCGATTGAAGTGGGAGATGGACCACTGAAATTAATTGGTAGACATTGCAGTATGTATTGTGTGGTAGATAAAAAAACACACTTGTGGGTGCTATCTGTCAAAATGTGCAAGGATCTATGGCTTCTCTTCCTTGCTGCTGCTGCTGCTGCTGCCAGACTCTGGTGCATCATCCAATGCAGACGTCTCAAACAGAACCTCGCCTTCATTCGTCGCTGCTGCTGTTAAGGCCGAAGGTCCTCCTGAAGATACACTCGAGGATGAAGGAGGGAACAAGGCGGGGTTGTTGCTTGCTGAAGCAGTAGGATTCAAGAATGTCTTTTGGCTCAGTCCAGGCAAACTTGCGCTGTTGCCCGCCGCTGCATGCAGTCTCATATCCAGAGCCTTCAGTGCCAGAGCCCTTTTGTATTGTTATTTAGTAGGGGTATTAATAACCGTTATGAGGTAGCAGCATGGATTCAAAGAAGAGTCTCCAATCGAAGAAAGTATAAGGAAACATACCTCCTGCGTTCGGCTTCGGCACGGAGACTGGCTGGCTGGCTCATGGGAAGAATCATGCCAGCCATTTGGGGGTTCTCCAGATCGTTTTGAAAGGTCGTTCCAAAGCCCAGAGGAGAGCAGATATGAAGGCGCACAAGAATTCCAAACACCAAGTTCGACACCACCTTGACCGGAGGTCTATTATGAATAGAAAAAAGAACATAGTTGTCAATCGTGTGCCAGGCGGTGGTGACATTTCGCCTGATAGTTCAGGTGTAGCTATAGCTTATGAGTTAGTTCCGAGAGTGAAAAGAGACTTACTGGGCAGCTTCGGGGAAGAATGAAGCGAAAGCAAACGTCTCGCTCCTGTCACCTCGCACACCATCCTGAGTCTTGAAAAAGCGGGAATACACCCATGAGATGAGCAATCCATAGATAGCCATGAGAAGCTGTGTCTGACTCCTTGTCAAAAGACTCTGAATGATCATGAACACTGCAAACAGCATTGGCAATGTCTATCATAAACGAGTAAGAAAAAGCCAGATTAGTCGATGTTGCCTTCCGATCTGATTCCAGCATGCATTTTCGGATCCTTAAAAATGCTTTAACACGAACCTTGACACGAATTGAGAATGCGCCCCAGAGTGTCACCAAGTGTTCAGGAACAAGCTGCTTGAAGCCCACAAGAAACCCTGCCAAAACTGCTGTCAATCCATATGCCTGTGTCCCATATCTATTTTGAAAGAACAATCAGAACCGTTATTATTAGCGAGAAAGCAACAAAAGGGCGAGTCATCTCCATAAAACCAAAGCAGGTGGAGTCTTGAATTGTTCTTTGATGCACTTACAAAAGATCTTCGTTACCGCGGACAATATATTCGAATAGGCAGGTAAAGTAGATTCCGAGCATGGTGCCTACGCTGGTCACTGCCAGAAACTTGAAGAACTCGCGCGAGCCCCATGCACGCTCCAGATATTTGCCGCATCCCAATAATGTCGCCGTGTTGAAGACAAACTAGAGGATTGAATGACAATTGGCAAGAAGGGAACATTAATCGAAAGAAGACAATCCAGTCGTTCCCGCGTGATCACAATGCAAGGCTCCAAAGGTAGTTATGAATCCATGATAGGTTGCTCCTTGCCTGAATGATGCTCCTCTCAAAGAACGACGCTGTGGCAAATGTCCAGAATCGATAGGGTGCCCTATTGACGTATTGATGAATTAGATAGTGAGACGTGAATCAGCAAAAGAAAGCCCATTAAATCCCAGAATCGACGATAGATCGAGATGACGCGACAGAAACACGCGCACTTACGAGACGGGCACAAGGGCGAGGAGGGGGACGAGGATATCTTCCGAGTTTCCGGGATAGTCGGGCGAGTCTGCGGGTGCGTCACCGTGGCCGATGAGGGCCATACTGTCTCTAAAGCGGAGGGCCATTCCCAGGGCGGTCATGACGGTCATGGCCGTTGAGACTGACTTTGTCAGGGGAGGCACATTCGTGAATGTTGAGCGCCACGATGAAGATTGCGACATTGTTGGTGGTCGTTCTTGGTGCGTTCCTGTTTGTTTTTGTCTTCTGTGGGGTGTGTCGTCTGGTAGTTCCCTTTGGGTGTGTTTCCTGTTTCCAGAGTTGAGAGAGAGAGGGAGAGAGAGAGAGAGAGAGAGAGAGAAGAGGCGCAGGAAAGAAGAAGATGTGAACGAAATAAAACAGATGATGAAAATGATGATGCGAATAATAATAATAACACGCGGCGTGATGGTGTTGGTGGTGGTGGTGGTGGTGGGACAAGCAGACAGGCAGGCAGACAGCAGGCAGGCAGACACAGACAAGCAAGTGAAACAAACAGAAGGCCTCTGCCTGAGGAGAGTGCTGTACGTTGAGGAGAAAAATGGTGCCCCTCCTTTGTTCTGCCAAAAGAAAGATGGGAATGTGACTGCCTTGATCATGTGATATGTATCCTTGCTCCTGTAGAACCTCGAGGGAGGTCATTTTTTTTTCTCTCGAGGCAGACAGAGAGACACAGAGACAGGGAGTGACAGAGAGCTCTGAGGGTGAGAGAAAAAGATCAGTGATCTCTCTTTTTTCTTCTTTTCTTTTCTTTTCTTCCTTCTTTTTTTCATTTTCTCATTCAAACCACACACCCAACACCCAGCATACTCATTCGACAAACATTCATCCAAACACGGTCGCTGCTGCTTGATCTTCCCTCTCACTCTAGCCAGCTCTCAACCAGACCAAGCGATCCTAAGGGAACCACTACCACCTCAAAAACCAAAGCATAAGAGGAACAAGGTTAAAGCGACCCGTCTCCTTATCTCCATCCTCACCCTACAACAAGCCATGTCCCAGTTGTCCTCCCCAGGAAGACAGGACCCCATGGTCAAGCAAGAACCCTCCGTCAAGCAAGAGCCATCCTCAACCCAACATCTCCCAAGCCTTAATCCTTCTTATCATCCTCAGCAGACCTTTTACCACCACCCTGCTGCATCCTACTCTTCCTCCTCTGCCACTGCGTCTTCCTCGAACCAAGCCTACGGTCAGCAAGCACATCACCACCAGCAGCACCAGCCAGCATCGTCGTCAGCGTCGTCGTCCTCGTCATCTGCCGCACCCCAAGGACTGTCTGATCCATCCACGACACCCTTTGCAAGCATGTCTGCCACCTCTGGCAACTACAACCTCAGCCGGCATCTCCTCGGTATGAACATGCAGCAGCAGTCGTCAGGATCAGGCCCTCTTGGAAACAACAACAACAACAACGGCAGCAGCAGCAACAATAACAACAGCTCTAGCAACTCCAACAACGGCGAGAGTGCATCCAACACCCCTATCATGGGGAACGCCCACCTGAATCCCAACAACCATCTCTCAAGCGCCCCTCCTTCGCCCACTCTCAACAACCTCCACTACCCCAGTGCCGCTAGCACCCATCACCACTTTAGTGGCAACAGCGGTGCTTATGCCCAGTCAGCATCGTCCTACTCGTCACAGCTCTCGTACCAGGCTGATCCTCAGCATTCCCACTCGCATGGCGTTCACTCGTCGAGCGATCTGAGCTCAGGCAGCTACTACAGCTCTATGCCTCCCTTCAGCTCGCACCCTCACCAGCAACAGGAGACCATGCCGACGTCACAGGGCCAGCAGTCGAGCCATCACCCTCAACATCACCACAGCAACAGCGGCGGAAGCAGTGGCAGCAGCGGGAATGGCCCTCATGTCCAGTTCAACTCGACAGCCCCCTCGCCCATGCGTCAACACCAGCAGCAGCCTTATTCGTCCTTGGTTCCACCCTTGTCGGAAACGCATTATGCCCAGTACCATCAGCTCCTAGGACCTTCTGCATTTAGCTCTGCCCAGTCCAGTCCCTACCATTCGAACCATTCGACTCCTTACAGCTCGATGCCTGGTTCTCCTACACAAGAGTACCAGCAATTGAGCGGATCCCCTTTGGGACAGGGACAGAAGCCCAAACGGCGACAAGTCAAGAATGCTTGTGGTAAGGAATATTTTTTTCTTCTTTCAATTGTTTTCTTCTCTCAATTGTTTTCTTTTTGTTCTTCTTGTTTTATTAATCCCGATGACATGAGCTGTGTGAGGAGCCGACAAAGAGGCGAAAAGGACTTTGAAAATGGCGCAACGTGGGACGGAGAGTTGGGACTCTATTATTACAACATCCGCTTATGTACTGTATATGTACTGTATGACACCTCGTTGTCCTTTGTTTGTGTTGTTATTTTATCTTGAACCTCTGAACCTTGTTCTGACAACAGACAGACAATCGTCGTGCATCGCATGCAGTGAGGCCGTTGTAGGAATTTTATCCTTCCCCTTTCATCATCGTCATTTTCCCTTCCCTCTCTCAATTTCTTTCCATTTTTCTTTTTTCCTTTCTCCCATCCCATACCCCTTTCCCCCCCTTTTTATATCCACTGTTAATTGCTCAATTGCTGAGCAGAAGCAACAAAAAGGCGAAAAAGAGACATCAAGAAGAGAAGTAAAGGAAGAGAAGGAAAATAGTGAGCAAGCATGTCATCCTGGGAAAAAAATCGTTTTTATCGGGAGTGATTAGCAATGTTTCTCTTGGGTGTCTATAAAGTGCAGCTCTGGTTGGCTGTATTAATAGCCGTCATTTCCAATATTATTATTTCTTTCAATGTACCCTTTTATTATCTGATCCTCGTATGATCAAATGCGATGGATGAGTATGGGGTCCCGGGTACTCTCTCCTCACCCTCTTCGCTACTATTTTCATCTTTCATTCCCTCATCATTGCTCTGCTCATGACCACATGGGGCTGAGGAGACGAGTGGGGGTGGGGTGGGGACCTTGAACGACAGCATCGACTGACTGAATGACTATCTCGTTTAATCTCATACTAACAATACTTATTTTATTCTTCAATGGATATTCTAGTCAACTGCCAAAAGGCTTGCAAAAAGTGCGACGAAGGAAGACCTTGCTCCCGATGTGTCAAATACGGCTTGACCGACACCTGTGTCGACTCCACAAGGAAGGTCCGCAAAAAGGGCATCAAGCGTGGACCCTACAAGCGCAGACCACCACCCTCCCAGCTCGGTTCGGCCTCTGTCTCAACCTCGCCCACCCTGCGCCATGCTGCCGTCCCCAGCAACCTCGCAGGATACATGTCTGAACCCGTCACAGCCCTCAACAGCCCAACGCAATCCCATCTGTTGCCTCTGGCAACATCGAGCCACAACCAGCCATTGGATTTTGGATACGATACTAGTGGAGGACAGGGTGGCTACTCTTTCCAGTCGCACCGGATGGAGTCGACGTACGCACCGTCCTATGCCAACTACTCGGGATCAAACCTCTACACATCAGCCTACGGCATGAGCAGCAGCAGCAGCAGTAACAATAACAACAACAACAGCAACAACAACAACGGCGGCAACAACAACTCCACTGGTACTAACAGTGGTCATACCAGCATGCCCTGATCATCCACATCCCAACGATCAGAGTTATCCAGGAAGGAACCAGGAACAGACAAAAAAAGGAGGATTAGCGGAGCCTGAAAAAATGAGTAGGACATTGAAACTCCACCACAAAACAACAACAACAACAAAGTCAACAAAAACAAAAACAAAGCAGCAGCAGTGGGGAGGGAGAGGAAAGAGAGAACAACAGCCTATTCAAAAGTCAGCTGCAGTCGTCAATTGCTTATTTTTTTCCTCCTTTTGTTGGTTGTTCTCTACCAGCAACAGCAGTTTTATAATCTCACAGTGGTGTCGAATTGCTTGCAGCATTGTCGATGACTCCTTTTTCTCGTTCTTTTTTTGCTATCAGAGTTCCTTGCTGCTTTTGTTCTAGTTCTTTTTTCTTTCCCCTTTCTTTTTTTCTTTTATTCTTTTATGGAATTGACAGTTTTTCTTATCATTCATCATTTTTTCGCATAATAAAATAACAAAAAAGCTGAAAAACAAACACATTCATACACAACAGTGAGTCTTAATGTAAGAAGTGCCCTCTATCCACGCCAATACGGATATATCCATGTGTTTGTTTTTTTTGCGGGACCACTTGTTTGTCTGTAGCATGCATGTGTATCCTCTTTTTTTTTCTTGTATCACATAAAGGGAGTGCTCTCAAGAGTCAGAGCTGCTGAAGGTAATGCAAGGGTTACAGAGGGGGTGGGAACGGGAGGAGGCGGGAGACGGGAGAGACAAAGACGGCTGTTTTTGGGTGTCATTCGGTTTGGTTTGTCGGTCGGGGATTAGAAACTGTTCAGACTACCGGTGCTTTGTTCGTCCAGAGATCAAAGGACCATCGGAGGATGAAGTAGTGTGGTGATAATGATTGTGGTTTAAGTCTTGAATTTACGACTATCGAGCTTCAAGAAAGAAAGAAAAAAAAAAGCAAAGGAGGAAAGGGGAAGTGAGAATATGAAAAGGAAAAGGAGGAGAATGAGTTAAAAAGAGCTCAAGACGATGTGCAGCGACGGGTAGGCATGATGATTTGCGAAAAGAATTCAAAGACTGCAACATGTCTTTCTTTCCCTTTTTTTTTTTTTTTTTTTTTTTTTTGTTGGACAAGCACACTCAAATACACATCTTCGTGTCCACAGCAACGCACCGAATAACAAAGCAGCAGGAAAAAGTTGAGATATATACGACCTGACCGTCGTTGGCGCAACAGGGTTCGCAGGAAGCTCATCATCAACAAAATCATCCCGATGTGTCAAGTGAGACTGCGGGAGGAAGGGTTTCGTTCACACAACCTTTCCTCTCCTCAATCTATGCACAAGCTAGCTACGTTTCCGTTTCATAGGGGAGGCTGTTGTAGGCGCATGTATCCAAGAACTCACCTCTTATGTCGACATCACTGAAGGGTCTAGATTCATCGAAGACAAGATGCTCAAATGCCGTATCGCCGCAAAAGTTCATGCGTGTAGGTTTGGCAGTACCCTTGCGGATATGGGACTCTGTATACCAAGCTAGAACTGGCGGCAGAGTGCATGTTGCGGGTGATGATGGGTTTTGGGTAACCAGCCTTCGTCTTTTCGAAGCGGCGAGTCTCCGACTCTCCATTCTCTCTAGAACAGAGTGGTCAATTGTTTGTGTCGAGCACAGCAGCGGTTCTAATTCCGCCGATCAATGGAACGCCCTTTTTTTTACTTGAAGAGCTGTTATGCGCTGTGGCTACTACGACGCACCTTTTTGTTCCTTCTTTGTGTGTGCGTGTTTTACCTCAGCCTCACTCCGTGGCACAAAAAGTGTATGATATACAATAATTGGACTGCAACGCGCGGCATGACAATTACCATATTCACATGGGGCTCAGCAAAGGATAGAAATGCTTGCAAGTGTATTATTATGTTTGCATGGCTGTCTATCACGATCAGAGATGGTGCTCTCGTTAGAAATGTTGAAGGAGAGTCTTTGTCATGCCCCAGTTTGCTCTTCACAGGGGGTGGCTTGCAATTCGATCGATCAGGCCCTAAGTCCGAAAAAATCATGCAAAAAGGGAAAGGAGTGTGCGCTGTCTTCTGACTTTCTTCATTCACCCAACCGAAACTCCCCTCAATCAACAACCTCGACCATCACCATCACACATCACACATCAGCCATGGCAGAGAAATACGACGTGACAATCTTTGGCGCAACGGGATTCACCGGAAAGAACATCCTCGACGAGGTCATCAAGACCGCACCCAAGACAACCTTCCCTGGACAGCAACCGATTCGTGTTGCGATCGCGGGTCGGTCGCGTGAGAAACTTGAACAGCTCGTTGCGAGACTTCCTACGACGGGTGAAGGGGCCGCCGCTGGGAGTATTAAGGTCGATGTTATTGTTGCAGATGCGCAAGATGAAGAGAGTATGAGGGCTATGTGTCGCGTTTCCAAGGTTGTCATTGCTGCAGGTATGACATACACGCCTCTTCATCAATATTTATCTAGCGAACCGACATGACATGGCCTTGGTCAGGCGCAATATGAAGGTGCACTACGACTCACTCAACTTCCTTCTTCAAAAACAATAGCTGGACCATTCCGTTTCACGGGAGAGGCTGTTGTGAAGGCTTGTATTCAGGAGGGCGCGCATTACGTCGATATTACAGGAGAACCCGAGTTCATTGAAGGAATGATGCTCAAATACCACGAACAAGCCAAGAAGGAACAAGTCGCGATTGTTCATGTCTGTGGATTCGACAGTATCCCTGCGGATCTCGGTGTCCTCTATACCAAGCAGCAGTTGGAGAAGAACCACAACGCCTTGCCATCGACGATTGAGATGTTTTTTAAACTCCACATCGCTGGAAACTCTGGATTCGCTGGAAACTATGCCACCTACGCGTCGGTGAGTTTTATTCTATCAGCTCGTGTCAACATCAATACGACCGATGATGATATGTCGATACAGTCATGTACTATTCCGCAGACTGACCTCAGGACGCGTTCTTGTTAAAATAGGCGGTGCATGGATTTGGGAGTGCGGGGTTATTGCGTCAGTTGCGCAAGACCGCCAACCGACCCCAGATTCCCAAGATCGGACCTTCGTTGGCCGTCAACCCCAAGCCCCATTGGGTCAGCAAGGTCGCTGCCTACACAATCCCCTTCTTCTTTGCCGACCCCTCCGTCATTCGCCTCTCTCAACAGTTGGTGCTCCAGGACAAGGATCTGCAGGCATCTCAAGCACCCCCTGTCCAGTTTTCGGCATATATCTGTATCCCTTCATTCAAGACTCTGGTCATAACCATCTTTGCATCGACTGCATTTGGACTATTGGCCAAGTATGAGGCTGGACGCCGGTTCTTGTTGAAGCACCCTCGTTTGTTTACTTTGGGGGTCTTCTCCCATGATGGACCTAGCAAGCAGCAGTTGGCGGAGACGTCATTCTCGGAGACTTTCTATGCGCAAGGATATTCAAAGGAATTGAGGGATAAGCACCCTAACCCCGAGGATCTCCGTTGCGTTCAGCCCGATGTCTCTTTGGTCACCAGCGTCTCTGGACCCGAGCCAGGTAACAGCCTTGCTGTGTGCTGTTTATAACTTGATCCCAAAAAGGTTACCTATTGCTTGCATAGAATGAAATCGTTGTATTAACATGATCTACTATTTATTGCTATAGGATATGTGGCGACACCCAAGATGGTTGTGCAGGCAGCATACACGCTGTTGCGACAGAAGGACAAGGTCCCCAATGGCGTATTGACTCCGGCAGTTGCCTTTGCCAGGACGGATTTGATTGATCGTCTGCAGGAGCAGGGTATCGTCTTTTCGACTGTTGTCAAGAACTAAGAAAAACGATCCGCTCTCATGACTACCAACCTGCACGCAACCCTTCCTTTCCCACTGTCTCTCTTTTTTTTTAACGATCTTCTACGACAAACAACCAAATATCAAATACCATCACAATACGACCTGAATAATAAAAACCCCCCTTCCAAGAAAGGAAAAGAACAAGCACATTCTATGGTGGGTTATCAATGAATGATATCCGCAACACTAGCGAGGGTAAGCCAGCATGGGTGTGGGATATGAACAATCATGGCAGGAAAACCTATAGAGGGGCTATGGAAACGAGTTTGCCAACATGGTCATACACAACATGCAAAAAATAATGAATGTGGATTGTGATATGAACAACCGGGGAGAGGAAAAAAAATGCTGATTGTCGATACTGTAGAAAAGTCTTAAGGTTTGACCCATCTGCGATCTTCAATCATCCTCAGCGTCCCTCCAGTCATTTGGTCAAACTCATTTCGTGCCTTTGACGACCGTGGAAGATCTCTCAGTTTGTTTGATTTCGAAGGGGAGAATAGAACAAAGAAACTGTCCCTCTTAGTTGCACGCCGTGGAGGGGTGGTTGCACTTGACAGAGCAAACGAAAACTGCATAATCCTTAAGAATCTCATCCATGGCTATTGTCTATCCAGGTCCAGCAGGATAGCCGCGTTGAGGCGTACAGACTTGTCCAACTGTCGGGTGCATGTTGAGCCTGGTACAACCGGCTTGCACTCAAAAAACTGCAATATCGCCTGTACATGCACCCTCTGCCATAACCCGGATGGTGAGATCTACCTTCCGACCTCACACTCCATGCGTCGCCTAGCCGAAATCAGCATCCGTGATCTTGCGACAATTATTGGATGACTTTGAAGCTAGTTTTCCGCTATTCATACGTGAGTTATCAACCAGTTTAGCCTTCCATCAATGATAACAGCAGAGGTGGTTATTATCTCAACTTGCGAAATGACTCGAAGCCTTCCACCATACAACATGGTGTTCAGGATTGGCCAACGAAAACATGTTCAGAAACTGGCTTAGCAAAGATGTCGTGTTCAAGCCACAGCAGCAGCAGGCACAGGACCTTGAGCGCCGTGTATCTCTCCCTGTCGTCCTTGGTCAGCCTTGGACTCGATGACTTTGATAGCGACGAATATACGACCTCTTGAAGATTATTCATTGACATAGCTGTTGGATCGTCCTCGTCAGGATAAGAGCGCATAAAAATCTTTTCTGACTCATAGGGCATGCAAGTAGCCTTCGACACAGCCACAATCCAGGGCGAGGACGAAAGAGAACGGCTAGTAGGGGGTATGGTGTTGATGATTCCTGGCACAATGATGCTAAGGGGGTGAGCACAAGCAGTGTCAGCTGGAGTAAAGTCGTTGTCATTCACGGTGACGGAATAGAAGAAGGATGAAGAATATGACATACGAAAGGAACTCCCACAACACATCTTTCTTGTGGATCACGTCTCCGGGTTCTTCGAGCAGCCTCAGGGCCAATCTAGACATCCCGTCATGGATATCAGACAGACCGGAGGGGACCGTTGGAAGCACCAACGGACGATCTTGAACCTTGATGAAATATAGGTGTTAATATGGTGAACAGAAGTGGGGGGTGACGATGGCTGTAAGATACTCTAGTTATGCATACCTTGCGAAAGATGTACTGCACAAGCTCATAGAATGGGTTACTTGTTGCACGTGAAGTCGAGAGTATCTAAGTCACCTTGTCTAATCCAGCACCATCGTTGTCTGTCATATGAATGAACGAATGGAGCATGAAAAACGCCTCACATGCACTAGAAAAGCGTGGCACACCCAGCGACAATAGACAAAAGTAGACCACGCGCAAAAACGCGTATTAATTACGCCACCGAAATGAAGTCATCGCAAGTGCTGTAGTGCCTTGATACAAAAACTGAACCTACTTGATCTTGACAGATTCGACACAGGAAATGATCTTTTGCGACCTCGGGGGAGAGCGCTGCTGCTTCTTGTGATGTCCACGGATGCGCTGGTGCCGCCAGTATCGGCGTTAATCGTGGAGGAGCTGGATTGTGTTGTTGTCAGGTTAGTGTCTTCTTGGGGTACCTGCCGTCTGCCGTCCTGGACTGCAGGTAACGGGGTCTCTCTTGGTTCTCCAGGTAACCTCACACGATCTTGGACATGTTTTCTGCGGCCATAACGTCCCTGTAGTTATACCTCTCGCAGTTTGGACAGTAGTCAAACACTTGAACTCTTTGCGATCATAACGAATGGTACATATGCCAGCGGGATAAAATAGGCCAAGAATGGAAGAATGGAGCGACGTCAGGCGTCCAGTGCACTTGAACTGACCAATCATGACTGGATTCTTGGGGCGCCGATTATGGCCGATGCTTCCGCCTTCAATTCCAAGCAGACTCGTCGCAATGGCGTGGTACTCTGCTTGCTTAGCCCCCGTCTTGTCCCAATCATGCTTCTTGAATCGGTTCTTGTCTCTGTTGTAGAACTCTGACAGTCGTTCCTCGACCTTCTCCACTTCTTGATGTACTCGACAACATTGACTCTAGGACCATGGAGGAGTGGAAGATCAGATTCAATATGGGCAATCGACGTTGGCTGCTGGTCTGGGATCGATTCCTTTTCTTCTTCTGGCCATATCCTATGTCGGAATACCGGCCGGAGTATTGCCTTTTGGTTCACTGTGAGGTTGTGGTGAGCATGCGGATCTTCTGGAAGATAGGCATATGCACCGACTTTTGTGTCAACGTAAAGAGGAGAATAAAGGTGGGCGTGTGTGTGTGGAAAAGTATGGAAGTTGGACAGAAGCATTGGATCAACCCATGGAGATAAAGAAGATATGTCGTACACAATGGAGAAGAGAGAGAGAGAGAAAGATGCGCACCATCTTTTGTTTGTGTTAGCGCTCGTTTTTGTTCTCTTTCCTGGGCGGGCTGTGTCTGTGTGGACACATGGGAGGAATAGGAGCAGCAGCACAAGTAAGAGCAGGTCCAGCCCTAGTAGGTGGGCAAGCACAATGGCGTATGGCCCATTCTTTGAGAGCCACCCGTCCACTTGTCCACTCACTTGCACTTTTCTCTTTCCCTCATCGCCTCATCTCTTCTGCTTTCTGGTCATCCTTTTTCCCCTCCTCTCTCTCTGTCTCTCTCTCTCTCCCTCTCTCTCTCTGTCTCTTTCTCTCTTCTCTTTCCTCCTTTCTTCCCTTCGTCCATTGGTCATCACGCCTTTCTTCCCCTTCCGTACCTTTTTTCTTCCTTTCTTCCTGTTGCTATTATTCCCCCTTTTCTGTTGTCGCTCTTTAGTAGTTATCCACAACAACAACTAGCAGAGCTCAACTCTATCCATCCCCACCACACACACAACAACAACCTGGGCTGAACTGAACAATTGGGGAAGCTTACTTTGCAAACGGAGCAAAACACCAAACGACCGACCGAACGATAAAGAGCCCTCCCTTCCCTTCTTTCTTTCCCTTCCTTTTCTCTCCACTTTCTCCCCTTCTCCCCTTCTCCACTCCACCTCAACTTTCACCCTTCCCTTTAACGACAAAAGAAAGCCAAACAAATGACGGCCTCGATACCTGTCAACAGGTTCTCAGAGACAAAGTTCTCCGAGTCCTTTTGGTCCAACTCCCGGGGCGACTATGTCACAGGAATCAATGTCCTCCATTCAAAGATGGACCAGGGCGTGGTCGAGGACCAGGAGATCCTGACCTACCTCCGTGAACGGATCGATGTCGAGCAACGCTATGGCAATGCCCTGATCGAGATGGGAAACCGTCGCCTCAAGGTAAACTTCCTTTTTCACAGTTTACCATTATATACCCCTTTGAGACACATCTACGCTGAGGACAAAGGACAAAAAGGCATTAAGGATATAACCAGCAGGAGCACCACCACAGCCACCGTCACCCCTTGTCCCCTGGCCCTTGTATGCGTGCTGTTGTTGTTTTTCTGCTTTGTCAGGGCTGTGTTGTGTCTGGTCTGGTCTGGGTATCTCATCGCAACGCTCTGACCTGACATTGGTCTGGCCTCACATGTGGTGTACGTGCGTGGTGAGGATTGGAAGAGGAGGAGGAAGAAAAGATTGGCCAGTTGGCTGGTTCGAGATGGCTCTGGTTCGAGATGGTTCTGCCCGCCTACCTGGTTGTCGCGGGCTGACTGGCTGGGGTGTGTTGGCACACAGGACAAAAAAATCCCGTTGGCGTGTAACATCCTTCTCTTGCTGCTTACTCGCGCCAGCCCACAACGACAATATCGTCGAACAAACAAACAAATGGAGAGCAGGGCAGCCAACCATTGGAAGAGAAACAATTGGCATTGGAGCAAAGCAAGAAAAGCGCCTCATGCTTGATACCAATAACATACGCCCATCTTCGAGGACGACACCCTTTTTTCACGAAACAGCCCTTCCTTCCTTGCTTGGACAAAGACAAAAGGATGGAAGGACGGACAGGGGCGAGGTGGCAACACATGATCGTACTTTACACAATACCGTAACAAAAACATCTCTTGACGCTAAAAACAAACACCGCCCATTCCTCTTCCTTACGCCCCTCTTCGCCCCTCCCTCCTATTTGTGTTCTCCCTTGATCAAATAGCTCGAAGGATTCCTGAGAGACGACGGCGCTTCGTTGAGAAAGACGTTCGAGACCATTAAGAACGAGAGCATTGGCCTCGGCAATGGTCACATCTCCCTCGCCAACAATCTCAAGGAACTCGTCCTGGCTCCCCTTGTCAAGTTCAACTCACAGGTCTACCAGACCACTCAGCAGAGCCGCGAGGATATCGAGAACCGGCTCAAGCTCTTCGACAAGCATCTTCTTGACCTCGATCGATCCCATGCCGCCTATGTCGCAAAGTGCAACACCGCCGACCAGGCTGAGATGGAGGCCAACAAGATCGCCGCCGAGGATGCTGCTGCGCATGGATCTCCTCCAAGTGCCTCTTCAGACAACCTCGACGTCGAGCGTCGACACGAGTTTGCCTCGCAGCGGTTCACGATTCTGGAGCTCAACAAGTTTTTGAACAAGATGAGGGCCGAGGTCCCCTCGCAGGATGTCAAGGTCCCAATCATGGGAGTCTACAACAACTGCTGCACCGGATCGGCCATTGCACACTGGATCCAACAAAACACCAAGGCCAGGACGATCGAGGAGGCGGAGCACATTGGACAATCCCTCTCGGACGAAGGGTTCTTGCGATTGATCGGACAGCGTGGCAACCGGTTCCTGGCCTCGCCCGCCAACTTTTACCAGTGGCGCGACCAGATGTTTGAGCTCCTTGATGAGGACGATCGGGAGGAGGAGATGTCGCTTGTCAAGAGGACCAAGCAGGAGGTTGAAAAAGCCGATGCTTCGTATCTCGCTGCTGTCAAGAAGGCTGACCTAACCCGTCTTCAGCTTGAAGTTGGACTTGTAAGTTGTGTCTGTGTGGGCGAGCATAGGACGAGAGCACGCCGTTGTTTCTTCTTGCATATGATCCAGTTACTTGCAAATGGTGTCCTGCAACCACCGTACTCGCTCACTCACTCCTGCCCTTTTTTTTCTTTCTTATCTCCTTGAATATTTTTATAGTTCTCTCATATGGACCTCCTGCAGCGCTGCGAATACGAGCGCATCAACACGTTTAAAAATGGTATGCGTTCTTTTTTTTTTTTGTCTGGACAGCCGATTATTCTTTTGCTGCATTTGTCCTAATCGTGTGTTATCTATCGCAATAGCTTTCTTGAACTTTGCCGCTATCTTTTCGAACATTATCAGTATTACCCAGTCTGTCGCCGACCATTTGTTGATCTTCCAGGAAGCCCTTCGACCCGCCAACGATGTCCAGTATGTCATTGAACAGTACCGCACCGGAGCCTTTGTACCCATGCCGACTCTCTACAACCACTTTTACCTCGGATCTGGCTATGGTAAGTTGTACCACGCAGGACGAAGAAGGGCTGCCGGAACTGTTTCAGAGAAAGGACGAACAATAATGAGATGGAGGGGTTACATGGTCAGGGGCATTAATTTTGTCGTGCTAACGTAATGAAATCATCGCCGCATGTTTTTTTACGCCATGTTGTAATAGAACAAGTCTTTGGCGTCAACATTGAACAACACTGTAATTTCACTCGCAAGAAGGTGCCTCAACTAGTCACCAAGTGCTTGAGCAGGATCAAAAAGAGCTCTGTCGCCCTCACCAACGAACGTAAGTCTCACTTGCCATTGGAGATATCCCATTGTTGAGAAGTGTCGACTTTTTGACGTGTGTTAACAATTGAAACCGATTTGGTATTGTCTACTTATTAGAGAAAGTTGCATGCTGGACGGCAGAGGTTCCTTTGTCTGAGATCCACACTCTCCGTAACAAGATCAACCACGGTAAGCTGCAGTGTCACCTCCATTTCTATTAGCAATATGTTGTGCATAATTTAGAATGACCATGAAATGAGGTACTAATAACCACTTTGTTTTTGTGACATATTTAGGTGGCAAGATCACTCAAAAGCTGTTGCGACTTTTCGATGTGGCCACGGTCATTGGTGTCCTCCGTTTGTACTTCTTGGAACTCCCTGGATCTCTTTTGAATGGCGATGAATACGAGACTGTGAAGATCATCTATTCAAGCGGTAAGGGTAGGCAGATACTCCGACCCAGCAGGACTTTCGTCTCGGGTCAATTGGAAACACGCTGGCATGGAGCTGTCAACCTTACCGACGGCGATTTCATTGCTGTTCAGGATTGTCAGGGAATTGACATATCTATGAACTGCAATGCGCCTATACTGGAACGATTTTACTGAAGCATTTCATCTTGCAATTCTTTCTCTTAGTGTCGGATGATGTGAATGATAGCAAGAACGATGCAAGGATCTCGTCCATCCGCAACCTGCTCGCCCTCCTCAGCGCCGCGCGATTCTATACCCTTTACGAAGTCGTCAAGCACGTCAGCAAGTAAGCCACTTTGTGTCACATGTATTCAATTCACCAGTGGTAGATGTGCTATATGAAGAACGCGATGACTAACAATTATGTTTTGTCTAACCAACTGCAAAATAGTTTGATCAAGGAGACATCAGCTGACGACGACTTTACACACTATATTGCACACCGATGGGGACCCGTCTTCCTGCGACCTATTGAGGAGACGGCTGTGACACTGCACGACAAGCACCCCCAGCGTATGATGCGCGACATGCTGAAGATGACTCATCAGATCTTTGAGCCCATCAGGATGAGCCGTGAAGAGGGTAACCTTTCGCGGTCGGTGACGACTCGTGCTCCTGCTACTCACCTGGGTCGTAACAGAAAGGGAGCTGTCCGCCACAGTCGCGATCTCAAGAGCTCCCCAGTCTCCCCTACTTCCAATGGCCATGCTGGTCCTGGTATGCCCTCGATTGCTGTCGAGGGTCAGGTTATTCCCGAGAATGCTATCGCTGCCGCGGTTGCTGCTGCTGCCGATAATGGATCAGGTGTTGGTGCTACTCCACCCAAGCTTGTAAGGCGGCCACCCCCTTCGCGCTTCAACTTGACGCGCTATGTCAGTGCCCCCGAGATGTTTAGCGAGCAGTCGGCGTCGAAGAAGAAGCCTTTGCTGAACGGAACTGCTGAGAATGGCGATGCCCAGACCCCCGGACTGTTGAACACTACTGGATTGAAGCCCGCTGCAGGAGGGGATAAGAGCAGCCGGTCGCCCTTGCGCCAGAGTGTGATGGCCGTTGAGGAGACCCCCGAGGAGGAAGATGAGGAGGACACTGCCATTGCTAACGCCATGGCTGCCGAGGCTGCTGCCGCTACTGCTACGCCCGAGATCGAGGCCGAGGTCGAGGCCGAGGTCGAGGCTGAGGCTGAGGTAACTTCTCCGGCTGTCGAGTCTGTGGCTGCTGCCCCCGAGGAGGATGTGCAGGCTGTTGCTATTGCCGAGCCCGAGTCAACGGCAGCCGAGGCCGTTGCGGTGTCGACCAACTCTTCTGGAGAGCAGCCCCAGGAGTGGAAGGCTGTCACTGGCCAGGAATTTGAGGCATCCGGACGCAAGCTCGAGAGACGCCGCAAGAACCGTCAGTCGTCCTTGGGACCTAACGGCACTGCTGCTAATGGAGTTGCTCCTGAGACCAATGGCTTGTCTGCCGAGAGTGTCCTCCAAGCCTTGCGCGAGGAGGGTAACTAAACCCTGGGGTGTGTGTCGTTTGAGAATTGGGAGGTTTGGGATTGGATTTGAAGCCATGAGTTCCCCGCTCTCTCCCTTAACTCGTCGATCTTTTCTACTCTACTCTACTCTACTCCACCACCTCTTATTTTGCACTTTTGTCGTGCACTCCGTGAACATAGTGAACATAGTCTTGTTTTTTGTTTTTTATTACTATTACCCGTTTTTGTTTTCCTTGGTCCGTCGGCCAAATACACATCCACCACCGCAAATTAAAAAAAATAGCGCACGAATGTCTATGTGCACATCGGTTTGCGCCAATGACAGGACTGGTCTGTGTCTCTCCTCCTTGGTGGTCTTTTAGCTATCCTTGCATCAAAAAAAAAAGAGTTGGGATGCCTTTTGCTTGGTCCATTGAACCTTAGCATCGGAAAATGTATTTTTTTAGAGTTAAATGAACTCTGAACAGCGCAGAAGTGAGCCACCATCAACAAAATATGGTAAGCAGGAAAGGGGTGGGGGGTAGAGGGCGTTCAAACTTCAAAGGCCAAAAAAGAAACACTAAATGGACGGAATGGAGAAAAACAAAGGGATGGAGAATAGCATTGGTGATGCGATAAAAAAAAATTGGATACGCTCATCCTTTTTTCATTTCTCCGGGCGCCCGGGATGCTACGGCCCACCAATGTTTCACTTCCATTTTTGTTGGTTTTTTTTCTTTCTTTGGAGCTCTTCGCTCACCTCGCAGGCACACACACACACACACACACCTGGTGTCTTAAGATGTCTCTTCTTTTATATATATCTTCTTGCATGCATTGCATGCTTGCTCTGGGTAGTAATTGAGGATCCCTGGGCCCCTTTTCGCTTTCGTCCTTTCCCCTTGTCCCCTGTTCACTACTTTTTTTTTTCTTTGTGTTCAGGCGACAACAGCTGACAGCACCAAAGAAGGGCAATACAGCCTTTGCAGGAGTAACAGGACACAAAAAAAAAAGTGGAGAGCGCACAAGGGGAGGACAAATCCTAGGCACATGCGAATTGAAGAAGTTGTGTTTGTTTGGATAAACAACAAACCCGATTGATAGAAATTGGTGCGACAGTACCAGTATTACTTGATACACAAAAGGGGCAAGGGACCATGTGCGTTGTTCTATGTAATAATGTACTTTGTACACACTCGCAAACATCACAAAAAAAAATGGTGTAGCAAACAAACAAACAAACAAGCCAACACATAAGCAATGGAAAAACAAATAGAATAAAACATGAAAAGACGAAAACGTTTCCATTGTCAACAAAGCGATAGGGAAGGGAGGCCAAGGGATCGAGATTAGGGAAGGAAGTGAGAGTACGAAAGGGGGTTGGTTGAGCACCATCTGCCAGCCCATGGTTTAGTTTCGTTTCTTTGTTTGTTATGTGTTTGTTGTATGTCTGTGTGTACCTCGCTATCCATCTCTCGTACACAGTTTAGTCATTCGCGCGCGCTCTTATTTCTCCACTTGACAACAACCTGTGTGTTGTTTTTAGTTTTTGCAAAGACCTCGTGATCCTAGAAAACAATCCAAAAGAAACCAACAGAAAACAAAACAGATAAAGCCAAAAAAAAAAAAAAAAAAAAAAAAAAAAAAAAAAACGAGCAGAAAAACAAAACAAAGGTAACGCTAACCCACAAAGAAAAAGAGCGATGAAGTCCAAAAAAAAAAACAGGAGGACTATGGTTCTCTGTCTTCGACTATAATAGAAAACACATCTAAGGTTTGACACTTCTTTCTTGCAAGGTTGGGGGTGCTGATGCACTTCTGGGCATCGACTGCGGTGAGGGTCAAGTCAGTAGTGGTCAGGCGCTACTCAACAGCCTACCTCAGCTAACCCTAGGATCCATCCTAAACCAAGAAATAAAGAAGGAACAGCACTCCACCTTGGTCCAGGCCCGGGTAACATTCAAAATGTCATTGTGGTTTTGGGGGGGAGGTATTCGCTTCCATCTAGTGGTGGCTTCCCACCCCGGTAAACTTTTTTTTTTGGTACTGGGTCGATGAGAGAGTGAGACGGCAGGTCAGCTCTCCACTCAGGCTTTTTGATTCGTTCTTTTCTTCCACAACTGAAAAATGAAGAGAGCGGACGAGCCTTGACTTTGTTGATCGTTAGGTCTTCATTTGTTCTTGTTGCGATCGGGCATAAATCTCAAACAACGAACCCGGTCATCGGTCCTAAAATCCTATGGGCCAATCTCTGTTCAAACTTTTGCCCTCACCTTACTCATTTTCCTTCATGATTGTTGACAGACGAAGAAAAGGAACAAAGTTCAAAGAGTAATGAATGTCATGGCTCTTTTATTGTCTTTTCAACTGTCGATCAATCCTCTCTATGTTGTTCTTTTTCCTTCTTTCCTGGAGCAAATTGCATAAATGAGGGATCGAACCTTCCAATGCCGAGTTGAGGAAATTGAGAGAGGAAGAAGAGTGGATAAGATGAAGAATTGGCCGAGAGAGAGAGAGCACGCGAAGGAAATGCTACCTAGGAAAACCGGTAGTAGAGGAGGAGGGGAGTCTGTGGTTGGACACAGAGTTCAAGCAGGTAATTTGCCTCATTAGAAGGTTAGTGTATGAGTGAAAGGGTACATCCCACCCGGACAATCTTTTCATCGCATAAATCACAAACACCTTTACTTCGACCACTCCTTCAGAGTAACCAAAAGAAGGCAATTGAAGACAAACGGACTAGTCGGTTGTCAAGGAGTCAAGATTTAGACAGAGGAACCGCGACGTTGGGCGTTGGAGGTTGGGAGGTTTGGAGGGACGACTTGTCTACACCCCATTCGCTGCAGGTCTCAAACAACTTCCACACTCATTCATTTTACATACAACAAAAGCACCCACCACTCGCGTCTGATTGCTCAACCCTGGAGGTCCTCCTCCCTAACCCAACGCCCAAAGAACAGACAGCAGACGCCCAGTGTCGAAAAATGGGTACTTGCAAATGTGAATCTGAGCGAATGTTATAACGCAGATTATAGTCAGGTTGTTGTTTTTTTGTCTTCGTGTCGGTCGGTACCTTTCCGGGTGTACCTCCCTGTCTGTTCATCCCCCAAAATCTCGCTTTTGAGTGAGTGGGTGACTCCCTGACCTGATCCCTGCCTGGCTGGTCCCTCCCTCCGCCTAAAAACTATGTCAGTGCATAACAACACACTCTCTGTCCAACCAACTCCGATTTAGGTCAGGGATGAACAGTAAGGATGAACAAAAAGAGACCAAGGATATGAGCAAGAACAGGTTCAGGGGATCTTGCCTTGTACTTTTTTTTTTTTTTTTTTTTCATCCTTCCTTGCCTTTTTCCATCTGCTGGAAAAATTTGTCAGGGTCAAAGTGAACAAAAACAAACACGCATCTCCCTCTCCCTCGCAAAACAAAAACATGGTAACAGAAAAATGTTATGTAGAAATAAGAATACATACACACATAGACAACAAGCAAGGAGGACAGAGCATCGTGATGGAGAATGAGAAAAGAAGCGAGAGAAGGAGTGGAAGAAGGAGGAAGGTAGGGAAAACAAAAACGCGGTCCAATTGCGGACACTGAAAAGAAAACAAATAGGACAGAACAACAAACAGCAATCGCCTCTCTCTCTCATGCCTTCGTCCTATGGTGTCTACCGGCTTGCTTGTCTCGCTCGTCCCTCTATTTGTTATTCTTCAAGAGCGGCCCATCAAAACAAAAAAAACCCCGGCCACTTTAGCAGACAAAAGAAAGTCGGCTGCTTAGCCCTTGAAAGAAAATATTAAAATACGGTTCTCAATTCTATCTCCTGCCTTGCCTCCAGTTGCAAGAGAGGAGGACCCCATCGGACTCCTTCCCTCCTGTCCAGAAAGAGAGAAAGGGAGGAGTAGGGCTCACAAGCCTGAGTTTTTTTGCTCACACTCACACACTTACCCTCTCTCACTCATTCCTTGTATGTCTTTCATGCGTGCTCAATTTTTTCATGTCAAAAAGAAAAAGTGACAGGGGGAGGAATGTGTGTAGATTGTCATTCTGTCAATCAATGTCAACCAGACACCAGACACCAAGATCTGCTGGGCGGAGAATGGTTTTCAAATAAGAGGTAATAGATAGATATTTTATTATGTTACAGAGCTAGGATAGAATACACATTGGATGGGGTCGGGAGCTTGCTTTTTTTTCTTTTTGAAAGGTGAGCGGGTGTGGGAATCAAAAGAAAGAAAAGTGGTATCGTGAATATAGGGGAGGAGGTCGAGGGGAGGGAAGGAAGGGGAGAGATATAATTGTCTTGGCCCCTTCTCCTTCCTTCCCTCACACGTACTTTTCGCACCAACTTTTTTGGTCGGCCGCTCGGATAAAAAAAAAAAAAAAAAGGTAGCAATACAGAAGAAAGGTGGAGTAGAAAGGAAAAAAAGTGGGGACTCACTAAAAAAAAATTGAGGAGTTGGGGTAGTGGAAAAAAAAGATATTGACAAAGTTGAAGAACGAGAGGACGATGATGATGAAGGGTGACGATAGTAGACAAAGAGATAAAGAGAAAAAAAAGGGGGAGATTAGGCGCTCATGGAGCTATTCCTCTCCGCAGGATGGGATGATGATACCCTTGGGATGTCCGACGACGACGACGATGTCGAGACAAGGACAGGCACCTTCCCAGCCGTGTTTGGCGTTGCTGTCGTAGACGAAGTTGTTATCTTCTTGGGCTCCTTAGGTTTGGTTCCGACGACGAGCCAGACCTTGTAATACGACTGATTGGCCTCACATTCTTCATCGGCAACCTTCAGGGCGGCATCGCATTCCTCCTGGGTCATCTTGCTGACTTCTCCCTTGAGCCAGATCGTTGCAAGACCATGCATGTTCTGGAGAGACAGCGAACCAGCCTTACCGCCCCACGCTCCGACCGGGAGGGCAATGTTAAAGGAGTTGACGCTGGTATAACCCGCTTGTTTCAAACCGGGCTTCATCGTCTGGACCTCGCGCGGGTCAACGCCATGGCGGAGGGATGTTTCGAGCGAGAGCTGGTTGATCTTTGCCATCTGAGGGCCAGGGTTGTACACAATTCCATCCGACTCGACTAGTTGTAAAAATCCCTCTGGCTTCAACACTCTCAGCAACTTTTTTTTCACAAGGGAAAGAGAAAGAGCGCGCGTCAGTTGTCAGGTTGTTGTCATTTGCTCGTGCTTGTTTGTTACCCATCGACTTTTTGTTTATGTTGAAAGGCAGAATACATTCATTCATGCATTGCATGCATGGTTCGCATTCCCTCTTTTGTCCTCCATCCCCTACTCAGATACCCTCCTATCAGATCGAGTTTCTGTGCAACAGTACCAACCGTGTGCAACAAACAACGAAGTACCCTTTGTCTTTGTCATCCAACCACACACACAATACACATTATGAAAAGTCCGAAGAGTAGCACCAAACCCTTACCTCCCACCACAAAATTGAACAAGGATGAAAAAAATTTAACGCACAATGTAGGTGGGATAGAGAAGAGTGAGGAAGGGGAAAAAAAAAAGGAAGGACATGGTATTGACTTGGGAGTCAATTGAAAGGTGATGAATTCTTACCTCGGCGTTGACCTGTCGGCGCTGGACTGGAGAAAGAGCATAGACAAGAAGGCGCTGGTAGATGAAATCAAAATGGTTGTCAGGGAAGGGCAGACCATCAAGGATATTGCACAGCTGGAAGTGGCAGTTGGGGGGCTTGATCTCGGTGGGGAAGATGGCCGAGATATCAACACCATGGATCTCGGCCTTGGGGAACTCATGTGCCATCTCCAGAGCCCACACACCGGTACCAGTTGCGACATCAAGGATCCTCAAGTTAGAGGACTCGGGGTCGAGCTGGACGTTGTAGTTGCCCTTAAAGATAAAGCGGACAAGGTAGTGCTGTGCATCGAGGCGGTCGGATTCAGTGAGGTCGTTGGGGAGCATATAGGGTGCACTCTCGACAGTGTGTCGGGTGCGGCCGTCATCACAGCGTCGACTGTGATACGCCCATTCAGGGAGGGTTGACGTGGGCATGGAGGACGTGCCCGAGTGGGTGGTAGAGTTGTCAAAGTTGAATGTGGAGAGTTTAGACTGGTTCGAGTCGGAGGAGGAGGAGTGATGGGAGAATCCGGAGGAATAGTCGTCGTTGTGAGAAGAGTCAATAGAAGCATGGCGACTTGTTGGTACGACTTGGCTGTTGTTCATTTGGCTGGAGATGTATCGAGAGTTGTTGCTGTTGCTGTTGTTGTAGGAGGAGGAGGTGGGATTGTTGAGGGAGTTTGAGGATGAAGAGAAGCCGGTGTGGTGGTGGTCAGCACCATTGACGAGGGAGGAAGAGGATTTTGACTTTTTTCTGAACTGAAGGGAGGATTTTGACCGTTGGAAGAGGGAGGGCTTCTTGTGGAGGTCGAGGCCGTTTGGGGTCGATGACCGAGAGAGGGTGGAAGCCGTGTTTCCCATGGCTTTTTGTGTTTGTTGGTTGGATATGATGGGAGGGAGTGAGAGAGAGAGAGAGAGAGAGAGAGAGAGAGAGAGAGAGAGAGAGAGAGAGAGAGAGAGAGGGTTACTGTTGAAGAACAAAGAGGGTACAGAAGTGAGAGTGAGCGATGGAAAAAAAGTGTCCGAGAGAGAAGTGGAGAAGAGGAAGAGGAGGGAAGAGTGGAGAAGAGGAAGAAGAGAGACAAATGAAAAGGAGAAGAAAAAGAAGAGAAAGAGTGCGGCCGAGTCGAGATTGCTTTGATGCTGCTGATATGAACTGAAGTTGAGAGGGTTGAGCGGACGACGAACAGCCTCTTTATATAAGTGGACAGTATTGAGTGATACTATTCGATTTCTAATATCAATTCAATGGAGTATAAAGTGAGAAAAATGAATACAAGTCCGAGTCTGACTCCATTCATTTATTCCATTGAAAAACAATAATTGTCCGTTCGCAAAGAGGGTAAACGTAACAAGGACCCCTCTTTTCATTTCTCTTGCCCCACGACAAGTACAGTAGCTACTTGACAGATAGCGCCTAATATGAAGAGGACCAGAGGACTGGGAGGTAGCTCTTTTCCTTGTGTACCTCTCAACTGGGCTACTTCGTACTTAAACAAACAACATCACACTTGGGCCTTCTTCTCCCCCACATACACTTACACTTAAACAGACAAACATACGATCCCCCATCTGTATTTGGTCCATCTCTGTCATCCTTATTTTCTTGGTCAGTCAGTCAGTCAGTCAGCAAGTCATGCAAAAATCACGAACCATCGAAGAGGACGTTCTTCTACGTAGGAGAAGGTACCTCTCTGGTCTCTGCTGGTACTATATTACGAGAGTAGACTCAATAATTAAGCACTTGACGGCTAGACCTTTCTTCGTCGCCTTTCAATAACCCCATTCAAACAAACATATGTTCAGGACTATTAGATATTGGAGAAACAAACAAAAATCTGTGGGGGAGAACAAATGGAAGGAGAACAGACATGGCGACCGACACGACACACAGACACGGGGGCCTTCTTCGTGTTTATTGTTTGCAAATGCGCTGTTTGTTTGTACTGTACCTTTTTTGGTCGCGCACCTGTGGGTTGGTAACCTGACCTAGAGTGTGCATCTCTCTTCCACTCTCTTTCTCGTTCTTTCCAGCTCCTCCACTTACTCTCTTCACTCGGTTACCAACCAAACCAATCCAACCTTACTTTGATATGTCAACAGCAACCCCTTTCCAATTTCCTCTGCCTTGTCCCTACTCTGTCCTGACATGTCGGTCTGTCTGTTTTTCGGATAGACCCAAAACAAAATTAAAACGACAAGTATAAGAAAAAGGACTAAACGGAGAAAAGGAATGAAGTATAAGAAAAAAGGACTAAACGGAGAAAAGGAATGACATGGGAGGGAGACGCGGCAAAACGGAATTGATTTTCCTTCCCTAGAAAAAATAACGCATGCAAACAGGTTGGAAGGCCCACGAACAGAAGACAGTAGAAGGATCGAGTAAACGTTGACAAATGCATGCAAAGAAGGGCAGTGAAAGAAGTGGGCAAAGAGTGGGTGATGGACGATGTTGAAAAACGGCCATCTCGTCATTATCTTGCCCCTTTTTTGTTCCCAATCATTAAAAACGAACGGCCTTGAGATATTAGTATCCCATCGGTCACCTCTTTCCTTGGTGCTTGCTTGCTTTCCTTTGTCTCCTTTTACTTTTTCTCTATTTACGTTTTCTCCTTTGTCCTCTTCTCCAATGTGCCCCTCCTCCTCCTCTCCTTTGTTTCTCCTTTTCTTTCTAATGTAATATTCGAACTCTGCTTGTGGATCCGATGGAAAAAAAGTATAGGAAATCAACAGATCAGAGCATCTTCAACACAGATCAAAGGGGAAATAAAATGAAAAAGAGGGGCACTAAAGGGAAAAGGACTGAACGATGATGCGTAAGTGCATTGGCCGTTTTGTGTTCACGGAGTTGCCTTGCTGCTGGATCCTACGACTAAACACATAATCACAAATGAGCCAAAACAAAAATATTTTTGTCGTGTCTCGTGTGCGCGTGTATCATTCGTCGTCATCGATTCCTCATAAGCCACAGTCTTAGGCATACATTAGTGGCGTTCATACACGTGATCGCCAGCCGTGTGAGTGCCCTATGTCAAGTCAACCTACACACTTCTCCTCATAGTCCAGTGCAGTGCACTCTTGTCTGTCGTTTGGCGGGTGCATCTGCTTTTTTGTTCGTTGGTTCTTGGTGCGTGGTCCTTGTTATGTGCCATATGCCTAGTTTTTTCGATTCTAGCACTGTCAAGTATATTTCGTGAAACTGGTTGTAAAACAAAATAAAATGAACAGCCTCTAAGTTCGAAGCGCGTTTAGGTATGTGTTTTAACAAACGAACAAAACTTTATACAAAATGCAACTTGTACCCGCAATCCTAACACTTTGCGGGCATGTCCGCAGACAGGCAAGTGTTCCTAGCATGATGTTGCACATGTAGCAGGCCAGCGATAGTGCGTCCGAAAACTCTAAGGAGTCCGACTAAGTCTGGCTCTCCTCAGTCTGACGAGTGGCTCATCGCCACGGTTCGGGCCGAAGCCCAAAAAATCAAAAAAAATTAAATTATCCTCCCAGGCGAAGCTGGATTGCTCGCTTAGAGTAGCCTTTTTAAAGTGGGGTTTAACCACTCTGTCGATAGACTTGAACAAGCTGGGTCCTTTAAGATCGCGATGTCTGGCGTCCATGACAGAGGAGATAGACAATAGCATAGAAGGCACCCCTATGCCAGAAGCTATATTATTTTTTTTTTCGTACACAATTTTAATTCTCTAACAAACAGCATAGAGAAGTTATGTGGAAGTAAAAGGGGACTACAGACCAAACTCTTCAGTGCACCATCCACCAGTCGCAGTCCGGTCCAGAACCTGGCTCTGTGCAACAATCGCAGCTCTTCACAGCTTAAACGGAAGAAAATAAAACTTGTTACGTTTTTTTTTTTTTTTTTTTTTTTTTTTCTTTCCAAAACAAGGCAAATATTGGTGGCGTCAACCGCACGTGATGCAATCATATTATTGGGTATAGAGTCTAAATATGTAATGGAAACTAAGCTTCCAACGAGTTGGAGAGATGGCCGAGTTGGTCTAAGGCGCCGCGTTAAGGCCGCGGTCTATTCGTAGGCGTGGGTTCAAATCCCACTCTCTTCACTATATCTTTTGCCGTTTCCTTCACTGGAGAGGGTTTACTTTGTCGCGAATGTTGGACGTTGATGTTCTCTTTTGGATCAATCTATTTGACAACCCGGGTTGTTCGTTTTATTCAACAACCGAACACGTTTGCGTGCTAAGTCCATGTAAGCACTTTTTCATCTTTTTTTGATGATACCATGGAAGATGACACCAAACACTTGCAGTAGCGCTTGTTTTCGCCACTTCTTTATGGAGCACGACTCCCACGTTGTTCAAAGCGGTTGTTAAGATGCTTTTTATACGGAAATACCGTTTTTTTACGTGTGTGGTGGTGATGAAGACATAATTTTGGCTGGTGGTGGCATTCGATGGTTGAAAGGGCTTTATTAATGATGTGGATGATAAAAAACGAAGACGCTGCAACAAAAAACATCGATGTATTGACTTTAAAGAAAAATAGGTTGTCCATGGACTTAGCATGCAAAACACGTTGGGTTGTTGAATAAAACGAACAACCCGGGTTGTCAAATAGATTAATCCTTCTCTTTTGCATGAGGTCGCGCCAACTCTTGGTGTTCATTTTGGTGCCGCCTTTTCTTTTTGCCTGGCAATTGAGCTGGTACACCGATGTCCTTTTTGCATTGCAAAGTAAGGAGAGTTGGATGCAGCTCTGACATCGTCGCGATTAACAGCAACCGATCAAGATTTGGATCTGCAAAATGATCGTCGATGTGCTGCAATTTTAGTTGAGGTGATCAATCTGATAACGGTGAGAGCCGATCAGCTATTTTAACACGACCAGTCTTTTACTTTTCCTACGTTGACGCGAACAAGTTGGTTTAAGACAAAACGCGTTCAACTGATCGTCTTTCAATTGACCTTGCCCTGAAGTCAAAATTAGATTGGACGGGTAATGCACTGATTACCCTGAAAAATAATAAATGTTGCCTGTTAGGGAAAATGCACGCGCCATCTTATTATCTCTCCTTTCCGATCCCTTCTCTCCCACGATCAAGGCACCACTGCCTCCAGTCTCAATAACCGTCGATACTCCCCTCTTTCACAGCAAATCTTTCTTTGCTGCGCTACCACTCTAAGCGGCCAACCAACCACAGCACCCACATACCGCACCTCTTCCTACGTTTACCAGTAAAAAATACCTGCAGGCACGTCTCGACAAAACTATTGAACTACTCACCTAATCACCTTACCAGATCATTCAAGGAACGACGGTAGCGACTGTCATTCATTAGCAATGCGAAGATTCGCCCATTATCATCGCTTCGACTTCGCTGGCGCATGCAAAAATGAATTTGTTAAGGTTCTCCTTTTTTAGTTCGCTTTTTCTGCATCTCATCCGACATACCGGTCCATCTCATTTTTCATCACCGTTTCTATGTACGAGCAGTGTGCGTACTAGATCCTGTCCAATCACCCAAAACGCCTTGTTCCATCTTATTTTCCTAGTTCTATCTTCCAGGCATCTCCTATTATTTTTCCTCATTTAATCCACCTATATCTGTTCACTGTCTTTTTGATACCGCTCTTTTCCATGCATTATTTATCCTCGGACGACATTCTTTTCAGATCACCTTCCTTCTCCTCCTCCTCCTCCTTCCCATTTTTTCTTTCGACCCATGCTCCTTCTCAAGCTAACTTTCTTATATCGTCCCAGTTGGACTCTGCTCAGTTTCTGTGCACTTACACTCACCCCTTCGATCACCCACGTCCCGGTGATGCTGGGATGTAAATGAATTGCAATCGGCACTTGTGGCGCGTCCGTTGAATCGGCTGTAGCAGTGTTTCCAGAAATACTGATACCTGTTTATTTTCAACATGTCCAACGGAAGAAATGCCGTCGTCTTCGTTAGGGTGAACAGAACAAAATAATAAAGTTTAGGAATATGATTATTGGAAAGCCAAGCGTGTGGGAAGGTTAGAGAAGTAAAATTGTCTTCTTTTTTCATGCCTTTGTATGTGGTGTTTTTTCCGTTTGATTTTCTTTCGCCACTGTTCCATTTGCCATGTCAATCGTCAATCTTCTAAGAATTCAGTATCAGTTATCCTTCCTGTTGCTGTTGCACTGCTTCTATGGGGCTACAAAAACGAATTATTTCAATTAATTAAGTGTGTCGTTACATGAGAAGCTGGGAGCACATTTGGTTAATATACAGCGTCGGCTACCACTTAACGCATTTTTATTCTTTTTGTTTTCTCTCACTCCAAAAAAGAGCTGCTCTGCGCGATCAGGAAAAGATATATGACAGCGTGCACAATGTACAAATGGCTGTATCCCAGCTATGCGTGGAACGACGCAAGCGAGTTGCTTCTACCCCTATTGTTATCGGCTCCTTCTCCTCCTCTTCTTCCTCCTCCTCCTGACCGCAGCGACACCATGCGAATCGAAACAGACCCCAACCGCCGATCCACCCTTCAAGCCAAGTATCCATTCCTACAATCCCAAAGGTAGGCGAGTTTGGGTGGAAGCAGTTAGACGACCTCAAGGCCCACCCCTGCCCGTCCTGTTGGTCAGTCAAGAAAGTTCGAGGATTCCTTGCGTTTTTGCACTGACTACCGGGATCTGAGCTTGAGAGGTCACGAGGCCCATGCAGCTTATCCATACGCAGCAAGATCCTTACCATCCCTGATAAAAATCCAACCTTTTTCACAAAAAAATAAATTGTTGTCAAAGAAAGAAAAAAAACTCACTTTCTTATTCCTCGGTAACATTATTTTAATTCCAAGCAGCAAGCAACAGCAAAGCGCGTTTTTTTTATAAGCAGTAAGAGAAAAGCATTCTAGCGTCCGTTAAGTCTGGTCCTGACTAGAACCGGCATCGGTGCTGTTGCGCTTGTTCTTGACAGACTGTAGCACACGCTCACGAAGCAACTTTTCTCGCAACTGGTTCTCCAGAATCTTTGGGTCCACCGGGGCTGGTGCCGTAGCTGGTGCCGTCTCCACTGGTGCTGCCTTCGACTCTCCGTTTCCCGCTGCACTACTGTTGGTAGCCGAAGGTGGCGTCCGTGATCTGGAGCGTGTGTCCTTGCGGATGGTGCGACTTCCCGATCGGCTCCTGGACCGGCTCTGTGAACGCATACGTCTCCGTTTTGAAGAATCCGCGCCAAGGTCACCACCGCGACGTCCGTTCCTGTCACGATCGCGGTCCTGGCTCCTGTCCTTGCTCCGTCCACCATAGTCATCCCTCTGAGATCGACCTCCTCGCTCTCTGGTGTGCTCTCGTGAACGACTGTTGCTCCGACGACGAGATCCGGCTCCTCGATAGTAATCATCATCCCGTTTGTAATAGTCACGGTGATCTCTGTCGCGGCTCCTCTCTCTGTACCGATCCTGTCTCTTGGCATCGTGTCTCCTGCCACCGCCGTAGCCACCAGCATCTCTGCTCCGCGACCGAACGCGCGCTCTCTCACCTTCTTTCTCTCGTTCTCTCCCCCGTTCTTTCTCAAACTCTCTGCTGCGGCGTTCCTCGTGAGATTTGCGGTCCTCCTGCACTGGGTCTGGCTTGTTGTCAGGTTCTCTTCTAGTTACCGTGGGGTCCTATTGTCGTGAATTAGAAGATGTACCGCATGTTAGGTTTGCATACTTGTCGCCAGTCAAATTTTGCTGAGAAGGTAGCCATAGGAGCTGCAGTGTGAAAAGTGGTTCTACCTTGGCAACATCCAGTGCCTTGGGTCGTGACGCCTCACGAATAGCCTGAGCCTTCTGTTTGAGCTCAGCTGCGATCGCCCGCTCCTTTCCTTCCTGCTCTCTTATCCGTGCCAATGCATCCTCCTTAGTTTGCTATAGAAATGAGGATAGAATCAAGAAAACATCAACATATTGGAAAATCTCGCTCAAGTCGTCAAATGCTCTTGCTGTTTCGAAAGACCAGTGTTTCCTGCCATGAACAAAATTATCGCACCTTGGTCTTGAGGATTTCAGCCTTTGTAATATCCAGGAACTGCTGAGGAATTCCTCCAAGACTGGTCTGGGCAGAGATCAGCAGCTTCCAGAGCTCCAAAACAAACACTTGTGTGTTTTTGTCAAGAAATCCTTGAAGGTTGATCTGCATCGACTTCGGATCCGGGGACTATTCTCGCGACAAAAAAAGGACAATAGCGGGCGTGTGTTAGTGCATGTTGGATGTCCTATAGAACGCATACGCTGCCCTGAGCGTATTTCCTTCTTTTGCGATAGGTCTTGGCTGTTGGTGATGGTGGTACGTGTCTTACAGGTTCTTCCAGCATTCCGATGGCGTACTCGACAACGACCTCGTCCTCGATCCCAAGCAGTTGGATTACACGCTCTTCCATCCAGTCCTTGATAACTTTCATGTTGACCTTCTTCATATCAACCTATCAATTGACCATTGAGAAAATAAAGACAGGAGGATGATGAGTTGAAAAGAAAATAAAGACCGCAGCAGGTGGACCTATCAGCCAGCCCGATCTATCTGCTCAGTGATATTAAATGAAACAAACAAGATACCTTCTGGCTGAACTCTGGAGGAAAGTTCATGGACTTTAACATCTTTTTATGCTTGTCGCTGAAGCGAGTGTCCTGGCCGGCACTTGTGCCCTGAAGGGGTGGAAGTATTGGAGTAAGAGGGACACCATTCGTCACCAGAGGAGTTGTTGATGGGGGGAACTGATTAGCTGTTTGTTGTCTGTGAAGGGGTGCGATTGTGCGCTCTCAGGATTAGTTTACAAGATGACGACAAGCAGCAGAAAGCTATAGCAAAAGAGATCCCCTGCGGTTGCGTTGTTCTCGCTCTGATGTACCTTGAAGAATCCTGCGTCTCCCATTGTTATACTTGTGAGTGTTGTTGTTTGTTGAATGCAAGAGAGAAAGAGGCGAGATGTATGGAGAAGAATATGAACTGTTGTGGCTTTTTGTGTCACGTGCGTGTCAAACTGACTGGCGAAGAGGCAGTTAAGCAAGCGACGTTGCCTTTGCTGAAGTACGAAGAACTTTCTCAGGCGCCACTCTTACAATTCTCCAGTTTGACACACTTTTAACATAATCACTTAAAGGAAGAATAATACAAAGACCTGGACTCGTATTTTTCATAGAGGACAAGACTCTCGCTGACGTCTGTGTGAGTTGTATCATGCAAAAGATCGTAGTTTTCCTTTTGTCGCAGGGACATGGCGTTATATCGAGGGGAGAAGCATGTCCCTGGGGACCTTGATGGGTGTGTCCAAAATAAAATACATTGATCCCATCATTGCGTTCGAGTAACAAAGTAAAAAACTGAAAATACACAATGTTGCCGTGTCGCCTGAACAGGGTCTTGAGTACCTTCTGTCGCTCGGCAATAGACGGGTACCTCAATACGGCCGCTCTGATCCGCAGGCGATAACCTAGGAAGTAAAGGGCTTCAGAGAAGGGGCGCGAAGTTGTTATCACCAATGAGAGGAGGGGTACTTCAAGATCATCAATAGATCAGAATAGAGGGAAGGGGGGACGTTAGAAAGCAAAAGTAAGAGGAGAAAACAAGGTTCATGTTTACTAACTCCCAACAAAAAAATATGCTTTCCGGAGAATGACCTACCAACTTGATCGAAATAGTGAAGAAGCGACCTAGCAATCTAATATGAGCATGGAGTGGTCGACTAAGACTCCAAACACAACAAGCGAGGTGGTGAAGGCGAAGGCTATAGTGGGAAAAAATACCATGGACGGATGCTCTGTAGTCGATACAAAGACGAGGGCTAGATTAGAGAAAAAGGGTCATTGCCTGCTGAACGGTAGTCAGTGCACAGACGGGGCATTTTGTGATCCAGGAGATTTAGATAGTGTCAAAGAGGGTGAGGAGCGGGTGCAGATCAATGATATAAAATAGTGGAGGATAAATCGCATGTCAAAAAAACGAATGAACTAAAAGTCAGTACTGGACTGAAAGAAAACCATGGGAAGACAAGGAGGAAATGGGAGCAGTGACGGTGCGCGTGCTTACCGAGAAGTGGAGAGTTAAGTGTGTGGGAAAAAAAAGTGCCGCATACGGGCACCAGGTTGCTTGGACCGATCAAAGGCGATCAGAATGCTTTCAAGGTGCCTGATGCCATCATTTCGTGACTTTGTTGCATGGGTTCATGTCTTTATCTCGCCAAATTGTAATCTATCGCGACAAGCCTTTCAGCTATCACACCTCGCATCCCATGATTTCTATAGGTGCAGAAAATAAGCGTACGATCCCCAACTCGCATCCTTCAGGCATCGAGAGTAAAGGAAGCAAAAAAGTCGTTGATGGGCATGCAAGCATCAAGGAGAGCTAACGCGAAAAAAAACAGGCTAGGCCTCTCCGCGTCCAAAAAGTGAAAACTTAAGAAAAGCAAAAATAATTAGTGAAGAGAGTGGGATTTGAACCCACGCCTACGAATAGACCGCGGCCTTAACGCGGCGCCTTAGACCAACTCGGCCATCTCTCCAGCTCGTGGATTCTTGAATTTCTAAGTGTAATTTGATCTAATAACCAATTGTGTCACGTTGGTCGAGAGTTACGCGTTATTTGTAGTAACACGTGACATGCGCCGCCAATCAATGTTTTTCGTGAACTGCCGCACTCACATTCGCTGCAGCAGAAAAAGGAAAAGGAAGCACTCCGTCAACAACACCAAGCCAGGAGACTGCAGCAGAAAAAGGAAAAGGAAGCACTCCGTCAACAACACCGCTTGGTCGTCGCTCGCCTAAAAGAGATCCTATCCAGCCTCAAGGAAACGAAACCACGATACAAACCAGCCTTTGACACAGATGCTAGCTTTCCTTTGCAAGAACGCCATCAAGTCCAACCACCGCCTGTACCAGGACCCCCGACCACACAGATCGGCCCCCTTTGCCTGTCTCCAGTAGAGGCGGCGTCCATGCGCGTAGTTCAGGACACACACGTCGACAACTCCACCCCTCGCGTCCTGTACTCGGACGGATCTCTTCTGAACTCGGGAACGCTAGAAGTATCCCAGGCCTTTGGAGTGGTGGATCTCACTCAGGACAACCCTCTGACAGTACAAGGACGAACGGACGGTCACGCATCCTCGGCTAAAGCCGAGCTCATGGGCTTATTAGCCGCAGTCTTGTCAGCGCCACCGGAACAGGACATTGTGGTCAAGCTGGACAATCAGTACGTGGTGGAACAGTATAGTCGCCTGGTGAAGAATCGTCGGGACACCTTACCGAGGAAGCGATTCAGGAGTACATATGCGGGTATCTGGGCGGTGCTTTGTCAGGTTGTGGAATCTCGGCCAGGCGGGGTTGAGGTGGTGTGGATCAAAGGTCACAGCGACGTCCATGGAAACGAGCTTGCGGATCAGGCGGCGAAGGTGGCAGCACAGAGTGGTTCAGTGCCCTGGATGGTGGATCTCACTCAACAGACGGATATCACGACCTTTGCACATTGTTACGGCGGGATTGTTGAAATCGATCTACGTCAGCTCCTCAAACAACAATCGACAATCCGTCACCATCAGGCCTGGACGTCACAGAGGCGGGTCAAGAGGGCGATCCCTGACATCGATGACGTGGAATGGAACTCGACCTTGGCTTATGTCCATGACAGGCACGCAGTCTTCACCTTTTACAGCAACAGCAAGGACTCTCACCAACGCACACATCATATCAAAAAGCTGCATGGAATGCTGCCCACTCTGAACTCCATGCAGGCTCGCAAGCCCAACCTGTACCCAACATGCGTGTGCCGACGATGCGAGCTCGAGAAGGAGGATAACGATCACGTCTGGAAATGCCCTTCGGCAGCTGAGACCACCACTGAGATCTGGAAGGAGGCCATGGGCAAGATTAACGAGTGGGGTGTGCAGGCGACAAACAGCTACAACGCAGCCAGGAAGCGAGAATACAAACGCGCGGTGGACAGAGGTCGTCAGGTACCGAGGCCAGTACCCATACACTGGTGGCCCCCTTCGGATGCGGATCATGTGCGAGGATTTTCCTCCATCGGTGGAGCTCGAGCCGTGCACAGCGATAGTCCAGCTCTCGATCGAGACGAGAAACCGATGTGGAATGTGTCGGATCTCCTCCGCGGCATCACCCCCTTGAGCATGTTGACTGAATGGTCCGCGGTTTTCCGGACCCCAATGTCCATCGCCAAGACAGTCCTTCACAAGTTTGTTGGCTACCTGGAGGCGCAGGCCTCGGAGCTGATCTGGAAACCTCGGTGCTCCGCGACAATCGCATGGGAACAAAGCCAGGGCATCTCTGCCAAGGATAAGACATCCAAATATACAGGCCCCCGAGGTGATTGGAGTCAAGGATACGGTTACATCACGCACGATGGTTTCTGTCCGTGTGGCGCTTCGCTAGCCACACATTGTGAAGGAAGGTGCCCTGGGGCGACCAAGGACCCACGCGCTGCTGACGAGCGGTTGTCGGAGAGTTTGTTAGGAAGGAGGAGGTTGTCAATGATGGAGAGGATGGGAAGAATCCCCTTCATTCGTATCTAGTTTTATTTTCTTCCGTTTAAGCTGTGAAGAGCAGCGACAATTGTTGCGCAGAGCCAGGTTCTGGACCGGACTGCGACTGGCGGATGGTGCACTGAAGAGTTTGGTCTGTAGTCCCCTTTTACTTCCAAATAACTTCTCTATGCTGTTTGTTAGAGAAATAAAATTGTGTACGAAAAAAAAAAAAAAAAGCACTCACATTCGCCTCTGGACCCCAATGTCCATCGCCAAGACGGTCCTGCACAAGTTTGTTAGCTACTTGGTGGCGCCGGCCTCGAAGCTAATCTGGAAACCTCGGTGCTCCGAGACGACCGCGTGGGAACAGACCCAGGGCATCTCTGCCAAGGACATGACATCCAAGTACACAGGCCTCCGAGGCGACAGGAGTCAAGGATACGGTTACATCACGAACGATGGTTCTGCCCGTGTGGCGCTTCGCTAGCCACACATGATGAAAGAAGGCGCCCAGGAGCGACCAAGGACCCACGCGCTGCTAACAAGCGGTTGTTGGAGAGTGTGTTGGGAAGGTGGAGGTTATCAATGATGGAGAAGATGGGAGGAGTACCCATTATTCGCGTCTAATTTTATTTTGTCTCCCGTTTAAGCTGTGAAGAGCAGCAACAATTGTTATGCAGAGCCAAGTTCCGGACTGAACTAGAACTGGTGGATGGCACATTGAATAGTTTGGTCTGTAGTCCCTTTTGCTTCCAAATGCCTCTTTTGTGCTGAGAAACAAAACTGTTTACAATTTTTTTTATTGCAGTGTAGGAGGGTGTGAGAGAGTGGAGGGATGAAGAATGTCAGATAGCGTTTTTAGTGGTGGATCCATTACAGTACTGATGATGAGTTTCTGCGGCACGCATTGACTTTTATGTTTGTTTATTCCTCGGGTAGTGGTATCGTTTTAGATTTATTATCCGAGAGAAAGAGGGAGCGACCATTGCTGCGGGCGCAGGAATGGGGACAGCAGCAAACACAATCATTCCTCCAGTGTAGTTTGTTCCACATCCAAACAAAGAAAAAAACTAGCGTCCTGCAGAGAACTACGGCGCGCTCCATCGACTGCGGTCCATCATGGTCACTGCACATAAAAGGACTCCCTCTCCTTGCCTCTCAACCAAATCACAAATACACTTCAGCCTCTCAAACGACCTCTCAAGTCACTACACTCGACGCACATAGCCAGCAGCTAAAAGGCTATCATATCGACCATGTCACCCATCATCTCCAAGAACAAATACTTTATCCTCACAGACAACGGGTAAAAACAAGCAGTTTTTGTCCCTCTCTTTTCGTTTTGAACAGAACATAAACAACGACAAGAGAACAAGAGAGGCCTCATTTACCAGTGGAGTTAACATACACCTCGGATAAAAAAAACCAAATGCGCTCGTTTAGAAACACCAATACTACCTCAGTCATGAACGCCCGCCAACCCGAAACCGTATACCCTCAGTCGTCGAATGAATCCAACGACGACAACAACGACAGCAACAACAACCTTACTCTGAACAACGACAATAACAGCGAAGATGATGGCGAGTGGGTCGTCATGGCTTCCGTCAAACGGCAACCAAGACGACGACCATCCCATCACAACAACAACGCCATCAACACAGAGAACGAGAACCGGAACTACTTGGTCGAGGATGACTCTGAGGAAGAGGATGGATACATGTCGTGGACTGAGCATGAGCTTTCGAAGCATGCCAAGGCTACTCAACTCAAGAATATCCGTACACACCCTGGTGTCCCCCTTGCCGTCAGACGATCCTTGAAATAGTCCTTCCCTCTTTTCTCGGTTCTGTATTTTCTTTCTTTGCTCTCCACGCTGCATTTTTTTCATTCACACAGAAATAAACATTTCTCTCATCCAAAGCGGCGTCGCACACGATTATTTATTTTTGGGAAAAGAGAGAATAAAGAAGGGTTCAGGGGTCTCTTGTCTTGTCGGTAACAACACTCCTGGTAGCGTCGTCCCAATGGATCGCATAACAACAGATAACCATCTTCTTCTGCAACTTTGGAATAAACACCGTCCATTCCTCGACCTCACACTCCATCCCGGCGGCCTCCAACACCTTCCGACTCGGCACATTGTGGGTATATGCCTCGGCCCTCACAATATCAGAACCCCGCTCCTTGAACAAGTATTCCTGCACTACCCATCGCGCGGCTCTTGATGCATGTCCCTTGCCGGTATGTTCAGGACTGACCCAGTACCCAATGGCGCCAACCTTGAGTTCTCTTCCTGACTCCGGGTGGACTCTCGTGCCCGAGTCCTCAGGTAAGAAATGTGCGTGGATCCAGCCGATCATTTGACCGTCGGGCGAGGATCGCATGGCCCAGCAACTGGTGTACCCAGACTGGTTATCTCGGATAAAGGCGTTCTCGAGACGGGTACGGGCGTGGGATTCGAGGTATGGGTATTGGAAGGATGCAGTGCCGTTGTAGATATCTTTGTCGAGGTTGATCACCCGGACCATCTCGGGGATGTCGGTATACTCGACTGCTGAGACGTAGTGTGGGGGATTGTCGCTGATTTTGAAGGGTCCCGAGCACTTGTTGTCCTTGTTCCGTGGAACTGGCGCCTTGTCTTCCTGCTGTGTCATGTTGTCGTGTGTGTATTCTTGGTTGAGGTTTGTGATGTGAGAGAAGAAAAATGAAAAGGAAAGAAGAAAAGAAAAGAAAAGAAAGGAAAAGAAAAAAAAAAAAAAGAGAGGACGAGTCGAGTCATTTTATATCGTCTCTTCCCATCCTTTCTTTTTTGCAGTTGACACACGCGACACTCAAACCTTACGTGTGTAATGACCACGCAGAAAACAAAAAATCAACCTCCCGTTGCTACTTTTTTTTAACACAAAAACCTTGCCTTGGACCATTCATTGACAGCGACCACTCGCATCCACATGGATGCGTAATCTGTATACAGCCAGTTTGAGACGACGTTATTCGTCTTTTGTTTGTGCACGCTATTTCTTTCGTTTACTTGCCATTGCCAAGAATCGACTGCGGATGTGAATAAACAACGATAAGTTATGGAGGAGCCCACCGTGGGAGAAAATCTGTCAAAGAGGAATGACACAGATGACACACCGACATATCGCACTAATGCACACTCCAAAAAACATAGTTATCATCCTTTGTTGTTGTTTTTTTCTCTTAGCTGGGCGAAGTCTGATCACCAATCAGATGGCAATTTATCACCAGTATCAAGTGTATGCATGCTAATGCAAAGGCGAAACGGGGTGCCCTTTCTTTTATGTGTCTAGTTGGGTGTAATAACAGGGAAGGTGGAATCGACTCGGTGCGCTGCATAACAACTGTCAACCATCTCCTTCTCCAACTTGTTCGAAAACACAACCTTCTCCTCCACCTCACATCTCATCCCTGCAGCCTCCAGTACTCTCCGACTCGCAATGTTATCCCTATACGCCACCGCTCTCACGATATCACACCCTCGTTCCTTGAACAGAACCTCATGCACAATGAACCTCGCTGACCGGGACCCGTATCCTCGGCAGATATGCTCAGGACTGACCCAGTACCCTATCACCCCAATCTTCAAGTGCTTTCCCGTCTCTGGGTGAGTCGCGCATCCAGGAGGTAAGAAGTGTGCATGGATCCATCCCATCAAAGGACCATCGGGTGAAGTCCGCATGGCCCAGCAGGTAGTATATTCAGTCTCGTTGTTTCCCCTGATGCGGGCTTCAATTCTTGTGCGGGCATGGGAATCTAGGTGAGGGTACTCGAAGGAGCCGGTTCCGTAGTAGACGTCCTTGTTGATGTTGAGGACCCGGACGACCTCGGGGATGTCGGACAGTTCGACGGGGGTGATGTAGTGCGGTGGGTCCTTGGAGAGTAGGTATGGACCTGAGCACTTGTTGTCCTTGTTTCTGATGACTGATGTGTCGTTTGTCATTTGTGTCGAATGGTTTGTTTGTTTGTTGTTGTTATTGTGCGTGTTTTGTTTTGTTGAGGCAATCCGCCGCCTTTTATTATTTTCTATCGAGGGCGAAAAATAGAGTCACTCTGTATCCATTTTATGGGAAAGTGAAAAAAAGGAGCACAAACTACGACACATGCATCATCATCCCAATCTGAGTGGCATCTTGGCGTCGAGTGGGCGCAGTATTTGTATCTAGCAAGACTCATAGCAAATGCAATTGCGAGAGGTGAAGGGATTGACTGTTGAGGACATATACAAGTGACATCTACTCGACCCTAGTTGTCTTCTCCACCATTCCACAAGTCTCTGTCTTGCTGACATAGTCAAGGGACAATGAAATGATAGCCATTGTGCAGTTGACAAATGGGAGCATGATGTCAGGGTGATTTGGAATTCATTCTGAACCAAGAGAAAAAAAAATTAATCCCCATGGCGACCTGCAACCCAACAGTCGCGATTCAAACACCATTGGGCGTGTTTGATTGATGTCGTTGTTGTATTCACCATGGGTATGCCTATATCGCCGATTTGCGCACGTCTCTTTCTTTTCCTTTTCGCATCCTCTCCCGTTCACCCATTACAATAATAGCCTTACCTCGTTAGCAAGACAACAAAAAAAATTATTCGCCCATCCACACCTTCGGGTCCTTTCTCTGTTTTTTCTTGGGTGCTTGTATTCTTAGCTGAAGAAAAGGTAAACCACAACAAGGTGAATCTAGATCCGTTTCTTTTTCTTTCCTCTTTGTTTGTTGCGCTAATCAAAGCAAAGACACGCGAACAAGCGACAACTCTCCTCTCCCACTCCTTCCCCCAGAATAGATACATCCACACCCCCACCTTCATCCACCTCGAACAGTGACACTACACAATCAAAACTATCGCGTTTCAGATTCCCGGCGCGCTGATCGAAATCTTTTCATTTTATCCGTTGTCTTTATTCTTCGCTCTTTGTCATTCCCTTTCCTTCTCCTTCTCTCTCTTCTCTCCTCCATCTTCTCTTTCCTTGCTTTCTCCTTTTCCTACTACCGCCCATACTCTGTCCCCTTCGGACCATCCTCGACTCTCTTTCCCTCTCCTTCTCTCTTCTCTTCCCTCCACACAAAACACTTACATCATCCAATTAGATCAGGAGCTACTACAGTTGCACAGCAGATAGACCTTACTGACAACGAAGCAACCACGACCACAACCCCTCTCCCCTTTCCTTCCCTGACATCAACACCTTTCAGCAATGAAGGTTGCATGCCTCTTGCCATTACCCTTGCTACTGGCCCCCTTCACCCACGCCGCAGACTACCTCGTCCGCTTCAAGGAAGGCACCCCCGCCCCAGTTACCCAACAAAATGGCATCTCCAGGATCGAGACCTTCGCCACCGTCCAGTCTGCAGGAGGAGCCTCCCAACCCAAGTTTGACTACCACTCCAACGTACTCGCCCTCACCGTCTTGTCTCTCTCCCAGGCCAAGGCCTTAACGACTCACGGTGACAAGAACAAGCACCGTCATGGCAAGTCCAAGGCCCAGGTTGAGACTACCGCCACAGCAGAGGCGACAGGAGGTGAGACTGCTGTTCAGATCAAGTCCAAGGGTCGCTGGTTCACTTTTGACGACTCTGAGTTCCATGTCTGGCACGGAGACTTTTCGGAGACCGAGGCCAAGATGTTGGCCCAAGATGCCGGTGTCGAGATGGTCGAAAAGGATATGGTGATCAGGTTCCCTGAGCTGGAACAGTACAGCAACCAGACGGCCACGGCACTCAAGATCATGAACCTCGAGCGGGCCTATAGCCTTGTGGACGAGCACTTGTCGGCCTTGGAGCTCAAGACGGCGAGGAAGAAGGCTGTGGAGAAGGATGCAGAGGTGCATATCCCCAACATTGACGAGAAGGAGTCGTCGTCGCGGCGCAAGTCGAGCAAGAAGATGCACTTCGCGAGCGAGTTTGTGCAGCCTGTCACTGCCGAGGATATTCCTGGACCCAACAATGCCTACACTATCCAACAGCATGCACCCAGTTGGGTATGTTGTCTTATCCGTTAACGGCTATTGTTGTTTTCTTTGTCTGTTCCACCCGTTGATTTGGATTTGCATGAACTGACACATTTTTTCTGTTTCTGTTCGCTTCTATTTGATCGTGATGAACACTGGTTACTCAATCACACGTCCACGGCGCGTTACATCATTTTCTCCATACGTGTTTATAATTTATGAACAATAGGGTCTGCCACGCGTCTCTCAGCGCACTCTCCCACTCAGCTCCGACTACCTCTACCCTAACTCGGCCGGAGAAGGTGTCGACGTCTACGTCATCGACACCGGCATCAACATCCACCATGTCGACTTTGAGGGCCGCGCTCGCTGGGGTGTCACCACCGTCCCCGGCGCACCCAACACCGACGACAACGGTCACGGCACCTTCGTCGCCGGTGTCATCGGCTCTCGCACTTTCGGTGTCGCCAAGAAGGTCAACCTGATCGCCGTCAAGGGCCTTAACAAGGAGGGCACCTCGACCCTCTCCCAGATCCTGGCCGCTCTTGACTGGGTCACCAAACAGAACGCTAGTTCGTCCAACCACCGTAATGTCGTTAACCTCTCCCTCGGGGCCGGCTACTCCAAGGTCCTCAACTCTGCCATTGATGCCCTGGTTCGGTCCGGCTTGTTTATCGTCGCCGCGGCCGGAAACGGAGACGAGCACAATATCGGTCAAAACGCCTGCAACTACTCCCCTGCCTCCGCACCTACGGCCTTCACAGTCGGATCGACCAACATAAGCGACCAGATGTCGTCCTTCTCTAACTATGGTCCATGTGTCAACATCTACGCCCCCGGTGAGCGTGTCCGCTCAACCTGGATAGGTCCCACCAACCGCGAGATCTACACCGACAGTGGCACCTCCTTCTCTGCACCCAACGTCGCCGGTATCGCCGCCCTCGTCATGAGCGCCGAGAGTGGGGACCGTTCAGACGGATCCTGGTCACCCAAGGGCATCGGCAGCCGCATCCTCCAGCTCGGAACCCGCAACGTCATCCGCAGCTTCAAGGGCCCCACCAACACCAACCTCTTGGCCTTCAACGGGGCTGGCATCATCGGTATCGGAAGCAACAACAGCAGCAACAATGGTACCAATAATAACCAAGGCGGTGGAGATAACAACAATGGAGGCAACGGTGGTGGTGGGGATAACGGTCCAAAGGTTCCCCCTTTTGGATCAAATACCACCACCCCACTCGTTAATGGCGCCGCATCTGTCAGCAGTATCTCGAACCATGGACCCACCCTCAGTGTCTTGCAGACATTGACGATCTTGTCTATTGTTGGTGCTACGTTTGCGTCTGTTGTGCTTTCGTTGTAATTAGGGTGTCCTCGTACTTTTGTACATAGATTCTTTTGCCTGGTCCCCTCTTTCTTTTCAATAATATTCTGCGATTCTCTCTGAACCTCTCTTCTCGAACTCGCGCTCTCTCTTTTCTCTCGATTCCTTAATACCGAGATATTAATCACGGTAACCCATCACTTTGTCGTGTTGCACATGTGAAGATACTTGACAGTCGTGAGCGTCCAGTGGCATTATTATTTTGTATTCAGATGAATTATGCAAGCAGGAAGCTTGGAAACAGGAGAAAAGGGAACTAACAAAAAAACATTAGAGCAACATATCGCCAACGCGGATACCACAGATCTCGATAGGAGCCGTAGTGGGTTCTTTCATCTCGAACCTCAAGAACTGGATCCCGCGAGTATCAAGCTGGATGCCAATCTTTCGACCAACATCTGTGCATCGCAAGTCCTTCATCCTTATCGACCCTGTCGCTCTCTCTGTCTCTCCCGTGCATGTCATCTACCGAAACAATTGTAAGATTTTTTTTCGCATTAGCTAATGACAAGTAGTACAAAGTAAAGTCCCCGACCATGCGAGACAATAAAACAATACATAACAAACAGAAACAAACAAAATAAGAAACGAAGCCATGGCTTACCCAGTTGTTCCCATCAACACTAGCCTTAACAACCATAAACTTGCCCAAATGAACTAACGTTGCCTCAAATGTCGACCAAACCTCAATCGATTTCGCCCTCTCCCCCAACTCCAACAACGGCAACACAAACCTCAACCCAAAATACCCGCCCTTTTCCAACGGATGAAAGCTCTGCCAGCATGTTGAGAGGTCTTGATCGACAGCATAGTGGTAGGTATGCATGACGACGAAATCTGGTTTTGGGTAGTTTAGGGATTTGAAGCGCGCTTCGTGCGCTTGCAGGATGTCGCGGTGTTGGGTTGTTGTAGTTGTGGGAGAGGTGGTAGAGGGGTTAGAGGTGTCGGGATTCCATTTTATAGATTCTGGTTGAGGGAACATGTCGATGTTTGTTTGAAAGAGGCATTTGTCATTTGAGCAGCTCGATCTATTTTGGAAGAGAGTGTGTTCATTTAGTTAGTAGAGGAGAAATGAAAGAGAGGGTGGATGAGTGGACGAGTGGACGGACGTTCATTCTTTTCCTCCTTCGTTAGTCGTCATTTGTACCTGGTATGACGGTCCTTGAAGGCAGGAAGTTCCTCGTCAGCAACAAAGTCCGACTTGGCTCCGACTCGGTGTGGCGACCCATGGACGACTCCTGTTCCTGAAAGCACTGTTGTCAACCTGAACATCGCATCCGTCTGTTGAAGATTACAAAAACGAAGATCACGGTTAACATTGGTGTTTCCTCTGCTCAATGTTAGAGAATTCAGGAGTAAAGTGTCCATCCTCTCCCCTGACTTCCCCCCCCCTTCTTCCTTCATCCTTTTGTATCCCAATTACACGCTCCAATTACCATCCCTCCAGACAAACAAATAAACAAACAAACAAACAAACAAACAAACAAACAAACAAACAAGCAAACAAACAAACAAACAACAACTAAGCGAGAACGTACCATGTGCTCATAGACAACGCTCCACTGATCAATCCGTCCACTCCAACTCGAACTCTGGTCCAACGGCGCTAGGGCATGACTCAACACAATCGGATACTGATTCCTCCAAAGCGCAAAAAACAGATCCCCTAGTTGCACTCGCTCCTTCCACAAATTACTCCCGCCCAGCTGCATCAAGAACTTGAACACTGCCTTCTTGGGCATAAACGACCCGGCCCCCAACCACGAGAAGCCAGTGTGTAAACCTAGTTGCGGGTTCTGGAAGGTCCAGGAACGTTGTTGGGCGGCCATGGCCGGGATGGTAGATGTTATGAGGGAGGAGGGGTTGTCGACCATGAGGGAGTACATCGAGTCGAGGGAGAGGTTTATCCAGTCGTCGTCTTGGATGTAGCAATGTTCGTATTTTGCGAGGGTACATGTGGTGTATTTTGAAAAGTCGTGCAGGTTTGCAACAGAGTTGAACACTGAGATCGACGGCCATGTTTGAGTAGTGGTGTTGGAAGGGAAGTCGTGGGTGGTGGAGAGGACGACGTCGGGGTTGTTGTTCCAGATGAGGATCTCTTGGATGAAGGGGTATTTCCGCAGGTGGGCGACGACGGCCTTGACACCTTCTTTGCGCTTCCAGGAGAGGATGACGGCGGTGATGGGGACGTATTTTGATGCTGGGCCGGTGTTGATTCCGCTTGCACCGGAGGAGGATGATAGGAGTGATGAGGAACTAGATGAAGAAGACGACAACGAAGAAGGTGATGAAGACGAAGAGCCAGGTCCGCCGTTGCCGTTGGACTTGGGAGAGACAAAGAGCGAGGCAGGGAAAGAACTGACACGAGTAGGCCCCACATCCGCCAAATCGGTCCGGTAATTAGACCGCTGGTCCCACTCCATCAACATCAATATCCTCTCTCGCTCCCTCAACTTATCCACTGACAGTGCCACCGCCGCCCCTGCTGCTTTAGACTTGAAGACCCCATTCTTGTTCATCACAACTCTCTCCTTGCTCGTCCTGTCTCCATGATAGTTACTGTTCCCGAGTCTCCCTGCGCCATGACCAATACTATCGCCAGAGTATGAACGCGACAGAAGGTAGAGTGCCAAGAAGGAGACGATGACGAGGAGGGTCCGGGAGGAGGAAGTCCGTTTGAGGAGTGTCCTGAGGAAGCACTGTGCCTGGGCTGTCCATTGTGCGACGGTAGAGGTCCTGGGTTTCACATGTAGTGGTAGGATCTCTGATTGTTGTTGTTGTTGTTGTTGTAGTTGTCCTGGCATTTGGGCTGTCCTTTTAGGGTGGTTGAAGTGTGGTTGCTTGTTGTTGGAAGTGGTGTGGGGTAAAGAAGGAGTCGTCTGTGTAACCGAGCTTCGCTTGTCCTGGTTTGTTTTGGCGGGATATGATAATTTTGGGCGTGCTGGGTCTGAGCGGAAAAGAAAAGAAAGAACGTAAAAGAGGAACAAAAAAAGAAGAGATGCAAAAGGCGAGCGAATGGAGTCGTTCAAGGGCGTGAACGTGCGGGGGTGACGGAGAAATAACGAGAAAAGGGAAAATGTGTGTGTGAGAGAGAGAAGGAGAGTAAGAGGCAAGGGAGGAGGGTGAAGAGAGCAGAAAAAAAAACGAAGGGCGCGTTTAAGGAAGGGGAAGAGAAAGGCTAATTGGTTCGCGTTTCTCGTTCTTGGATGTTTGCCTGCCTTCCTGCCTGCCCTTCGTCTCCCCCCTTGATGGATAGTGTCCCTTCGCCCAGAAAAGGGGGGGCCTTTCACCATTGCTCATATATTTTTTTCTACAGCTAAAAGCGGATGCAAGGTCAAGGAGGAGTAAGGGATAGACGAGAATGAAAGAGGCCCCTGAACAAGCGAATGAACAGTGGCATGATCACGTTTCGTGGTATTTGCATTTGTTGCTAACTAGCCAATAACGTCCACGCCAACCTACCATCTACACTCATTCCATCGTATGAAAAATCAGCCAGAACAACAACAACAACAACAACAACATCAGAGTGAAGTGTGTCGAGATGAATAAAATGCAAGAATAAATATTATTATGAAATTACCAAGTAGCTCTAAATGCGTCCCTTGACCCAGCCCTCAAGACCTCCAGCAACCCAAATCTCCTGAACACTCTTCCCAAGACTACCAACTCTGTAAACCTTATCCTCCTGCCCCTCCCTGCTAACCTGAACCTTGCCACTCGCCAAGGAAACAGTCGCCTTCCAACCAGTCCGGTCCGTCAACTTGGCAGTACCCCTTTCGGCCGCCAGATCACGCACCAGTTCAGGACTCTCCATCAACAACAAGCCATTGTTGATCGAGTTGCGCTTGAAGGTTTCTGAGAACGATCCTGCAATAAGGAGTTTAACGCCTGCAGACAGCAGGGCGGTGGCGGCTTGTTCACGAGAGGATCCTGTACCAAAGTTAAAGCCTCCGATGAGGATGTCGCTGGGCTTGACGATGCTTGCGAATTGGGTATCGTAGTTTTCCATGACCACCTTGCGCATGGTCTCCGGGCCAATGTCGTCCTGGTAGGTGTATTTTCCGGGGTAGATGCCGTCGGTGTTGAGGTTGTCGGCAGGGCAGAAGAGCAGCTCGCCGGTCATGTGGGAGGGGAAGTTGGGGATCGTTTCGTCCGAAACTGCAGCAGCCTCAGTGTTGACTGATGCTGATGCACTGCTGAGGGTGATCAAGCTAGTCTTTGGTATGGGGACAGTGCCGGAAGTGGCGATGGAGGAAGGGGCGACGATTTTTCCAGAGATGGCGGAAGCGGCGACGACTGCGGGAGAGGCGAGGTAGGCGAGTGCCTTTGGAGAGCCCATGCGACCCTTGAAGTTGCGGTTTGTTGCCGAAATACCAATCTCTCCATCCTGCAGCAATCCAGTTCCCAGACCTAGCGGAAAGTGATAATCAGAGCGTGAAGTGTCATTGGTTAGCGATCGGGGTGATTTACAGTCACATCTTGAGTTGAGAACGATAAAGTCCATCATCATCAAATAATCACCTACCAACGCAGGGTCCACATCCAGCAGGGAGGGCAATGGCACCAGCATCCATAAGCGCCTGCCAGTCGCCCGTCGACTCGACCTCAGCCTGGACCTCACTACTCGCCGCGGCGACATAGAATTCAACACCCTCAGCAATCTTCTTGCCCCGAACAACAGCCGCAGCCTGACGGAGATCGCTCGCACGAGAGTTGACGCACGAGACCAAGTAGGCCTTGTTGATCTTGACATCCTTCAGATCCTGAACCGACTGGGCAACCTTAACAGAGTTAGGACCCGAGATATAGGGCGAGACAGTCGACAAGTCCAGGACCAAATGCTTGGCATAGGTAGCGCCATGGTCAGGCGAGAACTTGTTCTGGGCCAACTGCTCAACTCGCTCCTTGTTGACACGTGGGTGAACAAACTCCTGACCAGCAGGGACCTTTTCAATGTTCTTGTTGGTGAACCGAGTCCTCTCCAAGACCTGGATTCGCTTCTGGTAGTACTCCCTCGTCACATCATCAATAGGGAACACACCGGCAAGGGCACCCCACTCCGTGGTCATGTTGGCAATCGCAAGGCGGTCCTCAATATGCAACGACTGCACACCTTCGCCTGTAAACTCGATCGCCGTATTCAGGACCTCATCCTTGTTAAAAACCGAGCACAACGTAATAATCACATCCTTGCCTGTCACACCGGGAGCCAGCTGGTTCTTGAGCTCGACCTTGACAACGGGCGGGACTTGCCACCAAGTCTGGCCTGTGGCCCAAATAGCAGCAGCATCTGTCCGGACGATGGGTGTTCCGAGAGATCCGATACCGCCGTACATGTTGGAGTGAGAGTCTGAGGCGACGGTGAGTGTTCCTGGGAATGCGTATCCTTCCTCGACCATGACCTGGTGTCCGATACCGCGGCCTGCTGGGTAGAAATCGACTTTGTTCTCTCCTGCGAACGCCTCAATCGTTGCGTACTTGTTCAAGTTCTAATCCATCGGGAATGTGAGCAATGGGGAACGACAAGGCAAATAAAGGATCAGTGTTTTTTCTTTCTTGTCGCATATGCCTTCCTGGTCTTGGTTTTTCCTCCGCCACACGCACTCGCGCATCTTTTTTGAGTCGAAAAATTACCTTCTCGGTCTTGTTCTGGACATCGTGGTCGAGTGCAAACACGGGCTGACGAGGGTTCTTGAACTGAGCTGCACCAATACTCTTGAACCTATCCAGTCAAAACACCAACAAACACGGCATATTGTAAGTCATCGTTTTTCTTCGGAGACAAAACAAGGTCATCTAATAATGACCTTAACAAGTATCAAAGAGTACTTACTTGGAGATGACGGCGCCGGTGTTATCGTGGGTGAGGACGTGTTCGGGCCGGATGGCAACAAAGTCGCCACTGAGGATAGTCTGGTTAGGGGAGAGGTCTACGGCGTATCGCTGGGCAATCTTTTCGATCATGTTTTGTGGCTGGAAGGCGGTTGCGGTGGCGAGCATCCTGCGGAATGTTCTTGAGGAGTAGCGATTTGACATTGTGTTGTAGGAGGTCGATAGGGACCTGACTGGTAGTGTCCTGAAGTTCATAATGTGTGTGTTGTGTGATAGAGTGGGGAGGGGAAGGAAGGATGAGGGATGGGAGGGGTGGGTATGGGTGAGGTGCAAAGAAATTAGAGGAGGAAGAGAAGAAGAAGAAAAAGAAAGGAAAGAAACGCGGGGTAAAAAGAAGAAGGCAAGACCGAGCAGGAGGAGATGAGATCGTCGAATGTGTCGAAGCCATATCAAAAAAGGTCAAAGTGATCCGAGACGATGATGATAGATGCGATGTGATGCGATCAAACTTTCATATCCATCATATGTCGACAAAAGTGACTGCGATGGACAATTCATTTGTTGGTTAAGGGCGTTTCATTCAATCACCTGACATGGGCTGCTGTTCAGTTCCAGGGGCATGAACGAACAGGTGAGACAAAGTAAATGGTCTGATATCGAATCGAGACCTTTTGATTCAAAAGTCAAAAACAACTCTAATTTGTCTCATCAGTTGATAGTCATTTATGAAAGGGTTTGGTACCATCACCCTCAAGATGCTGGTGGTTCCTTGGTCCATGAGAACCCCTTTCGCCTATTAGGATTATTGACAAGGGTTCCTCAATAAACCCTTTTCTTTTTCTTACTACACTGTCTATCCTCCGATACCTCCGAAAAGAAACCCTGCACCGAAACCAGGGTGTTCACCTTATCCCTGCTGGAATAAGAAAGATGGTGTACTCATGAGTCTCATCCCCTACCTGCGATTCACAAAATACGTAAACGCATACACACACAAATAGATCTGTGTGTGGGTCCGTTTGGACCGTGGGCCTTGCATGGCGATGGTGATGGCGATGGCGTGGCGCTTTTTAATCTATTAACAACAATCGTTCTAGCTCAATTCAGTTCCAGTCAGGGAACTGAGATAGATGCATTCTTTGCAGGCGTATGTGTCCATCCTTGTGCTTCTGCGCCGTAATTACATAAATACAAGTGTGTTTATCTCTTTTTGCTGTCCGTGTGTTTTTCGATTGCTCTCATTTTATTTTTTTCTTCTCTTCACTTACCCTCTCCGCCCGCCTGTGTTCATTTGTCCCTTGTTCTCTTCTTTCATCCCACTTCCCTTTCCCTTCTTTCTTTCCTTTCTTCTCTCCCCCTTTTCCTCCTACACCCTACCTCCTTCCCCGGCTGCCCTCACTCTCTCCCTCCTCACCTCCCAGCTGTCAATTGGTCCCTCTAACCTCGCTTGCCTCTAAACTCGCCTGGAGAGTACCCTCAAATGACCTGCTGGACCGCTCGCTTATGACCACCCTGCGCGCACTTCTTCAGTCTCTCACACTTCAACTCTTATCCTGTATAACTCTCGGGACTTTTTGACTTAGTCATATTCCCTTAAGGTCTTTTAATCGAGGGCGCCAGGATTTCCTTCCTCCCTCCTCCACCTGGATCTTATCCAACCCGGCAGTAGTGATATACAGGAACCAGCTGCTCTGAGCTCTGCTTCCTTTTCTCTCTCTTTGCCAGTTCGCTCTTCTTTTCTCCTTCTCTTTTCTCTCTCCTCTCTCGTACTCTCTCACACACACTCTCTATCGCCTTTTATCTACTACCATCTGACGACCCCACCCTGCTAACGACCTATACGACAACAGAAACAACTTCCAACAAAGACACACATTCACTCAGTCCAGCCTCGCCTCAAAAAAAAAACTCTTCCTCCTCTACCTCGCATACGCATAAGCATAAGCATAAGCATAGCAGAAACACCCCTTATTTTTCATTTCCCATTCTATTGTTTCCATCCATCCACAACGACTACGAAACTACAACCAAGAACCCAACGCACACATATACACATAACTAATAATGCCACCCTCAACGACCCCACAACAACAACAACAACAACAACAACAACAGCAACAGCAGCAACAAGAACAGCAACAGCAACAACAACAGCAATGTTCAAACCAACTGCGTGTAAAAGTCAACGAAGTCGCCCCGTCATTACTCCAACCAAGTCCCATCCTCGGCGGGTCGCGCACACCGATGCACCTTGTTCACATTTCGAATCGCAAGTTGAACCGGGAGGTGTTTTCGGGCCGAGACCGGTCGATCCATCGGCGGATAGTGATCAAGAACTTTTTGACGATGTTGTACCAGCTGCATCCGGTTGAGTGGATCAAGGAGAGTAGCGTTGCGGTCGATGACCAGGACCAATGGTTGGAACAGACACTCTCTGCGGCGGGGATTGATTCCCAGGTAATAATTATTTTTTGTGAGAGTGCTGTGTGTGCTGTCAACAGAAGTAAAGAGAGAAGAGAAAGAGATATTATTGGTCAACGGGTGGGTCTGGTGGCCAATGGTCGTCATGTTCATGGAATTCATTGGACGGTATCTCACGACTTGATAATTAATTCCTCTTGCTACTGCTTAACATTATTACTAGGACGAGGTGGATGATGCTGATAACAACAACGACCACAACGACAGCCATCATAACGAAAACCAAGGGCTCCCAATACTCTCACCCTCTGCTGCAGCAGCAGCCTCAGTCGTCACCTCCCGTCGGAGACTGTCCCTTCGGTCAAACAAAGTCCCGCTCCCTCGTCCAGCATCCGTCGAACTCTCACAATCACTCCATTCCTATCTCTCAGCGGTGTTCGATGTCAATTGGTCCGTCAGTCAATCGTCCAACACTGAGGATTCTTTTGTCACCGCTCCTTCCAGCAATCCCTCCTCTCCATCTTCAGCATCAGGATCGGGACCGTCGTCGCGTTCCCAGGCCATTTCTGCAAGAAGGCCGACCTTGGGACAGAGGATGATTGAGAGCCTCATGGAACCGGAACAGGACAATGTTGGTGGTGGCATTGCACGTCGTCATCAGGGTTCTCGGCAAGAGGCATCTTCATTGTCATCGCCTCAAAAAGGGCAAAGCAAGGACAGTAATGGAAGAAGCACGGATATTAATTACAAAGCAGACGAGAGCCACCAGTTGCAACGACGACAAGACGATTCTAAACCTGACACTGGCTCATCCTTACAGCAACAACCACAACAGCGTCAAGGCAATAATAAGAAAAAGGTCGCGTCCACTTCCCGGGCTGGCCCCGAGAGCCGAACCCAGCCTCCTCGTCCCTCGACACCGCCCCCTCGCCCATCGACTCCACCTCCACCACTGGCCTCAAAGAAGACTCTTTTGACAACAGCAACGACAAAAACACCCGAGAAGTATGCGCCTCCTCGCCCTGAACGACCCTCCTCCCCCTCTGCGATGCCCTACACTCTCTCCTTTGATCCAGACCCTTCCTTGTCCCTGCAGTCGAATTACGCCATGCCTGCTGCTGTATATGAGCCCATCTCCATGGCTCCACAGCAGCACATTCACAACCACATCCATATTCATGTCCACAACTATCCCCCAGAAGCCGCGGCAGCAACGACAACTACATTGTCAACATCACCGCCTCAACGCTCCGTTACCCTTCCACCACGGTCTTCGCGGTATCCCAAACCCCCACCACCTCGACCCACAACAACAACGACCACCACAACCACTGAGTACATTTCCTACTCGACCGACTACTCCGCCTCGATTCATTCTCAATGGGCTACACCCGATCCAAAGGCGATCCTGGCAGCCACCGCCGCCGCGGCTGCAAACTTGCCTCCAACCTGGCAACCCGTGTCATCAGACACTCTTCTCCCTTCGGCCGTGACCACTACCTCGAGGTCAAGTTACCCACCAGAAAAGTCGGCTGGTGGTTTGATGAATGGCAGGGGTGTGGAAGAGGAAGTTCGGGAGGAGCAACCGTATCTGGCCATGACACCCCCAACGACTTCACGATACCTTCGCTCCCCCCCACCTCCACCATATACCCAGTCGCCCATCGATCAGAGCTCCTTTACGGCCCCCCTATCACCTTCAATGTCTCCTGCTGCCTTTTCACCCTTTGAAGCAGCTTACGCTTCCAAGCAACAACAGTCAGTCTTCACGCCCATTCTGACAACCCAGCCTCAGTCGACTCTTTTCAGCAGTACCAGCGCCAGTGCCAATCAGAAGCTGTTGGAGTACAAGCTGTACCAGGAGCGACAAAAGATGTTTGCTCGCGGCGACGACTCTGAAAAAGACGAGTCCTCAAAACTGGATGGCCTCGGGTTCATCCGCAGACTGTCGCGTCAGAGTTCCAAGAAGAAGAACCCTTTGTCAAGTATCAGTGCCCCCCTTCCCTCGACCTTGTCCTACTCTTCCTCTTCAGCCTCTTCAACGACATCTTTGTCTGTCGCCGTGCCCCTCCACACCATCGGCGGCGGCCTCGAGAGATACCACGACGACCATCAGCAACAATCCTCCTCCCAATCCAAAGGATTGGACGCTCATGGCAATCCCCGGTACTCATTACAGCCAGCAGCCAAGAACGCAGTGAGTATGTTCAAGGGTACACTCTCATCCGTAAAGAGCGGTCTCTCCCGGTCTTCGTCCCCTACTCCCTCTGTGACTTCGTCGATTGGACCGATTGGCCCCCCGATGACGATGAGTTCTAACACGTTGACGTATGGAGCGGTCAAAAAGGTGTCTTGTCTGGGACCTTCACAGATGTATCATTACCCTACCCCTTCTACGAGTGCTTCTCCCACTTCTGCGACCTTGACTACGACTGTGCTATGATCCTGATTAGAAGTAACTTTGTCAGCGCATTCGTTGTAATTTCATTCTCTTACCAGGTCCGCTTGTGCAACGGCAGCCCGCCTCCCCCCTCCCTCCAACACCTTCACAAAAGCAAAATAAAAAAAAACCAGAAATCCTCCTCATACTTGCCTTTCAAATAAAAAGCCCAAACGCCTCTCCCCTCCTTTCCATTGACACCAAAATGAACAAACAATGGGCGGAAAATGTCGAGAAAGTGTGAGCGGTCGAAATGCATTTGTTGTGTGCCCATGGTCAAAGAGAAAGGAAAGAAGGGGAGAGGGAAGGGCTAAATGCACTTGAGAGCGATGATGTTGGGTTGGAGCTGAACACCATAGGATAAAAGGAAGGATGCATCGCTGGTAAGGGAATATGCCCGACTCTTTTGTTTTTGTATGTAGTCGTGCAGATGTATGTTTTTTTGAAAGAGGGATGCAAAAAAGTAGTAAAGAGATGAAGATGTAGCTCTTGGTGAAGATAGATGAGAGTGAGCAAAGACAAGTATTCCCCCGATGGCACATCGAAGAGTGAGCATATCATGGCATAGCAATTGACAAGTGCAAGAGACAAAAAAGGAGCAGGGTGGAAGGAGCTGCGGATTAACAGACAAAAAGAAGAAAGGATAAAGGAGTTGTGAGACCGTTGTTCCTGCTTTTGAATTGAGCATGCATGACTCCCCTTTTACTACCTCCTTCGTTTTCGCCCTTGCATCCACCCATCCATGCCATCCCTCATTTTTTTGTTGTTGTTTGCGCTAACCGTCTGCCACAAATGATGTAAAAGAACCTCCGCAGTTTGAGGTTTCTGGTGATCGCGCCGCATTCAAAAACAAGAAGAGGATTTTGTTGATGATGACTGCTATGCTGTCCACTTTTTTTTCTGACACTTTTGTATCGATACCATTCAAATCCAAGGTGCAACCATGGACTAGGCTGTTCTACATCCAGGTACCATCACTGATGACTTTGTCTGTCTCGCTAAGGTATCAGGAATAGAAGAATAAATTGAAAGGCAACAATGTTTCTCTCTTTCACTCTACTTGCAGCTCGAATGGGCACCTCTGGTGAAGGGCAATAGAAGAGGGAGGGGCAATTGACGGGAAGGAAGGAAAGGGCGGATGGACTGGAAACAAGTATATGCATATGTCCTTAGGTTTTAGTGTATTAAATGTCCCTTTTTCGCTCATGTGCGCGTTGTGTTCTGTGGTGGCAACGAACCTGCCTCGGTATTATTTTTTTCCCTTTGGTGTCTCGCCTATGTTCTCCTCCTTCGCACTCACGCCCTTCTGCCTGCCTGCCTGCCTGCCTTCCCTATCTCCCTTTTCCCTATCTCTCTTCTCTTCTTTACTCTCCGCACACCTTCACTCATTTTCTTTTCTCTCTCTCTCTCTCACTCATTCACACACTCTCCACTCCTTTCTCTTCTCATCCTCCTTGTCTCATTCTCATTCCCATCAACAACCACTCTCATTCAACCAACTCTTACTCCATCCCACGCCCACCCTCTCAACGCATTCACTTCGCATTGCCATAACCCTAAATAACCATAAAAAAAATCATAACAATAGCAACAACAAATCCGCACTACACCCACAACATACCAACCATAACAATAGGAACTACACCAATGCCCTTTTCAAAAGACCATTGGGGAAAAGACGCTAAAGCAAGCGGTCGCCTAAAAAACAACAACAACAAACCCTACTCCACCTCTTTACCCTCCAGTTCACGAACAAAACCCTCCTCCACCACATCCACAAGAACCCCCTACCACCCCCGCAGACGACCCCAAACCCAGCCTCAACGCATCCTCATCGTCGGTGGCAGTATCCACGGCCTCATCCTCGCCATCCTGCTCCAACGCCTCCGTATCGATTACCTCATCCTCGAGCGGGCCTGTGAGTACGGAGTACCACCCAATGGAATCGTTCTCGGCTCGTTCGTCCTCAATTTGCTTGATATGCTCGGATTGGTCGACATTGTCAAGTCGCGGTCGTGGGAGGTCCACCGAATGAAGATCTGGCGAGAGAATGGGAACATCCAGGCCGAGACCGATTTCTCGGGGGCCGCGGATCGATACTCGCATAACGGCATTGCGATCCCGGGGAGGGTGTTCCAGGATATTTTGAGAGCGCAGATCCCCGAGGACAAGATCCTGTGGGGGAAGGAGGTCAAAGGGTATGTGCAGGATGAGTTTGAGGTCAGGGCTTCCTGTCAGGATGATGATGTCTATTGGGGGACCATGTTGGTTGGGTGCGATGGGATGAATAGCACGATTCGGAAGCTGTTGCATCAGGAGCAGGCAGATAGGTTGTCGGTTGAGGATAGGAGGCCGGATCGGAGGACGTGTAGTGTGAGGGGAATAACGACGGTTCTGGACGATATTACGTGTCTGGACCCGGATGCCATGCAAGATATCTTTCGGATGGACCATATCAACACCCAAGTCATCCTTGGTCAAGCTGAGCCCTATGCTGTACGGCTTCATTCTTCAATTGCTCCTTAAATTGTCTTTTCCTTGTTCGTCCTGCCTGTACATGTTCTCACTATCTTTTCTCTCTTCAATTAACATGCCTTGTAGTGCTGGATGGTGCCAATGCCAGGGGAGCGCAAAATAAGCTGGATGATCACCTACCACCGGCCTGAGGACGAACCAGCAACACACCCTGACGAACTGGAACCAGACTCGATGGATCGACCCAATGTCGAGCAAGAGTTTATCAACAAAGTCAGGTAAGTGAGCAAACAAATCAAAAACCAAAACAACAAACAAGCAAAAAAAAAAAAGGGTGAACAGTAAGATGCTAAACGAGAGCACACCAAAACTGAGAATGGAGAGATCTGCTAATTGGGCGTCGTTTGATCGGCGTGCATGATCATAAAATTAACTGACGCTTTGCGTTTGCTTTTTTTTTTCTTAGGGACTATTACTGTCCTTATGGCGGCGGATCGTTAGGTCATCTCTTGGACCACAGCGACCCAGAGGAGATATATCAAGTTTCGAGTGACAGGCGGTCTTATGACATGTGGTATAGCGGTCGTGTTGTCCTCGGCGGTGATGGTAAGTTGTTTGCTTTGCTTTGCTCTTCTTTATTTCGCGCTGGCTTGTGCATGATTGGATGCATAGATACCGCTTCTTGCAGTTGCTGACCAAGAAACGCCTTTATTTTCTATCCAATTTCGGTGTCACCTTCTAGCATGCCACAAGGTAACCAGCGGAAAAATAATAAGTCCATTGTTATTTACGTTCAGATTGACTAGACAGCTCATTTACACCTTTTCTTCTATGTATTTTCCAACTTTTCCCTGAACCCTCGTTCACAGCTTGTGCCAGGAGCAGGTCAAGGGTAGGAAGCACACACATACATACTGACATTTAAAAGAGTGAATTGATGACACACCCATTCCTACATGACTCTAACGAGGACGCATATTGCTACAACGATAATAGAGCATTGCAGGCGATGCTGGACGCATGCTCACTGGCCCCACTAATCCAACACGCGTTAGTGACAAGCGGGAACACATCGGGAGCCGAACAATTACGACACATCACCATTGCCTTAGAATCTTACTACCGCGAACGGCACGAGATTGCAAGGACCGCCGTTGAAGGGTCTGCAGATCTGAATCGATTAATGGCGCTTCATTTCTCACATGAACCTGCTAGCCTTGCATACCTCCAGGATCCGAACCAGCCAGTGATGATTTCTCCGAGTGGACAGCCGATCTTGTATATGGCGCCCCCGAATATTGATTTGGAGTTTGATTTCTTCCCGGTGTGGTTGCAGCGGTATGCGGAAGGGATGAATCAGTTTGCGGCTGGGGTGCATGGAGAAGAAGAGGACCATAGTGACGATGAGGAACCCTTTCTGCTTTGAACACTGTGAATACAAACGCGCCACCAATATTATTATTTTTCTGTCAAATAATATGCTGTTGATTTTTTATGTTGAGTCATCACACGCCATCGCTCACTTCGATCCCCATCAACACTTTCCTCATCACCGTTTAAACACTCATTCACATTCCTTCACGCAACACGTCAGCACAAACTCATACTACACAGCACTACCTGAAAACGCTCACTCTACACGCACGCTTCTCTTTCAACAACACCTACACGCACGCCTCCCACTCAACAACACCAATCAAAATACCATGGACCCAGTCATAATCGTAGGCGCAGGACTAGGCGGCCTCCTCCTAGCCCTCCTCCTCGAAACCACACCTCCTTCTTCTACCTCTACCCCTACCCCTGTAATCCCATACATAATCCTAGAACGCTCCACTGAACGCACATGGCCTCTTGAAGGTGGGGGTGTCATCTTCCTCACCTCGCAGATCCACCCACTCCTGGCCAGACTTGGGATCTTGGATGCTTTGCGGAAGATCTCTCGGCCTGTCGCTGCGCTTACCGTCTACGAGCGCCACCAGTACGCCAAGGCTTCTTCCCGTGCTTCTGCTGATTTCGCGGGAGGTGTGGGGGTAGCGGGGTCGGCTTCCCAGCAAAGAGAGAGGTCCGCGTCGTCGTCGGGGTCTGGACCTGCGGGGTCGGGATCGAAGCCCAAGAAGTCGGGATTTGATGGTGATGGCGATGATGATGGCGATGATGATGGCGCGTCGTTTCTGAAGACCAGGTAAGCGCTGGCACATTCAAAGTCGATAATAGACATAACTGATGAGATGGGGTATTATCTACTGGCGACAAGTGTCTGGCGCCTGGGATATTGGGAGGATTATGTACTGTACTGCAGAAGAGTACTAGATGCTTGGTCTATGGCTTTTAAATACCCGTCTATATGTCTCGGACATCATGAGGCATTTTGGGAAGATAGAGATAGATATGGGAACTATTGGCGTATGGCTATCTGGAGTGTGAAGGTATTGCGCATGGAGGTATTTGAAGAGTATGGCAGGTGGAGATACCGTGTCAGATACGGTCGCGTTTCGTATCTTTGGGAACGTATGAGGAAACGAGAAAAGCAGGAAAGAAGAGGGGAAAGAAGCAAGGGCGGACAATGAAGAGCAGGGAAAGGAAGAAAAGGAGTAGCCGGTGTTGGATTGGGGATTGAAAAGTGTTCAAGGCCCGTCCAGAGCTGTCAAAGGGATAATAATGTCAATGGGCTTTAGCACCTAGTAGCTGTAGGGTACATAGTTCTACTGTGGTACTTGAATGGGTGTTTTCGAACAATTTTCTGTGCGGAGCAAAAAAAACAGTAATAATGTGAAAATGACAGAGAGAGAGAGAAAGAGTACCCGAGCAAAGGAGCAAAGCAAAGGGCATTATTGCTCACTCATTCACTCACATCCAATACGTCTTCTATTCTTTGTTTTACTTGCGCTTGTTTTATTTATGTGTACATACACTCGCATACAAATACCCAACACCAAACAATATACTCTATCGCATCTGGCACTCCCAGATACGAGTATGACACGCTGGCGATTTCGAGACCCGAACTGTACAACTTTTTGGTCGATCGGATTCCGGAGGAAAAGCTCGTGCTGGGGAAACAGGTCCATGGACTGGTTTTCCAAGACATTGCTCATGGCGGAACAAGGAGCGCAGCGCCAGCGCCAGTGCCAGTTCCAGATACTGGAAGCAGCAGCAGAAGCAGCGGGAGCACTGATGGAAGCACGGAAGCGGTAGGAGCGGGACGAGGAGAGGCAATTATGACGACGATGCCTCTAATGGAAAACCACAGCGGAAGTGCCACCCATACTTCTGATATTGCTAATACAGCAGCTGTGGTGTGTACAGACGGATCGCGATATGAGGGGATCGTTGTTGGGGCGGATGGCGCGTATAGTACAGTCCGATTGAGTCTTTACCGACATTTGAGGGAGCGAGGGCTTTTGACGGCTGATCCTGCGGACAAGGAGGGTAATGAAGGTGATCACCATGGACCGATGCGGGCCCAGTTTCGGGTACTTGTCGGGCAGACTCGAGAACTGGACCCGGATCGATTCGAGTTTTTGAAGAACGAGTATTCGGATGTGCGCGTTTTGGTTTCCCAGGAAGGCGTCCATCCCTTTGCTGTAAGTAATTGAGGGATGCTTGTGTGAATATTTTTTGTATTCTTAGAAAAAAAGGTCGATCGATCTTAGACGTTCATAAAAAAGGGAGGAAGGGGGAAGGGGGAAGGAAGGGGCTATGTTACTGTTTGTTATTTTTCTTTGTGTTCAGGCCTGCGTGCGCGCATTGTTCCCACGCGGTCAGTCGTCATTAACGCAAACAATTTTTTTATTTTTTTTTCTCGGGACAAAAGTTCTGGTGCGTCCCGATGACTGAGAACAGGATCTGTTGGATGCTTGAAGATAAACTGGCCGAGGAACAGATCTGTCCCGAGACTGAGGACTTCACCCAGGACCAACAGGCGATTTCCCAACTCTGTGAATTTGTCCGATCGATCCCCAGTGCCTGCGGTAAAGGGGTGACGGTGGGAGAGATTATTCTAGACTCGACTCCCGAGGAAACTGCCGTGTTACTCTTACGCGAGGAGGGCTACTTTTCAACCTGGACATATGGCAATGTTGCTCTTATGGGTGATGGTAAGTTTTTTATCCTTATTTTGATAAACAACTACTGTACAAGAAACCAGATAGTAACTTTATGACTCAAAAGTTGCTGGGGGAACTGAAGGGGGAGGGGGGCAAGAGGTGGGGCAGGGGAGAATAGAATGGACCGTTTTGTGTCCAGTTTTTACGGAAGAATCGTTTATGGGGATCGGAATGATGAGGGAGCAAAAGGAAGAGAGTTTTGGTACTTGGCCGCGATGGACCCGGTCCTTTGTCGCTCTTCTCTTGCTGTTGCCCTTTTGCTTTGTTTGTCTTGTCTGTGTGTTTGGCTTTGTTACATGCTTGATGATGAAAGTTGATGTGGAGTTGAACTGGAAAGGGTCAGACAAACAGAGAACCCAAAAATACCATCTTCATTCTTGAATGTCCTTTCTTCGGCCATCTCTCGTTCTCTATCATTCAGATCTCGTCGATCTTTTTTTGCTATTATTATTTTTTCTAATGCCATTCAATATCTCATGCTCTTGCATTAACATTAATACCATTGGGCTTTTCTTTCTCTCTTTCTTTTTTTAATGGTTCCGACAATTACTCTAACGTCGTCATTGAATAGCTTGCCACAAGGTAATAACGAGCTATCTCTCTCTTTCTATGTCATCTCATGTCTGTCTGTCTGCCTGTCTGTCATTTCTCTCTGTCAGAGTTCCTCCGTCCGTCCCCCCACCTTGGAATAGCTTTGCTTGCATAGCTGTGTTACCATGGCTGCAGGAGACAAGGAAAGGGAGGGGAGTTTGTTTGATCCATCCGGTGGATCTATTTTCATTCGATCCCGAACCATATGTCATTACTCTCTCTTGCTTCATATTCAAAACTCAATTATGAGATGAATGAGGACCTACATCAGGACTGTACCTGATTCGAATTCGAAACCAAACCGCCATGCCGGCTCTCAGGAACAATACACTTTCACACATCATACATACCCATCTCTCTCACACCTTCCCACCCTTCCCCTTCTTGTCTTTCGGTTTTGGAACCGCCACACACCTATACCTATACCTACACCTACACATACATATTCACTCACACACGAAACATCCTCCTACAGTAGTACATTGGTACATTTTCATATTAATACTCTCTCCTCATATACATGTTTGAATAGGCGCTCCCCTATACAGGTCAGCCGATACTTCAAGCTGGCCAGGATGCAGTGAAGCTGGCCAGTGTCCTGTACGCCCACAGCCTCGATGCATCTCCATCCCTCGCCTGTTCTCCGCCCTCTTCCCTTAATTCGACTGCGGGTTCTCAAGTTACATTTAAGGCGGTGGACCCATCTGCTGCTGTTGCTGGTTGTTCGCACGAGACAAACAGAGGGAGAGGAAGGGAGATGAGGGGAAGTATTGGGGAGAGACTCCGCTCGTATGATGCAGAGCGCCGAGCGGAAGCTGAGCACGCGGTCAGGCGGGCTGGTTTGGTTTCGAGACTGCTGCTGCCCTTCCCTTTGCTGAATTCATTTGAGGTCCGCGATCCCGAATGTTCCTTTGGGGATGAGCTGGAAGGGAAGATGAGGAGGGAGAGGGAGTTGCAGGAGTTGTTTATTGGCATTGCAGGATTGTGAGAGGGGGACGTAGAACGGTTATGGAGGGAGGAATGAATGAAGGAGTGAGGAATGAAGTAAGGAGGGAGGAAAGAATAAAGAGTAGGTTGTAGGTTGATGACCGAGAGACTTGAATAAAAGCATGGTCACGTTGGGCACGTTGGCATGCTGACAAGACAAAGTATGTCAAATTGACCTTTTTTTTTGTCGCTTTTGGTTTTTGGGTGTTCGAGTACACACCCCATTCTTCTTTTGTGTTCGCGAGTTTAATGTTTTTTATTGTTTTGTTTCTTCTTGTGCGCGTGGGTTGTCTTGGATGAATATGTGGAAGAGCGAGGTTAAAGGCACTCATGGGTGCCACGCTCACCTCCACTTTTTTTTTGTCTCGCTTCCCATTCCTCATTACTACCGCAATCTAGGGAGGTAGCTACGTATCTTTCGCCTTGACTACGGCCCTCGTCGGCCTCGACTCTATAGAAAACAACAACAACGATAGGGACGGTTAAAAGAGCTCTTAGCCCTGGCTAGTTGAACTCCTTTATTTCTTCTTCTCGTCCAAGGTTTGAACCCAATTCGTCAAGGAAGTCTGAAAGAAAAAACTTTCTTTGAAAAACAAAAGGACGAATCGCCGTTGTTCAGATACAGAGAGAGATCGGTAAAACAGGTTTTTTCTGTAATTGATAATTGATAAGTGACGATTGAATGGTGTACCGACATGGTATTCCATCCGTCACTCGTTCGTTCGTTGTTGACGAGTCTTTTTGTTGTCGTTCGTTTCTTGTGGAACCACTGGCTGACATGATAATGACCAATGGAGGTGGGAAGGGGACGGCACTAAGTCAAGATAACGGTTCATTCTTTTTCTTCTCCTCTCGCCATCTCATCTAGGTACACCCGCTTCCATGATCCTTGAGAAGCTTGCCAAATTGATCGTCAGGCACATGGACAAAAATACCTAGCCTAGCCTTGCCCTAGACTGAGGGGATTGGTGAAGTACAGATGGAAGGGATCGAATTAGGTTCTTTTTCCTTTCCTCCTTCCATGTTTTCAGCTAGTGAGTCGAGTACAGTCCAATTGCGAGTGTTATGTGCCTAGATCCTGTGTACCTACAGTACTATTGGATCATGAAAATCGGGGGAAAAGGGAAGAGGGGCGGGTGTTTCGTCATGATGTCTTGCCTGGTCACGGGCGGTGTTCACCATTGGTCCCCGTAAGTGATAGGAGTATTCATAAGTGCAAGTACGAGTATTGGATTTGTGTGAGTGAGCGTGAGTGAGAGTCGGGTGTGGAATTGAAAGCCAACTTGAGAACAACAAACGAGGCAAACCTGAATGAAAATAATGTGCTAAATGAGATAGTTAGAGAAGAGAAGAATGATGGAGAAAGCTGTTATAAAAAGTTGGCTTTTTTACAACCTCAAGGAAACGAATGGTCGCCTCTTTGTTGTTGTTGTTTTTGGTATTGTCTGTTTGTTGTTGTCAATTTTTTTCCAATGGTTTATCTGAGTTTCCAATGGTAAACTAAAGAAAGGGAAGAAGGTGGAAAATGGGCGATGGGTAAAATAGGACATTCAACAAAAGGGGGACATGCATACCTACCTGCCCGTCAATGGGTTGAGTTGTCTGTCCATCGTCATTGTGCTCGATTGTTGAATGAACCACCGTGTCGCTTGTAACTCTTTTAACCCAGCTGAGGGGTTGGTTTACGAGTTTGTTTTTGTTTGCGCCCTTCATGCCTCTTACTAAGGAGTACTCTTTCGAACACATGAGCGCAAGAAAAAACCAGCCAACCATGAACTGCCCCTGCCTGTATGTTCGGTCTGCCCCTGCTCTGGATATTTATGTTATCCGAAGAGAGTTAGAGTACTTTCCCTTCCCCCATGTGTCGATGCCGGGTGTGATGTTATTTAATATGTGTGTTACCATCTGGCGTTTTCTTTTCGTCCTTGTCGCCATGAAGTGACAAAATGGACGCCACTCACTTTCTCTCAGTATGTCTGTCCTGCTTGTCCCTGTCCCTTGCCCATGCCGAGCTGTCAACCAAATCGGCCAAGAGGTTTAACAAACAAACAAACAATGATGGCAGCGACAATGACCATGAAAAAGAGAGAATGTGTTGGGAGTTGAACGAAGAAAGAAAAGGCCAAGCATCGCATCGAGAGGAGGTTTTTTGAGTGGGGTAAAAATGGAATATCGGATGATTGGTGAGTATGGGGAGTAGCAGTGCTGAAGACAGAAAGAATAACGGGCCGCCCGACCGTTGGACATGCCTATTTTAAGTTCATTCATTCACCTTTAATATTAAATGTATTGAGTCCAAAAAATGGCTCTAGGGGTAAGCCATTCCAAGAGAAGAGGAGAGACCTGCAGTGCAGCCAACAGCATATAAAGAGCAGCTGAAGATCAGAGGGATCTTCTTTTCCCAACCATTCTTCCCTTTTTCTTTCTTGATCATTCTCTTCTCTCTCTTTTTCACAACCACCAGCATCATCTTTCATTCATTCTTTTTTGCATTCATCATTTTTGTAGCTCCTTCTTTCCATTTCACGACGCCCCATTACCCCATTACTTTTACTTCCTACGATTCACCTTGCTGATCTACTTGTCAATTATTTGCATTCTTCTTTAATTGAACGTCTTATACCTTTTCCCACATTCACATTCCCGATACGAACCCTTCCCCCGATCCATCCATATACATATACATACACACACACACCCACCCAGCATCCATATTTTCACTTCTCTCTCTCTCTCTCTCTCTCTCTCTCTCTCTCTCTCTCTCCCTCTCTTTCACTCACACATACACACACAACCCATCGACACACTCCCACTATCCCCTTCACCACCACTGCCGCCAACACACACACACACACACAAAATGGCCCCACCAGAAGGAATGCGCATTATCATTGTCGGAGGAGGGCTGGCCGGGTTGATGATGGGCATCATGCTCGACCAAGCAGGCATCGATTATCATATCCTCGAACAGGCCTCAAGGCTCCGTCCTCTCGGCACATCCATCTCTCTCCACCCCGTCATCCGTGACCTCATGGACCAGCTCGGTCTGCTCGAGGAGATGGAGGCTATGTCGAAGCCCATGCGGGGTATCACAATTCTGTCGGCCAAGGGCCGTCGCATGGGTCGAATCGACACTCGCACCAACAAGCGCAGGTACTTTACAAAGATGGCTATTTTCTCTCTTTGTCGGATGAGAACAAGGTTATTATAGCCCTTGTAGTTTGTCTTTCTCTGATGTGTCATTTTTACCAGTTTCTTGTTTCTTGTTGTTTGTTGTTTGTTTGTGATACTCATATGTTTATCTCTCTTCCTCTCTTTCTCTATTTTCTGTTTCTATTACCATATTTGAACCCTTGCAGACATGGTCATCAAGCAATGGTTATGAGCAGGTAATAATAATCGATTTGTTTGCATCTCATGTATTACATACAGTACTCTCTCTTTGCTCTCTCTCTTTTGTCTCTCGGTCTGAAAGAGGAAAAGAAAAGGCAAGAGAGAAAGAGACATGTCAGCTCAAATGCAACAATGGCAATTAACGTTTTTTTTTTTTTTTTTTTGTTTTCCTCCCATCCAACTTTCTTTGTGTTCCCCTCTTCACCCCCATTGTGAAACTGGACCCCTTCTCTTTATCTATTGCTCCCATTTTTTTCCCTCCCTTTTTACCATCCTATCCTTTTCTACGTGGCATCCAAAAGACCGGACCTGCACGAGTTCCTGCGATCAAAGATCTCGCCCGAGCGGTTGACGACGGGGAAGAGGGTGATCGACATTACCGAGACCCAGTCGGACGTGACGGTGACCTGTATGGACGAGACGACGTATGTCGGCCATCTGGTCATCGGAGCCGATGGAGCCTATAGCGCCGTCCGCCAGATCATGTACAAGAAGCTCCAAGAGCGAGGTCTCCTTCCAGAGGTCGACAAGAAGCCCCTGCATTTCGACAAGCAGTGCGTCGTCGGTAAGTCCCGAAATGGGATCTACTCTTTTTTTTGTGTACCAAAGGAAAATAGAGCACGCGGCACACACAGACAACAAGAGGGAAGGAGGAGATTGAACCGAAAAGACGGGCCGGGGAGAGGAGAGGGATGAAATCATAGGCCGAAGGGAACAATCCAACCAGCAAATGGTATTTGCCAAGGAAGGCATAAGAGAAGGAGAGGGGAATGAAAAAATAATATTTGAGAAGGGAGATCGATTATCGACCGATCTAATATCCCAAATATGGGATCTACTGGAGAAAGAGGGAATCGAATGACTTTTTGTTCTTGTTCACTGCAAGTGAACCGATGCTGAAGCAACACTCTTCCTCTGCGCTTTCGATGGGTGTCAATCCCTCCCTCTTGTTTTCCCATCGCATCGATGCGGATCGGCTCTAATTCGCTCACTTTATTATTGTAATACCTAATTCAATTGGAAAAAAATGGGCGTCGACCCACTTTTTTCATTGTTTCATGGCCAGAGAGGAATGAGAAAGACATCGATCCCTTCACGTTCGGACCCACGTTGCTAGTAGTACTCCTTTCCTCATAACTAAACCCCTTCAATTGCTTATTTTCTTTGTTTCTTATTCATTCCTGAATAGGCATGACCGCCCCGCTTGACCCGGCAAGATACCCTGTCCTCTTGGACGAACAGTGCGAGGTCAAGGTCCTCCTTGGCAAGGACCAACATACCTCTGTAAGTACTATTACTCTCCCTTTTTTAACAATGCACTCATGCATCAAGATGAAAAGAAAAAAGTACACTCTCTTCGGGTGACCTTATTCCCTTCATGGTTCAAAACCACCGACCCTTTTTCACTCCATCACCATGCATATCAGTGACTAAACGCCCAACCTTGTCTTTATTTGTCCTCTCTTCCGAATTGTATTAGATGTGGTTCCTTCCTCTGCAGGGAAACAGAATCGCGTGGTGTGTAGGTGGTCCGGACCCACATCAGCTGTTGCGAAGCACAGACGACACCGCCTCCCAAACCAGTCAGGGCAGCGGCAGCCACAACAGTGACAGTCGAGGCAGTCATCACAGCAGCAGCGGCCATGGTCGAGACTGGTATCCCGAGACGATTGTCGAGATCTGTGAGGATGTCCGCAACTTCAAGTGTCCCTATGGTGGTTCCGTAATGGACCTGATCGAGGCCACTCCAAAGGGGATGGTTTCCAAGGTCCTGTTGGAGGAAAAAATGTATCGCACCTGGTACCATGGTCGCATTGTCCTTGTCGGAGATTCTTGCCACAAGGTAAAACACCTGTTTTGTCTCTTTTTGTTGTCTTTCTTTCTTGTTTGTTTGTTGGGGAGGAAGGATGTCATGGTGCATATCCGGTGTTCATAAACAATCATGCAAGGTTACTCACACCCTTTTTGTTTATTTGTTTACCTCATGAAAAAAACCAGATCGTCCCATTCTTCGGTCAGGGAGCATCGCAAGCGATCCTTGATTGCGCCTGCCTCACTAACCTCTTCTACGAACTGCGTTCAACCGATACCGAATCACTCCCCCCGCTCTTCCAAGAATACGTCGATACCCGAATGGAAACCTCCAAGATTGCGTCGGACTCTTCTCGCGAGTTTGCGGATCTGATCTATGACCAAGGGTTCAAGGCCGATATTGCTCGCAAGATCGTCCTGAGGTATACGCCTTCCTGGCTATTGAGGATGATTACGGGGACGGTTCTTACGGAGAGGCCGTTCTTGAAGTTCCTCCGTCCTCCGACAAGGAAGATCTACCCGAACGAGGACAAGCAACAGCAACAGCAGCAAGAACAGCAGCAGTTGAGGCAGTTGAAGCAACAGCAGTCGTTGCAGTCGCTCCAGTTGCCGTCGTTGCAGCGGTTGAAGTTACAGTCGTCGATGCTGTCTTTGCAGGATCTGAAGCAGCAGCAGTCGATGCGGTCGTTGCACGAGTGGAAGCAACAGCGACAGATGTCGATGTTGTCGCTGGAGGAGTGGAAGCAGTACCAGCAGCAGCAGCATTCGATGCAGCAGATGAGACAACAGTTGTCCATGCCCCAGTTGGATCGTCCTCTCCATCGACAACCTTGAGGAACGCCCATAATGATTTTTTTTATGTCTTTTCCCTTTAGTCATGATTCATTTTGTACTCTCTCCATCATTTTAAAAAAACACATAACCCCCCCCTTTGCATTCGTAAGGCGCAAGCCTACATTGTTACATAGTCCTCAAACACAAAAACACACATTTGCATTTACTTTTCTTTCATTCATAGTCGTAGTCCTTCTTTTTCCTTCTTCGTAGTTATCATGTACCAATACAAGCTAATGTCCATCCACCCAACCGTCCAATTGCTAAAAATGCATACGAAAAAAAAAAGAAAAGTGGCGAGGCGGTTTTTTTTTCTATATAATTTTATTTCTCTAACAAACAGCATAGAGTTATTTGGAAGTGAAAAGGGACTACAGGCCAATCTTTTCAGTGCATCATCCACCAGTCGCAGTCCGGTCGGGAACAACAGTTGTCACTGCTCTTCACAGCTTAAACGGAAGAAAATAAAACTAGATACGAATGAAGGGGATTCTTCCCATCCTCGCCATCATTGATAACCTCCTCCTTCCTAACAAACTCTCCAACAACCACTCGTCAGCAGCGCGTGGGTCCTTGGTCGCTCCAGGGCACCTTCCTTCATCATGTGTGGCTAGCGAAGCGCCACACGGACAGAAACCATCGTGCGTGATGTAACCGTATCCTTGACTCCAGTCACCTCGGGGGCCTGTGTACTTGAATGTCTTGTCCTTGGCGGAGATGCTCTGGCTCTTTTCCCGCGCGATCGTCTCGAGCACCAAGGTTTCCAGATCAGCTCCGAAGCGGATGTGAGTGCGGCAGTTTAAGAAAATCATTGGATTGGTGGCGTATATCACGTGATCCAACAAATAACGCGTAACTCTCGACTAACGTGACATATTGAATCATTAGAATAAATTAAACACAGAAATCAAAGATTCCATCTAGTTGGAGAGATGGCCGAGTTGGTCTAAGGCGCCGCGTTAAGGCCGCGGTCTATTCGTAGGCGTGGGTTCAAATCCCACTCTCTTCACTATTCCTTTTGCTTTCCCTTCCTCAAGTGCAGGAGGGGGAGGCTGATTCTTTTTTTGGTGGTTCCTCTTCGTGTTGCCACCAGGTCTGGTATCAAGTATTCTTATCCATCCTGGTGTCCTTTTTGTGAAAGGAATGTTTTAGTTGAAGATATGAAAGGACTGGCTGCTTTTTTTTTATCTTTATCTTTCTGTTCATGCTATGACGAAGTAGAGTTGCTGATGGGCTCTTTGTTGTATGTGGGGGGAGAGCAAAGCAGGGGCAACAAGAAGAGCCTCAGATCGTTGCTGTGTGCATCTGTCTGTCTATGTGGATCAAGAGTTACTCAAAAAAAAAAGCGAGGAGGGATTCCCCGAGAAGTGCGATGCTGGGTCATACTGGGATCCCTTTTTGTTCATAATCAGATATTCTGTTCTTTCCCGGGTAAGGAGGCGGGCCGATAGGATAGTAGGAGAGACGCGACTCTTTTTGTAGGATAAGATGACGGAATGATATGATATGATTGATTGTGTCCGTGGTTCGAGTATATGGACTAGCTCTTTATCGTGTGTTTGCATTGCTCCATTTGTTCACTTGTTGTCATCAGGACAAGGTGAGAATGGATTAATGGATTATTGACTGGGAGAAAAGGGGGATGGCCATCGTGGTCAGCACCTCGATCCATCGGATGAGAGAGAGAGAGAGAGAGTGAGTGAGAGAGAGAGGACACGGTGATATGACCCATTGGCCATGGTGGTGGTGTGTATCATGCAGCGATATGGGATGTAACGAGGCCATGATCGGTGAGAAGGAGAGAGATGCCTTCTATGGTCAAGTGTCAAAGGGAAAGAACGAATGATGACCTAGCCACAAAGTGTCTGTGTGTTCTGCTTATATGTTCTTCGCCCTGACATATTTGTGTCTTGGTTTCAGTATCTGTTGATGATGTTCTTGCCCCTTTCTTCTTCCTTGAAGAAGGGTGTCATCGCAATTGGACATAGCATTGATGCTACCCACGTTGGAGTGAGGAGTAGCTTTTTAGCTGTGCTATGCTTCATGTGCTGCTTTGTTGGTGGTTTGTGGATAACAAAGTGCATGTTGTTGTTCCTTTGTGTATGTTTGTATGTATGTATGAATGTATGTATGAGTGTGCATAATGTCAGTTGAGTTGCAGAGCTCGTGTGGCGACGTTAATTGCATATCGTCCATCACACATGCACCAACACCCACACTTGCACTCGCCACTACTTTTTCTTTTTGGCTTTGATTTTTCTAGTCCCTCTTTTTCTTCGCTCCAATTCTTTTCTTTTTCTTCTTCTTCTCATCTCTCCTTCTCTCCTTCTCTCCTCTCTCTCTTTCTCTCCACACACCCTCATTGCCACTCGTTACTTTTCTCACTCTTCTCCTCTCTTTTCTTCTCTTGTACTCCTATTCCATCCACTACTTACCCATCGCACTCACTCACTCACTCACTCACTCACTCACTCTCTCATCCCCACACTCACTCTCATCCTATTCTATTCATTCACACCTGTTGTCCCTCCTCTCACTCACCTACTACTCATTACAAACAATAACGACTGCTACAACAACAACTAGATAGAAAACAGCAAACAACAACCCCACACCCTCCTCTCTTTCCCCCCTCTCCCTTCTCTTCCTCCTCCCATCCCTCCTTCTTACACAAACGCACATACCTCACAACACAATACACAACCATGTCGAACGTCAAACAAGACAAGGATATCGTCCGAAGGAAGCTCGTCATCGTCGGCGACGGTGCCTGTGGAAAGACCTCTCTCCTCTCCGTCTTCACCCTCGGCTACTTCCCCAAGGTAAACACCTCTTCCCCTTCATATCCATTCGACAATTGCCACCACTATTACTACTGCTAGCAACAAGAAAGTAGTAACGAGATGACATAGACACCACCCAGATCACTCCTCTTTGCATTTATATGTACATCAACAAACTCAGCGCCATCACTTTTGAACAAGAGAAACAGAGACACAACACACACTCCATGGATTCATCCATTCATCACACATGGTACCATGAGGTACATGAATGAAGAAATATCTCTATGGACTTGTAGGCCATGCCATGGGACATGGCATTCGTATGGAGAATGGCCAAAATACACAGATGACCATTGCTTCTTTTTCTGGTGGTTGAGGTGAGCAACGCACCCCTTTCACCGGTCTGCCTCCCCCTCTCCTCACCCCGCAGCTTCAGGGAAACCAATCCTTTCTTTTCGTCATTGTATCCGCGTGTACTTTTCGTATGGATGCATTCCATCCTTGTTCTCTCGTTCCCATCGTTTCGTATCATTATCTCTTTTCTCAAACCAGCAAAGGGGCTTGGGTTGGTTGACAGGCATTTGTAAATATACATGAATGTTGCGACAGCCTGCCTGGCTGCCTGGCTCATTGGACTTGATTGTTGTTCCTTCTTGACTTGCACTCAGCGGAAAAAAAAAACGTCAAGAGTTATGTAAAAATGGATCGAAGGGGTAGGTTCACTCAGGGGACAGGTCAAAGTACCAGCCTACAGCCAGGAGGCAGGGGGAGAACAACATTTGTCTTCCTGTGTCCGTCCTGGTGGTATGCAAGAAAGGGTGTTGGTCCACTCAGGGGACAAGTGTCACATCCATGCCCACATCCACACCCGCTTCCATACCACAGCCACATCCACACCATCCAAGCATCCACTTATCTCTCCGCTTCTCTTATAATCCTCCTGTGCCCCCCGACCCTTGAGAGTTGGCGCTTTTCTCCTTACGTCCTTGTGCTTTCTTTGCCTTGTCTTTTTTCTTCTTCTTTGGTTCTTCTTCGGACGTTATGATTGGCATGGATGAAAAGAATGAGGGGTGGTCTAGATGGTGATGATGGGCTGTTCTGGGTACCCAGCGTACATCCTGCAGGATCAAGCAGAGGGCTGGCTTGTTGGATGACTGGCTGGACCCAAAACAACATTTTTTGTCATCCATGTTTTTATATTCTCACTCTTTGGCTGGCTCTTTTCTTTTTATTATTTTGTAACGGAGTCGACTCTTGATTCATTGTTCGGGCTGTGCACAAAAGAAAACAAAAAAAGAAAAGAACAAGGAAAACAACACCTCCAGAGTGGGACCAGACCTGACCGACTTGATGGTCAATTGTCGAGGCTGTGGGGCAAAGGGAGCAAAAGAAGGAAAAGTCGACCCTCATGGACAAGTGAGTGGTGCAGTGTGGCGATGGTTATGTCATCCATCTATTTTCTCCACTCTCTCCCCTCTCCCCACTCGCTCGTACAAAGGGGAAAAAAGGCTACAATAAACATACGATACGCCGAAGAGTGGACACAAAAGGCAGACTAGCCAAAAGATGGTGATGTGCCTCAAGGGAATCAACAATAACAACTAGACATTATTGTTATGGTTGAACAGAGCTGGGTATGTATCACTTCCGGGTGCATGGATAGCGTGTGCGCATGGAAGGGCTGTTTCTCTTTTTTTTTTCTCCAATTGGAGCCTATGTTGTTTGTTTATTTGTAGGTTGTTTTGTTTGTTCCTCGTCTTTCTTTGTTCCTGGCGTTTATCCGTCCAGCCCGCTGGACAACATGTGTTGTTCGTTGTGCATTCGCCGATGTTTGCATTGGTGCGCTTGCCTTTCTGTCTATTGGCCTTCCCTCCCTCCCTCCCTCATTGTGGACCAGGCCACCCATCTACATTCAACGAGGACATATTTTTAGAACCATTGAAACGGACATGCAAGAGGGCCAGGCTTTTTGTCCCTTTTTTCGATGATGGTTCATACAACTATATGCCATAGTGTACTCGTGTTTGCTCACGTTGTCGTCAATGGCAAAGCATACAAACGATAGCGACCAGTTGACTAACCAATTACCCCCTCTTCGGTTTCTTGTTTTTCTTTTTGCCTCCCCCTTTCCCCCTTTCTCCTGCCTGCCTATCCGTCCGCCTGCATGTTGCTACCTGCTACTCATTCCTTCCTTCTTTCGGTCCTGTGGCTCTCTTTCTCATTCTCCGACCTCCTATAACTTGTCAATGTACCTCACGCGCCTCACACATTGACGACTCCTTCTCGATCTCAACTTCATCCTGTCGAATCTTGTTTTTTTCCGTCGCCTTGTTGGACTCAATTAACCGGGTTATTATTGTTTGACGTGACCAGGATTATGTAAGTTGAATTTTATGTACTTTTTCTTATATTTTGATGTGGCTATCTATATTCTCTCCGGGCCTCGCTTTCTCGTCTATGTTTACCGCTGCTTTTCGCCCTTTTGTTGTTCGATCCTGACACAACTGGTTCCTTTTTCGTTCATTCTTGTTCGGCCTCCGTTAGAACCCCACGGTGTTTGAAAACTTTGTGACCGATGTCAAGATTGATGGCAAGCCAGTGCAGCTTGCACTCTGGGATACAGCGTATGTGATATCTGCCTCGGCAGTGCAGAAAACAGGATTGCATTGCTATCGGAAAGGATCCATCTTGCTACGGACGTTTAAATCTTCGCTTCGGCCACTAATATCTATGGTCTATTTATTTCCTTTTTCTGTTTTACACTTTGATAGTGGCCAGGAAGCATATGAAGTATGGAACATGGGATCGGACAAAACTGAAAACATTGCGGAGGATGCGATCGGCAAAAAAATAGAAACACGATCGGATAAGAGGATGTCTCTTCAGGATTCAAGATAACAGCAAACACTCACACGCTTGTTCTCCATTGGATTTTCTCATCCTTTAGCGACTTCGACCCCTCTCTTATACCAAAGCCCATGTAATCCTGATCGGGTACTCTGTCGATACACCGGATTCTCTCGATAACGTTACATCAAAGGTAATATACCTCTTGCAGGACCAGCTTTCAAGTTGCTTGGAGATTGATATCGCATGGTGACGGTGCTAACCATCATTTCAACTTTCCTTGTTGCGAATATAGTGGATCCAAGAGGTGCAGGTACATTGCCCCGAGACGCCTGTGATCCTGGTTGGAATGAAGAAGGATTTGAGGGATGATCAGGCAGCATCAACAGGAGCAGAGGCAAAGACGACTCGTTTTGTAACAACCGCCGAGGTACGACTCGCTTTCTTTTCCTTTTTTTTACCCCGTGTTGTTTTGCATGGAACTGTTGCTTGCGAACAAAAAAATAACTGTGGATTCTGTGGAAACGCACTCGAATTACTTACCAATACTCCCTATGAATTGTAGGCTGAACGCGTGGCGGCAGAGATTGGAGCACGAAATCATTTGGAGTGCAGTGCGTTGACGGGCGATGGTGTGGATGACGTATTTGAGGCAGCAACGCGTGGAGCGTTGACACAGGGAAACCAGACTCAGGAAAGCGGCTGCTGCATCATTCTGTAGTAACCCCCTTTCTGGAAGCACTCTGACAACCATACGCCATATGCAACCTGGATGCAATGACATATAGTCAGGGCATCAACAAGCGACTATGACCAAACAACCACACCACATCCACCAAACCAATCAATTTACACAAGCAACAATGCACACACAACAATACAGCGATAAAAAGAAAACAGATATAATTTTGCAAGAGAGGTTTTGTTTGGCGTCAGTTGGCAATTGGGAACGGAATGGCCAACAAAAATCCAATTTTCTTGGAGTTCCACCAACCCTTTGGCCTTATTATTTTCCCGCGCCTCTCCCTGAGTCTCACGAACCAAAAGAAAAAAAAACGGGACCAGGAATAGCTATGCAGGGGGAGAGAAAATGTCAGAAGATCCAAAAACCCATTTTTACCATACGACGAGGCGCCAACAACTTTTTTCTTTTTGCTTTTTTTTTTTTCCTCAACAACTTACCTACTTCGATATGATGTACATACTTGAATACATAATTCGTTTTTCTTTCTCATTCTTTTTCTTTTCTGGCATCAGTGGATGTGATTTTTTGCCAATGATGTTTGTTTCCGTTGGGCATCTCTCAGGAACAAGAATAACCAGGATATAACGATGCCCGTTGAAGAATTTTTTTTTTTTTTTTTTGTGCATGCAAAGGTACAAATATGCATGTCATCCTGCTTCACTTCTCGGCGTATTTCTGAAGCTCTAAAGGGGGTAAAGATGTGTGTGGGATTTGTTAAAAATGGAAGAGACTGAGTCTGAAGGATGTGGTACAACAATCGAGAGATATAAATAGCTGAGTGTATGTTTTTCTTCCTGTGCGCCGCACTGCACGGCACGGTGGGGGTGGGGTGCCTGTGCCTGTGCCTGTGCCTGAACCCGGTCTTGGGTCCATGCATTTATATATATATTTTTTTCCTATTTTCTGGTTTTGAGTTTATTTTTGAGCTGTTCTTTTTTTGAGTGGGGGGGGTTTTATTTTATTTTTGGGTGTTGGGTGTTGGTGGTTGGTATGGGGTTTTCAGGACTTGGAAAGTAGTGGAACCACGTAAATATAGTAAGAACAGGGCTGTTGCATGAGTTGAAGGAAGAAAAAAAAAACACGACAAGACTAAAGGGGGGAGGGTTGACTTAGGGGTAGTACCCGATGAGCTCAAGTTCATCGGGCGCAAGAAGCGGGACGACAGAGAGTTGACAAATGGAGACGCCGTTCTTGGGATGGCAGTAACTAAAGAACAGACCGAGCGAGTCTTCTGCCATCGAGTCGCGGCCCAGGAACTTGATTGATGCTGATGAACTCGAAGACATGGTGGATGTGGCGTTGGTGAGGGCCAGGGCTGTTGCTGTGAGGGATGAGGAGGCGCTGGTGTTGGTTGGGCCCGAGGGGGGACTGGAGGTTGGTGTTTGGGATGTTGAATGAGGTGGGGGTTGTGGAGAGTGTGAGCGGTATTGGTGGGGTTGTGTGCTGCCATCGTACAGAAATCGTTGCTGGCCTTGACCATTGCTGCCGGGGACAGATATGGATGAAGCTGAGGATTGGGCGCGGGCCGTGGCCTGAATGAGGTCCCGCTTGGTGATCTCCTTGACCTTCTTGGCCCTCGTTAACGAAAAGATCACAATTGAAGATTTCTCAAACCCAACCACATAGATGTCATGGGCTGTCTTCAGGAACTCAACCTTTTGTGGCGGGTATCCGACGGACGAACCAGACCCAGAGCTGGGACCTGATTCGCCCCAGTCTAGGACTATGCGAGCTTGTGGTTTGCCTTGGAGGTCGACGATTCGGGATTGGGACCCGTAGGTGGCTAAGAAGAGTTGTCCAGTGGTGCGTTGGGAGAAGGCGAGGTTTAGGACTTCGTCCGATGTCACCATTCGGGTCTTTGTTTTTATCGCTGCCGCCGGTGGTGCTGGAGTGGTCGTTGGCAGTTGTTGGGAGGGGAGTACGATGGAAGAAGAAGAATTGGTCGACGAAGGCGACGAAGGTGGAGACAACGACGACGAGGATCCGCGGTGGTGGGTCGGATGGTAAGGGACGCCCAGGTTGTTGTTATTGCCATTTGCACCTTGCAATTGCACACCCTGCAACTTCAACGCTAAACCACGCGCCGCCTCCTCCCTCTCTTGCTCATTCAACTCCTGCTGATGAATCGACAGTTGATCCGCAGACCGCTGCAGAATATTGTCCCTCGACTGTCTCTGAGGACCACTACCACTACCTCCGCCTCCAGACGCCGGATAGCCGCTACTACCCGTCCCACCATTATACACAGAAAGCGGTCTCGAATGTGTCCCCTTCCTCTCCGAAGACCCATACATTGCCTCAGCAGCAGCAGGGAACAAGATATGAGGTGGCACATCAAACGGGATCTTCTCAAACGAATGCCAAAGTGACGTGTTCCTGAACCCCAACTTCTTGCTCAACCCATGGATCACGCTGCTAGTTTCCTGTCGATGCAGATCCGTCACGGACATGTCCTGGACATTGATCACACAGGCTCGGGGACCCTTGCCGAGGATGATGTCGGTTACTTCGGTGGGGCCTTTGACGACGGTCATGAAACTGGGTGCCTCCGGGTGGTAGAGTTGCTTGTAGGATCTCCATTCGTAAGGGTCCTGGCTGTTATCCCGATGGAAGTGTGGGTTCTCGAGGGATGTTGCTCCCGCCGTCGCCATGCCACCGCCAAAAGAATTGATGCTCGACCGACCAAGGGTATCCGCTCCAGAATAACTCATCCTCGATCCATTGCCGTTGCTATTGTTGTTCCCACCAGCGCCGCCGCCACTGCCACCACCTGAAGGAGTAGGAGGTTTTCGTCCACGAGTAGACCGAGGTCGACAATAGATATCGATCGCCGTCTTGGAGACGACGGTCATGAAGACAGTCGTGGCGGTGTAATGGAAATCTAGGCCGATAACATCCTTGGTCTGCTTGAGTTTCGTGAAATTCCATGCCCAACCCACAGCCTCCGGGGACGCATCCTGGGAGGTACTGTTGGTGATATGCGCCGCCATGTTGGAGTTGACGGCCGCCTGACTGAGGTAGGAAGCCATCTGTGAAAGCCGCTTGTTCTTTGTCGGAGTCGCCCCATTATTGCTGTTGCTGTTGTTGTTGTTGTTGTTGTTGTTGTTGTTGTTGTTGTTGTTGTTGTTGTTGTTGGAACCGTTTCCTCCACCGATGGTGACTCCAGGTGTCGCAGAACTGGGAGAAGGAGGTGTTGAATTCGAGGTATTCTTGTTATTACCGTTGCTGTTGTAAGCAGCGTCAGTTGGTTGGTGGTCCTTGGGGGTCGACTTCCGCATGACATGCTCCTGGGCGAGCGAGGCTAGACCCCCAAGACTCAAGGGCCGTTGTTTATGCTTCTTAAAGTTGCTTGAGACAGTGGCGGGAGGGGGAGGAGGCGAAGTGGTCCCACAAGATGTTGTAGTTGCGCCTTGATCATCTCGAATCGATTCCAGAGGCTGGCCCGGGCTGCTGTCCGACCATACAGGGGGCGGCGAGAGTAACGACGACCGGTCTAAACTCGTGGTATGCTGGTGGCGATTTTGTTGCTGTGGCAGTGCTGCTCCAGGCGCTGTTGTCGATCCTGCTGTTCCTCTGTGGCCTCGGTTGAGAGAGGTCCCCGTCATTCCAGAAGGTGGGCTGGAGTGAGGTCCGTCCGAGGGATTATAGTTGCTATCTTCTCCTCTCTGGAGGGCTGTCTCGACTCTCAACTGGATCATATTCTTGACCGCCCCCAATTTGCCGCCCTCAACGACCCGTCCGCGACCCTGGGCAGAATGACCATAGGCGACTAGCCGGTTGATCGAGTCATAGTCGTAGCACCGCACTCTCGAGTTCCGACCGGCAATCACAACCACTAACCCAATTTCCTCCAAACAATGAATCTCCTTAAATGCCACTCCTTGGATGTGTGTCCTGACAACGTTGGCCACCGAGCTCACTCCTCCTCCTCCGGTGTAGTTGATGCTGTTGTTACTGCTAACGCCTCCCTGCTGCCTTTCCTGTTGCAGGTGATTCGAAAACGTAAGGTCGATAGAGTGTAAGGCGTTTCCAGATCCGATCAAAAGGTACTGTTGATCGTGCATAGGATTGGCGCATATGTACTGCGTCGATTGATGAAGGGCTGTGATGGCCGAAATCGTTGAAGAGCCCGTTCCTAAAGGAGACACAGCAAGAGGTCCAGGGCTGAGTTCTTGGATTTGAAAGAGTTGGTCTTCGGTTGGTAGAGGGGGCCCGGTCGAGATGATGGTCGAGCCACGGTTACCGGCCATGAAGGAGTAGGGCGGAGGCGCGTGATCGAGCGACTGCCTTGAGTTAGTGGTATTGTTGGCGTTGCCACTGGTATTGCCATTATTGCCGGCGAGATATTGCTCTCCTTGAGCAAAGCTTATCGTATCTGAGGCCAAAGGTGATGCTCCTGCAATATGATGCTGCTGAGGATAAGGGAGAGTAGATGCGGGGTTGTTGATGTTGTTCAATGTCACCGAGGAGGAAGAAGAAGAGGGAGCAGATGTCTCGACGATGGGCATAGGTGGCAAGGGTTTGTCCTAATCAAATCGATATGCAAAAGTAGAAAAGAAGACATTTTTATTATCCAGGGGTGTTAGAGGAGCGTTTTTTGTTTCGTCTTCATGCCTTGTCTAGGAGTGTATATGTGATTTTAGTCATTTTTCTTTTCAATTGAGCCTGAACAGACAAGGCAAAGCAAACGGCTGTAACAAAGCTGAGCTGGTTGTTGTAGAGTGAGCAACACGCAAAGAGTATAAACGAAGAAAAAAAGCGGTGTTTCTAAGTGTATCATACCGATAAAGAGGACGTGGATGAGGACGAGGAGGAAGACGGCGCCTGGATTCGAGGCGGAAGAGGGGGGTTGTTGGTATAACCATTGCTGTTGATGGAATTGTCGTGTGGTGCAATAATGCCTCCTGACACCATTGCTGCTCCTCCTCCTGCCCCTTGGACAGGTGTTGTAATTGACGGCGTCTCCTGGTCGACGAGACGGATGACTGGCAGGTGGGGCAGGGGCTGGTTGTTGTTATCCTTGATCCTCAGTGGTGTCCCCGTTAACGAGGCATTGGACGACCTCCTAGGTGCAGGTCCTGTTGCCTTTACAGAAGCTACAATGGTGGCGCCGGTGGTGGGTGGAGGGTGATACGGTTGACTGGATTCCACAATGAGCTGGTGTTGGATGTAAGTTGGTGTTGGTGCGCCACCATGCGAAGAGGCACTCTCGGAGGCAGCTCGTAGGAGTGACTGAATAAAAGCTGGGGACCTGTCTGTCGGCAGGGGGACGTGGGCGGGCGGTGGTTGGGGTGAAGACGACCCGTGTGGCCTGGTGTGAGCCATGGAGTAATGGAGTGTTTTCTTTGGAATGGAATGAAAGTGGAGAGGGTTGGGTTGTTGGTGAATGGACAAGGAAGGAAAGTTGATTCACAGAAAGGAAAGAAGGAGACGTGTATAGTTTGAATGAGAGAAGGAAGGAAGGGTATGTGAAAGTTGAAGTGTTCAAGAAAGGGAGTAGAAGATAGAAACGTTGAATGAAAAGAAAAAGAAAGAGGAGTGTAGAAGTGTGTAAAGTGTTGATTGGGCAAGGGAGTTCACAAGGACGAGGTCGAGGTTCGAGGTTCAAGGTCCAGCCCTCGAAATCAAAGGTCCAAGGAGATTTAATGTTCTTGAGGGGTAGGCTTGTTTCTGCTTGAACTTTGAACAAGGTCCAGCTGTCTTTCGTTTTATTTCTTCGCTTCTACAACCCACACTTCCTCCGACAAGCTGGCTGGAAATGACACTCATCACCACAGCAACAACGACAGTGGCATGGTCGGCCATAAGACAACCACAACGCATGAACTCATTAGCAGCAGCAACAGCACGCCTTTCTCTCACTCACCCTCATCTCCACAACTGTAAGTCATCACAATTGTTTTCTCAGCACTCTCGCCTTTTTACTTTCCCCGCAATGGACTAAATCACTTCCCCCTCCTTTCTTGCAAAAAAAAAAAAAAAAAAAAAAAGACGCCCGCCAGACGACAAGACCATTAACAACACAGAATGAGGACAGGCCACGCGATGACTCTGTGAAGGGACTTCTTTCAGGATTGATCCAGGGAGACCGATATGCCCTCGCCAGGGCGATCACCCTCAGTAAGTCTCACTGATGATAATAACTGATGGGATGCACTGATATTTTATTCTTATCTGATTCAGGAACAGAACCTCTACACGCGACATGACTCGACTCTATAACAGGAACGTGTCGATAAGGAACATCAGCGATCAGCCGCCCATTATCAACGGCGAATGCGTTGTATTCCTTCAACAGCAGGGATAAACAACGGTGGTGAGGAGGAAAGTGGGGGAAAATGGGACAAGGAGAAAAGATGGAAATTGAATAGATTCTCCCACGGTCTTCGGGTCGTAAAATGTTCTGTGTGTAATTATTTATATATACACACTGAAGCGAACAAAAACAGGAAAAGATTGGTTTGGGGCAAAACAAAACACAGCTTTGTTTCTGTCGCGTAGTAATTCTCGACAAACAATAAAGGAGGCTAACCGAGGGAATGCAGTCGAATCTTCTAATCCTAGGCATCGGATTAAGGCTCAGGAACTGCTCTCGGAGATCTTAGAGCGGGAATCGACTCTGGCTTCGCAACAAAAGATTACTCTCGCCAGTTCGACTCCTTCTCTGAACAGCAAGCCCGCCGATGCCGGTTCTAATTCAACCATCGCACAACAGTCATTGGTGCAACAACAAGGAACATCTGAGTCGGATGAGAAGAAGAAGAATCAGTCCATTCGACTCGGGAAAAGTTTCAGGATCGGACTCTCTGGACCCCCAGGAGTGGGTAAATCCACATTCATCGAAGCCTTTGGCATGTACCTCGTCTCCAAGGGCCATCGTGTCTCTGTCCTGGTGAGGCTTGACTCGTTTTCTGGGATTGATGTGCTATGGTGGATATGTGGAAACATATTCAAGATCAATTGGATGACGACATGGACTCTGGTGACCTAACAGGAGAATCTAATTAACGCGCATGATAGGCTGTGGATCCGTCTTCAGCCAGGACTGGAGGATCAATCTTGGGAGACAAGACTAGAATGACTGAGCTCTCTCGCCACGACATGGCCTACGTCCGTCCCTCGCCCAGTCGCGGAACGTTAGGTACAAATAACGATTCATGTTCAACTGTTTGACTTGTTTTTTTATATTCGTTGCTTGTCCCACGGCTATGAAATATTAACACCACGGTATATTAACTACTCTTCCGTGTACATAGGTGGTGTACGTACAGTGTGTGGAACCATCAAAAGGACAGTAGGACATATGCGATACCCTGAATGAACACGCAGCTCACTTGAATTCTTTCTTGCATTACGGAAAACTAGGTGGCAAGGAATACCACCGAGGCGATCGCATTATGTGAAGGTAGGATATCAACTATCGCAGACTAGGAAACAACGCGACGAGAGCGTCAAAGACACTACTGCTGACAGCCTTTTGTGTCATACTTTCTACAAATACTTTAGCCGCTGGATACGATATCTGCCTTGTGGAAACAGTCGGTGTCGGTCAGTCCGAGACGATGGTGGCCGACATTGTAGATATGTAAGCACAAGGACGGGATCTGGTTTCTTTATTTCTTTGATTTCTGAGGTGAGTGGTGAGAGGGCCAGGTAGACCCTAACGCTTGCTCATATTTCACCCGCGTCATATAGGTTCGTCCTGCTCGTACCGCCAGCCGGAGGAGATGAACTTCAAGTATGCCTACTCAACCATCAATTGCCGTCTTCAACAATCGCTCCATCCATATGCAAAACACTCAACCCTTCGTCTTCATGTCATTCTCATATAGGGTATGAAAAAGGGAATCATGGAGTTGTCGGATTTGGTCATAGTCAACAAGTCAGATGGGGCTCTTGTCGACTCTGCGCGCTATGCACAGATCGAGTACACCAGTGCCCTCAAGTTTGTCAAGGCGATCACCTCTTACTGGAAGGCCAGGGTCATTCGCGTTTCGTCCATGGGCGGACCTGAGGCAGGAGTTGGACTGGCGTGGGATACCATGAAGGAGTACTTTGATATCATGGAGGTAACCATTTCATCATGGCATTGAACAAGATGTCTGTTGCTGCTAATACTACTGGAACTGGAACTCGAAAATACCTATTCACTGCCTCTCTTTTTTGATGCATTGTTGAATTAGTCATCGGGAGAACTGCAAAAGAAGCGTGGACACCAGCGCAAGATCTGGATGTGGCGCCAAGTCTCGTCAGAGCTCATGGATCTGTAAGTCGATACACAAGCAGTAGGATATGGTGGATAACAAGCATGCCGTTGATTGAGATTATTACTAACCAGGCTCCCCTTTTTAACGATCTAGGCTGCATGAGGATACGCAGGTGCGGAAGATGGCTGACGAATTAGAGGCCAAGGTGCTCAGGAACGAAGTGATGTCTGGAGCAGCGGCACACCAGATTGTAGAGAAGTTCATGAAGGGCATGAGCACCTCGTAGACCGACAAGGAGAAGAAAGAAGAAAAAGAGTACGTTAATGATCGCGTAATAAATCAGCCAGCCGGCTAACAAACAAACACAATCGATAATGCCATCGCCAAGAATGAGAACCATGTTGTGTTTCTCCCTCAAATGGACGCCGTTGCTATTTTCCTGGCTGTGGCACCATCTTTTCTATTGTTGACCCCGGAGTAACCCTGATTAATGCGAAATGTGAACACGGACCAAGTTCCGTGCCCTCAATTCCTGCTTTGCTTTTCCCCTCACCTTTCCTTGTGAGAGCCAGAGACACAAAAAGCATCGTCATGCGCCTTTTTTGTCTGTTGACAGCAACGAAAGCGAAGCAAAACTAGGTTATTAGTTTGTTTGTTGCTCGATGTTGCTGTTGTTGCTTGTAAAGGCAAGGGGTGATTGACGGAGGAGCATGTGGATAGCCATCAGGTGTGTGACATGAAGAAAGGAGACGCATAAAAACAAGGGAGGTGATCGAACTTGGACTGAGACAGAGGGAGGCCTCATTATTTTAGTGGACGTCTTTCCCCTTTCTTTTCTCTCTTCTCTACCTTTCCTCTCTCCACTCCTCTTCTCTCGTTTTCTCTCCTCTTACTCATTCCGCTTCTCATTCACGAGCACACAGTCTCTCATTCATACTCACTCTACCTGTCTTCCTCTCCCTCCTCATTCTCATTCTCCCTCACTCCCCATTCCGTCACACAAAAAGAGAGAGATGTCGCCGAACCAGTTTCAGGCCAAGGCTTCTTTCGCTGGTCACCAACGCGCCTCAGACGCTCGTCTCTTACTCTGCACTCATGAATTGACTATTCACACATCCAAGGGATCTGATAACAACACAACCACAATACAAGGTTAGTGTCTCTGCCATTGTATCTCAAATGCTGTCGTTTTGTTCACAACGGCCATCGCGACCGGTTCACTGCAAGAACCCTTTCTTGTCACATTATTTCACCCCACAAACTGATCGAATCACATATTCATCTCACATGCACTAACTTAATAGTGCCGTACAGCTGCATTTATGGATACGAGGCACCAACGGACAAGGCAACAGAAGATAACGACAAGAACAAAGTCATTGTTCATTATGTGGCATTCAGTGGGCCCGATCTGAGGAACCCCAGTGCGGCAAAAAGAACAACAGCGCAGTTCCTGTTTGAGCGGACCGAGGATGCCGACAGGTTTTTCCAGACAGCCAGGGACCTCGGAGGTAACAGAGTGGAACTGTAATCATGCATCATCGCGGGGTGTATTTGTGTATTTTGATTGATGTATTGTGGGAGAGGAATTTATGGGTCTGTTGCTCAGCATTTATTTATTATTTTGCTTGACTGCGCCGAATATACATTTTGCCGTCAGGCTCGGGCTTGAGCGTTGGCTTGTGGACAGTCGAAAAAAGCGTACATGGCGTTATGTTGGCTGACAGCGTCTTTTCGTGCTCAATTTGTCACCCTCTTTTCTGAACAACGGTCGCTATGTTTGTTGTAATAGCATTCCCAAAACCAAGACGCATTTTGCTGCTGGTGAACCCGAACGGTGGCGTCGGCAAGGCCAAGCGAATCAGTGACACGGTAGTCAAACCCATGCTTCAGCACTCTGGACTCACCGTCAAGGAACAATGTGAGCGCGCCATTCTCTTCTCGTTCAATTCCAAACTGGGCACTTTCGAAAGGGATATGTTGGGAACTGAACTCGATCTAAACCTCGCATCCTTTTGATCAATTATTGATTTGTATTTAATAGATACAGAGTACGGTCGACATGCGGTCGATATTGCAGCCAAGGTGGATCTGGACGAGGTCGACTCGTTGGTAGTTGTCTCTGGCGATGGAGTCCTGCATGAGGTCATCAATGGTCTATTGTCGCGCCCTGACTGGGACCGAGCCAGGAAGACGTCTATCGGAATCGTGCCTGCAGGATCAGGAAATGCGATTGCTGCTTCACTCGGTGTCGTCAGTCAGCTCGTGGCGACACTTACTGTCGTTCGTGGAGAGACGTCCAAGCTAGATATTTTTTCGCTGTCTCAACTCAACAGACCAAGGATCTACTCCATGCTGTCCTTCAGCTGGGGTATGATGGCCGATGCCGACATCGAGTCTGACAAGTACGTTGTCCCTTTTGCGCAGGTAGTCCATATGAATTGGTGTCTCTCCATATGTGGCATACTAAATTACTATCTCTCCTTGTCTCTTCCACCTCTGATAGTTACCGCTGGCTGGGTCCATTGCGGTTTGACGTGGCAGGATTTATTCGGATGATCAGATTGCGACGATACCCCGGAAAAGTCTATGTACTTCCACCAAAACACCAGCAGAACCCTTCAACAACTAAGCAACAACTAACGCCGCCACAATCCCCATCCCACAAGCGAGAACCCGAGTCTCGATTCCAGCACCTTCTCGACAGCAACATCAAGGAACCACCCAAACCATGGAGTGTTATCCCCAATATGCCCTTCTACAGCATGCTTCTGCTGCTGAACTGTCCCAACGTGGGCGAGACTATCTTTTTCACGAACACCATCCGGTTCAACGACGGAATCATGCGGCTCTGGTACTCAGCCGAGACGCGGTTCTGGAAGATCTTGATGCCCTTCATCTTTGACCAGCAGAACGGCAAGATGGTCGAGCGGGACTTGATGAAGGATCTGGAATGTGGAGGGATCTTGATTGTCCCCGGAGTTGAGGGTAAGCCTGACGATCCGTCGACACATAAGGTTATCGAGCCTGATTGGGTTACCTCCCCAGCAGCAAAGGCTCAGAATATCTACCAAAATCCTGGGCTTTTTGATGTCGATGGAGAACTCATGCCAACCGCCAGGACATTGATCGAAGTCCACCCCAGTCTGATGAATATTCTTGTCCCAGAGTGGCTGTACCACAAGGACGATGATAACTCAACGGCGAGAGCACATGAGACTGCGGTGATCCAGGCGATAAAGGCTCAGCAGAAGGTTCGTTCAAGTTTTGGCGGTATTTTGGTTGCAGCCACTGCTGTCGCTGTTGCTGCTGCTGCCGTCTTTTTGTCGGTCGACGGCCATTCTCCTGTCGAGTTCCTTCGATCCACTCTTCAGCTTTGATCATGTCCATTCACCCATTCATAATACCATAATAAACCTCCTCTTTTCATCTTCTTTTCGGCGGAGAAAGGCATGGGAAGTTGACACTCCTAAATGAATTCTCGGAACGACAAACGCTCATTGTTGTTGTTTTTTGTCTCATTGTCACTCTATCTTTTCCCGCTCACTCTTTCATTCCATTGACAAGACCCTACATTCACGCGCGTTGTTGTAGAAAAAAAATAGGCACATCTATTACAACGGATGCGAAGGTCACCACAATCTTGTTCGACCCGTATTATAAATTCGCTTGCAAATGGATATCAAAGATAAATGAGCGAGGAGGATTGAAAAAAAAAAATCTTAAAGATGTCAGAGAAGAGATGCTGAAATGGTTCTTGGAGTAGTAGAACTCACAAGATCGCGATCCCATTTTATTGAAATCGGATGCGGGCCCCGGATATGTGAGAGTGAATCCCCATCTAACGAAAGGGAGTTTGCGACAATGACAAAGAAAGTGAATTAATAGGCTAGCAGAGTGTTTATATTTGGAACGACGTGATCAAAACCCAAAAAAAAAAAAAGATCATCAAGCGAGCATTGCTGAAATACTGTGCGCCTTGGAACCGATCGAAAAACTCTTCCAGCAGTCCAGAAATAGTATCTCTGGATTCTGATCGTGTCCAGTAGCTGTTGGAACGTGTTGGATGTCCCTTTCTTGGGTGAAGCGTGTTGGTTCATCGCTACACTTGATAAGGTTTAAAATTGTCTGCCTGAAAAAAGATCCCGATCGTGTTGTTAGGCGTTGAAAGGCAGTCGGTTGAGACGACATTCGTCGTTGAGTTGATTCTGTTTATGGTTGCGCTCAAGATGCGGTAGAGGACGTATGTGTGCCGTCAGCACGGGTGGAGACCCCGCACCGACGACGTGATGAGAATGCAGAGAAGAGGAGAGAGAAAGACGCCTGTTGATTTTTTATCTCTCAAGTTTTTTGACAGACTCTGTCCGTGCGCATTATTTTAGTTGGGATGCAATGCCATTCAGAGCGAGAAACAACACAAACATGCATGGTCTTCATTCGTGACCGAACAAATAGAGAATGCAAAAAAAACGGTGGCTGTGCTATGCTAGAGAACATAGGCGTTGAAAGATCGTCTTGACTGAGTTTTGCACTCCCAAACGCGTCAAGTCCAGACACTAGAAAAAGAAAAAGAGCTGATCTGACTGTGGTAAGGTTAAGAGGTTATCGTATTGTGATCCCCATGCTTGAGGGAGATACCGCGACTCATTCAGCGGACCAAAAAAAAAGGTTGACCGAACATCCTTGAGCGAAAGGGAGCTATGAACATGCATCAGCAGTGAAAAAAGGTGCGTCTTCGTCCCTGTAGGACCAAAAACGAGTCGTCGCGATTCTAAACCGCAAAAGAGAATGAAAGTGCCGGGACTCGAACCCGGTTCTCAGGCTTGGAAGGCCGGAATGATACCCATATACTACACTTTCTTTGCTCGGATGAACTTTCGTAAATTTAGCCCGTGTTCTACAAGCTAGCTAGTCGTTTGTTATTTCCTGCCTGATTCCTTATTTCCTCGCCATTATTTTTATTCGCGTACCAAAAAAAAAACGCGCCTGGTGGCCTCCTTCGGGCTCCCGATCGCGACGAGAACCTGATGTGGAACGTGTCAGACCTCCTACGCGGCACCACTCCCACGAGCGTGTTGACTGAATAGTCCGTGGTCTTTCGGACCCCAAGATCCATCGCCAAGACGGTCCTGCACAAGATTGTTGGCTACCTGAAGGCGCAGGCCTCGGTACTGATCTGGAAACCTCGGTGCTCCGAGACAATCACGTGGGAACATACCCAGGGCATCTCTGCCAAGGACAAGATATCCAACAACACAGGCCTCTGAGGTGACTGGAGTCAAGGATACGGTTACATCACCCACGATGGCTTCTGTCCGTGTGGCCCTTCGCTAGCCACACACGATGAAGGAAGGTGCCCTGGAACGACCAAGGACCCATGCGCTACTGACGGGCGGTTGTTGTAGAATTTGTTAGGAAGGAGGAGGTTGTTAATGATGGAGAGGATGGGAAGAATCCCCTTCATTCGTATCTAGTTTTATTTTCTTCCGTTTAAGCTGTGGAGAGCAGCGACGATTGAAGTCCAGAACCATTCCTTTGTGTTGTTTGTCAGAGAAATAAAACTGAGTAGGGAAGAAAAAAAATGTTGAAAAAAAGACCCCCCAGAGAAAAAAAAACCCCTCCAACAGGGTAAGTTGATGCAGGTAATGATGCTTCTCACACTACTCCCTCTATTTTCTTGACGGCATCGAGCTTCCCGGTGCCTCTATTTCGCTACCAAAAATTGTGCTTTTGCTCACTCCATCAAAATGCCGCCAAAGAATTGATCAAATAGAAAAGAAAAAAAAATAGTTGACTGCGCCCCTCACTTGGAGGCAAAGCACAAAAAAATGGACGACCGAAAGTGCCAAATCAAAAGGTCTTCTCATTTCATTTCTCTGCCTTTTTCGTCTCTCGTTCAGATCGTACTGTTGGCAACGGATGGGTTGAAGCTGTGGTACACGGAAAGGCAACTATTACTTTGTACGATGAAGTTTCAGTGACTAGCTAGAGTAAGGAAACAAAATCTGAGTGCTAAGAGAAAAAAAAAAGTTGTGTGTGGATGGCATATGTGAAAATGGGAGTGCAGGAGGATGATAACCTTTGTATTGTGAGTGAGATGAATGAAGTGAGAAGGGTGAACAACCCAGCTGGAGAAGAGTAACCATGAGAGGAGGAGAGATGCGAGAGTGTTATTAAACTCCAAAGAGAGCATAAAGATGAAAATGGAGTGAACCCTGAACATAGAAAAGGATCAAGAAAGAAAGCTAGAGACAAAAGCCAGCAAAACAAAACGAGAAAAAGAAGGGATACGGAGGGCAGGTATTGAACCTGTTGGCTCTCAGGAGTCGTTCATTGAAAAGATCGCTAACGCATCCGTGAAAATTAACATTGAACCTGCCTTCTTATACCTGCCATCTCTCGCCTCCCACCGCAAAAAAAGATGATGGCAGAAAGACCCCAAAAAAAAGAAAAAAAAGGGATGCGGAGGCACAGTTTTGATCCTGTGGACTCTTGAACCAGATAGAAAGAGATTGCTAACACATCCTTGCAATCGAGAGTTGAAGCAAGGATTTTATACTTCACTCTTCTCTTTCCACTCAATCGAAGGGCAAGCAGGTATGTGGCCTGGTGAGCCCTTCTCCTCAGTCACCTTCCCCTTCAGTCTCATCCATTCCTTCTTCGCCATTATCGTCTCCGGTCCTTTCGCATGTTGTCGTTGCTGCTCCAGTCTCGAGTCCCGGCTGGTCGCCGGTCCTTTCGGCTGTCGTTGTCCCCACTCTAGCTTCGAGCCTAGCCCTTCTCTGACAAGTACTCCACCCAACACTCCTACCACTCCAACATATTCCTCTACTCCAACACTCTCTCCCATTTCAACAACTCTCACCACCCCCTCACCTCTCCCGTCTGATACAACCGATCTTGTCTTTGAGCGGGCAGTCGACACACTGGACAACACCTGCAGAGAGCGTCTCCTCCGTCCCACGGCTGAATACAATGCCGTGATCCTTCGCATCAACAGCGACACCAGGAAAAAACAATCGGCAGACACTACAAAGTACGACGGGCTCAGAAGCCGATACCGGAGTCAACTTGCCAGGAAACCACAAGAATTGACTGCTATTTTTTTGATGACCGATACTCAGGCCGCCAATGCGGTTGCACGCATCAAGTCAATTTCTAGTCGCCGCAAGACCATCGCCCTTGGGATACGTCGCCGGGCCACCGAGGCCGTCAACGAATACCGTGTTCAACACCTTGTCTCTCTTCGCTCGGATCTGGAGCTCAGGCTGATCAGGAAAGCAGAGCACTATCGACTGCGGGAACAGCGGCAAAAGGAAAAAGAAGCGCGCCGTCAACAACACCAACGCAAATCAGCCTTCGACACAACTACTAGCTTCCCTTTGCAAGAACGCCACCAAGTCCAACCACCGCCTGTATCAGGACCCCCGACCACACAGATCGGCCCCCTTTGCCTGTCTCCAGCAGAGGCGGCGTCCATGCGCGTGGTTCAGGACACACACGTCGACAACTCCACCCCTCGCGTTCTGTACTCTGACGGATCTCTTCTGAACTCAGGAACACCGGAAGTATCACAGGCCTTTGGAGTGGTGGATCTCATTCAGGACAATCCTCTGACGGTACAAGGACGAACGGATGGCCACGCGTCCTCGGCCAAGGCCGAGCTCATGGGTTTATTAGTTGCAGTCTTGTCAGCACCTCCGGAACAGGACATTGTGGTTAAACTGGACAATCAGTCAGTGGTGGAACAGTACAGTCATCTGGTGAAGAATCGTCGGGACACCTTACCGAGGAAGCGATTCAGGAGTACATATGCAGGTATCTGGGCGGTGCTTTGGCAGGTGTGGAATCTCGGCCAGGTAGAGTCGACGTGGTGTGGGTCAAAGGTCACAGCGACGTCCATGGAAACGAGCTTGCGGATCAGGCGGCGAAGGTGGCAGCACAGAGTGGTTCGGTGCCCTGGATGGTGGATCTCACTCAACAGACGGATATCACGGCCTTTGCACATTGTTACGGCGGGATTGTTGAAATCGATCTAAGTCAGCTCCTCAAACAACAATCGACAATCCGTCACCACCAAGCCTGGACATCACAGAGGCGGGTCAAGAGGGCGATCCCTGACATCGATGACGTGGAATGGAACTTGACCTTGGCTTATGTCCACGACAGGCACGCAGTCTTCACCTTTTACAGCAACAGCAAGGACTCCCATCAACGAACACATCATATCAAAAAGCTGCATGGAATGCTGCCCATTCTGAACTCCATGCAGGCTCGCAAGCCCAACCTGTACCCAACATGCGTATGCCGACGATGCGAGCTCGAGAAGGAGGATAACGATCATGTCTGGAAATGCCCCTTGGCAGCCGAGACCACCACTGAGATCTGGAAGGAGGCCATGGGCAAGATTAACGAGTGGGATGTGCAGGCGACAAACAGCTACAACGCAGCCAGGAAGCGGGAATACAAACGCGCGGTGGACAGCGGTCGTCAGGTACCAAGGGCAGTACCCATACACTGGTGGCCCCCTTCGGATGCGGATCATCTACGAGGATTTTCCTCCATCGATGGAGCTCGAGCCGTGCACAGCGGTAGTCCAGCTCTCGATCGAGACGAGAAACCGATGTGGAATGTGTCGGATCTCCTCCGCGGCATCACCCCCTTGAGCATGTTGACTGAATGGTCCGCGGTCTTCCGGACCCCAATGTCCATCGCCAAGACAGTCCTTCACAAGTTTGTTGGCTACCTGGAGGCGCAGGCCTCGGAGCTGATCTGGAAACCTCGGTGCTCCGCGACGATCGCGTGGGAGCAGACCCAGGGTATCTCTGCCAAGAACAAGACATCCAAGTACACAGGCCCCCGAGGTGACTGGAGTCAAGGATACGGTTACATCACGCACGATGGTTTCTGTCCGTGTGGCGCTTCGCTAGCCACACATGATGAAGGAAGGTGCCCTGGAACGACTAAGGACCCACGCGTTGGTGACGAGCGGTTGTTGGAGAGTTTGTTAGGAAGGAGGAGGTTGTCAATGATGGAGAGGATGGGAAGAATCCCCTTCATTCGTATCTAGTTTCATTTTCTTCCGTTTAAGCTGTGAAGAGCAGCGACAATTGCTGCGCAGAGCCAGGTTCTGGACCGGACTGCGACTGGCGGATGGTGCATTGAAGAGTTTGGTCTGTAGTCCCCTTTTACTTCCAAATAACTTCTCTATGCTGTTTGTTAGAGAAATAAAATTGTGTACAAAAAAAAAAAAATGAGCGGGAAAAAAATGGTCCTGGAGGCGCGGTTCAGACTCAAAAGAAAATGAGCTGGATCATTACGAAATTTTTCAGGAACAACGAGATGCCAAAAAAAAGTAACATGGTCTCGAATATTTTTTTTTCGTTTGTACACCATTTATCATAATACCCTTCAGGTTCAGTCTATCTACAAAGGGGTCTTGGCTCCCCAGTCGCCAACAATCTTCATCGACTCTTGATCCCCCTTCATTAACCGATCGTCCTCCAACAGGCCACCCAGGCACTCCCAAGGATCCTTACCACCACCCCACTTCAACACATGTTCCCTCAACCTCTCTCCCGCACTTCTCGAAGTTGGTGCTGACCTAAAGACAGTCTCCCAGATCTGTGAAGTCACCGTCCGTCCAAAGAGGTACGAATAATATCCTGCTCCGTAGCCGTACAGGTGTCCAAACCCGGTCTGCCATGCGGTACCGGACACTGGTGGCACAATCCCTGTAGCGTGCTGCAAGTTCTCGAGAGTCGCTGTCGAGTTGAACGAAGGCGATCCGACCACAGGCGAATAGAGCAACTGATCCAACATCGCCATTGACCTCTGAGAGTGAAGCTCGATCGCCTGGAAGGTTGAGCGGTTGGCCTGGTGTGCCATCAGCAGTCCTGCGGGCAGAGGTGCTCCTGTCTGGTGGTGGGTCGCAAAGAGTCCCAGAACGGCGGGGTCAGCCAAAAAGTGCTCCATCAAAATCGAAGGAATCTCCACAAAGTCGATCGGGCACCTTGTTCCCGACACATTGTGGTAGTCCGCCCTTCCAATCATAGCTATCAGATCAAGGTGGAAAATATCATAAACGTTAGCATTGGACAAGCAATGATGAGCCACCATGAATATGAGAGGATGCAGGAACGGCGAACTTACAGTGCATGGCGTGTCCCATTTCGTGGAAGAGGGTTTCGACCTCGACCCAGTTTAACAGTGCTGGCTTGCCGCCAGGTGGCCGAGAGAATCCGCAAGAGAGTACCGCCAATGGAAGTTGGTACCGACCCTCCTTTCCAGCCATCTTGACACCAGGATCCGCCTTGGCCAACTCGATCCCCTCGCGAAGTGTCATTCCCTCTGCAATATCATGCTCCTCGTCATCGTCGTCTACTCTACGAGAGCACCGCACGGTATAATGGGCAGCATTCAATTGCTTACCTTGGCGTCCATAAAAGTCGCAATAAATAGTTCCAATCAGCCCTTCCCGCTCATCGACCACATCCAGCTTCTGGACCTCATCATGCCAAGTCTCTCCTGACTGGACGGTTCCAGGCACAAACTTGATTCCATAGAGATGCGAAAACAGTTTCGAAAGTCCGTCCATCGTCGTTCCGACCGAGAAGTAGGCCGAGATCGAGTCGCCGTGGGGTATCGTGTTCGTCCGACTGCTGACCAGACGGACATAGAAATCCCGATCCCATGCCTCGAGTTGTGCATCCTTGTCCCTAGTCGCCACCCGCTTGGCCTTTTGCAGCAGCATCAGCTCGCTCTTGACGGCAGCTTCCTGGCTCTTTCCGAGGGTATGCAGGAACGCACTGACATTCTCTGGGTTCTTGACCATCTTATCGCCCAAGAACATGTGTCCATAACTTGGAAGTCCAACCAGCTGTGCCAAGTCATACCGTGTCCTGAGCAGATCGTCCAGAACAGCAACCTTAGACTTGTCCTCCGCCATGCTGGCGACATACATGGCCCGTCGAACATCCTCATCCTCGACATGCTTCAACACCATCTGCGACTCCCAGCCCGATGTGGGTACAACCGCGACCTTTTCTCCCAGCTTGTTGGTTTTGGTGACCCGTTGGATGTATCCTGGAGACAGTCCCTGGAGTCGAGAGGGGGGGCTGACCAAGATGTGAGCAGGTCCTGGTCCTGGCTTCGAGCAGTTCTGCATGAAGTCCCTGCCCAGACTGACGACCTTGTCCGACAGCGCCACAAACTGTGCTCGCTTGGCGTCCGAGAGATGAATACCCGACTTTTCGAAATCCCGCAAGAACACCAATGCGACTTGACGCTCTGCCTCCGAAAGTCCAGACTCGATCGCCGGCGTGTTCAACACCGTATGCAGCACCTATAACAGACACAAAATACTATTGTTTAGTCGCAAGGATCTCAGTACTAATTGACAAGTGGTCTCATTGACAGTGAAAAAAATATTCCCAGTCGTTACCTCGTAGAGCCTAGGATCGGTGTTGAGAGTATTCATCCACGAAAAGAGCTCCTCATAGACAGTCTCTGCAGCCTGTCTCCAAGCCGGGTCCGGATGCAAACACCGAACAACCTCCGCAGCGTCAATAACCTTGCACAGAACATCGCTCAACCGGTCAAACAACTTGATCACCTTCCGCATCTCCTGTCCTCCATCTTCCTGCTCCGGCGCATGCGCGATCCGCTCCACCAACAAATGGCCACGCGCGATCGCCGCATTCACCGAATCCAGAAACTTCTCCGGGGTCTTGAGATTCGGGTAGAGAAAGAGCCCCTCCGGTGAGACTGATGAGGCGAGTCGGGATCGGGAGGAGGAGACTGGAGGGCTGTCAAAGAGTTCTCGGAGTGAAGGGGTTGAAGTGGAGTTCAGCACTGCTGATGAGGCTGCTGCAGCTGCCGACTTTGCGTCGGTTGTTGTTCCAGATATGTGTCGGACTTGAGTCTGTGGCAGTTGTGCTCCTTGAGAGATACCGACGCGTACTGTTGTTGTTGTTGTTGTTGTTGGGAGTACGCGCCCTGTTGATGCTCTGGTAGAAGAGGAGCGAAGTGCAGCTGTTGTCCTGTAGGCAGCCCTACCCTGTAGGATGCGGCCAAGTCCTGCGGACATGTTGTCGTGTGTATTGTAAAAGAGGAAGGCAGGTTGTGTGGGGAAAAGGAGAAAGAAGGAAACACAACTCCCGATTGTGGGAAAAATGAACGAAACCCACCAACTCAAGTCAGTCACATTTACAAGAAATAATTGATTTAATATATGACTGATTCTCCACATCCTTCTACACACGCCAAATGGCGTCGGCGACCTTGATGACATCCCGGATCTCCTTGACATCGTGTACCCGGACAATACCTGCTCCTCCTGCAACCGACGCCGTACAGGCTGCTGCTGTGCCCCACGCACGCTTTGTGGCATCAGGCTGCTGTGTCAAATGTCCAATGAACGCCTTTCTTGAAGGACCCACCAGGCAAGGGTATCCGGCCAAGGGACTCGTCTCTGACTGGGTCAGCTCAGGAAGACGACGCAAGACCTGGAGAGACTGCTCGCTGTCCTTGGAAAAACCAACACCGGGATCAGGGATAATGTTCCAGCGGTGCACACCAGCTGCAATAGCGCGCTGGATCGACTTGCTGAGGTCACGGCCAATCTCGCCAACAACGTCGTTCTTTGCGCCGTAATCCGTCTGCGACATCATGGTCTTGGAGTCACCGCGCATGTGCATCAAGCAGACAGGAACATTCCACTTAGCCATGACGCTATACATAGCAGGATCTCTCTTTCCGGCCGAGACGTCGTTGATCAGATCAGCACCTGCCTCAATCGCCTTGTCTGCAACAACAGCGCGGAAGGTGTCGACCGAGATGGGTGCTTCGAATCCTCTGGCGCGCAACAGCTGGATCACAGGAACAACGCGACGGATTTCCTCCTCTTCGGAAATCTCTTCAGAGTTGGGACGAGTCGACATTCCTCCAATGTCAATGATATCGGCGCCATCATCAATCAATTTCTGAGCACGAAGAGCTGCTGCCTCTGCGGTACTGTAGTCACCGCCATCGCTGAAACTGTCAGGGGTAGTGTTGAGGATTCCCATGATTAGGGTCTTGGCGTCCCAGCGGACAATCTTGTGACGCAGAGGGAATGACTTGTGGATATTGCTGTCACTACCGGGGCTGGCTTCCTCCTGCTTTAACAACAACTGCGACAATAGCTGGCTGATGTGGCGATACAACTTGGGGTGCTCCACATCCTTTGCGATACTATACACATAAACAGTGTAACAAAGAGGGTTCTATTCAGTCAAGACGCTCTCACAGAAGCAACAAAGAGTAGTGGAAACGAAAGCAGCAACAGTAAGATACATACTCGCAGAGGGGTCGGAGGACAAATTCACGCTCTTGCATGGCAATGTGAGGAATGGTCAAGACATCGTCCTTGTACTCGATAGAATCGTACAAAAGAATGTCAATGTCAATGGGGCGGGGTCCGTTGCGGATGGTGTTGAAGTCGCGACCCATTTCTGCCTCAATATCCTTGATCTTCTTCAACAGCTCCAATGGTTCCAAATCTGTCTTGATCTACTCATCAAATATCGAAATGCATAACAATTAGCATGCGTCGTTGTCAAACATTTCTATCTCATGTAATCAGAAACATACAAATCAGCATGCATAAAAGAAATTACCTTGCAGGCGGCATTGAGGAAAGGTGGCTGGTCCGTGACATACATGGGTGGGGTCTCGTATAGGAACGAAGTATCAACGACACGAACACGGTCGCCTTGCTCCAGCATCTTGAGGGCGTTTGTCAAGTTGGCAGCTGAATCTCCCAGGTTGGAACCCAAGGCCAAGTAGACCTCATGACTGAGCTGGTCAGGAACAGGGCCGCGCTTTGGAAGGGTGCTGGCCAGAGGAGTAATACCGAAACCAGGGATGGTCGAGATCGACGAAACACCTCGGGTATGGGTCTTGTTGGCAGCTGCTGCCGAAGCAAAGAATGCCCTGTCGCGTGTAATCTCAACTCCAGCTGATCCTGCAAAAACAATAGCGCTGGGCTTCTCCATCTTGACAGTGATCTTGCTGACATGGCACTTTTCGATCGCAATGCGCGCTACAGATGTGACAAACGCCTCGACAGTCTTGTAGGAGGAAGCCTCGATGTACTTTGTGATGGTCCTGACAATGGTGCGGTAGTTGTGGGTGTTGGAGACATAGTCGGCCTTGCGGTCGGGGGTACCGTCCATGCCGGGGTAGATCTGCAAGTTCAAGACGACGAGCTGCTCCTCTTCACGCTCCCAGGGGTTGACTCCAATGATGCAAGACAGCTTCAGATCCTTGACAAAGATGATGTCGTGTTGGTTGAAGCGGACGGGGCAAGGGACAGTACCGTTGAGTTCTCCCTCGGTGTAATCGGAACGGGAGCGAGTGATCTCGACTCCAGCGGAGGCAGCGTGCAAGAGGGCACGGGGTTTGTCGATCCTGACGGTGATCTTGGGCGCGTGGCACTTGGAGATGACAACACGGGCAATTGAGTCAGCGAGAGCCTCGACTGACCGGAACTCTGACTTTTCCGAGTGGGCCTCGACGGTCTTGCAGAGAATTCCATAATGGATCGAGTAGGGCTAATTCATGCCAAAGGTAACAAAAGGCGAGGAGCAAGACGATTGGGTTGTGGGAGGACAGGAGAAAGGAGGAGGAGGAGGAGGAGGAGGATGAAGGATGGAGACGCGGGCAAAGTAGGGAAAGTCAAAAAGCAAGTACCAAGGCGTGTAAGTTTTCTATCTGGCAGGTACTTTTCTTTTTAACCTTTTTCATGATTGATACCTTCGAACGGGTGAAAGAAACTGTAACTTACGAGGTGGTCGGTATCACCGGCCTGGGAGACGCTTGTGTAGACCACGAGGTTGATGATGATTGGCTGTCGCTTGGATCGTTCCCATGCGTCGACGCCAATGATGTTGCGGACGGAGAGGTCTCTGATGCAGATCTTGTCGGTCAAGGGCAGGTCGACGATGGTGTCTTCCTTTGTGTGTTCGGCAGCACTCATTCCTGTATATGTTTTTGTTATGTAGAATGATTCCGGTGTTCCTGCTGTGAGAGTGGTTGCTTGTTTTTAAGTCCTGAGTAGAGTGGAGTGGGTGTGGAAGGAGTGAAAAGACGGAGAAGAGCGAGCAAAGGAGAAGAAAAGGAAGAGGGAGAGGAAAGGGGAGCTTCTTTTTCTGTGTGTTCGTTCGCGTCTCTCTTCTTTTTTTCCCTCCTCTCGCTCGTTACCCCATCGAAAAATACTTTTTCGCATATGAATCAAGCAGCCCATCCCTTCTTCAAAGTGACTGCCCAATGACTCTTGTGTGAACAATGTCTGTTGATCTCATGCGCGTCCGTTGCCATTGGCCAGTTGCACTCGTACTCCGATACACCTTCTCTCTCTCTCTCCCTCCTTTCTCTCTTCACCCCATCGCGTTCTCTTTTCCCACATTAAGCCAATTGAAGTATCTTCCTATACTATCATATGCAAGCTGAAAGAGACAGAGAGGGAGAGAAGATTCCCTTTATTTTGTTTATCAAAAAAAAACTCCGCAGTGTCAATGGTGCCGAAGATTGGCGTCACCATGGTGCTGCTGCAAAGGATGGTTATCCTTCAACAGCTCAGGGTTCAGCTTGTATGTATGCTGCCGCCGCACCATCTCACTCGAATCAGGCATCGAATCCTCCGCCTCATTGTTCTCTGCCAACTCTGTCAATACCAATGCGCCCTTCTTGCTCTCAAGGTTCTTCAGAATATCCTGAAGGACCTCCTCCCCTCTCTGTTGCAGCTCAAGCGATATCAGAGCCGTCCGATCTAGCAACAACGGAGGCGGTGCCTTCTCTGGATCCTGGCTCTTATTCGTCATTGATTTTGTTACTGTTGCTGCCTTTTCGCCCGTCTTGAGCTCTTTTAGTTTTTGAGCAAGTGCGTTCGCAGAGACTTCGTGCGGTTGGCGATCCGGAGACGGAGAGACGCGGTGCTCATTACGACCACGACTGTGTCCTCGACCGTGGCCATGTGTGTCTGCGTGGTAGGGCGAAGTAGATCGACTGTGGCGATTGGTACGCTCAGGGTCTAGATGAGTGCGATCTTGGTGTGATACTTGTTGGTGGTGGTGGAAGTGTGTGTGATGACTGGAGTGGAGTTGGATATGGGCTGGTAGAGACTGCGCACGGAGTTGAGTGTCTGTGTTGATAAGAGGATCCTGCTGGTTCTGTGTCACGACGATCCCGGTGTCAATTGTGAGGTGAAAGTTCTCGGCTGTCATTTTTGTAAGTTGTTGAAAAAGGTAATGGAGTGCAACTTGGCCTTCACTGGCCTTTTTATATGGCGACAGAAAGTAAGTGAACTGGGCTATGCCATGTGGGATGACACTTCTACTTCTTGACCTTGTTTTTACGTTCTGTCTAATAGTCGCCGCACTAAGTCCACTAAAAAAGCGCACTAGCCTGCGCCGACAAAGAACTGGACATTGGAACAAGAGTCGACCTTGTACAGCCAGAGAAAGGGTCCCCTCTGGGATGCTCAGCATCACGAGCACCCTACTCGGGACCGAAATAGACCAAGGAGGGTTCTCTTCGTTTCTTTATGCTCTTTGAATGTCGATAGAACAAAGAGTGAGCGTAGCCATACATCTAGTTCTAGAGCACATGAGTCGAAGGGTATAGTCGACGAAGAAGAGTAGACAGTAGTCAGTTGTTTTATATGTAATCATGAACATACTCGACGAGAAGAACAAGAGAGATTGAAGCACTTGCTTGGATGTTCACGCGTGAGAACGTACTCTGCGTCTCTGGCACAATAATTATCAGCATCTACCAGTGGCGAAATCAATAGACGTGTCCAGTCTGGTTCTATCATCTGTATGAGCGATCGCGCGCCAGTTATCTCCAACGTTCAATCAAAAATATACCCCTTTTTTGTTGTTGTTTTCTTTTTCTTTGTTACTTGATTGTTTTCATGCGTGCTGTGTGTGTGTGGATGGACTTGGCATGGTGCAACAGAATTGCGTAATTGGATGGACGTCCTGAACCTAATGTTCGTTGAGGCCGAGAAGGAAAAGGGGGGGAAGTGGGGCAAGTGGGGCAAGTGGGTTATTGTCGTCGTTCAAAGGAGAGTAGACGAGCAAAGTTACTGCTCCGGAAAAGGAGAACGCCAAGACGAGTCGCCCTAGCAGCAACCTGCAAACAGCTACAAAACTGCAGCCATAGCATACCAACTCTCTCTCTCTCTCTCTCTCTTTCTCTCTCTCTCTCTCTTTCTCTCTCTCTCTCATTCTCCCTCTCGTTGTCTTACTCTTTTCTCTTGCCTCTTTCTCTTCTCTCTCTTCTCTCTTCCTTTTCTCTTCTTTTTTTCCTTCTCCGACACTAACAATCGATCTCAGGCCCGCTCTCAACAAAAACGCACATATCAACAAGATGACCACTCCTTCATCTTCTCCCACGCCACCCAACATGCTCCCAGTTCTCATCGTCGGAGGAGGCCCCGTCGGTCTCTTTGAAGCCTTCCTCCTCACAAAACTCGGCATCCCCGTCCGCATCATCGAACGTGAACACTCCATCTCCCCTCTCTCCAAAGCTCTCGGTCTCCAAGCCCGGTCCATGGAAATCTTTCGCCTCGCTGGCGTCATCGACCCCTTCCTTGAAAAGGGCAGCCCCAGCTTCAACCTCAACTTTTATTCTGCCGGCAAGCATTTCGCCACCATGCCCGTTAATGGTACACCTGATGATACTGAGTACTGTTATGGTTTGTTCTTGGAGCAGAAGGTCACCTCTGAGATTTTGAGGGACGAGTTGGCGAAGATGGGGGTTGAGGTTAATTATGGATGGGAACTTATGGATGCCAAGGTTGTCGAGGGTGGTGATAATGAGAGTACCTATGTCGAGACGACGGTCAGACGCGCATTGTCGGGCGATAACACGGCTCTCGGGGAGAACTTGGTCATTGGAATTGTGGACGAGCGCATTGAGCAGAAAGACAAGAAGTATGAGACTGAGGTCGTGAGGTCCAAGTACATGGTTGCCTGTGATGGTGGGCGATCCACCGTTCGACACAAGCTGAACATCGCGTTCCCTGGGCGTACCCTTACCAGCAAGACATTCATGTGGGATGGTATCGCAGACACCGACATTCTCGTCGACGGCGTCACGTAAGTATCTCTTCTCTACTTTGTTTTGTTAGCGCGTGCATAGCCATATTTTTTTGTTTGTTATTTTTGGATGTGTATGCATGGGCCAACGTACTCACTTACATTGCGATTTTTTCTTTTCCTGTCATTTTTTAGTGTGATCTCCAACCCAAACAAACGCGCAATGCATCTCTTCCCTCTCAGTCATGGCACAATCCGTGTTCAAATCGAAGCAGGCGAGATCGAGGACAGTGAGGACTTTGCCGAAACCATCAAGAACCTAACCATCGACCAATTCGAAGCCCTGGCCAAGGACTGTGTCTACCCCGCCACATTCAACATCAAAGAAACCACCTGGCTCACTGGATACAGAGTCAACGAGCGCCGCGCTGAGCAGTTTGTCTACAAGAACCGCATCTTCCTCGCCGGTGACGCAGCACACATCCACTCCCCTGCTGGCGGACAAGGAATGAACACGGGTCTGCAGGATGCTCACAACCTCGCTTGGAAAATTGCGTTTGCCCTTCAGGGACTTGCCGCACCCGAGTTGATCTTGCCCACCTATGCTGAGAGAGAACCCATGGCGGATAGAGCGATCGAGGTCTCGTCAGCGATCTTGCAAAGAAACCGGACGACCGGCTATACCTCCCATTATATGAAGCTCGCCTTTTTTTCTGTCGCGCCCTTTATTCTGAATGTCCTACGCAAGTTCCACGCCACTCCCGATGTCTCCATGGTACGCATTCTTCTTTCTTGTTTGTTTGCTGTGTGTAACACAATAATTCAGGGGCGAATCTAACATTCATTCTCTATCGCCTTTTTTTTACCTTTCCGCAGCTCAAGCTTCGCTACGCCGAGAACTACATCAACAGATCTCACACGTCTACAATGCAATCCAAGGACGAATACCAAGTTGGAGTCCGCGCCCAATGCGGCACCATCCGAACCATTAACTCCACAACCAACGACAAGACCAACAACCCCTTCCGTCTGCACGAACTCCTGATCGGTCTTGGCCGCTTCCACATCCTGATCTTTGCATCCACCACACTTAACTCCCCCATCGATGCCAAACACCTTGCCACACACTTGGAGCACTACCAATACGCCTGGCGCAGCCGATGGACCTACTCTGCCGACCTGAACGACGGCCGCAAGGACAAGCACGACCTCTTCAAGATCCACATCCTCGCCGGCCCTACACAGGACACAACAGGCTGGGAGAAGTTTGTAGATAGAGCTGAGGGCGATGGACGTGTTTACGAGGATATTGAGGCCAAAGTGCATGTCAAGTTCGGGTTCAATGGCAAAAAGGGACCTGGAGGAATTGTTGTGGTCCGTCCGGATGCGCATGTTGGATATCGAGTTGAGGGGTGTCAGGCTCAGGCGTGGGAGGCGGTTGATAGGTACTTTTCTGGTCTTTTGACTAAGGGAGTTCCTCAACTCTAATGATGGGGGACGGATCTATTTTTTGCGTAGCAACGATAGTCAAGCAGTCAAACATATTCGAGCATACACATCTATTAACAGCAAACAGCAATACATTCAAACATACAAATAAACAAATAAACATAGACACAGCAAGCGAGCAAGGTTGAAAGGAAAAGATGCACGGATCACAGACGCGTAAGAAAAAAAAAAGAGACCAACCTTCCACGACGCGCTTTCTCATATCTTTTTAGTTCCTCAATCATCGCGATTGAGCATTTTTTTCTTCTCCCTACTTTTCCTTTTTTTTTTCTTGAATCAAAAGACTCTTAGAAAAGCGTTATTATATAGTTTAAGAGAACACACGCAGCATTGATAAGAATCAGACCATGCAGTACGCGATCGACGACGTTTATTTTCTCTTACAAACGACACAAAGGATGCATTTGGAAGTAAAAGGGGACTACAGACCAAACCCTTCAGTACATCATCCACCAGTCGCAGTCCGGTTCGGAACCAGACTCTGCACAACAATTGTCGCTGCTCTTCACAGCTTAAACGGAAGAAAATAAAACTAGATACGAATGAAGGGGATTCTTCCCATCCTCTCCATCATTGATAACCTCCTCCTTCCTAACAAACTCTACAACAACCGCTCGTCAGCAGCGCGTGGGTCCTTGGTCGCTCCAGGGCGCCTTCCTTCATCATGTGTGGCTAGCGAAGCGCCACACGGACAGAAACCATCGTGCGTGATGTAACCGTATCCTTGACTCCAGTCACCTCGGGGGCCTGTGTACTTGGATGTCTTGTCCTTGGCAGAGATACCCTGGGTATGTTCCCACGTGATTGTCTCGGAGCACCGAGGTTTCCAGATCAGTACCGAGGCCTGCGCCTCCAGGTAGCCAACAAACTTGTGCAGGACCGTCTTGGCGATGGACATTGGGGTCCGGAAGACCGGCCCCTTTTTTCGTACTGGAAGACCGGCCCCCTTTCTTTTTTTTTTCTTTTTTTTTTTTTTTTTTTTTTTTTTTTTTTTGGCATTCGTGTCTGTAAGTCACGTGATAATCGTCAGTGGATGGTCTCGAAACATCAATGTTTGAAAAAAACAGTCTTCAACCAGCTTTCTTAGCTCAGCCGGCAGAGCGTCAGTCTCATAATCTGAAGGTCGTGAGTTCGATCCTCACAGAGAGCATTTTTGCTTCCGCGGATTCCAAAGTCTCGCGGGTTGTTCCTTTTTTGAAGACCAGGTGGCTGGCCGGGGGTGACGCCCCGTGCTTCAGCCTTCTTTTTGGTTTGTTTCTTTTCAGCTAGCAGACAGGCCGGGGGTGACGCCCCGGGTTTTGCCTTTATTTTTGTGGTCGAGTCAGTCTATCCGTTTTTAAATTTGCGACTCTTACGAAGGACGGCCCGTGGCCTAGCCACGGACAGCGTCCTTGCAAGTGTCCTTTGTATGTTTCGGGAGGGGGGAAATCTCAAGCAGAACGGCCGTAGCCGAGCTACAGTCGTCCTCCTTTCAAAGTTAAGTATTATAGTTATTCTGGCTTGTGCCATGGTTATTCTGTAAGTGACTTATCACCTTGGACGATTGATCGGATTGTCAAAAAAAAAAAAAAAAAAATTGTCAAGATTTCTAACATGTGTCATCTGTTTTTTAATATGACCCTCTCATACAGAACGGCCGTGACCGAGCCACGGTCGTCGTCCTTGCCAAGTGTTCTTTGTCTGTTCGCGGGGTCAGCAAAAGGGATAACCTTAGGCAACGCCTAAGGTTATCGTAGTATTTGTGAGTGAATGTTTTTGACCAAGCTGATTGGTTTACCTAGTAAAAGGTTAATCATCACCATCTTTCGTTCTTTTTTTATTTCACGCGTCTTTTCACTTTCTATTTTTTTCTTTCGTCTATCCTTTCTACGACCGCGTTAATGTTTGTTTTGGTCATCCACGCGGATGAGCCTTCGTCAAGTCGCGTTCTTACTTGTTGTAAGATTTCATTTCTCTTTGTTGCTCTTGTTATTCTATCTTTTACACTTTCAGATCATCGTCCTGTCTTTTATTCGTCTTTCTTTCTACTTCTTTTCTCTCGTCGATGAGCTTCAATATGTTCACTTCCACTCTTTCTTGTTTTACCAACTTCATGACGTATTTATTGATGAAAACCCCGGCTCCCTCCCACCCGTTAGTGTGCCCGACCGCAAATCATTGTTCCCTTTTCTTTTATTTCTTTTATCCACACCCTCCCTTCCACTCTCCTTTCTATTCACTTCCAGTCTTTCCCATTCCCTTCCACTCTTTCCTACTCCGTTATTGTCGTCAGATATTAAAAAATGGCGCTGAGAATGAATTTTGTTGCATTGACCTAGGCCATAACTAATATTGCGACAAAGTTTGCTTAAGAAGAGACGCGACACAACAAGAGCGTTCTTTGTTTTGTGTCGGTGTTTGTTTGGTGGACGATTTCTATGGATCCTTCGTCCTCAATGGGTTGAAAAAAATTCAAGTTATCGCCAGCATCCGAGAATTCGGCCGCTGCCCTTCCGCCTATTAAGATTAACTCAAAAAATTGACTTGAGATGCAACCAACACTTGGTTGCTTTAATAACGCCTAGTGTACCCTCTACCACGGCCACAGTTACGGCCTGAGGGGTTGGTTTTTTTTCCATCTTTGGCTCCTCCTCGGGGTTGCCTCCTATATTCCAAAAAGGAGGAGGAAAGGGGGAGGTTATTAGAATTGCTGTGCTCCTGCTCCTTAACTCTGGAGGACAACTAATCCCGCAGAACAGCTTAGGCGGTCGTTGGAGCAACACCTACGAGTAGGGACGGCCTTATCATGTCCTATTAGGAGTTTAGAAAGGTCTTGGTGGTGGTATTGAGAAAATAGAGTAATAGAAAGAGGAAGACAGGGACAGGGATGAGAGAAGAGAAGATATAATGGAGGGATAGACAATAGAGAAGAGTGAGAAAGAAGAAAGAAGAGTGACAGGCAGTTACCGACCCTGTTCTTCTTTCTTTCCCGACGTCCATGTTCTGCTTGTTTGTTTTTTAATTTATAAAATTTGTCGATTTTCTGTGACCCCCCAGGAGTCAAGTGCCTTTTTTCTTTTCCCTGGTCAAATCTTCGCGTCAATGAGAAAGAAAAGAGTCGTTAATGCCTTTTTTTTCCTTCACTAATCTTTTGAATTCAGATACTAAAATCTATTCAGATCGATCTTCATATCAATATCTAGGCACATTCTTCATCGTCTCATAGGCGACAATCACTCACATATCCACAGTTGATCTGACAAAAATCATTTATTTACTTCTCACACATCGCATATTCATCCACAAAGTAGTTGAGGGCTATAAGAGCGAAAGAAAGCAAACGAGGGCTGAAAGAGAAAGAAGCATGTAACAGAGCTGTTTTTGGATGAGAATATCTGGAAGTCTAAGTTGCCGATGTCAGATATGGCGCTTGTATTGTCGAATATTAGGCTGACCCATTCTTCCTTGGTCTTGAGGAAGCCAAGCTGTAACTCCTTCCATTTGATATGGTGCTGGGACCTCCCTTACAACCGACTCAAACTCTGAACTAGCGACTGATGGCTTGATGAACAGGACCGAGGATCATTAGGAACTTGAGACGAGAAGCGAATCCTTTGTTGAGAAACTCGTTTAATAAATCAAAGAATTGAGCCCCCGGACCCACAGTCCCCAGTCTGATAGCCTCCACACATTCCACCCAATCGTCGACGAAGGCCGGGCGGCGAGGGCATGTAGATCGGTGGACAATACGATATCTATATTGTCGACAACGAAGCTGTTCGGGTAGAGGAAAAGAAAGAGAGAAGGAAGCAAAATCAAAAAATGCCAGCACCATAAGGACGGCAACGGAAAACATGAAAAACACGATTGAAGGTTCTCAACCAAATACCTACGCAGTCAGAAAGCGGTCAGGGTTATGGTTGGAGGGGGAGGGAAGAACGAGGAGTAAGGCTGACCGATATTGACCTAGCTGAGTGCATATTTAACCAGCTGAGAGGACTTTGGTGAGAAGAAATGTTGGGACTATATATATTTTGCTAGTAGAGGTGAAGTGGTATCGTAATGCCGGAGACGGTTATCATGAGAGCGAAAAGGGATTCAATTGATGTTGCCAAAAGGGTGTGAAAGAATATCGATGGAGTGAAGACTGGAGGTAATGGTACCACAGTTGTTGAAAGGAGAGAGAGAGAGAGGGCTTGCGCTCCCCTCGTCCAACTGAAGTAGAAGAAAAAGGTTAACTGCCTGTTATCTTGGCCGAGCAAATCGCTTACTTCTGTGTTCTCAGGGCAGGGATTATTGATCATCCGCCGTTCAGGACTTTGCTACTTGGCTTAAGTTTTTTCTCTCACCAAATTCACACGCGCGTTTCCACAACATCCTCGCGACAGAGAGGCCTTCAGCTTTCGCTCTTTTCAGTCATCAAGGTTCTTACAGGTGCCAAAAATAAGGCGCGATCTCCAACTTGCATCCTTCACTTCAATTAAAGAAAGTCCAAAAAGAACCCCGGGGCTTCGCCCCAGGCAACCACCTAGTAAAAGGAGCAAAAAAGTTGCTGATGACTACCACACAGGTAGTACAAATGCAGGCGCCTCTCAAAAAGAAAGGGCAAAATATATAGTGAAGAGAGTGGGATTTGAACCCACGCCTACGAATAGACCGCGGCCTTAACGCGGCGCCTTAGACCAACTCGGCCATCTCTCCAACTCGATATGTACCAATGAGATTGTTACGTACTTATGCTTTAGGCACTAACTATTACAGATCACGTGTAAAAAGCGCCACCAATTTTTGCCGTATTTGAAAAAAAAAAAAAAAAAAAAAAAAAAAAAAAGGTCCGATGGTTGTCAATACAGGCCCCCGAGGTGACTGGAGTCAAGGATACGGTTACATCACGCACGATGGTTTCTGTCCGTGTGGCGCTTCGCTAGCCACACATTGTGAAGGAAGGTGCCCTGGAACGACCAAGGACCCACGCGCTGCTGACGAGCGGTTGTTGGAGAGTTTGTTAGGAAGGAGGAGGTTGTCAATGATGGAGAGGATGGGAAGAATCCCCTTCATTCGTATCTAGTTTTATTTTCTTCCGTTTAAGCTGTGAAGAGCAGCGACAATTGTTGTGCAGAGCCAGGTTCTGGACCGGACTGCGACTGGCGGATGGTGCACTGAAGAGTTTGGTCTGTAGTTCCCTTTTACTTCCAAATAACTTCTCTATGCTGTTTGTTAGAGAAATAAAATTGTGTACGAAAAAAAAAAAAAGTTGTCAATGATGGAGAGGATGGGAAGAATCCCCTTCATTCGTATCTAGTTTTATTTTCTTCCGTTTAAGCTGTGAAGAGCAGCGACAATTGTTGCGCAGAGCCAAAGTTCCGGATCGGACTGCAACTGGTAGATGGCGCACTGAAGTGTTCATTCTATAGCCTATTTGCTTCCAAATGCCTGCGGGCTGAGGAGCCGGTCGAGTTTCTTGACGTGGCGTTTATGAGAGCATGTTTGAATGTAAAGACCGGTTTGTTTGTGAAGTAGAGAGCCGCTGGTGGCCTTGAACACACGTCTGGACTGGAAAAACGGGTGTGTTTTGGTCGTTCAATCTCATTACTGCAAAATGACCTACAAAGGAGCGCCTGAATGCAACTTCACTCTACAAGCACCCTTGATTTTGTTATCATCGAAGCATATCAGAAAACGTGGGAAGGCAGATTGTTCTTTTTTTTTTTTTTTATTCTTCTTCTTGTTAGCTGTCTATCGATCCTTGGTCAGCCTTGTTCAGACTGAGAAAGGAACCGTGTCGACTGGCCATAACGGGGAACAAATGACTGAAAAAGCAATGCCCATGAGTTTTTTTGGTGTTTTTTCTTCTTCCTGGACCTCCTGAAAAATCCTTTGGGATATCGTGCCGAGATGCCTCTTGCAGCAACTCGCAAGTTTTGGTAAGGAAGCAAGGACGAGTATGAGGAAAGAAGACCACAAAAGTAAGAAAAAGAAACACTAGGAGTGTAGTGGGAATGGGTTGTGAACTGACGGGTGTGATGAGTGGTGTGGAAGGATGAATGGGTATCTATCTGCGATAGAAATAAAATCTGTTGAATTGAAGAACAAAGGAAGAGTAGAAAATCAGATACCACAGAGTAGAGACGCGACGTTCGGCAGCAGACAGCGTGGACACAGGAGTGGGAGTGGTCCTTACTTTCCTTATCGAGGTGTCCTCTCGGAGAAAAAGGTGTGTCGGATTCCTGGTCTATCAACACAAAGGAGAGGGACATGGCGCAAATAATCGACAAAGCAACAGCAAAAAACAACAACAACAAATGATCTGATCGAGTGGCCCATCTCATGCCTGCCTCCCCTGGTCTGATTTCTCCTGTTATTCCATTACATGGCCATAGGCATCTCCTCCTCATCGTCATCGTTGATTTCGATAACGACAGCTCCACTATCATTTCCTCCTGATGGCATTAGGGCATGTCCGTTCCCAGAAAGTCCCAAGGCCGGCTAGAGAAGAAGCGAAAGAACCAAGTTAGTCTGTAAACAAAAGTATAAACCGAAAGCATGATCTCCTGCCTGGTATCTGCTTCATTCTGTCCTTGGGGTTACCATCCTGTTCAACTTGTAGGCTAGGGGCGAAAACACGCTGGCTTGCTTGATCAAGTCCGCGCTCTCACACGACTCGCTGTCCTTGAAGAATTCAATCATCCTACGAAGTAATTGAACAGAAATTGTAAAAATTGGCCATTGGCATCGCCCCTCTTGGATATACAAAAGAAAGCGCATCGGACAGTAGCGTAAAGTTTGAAAGAATGAGAACAAACCGTTTCCAAAGGTGTTCCGAGGTGGGGAATCGGCGTAGACACGAGACGAGTATTTTCCTGCATTGTTCGACATGGCCGGCCCTTCCTTGTGCTTCTCCCAACCTATTATATGAAAAAAAACATGATATTAGTACATGTTGATATGCAAGAATACGGCACATATTCAGTTTTATCAGCCTCATAGTCGTTGCTTACCAGAGATAGAGATCAAAGTCTTCGGGGAACTGTCGCGAAAGCGAGCCCATCAAATGGACGCGCAACTCGTCAGGACCCTTTGCGGTCCGTTCCCAGACAGTCTCCACAACCTTGTTCAAAAGGTTAAAGTCGTGGAGCGACGACACTCCCCAGTCTTCGCCGGGGTTCTTGTCGTACGGGTTCGGTTTCGAAACAACGATGTCGCTCGTTGCCGACTCGATGACGCTGTCCAAAGTTCCAGTCTCGAACACCTTATCGAGGGCAAGCATAATCGAATGGGTCGCTAATCTACGTGAACGAAATATAGGAAAGTAAAAAGTGTTGGCCAATGGTCGATGCATCAGAAACTTCAACGTGAAAAATCGCTATCGTTAATGCGATAGTGAACTTACTCTCCGATAATCAATGATCTCTTAAGTCGCGGGACAGAATCGGCAGCGACAGAGAGCATCATGGTCATGTCATCGAATGAATGGAGATTCTTCGCTTGGAGAGCAAGGAGCGACAGGTAGTTCAGCCACAAAAACGTGTTGGTCTTGAAAGGCGCAATATCAACTTTGGTGGGCGGCGCCTTGAAGTTGTAGGGGAGGTCAAGGCCGAGCAACTTCTTGAAAAGCAGAATAGCCTGCTCTGACGAATCGCGCCCAGCATTGGCTTGATGAAACTCCTCGCCTTCACCAATATCGAAAAAGGCCCGGGCACACTGGCCAAGACAGCCCGCCTTCTCATCCTCCGAGAGCATGTAGGCATATCGGTTCCAAAAGTACGGCTCGAATGGCATCTCCTGCACAGTCATTTCCAGAAGCTCCTTTGCCTTGGCGTAATTTCCATAGTGCTAGAAAAATAAGCAAATGGTGGCACAGGAGTGAGGACGACGTACCAACGCTATGCTTGAAAATGACAAGAACACATGCGCGCACATGTAAATTAACGAAAGTGGACTTACCATCTGAACCTCACAAAACAAGTCGCGGACCTCGGGGAGGCGTGGAGAGAACTGAGAAGGGTTCACCAGCTCCATGATCTCGTCCTGGTTCTGACCGCGAGACATCAAGAACCCAACAAAGTTCCTCAAGAGCGCAATGACAGGAAGTCGAGCATCCTGGTCCACAAAGTACACAGTCAGGCCCAGGAAAATCTCATGGACAATGCTGTACAGTTCGGTTTCCTGCTCAAGTTCCTCAGTGACAGGCCATTGGATGACAAAGAAGCTGTCGTCCGACAGGTAATCATTAGGATAATGATGGAAGAGGGCCGTGGGCAGCTCGTGGAACCAGATCAAATAAACGTAGGCGAGCCACAGAATGCAGAGGTCTTTTGATGAAAGAATCCTCGAAGCAAGAGTCGACGACATATCCTCCACCATGTCCTGCTCCAGCCAGACATCATCCAATTGTGCATACGAGAGTGACGAAGGGCGCACCGACTCCCAGGTCGTGCACGTCAGGAAATTCTGCATCCAGTTCTTGGCTGCCTCCACAATGCCATCCTTGACCATGTTCCTGACAATCTGCAAGACCACGTCCACAATGAATCGAGACTGGATAGCTGGGTCAGCCACCTCTGTCTGCTCCTGACAAGCCATTTGCAGCATCCGATCTAGAACAAAGACGCGTTCGTCGCCGCCCTTCTCCCACAAGTAGTATCTAATATAATATATACCGTCAAAAGAAAGGCTTGTTAGCAAACAGCAATCCGGAGGCTCGAACAAGTAGACAGAGTGATGAGTTATTCAGCATCGATAATTCTTACCTGAACCACAACAGGTGGGACTGCGGCACATATTGAAGGCACTGCTCAAACATCGCGCGGGTCTCCAGCTCAGTCCCGTAGCGTGCATACAAGTCCAGGTACAACGCCCACAGGGATTCAGTCGTAGGGAGGGTCCCAAGCGCTCGCGATAAGATACTAAGCGCCTTACGAAGCCGTTCGTCAAACATATCGGGGTTGTTGAGTGCAGATGAGAGCTCGTGCATGGCGAACTCCGCCCAGATAGATGCGTTGGAAGTATCGATCGTTAACATGGCCTCATAGTCGATTGATCCTGGCCTGTCATGGTAGCGAATGACCCTGGAAGGAAGAGTTCCGGTGAGGGTTTTCGTCAGGATGACCATTGTAATGGGGTGCTCATCAAGCAAGCCGTCTCCCCCCTCGGAAGTTCCATGGATATTGTCGATTCGGGCCGATGGGCTAGTGCGCATCACAGGCTTTTCTCCAGCCGATGGAGACGCTTGTTCTCCTTGAAGGGTAACACGGGGACCAAACTTGACGACGGGGGCTGAGCCAAGACCGTTGCCGAGTTCGTTATGAGCCTTGACGATGGCGTCAACCAAAATGTCCGCGTTGTGAATGCGTGAGGCACGAAGGTGAGCAAGCTTGGCGGATTTCATATCGGCGAAAACCTTGCGGGTCTCTGGATTCTTGCCTTCTGAGTAGCGCGCCATGTCGATGACCAGTTCCTCATCTGTTAGTCCACAGTCCCGAATATGCTGCGACTTGCAGTTGTCGTCGTTGCATGAGCCTCCTGATAGCTCGTAGAGACACATCCGTTTCATTGGATCGATCTTGTGGCTGTAGGTCAGTGAGCGGTATCCTCCACGCACTGTTGACTTGAACCGAGGTGAGAAGCGAAACGACCTGAACATGGTTAGTGGCGATTCATATGCGGACGCGACATCCAAGGGCCGGTCCTGAGAATCGCTGCTTTGGAGCGGCGCAGCGGATTCACCCTGAGTCTCCTTGGGAAGCTGAGGGATGGGATACGTGGCTAGGTCCGAGGGAAGGCAGAGTCGGCTTATATCAAAGAGTGAATTGTCCAATGTGAACAGCTTGTTGATCTCGGTCGACGGACTCCAAATCGATGGTGTTGCGTTGCTGGCGCGATTCTTCGCAGGCGCCTCTTCTTGTAAAGTCTTGGGCAGAGACAGGAACTGGTCCAGCATGGAGAGGTTCGGCGTATTCGAGCCGCTCAGGACAGTTGAGCCCAGTTTGGGCTTGTACGTGGACCTGGATGCCTTCACATGAAGAGACGGGGCGGATGTCGGGACCGGAGCTCTGGTAGGTTGCAAAGGAGCTCTCCTGATATTGCTCTGGGATGAGACGGGTACATTCGACTGGTCGTTCATGCTGGCGGCCGAAGGTCGCGTAGGTGCCTGGATGGATGCGGAAGGTAGAGCTGCGATGCTGAGTAGCTCCTTCTCCTTGGCCAATTCGTTCATTCGTTTAGTGAGGGCAGACAATTCCTCCTTTGCCTGAATTTTTGGCTTCTTGGGCACCGTTGGATCCCAGGTTGCTCCATTCGACTCGAAAGCTCGTTTAGGACCTATTGAAGAAGCTACGATTCAATGTTAGTATCTCCATATATTGACAACTGTATAAAAAAATCTTTAGTTAGTTCTTGCAAGCCTTTCGTCGTGATTGTAACTTACCGGAGTCATCTGACGAAGCCATCTCTTGACCCGCAACGGCGTTCTGTACAACCTCCTCGCCAGGTTTCTGCTCTTCTGGCTTCTCTTGACTCGATTGGCCCTTGGTGTCCAAGGGCTTGGCGGTAGATTTGGTTGCTGGACTTGATCCGAGCATCATCATGCGTGTGCGCTTCCGAATAATATCCTGCTGAACACTGGCGATCGAAGCCTTAAGTTCGACGCAGGATGACTCGGCCCGATCGAGTCGCTCCTGCAGCAGGGCCTTGGCGGCGGTCGACGCATCTAGGCGATTCAAAAGGGGAGCCAATAACTCTTCTGTTTGACGGAGGTGATGTTGCGCCTCATCGAGCTCTTTGGCCTTCAGTGCAACGTCCTCTTTCGCGGCCAGAAGGGTCTGATGTACTTCCTGCAAATCCTGTCGGTCGTTCTCTGACTTAAGCGTTTCCGCTCCCAAAGAGTCGACCGCAGACCTCTTCTCCAGTTCGAGTTGCTGCAGCTGCGACCGAAGCTGCTCCAGAGTTTTGGTGTGACTGCTGAGGGTCTCCTTGAGTAGATCGGCTTCGTCCGTTGCAGGTGCCGAGGAGCTCTCTGAAGTCATCTCCTGGTCGTCCTGCTGAGGACTAGCTTTCTGCGACGTCAGATCGGGTTGTTGATTCATCGGCGAAGGCACTCCCTGTGCCGGCGAATGGGGGCTACTATTGTGGGCGATAGGCGTCGAAGGCGACGACAATTTGGCCCGTTCTCTGGCGGCGATCTGTTCATTCAACCTCTTCATCTCCTGGTTGAGGAACTCTGAGCGATCGGAGGTTGAGATCATCCTTAGTTTGGGTGCCGAAAAAGTCTCTGGTGTAGACTGTCCTCCTATCTCATCGCCGTCTTCGTCATCCAGGTCGATAAGGTATGGGAGCTGACGTTCCATGATAAATGGCGTTGGTTGAGAAAGTTTCGAGATGAAATCCAACGCTGTCGCTCGTCTTGTGTTGCCGCGAGGAGTAATCGATCCTGAATGCAGCTCTGCCTGGGCCGGCGACCTCACGGGAGTGTTGACGATGGATGCGGGAGCAGAGTGAACCTGTGAACGGCCAGGTGCGCCATATGGTAGATTGTGGAGTAGTGTTGATCGGTTGTGAGTTTGTTGAGTCGAGAAATTCGAGCCATTGACGGTCCGCTCCTCCATCGTCTTCCATGACCCGTTGAGAATCATCGAACCTCCATACCCGTCGTCCAAGTCCATATCCATTTCGTCTTGGGAACCTGACGAGGGCGCGTCGTGACCAGCGGGTACGCTCTCCATGCATAATAAATCAGTGGGCTGGGCCGATTGCACTTTCCTGTTCGTCCCAGTAGACTCTGCACCTCGTGGTGCTTCCGGAGGTGTTTGGTCAGAAGCAGGTCCGGTGGGCATGCGTTCTTCCTCGGGAGGAGAGCTGGGTGGTGGCGGGGGAGGGGGTGGTGCAAATGGCAGCGAGGGTGGTGGCGGTGGGGGAGGAAGGACGGCTTTTTCAATGGGATGTGGTCGCCCATTAATCGTTGGAGCACTGTTGTTCACGGATGCAACATTAGCGCGAATTATCGGAGGTTCGACAGGTCGAATGGGTAGTGGTGGTGGTGTGCTTCCAGAGATGGTGAGGTCACCAAACTTCTTTGTAGTGTCGCGTTCTTCAGTAGACAAACTCCACATCCGTGTTCCTGAAGCTCCCACCGCTCCAACCGCATCCCGCTTGATTTGGTCTCCATCATTCTGGTGGCGAAGTGGAATGACAAGAGACGTGTCCGAGCTGTTGTTGATTTCTTTGTTGTGGAGAGGTTGGGGTGGACTAGGTGCTGAGGTAGTAGGACCAAGAGCGAATGGCGCAGCTGTCAGGTTGTCGGCTTGGCTTGGTTGGACCAAGGAGTTCCATCCTTGTGGCAAAACTTTTGACGCAATTGAAAGGATCATCTCGAGTTGTTTTCGAGCAATATCATCGCTTGATGAAGAAACAGGCATGGGAGGCTGTGGTTGAGATGGTGTAGATTGGGTTTGAAGGAAGTGCTGCAATCGATTGGCGACCTCCATCGCGTCCGATGTGGTATGGCTCGCTGCTGGGGAAACTGGCGGTACAAAGGCTGCCGGCTGCGCAAGTGGCGCTGCGCTCCATGGTTGTTGAGGGAAGAAGGACTGGGTTTGTGGGTTGGCCGAAACGATGGGCGAAGGTGTTAGAGGGTTTGGTGGGAATGGGAGTGTCGGCACCGTTGAGGACGCCAGTCCTTGCCGTGATGCCCTCTGCTGAACCACTTCGTTGATAACGGCGGGATCGATTTTCCTTTGCAAGAGCGCTTCAGGAAGTACCCCGTGACCGAGCAGTGTGTCGACCAGGGTGTGTATCTGTGTCATTTTCACGGCTAACATGGGCAACACCAATCAAACACATATTGATCAGTCTAAAGTCCTTTTTAGCATTACAAATGCTGATATCGACACGCCATGTTGGAAAGCAATACAAAAGCGTTCTCGATCTTACGTTCAGGCTTTGGAGGTTGTGGGACAATACGGGGCTTTTCACTTGAGCCAAAGGAATTGGATCCATCGGGGAAGGTGGCTGGACTGGAAAGTTGGCGTTGTGGCGGGTGAACTAGACGATCGGGTCCGCGGTGGACAGGTTCTCTACTCCGTGGATAAGACTCGCGCGAGTAGGAGCTATTATTTCAAATGTAAAAGAAGTAATGGTCAGATATCACGGCCCAACGGGAATGACATTTTCTGCATTGTAATGATACCCATTTACAAAGCTAGTAATCCTTACTTTGACAGTTGGCATTCACGTATGTAACCTGGCCCTGAGCCGAAATGGCTGTCGGGGCGGTTCCTTGACCTGAATGCATCTTCCAGAGGAGGCAATGACCGTTCTCGGTTCCTGAGGTGTCCAAGTCCAGGAATGTCGGAGATTGCTGCAGGATCGGAAATCTTGGCCACTGACTGTGGTCTGAAATCCGTCCTCGCCTTTGAAAGCTCATAGTCAGCCAGGAGGGAGGTGAAGTCCCTCCTTGGTTCGGCCTTCATAGCGTTCATTTTCCCATTATCCGAAGTCGTTGTCGTCTTTGATGTGTCTCGTGATCCACCCCCCTCTGAGAGTTGCTTTTGGTGGCGATACCCTTGCGAGATTGGACGCTGGGGTGCACCGACGGGGCCAGAAGCAACATTGAGTTGAAGATTCGCAGTGACTGGGCTATCGCTGACTGGAGTAGGGTGCGATGAGGGTTCGTTTGTATCCATTTCCTCGTCGCTAATTTCTCCCTCTTCCTTGTCGGACTCAATGGTGTTGGATGAATCTGAGCCTTGAGTGGGAGGGCGGTGACTGGCAGTTCTGCCATTGGCTTGTGCCCTGACTTTTGCTATTATCTCTGCTGTGCTGGCTGCTGTTTCAATAGCCGTAGTAGTAGTAGTTATAGGTGTTGTTATGGTGGTGGCGCTGTTCGAGATGCCATTGGAGACGGGGGAGAGAGTGGAAGAAGGAGTAGATGGATCTGCGGAAGGAGTGGCTGGTGCGGTGGTGTTCTTTCTTGAGCTTAGAACGGCAGCTCGTAGTGCTTCAAGGTCCATGGTATAGATCGGCTGCTGTTGGTTGAGGGATGTGATGAAGGGGGGGGGGGAGGGTGTTGGTTGATAGTGGTGGGTGAAGAGAGAAGCAGAAGGAGAAAAGAAGAGTGCATAAGCAGGCTTGGAAAAAGAAAATACACACGCAGAAACACAGTCCACTATGGAGGAAATCGTCACGTGAAAGGATTACTTTTTTATCTGTTGTGGTCAATGGTGCAGGTTTGGGTTCGCTTGCTGCAGTGCTATGGTCGACTGGTATGCAGAAACATGGGGTTCTTTGTCGTGGCACATGCAGCGATTGGGAGCAGGATTGACTCTCCACTGAAATCAGAACCTCACACCTCAGCAACGAAAAACGAACGACGAGGAAAATGTGGATGTTTGTTGTTGTCATTTCTCCAAAGCGATCGAGTACTATGTTGAGCTCCGGGCTGTCATCTTTGCTATGGTTCCTGAATGTGTGGCAGTGCATCATCCATCAGCTCCTCCATATCGTTAATCGGGATGTGCGATGCAATTTTGGTGCCCTATTCATACGCAAACAACGTAGAACAAGGGCGAGGTGAGTCGGATGGCACAGGCTATGAAACAGTTTCCAATGCATGATCGAGCTAAGTATTACCTCCTGAAATTGGTTGTAGGACTCCAGGATTTCAAACTTGATGGCGGTATGTTCTGCCTTTGCGTGAGTGAGCGCACTGCCGAGTCTCCTGTTGTCTTGTCGAACCTGTTTAGCAATGGAAGCGTAAAACAGAATGTCAATACGTTGACCCTACGAGCAATCGGCCATGATTGCTAGTCGATAATCAATTCCGTACTGGTTTACCTGTTCCAGCTCTGCCTTGAGTCGTTCGATTTCAGCTTCCTTTGTCGGTACTGTGCGTGCCCGTACGACAACATCCGGAGACCTGTGGGGGATGAGAGCAGGTAATTGAATTGTTAAGTCACGAAATAGGCTTTAGCATTGTTGTGCAACTTCAACTGAGAAAGATGTCGAGGGACTTACAGGTCCAAAATGGTTCGTGATCCGGCTGTGATTCCTTTTGCTTTGGCATCTGCGATAAGTCTATCAAGCCCATTTAACTTGAAGATAACATTCCGCTCCTCGATGATCTGACCAAACTCATTCTATGGCAGAAAAGAATGACAATAATAACAGGGTTAATAAATAAGTGCTACGAATAGAAGGTGCTTCGAGTCAAATTCACTCAAGAGAATAGACACACCTCGACTTCGACTTTGAGGAACTGGCAGACTTTCTCGTGTGCCTCGTGGAGTTCGTCTGGGTTGGTTGTGGCGAGGATGGGGAAGCATTCCTGGATGGCGTCGTAGTTGCACGCCTTGAGGGTTTCCTGGAGGGACTTTGAAAGGATCCCGCGCAGACGGGTCATGCGAGGACCTTCCTCCTCTGGTTCTGCTTCGACGACTGGTTCTGACTCTAGGTCTTGTCTCATTGCGTTGACCGCGGTGTCGTTGTGAACCAGGTCCATGTCCATTGTCGCGTTTCTTTTCCTGCTTGTGTGCGAGTGTTGTTGATGTGTGAGAAAGTGGGTGAGTGTTAGCAAAGTTAAAGTGACCGTCTTTCCCAAAAGCCCTGTCTCGCTCCCGCCCTGAACAGTTGTGTGTGCAGTGTCGTTTTGAGAGTGGTCATCGTCCAAGGCATAAAAAAAGGCGCCCTTTTACTTTCCCTATTCTTTTTTTTTTCCTCTCTTCATTCATTCACACGCACCTTTCGCTCTTCCCTCTTCACTTCCACATTTTATTTCTTTTTCCTCCTTCAGTCTCCTTATTCCCATCGCACATCATCAACATGTCTGCGGTCCGCTGTAGGTGTCACTCTCCACCTCGCGTCATTCTTCACACCCTTTTTCAGGAACAAAACTAGACCTTACAGCACTGACACCAACAACAATCAATTGACCCTTCCTTGTATCATAGCGTCCATCTTTGCCTGCTCTCCTTTGGCTACTCGTGGCCAGGCTGTCCACTTGGACGCCGATTCCAAGGGCGAAAACATCCTCTATACAAACGGCAAGTCCGTCTACATCCGCAACCTTGAGGTAAGAGGGTCCCCTCGATATTCAAAATGACCTCATCGATTCTATTATTTTCTCCAAGCTTTAATCCTTGGTGCTCACTCGTTCCTCCTTCAATTGCTTGTAATAGAAACCTCACATTGCCAAGGAATACACTCAGCACTCGTGCAATGTCACCGTTGCGAAGTACGCCCCCTCAGGATACTACATCGCCTCCGGAGGTACAAACACACACTCCTGCTAGGTTACCTGGCAGTTCTATTTGATTCAATTGGAGACACTCTTTAACCTGTTTTCAACGTTGCTATGATCGTTCACAATAGACGAGAGAGGCAATGTGAGAGTGTGGGACACTGTTGGCGAGGAGCAAGTCCTCAAGCTGGAAAGTCGCGTAAGTTGAAAGAACGATACATTCCGCGCCATGGAAAGAAAAAAGAAATAACTGTTATCAATGGCAGGGAAATCGACAGTCTACTGATACCGTTCCTTACAACGCCTTTGCCTGTTAAATAGGCCATCGGTGGACGCGTCAACGACATTGCATGGGACGGTGAGAGCAAACGTATTGTCGCTGTCGGCGATGGAAAGGAAAAGTAAGTTGCCACCTATGCCATGCAGACATAGAACAAGATACGTTTTGCCGCGTAGTATGTCCCCCAGCGATGGAAGTTGACCTTTTTCTGCCTTCCTTCTCGCCACGTCTGCGATATCTTCTCAGATTCGGACATGCATTCTTGGCCGACACTGGATCCTCTTGCGGAGAAATCATGGGCCACTCCAAGGTCGTCAACACAGTCGCCATTCGCCAGACCCGCCCCTTCCGTGCCGTCACTGGAGGGGACGACAATACTCTTGTATTTTCCCATGGCGTCCCCTTTGTCTTCAACAAGACCATCTCGGACCACACCCGCTTTGTTCAGGAGGTCAAGTTTAGCACCAATGGAGACATGTTTGCCTCGGTCGGATCCGACGGAAAGGTAACGTTAAGATAGAGTTGGCTGCTGCACTCATTTTATTCTTGTCGGTTATGGATTCTGAACTCACATAGTCAATGTCAACGAAATAGATCTTCCTGTATGACGCCAAGACGGGAGACAAGATCAAGGAGTTGTCTGCTGCTGAGCATGGACACACTGGTGGTATCTTTGCCCTCTCCTGGTCTGCAGATAGCTCTCGCATCTTGACCTCTTCTGCAGACCAGACTGCCAAGATCTGGGACGTTGAGGCTTCCAGTGTCGTCAAGTAAGGTTTACAGCCACACCTGGATCTGGTTGGAAACAGCTCGTTGCATGTTTTCGCCTGAGCGAGCACTAATACTACCATTCACGGTGTGATTCCCCACTATTAGCACCTTCGACCTTGCTGACGTTGGATCCAACTTCCTCGGACAACAGGTTGGAAACATCTGGAAGGGAGACAACTTGGTCAGTTTGTCCTTGTCGGGTGACCTCAACTACCTTGACCCCAGCACCAGCAAGGCCTCCCGTGTGATTCAGGTGAGAAAGGGAATCCCTTTTTTTTTTTTTTTTTTTTTTTTTGGCTCGTGATGCTTTTGCAAGAGTACTCACATCTGAACATGCAAAAAATACAACTCTTCAAAAATAGGGTCATCAAAAGGCGATTACTGCGTTCACAATCTCGGAGGACAAGAAGACGTTCTTGTCGGGCAGTTACGACGGCCGAGTCATGTCCTGGGAGGAGAACACCGGCAAGGCTACACCCCTGAACGAGGCTAGCCACGGCAATCAGGTCATGCAGATCGTCAACAATGGCGCCCAGTTTGTCTCGGCCGGTATGGACGACACTGTCAGGATCTCGAATGGCAAGAACCTTCACGAGGTCTCTGTGGTCTCGATCAGCGGTCTCCCCAAGAGCGTCTCCTCGAGCGATGATCAAACCGTTGTGGTCGCGACCGAGACTGAGGTCCAGATCATCCAGGGCGGTAAGAAGGTCGACTCGTTGGCTGTCGGATACAGCGCTACATCAGTTGCGATCAACGCCCAGGGAACGGCTGTGGCGATTGGCGCCCAGGATGCCAAGGTGTATGTAATGAGTCTGGATGGCACCAAGCTGAAGGCTGTTCATACGCTGAGTAACAACAAGGGCGCTATCACATCGCTCTCGTTCCACCCTGAGGGCAAGCTGTTGGCGGCTGGTGACAGTGCAGGCAAGATCTACGTGTACGATACCGCTACGGGCGAGACGACGATCTCGCACTGGGTGTTCCACACTGCGCGTGTCAACTCGATCCAGTGGTCGCCCAGTGGCAACTATGCCGTGAGTGGATCGCTCGACACCAATGTCTTTGTGTGGAGTCTCGAGAAGACGATGAAGAAGATCAAGATTGCGAACGCGCATAGCCAGAGTGTTGCCGGAGTTGGTTTCATTGACGAGACCACGATTGCCACAGCTGGAGCTGATGCCTGTGTCAAGACCTGGAAGCTGACCCACCACTAAGTCGTTTCTGTTAATTGTATCGCATACACGAAAATAAACCCAAAAGGCCAGGCGGATGTGTTTTTTTGTAGACCAGCAGTGATCATGCTTAAAGGGACTGACTGACCCTTTTGTCTCCTTTATTGCTGTTGCCCCTGCCCTGAAGTAAACATTATTCGGTGGTATGGTGTGGCATGACACCCCCCATGGACCGGGGCTGTTGTTGACTTGATTTGGTATGGTAGAGCTGTTATTGCATGTTGGTGTGGAGGGGATGTGTGTGTGCACCGCATTAGAAGTGCTCCACAGCTGTCCCTTTTGATGCGGCATTGAGTAGTCAGCGAGTGCTATTCTAGACAAGTGATTGGGCTTTTTTAGTGTGTGTCCCTTTCGTTCCGTTCGTTCTTTTTGCTCTCTTCTTCTCTCCTGTCGCATCCTTTTACCCTTTCTTTTCCTTTTCTTCTTTTTTCTTTTCTCACACTCTGGCACAGTCAATCCCTCGCCATCACCAACCCTACTAGTACGACAACCACCACCCATACTACTACGACCATTTCTCACTTTGCCACCAATAAGCGCTCACTCCCTTCATTGAGCGCACACTCTTAACTTCGCACCTTCTACTTTCCAGCAATGCTACCTTATACCTCCACAGCAAACGTCCTCGACTCTCCTACAAAAAAGATCAAGAGCCTCGTCGACGCCTCAAAGGTCCAGCTCGACCCAAAGTTCACCCTTCGCAACTATGTCCGCTCAGCAAATTCCATCCTGAACCTTGTAAGTTACGCTCTTTCTCTCCATCTCTCCTTCTAGACTCATAAGCAAAAGCACAAGCACACACGCACACATGTCGACTGTTGTGCGTGTTTGCCTGTCTGCGATGCGACAACAACATAATGACACAGGCGGCAAACAGAAATCAAACGTCGGTTGATTCACTGCTTATGACACTCCAGAATGACAACAAAAACACTACAGCCTCGTTATGTGTGCTTTGACACCATCGACAGACCACGAGTCAAGAAACGAGTCCAGCACCATACGTACTCTCTCTCTTTCTCTCTCTCTCTCTCTTGTCAAGGCAATTGTGAACAGGATGGAATATGATCAAGCCCAGCCCTATACAACGAAATGAAGCAAAGTGTCTATTTGGATAGTTGATCCTACCAAGGAACAAACAGTGTCGGTTTCTTAACATGAAGGCTTTCCTATTTCTCGTCTTTCTTCCACCTTTTTAAACTTTGTTGTAGGCTGATACGGCACGGGTCAAAGGAGACATGGAGGGAGCGTTTGTCAACTATCTCAAGGCTACAACGTGAGTCCGCTGATCACAACAGGGGGTGAAAGGATGGGCACACTCAAAGAATGACGCTGGATATCACTCGAGCAAAACAAGGACAAACGTCATACGTCAAACAGGAATAGACAGGGAACACATGCAATGTGGGCGCAGCTGGAGACCTAGACATCACTGGGAAATGATGGGAATGTTTTGGAAAAGGGATGAACATTCGGACACGGACTCTCGACGTGAAGAAGAGAGCTGTGCTGAGATCATCGATGATGACTTGGTGTGGCGTCGGTACCCTCTTTTCTCTCTGTGTATCGACGTTGACGCTCAGATGCTGACAATGGTCTCGTTCCTATCCTTTTTTTCTTTCCGTTTTAGGATTGTGCTTGAAATCGTCCCTAAAGTCAAGGACTTTGAAAAGCATAAAAACGATTCAGAATACGTGGCGATTAAGAAGGTACCTTTCTTCATACACATGCTCGTTTACATTTCTCTGCACATACCAATTCGTGAGCGATGAAAACTGATCCACGTACCAAACATTCCTCCTTAGAGAGTCGTGGGATTGATATCGGACACAGAAAAAATCAGGGAACTTTTGCAGGCAAAGTACGAGAGCATTCAGGACATTGAGGTGTCAGCATTGGCAGCAGCAGCAAAAGCTGGTCGGCCGAAACCTCCACCTCTCCCCAGCAAACCAAAGTTCCTCTCATCATCTCAACATGACGGCCAGGCACCGATCACAGCCGCGTCGGCATTCGCCAACGCTTCGTCTTCAGCTCCACCAACGCCCTTGGTCGGTCATCTTTCAGCGGTTCCGCCACCTACTCCGCCCAATTCGTTCCCAAATTTGTTACAAGGACAGTTCAACGCACTCTCATTCTCATCAAGTGGGGCCCCATCGATCCCGCCAACGACATCACTCGCCTCTTACAAACCCTTACAGCCAACGATGTATGGATCCTCTCCACAGCCCTCGTCGGAGCCATTCAAACCACAGCCCATTTCGATCCCAATGAACACCACCCAAGGAACTGCAGCCATGCCCTCGACAACGCCTCTTGCACCATTCTCAGTAGGAGCCATTCCCTTAACACTGCCGTCGGGATCAGTGCCGTTCTCTCAAACCACCAACAGACCTGTCCCTGTGCCCAGGACGGCACTCACACCAATACCTCCAGCATCGGCACCAGCAGCTATGCTTTCTGGAAACACGGACTCTAAACCCCCTCCTTCGATCTCGACGCAGTCTAACGCCTCCACCGCATCAGCGGCAGCCAACACGAATGGAGAGTATCGGGGCCCGCTCTCTATCAAACCACAGCGTCTTTTGGAATATTTCTGCCAACTAAAGCCACCTTCGCTGCTTCTCATCGATGTCCGTATGCAAGTGCAATACAAGAGTGCCAAAATCAAGACCAAGTCGATCGTGAATGTCGAGCCATTAGCACTTCGAGACGGGTAAGATTTTCTGGATACGTTGCAAGGGCTGCTTGGGTTTGCATTTCGATATCGCAGCTTTCTAATACTTGTTTTTCTTTATGTTCGTAGGGTGTCGGCCAAGGTAATCGCAGAGCAGGGACTTTTCAACAACCCACAGGAAGAGCGACAACTGTTTGCAGACAGAGCATCGTTTGATCTTGTCATCTACTACGATCAAAACTCTCAGGAAAAGGAGCATTCGCCAACTCTCACTACTTTGTTCCGTGCGCTTCATGATTTGGAGTTTGACAGACCGCTTTCGAGAAGACCTGTTTTGTTGGTTGGCGGCTTTGATGGATGGCTCGACTGCGCTGGCATGGATTGGGTGGAGGGACAGGATGTCGACAACGCCAAAAATCTTCACCCCTCTCCTTCTTCTACTCCTTCTCTTGGCCAGAATGGAACGCCCCACTTTGGAATGACTTCTATGGCGACGAGCCCCAACCAAACCTATGCTATCTTGACAAAGGTTTCCCGAGGAGGAGGTATCAGTCGGACCGACGGCAAAGCTATTTTGGCCAACATTGAGGACTATGTAAGTAGGCTGATTATAACTGTGTTAGTTCATGGTGTGTAGAGTGCCTTTCTAATGCACGTGAATTATTCATATTAGATTCATCGCGAAGATGGCCCTCAGTCGATGATCAACCCACGGAATGTGTCGAGTCCATTGAAGGTTCCCAACCAAGCATACCCACCTCAAGCAACGCCTTACAGCAACTTCAATGCCTCCTCTTTCCCGCCCAACCAACTGGGATACAACAGCCCAACCAGTACCGTCAATGGCAGCAGTAACCCAACGTTTGCTGGTAGCTACCCACCCATGCAGCCAGGAGCCTCATCAATTACAGGACGCCTTGGAGACCCTAGTATCTGGATGCAACCTGGCAGCCAAACCATTGGTTCGGTCGTCCCCTCAAATGGGATGGGAGCTAACAAGGATACCATGCCTGGGCAGCTGCAGAGACGCATGACAATCTACGACGACCACTGGAACCAATTTGGATCTGAAAAACCCTTCTCACCCACAGCAACATCACCACCCATCCCGGACAAGATTCCTCTTTCTGGATATAACATGTCGGCGGCTATTGCAGGCAGCAACATGATGTCTGGACCCAATGTGCCAGCACCGGCACCTAATATGACCAGGCGCCCGTTTGTTCCTCCCAGACCGATGAGGCCGCTGCCCCAGCCCCCAGGCATGAACGATCTCAAGGACTACACCAAGTTTGGATCGGGGTTTTCCAAGATTGGAGGATCTCAGCTGGGCAAAGCAGGACTGACGAACCTAGGCAACACCTGTTACATGAACTCTGTGATCCAGTGTCTGATCGCCACCCCTCCGTTGACACGTTTCTTTATGGACGGCAGTTTCAAGCGGTACATCAACATCACCAACCCCCTGGGATCTCAGGGTCGTTTGGCGGACGCGTTTTGTACATTGATCAGGAGCATGTGGAGTGGTCAGTCGTTAGTGTCGCCGACAGGCTTTCGAAACGAGATCAGTGGATTTGCTCCGCAGTTCAAGGGCAACGAGCAGCATGACTCGCAAGAGTTTTTGTCATTCTTGTTGGATGGTCTGCATGAAGACTTGAAGTTGGCACCCCGGCTACTCCCTCCTGGTGCGGACGATGAAGGTTCGGAGGCGGATGAGGCACGAATGGAGGCTCTACCTGAGATTGAGGCGTCCGAGATTGCGTGGCAGCGGTACTTGCGGAGAGACAGCTCGATTATTGTCAACATTTTCCAGGGTCAGTACAAGAGCCGACTCTGCTGCAACAAGTGTGGCAAGACCTCGACGACGTATAACCCGTTCATGTATTTGACACTACCCGTCAAGGTCAAGTCCAGTGGTCGCCAACCTCAGACATTGACGTCGTGCCTAAATGCGTTTGTTGAGCCCGAGTTGATGGAAGGCGATAACGCTTGGAACTGTCCCAACTGCAAGAAGCCCCGCAAGGCCACCAAGCAACTGACGATCAGCCGAGTCCCGGACGTGCTATTGATCCAATTGAAGCGATTCTCGTCTGACGGACCGTTCAAGAACAAGATCAAGGCGATGGTGCAGTATCCGACTGAGGATCTTGATCTGACAAAGTACCTTCCCAAGCGAGCTGCGAGCCTAGGCCCAGTCGAGCCGGCAATCTATAAGCTGTATGCGGTGTCGAACCACTCGGGCGAAGTTAGCAGTGGACATTACACTGCCTGTGTGCGCGACACAACATCCAACAGCTGGACCAATTTTGACGACACGCGCGTCTCTCCCTGTGACAAGAGTGTTGCCGTGGTATGTTTCACGTTATTTGCCTATCTTGTTCTTCCTGGTTGATTACTGAAATATTTGCTTACATCTTTCTTTTTTTTCTCGCTTCCTTTCCTTTCCTTCCCTTTCCTTGATAGTCAGAGCATGGATATACCCTATTTTATGTTCGCAGGAGCCATGGAGACCATTGATCGACTAAAAAACGCTCATAGCACAACTTGCTTTTATCCATGTCCTCAATTTTTTTTTTTTTTTTTTTTTTTTTTGGTTTGCTTTATGGTATCAACAATAATAATATCTATCCTGTTCTATCATGCTGCCAAAAAAATGCAACAGAGACCTTCCCTGTCCCTTCTACTGCTGGTTGTTTTGTTGTAGAGAGTCCTGTTATTGAATGCTGATTTGTTTGTTTGCTTGGTTGTTGTTGTAGTTGCTGGTGTGCTCAATGACTGATAATCCAGTAAACCCCCTTCCTCCAATCCAAAAATCGCAGACTTACGCCTTGATCATGGAGTAGACGGGAGCTTTGAGGACATCCTTGCCATTCAAGAACTCGAGCTCAATCAAGAAGATGAACTCGAGGACGTTTCCTTGGAGCTTCTGGATCAACTCCTGCGCTCCAGCTGCGGAACCGCCGGTGGCGATCAAATCGTCGATCACAATCACGTTCTGGCCAGGCTTGATCGAGTCGTCCTGCATCTCGAAAATGTCCTGAGAAAAAAGAAAGGGCAGATTGAAAAAAAAAAAAAAAAGATATAGGGATCAATTGGGAGTGTTCATGGCAGTTATTTCAATTTACTCTTGTCTGTTGTAACGTCGTTTCGTACAACAGAAATGATACGGTTTCCCCCCCCCTATCCACCCCCAGGGTGAGGAAAAAAAAGTGGAGCCATTAAAAAAAGTGGAGCCGAAAAGTAAACTTACAGTGCCATACTCCTTCACATAAGAGACCTGAATAGTTCCACCAGGCAACTTGCCAGCCTTCCTAACGGGGGCGAAAGCAGCACCCAACCTCATAGCGATCAAGGGTCCAAACAAGAACCCACGAGCGTCCAGTCCAACGACGACATCGACCTTTTCGGGGATGGTTGTATTGATATGGTTGACAATGTGGGTGATGACCATCTCGACGGCGATGGGGTCCTGGAAGAGGGGGAAGATATCCTTGAAGAGGATGCCAGGCTGGGGGAAATCTGGGATCTCGCGGATGAGAGCGTTAATGCGTTGGAGATCCATTCTTGAGGATGTTTTTTTTTGGTAGTGGTGGTGGGTTGAAGGAGGGAAGTGTGAAGAAGAAAAGGGGACCTGGTGATGAGATAAAAGAGTCAGGGTCCGTATCTTTTTCTGTGGTATGTGCACGTGATTCGTGGATTACTTCTCCGAGAAACAAAATAATACAACCTTCTTATCTTTGTTTGTTATACTTATCCCACTGCGTGGTGGCGTCTTGGTGGTTAAAGAAGAGGAGAGGAGAGGAGGGGGTAATAAGAGAAACACTCGTTTTTTAATGTCAAGGATATCGATTGAAAACTGTACAAGTTGTTGTTGTTGAAGAGAAGAAAAAAAAGGAAACTATACACGGCCGACAAAGGTGGCGGCACCGCTGGAGGGGGCAGAAGCAAAGACGACGTTGTCGAGTTCCTCCTCAGAAAGCTCAGGATGGTGCTTGTTATAGTACTCCTTCTTCAGCGTGGCAATGAACGCCGGCACCTTGTCCTCTGGCACAAGCGACACCGACGCGCCACCCCATCCGGCCCCTGTTAACCTCGAGCCATAGGCACCCGACCGACGCGCCAACTTTGTCAATTCCTCCAATTGGTCGCAGGAGCAATCAAACAGTTCGTGACAGGACCCCTGCGAGGCATCCATTAACCCACCCAACAAAGAAAACACGGTCTCAGCACTCTGTTTCTTGGCCTCAGCCTTCTCGCAGATATCCCTGAACTCGACCACACGCTTCTCCTCGCCAAAGACATGTTTGGCCCGACGGTAGAGATGGAAGCGCTCGGCGCGGATGGGCTGCTGGATATACAGTCTTGTGAACTCGACCTCAGACAACTGTGACAACTCACACAGTTTCTCAAAAGTAACTCCATTCTTGATCTCGTCGGTTCCAAACACTCTCTCAACAACCTGACCCATCTCGGTCAGCTTCTCAATGTCGATCTCAGCCTCGGTCTTGCCCGCCGTAGGAGTGTATCCAATCTTGTTAAAGTGTGCATCCAAGACCTGCTTCAGGTGAAGCTTGCCAGACTCGGGGATAGGGATCCCAAGAGCCAAGGCCAAGATCCTGGCAGCTCCACGGGTTTCGACGACGCGCAAGTTGTAACGGACCGGGGCGGTAACAGCCTTGTCCGAGGTGACGAGGGTGTCGGCAATAACAAAGGCGATGGATGGGATGGTGGTGGGGAACGCGACGGGGGTGACCTTGAGGACGGGGTGGAACTCGATGAAGCAGGCCGAGTTTGGTTTGGCGAGGATCGAGCAGGCTTGGTCCATTCCACCGCCCATAGTACCGACGTAACGCTCTGACCGGATAGAGATGATGGCCAACTCGTGGGCCGTGGGGGTCTTTCCTACTGGGAGAAGCGATTCCTGAGCTTTGAGGGTGGCATTGACCGCACAGCAGACAAACGCGGACGAAGACGAAAGACCAGCACCAGCAGGGACAGTACCGCTCATCAAGCAAAGCATCCCCTTGGGCTTCTCGATCTGCAGATCCTCCAACACGCCACGGTACCCAGCCGCAAAGTAGTTTGACCAGACGTGAGCCTGAGGATCGATATCGACATAACCTTGGGCAGCGGGTTTGGGGACAAACTTCAAGGCAGGGTATTTGGCACTGTTGGTGTTTGAGATCTTGACGGTAGAGTCAGAACCAGTGTTGTCGATGGCGACGGCGATGAGGCAGTCATCCTCAATGGCCATGGGGAGGACACCGAATCCTGCATAGTCGATGTGTTCGCCAATGAGGTTCACACGACCGGGGGAGCGGGCAATGAAATCTGGCACACGACCGTAGAGCTGTTCAAAGTCGTGGACGAGGCTGGCCCAGCGGGCGCGTGCGCTGGCCAACTTGGGCTCGGAGTATAGGATGGAGATGTCGTCGATGACGGGGATCGTTGCCTGTGTCATTGTATGTGTGGTGGAGGTGTGAATGGAAAGTAAAGGAAGGAGGGGGTGATGGAGATGAGATGAGAGTTGAGAGAGAAAAAGAAGGGGAAAAAAAGAAAGTTGCCGCTCTCCTTTTAAGGGAGAGGGCGGGGTAGAAAATATCATCAAAGGCAAACGACGGCGGATGGTATGAAAAAGAGCGAAGGAGGGAGCGTGAGCATGATGTTGGAGTTGAGAGCAGACACAGACACAAGAGTGAAAAACACTCAAGGTGGTCAACAGACAACAGCAATCGCTTGAACACACACAGGATCAAGCGCCTTTTCTCTCTTCATCCTAGTGCACACTTGTCCTCGGCATGCTGGTCCACAACATTACTGCTCCTGCTGCTCGTGTTGGCATGTTCACCCTCGTTACTCCTTTCTAAAGATGCTCACGTTGCCCAGCATCTAGTCTTTTTCAGTGCGCTTTCTATGGTTTATCCTTCGCCTGACATACCTAAAACCAGATCATGTCACTGGGGTAAACTGTCCTTCCATGACCACTGAAAGAGTGGTTGGGTGGATGATAGGAGACGCCCCAATTGGTTGTCTATCTCCCTTCTGTTCGCCCGTTCCTTCTAACTTTCGAAGAATTGTGGGGTTCAATTGTTGTTGTTATTGTTTTTGTTTTCCTTTTGATTATGATTATTGTTGTTTGACCGATTAACGCCCTTGTTGTCAAGTGTTGTTGTTGTTGTGATGATGATGATACAGTAGTGGTCGAAGTGCGGTGTGTGGTGTGGAGGAAAATGAAAGGCCAATTAGGGTAGAACCTAGTCGTGCAGTTCAGCCAAACAAACAAAGCGATCGAATCAAGATAAGAACTATGCGTTGTGCGGCAACATACCTTCCCCTCTTTCCTCTCTTGTCGTTTCCCTTCCCTGCCTTGTAAATAATTGAGCCCTTGTGCCACTTCCTCAACTCGTGGATGTGGACGACTGAATTTCTTTAGTATGCCTATCCGTGTAAGGTCATCATTACTCCTCGTCACCTACGATAGTGTTGCTTCACGTCTTGTCTTTGCATCCAATTACCTTTCTCACGCTCGAGTAGGCGACGATGATGTACGGACAGTTAGACCCCACTCATGTCTTCCTGGTCCTGTCTTCATCAAAGACGAACCATTGACTCCCTGCTGGTTTAGCGTGCCGTTAGGCTTAAAAAAGAGCACCCATAATCATCTCATGCAGGACATCTATTCACAAGTTCCGGTTTGCCACATCTCATTAGGTCTTGAGAAGACAAGAAAAAAAACCCAAAATACTGAGATATATGGGTGCTTTCTTGTCCACGGACAAAAACAGAACAAGACTCTCCTCGTCTTACCTATCAGGGACATGAAAGACAAAGGTGCAGGGCAAACTTGGGAGTCCGAAATAACTTGCTTTCTGTACAAGTGTGGAGATATGTTTTCATTTGCAACAGGGGCGGGGTAAGGTTGTTTAAAGTAGTAGTCGCCGACCAGGAACCTCTCACTAGATCAAAGATTTTTGTCTCGAGTGAGGAGGAGGAAGAAGAGGATAGTGTTCAAGCGAGAGGAAGTGAAAGGGATCTATTTTTATTTTTCTGTCTTCTCGTTTCTTGTCTTCTTTGCAACTCTCCTCTCTCGGGAAACCCGATTTTGAGTGCCTACTGCTTTTTTTTGCTGCCTTGTCGCGCTTGATCGTCGCTCGTCAATTGAGACGACAAAACCGGAGGAGGGCACAAAAGAAGTAGATTCAAGGTGCAAAGGTTTGACCGAGAAAAGAGGACTAGAGAGGTCAATGCATTGGCCTGGGTTTGTGCTGTGCGTCCATCGTTGGCTCCATCGTGGTAGACAATGACTCCCACAATGGCCATGGCTTCTCTCCCTTTGCATGCATCTGCGCTCATCCCTCCTTCTACAAACAGCTCATTGCAATAGCGTGGTTTATTCTAAGAGATGTGTAAAAATCGAAGTACGAAAACTCATGCGCGGACAGCAGCGGTCGCGACGGCGGCAGAAGTATGAACTTCTTCTAGGCGAACATCACCCTCCCTCAATTGCAAAGACGCCGGGAGATCCTCCATCCCTCTCGACATGCCAACCAAATCCTCCATCAATTTGCCCGCAACCTCAACTTTCTCCAACTCCCTCACCATTGTCGCTTCATCCATTGTATACTCACCCTCGTCTTGTCTAGCATCAGCCTCACCTCTAACCTCCACAGCCACCTCTAACCCTACGGTCTCCTCGGCCACAGCAACATCCGCCTCCTTAAGCTGCATGAACTCCAGCATCCGCTGCAGTGCCATACTTGACTCTGGCAAAAATGGGAACGCCTGGAAAACATGCACCATCCCCGGATACGTATCCAACTCCACTTGACTCGACTCGAGTTGAACCGGCAGCTTGTTAGAGGTTCCAAAACACCCTCCAGCCTTATAAGTAAACAGGATACACTCGTCCCTCAACCGTTCCGCCTCCCCACATTGGATCAACATTGGTGGTAACCCCTCGAGGGATCCCCAGAGAGGGGAGATGTAAGGGTGTCGGGCCATGGTCTTCATCTTGTCCTTTCCAGAACAGTAGAAGGAGATTGGGTTGAACTTGTGGTTATGGCGAGGAGGACATGGGAGGTAGTCCATTGAGTTTGTCTCCCAGGATTCGCAGCTCATTGTTAGATCTAGCCATGGCTGTGATTGTGTATTTGTGTTTGTGTAAGGGAGAGATGATTGGGCGTGAATGTGTCACGAGTTAACGCGTAGAAAAAGATGGGGGTGTGGGAGAAGGGGCGCGCGAAGGAGAGGAAAAAAAAGAGTTGGGGTCAGTGCTTGTGAAGGTCTTCCTTCGAGTAGTCTTGTACAAAAACAACCCTCCTTTCTTCAATCGACACATGATTTTTTTCAGTTTCTTTCACGCGCCGAGCGAAAAACTGCGAAGCGAAAAAAAGGGAGGCGGACAATTAAATGAAACAAAGAGTTGCCTGAAATGACCAATAAGACCGAGAAACTTACAGAGAGGAGAAAGGCCTTGGAGGGCATGGGGAGCCCATGATCGCGTTGGTACATCATCAAGGCGATAATCAATCCGCCGCCAGCAGAGTCGCCGGCAGCAGTGACGTTCTTGGGATCGAAGCCAACACCCTGAGGGTCTGTCAGGTGGTGGAATGCATGCGAGGCGTCTTGCAAGGCTGCTGGGAATGGATGTTCTGGTGCAAGACGATAATCCACCGCTAAATTTTTTTTTGTGTTCAACAAGAAAAATGCAAAGTGGTACAAAGGTGTTTCAGTCGCGTCTGTTTTCAATTGGCACAAAGAAACATGATCGATCGACAAACAAAAACCAAAAGACTTGACTGACATAATCCAACCCCACAAAGTGACCAAAAAAAACTTACCAAAGATGCGGCGCCCGGTAGCACGCGAGATCCTCCAGAGCATCTCGCGATGGGTCGCAGTGCTGCAGATGAAATACCCTCCACCATGGGTATAGAAAACCACCTTCTCGCCCTCTCGCGCCGCATAAGGGTCCTTGGACGCCTTTGCAGATGGAGCAATCGGCATCCTCATGACCTTGCTCCACACTTTCGAATCCGCAATCCAAATTCCGGGTAAGGTTCGATGCCCGGTCTCGCTCTGCTCCAAAGGTTCCAGCACTCCAGGGAACTCATGTCCACGGGCAGGGATTGGGAGTTTGTAAGGGACGATGTGCATCATGGGTAACTTGGGGAGGTAATGGAAGAAGGTGTCAATCATGTGTCGAATATCCGAAATGTCTTCGACAATATGTTCCTGATAGTCGGCGGTTGCACGGACAACAGCGACAAAGAGGGCGAGGTGGAGGGGCCAAGACGGGACTGGAGGTGGGGTGAAGGGGTGCTTGATGATCAAGGATGCACCGATAGCGACTTGTTGGGAGATAAGAGTGACATATCGACGGAGGTTGTTGACGGGGAAGGCGAGTGAGCCGCGTCGCTTGGGTGACATTGTTTGCGAGAGCATGACTGAGTGTTGCTGAAGAGTGGTCATCTTTTTTTTTGAAGGGTGGGCGAGTGCTGGAGGTGAAGTGAGTGCAAAGTGAAGTGATAAATATGAAGAGAAGGAGGGTTGCGTTAGAGGAGGTGATGAGAAAGGCGGAAGATAAAATGTCGAGAAGGTGGGGTAACAAAGTGATGGACCAAGAAGTTGGTTCTGTGGAGCGAGTTTTCATGACTCCTTTCCTCTTCTTCCCTTCCACTTCCTCAATTCTCCTCTTCCCCGAACATTGCAGTAGGTGGTCCACCTTGTCACTTGTGGAGCGAGAAGAAAATAGAAAGTGACAAGGAGGGAGAGCGATCGAGAAAGGAGGGGCTAGAGGAAGGGAGTCGGGGGTAAAAAGGGAGGAAGGGAAGAGGGGGGGAAGAAAAAACCATGTGTTGTAGGGTTGACTATACAGCTTCCACTTCTCCGACATGTGTTGATTTATGCTGGTGAATCTTTCCTCGGTTAATTTACCCTCTTTTTGTTTTGGTGCAAAGACAAAAAAAGAGGGCACTCCCATCCGAGTCTTGTTCACTTTACTTTCCTGCAGGTGCTGGGTAGCAAGAAAAAAAAAGATGGGGAACGCGAGGACCCTGATATTAGTCAACAAAACTACAGTAGGGGTATAAATGAATGAACAGTGAAGACTGTGAGTGAGAGAGAGAGGCGGCTAAAGAGAAGCAAGCAGGGGATTGAGAAAGAAGGTAAAAATGGGTCATCGGCAATCTGTACCAAAACATGGACATTGGACATTTTTGACAAGATCTTCTTCCTGTCACCCCTCATCGAAGACATCATGCTTTGTGCTTGCTTGTGCAGAAGTCAGTCTCGTTTCCAACAAACAAAGCAATCGGCCACGGCTAATCACTCCCCGTCGCACCTACAACAAAGAACCCCTGCTGTTTTTCTTTTTTGACTTTGCGGAAGGTTGTTTCCTTTGGTTTTTTTTGAAACTGTTGGAGAGAAAGAATCTCTTGTCATGTGTCAATCCCAGCGCGATGTTGTTTGTACGTATGTTGTGTTGCTAAAGAACGAGTTGAAAGAAGCGGAAGGGTGGATTGAAGAAAGGTTTGTTTGTCCGAGCGAGAGGAATGTCATCGCTCTTTTGTTTATTTTCCTATTTTTTTTTGTGGGGGATGGGGTGCAACAAAGACATGGAGAAATGGAGAAATGGGGAAATGGGCGTTGTGCCATAATCGTGTGGAGAAGTGAGAGAAAGACGCCACCAACTGTAGACGTTGAGAGTCACTTGAGATAAAAGCCAAACGTTACGGATAAATAGATATGATTGGCTTGTGATAGATTTTTCCTTTGTTGGACAACGCTACACAGAAACCTGTAGCTGAGAACTGATCGTTTCTGAGTCTTGTGAAGCGGGAACACCATCGACCGTCAGTCATCAGCCATCAAACACTCAACACGATCAAACGATCAAGACAAATAAACCCATCCATCACTGCATAGTCAGGTGCGATCGTAGCACAAGCAGACATGAATCGAATCTCTAGAAAACCCGGAATTCGACAGCATGTAGGCATGTCTGTCGAGTGTGTACTTGCTTGCATGCTTGTCTGGACAAACGCGATTCATCGGCATACGGCCTCTCTTCTTCCTTGATACACTCAAAGAAAAAAAAAAAGGCAGCACCGTTTTTAAGCCATGAAACACATGGTACTCTTTACTTTGGAAGAATACCCTGTTTGATGAATGCCGTTTACCACTGATCCTTACCATGCATGCCACTTCAACGTTACAGGAGTAAAAGGAAGGAAGAAATGGTTTATGAGAAAAAGAGCGATAGAAAGAGGGCTCTCAATTATGCCAGAGCTGGACTGGTGCAACAAAACAGTGTTATTTCTCAATTGAACCATCGCATAAAAGAGCATTGAAGTCCAGCAGAGGGGTTTTTTCCCAACTAACCAACCAACCAGCGTTGTTGTTGAATGTAATTTCAATTTGATAAATGAGAACAGTTACAGTTGCACTAGTCGTCTCGCACAAAAGACCGTTTTCTATGTGTCCTGTCTCTCTTTGTCCAGTTGTCCAGTTGTCCAGTCGATTACCTACTGCATGCCATGGCTGGATCCTTTGTTGTTCTCCCGTACCGTAATAATAACAATAATAGCCGTAGCGCTTTTTATTTTTTCTTTGATCGTTTTGTGCCTTCTATCTATCTTTCTATCTTCAGCCGTTCTTTTCCCCTTTCCTTCCCGACGTCGCCTTGACAACGACCTAAACTCCTTTTTTTCTTATTGGCAGGCTGTCGTTCTTCTTTCTTCTTCTTCTTCTTCTTCTATTTCGTTGCTCCTCAACTTTCTTGCCACTTCACCCCTTCTCTCCCCTTCTCCTTCACTCTCCCTTCTCCTTCAACCCCCTCTTGCTAGCTCATCTTCACAGGGTAAGCATCACCTAGGACAGGAAGGACAGACAAAGACAATTGAATGCAACAACCAAGAAGGACACACACTGACTGGACTCGGGACAACTCCACAACAGGGTAAACAGGCTGAGACTTGCCTTCATCTCACTAACTACCGCGTCTGCATTCTTACGTCTCTCTTCCTACCATGGGCGCAGCGTTATTCAGGTTGTGTCTCTAGCAAAACACCGACTCATCAGGAGGAACCAACACAAGGGAAACAAATCAACATTCATCTCCCAAACAGGACCTGATCACTCTCTGATCCCCCTTTCCCCCCCTCAGCCCAGCAGGAATGTCGAACTTCAGTGCGAACAAGTCGGGCATGTCGACACAGCACCAGCGCAGGCAGAGTATGCCAGCACCCGCGCCCATCTCTACCAACGTCACTCCGACCATCATCGCCACCCCACCATCTGCAACGGGGACAGGAATCCTCGGTGGGCGATTCCACAGCCGACACCCTATGCTCCTCCACGGAGGACCCACCAATCGATTCTCGGCCGCGTTCGAGAGTCTTCTCTCGTATATCCCACGGAGAAGGCGTCAGATCCGATACCCGCTTGTCGTGGGGCTAGGCCTGTACTTTTTCCTAGTTTACCTCTACTTTCAGGACGCCTCGACATGGACGGCCATTGCTGGGTTCAAGATCAAGAACCTCTCGTTCAATTGGGACACCAAACGGTGCTCGTACCGCAAGGATCCGATGCTGTTTGTCAAGGATAGCTCCTCGGTTCTGGTGATCTGGGAAATGAATTGCGAGATAACCGAGATGGACCTCGTCTGGAGCCCAGTAGAGGCAGCTGGATCAAAACAATACCAACAACAATTACACAGCAGTGGAGGTGAACCCAACGTCGCCTCAACAACGATCAATGCCTTAGACAAGACCCATGTCGTCTACACAGCCACCATCTCTGGAATCCCAGCCGTTAACACCAACATCACCTACTCGGTCCACCCACCCAAGATCCTGTCCCACCTCACCCGCACCTATACTTTTGCCCACCTCCCCAACCCTCCATTGCTCAAGGACCGCGAGATTGCCCGGTTTGGAGCCATCTCCGACAACCAGTGCGAGGTCAAGCAGTTCTTCAAGGTCCTAAAGGCCATGACTGAACACCACAAGGTCGATTATCTAATCCATGCCGGCGATGCAGTCCAGGAATACGACAATCTCGACAACTGGCAGACGGACTTTGCATCGCCTCTCTCATACTTCAGGATTGGACAAACGACACCTTTGATCTACACCCATGGCAACCACGACTATGATGTTACGGGCGAGTACCCTTACACTGGAAAGCGCACATGGCACGCCTACACTGTTGCCGGTGTCCGATTCATTGTCCTCGACTCGAACCTCGACCGTCGTGAACAGGATACCTGGTTGGAGGAGGAGCTCAAGTCTGAGGAGTGCAAAAAGGCGTGGTTCAGGGTCGTCCTGGTTCATATCTCGCCCTACACACAGTACTGGGAGAAGACCGCCTGGGAAGGCAAGGGCGAGAAGCATTGGGGATCGTTTATCCGGGACCGCTATGTGCCTCTGTTCCAGCAACACAATGTCGATTTGATCATTTCGGGACACCAACACAACTACATGCGCGGCCAGGATGATCAAATGGTCTACACGATTATCGGAGGCGCCGGAGGACAGCTGGATGAAGAGCAGGTTGAGGACTACCCGGCCTGGGTGGGGGGCAAGGTCAAGTTCCGTCACCACTATGTCCTCATGAAGATCACAGGCGACCGCCGGCTGATCTGGGAGGCGTATGATGCCGACTGCGGGTCGCGTTTGGACGCCTTTGTGCTGCACTCTAGGACAGAAGTATAGAACTATCGAAGAAGAGCTGGCCCTCTTTTTTTTTCGCCTTGTTCTATCTAGTCGTTTCGTAGATCTATCCCTCAACCTTTCTACTTTTTCTTCGCTTTCCCTAATACATTCTTTTCTGCTTTTGTTGTCATCTTCATATCATTATTGCCGTTCCTTGTCACCGTCTTTTGTTTGGACGCTGCTGCACCCTCTCTCTCTCTCTCTCGATTAGTAATCGCCTATGAAAAGCTACACCCTCACCCTAAAGCGCAAGGGGAAAAGTAATCTACGGCACAATGTTTATTTTTTTTCCCCATCGGGTCCAAGAGATGTGAATAGGGTGGGTCTATTTTCACTTATCGTGTTCTGTCGTCAGGTGTGTGAGTCGAAATATGCATTTTTTTTATGTTTGTGGTGTATTTTTTCTCAGGCTGTAGAGCAAGTTTGAATCTACGGCGATTTGGATGAGTACAGCGTGAGTCAAGGCATTCGTTCAAATCTGTTCTCCGTCAACGGATGCCGCCGATCAGAGAATAATTGTGAGCACACCTCCTTACCCTGGACTCCCTTCCTTTCCTACAGCCATTGTTTGCTTTTCTAGTCTAATTTTGATTATCATACCCTGTATGGTCGCTTGCTTCCTCTCTCCCGCGAAATGGCCTATCAAGCCATTCGCGATGCCATGACAACGGTTTGACGACAAACAAAGAGCGCATGAATGCCATTGAGAAATGGGTTTCCTTCTTCAACGGATACAACTTTAAATTCAATCGGCAGAGAAAGGGTGCCTCTTTTTTCTTTCTTTCTCTTATGCATTGCTTATGGCAGGTTCACGCCGCAGCCTTGTTTACACGCTGTTACAGCGTTACACACGCCGAAAAAAGAGTTTCTACTTTCCTTTCGGCGATTGGCGGGTCCAATCCTTGAAAGGAACGATTAGTAATGGTCCGACGTGCTTATCCTTGTAAGAAATAAAAAGGGCGTACAAAAAGTCGCGTTCAAATCTCAGTCCTTTTTCATTTCTTCTCTTCTTCTCCATTCCACTTGTCCACATTCACCAAACCCACACCTCACTCGAACCACCCAATTTTTTCCCACGACAAACCAACCACCAAAAAAAAAAAAAATGGTCAACTCAGTCCCAACACTGTACATTCTGAACCGGAACTACTCTTCCTGGTCCCTGCGTGCCTGGTTGGTAATGCGCTACTTCAAGCTCGACTTCAACATCGAGCTCCTCCTTCTTGGAACTCCCGAGATCCCCGACATGGGGATCCCCGCCGCAGATGTGTTGATGCGTCGTGCAGGACCGACTTCCAAGGTTCCCGCGTTGCACGTGGAGAAGCCTTCGGGTGGACACCATATCGTCTTCGAGACATTAGCGATCTTGGAGTACCTTGCTGAAGGTAAGACATCATTCATCATTTCTAACGCTTGGGTTTTGTTTGTTGGATATGGTTGGGTTTAGGAGATTGCTCTTGGCGGTTGGTGTTAGGTGGGTGTGTTGTCATTTAGGGATTAGAGGACATTAGAACCTCTTTGTTCCATAATTTACCCAGTACCTTTCACTACCATTGTCCTTGGTACGTAGCAGGAAACACTGTCCTTTGTCATACGTCCTTCTATCCCTCCTCTTCACTTCCCAAATGTACCTCTTGAGCACACCCCATTTTTGTCAACTTTTTCCCGCATTCGAAACCTCGGAGAAAAAAAAATGAGTGACAGAAGTGGATAATAGAAACGCAGCACGTTTCTTTTACTTAAGAACAGAGCATATTCTTCCCTGGCAAATGACTGCCGGCCAACAAGGAAGTACAAGAGGCGGAGGAAGGTGGGTGCAAGCCGCAGAGAAGGGTAAACAGGAACGCCCTAAAATAGAGGTGTCTTCATAGAGTACTTCTACAAGCACTGTACAAGATGACTCGCTGGAGATTGAGATGATAGAGAAACATACGAACGGCGAGGTACTGAGGGGAAAAAAAGGAGAGAAGGGGCTAGGCCTTGGCCCTTCTTTTTTTGCCCAGTTGGATGATGCTTGTGGCCTGGGCGCGGATTGTTTTCTCCGAAAAAGAGGATGTATGTAATCCATGCTCTCTACTTCAGACACAACCAGCGGACGAGGTTTGTTCATTCCATTTGAAACAAAGGCCTTTTGGCTGGGAGCAAGGTCAGCTGGCTACGAGCGGGTTTCTTTTTTCGTTTCTGTCCAGTAGAGGAGAGGATAGGAGAGGGGGGCTGAGAAGTCACCACAAAAAAAAGGTTCATCGACGCCAAATCGGGACAACTTTGTAGAAGTATCCCTTTATAACCAGCTGGGATGCCCTTCATGGTCTAGCACCATCTAGTCGTTTGACGAGCGGCTGAGCCTTGGCGGGAGGCGTACCGGCGTAAACTCTGTCCTCTTTTTTTAAATTGGTCTTTTTGAATGTCTTCAAAGGATCACTTGTCTCAAGCTTACGAACGCAACATGAATGAGAGTGTTCGTTCGTTCGATCGTTATTTCTTGTTGCCGTTCTAGGCTTCAGGCTATTGTGTTTTGTTTGTTACTCTTTTTCTTGTGTTTGAAAGGAAGGAGGTCTCTCGTTGTTTGCTAACTATTCCCCGGTTCCGATTCAATCATAACTTTGAGCTTTCCCATGTCTCTCTTTCTCTCCCTTCTCTCCCTTCTCTCACTCAGCTCAGTGCGAACGTGCTTACAGCATCCACCCAACTCACCACTTCCTCTCTCGCTAAAAAAATGACATAGATTATCCTGAGATCTGGCCCACTGACCGCTACGACCGCGCCCTCGCCCGCTCGCTGGCCGCAGAGATGGCCACTGGTTTCTTTGGGATCCGCAAGTACGCCATGAACATCCGCGGCCGGTACGCCTTTGATCCCGAACTCTACACCGCGGACACCATCAATCAATTGGCCCGTGTCTCAAGCATCTGTGAGGACCTCCGATCAAAGCAGGTCGGCAAGGACGGCGATAAGGGGTACTTGTTTGGTCGCTTCACGGCCATCGATGCCATGTATACACCTCTGGCGTTCCGTCTTCGGAATTACTCGTTGATGGACAAGATCCAGGGCAAGCACGCTCAGGCTTATGTCCAGCGACTTTTGGATACGGAGGAGGTCAAGGAGTGGGTCGAGCTGTCCAAGAAGGAGAAGGAGGTTATCCCTGCCGACGAGATGCCCGGTTATGAAGGCAAGCAGCTCACTGATGTTGAGTAAAGAAGGGAAGAGGCTGAGAAAAATAGCTGTGCTTGCGTGTCCTTTTTATTTGAGCTGTACGACGTTCATGGCATGACCCAAGGAATGAAAGAAAAACTGTAATAAGTACAAGATATCATCTCCAGTGGTTTATTTTTCACTCATTTTCACGGCCATACCCCTGGATCATTTTCATTCCTCAATGAACGAAAAAAAAGTGGACCCTGCATTCATGCGTAGTTTAATTGAGAGAGAGATGGGAGAGAAGGGAGTGAGATGAGGGGTAATAACATTTATGGCGGGTCAACGGACAATGAGAAAAGTGGACACACACACACACGCACACATGACCCCCGAATTGTGGAGTTGGACCTTAAAAAAATGGGCAAACAACAACGCCGAGGAAGCACAGATCACCCTTTATTTTCCGTCAGTTTATTCGTCCAGTTGGTTCTTTTTGGATTCGAGTGTTGGTTCTATTATTGGACCCGGTTTGTGTCGTCCGTTCGGTACAAGTAAAGTAATATAACCTTTGACCCCTGTTTAGCTACTGCTATTTTGCTCCATTGTTGTTTTTCTCACACAGCAGGCTGACTGGTCAGAGAGAACGACGAAGGGAAGAGTGGGCAAAAAAGAAAAGAAAATCCGCTTGAAAAATACAGAATAACCGCAGTTGGGCAAAAAGGTCAACAGAAGGAGGCAATGATGATAATGACGGAGGGGAGAGAGAGAGAGGGGGAAGGAGAGGGAGTCTACCGGGAGGGACAGGCGAGCGGGAGGCATACACAACAACAACAAACAAACATGTTTCTTTTTTTTCAATTCAAAAGGAATACAGCACTCTTCACATACGACTGGCTGAAAAATGTAAAAGGAAGGGACGAAAAGGAAGCAGAAGGCGAGAACAGGGTGGATGAGTGCACTGGCCCAATAGGAAGGCGAGGAGGACCCGCCCCGGTTTCTGCTGGCTGGGCCGGCTTGACTGGCTTGGTTTCTTTTGTTCAGGTTAGGGATAGGATGAGCGGGCTTGAAGTTCCGTTGTCAATTACATATTGTTCAGGAAGAGAAATGAAAGAATGAACGAGAAGAAGGAAGAAGATTTTTTTCTTTTTGATCATGATCGACAGTGACCAGAGAGACAATTAGGGCGAGTAGAGGAGCGAGCAGGGATGTGTAATTGCACAGCGTGCTTGTCAGGAGACCCTATTTCTTCATTTGTCTCTTTTTCGGAAGATTCTTCTGAAGTACTTTAGGAAGAGAGATTTCTTTAACGGTCGAATCCGTTTATCTTAATGATCGTTTTTGTATTTGAACATATATTTCCCTATTCAATCGAATAGAATACTTTATTGTCATCATCAACCATCATCATCATCATCAGCCCCCTTTTGGCCAACTGATATCTCTTGAACAGGAACAATCAGTCCCATCAGCGAACAGCTTTCTTCCGTTGTGTTTTTAATAGCTGATGACAAGAGTCCATAAATAGGCTGGTATCATCCACCATCATTTCCTTTTTATCTTTTCATAACCTATTCTTCTCTTAACGAACATATCATATCTTGATCATCCCTTTGCATACAACCATACATCTCAACCCCCCTCTTTCCTTTCCTTCTCGTATTTCCTTTTCTTCTTCGACTTCTCGTCTTTCTTATTCTAGTACATTTGTTTTTCATTCACAACACACATCTACATACTCTGCGCCATTCTTCATCAATTAGCGTGTGCCCTACATTATTTTATCCATCGCTAATCGCATCGCATATCACTTTCACACATTCTCGTTACCATTTGCCATTTCAACATTGGCAACATTGGGACTTTCGCCTTCTTTTCTCTTCCTGTGATCATCCCTTGTACAGACCCCCTTTCTTTTATTTTTTTTATTGCCTGCCTCTCTTTTCCTTCCTTCCCCCTCACTATCCATTTGCCCCCCTTGCGACAAACGCAAACAACAGCAACAACAAAACACAAGGCCCGTAACAAACAATTGAACTTAACGGCTCATATTTTACTCTTCACTTTCTTGTTTGCTATTTGCCTCTCTCTCTCCCTCATTGACCCCCTTTGAAGCTCCTCTTTTCCCTTTTTTCATTTACTTTGGCCGTATCGAACTATATAGTCGTCCTGCCTTCTGGTTTTTTTTTATTTTTTCCGCTATCTAGTCTTCTAAATTGTTTCTCGTCGCACCTTAACCTTTTTCAACCGCTAAATTACCCTTCCGACCCTCCGATCCCTCTCTTACTCATTGCCTGCCTGCTATACTTTCTCCTTCTTCTGTCAGCCCTTCCCATCCTTCCTTTTCCCTTCTTCCTTTTTTTATTTTATTTTCCTTCCTTCTTTTCTCCACCAATTGATACATACCAACAGATACACAACCCAAATACAACATGGAGAGCGCCTTCCAAATTGCCGACTCAACTACCAACACCACAACTTCGAATTCGATCGACATGACAGCAGCAACAGCAGCTATGAATAACATCGTCCCTTCCTTCTCTCTCTCGCGCCCTTCTTCTCCGCCCTCAAACGAAAAGCGCCTTTACCGCTGTCCTGTCTGCTCAAAATCATTCCTCCGCCTTGAGCACTCCAACCGACACATCCTCATCCACACCGGCGAAAAGCCATTCATCTGCTCATACCCTGGCTGTCCCAAGCGCTTCTCGCGTAGTGACGAACTGGCCAGGCACTCCAGGACACACGGTGACTCCTTCCTGTCCACCGATCTGAACGACCTCCACACCGGGATTGTACCCTCTTCTTCTTTTTCCTCCTCATCCTCTTCTCCCTCTTCTTCTTCTTCTTCTTCTTCTGCTTCTTCTTACTCTCCTTCTACCCTTTCATCTCCTCCTTTCCCTTCTTCTTCTTCCCTCAACAACTCTGTATGTGCGCCCTACACAGCCAGCATTACCTCCTCCACACCAACAACAACGTTCACCCTCCCCTCTGATATCGACAACACCCCACTTTCCTCCACGCCCCTCGCTCAACCGGGTCAACCCTCCTCCATTAACCCAGTAGGGTTCGCTGCTCTTGTGTCTGATCCCTACGATTGGAACAACAACAACAACAATACCAACCCAACCTCACCCACAACGCCAACCCTTGCCACGCCCTCACCCTCCCTCTCGCCTTCGATCAACGGATCGTCGCCCTCGACCTCGACCTCCGCCTACTCGCCCGTCTCGCTCTCAGGTCTGCATCTCACCTCCGGCATCTGCACCCCCTTAGATCCCTCCCAAGTCCCGCCTCACCAGCAGCAGTACCAGCAACAGCAACAGCAACAGCCTTCGTACTCGCATGTGATGCTGATGCCGACCTATTCGATGGTTCAGCAGCAGCAAACGGTCTCCTCTCCCGTCTCGGATGATACTATTCCCAACACAGCAACCAACACCACCTACACCAACACCGCAACCACAGCAAACCACTTCAAGCGATTCAGCGTCCCTTTGCTCTCCATGAATGCTGGTAACAGTCATAGCGACTACAACAATAACAACAGCATGTCGTACGATGCCGATGCTGCAGCTACAGGTCCAACCTGGGACACCAGCAATGGTAAGGGCACTTAAAAAAATTCCATCACATACATGAGTCGCCCCCTCCTCCTTCTCCTTCCTCCCCCCTTTCAAAAAATCAGCACAGCTTGGACCTTTTTTTGTGTATGTTTCCTACTTCCGGGTCTTGTTCCTTAGGATCACCTGAACTTACCTTTCCTTCCGTCTTTTTTTCTCATTTAGCAGCTCGGAGACACGCAAGTATGCCTGCTGTCATGGAGCAGTCGTTCTTTGCCGGTCCACACCATAATCCTCAAGATCCCCCCTCGGCCGCTAACTCCACGGTCGACGTCGATGGCCTTCCCAGGAAGCCCCATGTCTGTCCCTGGCCCAACTGCAACAAGACGTTCACCCGGTCTGCCCATCTCACCCGTCACGTGCGAGCCCATGGCGGCGAGAAGCCCTACAGCTGCCCCCACGAAGGTTGCGGGAAGCGTTTTTCGCGGTCCGATGTCCTCAAGGAACACATCCGTATTCACGATGGCAACCGTGTTCGCAAGCGCCGTGTTCGCGGCTCATCCGACAGTAACTCGACTTCCAGCCATTCTTCGACAGCCTCTGCCACCGTCAAGAGGAACAGCATCACAGCTACCGCCAGTCTGGCCGTGACCGCTGATCAGTCCACCGCACAGCTGTTTGCGATCCCTCCTCCTCTGACCTGCCGTGCTCCAAATGGGATGGGTACCATGCCCAACCCCGCCTTCTCAGTGTCGCCCTTCCGGTCGTGTGAAGCACAGCCTTCGCCCGATATGCACCACCCTTATGCCCACCATTACCAACCACAAGCCTCGCTCAGCCCTCGTGAGCCTTCGCTGTCGTCCTCCCCTCCCTACTGTGGCCAAGACGGATCCTTTGTTCAGGGAGGAGCAGCTGCAACGACCATGTCGATCCAACCCAACTCTTCGTTCAATGCTCTGTTGGGTATGGAGTCAGTAGCCCATCTCGGTCGGTCGTCACCTGCAAGCTCCTGGCACCAGCAGCAACAGTTGACACAACAGCGTGGCGGTTCAGGTGGTGCTGCAGTTTCCTACTCGGCGACTCCGTATCAACAGGGTGCTCCTTACCCTAATGCCACCGCCCCATCCTTCTCAGGCATGTCTCAAACCACGACTCAGTATCCCACCTCGTCATCCTCTTTGCCGTCGTCCAACCACAGCAACAACCAGCAGCAGGAGCAGCCGATCACTTTGGCGACCATGGCGGCTGTAGCGTCGATGGAGGCAGACTTGATCAGTCTCCAACAGAACTGGAGTCCTGTTCCTCAACAACAGCAACATCAACAACATCAACAACATCAACAACATCAACAACATCAACAACATCAACAACATCAGCAACAACAACAACAACAACAACAGCATCAACCCCACCACCAGCATCACCACCAACAACAGCAGCACTATGAGCCCTACCAGTACTATTCATCTGCCATGTAATCTCTCTAGATTTTCAATATCTGTAATAAATGCGATTTAAACGTCTTCCTGCCAGCCACATTTTTTTTGCTCTCTTATTCCATTGAAGACAGTCTTCTTGTCCTTCCCTCCTTTTCTCTTTGCATCATACCTCTCCTTTTGTTCATCCACCCCCCGTTCGACCCACTCCGAATCGGAACTTGCATCGTCTTAGCTTTGTCTGTTGGTCGCCAAGTCTACGTCTTTATTCTCTCTTGGATTGAAACACTCTTTCTTGAACAAACAACCCGACATCATAACCCCACAGGAGGAAACACTAAATCAACCATAGCCCACTCACGACAAGCAAGCAAACAATCAACAAACGAACAGGAACAACCCCCCATGGCTCGTCGAAACGAATCAGAGGTACAGCGTGCATACGACTACACTCTTACATCGTATTCCCTGCTTCAAGGACACTCTATCTTCTGCCTTACAGAAACTGCATTAAAACGACCACACATTGACCCACCTACCTCTCTCCCTCTTTCAATCCCTTTGCCATATCGCAATTGGTGGTGAAAAAAAAAACAACCAAACCAGTCCGCGACAGGATCGGGCACACAAGCACTTCAGGTCCCAGGACAACAGACCGCCGAGTCCAAGAAGCGCGTGGCTTACTTTTACGACCAAAACATTGGAAATTATCACTATGGACCTGGACACCCCATGAAGCCACATCGTATCCGCATGTGTCACAGTCTGGTCATGAACTATGGACTCTACAACAAGATGGAGATCTATGTAAGTTTCATTTTCCTTGTTTTTTCTTGGACATTGGACATTGGACATTGGAGCCCATTGGATTGTGGTTGTCTCAGGCCAATGGCCACTATTGTGTTGCTTTGCTTATCGTGCTCCTTGTGTACCTATGGTCAATCGGAAACAAGGCTAACTATAATGATTGTCAACTTTTTTGTGTTTTCGACGGGGAAATAGAGAGCGCGCCCAGGAAGCAAAAAGGAGATGACGGCGTTCCACACGGATGAATATATCGACTTTTTGTCGAGAGTTTCTCCCGACAACATGGAAGCATACGCAAAGGAACAAATCAAGTGTAAGAGACGACGAGTTCTTTGAAACTCTCTTGCAGGAGTTGTTATTTCGCCATCGATCGACGTCACAGCACTCCTGAGCTCTTGTAACTTTCACAAAGTATTGACCAACATGTATTATTCTTGCTGATATATCTTGGTAATTAGTCAACGTGGGTGACGATTGTCCCATCTTTGAGGGATTGTTTGAGTACTGCCAGCTTTCCGCCGGAGGATCCATGGGTGAGTCAATTGATCGTTTTACTGGAGTTTTCTTCCCTAATTCAACCACGAGGAACGGCCCTAACCCAATCATCCTTTTCCCCTTATCATCGATTAATAGAGGGAGCGGCGAGATTGAACAATGGCTCGTGTGATATTGCAGTCAACTGGGCAGGAGGACTTCACCACGCCAAAAAGACAGAGGCGAGTGGATTCTGTTATGTTAACGACATTGTGCTTTCGATTCTGGAGCTGTTGAGATATCACCCGCGCGTACTCTACATCGATATTGATATCCATCACGGAGATGGAGTCGAGGAGGCTTTTTACACCACCGACCGTGTCATGACCGTCAGTTTTCACAAGCACGGCGAATATTTCCCAGGCACCGGTGAAGTCAGAGTACGTCTCGTGCTTATTCTTCCTGAGGTTCGACTGGATTCAAAATTGGTTCTTGTTGGCTAATATTTGGACTTTTGATGTTTTTCAATAGGATGTGGGAGCGGGACCAGGAAAGTACTATGCCGTCAATTTTCCTCTTCGGGATGGTATTGACGACACGACATACAAGAGCATTTTCGAGCCTGTGATTCAACATGTGGTCGACTGGTACAAGCCCGGCGCCATCGTATTACAGTGTGGAGCCGACTCTCTCAGCGGTGACAAGCTTGGCTGCTTCAACCTCTCCATGAAAGGTACGTCTCCATCGTGTAATAGCCATTCATGCAGGTCTCACTCCTACATGTAATTCCGTCCTGTAATCTAATAGCGATTATCCGTTTATATCGTCTGTGATAGGTCACGCGAATTGTGTTGCGTTTGTGAAGAAGCTGAACTTGCCACTGTTGATTCTAGGAGGAGGCGGATACACGATGAGGAACGTGGCAAGAGCATGGTGTTACGAGACGGGAGTTGCAGTCGGACAGGAGGTTGGGCCAGACATGCCGTTCAACGACTATTACGAGTACTTTGGACCAGACTACAAGCTGGATGTCAAGCCCAGCAACATGGACAATGCCAACACGGTCGAGTATCTGGAAAAGATCAAGCAGCAGGTCTTTGAAAACCTGGCTCGGTCCAAGGGAGCACCATCTGTCCAGATGCAGCCCGTACCCCGTGATCTTGACCTTTCAGATGACGAGGATTTGGATGATCCCGAAAAACGGATCCCACGTAAGACATATCTGGTTTGATTTCTTTTGTATCGGTTTCTTGGATTGTATTTTTTTTTCATGCGGGCGGTTATCCTAACAGCCTTTTATGTCTCCTATCATGTGTGTGAATTATAGAGAGATTGTGGGATAAGAGGGTGGTGCCAGAGAACGAGTTTGAAGAGTCAGAGGACGAGGAGACGAACGCGCTGCACGGAGTGAGATATGCAAAGTCGTTGCGACATGGACGGGCCTCCAAGGCCAACAATCAGGAACAACCACCACGTATACGCGGAACTGTCGACTCTTTGCCTGCCGCCGCCACAAAACTTTCACATCCTTCTACAGCTGCAGCATCTGGTACTAGTAGCAACGGCCAGTATCTTCAGAATGGAACTGCGGCCAATGGTACGACTAAAGCGGCAGAGGAGGTTGAGACGGATGGTGATGTTGTGATGGATTCTGGATCTGCTTCTTCGGCAGCGGCAGCAGCAGTACCGCCTACAGAGGCGACGTCGGCCAAGGATGCTGAGATGGCGGAAGCGCCTTGATTGTTGTTCAAATAAAAAAACACTTTCAAACTAATAAAACAAAAATGCTCTATGATGAAAATGAAATGTTTACTGGTAACATCGATTGGTCGCGAGGATGTGGCGAATACGATTGATTGATATCAAAAGTTGGATATGTTGACCCTGATATTCAGGTACCGAGGAACGATGGTCAACTCGGTAGTTGTCCAGCAATATCGCCCATCACCTTGATCTCTGGCAACGGCTGACCAAATCACTCTGCCAACCTCCAATCGGCGAGGATGCACGGCCAATCAGGTATCCCAGGTGCCAGGAATGTGTTCATTTCCAAATGCAAGCAAAGCGACTTACTCCCAGTCCTATCGCCTTCACAATGTTTGTCCAGAATTTCAGCGAATGGTGCCTGCGGTCTCACATATTGCAGCCTATTGATGAAAGGAGGAAAACGACAATCTGGTCAGATGGTAGATCCTCCGCAGTTGTCAGTCTAACGAACAACAAAAGTTTTTTTAACGTACTTACGAGGGGGATAGGAGGGAGGAGGAGGCACAAAGGATCATGGCTATGAACGGAGGAATGGAAACTCGGGCCACGTCACCTATAAGATCAACTGAGAGTGAAAACGCAACGAACTGCTTCCAATGGAGCAAGAATGAAAGCGATGGATGCTAAGTTCGACAACAAGCTATTCATGTTGAAGAACACTTCAACGGTAAAATATAATAAAAGAAATAGTAACAAGGGCGACGTTTAACAGTATTCAGAAAGGAGCTCCTGTCGATTCCCTTGCATTAGTGCAAAGCAACAGCCCAGAAAACGCGACGATCTTCTCTCATATTCTGATAATCCGCGTCTATGTCAATGTCTGTGAACAAACGTGAAAAATAAACTCTTTGTTTTGCACCCACTGTCATATCGTTGGGCTCGCTGTGTTTCGTATCGTTCTGCAATTTTGGAGGTCCGCTCAGACAAAAAAGGTACCACTAATGCCATATGCCCAAGATGCCAGTCAGTTTTCACACAAGCAGCAACAAAGTTTCTACTTCTTGCTCTCGTCTACTCTCTACTCTTCTTCGTTGCTTCTTCAACGCCTCCGCCGCCTCCTTGTCAGCCACCCGCTCGATATTTCCTATTTAACCTTCTCTCTCATTCTTCCATCTTTTCTTCTCTTCCATTCCTCATCCTCCATTCCCCTCATTCTTCACACACATTATATACAACAATGACCCAACCCGTCCGTTCTGTTGACCGTCGTTTCACGACCACTGCCTTCACCTACCCCGGATACCATATCGCTGCCTCCCACGGTGTCGTCCGCGGGTAAGCAAGCTACCTTCGCAACTATTTTCTCTTTTCGACTTTGGTTCGTAGGTATTACCAATTGATCAAGACAAAAGGCGACCTAACGCAACATTCTCTTTGTCTTAACGTCGCCTCTCGATCCCCCCCCCCCCCCCCCCTTTCGCGCAGCTTGACCGTCCGTAACCCTAACGTAAGCCTACCCTCCTCCACTAACACCTTTCTCCTCAACCACCAACGCGATACCCCCATCCATCGCCCACCCATCCTCTAACCCCCTCCCTTTTCACTCCCTCCCATCATGAAAAAACAACAACAAATAGGTCGGAAAGGCATTCGTCGGAAGTTTCGCAGCGTTGGCCGGTGGAGAGAGCTCGACGTACATCGAGATGGCCGAGAAGGCTCGTGAGCGTGCCTTCCTCCGCATGCTCGAGCACGCCGCCGCCGCAGGCGGTAACGGTAAGGCTCTTCAAACAATCAAAACAAATCAAGGGACGCCGGAGCATATTCAGGATAAATTGAACCGCAGGATGAGGGAAAAAAAAAACTCCAGATGTCCCTGTCAACCGCAAAAAACGACTCAGCCAATGCACTGTCCCCCACCCACCTCTCCGTCCCTGATTTGTTGGTTTAGGCTTTTTCTAACTTTTTTGTCGACTTTTCCAAAATTATAGCTGTCATCGGAGTCAACTTTACAGGACAGGAGATCATTCAGGTAAGGAGACAAAGACAGAGTTAACGGGGCAGTAATTTTGCGCCAAGGCAGACAAGTGAAAAAAAAAATAGTCAATGCAGGATAGCTAATCTCTCACACTTTCTAAACATTCTTTTTCTTCACCTTGGCATTATTTCGCGTGTTTTTTAACAGGGGTAAGTCCCTCAAACATTACGCCAGAGGCAGACAAAACGTGCTAGTGATCGAACTACAAGCCCACTAACAACCTCTCTCTCTCTTGTGACCTGAAATGACATAGAATGACTGAAGTCATGGCATACGGAACCGCCGTCACCCTGGTGCCCCTCCAGCAGCCCGGCCAGGCTCAGGGAGCTCCCCAGTAAACATGGCATATTATCAACCGGAAAAACCAACATACCTAATGAATAAAACCACTAAACGGTAAAGATGCAGTACATCTTGCATCCATAATCGATCGCGTCTCTGCAAAACCTATTTATCGGGCAGGTTACAAGAGATCTAGATGTCGACGAATTTGGGAATGGGTCCGACTTCGACACCGATCTCCTTGGCCAAAGCTTTAGCCTTCTTGACCTCAAACTTCTTGCTCTCCGTCCACCTCTTCCCGGCGCCATGTACCAGTCGTGTGATCATATTCGCGGCCTGTCCCTTTGTCAGTGCTCGTGCTGCGACTTCCTTCCGCTTCCTCTGCGTCATCTCCAGCTCCCTTGCCAGACTTTTTCCACCTTTCCTATCACTATGACCATCTTCCTCACCATCTTCCTCACCATCTCCAATATCGTCGATGGGGTCGTGGTCATATCCAAGCTTCCTCAAGAACTTGAGCTGCGAATCCGAGGCAGGCAGTCTCCGCCATTGAGCAAACCGACTCAAAATCCCCGGGACGTGCCCAATATTCTTGGCGATCCACGTATCAACTCCATGGAAGCAATCCTCCAACGTATCCGACTGGATCGGCAACTCGTTCTCCTTTGTCCTAAACATCCCCGCCTGACCACCATCTTTGGACTTGGACTCCTGGTTCCTCCTTGGGTTATTGTACCGATCTCTAGCCTGCTTCAACTTTTGGTCCTTATTCAACGATTCATCATTCTTGCCCACATGCCGCTTATCCATGGTCACCCGTTTATAACACCGGTACAGTCCGTCCTTCGACTTCTCAATCCGGAACGCAATCTCCTGACAGGTCAGAACATAAGCGCTCGCGCCAACATTGACCCAGGCGTTCCGTGACATGGCCGCAACTCTCCTATTAGCCCCACTACAGTCTCCAATCAGCTGATACGGATTCTCATATTCCAAGACCCGGATCCGTGCGACTTTGAGTCCTGTGGACGGGTCGATTTCTTCGACGGTCTCGGTCTCGTCCGGGAACTCGGAAGACGCGACGACTTCTTCCTCTAGGGTCGCGATCTGTTCGTCTCGGATCGCGTCGACGTCCTGGTGTCCGGTGATCTTGATCTCCTCTACAATATATTTCATCCGCATCGCGATATCGAAAAAAAACACGGTCGGTTATCTAGCCACACCAATCGCAAGGGAAACCTCCCCGAGAGTCACCAAAAAAAAACTTACCATTCAAGACAGAATCGGTCTCAAGACCAAGCAAAGTAGGCAGAGTCACAAGTCCCTCGCCTCGGACAATATCCACAAAGTCAAGCACAAGGCAGTCCTCCTTTCCTGGATGCAGCCGCATTCCTCTTCCCAACATCTGTTGGAACAAGACATTCGACTTTGTCGGCCGTGCCATGATAATCAAGTCAATTACCGGGATATCTAGCCACAGCAATAACAAGCGTTTTGATGAGTCGTAAGCTTAAAATCGGATAAACGCGTAAAAAAAGTACACGCGACAAAGAAAACAGCTTACCTGTGCCTTCCGTCAGGATACCGCAGTTGACGATGACGGGGAACTTTTGGTTCTTGAAATCCTTCAACATCTGAGCGCGATCATTATCGTTGGTCTTGCTTGACAGCCCTCGCGCATCATATCCATACTTCCGGAAGGTCTCTGTCAAACTCTCTAAATGGGCGATATCGACCGCAAACACCACCGTTGACTTGCGCTCGCCTAAAAATTTACAAACAGAAAAAAATAATAACGTATGTGAGCCAAATGTAAAAAAAACAAACACTTGTAGGAAATCACGAAACAACTTTCCATTCAGAGAAAAAGCCCCCGAGTCATAACTTACCACAATAGGTCATGTAACTGCGAACAATGATATCATTCCTGACGGGGGTGTTGACCTTCTGGGACAAATCCTTGGTCTCAAAGTCACCTCCTCTTGACTTGACATCCTTCAAGTCAAACTCAGTCTTGATAGTCGACACGCGTAGTCCACAGAGCCACTTGTCCTCGATCATAGTAATGAACCCCTTGTGGAACGAAATATAATCGAAAACGCCTCCTAACCTCAGACCATCGTGTCGCCGCACAGTTGCCGAGCATCCATAGACAAAGATGTGGGTCTTGGGAACATCCGCTCCAAAGTGTTGTAGAATCCTACCATAAGAGTCTGCTGTAGCGTGGTGGGCCTAGAAATGTCAACGATGGTCGCGTTAGATGTTTTAGAGGCAAGCCATTTCTTTTTCATAGATGCACCAGCGGAAAGGAAATGGAAGAATACCTCGTCGATGATGATGCATTTGAAGTCCTGTGGGTTATACTTGAGTATCCGAGTAGTGCCTGCACGTCCAAGAGTCGGTACACTGGCAACAATCACGTCTGCAGTCATATCCGCCACGCGTTTTCCTTGATCAATAGTCACTCTCTAATAGCCAGTGTAAGTAAGAAAAAATGGACCGTCAACATTTTCAGCTGAAAATAACTGAATCCAATACCCACAATGAATCCAGAGAAGAAAGGACATACCAGCCCGGTACCATTCCTGAGAACATGATTCCGTGTCTGCTCCAGAAGCTCCTGTCGGTGTGCCAGAATCAATGTCTTGTTTGCTCCCGGGAACGGTGCCGGCACTTGCTTCATCATATGCGAGAAGATAACCTAGCACAAAAAAAATTCATGCAGAAAAAGGCAGGTTCGATAAATTGACAATGAAAAAAAGGTGTGAGCCAAAAAGGTAATTTTCTCCGCCACCCTTGACCTTATCACCCCCCTTTCTCGTATCTCTCGCTTACGGTCTTGCCACTGCCGACAGGAAGGGATACAATCTGGCGCATAATCCCGTTCTTGAGATTCTCGAGACACTTGTCGATACACTCTTGCTGATATGGTCGAAGCTGTGTCGTGACGACCGGTGGCGCCGAGATGATAGTCTCGGTTGATGTGTCGAGGGTAGACGCATTGCGTTTGGATTTGGAAACTCGCTTGACTTTGGTGGCAACGACCGCCGCCTGACCACCACCACCACCACCACTACCAGTAGCTGCCTTATCTGCAACAACAACAGCAGCAGGCTCCAAAGTCTCTTTGTCTTTTGTACTCTTCTTCTTCGTCTTCTTGGTTTTCACTACAGTCTCAACAGCACCTCCAGAAACATCCTCCTTGACCTCCGCCGCCTTTTTCGTCTTTGGCTTTCTGGCTTTTGGTGCTGCAGTGGCAGCGGCGGTATCCTCGCTGGGCTCAACTTTCTTGCGCCGACTCACAGTCTTCTTCGCGACTGCCTCGACCGCCTCGGACTCCTCTCGCAGAAGTGCTTCTGATATAAACCTTGTTTGACCTCCTCGACCTGTGGAAGAAACACTTCCTGTGACTTGAGGAATGGCAAGTCGTTGTTGTTGAATGGCAATCCTCTTGGTGAGAATGGTACCATAGTAGATTCCTTGCAGTCGTAGCATCGACATTGTTGTGGTGTGCCGTGTCGCGGGGGTAAGCAACTGTCGGTAGGGGGTGAATGTGAATGAGAAGGAGTAGGGAGGAGGAGAAAGAGTCAACTAGGTTCAGGGACACAGAAGAATGAAATGCGATTGTGACTTTCTATTATCGTACAAAGGATGAGCGCGTCTGACACTTAAAAAAAAAAAAAAAAAACTACGACAACTACTTGGCGACGCCGATGCCAAAGACGACCCAGCTGGTGAGGAGGAGGATAGACCAGACCATGATCCAGAAGTGCGCCTGGGTCTTCTTCCAGCGAGGCACTTCATCATCGCCACTCTCAATCCGCACTCCAAATCGTCGCTCACCATTCTCGTCCTCGGAGTCCTCGTCGCCCTCATCGTCACTCTCACTATGGGTCGACAAGAACTCACCGCCTCTCCGATGCTGGTAGTCGTCACCAAGAAGAAAACCTCGTCCGGAAGTTGGGCTGTCGATTTCTGACTCATGAGTCCGACTGTCTAGTGTTGCTGGTGGTTGATTGGACAGGTGACTTTCGTGCTGCTCGTCCCGATCGCGTTGGTAGTTCGAGTGATGGGGACCAATTTCGGTCATGGTCACTTCTTCAGCGTCCTGCTCGTCATCCAGCTCAAAGATAGGTTCCAGAGTCATTGCTTCGAGGACCTCATGACTCCTTCGCCTGTTCCTCTGCTCCCGCCGACGGCGACTTCTCCTCCTATGCCTTGCCAATTCCGCTGCTGGAGTCTTGCCATAGACACCATTGACCAGTCCAGTCTTGCCACCCTCACCATCCGTCCAGTGATAGTCGCCCCAGACAAAGATTGAACAAGCAATAAACGCCAGAATCGCGACTGCCAAGAACAAACCCAGCAGTCGAGTGTCCTCTTTCTCCTGCAAAGCCTCGTCCACGTGAACAGGGAAGAAATGGTGGTACAGTCGATCAAAAAAGTTCTCCGTGTCAGTCTCTCCGTCAGGTCCAATCACACCAGAAAAGTCCTGCATCATCCCCGAGACGGTCCCGAAGAGTGTCGCTCCAATGTTGTCGATAGATCTGTGAAGTCCGAGACCTGTGGGCACATGTTTTGTCAAGACCGGCATACTGGTCACAATCGACAATGTTCCGAGTGAGAGCGAGAGTGCAAAGAGGAGCATGGGAACCGTTGGTGGAATAGGGATCGCGCTGTAAGGGATGAGTAGGAGTGCATGGGTCCCGATCAACAACCCAGCTGTGATTAGGAGCATCCAGGCGCGTTTTCCGGCGTGGTCAATGAACGTGCCGAGAAAGGGGTATATGATCAGCGGGACCGCCAATATGATCGACGCCTGCCATGCTGCTTGCTCATCATCCAGTCCGTATCGATGCTTCACAATATTGCTATTTCCCATAACAAAAATGTATATAGTATCAGTCCCGAACTGCCCTCAGTCTTCTCCATTATGGTACCTTTGACCTATCGCCTTACCTGGATTGGTGCATGAAAGGATTCCAGCTGGCACCGACCAAAAAGCTTATAATCAACAGTGTCCAGAACATGGTCGAGAATCCATAGACTTCTCTCCAGCCAAGAGTAGTCCGCTTGGCCTTCAAAAGGATTGTGATCTTGGTCATCGTATCTGCGCCCTCCTTGGGCTTCTCCAGCAGTGTTAAAAAGATAATGTTCATCACCCATGCGATCGCAGAGATGACCAATGACACAAAAAACGGCGTGACAAACCCGAACGGCGGTAGTGTGCTCAGCGGCACTGATGTCGCCAGTGCCAGAAACCCTGCCTATTAGCAACATACATACGAAAGATCTAGGTGAGTCAACATGTCTCCCTCCTCCAATTTCGTCCGCTGTTGAAAGATTGTTCCTGAACAATGTTCCAATGCTACGTTACCAGCTTGCCACTGGTCAGTCCCAATGCCAAAACAAGAGCTAGTCCATCCTTCTTGAAGTATCGAACCCATATCGTCTCCTGAATAATTGTAATAGGCGCAGCGCCAAGTCTATTAACGTCATACGGAGAAAACAAGGATCGACATTAGTAAACTCCACATCGCAATGTTGTAACGAGACATATATTTTCCAATCGGGCATTCGTACCCGAACAGACAGTATCCAAGGATCATAACCTTGATGGAATAGGTCCAACAGCCCAGGATGACTATCGCCTGACCAGCGATGACGATCGTTGTAAAGACAATTGAGCTTGGTCCTGTCCCGTATCGCTCAATCAAAAGCCCTCCAATGAGTGGCGTCAAAGTCGGAAACAGTGTCAGCGATGACTGCAGCAGTGAGAACTGTGTGTTGTTGATATCCATATTCTATCATTGTTATGTGAGCGTTACAGGTTAGGTGTCTTGGCAAGGACTGATTGTAATGGAAAATGAAAGCACCGAGTCAAAGTAGAACACAGAGACGAGCGAGAGTGTAGAACTCACTTCTTTGAGGACATCTTTCAAAGGCCCGGTCATGTGGATCGTAAAGTGGGTTGAGACACCCAGCAAAGCAGCACACGAGAACGCCTGGACCTTGACGGCCCATTCCGCGGCGGCTACCTTGGGATCCTTACTTGACGTCAGTCCTGATCCTGTATCTTCATTCTCCTCGTCTTCAAGTAGTCTCTGTTGACGATGGTGCTCAATAAAGTCGCGGTCTGACGACGTGCTGACGAGACCCTGGGATTCTGTGGCATGGATAGCATCGTACTCGTCATCATCGTCGTGATCGTGGCTATTGTGTTCCCGTTTGGCCTCGTCGTTGCTGCTGCGTGAGAGCGTGGGTGAGTCCTGGCCCGCTGTGCTGAGGGGCAGGTAGTCTATGCGACTGTCTGACATTGCCAGTTGTTGTTGTCGCTATGTGTTGTTTTTGTTGATGAGTTAGGCGGATGATGGTGCAGCATTCATGTTGCAGAAAAAGAAGAGGTAATGCAGAATGTCGAAAGGAGAAGTGTTTCGATTTTTATGTCTGTGTTCCAAGAGAGAAAAGGGAGAGAGAAACTCGGCACGAAGGGAAATGAGCCACGACCACTCTCTGGGGCGCATTTTGAGAAGAAATGAAAAGGGGGCAGATCATTGTCGTTTACCGAAAAAATCAAACGAACTTTATGCTCCTCGCTTCGCAATGTCCTTGGAGTGGAGCTGCTCATATGAAGTGGCATTCAGCGCTCGCTTGACAGGTTACCCTGACAATAGGTCAGGATGAAGACGTCAAAAATACAATGCTTGCCATTAGAATGTCGTTCCATGGTGTATTGGATGCAACAAATAGAAAGCGTAAGAAGGCAGGCACGAAAAAAAAAACCAGGGGCTGAATCACCTCAAGGCTTGTTTCTGCACAAATACAACCTTTGCTTCAACAAAACTAGATGCAGAACTACCTTGTCCCACAATTGCTAAGATACGACCTAGTGCTCATCCTTTCTTTAGTACTTCAATTGGGTCAACATGGCGTGTCGCGAAGCCGCGGCGAGGACTTATGTTACTTGAGCATTAGACTGGAGTTTTGGACGCTCAACATACCTGGGAAAAAAAAATAAGAGGAGAATAAGAGGCGCACCCCAGGTTAACTTTCTCACTTTGCCAATTGCCAATTAGATCTCAAATGGTTGTTGGGTTGAGTGTGCATACAGAGTTTGGCTGATGGCTGTTTTGTTGACATGACACTGCTGAGTAACCTATAGAGAGAAGGGGAGGAAGGACACCATGGCTCACAAATGTATTTTTGACCTCTCTATTGTGTTCTACGGGTATTCATTACTGCGCGGCAGAACTGGAATGGCAGTGATATGTTGTGTGTGTGAGTGTGCGGCGAGTAATTGAGTGACAGAGGGTTGTGCCATAGTTTTAAAGAATTGAAGTGCAAGGGAGTGTAAGTCGCGATTATGATTTCTTTATGGTAAGGTAGGATGAAGTAAAAGGGTAAATAGAGCAAGGTTGCTCTGCGGTCTTGTTGGCGATGTAAACCGGTATAACTTTGACAAAAGGAGAGCAAAAAATGGAAGATTTTAGGTATGGTTGTTGTTTTTGTGCTTTCCTTCCCATTGTTTTGGAGAAGGAGAGGGGGAGATGGCTAATTCTGAGAGAGAGAGGGCAAGTAAAGATGAGATGATTAGAGAGAGAAGAGAGAGGGTAGATAGAGTGAAATGAATTGAGTGCATGTTTGTGTACGGTTGTGGTGCTATCAGCGAGTGGAATAGATGGGGTTCATGCGACGCAAGGTATGAATGAGTGCTGTATGTTTGTGTGTATACGTGTGGAGAGAGGACGCTACGAAATGAGCAGAGAGAGAAAAATGCAGCAGGTGAGTGAGTGCAGCGAGTGGTCAAAGGGGACGAATCAAAACTAATTGATACAGCAGAGAGAGAGCGAGAACGGTACAGTAGTAAGGTCGAGAAAGAGGTCATGCCTGCGCTATTGTAAGTAGTTTGTAACTTGCAGGTAACCAGTCCGCCAGGCAGCCAATTCAACCCATATAATAATTGCTCTTTTGTACTGTATGTGTGTGTATGCCGTTGCCCCTTCCCTCTGCGCTCTCCTTATTTTTTGCCTTATTGTTTGTGTGTGTGTGTGTGTGTGCGTACTGTCTGTGATATCGCGTCGATGTGGAAAAAGAAAAGAAAAGAAAAAAAAAGCCATATGAAATAAATCTTTTGCAGCTCTACCCTCAGCGAGTGGATTCACCAAGGGAAGGGCCAGTCATTCGAATCAGCTGGCCCAGCCCTCCCCGTCCCCCTGCTGAAATCCTCACATATAGAGACCCACATACTGAACTCCCCCCGCTGTTTTTTTCTTCTCTTTTTTCTCTTCCACTCAGCTACTCCCCTCACACTCTCCCACCCACCACCAAGAAATCAAGTAAGTATCACTCATATAGACTTTACATATGGCTACATACACACATACACTATGGCCATTACCACTGCTCCCTTCTATGAACAACACCCTATCGCTCATACACATACACACACACACACACAACCAACGATATCGCTCCTCCTTGCGAACCTCCCTCTCATTCCCTCTCTCATCACAACCTTCATCCCCATCCATCATCCTCATCCATCGAGGATTCACCCTTGTCCCTTTGAGAAAGTGCTTCACGACGTTGATAGCTGAAAAGAAAGATATCACAAAAAATAATGGTGGCAACGGAAAAAAAAAACGACTATTGGTCAGAAACAAAAAGACTCCTTTCCACAATCACCACACCATCGACCGATTGTCCATCTCCCCCCTCCCCATCCAGATGAAGAATAAATGGCAGACAGCAAATACCAGAACTTTGAGAAACAGGCTAAAGACAAGAAATGACGTTGAACATACTTGGCTGGACAGCACTCTTTCAGAGAGGATCCTGCCAACAATAACAACAACAACAACACTCAAAGAAACCGCGTACTCAGACTAACAAACCACCACCCTCATCAACAAATAGATAAAACAACATGCCTAAGGTCGCCAAGAAGGATCAAAAGGTCTCAAAGAGAGCCAAGGTCGAGGAGCCTAAGAAGAGAAAGAGAAAGGCCAAGAAGGACCCCAACGCACCCAAGAACCCCATGTCTGCCTACCTTCTCTTCTGTGAGGAGTGGCGCGAGAAGGTCAAGGCCCAGAACCCCGAGGCCTCCTTCGGTAAGGATCGCACCTTTGACTCTCTAAGGCAGACGAGCAACAAACAGGGAGACGTACAAACGGACAGATGGCGAGAACAAAGCAGAGAAAAAAGCAATGATCCAGGAACGAGAAAGTAAGACCAACTGTAGAATCGAACCTCTAACTAATCAACTTTTGGCCTTTTTGTACAAACAGGCGAGCTCGGACGTCTCCTCGGTGAGCAGTGGCGCGCATACTCTGACGAGAAGAAGGCTGTAAGTCAAGCCATCCTTATGCACCTTCATACCTTTTTTCGATCTTGTTTCTTGGGATGTATTTGTGTTCTGTGTTGCCGTTACCCCACTTGCCGATCTACTTGTGGAACGCGCCCTACCCTTTCGTGTCCTTTTCATTTTTGATTTTCATTTTCGATTTCGCAACTTTTTTTTTTTTCGGGATTCGAACAAAAAACATTTTGCTCATTTCGTGACGCGTTTGTCGTCGCGTCCTCCACAAAAACAAAGGCTCAAACATCCTAACCCTTCTCCACTTTTCTGTCGATCCTTCCCCCCTCTTAGCCCTACATCGCCAAGCATGAGAAGGCCAAGGCCAAGTACCAGGTGGAGAAGGCTGCCTACGAAGCCAAGAAGGCTGCTTCCTCTGAAGATGAGGATGAGGATGAGTCTGATTAAACTCAACACCACTCCTCAACCAACTAACCTACACTCTTCTCGATGAAACATTTGTCGCTTTTTTCTGCTGTACCATGTCCATGTTAGAGCCATAGTGTTCCCTCTTTTTTTCTTCTGTCTTTGTTATCGCTAGTACTTTGTATAAAAACTTTTTTTCTTTCTCAACAGCAAACAACAACAATCAAATGATATCGAATCGAATATGCAAAAGCGAAAGCCATTTTATTCTCACCAGTCGTCGCCCATATCGTTGTAGTTATAATCCTCCTCCTCGACCTGACTGTATCCCATTATTGCGCCCCATGACTGTGCAGGTAACTCCTCTTCCTCCTCTTCGGCCTCCACAACCTCTTCCTCCTCCTCTGGCGCAGGGGTAGCCTCAGCCTCACGTTCAGCCCTCGTCCGCGACTTGGGAGGCGCAATAATCTCATCCTCATCCTCGTCATTCTCCCGCTGTGATCCATTAGACGCCATGTTGCGCGCCTGCATCGATTGCTCCCTCGAAGCCGTCCTGCTCCCTGTGGGGGTGGACGAAAACTTTACAGAATTACCCGTTTTACTCTTGATCATTCGACTGACGGACGCCAAACGACCTGGGCGCGCTGACCCCTCCCGACTAGGACCCATGGACGACTGTCGTGACCGAACAGGTGTCCGGACCAATCCTGGTTCTTCAAAGACAGACTTGATGGGTGCTGGTGATCCAGATTCGTATACGATTGGTTTTGTGTCGAAGAGCTCGTCCATGTTGTCCAGTGCAGAGTAGTTGATCTTTTTCGACTTTTGCCGAGGCAGTTTTGGTTGCAAAATGTTCTTTCCTGCCTCTGCTGCCGTCGATGAGCCCGCTCCCTGAACATTGCGCTTCGCCTTCTTGCGCTATATAACGATAACAAAAAGGGTTGAAAAGGAACGAATCCTTGTTAGTGTGTTTTTTTTTTCTTTCCTTCACTCCATTTCATATCGACAAAACAATTTTCTGCACAAAAATGTTCCTGAACTTACTCCTTTCTTGTTGTGGTAGATGCCCATCTTCTTTTCCATCTCGATACGTGCACGCTTCTCCTCCTGCTCCTGCAGGTACTCCTTGTTGAACTCCATCCAGACTTGAGTCTTGATCTTGACTTCGTCGTCGTTCAGGATAATGCTGTCAATCTCGTCATCATCCACATCATCCAAGGGCTCATATGGAATCAACTTGCGCGCCTCATCCTCAGCTATTATGACACGAAAGACAATAAGTGAAAGTGCTTGGTTAGAAACACGAATATTCGCAACACGCGTGATAACAACTGAGCAAATGTGGAAAAGTCAGGAACTTACCATCCAGGCGAGCTTCTTCCTGCATGATCAGAGGGTTGTGCATGGCCGCTTCCATCTCCTCCTCAAGTTCTTCTTCCTCTTCTTCCTCCCCTTCTCCCTCCTCTTCCTCCTCTTCCACTTCACCTTCTCCTGCAATCTTTGCTGTAGCCACTGCTGCTTCCTCTTCTTCGTCTCCCTCATCATCGGTTTCTCGTTTCCGCTTGCCAGCCACAGGGACAACATGCTCAGCAGTGGTTTCATCGTCCTCGCCCTCCTTGACGGTATGCAAGTCAATCTTGGATGTCCTCTGTCCACGACGGATAATCTCCTGGTTGACTTCATCCTCTTCCTCCTCGTCTTCTCCAAGCTCCCAATGAGTCTTTTTCCTTGACTTTGTGAACGCAGGTGGGTCTGATGCATCTTCCAGCCACAATTCGCGGAAGTCAGACACCGTTAATTGACCTGAAGGTGTCGATGCAAACTCATCCAAACTATTATAAGAATACATAAAAGTTTGGGGGTTAGGGTAGCTATTCGTATTACAGACATTTGCATGAAAAAAAAAGAAACTGCTAAAATTACAAGGGGGGGGGGGGGGGGGTGTTGTTTCCTTACCGTTTCCTCAAAGTAGACTCTCCAATCTTGACGACCTGAATGATCTCCCTTTGCGAACGTCTGTAATGATGCATTCTGGCAGCAATGAGAAGACAGGCGCCACAGACACCAGCTGGGCGACGACCAGTCCTGATCCAATCACGATCCATGCGCGACACCAAGCGAAGAGCGTCGTTGGCGACTCGTTGTGTATCCTCACCGAAATCCAGCATTGTTGCAAATCGAGAAATGTACAGTGATGGGTCAACCAGGGGCAACTGAAGATTCAGCTGCTTTGTCAAATGCAGAAATGTCACTCCCAGCTTGAACACGTTCAACTAACAAAATAAGAAAAGGCAAGAAAAGAGGGGTTAGATGATGAGTCACCTTTCATATAAATCTTTTGCTAAATAATACCAAATAAAAACAAGGGATCAAAGGTACCTGAAGAAGTTCAGAAAAGTCGATCAACATATGGGTGGTCTTTTCCATTCTGCAGACGATATAAAGACAGCAGGCGACAACATGTTCACTTCGACGACCCTGAATAAAGTTGTTGGTGATGGCAAGGTTGAAGTAGCGCTGGGCGACTTCGGCATGATGTTCGTTCAGCTTGAGGGCGACTGCCATAGCTGTAATTCGTCTCCTGGCCGCATCTAATGTCTTTTCTCTCGATTCCTGACTTGTCTGTCTCCGTCCCGGTCCCATAGATCGCGCTCCAGCTATAGGAAAGGGAAAGGGTGGGGAGAAGGTTGATGAATTAGAGATTCTGTATGAAAGGACAATACCATGGATGAAATATTCTATTTTGACGAGAGATATGTTATCGATTAAAAAAAATATCCATTGCTGCATGTTACCTTTGCCTTCGCCGACGAATGTTCCGACCACCGATGCAGCTCCTCCTCCGCTTTCATTGAACGAGATTTCTGCAATAATGGTATTTTCTTCCAAGACCTATATCAAAAGGGTTGTTTTCAGTTGGCAATAGGGAAAGTGTCAGCTTTCAGTTATACGTCAATAATCAGAGGCAACATACAAAGAAGACGACGAAGACGAGAAACTTACGGCACCACAGCCCGTGCAGGTTGCGTTTCCTTGACCAGAGTCATACTCGATACTGTTTCCACCACAGTAGGGACAAGCCATGATTGTAGAAGGGCGTTGTTTTGTGAAAAAAAGTTTTGTTGGACGAGGAGGTGGAGGCGCGGTACTAGGAAATTATATGCGCTGGTTCGGTTCCGGGCTTGTGTTGAATTGTAATCGTTCGCTTAGTTGTTTAAGCGATGTAGTGTGGAAAGGAAGAGCGAGAGTAAAGAGAGAATGTAAAGATTGGAGCGCTTGTTGGTTGGCACGAGGTGGCAATGGCGATGAGTCGGGTTATTATGCTTTTTGAATGTGCGAGCGACAGGAGAGGGGATGGATGGTTGGAGGCGATGTGTTTGAGCGAAAGGTGAGTGGAAGGAGATGGAGAAAAGGGTTGAAAGGCTGGAAAAAAAATCGATGAGGGCTGCGGTCAAAAAACAAACATCACGTGAGTCATGAATGAATGGAGAAGAAGAATGGGGGGACAGCTTCCTCCACCTCGGGAGACTTTTTTTCCTTCTTTTTTTATCTTTTCTCCCTTCAGCTCACTCGTACCCAGCATCAACAATCTTCTTCGCCCTCCCTCGCTCAACTCGAATATCACTTCACAGCATGGCACACGCTCCGTCTGCCACATCTGCCGCTGTCAAGAAGGCAATGCGACTAACGACAGCGCCAATTGGAGCCGCCAAATTATTGTCAAGATCTGTTCTACTCGACGCCGCCAGAGCGCGTCAGACTCAACCCGGATCTCGCCTCTACTTGACCAGTGTCTCCAATACATCTGCCTCAACACCACAAGTACCGTCAGCCAGTAATTTATTTCATTTGCATGCGTTTTCATTGCCAGCACATGAACATGGGGGCGATAGCATATCGAACATCTATCTCATTTCATCTCGCCTTCCACAAAATAACGATGAAACCATTCGTCCATGCACAGCCACAGCACATCATTACTCAACCCCTCATCAATTTTCTTACACTTGAACACACAGGTTTCGAACAATCGCGCAATTCTCTTCCCAGGTACCTATTGCAGGCAAATGAAAAACGGACAGCAGCAATTGCGCACAATGGAACGAGTCAGCTAACTCCTTCTCATCAACCAACACTCTTCCCAACAAACACTTTACTTGCATCCAAACAAAAACAAAAAAACTACACGCTCCTATCGCTGATTAGGCCAAGGTTCACAATACGTCGGAATGGGCCGGGATCTCTACGAAACCTACCCCATCGCACGCCAAACCATTGACGAGGCCGACGCCATCCTCTCCTCCATGCCGCCGTCCTTACCATCACCATCACCTCAAGAAGAAGGATACCTGAAAAGAGTCATGTTTGAAGGACCACAGGAAGAACTTACAAGGACCGAGAACGCCCAACCCGCCATTTTGACTACTTCTATCGCGTTGTTGAGGGTTTTGGAGACTGAGCACGGGTTGGATTTGAAGGAGCATTGTCGGTTTGCGTTGGGTCATTCGCTGGGAGAGTACTCGGCTTTGGTCGCGACGCGTGCGTTGAGTCTTGCTGATGCTGTTCGATTGGTGGTAAGCTCACCTTTTGAGTACATTTTGCGAAGCTGTGTTGAACGAACGCCATTAGACTTTTTTTCATTTTTTTTTTTTTTGTTGGTGCTGAAAATACTCATGCATGGCTACTGTTGATGTTTTTAGAGAATACGCGGAGATGCAATGACGGTGGCAGTGACGGACAAAAAGGGAATGACGGCCATGTCGGCACTCGTCGTACGTGCCTCTAAACTCGACGACCTCGTGAAGGCCATGCACGACATCCAAACCGAGCTTTCATCAACGGGAGAAATTGCCGAAATCGCCAACATCAACAGCGTAAGAATAAGAACGAACCCATTTTTTTTTGCTGAAACGCTGAAACCCTGCATTCTTCCCATTGCTCAATTGATCCTGCAACTTATTAACATTTTTTTTTTGTTGGTGTTTTTGCTTTGTTGAATGATGATGGTGGTGACGAAAAAAGTCATTTCAGGTCGTTATCAGCGGAACGGTCAAGGGTGTCGACCATGCTTCAAAGACCCTCCAGTTCCGAAAGATTGCCGCCAGAGCTGTCGACCTGCCCGTCTCGTAAGCCCTCCCTCCCTTCCTCCTTCGTGATCGCGCTTGGACCAAGAGGTATCGCGGAACATTTCGGCCACCTTTTTTTTTTTTTTTCTTTTTCTGACAGTTTACCTTATCCACTTTTTTTCCCCTCTTCTTTCTTGGTCGTTTTGATGGTTGTAGAGCTCCGTTCCATTGCAGTCTGATGGAACCAGCTGCGAGAGTCATGAAAGATGCCCTGGCAGATATCTCTTTCAAACAACCCATCATCCCCATCGTTTCCAACGTCCAAGCCCAGCCCGTAAGGTCCCCCCCCCTCTCTCTCTCTTCTTCTTGTACCTCCAAACGCCCAAATGTTTTTCGGAAAAAAAAAAGTAGACAACTTATCTCGCAACCACGGTCCCCCCCTTTCTTGTTTGCTAGATCGAGTCAAGCTACGACATCCCAAGCCTACTGGTCCAACAGGTGACAGAAACAGTCCAATGGCGCCAGAGTCTCGTCAACCTCCACAGCCAGCAGCAATACAACATCTCCGACTATATTTGTATCGGCCCCGGAAAAGTCATTTGCAATCTCTTGCGCAAAGAGTATCCCCTTGACACCATCAGGTACCCCCCCCCCCCCCTGAATAACCGTTCTGTCAAAAAAAAATATGACAAAGTGTGGATTTTCAAGCGTCAGCCAAAAAAAAAAAAAAAAACTAACGATCGCATTCCAAACGTAACGCGAAAACGAAAACGTGACTCTCATTCAAAATAGGTCTGTGTCGACAGTCGAGGACATTCTGCAATGGAAACTCTAACAAACTAAACAAACTACTGGAAGAGAACGCCTTTACAAATAATAATAAAAATATTAATCTCGGGAACATTGTTTTTAACAATCGCTCTTTGGGTGGTACCCTGAACAACCTGGATTGATATCAGTTCAGAGGGGGTCTCATTCCACGTCTTCAAGTTTATTATTCTATTCATCGCATATGCGAATTACACATATCTAAGCGCGTCGGACAAGACGGAACCCGGCAAACACGAACGGATAATTGGCCTGGTACCAGTTGCGGAAACTCCGGCGCTCCGCAATCCGGGGGTGAGTCGCCCAAGAGCCTCCCAGAACCACCATATGCTTCTCGTCAAAAAAGTCGGTCGAGTAGCCCGGGTACAGGGTCGAGGTCTTGAACCCTTCCTTGTCCAGCGGTGCGAATGTGGTAGATGTCCAGTCCCAGAGACCACCGGGGCCACTGAAATGGGAAGAGTTGGAGGAGGAGGAGGCGGTCGAGAGGGATTGGTGGTCGAGAGTGGGGTACCATTGCCGGAATCCGTAGGTCTCCAATCCGGTCTTGGGGACTGTTGCTTGTCTCAACTTGAAGGCAATCGAGAGCTCGTGCTCGGTCGGCAGCGTGTAGATGGCGCCCTGTTGAGTCGACAGCCAGGCTGCATATCCGGTAGCCTGGATGTTGGAGCACGAGACAGGCCAAACACCCGAGACCTCCAGGGGCACGGGGCCATAGACGCTCTTGACAAAGACCTCATCGCCATCTTGAATCAACCACGACGCAGGTGTCTTTTCGTTTCCTTGTAAAGTCTTGTTGGTGACACCAACTGCCTTCAAGTATCCCAAGAACTCGTCGTTCGTCACCTGGCGGGACTGGATCTCGAATGTCGAGGGAAGAGGGCGAGACGTAACGAAAGGGTGCTCGTTGTCCCAACCAAAGGCTGTCGTGAGGTCCTTCTTGTGAGCATCGGTCAGGTCGTCAGATTCAAGATCGTTGTGGCCGAGCGAGATGATGTCCTTGTCAAGCTGTGCAGGGTTGATCGAGAACCAGGTGGCGGGGGAGACGGTCGAAGGCGACAGTGGTTCTCCGCTTGAGAATGTGTCATCGGCAGCGCTCTTCCTGACTGCCCATGGTGCTGGGATCGAGGGAGGAGGCGCCGTGTTGGGCGACTGTGCGAGCATGTAGATACTATGACATCAAAGCCAAAAGTAAGAATAGATTAGTACTCTGATACATGCATCCCTCGTTTTGCGCATTTTGCATCTTTTGTTTCAAATCCATTTCATTTCTGCAGCAAGATAATACTTACATAGTCTCGAGGTGCATCGCTTCGTGCTCAAAGGCCATGAATACTATGCGAGATAGCCGACGGGTCATGGGGTAAGAGACAGGGTCGTTCAAGATCTTAAAGAGACGCTCGCGAACACGGTCCCGGAATGCAATGATACATTCGACCTCGGGCCAAGAGTCAGGCACCTCCGAGTGTGAATGGCACTGAGTGGGGTCCTCGACATCTGGGTCAATTCCACGCTCAAAGATGACACTGAAATGCGAAGGCTCCGTGAATGGCTCCTTGAGAGCTTTCGAGAGTTGAATATCGAGGAACGTAGGGATGTGTCCCAGGTAGAAAAGGAAGGGGTGTCGAAGAGCAATGGGCTTCTCGAGTAGCATGGTCGGGTGTTGGATCATTGTCATGGTGACAAGGTCCCAGGACTTCCAGAGCTCCGTCCACTCGTCCTGCGAGGGCAATGGCTCGTCGGCCACGGGGGTCTTGAAGTAAAAAGGCGTCTTCTGAACAAGGTGAAGGTCGTAACGGTTGCTGGAGCTGGTCCACTGTCCGACCTTGGTCATCTCGGTATCCTCAAACAGCTGCGTCGACTCTTGAGGAGACCACTTGTACGAGTACTCGACGTTGATGAGTTCGTCCTGCGCAAGGGCAATACGGATCTCCTCACCCGTGGAAGGGGCAGTGTAGACGAGTTCATGGGCCTCCTTGACCTGGTAGTACGCCTCGTGCCGTCCGACCTCGACATTGTACTGTGCGAAATAGCGAAACTTTTGGCGGTCGATAAAGTCTTGGCCGAGGAGGACGTTGATGTGATCCAGACCGTTCATGACAAAGTCACGCGTCACGCCCTTGGGGTCGTTATAGGCGATAGTAATCTCTTGGGCGTCGTTGCGGCGATCGATACCAATGATCCAGTTGTCGCCGACGTTGAGGGACTTGCGGTACGAGGCAAGGAAATCCTTGGCTTCCTCACGGGTGTAGTTGCCGAGGGAGGATCCCAACCAGAGAAGAGTCTTAGGGACCTCGGACCCAAAGGAACTGACAAAAGCCATGCCTTGGTCGTAGGTGCCCCAAAGTCCGGCCGTCTTGACATTGGCGAACTGACCCAGAGACTTGAGCGACTGTGATGATGGTTGTTGGGAGGAAGGGGAGAAGGAGCAGGAAAGAGGAATGGGTGAGTGTCATGCAAGTCATGCGCTTTGGGTCTTTCCTTTTTCTAAAAGTGGCCTCGCTCTCTAGAGCGTGAGAAAAAGGAGTGCGCAGAAAGTAACAAAAAAGTATTCATTGTAACAGCGATACCCCCTAGACATACAGGCAAGTCAAAGCCAAAAAAAATACCCGCGACAACGTAAAGGTGATGCCCTGTTCAATTGCTCATTTGCATCCGTCCCTGACCTGTCTCTTTTCTAGACGCTTGCACTCACTAAGGTGGTCCCCCGGGCCAAAAACATTGGTCTGGGGTATGTCGCACCAAGGAAAAAAAGCAGAGGTGGTTTACGCTTGGATGCATTACGCGCATCCCCATGGTATGAAAGAAAGAGCAAGTCGATCGCGACACGACGGACATTGTGCTCTCATGAATGGTTTGACCCCCCTTCGTCCATCATTTGCTAAGCTGCATGAACCTTGGACAGACCCAAGGTTCACCTTTCCTCACAAAGGAAAGTGCGCCGCCCCTCAATTTTAGAACGAAAAAAGTAAAAAAACAAGCGAAAGTTGTTCTTTGGCCGGTGGAGATACAAAAAAAGAAATGCTCTTTGATGGCGTCAAATGACGCTCCTTCGTTACTGCCTCCTCTTCTTAATCCCCGTGTCCTCTTTCTCCCTTGTGGATGGGCCAATGTTCAATAAAGCAAAAGGCTTTGGGATGTGACAGTTACCTTGGTCAGCTCGTCGAGCATCAGGTCGAGGGCAAAGTAGCGAATGTTCTTGCGCTTTCTCTCGAGGGCATTCAGTAACAAGACGGTCTTGCGGAGGGACCTATCATGGCATAGTAACAAACGCACGCACGCAAAACACACAGAAAAGTAAATAAATAACAATCTGCATTAGTTGTCAATGCACACAAAATACAAACAAGATCTCCGAAGGAAGAATAAACAGATTCACCTATGTGCCTTCCCCCTTGTTATCCATCCATGATTCTTCCTCTTCTTCTTCGTCCTTATCAGTCACTTACCCGGCTCCGAGCTCAACAACGACGCTGTTGTCGGGAATATGGTCGACAATCTTGTCGGCGTCGCGCTCAAGGATCTCAATCTCTTCCTGCGTGAGGTAATACTCTTGCAAGTAGGTGATCTGATCAAAGAGCTGGAGACCATAATCATCGTAAAGAACCATGGTAGGGATGGCCTTGGGGGCTCCCTCGACCACAGGCTTCAGGCTCGACAGGATCATCTTGGGTAAATCGAAGCCTTCAGAGGACGACGGTTCCTCGATCGCTGTGCCGGTAGACTCTAGCTCCATATTGATGTTGTTGCTGCTTCCACTGCTGCTGCTGCTGGTGCTGTCCCGGTGATGGAGATGGCGATGTTCATCGAGGAGATGGACCTCGTCGGTCGGGGAGGAGACATCGGTCATGTCGTCGTGACTGTCCGAGTCAGCACTGTCCCAGGCAGCCTCAGGGTTCTCGAGGATAATGTCAAGGGGGACGACATCGACATCTGAGGCAGCAGTGGTGATGTCGGCACCGACACAGTGAGGAGGGCTCGGGTAGTCATCTTGGTGGATCTTTTGTCTCTTGGCATCGTGAGTGAGTGATTGACGGAGGTCGATGATGGTTAGGGGCACGGTGGAAGAGTATGTAGAGGCCATGTTTATATGAAGGAGGGATGTGTTTGTCTATTGTAGGGAAGGAGAGTGTGGAATAGATGTTCAATGGATGCAAAGCGAAGAGAGGTGCAGATGAATGCGTTTTCTTTGTTGTAGTTTACTGTTGAAGGTGAGAAGGAGATGAGTTTGTTGAAGAGAAGAGTGAGTGTGGGATATCGATGTCTTTTATACGAGTGAATGTGATGACGACGAATGATGTGTGTATGTGTGTTCCACGTACAGAAAGGGATTCTATGTGATCAAAACGCGAATTGGGTTGGATTGGGATTGGACCCATCGGTCAATTAGAGGGGTCAATGGGTAGATGCGATGGTCACCGCGGTGTTCTGTTGGTCGTCGTTTGTTTGTTTGCGTCCAGCCAGTAACGAACAGCGCAGACACACTCCCCTCGCTTGCGCGGTTCATCCAATTCGCTCTCTGGCAAAGTCAACTTAGAAACGATAGTAATGCATTAGTATTCAGTTTGTCAACCTGAAAAAAAGAATACATATTCTTTTCCGCATATGCGCCTTTTCTTCAATTGTGCGCATCGTTCGTCCTCTCTTCGTGAGGGATAATTCTTGTCCTTCTCGGAACAACAACCATTAAACGCCAATTGCTCGTCCCTCCTTCCTCATTCTCGCTCTCACTCTCACTTCCTCGTTATCCTTCCCGTTACCCCTGGCATCCTGTGCCACAGGCCAGACCAGGGCTCGGCTGTTTGTTCTATTTCAGTTGAACTAGGCGCTTACCCTCATTCGTCACTCCCTCCTTCTCTTCTCTCTTCTCTTTCCCTTCTACTCTCCCTTTCTTGGGCTCCTCTGTTCGCACTCCTTTTCTACCAAATCCGAACATTGGCAATTACTGAAAACTGACGCCAGATATCGTCACCACCTCTCAGCCTCAAGGGAATCTAAGAGCGTGATGCGAACGAACAGTGTAAGGGAAAGGACAACATTGATTTTGCTCGACCGATTTACTTCACTTCAGGCACATCTACGACCACGGACCTATCCATTTTCCTTACGCACAGCCCGGTCAAAGTGCGGTCAGTGGAGAGAAAACAACTGAAAAAAAAGGCGAGGCTGCGCATCAAGAAAGTCGTTTTCAATTGACCCGGCGCGTTCTGCTCAACTGAACTCAATAGTGTCTAAAAAAAAAGCGCCGTGTTCCTCAGTGCGTTGTTTTGACCGGGATCGAAAACCCTACTGGCTTTTGTAATTGACCCCCCTGGAAAGGTACTCTTTATTTTTGCCGCAGTAGGCACTTCGCTGTTCCAAAAGCCCCGAAAGCCGAGAAGGGGTTTGTAAGCAGCGAAGCAGCGTCTTTTATTTTTCCATGATCAACGTCAATTGCTTCTGCCTGTTTCTTCAATGTTCCTTTGACAGAGCACGCGTCAATCAGGTTGACCTTATTCACCCAATTACAATTAAACTCGTTTGAGTTTTTCCTCATTGTATGTCAAGAGCGCAGCTCCATTTAGAAGGGTGTTCATGGGCCACACCGGACTTTACTCGCCATTTATGTCATTTGCTTGCCCCGTTTGAGTTGGATGATAACCCTAGATCCATTCACCCCCTCGTAGCATAAAGAGTACATGCCAGTGCCACAAAGGAAACAAATTGACTGCGACGCCAAAATGCGATCACCCACAGCCTCTCCCCCCTCCATTCTTCCAGCCAACGTCGCGTCTACTCGCCATTTCTAATCTTTTGCTTATCGCCTTGCACCCCTTCTAATTTTTTTTTTCCCATTCGTCCGACATACCTTCAAGAGAAAAAAAAATAAGCCTCACCATAAAAAAATTACTTCCCCCCTTGTTTCGTTCCGAACGTCGATCCTTTTCTTATTTTTCTTTTTCTTTGTTTCTTGTTTCTTTATTTATATCCGCCAGTGGTAGTGACTATCCTGTCGTTCGTCTCATCCTCGATTGGGGGGAAGTCGCTCATTCGCAGATACCCTTGTCGCTAATGACAAATATATTGCGTACCTTTACCCTGACGCTTTATATCTCTCTCTATCTCTATCTCTATCTCTCTCCTCTCGGGTCAATGATCGATACACGCAACACGGGGAATCAGTTGTCCAACAAAAAGACGAGAAAGTATCGCGGATGCAGACAGTAAATAAAGCGCTTTCTTACCTAACAATCCCCATTTTCACCGAAGAGGGGAGTCGCATGATAAAAAAAGTTACCATCACTGCCCCCCCCCGCCCCTCGCCTTGCCTTTGATGGAACTCCCCCCTCGGAGCGCAAACAGGGTGGGCTTCGACAATGACAATGTAAAAGAGTTGTGTTGATTTTTGTCCGCCAAGTCGCTACATTTTTTTTTTGTTGCTATGAGGCACAATGTGGAAGAAAGGAGGTGCAGCGTTGAAGAAAGGGGGACGTATTGTTATTTCACTCATGGGGTGAGTTTTGTTCCACAATGTTGGGGCGCAAAGAGAAGATGGATAATGAGGATATGCGACAAGGGGCAGTAAGGCGGTTGAAGAAGGTGAGTATGGAGGGAGACATGTTTCGTGGTTTATTGGGGGGGAGGGTGATGATTGATGGTAACAGATGATATGAGGAAATCGAGGTGGTAGCGACAGTGGATAGTCGAGAGAAGAAGCAATGCGGTACGAGTGTATTACTGTTGAAAATGGCGAAGAAACAATGGGCACGAGCGACTGACTGAAAGGACTAGTCCTGGTCATAAGCGTATGAGTAAAGTGGAGAGAGAAGGGGGGGGGGGGGGGGGGGTATATGGTCGTTGTGGTTATTGTTGGTTGCTCGTCCTGCACGTCGCTATCCTTGTATCCTAGTTACGGACCTGACTAGAATCGCAGAGGTCCGTCCAGGTCTAGGGAGCGAGGGATAGGTTGTGAATTCCGTCGTTCCCGTACATTACTATTACTTGTCTGACTTTGTCCTCCTTGTCCCTCCAAACTGATATTCCCCCCCGTCCCACTTCCACCTCCAACAACCCCCCGCTCACTCTCCCCATCATCCTCTCCTACACTAACAAAGTTCCCGGGCTCCTGCTTCTTCTCCCGACCAGCCCGGTATCTCTTCAGAACCAAACCTCCAATAACCGACAGAATGACGGCAGCCATGATGACCAACCCCCAGTTCCGCCAAGCCGACGATTTCCCACTCCCGTCGCCCGAACTCGAAGCTACAGCCGTCGGGGATCCTGAATAGTAGGGAGGAGGCGGGTTGACTCCAAAGACTGTTGTGGGCGGAGGTTTTGTGGTTGTTGTGGATGTCATGTTGATGCCTGTGGGGAAGAGGGTGATGTTGGCTGTTTGTGAGGCTGGCATGGAGGTAATGACTCCGTTGATGGCGGCGGTGACGATGTGGGTTTCCTTTACTGGAGGCCATATTATGGATGTCACCGTCGTCTTTTCGTTTGGCATTTTGGATGTTGCTTTGTTCCTGGTGTGTGGTGAATGAGGTATGAGTTGTTCCTGTATGGTGGATGTAGTAGAGTGTTCCTGCTCTTTGGTGATGAGGATTGGGGTGGTGTCCTCGAATCGGCTGTTGTTGTTGTTGTTGTCTTGTAGAGTGGTTGAGACGAGAGTGAGAGAGAGAGAGAGAGAGAGAGAGAGAGAGAGAGAGAGAGAGAGAGAGAGAGAGAGAGAGAGAGAGAGAGAGAGAGAGAGAGAGAGAGATGTTCTTTTGCTGCCCTGAGTAAACGGTTCACGATTGTTAGTGGTTCAGAGAGCGAACGGACTGTCTTTATGCATGTTGCAATTGGCCCACCCACTTTGAATCTAGCCTCGCACTGGGCTTGAAAAAAAAGTATCCAACAGTCTCCCCTTTTTCCATTTGACCCTGCAGAACATGCCCTTCCGTCAGTCCTCGTTCTCATACGTGACAGATTGTGAAGAGATCCAGGCACCGAGAGTACCGGATGAAAGGAGCAACAGGCAAGTCGTAACAGTGAATAATCGATTTTAAAAACTGGAATGCGGACCGTTGAAGTTCAGTCACACAAATGAAAGAACGGGTAGGCAGGCGGCACATCCAACAGTTTTGCGTGCATTGGGCACCATGGTGAGAGCGACCACCTTATCATTAAACTATCTTTCTCTCCGCTATCGCGAATGTGCTCAAGCACCTGCATCCCTGTCCAAATTTCGATAATAAGAAAACGAAACGATTTATCCGCTGGTTGACAATATACCTTCGACCCTTCAGAAAAACGGAAATGCAACTAAAGAGTTATTTAAGAATGTATTTCGAAAGGACATTATGGAGCAAAAAAAATAAGAAAAAGCGAGCAAAAGAGATAAAAACTACATCCATGAACCTATTGGAGACGCCCACATCCAATGACGGTAATGGCCTGGATAGGTCTCTCCTCCTCGTCCGTTGGGATCTTGTTCAACTTGTCCAACAGCGCAAACCCGTCCACACAGATCTCATGCCCGCTCGAGTCCCGTGGCGACGACCCATCCTCTCCTCCCGCTCCTGTTGAATCACCAGAATCCTCAACAACTTCTCCAAAGGCAACATACCCCCCCTCCAACGCCTTGGTCCACCTAGGCCCCTCGCCCAGCGTCAAAAAGAACTGCGACCCATTTGTGTTCTTCCCCCGGTTAGCCATCGCCAACACTCCCGCCTTCTTGAACGCCCCCTTCCTCAACCCATGTCGCTCATCCGCAAACGGCTTCGGGTTCTCGATACTCGGCAACGACGAATGACCCCCTGCTCCATTATTCTTCGTGAAATCCCCTCCCTGCAGGATATGGTCCTTGACGAGCCTGAAGAACCGGGTGTTGACATAGGTGGCTTCTTGGACTTTTGCGGTATAGGTCGATTCAATGAAATTGAGAAAGTTTTGACAGGTTTTGGGGCATCCTGCGGTGTCGAGGGAGAGGATGAGGCGGCCACCAGGGAGGGGGACGGGTTGTGTGAGGGTGATGGAGCCGCCTTGAGTGAGGACTGGGATAGAGTCGTAGATCTCTTGGAGGTTTTGAAGGTCTTCGGGTTCGAGTTCTTGGAGGGATCGGCCAGAGTATCCGTAGAGCGAGCCGTGTGTTGTGAAGAATGCCTGTCCTCGGCGATAGCTATTTTTTTTATATGTGATACGGAAGGACGGGAGAGGTATGTTCGTTAGGATAGTAAGGAGGTTGTACTTTAAGGGGGAAAAAAGGAAAAGGAATGCACCTTACAGATCCCATGAGGTGGCCTTGAACTCTTGGTCACCAATCTCGATGTCGAGGTAGACGAGGGTATTCTTGTCGTTTGTCATTCCGTCCTGTTGTTGTTGTTGTTGTTGTTATTGAGAGAGATAGAGAGTGTAAAGCTTAATGAAGGGAGAAGAAGAAAAAAAAATAGATGGAGAACAAAGAAGGAAGGTGATTTCGAAAGTGAATCAACCTTTGTTTTTTAAAGTGGGTCGCTTTGTCAGTCTCCGCTCGTCTCGTAATTGCAATTGTCCAATGACCTCATTCATACCTTGTCGTCACCATGGTCGCACAAGAAAACAAAAGCAAGCGTCATGCATTATCGCATTATCGCAAGCAAAAGACGGCCAGCATTTGAATGCCATGCAAGGGATAAATGATGTTGGCAAAGAGATCTTTTTCCATCTCCTTCTTGGTCATCGTACATGCATGCCCAAAGGCATATTATATCAATCAGACAATCGCGTTCGATCTTTGTCTGTAACATCCGCTTGATGGTTTGTTTCAAGGGTCCAGAAATCCTTTGCAATGTTACTCCTTTATTCCTCTTCATGTGAGTATTTGCAATGCCAAAGATATGATTCACCTACTACTCTCTCTCTCTCTCTCTCTCTCTCTCTACCTACCCCTGCTAACCTTCCTCCCTCTTTCGTCGTCATCACCCCTCCCTCCCCCTTCTCACTCCTCAATACTCCAACTCATCAAAAAACTTGTCACCACCAATTCCATCACGATCCTTCTTCCGCTGAACATGTCGCAACCTAGCAACCTCCGCATTCTGATACTTGCGATCCACACGACTGCTCGCCTGTATCTGCTGCAACAGAGTACCGTGATTAACCCCCGTAAAATCCTCTCCAGTATCAGAGTAATAGCCCATGGATGAAGATGGTCGAGACCCGGCTCGAGACCCGGCTCGAGATCCTGCTCTTGAGCCAACTCGGGATCCGACGCGCGATCCTACCCGTGAACCGCCGCCGCCGTGCCCTTTTCCTGCTCCCGTGTTGTTGCTGAATGCGAAATCTAGGGGAGAGTAGAGGATGGCGGTGGATGGGAGAAGCGAGTGGATAATCGGGTTATGGAAGAGATGAGTCTGGAATCCAGAAGTCAATCGGTCTCGGAGATAGCGCAACTGCAAGACTTCGACTATTATCACAATAAAGAAGTATCGTTTGAGTCAGTACACAAATACCCGTATTGCACGAACGCGTTCGTTGGGGAGTTGATGAGAGAGAGAAGGAAAAGAAGGCTTACCCCATCCATGAAAGTCAACAATATAATCCTTGAGCTTTAACGACTCCAGAGGCCTTCCTTCCTCCCAACTGCCACCATCTCTATACCCCTCTCCTTCTGGATCAAAATCAACGCTTTTGAGGATATCTCGAAAGGCAGACCGACCCGCACAGCGATCCTTCCGGCTGCGATGCCGATTCGAGTCCGTCGCCAGGTTGGCCAACACATCGACCAGATCTTGTCTGTCCCTGTACCAGAACGGGCCCGTCGTACTTGTTGTTATCCCTCCTCCACCTCCACCAACATCACCATCCCAATCATCGTCTTCATCGTCGTCATCCAGATACGACTCTTGACCACGTCGTGATCGTTCAGTTCCATCTTGTTGGTAGTACTCCTTATACCACTCTTCCTCATGTCGTCGCCGATTTCGCTCATGGTGGTCGAGGACCTCAAACATAAGCCCAACAACCTCCCCACTCGCTACTCGAACCTCGACAGAAGGGTGTTCCAGTAAAGAGTAATGGATAGCTGGGATCATCTTCATGAACAGTCGCCGTGATTGCTGTGCATCCTTCCCGTGCTGTGATCCTGCGCCGGCCTCATTGCCGTTACTGCTGTCGTTGTCACCATCATTGTTAGTACTGCTATTCCTGCCAAACAGCGCCGCGAATAGGAGGCCAAAAGACTCCAGGGCCGCGACGAGAGTCTCCGAATGAATGGCAGTTGTTAATGAAGACGAGGAAGACGAATCCTTAGGAACCGCAAAGTTTGCGAGGTAGTCGAGTAGGTTGTAAGTCGGCAAGTGGGATGATTGAGGTGTTGACGAGATGTAACAAGCCGTCGCCAACGTGTACAAGCACTACAGTATTTTTCATAAAGAAGCACCTTGTTGATATTAGATAGATCACACTCTTGGACCATTGCCCTGTCTCATGAGTAAACGAAAGATGACTTACGGCGGCTTTGACCTCTGGTTGGTCGTTATTGGTAATGGTGTACTTTAACAACGGTGCCAAGTCTGTCAACTCTTGCTCATCGTCCTCCCCGATCGTGATAAATACCAGCGTGATAACTATCGTAAAGGACATTGGGCTTTTTTTGTCAGTCATTTCTCCTCGCAAATAACAGATTCAAATGCACATTCACCACAGCAACAACATCACAATAGCGATGCTTACCATTCGCAGCAAGAACACACTCACGAGTCCCACCTCGCTTAATACACTTCTTCAACAAATCCATTAAATCCTCCTTCTGGGACTTCAGCAGTTCCGCCACAAAGTGCTGTGAGAGAATCTCCATCAGCTTCGTCAATGCCTCTTCTCGTGTGCTATCGACACACCAAAAAAAGGGAAAAAATATCAGGGGCTGACGATGGCGCCGCCTTGTCCAGACACTCGCGGGATGGTTGCCAAATGAAAAAAAAAAAAAAAAAAAACCACCTTGAACACGAAACAAACAACACCCCGGAGAATCCACAGTTTTCTTTTCGACTCCTTCTTTTCTTTCTCTAACCTCACATCTATCACCCCCTACCCAACTCTCTTTTTTCGCTCCTCGTTTTAGCTCGAATCAAAGATCCCTCCCCCCAAAGGACAATCCAATCAGTGCAGATACCTCCCGGTTTCTCAACTCACCTGGACCGCTTCTCACCAAGCTGTTCAACAGCATTCAAAAACTTTGACTCCACCGACCCCTCCCCACCACCGCGCCTCCCACCATTATCCTCACGCTCAGATCCATAACCCTCCCAATGCTCAAACCCACCACCACCACCGTGATCTTCATCTTCATCCTCAGAATGAACGTGCGACCCCGTCCTGGATCCATGTCTCGACGGCGACCTCGAGGTGCCTGCTGCTGCTGCTGCTGTTCCTACTCCTGATGCGGAGAGAAAAGTCCCTCCGCTTCCTTGTGCGTGTCTCGAGAGTTGTTGTTGGCGTTTCTTGGTCGAGTTCTTGGATGCTGTTTTTCGAAGACTTGAGGGCTGTTTGTTGGCGTGTGACATTGTGTATGTGTAAGAGGGATGGAGGAAGGTGTGTATGGTTTGAAGAAGTGGAAGAGAGGAAAGAAAAGAAACGAGCGGGGAAAAAAAAAAAAAAAAAAAGGTTATGAATGTGACGATGAGTCTGTGCACTTGCTGCACGTGGTTCGTTCAGAAAAGTAGCGCGTTTGAATTTTCACAGGTGTTACTTGTACAAAGGGAGCAAGTACACAGGCCCCCGAGGTGACTGGAGTCAAGGATACGGTTACATCACGCATGATGGTTTCTGCCCGTGTGGCGCTTCGCTAGCCACACGTGATGAAGGAAGGTGCCCTGGAGCGCCTAAGGACCCACGCGACGCTGACGAGCGGTTGTTGGAGAGTTTGTTAGGAAGGAGGAGGTTGTCAATGATGGAGAGGATGGGAAGAATCCCCTTCATTCGTATCTAGTTTTATTTTCTTCCGTTTAAGCTGTGAAGAGCAGCGACAATTGTTGTGCAGAGCCAGGTTCTGAACCGAACTGCGACTGGCGGATGGTGCACTGAAGAGTTTGGTCTGTAGTTCCCTTTTACTTCCAAATAACTCCTCTATGCTGTTTGTTAGAGAAATAAAATTGTGTACGAAAAAAGAAAAAAAAAATATGTACAAGGGGAGGTTGTAATGTGTATCCAGAAGAGCAGAACATTACAAAGACTGGCGGTATTGAAGGCCGTTAGCCTCGGGCTCGAGGAGCTGGCTAATTTCGCCTCCTTGGATCATTACTTTCTCGCTGTGGCACCCTGTAATTTTTGTCAGCTCTTTACATTTGTGAGGATCTCGTTGGTACAGTGTCCTAGTGTTGCGTCGCGCTATTCACTTGCTATAACTGCTATGATTCATGTGTTTGCATACTGCCCTTTTTACTGTTTTTTTCGCTCATTTTCTTTACCACCTCTTCGCCTTTCCCTTTCGCGACGAAGGAGTTGCATCCGCATCGAACAGCACAGGCACAGGACCCACTCGAGGGTGGGCAGCAGCCTTGAAGGCCTCATCTAGCATCCGGTGAAATATCTCTTGGACGTTAATCAGTACAAAGAGATCGATCTCGAAGGTATTAAAAAATTTCTCCAGTCCAACATACACGTTGACAACGCCCAACTTCACTACCGCGCAAATATTACCGATCCTGTGAAGCCAGTAAAAAAGTCGTCTTTAGGTCAAGAGTTTGGAACAGAATTTGGTCAAGTGTTGCATATTGATATCGGATAGTAGCCGAGTCTGAGGCCTTTTCTCCCATATGAAGATGCGGACAAAATCCCACGCATCATTAACCTTCAGCACAACCCCAGGAGCAGAAGCCTCGGCAAATCCATGCTCATGACAATTCCGCGAGCCTTGATCCGCAAGTCAGGGTGCTTAGGACTATGTGTCTCGCCTGGACCCTTATTCTGTTCCTGTTCCTATTCCTGTAGCTTGTATAGAAAGACGCTGGGATCTAACGGGCAAGAAGCACCCCTAAATATCAGATAAAAAAACACAATTAAAACTTCTGAGGTGTCATATAACATCCTGAGAATAAATTTACCGACAACGTACGGGATCAAACGGCTCCGAGTAGGAACTGTGAAAACAGTTCCAAGTTGCGGTGTAATGAAACACCCAACAAGATCAGCCTCAGATTCAGGAGTCTCATTTTGCCACTTGAGGGTTTGACCGTTGTTTTCCAACAGCAAGGTAACGAAGCTGGGTTCCTTTTGTTCGGGATTCGGCAACCATGGCCTTGGCGGCATCGACTCGGCTCTCAGAATCATAGTAAGCATTATTGAGATATGTCTATTGACATAGTGCAAATACTAGTTTAAACTTTTAAGACGGAACTGAAGACATTTTGATTGACCTTGGCATTTGACTTACATCGGAAATCGTCCAGTGTTGTGCGTGTTGCTTTGTCCACTTTGCCTACATCCTTCAGAATGACCTTGCGGATATCGGCATAACCCTGGAAGGCCGCATTTTGGTGAGTAATCGGTTTATCTCCAAGGGAGAGGATATTACACTTGGCTCTATAAACATAAACGCAGTCGTGAGAATATAAATAAAAAATCAAGGCGTTGCACTGCTATTACTCACTCAATTTAACTTACAACTGATCTGCAGCTGCTCGGTGACTAAATGTTTTGTTCTTGGTGAGCCTCCGGTACTCATCAAATGCTGGTCCAATGAGGGGTTTCAAACCTTGACATTTGACGGCGTGTAACCGAACGCACCGTCAAGGGTATCCGCCACGGATACGTTCCCTCGAGGGCTGATGTATTTCGAAATGCACCTCGATTTGAATGTGGACATGTCAAAGTTTGAAACCCCCTATAATCTCCTTTGTTCCGACTCTGCCAGCGAAGATAAAATGACCATCCAGTGATATCGATCATACTCGTTTATCTGTGGGATGGCTTGTCTTTCCAGGGGGCGTCTGTTTAGCTGAGTGGTAGCTGGTTTTTGCCTCAGATGTACGCGTAGATGAGGGAGAACCTGTCTTTCCACCATGGGACTCGCACGTAGAGCTCCTAGGAGAACTTTGGGGCGTCCATTCTTCCTGTGAGCCGGGAGCAGGTGAATGATAACGTCCTTTCTATATCAAAGCAGGTAAAAAAAAATGGGAGAGCGTTTAGCACTCCATGCTTTCCAAGAATCTATTTCCGTCACTCCTTCATACCTGGTCCGCGGAGTGCTTGGTCCATGACTAGGTTGGTCTATTCCGGGGCTTTCTCCATGACCGCCTTTGAGACGCTATGAATGCTTTTTATAGCAAACCAAAACGACTCAGCCCGATTTCTTCCTCCAGTCCTCGAATTCGACCTGTAGGCGGAAAAGGTTCTTCCCACTTGCCTCGCTCTTGATGAGTCGTGAATATGCTGCATGGCACGATCGTCTGTCAATGAAAAGAAACTCTGCTACAAAACCTTATATTGAGATATTCCAGCTCTTCCTTTCCGCCCACTGAACAAGAACATCCGGCATAGAAGGTGATCCCTCGTATTGGTCGTTGGTAGGCTCCACAGGTTCCTCGATCCGCTCGACTGGCCGCCTTGTGGGTTGAGTCGACATCAAGCTGCAGCAATTGGAAGTCAAATGGGGAAATGCAAATGAACAATTAATTAGTCGGAGGTTCAACCTTCAAACGCGTCGATTGCTTCCCATTACTAGGCCACGAACAGGATACGTACTGTACACTGAATGCAGGGATTAGGAAATGATGAGTGGTCCGCGACTGATTTGTTCGATGGAAATGTAAACACGGCGAATGATTGTTGTCGAAACAATCGCAAACGGTATGGAACGCCTCGAATAGGGTAATTGCAAACGCGCGCCAGGTGAAGGTGAAGTTGAATCCTACTGGAGATGAGTCCTGGCCAGGATTGATCGATGTTGGTTGCCGCGCAAGGTCGCGAATTCTTCCACCAGGCAGAGCACTCAATGTTCGAGTTTGTGAGGACGGTGAGTTATTTGGGAAGAAAGAGAAGCTTAAGCATAAATACGATCAAGCTTGGATGGCTTGGTTCCAGAACGCGACATTAATATTTGGTGGCGGCGCACCTGTAAAAGTGCAAAATTGGAGAGGGATTGTCGTCAGTTGTTCAGGGTTAACACTGCTGTCCTCTCCATCGCCTTCGCCTGAGGATATTGCCAAGTAAATTCTTCCACTGAGAGTTCAACAGACACATAGACCGACAGTCAGTCGAGTCCCAACGCCAATATTATGGTCAGTGCTGGACGCATGGTGGAGATGTTGGGCGAATATTTCCAAATGCGCCCTATACGACGCGATGAGGAAGACGACGTTGATGATGATGGCAAGGCGGGTGAAGACAGTGAGTCGATCGTGAGTCCAGGCGCCAGGTCTGCATTCTCTGTTCGCGGTCAATAGTCGTCCAAGGTGTGTAGAGGATACAGTGATGGTCAAGGCGGGTTGAGGATTTTGACGACTTGCTGTTAGTGGAGAAGTACAATATGTTGAAATCTGTGATGGAAGGGGACGGGGCGTTAGCGATCAAACGGTGAAGATTCAAGAAAGAAAGAAAAACCAAAGGCTTGGATCCTTGATGACTTTTATTGGACCAAGTCCAGGAAGTGAAATCAGGTCCAGCATTACACTATGATCAGGCTTTCTGCTGAGGATCGCGGAGAAGACTAAACGTCGGTAAACAGCAGAACTACTGGATAGGCGCCAAACTCACGACATCCACTGTGGAGGCAACTAAAACGCCCCCCGTGGTGAAAATGCAGAGACGGAGCTCCTCTCACAGAACATCATAGGTAGAGACGGCATGGGGTAGGAAGCATATGAACTGTGCGTATACCCCGTCTGACCTATGAGGTGCTGAGGAGGAAGCCCCGCCTCGCATAGAAAAGTGAAAAAAACCATAGATCGGTTAGTAACTCGATCACAGCATAAACGAAATGAAGAAATTCCAATAGGGGCAGGCAGAACAGCTCGCTCTTCACGGCCTCTGGGGTATAATGTAGGCTGCAGGCGTAAACATATCATGTCACTCGATTCCTTGGCAAGCTTTGTGAGTCACCATGCAAACAGTGTCAGGTTCTGATGCAAAAGTGTCTGAAAACCCACAAGCTGGGCAAAGGACGTGGCACGCAGTTCCAAGCCAGGTACAAAATGATGCAGAGGTGCGCTCAGTGAGAGTGAAAAAGCAAGCTGTTTGCAGAACGCGTGCGTTCGCTCTGCGTGAAGACACCATGCATGTTGCAGGGGTATCAGGATGGCTACTCGGGATGGCTCAGCATACTTGTAGCATAACTCCAAGCATTCTGTCCATGGGCGAGTTTTGACGTTGTGTGCCAAAACCAGAGTCCCTCAACCGCCGAAGATTGATCACTAGCTCGAATAATAGCATAAATACACAAGATGCTCTAACGTTCAATGTTGCATGTGGCAAGAGCATCAGAATGGCTACCCGGGATGGCTCAGCATACTTGAAGCATAACTCCAAGCACTCTGTCCATGGGCGGGTTTTGACAACCAGAGTCCTCCAAAAATGCCGAAGATTGATCACTAGCTCGTAAAAAGAGCATAAATCCACAAGAGGTTCCAAAGTTCGGTGTTGCATGTCGCCATATGAACAGGGATTATGTGCGTTTACCTTGATAGAATGTTGATTAGCCCGCGCCATCCCACCATCGCCACCACCCTCACGCTCAGATCCATAACCCTCCCAATGCTCAAACCCACCACCACCACCATAATCTTCATCCTCACCCTCAGAATGAACGCGCGACCCCGTCCTGGACCCATGTCTCGACGACGACCTCGACGTGCCTGCTGCTGCTGCTGCTGCTCCTACTCCTGATGCGGAGAGAAAAGTCCTTCCACTTCCTTGTGTGTGTCTCGAGAGTTGTTGGAGTTTCTTGGTCGAGTTCTTGGATACTGTTTTTCGAAAACTTGAGGCCTGCTTATTGACGTATACCATTGTGTGCGTTGTTTTTGGTGTGTATGTGTGGGAGGAGGATGGAAGAAGGTGTGTATGATTTGAGAAAAAAGAAAAGAAGGATGGGTTGGTGCACTTTGCACGTGGTTCGTTCAGAAAATTAGCGCGTTTTGAATGTTTATTCACAAGGTGGTTGATGTACAAGGGGTGGTTGTAATGTGTATCCAGAAGAACAGAAAATTACGAAGATTGGCGGTATTGAAGGCCGTTAGCCTCGGGCTCGAGGAGCTGAGTGCACATGGCAGACTCAATAGCTTTGGCTTCAGACTCGGCCTCCTGATGCGTAGCTGCCGAGACCTCGAGATAGTACTTGATCTTGGGTTCAGTTCCACTAGTGCGCAACGTAAACACACATCCGTTCTCCAGGTAGAAGGTAATCATCTGGGCCGAGGGCGACACGGGGAGGCTGGGGACACCATCCTTCTTCGATGTATCATACCCCAACGTCAAATCACGCACATTCGCAACCTTGTGCTCTCCAATGTGGGTAGGGTACAAAGGCTTGTGGACAAACCGACCGGTCTCGTCCGACTGAGGGGTAGCACCGAAACGCATCTTGTTGAAGATTCTGTCGATGGTCTCTTGTTCGTGGCAGATAAAGTACGAGTTGGCCGAGGAGAAGTATCCGTACTTCTTGTAGAGGCTATCGAGGTAGTCCGAGATCTTGGTGCCGTTCTTGTAGAGCTTGGCCGCCAATTGGGCAAAAGTTCCGAGTGCACTGACACCGTCCTTGTCACGGACAATGTCTCCCAACATGAATCCAATAGCCTCCTCATAACCGAAAATAACATTGTAGCCATCCTTCTCCAGGTCAATGGCGCGGTTGCCGATCCACTTGAATCCTGTCAATGTGTCTTCCCAGTGGATACCCTCCGTCTTGGCGACCTTTGCCAACATGTTTGACGACACTGTCGAGCACAGCACCGCAACCTTGGCTATTACATATACAGGTCAGAAGAATGGTTGGTTAATAAATGATTCAAGAAACCAAAGAAGTAAATAAATAAATAAATAATTAAACAGGACAACATACCATCGCTCTTGCCAGAGGACCGCCAGTTGTCGAGGGCATTGCAGGCAAACATGGTTCCGATCTGGTTTCCGGTGAAAAGGACCCACTCTCCTGAAGCCTGCTTCTCAGCAACAGTAAAGCGATCTGCGTCAGGGTCGTTAGCAAACACAACCGAGGCTCCAGCCTCATCTGCAGCCTTGAAGGCCAAAGCCAAAGCACCCTTTCCCTCCTCGGGGTTGGGGAAGGCGACGGTAGGGAACTCGGGATCGGGCTGGACCTGCTCCGTGGTAGGGATCAAAGGCTTGAAACCGAACCGTTCAAAGACCTCCTTGGCGAATGGGTAACCAACACCATGCATAGCAGTGTAGACAAACTTGGTCTCTGAGGCGGCGTTGGCCTCCTTGGCAATGCACAGGCTATCGACCTCCTTGAAGTAGGCAGGGACAAGCTCCTCAGTAGGGTCAACAAGGTCAGGGTTCTCAAAGGACTTGTAGTCCCAGACCCAAGGATCCAAGTTATCGTGGATCATCTGTGCGATTCCTTCATCATGAGGGGGGATGATCTGGCAGGCGTTCTCCCAATAGACCTTGTATCCGTTATCCTTCTTGGGGTTGTGCGAGGCGGTGATCATGATACCGCAAGCGGCGTTAAGGGACTTGACACCAAAGGGAACCATGGGTGTATGGACGAGATCCTTGTAGGCATAGACCTTGACGCCCTTGGAGAGGAAAACACCAGCGGTGAGACGGGCGAAATCGTTAGAGTGGTGACGGTGGTCGTGGCCGATGACAACTCCACGCTCCTTGGCGTTCTTGACATGCTCCAGAACGTAGAGGCAGAGTCCCTGCGAAGCCTGGATGACGGTCAAGTCGTTCATGCGAGAGAATCCAGCCTCCATAGCAGCACGAAGACCTGTATTGCACATAGATAGTTTTGTTTACAAGGGTCAATTGAGATGTTCGACCTCGATTATCACAGTAGCAACGCCACCAGCCTGAACATGGGACACAGCAAAACTTACCGGCAGTTCCGAACTCAATGCGCTGACGGAGACGGGCCTCCAACTCGGCAGTGTTGTTGCCCTCCAGCAAAGTCTCGATCTCCTTGCGGGTCTCGGGGTTCTGTATAGTTGTATCCGTGGGATCAGCGTGTAGACGTCATTAAACAAGGTTAGCCGTCTTTGTTATATGAAGAAAACGAATGAATGAATGAATGAATGAACGCAAAAAAGAAGACGAGTGACGAACCTTGTCGAGTCTGAGCCATTCCTTTGCAAGATCAGTGATGGGTACTTTGGTGGCCATGGTTGGTGCTGTTGATGAGATGGGGGGGAGGGTGAATGTAGGTTGGGGAAAGAGGAGGGATGGGGATGCAGAAGAAGAGATAAGAAGCGAAAGTAGAAGAGTCCGTGGGAGAGTCCTTTATATATATATTATAGAAGAAAAAAGTGGATAAAGGGGCGTACAAGTACCAAGGGAAAGGTAAAAAAAACTGGGTCCACCCTCGTCACCCCCGCCTCCACATTTTCATTTTCCCAATCGGGCCTGACCCGACCCCTGGCAAACCAATGCACTCTGACTTCACTCTTGTCTCGTCGAAACACCTAGAATAAAACGACAACTGTGAATGAATGAATCATCATTCGTCCCAAGAACCCACGGGGCAGCCATACACCACATCTGTCCTCTTAAACCACAACGTGTCTATCTTTATTAAGGATTGGCTTTTTTGTTTTGCGAACGAACGCTATGCTAATAAGATAATGGTGATGATGCCGATGCTGCTGCTGCTGCTGGGAATAGTATATAGTTGCTAGAGGAAGGGAAGATCCTCAGCCTCAATCAGACTTGTCGGTCGACTTGTCTGATCTCTTGTCAGACTTATCCGACCGGTCAGATTTGTCGTTCTTCCTCTCCCTGTTGACCCGGCGGAGCTCCTTTCTCCTCTTCTTCTTGCACTTGCGGCACATACAGATCTCGCCAATGTCGCTTTCGCTGTCCGTCGACGTCACATCGTCATCAGAGTCCGAGCTGCTCGAACTTGAACTCGAGCTGCTATCGTCAGTCGACATGGGAAGCATCGGAACATACGCAAGGGACCTACATTTATCCAGCAGATCCTTGAAGTAACACTTTCTTGTCTTGTTGTACATTCGCTCAATTTCGGCCTGGAACTTTTTGGCCAGCTTGGGTCGTGCATGGCGAGTGTAGAGCCACACTGCCTCAAAGTTGGTAGGCGAACAAAAGTTTTGAGTGATTGCGATCGTGAAATCTATGCAGGTCAACGTTCAAAGGAAGAAAAAAAAAGGGTGATCGTCGTTAGGAATGATTGTCGGCAGATAGGGGGGATAAAATATCCGCACAGACACTCCTTACTTCTGATACTATTTGTCTGTTGAACAGGCTAACAACAAATCAGAAATAAAAGTATCGAGTTCAAACTTACCGAGGTTCATGACGATGTGGGGCCACCCGCCAGGGACAAACATCGTCTCGCCAGGCCCTTGAATGACCTCAATCATCCCGTACTGCTTGGCGAGTTCAAAGTCGTTCGCCGCAAAGCGAGGGTACACATGGTGGAACCACGACACAGCCTCTCGGTCAAACGGCTTCATCACTGGGTCGTAAAGGCTCTTTGGGATTCCTGGTGGGAACATGCACCAGCGCTTGTGTCCCGTCGTCAATGTGTTCCATGCCGACGTTCCTATTCATATTTTCAGGTTGGGGAGGCGAGTTTTGACGGGTTAATCAATTAGGCGATGTTGAAAGGTCTCCTGGAACAAAAAGCGACAAATCGACTCCCTGCGTGATCGCTTACCAAGTGGGTCGATATGGATTCCTGTGCCGCTCCTAGGTCCGCCAACAACAAACCAACGATAAGGCGGTCTTCTTCTGTCTCCCGCCAACCTACAATCGAAATAAACCTCAGTTAGTATTCAACGACACAAGTACATTGGCCTCTGATATAAATAAACAGCAGCACTTACTGGAAGAGATCGTCCTTAAAGTACTTGGGGACCGAAAAATCATTCAGAAGAGTACTGGCATGCTCCTCCTCCCGCTTAACAGACTTATCCTTGGCAGACTCCCTATCCGACGACGAATCTTCACGCCCCTTGCTCGCACGCTTTCCAAAGACTCGGATAACCTTGTTCGCAGACCCGTTAGAAAGCGAGTTGGATCGAGCTCTCTTGGACCCCACAGCGGTATCCTTATCCTTGTCCTTCTCGCTCTCGCTATCACCGTCATCGTCGTCACTGGTAGATTCCCGCTTGGAAGCCATGGTGGGCGACGAAGAGGTGCTGCTCTTCTTCTTGCTCTTTCTGTCCGAGGAGGACGAGGAAGAGGACGAAGAAGATCCCGAGATGCGCTTCTTTTGAACAGCAGTCAACTTGCGCTTGACGAATCCAGAGTCGAAAATGTAGAGTGGCGAGTCGTCCTTGAGTCCGTCTGTCTCGGCATACTTTAAAAAGTACTTCATCTTGACGTAGACGTTGTTACCGTCGTCGTCTTCGCCGACCTTGAACGGCTGGGAATAGTACTTTTTCAAGAATGTCTATTCCATTTCAATGTTCAGATTGAACTTATGTAAGTAAATCCGTAGAAGATGTCGACAAGAAAGAAGGTAACACTGAAAGACAAAAAAAAAAGTGTTGTCCAGGTAGTACCTCCGAATTCCAGTTCTTGCAGGCTCCCCAACCTTCCATGACTCCCCGGATGACGACGGGGAGGGATTTCTCCTCGTAGCGTTCGATGAACTCTTCCCGCGAGACCTTGGCATAGTCGATTCTTTCGAGAGTGTCGTGAGATGCTGGGATTGTAAAGTCCTGCTGGGCAAACTGGTGCTTGTCCCACTGGAAAATGTCCAGCTCTATCAATAAATGTACATGACAAGAATGTAACGGATTGTTAGGAAATAGAATAAGGCAAAGACAAGGAAGATTCTGAACAGAAAGTAACAGGAAAGAAAAGAAAAAGAAAAACGAAAAGAACCAAGGTAAAAAAAGAAAGGTCAAGGTGACTGAGCATGAGCACAAGGAGGAAAAGACTAACCTGATCTTGCTCTAAGTTTTGCTCGTCGAATCCGCCTGTGGTGGCGGGTCATCATGGGTGGTTGCATGGCGGCTGCGGGTTTGCTTCTTTCGGCTGTTGATGCAAACAACGCTGTGGGTGCGGAAGAGGAGGAAGCAGTTGCAAACAAAGGTGCGCCCACCATGTAACCCTCTGTTGTTGAGACAGTCACATTTTTTCCACTTTTTTTATTTTTATTTTTTTTCACTTCCGATCGACAATAATGAGTTCCTCAATAAACTGCACTTCCCTCTCAAGATGCTCAGGGCTTATACAAAGAATGTTGCTCGCATAGCTCAAAAGTCGGTCATATTTACCCAGAAACTGGCCCTTGGGGTCGTCCAGGTAATGCACAAACTTTTGTTGAGGAAGTCGCCCATCCTCAACAACAGCCAGGTTGTTTGCCGGTTGCACATTCGAGCACAGTCTCTGGATGTATGGCACCACCGACACCGACAACGATTTCGTCTGTGGTTTTGGTTTTGGCCATTGGCTCTTCTCTCCTCCTGATAGTTGACTCTGCTGATCTTCTTCACTAACACTCGTCCTCCGGCTGCCTCGCGATCCCGTCATCTTGAACGACTTGTCAACTACACTCAACAACCTCAATTGCTCTATAACCAAAGAAAAAAATGAAACAACAGTCAGTAATAGGAACACTGGTTGATCCACAGCGCACATACGAAGTACGAGAAGGGCGTCATAGTACCTTCTGTCTCGAAAAGTTTCAATTCTTTTCGATAGTGCTCGCTGTAAAGATCAGGGTTGACATTGATGAGTTCCTCGAATTCCCTAAGTTACACAAAGCGGAGAACAAAAGGAGAACAAAAAGTCATTAATTTGCACCGCAGAAACACTCTCAAAGAAAAAACTTGCCCTGTAGCTACTACTTACCCATGCATGTAGGGAATTTCGCTCTGTCTCCGCAAAGCATCAAATGAATCCAGGGACGAGAGCCACTGTTTCTCAGTTGGAAGGCCATTGATCCAATACTCCCAGTTCTTCACATTCCTACAACCAGAAAGAAAGTTGCATGAAGCATTAGTACACGAATAATAATTTAGTCCGCATTGATAAGGTCGTCAAATTGGTTAGTCTGTACAAACGAACCTCTTTTCGCCGTATAGACCAAAAATCAGCTTGGCAACAACGATCGTTACAGCCATTGCACGGTCTGGCCCTCGCAATGTGCTCCTGAATGTGAGTTTCCACCGCTCGTGCTTGGTGTCGGCGCTGTCGTACACAATGTCATAGAAGCGCAATGCACAACTGTAGCATTCAACTAATGACACCAAAGAAGAAAAATAGCCTTTAATTTGAGCTCCAAACGACAAGACATAGAAATAACTTATCAGAACTTATTGAGCAGCATACCTGGTAGCATAAGATCGTGCAGAAAACGGGCTATGAGTCGAGGCGTATTTGGCAGGATCGAGCCGATACAGTGAAGCCTCTCAAAGTGCTGTAACAAAACATTGACGGCTCTCCTAAGAGACTCGGGGTTTCGTGTCTAGTTAAAGTGAACAACATTGCTCCATCGTCAGATCCAAATGCGAATCGTTCCTGATATCGAGCCCTGGTCGTTAAGAAGTATTTTGTCGATGAGTTTGAGTTTCCTTACCGAAGGTGTAAGATAGGCCCTATAGGTGGGAGGGAGTCTCATCTCCATGTGTTTGGGCAGGAGCTTCAAGGCATTGTAGAATGGGATCTCGTGCCGCATGATCCACCTAGTATGTCCATTAAAAACAACTTTGGATTAGATCATATCGAGGATTGTTTTGAAAAAAATGTTTGCGGTTAAGGACTCAATGATTGTAGAACATGCTGTTACCTTTGAAAGTCTCCAATGGCGACGGGTATCTTCAAGTGCTGAGAGGAAATGTACAGAATTGCGACCGTGAAACGCATTTTCAGAAAGCGATAATCGGTTCTATACCGATTGTTGAGAATGCCCCTGCGCCGTTTGGTGAGCCGCCCATCCGTAGACTCTCTGACGCGCTTCTTTAGTAGGAGTGGATCCGTCAGCTCCCTGAACTCGTAGTCTTCATAAGGTTCAAAATTTGTGGTGTCTTCATTGTCTTCATTGCCTTCACTGCCGTCAGACTCGCTCTCATCGTATCCTTCGTCCTTGTTGCCGAGGTCGTTGTCCTCGTCGGAGTCCTCCCCCTCTTCATTGTCCTCGTCGTCATCGTTGTCATCGTCAGAAGACTCGCTCTCTGACTGCTGGAACTCTTTCTGTGTGTCCAAAAGATCCTGTACAGGGGTGACCGGTTCTGCCTTATCCTTGAACTCGGCCGCGGTTGGCCCCTCTGCCTCTGTTTCACTGTCGGTAATCACTTCTTTGTCCTGACCGTCCTCGGTTTTGTCTCCACGGGCACCATCGTCTTCCCTCATGGGCATAGCCACCCTGCCGTCATGATAATCGACAAGATTCGACACAAAGACATTCCAGTACTCCTGAATGACTCCAGTAATATCCCGTGGAAACCCAAGATCGCGAACCAGCGCCTGTGCTTGGAGTTGAAGGAGATACTGGGTACACCGAAGTACCAGCGTGGTTGCCTCAACACCATGGTAGACTATGGTTTCAAAAAGGAAAAAGTTGTATCAGCTACAATGTCGAATTGGGTAGCATCGTGCATCCATACCATCATTGATAAGGTAATCAAAGAAACCATACCTGGGATCTTCTCCTTTTTCTTCTTCTTGGGGTTTTTGAGTCTTCTCTCATATCCTGCATGTCCCTCTGCGAATTCACCTTCTTCCTCTTGATGCCCCTATTTCAATATATGAAAAGGCATAGTCAGTAAGACGTAACTATGCGTTGGCAGTGGAGATGAATGGTGCTTTTTTTTGGCATTAGCGAAAGTACGAATGGAATTCATACCTCGAGCACATGTCCGCCCTCACAGACGTATTGGCCGAGGCTGTTCTTCCTCCACTTTGTCGAGCGACAGGTGGGACAGACGGGTTTCTTCTTTTTTGTTGGTTCTGACATGGAGGATGCTGTAGTGATTAAGTGACAGAGGGGTCGAGGGAGGTGGTGGGTTGAAGGAAAAGTGAATGTCGCACCAATGGGGACAAGTGGAAGGGGAAAAGGAGCAAAGGCTGATCTCTCTCTCTTTTTTTTTTTTCCCTGCGCTCTCCTTATGTTTCGTTTTTTCTGTGCCACCAAACTTCGCATTTGCAGATTTCAAAACCGGTCACACGTTCGTGCTTTCGGTCTCTTTACTTCGCAACCATCCCAACACCACCACACCTATCATTCATTCATCAACACATCCATCCACCATGGCCGAAAGACGGGTACGACTCAACGCTGACGAAGAGAACAGACTCTTTCAGGAGGCAAAGGCCGACGGCGATAGCAACGCCCAGCAAGACCACCACCATGACCATGACTCGGGCGACGAGAGCAACGAGGACTCTGGCGTCGTCCAACGCGGTATCCCCAACGGCGAGGAACCCGAAGCGCCCAACTCTGGTACCTTTTGCAGAGTCATTGCAATGAACGTTACGCATGCGAAGGGAGGCATTTCTTTTTTTTTTTGCTGCTATATCTTCAATTCTGCTTGACCTAACACGCCAGGTTCTTACGCCTCCCCGCAGACTTTCTGGAAGTCTTTCCCGATGATACCGAGGTGAGTTCAACTCTTTTTTTTTCAACAGACGTCACCTTTCGCGTTTATTCTCTTTGGTTCTCGGTCGAAAACACTTACACAAACTGAAATCTTCAACGAAAAAAAATAACGTGAACGATAGGATCTTGAATTGACTCACCTCAGAATCGACAACCTTCCCGAGCTTCATCTCGAGCGCTTCAAGAACCTTCAGGTACCTATCCACCCGCCCCCACCTTTTGCAATCTTTGTCATTTTTGTCATTTAACAGGAACTAATCGCAACTCCTTGGATCATATTTGATAATAGACATTGTCGTTCAGACAGAACTTGATTCCAAAGATCCGTGGACTCGAAGGTCTGACAACGCTCAAGGAATTGGACCTGTATGACAACCGGTTCAGTAAAATCGAGGGTCTCGAAACCCTCACCGAGCTCACGTAAGTGCACCGCCACACCCAGGCACAACTGTACCATGACAATTGTGAAAAGAAGAAAGTCGCACATTAACCTTGTTCTGTTATTACCGCTCGTTTACAAATTACCACAACTTGTTAGGTCATTGGATTTGAGCTTCAATGGAATCCGTCATATCAAGAACGTGGACCACCTTGTCAAGTTGACAGATCTGTACTTTGTCAGCAACAAGATCACGCAGATTGACAACTTGAGCACGCTTGTCAACATCACCAACTTGGAACTGGGATCTAACCGTATCAGAGTAAGACTTTTCTTTATGTTCATTGACTGCGAACTTGACGTTTGCTTTTCATAGCGTGCGCTCGTTGGTTAGTTATTTACGTTGTTTTTTCTTCTTTTCATTCATGTAGGTGATCGAGAACCTTGATAGCTTGGTCAACTTGGAGCAGCTCTGGCTCGGCAAGAACAAGATCACAAAGCTGCAGGTACGATACTTGCAAGACATGCTCTGTTTTACGCAAATGAATAATCCTCAAGACAATTTGTCATTTTTTGCTCACCTACGAATGCTTTTTTTTTTGGAAAAAATCTGATAGAACCTTTCAAGCTTGAAGAAGCTGAAGATCCTAAGCATCCAATCGAACCGCTTGACTGTGATTGAAGGATTGGAAGAACTTGAGAGTCTGGAAGAGGTGTACTTCAGTCACAACGGAATCGAAAAAATTCAGGGACTTGACCATAATGTAAGTTTTCTTACCTGGACATTCTTTGGAGAATAATAGCGGAGCATATTATTAATACTGTATCATTTCCTTCGGTGTATGTGAATAGACCAAGTTGACAACGTTTGATGTGAGCAACAACAGAGTCTCCAAACTCGAGAACTTGGGACACCTCAGGAACCTGCAGGAGCTCTGGGTAGGTCGCGCTGCAAGATCGTGTCACATTCCAACGAAAGAAAAAAAAATTACACGTTCATGCTAATAATAACGACCCCTCCTTACATCATTTTTCACTAATTATCATAGGCAAGCAACAATACCCTGGACTCGTTTGAAGATTTTGAGGCAGAGTTGAAGGACAATTGCCCAGACCTCGAGACGGTCTACGCAGAAGGCAACCCACTCCAAACTAACAACATGACTACCTACCGTCTCAAATTGAAGATCATGCTCCCTCAGCTTAAACAGATTGATGCCACGTAAGTTTTTCGAAAGGGGGGAGGGGGGGGCGATTGTTTTTTCTCGTTTTCTCGTCGCTGGAGTGTTAGCTAATGCGCTGCCTTTTTCTGTGCCTGAAACAAGCTTCATTGAACTGACGGGCTGCATTTTTTTTTTTACTTGTCTTGCGTTTTTGTAGACCCATTCGCCCATAAATATGTCCATACCCTTTTTTTGTCGATGGAGCAGGAGAGTAAAGGCGCAGAACCAACGACGATCCTCTACAGACTAGTTTTCTAGATTTTACAAAGGGCAATCCTTACAAGCGTAATACAAAAGAATGTGCTGATATTTTATGAACAAATGATTTAGATATTATTTCTACACAGGCAAAAAAAAAAAAGTATGATGAGATCAGGTCTCCTTGACTTCAACCTTGTAGTCATCAGGGTTGGGCGCCAAGGGCGACGGCGCCCTCTTGGGTTGAAGGGCCAGCGGCGCGACAGAGGCCATCACAGGTGAGGGTGTGAGATCGGGGACTAACGAGATATGCGAAGGGGAAGGAGAAGGAGCTCCCGACGACATGTTGTCGTCTCCATTGTGAACCGATCCGGCTACTGATCCAGGGCGCTCAAGGCCCAAATGCTGCTGCTGCTGGTATTGTTGCTGCTGTTGTTGCTGTTGGTATTGTTGCTGCTGCTGCTGTTGCTGTTGCTGCTGCTGGTGTTGCAGGTTCTGCCGATGCTGCTCGCCGTAGCGACGAACATCATCATCGGTGACTTGAGGTGGGGCCATGCCAGGCAAGTTCCATCCAAGGGGTGCGATACTGCTCTGCGTGCTGTTGGTGGACGAGACCGACGAGACAGAGTCGAGACGCTGGTGCTGACGCTGCTCACGGAGCTGTTGCTGGTAAGTCTGGTACTGCTGCTGCTGGTATTCTTGCTCATAGGACGAATAATAGAAATCCTGAAGCTGTTGCTGCTGCTGCTTGTAGTACTGCTGTTGCTGTTGCTGCATCTGTTGCTGATACTGAGGCGAGTAGGTACCGGTATGCTGGTTTTGCATCATAGGGGAGCCGCTGGGTGAAGAGGTATGGGAGCCAGAGAGGCGGTTTTCCTTCTTTTGCTTGGGTGTCGAAGGGACATACTTGGTGGCAGGCTTGTACGAAGGCGACTGGTAGCTGTTGAGCTGGGCATAGACAGTGTTGGGGGAGGGAGCATAGAGCGAAGCGTTGGACGACTGGGGAGTTCCAGGATTCTGGATCTGTTGGTTCATCGGCTGAGGAGAGCTGTAAATCTGCTGCTGCTGTTGTTGGTACTGCTGCTGCTGCTGCTCGTACTGCTGCTGCTGCTCGTATTGCTGTTGCTCGTATTGCTGCTGCTGCTGGTACTGTTGTTGCTGCTGCTTTATCTGGAGCTTTTGCTGGCGAATTCCATCCAACGAAGGCACCTGGGGCATGGGGACAAAGTTAACGGGTTCCTCCTCCTCCTGGGGACCATCGTGACCCATACTCTCAAGCGTCACCTCAGGCTCGGGTCCCATACTCTCCAAGGGCTTCTCAGGTTCGGGTCCCATACTCTCAAGTGGACGCTCCGGCTCCCGACCCAAACTCTCACGGATAACCGACTTTGCCTTTTTAAATATCGAAGAGCGCTGCTCGCCCATAGTCTCGCCAATAACGGGTTTGCTCGCGAGCTCCTCGTGGACATCAGACTCCTCTGCCTCATCAGAAGTATTGCTCGACTCATCTTGTGCGGCTCCTGCCCCCTCCTGCTGCTCCTCAGTTTCTGGAACCCATGGACGAGGTCCCTGCTGCGATATCCGGGGTCCTTCGGGCTCAACCGCCAGCTGGGGTCCACGAATGCGAGGTGGCTGAGTTGCCTTAGGAGTCTCCAAATCTTCCTCAGAATCCTCAGTCTCGGTGTGAGAAGCTGAGGAGGTCTTACTCGTATTGACGGTCACCTTCTTGGACAACCTGTTAAGGCGGCGAGTAATAACCGCATCGCTGTCACCGTCCACAGTCTCGGGTGCTCTGGCCTGACGCTTGGCAATACGGGTAGATCGCTTGGGAACAACATCCCCCATCACAAATCGGATTTCCTCTGCAGTGAGCTGAAGATCACCAGAGGTAGTAGCAGCTTCGGCATCCTTGACTGCCTTTGACTCGGCTAAGCTCAGCTCCAGGGCGTGCTTAATCTCCAGTTCCTCCAATCGCTTCAGAGTCTCGGCCTCCGATGCCTCTCCTTCCGCTTGCTTCTTCAACTCCTCGGCCTTCTTGATCTGAATGCTGGCCAAAGCCTGAGTAGCCTCAGAGGCCCAGTCCGACTCGGTAGGGACAGTGGCACGTGAAGGTGAGGGCTGGAGTTTGTTGGGGGTCAGTGTGAGTTTTGGCGCAAGGGTCGATCCAAAGGGTGTCAAGAGATCCTTCTTAGGTGGGGCCTCAACAACCTCAGCTTCGTTATCCTTCTCCTCGTCCGATGATGACTCTGATGACTCTGACGATGTTGAAGACTCTACCGCAGTAACGACGGCAGCTGCTGTGATGACTTCCTCGACTGGGGTTTCAGGTGCCTTGGATTTGGTGGATGCTGATGACTTTTTGGACTTGACAGAGGACTGCTGCTTGACCTTGATGGGCGAAGCAAGCTCGTCGGCAGAGGTGGTAACTGCGACAGAGGCCTTGGCCTTCAAAGGAGACGATGGTGCGGCGACGAATTCGATGTCAGAGTCCGAGTCGGAATCGGACGAGACTTCAGATCCTGAGGCAGAGAGGTTGGCTAGGCTGGTCACCGTGCTGACGCTGTTGATACTGCTGACGGAAAGTCCTGTTTGGGAGCGGGGTGGTATGGGTGGAGGGTGAACGACGACCGACTGAGGATTGACCATGACGAGTTGATCCCAGTTCTCGAGCGTAATTCTTGCCGCCTGCAGAATATCCTCTGTCTTGCGACCTATTGATGCAAGCAGGTGGCTGTTTAGTTCAATTGCTTTGTTCCCTCGTGCTTCCTGTACTTGTTCTTCGCCCTGTTTGTCTACAACATCCCTTGTGCTATTGTACACAGACCCTCAAAAACACAATAAGAAAAGAGAAAGAAAGCTTACCATCTTGAGTAGACCCAGGGGTATCGATATGTTCCAACAATTCCTTGCCATGCTCGCCAATAATCTGCATCTTCTTGCCCAACTCAATAATAGCATTCAACTGCTCCGTATAGGCGCCCTTGATACACTGTCTCTTCAACGCCTGCAACTTTGTCTCTGTCGGCGCACTCTCCTTCTGGAAATCATCGAGTTCAGTCTGGAGGACACGGGCTTTTGCGGACCGAAGACGGGATTTGGAGGCATCGAGAATCTTTTGTTGGAGGTCGGCTTGTCGGCGTCCCATCTCGCAGAGTGAGTCGTCTTTGGTCCGGAGGTATTTGATCTTTTCGCGGAAGGACTCGTATTGGGTTCCGAACCGGATCTCATAGTCGCTGATTTTGCGGATAAGAAGGTTCAGCTTCAACAGCACATCCTATTTTTTTTGTTGTAGTTGGGTGGTTGGGAGGTGAGAGAGGGTGTTACTTGACGATTCATTTGGAGTGTCATCCGAGGTTGTTGGGTGTGCGTTCTTGCATATCGAAACATCTGCTTACCCCAATGTCCTCCGTCTATCAACAAGCATAGAACAACATAGAACAAAGTAAGAAAGAACGAACAAATGCGAGTTAGTATACAATCAGAGACTCTAGAAGAAAAGAAAAAAAAAGGGTACAGCATATAGCCAATAACGCCCAATAGAAACAACAGCCTATCCCCATCTCACACACAAATATATATCGAGCTTTGTACCTGAGACTTGCTCCAGACCATCATATGTTTGCATTCCTCGACACGGACTTTGGAGACGACGGCCAAACTGTCGACGAGTCTACGTTGTTCGCCAATGGCGTTTGTGAGGGGCGAGAGGAATGAGCCGGCTGCGCGACGGGCGCTTTCTTGCAGGTGGGGGATGTTGAGCAGATCCATTGTTGTGCTCGTCTGTGTGGTATATGAAAGTGTGTGTGTCGAGGAGGTGGAAGGGTGAGAGAATAAAAAGAGGACGAGGGTGTGGGTATACTATGAGATGATGATGATGAAGAGAAGAAAAGGAAGAAGAAGAAGAAGTGATGGCGGAGTGATGAATAAGAAACAGGGGTAAAAAGAGAAAGAAAAAGAAAAAGAAAAAAAAGGACAAAGAGAAAAAAGAAGAGCGAGAAAAAGGTCCCTGCCCCTCGCTCTATTTTTTCCACGAGATCAAGCGGGGCTGTGACACTCCTCTGCTTTGTGCTTCCTCTTTCTCACTACTGTCCCAGACTCGATTGTTTTTACACGGCTCTAACACGTCAAAAATGGAACCCCGCCCAAAGCGAACAGGCAAGCAGCAGGACTCAAAATCTATTTTTTGCTTTCTTTTGCCCATACCTTTGTGCTATGCCATGTCGTCGTCGTCTTCTTTACCTTGGCTTCTCTTGTGCAGAACTGGCTGAGCAAAGCAAACGCACACCGCTTTCATGCTCAGTGGCTATGACCACCCCCCTACCCTGTACTGTACCTCAACATATGCAAGCCATTCCTTAGTCATCCAGCCTCTCTTGCATTCTTCTTCACGCCAGAACATCCGTCAGTAATCAAATATTGAAAGCGCTTTATTCAGTGGATATTTCCCGCATTGTTCTTTTTTTTTTTTTTTTTTTTGAAAGATGCTGTTGCTAATGCTGTTGTTGCTGTTGCTGTTGTTGTTGTCGCTGTGTTGCTGTTGCTGTTGCTCTTGTTCGAATGTTTTCCTGCTACTTGTTTGTTTGTAAGGTTGCCGAGCTGATAAAAAAAAAAGACTGCTCCCTCAGTTATCGCCACCCTTGAACTTCAAAGAAACACTATTCACACAATGCCTCTCATCCGTTGGAGTCGGGAACCCCTCCCCCTTGAAAACATGCCCCAAATGACCTCCACAAGCATTACAAACAATCTCAATCCGATGTCCATCCTCATCCACATTTCTCCCAACCGCTCCCGGAATCGCATCAAAAAACGCCGGCCATCCACATCCACTCGAGAACTTTGTATCAGAGGTGTAGAGGGGTGTCTGACAGCCGGCACAGGTGTACACGCCTGGGGCGGCGTGCTTGTTGTATTCGCCCGTGTTGGGGCGTTCGGTGCCCTTTTGGCGGAGGACTCGGAATTGGTCGGGCGAGAGGATGGCGTGCCATTCTTGGTCGGTCTTTTGGTGGGTCATTGTTGCGGTGGTTGCTGCTGTTGCTGAGGTTGCTGAGGTTGTGGTGGTGGTGGTGGTGGGGGTTGGAAGTTTGTTCTTTTTGCCAAAGAAGGAGATGGATCCACGGCTGATGGGTCTTGTAGGAGTAACTGCAACTGGTGGATAAAGTAGATAGAGACGGCCTAGAGTTCGAGTCTGCTTGGTGGCAAATGGTGTTGAGAGAGTAGAAGTAGAGAAGGAAGAAGTTGAGAAGAGAATTGATGTGTTTGAAGAGGAAGAAAGGACTCTTCGAGCAGCGGCTTTATACATTTTTGATGCGTTGACTTGTCGTACTTCTTGTTCTCTTGAGCGAAGAAAGAAAAAGCGGTGATGATGAATCAACGGACGAGACTGAATGAGGTGATCAGAAAAAGAGAAAAAAAAGAGAAAAGACGCGCACGGAATAATTAAAATTCAAGAAATGTGCGCATCTGCGCGTAATCGCACTCCCTTGCACATTTATCAAAAAAATTGCGCGAACAAATCAGGCCCCACTTCATGGCTGACGGCGACCAAAAAAAAAATGACAACCCCTGCGCGAGTGGTAGCCGAGGCGATCCGCTTTCTGCGACAACTTTTGCTCCTTCATTCGATATCAACAACCCTCTAGTATTTCTCTTCAGTTATTGTATATTTAACAACGTATTAATAGTAATGTATCAAACAAGTCGCACTCAACTCAAAGCGACATCCCAGCTCAAAGTTTATCGCAGGCGGTTGGCCGTGGTGAGGCGAGTGGTGACCTTCTGCGCATCCTGATCAGCAATCAAGGCCTCCAAAGACGAAGCTGCTGGCTTCTGATGACCGCCACTCTTGCCACCAGAAGAGACAGGCCGATCTCCTCCTCCCTGGGTCACAGTCCCGCTGCTGCTTTGGCTATTTTGGCTGTGGGCGCTCTCGATCGATCCAGTGGTCGAAGGAGGAGGTGGCGACGCCTGTCGCTGGCCAGGAGTCAATGTCGACGTTGGTGGGTGAAGGCTGTTCGGGCTGAAATATCCCGTCACATGCGTCGCCTTGGTCGTCAACGATTCAATCACCTTGCGCGCCGTTGAGGTCCTCTTGACCGACTTGGCCGATTTGTCGCCGCCATCCTTGTCTTTCACGCTCTCGCCCTGACCAAACACACGCGCAAAGCTAGGGATGCCGCTGATGCTGCTGCTGCGGCTGCGGCTATGGGACTTGCCCAACGATGGGTTCATGGCCTCCAACTGAGCTGCCAACCCCTCAACAGTCTCCTCGCTGCTGTTGATCAACTCAACTGACCGGTCAGGAGTTGGATCAGATGCCGAGACATGAATATGAGGCGAAAGTGGCTCAGAGACGGACCCGCTGCGAGAGTGTCCGCCGTGATACGAAAGAGAGCGACCCAAGTCGGTAGAAACACCCAGATAAGATGTCGTATCCTCCGATCGCATCGATGTGGTATCCTCCTCGCTGCCCGACAGCACGTTAAATCCAGCAGTGCTCTCCGACCCGTCTCCTGCAGAGGTCGCTCCACTGGCAAGAGCCGAAGGCTGGACAAACCACCAGTCATCCTCACCTTCCTGCACCTTGAACTTGACAGGGGTGTCCTCCGACTTGTCCTTGCGGTTCTTACTGAGGCGCTGCTTGGCCAACGTCAAGTCGTGGTAAAAGTACTGGATAGCAGTGCCAACACCATCCTCCGCCCGAATCTTCTCTCCGATCGCGTGCGCTTTCTTGATCATCTTCTCATCCGTCGTAATCGTCACCAACGCAGACGTCAATTTCTTAGTCGTCAATTCATGGCACCAAACACCGACACCAACCTCCTCAAGACGCTGGCCCCAGAAGTACTGGTCACCAAAGAAGGGCTTGACCACCGTAGGGATACCCGCACGCAGACCAGCTGCGACTGTACCGGCACCACCGTGATGAACGCATCCAGACAACTGCGGGAAGAGCCAGTCGTGGGGGACAGACTTGAGCATGTACACGCTTGAGGGGATGACAATCTCCTCCGTCGTAGTCTTCTTGGCAGCAGAAGCAGGGTCATCCTGGCTAGTAACGCGGTCAGACCATCCCTTGGAGATAATGGCACGAACGCCAGACTTGACAACAGCCTCGATAATAGTACGAGTCATGCCATCAGGGTCTGGAACCACCATCGAACCGAAACCAATGTAAACAGGCTTGCGGTCAGGGTCTGCCTTCAAGAAGGCGACAAGGTCATCAGGAGGGGTCCATTTGAGGTCAGGGTTGTCCAAGAACCAGTATCCGGTGACATGAACCCACGAGTACCAGTCCATAGGGGCGGGGACAAGGTTGGGACTCCAAGAGTACAAGCTTGGAACACGGTGAGCCTCCATCTTCTCCAGACTGGTGGGTGGCAATCCCAACATATCCTTGCGCCACTTGTTGACCTGGCCAGAGATACCCTTCCAGAACACCTGCTCGATCATGACATGAGTCATGTAGTTGTATCCGCGACCCAGGTTGTGCTCAGGAACGGCGAATGGATGGGGGAAGGCACGAGTTCTTGTCCAGGGGAAGGGGAATGCTCTGAAGTAGGGAATGTCGAGACGCTCGGCGATGTGGATACCGGCCATAGCGGAGGGTGACTCGATCAAAACATCGGTGCCCTGACAGGCCAACCAGGCAGTTTCCATGAGCTCATCCAACCAACCGCGGAAGCGCTTCATACCTTCGCGGAAAAAGGACACCGTAAACATGCCGTTCTCGACACACAGCTCAATCAGCTCACCAGGATCTCCCTATTAGCAAAGAATGCAGCGTTCGAGTTAATAAAAGGCTCAAGGCATTCACCCATAACGAGACACCTCGTACCATGAAGACGTGGACTTACTCCGACGAGGCCAAACTCGATCCCGTGTCCTTCGATCCAGTCCTTGTACTCTGCGTGGGTGGCGATACGGCAAGAGTGCCCATCCTTCATGAGACGCTTGCAGAGGGCAATATAAGGTTGAACATCACCACGACTTCCAATGGTCAAACAGGTAATGTGCATGGGGCGCGAGGGCTTGAAACCTGGGCTGGAGGCCCACGAAATGGGCTCCACATGGACAGGTTCCTCACGAAGCAGCATTGAGTCCATGACACGAGACTCCATGGGATCATCAAGCTCAATCGACGGCGTCTCTGCAATCGCCTGAGCTCTCTGCTTCAAACGCTTCTCCTGGGCCTCGGGGGTGATGCGGTGGCGAAGGGTGTCCAAGATGGTGTTGCGGGTTTCGGTTGTCGAAAACTCAAAGAAAATCTCCTCGTCCGTCTTGGTCAGGATACTAAGACCGTGGAAGTAGAACCGGGTACCCTTGTGCTTGTCGACCTGCTCAATGTCGGCCAGGGGCATAATCATTTTGGTGCGGGTTCCATACAGCTTGGACTTGTAGCAGAGGTAGTTGTCCGACAAGTACACTCTTCCGTAGAGAGGAAGAAATCGCAGCAAGTAGCCTGAAACAACAGCACTCAAGCCTTCGGTGTCAGGCAACGAGAACTCCTTCCTGAATGCATCTTGATCCTCCTCGTTCAAGGTTGCCGGCTCATTCGCACCCAAAAAGTCGGGCTTGTGTTCGGCAATCCAGCTGGTTGTGCCTCGAACAGAGAATGAAAGCGAGTGGCGAGCCTTTTCCTTGTCGTTGTCTTCTGTATCTGAGCTTGGCTGAGATTTGGCCAGGTCATGGTGGGGAGGTTGGAGACCGCTGCGTTTGGATCCTGTGGCGCTGCGGAACAAGCTGCGTGATCCTGACAACGAAGACAATGGACGAAGTAAGGTCTCGACAGGAGTTGTGTGAGACGTTCCTAGGGCCTTTCGTGACGAATGGATATGGGGTGAGGTGCTGTCGTAAATCTTGTAGACGCGGCTGGGGTCCTGAGTGGCCATTTCCTGATACTTTTTCACCTGCGCCTTCAACGCCGCCAATGTCTTCGTCGCCTCGTTGAAGTAGGCAAAGTAGTACTAATTGACAGCAACAACTCTGATTAGCACAACATTCATGATTGGGAATAGCTATAATAGCAAGGGAAAACAGTAGCACTCGTAGTAGACATACCTCGTCAACGGCATAGGACTCGTCGCTCTCCATAACTTTGACCTGGATGGCCTCTGCAAAGGCCATGGTGTTCATCTCTACGTCCAACACATTCGCCAAAGGGATTGAGATCTATATAACCCAAACAGGTGTCCCATGCATGCACGCACGCAGACGAATAAGTAGGCTAGCTGTTAGGCTAACTGTTATGGTTTCGTCTCCTATGGTGTCCGGTAGGGGTAGCGATCGAATTATATTTTAATGAACAGTAACATACCTTGACCTTGTCACCCTCCATTTTGGCATGAAAGATGGACTTTTGGATGGCTTTGACCCAGTCCGTCTTGCCCAGCTCCGAATCCGTCTTGAACGTGTATTTGCGGTTGTTGGTGAAAATATAGAAGCTGTGGTCGCTGTGCGGCGAGGGCTCGGCTGAGAGTGCATGCTTAAGATCAATGGTCTTGATGGGATAGTACACGTCCTATAACAATTGCAAAGATAAGTATTGTCAGCAATGAATAGGCTAATGAAATGACGATGACTAGACCTATGCATGCGAATGACAACAGAACCCCGCGAGACTTACTGTCTGGTTTCCGTAGTAGCTGAGGACGTCGTTCTTCAAGATGAACCAGTAGCGCGTAAACTGCTTCGTAGTCTTGGACTTTTTGACAAAGAATCCTTCCTTCTGGATGACATCCTGTATTGTAACAGCGGAAGTTGATCAATGGTTAATAAATAAGCTCTCTGGGATAAGAAACCGATAGTCCTGCATCATGTAAAAAGTAGATACCTGGCTGGGGAGGTTGGCGTAGAAGCAGATGTGGTTCGTCGTCAAATACATGTATCCAGGAAGAAGGACCGAGCGAGCCAACCAGCAAGAGTATTCTAATGATGACAACAATATGCAGCATATATGCTGGTTAGTCCTTAAAGATCCGATCGCGCATATTCTTATGGCTAAGACTGAGTCGTTCAATAGCCGTCATTCCTCACCTCCGAGAAAGTCCTCCAGTTCTGGGTAACCAAAGGCAGCCTGCAGCTTTTCGGCGACAGTCTTCTTGTCGCGTACTGAGCCAAACGAGGTCCCACTGGTCGATTTGGCGATATCACGATCATGGCTCACGGATCGAGCCTTCTCAGAATCACGGTGATGGTGCTTGTAGGAGCCAGGCTGCAGATGGGCACTGTGGTGATCACCCTCGTCATCGCTAAAGTCCTCCTGTTCGCCCTCCGAGTGAATTCCCAGTCCGTGAGCCGATTCCTGACGGAAAAGCATTCTATGCAATGCATTGTCTTGCTCTATTGACATCATTTGAATAAATATCCAAGAAGAGTTAATTCTCTCGGTTTGCCACCAGTTTATCACGAGCAATAACTGTAATGAGTTTCGGATTGCATTGAACATGAACATCTACTGCTGTTTTTGTATTCACTCAAGTCAGTACCTTGACGATTGACATGAACCATATCATCGTCCTCTTCGGAGCCAAAGTCGGACCGGTTCTGGGAAACTCCCATGTTCTCCTACAAAGGTTATTCGAGAAATAGAGGAGATACAAAAAGGTATGGCTCAATTTAGCCTATGACGCGAATCGTGCACTGCGTTGGACCCTGATTTGTTGTCCGACAATGCTATTTTATATATTTTTTGGTGTTTTTGCGTTCTTTGGCGAGAGCCGGATGACCCATTGGATCTGGGTACAAGATGGTGCTGGGGTCACGTTGCTGCAGTCTAGACAACTGTTTGGAACCAGGCTGTTTTTTTTGCTGTTGTGTTCGTTGTGCACTTCTCCTCGCACTCTTTTATCCCTGTTCTTTGTAATGTCGGTTTCTTGGACCTTTGTCATTACCAGCAACAAATACAACAAAAGTGATGCTTGCTTGTTTCATTACTGTCAGTCTGTTCGCTTTGCCTTGACATATGATATTCGCCTTTCTTATTAAAATCTCTTTGTTGGTTCATGCTGTTGTTTTTCTCACCCTCTCTCTCTCTCATGACTCCGATCGGTCACGCAGACCACCAAAAGAAAGAGAGTCATTGAAAACGAGCAACCCCAACCCGTTTTTGTTTTTCAACACCTCTCTCACACTCCGTCCTTCTTTGTCCGCTGGCATTATTCCTGTTGCGAAATTTAACATTTCTGCACATGTGTCCGTGTGGCTCCAATCATGAAAGTGTCGAATGGGGGGCGGGGGCGGAGAAGGGGAAGTGGAAGGGCACTGATAGGGTCTCCAAGGAAATGAAACGATATACAAAAAGAAGTTTCAATGTAAAGGCGACCTTACCGAACGAAGAGCGGCGGCAACAAACTGGAAGAGTGCCGAACCACCAGTCGGTGGTTTGACGACTTTGTCACCGAGACTCATGTTGTGCTTATTTGTTTTCGTTGGATGAATGTGAGATGGAGCTGCGTAACAATCGTTTTCGAGAGAGATGGACGATGAATGCGAGAAGAGTAAGAAATAAAAAAAGGAGAGGAAGAAAGGAGAAAAAAAAGGAGCGAGTGAGAGGCGAAGAATGAATCGTCGCCGGGGGTGATAGTGCGTGAGGGTGGTGAACGTGAGGATGAGAGATAAAGAGAGAAGGAGGTAAAGAGAGTGACAAAGGGGTAAGAGGAACAAAGGAACAAAAGGACAAGCATCAGCGCTTAAATAAGGTGGACAAGGTCGGGACTGCGTTTGGACTGCCCAAGGGTAGACAAGCACAGGTCAGCAACAAAGTACACGGCTGTTGAATGAATTCCACCACCGACACAAACACAAAGGAAAATAGAAAATGACAACGGATAACGGCAACACAGAAGTTGCACGGATGAATTGTCTGCCCAATTGCCGTTTGACAAAAGGCCCCGACTTGACTTCATTGACTGGCATTCATTATTTACCGCTACGCTAAGCTAAGCTAAAAAAACCTCTTGTCTTGACCTGCCAGAAAACAACGGCTCTCGTACGTATTGTACTACAAATCTCATCCTTGGCTTACTTACTTTGCTTCCAGAAACACAAACTGACACATCCTTGCATTTTTCCATTCTTCCATCCTCTTTACCAACCTTATCTCTAAAAACTCCGTGGACCTTATTTGCCAAGTCCCCTCAAAAAGACGACAATCCAGTAATTGGCAACAACCAGGGACAAGACAAGACATGACATGCATACAAACAAGGCTCATTAAAAACAAGGCTCGCACGTTGTGCGAAAAAAAAAAGGTAACGGATACAAAAGACCTTTTTTTTTTCCTCCCTCGCATTGATCGGCTTCTAGGGCATTGAGACCTGTGGCCTCCAGGTGACGGTTGTGGGACAAGTTGTGTCGATGCCGGTTGTTGCCAAGGAATTTCATATTGCGATAGCCCAGATGGGAATTCTCCTTCGATGCTTGGCCACAGCCATCGTGCGTCGGTGTTTCTAACAAATAAAGGGCTACACTTGCAAACAAGGTTTTTGCTCATGGCTGTTGCAAGGAAGGGAAAAAAAGGGTCCAAGCTACCCCCCTTCATCATTTTTTCGTGGGGCAAGATACCAGCATGTTGATTCATTCAAAAACAGTGCCGGGGAAAGAAAAGGGGAAGGAAAGCGAGCGAGGATGAACTGAACAGCAGGTGTTTTTCTTGTCAAACACGTGCTAAGCAACAATGAGAAGGGATGAAGCTGCAGAGAGCAATGAGGGTAATCAGTCCATGGTCCTCATATCAATCGAGGGTGTGTGCTGGACGGTGATAGACATCTTTATTTTTGATAGTGACAAAGATATGTATGTACAAGGACAACGAAAACTACGTGTTTCGTGCAACTAGATCCAATGGGGTTGCTATTCTCAATCGACTGCTATTTACATGGCACGACCACTGCCGCCACGCGCATTGGCCTGCTCCTTCATCTCCTGCCTGTGCCAGAAATCCGCCTCTTCCTGGAGGTTCTTCTCGATACGCTGGTTCAACTTGTGCTCAAGATGCTCAACACCATCGTACAGCATATGGGCACGCTTTTCGATGTTTTGGAGTCCATGGTGAAGATCACGCCTGAGGGCGTTCATACGACCAACGCGCTCGGGGAGTTCATCATCCTTGGCACCAGGGACGACCTTGACGATGTACTTTCCGTCTTTGTAGTCGCTCATGGAGGCACGGCGGGAGAGTTCGATCGGGTGCTTTTCGTTACGGCTCTGACGTTCCTTGGGCACTGAGGCATCGACAACGTTCTCGTGGACCTTGCGGGCAGTGTCTTCGGCGTTCAATCCCAACAGGGACGCGTGGTTGACGACATAGTCGTGTTGCTTGATGGCTGCGGAGGCAACGGCCTTGTCGATAGAGACCCTGCGCGGGCGTTGAGTTGTAGGGGTAGTCTCAGTCTTGGTGGAGACGGCTGGTGTCTCAGCCGTTGAGCTGCTGCTGTTTCCGCCACCCCACCATAACCATCTGGAGGAAGAAGGCTGTTCACCTGCAGTAGTCTCCTTGTAGAAGGCAGACTCCTTGGCATTCTGGGGCATGTTATGGAACTTGTTCGTATGGTCTGTGGAGCCAACCTTGGCGGCGATGACTGAAGCCGTCTCATGCAAGAGACGATCGGCCTCGGCTCTCTGGCTATCCAACCAGGACTTGGCCTCATTAACCGACTTCTCGACGCCCTTATTGACATGGTCCTGACCAGTCTCCTTGTACGCCTCTGCAAGATTCTCGCTCTTGCGCTTGATATCCTCCCAGCTGGCCTGTGTCTGGCGAGCGATATCGTCGACAGCGTCGATGGTCTTGTGTCCCAAGTCCAAGGCCGTGTCCTCGGTTGTTTGCTTGAGATCCTGCAGAGAGGCAGAGGGTGTAGACGAGGCAGTCTCACCAGGGTGAGAGACTTTGAGGGGGATCCAGGTGTGTTTGAGCTGGTCGTAGTGGGCTGGGAGGAAGTAGGCTCCAGTCACGGCGGCTAATGTCAAGGGAGTCAGGATCTTCACAGACATTCTTGCTATTGTTTGAATAGTAGAACCAAGTTCAAAAGGCGTGAGTATTTTTTTGTTGTTGATTGGAATACTAATTGCTTTTTTTCAATCCAGCTTCGGCATCATCGTCTTCTTTCCTCCACTCATTTATTCGGAGCTACCTTTCTTCCTCTTTCTCTCTCTCTCTCTCGCTCACTTTCAACGAGATGAAGAACAAAAACACTTACGGACGCGGTTGACAAGCATGGATCCAGCTACAGCAGCTGCTCCGGCGTAGGCGACACCTGGAAGTAATGGCTCCTGCTCAGCCTTGTACTTTATGTACGCATCCTATTTACAACGAGGCAGAGTTATAAAACATACGCAATGCGTCAAAAAAAACTGGGCCTTCTCTTTTTTTAGCTTTGGATTGCGGTGAGAAGCTGGCAGTGGATAGCCAGAGCAAGGGATAGGGAAGAATGGGTGGATTGGTTGTCGTGGTATGGTCTCATGGTCGTGGGAAAGGCAGGAACTGGCAAGGAAAAGGGTGCAATTAAGCGGGGAGCTGCGTCATTTTAGCTGGAGGAGAAAGAGAGGGGAGTGCTTACATCGGTGAAACCCATGGTGGTAAAGTGTGGCAGTGGTGGCAGTGGTGGTGATGGTGGGTGAAGTAGGTGGGAATAGTAAGAATAGAGACTGGGAGAATTTGTGTTTGTTTGTTAGAAGAGAGTGAGAAGAATGTGTGTGTGAAAAAAAGAGGAGAAAAGTGCGGAACGATGTTGCCTTTCAAAGAGTCCAGGTGAATAATCCATGAGGGTGGCTCAGGTTGCCAAACACTCGGAGGAAGGAGTGGCTAGTTACAAGGGCATCATGACCTCTTTTTTTTTGACGCAATTAGGCGAGACACCATTAAGGAGGGGCTGTTGGAGGAGTGCCTTTGAAAGGGCTAGGAGGAAAGCGACGATCTCGATTGGTGTCTGACTCTGAAAATGACACTCTGCAACGCGCCATGTCTCACAACTGACCATAGTTTTGTAAGTAATAGTTCGATGTACGTACTTCTCGTTTCGTAGAAAGGGAGAGGACGGCTGTGGACCATGGGCTCAACTAATCTAAACATAGGATGAGGGCGATCAACGTCCAAGTGGACAAGCAGAGATCCCGCGTTTATTCACGGGTGTATATTGAAGCTTTTCCATTCGTCTTTATTCTCTTTCTTCTACGCTTCTTCACTGCTATTTGTTTACGGTGTTGCTCAGGGGAGTTACGATGGGTAGATAGGATGTAACAACAATGGTCGTATATGCAAACAAGATAAATAGAGCCCCAGATCGCCGTTTTTTCTTCTGTCCGCCATGCCCTCTTCCTCTTCTCCTTGAATCTTGCTTTCCTTGTTTTTCCTTGCTCCATTATCTCCTTCCTTTTCCTTTTCCTTTTCTTTCTCGCATTCTTCCTCCTCACATCTCTTTGTCGTTACGTGTATCGTTTTACTTTATTCTAATTTTGCTCTTATTCCCATCCCCACCCTTCAGGTCTCGCATCCGACATTCGAGACCTTCAACAACCTTTTCTACTCTTTGAACACCTACAATACCTACAATACCTACAACAACCTGGCGACAACAATCACACCATTTCACATTTTCGTTCCTCTCCAAATAATTTGCGAATCTCCATCAAACGACCTAAAATGTTGAACGAAAAGGACCACATAACGTCCTCAGAAACATGCACCCAAAACGGCGACAACATCAAGAGTATCGATAACAATGATGGCGATGCTCGATACCCCGTCGAGCTCAAGGACTCTGTAGGCACCTTTGACCCAGAGGCATTAGCATTCGACCCAAACTCTGAAGAAATCAAGAAGGTGCGGTGGAAGATTGACAAGAGGCTTATCCCGCTTTTGGCTGCTATGTATCTGTGCTCGTTCTTGGACCGTGCCAACATTGGTATGTTGCTTTGTTTGACTTTGTCTTTTTGCAATTGTGTTTTTGATTTTGTTGTTTATGAACGGACGTGAAAGAGGGGCGTGTAAGACAACCAGTTTCATGGCTTGGGGTTTTTGTTCTAGTCGGTCTGAACGTTACAGAGTTGGGTAGCAACATTGAAACTGCTGAAGGCGCTTTGACATTTACACCACTCTTCAATAATCATATAGGCAATGCCAAAGTCGCAGGCATGGAAACAGACCTGAACCTCCAACCCGGCGAGTTCAACATCGCGCTGAGTATCTTTTATGTCGGCTACGTGATCGGGGAGGTTCCCTCCAACATGGCAGTAAGTTTATTTTCTGTTCACAAGCCGACATCAAACACACCGTACAAGGATCAAACCCACCTCGGGATCAACCTTTTTTTCTTTCGCTAACAATAGTGTCTTTTTTTTTTTTTGCATAATTGTTACCTGTAGTTGAAGCAATTTGGCCCCAGGCTTTGGATCCCTGCTGTGATGTTTCTATGGGGAACGGTCATGATTGCCATGGCAGCCGTTAAAACTGCGGGTGCTCTTTATACGGCCCGCTTCTTTCTTGGTCTAGCTGAATCAGTAAGTTGTCTCTTTTTACGGTTGTTTTTTTTCATTCCTCGCACGGGCTTTGCTAACTGACCAGTACGGTACGACTTGGACCAATATTGCAAATTACCTAGGGATACGCACCAGGACCTGTGTATGTGATCAGTATGTGGTACGCACGCAATGAGCAGGCCATTCGTGTTGGACTCTTCTTTTCTGCATCTACAGTTGCCGGCGCCTTTGGAGGACTCTTGGCTTATGGTATGAAGGGTACTTTTTTTCTTCGTTCAGGCAAAAGTGAACAAGGTGTCCACCCATGAACCCCATTTAATTGGTTCCCTTTATCTCTCCCTCTTGCGTAGGCATCTCACATATGGTAAGGAGAAGGAGGGCGTCGTCGCGGAATCCCGGGAATATTGGTACTCGGGAACCATCGTGGAAATTAGGGATAAAAAAAACAAGGAGAACAAAGGGGCCAAATACCATTCAGGGACACTTTTCAGCTCTACTAAAACACCTTCTTGATCTCCGCTCTTTTTTTCTTCACCTTCAACAGGACGGACTCCATGGCCTACATGGATGGCAATGGATTTTCATCATCGAGGGAATCCCAACAATGGTCGTCTGCATCATAGCCTTCGTCTACCTCCCGAACTTTCCAGAAACCTCGACTTTCCTCACACCGGCAGAACGAGACCTGACGATCAAACGATTGGCCGTAGAAGCAGGACCTGGCGACGAGTCTCACTTCTCGTGGGTTCAGTTCTGGGCTGCGTTCAAGGACTGGAAGGTGCACATGCACATGTTGATCGCTTTCCTTCATGGTATTCCCTTCGCGTCCCTTGGGCTCTTCATCCCTTCTATCGTGCAGGGGTAAGTGTATTTTCGGATACGAATTTTTTTTTGGGCGTATGCTCTCCCTTGACGTCTTGTGGAGCTATCTTGACTGACCCAACCATCTCGACTTTTTTTTTCGTATATGTATATTTTTGTGGACAGGTTCGGCTATGAGTAAGTGAGATATGCGCATTGCATAACCAAGCGTCAACTTGCCAATGTACATTCGCCTCGTACTAATAATACCCTTCCGCGTATTTTTTGCTTCGTTCCTTGAAAATAGCCACATCACAACACAGATCATGACGGTCCCCATCTATGTAGTAGCATGTTTTTCAGTCATCTCGTTCACTTACTCATCCGACCGCAAAAAGGAGCGTGGATTCCACCTGGCTATCCTCTCATTTATGGCCACGATTGGGTACAGTCTCCTAGTCTTTACAAGACACTCACCCGTAGGAGTACGCTATGCCAGTTTGATGATCTGTGCTTCTGGAACCTATGGCTATGTTCCTGTGATGTTGAGCTGGTCTGGCGTCAATATTGGAGGACATACGAAACGAGGCGTTGCGATCGCGTTGATTATCTCGATTGGCCAGGTCGGGTCTGTCATCGGCGGACAGCTCTACCGTAACGACGACGGTAAGTTATACGTACTTTTTATCGCGTCGATGTCCGTTTTTGGATAGATGCCATCTAACTTTTACTGACGACGACATTCCACTTCATATGTGAAAACGATAATTAGCCCCGTTGTATGTGCGTGGACATTCGATTAGCGCGATACTGATGGCACTGGCGACAGTATCCGTGTCGGGGTTCAAGTTCCTGTTGACGCGCGAGAACCGACGCCGGGACAGATTGACGCTCGAGGAGTATGCGCTCGAGAGCAGTGGGGCCGATCTTGCGGACAAGCATCCTAGCTTCCGTTTCTACACATAGACCATTGTTGATGTTGTTTTTTAGTGGCAAATTCAATTGTATTTCTGTCGTATGAGTTGTATCCAGGGTGGACATGTGTCAATCAAAAGTCACAGGGAGGGTTGTTAGGCTTTCTTGGTTTGAACCTTGTCTGTGGACCTCGATCGCACGGTATTCTTCCTGAGGGTAGGATATAGTAGAACTAGAAGCCATATCGAAAGAAGAAGTACCTATCCATTTCATGTCTTTGTCGATACTGTATATGCATGCCAATGGCATGGCAGGGATACTCATGATCGACGGTCCAGGATCTTCCTTTATTATTTGGATTGAATGTGAGTGACTTTGTGGGTTTGGTGTTTGTCTGTGTTGCACCAAATGGCACGAGTCAAAATTCTCTTCTCTGAGGTCATTGGGTTCATCTTTTTCTTAATTTTTTTATTTCTTTCCCTTCTCCACTCTTCCCTTTCTTCTTCGACAACTCTTCCTCCCTTCCTTTTCTTACCTCTTACTTCTTGCCTCTTACAACTTCCAAACTCATACCTCCTCCTACCTACCCTCAACACGTACCCCTCACAACTCTCACACGCATAATTGTAAAAAAAAGAATAACCGCCACCCATCAGAATGACCTCCAACATCAAGATCGGGCCTTACATGCTGCTCGAGACCCTCGGCGTCGGCTCGTTTGGAAAAGTCAAACGTAAGGGACACTGAGCAGCTTCTTTGTTTTGCATACATGGAACACAAGGAAGTATGGGAGCACAAAGACCCTCCGCAATGTCAAGTCATTGCATTACTTTGACATGGCACAATCTCATGGAATAAACAAACAAAAACTCGAACAGACAATGGACCATCACAACAAACAACAATGGACAAGTTACTACAAAGTCAAGACGACGGCCTACACTCTTAACAAAGCAGGAACGACCTAAGTTTTTCACGAGGACCAAGCGAGAGGACTTTGGATAGCACGGGAAAGACACGAGGGGGAGGGGGGTTGCGGGAACTGTTGTGGGGAAAGGGAGTTATTGCTGAAAGGGACACAAAGGAGGGAGACAGAGGAAAAGGGGGGAGTACGACAATGGACAATGGTATGCTTCCTCCCATCCTTGGTCAGGGCACAGACACCTAGCACATGTCAACCTATCGACCTCTCTGTGTTTCTTTCTGTCTTCTTTGGATTCCCTCCCTTTTTTTCTTGTCCTTTTTTTCCTTCGTTCGCTTTTTTTCATACTGGACCAGACCAGACCTGTCAGGATCAAGTCTCATGCACGGATACCTGCTACCAATGGGGATAATGGATCCTAAACGTGTTTCAAGCAGTATGTAAAAAAGTGAAAGGAAAAGAGGGCTAACCTTGGGGTTCCCTTATGTTTTCCATCATGGTTATTATTAGGTGCGGTGCACTCGCTCACAGGACACACAGTCGCCATCAAGATCATCAACAAGAACAAAGTCGTCAACCAGGACATGTTTGCCCGTGTCAAACGGGAGATCCAATATCTCAAGCTCTTGCGACACCCACACATCATCAAATTGTAAGTCAGAGTCAGGTCATTCTTCACTTCTTGTTTCTATTCACAACTTCGTGTGAGTGTAAGGTTGATTGAAATTAGGAATGTGAGGCAAACTTTGACCCGGGAAAGAAAACACCAGGCCACCAGATTGACATGGCAGACAAGGCAGAAAGGACGACATACGATACGATTCGGACGGGAAAAAAGAAAGAAAAGCCAACTTTTTCTCGACGTGCTCACGGACAATGCAACATGAAACGGAAAAAGTGAGCGGGAGTTCATGTCTGTATTGTTGGACGAAGAGGCGGAAATAACAGCTGATCATGGATCACGCAAATCTCCCACGGAAACCAACCAACGATGCTTATTTTCGCAATCAACAAACTAACCCAAAAAAAAATGACAATGTACCTTTTCTTTTGGGTGTGTCCACTCACCATCTTAGATACGAGGTCATTTCGACACCAACATCAATATACATGGTCATCGAGTATGCGGGAGGAGAACTTTTCAATTACATTGTCGACAACACAAGGGTATATTTCTCGGGATTTCGCTTAATGCGTCAATGGCTGCGAACACACCTCAAACGTACCACCACGGCCAAGAAACTAACGCTCATTGTGTTTAATTTCACCCTTTTTTCCTCATTCCCTCGAATGACTCACTTTTATATTTGTGTAGTTATCCGAAGAGGAGGCACGGCGATTCTTTCAACAAATTGTGTGTGCGATTGAATACTGCCACCGGCACAAGATTGTACACAGGGATCTCAAGCCGGAAAAGTACGAGCCGTCTTTGTGTTGCTCTTCTGCCTTTGTTAATTTGAGTTCTCAATTGTCTAGAACACAAATATCCTAACCCTTACTCTCACTCGTTTGTTTTTTAGCCTGTTGCTGGATCCATCGATGAATGTCAAGATTGCAGACTTTGGTCTGTCCAACATTATGACCGATGGAGACTTTTTAAAGACAAGTTGTGGAAGTCCAAACTATGCCGCTGTAAGTCACTCACTCGGAAATAAGTGGCACTGCACTCTCTCTGCAACTGACACATTTCACAAAGGCGCAGCGCCAGGCTAGAACAAAGGAATCCTAATGGTCAGAGCACCTTTTTTCATTTATTTCGCTCACTAGCCAGAAGTTATTTCAGGAAAACTTTACGCAGGACCAGAGGTTGATGTGTGGAGCTGCGGTGTGATCCTCTATGTCATGCTGTGTGGCCGACTTCCCTTTGATGACGATTATATCCCGTTGCTGTTCAAGAAGATCAATGGCAAGTTCAGATTAATGCTGACACTATCGTGCAACTCTGCGCCTTTCGGGATACTAAAAATGGGCTACTAACCTATGCCATTATTACACGTCAAACCTCATCATATGTATAGGCGGCATCTATTCACTCCCCTCATTCCTTTCACCCGAGACAAAATACCTCTTGACGTCAATGCTTGTGGTCGACCCTCTTAAGCGCATCACTATCGCAGAGATCCGACAGAACGCCTGGTTCAATGTAGGCCTTCCCGAATACCTCAAACCATTACCACAGGGATCGAACGAGGACGCATTTTGCAATCTGCAGGACGATATCATTACGGAGCTGATGAAAAAGATGAATTTTTCCAAAGAGACCATTATAAAGGCGCTGGAGGAACGGCAAAACAACCAGATCAAGGTCGCGTACCAACTCGTTGTTGATCACCGGCAGATGATTGAGAATGGTATGTCATTGACCATGTTGTGATCTATCTGATTGACATTGACCCATTGCTCTCAAATTGGCTGTCGACTAACACCATCATCTACATTTTTCATCGATGGTTAATTTTAGCTTCACATATGTCGCCACAGAAACCATTCCAGAGCTTCTTAGCCACATCGCCTCCGCCTTGGAATACAACGGACAAGGACGCTTCGCCCAACAAATCAACCGTAGGATCTTCAGTGGGATCGGCATTGAAATCAGGACTTGAAGGCGACACCTCTGACGACTCGGTCGATTCCCCTGTACCGTCCTCTATTACAGTCCTAAGCACAAGTCTTCCAGGAAACTCGTTGGCCAAGGAACTCCATCGAAAGGCGTCCCTGAAAAACACCAGGCGGGATCGTGCCGTTAGTTATCCTCACTCACCTCTCCAACCGCAATCGCCTACTTTTGCGCACCAGGACCATACGACGACGGCGTTCCATCAGGCAGCGGTGTTGGGCAACAGCAGCAGTTCTGGAGGCGGTGGGATCCCTATTCCTGCCAAGGGCACTGGAGGAGGGTACGGATCACCGAGCGCAGTCAACCCAGCAACGACGCAGAGGAGGATGAAGTCGCGGCCAAAGTGGTACTTTGGAATCCGGTCACGGAGTGCGCCCAAAGAGGTCATGGCCGAGATCTATCGAGCGCTGTCGAACTTGTCGATGAAGTGGAAGATCATCAACGCGTACCATCTTCGGGCCAAGTACGTGTATGCGGAAGGGTTCGAGGTTAAGATTGAGCTCCAGTTGTATAAGCTTGATAGTGAGAACTATCTGGTCGACTTCAAGTATGTAGGACAACAATCTGCGGACGAGTTGGCGGCGCGGACCGAGTTGATGAAGAGTTTGAATGAGGAGTGTGAGGCAGTGGCTGAAGCTGAGGCGGTGAAGATGGCAAGGAGTAGTTCCGGTGCCGTTGTGCCCGAACTGGCGGAGGCTGTGATTGTGAATGCGGACTCCCCGTCGGCGCCGGCTACTGCGATCGCACAGGGGGCGGCGCATTTCGTTTCTGGACCCCAGGATATCCCTCAACCGACTGCAATTTTGGGGACGAGTGTGTTGAACCCAATGGAGCATCATCACCTTGCTGCGTCGATGGGGTCCACACAACAAGGAGGGCGACACTCTACGATCCCTTCGGTCAGCTTCCAGGCACATGACGGACAACCGTCGTCGGAGCTTGGATCCATGTCGATGTCAATGTCGATGATGGGTCGCTCGTTGCCCTCTGGTGGACCTGGGATCCTGTCATCGTCCCTCTTGCAGGAACAACAGTATCTGAAAGAGATGAATGAGTTGCGGCAGGAACGACAGCATCACCAACGGCAACGGGATCAGAACAAACGACCGACACATTTGCTGTTCCCCCGAGCCAGTTATCAGCTCGCCTCTGCCAAGGAGGTCACGTCCCCGTTTCCGTTCTTTGATGTCTGTGGCAAGCTTATTACTGAACTTGCTATCGGTAGTGGTTAGACACTTTTTGCGTCTTTGTTCTTGTAATACAAGGAATTGAACGGGCGTTTGTCGAATTTGTATCTCGTTTTTATATATATATATGTTTTTGTACAACTGAGGAAAAGGCTGGCTATTACTGCTGGTGCTGGGGATCATAGTTGAGCCGTCTGGACGAAGGAGGGGAGGGTTGCCGCTGCTGATCCGAGTAGCCGTATTGCTGCTGTGGTTGCGGGGCTGGCAGATGGTATTGTTGTTGCTGTTGTTGGTATTGTTGCTGTTGGTATTGTTGCTGCTGCTGCTGCTGTTGCTGGACAGGTGGTGGCGGCGGGTAGGACTGGTACTGCTGGCCCGCCTGACGTTGCTGTGATGGTGGGGGTGAAGACGCCAAAGCCGCACCAGCCGCGGCAAGGATGGGCAGACTGTCCATCCTAGGCCTCAATTGCCCATTCCCTCCTTCAATAGGCGACGAGGGGACGCCTAAACTCGAAGCCGAAGATTTCCTCGAATTACTGAACGGCCTCGCCGTCGAAACCCCATTATTCCCGCCGGGTCCACCACCACCAACAATAGATCCAGAAAGCGTAGTCCCAGACATTGCGAGAGAAAGGTGCCGATCCTCGCTGTTGGAGTAAATGGAGGATGCTGCTATCGAGTAGGCCGAGTTTGTGCGGGCTGGCAGTTTGGGGAGGACGTTGAAGACACTAGCACTGTTGAGAATCAAATCTGAGAGAACGAGGTCGTTACTCCAACTGGCGGCAGTTGATGTTGTGTTGGCGGTCGAGGCGGGTGTGAATCCTGCTGGATGCTGTGGTGGTGGGGAAGTTGCGGCTGCAGACGTCATGCCACTGCCATGTTGGGGGAGTGGTAAAGAGGATGATGAGCCTTCTGAAGCTGTCATGGGCATAGGTGAAGACCTTCCTGTTGATACAGCTCCTCCAGTTCCTGAAGAGTGGCCAAATCCAAGGTTAGGGTTTTGTGGATAAAATTGTTGCTGTCCACCCTTGGAAGCCGCTTGGTCAGTAGGCGGGAAGGGGTAAGAGTTCCATGGCGCAGAGTTAGGGCTAGGCGAAGAAGGCGAAGATGCAGATAGGGAGGCGTTGGATGCGAACGAGAGTGCTGCAAGTGCAATATCATGTGCTCCAGTCCCTCCTCCTCCTGCGCCACCGCCACCACCGCCTCCCTGGGCTCCTGGTACCATTGCGCTGTTAAAGTCGTGGAAGATGGCGGGTGTGAAGATCATTGACAGGTTGTCGAGTGTCATCTTGTTGGTCTCCACATGATCGTATATCCTGTTGTCGGATATCGAGAAGAAGCGTTATGTTAGTACGTATGTTCGCTGTGCTATAGGAAAAGGGTATGCTGCAAAGCAACAACAGACTAGAAGTGTACCTGCGGAGATGCTCGATCAAGAACTGGAGAGTATCAATGTTGCAACCAGGGAGTGCCTTGAGACGACCCTTGAGCTCTCCCAGTCTGGCATTACGGTCCGGAATAGCTACACCATTCAAAAGCATTATTATCAAAAGTCAGTTGAATGTGACAACAGTTGCAGCGTCCTCTCCATACGAAACAAAAAATACCCCTTTCCTCCTTACAAGAGTAGGCAATGCGCTCGTTGAGGGCAAAAGGGAAGAGAGGTTGGGGCAGTTCACGAAGGTAAATCTTCAAGACGGCCGCAATCGAAGTGCAATCATCGTTGTAGACAGGATTGGTAAAGTCTATGCCTTCTTCATCAGAGTCAAACAGTCGCTTGAGGTTCATGATCTGAGCATGACGTCCTGACACACGATAGATTCCCTCGCGGTTCAGCCCTATTGTTCATACATACGTGTTCGAAGCTGCTATTGTTAGAAAACGTCCCCTAGGTGCTAATGACGACAGTAATCATGAGTCTCCGAGTTAAGGAAGAAACGAGGAACTCACCTGCACGGTCAATGGCTTCGGAACACTTGATAACGACTAAAGGGATAGGATGTTTGTGCTTGTCCACGTATTCTTGCAAACTCATTCCGAAAATACTCTCTAAAAATGATGTCAAAGGGAACGTGTAGGTTTAGTTATTTTCTGACTGGCGCTGAAATAACTCCTGTATGATTATATTTTGGAGAATAGGAATAAAGAATAAGCGAAAACCCGACAGGGAAACGGTAGAAGGGAAAAAGAACCTACCAGGAACGGGCTTGTAGTAGCTTTCATAGACGACAGTCTTCGGATGCGAGTTGATATCCTTGGAAAAGGACAGGCTGAGCTGCTCCATGTCACCAACAGGTTTGATACAATTGATGACGACCGAGAACCGGTCAATTTCCTCGGTCATCTTTGCAATCTGTGTACGTTCTTCGTTGACATATGCCTCAAGGCATTGACGACATTTGGCTCCTCTTTCCTCGATCATGCCTTGCATAGTCTAGAGTCGACGGAGAAATCTTGTGTCAGAGAAAAAAGTTGAGCCGCGGGGCTTGTCAAGGAACAATATGATGCACCGTGATTGTGTTTTGTCGGGGAGGGGTACCTTATATGCGGTATCGAAACGCATCTCACGTTGCATGCGGAACACTTCCAGGGTCTGCACAGCCGTCCTGTATTCGCCATCTGTCAGGTTGGTCAAGGGTAGGTAACATAGCCATCAGCACACAAGGAAAATATATTAATAGACTGTACCCCCCAAACTCCAAAACAAACAAAAGGGAAGACAATAGCCCAAGACTAGAATCGCCAGTTTTTTTTTCCCAGGGTCTGTCAAAAACACAAGACCAACGGAACAGATTATTACCTGCATCTTCCATATCCCGTTTACTCTTAACCAATCTGCCTGCAGCGCCTGATGTGCTGGTGAGGTTCTTGAGTCGCTCACGGACTGGCAGGTGCTCAACGTCCTCAATTGCAAGCACTTGCTCGACATCCCTGCAACGTTGCTCATAGTTTCTCTTGGCCTAAGGAAGGCGCGCGGGATAGATAGATAGAGCAAAGTTAGTTTGATTGTTCAAAGAATTGGTTCCTGAAAATTTGCCACCAAAAAATAAAAATAAAAAGAACGAGAGTTACCTTAGGGACCGTGACAAGCCTTTGCTCCGCATAAAGTTGGAAGACGGGCTTGGTGTTCTCCTTCTGGGTCTTGCGCTGCTTCTCGTGTGCCTCCTAGTGAATGGGGTCGAGAATGAAGGGTGGGGGAATGGACGTTGGGGTGGTTCCAGGCGGTTACAAAGGACGGTGTGAGTAAAAAATGTAAAATGAGGGCTCTGAAGAAGAAAAAAAAGCGACAGAGAGAGAGATACAGTGTGATACTATCTCATCCCAAAAGTGCGGGAAACTGTGATGTTATAATCGGTCTAGCTCCCATTACTTATTCAGCTAAAGTTTCATCCCTTCCTCTTCTCTCGTAAAACCGCGATACCGGATGCAAAAGCGAGCTGTTGTGTATGTGTACCTTCATTCCAGCAAGTGCTCCAGCAAGATTCTTGAGAAGGCGAATGAACGACTGACGACGACGGCATACCTGCAGTGTCGTGTCCATCAATGCCTCGTATGCTTTGTGAAGGGTTGTCGGGATCTCATCGGGCTCAGCAAAGGTGCTGTTATTGCCCTGACCACCATTGTTGCCACCAGCCCCCTGCGGTCCGTCCCTTGCATTGGTTGTATTGCCCGTGCTCTTGGACCCACCCCTGGTGCTGACGGTGAGCGATGCCAGTTTTTCGAGGCCGCGACTGTAGGTATCCTCGATTTCGATTCTGGCTTTGAAATAGGCCAAGTAGCGTGCAGTGTCGTCGCTGTGCATAGTTTGAAGGATCCGATTGAGCGACGTCTCCCAGGCAGCAGCCTGCTCCTTGGACTCTTTGGCCTCCTTGGTCATAGGAGGCATCCCGAGGGGCAAGATAGGCGTTGCCCTGGAGAGGCCCGTTGGGGGTAAGGGGTGGTCGCGGTCGACATCACTTGGCATACGGCTGTGCCTGGAGGTCATTGAGTTTGTGTGTGAGGTTGTCGTCTGTTGTTGTGAGCAGGGCGGTGGGCGTAGTTGTTAAAAGAAGGAGAGGGAACGTATGGAAGTGTTTAGAAAGAGGGAGGGGTAAGGAAGGGCGAAGAATGAGAATGAAGCGAATGAAAATGAGATGATGAATGAGGCAGAGAAGGGAGAAGAAAAGAGAAGAAGAAGAAGAAGAAGAAGAAGAAGAAGAAGAAGAAGAAGAAGAAGAAGAAGAAGAAGAAGAAGAAGCTTTTATTGCAAGCTAGTGGAAATAAAAAGAAAAGTAAGGCGCGCTCTTCTTGGGTTTGGCCAGACACGACGTTCTTTTCTTCATTTTGGTCTGGGCCTTCTTCATACGCAAAAGTGATCCACGACAAGAGAGCCAAACTGCTACTTTTCTCGTATGGAATACCATGCAGCAAGACAAAAGAAAGCAGAAACACCATATCTCCATGGTCCTAGGCCTGCGACGTCCAACTGCTGTTAATTGCCATTGACATTATCGGTGGGATCACCAGTATTCGGTGCCTTGGTAAGGCTGTGCCCAGATCCCTTTACCAAAGCGATTTAAGGTTTGAGCAACGTAATCGAAAGGCAAAATGTAGCAGATACTAACTCTGGCTCGCTCTGCCTTGCCTTGTTCCCTTCGTTTGGGCGTCTTTGAGGCCACACTGAAAAAAATACAAGGTGCACACTGCGCACGACGAACGAAACACACAGACTCTCAAGACTACCAGACTGGACCATTCATACACACACACATACTTGCATTCGATCGACAACTCCCTTTCGGCAACAAGAAAAAAAGAAAGAAAAGTTCCCTTTTTCTATTCCCGACAAAAGCTCAAGACATCCACAGGACAGGACAGGGCCTTGACCCTCACTCCTACCACACAAACACACAGACACACACAGCAATATGACCGTCACTCATCGCAAGCGGACAGCCAATGATGCTGAAAAGGACATCGGTAAGTCAAGAAACCCCAGGGATGATGATGTCAATCACATCCTTAAAAAGTAGATGGGTGCATCCGTCTCAGCGAGTTGCATCAACTTGCTTACGGCTAATTATTGACATTATATGTGACCATATCGACCTTTTTGCGAGAAACGGTTTCCCTCAAGTTCCTTTTCACAAATAACCTTTTGATGCTTGGTGGACATCCTCCTAACACACACCCTTTCCTTCCCTTTCTAACCATGTGACCCTTCTTTGACTATCAATGGTTGTTGGCGATATATAGCTGAGGCGGGTGTTAAATATCACTGCGACCCTTGCAGCCGCAACATCACGGATACCGTCCGGATACGATGCGCTATCTGCAGCGACTTTGACCTTTGCGTCAGCTGCTTCTGCAACGGCGTGGAGCTCGGCAAACATAAGAACTGGCACGACTACCGCGTCATGGTAAGTCATACACATCTGGCTGTCAAATGTTTTACTTTTCTGTATTCGCGTCTTAATGTGGCTACATAGATTACTAATATTTTCTATATCTTTACTTATTTACAATAGGAACAACACTCCTTTCCTATCTTTGACACAGAGTGGGGCGCAGACGAGGAGCTGTTGTTGATCGAGGGCGCCGAGAACTTTGGTATTGGAAACTGGCAAGATATAGCTGACCACGTCGGATCAAAAACACGCGACGAGTGTGAAGCCCATTACCTCCAAGTCTATGTCAACAGCGACACATGGCCTCTTCCTGTAAGCCTTCGATCTCAGCTCTTTTCGCACACTCGTCCAAAGGAGATAACTTCAAAAGGCCTGACATGACTAACGTTCAGCTGCTTTCCTACCAACGATTATTTGCAACATAGGATATGAGCAAGCGGTTTGATATGGATCCCGAGGCCCAGGCGGCGAGAAAGAGACAGCGCTTGGCTATGAGAGTCAACCGAGTACCAGGTAAAAATTGCCGCCCATCTCGTTCCCTCTTTGATACGACCGCGAGTCAAAGCAAGATACCAGTACAAACCTTGATTTGATATCCTATGCACAATTAATAGCACCGGTCAAAGCGCAAAAGCCCATGACGAGTCAGCCTGCCAATCACGAAATTGCTGGATACATGCCTGGGCGATTGGAGTTTGAGACGGAATACGAAAACGAGGCTGAGCAGTCTGTCAAGGATATGCTCTTCAGCGAGGAGGATGCCCCTGAGGAAGTCGGTATGTTTATCCTCGATAGGTCAATCTATTCGGTTTATTTTGGTATGTGTCATTCTCAGAGACAGCCGTTCTCATACCTCATTTTCTGATTTTTATCTGTTTAGACTTGAAATTAATGGTCCTGGAGATTTACAACGCCAAGTTGTCCAAACGCCTGGAGCGGAGGAAATTCGTGTTTGACAGAGGCTTCCTGGAGTACAAGAAGGCAAGTCTGTGCCCATCCTGGAAACTGCTACCGCATGTGAATAGCCCCATGGAGTTGCAAGTCTAACTTGCGCCTTTGTTTCTACATCTTATAGAACCAAGCGGTAGAAAAGAAGAGATCACCGAAGGAGCGAGAGTTGATTAACAGCATGCGCGTATTCGCCCAGCTCCAAACTCCAGAGGACTATGACAAGTTTATCGAAGGCCTTTTGAAGGAGATGCATCTGCGCGAACGGATCGCTGAGCTTCAGGAGCTCCGAGCAAACGGGCTGACAACACTCGCCACTGGTCAGGAATACCTTCGCGACAAGACTAATAGGGTACGATTCGATACTATCCGCCATTACGTTCTTGCGCGCGATTATATGTTCGTGTGCGCTGGCCGCTAACACCAGCTTTTTTCATTGAACCCCACCCTTATAGACAAGTTTGAGACATTTGATGACAAGGGACACTGGCATGAACGACAGGAGAAACGCTCGTCCTCTTCCGCAACGCGCCAACTTGGATGAGGTAACCTTACTCTTTGTACTTTCTCGCCACATAATCCTCCCTGAGTTCTTTCAGAGTAGACGTGCTAATCACAATGTTTTCTGCTCCATATAGACCCCCTCACCTCGTGGTGCAGCTGCTGGAAACAAGGCCACGCCAGTGATTCGCAAGCCAGCCAACCCGTTGAACATCCAGAATGCAGAAGGTATTCATCTCCTCACTGTCCCTGAACAGGCCTTGTGCTCTACCCTCCGAATCTTCCCCAAGTCGTACATGATCATCAAGGAGCAATTGCTGAAGGAACATGCACGTCTCGGAGGACTCAAACGACGACAAGCGCGTGAGTTGATCAAGATTGATGTGAACAAGACTGGCAAGATCTATGACTTTTTCGTCGAGGCCGGCTGGATCCAGAACTCTGACGCCTAAAGTGTTCTTCCTGACGGGGGAGACGAGCGAGGAAGCCTTTTTGTGCTTTGCTTAATGGGGTGTATCCAGTTTAGTGTCGTCCTTTCTCTCTCTTCTTCCCTTTTAATGTAAAAACGAATGTATCATAACGAACAAATATTGTCTGCAGGCATTGGGCGCAATGCCTCTTTTTCATGATTTCTGTCACCCTTGGTGCACAAGCCACAAGTACAGCACTTTTTTTTTCTCTTTCTTTGCCACCGATTTTTTCGTCATGATTCCTTCTTTTCAACTTTCAGCCAAACACACACGTCAGCCATGTCGGAATCAACATCAAACAACAGTAACAACTCCTCAGACCTGGAACGGTGCCTAGAGCTACTTCGGCCAGGGACTTCTGATGAGTCCAAGTTCATTGGTCTGACGCTCATGTCAGACCTGTTGCAGATCTCGCAGGACCAGGAGACTATGACCCACTTCTTTGACAATATGGATTTCCCGTTCCTCGACAGAATGATGCAGATCGGTGAGTACAACAGGCGTCGATAATGTAAGCAACATCGAGACACTACTCGAATGGCTCTCAGGTGTCATAGAATCAAGACGTACACTGACCGGTGATTATTTGTCCATGTCATTAGAGGAGAGCAGTGTTCCAAAGGAGGCTGGCGTGGATGCGACGACGATCCGATCGATTGCGATTGACATCATGACCTGTTTTTCAACACATTGGGAGTTCCTCGTCAGGAAAGAGTTCAAAGATCGGGTGCCCACTATGCTTAGCCTTCTTTCAGCGAGGTAATTCACCGGACTTGGTCTACATGAAAGCGACTTTGCACTTGAGCGGCACAATGGACATCTTTCTCAATATTACTTCTTTTTTTTTCTGTTATCGATTACAGCGATGCGACTGAAAATAGCAAAAAGATTTTGAAGATTATGGTCAGGATATCGGCGTACCCACAGGTCTCTATGATCTTGACCAACCCAGGATACCAAAGCTCTATCGTCGCCTACATTTTTGATACCTTCGATAGTAAAGGTTCGTCGAATTGATCTGTCTCTAATATTTTCTTCCGCTCGTAGAAGATCGGTCAATTTTGGATTCACGTCCTAATCCATCTCTCTCTCTATCACTCATGTATAGGCGAAGCACACGAGGACGCGGTGATGGTGTTCAAACGGACATTTCTAATTATTCAGGAGGGCTTTAAACAGAACCCCAAGATTGTGCTTCAGATCACCAAAGACTTTCTTCCGACCATCATGAGCCGGATCTCAAAACCCTTCAGCGTGCTGTCAGAGACTCACAAGCCTGAGATACTGCAGATGCTGACAGAGTCGGTAGCGTATCTGCCAGAACAGTATATGCAGCAACATGTCAAGGATCATGCTGTTGAGACGCGGAATTGGGTCAGAAACTTGAAATCGGGATTGATCCAGCTTCTTAGTACCCGGCAAGGTACGTACTAGCTTGTGCGAGCAAATGCCTTGGAGATCAAATGTGTGGTTCTGTTTTTGACTGACTTTTTATTGTTTACTGGAATTGATAGCACCTACAACGCGAAATGATTGCTTCAAGCTGATCGGACTCTTGTTGCAGAGACTTGGAGCGGACTGGATCTTCCCTGAGATCCCTACAACGGACACCATTCTTGCAGAAACGAGGACAAAGAAGAAATCATCACCTGCAACACTTGTTCATTCAATGGAGTCACTATCACTCACGGACGCAGAGATTGACAAAAAGTTTGCAGCACTGGTAGTTCATCTCGCCTGTGTCGAGGCACGTGTCTTGATGGATGAGCTAGCAGATGAATTATCTGGTACAGCGGCTACGACCAAGAAGGAAGACGATGAGGTTCGACAGGCCAAGGTCAGAAAGGAGCAGGTCTTACCGTTGGTGTATGAGATTCTGGAGGTGTCAATTGGCTACTTGGTCTTGGTCTCGGAGGATGATGAGCTTTTGGAGCGGGGGTTGTTTGATGCCACGGCGTTGCTCAAGGTCCAGGAATCGCTTCAGGCAGCCTTCTCTGCGGTCTTGGACTACCTCTTGGATCTCCAGGTAACCAAACGCTTTTACGTTTCTTTTTACTCACCGCAGATATAGCGAATTCTTTATGGCACTCTCTTACACTATGATTCATCTTCTCTGTCAAACTCTAGACGAGCAAGGACGGCACCCCTGAGAAGTTGGTTTCAAATATGAACTACCTGGCATCCATGAGGATCTTGTCTGTATGGCTGACAGAAGACGACTCCCTTCACGCACAAGCTGTCGCCCTCTTCCCAACGCTAGAGGAAGTTGTCCGCCTATGGTAAGTTTCAACACTCCACGCATTTTCCTATAATACTTGTTTTGTTGAAGAAGGCCACTAGATATCAATTCGCTGACCATATATTTTTCCTCCTTCTTTTGTACGCGCCGTACATAGCAAGTCAAAATCTTCACAAAAGTCGCTTGTGCGGTTACTCCAACCAATCCTTGATAGGTTTCAAGAGCTCTCTCTCGACTAGTTTTCCGTCTTTTTCTACCAGTAAACTAATAGATATCAACTCCTTTCGCCAACAGAGTAAAAGGGAGATTATTATTATATTTTCGTTTTTTTTGCTGGTTGGTCACTCAAGCTGGGATGCGAGGAAGGAAGCCAAGTACTGATCAACATCCTTCCATGCCTGGTCTTGGAGCCCATTAACTCTGTACCTGATGTGCGAATCCGGTCGAAGAACCACAATCCTTCCCTCTGCTCCTACTCCTCTCCCTTCAACGACGTACATCTTATGGATCCTGGCGCCTTTGTCCAGGAATACTTTTCCTACCACCATCACAAGCAATCAAGTACCTTGACCAGGCCATCTGGATCTCATACCTCTTATCCCCTTGCTAGGCATACATGTCCACTCCTCCATTCGGCATATTGTCCTCCGGGGTCGTGTTCTCCACCTGAAAGCGCACGTCGAATAGCTGTTTCCACATATGTCACCTCCCCATCATCTCCATTGAGGACTTTAGTGTCCATCAACTCCCGCCCACACTCCACACAACCCTTCAAATCCTCCAAAAACTCACTCAACAAACCCTCAAAGTCTTCTCCTGCTCCGACAACAACTCATAATTAAACTCTGTATCCTCCATCGACGTCCCCATAACCGGCAAAGTCCCTACCCTCCCTCCCTCCCGCATGCATCCTAAAATTCGTTAGCGAACGCCGATGTCCCAAGAACCGATCGAGTATGCTGGAGAGACAGAATATTTCCATGGACCGGGTGTGGAGGGCCAAGGGCTTCTGAGAAGGAGGAGAGGAGGAGGAGGAGATGGAAGAGGCACGTTCGATGATTCGGAGGGGATGCCAAGTTTTGTGAGGATGAGGGCTTGGAAGGAACCTACGGGCCCACCGCCAGAGATTAGGATTGTGGTTGTTGAGGATGAGGTGGTGGTGGAAGAAGAGGAAGAGGAGAATAGCATGTTTTTGATAATGTTTGAATGTATATTTTCTTTTTCGTTGATTGCTTTGGATTTATATCTTGTTTGTTCCTATGTCTATGAATTGATGATCTGAAGGAAGATCTACCTCCTCTTTTTATATGAAAAACAAAGTCTCTCTGTCTAATTGCATTTCTCCTTCTCTTCCTCTACAAACGACCTGCGCACTGCTCAGAAAATAATAAAAAAAACAAGAAGAAGAACACTGCCATGTTGGCAATAGATATAGTTGAAAACGCGTCCAAATTGGTGGCAATAACCTTAATTGGTGGCGATGTTCCTCCCCTCTTTGCCGAGGAATTATATTTCAAGGCTTCCTACAAGCACAAAACACACTCATTGACCTCTGTCCCTTATCCCGCAATCGCTATCAGGTGAGACAGGACATGCACAAAGATAGTAAAGGGGTAAGATCAAGAACGAGATCTAAAAACATCACGTCAGGGCAAACATGATGACGGCCAAATGCATACACACTGCCATACCAGGAACCAACTGCGGACATGAATCGTTCACTTTTTTTATGTTCGACAATGAATTTTTTTTAATCGTATCTTCTATTTCTACCTAAAGTTATCTCTGTCTGTCAAGACACCCTTCTTCTGCCTTCACTCATAATGGGCAACGAGGACAGTCGAAAAGTACTCATCAACATCCTTCCAAGCCTGCTCGTTCACTCCATGGACACGGAAGCCCACATGCGAATCTGGGCGGATCACTGTAATGCCTCCCAACCCTTTGGTCGCCGCAAACCCGTAATTCTGATGTGTCCGTCCAGCCTGGTCGACAAAGACCTTTCCTTTTCCGACATCTCGCTTGGACATCTCGAGGAGGACAGGGGAGGATGAGGTGGTGGAGGAGGGGCCGGTAATGACATGCACCTTGAAGAGATCTTTGTCAGTGTATCCGTCCCGAAGAGTCGACCCGTATGTCCACTTGGATTGCCATTGGCTGACATGGTGGTCGAGGAGGGTCGAGATTTCCTTTGCGCCCGAGGTAGTCAAGTGGTCAGATGCAAAGACGAGGATGTGGAAGCGGGCGACTCCTGTGATTAGCGAGTGAAGGCGCAAGGTGGGTTGTGGGTCCTTCTTTTCCTTTGTGTCGGTGACAAAGGAGGAGTAGAAGGGGAGGAGGATGCCGTCTTTGGCGCGGACACCGACTTTGTAGTCACCTTTTGGCTCGGGTTGAGTCTCGTGGGGTCTGTTGATGTTGTTCTTCTCGTACTCGACGTCGAGCTATTTGAGGTTGGATAAAAGACGAAAAAGGGGTCAGTGTATTTGCAAAAGCCAAAAGAAAAAAAATACTAAAGAGAAAGCGATGTTACACATACCATGGCAACCTCAGGTGAAAAGAGCATGGAACCAAACACCGAAGAGATCAAGGGTCCAATCAAAAAGAATAAGTACGCCTTGATATCCGCCACCCACCCCTTGTCCAGTCTCCTCTTCAACAACTTCGACGACAACTGAATAGCACGATCCGCCATCGCACCCCTCTCCTCATACGTCGGCAACAAGAATTCTGGCTTTGCAAGACCGTTCAACACGTAACCTAACTTCCAAGCCAGGTTGTGGGCATCATGTAGGCCGGTGTTCAACCCCTGCCCACCAGCGGGTGAATGAACATGAGCGGCGTCGCCGGCGAGAAAGATCCGGTTCTTGTAGACGTATTGCTCAGCGCGGCGTTCGTTGGTCTTGAAGGCTGTTAGCCAAATGGTGGATTTGACCTTGAATTTCGCGGGGTGGGCAACCTCGGCGACAATGGACTCGAAGTGCTCGATGGTGAGCTCGCGGAGGGTTTGTTCAAAGTCTTCACCGGGGGCCATGTCGCCATCTTCGACTCCGATACGGAGCACACCGTTGGGCATAGGGAATACCATCAATGTCTTCCCATTTGGTCCCTTCACCAATCTAATACAATTGAGAAAGAAAAAACATTGAGTGTTAGTGAGCAGTCGATGATGAAGATAAGTAACTCAGAGAAGACAGAGTAAAGCAGTGCGAATAAAAACAAAAACATACGTCATTCCGTTCAAGGGCAAATCACAGTCGCAGTGACCATCCCACATGAGGGTCTTTTGGGTAAGGGTTCGTCCAGGGAACGCAACGTTGATCTTGTGTCGAACAGTCGACCGTCCCCCATCGCAGGCTACCAAGTACTTTGATCTCACAACCTGTGTCTCGTACTCCTTGTCCTTTTGCTCAGCCCGCATGTCAATATCGCCCATGACGCGGTCCTCACCCTCGACGACGTTACCACCCACCAACGCTCGTCGAATCGTCGTCTCCACATACTCCTCCTCCCCAGGTCCTCCCTCAACAACTTTGGTATCCAACAGCTCCCATCCATACTCGACGAACACACCAAACTCCTTCAACTTCCCCAAAAAGATCTCTGAAGTCTTGGCCTGCTCAAGGAACAGGCCCGTACTGAACATTGAATGGTCCGCCCCCCGGATCAATGGCAATGAGCCCACCAAACGAGCATTCTTGTAGTAACTGACATTGGTGATGGCGTGTCCCCTCTCGAGAAAGTCGTCGATGGTTCCAGTGAACTGGAAGATTTCCAAGGAGCGGGCGTGGAGACCTAAGGCTCGTGAGTTGGGCGAGATGGCCATTTCACGGTCAATGATGCGGACGGGGATGCCAAGTTGGGTCAGGAGGAGGGCTTCGTAGAGTCCGACGGGCCCTGCGCCTGAGATGAGGACTGGAAGTGTTGTTGCGGATGTTGAAGAGGGGTTGTGTGCTGTAGTGGATGGCATTTTTGTTTGTGGTTGGTGTTGGTTATGGTTGGTGTTGATTGTTTGTGTTACTAGTGCAATTGAGTTTTTGTTGTTTTTTTGAGAGGGTCAAGGAGTAGGCTTTATATACTGTTTTTTTTCAGAACTTGCCTGTCGCCAAGAACAGCTACCCTTCTAACCTCACTATACTCCTTCATCTGACCGTCCAAGGTCGACATTAGTTTCGCCCACGTCGTCTGGAAAATAGAAAAGCCAGTGCCAAGCGCCGTGACATCCTCTCTCTCTCTCGCACACACCCTCCCTCCCACTGGACTCGCTTTATTTTTGCATTCCCGTTCATAGGTTCGTTTTCTCACAGCAACAAAAGCATACAAGGTCGAAATTTGCCTTTTTGGATGACCCGCGTTACGACCCTATCTGCTTGCACACACCCCCTTCATTTCATTTCATTCCCTCCTTACAAACTCCCTCCTCGAACACAGTAACTTGGGCCCTCTCTTCGGGATAATGGTGGGGCCGAAACATAAACGTAAAAGTATATTTACAGTTCACTGCCTTTTATCTCAGCAGGATCGCTCTAGTGAGTGGCGAGGTATTTTTTCTTCCTTTTTTAGTCCTCCCATTGAGAGAGTGCTTAGAGTCTAATCTACTTTGCCTCCTTACGCTCTCAACAGCCTTCTGAGTTTTTCCTTCACGACTGTGCATTTTTGCTTGCTTTGGCAATTTTTCAGTGAGACGTTACAAGGGCCCAGGATTACGCATAGAAAAGATGACACCACACAGAAACGAAGAATATGAAAAGTCATGGAAGCGAGGGGAGCGAGAAGGATGGATGCGGTAGTATGATCGGAGACTAGCGGTGTTTTCTCGCCTGAATGATAAATGTGAATAAGGCAACGATGGCAGTGATGCGCAGTGTGGGGTTTATCCACGGTGCTTACAGTAATTGAAGTGTTGTTCGTGCGGCGTTAATGGTGCACAGTCCAAGGGTCAGCGCAGAGGGTAAATCTTTTTGTTGTTAGACTTTTTTGAGTTTTCTTTTTTGTTTACAGGTGGGGGGGAGGGGCCTAGGATCTTTATCAGATGCAATGTACGACTCTCCATTCGTGCTATGTCGTCAGACTCCAATGGTTCACCTCGTGCATCCATCCTCCATCCACGATAATAACAGGATTTTTTCTTTCTTTCTTTCTTTCTATAGATGCATGTGCTTCCTATTTTCTTCTTTCCTTTGTGAACCATGGATAAACCGTCGCCGCTGCAACCTTCTCGCTTGCGTGCATTCTGGCTGCATATTTTTTTATCATTATGTCTAGATACCATATTGGAACTGCGCAACAGAACCATTGCAGTCGTACATGCAAACCCCCCATGTTGACAGGACGCGAACGTGAACAACAACAGAACATGATGCCTCTATTTCTCGCGTCCCAAGAAGGTTTCAGTTCCCTGCTCGTTCGCCGGAAGGCATGCTTTCCTTCTCAGGATACGATTTTTAAAAAAAAAGATAGGAGTGTTGATCACATTCGCGTTCTTTTTGTCTTGTTGATGTGGTCTGTACATGTTCGAGCAAGTGTCGGATTGAGATGCATGGTCAATGGATGAGACCTTTGGATATCTGCAGCTCAAAAAGAATGTGTGTGCGTGTATTTTTGCTTCGTTTGTCTAAGACTGTGAGCATTTGGGCGTAAACGGCACCTCTCCAGAATGTTTGTCGCAGAGAAAGCAAACGATTCTTTTTTTTTTGTACCTTCACTTGGCGGTACAGTGCTAGGACGAACAAAAAAAAACAACTGCGCTTCTTTGAAGGCATTCATTGTGAGAGATCTTTCATCCATGTTTGCTAAAAAAAAAAAAAAAAAAAAGCCATTCCTTCTCTTTCCACCTTGAGATGGGTAGCAGCCTTGTTAAGTGTGTTTGGTCCTCCCTGCTCCGACGCGTTTTTTTTCTTACTTCGTGCACAGGTTTATTTCTCTGACAAATAGCACAGAAACGGATTTGGAAGTAAAATGTGAATTACAGACTCAAACTCCTCAGGGGGCCATCAACCAGTTGCAGTCCGGTCCGAAAACCTGGCTCTGTACAACAATTGTCGCTGCTCATCATAGCTTTAACGGAAGACAATTTAAAACTAGATACGAATAAAAGGGATTCTTCCCATCCTCACCATCATTGACAACCTCCTCCTTCCCAACAAACTCTCCATCAACCACTCGTCGGCAGCGCGTATCCTTGCTCGCTTCAGGGCAGGTCCCATCCTCGTGTGTGGCTAGCGAAGCGCCACACGGTCAGAAACCATCACCGGTGATATTTTTTTGTTTTTAAGAAATTTATTGCGTCGTGGGTGTGCGTGCAGCATCACCGGTGATATTACCGTATCCTATCAGTCTGGGCACCACGTGATTTCATTTCTTAAGGGCATCTTTGATCACGTGTAACGGCAATGGTTGAATGCTTGAGGCTTATAAATGTCCAAGAAAATTGATTGTCATCCAGCTTTCTTAGCTCAGCCGGCAGAGCGTCAGTCTCATAATCTGAAGGTCGTGAGTTCGATCCTCACAGAGAGCATTTTTTGCTACCGCGGACTAGAATCAAAGAGTTCCTGGGAGCTTCTTTTTTGTCATCCAAGGTAGACCTTCGCGACGACCAAGGGCGAGAAAGGGAATCAATTGGGTTCAAGTCCAACTATGTTTGTTCACGTTTTTATTTTTTGCTCGTTTGAAGTCGTGTTTTCTTTTGTAAGATGGAATGCTAGTTGTTGTAGGTTATTGTTGTCGTTAAGCCGGCCAGGGCTATGCTGTAAAGTATTGTTCGTTTTGTCTATTGTGCCAAAAGGTGGGCTGAGAGAGAAAAAAGAGAGTGAAAGTTGAACGTGTGAATTCTTCTTGGATCAATCGACAAAGGCAACATCAACAACAAGGACGGTAAAGGCGGAGAAAACTTACATCGGACGGGAGCTGCAACAGACGCCTGGTCTGCAACAACGACTTGATGTAATCTCCTCTGGAATTCATATTTTATCCTCAGCTGCTTCTTCTCTCCGAGGCATGGGTCATAAAATCCAAGAATGTGGTTCTAATACATAACAAAGCCGTCGATTCAATGCATGTCAGTTACAATAGCCCGTGAACATTACCACAAACATATGATTGAACTCGAAAAAAGAAAGAGATGTTACCTTGGAGTGGCCACCGGGCATGGTGAGCTGAGAGTTATTGACAAGTGCCTGAACAGCGATCGTCACATCCGCAGAGAGACCGAGCTCAGGTGCGGCATCAAGGTTTCCATAGGTAGCTTCAAGAATGACCAGTCCATCCTTCTCCTGTTCATGTCTAGTCTTGTGATCTGTCGATTCTCTCAAGATCTCGATGGCTTCCTGGGCCTCCTTCTTTTGGTTGGCAATAAAGTCTGCGTGCACAGCGCGAAGTTCCTGAATCTTTTCTGCGCGCTCCTTTCTCCTCTTGGGCTTGACGTATCCGATATCTATCGCAGTGACGGCACAGATGGGTACTACGGTCGCCCAAAAGGCGAGCTTGGGGTTGAACTCTGCTGCCAATACAATTGGGATCGTCAAACTCTGGCCCAAACGCTTCACCCTAATAACGTTAAGAGGACGATAATCCAGGGCTTAGGGCTGTGTCGGACACAAATTGACGCGAGTGTATCCATGAAGATACCAAAGACTTACTTGATGTTGAAGGCGACACCGCCAGAGAGACCGACCTCGACAGCGAGACCGACTTTGGTGTGCTCTGTGATTTTACGATCACCTCCAATGCTGGCATTAATACCGGCGGTGGTTGAAAGACTTCCACCGACACGAACCTTTGTGGCGCTGTCCAAAGTCCATGTGTGATCCAGGGAGAGGTGCGATTGCATCAATCCCGTCTGGACCTCGACCTGATATGCCCTGTTGTCGTCCTGTGAGCTGACACCGAGAGCCATAGACGAAAAGTCGCGACGTCTCTCAAGAACAGGACCCCAGGATCCAATAGCCCACTCTCCTGTGCGGTAGGTCATATATCCTGTTGCGCCCTTGGTGATCCTCCGTCCAAATGTCATGACGAGGGGTGCTGGTCCCTTGAAATTGCGAACCTGGGCTGTTCCAGTGATGAATGTCAAAGGGTCGATCGAGTAAGTAGCCTTCAAGACTCCGACTCTAGGCTTCAACAATGACGAGCCAAGCTAGTGGATGAAATGTATGATATAAAGTCGAGTTCGTGAGATGTTGAAATCGTAAGTCCCGCAAGCGACAGATGCCTGAACAAGAAGTCCTGAGTAGATTACAATACCTCAACGTTCAGCTTATCGGAAAAGGCATGTCGAATAGTGCCGACAACGTTTCCTCCGCTCATTCCTGATCTAGAAGTCATCTGTCCTCCAACAATGAACTGTGTCCTAGGTCCAAATTGAGTCTGGCAAACATAGGCAAGAAAGAAAAATAAAGGTTGGTCAGAACGACTGGAACGACTCGCTTTCAAGCAGCAGCTCATTTGACATGCAAGCAAGGATGCCCTTACCTCGAACGAGTTCTTCATGTAGAGCTGCATGATCTCGGCCCTCTTGAGTGGATCCAGTATACTTCCGCGAGACGTTTTGGCAAAAGCGATGCCTCCAAATGGTGACATGATTTCCTGGTTTTTGAACACACGGGTAGCGTCCACATTGATCGTAATGTCGTTTTTGTTCCTGACCAGACTCTCGAGCTCCATTTCACGCTTCTCTCTCGCTAAACGAGAATACTCCTCACGCAGCTATAAAGGTCAGGGTATTGAGAGACAAAAAGGGTGAGAACTATCAACCACGACCACTTCCAGGATGTGTGCCGAAATCGAACCTGCCATCCTGCGGGCAATAAAAGAGAGGAGCGCATACCTCCTGAGCAGTCTTGACCCTGTGACCGACTTCCCACTTTGTGTTAAGACCCTCCTCTCCATACTCATCGTAAGCAGTTCTTAACTGGGGGTTGCTCAGCACTATTAAAAGTTGAACGGTAATAAAGGTCAGAGTTAGATTGCTACCCTATTTACCTATTGAACGAGCAGTATTTCTAGCAATACCCCGCTTGCTTACCTTCGAAAGCCTTATTGATGACATGGAATTTTGTCTCTGCTGCCTCCTTGAGTGCCGGATCGCTGTGTTTATCGGGGTGAAAGATCCTGCTCAATCGCTTGTACGAATCCTTGATATCATCCTCCGATGCCTATATACCATTCCATGGCAACGTTCAAAACCTGTGTTAATCCTTGTGCGGTTCAATCGTAAAATACCCAGCTATACTCCCAAGAAATAGCAGCACGCGTCAAGAAAAAAAAGTGTGTATGGACCATTCCTTACGGTTTTTGAGAGGTTAAGGACGGCGTAGTAATCGATCTCTGGGGGCTTCATGTTCTCGAGGTCGATTAGGTCATCGGCGCCGTAGTTGCCGTTTCCGGTGTCGGCAGGCATAGACCTGTCTTCGTAAGGGTCATCCATGGTTGTGCTTTGTCGAATGTTGTAGGTGTGATGGTAGAAAGGAAGGAAAGGAAAGAAGAGGAATCTCTTGAACCCCGAACGATCGAATGTTGTCCTTCTATTCCAGCCCCACCGAAAATGGGCATTTCCACCCACCCCCAGCCAATAAGATTTGGACCGCGAATCATTCATTCAGGGACTGGGAGGAAGGAGGAAGTCACTTTATTTCTGTGATCACTTTTACGCGCCACTATTGTTCTCCTCTTCTCTTCATTCTCCACACACAAACATCAACAACAAAACACACCACATGGCGCATCAGTGGGCCAGGAGGGTCACTGGCCACAACAGCGCAGCCTTGCACAACCAGAACCAGCACCAGGATAACCAGCAGGAACAAGAACAAAAAAGCCCTGCCCAAAAACTGGCCGAACGTGTCCACTCGTGGAGCACAACTGAGCTCGACTATCGACCGGACAAAGGCGATATACGGGCACGGAGTCACCCACGGATCATTCTCCACACCTCCACTTCCAGAAACGGGCAGCCTGAATATTGCCCACAAGCACTTGCCAGGTATCAATCTCATTTTAATGACGCTGCGTTTTACTGGCACTTCAATGTGTTACGTGCTCGCTGACCCATCGCTTGCTTTTCCTTGCCTTCAACTAGCTTGTGCCAAGGACCCTGTGGACCAATGTTTGAATACCTCGCAGAAAACCTCAAAACTCGCTCGTAAGTCTCCATGTCACAAGGCGTAATCAATGCTCCATAAATATTATCGTGGCTCCCCCGCTCACATTCTCACCCTTGCTATCGCGATTTTTGCTCTGTTAAAAGCAAGGCTAAGCAGGACAAGGACAATGCGGAGCAAACTCTGGCAAGGAAACAACAGTCGCTTACAGTGAGGCAAAAGCAACAATCAAGGACTCTCCATTGCCACGAACTCACCCTCTCTATTGCCAGAAAACGTAAGTGGTGCTCACTTGGTCGCAACGAGGCCATGTTTCTCGCGATGTTACTTACTCAAAAAAAATAACTTTCGAAATATAATAGAACGCGAGATTGCGGAATGCAAGGAGCGGATCAAGAAACAGAGGCAAATGCAGACAGTGAAGGAGATTCATCACCAGCAGGAGATGCAGACTATCCGTGTGTTTCAGGAGTATCAGGCTCGTCTACAGCTAACTCAGATTGTACCATTGGTTCATGGAACTGGGACCAATCGACACACGCTCGAGGTGAGTACTAGGTAATGCGATGCTTGACATTTTTTTTGCGATTGTTGGTACGTTCAGTTAAGGTATACTGACCATATTTATTTTCAAAAACTAGGCGGTTCTTCAGAAGACAGTGCAAGAAATATCCGACCTTCTGAAGCAAGTCGCTGTGGAGTAAGTAATATACTGAGTTGTCAAAGTAGACTGGGCCTCACATGCAATCAAACCCACTTATACCATGTTCTTTGTTCACATTAGGCAACCACACGCGACTCGAGGATCATTGGAGGGACGGAATGGCAGCATGCAGAGCTTGTACGAACACCTTCAGCAAACTAGCGACGGCGTGAGCCACTTTCTGGAAGTCATTGCAGGATCCAAGAAGGCCCAGCTTCTCGCACTCGGATCTCTCAAGGACCAAAAATCGACAGAGTCGGCATCGGGGTCAGAAACTGCTACAAGTAGCGAGGCCGCCAGTCTTTTACACGTAAGGGCAACCCTGTTGCTGGACATTATCGTGTAGTGCTTCTTTTATGCCCTTTCCCAATATGCGAAGATTGACCATGAATATGCTTTATTTTGTATGATGTAGATGTTTCGAGGACATCACATCGAGAGAGTGGTCCAAGTAGAATCAGTACTCAACAAAGTATCAGCCTGCGAACGCGAAAAGTCTCAACTGTACACTGAGATGCGATTCCGAGCCCAACGACGTGACCAAGAAAAAAAACCGAATCATTTCTTGCAGGAGTTGGAGGAGACCAAGGCACTTCTTCAGGGGTTGAGAACCGCACTGGAGTTTATTCAGACTGAGCAGGAGAATTTGGTTGAGAGGCTTATGGCTGAAGACGAGCTGAGGGCGAAGATTGAGAGCATTGGACGGGCCTCCAGGGCGGCGGACCAGAAATTGGTTAGTGCAGGTGTTTGGATTGGATCAACTTGGCGATCGTAGTGGTCGATGTATTTTTGTATGCTTCCTAACTAACTGGCTCCGATTTTGAATGACTTCTCCTACTGTAATAGCGTCAGGCACAGCACAACGTCAGGAAAGTGACAGAGATGGTACAATTGAACCTCGAAAAGGCCCCTTCACTGGCCAACAGTATCGCAAGCGACATCACCGAATCCCTTTCCCAGGGCCTCGCCCAACTCTCGACCTCCGTACAAGCCAGGAATACCACCGGAGTGAACGATATCAAGATCTTGCAGGACCTCACTCAACAGAGTCAAACTGTCTACGAGGCGAGTCATGCCCACCTGATCCCGCTCCCTGGACCAAGCTGGAGGGGATCATCGTTGTTGAGTAGCGGGTCTGGGATGGAAACTGCTGGACTTGCCTGGTACGAAACTTCGGGATCTGCGTCCCTGTCAGCGGACCAGCTCATCTTTCAGAAGGCTAGACTTCAGAGCCACAATATGGTCCGTCAACTGACCGTCTCCAAAGCCAAGGACCTGAATGCTCGACATGCACGTTCCAACAACGAGACGATCGAGTCCATGAAATCTACAACCTCGCAGATTCTCTCCTCTTTGCCCTCGACAATCGTTTCAACTTCTGAGACGACTTCACAAGAGGATGAGGAAGGCGGTGGCGGCGCTTTGGGTGTCGACAGTCTGGACTCAAAATTCGTGGCCGAGATCAAAGAGATTGCGGGATCACTGACCAGATATGACGACGAATATCACACAGCACTGGCAAGCGAGATTGAACACGTTCTTGTGGAGACAGAGTATGCAGGTGCTGTAGCCGAGGAGGTTCGATCGTTGGTCGACGATGGTCACAAGATCGCCTCTCGTTTCGAGACGACCCAAGGATATGGACAGGAACCGTCCAAGCAAAGTCGTAACACCACCTCTACTGGATCAGCAGAGTCCAAGCGAATGCGATTCATATAATAAAAGAGTTTGACCAAGGATTTTCTTTTCATCCTTCCAGTTTTGGTGTTTTTGTCATTGCGATGGTTTTATTATTAGGGTGGTGGAGGGTTCTTTTCAACACAGATCTACTTCCCCCCCTTCATCCGGGAAGAGCTATTTTCTTTTTTCCTTCATTATATCATTTTCTGCTATCATCTCTCGTTCTTGACTTTCACCCATCTCAACTGTCACGGGCATAGGCATGAGAGGCAGCAGCAAGGGACGCAAGACTGGGCGACGACCCCGAGGACACCAGTTGGTTCTTATTATGCTGCAAGATCCCCGACTTCTCCAGCATGAACGACGAGCTGGTCGAAGACGTCGGCGAGACATTCGCTGACGCAAGGGTCGTGCTGCTCCGGTACCGGCTCGCAGTAGTCGTCGCCGGGGTGCCGCCGCCTCCAAAAGAAGATGAACGCATCGATAGCGTGGATGCCGGCGAGAGCGGCAATGACGATGGCGACGAAGAGTGGCTATATCGAGGGATTGTTGACCCGCTGTGGGAATGTGGTGGGGAAAGGAGTTGATCGCTGGAGAGGAGAGTCCTTGCTTTGGGAGTGGCGGGGGTAGTTGCCTTCTTCTTGTTCATAGGACATCCTGATCCTTGGTTCAGGTGGCGCTTCCATGCGGCTTCGCCGTCAGGGAACATGACCTCCTGGCATAGAGGACACTTTACCGTCGATTCCGGGACAGCTATTTTTTCGTCACAGAAAAAAGTTCAGTCGGAATAAGATTTTCGATTAGCCAACTGCACAGCTGCATGAAACAAAACAACAACCATGTTGTCAAGAAAGCATGTTGAATAACACGCACCAACACAACCACAGGCAACGTGAGCCAGATAGGTATCGGCTGCCATGATCTCTTGACAGTTTTCACACTGCTTGACAAATTTCCGTCTTGGACATTCCTTCAGCATATGCTCCGAAAGCGTCGGCACCTCGATGATCTACAAAAGACGAGTTGGTAGAATGTCAGCTATCATAATCAACGCCAACGACAAGACATTCCGACATTCAACGCATCACGAGAAGAAGAACTTACGATTTTACAGAAAGGGCAGTTAGCAAGCATGACGCACTCTCCCCAGTAGTGCTTCACCAGCCCTTCGTCCGTAAACGCGTCACTGCGCTCGTCACAAAAGACACACATCCGGTCCTTGCCAGTCGATGGTCGTGGCGATGACGAGGATTCCGTGCTCCGTTGAGATCCACCTCCTGGCGAGGAGAGCTGGTGCTCGGACGACGAATGATCCTGCCGAGAGATTTTTGTCTTGAGCGTGCCTGGCTTGGGTCTTTCCTGCACTGTTCGGTTGGTTGGGCGTGACAACAATGGCGATACTTGAGGGATCTTGAGCTTGATGTCCTCAGAGGCAGTCGACTCGTTTTCCTCATCTGGAGACCTTACAGTGTTTCGCTTGACCATACTCTTCGGTACGCCAGAGTAGAGTGCCTGGGTAGCTTTGATAGAAGAACGGAGAGGCATCTTCAGGCGTGCTTGGTGGGCAACGGCCGCGTCTGAACGCTGCCGAGACGACTGGCGGCCAGATCTGGGCTGGCCCGGAGAGTCTGGTTCTACCAGGAGACTCTTGAGTGAATCCATATGGAGGTTCACCTTGACAGGCGTAGGAATCTGGCGCCTCCGTGTCGAGGTGGTTGAAGAATTGGTTGTGGTCGTGGTTGTTGATGTGTCCGAAATATTGGCCTTGAGGTCCAATCTGGATGGGATGTGGGTGGACATCGACATTGAGCGAGAGGGTGCGAGCGAGGACGAAGGAGCTAATGTATGAGGGTCGCGTTTCTTCGGCTCCAGCTCCTTTTGGATACTCTAGAAGACAACAAGGATACCGGGTTGTTAGGCTTTTATCGTATGCAACGGGCATGAACATGTCGCAAAAACAATGGGCATTTCATACCTCGATAAGCAATGGTTTGACGCCAGGAAGAAACTGCTCGACTCTGGTCTTGTTCAAGAACTTGCAGACGTCAATAATAAGCTTGCGTGTTGCGACGCGAACTTCTCCGTTGGTATGGCTCAGATATGGGACCGCGAACTCTGTGATGCTCTATAGCCAATTTTGAATCAGATCAGACGAAAGAAAATAAAGTCAATAAATGCAGCACGCGAAGGCAAATGTTTTCTTTAGCACTCTTACAGTGCACACCAATTTGTGTTACCTCGAACTCGAGACCGCCTGCGGTCCCTTTACCGGCAACTCGGTCATGGACACCGAACTCGTCCACAAGCCTGGCAACGATTTCAACGCGTGACTGGGCCTGTCTGTAGGGGACCGTTGTCCTGGCTGGCCGGAATACCAAAGGCAAGATGGCATAAGGCTTCCTCCTGAAATCATCACAGAGCATCACGATCCTGTCAATCGAACCTTGCGCCACACGGGTGTTGAGGTCTGAGGCTTTGACAAGCAAGAGCGCAAATATCGGCTCCAGTGATCGGTATGCAATGGAGTTGGGAACCTCATTTTGAACACAGAACCCTATTGTCCAAAGTAGAACTTGTTTAGTATGGCTATGGCTTGAGAGTGCAATCATAGTGAGCAATTCGCTCTAGGTGCGACATGACTTACGAACAACTTGGTCGAGTAATGCCAAGGCGATGGAGACCACCTTTTCGCGGGTGTCTGACAGAGCGGTCAAGATAACTTGGAAGACAGCTCTCGCCAAAATCGCTCGATCTCCGGCCTGCTCTGGCTCATCCGAGACGTGTTCATTCTCCAAGTGCTCCTTGACATACTCGACAGCATACAACCGATGGCTGATATCGCGGTTGATAAGGCATGACACAATCTTCTCCGAAAAGACCTCAAGTGTGAATGTATATGTTTTTAGTTCCTGCTCCGACAGTTGATACAATTTCTCCTCGTCCACCTCGTCTGGACCGGCAGTTGAAGGAACGGGCAGATCAAGTGGTCCGAGTTCCTTGATATTATCCAGTATTACTGACGATTGCTGAGTTCGGGAGTGGCTCTTGAAAGTTGGCAGAGAAGTCGGTGGCAACAATGTCTTTGAGAGACTGGCATTGCTTGTTGAGTGCCGTCCTGTACTAGAGCCTTGTGATCTTGGTAATGACACAGGGATATTGTTCGAATGCTCCTCTCTTCTCGTCTTGTCCGGATCTGAGCTGTTATCGCTGGTAATGGACGGACTCCGGTTTAGACTGACAGGAACGGGGATGCTCTTTCGGTTGATAGGATCACGTCGACCAACACTTCCTGCGCTGCCACTCGATGAATTGCGCGGGTCCAACGCTCGTGGCAAATGGCTTGCCGAGTGACTCTAGATATAGCAATATCAATATTTGGGTCAGCATTCAGTTTGGACAGACTTGCTACGTTTCGCAATCCGTAAAATGCTTCTTACCTTTGCAATGGTACGTGGTTTTTCGGTCACCGCTGGCTCTTCAGATGTTTGCTCTTCGAACGAAGGAATGGATACGACCGCTGAGGCATCTGTCCATGTGATACTGAATCCATTCAAGGCAAGTTGAGCGTACATCCTGACTTTCACATCAGCCGCCTTCGCCTACATATGCAAAAAAAAGTAGAGCAATGGGTCCGCCGCAAAATAAGAGCATTAGGGTGACATATTCAGGATATCCATATTCTCCCCTTGGCATCCCGAACTCGCAATGTTCACTGTGTACCTTCAATTCCTGCGCCAAGTCAAACTCCTCGTTTTTAGCTGCCTCGTACTTTTGAGTATCAAACGCCTGAATTTCTTCCGCAAACTAAAGAGTCGAGAAAAATGAAACGCAAAGAGCGCTTACGTGAATACATGAAACTGAAATATAACGCTGAAGGAGCATGCATTTGCGACGAGGCGAGGGGTGAGTAAAATGAGCCCAGACTAACCATTATCATTTCTTCGTAGCCAGACTTGAATCGCTTGGCCGATGGGAAATCCTCCACTATTGCGTTGTTGCAGAAAGAAAGTGAGTTATTTGTCCAGCCTTAACTTGCCTCGATAGCGGACGCACGGTGCTCAAAGGGGGTTTACCTCTGACGGCATCCTGCTTTGCTTTGATGAATCCGCTTACAAGATTCTGTATTTCTGGGTCCATATAGTTCAGGGGCTGCTCCTTGACGTCTGAGATCGATAAAGCGCGTACTGTGTCCGAGAGGACATGTGTCTCATAAGACATCTCGGGGACTGGGAAGGCCGGGTGCGCAAGCGATGTCTCTGAAAGACCATGGCCGGGTCCGTTGACAACTTCAAACTAAAATAACGAAATACCACATTTGGTTATTTTTTGTTTTCCTGCGGAACAAAATAAAGACGTCCAATGCCAGTAAAATGCTCATAATCCTACCTCGTCAAAGTTGAGGCGCTCCGATTCTCCGAGAAGTTCATCCTCAAGTGGCTCTCCGAGAATGTTCAAGGCTAAAATTGCAACCTGTGAAGTATATTGTTGTGGTAAATAAACATCAGGGTCAGTCGTCAGAACTCTTCAGGATTAAGTGCGAACACATAGGGGATAAAATGCTTCGGGCAATATTAACCACGAGAGCACTGACTTGCCTGGTGGTAGATATTGAGAGGGTTGACATGGCACTGCCGGATGACCACACGCAGGTACTCGCCCTCGACGTCAAAGTTGATGGACCGCAGTTCGCGCTTCGAGTAATTCGAGGCGGCGTTGCTGTCGAATGAGATGGATCCGAGCTTCTGAAACTGTAGCACAGGGAGCTTCTTCTTCTGGTTGTCGTCCCTCGAGCCTCGACGGTTATCGTCATTGTCGTTATCGTGTCCATGACCAAAGGTTCTCTCTCCATTGCTTTGAAAGCTGTTGTCGTATTCGTTATTACTCTCACGTCCTGATTGAGTGTCCATTCCTGAAGGATCCGTCTGGACATCCTGCGTTCCCTTCCAGGAGCCCATCCAAAAGTCGAGTTTGCTGGCAATCTTGTACTGGTGCGACAAGATCTGAATCTGTCGGATCCTGGAGTGTCCGCAAGAGAACCTCAGCACCAAATCCTGTGGGTAGCTCCCGAACCTATGCGAGCAGCAAGAAATCAATGGTACTGCGTCAGTCCCGCGTTCTTTTTTCGTTTCCTTCTAGTCGTTTCGAATTGCCTAGACTCGAACCCATTTTGCGCTCTCAGCCCCTCTCGCATTATTCGCCTTTTGCGAGAAAAACAAAGGACTTCTTCGCCAATCCAATCTACCGTCTTAATTGGCTTCTCTGTTTTACCTCGGTGTGTGCCATCCCTTTCCGACCGATGTTTGCATCAATCCGACCAATTCCTCTGGGGGGTATCCCGTGTCCCATCCTGAGGCTATCTGAATATCATAGGGGAGGCGCTGTGGGGCCAGGACCATGAGATATTCCTGTAATGCGTTGACATTCCTATGCAAGGGGATGCCGGTGAGGGGGGCGTCTGTCGAGTGGGTAGCGCGCTCTCCACCTCGCAGCGAGACAATCAGCTGGTCAGCTCCACCACCATCCTCCTGTCTTTTGTGCTGCGAACCAAGCGAGCCGGCGTTAAAGGGCACACTACTGCAAGTACGAAGAAAAAAAGTTTCTTTTGGTGAGTAAATGGATCCAGGTACCAGGCACCAGGCACCAGACAACTGAAATAAATAAACTCATTGGTCCTTCCAGCCACGAAGGAGGTTGATTCGAGATGGAGTAAAAAAAATGATCCTTACGCTCTGGAGCGACCTATGAGAGATCGTCTCCTTGTCCGCACACGAAGGGCTGTGGGCGACTTTTGAGCAAACTGGTGGGCGATTTCAGATTTGTTGGTCGGCCGCATCCTGGCGAGGGTTGGAGTCGTGGTCGGAGGGGGTGAAGAGAGGTGTGGAGACGTTCAATGACCTTTAACAGACACCGACAGCAGAAGAAAAAGGAGGAAGGAAAAGGAAGGGATGACGGAAAGGGCAAGAAAGGTTTTCACTCTCTTTGCTTCTCTTCTTTCTCAGGGTCCTGCACTCGAGACTTTATTTTCTCTTTCTTTTTTTTCGTTTCTTGTTGTTCAGAGTGCGAATGAAGACAAAGGAAGAACGAGAAAGAAAAAAAAAAGAAAAGAAAAGATCTTGTCCAATGGGTCTAGACAAGGAAGGAAGCAAGGAACAAGAGTGTGTGAAAGGAAAGGAAAGGAAAGGAAAAAAGAAAAAGGAAGGAAGAGAGGGAGGTGATGGCGAATGGTCAGAAGGAAGGAAGATGTGAAGGAGAGGGTCGAAGGAGAGAGTGAAGAAAGGAAGGGTGAGGCAACGACAAAAGGAGAGAAAGAGAACAAAGAGGGAAAAGAAAAAAAGTGAGCAGCAAATAAGGTCCATACAACGTCGAGACTGACCTTGCCCCTCCTGTGCCACCTTCAACTATTTACCAACACCACCCCTGCCAGGCGTGAACATCTTACTCCCTCTTCGACTCTTCGTCTCTGCCACCATTGCCACCACAACATCAACATACAGCATGGACTGGCAAAGAACAGTAATAAATAACAATAGCGACACTGGTATGAAAAAACAAGAAAAAAACACCTGTTGAGCCCATGCTGATCCAATGGTGCCATGTCCTTCGCCTTTGTCTCTGCTTCATATTACTGCCATCTCTCTTTGCAATGTTAAATGCCTCTGTCAGCGGCAGGCGCCCCTGCAAAGATGCATAGCAAATAACGCGAATGCGATGGACATTTCGTTTGCATTCCTGATATTTATTTTGTAGAGTGAGTGGCCATGGGGTTGCATAGCATCGCATTGCCTTTGTGTGGTTGTGATCGCTGTCTCTCGCACTTACACACTCATAAGGGCATGCCACTTCGTTCACACTCAGGCCCTGTCGCCGCAACAATAACAGGACAACCACCTGGTCTCCCTCTTGGCCATTCCGTGGCTCGGTGCATTGATTGCTGTGGAACTTGTGGGACAACATTGGAGACATGGGGACACAGTTTAGTTTCCCGCCAAGTGCTCACCCGAAACAAAAAGCAAATAATAATAGCATATGCTCAACTTTTTCCTGTTGCTTTTTTGTGTTGTTGTTGCTATTGTTGTTGTTGTTGTTGTTGTTGTTGTTGCCCGGCTTTTTTTTTTGTGTCTCCGCGCCTCAAGCTATAGCAACCAACCAAGCCAATGATAGGCATTGGGGGAAGGAAGGAAGGGGAGGAGGATGGATGGGATGGAAGGAAGGAAGGACGGAAAGAATGAAGGGGTATGGCTCATGAATCCCTCCTTGATAGGCAATAGCAGCAGTTGTTTGATCCCAGCACAAGGCAATGGTCATCTGTTCCTTGCTCTTGTTTGCCACCCCGGCAACGAAAACAGAGGACTTTCTGTGTCATTGTCATGCCTTAACCATAATTGCTTTGCCACCAAATTTGTCACACCCACGTTGTTCGCATAATGCATCCAACGGGCCAAGGTCAATCCTGTGCACTGCATGATTGGTTATAATAAACATACCCCCCCACATCAACACCCAATGCATCAAATGCTCCAAAAAGCATGCTGTGCTTTTTTTTCCTGTCCCTTGTATGTTCTTTTTTATTTCCTTTTTGCTTTGTTTTGTTTTGTTTTGTTTTGTTTGCGACGACCTAAAGATCGACCTCATCGAACACTGTCAATAATAACAAGAAGAGCAAAGTAGCAGTCAGTAAAAAAATAGAAAAACTTGGCTTCCGTCAAGAACAAACATAATCTGCAATCATGCGTGCGTGCTCCTTACCAGGATCATCGAAAACCGACTTTCGTTTCCGCCTCCCTGAGATGGCATCCCGCCTTGTGTCCAGTATCTTGATGAGTTTTGGAACTAACAATTAACAAAATAGGTATGTAAGTCGACCTGAATAAAGCATGCATTCCCATTGTCAAATGAAAAAGGAAGGCGACTTACGTAAAACTTTCATCTTTTCGAGCTCTTTGACCACCTGAGAGTCTGGTGTGAGCATGTTCTTTTGAATCTCTCCAGCATCCAGCTGTCGAATCTCGTATTGCAAGTTCTATTATGGAATCATCGAAATTATTAGTCAGCAGAGCTGAGGACACGATGTGAATGCAACAAAAGCTACTACTTCGAAGCGGGTGCTTACCTTGTAATACTCGTGCTTTTCCTTCAATGTTTGATACTTGGCTTGCAGGGTGACAATTCTGGAACGAAGGTCCGAATACTTTTGAACACGGGAAGAGTCGAGTGGTGCTTCTGAAGACCTCGCGTCATTGCCCTGTCTGTGCTGCCAATTCTGCGGGAACGATTCGATCCAGTCGGACTCAAGAAGCTCCGGTACTGACTTTGTCCTGATGATAATTCCTCCTTGGCTTGCCTTCTTCCTCAGCTCATGTTGACTAGACTCTAGCTGCTCCAGGAGCTGTCGTATTGACTGACTGTTGAACGACAGTCGCAGCGACTTTTCGGTATCAGCGTGAACTATTATACCGAGTAAGTGAAAGAAAACGGAGTCAATGATACAGTATACCCGTGCAAACAAAGAATCCGATAAGGTAGCTTGACCACATACCTCTGGAAAGAGCGGCGGTGACTGCAACATCTGGAACAGATTTGTATGGTTCTCCCTCGGCTGTCAATCTAGCGCGACGGTTTCTCCAGTCCTTTGGCAGCGTAATGGGAGCCTCGAGGAGTCTGACTTGTGAGTGGATGAAGGCCTTCTTGTCGTGGTAATATCGGGCCTGTCCGAAACGCGCGCTCTCGTCTAGTGCCATGACTCGCGTATTGTTGTTGTCTGTGTATTGTAAATGAGTGGATGTAGGTGGTATTGTAGTTGCTGTCGTTCCACTCCTTGGGTGCTGTCGGCGTTGAGTCTCTTGCCCTGTTCGTTACCGTTGTTTGTTTATGATTGATTGTCCTGCTTCGCCCCTTGTCCTGATGAATGATGTATGAATGAGTCTGAGTGTCTTGAGCTGAGTTTGTTATGTTGCCTGTTGTCAGTTGAACTGTGGGTTGTTCGTCCCTTTTTCTTTTTGTGGGTCAGGTGGCTTTGCAATTTCTTAAAAGAGTCAAAGGGGACACCCACCCCTCATCCCTCACCCACACTCTTCTTCCTCCTTCCACCTCTCAACTCACTCTTCTCTCTCCTTCCCCTTCCTTTGTCATCCACTGTCACCGTTTGTTCGCCTTACTTCCTCTTCTTCTTTCCTCCCTTCCCCTTCTTCTTTCCTCCCTTCCCTTCACTTCTCTGTAGTTATTCTTGCTTCCGATCGATCAACTCTCACTCAATCAAATACAACATAAACTGCATCGTCCTTCCTGTCCGGTTCGACCAATCTAACTTTCCGCTACAAGAACAACAAGTGTGATAAATACCACCCCCTTGTGGTCCCTTCTTTTTCTTTTTCCTACGGCCATGTATCAGCAGCAGTACCAGCACCAGCCAGCCCAGCAGAGGCAGCAACAGCAGCACGGAGGAGGGGGAGCAGGAGCAGGAGGCGGAGGACAGAACAGAGAACCCGTTGATCCTTTCCAAGCACGACAGCTCTACAGGAACGAGCTCGCGACCCTCACATTCAACTCCAAGCCCATCATCACCAGCCTCACCATCTCTGCTGGCGAAAACGCAAGCGTCTCCAAAGTCATTGTCCAGACCATCGAGGAGCGACTGAGAACCGTACGAACTATTTGACTTCAATCGTGTGTTTTCATTGCGTTCCATGAGCAGCAAGGCTAACAAAAGCGACTACTTTGGCTTTTCAACTTTTATAGGCACCCGCGAACCAAAAGCTTCCAACATTGTACCTGATCGATTCGATTCTCAAGAATGTTGGCGGTCCTTACTTGAACTTGTTTGCGCGGACAATCGTTACTCTCTTTCTGGATGCATATGCCGTGGTCGACACTTCAGCAAAGGCGAGCTTTGAAAAGGTCCTTGGAACATGGCCCAACTGGACCTCGCAGCTGTTCCCAAAGGAACTTATTTCAAAAATTGAACAAGGCGTTCGTTCAATGCGTCAGCAGAAGCAGGGATCCCACCAGCCGTCCTCAAGTCATGGTAAACCTCACCACCCGGACCGTTCGCGCGAGGACCCATATTCACAAAATGCCAACAATATGGTAAGCGATACTTGCACATCCACCGATTGTTTATTTCCTAGTGTGAGAAACAAAGACACTTCCTTTTTTGTGGCCTTGTTGTTAGGCGCCCTTTCTTTTCTTTTCTTTTTCTATGCGATTCGAAGCGATCCAGGGGTTGGATACGCAGCGTTATTGGTCATTCAAGATCAGTACGCACTTTTCTTTGGAATACCATCTGGAAACGGACATGACGATGGATATGAATATGGACAGGGATACGGACACGGGCACGAACTGGACACACCGGGCATTGCGGGACGACATTCGAGAGCATACGCGACTGTTTCTATCTGCCTACACGGCGGAGACTTGCTCTCCTCTTCGGCAAATGTGCTGTACCGCTTCGCAAATAAAAAGAAACAAAAAGAAAAAAAATGATGCTCAGCAAAGGCATATCGCTCTTCGCCTGAGCTCGGAACGATGCATTGGTTGGAGTGGCAGAACTCCATTTGTCGCCTATCATGGGGACCCGAAGGATTGGCCTGTCGACGGACGAAAGTACTACGGCCTACCGCAAGCGACAGTTCTGTCCAGACAAGCAAGCCTCGGAAGCTTGATGACATTCTATGTTTTTGAGATAGCTATTCCTTAGAAAGCAATGCCTTTGGATGTGACAAATGTCCATCTTCCATGCTCCCTTTATTCCTATCTCATTGACGCAATTTTCTCCTTGAGCAAGTGTTGTATTGGATTCTGACCAAAGCCCGTTCTCTTTTTCTCCCTTTTCTACTTGTGAAATCATACGTGGTGCACCCTGGTTTTGTCACTTGATTGCTTTTTCCTCGCACGCTGGTTCTTTCTCTTGTCTTTTGATAGCATGGTAGCAATGGATCTCAAAACCGGCCGACGCCCCCACCAGCACCAGTTGAATCCAGCGGTGACAATGGTCTGCTGAAGGATATCCAGCTTCTCATGCTCCAGAAGCAGCATGCGATGATCATGAACCCTGCCGACCAGGCCAGCGCAAAGCAGGTCGGCATTCTTCAACAGGTTTGTTTCCCATCCACCATCAACATGAATAGGATCGTGCAGAAATGGACCATGTATAGCGAGAAAAAGAGAAAATGCATATGTGATGATAAACAAAAAATGAGGGTCGACATCTTTGGATTTTTTTGGTTCCTGCAATCGTGCCTGAGATCCAAGCATATGGATGTAGTGCAAAGGACAAAGATAGGGGGAAACCTCACAGCTACTTCTCCATCAACATCACCATCACGTAGACAATGACTAATCGCGATCAACAAATTCTCCACCGCGATCACTTCAATAGTTGGAGTCTCTTGTCAAGACGACTCAATTGACACCCGAGAGCTCAAACATCATCCGCCAGCAGCTGGCACAACTTTGGACTCCAGCCCCAGCTCCCCCCGTTCTCCCAGTCTTCCCTCAAGGCGGGATGCCCACTGTATCGTCGCCAATGCCACCCAACATGATCCCTGGATCCATGCCGCCCCTGCAGCCTCCTCAACCTCCTACCATGCCCCTCCCTCCTAATATGCCTTTTCCACCACCTCACTTCCCACCACAGTTCCAGCCTGGATCGATCCCCAACCCCCATATGATGGGTGCTCCACTTCCAATGCCGATCCCACCAGCTGGCATTCCAATGCCAGGAGGTCTTCCAATGCCTATCCCTCCTCGCTCGATGCCTATCCCTCCTCGCTCGATGCCCATCCCTCCTCGCTCGATGCCTATGCCCATGCCGCCTATGCCAATCCCCTCTATGCCCAACGCACCCACCCCACCTACTCTCCCAGGAGCCCCTGCAGCCAACTTATTTGCCAGTTTGATGCAGTCAGGACTTTTGGGACCCAATGGCGCACTTGCCAACTTAAACCGTAACCCACAGCCGCCTATGATGGGAGGCACTCCACCCCCTCCAATGCCTATCCCTCTTCCTCTCGTATCTGCTCCCGGACCAGCCTTGGCACCTCCAACATTAGATCGGGCAGACCAGAGTGAGCAGGATCGCAGCGTCATGTCCCTTGGCATGATTGAACTGAGTAGCCAAGACATTCAACGGTAAATGCACATTCCTGCTTGCGCTGACCTGTTATATTCGTTGACAATGCGTGAGCTAACTTAACTTTTCTTCTGTTACATTGTTCAAATAGGAGGAGACCTGCAGCCATCCAAGTGATGTACGGAACACCCCCACTGCAGTGCAACCAGTGTGGTTACCGCTGCCCAAAGTCGGCAGATGCTCAGAAAAAGATGGACTCTCATCTTGACTGGCACTTCCGTCAAAACCGCCGTATGAAGGACAAGGCCAAGAAGAGCCATTCCCGCAGCTGGCTCGTCGGCGAAGAGGTGAGCGCCTGTGGCATTTTTTTCTTATTGGCTATCACCCCTTGTTGTTTATGTTTACGAGTTTGTTGCTTGTTTTTCTTGCCCTCACTGACCCACAGAAATGTTCGTGCTATTTTTTTCACCTAGGACTGGATCCATTCTCGTGAGGGTGACCTGAGCCAGAGTCAACAGCCCGTATTCTTTGATTTCGCGTCAGGCGTGAACAAAACCAGCAAGGATGAACAGGCACTCCAGGAGGAGATTGCAGCCATGAAGGAACGGATCGTATCTGAAGCGACTTTGGCGCAGGGTCTTTGCGGTAACGATCCCGGGGCAACCGCCAATGTCTCGACTCTGATCGCCAAGGGGTGTTCGATCTGTAAAGAAAAGTTTATCAAAGTCTGGAACGAGGCTGAAGAAGAATGGTCTTACAAGAACGCGGTCGTTGTCGATAAAATGGTAAGAATTGAGTTAGATTGTAGGAGTAGAATTGTGAGGTTTGGATTGTGTAAAAGTATGAATATTGAAAAAGTTAGATACTCTGAGAGTCGGAAGAGTGCTTTGGCTGATACCCCTCGTTTTTTACCTTCTTTTGTGTGGGGATTGTGTGGTTCACGTTTCCAGATTTATCATGCGACATGCCATGCAGACTTGGTCCGATCAACCGCACGACAGGCAGCAGCAGCTGCCGCCGCCGTCGCCACCGCCGCTGCAGAATCCATGTCAGCTTCGTCATCAGCATTACCGTCAACCCTCCCAACCGGCTTTGAGTTGACCACCACCGCACAGATGGACATCAAGGACGAGGACATGAAGGAAGACATCAACCCAGAGCTGAAGGTGGAAGGTGATCAACAGTCGCAGGCACTGGGACAAGATACCAAGGATCATGTTATGACTCTTGCTGCCGCTGCTGGTACTACGGATTCTGATCTGCCTACGTCTTTGAAGCGCAAGGTAAAAACTCGCCTCTTTTTTTTTCTTCTTCTTTTGATGGCTGTCTAACTGATTGGTACTGAAGAGTCTTTTGTGCTGACCGTGTCATTTTTATTATATCTGATTTAGCTTGAGATCGACAACGTGGAGGAGTCAGAGTCGGCTTCCAAGAAATCCATTCTTTCGAGGGATTCATAGATTTGATCGTCTTTTTTCTCCCTTTGCCACTGATGTAAAGCTATTGCAAGAACAATAAAAACGAGTATTTTACAAAAAAAACACGACCAATTGATGATAGTTTTTGTCGCGTACACGTTTATTTTTGATTTTTCGACAGAAGAATGATCTATGAGCGCGCGTCTATCCTTTTTTTTTTGAACGTGAATTGAGGAGAAAAAATAAGGAGCAAAGAACGTCAAACACTCTCACTCGCGTTTTTCTTGCGAGCCGCAATCTCCAACTACTGTATCATATGCCTAAGAATAAGACAGATCTTCCCCGATCCAACCATGCACCTCAGAAGTACACGTCTGTATCCCCCCCCCCTTTCTCCGCACCTCTACAACTGCTCCATCTCCTCCTCTTCGATCTTTTTGATTGACCATTGTTTTGTTCCTCTTCCACGTCCGCCTATTCCACGACGTAGGCATCTGATCCTGAATCGGCGTTGAAAGCATCATCATCAACTCATTGATATCGCGCTCCACCCCCCCTCCTCGGCTACCTCACGCTCTTGAAAAAAAAAAAGAAAAAGATACACCACACTCAAACGTCCAGGACTGAGACTTGACAATCGTTCTCGACTTTTCAAAAGACCAAGCAAAAAAAAAAAAAAAAACTCTCTCAATACCCAAATACTCCATAGCCTCAAGGGTCATGCCCTTCCAACCTTGATAAAACAGGCCGACAGCGCAATAGGTCCGAGAGAATCCTATTAATCATCCCAGCTTTCTTTGCAACACAGCTTCGATTCAGCATGCCCAAAAAAAAAAAAAAATATGCCCACGCCCCCAACTCTGTGCAAGTGTTGAGGAGCAAAATATAGTGAAGAGAGTGGGATTTGAACCCACGCCTACGAATAGACCGCGGCCTTAACGCGGCGCCTTAGACCAACTCGGCCATCTCTCCAATTTGATGGGTACTAGTGAGAATATAGCATACTTAATCTTTAGACTCTAAACTTATTTGTGAATTGAGGTCACGTGCCGACAGCGCCACCAATATTTTTGGTATCAAAAAAAAAAAAAAAAAAAAAAAAAAGTTGTTGCTGATCTGGAAAGTGGAATCTCGGCCAGGCGGGGTTGAGGTGGTGTGGATCAAAGGTCACAGCAACATCCACGGAAACGAACTTGCGGATCAGGCGGCGAAGGTAGCAGCACAGAGTGGTTCAGTGCCCTGGATGGTGGATCTCACTCAACAGACGGATATCACGACCTTTGCACATTGTTACGGCGGGATTGTTGAAATCGATCTACGTCAGCTCCTCAAACAACAATCGACAATCCGTCACCATCAGGCCTGGACGTCACAGAGGCGGGTCAAGAGGGCGATCCCTGACATCGATGACGTGGAATGGAACTCGACCTTGGCTTATGTCCACGACAGGCACGCAGTCTTCACCTTTTACAGCAACAGCAAGGACTCTCACCAACGCACACATCATATCAAAAAGCTGCATGGAATGCTGCCCACTCTGAACTCCATGCAGGCTCGCAAGCCCAACCTGTACCCAACATGCGTGTGCCGACGATGCGAGCTCGAGAAGGAGGATAACGATCACGTCTGGAAATGCCCTTCGGCAGCTGAGACCACCACTGAGATCTGGAAGGAGGCCATGGGCAAGATTAATGAGTGGGGTGTGCAGGCGACAAACAGCTACAACGCAGCCAGGAAGCGAGAATACAAACGCGCGGTGGACAGAGGTCGTCAGGTACCGAGGCCAGTACCCATACACTGGTGGCCCCCTTCGGATGCGGATCATGTGCGAGGATTTTCTTCCATCGGTGGAGCTCGAGCCGTGCACAGCGGTAGTCCAGCTCCCGATCGAGACGAGAAACCGATGTGGAATGTGTCGGATCTCCTCCGCGGCATCACCCCCTTGAGCATGTTGACTGAATGGTCCGCGGTCTTCCGGACCCCAATGTCCATCGCCAAGACAGTCCTTCACAAGTTTGTTGGCTACCTGGAGGCGCAGGCCTCGGAGCTGATCTGGAAACCTCGGTGCTCCGCGACGATCGCGTGGTAACAAAGCCAGGGCATCTCTGCCAAGGACAAGACATCCAAGTACATAGGCCCCCGAGGTGACTGGAGTCAAGGATACGGTTACATCACGCACGATGGTTTCTGTCCGTGTGGCGCTTCGCTAGCCACACATTGTGAAGGAAGGTGCCCTGGGGCGACCAAGGACCCACGCGCTGCTGACGAGCGGTTGTTGGAGAGTTTGTTAGGAAGGAGGAGGTTGTCAATGATGGAGAGGATGAGAAAAATCCCCTTCATTCGTATCTAGTTGTATTTTCTTCCGTTTAAGCTGTAAAGACCAGCCACAATTATTGCGCAGAGCCCCATTTTCTTCCAAATAACTTCTCTATGTTGTTTGTTAGAGAAAAAAAAAGGTTACGTCACTGGTGATGGTTCCTTCCTGGGTGGCGCTTCGCTAGCCACACACGAGGATGGGACCTGCCCTGAAGCGAGCAAGGATACGCGCTGCCGACGAGCGGTTGATGGGGAGTTTGTTGGGAAGGAGGAGGTTGTCAATGATAGTTAGGATGGGAAGAATCCCTTTTATTCGTATCTAGTTTTAAATTGTCTTCCGTTAAAGCTATGATGAGCAGCGACAATTGTTGTACAGAGCCAGGTTTTCGGACCGGACTACAACTGGTGGATGGCGCCCTGAGGAGTTTGGGTCTGTAGTCCACATTTTACTTCCAAATCCGTTTCTGTGTTATTTGTCAGAGAAATAAAGTTGTGCACGAAGAAAGAAAAAAAACGGGTCGGAGCAGGGAGGACCAAACACACTTAACAAAGCTGCTACCCATCTCAAGGTGGAGAGAGAAGGTATGGCTTTTTCTAGAAAACATGGATGAAAGGTCTCTCACAATGAATGCCTTCAAAGAAGTGCACTTGTTTTTTTTGTTCGTCCTAGCACTGTACCGCCACGTGAAGGTACGAAAAAAAAGAATCGTTAGTTTTCTCCGCGATAAACATTCTGGAGAGGTGCAACATGAAAAGAAAAAGAAAAAGAAAAAGAAAAATGGTAACGCCGTTTACGCCCATATGCTCACAGTCTTAGACAAACGAAGCAAAACAACACGCACACACATTCTTTTTGAGCTGCAGATATCCAAAGGTCTCATCCATTGACCATGCATCTCAATCCGACACTTGCTCGAACATGTACGACCACATCAACAAGACAATGAGAACGCGAATGTGATCAACACTCCCATCATTTTTTTTCATCATGTCCTGAGAAAGAAAACATGCCTTCCGGCGAACGAGCAAGGGATTGTAGCTTTCATTGGACTCGAGAAACGAGAAATAGAGGCATCATGTTCTGTTGTTGTTTCACGTTCGCGTCTTGTCAACATGGGGGTTTTCATGTACGACTGCAATGGTTCTGTTGCGTAGTTTCAGTATGGTATCTAAACGTAATAATAAAAAAGATGCAGCAAGAGTGTAAGCAAGCGAGAAGGTTGCAGTGGCAACAGTTTATTCATGCTTCACAAAAGGAAATAAGAAAATAGGAAGCAAATGCATCTATAGAAGGAAAGAAAAAGTCCTGTTATTATCGTGATGGAGGATGGGCGTACGAGGTGAACCATTGGAGTCTGACGACATAGCACGAATGGAGAGTCGTGTATGCTGTTTGGCTGAAGCCAGGTCGGTTGTACGTTGCATCTTAGAAGGATACTAGGCCGCCTACAAACAAAACAGAAAAATCAAAAAGATTAATAATAAAAAGATGTGCATCATTAACGCCACTCAAACAATCCTTGGTCACTCTCACCATATTTGCGAAAATATCAATTACGCACCGTGGAGCCTCACACTGCGCGAGAAAACATAGTTAGTCCCCGATCATACCGCCACGTCCATCCTTCCCGTTCCCCTTCCTTCCATGCCTTTTCATATCTTTTGTTTGTGCGGTGTCTGCTTTTCACTGTGCATGCGTAGTCCTCGAAACACAGCGTACAGAGCGGCCCCAGTAAACCTTTTACTTCTCACCAAAAATTGCCAAAGCAAGAAAAATGCACAGTTGTGAAGGAAAAATTCGGAGGGATGTTGAGAGCGGAAGGAGGCAAAATAGGTTAGACTCTAAGCACTTGGTGCCAACGTCTCTTTTCACTCAGTGGGAAGACTGAAAAGGAAAAAAAAATACATTAGGGCGATCCTGCTGAGATAATAAAAGTTAAAGTTTCTTTTTGCCTCACCATTATCCCGAAGAGCGGGTCCAAGACTGTGTTCGAGGAAGGAGGGAGATAGTAGTTTACAAGGAGGGAATGAGATGAATGAAGGGGGTGTGTGCGCAAGCAAATAGGGTCGTGATGCGGGTCGTAATGCGGGTCATCCAAAAAGGCATATTTCGACCTTGTATGCTTTTGTTGCTGCGAGAAAACAAACTTATGAACAGGAATGCAAAAATAAAGCAAGTCCAATGGGAGGAGGTGTGCGTGAGAGAGAGAGAGGATGTCATGGCGCTTGGCGCTGGCTTTTATATTTCCCAGACGACAAGGGCGAATAATATTCTTTCAAGGGGTGGCGAAGTCGAGGATGAGAAAGTATGTCGATCTTGGACGGTCAGAGGAAGGAGTATGGTGAGGTTAGAAGGATAGCTGTTCTTGGCGACAGGCAAGTTCTGCAAAAAAAAAGTATATAAAGCCTACTCCTTGACCCTCTCAAAAAAACAACAAACATTCAATTGCACTAGTAACACAAACAATCAGCACCAACCATAACCAACACCAACCACAAACAAAAATGCCATTCACTACAGCACACAATCTCTCTTCAACATCCACAACAACACTTCCAGTCCTCATCTCAGGCGCAGGGCCCGTCGGCCTCTACGAAGCCCTCCTCCTAACCCAACTTGGCATCCCCGTCCGCATCATTGACCGTGAAATGGCCATCTCGCCCAACTCACGAGCCTTAGGTCTCCACGCCCGCTCCTTGGAAATCTTCCAGTTCACTGGAACCATCGACGACTTTCTCGAGAGGGGACGCGCCATCACCAATGTCAGTTACTACAAGAATGCTCGTTTGGTGGGCTCATTGCCGATGATCCGGGGGGAGGAGCATTCGATGTTCAGTAGGGGTTTGATCCTTGAGCAGGCCAAGACTTCAGAGATCTTTTTGGGGAAGTTGAAGGAGTTTGGTGTGTTCGTCGAGTATGGATGGGAGCTGTTGGATACTAAAGTTGTTGAGGGAGGACCAGGGGAGGAGGAGTATGTGGAGACGACGATTCGACGAGCGTTGGTGGGTGGTAATGTCGCCGAGGGTGAGGACCGCGTCATGGGTGATGTTGACATGCGGGCTGAGCAAAAGGACAAGGAGTACGAGACACAGGTTGTGAGGTCAAAGTACTTGGTTGCCTGCGATGGGGGACGGTCGACTGTTCGACACAAGATCAACGTTGCGTTCCCTGGACGAACTCTTACCCAAAAGTCCCTCTTGTGGGATGGTCACTGCGACTGTGATATGTCCTTTGCCGGATTTACGTATGTTTTTGTTTTTATTCGCAGTGCTTTACTCTGTCTTCTCTGAGTTACTTATCTTCATCATCGACACCTTCATTAACACTCAATGTTTTTTCTTTCTCAATTGTATTAGATTGGTAAAGGGATCAAATGGAAAGAATTTGATGGTATTCCCTATGGACGACGGTGTGGTCCGTATCGGAGTCGACAACGGTGACATGGCCCCCGGTGAAGACTTTGAACAAACCCTCCGCGAGCTCACCATCGAGCACTTCGAGTCCATTGTCGCTGAGGTCGTCCACCCTGCGAAATTCAAGATTAAATCCACCATTTGGCTAACAGCCTTCAAGATTAACGAACGCCGCGCTGAGCAATACGTCTACAAGAACCGTATCTTTCTCGCCGGCGACGCCGCTCATGTTCATTCACCCGCTGGTGGGCAGGGGTTGAACACCGGCCTACATGATGCCCACAACCTGGCTTGGAAGTTAGGTTACGTGTTGAACGGTCTTGCAAAGCCAGAGTTCTTGTTGCCGACGTATGAGGAGAGGGGTGCGATGGCGGATCGTGCTATTCAGTTGTCGTCGAAGTTGTTGAATAGGAGACTGGCCATGGGGTGGGTGGCGGATATCAAGGCGTACTTTCTCTTTTTGATTGGACCCATGCTCGTTAGGGTGTTTGGTTCCATTTTCTTTGCTCCTGAGGTTGCCATGGTATGTGTAACATCGCTTTCTCTTTAGTATTTTTTTTCTTTTTTGGCTTTTGCAAATACACTGACCCCTTTTTCATCTTTTATGTAACCTCAAATAGCTCGACGTCGAGTACGAGAAGAACAACATCAACAGACCACACAAATCTCAACCCGAGCCAAAGGGCGACTACAAAGTCGGTGTTCGCGCCAAAGAGGGCACCCTCCTCCCCTTCTACTCCTCCTCCTTTGTCACCGACACAAAGGATAAGAAGGACCCACAACCAACCTTGCGCCTCCACTCGCTAATCACAGGAGTCGCCCGCTTCCACATTCTCGTCTTTGCATCTGACCACTTGACTACCTCGGGCGCAAAGGAAATCTCGACCCTCCTCGACCACCATGTCAGCCAATGGCAATCCAAGTGGACATACGGGTCGACTCTTCGGGACGGATACACTGACAAAGATCTCTTCAAGGTGCATGTCATCACCGGTCCCTCCTCCACCACCTCATCCTCCTCTGTCCTCCTCGAGATGTCCAAGCGAGATGTCGGAAAAGGAAAGGTCTTTGTCGACCAGGCTGGACGGACACACCAGAATTATGGGTTTGCGGCGACCAAAGGGTTGGGAGGCATTTCAGTGATCCGCCCAGATTCGCATGTGGGCTTCCGTGTCCATGGAGTGAACGAGCAGGCTTGGAAGGATGTTGATGAGTACTTTTCGACTGTCCTCGTTGCCCATTATGAGTGAAGGCAGAAGAAGGGTGTCTTGACAGACAGAGATAACCTTAGGTAGAGATAGAAGATACGATAAAAAAAAATTCATTGCCGAACATAAAAAAAGAGAACGATTTATGTCCGTAGTTGGTTCCCGGTATGGTAGTGTTGGTCATCATCATGTTTGCCCTGACGTGCTGTCTTTAGATCTCGTTCTTGCTCTTACCCCTTTACTATCTTTGTGCATGTCCTGTCTCATCTGATAGCGATTGCGAGATAAGGGACAGAGGTCAGTGAGTGTGCTCTGTGCTTGTAGGAAGCCTTGATATATAATTCCTGGGCAAAGGGGGGAAGAACATCGCCACCAAATAAGGTTATTGCCACCAATTTGGACGCGTCTTCAACTATATCTATTGCCTACATGGCAGTGTTCTTCTTCTTGTTTTTTTTATTATTTTCTGAGCAGTGCGCAGGTCGTTTGCCGAGGAGGAGAAGGAGAAATGCAATTAGACAGAGAGACTTTGTTTTTCATATAAAAAGAGGAGGTAGATCTTCCTTCAGATCATCAATTCATAGACATAGGAACAAACAAGATATAAATCCAAAGCAATCAACGAAAAAAAATAATAATATACATTCAAACATTCAAACATTATCAAAAACATGCTATTCTCCTCTTCCTCTTCTTCCACCACCACATCATCCTCAACAACCACAATCCTAATCTCTGGCGGTGGGCCCGTAGGTTCCTTCCAAGCCCTCATCCTCACAAAATTTGGCACCCCCTCCGAATCATCGAACGTGCCTCTTCCATCTCCTCCTCCTCCTTCTCCTCCTTCTCAGAAGCCCTTGGCCCTCCACACCCGGTCCATGGAAATATTATATCTCTCCAGCATACTCGATCGGTTCTTGAGACATCGGCGTTCGCTAACGAATTTTACGATGCATGCGGGAGGGAGGGAGGAGGATAGGGACTTTGCCGGTTATGAGGACGTCGATGGAGGATACAGAGTTTAATTATGGGTTGTTGTTGGAGCAGGAGAAGACCTTGAGGGTTTGTTGAGTGAGTTTTTGGAGGATTTGAAGGGTTGTGTGGAGTGTGGGTGGGAGTTGATGGACACTAAAGTCGTCAAAAGAGACGATGGGGGGTGGGGACATACGTGGAAACAGCTATTCGACGTGCGCTTTCAAGTGGACAACACGACCCCGGAGGACAATATGCTGATTGGAGGAGTGGACATGTATGCCTAGCAAGGGGATAAGAAGTACGAGATCCAGACGGTCTGGTCAAGGTACTTGATTGCTTGTGATGGTGGTAGGAAAAGTATTCCTGGACAAAGGCGCCAGGATCCATAAGATGTACGTCTTTGAAGGGAGAGGAGTAGGAGCAGAGGGAAGGATTGTGGTTCTTCGACCGGATTCGCACATCGGGTACAGAGTTAATGGGCTCCAAGACCAGGCATGGAAGGATGTTGATCAGTGCTTGGCTTCCTTCCTCGCATCCCAGCTTGAGTGAACAACCAAATAAAAGTGACAGCTGATAGATAGATCACATTTATTCAAAAAAAACTTGCTTCGCTCTCAGACGACTTCAAAGGTAGTAAGGAACTCGATTCCAACGCCCATATGCCCAATAGTATACTTCCCCGGCCGCAACGTTTTCTGTGTCTCATACAACCCAGGCTCGACCTGCTTCAAAATATCCGGTATCGGGATCATCCCTCCAACAACACACAACCGCGGCTGTGCCCCCGGTTTGACATTGAACACCTTGACTCGAATCGTCTGCTTGCCTTGTCCACTCGTGATCCTAGCCGACGAAGGCTCCATGATCGAGAACCCAAACGACTTCATCATGTACGACTGGAACATGGGCTGCATGTTGGCTCCGTTGCCGCGGTTGACAACCCGGTACGACAATGCGAGGTTACTATAGTTAGTCGTACTGTCGGAAGCCTGACCCGCCACCCGCAACTCGCCCTCCCCGGCAGACGGACAAAAGCACCGCACCGTCATATAGACCGAATCCGCATCCTCACGCAACCACCGAGCATGTGCAAAATGCTGCTCGCCCGTTGGCTTCCAAGTGAGTATACAGGCCAACGTAGGGATAGTCTTGTCCCACGCTCGCTTGACCAACCGAACCTCCACTTCTGCATAATCATCATCTGTCCATACCGAATGAGTCGCCGAGGTCCCCGACGGGAGAATACCCAGCGCCCAAGAGGGCGGAAACCGGAATGGCAACGCTCTGTACAAATCAACATGGATAGGTGGATCCAAGAACTGCTCTCGCGTATTAGTCGGCCAATGAGAAAATATCAACTCCTCAGGACGGACCAAAAAGTAATGTGGCTGGAATCGAGCTTCCGGATCCGGATCCAGCTTGCCACCTTCAGTAATCGGTCCAGCACCCCAAGTCGAGTCGATTAAGAAACCCTCTCCATTGACCATCACCGCGTTCCAGGCATGTGGGCCTCCAAGCGACTCGCCTCCGGCCTCGATACCAAATCCGCGCGCGACTCCAAACACCTTGATGACTCCCAGGTTCGCCGGTGCCGCCAGCTCGTAAAACAGGTTCGCGAATCCTGCACAAACACCCGTCTTGGTCCTGAGGACCGCCTCGGCCGAGTTGTCGCCCAAGTTGTTCGATAAAAATCCAGCAACATTGTAGATGATGTTGTGGGCCATCCACTTGAAGATAGCTCGCAGCTGAGCAACCTGATCGTCGGGGAAGGCCGAAGTAAGATACCATGACAGCCGTGGGATGCTCTCCTCTTCCTCACGAGGACAGCACACTGCATGTTGATCGATGACCGAGAAATCAGCATTTGCCAGTTCCAACCGCTCCCCATTGAACTCGGCCGTAGTCGCCGGCTTGCATCGTGAAAGCGCCTCCATCGCATCATCTCCCGGCCTAAAAGTACTGGATGAGAATGACGATGAAGATGTCGCAGAACACTGGCTAGATTTTTGTATACGCTGCTCGCCCGAGGGTCCATTTGAGGTGCGATTAGTCGAGGAAGAATGCGATGATGACGACGAATGGTGCTCATGCACTGTCGACTGCCCAGGTCGTTTGGGAAGAGCGGGGCGAGCAGGGAGTTCTGGTCGAGGAGGAACCGTTGCATCCGGTCTTTGAGGGAGAGTTGGACGCTGAGGGAGTATAGGTCGCGCCGGTAGAGTTGGTCGTTGAGGAAGCGTTGGGGGTTCTGGGACTGCTCGCGGAAGAGTTGGAGGTGCTGGAGCTGGTCGAGGCACCGGTCGAGGTACTGGAGCAGGAGTAGGAGGCGACTCGACAGCTCTTGTTGAGGTGGTAGAAGAAGCAGCGGTTCGTGTTTTAGTTTTGGTAGTAGTTGTGGTGGTGGTGGTAGTGGGGTTGGTAGGAGGAGAAGGCGCACGCACGGTTGGCAACCTTGGTGGTTTAGATGGTGCAGGAAGAACAGGTGCATGAACAGAGCCACCATTCTGTCGGCCGACATCAAGTTTCTTCAACAGCTCTGCGACTGACTGTGAGGCAGGGGGCGACTCTTGCTGGTCTGATTCCTCAGGCACTGCTGCCGGGACATGTCGTAGTGGCACCTTGATCGGCACTGCTGTAGAGATTGACTGTGAACGACGAATTGGCACCACCGGACGTGATATCCTGGGTTCTTCAGCGACTGCTGCTTCGGGTGTCGGTGGGAGGTGAGGCACAGGTCGCTTTGGAAGAGAAAAAGGCCGTTCATTATGGTCGGGTGTTGCTGGTGGTTGAGGTGAGCTGGGTCCAGAATGGATGGAGGAGGAAGGGGAGGTCGAGATGGATGAGATTGGACGTGGAGGTGGCTTGGCCAATTGGACTGTGCTCACCGGACGAGGCCTTTGCACAGGGCGAGAAGGAATTGAGGGGTGAGTATCCATGCATCGAGTTGGGGGTGTGGGTGCCGAGGTATCGGGTTTAACAAGCAAGGTGGGCGTAGGCGCTGCTCGAGGAGGCAATGGCAGGGGCACCCGAGGAGGAGCCACTGGGGGTGATGATGATGCATTGGCTGTGGATGTAGCAGGTGAAGGAAGTGGTCGTTTGGGTGGAATAATTGATGCCTCTGAAGGGATGCGAGGTGGAGTCGCTAATGTAGTGGCGGAGGGCAGGGAAGGCATGGGTCGCTTGGGAAGTGTTGGCACATGGCGATGGTCCGCAGTCGAGAGACCTGCAAAGGTGGCAGGGACAGGGACAGGTGGAGGAGGAGGGAGAGAGCGCCGAGGAGGGGAGACGACGACTTCGCTCTTGGGTCGGGGTGCAGGAACAGGAGCATTACTTGAGGAGGAGTACATTGTTGTTGCCCGAGGGGTTGTCCGAGGAGGAGCGACTGGATGCGGGTGGTGGCTCATTCTGTTAGTGGTGGTGATGGTGATTGGGAAAGTAAAGAGGGGAATGGAGTGTGAAAGAATGTAAAAGAATGTAAAAGAAAGAAAGTGGTGATTGCGTTTCAGAGGCACTAAAAGTAATAATAATAAAGAGAGCGGTGTGGGCGGGAGTTAACAGCCCAGGAATAACGGGTTGTTGTGGCGGGGTTGTGTGTGATGATAATGCATGCGTGTGTGTCTTGGGCGCAAGTGAGCAATTAACAGCTAACAGCGTGTGACTGCACAATGCATGATGTGGATGGAGGAAGAAAGAAAGGAGGAGGTGGGAGGGAAGGGAAGGTTGAAGAGAAGAGAAAAGGAAAGAGTTCTTCTAAAGTACTCCAGGACAAACGGTGGCAAAAATAAGGTAGGGGGTTGACAACCTCAACGACATCAACAAAGAAATAAACTTTTCCCTTCTTTTCACACAACATGCATCCACCGCGCCTCGAGAAAGTAAAGGCTCACCGCTCCTCTCTTCTTCCTCTCTTGCTGACTTTTCTTTGACAAAAACAAATGCTCAGTCCTCTCCACTCTTGATCAGGAGCCGAAAGACGTACTTGAACACAGAACACAAGAAAAGTGACTCAATTGCTCAGATGGTGGCGCAGACCTTGCCTCCTTCCTCCCTCTTGTTCGATTGACCTTCACTCTAGACGGTTGTTCGTGTTCCTAGAAAGCGTGTAGGTCTAGGCGGTTCGAACATCTACCTCCCATAGACCGAGTTTGCTGCAAATTGGGAACCAAGAAAACAAACATGCATGACATCACATCACATGACCACCCTCGGATGTTCACTGCCCTGATTCTCCAACTTTTTTTTCTTTTCTTACTACTTTCGGTTGATTCGCATTCGCTTCTTGCTCATTCTCTTTCCCCATCTCTTCTTCACTCATCCCCCGAACCCTCTCCTCTCCTGAACAGAACCCACCTGGTCTCTTCCCTTTATCCTCCCCTCCCCTCCTCCCCCCCTTCTTCCTACTCCTCAATTGCTGCCGGATACCCTCTAGAATGACATCCGCACAAGAAACCAGCCCCCTGCTGCAAAACCAGCACGGCACCTCCAACGCTACCACTCCTACCAGTGGAACCTCAGCCTCGCACCAGCGCCACCAAGAGACAAAGGGCCTGCTCTACATGACCCTCTCCGCCCTCTTCTTCTCCTTCATGTCCCTCCTCGTCTCCCTCACCGCCAAAACCCTCCCTTCCTTTGAAATCGTCCTCTTCCGTGGTATCATCCAAACCCTCCTCGGCGTCATCGCCTGTCGTTACCTCGGTATCTCACCCCTCGGTCAACCTGATAACCGGATCCGGTTCTTGTTATTCTGTAGAGGGCTTGCGGGATCGTTTGGGTTGGGATTCTTTTTCTATGCACTCAGCGTCATGCCGTTGGCGGATGCGACGGTGATTTTCTTTTTTGGGCCTACGTTTACGGCGATCTTGGGGAGAATTGTGTTGAAGGAGCCCTTTGGACCCCTGGATGCTACTGCCTCGGCGATCACCATGTGTGGAGTCGTCCTGGTCTCGAAACCTACATTCTTATTCCCTCCTCCCTCTCCACCAGCTCCTGGTCCTGGTGAAAGTGGCCAAGATATGATTGCGGCGTTCTTTGTCAAGCAGCAGGAGGAGGATCATCGCCGTCTGTTTGGAACTCTTGCAGGCCTTTGCGGAGCCATGTGTTCTGCTGTTGTAAGTTCCCTCTCCATGCGCAAGGCCAACCAACCCCCCTTTATTTGTTTTTATATTCGTTGTGTTTGTATCATGCGCCGTGGCATGCATTGTCTCTTTTTACTGTCTTTGATCAATTGGATACCCTCCCCCACGTACTTCCCCACACACCTTTCCCACACTTATCGCCTGCCCCCCCCACTGCCACAAACAAACACATCATGTTCCCTCCTTCATCATCGTGTGACATTCACTCTTTTACAACTTTGCGCCATCCGTTCTCTTCACTGTACCCGCCTTTGCTGACAAAAAATACGCCATCGATGTCTTTTCTAACCTCATACATCCATCTCAACTTTTTTTTTTTCCGAACTCCCCACCTCCATCAACCTTAAATACCTCCTCGTCAACAACAACAACAACAACAACAACAACAACAACAACAAGGCATACGTGCTAGTGCGCAAGATCGGAAAGCAGGGTGCCCACTCGATGCAGCACGTTACATACTTTGGCGTCGTCTCCTGTTTCGTTAGCTTGATCGGTCTCTTCACTCTCCAGGGCGGGTATGTGGCCCCCCAGGGTACATGGATGTGGTCGGGCGTCGTTGCCCTCGGTGTCTCTGCCTTCTTTGGTCAAGTCCTTCTCAACTCTGGGTAAGTTCTCCTTTCTTTTCTGGCCCAAAAAAAAAAAAAAAAAAGAGAAGAGTGTCAAAAAGAAACTCTAATACGACAAGGAAAGAAAAAAAAAAAAAAAAATTGCTGCCAGACTGCGCTGTTTCTTCTCTCATTTGATGACTAACAAACCTTCATCAATCTATCCCACTTTTTTTTTAAAAAAAAAACTCCTTCAATTAGCCTTCAATTGGCACCCTTGGGTCCCGGAACGCTGATGCGGATGAACGACATCGTGTTCGCATTCATATTCCAGATCACCGTCCAGCACGAACACCCCGACCTCTTCTCCTTCCTCGGTGCTTCCCTCGTCATGATCTGTACCGGATCCATGGGTCTCAACAAGTGGCGCATCGAAAAGAAGAGGGTTCAACAGGAGAAGGAACAGCAAGATCAAGATCAACAACAGCAGCAGCCTTAAGAGTAATCTGTAATCTAATCTCTAGATCAGTGAATAGAACATCATTCCACCTTTGACAGCACAACACACATTTGAATGATTCCATGAAGAGAAGATAATTTAATTCACAAGTGTACAACGTATGGACAGTGACGGAGAGATGAATGGTGGGTGGATGGATGGATGGGTGACAGGGAAGGAAAAGAAAAAAAAAGAAAAAAATAGGAAATTGTAAAAGGAAGCGTTTAAATGTGTGCGACGATGTAATGTAAAAGGGTCCAAAAGTAGAAAACGAGAAATAAGAAAGGAAACTATCGGTTTTGTGCGCCTGCAATTTTGGCACGGTATTGCGCTACAAGCATGGCATGTGCTTGCTGTTGCTGTTCAATTGACATCATCCCCGTCGAGATCCCCAACTGTGCTCCTGCTCCCGTCTGAAGAGTCGGCGAAGTCACTCCCGCCGCTGCCGCTGCTGCTGCTGTCGAACTCAGGTCCAGATTCGACCAGTCGCCATTGAACATCGCCATCGGGTTTTGCACTCCCACCGTCAGTCCATTCATGCCCGACGCTCCACTCGTTGGCAATCCGCCCCCCATCACTGCTGCTCCGAACGGCGCTGCATTCATCATCTTTCCATTAGTCGTCGTCATGATGGCAGGCTGCTGTTGTTGTTGCTGTTGCTGCAAAAAGTGCTGCTGCTGTTGAAGCAACTGGATCTGTTGCTGCTGTTGAGGCGTAAGCGAGCTGTCCATGTTCTGAATCTGTTGCTGACGCTTCAAATATGCCATAATCGCCTGTTGCTGCTGGAGTTGTTGCTGTTGCTGGCGTTGCTGCTGCTCAAGCAATTGCTGCTGCTGCTGTTGCTGTTGTTGTTGTTGTTGTTGTTGCTGTTGCTCCTGCTGTTGCTGGCGACGACGGTTCAACATATCCTGGTACATCAGCTGCTGGGCTCGCTCCAAAGTGGCCACACCTTGCTGCTGCTGAGACAACGGCAATGTCGTGAATGCATAGGGCAACTGAAGCTGAGAAGGATCCATTCCAGCCGGGATAGTTCCCAAACCAGTCTGGATGGTCTCCTGTTGCTGCTGCATCGACATTTGTTGCTGTTGCTGTTGTTGGTGCTGTTGCTGCAAGATGTTCTGGGGTGTAGCGAAGCTCTGCTGACCAGACGAGTGAAGTGCCTTGGATGACTTTTGCTGCTGCTTCTGCTTGGCGGACTGGGGTCGGGCGGAGTGAGACTCGGCCAATTGAGACTGTGCCGCAGCAGCAGCTCCTTTGGCATCGGACGAGAACCGACGTTGACGTTTGGGGAACGTGTGCGACGAGGGGAAGGCACTTGACGTGGCACTGTTGGCAGGGGCATTAGATCCATTGCCGCCGTTACCATTGATAGGCGTCATGGGCTCAATTCCAGTTCCGTTGGCTCCTCCTGTGGGCGTCGCTGGGGCAGAATTAGCATTCACAGTCGACTGGAGACTGGCCTTGGGGAGGTTGAGATTCATACCTTCCTTCTTCTCCTGAGCTCCGACCATCGAGTTCAGCTCGACACTCTTGCGGCGCTGGGTGGTCTTGGTCGGCTTGCCTGTAGGTGCTGGCATCTCCTCTGCAAGCTTGGGGTGAGCCACATCAGCGCCTACGCCTTCTGGGGGCTCTCCGTTGGGGTGTGCAGTGTTGTTGTTTTGTCCGTTGCGATTACGCTTCTTGATGACATCGGTTTTGAGGCTAAGGGGTCGGACAACGCCATGGAGCTTTAAGAACAGACCGCAGGCGTTGCAGAGTGGAAGACCTTCGGGGTTACGGCGCCAAAGAGGGGTGGTTTGGGTGTTGCAGTTGGTGCACTTTGTGGGTATCAAGGTAGCCGCGTTTCCATCCGTTCCAGAATTTGATAGCGAAGTCTCTGAGGTGTTGGCGTGCTGCATGACCGAGGAGCTCGATCCTTCAGTCGACTCGTCTGACCCTGCCTTGGCTCCAGTGCCCTCGGATTTGCCATCCGTAGAGGCACGACCTTGAGCACGAGGACGCTTGCCGGGGACTACCGATCCTGACGAAGTTGGTGGCGTCTTCTTGGCGGTTGTCGAAGGATTGTCTGATGTCCAGCCAGCATCCTGCTGGCTAGAGTTCAAAGATCGCCGCGAGACTGGAGCAGATGTCCGTTCCGTCTCATCCGTATCCATATCGACCTCTTCCCTCACATCCGAATCCGACGACGTCTGGTTCATGTTGCCATCAAAGGACTGTGATGCCTCGTTGAAGAACGAGGCTCCTGGGCCAGTAAAGGGAAGAAGTTGGGCTGGATTGATGAACCCAGCGGGACCACCAGGGCCGGTGCCAGGGTCGTTGGAGGGGTTGAAGAGCTGGGCATTCAGCATGTCAGGGTCCTGCATGAATCCTGCACCTCCATCCACACCACCAAAATTCATCATCGAGATAAGGTCGCTGTAGTTGACATCGCCGAATCCGTTTCCTGCTTGCTGCATCTGTTGCTGCAACTGCAGTTGGTGCTGAATCATTTGGTGCTGCTGGAACTGCTGCTGCTGTTGTTGTTGCTGCTGTTGCTGGTGTTGAGCCGCTGCTGCGAGAAGGTAATCGGGATAGAACATTTGCTGGTTCGGTGATGCCAGTGAGTTGCCGCTAATGAGAGCTTCCGTGGAATAGTCGGTCATGCCCTCGCTGCCTATCGCAGATCCGGCAGTCATGTTAGCCAGCAGTTTCTTTTGGGTGGGTGATTCTTGCTTAACAGGAACGCCATCATCTCGTGAGCTAGACTTGGGCCGGTCCATGGGATGACTTGGGAAGACAGTGGTTGGAGAGGAAGGTCGAGAAGACTCAATGTCAGAATCACCAGAGGAGGCGTCGTGCGGGATATTGATGCTGCCAAGATACGGGTTGGAAATAGGCGTGCGGAAGTTTCCTGCCGCTGCTGACTGCATATTGGACTGTTTGGCAGACTGCAACTTTTCCGAAGGCGTGGACTAGCAGATCGTTAACACAACAACAACAAAAAAAAAAAACGAAAAGGTTCGAGTTTGGCGTTAGGAGATGGGATGCATAGGTGGGTTTGCATATTCACAACATGCAAATCCACAAAACCCATTTCCACGAAGCCAAGTGATGTTTTAAATCCATACCTTCCCCTGATAACTTGATAGTCGTTGGTTGCTGCTCCGTGAACTGGCGGAATGGCCCGATTTACTTCCCGTCGAACTCCGTGAGAGGGTCGGCCTCGATGACTGGCTGTTTGAACTATTGTTGGCACTGAACGATGGACCAGCTCCGCCGATGAAGTCTATGGAGATGGGGTTCGTGGGCGAAGGGCTGACTCCATTCATAAACGTGTTGGTCGGACTCTTGGCACCAAATGACTGGGAGGACTTGTCAAATGAGCTGCTGTTGGAGTTGGAGCTGCTGCCAAGGTTATTGTTGAAGTTGTTGTTGTTTTGCTGGACGGCGTTATTATGGATGAAATTATTGTTACTGTTGGTGGTGGTGTTGTTGTTGTTGCCAAAGCTGTTGGGTTTCTTGTGACGCGAAGAAGGTGACACTGAGGATGACGAGGAGAACTTGAAGTTGTTATTGTTGTTGTTCTGTGAAACAGGCGGACTCTTGATGGGCGTCATCATGGGGATGCCGGCAAACCTCATCTCTCTGGGTGAGGAGGCTGTCGAGGAAGCGTTAGATTGGTTGTCCTGATCATCATCCGAATCCGACTGCATCGCAGTGTCATACATCCCACTGTTGGGGCTGCTGCGGTGGCTGGGTCCAGGGATGTTGATGCTCATAGTAGGGGGCATTGGCTGTGAGCTGACCGTATCCATGTAGCTAAGAGAAGGAGAAGGGGGACGAGGAGCAAGATGGATGGTGTTTAGATATACGCTCCCAGGATCATGTGTTTCGTGGACATAAACAACCCACGGCAAGGGAACTGTGCATGATCCTTGATCTATCTATCATTTTCAATAAAGCGTACCTAGGTTGACCGGCAGGAACAGGGCCCTCAAGATCCATGGCGTGTCCGTTCCTCTCCTTGTCCTCCTTTTCTTTGTTCTTCTTGTGAAGAGTCATTGCCATCATGCGCCACGTCAGGTTCTCGAGTCGCTTTCCATTGGGGAGTGAGTCCTTGGCCTTGGTGTATAGACGCCACACTTGCGCTGCCAGGGGATCCTCCTTGGCCTGCTTGGAGGCCTCATCCTCTTCAGAACATTCCTCGGCCGAGCCATCCTCCATATGGTGATGTGCGCTGGGATACTCTGCGGTTCCCATGGGTCCGGGAGATCCTAGTTCTGAAGGCAGTTTTCTCCTTGGCTTTGGCTTGGGGAAGTCGATGGTGGACGAGAGCAGGGACTCTGGAAGTCTGTTGGCGGTGGTTGCCTTTTTACCTTTGGAGCCGGACCTGTAGCTACCATCATGCGAAGGGGCGGGAGAGGATGGCGAAGAGGGAGTGGGCGAAGCCCGGTCGTAGGAGGGGGAGGTTGGATAGTGTGGTGAATTGTGATTCATGGTCGATATGTTTCCGATTCGCTTGTTGTTCTTGTATGCTATCAATTGTTGCTGTTATCACACTCCTTAATCTGGTTGAGGAAGGAAAATATGGATGAAGCCAAGCCTAGGAGTGCAGTGGAGGTAGGGGGACTGTGGCAAGAATTAGAAAGAGAGAAGGAGAGAAGGGGTAGAGAAGTGAAGAGAGGGGAAAGAGGAGGGACAGAGGAAAAACAGAAAACAAGGTCAGTTGTCAGTCAGTCAGAGCATTGCGGGGTAAGTGTGCTCACAGGTTGTTGAAGATAAGTGTTCAAACTATATGATTTAATCCTTTTGCCCCAAGCTCGCAAATCAACAACCAACACAATAGATAACAAACACAACGAAATAAAGCGAAGGTCTCGTACAAAAGGATGGGACAATGTTGAATGAAAAGAAAAGAGAGAGAAGTTGAGAGTAATGATGACAAAGGTGCGAAATAAGGAGTGTGAGTGAGTGAGCGGGCGAGTGAGTGTGCAAGGTATGAAGTGGTGGGTGAGAGAGAGAAAAGAAGGAAATGTGGGGTGGATAAGCGATAAAGGGAAAATGGCCGAGCCAGAGCCAAGTGGCTCGTTGGGTCATCTTTTTATTTTTTGAAGGCCAGAGGTGATGTGTGAAAAGGTGGAGGGGATAGCAGGTCGATAATAAATAACATAACGATTTTTTTAGGTTTCATCCAAAGGAAAATAAAACATGACTGACAAAGGAACAAAAAAGCCCACAAGCAGTGTCAGGGTGAACAAGAGGAGGAGTTTGGCGGCGGATGAACTCTCTCAGGTTGTGTGTATGCCAAGCATGGAGAGGAATGAATGAAAGGAGCAATACACGATTCGGGGTGGTGTGATCAGGAAACATAGATTGACGTACTGTTGTCTTCTGGTGCTTATTCGCAAAGGAGAAGAAAGGAGAGGTGGCGAAGTAAGAGTGTAAGAGAGAGAGAGAGTGTGTGTGTATGGCACTAGTGTGTATGTTAATGGATGTAATGGATCGGAAGAAATGGATCGAAACAGCCGAAAAGGAAGAAGAGAGTCAGTGAGTGAGTGAGCAATGAGGAACGTCGGAAAGAAGAAGCGGGTGGAATAAAGGTATTCGGTATGAGTGAGAAGAATACGTGGAGAGCGATTGTGTGTATGAATGTATGTGGGGGATATGGTGATTTGGGGGGTAAGAAAGAAGAAAAGGAAAGGAGAAAAAGACAAAAAGCGGAAGGAGAAAATAGTTGATTTGGCCGTGTGCGAGCAGTATGATGTGAATACCGGCCAGGCCAGTCAATGTGTTGGAGAAGAAAGGGAGAAGATAGAAAATGAAGATAATCAAGTAGCTGGTTCCCCTTCTCTTCCACGGACTACTTTTTTTTCTGTGGGGAGCTGTTGTTGTTGTTGTTGTAGTTGGTGGGGGTCCAGATGACGACGACAGCAAACAGCAGACAAAGAGAAACAACAATAACAAGACTACCGCGATGGTATGTATCCTCGAATACATACCCTTTTTTTGTCCCAACCAACAGTAAACAACAAAAACACACACACACACACACGCTCTTGCAAACAGATACGCACAAGAACGTCAACAGTCAGCCAACCAACAGACAGACAGACAGATAGACAGATAGATAGACAGACCCCAAGCAATCAATCATAAACAACCAAGAACAACGCAGGGCAGGCACCTCTTTATCTCATAATACCGGCATCTTTGCCACACCGGTGTGTTCAATTTCATTCATTTTTGCTCTCACTTTTTGGTTCTTCCTTTCAACAGGCTGCAGCAAACAAAAACAGAGACGACGACCAACGCAATTCGCGCATTACTTGCAGTATCCAATCACATACACAGAACAGCAGCAGCTACTGCAATCCCTTCTGGTCCTTTTCCTCTTCTCTTTTTTCTTTCCTTTCTTTTTTTTTATGCACATCCCATCCCCCTTTTCAAACCCAACCTCACCCGCTCACAAGCACAAGGAAAAAAAAATCAAGCAAAGCACTCCCTTGCGAGTTTTCATTTTTTGTATTTTACCCCTATGCCAAAACAAACAAAAATATCCGTAGTAGAACATGACATCTTCCTCACACAACAACAGCATTCATTTTCACCCTTTTTTTTTTTTTTTTTTTTTTCTTTTTCTCAATTGACCTATCATATCCATTTGAACACCCATCCACACCCCCTTCTCCTCACCATCATCAGCTCACCAAGCTGGCGTGAAAATATCCCGAAAATCAAAAACATCTGGGAAGCAAAGCCTGTTGACGAGCGTTTCCCTTTCCTTGCTCACTCTCTACCATAGAAAACCTTCTCGGGTCAATGGGGATTAGTCACACGCACGTTTTTACTCGATAGGACAAAACACAAGAAATGACTGAACGGAGTCAAAGAAATAAAAAAGTGCAGAGGACAAGAAGTGTGCGTAGGTGAGTGGAGTGTGAAAGAATGGGAGGCGCTGAGTGGGAGACTGAACGACAAAAGGAAGAACGAATGTAATGGAAACAAAGGGCGAACGAAGGAACAACCCAGCTACTTGTTTTTTTGTAGTCTCTCTCTCTCTCTCTCTCTCTCTCTCTCTCTCTCTCTCTCTCTCTCTCTCTCTCTCTCTCTCTCTCTCTCTCTCTCTCTCTCTCTCTCTCTCTCTCTCTCTCTCTCTCTCTCTTCTTTTGTTGTATGCATTCTTTTCTGTTTTTGTTTTCCCTCCATCTTCTCACGGGTTCCCATGAAGAAAAGCACGCCCATATGCAAAAGCAGAGAGCCGCAGGTAAAACAACAGCTGCGTGCTAAAAGGGTGTGTTTGTTGTCTGTTTTGTGAAAAGGAGGGAGGGGTGAGGACAGGAAGGAGACACGAGTCTAGGTTTTTGTTCTGTCCATGGAGCCTATTTTTGTATGTTGATCGTTTTTGTCTTACAGATGCAGTGCGCTTTTGACTCGCGCCGTTCGTTATTGATGTTGCTACTGTTGATCGTGAAAAAGAAAGACAGGGAGAAGAAAACAAAGGAGGAGGAAGAGGAGGGAGAGGAGGAGTGAATGGTCAAAGGGAAAAAAAAGCGAGCAGGGAGGGTAGGGTTGAATAGGTGAAAGGTGAACGAAGGAAGACAGGGAGGGGCATAGGGGAAGAAAGGCAAGGACGTCAGGGCTGGGTTGGTAAGAAGAACAAGTGGAAAAAGCAGACCGAAAAAAAGGCAAAAAAATGCGTGTTGTGTATGTTGCAGTGTATGTGTGCGTGTTGACGAAGGGTCCGAAGCGTGAATAGAAGTCGAGGGAATAGACTCTGTAATGAATGGTAGTAACACAGTAGGTGAAGGGCTGCGAATGGAAGGAAGGAAGGAAGGAGGGAAGGAATGGAGTAGTCAATTACCTGCTTGCAGACAGAAAGTGAGAAAGGAGCAGCGGCAGCAGAAGCAGCAGTTGGGTGTTGGTGGATGGAGGGGAAGGACGAGCAGGGCCGAGATCGGACTGCGGGGTGGGGAGGGGGGGTGAGGAAAAGGAGGAAGAAGGATAGAACAAGGACGGGTGCGCGTCAAGGAGTAGAGTGTTGGGGATCGGAACAAGTGAGATAGTATGGGTGTAAGGAAAGGATGCAACGCTGAGAGTGCAGGGTGTGATTGTATGGTTGAGGTGCCAATGGAAGGGAAGGATGGGAAGAGAGAGAGAAGGAAGGAGGGAAGGGGAAGCAGGAGAGAGAAAAAGGAAAAAGGAAAAGGACGGCGGAGTAGGGAAAGGGAAGAGGGGAGAGAGAGGGAAATAAAAAGTGTCCGATGGGCGTGGATAGGGTCATCCACGCCACGCCCATGGAAAACGAAGAGGGGGGAGAGCCTTTTTGGGTTTGACGGCTGGCCAAAAGGAACAACAAAAAGATCTTTAGATGGTCATTAAGGGATCGACCTATCTAATTGACCATGTCAAATTTTTGGGTCACCATGGCAGGCACACGCGCACTTCCAACCAAATCATATCTGGTTCCGTCCTCTCTGTAACTTTTTTTTTCTGCTTATTCTCGATGGAATTCTCTCTCTTCACTTCCATCGTTCCTGCTTTCACAGAAAGCTCCTTAATTCCTTTCATTTTTCACTTTCTGCCAACATGCCCAGAATAGCATTCTCATCCAACCACATCCAATCTCTATCTTCCCTTTGCTTTTTCTTTCGTAATTGGTCGGCAAAGAGAAGCGTGGAAATGGAACAAAACGTAAAGAACCAAAACTTCAACCACTCCTTACTCTGAAGTTTATCAAACAAGAAGAGATGATATTTAACGCTATGAGAGAGAACATGAAATCGGAGGCTGCCTCTCCTTTTTTCTACCTATGCACCACGGTTCCAGGGTTCAGTCGAAAGTCGCTATTGAGTTATGTAGATACAAGAGTTCAACAAGAGTTAGTAATGTGCTCACAGACAGGGATTTATATGTTCAAAGCCACGGACAGGGATTGAGGATTAAAGACAGAAAGAAAAGTTCAAAATATCACGGACTAACTCCTAGGACTAGCCAAGGACAAGAAAGACAAGGAACATAATAGCCTTTTAGCAACAACTTACATAAACGCAAGGCTTGAATCGGCACTCATTGAAGTAATAAAGGGCTTGCTTGGGTGGAACGCGGCCCTGAACACGCGTTTCGCTAAAAGTACCACAAAACACGAAGAGAAACACAAAGTGATTAGTCGTATGACCCAGCAAACAAAAGCAAAGTATCGCACTGACTGCCCTGCACCTGCATTTGCATCCCTCATCCCCCTATCACTTACATTGTCCATCGATGGATTGACCAGCGCCGCGGTGCACATCCCTCCAACGAATATCCCAGATGTTGATTTTGGGATCCGACTGAGTTCCACTGCTCACAATAGCTCCACCTGGATGCCACGAGGGCATCACCTGTCTCGACAAGTTATCGGCACACTCGAAACCAAAGCGCAAGACAGGATCGTCAAATCTTTGGCGGAGGTCGTGCAATGACAGCTGGTTGTTTGTGGTCGCATGAGAAACCAAAAGCAGGTTGGGGTCCACTGGGTTGGGTGTGATAGAGTTGATGCGACCGCGCTCCTTGCTCTTGTAATCGTACACCACCTCGGACCGTTCCATGTCCCATCCAATGACCTTGCAATCGCATCCTCCTGAGAACAGCACGTTGTTGTGAGGTGTGTAGCAAAGTCCCTGGATGGTGCTCGTGTGCTTGCTGTGGACCACGGTCTGCTGCGATGGTACACAGTCGCCGTCCGAGTTTGCTGGCGTAAACTTCCAACGGATCTAGTAGATTACAAAATCAACAGGTTGTTCATGGATGTGTAAATTAACTTTGGTGATAACAAGGCTGATTGATCAGAGTTCAGGCACACTTACGATTTGCTTATCCAGACCAGCCGAGGCAAGAGAGATACCGCTGCGGTCTTCAGTCATCGCTGTCAAGCACAGAATGCCGCCCTTGCTGGCATCATGAGGTTTCTGATCCAATGACTGGATTGTCCATGTAACCGGCGAGGTTGGCTTGGCCTTCTCAACATGGACTAACATGAGCTGGTTGGGCATGGGCACTCCTTCCTTGTGGGCACTGGCCACCGCTAACGTGTTCTTGCCGACCCAGCACATGTCCTCTGCCCAAGGCATGTTGGTTGGTGCTTTTGGAATCGTGCTCGTCACGCGGCGCCTTTCCAGATCCCAGAAGTGAATAGTTCTAAGTAGATTCGACAATGTAACGCAAGCATAAATAATTTGATCCGCCGGCTTCAAGTCAACCACAGGGTGCATTTGAAACATTTAGCGAAAAAAACATACCCATCCAAGGCACTGGTGACCATAACTTCTTCCATGTCTGGACCAGCAATCGGCACATGGTGAAGCATGCATCTAGGCTTTCTTCCAAACGTCTTGTTCCGGATATCGGCATGGACATTGGTCAAGGTCTCCACGACATTCAGAGCAGCAACTGCGATACGGTCGTTCACTGGTGCCAGACGAGGACGAGATGATCCGTGTCGTCCGTTCGAGAATGAGGAGTTACTCTTGGAAGCAGCGGACGATGGGGCCGAGGACTTGTTGGGCAAGAATGACGAGGCGTTGTGCTGAGTGATCCTGTCGCTGCTAGGTCTTGACACCATCGTAGGCCTCTCAGATGCAGAAGTCTCACGCCCGGCAGCAGTGCTCTCGCTCAGATCCCTGAATCGCCGCTCCAGTTTCTTGCTGATGTTCCGAATCCGCTTTGACGATGCCTTGGCCTTTTCGCAGTACTTGGCATACTTTGTACGCGTTCTTTCGAGCTAAATTTTTTTCCATTGGTATGAAACATAAAGTTAGAAACGATTGACTTCTATCCGAATTGAGCAATGTCACGCAGACATTCGTATCATCTTGAGATAATTACCTCGAGCATCAGGTCGTGGATCTGACCGTGCAACTTCAGACCAGAAGCGCCAATGAGGCGGCGAGCATCAGACTCATCAGAGCTAGAGTCAGATTCCGAGCTGGAAGAGTCCGAGTCCGAGGATTCTCCAGACGTTTCCCGGGCAGCAATACGTCTACGCTTGCTCCTGCGCTTAGACTCGGGCAGCTTGTACTGTGGCTTGCGTGGCGACATGTCGACGTCTGTTCCTCCGTTGGCCTCAATAGCTGCGCCAGAAAAGACAGACTTGGATCGGTTGTTGAACGCAGCAGCGGCCTTTTCTTGCTGGACCCGGTCGTACTCGGAATCACCAGAGGCTGTAGGGGACTGAGGAGAGACTGGTTCGAGCGATCGGTTCCTGACAAGGGAGACATCTGCGATGCCAGACCGTACGTCCTCGGTTAGCGAGCCAGTTCTTTTTCTAGGCTTGGGAGACGAACTCTCGTTTCGCCTCTTGTTGGATCCGCCTTCAAAGAATCGGCCGCGCTCAGGGGGGCGGGACGACTCTCGAGCATCATAGGGGTGGTCATTGCGACGCAGAGGGGCTGAAGGTGATGGCGGCGCATCATATTGGCTTCGTCCTCCTCTGCTCTGGTCTTGAAGGAACGGGTCCGGTCCTCTGTTATCGCTGCGTCGATCGCGTTCGTCCCAATCACGATTTCTGGGTTCCCATGCTCTTGAGTGGTCGTTACGTTGGGGCCGAACGTCACTGTTTTTGTTGTTGTATGGGTGATTGGAATAACTGTCAGGGGGCGGGACGGACATGCCCACACGATCGTTGTATCTAGGGGTCTCTTTGGGTGGACGGCTGTCTAGGAACATGGATTTTTCACGATAGTTGCGGCGATCCTTGGGGTCCCTGGAGTCGTGGCTACTGTTATTGTTATTGTTATTGACAGGCATTTGGATGGTGGCAAGCTCCTTGTCCGAGTCCGAGTCGTTGATGATTGTTGGGAGATGGTACGGGGGAAGGGCCAAAGACGGTCGTCGGTGGTCGTCGATGTTTTCTTTCTTGACAAGGAGGTCCACGGGTGGGAATATTTCGGTGATGGTGACTTGCGGCACTGCGATGGGAGTACCACGGCTCGATGGAGAGGGAACGGAGGAGGAGGAGTTGGGTGAGTTGTTGTTGGTGAGCGACTTTCCCTTTCGCTGGAAGAGAGAGGTGGCGAGGAGGGTGAGGGGGAGGAGGTTGGACTGGCTTTCCATTAGCATGAGAGTGAGAGAGAATACGGGTTCTCGCTGGACTTTGTTGCCACCAAAAAAAAAGCTTATGGATACTTTTTTTGGGATAGGGTAACCTTGTAGCGAGACAAGAGGCGCCAAAGAGCTGTTGTGCTATGAAAATGAGTAGGGGAAGGCGGTATGTGAAGGGTATTATTATTGTTGTTATTGTTTGAGCGATGCTGAAGAAACAAGGAAAGGAATGGAATGGATGGCGAGTGAGGATGAGGAAACAAGTCAAAACAAAACAGACAAAAAATAATAATATGCAGTGACCAGCAAGGCAGCAGGTGGATAAGAATTTGGCTCCTTTTGAGTGGCTTGCATCCCTATCTTCTGGCTTCTCTTGGATCGACTTGTTTCCCAGGGTGGGTCTCTTTTGTTTCCCCCTCGGCACTTCCCTTCGACCCCCATTTGCCTTTTTTCCCCCCATGGCAGTTGATACAAGTACATTTCTCTGATGTCGGTTTATACCATTTCGCATGGCCAATCCAGGGCAATATCTATCACAGCTTGTTACCCATTTTTTTCAATGGCATTCCGCCACGTTTTTAAGGGGTCTGTTCTTTCCTCGCACGGGTCCTTTCGACCGGTGTCCCTTGCTGTTTCTGGACGCCTTTTTTTCTTGCTCGTTGTCTTCGTTGGCATCGTTCGTTGCATTCCTTTTTTTTCCACTTTCAACTTTCAAACCAACACGCCCTCTCAAGCATCTCGTCGTCACACAAATCAGCACATTCACCATGCACTCACTCTCAAACTTTGTCTTCACTCGCGTCCTGAATGAGGATCCCATTCTCAAAACACTCACTCTCCTCGGCACTGTCCCTGCCACAGCAACCGCCACCACCACTGCAACAGCCGAGGAGAAGAGCCAGGAAGTCCAGCCCGTAATTCTTCTAATTGAAAAGACTCACTTTGCGACCCAGTCTGCAGAGAGCAACATTACGTGCCGTATCTCTGAACTGCTGTCGACAGGAAGCAACGATATCTACCATTGGTGGAATGCTATCATCCTGGAGGGCAAGGCTTACGACCCCGACCTCAAGATGACCGTCATCTCCCCTGTGACCGAGGCAGTATGTATTACACTTATCTGAAAGGAGGGTGCCTCAGAGGAAAGGGATAATCGTACATTGCGGCTCTGACTTCTCTTACTTTTGATTTGATAATGATCAGCATATCGCCAAGTACTCGCGTCAGGAACGCAAGATGATCACTGAGACCGCAGAGATCTACCACAAGGCTATCCTGCCTTGGATCGAGAGTCAGCCGAAGAGCAGGATCCAATGGGTCTACAATATCCTTGAGGGCCTCAAGGAGCAGGAGAACATTATCCTACGTGACAATGATGCTGATACCGGCTTCATTGTCCTTCCAGACAGGTATCGGGGCCTTTTCTTGTCGATACACAGCTCCATTTACGCGTAGCGACGCGACTATACTCCGTAGTCTGGCCACATGTTTTCCCGTTAACAGCTCCCCATTTTGGATTGGTCAATGTGAAATAGCAAGTGGGACAAACGCACGCTCTCGTCATTGTACCTGCTAGCGATCTCGATGAGGTCCGATGTCCGCTCCCTGCGTGACCTCAAGCCCGAGCACTTGCCTATGCTCAAGAACTTGCGCGACAAGATCATGGCCCTTATCCCTGTTCGATTCCCCGGCGTTGCCTCGGATGAGGTTCGCATGTTTGTGCATTACCACCCAAGTTACTGTAAGTTCAACAACCATGCGCGTGATAACACATTGCTATGAGACAAAGAGAGAGTGGCTTCGATTGTGATATGGTGTATGGCGTGGCGGAATGCAATGTCCTTGGCATGCGTGTTGAGCATGACCAACGTTTGAGATGTAGTAGTCGATGAATATGACGATGCGAAGGTCTCGGCGTTGTGCTCACTCACTCACAGCAATCAATCTCAACAGATAAACAGCCAGACCCTCTTCTTGTACACTGCGCATACAGCCGGCTCTCAGTCACTCATATCTTCGTACCCATAATCTTGTATAGACCACTTCCATGTACATGTCACCCATGTCTCTGCCCAGGTCCCTGGAAGCACAGTCGGACAATCCCACCTTCTCGATACCATCATCGACAACATTGAAAATATCGACCCCGACTACTACCGCAAAGCCTCGATTCGGTTTGCTCTCGGTGTCAACCATCCCGTTTATACTCTTATCCAAGGTTACCAGTCTAGTCCCCAGTAATGAAGGCAATGCGAGTGGATGGAAAAGAACGAGGGACATTCATGGACATATGAGGTTTGGAGATTTTGAGAGACTTGGTATTTTCTTTCGATTGTCTAGACTTTTTTTGAGGTATATGGGCAGTACTGTAACTTTTCCGGAAGGCGGAGCTAAGTAGGCAGGCTATGCGGAAAATAAACTGTATTCTTCCTTTTTTTTCAGGAGGAAGGAGTGCTTCAGCCCAAAGATGCAATATTACAAAAGTGGGATGCTCAGCCAATGCTACAGGTAAAAGGGAAAACCCCATGAGAAACTGACTGGCTGGCCATCATGCTCTGTCATTGTGCTTTTCCCTTCTTCTGACCAACAAACGGTCCGTCTTTGAAAGGCAAGAGTAATAACGAGTTATTTTCCCATTTGCTTTGTTGCATTATCCATTTGGCTTGTACGATTGAGGCGGAACATCAATGTTCATTTGAGCAATTTCGCGAAAAGAGAAAAGAGTCGATCCCTTTTTTTTTACTGTCTCATACCCTACTGGTTCAAGTGCGACAGAAGAATATAATAAAAAGAACGAAACTATCTACAAGGTTGGAAGGGAGCAGCTCTGGAGATCTAAACTGGAAAGGAGTATTTTTTCCACGGCAGAAATCATACCCGCCAAGAACGAGATTGTCCCTGCTCTCCAAGAATAGGGTTCGTCCTCACCCTGGTTTTCTAATATATAGCCATGCACCACTCCCATCCCTTTTCTGTTATCCAAATCTTTCCTTTGTTCCTTTGTTCTCAGACAGACACAAACCCGTGCCTGTATTTCGTCCCTGCCCTGTCCCTGCAGCCGATAATCTCCTTTCTTCCCATCCCTACTTCCTTCCTACTGAGAACGTCCTCACCTTTGTTTATTCTGTTGCATTATCCAGCACAGCATCCTCTGCATTCGCCCATTTTTTATCCCGCTCCTGTGGACGTTGACAAACAACACCAACCACGACAACGGCACCAATTCGCAGTCTTTGATCTCATTTACCCTTCGATCATCGCAGCATAGCGTCCACAAAAACGAGCAACGTCGAAGTAGTTTCCACCCAGTCATTGATCCACCTTGTTCCTCTTTTTTTTTTCTCGTATAAAGCATCCTTCTTCTTCTCATTTCTATTTTTTTTTCTTCAAAGCCGTTGCCCTCAGCCCCATCCTACATTCTTCGAATTTTCTCTTTTTCACTGCCGTTTCTCCAGCCCCCTCCTTTCCTTCGACTTCAATCGCCAGCAACAACCTCCTTCCATCCTTTCTTTACATCAAAACATTCATCTCCACATACACACGCACTCAGTAACGGCATCTGCACTCCGTGGTCGTGAGAGAGTGAGACAGTGAATTCAGTGCCTGTCGGAGACACCATTCTCATTTACATCATCCCGCCATCGGATCAACCCAAAAAAAAATCGCACTACACCTCTAATACCTTGCGCCCACCATGTCATCATCATTACACCCAGCAGCATCGACAAGCAGGAGTAAGAAACAACATGTCAGGACTCAAACCCGCCCTCGACCATCAACAACAACAACCATCATCCACACATTCCTCCTCCAACTCTGCTTCCTGATCTGCACCACCCTCCTAACCCTTACCACACCCACACACGCCTATCCCCTCCTCGCCCTCTCCGACATCTCCCTCTCTTCCGACGGCACAAACACGCTCCTCACGGAAGCCGACGCTAGTAATACCCCCAGCGTCGGTGCCAACTCGACCATGGAAGACACTTACGGCCGTCTGATCCTCGATGTTGGACAAAAGACCGTCATCAGTACCAGCAATTGGGTCCTGGGCACGATTTTGATTATTGTGGGATTGGTGCAGGTGTTCTATGGATTCAAGTTCATCCGGTTGACCCTTGTCCTTACTGGATTCATCTCCTGGGGTAAGTTTGCCCTTGTTGGGTTAATTATGAGAGGGGAATGGAGGAGCTGCTCAGGGTGTGAGGAGCAAATAGAAGTGTACGTTTTTTTTGGAAGTGTATATGTAGGTGTGGGATGATTGATATTCTCAGGATAATTGCAATGCGATGAGCATCCCCCAATACCAGATTTGACGTTTCTCGCTCACTTTTCTATCTTTGGATTATTTTTTTATCTTTGACGTTTGAGTTACAAAGCAAGGGGGTCCCCCCACTCCCCCCAATTGGTGCAAGCACCACGGTAGATCCACCAAAACGGAAATTAAAAATCTCCTAACCTTTCCCCACACACACATCTCTCTTGTTCCTCACACCTTGTACACAATAGCCGTGGTAGCGATAATGGTCACAGTCGTCCTCCGCTGGGACCTCGTCTACTTCCTCTTTAAACCCTCCCACTCGTACTTCTGGATCTGGTTCCTAGCCGGAATCCTCGGTGCCATCCTCTCTTTCCGCTACTGGGATCTCGGTGTTGCCTTCTCGGGCGGCTTTGGAGGGTTCGCGCTCGCCATGGGGATCATTGCGGCCGTCAGTGATTCTCATAACATGACCAATATCCCACGGTATATCCTCCTAGCGGTTCTGATTCTGCTTGGAGCCGCGATCGCGATCTTTTATGAACGGTTCTCGATTATTTTGGGGACTAGTTTAGGAGGAGCCTTTATGGTGATGTTTGGGGTGGATGAGTTCTTGCAGGCCGGGTACCGTGAGATGATTGTCATTTTTGATTTCGCGGGGAGAACGCTCCAATACCGGCCGGACAAGACCGTGTTCATCATGATTGGGTGTTCATTGGCACTGGCCTGCTTAGGTATCGCATGGGAGTTCTGGCATCATGCCAAGCCGGTGTTGGTCGATCGACGGGCGCTGTTTAGAATTTATGGTCGGCCGTTTGGAAAGCGCCCACATAAGTTGGCGGGGCAGAGGTTGAAGAGACGGGTTACAAAGTCGGATTGGTATAGTTATTTGGCGGGCTGTCTTTGTTTGAGGAGACGGACTGCTGAGGAGGTGTTGTATGGAGATGATGAAAGCTATGATGAGGCCGCCAACGCCGCCGCCGCCGCTGCCGCCGTCGCTGCAGGAACCACAACTGCAACAACAACGGGACAGGTCAATGAGGAGGACGAAAAGAGAGGGTCCACAACCTCTGACGGCGGCTTGGAGACCATCGTCATCGTCGTCGATGAGTCCCATTCCTTAGAAAAACCAACCATCCTCCCTGGATCAGAGATTATCTACGGTTCAGGAATCGAAAGCCCCATCCATAGCAGCACTTCCTCCTCCTCCTCTTCTTCACACTCAACCCTCACCACCCAAACCGCACCTGTTGAAGTCGTCGTTACAGAGACTTCAGAATCTGTCGACGAAAACGGTGCCCGGATCGTCACCACTACTACCACCACCACCACTGCAACGTCGAGCGGAGGAGAACAGCACGAGCAGCATTATTCGTCAACGGAGAGCAGGACACAGAACTCTAAGTCAACGTCCTCCCACCTTCACCAGATGACGGGCGAGAGTAGCAGCAGTCATGCCCAGATGACGCGCACAGAGTCGTCGGTTACCTCTTCCTCCTCCCAGTCCTCCCAGTCAGCCCACATGGCAACAACTACCACCACAGCAGCAGCAGCCAGATCGATGGAGACGAGTCAAACTAGCACTAGCAAAACCCTCCTCCAGTCAATGGCCGCCGCGCACCACTCGTCTAGTTCTAGGACCACAACCACTACTACAACCGACGGATCAGGAACCAGCACCGTCGTCACATCCCACTCTTCCTCATCTCCTTAACTTCACTCAGCAAAACACTTGTACATAACTATAGAGCAATGAATTAGACAGCGTCCAATCCAAATTCATATTTAATAACCCCGCTTCTAAAAAAAAACTACTACCACCACCACCACCAACAACAGAAAAAAAAACAGTCTAATAGTTCTTCATAGCATCCTCAAAGATCCTCTCAAGCGCCTCAGCACCCGTAGCCAAAGGCGCCAACTTGGTGACCCGATGCTGGGGCAACGTTCCCTTGACCAGCGCAGGGATATCTGCCTTGGTGTATCCCAACGCACCAATACCATTAGGGACTCCCAAGTCCTCCAAGAACTTTGTCAATTGATCTGCCAACAGGGGTCCAGCAGACTCGGCCTTCCGGATCTTGGTCAGATCGGCACCAAAGATCTCGGCGGCCTTGAAGTGACGGTCGGGGCAGGCTGCGCCTGTGTACCTGAAGACAGCTGGGGCCGTTACCGCCACGGAGATTCCTGTTTTGTGGTGGTGTGATGTGGGGAAGAGGAGGGAAGAGGGGGGAGGAGGTTAATTATTTTGGGTCGAAATAATTTTTCCCACGGTCGCGTACTTAGAAAGGAGTATTCGCTTTAGCATACCATGGGGGACAATGCTGTGGTCGACATTGTACTCGGGATGCTTGTATGTCTTGTTTAATCCACTGATGGCTAAGTTCAAGAAGCGGTCGGGAAAAAAAAACGGTCAGTATTCAGAACATAACAGGTAGGGATGCATAGAAGAGCAACGCCCAGTACGCCACAAGAAAAGAACTTACGATAACTCATGCCATGGCACAACTAAATGGTTTCAAAAAAAAAAAAAATTGAGCATATGCAATGTTTAGCCGTGGGTAGAAAAGGAAAAAAAACGGCGAGTCGTAATGAATATGTTATCCCCCCCAACAGCACCATTCTCCAAGGAATAAATACGGAAGATGACTTACATGGACACCAGCGGATCCAAATCCAGTTCCGGCAGCCGCGGCAGCAAGACACATCTGAGAGTTAGCCTCCATATCCAAAGGATCCTTCGCCGACCGAGCGAGATACTTGACCGTCAATCTCAAACCCTCCAACGACCAGATGTCCGAGATGGGGTTCGATCCCTGATAGGCAGGTCTTTCAGCAGGGTTAGCAGGTCGAGGGGTGCGTTCAGTGTAAGGCAGGGCAGTGTAGGATTCCAACGCGTGACAGAGAACATCGAGACCAGACGCGATTTTGACCTGACTGGGCATGGTGCGGGTGTTGAGGGGGTCGACGATTCCCAGGGTGGGGCGCAATTTGCGGTTGGCAATGCCTGTCTTGACGCGGAGGGGCTCATAGTCGAAAATCGCTGTTCCTGTGGTCTCGCTTCCCGTTCCCGCAGTCGTGGGAACTTTTTTTCAATTAATTTTTAGTCGCGCGTGCGGAGATACAAAGTGAGAAGGTGTGGAAGGAAGAATGCGTGAGAACACGCCATTGGAACATATACATACTTTAACGCACACTCAAAGTGAAAGAGAGGGAGACTTACTGGCGATCAGGGGGGAGAGGTCTTTGGTGATGACACTACCCTTGCCAATGGGGGCGTTCACAAACTCCAGCAGATCTGCGTCAGGGTAATTATAGTACAAGTTGGCCGCCTTGCAGGTATCCATGACCGACCCACCACCAACCGCAAGAAACACATCTGGACGATGCTCCTTCGTGAACGCAATAGCATCCATGAAACTCTTGTCCGTAGGCTCAGCACGGGTCTTGTCGTAGACCACAAAGGGGACATTGTTGGCCGTCAAGGACTCGATGACAGTCTTCATAACGGGCAGCTTGGCAATGTTGGGGTCGGTCATGACAAGGACCTTCTTGGCCTTCATGTTGACCAGGTCTTGGCCCACCTCGCGGGTGACACCTTCTCCGAACCGCATGGTCGACGAGGCCATCTCAAAGGCGTACTCGTGCTCGGTGTCGGCGTGGCTTGCGTGGGAACAGTCCTTGGTGTGGTGGTGGTGTTTGCTCGTGGCGTCGGATGCAGAGTTGTTGTTTTGGAGGACGCGACGGGCTTGGGAGTGGGCGGGGCAGGCGCAAGACTTGTTCATGAGCGTGATCAAGGACTTGATAGACGCCTGGGACGTCTGCGCGACTCTAACAGCGGCGGACATGGTTTCTTCTGGTGGCTCTTGCGCTTTGGCGGTGGAGGGGGGAGTTTGTCGGAGTAAAAGAGGAGGGTCGCCGTGACAGGAGAAGGAGGATGAAAGGATGAAATAAAAAAGAGGAAATGAAAAGAGGAAGAAATAAAAAGAGGAGAGAAGAAAAGAAGGTTGGGGATGTGTGGGGATGAGTTCTTTTTTTTGTTTTTGTTTTTGTCGCACCCATTCGAGCCGAAGAGCCGAAGAGAAAAGACCAACCAGCAGCGAGCACGAAAAAGGGACATGATCGGAAAGATCACATGACTCTTTCATGGAGCACAGGAGAACAGCGCCACTCTCACTTGGGCTAGCAATGGACATCAACAACAACAAGGCAAAAGAAAACCAAAATAAAAATAAAAACAACCAGGGAATACCTCACGATCTCGTCCCTGAACCGGACCCTTTGCCATCCAGAGGATTCTCGGATCTTAGTGTCTCGATGTGGACCTTTTCTTGCGCCGACTCCAGAAATTTCGATAGTCTGATGCGAAGGAGGCGTGCTATTTTCGCAGACGGATAACACTTTAGAGTGTGAGAATATGTTAGTATGAGTCGCCGTGAGAGAACCTCTTCTTTCGTCGACCCATATGTTGCTTGCCAATAAACACTCGTACATATATTTTGCATGTCGATTTTTTCGTGGCATAAGGATAGAACGAATCCTTAGCGATGACGACGGGGGGAGGGGGGTTTTTGACTGATCCTTGATAATCCTGGATAGCTCCTTGAGGAAGGTTTTTTTGTTTCGTCGAGGATCTCGTTGACGATGCTACATTCTTTAGTCCAGACAGATGTCGAGAGGATCGACCGTATTGTTGTTGCCGCGATGCTGTAACGCCCTTGTCTTGAAGGACCGCCGTTTGAACGAGGGCGAAGTGAGAACGCGTGGTGTTCAATAAGAAAATTTTCAGTCTACAGAAAAGCAAAGTACTGAAACAACAATAAAATGTATCTACGTTCAACATACCTTCATTGACTGGGTAAAACCACCTTTTCGGTATCACGTCTGCATTTCTTTAGTGATAAATAGAAGGGTGCCTGAGGAACAACAGGCTGACAACGTGGGGAATGTCGATGAAGCGGTGGGCGAGAAATCATGCAGGATTGCACCGAGGGCGCAACTGGATGAAGGAGTGAGAGCAATGGAAGGTAAACGGAGAACGAAAGGAGCGAGCCCATGAGGGTTAGAAAAAAAAGATCATTGGTGTGCTTGTGGATGTCATTGGGGTGAAGACAGAGCCTGATTTTTTGTTTTGATGCTTCGATCACCTTCATCATCTGATCAATATCTCTTATTCCACTTCTTCCAAGAAAAAAAACATGGATGCCATCACTTTTCTTGAACGTGGCGTTGCCATTTTTTTTTATTGCTGGCCCACTGTGTTATGGTTATGTGAGGTGGGTGTAAAAGTTGAAGTGTCTGAACTGCCTCACGTCCGAATTAGATAGGTATCCATGTCTGGTATCCAAGCCAGACCGATTACCAACTTGTCAAACTTGAGGAGATGGCTAGCAATCTTCGATCAACAACCATGCTTTCTTTAATAGTAAGCATTACCTTTTCCATCAAGAAATATCAACCACACGCGTCCATGTACTGCTGGGCGTTACTTCCAAGATCTGTCCAAGTATTGTTAATGGTTTATCTTTTCTACATACTTTTATTATTAATGGACACTTTTTCTTTGTCAAGGGTAATTATTAAGGTCCTACACATTGGTATTATTATCTCCTCCTCCCTGCTCCTTGCTACCTAACGAATTATACCAACAAATCGTTCTCCTTTGTTCGTTAAACAGTGGATGTCTCGTTCTTAGTAGCAGCAGCAGCCTTGGCAGCCAGTCTCTGGTTATAAACAGCCCTAGCCTTCTCGGTACTAGGCGAGCGAGCCGCTGGGACGGTGCCCTTGGGGGCAATGGGCTTCAAGAAACCTGCGGTAGGTCTGTTGACAATCATCTTCTTCAACTATAACCATCAGACAAGAGAAAATAGACACCAATCGTTAGTCCATGACGTCCAATTGAATCTGCGTGACAACACGCATTCATAACCCGATGCATCACCAATTTTGTTTTCTTTCTTTTTTTTTCCAGCAAATACAAAAAAACAAAATAGAAAAGCACGTACGGCAAGGGCCCACAACCACTGGGGCATCCTCTGCATGACAAACATGGCAAGGGCGCCGGCAAATCCACGATCCATGAACAAGGCGAGGTCCTGGCTGTTCTTGAAAGACTCCATGACGTGGGGGATACGCTCCTTTTGGTACTCGGCAAAGGATTTTTCGATCGCCTTGTTGGTGTTGGCGGGGAGGGCGTAGATCAAGTTGGCGAGGGCAATGGCATCGTGCATCGAGGTCACAGCGCCTGTTTTGTGGAGATGTTGTGAAAGAATAGAGACAGGTTGTTAATGGGACGATTCAGGTACACAAGAACATTGGAATGAGCTTTGTTTGAGAGACAAAAAAAAAGTACATACCATGAGCACCAGAGGGATCGAGCTTGTGACAAGCTACACAATAGGAGAGGGAGGACACACATTCATTGTCAGTACTTGTCAATCACACTTTCACTATCATCCAACACGAATCAAAAAGTGAACTTACCATCTCCCAAGAGGACTCTGCGACCAGAGTGCCAGGTCTGGAAGACCTTCTCCTCCAACATAACCTTGGAGATCTGGGTCTTGGGTGTCCAGTCATAGATATCACCCATCGTCCTCTTCTTGTTACCAATAGGCAAGGGGAAATGGCGGGTCTCGTCGCACATGGCCTGGGCAGCCAGGGGACCCCATTCGGAGTTGTCCGACTCGCGGAAACGCTGTTCTTCGGCGGCCTTGCTCGAGACCTTGTCCAAATGGTGCAGGACCATCCATGTCAGAGTAGATTGTCTTGTTGCGAACAAAACCCACTTTTTTGGCCATGGGAGACGGTTTTGGAGAAAACAAAATTAAAAAAAATCGGTTAAAAACCCCGCTTTTACGTTGTGTTGGTCATGCAAAGTGGGAGAAAAATCATTCGAATCAATCTTACGGTGTAGGGTGAATCCTCGCCCATGGTGTTATAGAAGGGGCTCATGTCGTTCTTGACCTCAGGGAAGTCATCCAGATCCACAACCGTGGTCTGGCCGACCAAGCATGTACAATGGAAGGGCAACTCTTCCTGGTCAGACTTGGGCAACTTGCCCTCTTGCTTCAGGGTCTCGTACATGCGCTGACGGACAGCACTGTAGGCTCCATCGGCACCGACGACGATATCACCCTCGTAGAGCCCATTGTCGGCAGTCTGGATAGTAACCTTTTCGTCATTCTCGACGATGGAGAGGACTCGCTTGCTGAAGTGGATCTTGTGAGGGGGAATTTGCTTCAGGAGGAGGTCATAGAACATAGGGCGTGAGACGATGTAACTCTTGTATCCCGTGCTGTTCGGAAGAGGGTGTGGAAGAAATATTAGAGGTGGGCGGATGTGTAAGATAACACAATAAAAAAAATATTTGCTCTCATGTCGATCGCCGGCATGCAAGGTGGACCAAAGGGGGTAAAAGATGACTTACAATCCGAGGTGAGGTTGGAAACTGACGTTGGTTTGAAAAACGGAGCCGTCTCCCTTTTGGCGTGCGATACTGCAATCCATGGTGGGCTTGCCGATAGAAATGAACTCCTCGTCAATGCCCAACTGCTCGAACAAGGGGAGGAGGTTACTACCGATCATGAGCGCCGATCCTAAAGATATCGGCGATTAATATTCGTGAACACACAGAAGAGATTAACGTGTGGCAATTGGTTGGTTGGCGAATCTGATGAAACAACTGATGTTATCACTTGGTCCCAGGGGAAGGAAAAGGAGAGCACAAGACAACGACAATGGGGCACTTACCGAGAGGCTTGACGCTGGAGGTACGCTCAAAGATGGTGAAGGGGACGTTGGCCCTCTCGAGGAGGGCGCCGAGGAGGAGACCACCAATACCGGCTCCAACAATAAGCACTTCTGGCTTGACTTCAGTTGTCATCTTTTCTTGTTTGTGGGTAAAAAAAAAGGGGGTGAAGAGTGGAAAGTGGAAAGAAGGGAAAAAGTGGAGAACAGAGATGAGGATGAGGAGATGAGGAGATGAGGAAGAGAAGAAAGAGAGATGAGAGATGTTGTATGGCAGGAAGACCTTAGGCGCTTTCTACTTTTTTAACTCAAGGCTGTCCTGTTTGTTATTTTTCGGTCCCAGCTTCTCTTTGCTCACTCACATATTTGTTAGGTTTTTTTTTTTTTTTTTTCTTCCGCATTTTCTATCTACCTTCCCGTCGATCGTCTCCCCCCGGTTTCCAGATAAATTAACATGCCATTATGTAAATAGTACATTGTAATGCTGCATTCGTGTCATCCTCCAGGTGTGTCTAACCCGCTCCTACTCTCTTGTTGTCCTACTGTCGGAGTAACAACTGTCCAATACCCATCCCTCGATCCTCCCTCTGGCAAGATTTTTTATTATTCTCCCATCCTCGTGAGCATATTATCAAATAACCCATGGGTGATCATTATGCTTGAGGCATGGGACAGACACTCCCATCCTCTCGCTCTCTTGCTCTCTCGCTTCTTCCTTTCGACTCCGTCTTTTCTTCCTTTTGTCCCCCCTTTCTTCCTCCACTTTTTTTTCTCCAAGGTCATTGTCATTATAAGCATCCGTCCCAACGTTCATACAAGATCGACCGCTGGAGACTGAGTGTTACTTTGATTGTCTTAAATATGTTTAATCAGTTGGGTGGATATCACTACGACGTTAAATGGGTGTAGCAGTACGCTGCTCATAAACCGCCCTAGCCTTCTCAGTACTTGGCGACACAATGGCAGGAACACTTCCCTTCAACGGAATCGTCTCCAAGAAACCCGCCTGGGGACGGTTCAATATCTGCCTTCTAATCATGATCTTCATCAACCACGATGGAAAATGTGTCCGGATGAAAAGCGCAATCGTTCCGACCAATCCTCGCTCCATGACTTTGGAAATCGCCTTGCTGTTGTTGAACGACTCTGTGACATGCACAAGACGCTCCGTTTGGTATTCAGAGAACATCTTCTCGATATCTGAGGCATGTGAGCGAGGGGGAAGGGCGTAGATCAGGTTGGCAAGAGCAATCGCATCGTGCATGGCCGAAACTGCACCCTGTGCTCCCGAGGGGTTCAACTTGTGGCACGCTGTTTACAAATCCAAAGAGATGGACATGGTTAGTGTGCAGTGTGTGACCGTTAAGTGGAACCAAAATCTAACCACATCTAGAAGAGAAAGCATGTAAGAAAGAACTTACCATCACCAAGAAGACCAATGCGGCCAGAGTACCAGGTCTGGAACACTTTCTCCTCTAACATAACCTTGGAAATCATATCTACAGGAGTCAAATCGTACAAGTCTCCCATGGTCATCTTCTTGGTGCCAATAGGCAGAGGAAAGTCGCGCGTCTCATCACACATCTCCATGGCTGCATGCGATCCCCACTGCGAGTTCTCAGACTCGCGGAAACGCTGTTCTTCCGCGGCCTTGCTCGATTCCTTGTCCAGATGGTGAATGACCATCCAAGCAATTGTAGATTGTGCAGTAGCAAAGATAACCCACTTTTGGCCACGACAAAAGGTTTTGAAGAGAAATGAGGGGGAAAATATATAGAGTTAGATATGAAGAAAAAGATACATAGTTAGCATGAGTCCCACTATTTCAATGTATCCTCAATAATTACATGAATAAAACAACAACCAGGCTTACAGTATAGGGCTGGTCCGCAGCCATGGTGTTGTAGAACGCAACCTGGTCCTTGTTGAACTCTGGGAAATCAGCAAAGTCCATAGGCTGGGTCTGACCGACAAGACAAGTCGATTTGAATGGCAATTCTTCCTGATCTGACTTAGGGAGTTTACCCTCCTGCTTGAGAGCGTCGTACATTCGCTTACGGACCGCACTGTAGGCACCGTCAGCTCCGACAAGGATATCTCCCTCGTAGACACAATTGTCGTTAGTTTGGATAGTGACCCGCTCCTCTTCCTGGCTGATGGTCAGGACTCGCTTGTTGAAGTGGAGCTTGTCCTTGGACACCTGGCGTAACATCATGTCGTAGAAGAATGGACGTGCCACAATGTAGTTGTAGTACCCCGTACTAAAAATCGTAGCAAAAGAAAAGGATAGTTTGCACGGTGAGTGGTCCATGTCTTTTAAAAGTTGGAACGGGCTGTTGGATTTGACGATATTTGTGGGGAAAAAGAGTTGACTTACTATTCGAATTGGGGACGGGTACTGACGGTATACAGCGCTCCTTGACCATCCTTGCCGACGGTGACTTCGGGTGTAGCCTTTCCAAGAGCCAAGAACTCGTCAACACAACCAAGCTGTTCCATGATGGGGATGATGGCCGCTCCAATCATCAAAGCCGATCCTGTTGATCATCGATGGGTTTCGACAGTTAGTGACAATGTGGTTTTGAATTCTTGTTTGTTGTACCGTTTGTGTGATTGGTTGTCGCACACGGGTCAGGAACAGAAAAGAGGTGATGGTGGTCTTACCCAAGGGCTTGACGACAGCTGTGCGCTCAAAGATGGCATACGGGATGTTGGCCTTTTCGAGGAGGGCTCCTAGCATGAGACCTCCCAGACCGGCTCCAACGATAAGAACAGTGGGTTTGTCGCTTGTTGTGGGTTTGTCGCTTGCCATATTGTCTCTGTGGTGTGTGTTATGTTGTGTGGAAGGTGTAGTTTGAGATGGGTACGTGTGTGAGTGCGAATGAGAGGAATGAATGAAATGGAGTGGAATGAAGAAGAGTGATGAGGAGTGAATCAGATCAGGGAAGAAGGAGGCAACTGAGGAGAAGAGAAGAGAGGAGGAGAGAAGAGGAAGAAGGAAGGTCTAGTTCGCCTTACCTCTCTCACTTTTATACGTCGTGAACAAGAGGTGCACCCTTCACTTTGATCCGTTAAGATTTCAGACTGTGCCTGGCCCTGGCACCGTACCACCGCTCATTGGACGTTGTTTATTTTATCGTGAGCTATAGAGTTCTACTCCCACTTTTTCTTTGCAGTCGCTTGCCCAAACCCCTGAAGGATAGCGGAGTGAAAGAAAAACGTATGAAAAACCAAAAGTGCCCAGTGGGCAAGCATAGCTCTCAACGTACTGTACTGTACAGTACAACCTTGCACTTCCTCTCCTCTGTCTCTCTTTTCTAGACTGGTCCATCGGGAGTTCAATATCAATGGGGTCACATGTGGGCACATGTACTTTTTATTTACTTCTTCTTTGTGTTCGTCACCAGAAAAGCGTCGGCCTAGCATGTGTTGTGGCCTTGTACATGAGTTGATCAGTATTGCTTATGAGGTTTCCGTTGAAAGGCAATTAGCATTGAGAGTAAGCATTCACAGCGGACAGCGACATGTTCATTCATTGGATCGTGGAGCAAAATGAACCATAAATGAACCCACTTTGCAACAACCTTTTTTAAGCTTTTTTTATTTTCATTTCCAGGAACTGTTATTTTTGAAATGTGTAAGCTATGTGTATCCATCAAGAACCAGTAATAATCCTTTGGACATGATCACTATTCATAATAATCCTAAGCGAGGATAGACTCCAGGTACCGATCAACTTCATCCCATGCCGATGGGCCAGCTCCAAGAACACGGTACCCAATATAGGAATCTGGACGCACAACCACAATCACACCGGGGCCATTCTTGCTAGCAACTCCATACTTTTGGTGGATACAACCCTGGTGGTCCAGATACACTTTGCCCTCGCCAGCCTTGTTGTCTGCAAGACGATCCATCGACGCCACGGTCGACACCATGCTCTCACTGTTGCTCTTGGGCGACGACGACAACGACGATGAGGGCAACGAACAGTCCGTCACAATCGTGTGCACCATGAACGCCTTGTCTGCCCGGATGGGGTGAGGGATCGCCGCGAGAGACGACGACGTAGAAGACGTATCGTTCGACGTCTCTGGGGTAGTGGGTCCAGGGATGGTCGACACGGTAGATTCGATAATCTGGGCACGACTTTTGTAGCTCCACTTGGATCTCCAGGCCGACAAATGTTCCTCGATCGATTTTGCGAGTCCGCCTGCATCCGTTGTCTCAACTCCCTTGATAGTGGGCGATGTACTTTTCTCGTTCTTGGATAGGGCAGGCAAGAGCAAGTCCGACGTGAAGACTAGAATATGGAAAATGCCGGGTCCAACCATGAGCTGGTGCAGACGGACCGTCTCGCCTTCCTGTGCTGCAAGTCCCATGTCCTGCTTCCGGATCACACGAAGGTTACCGTCCCGAGCACGTTGGCCGACTTGATAGTCCTCGTCGACGTGTGCCTGCGACTCGGATCTCTGGTTGATCGCGTTGTCGTGGTAGCGGATAAACAACATGTTGATGGGGTTGTTGGTGTTGATGTAAGGGAGGATGTAGGGGGCGATGGTTGCTGCGATCCTCTTGAAGGTTCTGCGAACAAAGTCCTGCGCTAATCCTATATCCAAGAGTTTCGCAGACAACTTGATGATTGCATCCGCAACAGGCTACATTGTGTGCGAGAAAATGGACTGGGTGTTAATAAACGTCGACCTTTGTTCCAAAAGTGCCTCTTTAGTTGAAGAACATCCTGTTTTTACCTTGCGCTCGGCCTCATAGGAATCCAAGAGGACCTTTGGTGCCATGCCATGGAGGACAAGGGCAATCTTCCATGTCAAGTTGAACGAATCCTGCAACCCCATGTTCATTCCTAGTAAGTATTTACCACCACAACAAAAAAGTGTCAGTAAACACAACGAGACTACAATGTATCGTTCCTTTCAATCACTTAAAGTTGGCGCGTGTGTTACCTTGACCACCGGCAGGAGAGTGGACATGGGATGCATCGCCCGCCAAAAAGACCCTCTTCTTATAACAAAAGGTCTCGGCCTGACGCTCATTGACACGGTAGTAGGTCAACCAGGAGTGATCCAGACACTTGAATTTTGCAGGTGCGATCGTGGCGCTGGCCAGCTTCTCAAACACATCCATGGTGAGTTCTTCAGGCTTGAGCGCAGAATGTTCTTCGGGTGTCAAGAATCCATTGTCGAGCAGGAAGCGGGTCTCTCCGTTGGGTAATTGGAAGGCGATCATGGTCTTGTTGTTGGTTCCGTTGATGACACTATTTGACGAGTTTTTCGTTTGTTTGTTGTATGGCGACAGAAGAAAACAAGTTTAGAGTTAGCATTGGCAATGACGGTGTAACAGCACCATAAAAACGGGTCAAAATAATGGCCCGGGCGTGGGAACTGGACACAATGGCAATGCAAGGTTCGAGGAGACAAGAGGAAGGAGAACACGTACGTGATGCCAGCGTCAAAGGGGACATCGGAATCGACATGGCCATCAAAGATGATCAGATTGTTGTCTAGAGTGCGGCCAGGGAAGGCAATGTCCAACTTGTGGCGGACAGCAGACTTGCCGCCGTCGGTCGCAATGAGGTACTCTGACCTGATCACCTCGACTTCATACTGCTTGTTCGCCTCCTCCGGATCCTCCTCGACCGCGCCTAGGATACGACTCTCTGTGGTCCTGATGTTATCCCCCACAAGAGCCCTCCGGATCTTGGTCTCGACATAGTTGGTTGTCGTTCCATCGGCATTGTTCTCCTCGACGACCTTAGTCTCCATCAGCTCCCAGCCGCGGTCAACCTGCACACCAATCTCCTTGAGCTCCTCGGTCAGACCCCAAGTGGTGCGACTCTGCTCAAGAAAGAGACCATAGTTGTAGTGCGATTCCTTGGTGTTGAGGGCAGGAATGACAGACATCAGTTTGGGTCCAAAGTAGACATGAAAGTCGGAGATATGTGATCCGAGGTCGAGGAACCTGTCAACGATTCCAGCCTGGGCAAAGAGTTCCATGGTGCGGGAGTGGATGACGAGGGCCTTGGAGAGGGGGGAGACCTCGAGGTGGCGTTCGATGAGGCGGACGGGGATGTTGAGCTTTGTGAGGAGGATGGCGGCGAAGAGACCGGTGGGGCCAGCACCGGAGATGAGGACGGGGACATTGACATTCTTGACTGAGAGGGTGTCCTGAGAGGGGGTGGTTGAGCTGATCATTGTGTGTATGTGTTTGTTGGTGGTGTGTCGTAGGAACGAGTAAGAAGGAAAGAAAGAAAGAAAGAAAGAAAGAAAGAAAGAAAGAAAGAGAAGGAAATGTCTTTGTCTTGTGTGTTTGGTTTTGTTTGCGTTTGCGGTTATTTTTTGATTGATGTTTGTTTGCTGATGACGAAAAAGAAAGTGGACAACCCAATGCCTTTTATGGTTTTCCCCTCTTTACAAACACACTCCACCCACCCACACATAGCTTGATCCTTTTGTCCTCGTGGACTGTGGTTCGTGAATGGACTGTATGGACTCGAACCTTGACGCTGCCTCGCTCTCACTCACGGAGGGACTGCTTCCTTCCTTCACTCACTCAGGATCGGCAGCCAAAAGCGGCCGAGTCGACTTTGGCTTCAAGGTGCTAGTGCGCAGCCACGCTGAAAGAGAGTGAGTGAGAGAAGGAGGCTGGCGTGTGTAATGGTATACTACTCCCTCTCTCCGTCTCTCTCTCTCTCTCTACTTCGACACACCGTCGTCCGGAAGGATAGAAGTGCCGTGGCAATTGTTTCCCCCTCTCTTTCTCCCCTCTTTGTAACTTCATCTCCTTCCTCCTAGGGTGTTACTCTAATGACACTGGTCTAATACCCGGTGCCACATACACACGCGCATTGACGCCTGATCTGTCCTACCCACTTAACCCTCCCTCACACTTCACGAATCCGCGCCCGCCCACACTCTCACACGCTTCTTTCAAATAAAGTGATCTCCTGCCAAGGTAGGGCAAATGAGCAAAAAAAAACATGATCGTCGACTTTTTACGTGTACACCCTTATCCACACACACTCACTCAATCTACTCTCCTTCATTTCGATCGAAAACGTCTCCTCTCGTTGCCGGCCGGGTTTGCAAAATGCCGGAGGTAGTGATCAATTCCAACTTCTGAACAAAAAAAAACTGCGCGCACACTAGGACAAAAGTCCTCAATGCTCTCTTGTAATGTAATACCCGGATCCATCAAAGTTAGCGTTAGGCGTAAGTATCTCTCCCCCCCCCCCCCCACCACACACACACACACACACACACACATAATATTTTAAGGTATGACTGGGTTTCTCTCTCATTTTTTTTCTTTGCGCACTACGCAAACGACCGCGTGTTTGTGTTTATCCCTGCCTGGGAAAACATGGCACAAAGTTTCCGAAAACTAGTAGCAACCTCATTGACTGATTGACTCAATGGCTGACGCGCGCGCAGAGGCGAATTCAGAGCCCTGGTTTACCTTTAGGAATCCCGCACATTAAAGAAAAGCCCAGAGGGAATTTTTTTTTAAAGGTTGCAATTATGTACGTGCACCGAAAATATCTTATTCAGGGCATGCATGCAAGAAAAAAAAAACCTGCTCTATGACGACACCCTCAACCTCCATTTCCTTTCATTCCTCCCTCTATCCTCAATGCCTAACAGAGAATAGAATGAAAGTATTGGTCGACATCTTGCCATGCAGCAGGGCCGGCTCCAAGGACCCGATACCCGAGATGAGTATCTGGACGAACCACCACAATCGCTCCCGCACCCGCCTTGACTGGCGTCACTCCATATCGCGCATGCACAAGCGCCGCCTTCTCATCCTGGTAAAGCGCCCCCTCACCAATGGCCTTGTTCGCGAACGCATCTGCTTGGATCTTGGACGGATCTTCAAAGTCCGCGGCTGAGAGTCGTTCCGGAAGCGCCGCAATCAGATGGATATGGAAAATCGGTTTTGTCTTTGTCGATGTGGATGAGGTCGCGTCCTTTGATCCTTCTAGGTGCTTGGCGGCGCCGTAGGACCACTTAGATCGCCACTGTGAAAGATACTTTTGTACATTCTCCTTCAATTCGTGCTCGTTCGTGATGGGGGTCCCGTTTGCGTCCTTGCCCTTGGAGGCTGAGGTGACGGAGAGGAGATCGGATGTAAAGACCAGGATGTGGAAGTTGCCGGGGCCATAAAGCAAGTGGTGGAGACGGATCTCGGTTTCGCTCTTCTTGCCACCGGAGAGTACTCTCCTGAGGGGACCATCGTGCGCACGCTGTCCGACTTGGTAGGCTTCCTTGGGGATGGGTTGTGACTTGTGTGTCTGGTTCAACGAGTTTGCTTCGTAGCGGTTTGCTAACTAATGAATGATACGAAAATTAATGATCTGCTGCCGCTCTTTCTTACATGTCTCAAGGTTATGAGTGTCCAGTGATCAAATGAGAACATACCATGGAGACGGTACCGGCGGAGACAGCGATGAAACCGACAAAAAGGGAGATGAACGCGGTGACAGCCTTGCGGATAGCACGGTAGGTCAACTTGTTGGAGAACCCCATCGCAAACATGCCGGACGACATCTTGATGACCGCCTTGGCGACTGGTCCACGCTCCTGCTCATATGTCTCCATAATCTTGGGGTCTGCCAGTCCATGAATAGCCAACGCCATCTTCCACGTCAAATTGTGCGCATCTAATAATAAAGACATAGTAGGAGAAAGACGGGACAGACGGGGTCAGGCAAGGCAGCTTCCCTTTGTTTTGTCTGCATCCACTACATCAACTTCTGCATGACACATTCAATGCGCCGAATGAAGAACACAAACTCACCTTGCAATCCGAGATTCATCCCTTGTCCACCAGCAGGTGAATGCACATGAGCAGCATCGCCCGCAAGGAAGATCCTGTTCTTGTGCGAGTACGACGCTGCCTGGCGCTCGTTGATTTTGTAATAAGTCAACCAGGTCTGGGTTTTGACTTCGAACCGGGTCGGATATGCAGCCGCCTGGGCGAGCTTTGTGAACGCCTCGAGGGTGAGTGCCTGAGTCGAGTCCAGTTCGCTTGCGTCGATCATGACTCGGACTTGTCCAGTGCTGAGCGGGAAGACGTTCATCGTCTTGTTGTTGCTTCCATTGATAACCCTGCCATAGTTGGTGACGAGAAGCGGGTGAAAGACGAAAAAGGTGAGTCGGGGAGAGAGAAACAGGGGATGTGGAGGGGACGAGAGAGATAAATGCAAAAAGGTGAGCACACAAATCGTACTGTGAGAAAAAACGAAGGGGATAATTCCCATTTCCACATCGTTCGCCTTTGATGCACCCCTTGCAAGCAATCAGGACTTACGTGATGTCGCTCAGCCTGAAATCCGTCTCGACAAGTCCCTCATAAAGGATAACAGTGTTCTCCAACGTCTGGCCCACAAACGGGATCCCGATCTTGTGTCGAACCACGCTCTTGCCTCCATCCGCCGCGATCAGATACTGCGATCGCACCACCTCGGTCTCGTACTTCTTCCCAGCCTCATCCGCCTCCAGTTCAACCGTGCCTAGGACAGTACTCTCAGTCGCTCGCTTGTTGGTTCCATCGAGCGCCCTCCGAATCGTCGTCTCAACATACTCCTTCCCATCCATCCCATCCACCATGACCTTGGTATCCATCAACTCCCAGCCTCGATCGATCTTTGTCCCATTCTTCTCTAGCTCGTCGTTTAGAATCGCGGTCGTCTTGCGCTGTTCCAAAAAGAGCGCATAATTGAAATGCGAGATCGAGTTGACGAGACCTGGGAAGACGCTGTGGACGTTATTGAAGTACACGTCAAAGTGCGAAATCGGATGTCCCTGGACAAGGAACTGGTCGAGGAGGCCGGTTTGGTCAAAGATCTCGAGTGTGCGGGCGTGGAGGGAGAAGGCTTTTGAGAGCGGGGAGACGATCATGTCTCGTTCGATGATGCGACAGGGAACGCCGAGACGGGTAAGCATGAGGGCGGCCATGGTGCCGACGGGTCCTGCGCCGCTGATGAGGACTGGAATCTCGGATACTTTATGGTGTTCTACCGTTGTCATTGTTGTGTTGGTGATGCGGATACGAATATGAAGAAAAGAAGAAAAGAAGAAAAGAAGAAAAGAAGAGAAAAAACAAAATCTTTAAAAACGAATAAGCGCGACGGCTGCTGCGCGAAGGCTGCTGCGCGCACGAAAATGAGCCGTTACCTTGAAATGGAAGTCGTACCGACAATCGACCGAACGTTTTTACTTTTTTTATTTGCCCCGACACGCCGCTCTTCTCGAACCTTGAATGCATTAGTGTGTTTGCAGCTCCATGATTCTCTCATTGACCCATGCCCATGACAGTACAAAACCCGCAATGCAACTGACGCGTCAGTAATTCCTTTGGTCATAGTGAAAAATCTCTTAACGCCGTCTTTCCTCTTTTTCCATCCTTTTTCACTGGAGAAAAAAATCTTGAAACAATAAGGCGAGCCTTACGCTCAATGGCCATACCTCGCTTGCTGTGCAATGATCCTTTTATGGCTGAACGTTCTTTGGACGAAGTGAAAAGAGAGAGTGGAGAGAAGAACTACGAAGAGGTGGGTGTGGCTGTGGAGACAGAGGGGTCCATCTCTAGGATGATCCTGTATCGTGGCTTGCCTGCATGAACATCCTTGCATGCCTCGTTAATATCATCGAAAGGTCGCTTCTCGATCCAGGGACGGATACCCTGTTTCGCAGCAAACTCTAGCATCTCCTCTAATTATCGCCGTTTTATGAACAAAGGGTATGTCAGTTTGTTATTGCGCATATCTCAGAACATGAAGAGTGGTAACAACCAGTTACAAAACACGATTTTTTTTGGGTGTTTTACCAATATCGCCCTTGCTTCCGAGATGGGATCCGACGATAGCGACATCCCGAGAGACCAGATGGGAACCAACAAAGGTGATGGGTTCCTCGGGGATGGCTAAGAGGACCAATTGTGAAAGGGGTGCCATCATTGACAGGTACTCTTCCCAGTTGCTGTTGCTCGATCCGTTTGTGCACAAGCACAGGTCAATCGATTTTGCCGCCTCCTAAAGGAGATAATAGGATGTTAGAGTGTGTAAGTGACGATGTGACGATGGGCAAAGAGGGAAGGTGACGAATTCGATCTTTTTACCTTGATTTGTTCCTTATCGCTTGTGCTAAGAAACGGGGACCAGAGTGGAGGAGGAGTGGTAAGGAATGTGTTGCACTTTACACATTCACGAGACAAACATTTTTGAACAATGGGATACACATACTTGATGAACTTGGTAGCACCAAGTTTGAAGGCCTCGTCCTTCTTGTTATCCCTTCCAGAGATCGCCACAATCTCTTGACAGCCCATCGCAGCCGCCCACTGCAACGCGATGTGGCCCAATCCTCTATTTATTTTTCGCATAGGAAAGCATTTGGTTAGAAAAAAAAAGGGGCATGAGAAGGAAATACTTGTTAACAGGACGGACGGTAGTGTTCATCGGACTTTACCCGATACCGATGACACCGAGGCGGGTGTTGGGTCCCGCTTTGTATCGCTTCAAGGGCGTGTAAGTCGTGATTCCTGCACAAAAGAACGATGCTGCCTCTGCTGACGAGATCTCCTTCGGGACTATTTTCAAAGAAAGATGGAAAAAAAAGATCTGTTGTGAGCACAGATCGCCTCTTCACATTCACACGCATAACACACCAAGGAACCAAAAAAAATACCATCTGCCTGATACTTACTTTTGAAGGCATAGTCAGAATAAACGCGGATACGATCCGCAAACCCACCCTTACTGATGCCCCCACGCCCATCCTTGAAGGGCGAATTAAACGTCACAGTCTTGTTCTCACAAAACTGGTCCTCTCCTTTCCTGCACCAATTGCAGACTGAGGACCCACGACAACAAGAGACCAGACAGCCGACACCGACGCGATCGCCGATTTGGTGAGTTGCGTCTTTGCCGCGTTTGACGACTGTACCGACGATCTCGTGGCCGGGGATCGCTGGTCGTGTGATTGAACTCCATCCTTCTGTCATGAAGTGGATGCTATTGTATTTTTTATTAGAGGAATGAGAACAATGGGGGGCGTGGTTGATTAGCACAGTGGTATGTGGATGCATTCATACAATGGGCAACACGCTGAAAAACGAGAGAGAGAGCGAGAGAGAGAGAGAGATTGCTTACTCAGATCCACAGATGCCACAGTGCGTGATCTCAATCTCAACCTCGTCAGCGGATAGAGGTCGGGGGTGATAACTCCATTTCTGAAGAACACCGTCCCCACCAGGGACAGCTGCCCATCCCGTGAACTTGACCGATTTGTCTTCCTCGCTTGCGCCTCCTGCTGGACTCGAGAACATAGCTGTATATCTTTTGTTGTGTTTAGTTTTAAGTGTGGGTGTTGAAGGAGTTTTCTGGTGTTGTCGGTGAGGTAGGGTGAAAAGAGAGCAAGAGGACAGATAGGTGGACTTCGGAAAAATAAATGGGCCAAGTCATCAACAAAACTGAATCAATGCAAGTTTTGAATTTAAGGGGCCCTTTCGCACTAATCCCATGTAAAGTAAGCGGTCAAAAAATCTGCTTGCTCGCCGCAGCACTACGATGTAGGACCGACCATGTGTCTGATTTGTTTGAGAAAAATAATTTTATTTTTGTGAGACATATCAATCACAACGTGTTGTTTCATACGGGTAGAAGGATCATTAAAGACGTTATTCGCGTTTCGCGTGTAGTTGTTTTATAGCTCCACTAAAATTGCGGTCAATGAAAAAGGCTGATCCGCAAAAATAAAGTGAGGGTGGAGTTGGAGAAGAGGGTAGGATGAGTTATCGCTACTGAGTCTATGACCGCTAGAAACTAGAACGAACTACGTGATAAAAATAAAGGGGGAGAATGCCATATGGGCAAAAAGAAATCAAATAGAAAAGACAAAGGCAGATGACTCCTAGTGCGAAGCTATTTTCCGCAAAACGCTGACTAAAAGAAGGCGGAGTCATGTATAAATGCCACTTGTAATGTCCCTTGTATGTGTTGTCCATCCAGTTCGAGGCAGGGATGAGTCGTTCCTGAGGCGTTGTCGAAAGGAAAGGATGGAAGTAGGTAGTGGACGACTGCCATGGTGAGTCGCAAAACACCACTTGTTGATTTTTTTGGTTGTTGATTTCGAGTGTGTAGAGTTACACACATCAGTTGAAGAAAAAGAAAGGTAACGTACTCATGTCCCGTCATCGTGTCCACTGTGCCGCAGGTTAGCCTGCCCATGGCTCTGCTTCAACGAATGATGCCTCGAACTCAGATCCCTCAACACCTCCGGACTCAGACCGAGGGTATGTCGCATCCGGCCACTGCCATTCTCCTCCATCCCGGGGACCAAACCCAAATCTTCGGATTGGAAGAACTCGGATTCTCGACGCTGGTGTTCGAGGCGGTCTAGGATCTCGTGTAGGGCTTCGTGGGACCACTTTTGGAGCTCTGGGTCCACATGAGCGATTGTGCGTTGACGACTGTGACTCCGGCTTCGGCTTTGGCTACGGCTGTGATGACGGTGGTGATGGTGGTGGCGGGAGTGGGACCTGTGGTGGCGTCGCTCTTCCCCGTTCGGAGAAAGGAGTGAGTCGTCTTGTCCTGGTTCTTGACCGTCGACTTCTGTGATGTTGGTGTCGATTTGGAGTTGTTCCAGTTTGATGGTAAGGTCGACTGCTGAGAGCGTGTGCTCGTGGTGGTGGTGGTGGTGGTGGTGGTGGTGGCGACCATAGATGGCGTGCAGCTTTGTGCTCTGCGCCTCTGCGTCGAATTCGGTGTCAGACATTTTTGTGGAATGTGTATTTAGTGTCAATGTAGGTGGAGAGGGAATGTTTTTGGTTGTTGCTTTGTAGATGGGGGTGGGATGAAGCGGGTATTGAGTGTTGAGATCCGGTCCTGAAATTGGCGAAGACGTTTGTGGTACGGTGTTTTTGTCGATGTGGTGGTTGAAGCGATGGAGAATGAAACAAAAAGAAAGAAAGAAAAAGTGGAGGAAGAGGGCATGCTTATATACCCTCTTTTTCACTTCTGCGCCAATCTCGCAAGGCTCTTCGCCTCTTTTCGGGCCTCCACTCTGGCCAAGAACATGCCACATACCCCGAAAATCAAAAATAATGACATACAGATAACGGGAGGAATTTGCCCCTGAATGTTGCTGTGGAGGCGTTAGAAAAAGGTAAAGAAAGGCAGGGGAGTTGAGTAAAGAAAAAAAGAAAAAGAAAGGAGGGAAGAGTCGTTTGACTGGCTGTGAACACAACAAAGAGACAGATCCGCCATGCTTTTTTTTCTTCTACTCTCTGACTAAACGGCCTCTCTGTTAGTCTAGAACTAGTCTTTTACAGCCCATTTTCGACACCCCATGGTTCCCTCATGCCATAGAACTAAAATCGATATGTTATTGAAAAAAACAATAAAATGAGCCCTATTTCCTCTTTTCCAGCTCTGCTCACACACACAGTGCAAATGAGGGCCAAGAAAAAATGAATTGAGGCAGAGTAACGGGAAGAATCATGGGAAGAGAGGAGAGAGAAAAAAAAAACGTGGCTCAACACCATCGTCATTATTCCGTGACCCGTACTTTACCACGGTTACACGAGTCCCAAAAGTCAATCCAACAAGTGGACCTTTGTCTCCTGGCGTAGTCGGCTTTCTACTCAGCTAAAACGTTAATTGAATAAAAGAAAGCCGAGGGAGGGAGAAAAGTACGAAAGAGGAGGGGGGTACAAAAAAGTTTCCGCAACATTCCTTTCCAACCAAAATGCTGCGGAGTATCTGTTTGTGTGTATGTGTCAAGGGAAACAAACAATCAATGGTGGCTAAGAATGCAAACTCCATCGGGTACGACAGAAAAATAACTAAATAAGGAGAAAAGAGGAGAATGGCAAAGACGAGTCGAGTTCCTTCTACGCCCCTCCATACCCTACCTCCCTGTTAGTCCTCTCCTGTGCCTCTATGCAGATCCCCTCCGTAGCACGGAAGCCTTAAGTCAACTCTTCCTCCCCTGTCTATCCCTGTTTCTCCCTAATTGACTGCGGTCGACGGATCGAAAAAATAATTGGTTGAATGCTATGCATGGCCATTGCCACTACGCCTCCCTTCTCTTTTCTTCTTCCTACCCTCCCTGCATGATTCATATCTGAATATTGTTTATTATTGGAAAACGACAAAACGACAAAACGATATTGCTGTCAATGCTCATCGCCACCCACTTACATTCCCCACATGTGTCCATGTGTCACTTTTTGCCAATTGAGATTAATATCCGTGCGGACAGTTTATTACGGGTGGTAAGTTAAGTAAGTTGATAAATGACAAAACGCAAAATACAGAATATAAAAAGCAAGACAAAGAACTAATACAAAAAACAAGAAACGAAAAGCAAAGAGGAAGAGGGAAAGGAAGGAGACATAAACGAGAAATGGAGGGGCAAGTGAAGTATAAAGGATAGTAGGTAGTTTGATTTTTTTGGGTGCCATGGTTAGAAGGTTTTGTTGACGGGTTGGTAGTAGGAAGAAGGAGGGAGGTAGGTAGTGATCGTCTTGACTGGCCAGATGGATGTTGATGGAAGATAGGTAACAAGTAGAAAGGAAAAGGAATACCGCGACGGAACGGGAACGGATTTTTGTTGATGTCTAGAATGAAACCACTCAGCTATGCACAGCCTGTTGTTGTGCCTGCTGCTGCTGCTGTTGTGCCTGCGCCTGATTCCGCTGCTTCATCTGCAGCTTGTTCAACTGCCTCTGATGCGTCTTGACGTGTTGCGCTGCAATTAAGAAGAAAAGAAAAGAGGTGTGTATTAGGAAATAGTTTAAGTAGGGCAACGTAGGACGCGTCAAGAATGAACATTTCAATATGCAAAAACATCCCAAGACTTACAGAGATTGTCAGAGCGAGAGAACTTCTTGGTACAGGTCGCGTAGGGGCAGTTGAAAGGTCGCTCCAGGGTATGGGTCTTGATGTGTCGCTTCAGATGCTCCAACCGCTTAAATCGTTTCGAACATCCAATCTCGGAGCAAGTATGGTGCTTTCCAGAACCACCATGTTTGCTTCCACCGCCACTACTTCCACTGCCGGCATTGGTACTGCCACTCGCGCCGTTGGTGCTGCTTGTAGTGCTACTGGAACTGCTACTACTGACGCTTTTGGTGCTGGCGTTGCTGCCATTGCTGTTGATGCTGTCTGGCGTGGTCGCGGCTACAATGGTACGAATAAAGAATGACTTAGTTAGTAAACATGATCAGCTTCACATTGGATACGTGAGAATGTTAAAACTTTCAATTGTTGTTACCTTTCTTACCGCGTGATCCGGCAAGGCTTGAGGAGGATGAAGTAGAAGAAGTCGAAGAGTAGAGGGGCTCATTGAGACCTCCAGGAGCAGTGAATGGGGATGTGGACATTAATGGATGGGGTGGAAGTGCAGATGCTGAAGGGTGTTGCAAGGACGGGAACGGATGCTGGAGCATCTGGGGGTTGGCCGCCTTGGAATCATAAAAGTCGGATTGATGGGGGTGAGAGTGGTGGAATGATTGAGGATGGAGTGGGTGAGGGTGGTGATGATGAGAGTGATGTTGATGAGAGTGGTGAGGGTTCATAGATCCATCCTCGTTCATGGGCGAGGCTGGTGGATAATGAAGGTCTGAGTTCATCGAGTGCAGTCCATTGGCGCCAAACTGGTAGCTGTCAGGATGATATCCATGGTGATGGTGAAGATGAAACGAGGATGCTGATGATGCTGAAGAGTCGGCAGAGGGCAACGAAGAGTAAGAGCTGGGCGAAGCAGAGTCAGGGCCTGCTGAGCTGGGGTGGTGCAGAGAATGCTGGGAGCGGTGGATGTCCGAGTTGTCCATGGAGAACCCCCCGTTCATCATGGGCATGAAGTGAGTCGAAATTGACGAGGGAAACGCAAAATGTTCGTAATGGGGCATAGGTGATGCGTGCGGGGATTCACCGTTGGGGTTTCCGCTTCCAGAGGACTCGTCTTCATAGGCACACGAAGACTTGTGGATATCGCTCGGGGCAACAGACTTGAGATCCAGGCGGATGTGGTCGAATCGGGGAACCATGCCGCTCAAGTGCTCCATAGGGTCGTTCATCGAGTACAACGTGTTGTTGGCAAAGGTCGAGTAGCCAGAATGGCTTATCAAGCCAAAGTGCTCATCCTCGCCCATGCTCGACGGTTGTCCCAGGGGAGTGCCACCAGGAGACCGCGTAGGCGAGTAGTCATCGTCGTGGTCGCCGTGGCCACGATGCATCGCGCCATATCCGTGGATGTGATGGTGGTGGTGAGCCATTGATGAAAGTCCCTCTGGGTCCCGTGGATCCTGAGAGCTGAGAACCGGCTGCAGCTCATCGGTGTCCTCGACCTCCTTCTTGATAGCGTCATCGCCACTGCCGCTTCCGCGTCTTCCTTCAATTGGTCGACTTGCTCCTCGTCGGCGACGTTCGGCAGCTCCTCCTGCTTTTGCTCCTCTCCTGGATTGCGATTTGAGGGGTGTCGAGTGGTTGTCCGAGCGACCGAATTTCTTGCTACCCGCTCCTGCAACTGGTGAAGAATTGATACTGTTCAAGATGGATCCATGCATAAGCGACTCGGGCATGGGCGATGGACATGCGGACGAGTTGGTGCTTGGAGGCAGTGCTTGGTTGAGAGAGTGGTGTGGTGAGTTATGGTGCAGAGCCTGTTGCTGTGAGAATTGTGTGCGATAATACTGCATCATGTTGGGATCTACATGGGCGGTGTTAATTTGGTGAAGGTTTGGGAGGGATGTTGTAGTAGGAAACGAGCTCAAGGGAGTGGACACTGAGGAGAAGTTGGACCATGATGCCTGGCGATGCAACGTCTTTTCTTCTGAGGACACCTTGCGCTTGTGCTCAGCAGTCAAGGTTGGAACAGAGTTTCGTCGTGGAGACTCGTAAACCCCGATGGTGTGTCCGTGCAACGCCATAAAGGCAGCCGTTGCTGAGCTAGGAACAGTCGCGGCAGAGTCGCTGAGAAGAGGGCCGAGTGCAGCATGGACGTAGGCAGAGTTGGAGGTTGGCGTGGTGTACATTGGAGAGGCGGCGTTGGTCTGAAAGTGGTGGAGAGAGTTGCTGTCGGTGCTCATGGAGAGTGGGTGGGGGAGAGGAGTGGCGCCAATCATAATGTTGTTTTTAGCTCCTTTGAGAGTGGTGACTTTAGGGGAATGGTTGAGGGAGACTGCGGATGGTGTGGCCATGTCGACGTCTTCACAGGGAGAGGCGGCCTCGATTGTATAGCATCCTTGTTTTTCAGAAGGATGATGGTCGGTTGGCTTGGTATCAAGGCCCATTGAGATATCCATGGAAGCGACTGTTACTGTGAATCAGGGAGTTAAGGGGAGAAAGGTACAAAGTATTTCCAAAGAGTGCGATTAGGATGGGTCTGCTTGTTTGTTTGCTGGTCCTTGTTCGTTTCTGCACTATTGAAGGGGGTGGCCGGAGCGAGCAGTTGAATAATATTGATTGCGAAGGGAAAACATGTGAGGGCGAGGGGGCAAGGGTACATACCAGTGGTTTCGGCCATGACGCTGCTGCGATGCGCGACTAGGACGGCTATACTTGTTTGAACCAGGGGTGTTGTTGTTGTAGTGTGTGCGTGATGGGTATGTAGCTCGTTGTTATTATGTGGATAAGAGAGCTGACCTATGAAGGTAGGAGATGCAGTTGAGGAAGGATGTATGTGTGGTGTGCGTGAGTGGGTGCGTTAGTGAATGCAAGAGATATTAGGTAGGAAGGAACGAGCAATAAAGGGTCAAAGTGAGAGAGAAAGAGAAACAGAGGGAGAGAGAAATAAGGAGACGGAGGAGAGAAGAGAAAAAAAACGAAGAGTGAAAGAAGGGGACACACACAGCCAGGTTGGATTTGACACAAACAAGCACGAAAGAAAGAGTGGTGGGTTGTTGCGGAGAGGTATGTCTAATTATAAGTTCGTGTCAAAGGCCCTGAAGCGCAGAGAGAGTGTCGTGTTTGAATGGCTGGATAAATGGATGTGTAAGTGTAAGTGTAAGTGTAAGTGTAAGTGTAAGTGTAAGTGTGAGTGTATGGAAGTAGAGGACAGCCCCTCTTTCACTAAATGGGTGCCTGTCCGTGGGGTGGGGTGCTAATGTATTCTTGTCCTATTGAACATGAAACGAATCATGCAAACATAGGCTACAACACGCATGGGGCTGCGCCTGTGAGCACAAAAAGAATATGCTGCCCATTATTGCACTTTCATTCGATATCCTCTCAGTGTGGGTTTGGTCTTCTTTGCAAGAAAAAAAGGCGCGACTCAGCGTGCACAGAGCACCTGTCTTTGTTTATATCATCTTCCCCACGAGAGCAAGTCTGTGCATGAACAAAGAAAAAAATAAGAAACGTCCTCCCATACCCAAGACCACCCCAGAACACGCACAAACAGAGCACATTCACAAATAAAAAAAAAAAAAAAAAAGCGAACAAGGTTGAGGGGCCAGATGGCGAAGGGGGCAGACCATGTTTAATTGTAATAATAAAAAGAAGGGCAGCACTCAAACCATACAGCTCACTTGCTTTTTTTGCTTGCCAATCTTCTTCAGCGATCCAAATACAACGACACTTTTCTCTCTGTTTGCCGGCATTGAGAGAGGAAGAGAATGAGAGCAGCAAAAAACGAAGGTACAATACGCACAAAACAACCAGAACGACATGGAATGGGGATAGCAGGTGCATTCTTGGCCCTTTTGCACTCATGTCGTCAATTGAACAACAACGAGAGGCAGAGGGACATGCAAAGAAGAGCGTGAAACGATTACAACCCTCAACGGTACAAGGTAAATGTCCGAAGACAACTCAAAGTCATACGTACAACCACAGCATACCTCATACCTCGTACACCATACAGAATCGCGCACACACAGCCTCTTTTCGGTTTTTGTCTGTCAGGACGATCCTCTTACTTTCTTTATGTGTCCGAAACACACACAGAAGGGCTTAGTTGGGGAATGTGATATGTGTGGGGTATGCGAGCACAGATACAGAGAAAGAAAGGGCCAATTGGAGGGGAAAGAGGGAGAAGGAGGGAGAAGGAAAGGGTTATTGGTGAGGGGAGCAGATGTTACTTACTGTTCAGGGTTTAGTATGGGAAAGGAAAATAAAGGAACAGAAATCAGTTGGACTGTGCGTTAAAGGTTGGAAGTTCCAAGGTCTAGGGTTTGTGCAGTTGCTTTTGTTGACTGAGCAAAAGAGTGAAAAAGTAGAAGAAACCGGAGGGTGGTGGAAAGAGGAATAAAAGGGCCGTTGGAGCTGACGTTGCGAGGTAGAATAGAAGGAGTTCTAGGAAGAAGAAGACGGAGGAATGAGAGTAGGAAAAGGAAGGAGGAGGGTAAAAGAAAGGAGCGGTGCTGATCAGGGCGATTATAAAGCAGATGGATGAGCTTTTTATTGGGGATGGGATGGGATGGGATTAGGATTTGAGCACAAAGACGGAGGAAGAGGAAGAGAAGAGGAAGATGTGGAGGATGTGGATGTGTAATATGAAATGAAAAAAGAGGAGCAAGAAGACAAAAGTAGAAAAGAAAGAGAAAGGAGCCGGAGGATATTGAAGGATGATATAAAGGATGACAAGGGTATCAGGTGGAGTTGGAGTTGGATTTGGGGGCGGGAACGTGTGTCAGGAAGACGAGGAGGAGGAGATGCGTGTTCGAGGGTCAACTGTGAAAGGGGATTGAGAAGAGGGTTTTCTGGTGTTAGTCAAAAACGATATGTAACAGAAGAGGACAAAACAAGAAAAGAAAGAGGAAGAGAAGAAAGTTGATGAATGAATGAAGATGGGCAGGGTTAAAGGAAAGCACAAAGATAAAAGGGCAAAGACAAAGTAAATATTATTAACGAGCCATTGAAAAGGGGACAGAGAGAGAAAGAGAAAGGAGAAGGGTGGGGGGCGGGACAAGGACACCCAATTGACGATGGACAATTGACGATAGATGGGCGACAGTCAATTATACATACATAATGACAAGACAAGAGTGATGAGAGTTGGCCTCAAGCAAGAGAGAGAGCAAAGCGATAAAGAAGGAAGTACCGCAACGAGAGGCGACGAGAGAGAATGAGAGAGAAGGAAGAGTATGAGAGCACGAACAAAGAGAGGGAATAGGAGGTTATTATTCAGGGAGGAGCTGCAGCTCTTGTTCTCTTTTTTCTCTTTCAACTTCGCGCATCTAGGTCCCTATTTTCGACCAGTGCTAGTACTTGCCATGTCTTCTATTCCATGTCCAAAATAGCACACAACGAAATAAAACAACAGGCCCCTCCTCCTTCCCATGGAGAGGAGAGGCATGGGTGAACGAGAGAGCAGGACCATTGGCCATTCTTTCATTGTTCTAATGGGGTCTAAAGGGGGATGGGATATCGGCTCTCAACTCTTATCTGATGGTTCCGCGGCGTGCTTCTTTTTTATTCCTTTACTGGTTGGCGACTTCAGATATAGACGAAGCAGAGTGTAAAGCGCTGTTCGCGTACATTTGGCGTGTGCGCGATAGATTGTCTCGTTCTTTTTGCGCTCCTTGTTTGATGGTATCGGCATTCCTTCGTGTGCAAGAAAAAGGCATTTCATTCTGTTTATTCAATTGAGACAAACACAAAATGCAAAGACTAGGTGATGTGTTTGTAATTGAAAGGATGAAAAGGTAAAAAGGACAGAAGAAGTGTACGAGAGCAATCTTTGTTCCTCGCATGTTTTGTGTCTGTCCAGTAGTGTCAGGAAAAAAGGGGACGGGGTCAAAAGAAGAGAAATGACAACAGGCTGACAGGGAGGGAGGGAGGGAGGGAAGGAGGGAGGAAGGGGATGTTGACAGAAGAGACAGAAGGGACAGAAAACCTGCACTGTGAAAAATAATGGTACAACACAACACGGTGTAGGGAGGCACAACAGAGCACGCTCCGTCTCTCTTTTTGCCTCTTTTTCTTCCACCTCAGCTGAACAAACAGTCAACATAGCAGGCAGTTGTACGTGCTTGGACGCGTTCTTTTGTTTGTTTGTGATGGTTCTCAATGTGCATCCATCTTTTTGCTACTCATCCTGTCTTTGTCTCGCAATCTCGTGTCCATTTTTTCATTGTTTGTTGTTTGCATCATATCATAAACACACACACACAGAGAGAGAGAAAGGAAGCTACCGTGTAGGTGTAAGGAATGAGGTGAGGGAGGGAGGGAGAGAGAGTTAGACAGAAGGAGAGAGAGGGAGAGGGAGGAAAAGGAGCATGCAACATGCAGGCGTACGACATGGCATCTCTCTCTGTGTGTTTTTCACTCCAACTCCATTCGCCAATGGAAGTCTGTGTTTGTTTGTTGTCTGCCGAAGGGTTTAATGGTGCGTGTCCTTGTCCCTTTTTCCATGGCTTTATTCTATTTCTGTAATTCGGTCGTTCAGAAAGGGGAAGGGGGCGACGTTTGGGGAAGCACGCACAATACGCAAAGGACCTAAAAAGCAAACACAACACACAGGCATGCCGACATGGCGACCCCACTGTATTGAAGAAAAACAAAAGGCTATATCAACATACAGGCCCATCACGCAGGCTGAGAGGGTAAAGGCGCTCGAGAGTAAACATGAAGATGCACAAACATACACGCACACACACACGCATGCACAAAAAGCAAAGCATGTAGGTAGCCGCAGCCAAGCATCCAGTAGGTGAAAGCAGGTTGCTTGTATGGATGCGACATCAAGGGTCAAATCCAAATACTGACATGCCAGTGGGACGCCAGACTATTCTTCGAAATCCATCTTGTTTGGGTCATTCAAATTCTCGATACTCTTTATTTTACAAATAATAGAGAAGGGAGAGCACGATTATCACACCTGAGCTTTCGCATGCGGGAGGCCCCATGGCTCGTTCTCTCTTCAATTGATCCACCCCTTTGTTCTCCAATCCCCTCACTTTATTTCTGTACGAGTGTGTCATGGCTCACACAACAAGGAATACAAATAAGAAAGATTACAACATCACTAACAGTAGAGCCACACCACCACCACCACCACCACCACCACCACCATCACAACAGGACACGACTTGGAACTTCAATGGTATGACATGGCACAAAGTGGATCTTTCTCCTACTATAACATGATTCATACCTTGTGCCTGCTTTGCATCCTGCAGCAACAAAACAAAATATCTTTCTGGATCCATCTACCTCCATTGGATGGGATGCGACAGACCAGGCTGAACTAGCCAACTGACTGACTGACTGACTAACTGACTGACTGACTGACCTCATTTCCGAAAAAGCTCCCAACCGAAATCAGGGGAGAGAGAGAAAGGGATGCAGAAAAGGACGTATGCCATACACATACCCATACTTGCATCATTACCATTACCATGCCTGTATCCATACATGCATTTGCATGTAGCTGCTGCTATACAATACTAACGAATTTGGATCATGGTTCTAATTCGTTGAATGTTCTACTAAGGCGGACAAGTTCGCTTGTGATTCGTACGAGCGTTTATCATCATGTTCATCAAATGTGGTTCATACGACGCAGACCACATAACTCTTACAAGGTTCTCGTCTGGCATAGCAAATGGCAAATAAAAAACAGAAGAAAACAAAAACAAAAAAGGCAATAGCTACACATGGCGCCCCAGACATGCACAACATAAAGCAGCGACGCAGAACTCAAAAAAAAAATTCGTGAGTCGTGAGTGTAGCGATAATAAAGGGGAAAGAGAGGGGAGGGGCCGAAGGGGAAGGGGCAGGAATTTCATATCTGAAAAAACGTAGAAGCAAAAACAGCGAACAGTGAATGAAGCAAGGTCAGTCCATCAAGCCAATTAGCCCAGGCATATTAGGCCAAGGCACCATACCACACCGACCAATCGACTAACCCATCAATTCGGGCAAAACAAACACAATCCAGACGGCTGCATGTGGCGAGAAAAGGCGACGGCGGCGGGCGAAGGGCTGGCGGGAGAGGATATACATAAGATACGTCCTTTTCTTTTCCTTCTTTTTATTTGCGACTGGGAAGACATGCACCTCCCGAAGGAATGAACAATTATGCACTGCAGAGAATGTGTTTTGGACGTTCACCAACCAAAAGCGATGGAGGGAAATAAATAAAAGAAGTGGAAGTTCGAGATCAATAGGTGGTGCATGGAAAAGGCCAGACTGACATATTTGACCCATTAGTCCTCGTTGTATCACACCACATTGCGACAAGTTTAATAGCCCTTCGGCCCAATCCCCCCAAGTGAGCGAGATAAAGAAAGTGAAGAACGAATAAAACATGACGATCTCTGTGCGGTACCATTGAGTTATGTGCCACGATTGTGAGTGGTAGGTGCATTCCGTAGGCAACAATGAGTGATAGTTTTGGTGGCCAATCAATTTTTCCCTGCGTGTTGGATTTACCCGGGTACTATGTTGACTGTGGGCTTAGTTCGTTTTCGCCGAACCTTGCAATTCCTTTGGCATGTTAGCTCAAAGCGCGGAAAAAGAGTATCGGTACAAAAGAACAAAGGGAAAGAAAGAGAAGAGGGTCTAGGTCCACCAAAAGATTTTTTGTTGTTCCTTTGTTCTTCTTTTCGGTTTCTTTCTGTGCTTCATCGTCCCGTTTATTCGTTTTTCACTTGTTCAAGTTCGGTTTGTCTTGTCCCTTTCTTTTTCTCCTGCTTGTTCTCTCCTTTCCTTTCTCCCTATCCCTTGTCTTTCCTTACTTGATTTCCCTATCTGTTTACACAACAAGGAGGGAAGAAAGGAAAGGAGAGGAGTAAGGGCATGGAATCCCCCTTAATTTTTATTTTTTGAAACGGTGAGGTGTGTGCCTGACCCTCCAAGGGGAAAGGGGTGGAGAGACAAAAATCAGGTCTGCCAGATACCCATCCAAAAAACCAACAAAAAAACACCACGCTATGGGTCCATATATGTTGATGTTCTTTCTTCATGCACTTTTTGCTGCCTCTGCCAAACAGAGCGGGAAAGCATTTTTTGTCAGCTACTACATTAACAAAAAAAACGATGAGGGATGAAGTGGGAAGATGGAGATACAAAGGAGTAGATCTGAAAATCCCGCTGATGATGATGACCATGAATAACGATTCAGCAAATAGGTCTCCAGAACAAACAGTCGTTCGCGAAAGAAGAGATGGCCTAGACTTGTTTTTATTCAGCTCGGAGATTAAGAAAGATAGGAATGTATAGTAATGGACTGCAGCTACTCATCTGCCATCGCTTTAAAAGTTACCGTACCAGACCATGGTACCAGAAAGAGTAAGGCAGTAACTGGGTCTCATCTTGTATCACTGAGCCTCCTAACTTTTCTCTCCTCCAGAAGGGTTGGAGTGATGTCGGGTTACATCACACGAGAACGTGAGGAGCAGATAAAAAAAATGGCAGTCGCGACGCGTTTAATCTGAAACACATCCAATCTATTTTCTGGCGAGGCAGCACAAGACTTCCCAACCTCTCGCTCACTGCTGATGAATATGGGAGGGCCAGAAGTAAGGAGTAGGGAGATACATGATAACAACAGCGATTTGGGTTTTCCCATGGGCTCCCATTCAGAGTGTGGAAAGGTGGGAAAAAATAGGGAGAGGAAAAAGGGGAGTAAGAAAGAGAGTCACCTAAAACGAAAATAAAAAGAAAGAGACTTCACGGTAGAACAATGGTGTTCCTTCTTCATCTCTGCCATTCCGGGAAGGGACACATTTTTCACCCTGCTTCGCCGCAACGGAGAAGGAAAATAAGGTAATAGAATTGTAGAGCGAGAGTTGATGTTATAATGGCTATTGTGCGCTGTTTTGGTTTTATTAGGATTGTTTTCGTTAAATAGATAGAGAGTATTAGATATGGTAATAGGTAGATAGTATACAAGGAAGGGAGAGGGATATAAAAAGTGACATTGGAGGTGGGTCATTCCAGAGGGCTAATGTAATGAGGAAAGGGGCGGTGATGGTATCGCAGTAGGAGACGTGGGTGTCAACTCTACTGGCGTTTGCTCTGGAGTATCCACAGCATCCCGTCGCTTCGTTCCCATCGAAGCTGCTCTGCGTAAGAGCATCGGCGAATGAGGTCCTGTGGTTGTCGACACTTTAGTCATTGCCGTCGCTGCTGCTGCTGCTGCTGCTGCCATTGCTGATTGACCGTCGCCATGGAGTCGGGTCAGGGTATCGCGAGATTGTCTGCGGATCTTGTCCATTGCTGTCAACTCGGTAGAGATGTGAGAGGGTGTTGGAGTGGTGTTGTGGGGATCGTCACTTGGTGATGGTGGGCGGATAGTGCTATTGCTGCTGCTGCTGCTGATGGTGTTGCTGGTATCGTTATGAGTCATGGTACTGGACGGCTTCTTTGACAGATCATGCAACGGTTCTTGTCCTTGTGAAAAATATGACTCGTCGTCGTCATGATTTTCCATAACTCCATCGCCTTCGAGCACCGAGCTTATCGCGCTCAATTGTTCCTTCCTGCCGCCTCCTGCTCCCCTTGAACCTCCTCGAGTCAAGGTCACGTGAGGGGCATCGATTCCTGGACCTGCTCGGTTGAGGGCCAAGGAAGGGAACGACTGCGAGGACTTCATGGCAAGAGGACTTGATGGCGAGGATATCGACGTCATGGTGGAGAGAGCTGAGTGACCTCCAGTGTTGGATCGGTGTGGCCATTTGAGGCGCCCTGCAATGTTCAAAATGTCCAGTCCGTCACGACGACCTTCCATGGTCAACCGGCGAGATATCCTACGCGCTGCTACCGCAGTCTCATCTTCCTCATCCCACGTGCTGTTGTTGTTGATGCTGTTAAGGATGAGGACCGGCGAGGCAAGGGGCGATGACAGATGCTGAGTGAGTGTTGTCATCGTGGCAGGGTTGTTGGTAGGTGTGGTTTGGAAATCGATTTTTCGAGTCGGGATTCCTAGATTCGTGAGCACGGCTTCGTCCGTCCCCACGACTGGATACGACTTACGATCCGATGTTGATTTTGTTGTTATTTCTTCCGCTGTTGTCCGTGCTGATACTTGGGGTGAAGCGGAAGAGACAGATGAAGGTGGGGTCGGATCACTTTCGTTTCCATCACCACCACCGCTCTCTAGGTTGTTGTTGGTTTCCGCAGCAGTCGAGTCAGAGCTTGAAGTTGTTCCTGCAGCGTGGGTATCGTCCTCCATGAATCGTTTCGACCGACTCTCCTCCATCTCGCGCGTCGCATAGTTTGAATGAAAGTCCATGCTTGGTCGGGTGGTGAGAAACGACGAAGAAGGGTGGTCAAAGAAAAGATCGTTTTGTCGGGCAGAGGGGAACGAGGACTGTGCGACCAGCATGGCGGGTCGTCGGGGTCGTGGGTTGTTTGTGATGCCATCCTCGATCATGGTGTTGAGGTTGTCGTCTCGAGCGCCTGAGCCATATTTGTCTTGGAAGTGCCGCAAGAGGATTCGTGGGGGGGGCAAGGAAAAGATAGGACAGGCGAGGAGCCGAATGCAGAGGTCCAGAGCCTGGGCCTGCGGACTGAACACCTCTTTGGGTTTGGTCATGTAATAGACGAACATGGCACAGTATCCCTGTTATCAAGGACAAAGAGCCAAAGGGAAAAAATGTTCATGTGAAGCGTAGATTAATTTCAAAGTCCGAAACAGAAGAAAGGCGGCAAAAGCGTGCTTTGTTGCAAAAGCTGGGGGTGGTTTGACATTTAGTGTCCTCTACGCCCAATTCACACTCACAAGCAGCACTCCTCGGTGACAGCTACGGCCTCACTCTTCTTCCTGGCACGTTCCCTTCTTCCTTCATCAATTGTTTCTGTAACCATGACACCATGACGTAAGAAAGAAAGGGTGAATTGCTTTGACTAGGGCATAAACTGGACGATGGTGTATGATGGAGAAAGAGAGGAAGGGATAGAGCCCATCACAGTTTTTTGGAGTCAAGCCAAGGAAACACAAAGTGCACGCAGGGTGAATCAGAGAGCAAAACAAAACAGAGTGGTCCATTATGCCAAACAAATGTCCTATTAGCAAGGAAACCAAAAAAGCGAAATACACCGCCAACAGCCGCGTGTTTCCTTCGTCACAGAAAGGCACTCGAAAGAGGCACCTCTGGCGGGCTCCTCACAACAACATCCTGCTCGCTTTGCATACCATGGTTTAGACTAGTTTGGTTGGCGCTGTCTTTGTTCCATCGTCCCCAAGGGTTGAATGACGACAGACAGAAGGGTTAAGAAAGGCGGGCTGGAAGGTCAAGGGTGGTGTTTTGAAAGGGAAGGTGATAGTAACAGGAAGGTAAGCACTTACAATAGACGTGATTCCAAGGGCACTCAAGTACCAAGTGCCAACGGCGAGGGTGTTACTGTCGGCAATATTGGCAACACCGGTGCTGTTGTGATGCCGCACCAATGGAACCTAAGTGAACAATAAGGCAACATCATGTTAGCATATGGCGGACAACCATTTTGCCATCGAACAACCCCCGTGTTTCCCTGTCGGAGGGAGAGATATTCCACCGAGAAAAAAGAGTTCTCCTTCTTTTGTCGTCCATTGAAAACGAGGGCGGGAACGGACCAATGCCTTTTGACAACGGTACTCTGCGCTTTGTATTTTTGTATTCCTTCACTCGTTGAATTTGTCGATATTCTGCGAGTGCATCACATCCAACATAGGCAATGGGATGAGGAAGTATCATTGCCGCAAGAAGAAACGATTGTTTCCAAAAAAAAAAAAGTCCTTGCGTTTAAGTAAAGTCGAGTAATGAGGGTGTGAAGGAAAAGTCGAAGGGGCGACAGTAGAATCGGAGTAGAACGCTCACTGTGAGCAGCAACGGCAATGTTTCTTCCTTGCTTCCTCCCAAAACGATTATTGGCTTGTTATTTCCTCCGTGAATCATTAACGTTTTTTCTTTTCTTCTAACGCCATCGTTGTTAGTGACCATCATCGGCGCAGTTGACGAGAATAGAACTATATAAACTTACAAAGAGATAGGCGATGGTGACTCCACAGGCGAGGACCTTGGCCATCTGTCGCACCCAGTAGATCCAGATGACAGGGGTCGAATTCCTGTCGAGAGTGTGCGAGCCCCAAACGGCATAACAATAGTAGGACAGTTCTGATATGGCGACAAGATCGTAGATGATGACGGAGGCGAGGGCAGTTCTCCAAATTACTGTTTGGTGGCGGGTGAGGGGGTAAAAGGCGTAGCCGAGTTGGATGATGGTTGAGATGACCCAGGTGACGGCGATGCATTCAGCGACGAATTGGTAGACCCAGAAGATGGAAAGCGACATCTTGTCGGTGGCATAGACGATGGAGAGAGCTGAGATGGAGAGGCCACAGATGGCCATGACGGCTGAGCCGAGACGGAGGGGTGTCCTTGAGCGGTGGAACTGGACGCAGGCGAGGGCTGCGACCAGGGCGGTGAAGCTGGTCGCGACGATGGAGGTCGGGATAGGCGGGATGGTGATCATCCTGGGTGATAATGATGATAATGGCGATAATACTCCTGCAGCAACGCGAGTGGGTGGGTTTCAGGACTGTGGACTGGTTGATATCAGTGATGATTGATGATTCCCAGGAACCTGGGTGTGGAAAAAAGAAAGGGGAGGGACAAGCTGGCAACCAGAATACTGAGCTAATAAAAAGTAGTACAAAATGCGTGTCTTTGTTGGAGGTTGAAGGAGTAGCTGAGAGTGAGTGTGGACGAGAGCGAGTGAGTGAGCGGAAAGTCGCTGGGGGATGAAGTGTTCCCTCGGTTTATCGCAGACTGGGCATCCTGGGGAGAAGAGTGTGTGCTTGTCCTCAATGGGTTCAATAAGTAAAGGAGTGAAGGAAGAGTGAAAGGGAGTATGAAAGGACGGTACGAATGAAAGATGATCGTTAATGTTGTAAAGAAGAGTGTGGGTGTGAATGTTTAATCAAACAAGAGGGAGAGAGATGATGATGAAAGGATGAAAGTAAAGAGAGTGAAGACAGGCAGGATATGGCCCAAAGGAAGTTGGGTGAGTAGGGCTGTCTTGCAAAAGGGTCTAAGAAGGAAAGGAAGAAGAAAGGCAAAAGGCGATGGGTGATGAGCAAAAAAAAGATGAGGAAGAGGAAGGGCGGAAGGGAGAGGCAAGGCAAGGGAAGAAAGAAAACACTACGCTGCAGGCTGCAAGTCGTTAACGGACTCTAAAGCCAGCGAATAAATTTACGACAGCTGAGTGAAAAAAAAAGACCCAATGGGCAAACTAAATAGACTATCAACATGGGGGAAGGGGATGGGAAAAGAAACGTGAGAGCTATCGCTCCTATCGATTAGCAAGAAAAACGCCCATGGTGGACAAAGATATGTACAGTAGTTAGAAGGAGAAGGTGGAGTCTGAATAAAGCAACACACAGGGAATGCCTGCTACGCATCGCATCGACACATATTCAGTATCTATGCAATCGTGAACCCATTGGAGATGGCAAGGAACCATGCATAAGAAAATGCGGGGTAGAAAAAAGAACGAGAGAACAAGAAGGAGGGATTTGAGACTGGGTCCATGGTAAGACAACCTGCTTCTGAGGACCAATTGGTCAATTGGCGCAAAAGGAACAGGGCTTCGATTCCTTTCTCGGACACACTCACGGCGACTTCTTCTAGGCTTGGGTACAAAAGACAAGTGTTTGCCCGCCTTGCGTTCTTTTTCTTTCTTACTTGCTTTCCCACACCTCTCTTCTCTTCCCACTTTTACTCATTCACTCATTCCACTCTCAGCCCTTTCCTCCTCATCACGATGACTGCAGACCTCCACTTCCTTACCCCTGAACAGAAGCAGAAGGTAATACAACTACGCCAATATTATCTGTCGATAGTTTATTCTTCACACTTGCTCGCACACAGGCCGATTCACAATAATAACAATCATGCGGCGCATCTATTTCACCTACTACAACCCCAATCCTGTCCGGTTGCGAATCAAGTTTGAGGACGAAGGGTAAGCATCAGCAAAGTGATCAATAGAGAATGATAGAGCGCCAGATGGGATCATGTCGGATGACCAATTGATAAACTAACGTCGCCTCTCCAATCCGTGTTTGCTCCTCTTCACGTTGTTACTCGACAACAGATACCTCGTGATCCCAAACTTCTTCACACGCGCCACCGCCGATGAACTTCGCGAAAGGGCATCCGAGATGCTTGAAAACTTTTCTCTGGAGGGTCACCCCATGACCACCTTCTCGACCGGCACCGGAGAGGTAGTTCTTCGCTCAACATGAATTCAATACTGTCATGTTCTGGCGTCAACACACGTCAACACACAAATTGACTAACAGACAATACGCTCACTTTCCTTTCACCAAAAGGAGAAGAAGCACATTGGCGACGACTACTTTTTGACATCGGGAGACAAAGTGCGCTACTTTTTCGAGGAGGAGGCCTTTGACAAGCAGGGTAACCTGACGGTGCCCAAGTCCCGGGCGATCAACAAGATCGGCCATGGTAAGTGTCATTTTCCTTCTCTTCTCTTTTCTCCGCATCCCCGCATCCCCGGAAACCCCAAACTCGTCCATTTTCCGGCTGTGGGAAACCTTTTTCTTCTCACCATGTGACTCTTCTTAGGACACTGCGGAAATTATTCTCCGGGGTCACTCTTAGAAACAAACCGACTGACCTGTTTTCTTTCCTTTCCGATTGACTTAGCCCTTCATGAATTGGAGCCCAAGTTCCGTGCTCTCTCCTTGTCCAAGGACATGAAGGCTCTCGCCCACGACCTCGAATTCAAGGACCCCCGCGTCCTTCAATCCATGTTGATCTTCAAGCAGCCCAAGATTGGAGGCGAGGTCCCTCCTCACCAGGACTCGACCTTCCTCTACACTGAGCCTCTCTCCGCACGCGGCTTCTGGTTCGCGCTCGAGGATTGCACCGCCGAGAACGGCGCCCTTTCCTTTGCCCCTGGATCCCACAAGAGTAAGTATTTACTTTTTCGTGGTTGAATGTCCTAGCTAGTATATACTCAAACCAATGCCATACTCTTGTGATACTAACCACATCATACTACAAATAACTGCAGAGTACCCCGTCAACCGCCGGTTCATTCGCGATTCCAAGTCTACAGGAGTGACATTCAGAGGCGAGGAAGAGCACCAGGCACCCGACGAGGAGTTCAAGTTGGCAGAATGCAAGGCTGGCTCCTTGGTCCTCATCCACGGATCCGTCCTCCACAAGTCACCTGCTAACAGGAGCGACAAGAGCCGTTACATCTACACCTTCCATGTCATCGAGGGTGGCGCAGAATACGACGGCGACAATTGGTACGTTGCGTGAAGAATTGTTGCTCTCGCTTTGTGTGCTTGATAGTGTTTTTGTGAAGACTTATGTCCACAAATTGTTGGCATTAATATTTTCTTTTGTCATGTAATTGTAGGTTGCAGCCTACCAAGGAAATGCCTTTCACTCCTCTCTTCACTACCGAGCTTTAGGAAAATGCAATTTGAAAACGAAATAAACAGAAGATGTGCGTATAATCTTGGACTAGTCGCGCCTGGGTCGGGCAGTTAAAGCTACCATGTTTACAAAGAGACGCGTATGATGAGAAGTCGGGAAGTCGACATGCTTGCTCATAGAGCAGATAGAGCAGTAGTCACCTGACAAGGCTACCCTGTGAAAATCTATGCCATACGAAATAATTTTTTCTGCTGCCGCTGTTCAGGAACGATGAACAAATAAACAATACACTCTTCGTCTCACTTTTTGACACCTTGGAACTATCAGTTCAGGCACGAGATCAATCAATTGATAAAGTTGGTGGCGTTCGCTTTTCAGGCACCACTGATCAACTAGGCCTTCTTTTAATGTTTGCTTTGTTTGCAAAAACATCTCTTTTTCATACACAAAACCATGACATCTTTTTTTCGTACCCAAAGCAAAGTACATGTTCTGGGCTGTAAACAATCACGGCTGTCGTTGACAGTGAATTGAAGCAAGAAAAAAAATTGATGCAAGAGACTAGAATGACCGCAAGGTTTATCATCCGAAAGAAGGAGAGAAAAAAACCAGAGAGCACCTTTTCTTTTTTCAGCGCGTTGTGCAGGACGATGAAAAAAGCCTTCCGTTGGGCTTCCATGGATCTTTGTTACTGTTGTTTTTCTCTTTCGTTCTTTCATTCTGCCAAGAGTGCGAATGGCACTTTTTATTTACATTCGTTGACTTTGACGGGTGGGAAAAGATGACAGGAAAGACGTGAAGAGGAAAGGCAAGAAACCATGCTGAATTTGGAGTGCCTCTCTTTGTTGAGGCTCTCTGGCTTTTAAATGTGTGTAACCGTTTTGTTAATGAGAGCGCATCTGGAGAGGGGATGAGGTCGTTGTGTTTGTTCAAAAAAAAACTTTATTTGGATTGGGTGTATCGGGAGAATGAGCAAACGGAAGATGGAACAGAGAGCGAGAGAAAGAAAAGGGAAGAGCAAAGAAGAAGAAACTGAATTGATTGTCTGAATGATAGACGATGATCCATCCAGATCCATTAAGGAGTGAAGGAAAGGAGAGAAAATAAGATAGGAAGGGCATTGACCCTTTCACCTATCTTAATGTTCATCAGAAGTTGTTTCTTCAACGATGTTCTTGATTTATCTTTTGATCGTACGACAATGCAAAAATAAACGTAGTCCATTCGAGCACACGATAGTCCATTTTCACCATGCACTTGAGAAAGGATGAGTGTGGCTACCGAAAAAGAAAAACAAAATATCAAAACAAAACAACAACCAACAACAATGATATCAACAAACAAGAAAGCCTCTTGGATGGGGAGAAGAGGAAAACTCTAACTCACCATCCGATTGTGCATGGCTTTTGTACGCCCAACGTTTTTTTTTTTTCCTTCCCTGCCTGACAGACTGATGGTCGCCAAGGACGCAGAGGTACCTTTTTACACAGAGATAGCATGCATGGGATGGGAATTGTTCCTTGTCATCTGTCCACTTTTTATGAAATGGCGCTGTTTGATTCATTTCGTATGTCTTGAAGTTTTGTTTGTATTTATTTGATGCATGGAGAGGGCCAGATGTTTGTCTGGTACGTTGCTCTCTTGCATACACCTGTCTTTCCTCTCTCTGTTTGTTCAATTGAGGTAGTGGAGTTGGATGGTAGTGCGATGGAGACCGACTCTAATGGAAAATGGACGAACGAATGTGCCATAGGGTCGACTCTTCTTGCCTTGCTTCTTCTAAGCACCCTTTATCCATTCTCCACTTACTTTTTTTCTTCACTTTCTTTTCTCCCTGACCCTATTCCTCTCTTCCCTTTCACTCCATCACCATCCTCTATTACTCTCTTCGCTTTCTCTCCATCACCATCCTCTATTCCTCTCTTCGCTTTCTCTCCATCACCATTCCTCTCGTCTCTATTCCTCTCTCTCACACTTCATCATCCGGCGAGCAACAGTCCATTCCTTCATTCCCTCATTCTTTCATTCCTTCTTTTCTTCCTCACCCCTCCTCCTTGGCCTTTAATTCTTATTTTTCTCCTCCCTGCTCAAACGTGGCCCGACACTGCCCCATTCCCCCCTCTCGTTCATCAATTATCTTTTATTACATACACGTTCCTCCCACCACAACACAACAACAACCACCATTTTTTCAACAACCCATCACCCCTCCAACCCCTCTTCCAGAAACGAATTGTCAGTGTGTGATATAATTACACTCACGCCCACATACCAGTTCTTTTTCATATTCTTTCCACGCGTCGCCACCCTCCTCACTCCGCGATACGTCTTATTCTTCACATTCCCTCCCCTGCCTTCGTTACATCCTCCCTTTTTTTCAATCCTTGGATGTCTGCAAAACGTGCATAATACCGGTGGCTCTTGACAAAGCAACCACGTTTTTTCCGCACCGTTGGAACGACAAATCTCCGTACAATCAACATTAAAATACACACAACACCCATTTTTTATTCTTGTACCCTCACCTTACATTCACGACGATAATCTTTCCTCCTTTTTTCCTTCCTGGGTGCCTGACATTCAACAGAGCTTCTCACTCTCTTTTTGTACATAGAGAACACACACTCTTCCTCTCCTTCTTCCTCCCCTTCTTTTTACATTCACACTTTCCTCACCCTATCACCTTTCACGCGACACTATGAATTCGACTACAAACGGCACAGAAGCATATGCACCCGAAATCTGTGGGAAGATCTTCTCACTTGGATGTCGCAAAAATGAAAGTCGGAGTCAGTACGGCGAAGGAAGTAGACGGTGGCGAGATGTCAATATCAGCTTTGCTATCGCCACCAGTTATCTCGCCATGATCGCCCTCGTCGCCCTCGTCATGTATGTTCGGAATCGGACCCGCCTTCGCCTCATGGTCGTCATCTTCTCGATCTTAGGCCTCTCATCAGGCGTTGCTGGGTTCCTCTCTACGACGAGGTTCCATGGCTCGTACAAGACGGACGAAAGACTGCAGGCGCATCAGTTCTGGATATGGTATTTTGCTTGCGAGGGTCTGGGCACCGCCATTCTTGCTTGGACGGTCGTCAAGGTGGGCACGGTGTTCTACTCCCAGGCCGGGAGGAAGAACATCTTTTACGTCCTGTCGATCATCATGATTTTGGTCTTCGCCGCCCTCGCTATCGCCAACCTGGCCGTCTACATCACACAGGTGACTGGAAATACGATCCGCGGCACTGCGGCCAATCGGTATCAATTGTGCATATCATACATGGAGAATTGCATAAAAATATTCCCGGCGGGTCCTAGACCGAGCGATTATGACTGGAGGAAGTTTGTAATCAAGTCGTGGCAAGATGACCAAAGGAATCCGAGTCGTGAGGTCTATCTTCCCAACCAGGTCCTTACCGCTGTCACCTTCCTCTGGGTGTCCATGTACCTCTTTGTCCCGCTGTTGCGGAATCAGAAACACCGTCCCGTCATTGGCAGCGACATGACGGCCGTTGGCATCTGGTACCTCTCCTGTCTGTCGATCCTGGTGTCGGTAAGTGTTCAACGATAATAACAAAATAGCAGAACCGATAAACATGTCAACTGCCAACGTGCATCCTAACCCTCTTATATATTCTACTAGGTATACATGGCCCTCACCATTTGGTCGTGCTTTCAAGTAGAGCCTAAAACCTTGTACCAACCCTGGATCTCGGCTGTTGACGTCTGTCTTCGTGGCACCATCGGTATCGTCTTCAGTCTCCCGGCACCAAAGTTCATCATCCAGTTCGCTCGTCAATACTACGGTCACCAGCGCAAGGAAGGCGACAGCAGCAGAATCCCACGAGGTATCATCTCCCGTCAACGTGGCATGTTCAGCTCCAGCATGAACTACTCTCAAGACTTTGGGGGCAACTTCTCGAACGACCGCTCCCCTGTGACAACCCTGGGCACCACCGCCAAGGCAGGCGCATCTATCGAGGATCCCCTGGGCTACCTTGAGAACCACAGCAGCCGAAGCAACAACATGAACTTTGGATCCATAAAACTCTTTCCTACCCGAAACCGTGGCGAGTCCATGGAGAGCAGCAAAGTGTTTAACCAGGATTTCGATCCCGATGATCTTCAGGACGAATACCTTAGTGGTGACGAGGGTCACACCAGTGACTCGTTCCAGCAGTACTACTCCAAGGTGGACAACGCTATTCCCATTGTTATGTCGAAGGGTCTGAACTCGTTGACAACTCAGGACGCACAGGAAAAGGATGTCCTTTCATCTGGACACAAGGTGGAGGAGCCTCAACGACCAGCCCCGGCTTTGACGGTGACAAGGTCGACTGAGAAACAGGCTGTCCGGTCATGGGATATCGACAGCCAGGCCAAGCCCTTCCTGGAAAACATTACCGTACCTCCCTCCTCCGCTCAGGAGTCTACAATCCAGCAACACGACAAGGGCGCTGCAAGTGAGCCATGGTTGACCCCTGAAGGTATCATTTTTGTCTCGTCCGTGACTATGGCTGTAATGTGCCTTGTTTGGATTTACTTTGATGCGTTCTTGCACTAATTTCATTTGTGTTGCTTGTCTGTTTATTATGTATATCAGCTGCGAGCGAGTCTGTGCTGCAGTCCTCTGCACGTGGCACACAGGAGGCATTGACCTCCAAGAGCATCGGAATCACAGGAACGACGGGGTGGGAGGTTGGTGGATGGGGTCATCCTCGGGGAGGCAGCAACACTAGCACCGCTAACCTTGCTCATTCTCGTGACGACAGCAACGCCAGCAATGTCAGTCTTGCTCACCCGCTTGAAAAGAAGCTCTACCGACAAGACTTAGTCTACAACGTGGGCGATGGCACCGTTTCTGTCCTCCCCGAGCTCACTGGTCTCCAGAAGCAGCTTGCCCAACACCAGTCGTCCCTTCTCCCGTCAGCCATTGCCATCCAGCACTACGATCCTGCCGAGAACTGCCCACCAGCCCTACGTGCCCAGATGGAGGCCGCTTTCACCAGCTATATCGAAAGTCTTCCCCCAGATGTGGATATCGACGGGCGTATACGTCTTGCAGGCCACGAGCCAGACTTGATTACAGCCGACTCTGACGATCTCAAGATGACTCGCCACCTCAACGAGCGGTTCCGGATCTACCAGCAGAACCACAACTCGTTCGCCTATGATCGCGCCTACTGGATCAAGCACCCACCCAGTCAGTCTAGCACCGACTCTGCAACCAGCCGGAGAGAGAAACTTTTGGAAGACATTTACCTCAACCCCACCCAACCCACCGCCTCCAAGCTGATTACCATTCAACCGCCACCACCTAGTTTTGCGCCACCACTGCCCCCTCCTACCGCCACTGCTTCCATAAAGAAGAAGAAGTGGCTCTCTGGCCGTAAGTCCCATGACCTGGATCGCCTTTCATCCCAGAGTGCTGCCATCAAGCTCAGCGAATCCAACCGAGCTCCTTCCGGAGGTGAGCGCCGAGGAAGTCTAACCAACACAGGAAACGATGGCGCCTCATCCAAAGCCAACAAGCCTAAGGAGAGTCGATTGGGTGTCTTTTCAAAGGTTCTCTCTGGAGGTGCCCACAAGGGTAGTGACCGCATCCGCACCAGCCAAGACATCAACGACCAGGATCGTGAGCGCGACAAGTCAGAATCGGGAGCTAAGTCAGACGGCAAGTCCACCGGCCCTCTTCAAATCTCAGCACCCGCCCCAGCGACAGTTGAGGCATTGACAAAGTCGACTTCCTTGGGTCAACTGAAGGAGGAGGATGAAGACAAGGGTCTCCAGTACTACTACCCCGACCCTTATTTCAGCCTCACCGAGAGCAAAAAGTCTCAGTCTAGCTCGTCTGGTTCTGCTGCGATTGAGAGAGGCATGTTATCGTCGTCTTCAGCCCAGAGGCACCTACTCTCGCCCACCTTCCCAGGAGACAACAGATCCAGCACGATGGGCTCGGCCAAGTCTGCAACAGGTGCAGCCAGCACTATGGAATCTTCAAAGTCCCAAACGAGTCCATTTGACTATTGCCCGCAGTCTCCAGTCCTGGATGCGAGCAAGAGTGACACCGCCACCATTTCCTCTTCAAAGTCGGGCAAGGGTTCCCTCGGCTCCCGCAAGTCGTCCAAGTTGGACCTGTCGCTTCCCCGCAACGCCGCTGACATCGCTGGTTCAGCTCCCAACACACCCTTGCCCCAGCCCGGTGGATTCGGATCGCTTCTCGGCCGGTCGTCCTCAAACTCCAAGAAGCTGAGCGCCAAGTTCAAGGCCCGCGATAGTCGGTCCAAGTCGGATCTGGCGCCAGGTCGTACTAGTGCTGACTTGATTCAATCGTCAGTCGCATCTCTCCCAATCACAACGACTCGCAAGGCAAGTATACCCAGTATCCCCGTCAGCAACCAGCCTTCTTCTTTGTCTCCACCTCCTCGTCAGAGTTGGTCTCGGTCCAAGTCATACCAGGGCGCAGCTCCTGCCATTCCTGCATCCTTAATTGGCATGTTTACCGAGGGTGAGAATCCAATGACGATCGATGTCCAGCTTGCGAACGATCTTGTTCCAGGGGATGTGACGATTCCTTCGTCTGGAGGGACCCGGAGCTCAATGTCATCCTCGATCGGTTCTCCTACGACCGACTCCCCGACGCTGACACCCATCGGTGAGGCACGCACAAAGACAGCACCACCCAGTAAGAAGGACAGTTTCACCTCGCCTGCGCCTTCTCCATCCACGCCCACAATAGCATCGCCGTTTCCTCGACTCGGAGGAATGGCCCCGCCACGGACGAGCCAAGACAGGCGGAATAATTCTCTCGACCGAGATAGTGAACTGAGCTTCTCTGCCAGCGGCAGTGGTGGACTTGGAGGATCAGGAACGGGCAAGGGTCGTACAGGATTCACAACTGCTACCATGGATCTCCGACGCACCTCCAACCGTCCTCAGCGTTCTGTCGACAACCTCGCCTCGGCCTACTTTTACAGACGTGCAGCAGAATACAGCGGTTCGAGCGACGTGAATTCCCGAATGGGCAGTTCATCGAACGACAAGGCTGCTGCTTCTTCAGCATCGTCACCGAATGGAGTCCCACCCTCCTCGCCGCAGCTGACCAGTTCTGGATTCTCCTACTACGGAGTCGACATCAATGGCGGAGGCGACAGCGGCCGCAGCTCACCCCATAACCGCCGCGATTCTCTCCTGAGCCAAAAGCCACATCACAAGAGCCAGTCCAGTCTCGACTATGGCAACGCCGGTTTATCATACTCCTCACCCTCCTCTCCATTCGACAGCCTCCCTGCTCCTCCGGGATTAAACGATACTGGACGGACCAACAGTGTGACGAGCAGTTTGCGCCTCATGGCGGACGATCCCTGGACCCAAGCTATGGTCGCTCGTGCCCAGAACTCCAACCCTGCTACTAGTGCGACGTCACCCGCCACCACGCCCACAGGAGGAGCCACAGGAACAGGGTTAGGAGGTAGTGGTGGAGGTGGCCACTCACACTCGTTTTCGCAGTCATCGATCCAGATCCCGCTGAGCCCTACACGGAGTCCTAGTCCTGGCTTGTTTGCGCCGTCGCCGTCGTCGTCGTCGTCTGCCTTTTTTTCACGACCTGGTATTGCCCAGACTGGATCTGAATAAGCGTCTGGGGTGTATCAACCTACAAACAAAACACTACAAACCAACATTATACCACATAGATCGATTAAAGATAATCCAGAAAGCACATTTAATACGCATAATTGGATGGGTGCACGAGAAAACAAGTGGTCTTTCGAGAGAACGAGATAGCCTTCAGTGCAAATGACCATTTTGTCGAGGAACGAGAGCAAAAAAAAAAAAAAGTGAATTCGAGCATCAGAGAGGCCAGATCCGTTGTAGACCAAGTGAACAGGTGTGGAGAGAGAAGACGATGAGAGAGAGAGAGAGAGAGGAAGGGGGGGGGGGGGGGGAAGAGGAATATAGAGTGATAAACAGTGGTAAAGGAGGCCTACTTTACAGAACCAGCAAAAAGGGATGGGACCTCTCATTTCTCATGTCAGCCTTAGCCAGGCGCCCTTTCCTCTCGAAGCTTTGATCTCCTCCATCATTTTGTACGCGCATTACTGTAAAACTCAAACCTGCTTACACGTACCTCATTCTGCTTGAAGTGACAGTTCAATTGATAAAGAACACAAGAACAAACAAACAAACAAAGCCCATCGAAGACTTGCAAACTCTCCTTCCCCAAACGAATGCACGTTCATATAACCAACATTTGTGCTGACGTGAGAGGAATTACTAAAGTGGGATGGGATGGATGGGATGCGGTAAGTGGAGAAGGAGTGTGTTTGTGTTAATTTAGCTTGTTCTTTGAGAGAGAGCATCGACTTGTGCTCACCTCTTGTATTTTTGTTTACCGTTTTATGTCCGAGAATGGCGCATTTCATGTGTGGAGGAGTCGACACACATACTTCAAGAAGGAAAAAAAACAAAGAAAAAAAACAATAACGAAAATAAAAACTCAGGATGGATGAATGGTTTTGATGGTTTGATGGTTTGATGGTTTGTTTGTGGAGAGAAGAAGAGCCCCCAAGTGAATGTCAACAACCTGCTAACCCCAACCCTTCTCCAAATGCTCATCCATCCACCCAACTCAACCCGTCTTCTCCATCTATTTCTCCTCATAATATTTCCTTTCTCTCAAAATCCGATGTTGCTTTAGCACTCCTCTCCTGTCAAACGCCCAAAGACAGCGGCTCGTGTTATTGCCATTGTTCAATGCATGTGTATGTTTAACACCATGCACACACCGGACCAACCATTGTGGAGGTTGAAAAAGCCCGATTGAGTCCGAAAGGAACGAAGGTAGAGACTTAAAATTTTCCTTGTGCTCCCCTCCTTCATTCCCCTCTTTTTTTGTAGTTCCTTTGTTGTTCATAGAATACCAGTCCTTGCCTATTTGGTTTATAATGTAGGCATATGGTAGCTTAGCTTTACAAAGCCAGCAGGTGTACATGGCAAGAGCTATTTGCATGTGCACATCCTCTCTCTGTCTCCTCTCTTGTCCACTTAGCTCGCTTGTCAAATGTAAGTCAGGTAGCCATGGTACCCATCCCTCCTCTCATGCATCATGCGTCATTCAGGGGATGTAGAGTGGAGCAAATTGAGCGCCCAACTCTCAAGCATGCACTCATTTCTTTTACCCTCCTCCACATGTCGGCTCAACACATCTAGGACATTTTTTTCATAACTCTCTTGTACTGTTTTGTGCGCCTATTAAGCCCATCCTTCTATCACGCTCCTCTCATCTCTCCACAATCATGACAAATGCCCACACATTCAGGAGAAACAAAAATGAGGCTCTTAACAAACGAATATGTATCCCGGTTCTGTATGCATCCATAGTCGGTTAGCCTCGAAGGAAAAAGAAGGGAAGAATCATGGTTGACATGTTTTTTTTTCTTCTTTCTTTTTTTCTTGTGGAGCATTGGGCCCAATCCGAATTATGAAAAAAAAAAAAAAAAAAAAAAAGAATTCACCCGGTGGATGAGCGATCACAGGCGTAAACGAACAGCATTCGAAATTGCTTGCGTGCACGTCCATCAAAAATATCAACAGTGGGTTGTGGTCACATTAGATTCATCGTACCCAACCTCCGTTCATCAAATGGTTACAAACTAACGGTCAAGTTAACGAAAGTAGAGAGATTGGCACGCGCCAGAGAATCGAGCAAGGTTGTTGTTGGGCTGAAGCAAAAAAAAAAAAAAAAAAAAAAAAAAAAAAAAAAGAGAGAGAAGAGAGCCAAAGCGAAACGAAGGAGAGGGGTAAAATAACGGAGAGAGGATTGAGGATCTGTGCTCGATTATGGATACAAAGTACCAGTACTCTTGTTACTGTTTTTTGTTCGTTTACGATGTTCATGATAGGCTATACAACTTTTAGTTCACATTCCTTGACAAAGTCGTCAGCTATTCCTCGTGAAGAAGAACAAAAAAGAGGTACTGAAATGAAAAAGTAGGTGCATATCGATACGTACATGCTTTTGCTTTCTTTTTCTTTGCCATCCATTGGAGAAGGCTGGGTTTTAACATCACCAACGGATACTCATTCCTCCGTCCAACAGGAAAAAGACGAAATCCGAAAAAAGAGCAAAGGCCGCGTCTTCTCTGAACGTCAATTCTCAAAATCGACAAAGGATAAGCTTTTACGACGGTCGTAGGTACACTGCAGCTGGAAGGAACGTTCAAGACGTACCCACAGTCAAATAGAAAAGAAAAGAAGCTTAGTGATACCTCTTGGCGAACACTCCTTCCTTCCTTTCTGTTCTATTGGATATTCATGTGCCAAGAGATGGCTTATGATGGATAAGGGAAACAAACGAAAACAGGAGGAACAAAGAATAGAAGAGTACTCGAGCCATGGCGCAATTTCAGAGAGCATTTCTTCCAAAGTCCAATTGAACAAAGAACTTGACAGAAAACAAGAAAGAAGAGTGGATGGACATGGCTGACAAGGCGCAAGGCGCAAGACGACAGAGAGAGCTCACAAAAACAAACGAGAGTTCTTTTTTAGTTTCATTTTCTCGCCAAATAACATACTTGGCATCATTCACGAGAAAATGTTAGCAAAACAACAAAGGAAAGGGTGTTAGGAAGAGATGCCACAATCATACAGAAACACGTTGGTTGTTTATTGAACCATGGTCAACAACGACAGCTACACGAAATTAGACCAATGGTCATTTATACATCGACATACCCTTTTGTATTATTTGCTCTTGTTTGTTGGATCAATCTATTGCTGCTGCTGTTATTTTCTCTGCTATTAGTTATGTGTTTGTTTACTCTCTCCTTCGCTGCAATGGTGCACTACTGGAACCCAAGTATAGACGACTTCGCTTTCTCTTCATCACACTGCACGAAAGTTGTCAACAACATGAGCATTGGCCCTTTCCGAACCCGCAAACAGCAGATGGGTGTGAAAGGTGTGATTGCTGCTCCTCAAACAGACGAAAAAGAGAAGGGGTCTAGATTTTTTAAGTTTTCTTTCCCATGATGCTCCTCCAACGACTGTACAGAATAGACTGAAGGGCTAGCGCAGGCGAGCGAACAGGGAGTGGCGCTCTGGTCACACAAGTATGCCGTTTTGTTATCTCTCACCTCCTCTTCAACCTCACTCTTCCATTCCTTCTGATTCTATTATTTTTTATGTTCAGAAGCGAACGGTTAGAGCCAATGATGAATGTCCTTTGCCACTTCTTCAGCCAACCAAAAGGTGCAATAAAATGAGAAGGCTCTCTCATGGAAAGATGGACACAGTCAAAAGAGCTTGAGTTGAGTTTGTGTGTCTTCCAATCAAAACGGAACATGACGCGAGGATAGGGCCACAGGAAGGACTTCGGTGCTTGTTGGTTGATTTTACTTGTCCACACGCACATACGTTCAAGAATACTCTCATGAGGGCAAAACGGACAGTGTCCTCCATGTCGCCTGTCAAGATCTCTTTCTGTCTGTTAGTTGTTAATTTGTTTTTTCGCTCACTCGCTCGCCTCGTTTTATGTTCGCTCCCTTGATCTACCATTGCTCGATTCACGTTGTTGATTCCATTCGCGACGGTTTACAAAGAAATGGACAGGCCGAGGGAACGAAAAGAAAAAAACGCGATCGAATAAATTAATATTCTTTTGACAGGACAGTTGTGCCCCTGCTGTCCACCGTTGGAACAGCAACATGTTGCATGTCGACACAGCCAGCCAATCGACTCCCTCTCCTTTCGATGCTAAGAAAAAGAGAAGTCGAGATCGAAATTTGGTTTGTACTTTTACTTCATTCACCTCGGACCAACTATCACGCTACTGCTTGGCAAGTATGCCATACTTTTCTGCTTTCTTATTCCTTATTCCTTATTCGATTTCTTTTTGTTGTTCTTTACTTCGCATCTGCCAATGGGTCCAATGATCTATGCTGTATTTGCCTTTGGAGAGCGAAAGTGCTCTATAAGCATGGACAATGGTCGGTCCGTCGAAAAAAAAACAATTATAAACAGAAGAAAGAGAGGCGACAAGGTTGAGGGTGGATGGGTAGAAGTGGTGTGTACATACTGTGTGATTATGGTCGTGTTTTTCTGGTGCAAAACGAAAAAAAACAAAGCTGAGCACTGTGAAAGGAACAAACGTAAACATAAACAACAACTTCAGAAGGCTTCCAACTGGTTTAGAGCCAATGGTGCAACCATCAACAATAACAACAGCCACGCCAACTATGGGCCTACATGCCCTTCCTTGTTAACAATACGAGTATGCAAGAGGGTGAGAGGATGTGTGTTTCTCGTGAATTGATTGACATTCCAGAGGTACCCCTTTCACATACACATTTGACATAATGCTGAAATGAACCTTTTGCTCGACATCAGACTTGCTCGTGTTTGTGCAGGGTTGTGCTATATTGCTCTTTTAGTTGATAGCACAGAGTCTCTTATTTTTCTTTGTGCCCAAGTTGTTCTTCTCCTACGAATGACAGAAGATGAGCGGACACCCATTCCGAGAAAATATTAGTATTACGAACAGTTTGCATGTTGATGTACTAGTACCAACTCTAGTGAGAAAAAGAATTGTGGTAATGATGGGAAGGAGAAGAGAGGGAGAAGATGGAGGTTGTGAGAAAATTACGCCCATTCTTATTTGCTACTAGCGCGTTTGGTGCGTGTCCGAGTCTCGAGTCTCGAGTCTCGACCGTCCTTTTGGTTTGTCTTCATTCCTCTCCTGTCAGTGTACTTTTTTCTGATGCAATTGAAGGGCAGAGAACTACAGATGATAAGCATTCGGCGCAGTCTGTGACATAACTGGTTTATGTTAGTGGGCCGACTGCATGGGAAGATGAGGGAGGGGGAAGAGAGGAAGTACTAATGCATGTCATTTACCGTAATCTGGGCATGGCCCGGCGCGGCTTGTGAAAGGAAGATGGATACATGGGTCCCTCCGAGACAGTCTCGTGGATAAAAAAAAAAGAACTTAGGAATTGCGGTGCCGAGCTGCAGCAGCGTGTGAGAATAATAATGAGAGTAGTAAACCACCATGGCCCATGGGGCATCGAAACAAGCATAGCATCGCTTCTGAAGAATCTAATATTGTATTTTGTTGGGATCCGATTTCTGAGCCATTGCGCCTACATTCTTCCTTGTCTTCTTTTCTTTCATATCTTTCATTTCTCACTGTGCCTGATGAAAGGGAGGGAATGGTGAATGGCAACTTATGCAGGTTTCTCTGTCATATGGAAGCCGAAGGTGAAGAAAGAAACATCAACATTGAGCAATTGGATACATCGGATAGATAGCGTTTTTTGGTTATTGTTTTTGAATGAACCGTGTGGTGGCTGGTTGAGTGGCAGACTGGTTGGCATGGACCTTTTATTGTTGTTGTTGTTATCATCGCCAACTCTCTTTTTCTCCCTATCATATTTTTCAATCTCCACAACGAACGTCCAATTGACCACTGTGGCCAATGAACTTTTTTTTCCTCGCTTCCCCAACCCGTCCGAAGACAAAGTGGATTCGAGGGATGAGAAAGATGGCCCCAACACACTCTCCCTCCACTTTTTTTTCTCTTTCTCTTCGTTTTCTTTACTCCACCTAGCCTGTGGTCGATCACCCGAACACTCTATTTTATTACAATAGCCGTTGGATCTTGCCTCTCTCACCTTTTTTTTGTCATGTTTATTCAGTAGTAACGAAAATAAAGGCAGACTTCTCGATCGTCATGTTGATTCGCCAACAATAAACCTCGGAGTGTCGAAGCGTCAACGTCCGTCCGTCTGTTCAATGTCTGCATTTGAAAAAAAAAACAAAGCTAACCGAACTAGCCCACGAGTTTTCTTGCTGACAAGTAATATTAAAAGCAGCAGCAAGGCCCAGAATCACAGACCCCTTCCTTTCCTCCTCCATTTTGGATGTTTTGCGTGGCAGCACAGGGGCAGCGCCGTGGCAGGGTAAAATAGGGGTGAAAGTGGAGGGAAGGGGAGAGAAAGGGCTTGACATATGCCTGCATCCCTCTGTCCTCCACTTGCATCCTAATTCTTGTTATCATTATATAATAAGAGCATTTGTTTTGTTTTGTTGTCTGTTGTATGTTGTCTGTGGGTATTGTTGGTAATTTTTGATGCACGGCGACAAAAAAAATAATGTGATCGCGATGGATAGCAACGGAAATGAAAAGGAGAGGGCCGAAGGGGAAGGAAGGAGAGACACAGAGACAGAAGGACCGAAATGAGGGAGAGACAGAAAAAGAGAAAATGTAAAAGAGTCTTTCACCTGCATCGCAAAACATTGTCAGCCTGTGAGTGCATAAAATGTGCAGTCAGTAGCTTGAGACGATGACAATCGCACATAAACGCTGTACATAGTTGCCTTTGAGTATGGACGAGTGAGGGCTTTACAAAAGTAGAAAGAAGTATATACCTTTCTTTGACAGGAGAAAGGAAGGGCAGATCTATTTCAGAACAGAAAGGAAGGGATTGCGAGTGGTACCTTGCCAGTTTGCCGATTGTCGATTTGTCGATTTGTCGCAACAAAAATAAGAGATCAAGACGCAGTTATCGAAGAAAAGGTGAAACCCGCTGTTGGTACCCTCCAGCTACCACATACTCCGTCTCAACCCCTTTTTGCTGAGTACGCACGCATCGTGCAGTGCATAGTAAGCGCCCCAGTATTTATACCTCATATTCCTCCTTCACCTGCTCATGGATCCCTCGTCAATCCCCCTGATTCAACCACTCTTTTTGGTCTCAGACAAACAGTAGACTGTGGTGTGGTAGACTACTGTACCTTTTTTCATTTCTGATCGATACGAAACGCTAACGGCGATAGGCACCAGTCTCCTAGTCATCTTGTTCACATTCATCAAATCATTCGCTCGCATCCACAAACCTGCGTACCTTTTCTCAACGTAATAGCGCTTTCATTTCGCCTTTTTGTAGACTCTCATTTATGAACGGGTCCAGTTGACGTTGTTAAATGACCCCTTCCGATGCCCTTTAGGCGGAGATAGTGCAATTGATTAAAGCGGAGGAGCTACAAGCAACCCCTTGCCAACCTTGATGGGAGATGATTAGACAAGCCAATTGGTACTTGCTCTAGTCGTCATAATAATAAAATGGAGGGAAAAAAAATGAAAGGATTATGTCTGGTCATGATAGATAGGAAGGACGGAATGAGCATAGGAGAGGAGCCTTGACCTTGACGGAGCGAGATTAGACAGGGTTGGCCAGAAATGAAATGAAATAAGAAAATAAACAAGGGTGGGTTCGAGTTCAATGTCCTCTCAAAGTGTACACACTTTTTCATTTCAATTGCGAGGGTAGGAGAGAGGTATCAAGATAGACAGATACAAAGACAAACGAGCTGGCCCATCCACAAACACACATCAAAGTGGCTCACTGTTATTGTTATTTTATTTCATAGTATCCTTCATACACTCGTCCATTGCCAATGTTGCTGTTGTTGTTTACTGCTCTTTGAGTATCTCGAAGTGACTAGGGGCGAAAGAGAAGCAGAGAAGAGAAGAAAGAGAGAAGTTGGCTCTCATTTATTTTTCTGCCAGTTTTGTCTGTTGCTATTTTATGTCCAGCCCCTGGGTGTAGTTGTCCTCTTTGAATCACGATTGAATAGCCTTCATTCATTCTTGCCCATTGAGCAACGGCAGCAATAATAAACACACAGAGAGAGAGGTCCCTCCCATTCCCCACCCATTCTCCACCCTATCCATCCATCCGAGTAGCCATTTTATCATACTTTACTTTACTGTCAGTCAATTCCCCTTCATTTGTTTTATTTACATGTCCCTGAAGCCCACTGGCGAACGAAGAAAGTTTAGTGACCCTGACCACCCCACCAACCACCACTTCTCCCTTCCCAGCACTCTTCCCCTAATATCATTTAAAAACCAACGACCGCCCACCCCTCCAACTGCTCCTGTTTTCCTTCTCTTTTCTTCTCCACTCCACTTTACCCCCATTTTTCCCTTCCGCCCTTGTTCATAGCCTTCCTTCACCTTTACCTTGTCTTTGCTTTTGTCTGTTCATTTCCCTCTTCCTTTGCTCACCTTCCTCAGATCTGCTTCTTTCATATCCCTTGAAATCGATTCTCCTTTCCTCTCACTCGATACCCATATACATCTTCACGCAACACTCTCCACATACCTCACTCCCTGACACAACGAGCTCTGACAATCCTTGTCACTCTCTCAACCTCCTCAAACCTAACGACAGACCAACAACAACAACAAACAACAATAACCGTTGGATAGTTACTCCTCCCTTAGTTGTAAGTCTCACCTCTAGTACTTCTCTCCAACACTCGCCAAAATACACTCAGCTCTTTGTACCCTTTTTCTTCAGCCTCTATCCTTCTCGCTCACCTGCGACGCTCACCTCCACACACCATACATACAGCATTCAAAGTGCTCCAATCATCCACATACCCAACCCACACGTACTGCTGACATTTTGCTGCCGCTGCTTCGGCTGCTTACTTCTTTTCTGGCTGCATCTCTCAATATACACACTTCGTGTACATCTCTTCATGTTCTTTTGTTCCGCCACATGCAGCCCTTTCGCTCTTTCTCTCTCCAGCCCTTCAACACAAATATAACTCTCTCGTTATCTTCCCATTCAGTACTCCGAGGTGATTCTCTTCCTTCCTCGAACAGCAACAGCTGTAGCAGCAACAGCTGTAGCAGCAACGGACAGCAAACCGACATCACAGTACACAACATTACATACACACACTTCCCACCATTCTCTCTCTCATCCAAACTCAAATCGGATGGACGACACAGAGTTCCCTGAAAAAATTCCTTATCATACATCCATCTCTCTCGCCGTCCTTCATTCCATGCTTCATATCAATCCACAGCCTAAATACCCACACTTTCACACACACAAGAAGAGTGAGAGTCGTGCTCTTTTTTTTTTTTTTTTTTTTTTGTTCGCTGGTTTCTATTCGCCCGCTTGCTATTGCATAGTGCCACAAACAATTAGTACCCGTTCATTTTTTATTTTTTTGGTTGTCTTCGTCGTTCAATTTTCAAGCCAGCCCAAATCATCGATAAACACCCGATACGGCGAGAAAGAAAGTGTGAAAGTTAGAAAACCACCGATATAACCATTTCGTGCTTTTTTTTCATGGGCTACCTGACCTGAGCAAAATATGCTATGGAAGGAACAATAGAAGGATATGGAATAAGAGGATGGAGAGGCTGAAGGAACAATGGATAGAACCTTAATAGCCCTGCGACATGTCCTTTTCCATGCCCCTTTTTTCACATTATATGTTGGTATTAAAAACGAAGGTCGTCTGACGGTAAATAATAGACAGAGACGGAGAGACAGGAGCCCCTCTGGTCATCCGTGGAAGAGTTACACAGAAAAGTGCTGTTCAAACTTATAGCTTGTCTTTGTCTCTCTCTCTCTTTTGTGCCATTAGCGAGTGGAGAGGAGTAGGGGAGGGATTTAGTCGCGTGTGTGTGAAATGTACCTTTTCTAAACGTACTCTTTCTCGTCTCTCTTCCCCTCTTTAGCCCCGACAGATTTCCAGCCCCACGCCACTCGTCAGTCGTCTTTTTATATTAACCCCACCACGCCTCCTGAACATACATACAGCAGAAAATGACTGTACCAGTAACACCTATCGATCAGAGCATCCTACAGATCCTCCAACAGTCTGCACCCCTGGTCCCCTTTGAAGAGCTCACCCACCTCATCTTTAACGCCCATATCCCCGGCCGGTTCGGCACCATCCACACAGGACGCTGGAAGGAGCACGATGTCGAGATCCGCGAGCCCTTTGGCGACCTGGCAACGATCGAGCGCGAGGTCCGCCTTCTCTACAAGCTCGGCAGCACGTGCCCGCAGATCGTCCATCTCTACGGATACACCATCGACCCCCACAGCTCCATCGCCTACCTCATCGTCCAGCACAATGAACACGGCTCGCTGCACTCCTACCTCGCCAACTTCCACGCCCACTTGACCTGGCCCGATCGGTATAACCTCGCCTTGGACATTGCACTTGGTCTCCGCTATATTCACTACAAGGGATACCGCCATCGTCATCTCCATTCGGCCAGCATTCTGATTGATACCAACGGATCGGCGGTTCTGTCTGACTTTGGATCGACACGCGATTCTGAAGTCCTTTCCTCACGGGAACATCCTCCCCGCATGGGATACATTGCCCCCGAACGCCTCACCAAGAGCGGTACTCGCTACTCGATCGAATGTGATATCTACTCGTTGGGCATGATCTTTTGGGAGATCTCGAGCGGACGCCCACCATTCGACCATCTCATTGCATCTTGTAGCCTGGAAGATGGGACTATGATGAGTCTCGCCCAGAACATTGTCGCGGGTCGACGGGAGCGCCATGTCGAGGGCACCGACCCGATCTTTGAGGACCTTTATACCCGCTGCTGGCACTCTGATCCTCTGGAGCGTCCTTCGATTGATTGGATTATCCAGACGCTTGGTGTGCTTCTGAAGCAACCCTCTGGTTCTCTTAGCCGTCTAATTGAAAACTTGAGTCTTGGTAGGTCATTTGGTTCCTTGCTAAACACACATCTGCAGCATTGATGCAAGCTTTTCTCTGTTGCTTTATTGAAGATATTTTGGGAAAGGATAATGAAGGGATGGGAAGGAGAAAGGCGGGGTTGTGTTGTCACTAATGTTTTCCGTCCACGGTATTAACTCTGTCTCTATGACGCCCAATTCTTCCCGCCTTCTTGTCTTGTCTTCAACCTATCATTAGAAGAGCAACCCAAAAAGCCCGCCTATTCCGCCAAGGCCTCCTCCCGCGACTCGCAAGGGTCCACAGCCTCCCGGTCTGTTAAGTCTTCCAGGTCGCATTCTATCGATAATGACCGAGACCTCCCCAGCCCGATGCTCCGCTCGCGCGAGTTGGTCATGTCTTCTCGGGAGTCGGAGTATGCCGCTCCTCACCCTCACCAGCACCAGCACCAGCAACACCCTCATTATCAGCACTACTCTCACCAACAACAGCATCACCACCAGCACCAGCAGTACTCTCAGCATCCTCATCATCAGCCAGTCATGCACTCTGCCCCCATCGCCCCGCCTCCAGTGCCTCCCATGTCTAGCCGGAGAAAGGCCTCCACTGTCTCCTCGATGGCCCCTTCTCTCCGGTCAATGTCGATCAGCAGCGGCAGCTCAACTGGATCCTCAAGTGGCGGAAACGGACCCATGATCCCTGCTCGGGACTCGAGACGCGTGTCGACCTTGTCGTCGGTCAGCTCGATCGAGATCCCCAAGTACGATGTCTTGCCCAACAAGCAGCGCAACCATCCTCAAACCATCTGGGAGGCAGTCCAGGACGGCAATGTGGATTTCACGGAGTGGTGTATCCTTAACGGAGCCAGCCCCAATGGATTGATCTCATTGCCCATGTACTCGATGCTGGCCGAGGTTGCGCCCATCCATGCCGCGTGCTTCTATCAGCCCATTAACTTGATGGCGATCCTCAAGTGTCTCCAACAACACGGCGCCATCATGCAGATGGTTACCACCATGACCCGCCAGTCGGCTCTTCACATTATCCTCGAGCACGCGACTAACTACAAGGTCGCCTTGGAGGTCTGTAGGTTCTTGATCCTGGAATGCCATCTCAGCGTGAACGATCAGGACAACCGTGGCGTGACACCCTTTCACAAGTTCCTCAAGAACCCCCACCTCAGCGGTCGTCAATCTGTCGCAGGGTCGGAGCTGTTTGTCCTCCTCCGTGAGCGCGGCGAGGCTAACTTGAACCTGGAATCCTTCCACGAGGGCAACTCTCTTGGTATGGCCGCACGTTACCTCCGCGTGGACCTCGTGAAGCTCTTCCTCTTGACCGACCTCTCCTGCTCCGACCCTCGCAGTTTGGGATACGCCCTGGGACAGATCGATGCACCCCTGAGCGAGAGCAGACCTTCGAAATCAGCACAGGACCTGTGTCGTTCGATCCTGATGGAATGGACAGGCGAGCGTGGCGAATCCAAACGAATCGCGATGGCTGAACGGCTACTGGAGCATCGTGGGATCTCATTGTCAGCCCCTGGATCGCCCATGCTGGATTCCTCGGCACAACCACCCAAGGCGCGTAAACAGAGTATTGGACTGTTGGGCATGGGGATCGGCAAATCCAAGAAGGCGTCCAAGGAGGACCTTAATGTCCCTGCAGTACCCTCTTTGCCAGCGGCGGTTGCGAACGAGGTCGATGTTGCGAGAAAGATCTTGCAGAGCACTGTTGCCAAGCAGCAAAAGCTCAAGACCTTTATGGCCCAGTCTGGCTTCTAGATCCTCCACTTTTATCCTCTCTGTAAATAGTTTTCCTCTTTTTTCTTTTGTACACATCCTTTTTTCATACATACACAGACGTACTCCCATAGCACACTTTCATAAACAGCATCTTACACGAAAAGTATCATTTGTTCTCTCTCCTTCAACAAACAAAAGCAAAACATAAACACGATTTTACACGTATTGATATTTGATATTTGATTTTAGTACTCTCGTTGACAATCAAGTCAATCAAAATGTTTATTTGTCTCGGTCTAGTCTGATCTGTTGTTGTTGACATGATTCTCTTCCAAGGCAGCAAAAAAAAGGGAGCGAACAGTGCGCATACACTCGATGGAAGTGATGAAGAGTTGGCGTTTTTTGTTGGGACCCTCCATTTCTTCCTTGTGACGGACAGGTAAGACAAACAACGAGGATGAGGAGGTGCACGATGATGACCCTGTTGACATTATTTTCCTTGACCACATTCTTTGTGCATCCATTTATTGTGTATACCATTTGGATGCAAGCATGTCGTTGTACCTCCTAGTGTCTCCCTTATTATTCCCTTGTCAAAAACAAGGTCAGGAAAAAAAACAAATCAGGGTCAGGATCAAGGGATGGATAGGGTTGTGGTTTTTGGATCCAACTTTTTTTCCCTTCCCTCTCACCCCTGACTTTCTGTTTGATTTTGTACATATTGTGCAGTACAGAAGAAAGGAAGAAGAGAGGAAAGTGTGATGGGGGATTGGATGCGATGTATGGGTGCATGCATGCATGCCCCCTTTTCCATGGTGTCAACAAACACCTCGCAACACAACACAACGAAGCCCCCTTCTTCGTCTTTCCTTTGGTGTCATTGCACTTGGCTTTCTCTCCCTACTTGCTTCTCTTTCTCGCAACCGACCCGCATCCCTCCACCTCCTATTCCAGGCAGGGACAAGGACGACTTAGCCTCCAAAAATGTTGTCCTTTCCGACTGACCACCCCTAACTGACTGCCTCATGGGATATACCCCCGTAGCAGTGGTACAAAAGCTAAAAAGGATTCTGATCCCACCCACAACTACCTCTCATCCTTGACTCTCCTTCCTCATCTTCCTCTCTCGGGTTTCTCGCTGTGTTGTTGCTGCTCCCCTTTCCTTTCCTTCCCATATTCGGGTGGGTTTTCACGCACATCCAATTTTACTTTCCAGACCGCCTCCCTACCATGTCACGACAGACCCGCGTTGGTTACCATCAAGCACAGGTTATCCATCTGATACCTCTACTACTTATGGCACCCCCCCTTTGTTTTTCTTCCCGTCTCTTTGTTGTCCCCTTTTGATCACCAAAGGCTCTGGTGAATCTGCACGAGTGGTGTGTGTGTGTGCTCGAGCCTACGGTCCTTCCCCTTGATCTGGACTCATATACCACCCACACATGTACAAAGATGGTTAAAAATAACGCAAAGGCTGGATGAGGAGGAAGAGAGAGAACAAGCCCTGGAAAGGGTAAGGAGTGAAAGGTGAGAAAAAAAGCGATAAGAAAAAAAAACTCTCTGGTGCTAAGTGATCGACACATTGGTAGAGGAAGGTGAATGGAAAAGGCAAAAGTGAAACGGAAGGAAGTAAAAAAAAAGGGAGGGAAGCGAAAATGAATAAGGTATGAAGGGCAGGGTAAGACAAGGTAAGGCAGTGCAAGGCAGTGCAAGGCAGAGGAAGGGGGGGGGAAGGGTTGGGAAGGGCGAATGCGTTTATGCTTCGTGCTTTGTGCTTCGTGCTTAGGTTAGCAAAGGCAGGGACGACAACAACAACGTCGACAATAGTCAGCGCATCGCGATGCTGAGCACGCACACGCTCATGCCATAAAGAAGCGAAGATTATTGTTCTTTCAGGGACCTATGCGGAGTAAAATGGGGAACGTCTGGGAAAGTATGGAGACACCAAAGATGTGCTTACTCCATTCACAGCTTCATTGACTTGGATCCACTTGTTTGAACGTATCTCGCGCGAAAACCACTTCAAAGAAAGGGCGAGACAAGGGTAATAAGGAAGGAAGGGAAGAGAGCGCGAGCCCAGATCACAAAAATGAAGAGGGGACAGGGGACAGGTGTATGAGGGAGAAGAAGGGAACAGGGCCTAAAATAAGAGAGAAACAAAAGTAAGAAAGACGTATTGAATAGTCTCCGAAGATACTCATCTCATGCATCCGAGGGACAAACAAACCCCCTTACTTTCTTTCTTTCTTTTTCTCCGTCCACTCTATTTTCCTGTATCCATCTCACATATAGTACCGTTCTATCCAGCGTATATTCGCAACTACTAATCATACTACCAAACAGTCAACTAGGAAGCAAGTCGATAGTTGGGTACAAACAAAAATAAACCTCCTTGCTCCTTGTCACAACTCGTCACTATCTGTCTGACCCCATATCGTTTGATTGACATAATGGGAGGAAAAAAGGAGAAAAGCTCTCTCTTTTTTGGGGGTACCCAAGACAAGATGAAGCTGCTTTGGTTTGTTGTTTTTGTTGTCGTCGCTGTTGTTGATGTTGTCACCCGAACCCTAAAATATTTCCTTGTGCGACCCATTTGGGGTCGGTGGGGAAAGTATATCATCCATTTCAATCTGGGTCACTTCGGAGTCTGCTCTCTTCTTTCATAACTTCTCTTTTCGTAGCCTCCCTTCTTTCTTTGATCGTGAGAACTGGTCCTTGAACAAGGCCGTTGTGGAAATATCTTTGTCCTGATATGAAGTAGTTTGATTTCTCCTCAAGGTATTTTATTGATGGGATGGGATGGAGTCTATTCTTTCGTCGACCGTTGCAACGTCCTCATCAGAAAAGGAGAAAGAAAAAGTTCCGAATAGGAAGATCTCTATTGTTTGTGGGGTCTGAAAATAACGGACAATGCACATGTCTAACAAAAGGCATCTGTTTTGTGTGTGTGTGTGTGTGTGTGTGTGTGTGTGTGTGTGTGTGTGTGTGGGAGGAGGGGAGGAGGAGGTTTGACCTGGCGCAGGACGACGAGGGGACGAAGGTTCGATGGTGAAGAAGGGCGCTCATTCTTCTTGTGTCTAGGTGATAAAGAAAGAATGGGTCGTCTGTTATGCATTCTTTTTTATATTGATCCACCAGCCCATCATTGAGATAGAAAGATGGATTGGCCATTCATTACTTCATGATATTCTGTCCATTCATTTCACTCCTTGGACAAAGTTGGACCCTGTAGCTTCCTGTTGCCAATGCTCGTGCTTAACTCTGTGGAGTTAATAAATAATAATAACGATAGGGCAATGCAATGATGTAACGAATGTCCAGTACGAGTGGCAATGGTTAATAGCACATGGTGAATGGTCGTTGCTCTGCTATCTACATATCGTAGTTGAACATCCATCTTTCTTCGTTTTCTATTGATCTAGCGAAAAAGTAAATACTGTTGCTGCTGACCTTTGTTCCCGTTGCAATGTTTGTTTGAATACATAACCAACATAAACAACCCCTTGTTTTTACGACTCCTTTTTTATTTTCTTCTCTTCTTTCATCTCTCCGTCCCCCTTTTCCTCCTCCTTTAGCAACTTCAACTTTTTGTTGCTGTTTTCTGCTTTTTCTTCGTCCTCTCCCTTTTCTTCTTCCTCCTCTCATTTTTTCTTTCTCTCTTGGTTCTTTTTGCCGCTGCATTTATTCTTCATCATCCACGTTCTTCCTTCAGTAACAGTTTTCTTTTTTACTTCTTACCTCTCACCTCTTCACGTTACACCTTTCCAATTGAACACACGGACTCTTCACTCCCTCCTTCTTCCCTTCCTTCTTCCCTTCCTTCTTCCCTTCCTTCTTCCTTCTTCCTTCTTCCCTCTCCTTCCCCTTTCCTCTCCCTGTGCATTATCGGCAGCAGATTTCCCTCGACAAACACACACATAACACACACCCTTCGTTCTTTTCCTTCCTTCTTCCTCTCCTTTACACCTCCCTTTCCCCGTTCTTTCTCTCATCTCCTGCCTTGACCCCTTCTTTCCGTCGTCTTCCTTCCTTCCCTCCTTCCTTCGATCCATTTCCTTCAATTGCAGTCCCTTCCCTTTCTGTTCCTTCCCTTCCCTTTTCACCCCCCTTCTCATTGTCCCTGTTCCTTATCATTACTTTTCTTTCTCCTTTTGTCGCTTTCTGATACACACATTGCTGCAGTCTACCATCAAACAGGCAAACACGTACAACACACATATTACTCTTGCACACAGACGCCTTTTCCATTTCCTCTCTCCTTCCCTTTTCCATTCCCTCACGCGTCACGCTCTTGAACTCGACAACTATAGCCTTTTCCCCCCCTCTTGCCTGGACAGCTGTCATTGCGAATCAATTGGTTTTGCTTTATCCATTCCTTTTTTTTCTTACCACGGATCAACAGGAGACAGGATAGAAAAACAAAAAAGAGAAAAGAAAAAAACAAAGACGCAGAAGAGAGTATTCGATTTGTCCTACCGACCTCTCGACACCTTCTTTCTTTTGCCTATATACTCCATCCCGCCTACGTATCCGTGGAGTTGGGGCCAAACAAACGTTCTTTAACAACTGTAGCTCTTCTTTTATTCTCGCTCTTTTCCCTTTAATCGTTCACGTCTCAGCCTACCCCTGTGTTCCTTCCTCTCCCTTCCTCTCCCTTCTTCTCCCTCTTCTCTTTTTCAGCCCATTCCCCTAACAGGAGACTACAAGGACGAAAAGGTAAACAAGACATGTTTATCTTATCCGCTGTTATTTGTTGCTGTTATTTTTTGTCTTCTGTTTTCAATTCATTTGAAAGACAACAACATACCTCGGGATGAAGGTCACTTGTTTTTTTGTGTATAGGTTGGATGCTCAAGTGCTGTGTTTGGGCATTTGTTGAAGGCGACGATGATGCTGAAGCTTTGTTGTTGTGTCCGTTTGTGGACTTTCTTTTTGTTGTTGTTGTTGCTGTTGTTGTTGTTGTTGTTGTTGTTGTTGTTGTTGTTGTTGTTGTTGTTGTTGTTGTTGTTGTTGTTGTTGAGTTGGGTCCAACAAAGAGAGTGAATGGGGCTCTCTTCGTCAACCCAAAAAAACGGTCGAGCCCAACCTATCTACCCTTGCAACGTTTACTTTCCTGCCCATACACACACACACCACCATCCATACCCCTCGTTCCCTTTCTATTTCTTCACATTTCTTCCTGATCCCTCTTATTTTTTCCCCTCTCGTGTTCTCGGAGTAAACAAAATCAAACGACGAACAAAATGAACCTTCATCCTTCAAGGATGTATTCATTTGCCTACTTTCGTTTTGCATTTCATGGTAATAGCGATCGTCCGGCAATCAACACGGCACAAAGAGAACAATAGAAAAAAAACGTGAATGAAAGCGGCGAGAGAAAGAAGGAAAGTGAGAGGGAGAGCTAGAGAGAAAAGGCATCGAAGTAGGTTTCATTCATTGTCACACTACATGGACAATGCTCCCTTTTTCCTTTCTTCGGCAAACATTGCTTGACCCAGTTTTCATTCAAACACGACACGACCTTTTTCAGATCCAATTGTAAGAAATAATATTCAATATATTCAGTGGACTTTTTTATGTCCACCCCGGCGGTGGGGTTTAAGGGTTTTCACCTTTGGCGTTTAGTTTTCCTCCTGGATACTCGTCTTCCTCCTTGCTCAGCTCTGACATGACAGGCACGACACACATATACACACACACAAACACGCCTCCTTGACTAACATAATAGCCTCCTGAAGTTCCTTGTTTTTGAGGTTGATGAGGTTGTGTCTGTTTTTGAACTGGTAACTGCAACTGCAATTCAATTGAACTGAACTACTGTCAAAACCTCCTTTTTCAACAACAATCCCCTACAGTTGGGAAACAAAGCGGAACGAAAAAGAGAGTAAAACCTAAAGCGAAGAAGAAAACGGCCCAGCAGGTTCATTATCGCAACTCATTTCATTTTCCCTCAGTTTTTCTCCCATTGTTCTTCGCATTCACCATCATTGTTGTTTTTCTCTTTTTCCCTCCCTTTTTCTACCCCAAACCGCGATCCATTGATCCAGGAGCACAACATAAATAACAACAACAACAACATACATCTACCATTGACATAAACAAACAAAGAAAGTGTATGTGAGTGGGAATGGGAGTGAGAATGAAGATGAAAGTGAGAAAGAGAGTTGACGGTGTCCACCCTCGATCCCCAAGCAACAATCACTACAACACGCGCCATTCAAAGATGTTTCCATCCATTCACTTGATTACCTTTCTGCTTCTTTTTCAATGGGCTTGGCCATTTTTAGCAGTTGCCTCTCTCACCGTGTGTCCATTTAGTTTTCTCTCCCTCTTTCTTTTTCCACTCCTCCACTCCTTTCTTCTTCTTCCTCCTTCTTCCCCTTCCTCCTACGCTTCTCCACTCCTCTCTTCTTCTTCCCCTCTCTCTCCACTGCCTCCTCTTCTCGATCCTCTTCTCTCTGCCGCATCCATCCCATTTCCAATTCATATACTCGCACGCACTCACAATCTCCACTTCCACTCTCTCCTCTTCTTTTTTTTTTTTTTTTTTTTTTTTTTTTGGTTGTCTTCGAGGATCGGCTGTCCTTTTTCATTCCTTTTTTTTGCTCCATGTATGTTAACTTCTGAGGAAGGTTTCCGCCTTTGACCTTTTCCCCTCATTTCTCCCTCCCTCTCTCTCTTGGCAAATCTGTTCATGCACGTTGGAAGAGAAAGAAAAAGAAAGAAAAAGTATCCAGGTTCCGGGATCCGAGATTCGTGCAATCTTTTCCCTCTTTTCCCTGTTGTCTTCTCTCTATCCGTTCTCTCTTTCTCTTTCTTTCCCTTTTTTTTTCTTTTATCTTTCTTATTCTCGCACACAACACCCACTCCCAAACACACGAACACACACCCCCTCTCTCACTCTTTTCATTCAGCTCTTTTTATTGGCGCACTTCTCTTCCCTTTCCTCATTATTTACTTCGCCAACGATCATCATCACTACTGATCGTCGTCCGCCTCCACCTTTTCCTTTCCCTCTCATCTTTTATCTCTTATGCGGACTTTTGTCAATGAACTAACTTAGCCTTGTTTGTTTTCGTCTCTTGCGCCTTCTCCTTCCCTCGCTCACCCTCACTCTCACCCACTCTCCGCTCAGCCATTGCCTTACTTTCACCATCCCTGTTCAAAATATAGAACACCCACATTCAACACCATCCGTTGTGTCCGTGTCCAACCTTCGTTGCAAAACCCTCTCTCATATTCTTCCCCCAACCCCTTCTTCTTCCCTCTCCTTCCATTTTTCTCTTTTTTTAACCCCCCTAAACCAGTTTAAGAATATCGGAACTTTTAAGGTGCGTACTTGACAGAGAGTAAAGAGCGAGACACAGACACACAGAAAGAGAGAGCGAGGAATACACCGAGCAGGGGGATGACGGTGTGCTTTTTTGTGTGAGAGAAATAGAAACAAGGGGGTGTTTTCGGGGGTCGATAAAAGAAAGAAAAGGGAGGGATGGACTGAATACCAAAACATAGCTGTGGAAACAGGACAAGCAGCACCCCCCGTTGACAACAAGAACCACCCCGCACTCTTTCCTTTCCTTTCCAAAGTGACTATTTGATTAATCAGTGAGCATGTTCGTGTTTCTATTTTTTAACGCGTCTTTTTTCATGTTTCTCCTCTTCTTCCATTCTCCTATGATATTGTGTAGGACGACATAACCTTCCGGGAGGCAGCTCTCCACATATTTCTCTTTTGTTTTGCTGAATACGCAACATTAGAGCACCAACGGCAAAACAGCACTTCTACTTGCTACACTCACCCACCCACCCCTTGCTGAAATCACATACAAACCGTCCTCTTTTCTCTTATAAATACCCATGACGACTGCACAACTCTCGATTTCATCCGTCAACTCCATGGGCTCCCCGATTCCTCAACACGGCCACATGGCCTACAGCAGCCGCCACAACAACAACAGCCATTCCAACAACAATAGCAACAGAAGCTCCTATCACTCTCTATCTGGCTCTGCGCCCAATTCCCCAACACTCTCTCAACATTACAACCAACATCATCACCATCACAGCAGCCACTACAGCCACCACAGCTATAGTAATGATAGTAGCAACCAACACCACAATAACTCTTCGTCGTCTTATACGAGCATGCCACTACAAAGCGGTGAATCCCGGCGGACGACTGGTCCAGCAAGTGGTCTGTCATCGTCCTATCCAGCAGCATCTTCGGAGCTCCGTCCAAGGGAACACACGGCCGAGCCACGCAGCCAAGGATATACCCATAACAATAGCCAATACCCGCCAACACCAGTAACTTATCACGCTCAACCACACTACTCCAACCATCCCGGATCACGGTCAAGCTGGGCTGGGTACAGCAGCAGTAGTAGAGAAGAACAAGAGTCTAGTTTCTCTTTGACGTCGACAACAGCCGCAGGAACGACAGCAGGAGCCCCTTATTTTCGGAGGAGCGTACACCATGATCCGCAGGATGATTACCATCACTCACCACAGCATGGAACTTATATCCCTCCGCCTTCTTCGTCGTCGTCGTCGGCAATTGGACATCAGGAGTATCGGACCAACAACAGCAGTAGCAATAGTCTTGACGAGTTGCATCATCCCTACAGTAGCAGCAACAGCAATAACTATCATCAGAAGCGCGAGGGATCCTTCTCAGAAAACCACTATCAGAATTGTTCTGGTCAGGATGGCTACCCTGCTGACCCCTACAACGACCGAGAACGTGGAGAAGGATATGAGTCTGGTGGAGCAGCAGCAGCAGCGAGCAACGGTGGCGAAGGTGGCGAGAGCGCTGGTGATAGTGGCGGTAAGCATCGCAACAACTCGGTCTCGTCGAACGCCAGTCAATCAAGCTCATCCTCCCTGTCGCACTATCACCCTCATATGAGCGGGAACAAGCATCCCTGCAAGTTCCCGACCTGCGGCTGGAGCTTCAAGCGGTACGAGCATCTGAAGCGACACATGCTTGTCCATACCAAGGAGCGAGCCTTTGTCTGTGATTATCATGGCTGTGAGAAGTCTTTCAGTCGGTCGGACAACTTTTCAGCGCACTTGAGGACTCATTCCAAGAAGTCGGCAGCTGCTGCAGCTGCTGTGGCGGCGGGGACGACGACGGCGCATATTAGGCGGTTTGAGAGACAGCAACAGCAGATGACGGAGGCAGCAGCAACAGGGGGACCAGGAAGTGGAGACAGGTCGATGATGATTGACCCGATCCGGACCAACTTTCCAAACAGCTCGACGTCGGCTTTGGTGTCTTCGGGACCTTCAGAAAGGAGGGGTGGTTCTGGAGACAGTGGGGCTGATCACGCGCATCATCGGCATAGCATTGCTGGGTACCCCAGTTACTCAGGTGGATCTCGGTCACCGTTGCAAATGCAGAACATTTATTCTCATGGTCTCCCTACTCCTGGTAAGATATGAGAACCCTGACACCTATTTCTTGTATTGTTTTCTAAGAGCAATGAATTCAATATTAACTTCTTCCCTCTCGTTTCCTTAATTAGTGACGAACCATGGACCCAACAGCGCAACGACAAAGTCGGTCAGGAACTCATACTGTGGTCCATCCTCCGCCACTTCCGACGATCCGGCGCCCTCGGAGTATGATCAGCAGAAGCAGCAACCAAAATCCGCGACATCGTCATCGTCAGTCTTCTCGTTTAGACTTCCGTCAGAACAGCATCAACAGCAGCAGTACCACAAGCGAAGCTCATCCTCCGGCATGCATCCACTGGATTCTCCCACCACGCCTACAACAACAACATGGCCTACGAATCCTACTCCAGGCGCTACTGGTACGGTGGATGGGATTGTGCCAAAGTTCAACACCATCAAGCTAGATCTCAAGTCTGTCACCAATAATCCTGAAGACTCGCCGTCCTCTCAGCGACAATACCAGAACTATCATCACCATAAGCAGTACCAGCAGCAGCAGAGACGGCGATTCTCGAGCCCTGAGGCCAAGGATGATGTAGAGTTGAAACGCTCAGGTTCTGTCCGCCCTGGGTCTTCAAGCCCTTACCCATACCACCACCACCAGCGTCACCAACAGCAACACCGGTACAGCAGTGGCAGCATCCATTCTGGCGGGTTCAAGTCTGAGGAGCATGATGAAGATCATCTTTCTCAACGACGTGAGTCGAGCCCAGGTCTTGGTCGTGAGCACGAGGACGATGATGAGCGACACTATGAGGAATCAGCGTCGTCGGACACTGTCACGGGGTACGAGCGCCCGAACCCGAACCCCAATGGCGAGTCCCCCGTCTTGGCTTCTCGTGGCGCACACCATCCTGCTGGAAATGACGAGATGGAGACTGTCAAGTATGAGCAACAACCGTCATCGGCGATGGGCTTTCCGGCATCCATCTCGTCGCACTTCACGCCCGCCCACAAAAGTGGCGACAACAAGCCCAGCTCTTCGCGTCCAGGTTCTCCATCCATTGGCGATCTCCAGGAGGGCGCGTTGAAGAGCAGTAACGGTGATGGGCGTGGTCTGTCATCGTCATCTTCCAATTCTTCGCTCGTCTCTGCCAACAGACGGCCATCCTCATCTTCTGCGGTCCACATGTCGGGGTCGTACCAACATTTGAACGGATCCGTCTCACCACCCAGGAGCAACTCAGAATCTTACTCAGGATCTGTCGCCATGGATGAGGATGGTAACCCGTTGCACCCTCAACACCGTCACCATCCAGGATATCACCACTCCCAGCACCACGGAGGAGGGTTTGGCGATTATGATCGTGCCGGCGGGTACCCGCCATCACCCCGCTTGCACTACGGACCTTCTTCGTCGTCTTCATATTATCCTCCACAGCACTACGGTGGGCCATTTTCGTCGTCATCCATGAACGGAGGAGGTTACTCGAGTCACCATCACCACCAGTACCCCTCTTACCATTCACAGCAGCAGCCACCGTACCCGATGGAGGAATCGGGATCATACCACCATGGCCATCCCGGTCACCCCAGTCACCATGGTCACCACAACATGCCTCCAATACCTCCCAGCTCGTTATCCTCTCACGTCCAACAACAACAGCAATCACAGCCTCCACCACTGCAGGCGGCACAAAGAGTCGCAACTTCGGGATCCGGCATCGGTTCCGGTATTGGTAGCAGCACGATAGGAGGAGGAGGAGGAGGTAGAGTGAGGGGTATGACCTCATCCGCCAAGAACCACTGTTGCCCAGTCTCGGGGTGCATGAAACGGTTCAAGCGTTTGGAGCACCTGAAGCGCCATACAAAGACTCATACACTTGAACGGCCTTTTGCTTGTTTGACCGCTGGGTGTAACAAGCGGTTCTCGCGTTCTGATAACCTCTGTAAGTATCGTTTCCTCGGTTTTGATTTCGTTTAGTGGCGTTGCTATCAGACCGCATGAGCTTGTGAATTAACATTGACTTTTTGATTTGTTTTTTTTTGTTCTCGTCGTTTGTTTAGCACAACATATCAAGACGCACCAGCGCCAATTGATGAGCAAGATCCACTGGAAGCAGCGATCTATGTAAAAACAGCAACCACCACCACCACCACCTCAATGACAACACAAATGTATAGTCTCGCATTATCCACCTCTCTCCCGTCATTTTTTCTTCCTTTTTCTTTTCTTTCGTAGAAGTGTGCTTCATTCTCTCTTCTTTTTCTTCCCCTCTTTTTCTTTCTCTCTTCTTTTCTTTCTCTCACTTGTTTGCTCGTCTTTCCAACCACATGTATCTATAGTCCCTTCTTACTTTTGATGTTTTTCCTTTGCTTTCTTGCTTTTGCTACTTCCAATGTCCATACCACTCGCTTATTGCTGCTCTGTACTCATAATCACATATCCATACTTTTTCTTTACCACCCTCACCTACTTTCGTAATAAATCTCAACTACTCCCGCACCTTTCAATACACGATTTGCTGCGACCCTCCCAACATTGCTAGTTTGAAATAACAGGTACGAAAAGCAAAGTTTATTCCTTTCCATGTCGTTTGATAGTAGATGGTGGACGTTAGATGGCGAGTAGTGAACGGTAGATGGTAGATGGAGAGCAGCAAAGAGCGTTGATGTTGAAGGCACGCAAGGAAACCAAAAAGCATTCGCGTTTTCGTTGAGGTTTGATATCAATGCTCAGTCTCGATTATATCTAGATTGCTCTGGAGAATTTGATCCGCGAAGTCCTATCAACAACAGTAGCCGTACGAAAGGGGGAAAAAAAAATGAGGGACCGTCAGTAAATTGTACAAAGGCCGGCTCTTGCAAAAGAAGAGAGCAAAACGTCCAGAAACTTACTTTGACCGTTTCCCATGTGTGGGTGGTAGAGATCCGGTTCATCGTAGTTAAAATAGCCACCCCGCTCCTGTGTCACTCCCGCGTAACGTCCCGCTCTAGTTCCAGTTCCAGTGGTAGCTTCTCGTCCGCCGCTGCCGCGTTGTTGTCGAGAACGCCGGTGCTCTGACAAGGTCTCATACAAGATCTCATCATCGTCATCATCATCCAAGAACACCGTCTCAGTCCTGACTTCCGGACGAGCTGCTGACGATGCTGTCCCTTGGTACTGGTTCCGATCTCGACTCGCCCTCCGCGCGGAAGAATCCGCCCCCTCACCCCTACCACCAAGTCGATATCCGCCTGAGGAACCTCCGCCGCCGTCAGTATGTGAGCTTCTACCACCGCGATCACGACTTCTGTTGGAAGATCCTTGAGTATTATCATCGTCGTCATGGATGATAATCGGTTGCTGTCCAGCAGAGCCCTGCTCCTGCCTGACCGTCGGTTGTGCTTGCTCCTCGATCGCAGTTGCAACGCCATTTACAAATGTCTCCCGAGTCCCGTCCGGATTATCGACCGTCGTCGTCGTAACACCCTGCGCATCGGTCACCTCGGTCACCGTTGTCCGTTTCCCGTTCACAATCGTCGTCCTTGTCGATGTCCGACTCCCACTACCTCCCACTGTTGATGAAGAAGAAGACGAACTTGTCGTAAATCCTCCTCTATTGCCATTGGATCCAAACATGGTGAACGGACTAGACCTCGAACCAGTTCCGGACCACTGCGACTGCGACTGTGTTTGGGTCTGGTTAGCGAACGGAGACGTCGAAAACAACGTTGGTCTCTGCTGCTGCTGTTGTTGTTGTTGCCCTCCACGCTGGAAAGGGTCCCGGTCTCCAAAAGCCGAATTGAAAAAAGCGTCATGATGTTGTTGATGGAATCCATGGTCGTGCATGAAATCCGGCGGGAAACCCGGTCCATGTCCGCGTGAGAACCCACCACCACCGCTAAACATCGATCCCATATGTTGGTCAAACAGGTTGCGCATATGTCTCTGCTGGTGATCCGCGAAGAAGGCTTGATCTATTAAGTGTTCGAGAAGATAAGGTGAAGGTACATATGGTCAGTTTCGATTAATGCTCAGATGGACTTGTGGTGATGCTCCGCCAAATGTAGAGTATGTATCCCATTCCTTGGTGTCGATCATAGTTTGTCAACAGACATTGGGGGTTTGCCCTCTCGAAACATAACAAAAACTAGTGTGGTTCGCCAAGAACAAAATGGAAATTTCGAGAACAAAAGAAACAAGTAATCACGCGTAATTCACCTCCAGAGAAAATATCGTGCAATGTGGCATGGTTGCCTCCAAAAACACTCTCAATAGAATACGGTTGCTGTGGTGTTGAAAAAATAGGCGAAGGCGATGAGGCTGAGAAGAACCCACCATGAAAACCACCAGCACCTGCTGGTACACCAAAGGACGAAAAGAAGGGCGGGTCAAATCCGAATCCAAAGTCCTGAGGACGCCCAGGAGCCTGTGATGGATGTCCTCCGTGCGGGAAAAATCCTGAAAGGTCCGGCTGTGGATTAGGATCACCCCCTGCCTTGACGCCTTCGTATCCATATCGATCGTAGAGTTCCCGCTTCTTGTCTACACGTTCAGGGGTGTTCAAGAAGAAGTATTAGTCAGCCAGTCCAGAGTATCACCTTCGGGTAAAAGTGAACAGAAACAACCAAAAAAAAAAAAAAAAAAAAGGTGAGAGCAATGAGAAGGAGGGCAAGGTACCGTCGAAGAGGACGTCGTAGGCTTCGCTGATGAGCTGAAAGTGCTGGGAGGCTTCCTCCTTCATGTGCGGCTTCATCTTGTCAGGGTGGAAGAGTAGGGCTTGTTTACGGTAAGCCTTACGAACGTCGTCTTTGGAGGCGCCTGGTTCGAGGCAGAGGAGTTCATAGTAGTTGGGCTTGTCGTTCTGTTGGTCTCCGTTGCTCATTGTTGTAGTTGTTCCAAGAAAAGAATAAGAAGAGGGGGTTTGGGTTGGTCCTTTTCTGTGGCTCTCGGGTAAACGCGTTTAGTTCTGTAGTGAGAGAGCGTGAATGAGGGGAGTGGTTATGAGTTTTGTTCTTTAGTTCCGAGTCGTTTCCTATTCCTGTGTATGGCTGTAGTCCGGTAGAGAGTGTTTCCTGTACGGTTGTTGTTGTTGTTGTTGTTGTTGGTGGTGTATGAATGTAATGGAATGCAGTTGGGGGTGCGAGCCGAGGACAGGAATAGAGAGAAAAGAAAAAAAAAAAAAGGCAAAGGTATGAAGCACAGGAGGGAAACAAAAGTATAAAAATTTCAAGTGAAGCAAAGCAGGACCAACCAACAACGACAGGCCCGACAGTCCCACTCAATGCAGTCACCTTAATTCACTTTGTCACCCTTTCTTGTCCTTTTGATCCTTGACCCATTTTGCCCACACCTGAAATTCTTCTTCTCTTCTCCCTTCATTCTTTCCCTTTCCCTTTCCTTTTCCCTTTCCTCTCTTTACTTCCTGCCCCTTTCCCCCCTCCCCCTCTACACCCTCCCTTCTTCCTCCCTCGTCTGACCGACACCGCGCTCACTCGCGTGTCCTCCATTCTTCTTCGCTTTTTTACTTTGTCTGACTGAACCCCCCCTGTGCTTGTACTTCTACCTCGTTCTTCTCTCCGCTTTAAATATTCTCATCTTAACGACATAAACACACATACACACGCTTTTGTCATCAACTTTGTTTTCTTTTCGTTATCTTGACATCGTTCATCTCCTTCTAACAATGCGGACACCAATAACGTCAAACTGGATGAAGACCATGCTGGCCATGGCTCTCATCACCTTCGCTGTCGCTCAATCACCCGCCATCCCTCCACACCAACGACAGGCCGGAGTATCTTCCCTTTCTTCTGCAGACGTTACACCCACGCCCACCTTTAATGCTTCAACTACCTCTTCAATAACAACAACGTCAACAACAGCAGCCACAGAAACAACAGCGACAACGACAACGACAGCAGTAACGATCGCTCCTATAGCACCAGAGCAAACACCCGGTCCAGCAGTCAATATCTTCCCCCCAGGAACCGTCAACTGTCTCGAATTCCCCTATTGCGCAGAGGACGCAGATTGCTTCGTCTTCAGCGACAGCCTCGTCTGCCTCAAGAAAGCCCTCAACTGGGGTTATGTCCTCTCAAGGAACAGCTCTGGAATCCCGTCCGTCCCCGGCTGGTCGGGCCGTCGATCTCAAGTGAACGACGACTGCACCCTCTTTCAGATGCCCAGGAGCGACGACAAGCCTGGCCTGGCCCTGATGGTTTACGATCTGATCCGCGATACCCTCCCCAAGGATCTTTTGCTTTCTCGCTATGACCAGGTGACTACCAACTGGTATACCCTCTTCTCCAATTGCGAACCCCATCTAACCTGTTTGAAGGGCAAGTGCCAACCGAGACCCACCCTCGGCCAGAGTTGTACCTCGTCCTGGCAATGTAATGCTCTCGCCCTAGGTTTGAACGAGAACAATGCGCCCATCCCTTCGTCCAATACCTCCGAGGTGCGCTGCGAGTACGATGGTGGCGACAAGTCTGTCAATACTACCTGTCAATTGATCAAGCGGGAAACGAACCAAGGCGGGAGCGGGTTCCTTATCTGGTATGTCTTTGTCCCCTTGGCCGTCCTTGCCGTCATCGGATACTTTGGCTGGGCGATCTACCGGCGCTACAAGAACGAGCAAAAGCATGGCAAATGGAAGCGAGTTGCCGAAGGTATGTCCTCTTTTTTTTTCCTCATTGTTGGTTGAACGGGCGAAAGCTTTGTTTGCATTTGAGTGCATTTTTTTTTTTGGCCGAGTCCAACTGGACAACGGATATTTTTGGTCTGCTGTCTCACTGATACTCATCTGTTGCAAACCCTTGTTACTGTAGACAAGGAGGACAACAGGAATAACTACCCACTCGAGGCTTATGAAGATATCCACTAGACGCCACATCACACACCATTGGATCCCAGCGCCCGTTTCACTTTTGCTGCTGCATTCGAACCCTAAAGCACACATACCCCTCACACCTTCCTTCCCCACTCACTCACTCACTCTCCTTTCTAATAAAACCGCCTATCTACTCTTTATTCTTGTTCAATCAATGGACGACGCACTCCCGATGCGATTGCTTCATGATATTCCTTTCCTCTTCCCTCTTTACAAAATGAATTCGAGTTCAAACAAATATCTGGCAAGGCCGCCAGGGGTCAAGACAAACTGCAAAATGGTTCAACCCCTGACCTTTCGTCTCTCTTTGGCAAATGGGCCATTAAGCCAAGAGTGACTGTTAATTAATGATCAAAGCCACCCGCAATGTTTTGTTGAGCCAACCAACCGAGAGCGTTATTTTTTTTTCTTTTTTTTTTTTTGTTGGTTCCTCCTCTCTCATCACTCCTCCTTCCCCTTCACATAATGCCCTCCACCACCATGTCTGTGACAAACGACAAAAAGTCAAAGAAGGACAAGAAGGAAAAGGTCGCCGCCGCCGCTGCCTCCTCTGACGTCGAGGACGCTTCCGCTGTGACTAAGAAGGAGAAGAAAAACAAGAAGGAAAAGAAGGACAAGAAGGACAAGAAGGAGAAGAAGGAAAAGAAGGAAAAGCGCAAGGCTGACGACGACAACAACAGTGACAACGATTCCACCGCCACTTCGACCACCACCGCCACTACCGAAGACGCACCCGTCATCAAGAAGCTCAAGGTCATCGAGGTCGCCCAACCCTTGAAGGCCACCGTTGTCTCTGGAACGACCCCCACGACCGGAGGACTCGTCAAGTCCTTCTACAACGTCTCGACCAACAAGACAACCAAGGAGCAGGCCCGCGAGTTCTACAAGGAGAACACCATCGAGGTTTCGGGTGACCAGGACTTTTTGCCCGTCCTCAAGTTTGACGAGGCTGGCTTCAGATCCGAGATGATTGATGTGACCAAGTCCTTCAAGGCCCCTTCGCCCATTCAGGCTGCTTGCTGGCCTATTGTTCTTTCTGGCCGTGATATCATCGGTATCGCCGAGACTGGGTAAGCCTTTTATATATGTTTCTATTGTTCTTGTTGAGAAAGGAGGATGTTATAACCATGTATAACTGAAGAACATATTCTAACGTACTCATACTTTAAAACGACAAAATATAGTTCCGGAAAGACGTTGGCGTTCACTTTGCCTGCTTTGATGCACATCAAGGGACAGAAGGATTTCAATGTCAAGCCCAAGGGTCCTACCGTTCTCGTTGTCTCTCCTACCCGCGAGTTGGCCATGCAGACGATGGAACAGTGTGTTGCCGCAGGAAAGTCGTCGGGCATCAAGAGTGTTTGCATCTACGGAGGTGTTTCCAAGGACGACCAGCGCAAGGCCATTCGCCAGGGCGTTCACATCATTGTCGCCACCCCCGGACGTCTTTTGGATCTTATGGAGGACGGAAGCTGCAACATTGATAATGTCTCGTACATGGTTCTGGATGAGGCCGATCGTATGTTGGATACCGGATTCGAGGAGGCGATTCGTTCGATTTTGCGCAAGACCCGCAAGGACCGTCAGACATGCATGTTCTCGGCCACCTGGCCAGAGTCTGTCCGCAAGCTTGCCCACGACTTTTTGGACCGCCCCGTCAAGGTGACGATTGGATCGCCCGACCTTGGAGCATCGTCGAACGTCACCCAGATTGTCGAGGTTCTGGATGACCCCCGCAACAAGGAGCGTCGCCTGTTGGATCTGTTGAAGGATTACCACAAGACCCGCAAGAACCGCATTCTGATCTTTGCGTTGTACAAGAAGGAGGCTGACCGTATTGAGCAGACTCTGCTGAGGGCCGGATATAAGGTTGGAGGTATCCACGGAGACAAGACCCAGAACACGCGCACTGCTGCCTTGGAGGCGTTCAAGAACGGAAGCATCCCTCTGTTGGTGGCAACGGATGTGGCTGCTCGTGGTATTGATATTACGGGCATCACACATGTGATCAACGTAACGTTCCCTCTGACGATAGAGGACTATGTCCATCGTATTGGACGTACCGCCCGTGGAGGACAGACCGGAATCGCGCATACGTTCTTCACCGTGAACGAGAAGGGTCTGAGTGGAGCTTTGATCAACGTGTTGAACGATGCTGGAGTGAAGATCCCCGATGAGCTCCGCAAGTTTGGAGGCACTGTCAAGAAAAAGGCCCACTCGATCTACGGTGACCACTTCAAGGATATGGGCGATCAGCCCATGAAGGCAGCTACCAAGATCCGCTTCGAGTAGAGTGGAGTAGATCAACTCCCTCCTTTTTTTATTCCTTTTTGCATCTCCTACATCCATGTCATCCTTCATTATCCATTTTGTACACATACAATAGTTTTTCTACTAAAAAAATAGAAAACATCTTCCACCAAAACATCTTTCACCATATCTCCTTTATAATGTCTGTGTGTGCACTGTCACTGAATAAGAAAAGAAAGAAGGAACTAGGTTAAGAGGAAGTTGGTCCAAGTCCAAGGGGCCAGAGTGTCCACGCTATGCCTCTTGACAAGAGCTAAAGGAAAAGAGTCATGAAAAAAGGCTATTCCATTTGGCTTTTTTTATATTATTGCGAAAAAGATGACGATGTACAGCAGTACAGTACATGTACCTGTGGCGGTGCTCTCTTTTGTTGTTGTGTCTATCTGCGTGTCGAAAGATGAAAAAAAGTCGCTCTTTCCTCCTGCACTTCAAACCCCGCGGGCGGCGTTATTTTTAGTGAGCAGGCGAGACAGCCTTTTGACTTCACACACTCCGTCGAAAATCAACAACGCTGTCTGTCGGTGTGTGTTTGTGTGTTTGAGGCTTTGAGGACAGAGTTGCGCCTCGGCCACACGACTCTCCCTTTTCTTCTCTTTCGCTTCTTCGCTGCTGCTTTGTTATTTATTCTGCTTGTAGCCACTCTTTCTCTTCTCTTCTCTCCTCTTCTTCTTCTTTCTTCCCTTTCCACTCTTTCCCTCTCCATCCCTCATTCCTATTGTATTATCAATCCACACCTTCCTCTCCCTTCCTTCCTCCCATTACTCATCCTCTTCCTCAGCCTCATTTTTTTTTTCTTCCTTTCTAATCCACGCGTCATTCTCCTCAGCCCCAACTTTGAAAAAAAAGGTAAAAAAAAAGCTTGCTCGGGAACAGTAGTCGACACAGGGTACAAGAAAACAAAGACAAAAGCGACCTTCTCACTCACCTCTTTGCCCTTCTTCTTTTCCTTCGTTGTCTGTCCATACGCTCACTTCCTACCCCCTTTCTTCTCTTTCACCTGCTTAGACTCTGCAACCTTCCCACTTTCAGCCCTCAGACTCCCTATAAAAAAGTATGGCAGCCAACAACCAAGTCCCCGCTCACATCGCTCAACAGCGCCAGATGTACCACGCCGCCTTGCAGAAGCAAAACGGAGGCGGCGGTGCTTATCCCCAAGGACAGGCTGCTGACCCATACGGTGGCTACCAGGCTCCTCCTCAGCAGCAGGAGCAGCAGCAGCAGGGCTACTACACTCAGCCCCCAGGACAGCAGCAACAGGGCGGTGGCTATGAGGGTTACGAGAACATGAACCCTCAGGAGCAGCAATACTACCAGCAACAGCAGCAGCAGCAACAATACCAGCAGTACCAGCAACAACAACAATACCAGCAACAGCAGCAGCAACAGCAGTACCAACAGCAGCAACAGCAACAGCCCGCCGCTGCCACTGTCTCTATTCAGCCCTTGTCGTATAACAGACAGTCGACCGGCGCTGCTCCCGACCAGCAGCAACAGCAGCTGTACCAACAGTCTCCTCCACAGCAGCAGCAGCAACCTGCTGCAGCAGCTCAGGGTCAGTCTCGTCCGGGTAGTGAATACCCCCTGCTTGTCGCCATCGATTTTGGTAAGTTTAAAATGAGGGAAAAAAATGGCCGATTCATTCTTCTCGCTCAGTCAGGGGTCAATTCTTACGCTATGGAACCTGGCCAATGATGCCAAGACAAGAAACAAGTGCTAACGACCTATTTCCTGGGACCCCATCCATACTGATATTGTTTTTAGGAACCACCTTCTCGGGTATCGCCTACGCCTTCAAGTCTAACGGAGATGTCCTGGAAATGACCACATGGTATGTGTTGAACGAAAAAAATCTGCTCGGTAAAACGAGGGAAAAAAAAGGAGGGGAGGAGAATGGCAACGGAACAGGATGGGGTATAAGGCAAAGGGTAGAAGAATGGGGCATAAGGCAAAGGGTAGAAGGATGGGAAGAAACCCATCGACATTGGTTTTTTTGAGAGCCCTGTGTGTGGCGATGCTTGTCGTATGGCGATGGTGATGGCGAGACACAGAAAAAGAACAAAATATTAACACAAACACACGCACGAACACAAGAAAAAAAATGCGACAAGGGGACGAGAGAACGAGAAAGTCAAGAAAAAGTGGGCATCAATGGCGGTCTGTTTTATGTGTACAGAACGAATCGCCAACCACAACGAAAAAAGATCCCACGCCGTCTATTTTTATCAAACCCCGCCCATCCTTCTACAACAAACATTCTAACGTTCATTCTTTATATCTATGGACTTTAGGCCACATCAAGCCAACTTGTACGGAAAGGTGCCCACAGTCAGCGCTTACACGAAGGAGACCGACAGGATGCATTCGTGGGGTTACGCCGCTAAGGCCGCCATGTTGACTCCCAACGGTCGTAACCTGGATTTGCTGCAAAAGTTCAAGCTGTTCCTCGACAACGACCTCGCCCCCTACTTGCCCCCTCTCCCCCGCGCTATCAACCCCCAGAACGCCATCAGTGACTACCTCCGCGCCATTCACACCCATGCCATTAGCGAGATTATCAAGAACAGCGCCGGAGGTGTTGCCTTTGATCCCCAACACATCCAGTACTGCCTGACTGTCCCCGCCATGTGGACAGATAACGCCAAGGGCGTTATGCGACAGACTGCCATCCAGGCAGGACTCATCCAGCCTTCAGATCCTCCACACCGTCTACTCTTGGTCTCTGAGCCCGAGGCTGCTGCCATGTACTGTGAAAAGAAGTGCGAGCAATTCAACCTGCGTCACGGCGACCGATTCATGATTTGCGATGCCGGTGGTGGAACTGTCGATTTGATTGTTTTCCAAGTCGACTACAGCTCAGGAACACGTGCGTTGAAGGAGGTCACCAGAGGATCGGGAGCCAGTTGTGGATCTGGATTCTTGGATGAGAACTTTTCGATGCTGGTGCGCCACAAGTTGCAGCGGTACGATCTCCAGCCCAAGGCCTGGGCTCAGATCATGGAAGAGTTTGTGTTTATGCACAAGCCCCAGTTCGACGGAGACGATGATGCCTTTATCCAGATGCCCTCGTCGGTCGGCAACTTGGTGGATCTCGACATGCGTTTGGAGGATGGTCTGTTGGCCATCTCGGCTCAGGAGATGCGTGAGCTGGTATTTGACCCCGTTGTCAACCAGGTTCTAGGATTGATTGATGGACAGTTGGTGCAGTCACAGCAGTGCTCGGCCATCTTCTTGGTCGGAGGATTCGGATCTTCGCCTTACCTTCACAAGCGTGTCCAACAGGAGTTCGAGGCGAGAGTGCCTCTGATCCGTTACCCTCCTCGTCCCGATCTTGCCGTTGTCCGCGGTGCCGTCTACCACGGTCTGACCCACGAGCCCATCCAGGCCCGTGTTGCTCGTCGTTGGTACGGAGTCGATACTACCCGCCCCTACAAGGCCGGCGACCCCGTCGATAAGAAGTACATGCAGGATGGCAAATACCGTGTCCGGGACGGTTTCTCGGTCTTTGTGCGTCCAGGACAGGCGATTGCTGTGGACGAGTGCATCAGCAAAAAGTACATCACCCACAAGTACCCCGAACCGTTGTCGTCGCCACTGTTTGTCTACAATGGAGAGGACCAGCCCGAGTTTGTTGATTCACAGGGAGTGCAGAAGCTGTGCGACTTCACGATCCCATTGCCCCATATCCCTGGTGCCGCCCCTGGTACACCTGTCATCTTTACGCTGCGACTTTACTTTGGACGGACGGAGCTGAAAGCCGAGGCGGAGTTCCAGACCGGCGAGGTCATCTCGACTCTTTGCCACTTTTAAAAACCTGCCTGGAGTTGTCAGGTGAGGTGAGGCGAGCCAGTGAACAAGTGTGTGCTCTCCTTTTCACATTTTCACGGAAACAAGATAACATGTCAGCATCGCATTCTTTTTGTTCAACATCCCCATTCCCCATCCCCAAAACACATTTGATACCTTTTCTTTCCTTTCATAAAAAATGATAATAAACGAACAAAAAAATATTCGACTCTGAGGTGAAGGACATATCGTGATGGGCTTCAATATGTTATGGTTTTAGTTTATTCAGAATTTTTACAATAATAATTTGGTAATGGTTGGCTTATGATGGTTTTTGTTGGTTGTTTTGGTTGGTAAAGTGAATGTTGTCGTGTCAGCTGTAAGGAAAGCAAAAAAATGACACCAAGGGAGAAATGAGCATTTGGGGGTTTTATGCGTTGGCGACCTTGGCGATCAAGACCTCAACAACACTAGGATCCGCCAAAGTTGAGATATCGCCCAAAGAATCCTCCTCGCCCGCAATAATCTTTCTCAAGATCCTCCTCATCAACTTGCCAGATCTCGTCTTTGGCAAATCCTCGACCAGGTAGATCTTCTTGGGGGCTGCGAAGGGACCAATCACCTTCCTAACCTGTAAGACCAACTCCTTTGACAAGTCGGTGGAATGGTTCGAGACGCCGGGCTTCAAGCAGACGAAGGCATGGATACATTGTCCCGTAACTTCGTCGGCGGCTCCGATGACGGCGGTCTCGGCGACGGCTTGGTGCATGATGAGGGCGGATTCGATCTCGGCGGTGGAGAGGCGATGTCCCGAGACGTTGATGACATCGTCGACGCGGCCGCGAATCCAGATGTAGCCGTCCTTGTCGCGGGTGGCACCGTCGCCGGTGAAGTAGAAACCTGGGTAGGGCTTCAGGTAGGTCTCGAGGTAACGGTGGTGGTTTCCGTAGACTGTGCGAGCAATGGAAGGCCAAGCCTTCTTGACGGCCAAGACACCCGTGACGTCGTTGCCCTCGAGTTCTTTACCGGTGACGGGGTCGAGGATGGCGATGTCGATTCCAAAGAAGGGGACGGTAGCAGATCCGGGCTTTGTGGCGATCGCTCCAGGGAGAGGGGTGATGATATGGCAACCGGTCTCGGTTTGCCAGTAGGTGTCGACGATTGCGCAACGGCCCTTTCCGACCTTGTCGTTGTACCAGTGCCAGGCTTCGGGGTTGATGGGTTCTCCGACGGTACCCAAGACGCGGAGGGAGGAGAGGTCGTGGCCTTCGACCCACTGGTCGCCGAGACGACGGAGAGCGCGGATGGCGGTTGGGGCGGTATAGAATTGGGTGACCTTGTGTTTTGCGATGAGCTCCCAGTAGCGGGCAGGGGTTGGGTATGTGGGGATGGACTCGAAGAGGACGGTGGTGGCACCGAGGGTGAGGGGTCCATAGACGATGTAAGAGTGTCCAGTGATCCAACCGACGTCGGCCATGCAGGCAAAGATGTCGCCAGGGTGATAATCAAAGACATACTTGACCGTCGCGGCAGCGCCGAGCAAGTATCCCGCGGTAGTATGCATGACTCCCTTGGGCTGACCCGTCGATCCAGAAGTGTAAAGCAAGAACAAGGGGTCCTCCGAGTTCATAGGCTCAGGGGTGAGGTAATTCATCCTCTTGGAGCACTCCTCTCCCCACCAGTAATCCCGTCCTTCCTTCATGGGGACCTCGGCACCAGTACGCTGGCAGACAATGACGGTCTCAACCGTGGGGCAAGACTTGAGAGCCTCATCAACAATCTTCTTTGTCTCAATCGACTTGCCACCACGTTTACCCTGGTCCGAAGTAATGACAAGACGGCACTCAGCGTCCTGGACACGGTCACGGAGGGCTTCAGCCGAGAAACCGGCAAAGACGACACTGTGCAAGGCACCGATACGGGCACAGGCGAGGAAGGAAACGACAGCCTCGGGGATCATGGGCATGTAGATGGCGACGGTGTCGCCCTTCTTGATTCCGCGGGCGCGGAGGGCTCCGGCCAGCTGGCAGACCTTGCGGAGGAGCTCGCCGTATGTGATGTTCTCAGATTGGTTGGGCTCGTCTGCTTCGTAAATAATAGCGATCTGTTAGGATGTGCGGGAAGAAAAATGAGGAGGTGAAGGGGCGGGGAAGGAAAGGAAGTAGGGAACGGGAGGGGTGGAAGGTGATGCAGGGCTAGTTAGTTGAGCGTGTTCCTTTCTTATTCGGTTAATCCTTTCAGATGTAAACAATATGATAAAAAAGACACACGCAAAGTCAAAGAACGAAAAAAAGTAAAGTACCTTGTCGGGGTTGGCGAGGGCATGGCGATCGACACAGTTGTAGGATGCGTTCAATTGGCCGTCGAGGAACCAGGCGGTGTCACCGTGGTCGAGTCCGCCGTGCTGGACGGTGTGGAAGGGCTTTGACCAGGAGAGCAACTCGGTCGCCATCTAGTTGTAATGGATACGATTGGACAATATAGAGATCGGTCCATGTTTGTTGGTTGATGGGGTTAGTTGTTAGGAATAGATAAAAAAAAGTGGGAGTGGGGTTCATATTGGTATATGGTTGGGGTGAAGAGTGGAGACAATAATTGTGTGGTATGTGTTTGGAGCGGGGCATTAGTAAAGTGAGATCAAGCCAACATATCCAGGGACCAGAAACAATCAATGAAAAAAGAGAGTTCCTGGCACTGATGACTGATAAGGATGAAGAATCAAGTCTGATTGGGTGTTGTGGGTGATGGAAATTATTTGGGGGAGCAGAAGTGCGAATAAAAGCAAGGCAATTTCCCATGCCATCCCATGTTCACCTTGACCAAACAGCTTCTTCAACTCTGGCCGATCCGATCAAGGAGGTTGTTCGACTCTTCTCTCTTTCCCTTTGTCGTCTGACAAAAGAAAAGGATGCATCCCCATGAGAACGAGATAGGAAAAAGTACATGAATAGGTAATCCCATCACTTCTTGTCCCCAAAAGACACAAAAAGAGAATGTCGGAGAATGACTTCGCTGGGTTCCCGCCTCTCCCTCCACCTTCTCCTCCTCCTCCGAGAGCAGCAACCACCTTCCCAACTCACCAACCAGAAACAGAAGAACCCAATTCATACATCCTCAACCACAACGCCTCCCGCCCGTCCCCCTCCCCTTCTTTGCTTCATGTCAAGTTTGCATTGCCTCTTCTTATTTTTGGACGATGTTATGTACTCTTCTTTTGTTTGTAACTTTTTCACACTGACGGCGATTTAGCAAAGCCTCGTCTCATATTCCCATCTCGGCGGTGAGAATATGATATTAAAAGAAAGATAATGTAAGGGTGCGCGGGAGAGAAAAGAAAGAAAAAGTAAAGGGGCAAGGGCTCATTTCATGTGCACACGCATACACCTCCCAATTCCCTTGCCTTTTGCCTTTCGCCTCGCCAACTCCTGGCTGTGTGAAAAAATAAAAATGAAGGACTAAAAAAGTCATGGATACGAAGAGGGCGATTCGTCCTTTGTGCTCTTGTCCGCATCCTGAACCTGCCCACAAAGTTTGATCGTTTCCTTATCCGAGAATCCGCCACGAAGGACGTGTTCAAACGATGGCGATAAAAAAGAATACCGAAGGCGGTGTTGCAAGAAGGTGACGATGTTTACCTTGCCAAAGAACTCGTTAGGGTTCTCGATACTCTGACGGTGCATCTCCTTGTACTGGGCATAGGACTTGACGTAGGGCTCGGGGCATTGAGCGGGGTCGAGGAGTCTGGGGGGGACGGGGTATTGGATATTTTCTTCGGACATTGTTGTTTACAAAAGGTTGGGAAGTATAAAAAGGGTTGATCTATTAGAAGGAGATGACGAGGAGGAGAAGCGTACGCGTCAGTATAAGTGAACATAGATCATGATCATTGCAGATTCCTAGGCTATGTTAAGCAAGGTGGCGTGAGTAATTAATACTTACAATTGAGTTGGGAGGTAAAAAGAAAGAGAAGGGTGAAAATGTACAAGAGGCGGTCAAGGGGAAAGGAAAGAGTAGGGAGGAGGGATCAGGTAGTGAGTGGAGAAAGGATAAAGAAAAGAAAAGGAGAAGAGAAAGAAGAGAAAAAAAGAAAGGAAGAGGTTGAAAAGAAAGGACGCTTTTGTACTCGCAGACATCTCCTACTCCTCTCCTCAACCAACCAACCAACTCGAAGAAAGGGGTGAATTGAATTCGGCTTTTTTTTGTCAGTCACAAAAAGCGAACCGAAAGAATGAACGAATGCCATCCATCTCTCTTCGCTTCCTCTTCTCCAACAAAGTGAGACACTCAATTGAATCGCCTTCCATCTAGATTGAATACTGGTGGTAATAATAAGGAAACCTTCTTTTTTTCATTCATTCTATTCCACTTGAGTAAAGAAACGGACCATAAAGTTATACTTCTCGTTGTAGTGGAGAGAGAGAGGGTTTGCTGCAACCGAACGAAAAACAAACTGAATCACCATCTCAGTCCCGGTCCCCGATAAAGTCTCTCTCTTCCTTTGCTGCTCCACAAAAATAATTGAACAAGAAGACCAACATGAAGGTTGGCAAACACTAACTCACAAAGACACTAAAGTCATTGTTGTCCTTCCTCCCTTCCCTGCATCCTTCCTGTCCTTCTTCGAGATGCATCTATACTTTTACCTTTTGCCCTTTTTTTGTTTCTACAATTGCAATAGCCGAGATGATAGGTAGTCTACCGATCACAAGGCCAGGGCAGAGTGTGGGAGAAGAGAGCAACAGCTGTTTGCCGCAAAGGCAAAGCTTTTGCTGCTGTTTTAGGTTCCATTTCTCCACCATTTTTTATTTTTACTCACACTCTACTTCGCTTTTCCTTCATACTGTTCCCACTTTTGTTGATGTTGTTGTTGTTGTTGTTGTTATTGTCGTTGTGGTTGGTGTTATTGTGGTTGTTGTTTACCTCATGCCGGGTGCTTGTCTCTGGTTCGGTGTGCCTAATAAAGAGCTACCCCTATGACTAAGAGCAAACCTGGTCTGACCAGGGGTAACACTGATACCCGTCAAATTCCGGCACTTGTTTGCATCCTTTCCCCCCGAATGCTAGCAGGGATGGCAGTAACCAGGCAACTCGGCATATACGGAAAACTGTGAGAATGGAAGAAAGAAAGAGAAAGGAAGAAAGGGTGGCCGGCATGGATGCGCTGTTTTTTGATGATGGCTTGTGAAGAGTCATAGCCCCCCTTTGCCCTTGCATTCGGAAGAATTGGATCGCCCGAGGAAAGGGCAATAAGGCGCCTCCTTCTCGGAAATGCGCCATTATTCCTATTTTAGATTTCTTCTTTCCCCTCCTTCGCGTAGCTATGGCGCATAGCTGCTTGCTGGCAACCAGAAGGGAACCCGGACAATATGCATTGGCAAAGCAGTTCGTTCGCGCCATTGCCTCACCCTCCCTTGTACACAATAACGCATATCGATCTGGATGTCCCGTTCTAGCCTTCCATCCGCGTAGGCAGTGCCAGTCTTCTTTTGTGCAAAGATTGCAAGGAATGATGGTTACGGGAACACAACACATACAAACAAAAACAAAACAAACAAAAGATAACGCACGCCGTTTGTTATTATTTGAGAGGGATATAGAGAGCTATAGAGAGCTAGGGTTGCACCATCTTTGATGTAGGGTAACAGGGTCACCTTTTATACCCTTCCCTTCGCTTCGCGATTTTCTTTTAGCAGAAAAGAAAGGAGTTCGTTGTGGAGGAGAAAAATCAACCCCCGTCATACTCATCGTGCCATCTTACCCTTTCCTTCTGCATCTCAGTCCCCTTCGCAGCCTCATCCTCACCCGTCCTCATCGTGCTCGCCTGTCAATTTTTTTATTTCTCTTATCTCCAAACTCTGATCTTGGATACGAACTGCCATCCCCTTGGGGGGTCTAACTGTTCAACTTGCATTATCAAGCATGCTCACAGGCACAAACGATTACGAATTTCCTTTTTCTTGACGCCTCCTTTCTTTCTTTCTTCTCTCCTCCATTGCTTGTTGGTCTAATCAAGTATATCACTCCTTCTGGTTCTTTCAATTGGACAGCGGGAACGAGAAGGAACACATCTTAAAGGAACAGAGAATTGTATGAGTCTTCCTGTCCTCTGGCTGCGTTTGTGTTGGAGTTCACGTAACTGTTTGCTGGGGACGACGAGAGTTGGTTTCACCCAACAGATGGAGTCGAACTTCTTTCACCCTTCATCTCATCTCTGCTTCGTTTGTACTGGTTCATGGCGTCGATACCAGCTTCTTGTCCTTGTTATCCCTGGACCATTCACTTTCTCTCCGCACTTTGCAAGTCTCAACCTTTTCATCATAAAAACTCGATCCCATATGATGGAGTACTGTCGCAAAGGCGATGTTAGTTTGTCGAGAAAAACTTGTTTTCCGAGGGTATGAGTAACGACGGAATGACCTTTTTCGTTCCCAAGATTCCAAACATAAGAACAACCTTTCTCATTCTTACCTCCTTGCATCTTTCTCGAAACAAACCAATCTGTATAATTCTCAGGCACAACCACCGCCGTCCTTGGCACGTACTTCAATAGCAGTTTTCCGTCATCATCAATCATTATTTGATTTGTCCCCCACATATAAAATATTTTTCGGAATATGATTGGCCAGAGATCATGCTTGTTCATCCAGCCAGTCAGACACGGCTCCCAGTCCAGCCCAGTCCAACCCAGCTCTTCCTTAACCTCCAGCCAACCAGCCCAGCTCCGGATCCTATTTTTCCAGCGTGTAAAATGAAGGGAAGGGAGGCGGGAAGGGAACTAACTCTGTTTGCGTCTATCCGAGGATCAGAGGATTTGAGGACTGCTTATTTTGTCAGGTGATGAATGGAGAGTGACCAACAGTTTGGTTGCCACCAATTTCAGAGCTTCTTCAAGTAGAAGGCATAAAAGAATGGGACGAAGAGCAGCAGGAATCAAAGACGAAACAACGAGGGATGGTTCATAAGAAGAATGGATACGTTGATATTTTCTGTTTTATCAGCAATATGCACGGCCAATGATCAAATGGCCTCATCAGTAGTTATGTTTGTTCCATTTTTCTTTGGACAACCGCTAATCAGCCTGATCAGCTCGTAAGGTGCGATGATAGCTAGACTGAAAAGTTGCGCACTCAATATCCAGGTTGACGATCTTGTAATAAAAACTTATGGTGTGACAAGTCTTCTGAGAAAAAAGGTAGACATCACCATGACCATAAGCGAGATCAATCAGGACTTCATACAGCGAACTACTGCACCAACATGAGAAGGTACCATCGTGAGAAATACCCACTGCACCAATATCCTGCCCCTTGTCCGATCGGGCTTTCAACGGGAGCGGGAAAATAACACGGTCGGGGTAAGCAAGGAAGAAAAGAGCATACAAGCTAAAATAGCGAATGATTAACCACCCTCGCACAGCGAAAGTACTCCCCAAGCTACTATACCTCGAGTAACGATCATTGGGATGGGTGGCGATGTCCATAAAAAGAAGGACATTGAGAAAAGGTGCTTTGTAAGGACCAATGCCAATGAGAAAAGGAAGTGCCGCCTCCCTATCTTTCATGTCTGCCTTTCGCCGTTGGCACACTTTTGAATGAATGCATGCATGAGGGACGGTTGGAAGAAATATGCTCAGTCTCATATGTGAATGTCGCACAGACGCAAACAAAGGACGAAGAACGGAGCATGAAAATTACCTGGAAGGTGCGGTCGTTTTGATTTTTGCCAATTGCGCCCATGCTGCACTCGCTGAGGTAAAAAAGACTTGTCTATTGCTGCTTGGAAGAGGTTCGACGTAGGAAGGTTGCCATGTCTGACATCAATCAGCATGACTGACATTAAAGGGGTAGCCAGACAGGGCCAGGCGCGGCTGGTACATGGGCTTGTTAACGGTATGCAACAAACAAAGAGAAAAAAGCAGCAAGAGAGGATAGGAGATTGTTGCATGTCAATGGAAGGGAGGACAGCAAAAACTGAACACAAACCAATACAAACAAAAGCACCTGAAAAAAAACAACCATAAGTCGACCCAACTCAGGCCATTGCGCGTCTCATCTGATTCCAACTCTTTCATCATCTTCCTTTCATCTCATCACTTTCTCAACTCTCTTCATTTCATCCACCAAAATGGCAACTCAAGCCGGCAAACCGACTGTACTTATTGTGGGAGCGGGCCTGGGAGGACTGATGCTGGGAGCCCTCTTGGAGAAGGCCGATATCTCTTTTGTCATCTTTGAGCGTTCTTCGTCCGTTAAGCCCCTCGGTATGTTTCATAGCATGTTGGATTTTCTGTCCTCCACAAGAAGTATAGTGCATTACGCAGGAAATGAAACAGGATACTTTTATTTTCCTTTACTATGATGATTTTAGGATCGGCTATCATGGTTGGACCCAACTTGATGGGCTTGTTCGAGCAGATGAACATTGCCGAGGAGTTCAAGGCCATTGGTAAGCCAACCTTCGACTGTATCATCGGCAAGGATAATATGGAGGTTGTTTGTAAGGTCGACTTTCGACACACGGTTGAATAGTAAGCCATTTTGTCTTCAATTGCTTGCAGTCGTTTTGCTATGTATCGTCACTTGTCATACTAACAAGAACGTACGTTTCTTTCGTATCTTAGCACAGGATATTGCAACTACATCGTCAGTCGTCCAGAACTCTACGAACTGCTCCTCAGACAGATCCCTCCACACAAGGTCCTCTTCAACAAACGTGTACTCAAAATTGCCGACTCTGAAGATGGCGTCCAGATTACAACCACCGACAAATCCACCTACAAAGGTGAGATCCTCGTCGGTGCCGATGGCGCCTACAGTGCCGTCCGACAGCGCATGTACGAGACCCTCAAGGCAGCAGGCACGCTACCCAAATCCGACCAAGAAGATCTCCCATTCAAATCGACCTGCCTGGTCGGTCAAACCACGCCCATGGATTTCGCCGCCGAATTTCCCGAGTTCCTGGACGAGTCAGGACCCTTCTACTGCACCCTTAGCAAGACCTCGCCCTACACCTGGACAGTCTTCCCGACTATCAACGGGAATCTTTGTTGGATGGTCATGCACCACCTCGACAAAGAATCGAGTAAGGCTGCAGAGGAGCATCGGTTCAGAGAGTCAGAGAATTCGCAGTGGGGGTCGCATGCTGCTCAGGCGATGTGTGATGAGACGCGACACTTTATTTTGCCGTTTGGAACCAAGAAAGCGACCATGGGGGATCTGTATGACTTGACACCGCAGGATCGTATCTCCAAGGTTATGCTTGAAGAAAAGGTCTTTCAGACCTGGTATTCTGGACGAACCGTCCTCCTCGGAGATGGTATGTTTACTGGTTCAAGCAAGCATGGTCTATTTCTTTCTCAGGTTATGGGTGTCGCTTGTTGATTGACACCTGTTTGGTAATTTTGTTCTCATAGCATGCCACAAGTTGAATCCGTCAGGAGCACATGGTAAGGATTATATTTCGCAAAGAAGCACGCGAGTTATATTCTGCATTGGCCTACTACTTATTCATAATGTTTTTTTTTTTTTTTTTTTTTTTTTCGCTCACGTTCCTCCGCTAGGTGCGGTGACGGCGATGCATGATGCACTGGCGTTGGCGAACCTGATATACGCGCTGCCCAACAAGACCTCCGTAGCAATCGAAGAGGCGTTCTCCGAGTACCAGGCAGAGCGAATCGGGCCTGTCACGGCATCCTACAACGCCAGCAAGGCCCTTTCGATGGTCATTGGACGAGGTCCCATTGGCGCAATCGCCCTGTTTCTTCGAAAGTACACCCCTTTGTTCATTTGGGACACGGTCATTGTCAACAAGAAGAAGGCTATCCTGGATCGTCCGACTGCTGGGTTTCTGAGGAAGGTGAGGACCAAGGGGACGGTGCCTCCGACTGTTTCGCCGAGTAGCGAAAAGGCTAGGAAAGTGTTTGAGGGCTGACTAGGGCTGTGTCTGTTTGAGAAAAGAAAAAGGCGTACAAATAAACGTTGTGTGTTAAATAGTGTGAAAAAAATGAGTGAATGTTGTGTCTTCCTTACGTTGTGAAGAGAGATATGTTGATTAGCAGGGCTTGTCCAACCAGTCCAGACATTAATCTCCGATGCATTCTCACAAAAAGTGTGTGCGTATGTTTGCAATTACGATGGCCAACACTGCTACCATTTTGGACACGTCTGTGTGTAAAGGGATCTACTCGTTCAATAACAGAAGGGCCCTGTTAATGACCATACATATTCCTGCAGATTATGGGAACGTGGGTGTCTCTTGAGGAAGAGAAATCGCACCATTATCGGGCATGATCGTTCACCTGGATTAAATGCGATCACAATGGAAACGAGCACAACCAACTCTAAGTGTAGACAGCGAGAATAATGCGGCGGTTGAAAACTGTAGAGACAAACGATCCAGAGAGCAAAGGTGAACAGGTCCAGGCTTCTGTTCTTGCTCGCAATGAGGGTTCGAGTGAAAGAAGACTCAAAAACAGGAACCATATAATTCGTTAAGTGGGAAAGGCATGTAAACAAGTGGTGAAATGTGTGAAATATACGCACATAAAAAGACAGACAAGAGGAACTTTTTAGTCAAAACGTGCGCCTTTTTCCCCTTCTCTCTTCTTTGTGTCTCATTCATCACCCTCTCCCCTCATCTTCATCTTCATTCTCATCCCATTCACTTTTCCTCAACTCATTCATCACCACCCTTCACCCATGTCAGAACGCAGCAGCCAACCCACGGTCCTTATCGTCGGAGCAGGTCTGGGAGGGCTCATGCTTGGAGCACTCTTGGAGAAGGCCGATATCCCCTATGCCATCTTTGAGCGCACCGCCGTGGTCAAACCCCTTGGTACGACTGACAAACACAACCCCTGGGATTCTCATATCACAAAATGTTCTGTGCCACATGCCGGAATAACTGCTTTCAAACTAACAAACTGTTGCGTCAATAGGATCTGCATTGTTGGTTGGCCCTAACATGATTCCTCTGTTTGAGCAGTTGGGCATCGATAAGGAGTTCATTGCTATGGGTAGACCTACCCCTAAGATCACCGTCAACCGTGAGGGTGGACCCCCACTTTACATTGTCAGTTCCCTCCCTCAAGTCAAGTAGTACGTTCCCATCTTCGCCTTTCTTCCTTGGTCTCAATTGGACAATGACGATCACTAATGAATCCAAGAAATCACGAAATCACCACTGACAACGATCAAATCACTCCTCTGAACAAAACCAGTACCGGATACTACAGCTATATTGTAGCTCGCCCACTGTTCTACGATCTCCTGTTGAAGCAGATCCCCACAGAAAAGATCCACTTCAGCAAGCGCGTCCTCACCATCTCGGAGAAGGAGGAGCGAGTCAAGATCCATACGGCTGACAAGTGCACTTACGAGGGCGACATTCTCGTCGGAGCTGACGGCGCCTACAGCGCTGTCCGTCAACGCATGTACGAGGCTCTGAGACAGGAGGGAAGACTGCCCAAGTCTGACCAGGAAGATTTGCCCTTCCACTCGACCTGTCTTGTGGGCCAGACCACACCGGTTGACTTTGCTGACTTTCCCGAATTCCAAGAGCCTTTGTGTTCCTTCTACAACACCATGGGCAATGATAGCCCACACACTGTGAGCATTAGTTTTTTGTTTGTTTTGTTTGTTTGTCTTTCTCGATCGCCTTTTTCTTTGCTCTTTTGTTGTTAGGTTTGGAAACATGGTAACACGGAACGAACCTTCTTTTTACAAAATTATTTATCGCATGTTGTTTACTAATGTTTTCTTTCAACTTACTTCACACCTTCAAAAACGGATTTTCATGAGCGCAGTGGGTTGTCTTCGCAACAGCCCAGTCAACTTTATGTTATATGGTCATTCACCATCTGGACAAGACCTCTAGCAAAGCCGCCGAGGAGCACCGTTTCCGCGAGTCGGACAACTCGCAGTGGGGACCTCATGCTGCCCAAGCGATGGTGGATGAGACGCGCCATTTCCCGCTCGTTGTCGGAACCAAGAAGATGACCATGGGCGACCTTTATGATTTAACACCCGAGGGTCGCATCTCCAAGGTTATGTTGGAAGAAAAGGTCTTTCAGACTTGGAACTCTGGCCGTACCGTTCTCTTGGGCGATGGTAAGGATGGTGTGGTGCCGGATGCAATTAAGTTCTTTCGTCGTGTGCGTGTTAATTCTGACTTGCTAACAATCTGCCATCCGATTTGTGTTGGTGTATAATGCTACAGCCTGCCACAAGTTGAACCCATCTGGTGGTCATGGTAAGTCTTTTTTTTCATCTTTCCCCACAAAAAAATAGGCTGCAATGGTCGAGACCACATTTTTCAAACAGGCGAACTAAACTCGTGTTTCCATTTGTTTATTTCCCCAATGTTTACCTGATAACAGGAGCAATCACCGCGATGCACGACGCCACTGCCATCGCGAACATCATCTACGCCCTTCCAGCCAACGCCAACACCAACACCGTCCACAAGGCGTTCGCAGAATACCAGGCCGAGCGAATCGTTCCCGTTACAGAATCCTACAATACCAGCAAGTCGTTCTCCAAGATCATGGAACGAGGCATCGTTGGCATGATTGCATTGTTCTTGTTCAAGAATATTCCTCTCTGGCTGTTGAATATAATTTATAAGAGGCAGATTTTGATTAGGCCCCAGGCTGGGTTTTTGCCGATTATACCGTTGAAGGGTACTGTACCTGCTATACCGTCGCCGAGTACTGAGAAGGCTAGGGCTGTCTATGACAGGCGCATGGCTGCCGTTTCTCTTTAATTGTCAGGTCAAGAAATAAAAGACAGTCACCTCAATAATTACAAGCATCAGGGCCATCTCAACGGTTGTTTTGTTTGAAAAGTAACAAGAAAAGAAAAGCGATCGGTGTCGTTTTTGTTTTGATGGTTACACACGAAAGTGCTCATACAAAACTACTTCATTCGTATCTCTAACGCTATCTCTTTTCGGCAAAAGGGATATTTCGTAACGGTTGTTATTTGAAGATAAGAATTGGTTGTTGTAGTCCTACACCATCGCCAACCCATGAAACTTGGTGCCAGTCTTGACGCGTCGGGTGGTTGATGTTTCTCGATGAAAAAAAGGTCGCAGAGAGCGAATGACTGTGACTGTCTTTGGCGTCATGGTTTTATGAAAGTGTGGGCGAAGTGTGGGCGACAAACTCTCTTCCACTTCACAACCCGCACCCATTGGCTTCATCAGGCGCTTGATTGAGTTCGCTACTCCCAACGATGCTCATTTACTCTTTCACAACTGCACTGCACTCCTACCTACGATAGTGCTCTCATACCTGTCGCAATCAATACTCTCACAAACAGCTTTCACATTGGCACACGGTAATTGCCTCCCCTCCATTCTCCTCCAGGAACAACAACATAAACAGGCACACACACACTCCTAGTACAACAGCTAGGACGGCTTCACAGATGCAAACCAGAGAGGACTACTAGACAGGAGCGATGAACAAGAAAAAAGAAGAAAATACGCAATGCTGATTCAGGTTAGAGAATCAACCAAACACAAACTCGGCATCAAGGACAAACAGAGCAAGGTCGAAGGTCACTCTGCCCAGACATAATCAACAAGGGAGCAGGACACAACTGCTACCAGCATCTCCGGCGAAATCGTCAACAGCACTGGCTGCAACAAAGCCTGCGTCGCCACGCCCACAACCAATAACATCCGCTCTCATTTTGGCCGCACTTGAGGACATCAAATCCTTTGCTGCCTCTTTTCTTCCTTTATACTGCCACTTTTGGGTTTCATGGCCACTTTCTTTTCATACTCAAACCATCCTCTCGGCACGCTCTGTATATTTTCAACACCCACCAGTATTTGACTTTCCCTCTGCAAACGTCTCTTTTCTTTATGTTTTCCTTTTCACGCGCCGAACAGAGATGTTGGGACATCACATGTCCTTACCATGCTGGAGAGTTGGACAAAGCAGGTACCTTCCCCGCACAATGCGCGCAATGTCTGGTGGCGGCTCCTGATCAACAAACTCCCCTCTGGCCTCCACCTTCACTCCATTATTCCCGATATGGTTGAGCCCCTCTGCCGTGTCTGTGGAACGGATCTGGAGACAAGTCAGCACCTCCTTTTCAGCTGCCCCAAGAAGCTGGAAGTATGGCAAGCCGCACTGTCGAGATATGTAGAGGAACGAACCTGGACTGCGGACTACATCTGCAGCCTCTTTTTCCTGACCCGGACCCAGTCAAACCACTTCATGACATCCCCATCTTCATCTTGATCGACACCATCCTGGCCTCCGTCTGGAGGTACCATCACGCCATTGTCCGTGAGGATCAAGCCTTTGAACCTCGTATGGTCCTTGCCGCGGTGGATTTAGCCATTACCCAAGTTCGCGCTCAGTTGGCTGAGAAGAAGCGCCAGAGCGAGGAGCGTGAACCTCCGCCCCCAGTCGAGCTCCCCCTTGTCGACAACAGCTTCCCCACCTAACCTGTACTTGTACTCTTTACCTTTCTGTACTTATTTTGCCTGGTTCTTCCTGTTTTCTTTGTTAACTGTTTTTTCCCAGTCTAGATGTAACCTTTGTACTTTTTTCGGAAGTATTTATTTTTATATCTTTTGAATGGTGGTGACTCCTGTAGTTGACTGCACGCACTCCCTCGACGCAATAAATTTCTTACAAACAAAAAAAAACCATCATCATTACGTCCTCCAGCAGTGCACAGGCCACTTCCATCGTGTTTGTTTTTTCCGATTCGTTATTAGCGCCATCCACCTCATGTGCATAATAATGAAAGGTCTCTTGCATCAGATGGTGCACAAAAAGAGGAGGACGGGGCGTAGTTTCTTTTTTTCTCTTACTCCTCAATCCGCTTCACATCCAACAAAACACTCTACCGACATGGCTACCTCAGCGATAACCAAGAACCCTTTCGACCTACTCGGGTTCAGACATCGAATCAGTCGGTATGTCACCATCAAGGATGCTCTCTCATGCGCTCTTGTCTCCAAGGCCTGGACGGACGACTTTGTCCCCGCGATTTGGTTCAAGATCGACTTTGATGTCCAGTCACGGTTCACCAACCTCTCGCCCCATACTATTGCCAAGTACGGACACCACATCCAAATCGTCATGAACGCCAGGTCGCTTTCCCAGGTCTCTTCTCTTGCCAACGCCAGCGTCAACGGGCTCAGGAGCCTCCATATCGACACAGCAGCCTCCGCCTTGCAGCATATCCAGGCATATGAGATTTTATCCAGGAATTATTCAAGCCTTCATGAAATTCATCTTTTTGCTGCTTCAGTCCCTTCCAACAAGCGCGAATCCTCAGCTCATTACGTGGTTACGCCAGCCTTAGTTATCTTTCCCGGTACTATCTCGATCCCGTCCAAGCTCAACCATTTGAGGATCGAGAACCTTTGCCTGACGTACGATGGACTAGTGATGATTCTTCAAGGTTGCCCGGGACTGTCCGCGCTATGGGTGGAACACGTCGACATCGTCAAACCATTGACTAGATCATTTCAACACATGGGCATCAATCTGTTGTCGTTGGAACTCATGAGCATCCACTACACCGGCCTGAGCCGTCCCTCCTTGTTGTCTTATTTCCCAAACTTGACAACGTTGCATACTTGGAACTGCGACACGAGCTACGCCATCCCCTGGGACAGGATCAAGGACGAGATATCGCGACACTGCCCTCGGCTCATCGAGTATCGACTGGCAGATACTACTGGTGCCATCGTCCCCGACTTCCTAGCCAACATCGCCAACAACAACAACGTCTCTCGAATTATGTTCAGGTACAACAACATGTCGTCAGACACAATTACAGCCATTCTTATGCACCAAGCCTTCCTGAAATCGGTCGAGCAGTTCACACCGTCATCTAAGTTTGATCTTGAAAAAGAAGAAGTCGCTCCGGTTTCAAGCCATTTTCGAGCAACCGGCCACCTTTTGCAGCTGATCCCTCGGTGCTGCTCACGATTAGTATCCTTATGCCTAATGTCACACGAGATGGACATGGATGTCGTTGAGAGAGGCGAGTGGGCGTGCAGGAACCTGGTAATACTTAAGATCAGAGTCAAGGGTCTGGACACCAAGGAGAAGATCCTCAAGGCCGTTGCGCTTTGGCGAGCTGGATGCTGGAGGCGACGACAGAGTAAAATGAATGAGGATGATGCGGTGATGTTGAAGGCTCAGGATCAACTCTACTGTTCGATCGAGACTCGAGTCGCTAAACACCTTCTCAAGTTCGTCAAGTTGGACTTGGTCTGGCTCGGGTACCAAACATGGAGACCTCTCTGATTCGGAGGCGAGGCAGCTGGACGAAATACGAAATTAAATATGATATCATTCTCATTTTCGAACGACCATAGCTTAAGGAGCTACCTGTACAAAAAAAACATTGTACAGACATCGTCCTTTTATTTTTTTTTTTTTTTTTTTTCTACGGTGGTTATCCAGAGGCAAGATACCTCAAACTATACGCTTCATTGACCGCGTTCACAAGCAGCATGGCTCGATCTCGATCACCAACATCGCCACTTCGGAACAGTCCAAGCTTATCCATGTTCACGGAATTGATTTCAAAGACATCCAAATTCCAGGAGGTTTCAGATCTACTGATATGGCTCTGAATAGGTTGAGTAACCCTTCGAGTGAGGAGTACAACCAGCCACGTTTGGGAGGGTGATGGTGTCGAAGAGCCATTCTCCGCACAAGGCCATTCTCCGCACAAGGCCATGGTCTTGAGAGGTGGTGCAGTGATAAGGGGCTCTAGTGGTTGAGGTATCGAGGGAGAGGTGGATGGGCTAGTTGGAGCGAGAAGGATGGTCTCGAGGATGAGCCGAGAATGTTCTCCTCTGGTCGTCGAGCGGATGTCAAGGTTCAACGTCTCCAGGGCCGAACATCCACAGAGCATCTTGAACTCGAACCGATATGTAAACTCGGATGTTATATCCAGCCTTGTCAGACACGGGAGGTACCAGTCCAAAGCCCACTACGGTCGAACAATACCAGGAGTTGACATATCGTCTCCTGCTGCTGACTTGTTCCACCCAAAATACCGGCCCAGTTCTCCCCATTGGCGGAATAAAATAACGATCGCCCACAGAAATAAAATGAAGATAGAGTCGATATGTGGTGGGATCGAGGTTCCTCAGCTTGGTGGTCGAGCAGAGTGTATTAGCATGAAAAACCAGGGCGGTCCATACACTCATCCTCACAAACTGCAAATTGACGAGAGTAGTAAGCGCGGAGGAAACTATAGTGTCGCATTGGTACTAAAGCATCCTGTCGGTAAAGTTGACCCATTGGACGTTTGGGCAGCTGTTCGGCAAGTCGTGGTTGATGATCAACAGCTTGAATTATGTCTTGAGTTCCAGGATTGGCCAAGAACGGAAGGTTGACCCATACTGCTCCGAAGTGGATATATTTCGTCGTTGTTGTCGATGGTGGAACTTTGGTGTAGAATAGGAGCCACTACAGGGTTTGGTTGTATGCATAGACAACATCGTCAATGTCATCGGTGATTGCGTTCCTGATATCGCTTATGTAGAGCATCTCAAGTGGAACCAAGCCGTGCTGTCGGTGTGCTGAAGTGTTCTCTCCTGTAACGATCCTCCTTCATGTCGAGTGCGAACAAAAGTGTCGGTGGTCTCGTTGTTGCTGTTGTTGTTGCTGTTGTTGTTGCTATTGTTGTTGTTGCTGTGGAGGCTCTTCAAATCTTTCATTTTCCTGCACCTTGACAAATCGATCTGGCCCACAATTCCGTCAGTTTCCTGAACCGTTGAAGGACAGGCTGGTTATCGACTTTGATATTATCCCGCGTCCTCGGAAACTCTTGCCCGTCAATCTTACAGACCTGTCCAAAATCAACCGCCTGAGAATAGGCCATAAACTGGGCCCAATTGTCCTCCCCAAGATGAACGAACCTGGGGAACGGCGACCCCTCCAAGCAACCAACAGTCCTGAGACGACCCAGAATAGTCGCCCATGCTCTCGAACAAACAACATCATGTCGGCAGTGATGTCATCGTTATGAACCCTCTTGCGTGGAATGGTACGGGGCGCCAAACTCGTCCTCAAAGGCCACATTCATGCTGAACGTGATATTCTCCAAGCTCTCGAACCGGTAAACGAAACCGAGGTAGCGCTTGATGCTGAACATGTGGGATTATCAGAGGACTGGAGTTTGTCAAAGATGGGGCAAGCCAGGGGAATCCTCTATTCTGACAGATAGAGATGCCGGATGTGAGCAAAATAGTCGAGTGGCGATGGTGAGCAGGCTCCTTAGTCAGTGTTGTTAGGATCAAAATGAGGGCGACGGGGAATGCGTTGAGCAAGGAGGCATAAGAGACAGGCTATCTCCACTCCCTTGTTTCCATGGATCGGGGGACTTTAGTTTTGGACAGTGAAGTTGGCGCCGGTGGGTTTCAAAGCAGAGAAAGGGGAGTGTGGCAAAGGCGAAATGTTTGTTTGTCCCGAGGAGGGCTGACAATGCACCAAAGTTGTGCTCCTGGTCGAAACCCCTAAGGATATGCTGAAGACACTTCAGCGGCAGTCGTGAAAGCGAGTCCATTGATGTGCTGAGCCAGAGAGAGAGAGGAGAAGGGAGGGGGAGGGGGGAAGGATAGATGACGATGGATAGAGCAGAGGACGAAAAAAAGAGGTGTCGGGCTTGGCCATGTTATTTTTTCTTTTTTTTGCTTGTTTGCTTGTTTGCATGAAAAGAGGCCTGTGCCTGGGAAACCCGATGGTCCATCGTCATACATGTCCTATCCAGAGTATCTCCATATTCCGCAAACCATCATCGTTGATGCGATGATGATTCGTTTTGTTGGTCGCAGCAAGCACACATATCGCATCAAGAACAAACCGACGCCGGGCGGTTACAAGGTCTCGGCTCTCTGCGGCGCCGCCGGGTACACGTTTTCGTTCATACCCGAATCCAGGGTGGAGAAGAACATGGAGCTTGTTGATCAGAAACAAATCACGACTTTGGAAGGAAAAGCGCTCAACACAACATCCCACAAAGTTCTTTACCTTGCAGCAAATCTCGATACAATCAACTTCTACATGGAAAATTATTTTTCCCTGTTCCTTTATCCAAACACATGCGCGACAACTCCATCGAGGCATGCAGGACCGCCCGTCCAAGCTCAGCAATGTTTTCATCTGTCTTGCGAGAGTTGAAGTTGTCGAGCATCGACTGGAATGACAAACAGGCTATCGTGGTCGATGACGTCTTCAGCCTTTTGTGGATGGACAGCGGCCCCATAACTATGTTGACTACAATCCACAGTCTTCACACCCCTGAGTCTTTTATGGAAATGGCCGCGGCTGGCAAGGGCCAATGGTCGTAAAATCAACCTGATACTTGAGAACCAACCGCGAAAGGTTGCCACTATCCCAAAGATCATCGACGACTACAGCAAGAACATGGGCAGTGTCGACATCGCGAATCAACTGCGTCAGTACTACTCGACACAAATGCGTTGCGTTCTCTCAGAAATCGACTCCTCCTTTTCCTCTGGCTCTTGAGTACGTCTATCATCAACACCTACATCATGCGATGTATCCATCTCAACGAGCGACAGAAGGCAAGCCGTCGACTGTTCCGCATTGTTTTGTTTTGCTTAGATAACTGCCAATCAAGGTGGAAAACAATAAGATCGATCGTCGACGCCCGCAGAACTCTGACAACGAGGAGGGTCAGGTCTGACAGAAGTGTGCGAAGTATATCACCAAATATCATCAGCAGTCGGCAATTTGCGATTTGACAGAGCCTTCACTCATATAATGGACACCTCACCAACCCCCAAGACATGCCAATAGTGCAAACACAGGGTAATCTCGGATCCCACGGTCGAAAAGAAGAAGAGTACTTGGTTCTGTGGGACGTGTAAAGTTCGTCCTTGTCTATTACCCGGCTGGAACTACTTCAACGCTTTCCACACGCTTATCATAATGAAATACGTCGATATTTTACATTGCTTTAGGCCGAAAAAAAATCGCTCTATGGAAGTCCAAAAAGAGAAAAATTCGTGCTACAGAGGAAGGGATAGGATGAATGTTCTTTCGCGCCTGTTTTTAAAAGGTCCTTCGGGTCTCTGTCACAGGACTGGCAATGAAATAAGCTCTGCTGATCAAACTGAAGAGACCCATCGCGACGCGTCACGAACGCGCTATTTTTTTTTTTCTTATTCTTTATTCCTGATCGATTCGATTGATTGTTCGTATTCATGCCCCTGCCCACTTTCCTCCATCCGAATGTTTTTGTTTTCATGCACGCCACCTCCCAAAATAAAAAAAAAACGTGGTCCCTGAAATATTTTCATGGTCCATTCATGCAAAAACGGCCAAATAAACATTCATCCACACACACACACACACACACACAAAACATAACAACAGCACACAACATATCAACAGCACACAACATAACAACAGCACACAACATAACAACAGCACACAACATAACAACAGCACACAACGGATAGGAAATAGACCAAGGAGAATTATGCGCGGCCTCCTGCAGAAAGAAAATCATACAACGATGTCACTCTCTCGGCTTGCCTTCCTTTCACTCCCCCCCTCTTCCTTCATTCTTTCTCTCTCTCTTACTCTTGCCTTTGGTCTTCCTTCCCCTGCTAGGGTCGTCTGTTTCAAATGAAGAAGTACAACAAAATGAACTGTGAGTGCAAGTGTGAGAAGGCAAGGCATGTGCAAAAAGAAACAGGAAGTGATGAAAGATAGGGAGGTGTATTTGCCACTCCTTTTTCCTGTTTTTGTCGCTCTCAATTAGCTTGCCATTTTTCTTTTCGCTCATAGCCCCTAGGCCTCTGCGCCAGAGTACGCCTAATTCTGCCTGGCGTCAAGGGGTTCATACTGGGTGTGGTGCGAGACATTGTAAAGCGGGTGGGAGAACAAGAAGGAGGAGCTGTTTGGTTACTGGAAAACAATAAGAGAGACATCCAGCCGAGAGGATTGAAGTGTGAACAGTTCTTTCTAAAAAGAAGAGAGGGCGCTTGGACCACGCTCCAAGACGTGTCCATTTGTTTATGCCGATATTCTTGTCTTTCCTGTTTGTCCTTTCTTTTTGCTTTTTCTCATTTCTTCTCTCGCTCTCTCGTTTTCCCTCGCTTTTTTCTATCCTTCTTCAACTTACCCCTTTCTCTTTCCTTTCCCTCTTTCCTTTCCTCTCCTTTCTCTCGTCCTTCCTCCTCTCTCAAGGCCAACCACACTCCTAACTCCACACTATCGCACGCTCGCACACATAACCGTACAGACACACAGCTACTTTTTTTTTTCTTTACCTCCTTGTATTTCTGTCCTCCCTCCCTCTCTCTCATCCTCCCCCTCCCTCTCTCGCTCTCCTCTCGCTCTCCTCTCTCTCTCCTCTCTCTCTCTCTCCTCCTCTCCATTCACCTCCAATATCCCCAATTTTTTATTTTATTTTTTGCTTTCCTCGCTTTATTCCTCGCTCAATAACCCTCCACGGGATTCCCAAAACACACACACCACAACAAAAACTCGGGATAAGAAAACACCACTTGCCCTAGGTCGATCGAACTCTTTTTTCGTTCTCTTCTTCTTCCTCTCTTCATCTTCTCCTTCTCTCTCACCTGTTCGCCTTTTCCTCTCCATATTATTTTCCTACTTCGCTTTGTATGTTTGTATGTTTGATTGCTTTTCACTTCTCTCTTTCATATCACTTCTTCGTTCTCAAACATCACATATGCCGCACCATACCATGGCAACCACATTCATCCATACCCTACCCACTTCTATTACCAACAACAACAACAACAACAAGAACAACAACAAGAACAGCGAAGGCACCAAATCGACACATAATATTACCACCCTTACCGACAACAGCACTGACCATTTTCAAGACAGTAATACAACTCAAAGCAGCAACAATATTAATTATAGCAACAAAATACTTCAATACGGGAGTCTCCGTCTCAATCCTACCACCATCAACAAGGACAGAATCGACCACAATAACTCCACAACCATGACAACTATCGACAAGACCAACAATAACAACAACAGCAACAACAATAACAACAACAACAACAACAACAGCAATACCCAAACAGCCATGCCACCAACACCAACATCCCCTACAAACGCCACGCTCCTCTTTCTCCCACAACCTCCCTCCCCCTCCCTTTCCACCACCACCACATCTAGACCCTCACCTTCCTACATCCGCCTCACATCCTCAAACTCTTCAACAATCCTCAACCCCGCCCACCACTTCCCCCCAATCCCCGAAGGGACACCCTCTCCAAAGGAACGTCAAGACCTGGTCCGAGAACTGGACGAGATCCGGGAGGCCTCGAGTGAAGCCCGGGGGGCGTATACGTCAGTTCATAGAACGATTCAGCAGTACCAGCAGCTTGTGCTTTCGACTCATGCGCAGGTTGCGGCTGCGAAGATTGCGCTGGTCCAGGCACGTGGTGCGATTGGCGGGGGTGGCAGCGGTGCTAGTGGCGGGGGTGGGAGTAGTAATTGTAATAACAAGAGCAGTAATGCACGCAACGGTGGAACAAGTGGTGCAGGAAAAGGAGGAGGACGTAGAGGCATTGACGGTGCTAATGGTGGTGGAAAGCAAGGTAGGGGGTCACAGGTGGAGAGACAAGGAAGGAGCAAGAGTGGAGGAGGAGGGGGAGGGTCGACGAGCGCCTCGCGTTCATCCTACTTCTCACCCTGTCCAGCAACAACAACAAATGGCACCGAGGCGGACGCAGGAAGAGGAGGAGCGAAAATAGCGTCGACATTATCATCCTCCTCGTTAAACATGACAAATGCCTCGCCCTTCATCCCCTTATCCAACAGCAACTCTTCCTCGTCGCTCACACCCTATTCGCCTTTTCTCAGTCGGTCTTACTCCTATACTTCTTCGACAATTGCCTCTGCTTCTTCGCCTTTACCCATCGACGCCAGAGGGGGAGGAGCTCTACAACAGCAACGGCAGGGGCGATCATTCATGCCTGCGCCCATTCATGCCTGTGTAGCTGATACCACAATCACAACGGTCTCAACCACCTTGTTGTCATCTCCGACTTCACTGCTGTCCAGGACTACAACAGTTACAACTGCAATGGCGCAGGACCGAGATGAGAGCAGAGGCGGCGATCAAAATACAACCGAGAGCGCAGAAGAAAGCGACAGCACAACCAATACCACCAGCACCACAACCCATTCCAACACCTCCTCATCCGCATCCTCTTCCGCGTCCTCTTCCGATTCAGATGAAGAAGACGAAGACGAAGAAGGAGAGGAAGAAGAACAACAACAAGAAGAAGAAGAGGATGCAGAAACACGCCTCGACAAACTGGGAGACCAACACGCAATCCTTGGCGGTCGATTATCACAACTCCTACGAGACAAGGCAGCCGCCGAGAACGTCAAGAAGCGCTTGAATGACGGGTTGCTGCGCGCCAAGGCCCGGATCAAAGCCATCGAGGATAAACTAGAGGAATAGACCATTTTGGGAGTTCTGCTCTCTTTATGTGGGCGGATGAACGAGGTTTAGGAGGAAGGAGGAGTTATTTGCATTCTCCCCCCCACCCCCCTTTCGAAATAGAGCTCGGATAGTTTCCTAGTTCCCACACTCCTCAATTCTTCCGACAATAGAACGAGCATTTTTTTTTTCATTTCCCCCCTTTCTCGTTTCGATTTCATCTCAGCAGTCAGTATCATACCCCACCACGCCACACCAACTAAAAGAATTAAATGAATGCGCAAGCCAAACAAAACATTTGAGAAAAAAGATGAAGTCCATTATGTCGCCAAAGAAAAAGAAAATGCTATGCTACACCTACAAAAAACAATCCAAAGGGATCCTCCTCCTCAAAGCTTAAGCAGAGGTCTCCATGCCGTTTCCGTGGCCGATAGCAGGCTCCCGATCAGCCATCTCGACCTCATTGTACATGAACTGGCCCTGGTACTCCTTCAACATCTGGACAGACCGCTTTTCGTCCAAGAAGAGCGAGTACACTCTCTTAATATCCGCCACGTCCACTGCAATCGCCTTGCGCTTCTTGGCCACAAACGACGAGGCTGTGATCAGGTGGATAGAGTACCGCAACGACGTCTCCATACCGATCCTGGTCAAGATATCTTTGGCTTCCTCAGTCATCTGAACATCCTCCTCTTCGCAGCGGATCGTCAAGATCTGCTTGATTTCGGGCTCGGTATAGGCAGTCGTGCTAATGATCAAAAGACGGTCCAAAAGATCGACGGGCAATCCGTGGGGTGACTTGTAGCTAGTGCCTCTAATCTTCGAGATTCCACGGTTCGATGCCATGATCACCACAGGGGCCAGGGGGTCCTCCAAAGCGCGGTTGAGGAACGAGAAGCACTCAATGTCGAGAACGTGGACCTCATCAATGAACAACACTCCAGGCACAATCTCGGCCTTGCCCTCCTCGCGCCATTCGCCAACCTTTTGGTTGATCTGTTCCCGGACCTCAGACTTGATCTCACCAGTGTCTCCAGAGAAGAGGGCCAAGAAGCCCTGGGATCTGCTGTTGATGACATCCATCTCGTGTAATGAGACAGTGTGGACAACCTCCTTGCGCTTCTGGAGCTCTCCCTCGGGACACTGCACAAACTTGGTATCCGATCCCATGGCATCGTAATCTCTGGCACGGGTGAATGAGCGTCCGAGCTTCGAGATTCTGCCGGAAGCCTTGTCGATCGTAATCACATCTCCTGCCATGACCTTTTCCTTGTTCAACGCCTCAATCATCTTGGCGCCCAAATCGTATATCGTCTCCATCTCTGTCGTCTTCAATGTCAACTTGCCCGATTTTTGACCCTATTTCCCCATTGAGTGATGTATGGTAGCGTTAGTTGTCATTGTATCTGTTTGCACACCGTCAGCGAATTTCAACGCCAGAGAGGTGGGAATCAACAACAGAAAACAATATCTTCCATGACAAAGCAAAATCGTCCTTCCTCCACGAAAAAGAGAATACAAGAAAGAAAAACTTACAAGGCCAGTGGTGGAGCGGTCAATCTGGATCTCAACAACCTCTCCTTCAATAATCTCAGACTCCTCCTTAATCCTCACACCAATCGAACGTCTAAAAGCCTGGGTCAAAGCCTCGGTTTTGCCCATCTCCAACGAAAAGATCTCCGAGGCGGCCAACATGGTGAAGGGGACATCGGATCCGAGGGACTGGGCCATACCCATGGCAATGGCAGTCTTTCCGGTTCCGGGCGCACCGGCCATCAAGATGGCTCTTCCTGCGTTCCTGTTGCCATCCTGAATCATCTTGAGCATCACTCCGGCGGCACGACGGGCCTTGACCTGGCCCACCATTCCCTGTGCTGACTGACGGGCTTCCAGACTGTCGTCCAATCCCAAGCCGTGGATGTGAGAGTGAGCACCTATTATTATTCGTTGGTAAGAAAGGTGGACAAAAGTTATGTTGGTTGACCTTCTTTACGAGGATACGTGACAAGGGGAAAGATAAACAAAGGTTGACTGAGAATACAAGTTGTAAGCATCGCAGTGAACGCGACAGCATGGGTGTGGATCGACCTAGTGTCGTTGTCGGGGAAGGTGTGAATCAGGCGAACATACCAATGCGCTCCAGGTTGGTGATATCACGGAGACCGGTGGTAGCAGTGTTGGTTGCCATTGTGTAAGTGTTTGTTTGTGTTGGTCGTGAAGAGGGTGACGATTGTTTGGTGGCAGTGAGCGTGTTGTTGATTCCGTTTCTATTGAGTGAACACATGTCAGCAATTGCAGGTGTTAGAGTTCAAGCACTGATTTCGTAGCGAGAGAGATAGAGAGACAAGTATTGAAAGTAGCTCCTTGGTGGAAAGTAACATACCGAGACGAAGTAGCGGTGAGAAGAAGAAGAGAATGGAATTGGACGAGAAGAAAAAAGGAGTGCAAAGAGTTGGGGCAAGGGCAGAGTAATGATGCAGAAGAAGAGGAAGAAAAAAAAAAAGAAAAAGAGGACTGTTTGTGAAAAGAAGTGAGGCGTGTTGTGTGTGTCTGTGGCTTGGCTTTCTTCCTTCTTTCATTCATTCAGTTTTACTTGGTGGCGCTCTCTTCAATACATCATCGATGATAGTGGTTTATGTTTGCTGTTATCTAGTAAAGGGTGCAATGTATTACATAAAGGCTATATGTCTATGTATATGTGTTCAAACGTTCTCGTCGTTAGACCGCGGCTCCCGGCTGGCAGACTTAGCTTCACGCCGCGACTTTTTGAACGAGGAAAACAACCACGCCCAAATCCAATCCAACCGGCCTCCACACGTCGATGCCCACCGGGCTAAATCCTTGACATCCTTCTTGACATTGACAAACAGGCCTGTTCCTTGAGAACCTGGCGACGATGATGACAGTGCATACTTGGACGTCGCCAGCACAAAGGTCGAATCTCGCACAATACCTGTGCTAAGTTTGGTGTTTGTATGAGAGTTATTGGTATCGGTGTTGGTGAGGGGCTGGATGGTTCCAGCGGGTATCATGTGGCGGTCTTGGAAAAAGCGTTTTCGGATTGCCAGCGGAATGGGGTTGGGCTTTTGTTCTGATCCAGAAGAAGCAGAGATTGTGGTTGCTGTATTGTTGTTGGTCGGAGCAAAGCTGGCTGTTGAGGGCAGGAGCGATTGGTGATCTACTTTGGCCACAGGAAGAGTATTCTGTTGAATATGGTGGATCCAATACTCCAATCGACGATCATCGATCCTTGCGCCAAAGGTCCATGTCAGATCTGTCGAATGAACCGGCGTTGCAGCCTTGGATGTCCCCACGGCTGTTGCGTCCGAGGCAATGCAAGGATATGATGTTGTTGGGACTGGCGCTGGCGGCATAATGGTATCTTGCTGCTTTCCTGTTTCCAATGCTGGGGGGATCACCAACTCCAACCCAAGTCGTGCAATCAGGTCTAAAAAGGCAACAGTGACCTCTGGCTTTTGTTCCGTGAGGTTAGCGCGGTCAAATGTCCATGAAAGCACTGTGGTGTCGGTAAGCTGCCGTCGAGTGAGGTCCAGCAGTCCTCTCAAGATAGACGTTGCTGAAGGTTCGTCACCGTAGGCGGTCATGAACTGAATCAGAGATTCTAATTGATGTTCCTGGAATGGTTGCTTATATGTCGACAGCTTGGTCAGGCTCAGTGGTACGACAGAAGCCAATGGTGAGGTCGGAACTGAAGATGCTGTTGATGGTGAGGACACTGCAGAGGATGGCAGTGACTTGGGTGTCAGAGCAGCAGCAGTAAGTGATCCGGAGGAATGGGGCGGGGAGGGAATGGGTGCTGATGGCATAGCCGACGACGTGGCGGTCCTCCAGCGGTCCTCCAATAGCCCGTCTAGAACTATCTCTCGCTGGGCAGTCTTAACACGATGCGACTCTGCCCTCCAGAAACGGATCGTTCCTGTCAGCCTGAGCCATTCCTTGACAGAGACCAGCAGCATAGTCTTGCTCGTGGTATCATCGATATCGGCCATGGGCGCGGGATCGGTCTTGCTGTCGGTAATCAACGAGGCTGTTGCTGGTGCTGATCCTGCAGGAGGTTCAGGCACGGAGAGTCCTCCCATGTCGAGGACCACTGCAGTCTCCAATGGAGCCTCTGTCGCCTCTGTTCGGGTCTTGGAGCTGTATCCAGAGAGATTCCTGTCATAGGGGAGGATTACGAGGAGTGCAGGGTCGATAGCTTGAACGAGGGTATCCCTGATGTCTTGCCGTTGCTGGCGGTCTTCAAGTTCTTCCAAGTGGATCCTGTAGTACTGTCTGTCGTTCTGGGCTGATTCAAGTGTCGATGTAGTTGATGTAAGTGGAGTCTGTAGTTCGTAGATCTGCGCTCTGGAGAGAAGGCCGAGAGCTGTCTCCTGGACTGATGTCGTCTCTGCAGCGGGATCTGCACTCCCTTCGTCGGCAGCAGGCTTGGAGGGCAAGAAGACTTGTTGACAGAGATTGTCAAAGTTGTCAAGTGTGGATCCCATTGCAAAAGGTGTGGAATCAAGAGGGCCAAGTAGGGAAGAGTAAGAAGGGATGATGATGTGATGAGACGAGAAAGTGAGAAGGGTAAAGAAGAAGTGTGTGCAGGATGTGATGAAGGAGAGAGGGACAGGGAACAAAAGGAGAGTGAGGACAAGCAGGGTTGTTAACAACAAACAGAGGCGAAGGGGAAGGAAAAGAACGAACAAAAGGCAAAAGCAAGGCATGTCATAGGTTAATGGGACGAGAGAGAGACTGACACACACAAGCATCGATGTCTACTGGATCCAGGAGGGAGTGGCACTAGCACAATTTGTTACATATGTGTCGAGAGCAGTGATGTTCTCCCTCTATCGATTCTTGTTTGCTTCATGTGAGATGGATCGGACACGCGTGTGCAGTCCATGTGAAAGAACAGGCACACACACACCTTTCGTTTCCCTTAACTGGATAAAGAAGGGCTCCAACCTAGCGTTTTTTGGGCCATGGCTCTGGTATGTGGTGGTTATCCATGCCAGCTGGGGATAGTGGCACAGCGTCTTTTTATCACTAGTGGAACTATTAGAGGGTGATCCAACGATACGATTGGTCAATTGATATATATTCAGGAACAAGGGCTATTTGTAGCATCCACACTACTTTGAATCATGAACAACATGTAGGCATAGTCTACCGAACATAGCGAGCGTATTTTCCGTTGCTGTCTTCGCAGCAAGCACACTCCACAGGCAGTAACAAGCATGTACGGTGCATGTATGGGTAGAAAAATAAATGGCCTCTCTCTATTGACTTTGCTCAAAAATAAATCCCACCAAATCTCCTTTTTTTAATTCTTTTCATTTCATCTTTTCTCAGCACAGAAAAATGAGTTGAAAGCAACTCCTTGGGTGTGTCCATCCTGCTGCTTTTATGGATGTAAAGAGCTGAGCTGAGTCGCCGGTTGATTCTTCTTTTTTCTATATCCTTTATTCAGCTGTTCGTTTGGTTTGTTGTTGTTGGGTTTACGCAAATCAACCCGACCCGATCAACTTCAACGACAACAGCAACAAATAGCAACAAGAAGGAGGAAAAGTGCTCTCAAGAAAGAAAAAAAATCCTCCATAGTTCAAGGTTTACTGGTGGTTTGTTTGAAGGAATTGTGTGATTGAAGGGTAATAAATCCCTTTTGGAGAGCACGAAAAACAACAACATTCAAACCCCTTCTCAATCCTTCGTTTGATCCTCTTGCTCTCGTTGTCGTTGATATGAATGATTGAGAGACCATTCCAATGGGTGAGAGAGGAACACTCTCTTGCTCTCGATTCGATATTGAGAAAGGAAAAGGCCTTCTTTTTTTTTGCTTTGGTAACACAACGCTACTACTAACCCGGCTAAAGTCCACCTTTTTGTCTCGTTCTTCATCTTCTTCTGCCTCATTCTCGCTTCAGTCTCGTTCCTTTTCCATATCCTCTCTTTCTCTTTGCCCTTCCCTTCTCTTTCTCTTTCTCTCTTCACTACTCTCGCTCCTCTCCAGCTCCTTGCTCTTTCCTCTCTTTGCCCATCCTGATGACCCCATTCAACTTACACAATTCCTAAATGACCCTTTCCATTCTCAACCAAAAGCAACCATAACAAAAAAAAAAGAAGAAACGAAACCCTTTTCTTTCACGTATACCATTTCTTTGAAACCAAACCCGTGCGACACTTAGACATCTGGGCATAATCAGTTTGAGATTCCAATTCCTCGCCATTCATTCTCTCGACACCCTTCCCTCATTCCAACTTTTGTCTCCTATCGGGAATTTTCTTCTAGACTCAACCCGCCACCCCGACAATCCTACACGACCGTCCTCCTTCGCTTTTGTCTGCTTAGAGGACACAGTGTCGACTCTTTATCTTCCGTTCTTGTTCATCGTCTTTTTTTTCCCTGTCGTTGTACTGTTCACCTGTTTGCATTGCATGCCTGAGGGATAAAAGCATTAGCGCAAAAAAAAGACGAAAATACCGCACACAGCCCCAGCATCCTTGACTTCTTTTCAGAGACTTGGCCCTTTCTTGGCTTTGCCCTTCTCTTCGTATTTTCTACTTCTCTCTTTCTCCTCTCGTCTTCCTTTTTTTCACACTCTTGATCCTTTCCTCGAACCCTCATATCCCTCCTTCAACCTTCCTTTTCATTTTCAATCACAACCAGTGTTGCCTGGGTTCCTTCTTCCTTCCACCTCATTCTCTCTTCCCCTATCACCTACCAACCGATCGATCCATCATGGACAAACTCTTCACAGCATCGTCACCCTTCTCCCAGGCAAACTACAGTCCTCTTCGGAATCCACACGAACAAGACCAGGACGACGACGACCCGGCCAGTAGACCTCCTCACCGATCACCTATTCACCAACATCACCATCACCACCCTACCAACCCACAACCACAACAGTTCCGTCACCGGTCGCACAGTCAGAGCAGTAGCCGAGCCGCCATAGCCTACTCCTCTCCCGATCATCAACATCCTACAGGCTCTTTCTCAGAAGGCGAACATGACTCTGACTCGGAGACACCCTTGACACCCTTCAACAAAACCAGCAACAGCAACAACCGTGCCTCTTCAGGATCAGTTCGCAACTCTCCCTCGATGGATCGCAGCGGCGGTATCTCTTCTGGGGCTGCTCGTCGAATCAGTGGAGTCCGTCCTCAGTCCCTTGGCAGTACTGGCACTGTCGGCATCATTTTGCAGGGCGAGACCATCATTGCCTACAACAACACTCCAGCATCGATGACAGGCGGTATTCTCCCTTTGTCAGCCATGGATTCCTCCTCATCGTCAGATGATGAACCGTCCTCCCCTCCACCAAAATACACCGCCGAAGACTTGGAATACTCTGAACCCGCGGGACGGCCGTCACGACACTACAACAGAGATGAAGAAGTCGGCTTGGGCTTTCATGGACTCGAGGATAGTCAAGGCGATGGACTGTTGATGCAGGTAACAACAACAAAAATGGCATCGCCACTCTGTGAAACGGTCGTGCAAAAGAGGGAGAGAGAGGGAAGGGTCCAGGATGCAAAAATGGAGGCTGGGCTTAGTTTTTTTTCTATTTCAACCTTGCTGCTTATTTTTTTTTGTTTGCTGGGTGGGCGAGTCAATTGCGATTTCCAATTATAACTCGCTGAAGGGGGGAAATATCGACGGGAGAAATGTGCGATGGGAAAGGGGGTTGGATAGAAAAGACAGACTGCAGAGGACAAAGGACAGGAGAGGACAGGACAGGACGAGGCATGCGGAAGCAATTGGACAAGGAGGAAAGACGGAAATCGATAACCACACCATTGGCACGCAGCAGAAGATGGATTCGTAGGGAAGAATGATGGTTACCATAGGAAGTCGAGATCGGTACGCGTGTTGTTTTAGACGAAAAGTCAAAATCGCGCCAAAGTGAGACACCATCACTAAAACCAAGGAAAAGGGGGAGACTGAAGGAGTTCGAGGGATTCAAGGAATAAGGCAGACAATTGACCTTTTTGAGGATTAGCACGAAAATAGAGTTGGTCTTAGACTGGTGTCCTGCCTGGCCACTTTTTTTTTCCTACTTCAACCAATGGGTTTTACTAACTACTTGCTCTTCTCTCCCTTTGTTCTTCACTCCTTTTTGTTACTAGGCATCAACAACGTTGATCTTTGCTGTGAGCGGACTTATCTGCGCTGGATGGCTTCTTGATCTGATACAGGTACGCCTTGCTGCACTTGCGCTACAATTACAATGACGGTGTTTCGTAGTCAACAGGAAACTAACTTGCTTCGTTCTTCATTCTCTCTGCAGCACTGGCAAGTGTTTATCGAAATCTCGGAACTCATCATCCTCATCCCCATTCTTCTCAATCTCAAAGGCAACCTCGAGATGAACCTTGCCAGTCGCCTCTCCACAGCTGTAAGCTATCTTACTTGTTTTTTTTGTTGTCTTTTTGATACTATTTTTCGTGATGATCATCATTCTCACTACTTACCCTCTTTTCTATAGGCAAACTTGGGATTACTGGATCAAAAAGCATCGCGCAACGCATTCATCAAAGGAAACTTGGGTCTTCTCCAACTCCAAAGTTTGGCCGTCGGATCGGTTGCAGGATTGTTCTCATTCGGACTCGGGATGGTGGTTCATCCGACGACCAACAACTTTAACGAGATTGCACTTATGATCACTGCGTCTATGCTCTGTGCTGCCATGAGCAGTTTTGTCCTGGGTGGATTCATGTGTGGACTTGTCCTTGTCTGCCGTCGTTACCGCATCAACCCTGGTTAGTTTTATGATTAATTGTTTGCGGGGGAAAACGCTATGTGTATTTTCGGAGATCTGACAATGAACTTTCTTTGCCTTTTTTTTTTTCTTCTGTCGTATTTGTAGACAATATTGCATGTCCGTTGGCATCATCGTTTGGAGACTTGGTAACGTTGGTCATCCTGGCTGCAGTCTCCGTCTTCCTCCAAAAGTACATCAGTAAGTATTTTCGAAAATCTCTACGGATCCCCATCCATTGCTCACTACTTTTTGCTCTCAAAACACAGAAAGGGTTTGTGGAAATGAAAAAAAGTGTGCTAATGCAAATATGCTGCTCATGTTTTATTACTTTTCTTACCCACCATTCTAGACTCACCCCTGTCAGTCCTCATGCTGGTCGTGTTGCTGGCTCTGATCCCCGCATGGGTGATCTACGTTCGCAAGAACAAGTACGTTTGCGAGGTAGCCAAGGAAGGATGGGGTCCCGTCTTTGCAGCGATGGTGATCGCCAGTACAGCAGGTCTGGTCCTCGAGCGGTACATCAATGAGTTCCCCGGGATGGCTCTTATCTCCCCAGTCTTGAACGGGCTTACAGGAAATATTGGATCGATCTATGCCAGTCGAATCTCGACTTCGTTGCATGCAAGCGTCAAGGAGAATTATCGGGAGACGGAACGGACATTGTTCTTGGTCCATATTCCTGTCCAGACAGTGTTCCTGACTGTGATTGCGTTGTTGGGGTTGGGCCATGTTCAGTGGACGGTGATGGTTGTGTTGGGCTATTGGGCTGTAGCGCTGTGTCTGGTTGTTATTTCGTTGGCGATGGCACGGCGAATCACCCATTTTTTCTGGAACCGTGGATATGACCCTGATAACTATGCCCTTCCCATCCTGTAAGTTCCTTCATTCATTTGCTTGGGTCAGTTATCGCGTTGTTAATTCGTACCATTGATAGTTCCTGTTTAGCTAACCTTGTTATCTTTCCTTTCCTTCCCCTCCCCTAGGACATCGTTGTTGGATGTGATTGGAACGGTACTGTTGGTCATTGGGTTCTGGGCCCTCAGTTATGGTGACCCAACCTCCAGTAGCGCGGGCGACCCATAAACCCGGTTCTCTCTTATCATTCCTTCTCTCCTAATCTTGTACATTAAAAAAACTCCTCTTTTTGCATGTATACACAAGCCCGCCCCCCTGTACGTTGATTTTTGATTTCGAGCACCGAAAGAGGATTAGTGGCAAAATGACGAACGGGGATCACGATGACATTTTTTTTCGTACACCTCTCTGTTTGGTTCCAAAAATGCTGGCTGAACGAAACGAACAACGACCACTGTTGTTCTTTTTTGGCGATTCGTCCTGCTGCTGCGTTTGTTGTTGTCCGTGTGTGAACAACGGGTATTTCTTGTTTTCTCGTACGAGCAACCACACTCACGACAAGAGCAAGAAAATGAATGATCTTCTCTCGAGGCAGTAGCAAAAGGCTTCAATAGAAAATGTTCGAGGATGTCCACGCATGAACGAAAAAGAAGAAGGAGCGCTGTTTTCATAGCGTCATAGTTCGCTAGAGGATACAACAATGAAGCAGGGTTGCATGGCGAGCATGGAAAGACTCCCCCCCCCCCAAAGAACAACTCGAAAGGGGGGTTGCTTCGTTCGATGATCACATCGTTGAGGGAACTTTCAAAAGCGTGTCACATGCACCCAGATCGAGGGGATCCTCGTTTGAACAAGCCTAAGAGGACTCTTTTGGTGGTCCTCTTCTTCGTCTCTTTCTCTTTTCTCTTCTTCTTCTCTTTTCTTTTTTTTCCCTCATTCAGTTCTTCGAATCAACCCCCTTTCCTCCATCACCAATACACCAGAAGCGAATCAGTCCTTCGCCCATTCTTTTTTTTATTCTTTTCTTGTATCTCCGTCCACTCTGTGGATCACAGACCAACAAGTTTACATTTCCGGCCAACAAGGACCCTTTTCGTGAGCCCTTCTTCTTTTTTTTTATATAACTTTCCCCACAACGCCAAGCAAACCCAACGACGACAATCAACGACCAAGAACGATGAATATGACAGAAAGTCCACCGTCCATGCAAATGGGCGACATCCCGAGACTACCCATGCCGCCTTCGACCACCGTCGTCCCCGCGAACGAGTACTATGCGAATGCGAATTATATCTCCCGCCACCGCTCCATCAGCAGTGTAAGTTTTTTTTTTTTTTTTCATTTTCGAGTGATGAGGAAGGGACAGGCTGTCGTTCGCCCGTTCGTTGAGCGTGGATTTAGCAAAAAGAAAAGAATGGTTTTCTATGGGAATATGGAGGAGTAGGACGAGTAGTGCGCGGAGAAGAAGGGAGATCGGACGATATTAGCGTGCATCAGTCTTTTCTGGGGCTAATTTTGATGACGATGATGGATAGGATGATAGATGGTGCGGGGGTGATCCTCGCTTTTTATCACTTTTATTTTTCCGTTGTCGCCTCAAATGAAAAGAGGGAAGGAAGATCTGGGCAATAGGATCCTTTCCAACCAGAATGAACGAGTGATATCACCTCTCCTTGTCTTTGGTTCTTTTGTTTTCTTTGCATGAAAACCACCGATTCACACCCTCTTTTATTCGTCCATTGACTTTCGACGAAATCAAAAGAGGAGATGGCGAAACCGCAATGCAAGGGGAAAGGGAAAGGGAAGAGGAAGGGGGCTAGAGATAATATTGTACCGATAAGTCGTTATCGATTGCCATCCTCATGTCTGCACGTTTTCCCCTTTGTTTTTACTTGCATTAACATCGTCGTCATACTGAAATGACAACATACACAAATTAGTCGTCAAAGTCAAGTAGTCAGTACGCAAACGACGTTGCCGAACAGGCAGAGTCCGGAGGTGGCACCACAAAGTACAGACGCCAGAGGAGAGCTTCTCACGGTAAGTACACTCTGTTCTAGGTGCCTTTCCCTCCCCTTTATTTGTTTAGAATGAATGATGCAACCAATTTCAATTACTCAACATGTTGGCCGACTGGTTCGTAGATGACAAGGCATTCAAGCCACGCAGGTTTTTGATCGACGTAGAGGAGACGCAGAGACTGATACTGGAGCAAGAGGACACTGACGGCGACTTCCAGATCACAGTCAACGACATTGGACCCAAGGTCATCACGCTCGGTACCGCAGACTCTGCAGGATTCAACAAGTACGACATCCGCGGCACTTACATGCTCAGTAACCTCCTCCAGGAACTCTCCCTCGCCCAGGACTATGGCCGTAAATACGTTGTCCTGGATGAGGCCAGGTTGAACGAGAACCCTGTCGATCGATTGTCACGTATGATCCGTCATCACTTCTGGGATGGGTTGACGAGACGCATTGATGCTGAGGGATTGGAAATGATTTCGAATGATCCCAAGAACCGGTCCAAGAATACGGCGCCGAGGATATATGTCCCCTTTGGAGAGGATGAGGTTCTGGAGTACTACAAGGGGGTGAGCGTTAGCAAACCTAACCTGGGGTTGGAAGTCGAGCAGCTGCCCAAGGACATCACACCCAAGTATGTCCAGTCGATTAACGAGAAGCCCGGGATTCTAGCTTTGGCTATGACCAAGCATGTGGAGGAGGATGGGTCAGAGACCCTGAAGGGCGTGCCCTTTGTTGTGCCCGGTGGTCGGTTTAACGAGATGTATGGCTGGGATTCGTACTTTGAGTCACTGGGACTGTTGATCGATGGACGGTTGGAGCTGGCCAAGGGGATGGTGGATAACTTTGTGTACGAGATTCAGCATTATGGCAAGATCCTCAACGCCAACCGTAGCTACTACCTCACTAGGACCCAACCGCCCTTCCTGACAGACATGATGCTCAAGGTCTATGATCGACTCCCCTTCAGTCTGGAGGCCGAGAACAAGAAGTGGCTGGCTGTGACCCTGGCCGCCGCCATCAAGGAGTACCTGACGGTCTGGATGTCCCAGCCCCGATACGACCCTATCTCGGGTCTGTCTCGGTTCTATAGCGAGGGCGTCGGTATGCCACCCGAGACTGAGGCGACGCATTTCGATCATGTTATCAAGCCCTTTGCTGATGCCATGGGCCTGTCGATCGAGGTCTATAGCAAGTTGTACAACGAAGGGACGGTGATTGAGCCCGAGTTGGATACGTACTTTAAGCATGATCGTGCTGTGCGTGAGTCTGGTCATGACACGACGTATCGGTTGGACAATTGCTGCGCTGATTTGGCGACGATTGATCTGAACGCGTTGTTGTACAAGTATGAGATCGACATTGCCGAGACTATCCAGAACATCTATGGAGATTCGTTCGAGACGCCACACTATGACTGCTACGACACGTTGGCCCAGGAGGAGAAGGAGGAAAAGACGGAGAGTGAACAGGAGAAAATGTCGGGGGAGAGGATGATGATGCACACGTCGGAGCAGTGGTTTGAGCGAGCGCGGATCCGGCAGGAGAAGCTGAACCGATACTGTTGGAACGAGGAGCGAGGCATGTTCTTTGATTATGATACCCGGCTCGAGACCATGTGCACCTACGAGAGTGTCACCACCTTTTATGCCATGTGGGCCGGATGTGCCGACCGTGACAAAGCCGAGCGCATGATGTATGTTCCATATTTATTCGTTTTTTCTCAGCCATTGATTGAGAGTTGAATTTGACGCTAACTCTTTTTTTTTTTTGTATCAAAATCATAGGACAACGGCACTTCCGTTGTTCGAGGTAACGGGAGGCCTGGTATCGGGTACAGAGTCATCCCGCGGCTTCATCACGCTCGCGAGACCCAACCGGCAGTGGGACTTTCCCTTTGGATGGGCGCCTCACCAGATCATCTCTTGGATTGGCTTTGAAAAGTATGGTTACATGGAGGAAGCTAAACGCACCTGCTACCGCTGGCTCTACACGTAAGTCCTCGTCTCCCTCTATCATCATTGGTTCGGGCTATCTTGAAACTCTGGTCTATGTTAAGAGAGGAGAGCCAGACGTCTTTCATCGTATAACACACTAACCCCACCCGTTCGTTTTTTCACAAATACTCCGCGTTTGTAGAATCACAAAGTCATTCGTAGACTTTAACGGTGTGGTCCCCGAAAAGTTCGACATTGTCAACATGACCCACAAAGTCGAAGTCGAGTACGGGAACGTCGGTGTCGATTTCAAGTTTATCCCACGTGAGGGGTTTGGATGGATGAATGCCAGTTATCAAGTTGGACTTGGGTATATGGACCGCGGGTTGCGTCGTGCTTTGGGTGCGGTGATGGACCCGACTAAGGTGTTTAAGAGCCGCAGTAAGGCTTTTTTGCTTGCCAACGCCAACGCCAACGCCGCCAAGATTATGGAGTGTATCAACAAACTCGACATTAGCGACAAGGCTGGAGGCGAAGGTGGTATTGTTGGTAGTAACGACAGCCGCAACAACGGCGAGATCCAGCACAGTATTGAACAACAACAACAACAACAACTACTTTATCCATCCGAGCAGCACCATCACCCAGTCAGACTCCAGGGACCGGTTGTGCAACCTCTCGATGTCACCACACGCCTCCTCCGCCCTCATCGGACGTAAAAAAAAAAAAAACATTACAATATCCCTCGCTATATGGGATCAACAACACAAGGGACATTCAAAAACAAGCACAGGAGGAGGAGGAGGAGGGAAGGGGGAGGGGGGGATCTGTACAGAACTGAACAAAGCCGAACAACAATGAACGACTTTCGCCTTACAAATAAAAAAGCAATAGTCAACACTTTTTTCTTTTTTTTTTGTCCACTTGTTCGCTCCATGATTTAGGTTCATTTGAAAAAATATATTTGTCTATCGATATTTCATCGTCCATCATCAGCATCATCTGCTGTTATCATCCTGGGACGCGCACAAAAAGGGCACAAGGGTGGGAAAGGGGGGGGGAATGGCTTATTGCCTCTTCTTTCCAGATGTAACTTGTGGACTGCTGCTGCTGCTGCTGCTTGCGCCGCCAGTCGAGAACTTTGCGAGGGTGGCCGAGATGTCGGGCATCTCAAAGCTGGGCATCTTCATATCGTCCTGCATTCCCTGCATCTCTTCCATTGCCTCAGAGTCTATTTTGTATCACGATTTGAAGAATAGAAAAGGTGGGGAGTGGTTAGAATTAGAATGTAACGTAAAGATGTTAAAAGTAAGACATGATAATGAGCGAAAACACATACCCATGTTGGCCATAAGCTTGGGCATGACAAAGAGCTATTATATAAAGAGAGAAAGTTTGGATAGTGGACGGTATGGTTAGTTCCAGTCTTCGTCTCACTCCCCCCCTCCATGTTCCTACTAGGAAAAAAAAAGGTCTTCACAAATGTTACCATCAAGACACTGGCTCCCATCATCAACATCATGGGGTTGGCGAACAACGACGAGAGCTTGAACCCTTCACGAGGCTATCAATCCAATGATAACAAAAAAAAAAGACGACCTGTCAGTAAAGCATATCCAGTTTACGGAACAGATCACATTCATCCTACAATGACGACCTAAAGTGAAAAGCCATGAACAACGCAAACCATGGCTCCAGCCCATAACTTACGACGAAGAAAGTGGTGGGTGCGCGGGGGACGAGGGTGAGAGGAAGCTGGAGAGGGTTATCGTTGTTGGACCAATCGAATCCCAAGCTGACCAAGTTGGCCTTGGTCTCCTTTCCTGCAAGTGTCACCTTGACCTGTTTGATCCATCGAAAATAATAAAACAATATCAAATCCAGACCGTGGGTTGTTCCAGCGTAAAGATGGTGTGTCGGCGGTGGTGTGGCAAGATATGAAACAAGGAGAGACTTGCTGTTAGAGAGTTGCAAAAGCGGACATGGATAATACACATCCAATAATCCACTATGACAATATCTGTCCAGAATTACGTACGGTGGGGTAGGTGTACTGTGGGCTCTGGACCTCCAGAAGGTATGTTCCTTCAGGGACATTGGCGCTACGACATTTTCAAACGGAAGGCGTAATGTATGTTAGAGTCATTGGTCGTTGGGGCGTTGAATCCAGTCCATATTCCTGTCATCCATCGCAACCAGCAAGCTCAGCTTACAAGATGAATTTTCCGTCCTTAGTAATCATGGACGAGTACTGGCCTCCGCTGAGAAGAACGCGGGTCTGAGGCGAAAGTTCTGTTACGAATGCAAATATGGAAACGAAAAGGTATGTTAGGCAATCATCGTTCCATTTTGATATTTCCCCAGGTTCATGTCCTGAACACCGTCGTGAATGCAAAACTGGACGTATATATATACCTCTGGGGTGGGCGTTCTCGCCAAATCCGACGAGAAAGCCATTGAGTTCGGCGGCAGAAACAGACGACAAGCTGGAATAGAGGTTGAACATGGGATAGAATAAAAATTTCAGGTGTCAATCGTCCGTTTATCTTTGCATGCCGACAACTTGTTGGTAGTTCACTGTCTTTCCTGCCCCAAAAACACAATGTCCTGTTTGTTCCTGCGCAGGGCTATTCCTGAACAATGAGGTTTGTCCTGATGCAGCACGCCTTCTTCCATCATGTCTTTCATCTGAGAGTGACTCCTGTGTACTCCTGATGACGCTGTGTGTACGCTTGTGTGAATGCGTTTTCTCTCTCTACCTGAGGAGAGCGACGACGGCGACGGTGAGTGCCGCGATGGGGCGTGAGAAGATGCTCTTCATAGTGATGGGTCGAGTTTTGTGGTTGTCGGTGAGTGAAGAGAGAAGAATGGAAAAAAGGATGATGATCTGCTGGCACCTGTGAGCACTTGTGCTGTCGCGCGAACGGCGCAAGAAGTGACTGTCGAGCGAACGGCTTGGAAATTTCACACACACTTCTTACTGCTGGACATGGAGCTACGCGCCACCAATTCAAATAACCACTTCTTTCATGGTCAACAAGTTCGCCATTTTTTTGTCTGTTTGGAACGAACAACACACGCTGGGTGTTCTTTCAGCTTTTTGGTTTTATTTTGTGTGGCTAATGGGGGTTTTTTTGGTGTGTAGATAGTTAAGATGCATGTGAAATAATGGATTGTAGTTGTTAAATAAGAAAGACACAGAGGATCAAATATCCTGCCGCCAGGGCAAGACATTGTCAACCGGCGCTCGCTCTCTATCGTTGTGAATCGTATCTCTCTCATCACACTTCTTGAGTAGTGTCATTAATTCAAGATAAAGTGGATGGCCTTGGAGGGGACACCGTTGTTCAACATGTGAATGTAGTGGGGACCGGGAGGCATCAAGTTGGCATTAGGAGGCATTGCAACAGAAAAGGTAATCTTGGTGCCATCCTCGGAGGTCTTGGTCGACACCAGCTTGGTCACTCTCTGCGACATGTGCGTGCTGTGAGTGACAAAACCGCGGTGACCGAGCATAAAGGTCACATCAGGCTCGTACTTGTCCGTGGCCTTGACATCGATCACAATATCCAGCTTCTGATCGTACGTCAACTTCTCGGGGATTTCGCTCACAATCTCGGGTCTCTCCAAGTCTGTGGTCAAGTAGGGAGGGGTGAAGGACTCGACGCGGTACTCGGTGGGGAAAGGCACGTCATTGAAACGGACTTCCGAGTTCTGGTTCGATCCGGCGACAAAGACGGTACCGTCAGGCAAGAGAGTAGCAACAGAGTGGTACATGCGGGCAATGTTGCTGGGAGTCCACTCCGTGAAGCGCTCGCCAAGACGTGCATCGGGATCGTAAACAACAGGGGTATAGATGGGGTTCGAGGCGCGCAAGAATCCAGCGTATCCGATTTGAGCTCCGTTCAACAACATAATCTTTCCATCGGCGAGAATAACGGCGTCCGACATGAGGCGAGGGGTGGGCATCTCGTCCATCTCCCACTGAGGATCATCGGCATGAAGGTTGATACGACCGCAAGACGAGAGTGCGTTGGAACGAGTTGTCATGGCCTCGGATCCTCCGCAAACGAGAACCTCGTGGGCGTAGTTCTTGGCGGGGTCCAGAGGCAAAAGCACATGCGATCCTGTCAAGGGGTAAGAACGAGGTCCTCCAGGAAGGTCGGGGAGGCGCTTGATCTCTTTCCGAAGTTCGATGCTGTAGATGCAGGACTTTTGGTTGGCAAAGATGTAGAGGTTTCCGTCGGGGAGGGAGTAAACGTTGGGGTACAGGTTGTTGGGCATGGCATCGACCATGAAGGGCATGTGCACTGGCTGGAAGTCGGCAGCTTTGGGGTAGAACTCCCAGGTGGGGTTGTTGGTGGCCAAACGGTTGATGGCGAGAGATTCGTTGCTTCCTCCGAGGATAAAGAGATCTCCTGAAGGCAAGGTGGTGAACGAGACATACCAACGGTTTCCTGTCATCTCCCAGACGGGGTCTTCAGGGTTCTCGATCCATTCGCACGAGTTGTCCTCGCAAGGCTGCCACATGCGCAATGACTGGAAGCCCTTGGTAGCAACAAAGGTGTGTGTTTGCTATAAAAAATGAAATGCAATCGCATGGACTCTTGTTAGTTGGACACTTGCGCCAAGGCCGTTACCATCAGCATCATCATCATGTCGACAACTGAACATAGGGGACTTACGCGAGCCTCAGCACCTCCTCCGCTAATGAGTGTTCCGTTGGGCAAGAATCCTCCTCCAGAGCAGAAGGTGTTGGTGGCGACATCTAAGACTCTGTATTCGTTGGTCTCGATATCGTATTCGACAGTGTGGGCGGCTTTGCCAGAGGGCAACTTTGCAGGGTTGTTTTCGGCCTTGTCGATGATGAGCATCTTTTTTGGTGTGACCAGAGCAATATGCTGGGCAGCGACACCGGTGAGACCGACGACCTTGAACGAACCCTTGGGCTGCGTGGGGATGGGCTTGGGCTTCTCGCCTGCAGCAGGTGCAGGAGGAACTGTGGAGAAGGCGAAGGGCTGGCAGACTCCGTTGAAACTAGCAGTGGCGTCGCAACCATTACCGCAGGCCAAGCGCGAGTTTCCGCAGTGGCCATGCTATTTTGGTTGAATTTGTTTTATCATAAAAAATATAGGTACGTTAGTCACCACCGTATCCACTTCGTAGCCTTTTGTTTAGAGCCGACACGACGTTGGTTCTCATTGAGTGCAATTATCAGTTATGCACGAATCAAAACGAGAGGAAGGGAAAAAGTGGCAGGGAGAAGGAGTAGAGGGCTACTTGTGTTGGTGGTAGGGCTGGCAGAAGAGGGAGGGGGAAGGGGAGTGTCGTGGCAGGAAGAGCAGGTGTGGTTGGCTGTTGACTACAACTGACAAGACTAGCAGTAGGCTGTGTACAGTTGTCGTTCAGTGATGACTGAGTTGAGATCGAGTTGGACTAGATCGCAGTGTTGAGTAGGGGAGAGATTCTTACAGGACTGCAACATGGGGTCTGTTCAGGGCAGGCGAGACCATTGTTGTATTTGCATGCGGCGGCGTCGGCGGTGAAGGAGAGGGAAATGAGAGAGGCAGCGAGGATGAGCCCCAGCTTGTGGATGAACACCATCTTGGTTAGTGTTTGATGTAGTCGTTAGTTGTCGTTGATAGAAGGGTCGTCTATGTGTATGTGAGCGAGTATTGTGGGTATAAAGAGAGAGAGGGATGAGGTAGGTCTAGGGAATGCAAGGGAGTGGGGTGGGAGATGGGAGTGAATGGGAGAATGGGAGAATGGGAGAATGAGAGATTGAAGAACAAGAGTAAAGACAAGAAGGAAGAAAGGAAGAAAGGAAGAAAGGATAAAAGAAAGAGGTCCTTTTATGCTTGTGTGTGCATGTGAAATGTGTGTGTGGATAATAATGGGAGTGTGCCAAATAAATGAAGGAGGAGTGTAGAGTAGTGTCCCAGACCAATTTGTATTAATAGAGCAACTGACGGTTTATTTTTGGGTCGTTCTTGCCGTGATACGCCCACCTGCGTCCTCTCTCCGCAGAGGAGAAGAGAAAATGGGCGCGGGCGTGACTGAGGCAAGTGTTGGCTGGGCTGGACAGGGGGCACACATGGGAAGAGCGTGGCGGTGCAGCTTATCTCTCCATCTCTCCAGTGAGGGCACACACTCGTTTGCACAAACATATCGAAACACTGACCATTGTCCTGCTGGTTGCTGGTAGACTATCAAGCGCTTATTACATTCGCCTATTGTGCATTCGCATGAAACTGCAGGACACAGAACACATTTCTCTTTGTCTGACCGCGAAACTTCCTTCAAGCAACAACAATCGTCATCTGACTGTCTAGAAAAGACTGAGCGCCATACTATTTCTATTTTCATCAATCCATTTCTCTCCTCTCTCCTCTCTCCTCTCTCCTCTCTCCTCCGCACCACCCCCATCGCCCAACATTAATCTGCCTCCCCCGATCGCGATCGCTCATCGTTCCGTATCGCTGCGTCGTCATGGACAAACAAAACGCCACACCCATCCGCCACTCCGCCCCTGCATCTGCATCCGTATCCGGCTCTGCAACATCGCCACGTTTACCTACAATAACTATGCCCACGCGATCCAGTACAAGAGAGTCAACCCCTGCTTCCATTTCCCATGCCTCTGTTCGCTCTTACCGCTCAGGAACTGGCTCCAGCTATAACGCACAGTCCAGCAACCAAAAGGCTGACAGCTCTCATTCACGTTCAAACACCCGTCGCTCCAAACAGTCAGGTGCTGCCTCTTCAAAATCGACTGGTGGCAAGGACGGACAGAGCTTTGTCGCAGCCGTTGTCGAAGGTCGAGGCACCGGCGCAGAGGTCGGGATGTGCTTCTGTGATCTCAAAACCAGCGAGGTCATCCTTTGTCAGGTACAGACAGGCACTTTGTTCAACCTCTTGGCTCTTGTCTTGTTCTCTTCATCTGGGGATAACTAAGCCTTTCAACATCGTTTTCGCCATTCCTTTCAACCAGATCGCAGACTCGCAGACATATGTCAGGACGCTACAAAAACTGAACCTCTACGAACCAGCAGAGGTAACAACTGAACCACGGATCACTTGTGAGGGAACTATGGAGCCAAAGCTAAAATTCTAACTCCTCCGCACCTTTCTGTCAATGCGCTAATAGATCCTGGTGCCAACAACGGCGGTGGACCCAGTCAACTCCAAGCTGGTCAACATCATCAAGGAGACGATGCCAGCCAGCACCATTACACCGATTGCTCGTCGATCCTTCAACGATACCACAGGTACCCATTTTCGTTGACGCATGTGTACTTTTGCCACCATTTTTTTTCTTTCAAAATCTATTAAGCTTAATTTTTCTTTCCCATAGGACTGGAGTACATCAAAAGGTATATCGTCAAGGAAGGGTCGGCTTCATTGCTACTCGGGATCCCCACAAAGTACTTTTGTCTGGCCGCGACTGCTGCTGTCATGCAACACATCAAAGAGTCCCGTCATGCCGTCTTTCTCAACCACTCAGTCCGGTTCAAGTACCAGATCTGCACTGGGAGCATGGTCATTGACTGTGCAACTGCGCGCAATCTAGAGTTGACAATGAACCTTTCCAGTCAGAACGACAAGGATACGCTTTTTGGGATCTTGAACGAAACCTTGACTCCCATGGGTGCTCGACTTCTCCGGTCCAACATCTTACAGCCCCTGACTGATGAACAGACGATCCAGACTCGCTTGGACTCTGTTCAGGAACTGTCTCAAGTCGAGGATCGATTCTACGCCCTCAAGACCTCGCTCAAGACTCTAATCGATGTCGATCATCTGATCACGTCTTTCATCCAGGTCCCCACCAAGCCTAGCATCAAACATTCGGAACAGTGTATCAACCATGTCATCAACCTCAAGCATACGCTGCATGCCATCACCAGCGTCGCTGAATCTCTCGGGCCTTGTCAGAACAGACTCTTGGTGACGATCCTTCGGCTCTTGACGGACCCTCGGCTGGAAAAGTTCTCGGGTCTCATCGATGAAGTGATCGAAAAGAATGTAATGCTGGAGAAGACAGCTGTTGGAATCAGGCACCAGCGCTGTTTCGCTGTCAAGGCTGGCTGCAACGGTCTACTCGATGTCGCACGACAGACCTACAAGGAGACCTGTAACGACATTTTGGATGTCACCAACTGTTATGTGCAGGAATACGGCATCAACCTCAAGGTCCAGTTCAACGTTACGATGGGTTACTACTATACGACAACGGTCGACCAGCTCGGTGGCAACGAGGTGCCCTTGGTCTTCATCAATGTTGTCAAGAAGGGAAAATCTCTGACGTTTACCACTCTGGAGCTAGTCAAGAAGAACGCAAAGATTAACGACTCGCTGACGGAGGTATACCTGATGTCTGATAAGATCGTCAGCGACCTTTCAAGCAACATTCGTGTCGAGATCGGCGCTTTGTACAAGGCATCCGAAGCTATCGCGATGCTCGACATGTTGCTATCATTTGCCCACCAATGTACCATCGGCGACTTTGTCCGGCCAGAGTTCACCGACACCCTGGTCATCAAGCAAGGACGGCACCCTATTCTTGAAAAGATCTCTTCGACGGCGTTCATCTCCAACGACACATATGCGGGATCAGCTAACACCTTTCAAATCATTACTGGTCCTAACATGAGTGGCAAATCGACCTATCTTCGTCAAGTTGCCCTGTTGACCATCATGGCTCAAATCGCCAGCTTGTAAATCTATTTGTTTTAGTATTCTCAACACAACGCGCGCTCCATCGTGAAGGAGCCACTTTGATTAATGTTCAACTCTCGTCTAATTTGACTACTCCTAGCGTGCCAGCAGAATACGCGTCCTTTCGCATCATTGATCAGGTAACTGAAGTCACCAGCTGTGTGCAGTTTTTCCCCTCAAGCGAGCCCAAAGCAGTACAAGGATGTCACCAACACGAGGTTTATTTGCTCTTTTACATGACATGATAGTTGCTGAGCCGGATCTGCAATGATGACTGCATAGAGCTGAACGCGTCTACTTTCATGACGGAGATGAAAGAGACTGCTTACATTGTCGAGAACGCAACAAAGAAGAGTCTTGTCATTATCGATGAGCTTGGTCGAGGTAAATATGAATTTAGTGCTGACCATGAGAGGCTGTCAGTCAGCGTCTAGAATACCCTCCTAATCAATGTGTTCACTTGCGTGTTGAACAATTAGGCACTTCTACGCACGATGGCCTTGCGATCGCGTTTGCGGTCTGCGAAGAGTTGATTCACAACAGATCGCTGGTTTTCTTCGCGACACACTTTCAGGAACTGACCTCTACTCTGACAGCCTACCACAATGTGGTTAACTTGCATCTCGAGACAGAGGTATGCCAATTGCCTGTTTACTATTTTGAGTATTATCACTTTTTTATACTTATATTTTTCATGCGGTGTCTATTCGATTAGATGACACGAGATGAGGGACAGAAGCCAGGGATCTCGTACAAGTATCGGCTTGTGAAGGGTTCAGCGAAAGAAGAGCATTATGGTATGCTAACATGCAATTACACTCAAGTGATTGATTGATTACCTTGAACCCTTGATACATGAACCCATTGTTGACCCTCGTTTTTTTTGTCATAATTAACACTTAAAGGTCTCTCATTGGCGAAAACCTTAAACTTGCCTCACGACATCTTGACTCGTGCAGAGGTTGTTTCGATTCGATTGATGGACCTCCAAGAGTCTGCCCGTCGTCATTCCGAGAGCAACAGAATTGTTTCTCGCCGACGAGCTCTAGCCCAGGTTAGCATTGCTCTTGGATGCTTTTGTGTTGCTAGTTGCGTGGGTGACTGATATTCCTGACATATGGCTATGCTTTGCGTGCACCTCACAAGTAGGCCGCTCACGATTGCGTTCTTATCCAGGAGGCAGCAAAAGGAATGACGGATGAGGAACTCGTCGTTGCCCTGCACGATGTGCAGCAGACAGCAATGAGGCACCTGTTGGCGATCCCTCGTGAGGAACAGGACATAGACAAGGACAAGGACAAGGACAAGGGCAAGAGTGCGAAGAGAGACAGCGGTGTTGTAATGGGATAGATAAATAGCCCAGATATGTGGCCGATAAAAGACGAGTCCACGTCCTCCCCAACCTACTTAATTCTTTCCCTTGTGGGCTGTGGACGTCGGGGACAAGTGAGCATTAGCTCCAAAAGTAGCGCTTACTTTTCACTCCGTTAGCACGCTCTTTTCTTATTTTTGAGTATATTTTTGTTTTCTTCTTCCTTCTGCCCTTCATCCATCTTCCACCTTTCTTCCTTCTCCACCCATCCACTCTCATCACTACATCAAACATCCGTGCATGGCATACCTCAGTGACTTTGTCAAGTCAACCCTCTCCAGGGTCGTCCTCGGAAAGGAGATTCCCACCTTCCCCTACAACATCGGCAACAAAGTTGAATCCTTCGACTCCACCATCTGGGCCCTCCACAAGGGCACCAAACGAGTAAGGATTCCACTCCTCGCATTCACACTCACTCACCACTCTTACAATGACAATGCCACCACATTACCGTTCATTCACTAGGAAACCTTCTTCTGCCCTAATACCCGTCTTTCATTTTATTACTTGTAGGAGGACAACTCGCCAGTTTCGATTCTCTGCTTCGACTGTGTCCGTCAGAAAGACAAGCTGCCTCTGGCCAGGAATGCATTCAAAAAGTTTCGCACCATTCGACACCCCGACCTGATCAAGTATATCGACGGCGTTGAGGTATGAAGCTCTTCCACAATGGGCGAGTTCTGAGTACCAGTGACAGGACAGAACAACTATTGTCGCTGGGATGAGTCCTACCCTTGTGTACTCTTTTCGCTGAATCCATCCTATGAGCTAACTCGATGGTTTTGCCACGAATTCACCTTCTGCCAAACACGATAGACCGAGTCATATATCTACATTGTCACCGATGCTGTCACCCCATTGCAGGACCACCTCCGCTCCAACCTGGATCCCAATTTGATCCGATGGGGTCTCTTCAAAGTCGCAGTATGTGTTAAACTAATTTCCACCTCGATACAAACTCCAATGGACGTTGCTTTTGCTCAGATCAAGATCACCGACCATGGAAAACTAACAATCAACCAATTCTTTGTTTTTGTGCTCACTCGACAACATTCCGTAGACTGTGCTCAAGTTCTTGACTGTCGACGCTTCTTTCATTCACGGCAACATTCGCACGTCGTCCATCTTTATCACCAAATCAGGAGAATGGAAAGTCGGTGGATTTGAGGTGCTTTCATCATTGAAGGAGGATCAGCCTGCCATCCTTGTAAGTCTACTGTGTCAGAAGAGTTGCTGTTGTTTTTTTCTTACTGCCGGATTACAATGGAGATTCACCTAGCAGTATCCTAACTTTGGTCTTCTCTGTGACTTAGACATTTGCTGGATTGATCCCAGAGTCGAATCGCTATGCACCACCAGAGGTCCGGAAAAAGTCATGGAACATCGTCAAAGAGTAAGCAATTTGATTCATTACTTTCATGCTCTGCCCTCATACCGTCACTGGACAGGACTTCATAGTCCGCTGATCGTACTGACTCAATCAAGCTCTCCTTTACCCTTAGTTTCGAATTGTGGTCGACTGATACGTGGCACTATGCATGCTTGATTTATGAGGTCTACAACGGAGCATTCACGAACTCTGAACAACTCGCCTCACCTGGAAGTATTCCTGCAGAGATGACCCCTTTTTACACGAACCTTCTCCGCCCAGACCCAAAGACACGACCCAGCGTAGGCGACTTCTTGGACAAGGGCATGCAGGCAAAGGGATTCTTCCATAACGATCTGATCCAGATTGTCAACTTCTTGGAGAACTTTTCGGTCAAGGAACCATTACAGCGGGATACATTCCTTCGTAAGCTGGATATGCAGATCGATCGTCTCCCTCAGGAGTTTTGCAAATATAAGGTCTTGCCCGAGCTTGTCCAAGCTTTGGAATACGGATCGGGCGGCCCTAAGGTTCTTGCACCCATTGTCAAGATTGGTGCTACATTGGAGGAGCAGGAGTATGAGGCGCTGATCACCAATGTGTTGGTCAAGATGTTTGCGTCAACGGATCGGTCCATTCGATTGAGTCTCTTGGAGAACCTGAGCGGTTTCATCGAGAGGATCAACAAGAAGATTGTCAACGAGAAGATCTTTCCCAGCATGGTAAGCCTATGCTCTCAGGCCGTCCTCCTCTGTGTTTTGCATTCGGGTGTGGTTTGTATTGTCGAACTAATTTGAATGGGCTTTTTTTTCTTTATTTGGACTGTCAGGCACTTGGATTCACAGACACGGCGCCTATTATTCGCGAGTGGACGGTCAAGTCGGTTTTGCTCGTCATTGGAAAGTTGTCAGACAAGACCATCAACTACGACCTGTTGAGATATCTAGGCAAGCTTCAGACAGACGAGGAGCCAGGAATTCGTACCAACACTGTCATCTGTCTCGGCAAGATCGCAAAGCACTTGAACGACAGCGTAAGTTTTCACTGGATGAGAATGCCACCGACCATCGAAGCATTATGACGCTTTGATTGACCCGTCTCGTATTTATCATGTAGATGAAAGCAAAGATCTTGGTGCCGGCGTTTACCCGCAGTTTGCGCGATCCTTTTGCACACGCTCGTGTTGCAAGTTTGATGGCGCTCAATGGTGAGTCTACGTCGCCATAGGTGTATCTGGATGTGAGAGCCGTGTTCAGTTTGCGGACGAAATTGCTGACATATTTTACTTCATCATTTGTGTTGCGCATAGCTACTGCTGATTCCTACGACAAGGTCGATATTGCTAACCGCATTATACCCTGCATTTCATTGACCCTCGTGGATACCGAAAAGTAAGTTGTTGGGTTCTGAAGTGTGCACATGACTAAAGTTGCGCCTGTGATAAGAACTGTGTTTGTTAAGAGTGAACGACTGATTGTTTGTCCTTGTCACATGTAGGATTGTGCGCGTGCAAGCAATGAGGTCTTTGGAAACTTTTGTCAAGCGCGTCGAGAAGTTGATTGAGAGCATGGTAAGCAATCACTCTGTTATTTTTACGCGTTTTTTTTGTATCTCCTTTCTCGTGCAGGAAGATTAATGGTGCGCGTGACATTATAACTAATATGCTGTGATATTACAATTGCTAGCCGGACTCTGCGATTGTGGATACAGGAAGGGAGAGTCCCAATGGCGCACCTACAGCGCGTTCAGCAACGCCATCGACACCATCTTCAGAGACCTGGGCAGGTTGGGCCGTCTCCTCGATAACAAAGAAGCTGGTTACAGGAGACATGCAGCCCCAAGCTGTTGGATCCCCACGTATGGGCAACAACTCACCATCGCCTGCCGGTACCCCAGTCCCATCCACTACATCAAACAACGGATCGGGCATGTCGCTTTCGAACGCTGGCGGATCGAATGGACTTCATATCGCTACCGAAGGCAGGAACGGTGGTGGCATGGGTGGACACTCTGTCAACAGGTATTCTTCGGCGTTGGCTGCTGTTGAGGCTGATGAGGCTATTGCAGGAGGCGGTGGGGGTTGGGGTAATGAGGATGATGATTTGTTTGCGGATGAGGGGTTCGAGCCCATGGAGACCTTTGAGCCCTCGACGCCTTCGCCTATGCCTAGTTTCTCGACCATGAAGCCTACGATAGCCCAGGCACCGTTGAGACCTTCTACCAATTCCAGTTCTTCGATGTCTTTGGGAAGTGGTAACAGGGCGGGAGCTGGTGCTTCTTCTGCTCGTCTTGGTTTTGGCGCCATGGATGATTCTGGAGCAGGTAAAAATTCTTTATTTTCTTTTGACCATAACAGTAATCCGCGCAAAAAAAAAAAAAAAAGCGTGCGTTCCTAGTTTGCTGATATGCTAACAATTTTTCTATTTTTTTTACGTTTGTTAAAACTTTCTAGATGCCTGGGATGGAGATGATGATTTGTTCAAGAGTCTCAACATCGGTAACAGCAATACTTTGAACGCAAGACCACTGTCGGCGTCATTGAAGCCCGCGAGCAGATCTATGACTGGCACACCTCCACCACCACCACCACCTAGCTCAGCAACGACAACACCGGGTAGCGGGTTCGTAAGGAAGGAGGAAAAGATGGCCGAGATGGCACGGAAGCGTGAGGAGAGGCGGTTGCGGATGGCCGAGGCTAAAGAAAAAAAGTCTCAAACCACCCTTGGTGCCAGAAAGATCTGATCAATTTTTTTTTAACAGCTATATTAAATGCTCTTGATGGGCGAAGCAAAAAATCACACAAAGGTGGCGCATTTACATCAAAGGGGGTGGAGGTTTTTTTATTGTTTACGAAACCGTGTCCTATAGATAAAGAAGGTCAGGGATCATGAGGATCGACGCTCGACTTCGGCGTCATCGCCCTCCAGCCGACGAGCAGCACCGCCAAGGACTCCAGAAACGGTCCCACTGGCCTCTGCATCCTCATGGTCATCCTCCGGCTTCTCTTCCGCATAGGCCGGAAGGCCCGTCGCCTCCATGACACTCTCGTAGGTCGGCAGTCCAGCCTCGGTTTCGCCTGCAGCCTGCGCAATCGTCGAGGCGTCCACCAAGGCTGTTGCGACAACGCGGACGACACGCACTGGGATCTCCTCTGTCGCAAGCGAGTATGTTGACGATATAGATGAGACACCTGACGCCGGTGAGCGGCCGATAGTAGGACGAGTGAGATTACTAGAGTGTTGATGTATACTAGGCTGTCCTGGCGATTGTGGGTGTAATGATCCTCCTCCTCCTGCTGTCACAACTGCCGAAGAAGATGGCGACTGTGGTGTGAAAAGCGGGAGAAGTGGTGGCGAAGGAGGGCGATCAATGTCCTCGATCAAAAGAAGATGATGATGGTGATCGGGGACTGTTGAGGATCCACTACCAACGTCGTGATCCATCACCGCTCGCACAGCCCGCTTCTCGTCCAAGATATACTGAGGCCGTCCGTCATCATTGTCTCCACTGACACCATCGCTGGCTTCGTTAGCGTTCCGGCTGCTGGATTGGTCATCATCATCGTCCTCATCGTCTTCAATGGCGTCTCCTTCCTGGTCCCACAGTCCTCCCGGGTTAGATCCTGCTGTACCGCCGTCATCATCGCCAATATCATCCCGAATCTCCAACTCATTTACGCCCTCTATCAGTTTGGATACTTCCACACCCTCAATTTCTGGCGCTGACAAAAGCGGCGGTGGTGAGGGTGCCGAGACAGGCGGCGCAGTGACATAAGCCTCCTCGTCCGTCGAATATTCAATCTCAACCCTCAGAGTATGGCTAACCTGTAGCCAACTACTCTGCACATCCACACAAAGATCCGGCGAAAGGACTAACTGGAGGTGCAAGTTCTGAGTCTGCAGTTCAGTCGTGGGTTCCTCGAAGAAGACCTCCAAGGGCTGGGCGATCCTTCGCGTCACGAGTCGCGGTACGGGTGGTGGTCCTGTCGGTTGTTGTTGTGAGGCTGTTGGGAATGCTGTTGGGTTCAAGGAAGGGGATGTTGCAGATGCGTTGGCGGATGTGGCGAGAGGGACTATTGCCCTCGGCACTGCTGCTACTGTTGACGATCTTTGGTATCTATATATGTTTTCATTTTCAAAATCCAGCAAGCCATTAGTGATGAAGCTATCGTTAAGCATTGGCACCTTGCACATAATGACAACCATAACAACAATTAAAATACGTGCAAGACGTACCGATCCGTCTCAATCTGCTCAAAGACAACCTTGGCTTTATACAGCCTCACATTCCGGGTCCTGGGCTTCGCATACAACTCCACCGCTAAAAGCGTATTCTCACAATGCAGCAACCTTGGCACCTTGACCTGAATCTCAACCCCTCCACTATCCAGTCCCATCGCCATCCGGGGCTGCAAATGTGAAGAAGGGTACACGATTCGGTGCACAAGGACAGGCCGTCTCAAAATAAACTTTTCAGTCGTCGTCGTACTAGTCCCTGGCGCCCAAGTCACTTCCAGACTCACTTGTAACTCGTACCGAATCTTGCCGATCTCCAAACTGGTCGTGTTGGGGAGATGACCAGGTAAGGTCATATCGATGGCGAGTGATTTCTGATGCTTTGATATAGACAGCTGCTCATCTGAGTTGCTGTTACTCCCGATCGTTGTTGACGGCGGTATGGATGATGACTGCTGCGCCAAGACAAGTGGCGTTGGGATGAAGTCATGTGTATGGTGGACTGGTGTCTCCGTTGCTCCAGATACTACTCCCGACTCGTGCCGCAATATTGCTGTATCCTAAAAAAAAAAAAAAAGTCATAAGGACGAAAGAGTGCGAGATGATTAAGTGGTTGTTTCTTCTTGTCCGTAGCTGCAAACTAGATGTTGCAACAAACGCGGAAATAAAGCAAGGTGAGAGTGAAGAAGGTTGGTTGGATAGGGTGACAGATGAAATTTTGTATCGCGCAAAGGCAGTGCACAACTGTATTCAATGGGGTTAGAAGCAAACAAAAAGAAAGTAAATGAAGTTTACCGCATATCCCATAAAGTCGACCTGGGCATCCTTGAGGAGCAGTTCCATGTCACCAATCCACTCAAGGTCCACGCTTCCTTTGAGAGAGTACTGGAAGCCATCATTGGATCGGTCATAGATCTCGACCGTATCCGACTCGAGCTCAAGTGACGCATGGAGTCCTGAAGGCGAAATATATACAGTTGGAGCTTGCATGAAAGGCGTCAGGGCCTGTGATGATGGTGGAGAGTCTTGTTGCCGAGGGTGCTGTTGTAGTCCTTGTTGCACATGCTGCTGCTGTGGTGAAGCAGACGACCTTGGTGATATGACGACGACGTTCTGAGTGCTCATAGCTCTGTACACTGACGAATAGGGCGGCTCCTGAAGAGTCGGTGGTTCCTCGTCTCCTGTCATTCCTTCTTCTCCGCCGCCTCCACCAGGGGGTCCTCCATTGGCCAGGTGGTGAATGTCAGAGTACGATGGCGACCTCTCGTCCAGCCCAGTGTTGCTTGTGGCCGAGTCTGCTTGATACAAGTAGTCGACGTCTGACGTGTGTGCCGACATTACGTTGTCTCTTTTATTGCTTTGCTCTTTCTGTTTGTCAACGTGTCAACGTCCAGCGAGGGAGGCGGTTATGGTTTTAGTGTTTGTGCTCCTCTCACGGCTGTGACGGTCGGAAACGTGTGTGTGTGTGTGTGTGTGTGTGAGAAAGTGTGATGAGTAAGTGAATGAGGGAATGGAAAAAGGAAAAGAAGAACGAAACGGAAGAAAGGAAAAGAATAGAAAGATGGGGAAGAAGAAAGGAAAGGGGCGTCACCCCTTCGTGTCCTTGCGCGTTTATCCCTCTTTCTTTCTTTTTTTTGTCAGCAGAATACTCAATAATTGCCTCTCGACTGACCAGACCACGTTTCAACTTCGCAGCGGAGACCGGAAAATCAGCCACTGATCATCCCATTCAATCACGCAACCCTTCTCTTTGCTTTGCATACCCAGTAGTCCATTGCTAGTTTTTTATTAGTACAAGAATGTTGGCTATCGTAAAGTGTCTTGTTCTACCACAAAAGTAAGTGTTGTCAAAGACGATGGATGTAGTATTCAAAGCAGTATTGGGATAGGTTGGTCAATTGCAAATATCCTGAAAAAGATATCTGTCCTGTTCCTTGCCTTGTTTTCTGTGTTGGTCGTAGAGTCCTGGGCTGGACCGACTGGGACTATTGCTTGCGTGGCCGCCCGCGTTTGCGAGGGGGCTCAGTCACCGAAGCGTGGTGGCCTGCTCCCTTTGAGCCTGAGGATGTAGATGCTTTTGTCGATAATGATGTTGATCCTGATCCTGATACTCCAGTTTCGCTTGCGTCAGTAGGGAGAGGGTTCTTGCGTGGGCGACCGCGTCCTCTCTTGGGTACGGAAGGGTCAACGGGAGGCTTGATAACCTTGTTCAGTTTTGGTGGCCGGCCGCGTTTCCGTGGAGCGACTTCAGGAGCATTTTCTGAGGCTGAACTTGAATCGTCTTCGCCGTCGTTGTTGGTGGTGGATTTGATGTGGTTTGTTTCCACCGGGATCTTTCTTGGTCGACCGCGTCCTCGCTTTGCTGGAGCAGCAGCAGCAGCAGCAGCAGCGGAGGTGGCGGTGACTGTGGAGCTGCCTGAAGCAATGGCGGTTGCACTGAGGACGGCGGTGGTGACGGCGTTGATGGCGGCAGGGATGGCGGAAGCAGCTGTTGACCTGTGGGTGTAGGATGCGAAGGTTTGACCACTTGAAGAGTGGGTATTCCTGTGGATGGTGCTCATGATCAAGCCTTTGTGTGTGCGTGTGCTGTTGTTGTTGGGAGGAGTAAAGACGCGACAACAACGAGGTCGTCTGCAGCTTTTATTTTGGGCCTTCGTATGTCGCGTTGGGTGTGCAGGCAGTGCGAGCGAAATGGCTTACCGTGACTTGCAAAGCCCTTTGCAAGTGAACGAACAGAAAAGAAAAAAAAAAAAAAAAAAAAAAGAAGAGATCTGTCCACTCCACCTTCCAACAGACCGAACGTTCGCACACCATGCCTCTGTTGCCATTCAGCCATATCATCCGCCACCCCTCAAAGGACATCGTCGTCCTCTCATTCGGAGAGCACCTCCAAGCTGTCGACACAAAGTAACCCATTTCACCCTTCAACAACAACAACAACACTTTCAACTTCTGTTTTGTTTCGGTGGCGTTTCTTTTTCACCTCTCCTCACCACATAATTTAATTCGCTCCGCCAAAAAAAACAAAACACTAACGACCAACAAACAATCTGACTTAGGAGCGGCGTTATCTTGGCAAGCACGATTGCCTTGGAGGAGCGGGAAGCCAATGGTCTCGAAGTCCAGCCCTTGACCAACACTCCTGATGAGGCTCAGAACAACAAAGCTCGCGTCCAGGTCATGGCCTTTAGCCCCGATGGCGCCTTCTTGGCCACCGCTGCTGACGACAAAATCATGAAGATCTGGGATACCGAGTCATGGAAGGTCCTTGGTACCAGGTACCCACTCATATTCCTCCTATACGGAGTTGCATCGAGAAAACACAATGCAGGACTTTAAAAAACAGACATTGGAGATAACTGATCAGGAGGAACTATGCCGATTTTTTTCTTGCGGTCGTAACTAGGACTTTGGTTCGTCGTTCCAACGCTCTTCACTTCAACGACTCTGGATCCCATGTTGTCACCGCCGACAAGTTCGGTGACATCTACAAGTAAGTCTTTTCTCTAATGTCCTCTCCCCATGATTGCCATGATTGCCATTGGAGGTTTCGCTCTGCTAACGAAAGACACTATCAACTTTGGCTCTGTTAGCATGATCCGTGATATCCCCGATGTTGTTGCTCCCGTCAAGACTGCAGAAACAACAGAGGATGCTGAGGGCGATGAGGATGAGGGCGAGCAGCCTATTCTTGGACACGTCTCTATGGCCACCGATCTTGTAAGACACGCCAACCACTGTCACATAACCTCGGGATCAGAATGTTCTTCCCGCGCCAGGACACTTCGATATCGACAAATTACTCACTGTATTTACGTTTGCTACCACTCATGTAGGTCTTGACTCCCGACAACAAGTACGTCATTACCTCTGACCGTGATGAGCATATCCGCGTCAGCCAATACCCCAAGGGCCACAACATCGAGACGTACTGTCTTGGACACACCAGGTAACTACACTTTTACAACAACTTTGTATGTTTGATCACCCTCAAAACTAAACAACTAAGGACATTCAAATTAACCAAAACTCTTCTGAAAATAGCTTCGTCACGACTATCCGGATCTTGCCTGGAACTTCTCACAAGTACTTGATCTCTGGAGCTGGAGATGCCACGATCCGTGTTTGGGAGTACATGCAGGGCCGCGAGGTTCAGACCTTCAACATCCGCGAGGCTTTGGGCATGCCCCCCGCAGAAGCCGATGCCGAGGATGATGTGACCGTATTCTCCTTTGCCGTTTGCCCTACCAAGAGCCACATTGCCGCCGTCATCGAGAAGTACGTTCTTCTTTTTGTTTTCTCATTGCTTTGGTAAGGTCAATCTGCTGCACAAGGGGAGGGTTTCTAACCGCTTTTCGTGGTAATTTTTTTATCGACATGATAGGGAGTCAAGATTGTTGATTCTTCAATGGAACGAGGCAGAGGCCAAGCTCGAGTTGTTCAAGATCCTGGAGTTGGAGGGTAAGCCCCTCTCAGCCGAATACGATCGTTCAGGAAACCTCTGGACCTCTGTTGTTCCTTCTGAAGAAGAAGGCAAATCCACTTCGCTCATCTCTGTGTACGACAGCAGCAACTATGCGATTCAGGAGGATCTTGCGAAATACACCAACACCTTCGGATCAAGGACTGTCGAGACCCTTCCTGAGCTGATCTTTACGGAAGAGTTGAGGAAGCATACTACGGACTGGCGTGAGCTCAAGAAGGCCAGGGAAGAGAAGGAGGCTGCGCGTTTGGCGGGTGATCCTGACGCGCCCCTGCCCAAGAAGAGAAGAAAGAACAAGAACTCGAGAAAGATTCCTGGGCAGTCTTCTACTGCTGCTTCTTCGGAGCCTTCGGCTGCAACCTCGCCCGATGTCGCCATGGAATAAGTACCGATTGGAGAGAGAGAGAGGGGGGGCCACGAGGAGAAGTGGATCGAGAGGATCAATTATCGTTCTAGGAGTCGATAGTTATTGAAACACAACATAAATGCATTTTGAATTACAACAGACAACACTTCAGTCGCAACGCGATGGATCATATGCATATCAAGATGAAAAAAAAAAGACGTTTTAATGTTTAAAGAGAGTGGAGGAGGTGTGTATGTGTAAAAAGGGAGAACAAAATGAGGTTGGAGGTAGAAAGTATTTAAACGTTCTTGGGCTGCTCCTCCTCAGCGGCCTTAATGAACTCGCGGATGAAGGCCTCCTCATCCTGGGAAGCAGCGTGGATGGCGTTGACGGGGGCCTCCTTCTTGCCGGCCTTCATGAGGATGATGGGGGCGGCAACGGCAGCGTAGGTGGCAAGAGCCAACTAGTGACGTTTTTTCAAGCAGAGAATAAAAAGGATGCATTAGAGATTTTGCTGGGATAAAGGATTACAGCTGGGAGGGTGGTGGTGGTGGGAAGAGGACAGGCATGATCTTAGAGATCATACATTGATGATAGGGTTCCCGAAGGGGCGGACGACTGGAGTTCTTTTGGAACCAAGTTGAGGCATAGTTTTTGTCGACGGGGTTGGGAGAGGTTCCTGGTGATTTGGTAGAGACTATTTCCGCCGGCGATATGTATCCTGCATACGATATTCGCGTAATTTTTTTTTTTCCCTTGGTTGACGCCTGCAGATCTCTTTTGAACAGGATCGAGTTTCCCCCCGCTCTCAGCCCCTGGGTCCTGGTTCCCGTGCACCACTTCTGTCAAAGAGATCATGGTTCCTGGAGAGCAAAAGAACGCAGGAAGTGTGTTCATGCTAACGATCTTTCGATTGGTGTGATCCTCTCACTCTCCGTAAACATCCGCATGTGCTGATCCAAGTGTGACAGAGCAGCGCCCTAACTCGTGCTGAAGGATGCTGAAAGTCCTGTTTTGGCGAGAAAGTGGACGAGACTGCTACTGGGTGCTGAGTGAGAAAAGGAGGGGAAGGGTGTGTGTGCTGATGGTTGATAGGATGAACGGAGAAGAAAGGGAAAGGTAGGATACCTTGTAGGTGGGGATGGAACGTCCAAAGACAATGTATTCAGCTCCCATTTTGATAAGTGTGTGTAGTGGTGAAGGTGGTGAAGGATGAAGGTTGAAGGATGATGCTGCTGCCCCGATCCTCAACGAGAATGACACCCAAACACACACAGGCAGCGACTGAAAATATTCGTTGCTCTTGCGCCATTTCAATCTCCCTTTGCGTAGACTGTGGTCACGTGATAATGGAAATCAAGCTGATATACTTCGCGGTTTTATTTCTTGCTTTGTGTCTGAGCATGGTACGTTCATTCGTGTGAAGGTACGTCCAGTCTTTACTTGGAGAACTGTGCTCCTTCCAGCTTTTCAAAGTGCTTTCTGGCAATGCTGATATTCATGAGGGTCGCAGCCGATTCTAAGAGAAAGAAACATCATACAAAAAGACCGCTTAGTGCCACTTCTCACGACAACAGTATGCTCCAACAGAAATGATACCAAAGAAAGGAGAAGTTGGTGGACTTACGGATGGTGGGGTCAGACATGATGACCATCACATATGTGTTTCCTGTCAGATAGTCAATGAATCCTGCAAAGTTGGAGTGCCGTACTTCCATGCTCTGGAAACTTCCCTGAGTCCTCCTGTTGACGTGCGAAACAGTTGTAACAGCAAAAAGATAATTAATATTCAAAATACTTCACTTCTTCAGTAGCACAGGAAAAAGAAAAAAACAACTTACGAGCAGGAAAGCTTGAACTGCTTGATGATGTTGCTGATCTTCTCGAACCGGTGCACGTCGCCATTGTCAACTCTTGTAGAATGGGCAATCACCAAGAACGTCATTCTCTCAAATAGCACAATCTCGTCCGCCTCGCAAATCTTTGCAAAGTTATCCAGATGACTTTCCAGCAGCTGAACGTTGGGGATCAACGAGTAGACAATTGAAGACCAAGCCTACGAGAAACGATACACAAAAAAAAAAGGGGGAGGGGGGGGGGTTGATGTATTAGTATGCATAATAACGAATGAGTCATGGCTTGCTGCATATTTGGCAACAAAAGCGGAAAAAAAAATACCTTGTAGAGGGTCTCGTCCCAGATGGAGGTCCGGAAGGGTATCACCTGCAGAGGCAAGGATCTTGTCTGCAGCTCGAGCACGCGCTCGTTGTAAATTTTGTCACGCTGGTCCTCCTGAACGAGATCCATTTTGTGAATCAAACAAAAGATCTTTGCGTCCTTGGAATTCGTCAGGATGGCCTCGAGGCATGACTGGTAGTAGTGCATATCCTTTTCCACATCCCGACTCTCGACATCAAACACATAAATCAGCACCTCAACGTTCTTGAAGATGTGGTCGCGCTGTGAAGCAAAGTAGTTCTCCATGAATGCCTCCTGTCTATTGGAAAGTGAATGATAGCAAGTGTATCGCGGTTTCAATATCAACTGTTCGCGTTGCATATGGTCGTTTGACTTGAGACCTTTTGTCCATTGTGAATATGTAGGGTAGAGATGAAGCAAAATGGAAGATAGCGTACCCTCCGCAGTCCCACAGGTTGAGGACAAGGTTTCCGAGGAAACGAACGTGAGAATGTTCAACATCGACTAGAAGCGGAGAAAAATATAAAGTATATGGCGTAAGTCGTCAGTTATGACCCTGGGAAGAAAAGTCGAAGCTCATTGTCGACAGGTACCAAACAGCAAAGAGGGGTGCTTACTGGTGGCTCCAAGACGACGGGTGTCTCGTGCAATGTAGTTGGAAAAGATAATGGAGCGCATCGAGGTCTTGCCTGAACCACTCTTGCCCATCAAAAGCACCTGCGCATTGAGTAGAAGCAGAAGAACACGGTTAGTCGATGATACCTTGTTGTAAGTGTGTGTGTGTGTGTTGATGACAGTGTCGCAGAGAGAGTGAGTGTGTGTTTATTGACTAGGTCATAGTCATACTTTCTTCTTCATGGCTGGTTATGAGTTCGTCTGTGAGTAAATGAGTGAGTGAGTGCTTGTTGGGCGTGTCGAAGGTCGCGAGGTGTAGTGTAAGCGAGAGAGTGTTGAGGTGGGGTAGATGGACAAGACAGATGCCTTTGTGCTCACACTTTGAGTCTTCGCAAAAAGTGAAAGAGCAGTCGCCACTGTCTGCTTCCCCTTAAGCATGTCCTCCCGTAGTCTGGTCGCCACGTCCCTACTGTCCCCTAGGATCCTGAGTCTCGGTACGCTACGATCCGCCGGGCTGGCGTAGATGCTCAGTCGATTCAGTGGCTCCGACCCAAGATGCTCTCCTGAGGGCTCTGATACTCTGCCGGCCCCACGACGCCGACCCCCGGGGACTTTAGCCGAACAGCACCTCCATATACATAGCTAACATTACCTTAGGATCCCCTTGTGTTCCTTTCCGTCCTCCAATACATTATTCTTCCCATATACTGTCCTTGCGATGATCATCTTCCTCTGAGCACTCATCTATCTGGCTCTCCTCTTCTCACTCTCCCTTCTGGAGCTCACTACACTTAGGCTCTCTCCCTCTTGCCCTGGCTGTTAAGCTTGTGCCAAGTCCAACCCAGGAAGTTTGATGCTCTGCCAAGAACCATGACGCCGACCTCCTGGACTGCAGTCGGACCGCACCTCCATATAAATAACTAGCATTTCCTCAAAATTACTTTCAGTTCCTTTCCGCCTTATATATCTTTCTTTCCTTATATTTTCCTTGTCTTGATGTCCATCTTCCAGTGGACCCTTCATCTATCTATCCCTTCTCTTCCCACTCTTCCTTCTAGAGCTCATTACCCCTTTCTCTTCCTCTGGTTGTCCCTTTGATCGCTCGTGCTGCACTTTCCCCAATGACAGTCACCTGATTCGCATTCCTGTCCTCTCTACTTGTCAACTTGTCCATTGCGCTCTCTCCCATTGCTGCTGCTTCCTTCATTTTGTCTCCATTCTCATCGACCTCGCCTATTGTGGAGTTGCCCCCTCCATCGCGTTTCGACGCTTTGTTTCATCTCCTTCGTTCTTTTCAATCTCACTTTACATCTGCATACTACACCAACGATCACATTTTTCACTCTTATTCTTTGCCCGTTGCTGTCTGCTTGATTTTTTTATCTTTATCTGCCTTCGGTTCCTCCCAATCCACCAACATCCCCTATTTTTTCGTCCAAAGCAGAGGTTCCCCCTGCGTATGAGGTCAAAGCGTCTGACTGGCCTTCGTACGACGAGGGGGGTGTTGTTGCCTTTAAGGACTTTGTCGACAATTTTAAATCTACTTTCGCCGATCGCAAGATCCACCCTTCTTATTTGTTTACCTGTTTTGAACAATCCCTTCCGGGACTGAAACAGACCACGATCGCCATACACCGTCCTTTTGACAGCAAATCGTTCGACGAGGCTGTTTCTATTCTTTTAGGGCCTCTCTACCTTGATCGCGACACCCTCCGCGATCGACAACGAGAACTGTTTAATCCTCTTTCCCAGAAAATCTCCCAGTCCTTTATTGATTATTACAATGCATTCACAAACGAGGCAAAGTTACACCCTTCCATCCCCCCACCTGATCTTCTTCATTTATTCTTTTTCTTTCTCAACGACCAACACAAAGCACACCTGGACTGCTTGTACGCCACCTTTTTAATCCATAAGAAACCTGCCTCATCATTTTACGATATTGCTTTCAAATTCATCCGCACCCATCCTGTTCCCCCTCCTACTTTGCCTTCCATCTCCATTCCAGATCGCCAACCATCTACCGCCCCTGACGACAACCCCTTACCTTCTGTTTCTTTTTTACGTTTGGCTCCTTCGCATTCTTTCCCCTCCGATGTTGTGCTTATAAGAGACGAAGAGCACCTTATTGAGGAGCAACAGCGCGATCGTTTTTGTGCCACCACCCTTCTTGATCTGGCCAATCGCCCCTCCTATCAACTCATCGACAACATCCTCCACCGTGTTACCTTCCCCCCTCACAACCCCCATCGTATTCAGCCTCAAGTAGTTCTTCCCACCCTTACGCCCTTTTTCTTTCACACGATATCCCTTTGAGTGGACATTTGGGTTCAGCTTGGACAAAGCATCGCCTGTTGAGACAATTTTGGTGGCCAACCCTCGACGCCGATGTCAAGGCCTATGCGCGCACTTGCGAAAAGTGTCAAGAGTTCAAGTCGGGGCAAAAGCACATCAATCCCCCTCTGCACCCTCGCCTTACTCTCTCCTCTGCCCCGTTCGTCTGTATCGCCCTTGATTTTTTTGGTCCCCTCCCTCTTTCAACATCTGGGTTCAAGTACATCCTCGTGGCCCAAGACATGTTCACCCGTCTTGTTACTCTCATCCCCCTCAAGTCCACCAAGGCCGACGACTTCATCGAGGCTATGAGCACCCACTTCTTCCCCGTGCACGGCATCCCTGTCGAATTTGTATCAGGCAAAGGCCTCCTTTTGATTCTTCCTTGGCCCAAAATTTCGCTTCAACCCTTGGTATCGGCTTTCGTTATGCCCCCGCTTACCACCCTCAGTCAAATGGCCTCGTTAAACGATTCATGGCAACACTCCGCAACATGATCAGTTCCTACCTCGATCTACCAGCAACCAGTAGTACCGTCGAATCCACTGCTCAGTCGCGTAAGTTGCTCAAATATCTTCCTCATTTCGTCTTTGCATACAACACAGCAAACCATCCCTCTCTCCTCGACACTCCCTTCTACTTTACCCATGGTCGTGATCCTCGCCAGTCACTCCACATAACTTCTCCCTGCGACCTATCCTCCGCTATCTCCACCACTACTCTTTCTCTTGCTTTTCGCCACCAATTCTTCTCTGGTTTGATCAACACATAACAGGCAACTGCGCTCACCCAAGAATTGTCGTCACCTCCTTCAATCGAGCCCACTGACTGGCCTGTCGGTATGACAGTCTGGCTGTACACCCCTCCCCGGACCACCGGTGACATCGTGTCCAAGTTCCGCAAGTGCTGGATCGGCCCTTGTCGCATCGCCGCGATCAGATCCATCGACATCCGCGATCTCATCGACCCTCAACAGTGCAGACAGCTTTGGATCCACGTCAGCCGCCTCAAGCCATTCTACGACCGCCAAAGCACCACCCCTGAGCCCTCAGTCGTCCCTGCCGTCGACCCCGCGTCTGTTCCCTTGCCCGAGCCTATCAGGATCAACCCTGTAATCACCTCTCGTTGTTTGTGATCTTGCTGTCTTTCCTTTATTCTTTTTATTATTGTTTTCTTTTTTTTTTTTTTTTTTTCTTTCCCATTGATGAAATAAAGGGTTAGTTTTATCCCTTCGTCCGTCATTAGTCATTGACAGACTAGGATAAATAAACTATAGTTTCAATCTATAGAGGTTATGAGCTTTGCGGCGACGGTCTTGCAAGGGAAGGGGGGCGTCCGAGATGCTTAAGGTAATGCTTGCCGATGATAGCAATGTTGTGCGCACCCACCAAGTCTCGGTGAATCCACCGCCTGCATTTCACACACGCACAGGTTCTCATCGAGGGCTTAGCAAGTCTTGTCGTCTCACCCATGGAAACGCAGGTTGGGCACATTGTAGATGTAAGATATTCATCCACTAACGCTACCTTGTACCCAAGGGCCAAGCTCTATCAATTTTAAAAAGGACAAATGAATTAATATACTTGTGTATCCAGATCGCCATGGTATTGAAGGGACATACGATACTAGTAGATACGACCACCCGCACATCTTCTTTCTACTCTCTCCATTCTCATTATTACCTTCTGCTGTAGTCTGCGCAAGAACGTCGTGTGGACCGATGTAAGGTTGAACCCTGTCCGAAAAGTCGCGTTTCCCAACGCGAAGAGGACCCTACGCCCTCCCATTGGGTTACTCTTCAATGCTTCTTTCACAAGTCGGAGCACGCCTGCCACCGCCATGTCCATCTCTGACAACTTTGCCATTCTATGTTGGTATACGGCCTTCTTCCAGTCCGACGATGAGTAGAATCCATGAATGATCGGCTCCAACTCGAAATACTGCCGTTGCGCGGATTTGAGGGCGTCCTCTGAGTCGTATTTTGTTGAATGGAGCGCATTCTCAAGATCATGCATCGAAGGTAGAAAAGTTGCCCTGTTCTTGTCATCCGTCTTCCTCGTCCAAAGGCTCGCGTCGACATTATCTGCGGGACCGGCTGCTGGGTGTTGTCGCCTCCATTCCTGTTCCCATGCTCTGAAGGCGAGTGTTGGCTGATACAGTGATGCGCGCTTTACCAACAAGTTGACCACAGTTTTGTCATCGAGACGCACACAGAACGCACCGCTCACGACTTCGCCTGGATCGATGCCAATCACCGCCACCGACTCCAAGTCTTGACCGAATGCTTCAATTATCGACTGTCGGGTTGGGTACTGGTTCTCGATACGTCGTAGAAACTCCTTACGACCCGGCGCCTGCCGACTCTTGGTGAGGTCATAGGCCAAAAGTTGCAGCTGATGGCCGTCCGTGCGGATGAAATTGTTCAATGCATACCGAAAGGAAGACTGTGCGCCTTGGATGTGAGGAGGGGTCGGCAATAGTGGGGGGTTGGAAGGCGGCGGCACTGCAGATGCTGAGGACGACGACGACGATCCGGCCGAGATGGATGCATTGTGTCGGGTTCGGTAATAGTTAATTCGATCTGTCAGGTGTCGTGCAAGTGGTCCTTGGTCATAGATGGTGGGGTGGGCAGCCTTGAGTTCACTCATTGTAGCACTTCGTTTCCCGTATGTTGTTTGTTGTTTGTTTGCGAGCCGAACCGTATTTCGATCTCCAATGAAAAGCATCTTGATGAGGTTCCCGAATGACGTATTGACTTGTAGGTTGGCCCAGTCGTGGCTATGAGGGCTGCCGCTCCAAATCAATCCGACTTGACCTGCATCTCTTCCCCAAAGGATACGCATCAGTCCCTCCTCCCTAATGTCGATAAAGCTGTCTGTCATCTTGGACTGGGTACAGAAACGTGGTCGGTTTGCCGCTGGAAGTGCCATGAGATAGTTCCAGCATGATCGGATGTGTCCAGGCTGATAGACAATTTTTTTCGACTTTTTCCTGGGGTTCTCGTCATCGGCATCATCGTCTAGAATAGTACCGTCATCGTCTAGAGTAGTGCCGTCATCACCAGGTTTGTCTTCATCCTCCTGTTCGACTTTTGGAAGTAGGGCGGGATCGAACTCCAGCTTCTCCATCTATTTTATTGCAAAAAGAAAAAAAGACACAATATTAGAATATGCAATACACTCTCTCCAATTATCAATGGCGCTTCATCAACGAATTGGGCGATTAGTACCTTTGTGCGTATAGTCTGTGGGAGCTTCTTGTAATGCAACTTCATAGCCAAACAGATCTTGGGCGCCAGATCATCGATGACAACACCGAGGGGTATGCTGGATGGGTTAACAGCCTTGAATCCCGGATGGAACCCCTTGAAGGCCGCAAAAATCGACACTGCCTCCGCCTGTGCTTCCTTCGACTTTGGCTTGTTGGCTGTAGGTCCTAGTGCTTTTGTCGAATCTCGGAGAACAAACGACAACAGATTCCCAATAACAATCTCTGCCCAGTCTGAATCCAGAATATCCTCCAGAAAGGACGTCGGCGGCGAACTAGAGAGTAGCTCTCCAAGGATCCGCATTTCGAGCATCTTGTAGACAAAATGCTTGGCAGTATTGACGATAGACACAGCCATATCAAGTCTCTGAGCAACCATGTCGACGTTCGCCGGGGTGAGATCGGTAGCTCGTTTCAGGCACCCCTTGACTGATCCAGTGGTAAGTGTGACAGTGGCGAAAACAGACTTGAATGACTTCTTCAGAGCAGCATAACCAGGCCTGTCCTGGTGATAGTCAAGATGCTTCTTCTTCTTCTTTTTCTTGGCTACAGGGGCAGTGGCAGCTTGTTCGTTGGTGGTAGCGGGATCCTTTGGCTTGTATGGTCGAGGGGTTGATGGTTTCAGACCAGACAATTCTACGTCCTCGACGGGGCTGGCGTTCTCAAGGTTGACCGTTTGGGGTACGTATCGATCTGCTTGATCCGTCCGGGATCGGAATCTAGAAATAAACGCGCCAATGTTATGAAGAATAATATTAGTACAGAAGCAATAGAAGTCAATACAAGTGGCTGGATATAACTGAAGATGACGCTAAAAAGTACTTACTTTGTCCTCTGCCATTTCTGCCTTCTCCTTGACCGGGCGCGTGAGCCATGGCGCATTTCTTGTTTTCTACTCTTTTTGTAGAGTGGAGGTGCTTGGTCGATAATAGGTGTGGGCGCTGATGGTCCTGTATGTGATGTTTGGCTCCTTGAGAAACGCTCCCAGTTGGTCTTCGCCTTTTTCATCTCAACTTCCTGAATGATAGTCGTGACAAGGCTGTGGATATCGGGTGTGCTGGAAGTCGTTTCGGTCCCACCCATAGGTAAAGGATGCTCGGTGCACATCACGAACGCCTGAAGGGCATGATCGAACTGGCTGTCTTTTACGTTCTTCTGGTACTGAGTTATCCCGACCCTGTTCAAGGACCTTTTAGCGTGTTTCTTATACAGTTGCCTGTGTTTCCCATATTGGAGGTAGGACTCCTCTGCGATCTCCTGGAGCTTGTGGGCGCTGTCGTATACAATCTTCAAGTACTGAATGACGTGGTGTTTGAATTGTCCAAGTCGCTCCTGGTCGCTCAATCCGTCGAGTCCGTCCAATGTAAACGTCCGAACAATGTCAGCGTTCGACACCAAGCCATAGTAAGGAACGCCGTCGGTATAGTCGTTTGTTGTTAATATACCAAGAAGAAGAAGGTGGGCTGGAGTGGGGAGCTGGTGTCGATCCATAAGGTCCTGCTTCTGGAATGTTTTCCACTGACTGCCGACAGGAATAGTGATCGATGTAGAGGCCTCATAGACCAACAAGTCAGAGTCTTTGGTGATGATTCGTACATCCTCCGGCTTGACGGCATTATTGAGACAACGGGCAATACAGCAGTCGGCTTGGTGGGGGCAGCGACATATTGTCCACCCCAGATTCTGAAGAGCATCCAGCACTTGTCTCGCGGCATCGGGTGGTGCCCGATAAACAGACTTTAGGCGCCGGTATAGCCGTTTCGTCCCTTTGATCTTGTCTTCGTCGTAGTCCTCCATGAGTTTTCTCATCCGCGTTGTTAGATCACGGTCCCGTTTCTGATGGGCGTGCTCTTTCTCGACCGAACGGGGACCGTCGGCATGGATTGTTGTGCGCCCCTGTGAGACTTTTTTCGTGAGGATGTCGTGAATAACCTGGCCTATGTGGCCATAGTCCTATTGAAAACACAAAGCAATGAGATAGTATTAGGTATATTTCTTACAGCAGCTTTGTCTTTGCCGGTTGTATTTGAAAATCGAATGTACTTACAATGCCTTTGTTTTCGGTACGTGTTGTTGTGAGAGTACCATTGCTGTCGAGAAAGATCTGAGCTGGTCCTCCTTGCAGTAGGTGTTGGACCTGTGTCATAAGGGTTGTCGGAACCGAGCCAGGAGGGATCGCAACAAACACAGGACCGGTCGATGTACTTGTGCCTGAGGGAGCTCCCAATGTGAGGCGAGCATGTTTGATGGATGGACTCCCCGACTCGGTCCCCTCAGACCCAGATGGCGAATGTGGATGTTTTTGTTCGCCTGGTACGTTGGTAGCGACAGTTGTTTTTAGTGAGTAGTGCAGTCGGGCCTGCCTGGCTTCGATGCTGACGGTTCCGTAAAATGCACGCGAGTTCAACAGGGCGAAAAACATCGCCGGAAAGTCCACATGGCATGTTTTTTGGGTGAGATCTTCCTCGATTCCGTCGGAGGCCTCCTTGATCCATGAAGGAAGGACACTGATTCCCATTCTTGAACTATGTTAAGAAAAGTGTGAGAGCTAGTGTGAGTCTTCTTGCTTGATAAGTTGTGAAAGGGTATAATGAGTACTGTTCGCAATCACATCCAGCATCGGCCTTACAGAATGGCTGTTGTGGGTTGCTTCGAAAGGGTGTGGCGAAGATATATGTAAAGTAGTATGTAGGTGGATGTGGAGGAATAGGTGGATGTGGAGGAGAGTGTGAGATGTGAGGTGTGCTGAGGAGAGTGTGGTTAGAGAGGAAGAAAGAAAGAGGGAAGAAGGAAAATGGAAGCGGGATTTTATAGGAAAAGTGGGCAGTGGAAAGGATAAAGGCTTACATGTCGAGACCACTATCACTCAATCATCACACACAAGCGATATAATCTATACCATTCAGGAACAAATCGCCAAAACAAAAGCCCAAAAATAACCTGACATTTCCACGATAACTTGCTTCATGCATACCGTGGATGATGGTCACCATCACAAACACCTTTTGTCTCTTTCATATCTCCTTCATGTCTCTTTCATGTCTCTTTTTGGTTCTCTCATTGTCCCTCTCTTTTTTCTTTTTGCCTCTCTCTCTCCCTCTTTGTTTCCATATCATACAGCAAGAAACCATTTCCACAATAACCTGCTTCATGTATACCGTGGATGATGGTCACCATCACAAACACCTTTTGTTCTCTCATTGTCCCTTTCTTTTTTCCTTTTGCCTCTCTCTCTCTCTCTTTGTTTCCACACCATGCAGCATGAAGTCACCAAAACAATAACCCAAGAGTTTATTGTGGAAATGGCAGGGCTATGGTTTTGCTTCAAAAAAAAACAAAAAATAAGGCCTGTTTTATTCGCACCTTGGGTGGTGGTCAACATCGCAAACCATATTCTCTTCTTTTCTTCTCTTTTTGGTACTCTCTTTGTCTCATTCCTTTCTCTTTTTGGTTCTTTCTTTATCTCTTTCATGTCTCGTTTTGCCTCTCTCATTGTACCTCTGCTTCTCTTGTTGGCCCTTTGAGCCCCTATTATCTCTCGCCCATATACAAAAGCACACACAGTAAACTAATAACGAACCTTAAGTCAACCACACATTTGCACACTCATCACTCTACACTCTCCTGGAACAATAGCGTCAACCATGTCCGCCTTTATCAAGCTGACTGAACTCGTCACGACGCCAATCTAGGCCAAGTCTGCAACGTCCGCAAATTTCTTTGAGCTCGAAACACTCCCCAACATCAACATCCACCATCAAGATGTCACCATCACCTCCCGATGTCAGCCCCCAATCAACAGACGGATCATTGACCAGATTGTGCTGCTCAAACGTGATGGGCGCACTGAGCGGGCGTATTCTGCCCGCCCTAGTCATTACTAACCATCCTTCGTCCCGCGACGCCAAGTATGCAACCTCTATCCGAACCCAAGGAGCGCGCCTAAAAAACTATCGCAGACCTCGAGGACACTTATGGTCATCGAGCTTGCGAGAGCAATCTTTGGTTCGTAAGTATCCCTTCCTCCGTCAGACTTTTTCAACTTTTTTCATTTATGAAGGGTAACCCTTGAACCGCTTTTTTCCAATTTTTTTGGTGTTGCGTCTTAAACGCAAAAGAGAGGGAAGAGAATACGGAACATGCCCATCCACTTTTTTTTGGGATACGACATCATTGTCATTGTCTAATGCTTCAATGACTGGGAGGCCTCAGAACTAATTGAGTTTTTTTCATTGCAGCATTCACTTAATGCGAATGATGAGGGAAGGGAAAAAAGGTGGATGCTGATGAGGGTCTCGGTGAAGTCTCTCATTTTTGCTTAAGAATAGGGGGGGTGAGCATTAGTGTTTTTTTTTGCAAATAAGGAATTGAGGGTATCCTCCCGCTATTTCGTGTATAAATTGTGGCCGATTTCGGCCCAAAAACGAAGGAAGGGATAAGAATTCTCTATGAATTAGTGTGCTCAATAAACGGGTCAACGGCCACTTTCTTTCTCGTCTATCTTCTCTCACTCCATGACTCCCTTCCTCTGGTCCTTTTCGTTTTCTTTTTTTTCCTTCTCACTTTCCTCTTCACACGCTCCCACGTTTCTTTCCTCGCCTCCCCATCTCCAAATACACTTACTCTAAAAAAAAACATACGAAGTTGTTAAAGGGATGCGCTACCCTCTCCTGTTCCCTCTCAGCCGCCTAGCAACCTTTCCTTTTACCCCTGTCACGCTCAATCCATCATAGCGACCTCTCCAAGTGCAAAGGATATCAAAAAGCGTATAAAAAATATCCAAAGCCCAAGGAAAGCACTGTAGACTTACATGGCTGATATCCTATCCAAAGTCTGCATGAGAACTTTAGGGCGAGATAGGCAACAGACAGCACAAGATTTTTTAAAATGTAATCCCTCCTATTTCTCAGCAAAGAGTAAATGGACACATTCAAGAGATTGGGGTTTTGCGAAAAATAAAAGGAATTTTTGTGTTTAGTAGGATATACGCGAGGAATGTTACAGTGGTTATTTTACATGGTTGATGTCGTACACTCTCTTGTAATGGTCGCGGTGGATATCAACGATATCAGCAAGATCTGCAGAGATGTAACAAAACACCATATTATAGTTTGGAGTTGAAAGCCCCCTTAGCTTGCTCAACGAACCGCTGCATACAACTACTGAAGGGAATTCATAGCGACTATTGTCAATTGAAATATAGAAAAGTGAAGGACGCGTTTCTCGTCGGCTACCGTGTTGATGGGATGAGGTTTGGACTAGTTTTCTGACGCAATTGGATGAGTTCCTTATCCTGTTGTTGTTCTTTGTACCTTTCAGGGCAGGGGTCGAATCGCATCCTTTTGTGCTTGCTTACCCTCTCAGATTAGTGACTGAGCGCATAGTTACATGATGTCATAGTAGGTGTAATCATTTGCGAAATGCATTGCTAGCTCAGGGACCAATCGAACCTTTTGGTATGGGTACCAGGGATCATGTCTATTGCATCATTGTACCCACCAAGCACTCGATCCGTACCGAGGCTGCTATCAAGAGCAACAAGAAAGAGAGAAAGTGAATGTTCGGCTGAAAACCGGCACTAATATAAAGGCTGCTACTCTCATCCCAAATTTCTCACCAACAACTACAACTTCAAACAACTCCAACCAGCCAAGTAAACCAATCAACACACCCTCCTCCCCCTCCAACCCAACTACTCCAACACACAATGACAGACAGACTCCAAAACACCGCCAACCAGGTCATCGGAGGCGCCAAGCAGACCATCGGACAGGCCATCGGCAACCCTACCCTCGCCGGCGAAGGTGCCGCCCAGAAGACCCGGGGCGAGATTACCCAGAAGGCCGCCGATGCCAAGACCCATACCGAGGGTATCGGTCACTCCATCCAGGGCAACATCCAGTCCACCTTCGGATCTGCCGTCGGAAACCCTACCCTCCAGGCCAAGGGAGCTGCCAACCAGGCCCTCGGCAATGTCGAGCGCAACGTGTAGAGATGTATATCTTTGAACTTTGAAGTCAGGCAGGCCCTCTTGGGATTAAAATAAATCACTCTCTAAACAAACGTAACTCGAAGGCACAGTTGGGTCACTCATACTTGAACAAGCATCGTCAATCAAATTGGACGGGTGAGAAGAGAGAACGAGAATTAAGCGCTTTGCCCTCATTCATATTCAAAAATCGGTTGTTGTTGCGGTTCAGGCACGGTGGCGTAGCTTCTTTGATGAAAAGAAATAGAAGGCGATAGACAAGAGGGCACTTGATGACAAAGGAAGGCTGGGAGACCCATCGAGGATGAGTTATCAGCAAAGTGGTCTCTTCTGTTGGTAGTGTATCTAACAAGGCTGCAGTTTCCTCCTTGTCGGTCGTGGGCGCGGTTCTTATCTTGGATGTGGATCCAAACCATTAGACCCACGAATGTGGCTTGTGTTCCCAGGGTGAGTGGCAAAGCAGGTCCCTCTTGTCGTCAAGTCCTTTTCTCTTTGATACCCATCACCTCTTCTTATTTTAAGCTCTTCTTCTTCATTCATTCTTCCTCCTCGCACACGCTTCCTTCCATCCCCACCCTTTGCACAAGAACACCCACTCACATACATACATCAACACATAGCAACATGTCAGGTAACAAAAAAGAAAAAAAAAATAACAATATCGACCGCTCCCACCCTTCGACCTCTACCCCCGTCGCACCGTCCACCCACTTGATCATTTCAATGAATGTCCGAGAACGAATCCACTCTTTCCTTCCATCGCCAACAACAACTCCTCGCTGACCCCCCCAAAAAACGGAATCCATCCCAAACCCCATTCCCTCTCCCTCACATCCCTTTGTCTCCAATCCTTATGTCACAACAAGAAGTCGACCAGTCCACCGAACAAAGTATGTAAACTTCTTGATCAGGTTAATGTCATTGTTGTTTGAATGCGCTTCATGCGAAAAAGAAACCTCCTTGTCTGGCGTGCTGACATTCTGTACTTGGTGTCTTCTTTTGTTCACTCCTTCCCTCCTGCACTTTTGTGTCCGTAGTCGCCAATGACCTCAAGAACTTGAGCACCGGCCCCGTTGAAGATGCCGTCGAAGATGCCGTCGAAGATGCCGTCGAAGGTAAATACATTTTCAGTCCAGTCCACTCTTTGGAAGGGTTGACAATGCAACCGTCTGACCATCAAAAGAAAAAAGTGTGGTACCTTTTCTTTCCCAAGAAACCCCCTCGCTCTTTTGAACCGACTTTTATCCATAACAAACGATTAACTCTATTACGACATTTTCGTCATATTAGAGGTCCTAACTGCTGAGGAGCGCGCCACTGACTTGCTCGAGTCCTCGTACAGCGTCGTCGTCAAGCTGGCCGACCAGCAGGCCGATGCCAACTCTCCTCTTTACTCTGCAAAGTCCTTTGAGGATCTTGGCCTGTAAGTTAACTCAAGGAACCCTTGTTGTTGAGCACCAGTTTTGTTTGTTATTATTCACACGCATTCCGCACTTTGGAAGCTAACTATCATGCCCGCTCTCCCTGAATAATAATACAGCCACGAGGACTTGCTCAAGGGTATCTACAACATGAAGTTCGCCAAGCCCTCCAAGATCCAGGAGCGCGCCCTGCCCCTGCTTCTGCAGAACCCGTACGTAGATGTGCACCCAATCTTACTTGATCAGAAGGACCAACTGCCCTGAACTTTACTCCTCGCCTGTGCTTTGCTAACATGGTCACTTCTTCTTCCTTGATGATGTCGTCATAATCGAACATCAGTCCCAGGAACATGATTGCTCAGTCCCAGTCCGGAACCGGAAAGACAGCCGCCTTTGCTCTTACCATCTTGAGCCGCATCAACTACGACCTCCATGCCCCTCAGGTAACAATCGCTCCGCTACTCAGGGGAAAGGCAACTGACGTAACGCATTAAGTGCCACCAAAAGTTATGACTGAGAAACTAATCTTTATTCAATCTACTCTTCCTTGCAGGCTTTGGTTTTGTCGCCTTCGCGTGAGTTGGCTCGTCAGACCATGGAGGTCATTCAGGAGATGGGTAAATTCACCCAGGTGACCACTGCCCAGGCCATCAAGGATGAGAACTTGCCTCCCAAGGTCAACTCGCACATCATTGTCGGTACCCCTGGTACCGTTTCTGACCTGATCAAGCGTCGTGTGATTGACGCCAAGAACATCCGCCTCTACGTTTTGGACGAAGCCGATAATATGTTGGACATGCAGGGTCTCGGCGATCAGAGCCGCAACTTGAAGAAGTAACAAACAATCACGAAATTTGATCGCTAATTAATCGTTTTGACTGTATTATGCCCTGTATGAGGAATGTTTGTAGTAACAGGTTATTTCCTTTGTGCGTGTAGACTTTTGCCCCGCGACTGCCAGATTGTTCTCTTCTCGGCTACCTGGGCTGACCGTGTCCGTCAATTCGCCCACGAGATTGCCCCCAAAGCCAACGAAATCACTCTCAAGCCCGAGGAACTCTCTGTTGACGGTATCAAGCAGTTCTACGTCGACTGCCGTAGTCAGTCCAAGGAGAACAAGACCCAGAAGTACGACATTCTCGTCGGTCTCTACTCCCTCCTCACCGTCTCCCAGTCCATCATCTTCGTCAAGGTAAAAAACTCTTTTAGTTTTGCTACTTAGTTGCTCAGAAGAAGGGAAATGGATCGCGGAGTAAGGATTTCATCATGGTTGAAAGTCAATTACCGCCATTTTCATCAATTATTTGTTATTGTCAACCCTACCCTCGAATAGAAACGTGAGACTGCGGATGAGATTGCGCAAAAGATGTCAGAGAAGCACCACGCCGTCGTCTCGCTGCATGGAAAGTTGGAAGCCGCCCAGCGTGACGAAGTCATTGACTCGTTCCGTGCCGGAAAGTCCAAGGTCCTGATCACAACTAACGTCATTGCCCGTGGTATCGATATCGCCAACGTCAACATGGTCGTCAACTACGACATGCCCACAGACCAGTATGGCCGCCCCGACCCCGAGACTTACCTCCACCGTATCGGTCGTACGGGTCGTTTTGGCCGCACTGGAGTGTCGGTCAACTTTGTCCATGACAACAAGTCGATGCAGGTCATGAACGATATTGAGGCCCATTTCGATCGGAAGATGGTTGCCCTCCCCGATGACCTTGACGAGGCTGAGGAGATCATCAAGAAGGCCATGAAGTCTACTTAAAGAGTCTTTTTTTTGCCTTTCTCATATCACCCACCACACAATCAAAAGACTTTTTGGTCATATCACCAATAAAAAACTGTTATGTTTGATCGACGAGTTGTTGAAGAAAGGACTTTGCTCGTGGATTCGCGAAGAAGAAAAATAAAAAAAAGAGTGGGCCACCTTTATTGAAAGCTATTGCTCCACATGTAATAATGCTATAAAAAAAAAAGGTCCTGTCGCTTCATGTCTGTTCGTCTCAATACTCCGTTTCGTCCTCCCGCCCGGTTTTTTTTGGGGGGTTCTTGCAAATTTCAATCGATCCGATCCGGGGGTAGCAAGACACAGGGAGCCACGATGAGGGGGTACAGGGTTAAGACGAGGGCTTTTACTCCTGTTTTGTTGATTGTTGGCTGTTTGTTGGTGGTTGTGGATGTAGAGGTCGCTGTTGTAGTCCTCGTATCCTGTTTTTACGACTCCCATGAGGTTTCTACGATCTCACGGACACGACGCGTGTACTCCTTGCGGTTCTCCCGGTAGAGGTTGGCCGCCTCAGCATTGGCGGGCGAATTGGGATTGGGGTCGTGGAGGAGGGACTGGATCGAGGTCAGGATCGCTGCCACATCGTAGGTGGGCGACCATCGGTTCTGCAGGATATCCAGACACAGCTCTCCATTCGCATAGACATTCGGGTGGAACATTTTCGACACAAACTTGACAGTTGGTGGTTTGTTTGGGTACGTTTCGTCAAACTGGAGGAGCAACTTGAACGTTCCGTCCTCAAATGGAGTATCGCCTAAAAAAATTGGAAGAAAATAGAACAAGATGGATGGTCAATGACAGGCTGCTTTTAGTAAGCAAACAGAAGCAACCATGTTGCTTAGCAACTCTGTAGAACCCATGTACGCAATGTGAACAAAACCACAAACAACGCGATGATGAAAAAAGGGAGAAAAAGAGCGGCGGAGGAGGCGGGATAGATCCAAAGAACAAAGGAGCAAAAAAGGGTCGGTGGCGATAGGGGATACATGGAGAATGGAGGAGGTAAGCGGAGATGATTCGATCTGGTCCTCTTTCTTTTTTTTTGCTCTGCATATTTGGTGCACCATTGCTTAGGTGTTTTCTTTCTTCTGCATTTTATCTCCAATGTCATTTGCGCTTTGTCGTACGGTTGTCTCTCCTCTCCCTTCTTCTGTCTCACTATCCTCTTTCTATCTCCTGATCCAAAATGCGCTGCTGCAATGTGTTATCCTGGGCTGGGCACAAGACGAAGAAAAAGGGAGAGAGGACTAGATCAATCTCCTTTTTTTTTGGTTGTTCTTGAACTCTGTTTCCCGCCTTGCGTTGACAGTTTCCCTGCCCTTATGAGGTTGTGTTCACTCCTCCTGCCCTGCCATTTGCTCTGCCCTCTCCGCGCCAGTCCATGCATAACCCACACTTGTCTGATTTCCCTCTCCAGTTTGCATAAGCGCAATAGTAATAAAAAAGATGAGTCCTAGGGTCCAAAATAACACTAACACAAGTTACTACCCAAGTTGGAGGCGGGGGAGTGTCAAGTGCTTTTTGTTTTGTTGAACACAGCCCGCTGCGGTTCGATTTTTTTTTTCTTTTCATATTCCACTTTTGTTCGCTGGTCGAAGATAAGGGAGACTGAACAACCACACACCACACCACCACAACAAGGACCTCTTATCGATGATATCCTTTTGAACTTGGTGTACAATAAGAAGAGACAAATGTTGGGTGGCCGAACAATAAGGAAAAGGGATTCAGGATCCCTTAGGCCATTTGTTTCCTCAACCACCGCAACCAACTGGAAATAAATGAAAAAGTCTCTTCCCTTCCATTCCTTTGCGCACAGTATAGGAGACAGTTAGGGTTGAGGTTTACCTGGTCCAAAGATGACGGCGTTCCAGAGCATGATGTTGTCGGAGCATGGTGCGCCCGAGATGCCGCCTGGAGGATCGCTCTGCAGACGCTTAAAGTCTTTCATCAAACGGCGGCGAGAAGGTGTCGACATGGCTGTTGGTTGTGTGTGTGTTGTTGTCCTGGGGTTGGGTGTGTTGCGGGTAAGAGAGTAATAGAGAAGAGAAGAATAGAAAAGAAAAGAAGAGAAGAAATAGGGTTGTGTTGTTGCGCGTTCAAGGACGGCTATTTGTATGAATTTGTCGGACGTTGGAGCAAAAGGCGGACTATGAAGACGAGAAAAGAGGAGACGAATGAATTGACAAAGTGCTCGTTTGCTTGTTTGAGTAGGTGGATGGGGTGAGTGGGGTGGGAAGTGGTGGAGTGGAGTGGAAGGAGAGGGAGGATTGGATGAAGGAAAAGGAAGAAATGGAAAAAAATAAAAACGAATCGACCAGCAAGCAGCTGGTCGCTTTTCTATTGCGTCCAGTCACCTGACATCTACGTTGTCTATTCTTTTGCAGCTAGTAGTAAAGGTGGAGCACGCCGAAGCCAAGGTTGATCATCATGCCCGCAATGATTCCTATCCGAGGGTAATCGAGAGAAGATGACAGTGGAGGAGACGTCGGTTAGCTCAGTTTGGTTCAGTATCCAATGACAAATACCCATCAAGGAAGACAAAAAATAAAGGCAAACTAACCCATTTGCTGCCGCCGTGAAAAGGCTGCCTCCTTGAACCAGAACAGGACTATTAGGCCCATAAAGAAGCCAAGCATCAGACCCCAAACCATCTCGCCATAACTACCCTCCACTATTGTTTGAAATGATTCATTAGAAAAAAAAAAGTTCATTTTTAATATCATTCGATCATGCACACATGCCCTTGATCCACAAAAACCATATCGCACCTCTCCTCCAAACATGTGCGCACACGCCACATTACCACATTATAAGAATAGGAATGAACAAACAACAACAACTTACGTCCTTCAGGAAGCGTCTCGGCGCCATGTTGGTCAATCCACTCTTCCTCAATCCGCCTCGCCCTTGCGTTTGCATCCTCGTCTTGATCCAGTCCCACCGCAATACCGTTCTCACCCACTGTGGACATGACAGTCCCTCGACTCGCATGAAACTGTCGTCGGATCGACCGGATCTCGTCCTCACTGAACCCAGCCTCCCGTAGCCGATCAAATCCTGTGGCCTGCGGAGTCATAATAGGCGAAAGTTCCTCCTCCTCTTCCTCCTCATCGTCGGTCCCATCTTGTGTTTCATCCTCATCGTCCTCGCTTGCTAATCCGTCCTCACGACGGTGTCGAGACCCTTGCCGTCTACTACTACTTCCCGGGAGTGACAATGGACTCGATGCACCAACTCGTACTGCTGCTGCTGCCGCTGCTGAACTAGTTGACTGTGACGGTATGTGGGATGCGTTCAAACCACGACTCCTGGACGGCCGATTTGATCCATCTCTCCTCAGTCTTCCGCTGGTATTGCTATTACTGCTGCTTCCTGTCCCGGTTGCCACAGCCTTGCCCTTTTTCACCGCCGTTAGGCCTGCTGGCTGTGCAGATGGGAAGTCCGAAAGCGAGCACAAGAAATAAATGGGTCCTGTTTGGACGGGTATACTGATGGTCGAAGTCGAGCTCGGGTTCTTGTTGTTGGCGTGACTCGAAGTATCAGAAGGTATATCGATTATCGTATGCCCGCCGCCGCCAGACGAAAGCAGATGTGTGGCTGTTGTTGTTGTTGTTGTTGTTGTTGTTGTTGTTGTTGCTGTTGATGATGGTGTTGGTGGCAGTGTTGAGGCTGTATTTGGTGTTGTTGTCGTGGTGGAGACATGAGTTGGTAAGATAGATCCCAAAGAAGTATGTGTCCTGATAGTCGGCGGTGTCGACTTTTCTCCGCTCGTCCTGGAAGCAATTCCTGCAAGGATGTTGTTAGCTGCAGCTTCGACAGCCTCGACGGATGATGAAAGCCGCGACTGGTGGTGTTGGTGAGGTACCTCGACTTGAGTGAAGAGCGACTTTGGCAATGACTCGATCAAGGTCTTGTTGTCGACCAAGATTTTGCCAGAGTGGATCAATCGCAAATACTTGTTTCCAATCGACGGCCGCGCCTCTTTGATCTAGCAACAAGGAAGGAAAAAAAAAAACGTGTAAGTGTCCCATTCGATTATAAAATTTGACAAATCGTTCATCGAGCATTGCCCAGCCAGACTTACTTCGTCCTTGACTTGCGCAATGGTATCAGTCCTCGGGACTCGCAGACTCAAGTCCTGTCCCTCTCCGAACCGAATGTTGATCTCCAAGTCAGCATTCTCCTCCGTCCTGGACCTTTGTACCACTTGATCCTGACTCTGCCGTCGACTTTGACCCGGTTGTTCATGTGGTTGTTCGTCTTCTTGGCGCCGCTCAACGACTCCTGCACCAACCGGTCCCTGTATAGGAGATTCTCCTCCATCGTCGTCGTCTTCGTCCAAGCGACTGTATCCTTGGCGGTTACTATTGCTTCCTCTCGTCAAGGCTGCCAGTGTAGCGGCTGCAACAGAACCAGCCCTCCGAGTGCGTGGAGGTGGAAGTGACGAGTGGATGGCAGTGGATGGTGAGGATGTCTCATCCTCGCTGTCGCTTGCGTCATTCACTCTGGCATAGCTCATTGAAGTTTCCTTGTCCTTGTCCTTGCGCCGCAGTGTTATTGAGCTTGATGTGAAGTTGTGAGCGTGTGTCGAATGGGTTGATGCGAAGGATGAAATAAAGAAAGAGTGCCAACTCCACACTCCCTTCCTTCATCACTCCACGTACTTTGGCACAAAAAAAATGTGACCGTAGGATTGCCCCAGCAAAAATGGTATTTTTTGGTGGCGATGTTTTTCAGGCACGCAGTAAGTTCACGCTCAAACAACCATCGTTGCTTTTTGTTTATTAAAATTACAAAGAGTGTGATTAGGATATCAAGATTAAGAGTAGGAGTAGGCGTTGTAGGTTTGTGAATTAAGAAACGGTGTAGTCGCGACGCCGGATGTAGCTATGAATATCGACAAAAAAAAATGACAATAGAGTAAGCAACCACTTCATAGGTAATTAATGCACAGGGAGCAATAGCGAAAAACCACGCGCATATTGCAATTACCTTCGTGTAGGCGGCCTGCAAAGAACCGACGCACAGTTTCCAAATATGCTGCCACGGTCGAATGGATTGTCCACAACCATGGGTCTCATCATAGATGCGCTCCACTAATCCATTGAACAAATTAGCAATACGAATATGTTAGATTCAGCTTCGATGCACCAATCATTCAATATCCAACGATTTGAAAGGCTACAAATGACAGTTCTTACCTGTTCATGGGTTGTGCGGTTCACGGTTGCCAACCAGAAATGATAGGTTGCCAGGGCACCAACTGCGAGACCCATGATAAAGGCAAAGACCATGACAAGTGCTGATATAGGGGCCTTGGCCAGAACGTCGCTTTGGAAGGAGGGCACTCCTGAAGGGTCATTCTTTCGATCTCGGTACAACAGTAGCAAATGAGTCAAGCACAGGGCCGATGTGTAGAAAGCGTAAATGGATGCTATTGATACAAAGATCAAAAAGTAGCGGTAATTCCTTCGTCCGATGCAGTTGTTGAGCCATATGCAGTGGTGGTCCTCGTCCTCTATTACCAACCAGAATTTGTACGAGTGTCAATACCAGCTTCTCTTTATGCCATAAGCGCGCAAAAACGATAATAACCGCCTCAAAACTTACCAACGCAATTGTCGCATTGACGGCAATGACTGCAACGGGGCGGGCGATAGATTCTACAAGTCTCGCAGTACTTGAGACGGACAGTGTACATTCCAACTTGGACCTCTTTCAGGCGTGGCAGACTCTGAGGGGGATAGAATGAGGCCGAAGTACTGTCCATTTCCCTGAGTGGGTCTAGTGGTGGGTCTCCATCGATTCCTCGAGGAATAACTCCTGGGTCCGTCCAAGATGTCTTGAGCATCGAAGAGAACGCCACGATAAAGAGGTACGCCTGCACAATTGGCGCAGCTGGACTGACTCTGTGCCATAAAAACGAAGACCTATTGCCAATTCAAGTCGAGTCAAGACAGATAGGTTATGAAAAAAGTCATGAGCATTGTGAGCCGGGTGTGAATCTGCAGGGAAACGATGTCAGTTACAAGCCCAACTTTTTTTTTATCTTCTGCTCACTTACGTGAATCCATGAAACAACCCTGTTGGGACTGTCAACAGCAAGACCGCAACGAGGAACGCTGGAAAGTCGCGACTGGTCATAATCCGTCCTCCACAGAAAAAGAGATTACGTCCTGGAAACAATTTGTAATTCCTGACGGGTTTGCCTTGGTGCAAAAAGTCGTCCTCGCCATGATCGGTTTCTGTTCCAAGGACGCCGCTGTCAGCACTCGGAAGCTGGTTTTCGTTGCGGTGGGTAGAGCCGATGGGCGCCGGACCCTCGACACTGGACATCCGCGAGTGGCCATCGAACTTAGTGTCCTTGTGAGGCGGGGTATATTGCTGAAATCCTGAAAACTGCCCTGAAGCACTCGTGATGGGGATTCGTCCTGTTTGGTTGGAGATGGCCAATGTTGGTGGCGGTGGTATTGAAGGCGGGCTGTACTGGAGATATCCTGAATGTGGCCCTGTCAGGTAGCGACCTCCTGGGCTGCTGTTCAAAGGAAAGACATCCTTGGGGTCCTCTGCAAGAAACTCTGAGAGCGGGAGCATCTCGGCCGCATTTGTGGCCCTTGTTCGTACGACAGGTGGCGTTCGGATGGATTGCGAGCTAAGTCGTGAAGGCGATTGCTGACCGCTCTCTGTGTGATGACTCTCGGTTCTAGGATGGTCCTGCGAGGTTGAAGCGTGATTTCCGCCAGCAGCGATTGACCACTGGCTGGTGCTGAAGTCGGCTGAATACCCCCTGGACACACGGCTTCGCCCCTTGAGCCGATAATCTAGGCATTCCTCCTCCATCTCTTCGCGACTTGTGCCTGGTATATATCCCGCCACTGAGAGGATAGTGTCGATGGAGGAAGGATCGCTGTTGGGAGAGCCAACATGTGCTGGTGTCGATGAGGATATCGAATTGTTGTTGCCGTCGACCACAACAGTCTCGCTGCCTCTGCTGGTGTCTGGCGCAAGTGGGGGGTAGGTGGGTCCTGGAAACTTGTTGCTGCTGGTGCTGTTGCTGTTGTTGCCAGTTCTCGTTGACATGTGCTGTGCAGTGTGATACGTAGGTTCGAGTGTTGGCGACTCCTCAACGGCCACAGTATGGCTGCCAATGGTGGCTGAGGCGACGGCAGAATTGGCCATCAGCATCTGCTCAAAGCTCATGCCTCGTTCTGCGGATGATGAAGGAAGGGAGAAGAAGGACTGGAAGGAAGGGTAGGGTTCGGACTCTGGTTCGAGTACTGCGCGGCTGCTGAGAACAGAGTAGAGAGAGTGGGCGGGTGTAGACGTAGGCGTAGGGGTGGTGGGCTGGATGTGATCGTAGATGCTGTTGATAGGCCAGGAAGCAATTAAGACTGGGGTGATAGAGTTGTCACTGATGGCTAGTGGAGAGGTAGCTTCTGTATGAGTTACTTGGTGACCAGGGATACTTTGAGAGTCTAGGGTGGTGGTTGTGGTGACGGTCTCGTGTGCCTTCTGTTCAGGGCGGGCTAGTTGGTTGACGGGGGCAGGTGCAGCAGCCAGGTTGGAGGATTGTTGTTGTTGCAGCAGTAAGGTGTCGTTGTCGGTGTCCTTGTCCTTGTCCAGTGCGGGGACCTGGGCAGGGTCGAGTGTCGGCATTGCGACGGACAGGGGAGGATGCGAGTGTGCGAGGTTGATCTTAAAGAGTAGAAGGAGGGGGTAATAAAAGGGATGGACAGGACGGGGAGGATGGGACTAAGGAGAGAGATAGAGAGTAGGGAGAGTGAGGAGGAAGGAATTTGTGTCTGTTGGTGTGCTCTGTGTTGCGAAGGGAGAGATGGGTGAAAGAAGGGATGGTACCATCAGCTCACTCACTCCATACAGCTTTGTGAATGGAAAAAAAAAAAAAAAAAAAAAAAAAGAGAGAGAGAGAGAGAAGGGTTGAGGCAAGTCACGTGTAAAGCAATTGTGTGAATGGTTACTGTTTCCCGCCCTTTGCCGATAATAATGTGTACGTTCAAAAACAACAAGTCAGTCTCGAACGATCACTCCCTCCAATCAATCATCATTTTGGGGGAGGGGAAGGGATCAAAGCGTTGAACTAAACCCCTATCAGTTCATCAATTATGAACATGGCCATCACTCCTCTCTCTTGTGTGCTGGTAAACAATCAGACAGATAGTGAGACTCCCTGCTCATACGGTCGTCTGCATCCTATGGCCTGTCTGCCGATCAGTGAAGCGAGCGACAACAACAGTTGTCATGGTTCCTCTTTATCCTATCAACAAGAATAATCTTCTTTGAAAACCAGGCAACCTTCTTCCACTCTTTTCACACTTTTTCCTCTCAAGAACTCTCCGTCCCTCGACTTTTTTTTTCTTTCTCAGCCGTGATGTTATTGTCTACTACAGAGCAGAATAAATGAAATGACACCAGCTAATAAAGAGCCGAACTGGCCTTCAATGGCTTCTCGAACAGTTGTACCGTCTTGTCCCGCACCCCAAAAGTCCAACTCAATTGAGCCATGCTGTCTATGTATTATTGATAAAATATGAGCGGCCATGAAATCAGAAATTCAGGTACTGTATCAGTGCAGATGCACACACTCAAGGCACAAGGCACAGGACACAGGACACAAAGAAGTAAAAAAAAAAAAAGACGCTGCTGGTTCAGTGTCGACTTCTCTCCCTACCCTCTCTCCACTGCTTATCATCTTCCTCGTCATCACCTACATACCGCAAACCCAACCTTAACATCACCTACCACCCTCTGCATCACCATCCTTTCCTCTCCTTGTTTCATTCCACATCGACAAGGAGTAGATCATTCCTCCCTACCGTCCGTCTGTCTGCTCAATGTCAGCATTCTAGCTGGACACAACTCAACAGTTCTCCTTCACTTTTTTTTTGTTGCTCCTCATTCACCCCGAGTTTTTGTTTCGCCCTCTCTCTTCACAGAAAAACTCATGAGCGTCCCGCTTCCGGTGCTATCCAACCCATGTATCGCCGCTGCGTCCAGCACGTCCGTCTACCTCATTGGGATCCCAGGTGCTATGGGAGGACACCTACAAGTATTCTCGATCGCTCTAGACGCAACACTCGACTCCCCAATTGCTGTCCCTATAGGCAAGGAGCAAGTCACCAACACATGGGAGGTACAAGCCAAGATGGCATGTTTCTCGTACGGGGCCATTACATCCCCGCATGACACCGTCCTCCTTGTGCAGGTCGGGGCAACGAGGACAGACGTCGCCAACCTCCGCAGCAGTGGTGTCTTTGATTACCCGGTGCAAATCCCAGACTCGACTCTCAAATCGACCAAGCTGTTGACTCAGGTGGGCTCTTATTCGACGTTTGCCTGGTTCACGGGGTTTACTACCACCAATGCAGCGTCCGCCTGGAAAGGAATGCGTTTTTTATCAACCAACGTGTCAGCCTATATCAGCGAGTAAGTGAACTGGCCAGCGATGTGGATAACTACTGTTCCTTCTCCTCACTCCTCTCGTATTAATTTTTCATGCCTCCTTTGTGTAACTGATAGTGAGCAAATCACACAGGCACCGACAAAAACGCCGTTCATGACTGTGGGCACTTATGATATCAGCTCCAAATCGTCGTCAACACAAGGATACTCAATCGTCTTTGATTCAGTAAGCAGTGGAGTCGTGTATCCTGCAACGGGCAACGCAGAGTCCCTCACCGGAGCCGTCTCCCTCTCGACGCCCTTCGCGCTCGACATGCAGGGCATCACCCTCACCAACAAAAGCATTCCAGTCACTATGGGCAACGTCGCCTACATCCTCGACGAGGTAAACATACAAAGATATGTTTTTAGTAGAAACCTATTATTATCTTTTCGGTCACCAACTAACATCCGACATGCTAATGAATGTCATATAGGCAGCGGACAGTTCCATCGTCGCATACACCATCATCCCCAGTACAACAAACAAACTGAGCACAATATCAATAACAGGAAGGGCACCCTCGTTCCTCACGGTCCAATCCGCCACGTCCCTTAACAACAAAATCGTCGTCTATTCTGTCAACAACTCATCCGTCCCATCCTTGAACGTCTTTGATTCCGTCGCCAGGACATGGAGCGGACCAGGACTGATCGGATCCGGTACCTCGAAACCGATATCCAGCACAACCGGCGCAACAACAATGCCCAACAACGGGAATGACAACGAGAGCAGGTTCCCGGTTGCACCTGTTGTAGGCGGTGTCTTAGCGTTGGTGATAGTAGCGTGCACCGTGTTCTGGATTACCCGGAATCGTCGACGACGTCGGAGGGAACAAGGAGATGACGCCAACAATACGGATGAGAATGAGTCTTCTACGCAGAAGCTGGAGATGGATCCACGGCAACAGAAACAATCAGTCCTCACCTTGCAAGAAGAAACAGGAACAACCTCATCACAACAGCAGCAACATGCAGCATATCCAGCGGCACATTACCCATCAGCACATGCAACACTCAATATCCATCCACACTCTGCACCTCGTGTTCCTAATCCTGCGCCTCCTCCAAGGAATGATTATATGTCGCAACCCCAGCCGCCATACAACCCCCAATATATCCAAAATACACCTTCCAACCCGCAACACAAGGCGGAAGAAGAGCCACTCGGATGGAAATAGTCGTCCCCCTGCCTGCCCAACTTCTACTCCACATCGCATCGCGGTATAACGGGCTTGCAGACCTCCTATTCTATCCTTGCCTGTGTGAGGAAACGACGTCTCCATGACAAAAAAAAACACCCCTCCTCGGTCAAATCGTCTAATTGTACCAGCCTAGTCCCACCTCACCTCTTCCTTTAAGCCCTAACAACCATAACAGATACCCCTGATCTTTTGACTATGCATGTATGTCTGCATCTCTTCAAACTCTATTTTTCTTCTACGCGCGGAAAACCATGCCACTTGTTGTTCGGTACGAAATCTAAAATGGATAGTGTGCTGGAGAGAAAAAATGAGGGGTCTAGAATACGCAGCCCGCGGAGGAATGGCGGTGTGAAAATCTGGATGGGATGGACCCGCACGGATCATATTCGTTGTTGTGAGTTACCGTAGTACGACTCATCCCCATCCGCTGCCCGCTGCCTACTTTCGTACTGAGCCAGACCATAAGCAGAAAAAAATGGGCACAGGTGCTTTGTCGCCCCACCAATGAATCGGTTGTTTCATATGGCTTCACTCCATACGCATACCATGTCATGTCCCTGTCCTCAAGCAGTGCATGGACTGACGAACTAACCAAACAAAGCGACAGTGCCTCCTCGGCTTCTTGTATATTTAGCCACACTTGTGCGTCTGGACTCAATTCCATCGCTTAAAGAGGGATGAGAAAAAAAGGATGCCCAGTCCTCTCTCCCTCTGTCTGACTGTGGCCATGCATCCAACCATTCGTCGTTGCCCTTCGATCTTTGCCTTGCATGATTATGTGGCCAGCATTTACTCTTTTAAAATATCCATGCTTGGCTATCCCCTGCCTCATCTCTCTCTCTTTCTTTTTTCTCTCTCTCTTCTTCTTTCCTTCTTCATACTCTTCTTCAGATATACGCAACCCATCCTCATCTCCATTTGACTTCTCCTCCCCACTCATTGCCTTGTCGTCAATACAATTTACCAGCCCTGCCTCTCTCCCACTTCTTCCTCCCTGTTTCTATTTCGCGTATACCCTCCCTCTATCCAACCAGCCCTTTCATCCACCCTTCAGCTCCTCTTTCCATAAAGTACATTGCCCAAAACCCACAACATAAAATGAGCAACCCAGTACCAGTCTACCCACAGCCATGCATGGCCGCCGACGAGGACAACAACGCCCTCTACCTCCTCGGCGTCTCCACCACAGGTGTCGGAACAATTGAAGCCTCTTACATCAGTCTTGCCAACATCAACTCGCCCTCTATTAAACCCCTCGGTTCCCAGACAGACATTAATTCCTGGGCCGCATACGCACCCAAGGCCTGCTTCATTTACCCCGCCGATGTGCACCCAAACAGTCCGGTTATGCTAGTCCAGTATGGAGAGTATAAGTCTTTCATGTCGATGATGACTGCCAATGGAGAGTTTACGCAGGCCAGCGTGTTTCTTGGAACTGCTTTTTTGAGTCCGAGACAGTTTTCGATGGTGGGGGAGAGTGGCGATTATGCGTGGTTTGTTGCTCAGACGAACGATACTAATTCGGTGACAAATTCAAAATGGCTTGGTGTGAGACTCAACTTCACTGCTGGAATCGGCAGTTACATCGAGTAAGTTACTTTTCATCGTAAGCATTGTTGGACTGACAAACTGAATGCTTCCTTTTCAACTGTGATATTGACGTCTTTAATCGCTTTTTTCCCAACACCTCTTTCTTTATTGACCTCAACAAGCCCTAATCTCGGTTTTTATCCTACAAACACACCACTGGTTTCCGTGGGCACCTACGGCACCACCCCAACGACAATGTGGCATGGAGACAACGTTGTCTTTGACACTCAAGGTGGAGGATACATCTACCCTACCGTGGGTGCCCTCAACTTGGTGAGCCATGTCATCACCCAGTCGGCGCCAACGTCGGTCGCCATGAGCGGCATCATATTGGGTGCTAATAGTGTTCCTGTTACCATGGATGGGACCGGATACATCCTTGACAAGGTAAGAACTAAAAACACGAAGAAACTAGTCGTAGTACGTAGTGACTTAGACCAATAGGGCTGCCAGGAATTAGGAACTCTGTCTCACAAACAAACAAACAAACAAACAAACACGCATAACTCGTTTTTAAACCGTTCTAGGCTGCCGATGGTTCCACAGTCCTGTACTCTATCACTCCATCTCGATCATCCACCCTCCAACGTGTCACTCGAACGGGCGGCGCTCCTCCCTTCAACCCCTCCATGGTCGCCGGTAAATATTTTTTGCTTTTGTTTTTGTTTACTCACTCTCTTTCCGTTGAACAAAAAAAAAAAAAAAACAGCGTTGTAACAGCGTAGAACATGAACTCTTCTACGTATAGTACTCACTCTATTTATTTTTCAAATGTTTACTTTGTTTACCCAACACAGTGGCGTGCAATTCGCTGATCGTGACATACTCGATGGTCAACACCACGACCGCATACCTCAACACCTTCAACACCACCACCAACACATGGGCCGGCCCCGGTCTCGTCGGCGTCCCTGACTCTGGCTCTGGCAGTGGCAATTCCAGCATTCCCATTGGCGCAATCATTGGTGGTGTTGTCGGTGGTCTCGTCTTGATTGCCCTTGTCGCATTCTTGTGCATCCGTTACAAGCGCAAGAAGACAGCGGACAAGAGGGATGTCGACGGACATGGTGCCAGGAGCGTTAAGGCCGAGGACCAACAGACGCCCCAAGTCTACACCTACGTCCCTGAAACCTTCCCTGCACCCATTGTCCAACAACCCATCTTCTTTGACCCCAATCAGCAGCGGGCTACCTACTATGACCCCAACGCGGTCGCTTACAACCAAAACGCAGCAGCGGGACTAAACGTCTACGACCCCAATGCAAACATCTACGACCAGAACATAAATATGTATGATCAAGGACTCAACACCTACGAGATCCCCAGTGCAAGCGCATACCCGCCTCCACCCGCCGGCACCCTTTACTCACCAGTCCCACCAAGCCCATACCAAGACCCAGCCACAAGCCCTAGTTATTCCTCCCAAGTGACCAAAACCGGTTCTCCTACCCCTGCCAACCCTCAGTTTGTTGATCCGGAGGCCTATGGTAGTCATAAGGGTATTGGTTCTCCTCAGTATGTTGAGGCTAGGGAATATAAGGCCGAGACCAAGCCTTCCAATGAGCCCGAGTACTACCGTCCGTAAGGCTATCTAAATCTTTTTTCCTTGTCCTCCTTTAATCCTTTTCAACTACACGCCTACCTTGATTATTTTTATATCTTTGCCTCAAATAAAAAATAATATCCGTAGCCAGACACCACATCCCCGTTAAGCACCACAACGCGAGGATACTCGATCGTCTTTGACACCACAGGACAGGGACATGCGTATCCGGCTCTAGAAAAGGCAGCCCCTGTGCTAGGACCTCAGGACCATATTCTGTCACCGGGTTCGCCGTACAGTATCAACTTAAATGGTGCTACTTTGACCATGGATGCGGTACCTGCTGCCATGGCCAATACTCTGTATATGCTAGACAAGGCGAGCAGTCAGTCGTTGATTTATATTTCACGATATTAGGAGACATGTGTGATCATAACGCGAAGAATGTCAACTAAATGCGTCTTGTTTTACTTATTACTGATCACAGAGATCAGTATGGATCAAACGGTGGTGTATTCGATAACCCCCCCCCCCCAACCAATCTTCAATTCCCCACCGCGTTTCCATCGCCGGCGGTCCGCCTTTTCTCCCCCCTCGTGGCCGCAACAGCGCTCAACAAGTAGATCGTCACCTACTCTTTCAACAACTCCCCCCCTCGGCTCCATGACTGGACCCGTCCTCAACATATTCGACACCGTCACCGGAACATGGTCATGACCTGAACTCATGGAAGGCTTTTCATCCCCAGCACCAAGCGCAGGAGGCTATCCTGGATACAAGCGACCTCCACAACAACAAGAAGTCCTTATTGGTACAATTGTCGGAGGCGCGATTAGTGGATTGATGGTGTTGACATTTTCGTTCTTTTTTGTACTTCAGTATCCAATACCGCGTGGGGGGGGGGGGCACTACAGGCGGCGAGTGGTAGGTCTGGAGGCGGATGGACGAGTATGAAGTCGCATAGGTCGGGTGTTAATTCTGTGACGAGGAGCCAAGTTGATTGGAAGACTGATCGGAAATCTGGGTTCTGAACACTTATCGCTCTCAACGGGATTTTTTATTTCCTTCCTCCTCCGTTATTATTTTTGTTAAACCCTTAATATTTTTTCTTCCTTTCCTGTCTCTTATTTGTTCAATTGAGAAATGGTCAACAACCAACCAACGATGTTACGCACGATGCCAGAATAAAGCATCCCTCCCTGTTTCTGGCGCACCCGCCCTTCACCTGTTATCAAAGCCACCTCAAAGTGACCGAGAAAAATGGCAAGGCAACATTCCAACTTTCGATCAGTTCCCACAAGTAAACCCCATCTCAAGAAACACAGATGTCTTTTGGAAATAAAGTTCTTTCTTTTTTGCAGTGTTTGCTCACAAGAGTATGCCATTTAATCCTCTGCACAGCCTTTACTTGTATGGCGTCAAGTTAGTTGAGCAATTAATCGCCTTTTTTCATTGTCGACACAGCCACAGGGTCGTAAAAAAGGCGATGCAATTTTGCTCTTTCTTGATCGCACTCTAAAAAAAGACGCCTGTCTCCTCGATTTGACAATTGCCAGCATGTACTTTGTGCTTACCAGAAAAAAGAGTCGCCCAGTGATGTATCCCGGCGTAGAAATGGGAGGTTCCCTACATTCTATTTTCATGCAGTATCTTTCTGTTTCGATAACCTCGTCTGCTCACATGACAGTCTTCGCCTGGCAACTGATTCCTTTAAAACAAGCATCCTTTTCCTTTTTTTTACTTCTTTTATCTATAATAAAAGAACTTACTCTACCTCTCACCTCTCCTCTCCTCCCCAACTTGCACCTGCAAAACTCCTTCGCCTTTCCAATTGGGTCTCACATCACAGCACCCGTTTCCTCGCCACACCCCCATATACAAAAGAAGAAAAAAAAGAATGTCATCGAGTAATCGCCCAATCCCTGTCTACAACCAAGCATGCATCGCCGCAGACAGTTCTCGTACCCAAACCTCGTTCTACCTTGCGGGATCCTCACAACCAGGACATCTGACCGTCGATTATTTCAACAACTTCCAATCACCTCCGGCGCCCAATCCGGTTGCTGACCAGACGGATCAACAAGCTTGGGATACTAATGCTAAAAAGTTGTGTTTTACGCGGCCTAACCAACAGCTTACCAATCCGTAAGTGTGGAGACGAGATGAGAAGAGAGATGAAGAAGCGAAATGAAAAGGGAGAGAAAGAAAGGAAAGAGAAGGGAGTGAAGTGAAAGAGAGGGAGAGATGAAAGAGAAAGAGAGAAGAAAGAGAGGAGTGAAAAAAGCGAGAGTGCGGATAGAATATAAACTGGAACGAAATGGTCTTGCGTAAAGTACCTTCCTTTCGAGTCTGTTGCTAACACGAACCATTTTTTTCCTACTCTACTTTCCTCTCAAAGTGGTATTTATGTTATTCAATTCGGGTTGGGGTCTACGTTCATGGCCCTCGCACAAACCAACAACATCGTCTCGGGCACAATCGCCTTTCAAGGTCTGAGTCTCCCGTACCCCAAACTCTTTGCCTGGACCGGGAAGCATGAAGAACATGACATGTTCGTTGCTGCGACAAACGTCACGTTCAACTCGCAACCCAATGCGTGGGGGGGCATGCGCGTGGATTTCACTAATACTACGATGAACTTGATAAGGTAGAAAAAAAGCGTGCCGATAGGGAACATCTATGGCAGCATGTAATTTGAATAGTTCAATGTCTACAAATGCATGATGTACCAGTGACTATTTTCAACCTCAATGACTGACGGACTGTTTGTGATGGGTATGTGCTACAAAAGCTTGCGCGTAACGAGCAATCCTATCGATAGCAACCAGGCCCTGCTTGCAGTTGGAACATATGGACCTTTCAATGCCACCGCAACGCAAGGTTACACCACAGTTTTCGACAAAAGCGGAGGAGGACAGATCCAATCTGCTGCTGGCAATCTTCCGACAGCTCCAGGAAGCAATGTGCCACCAGTTTCACTTGATCCACCTATGGCTGTCAGCATGAACGGAATCAAGCTAACCTCAGACGCAATACCCGTCACCATGGAGTCTTTTGGTTACATCCTCGACAAGGTAAGTAAAGTCTTTCCTCTGTGCTACACAATAAAGTGTTGGGAGTTAGAACAAAAGCTGACATTCCTTGTCTTCCTGTTTCCTCTCATCACTAGGCAGCCAATGGCTCTACTATTATCTATTCCATTAACCCAAGCCAGTCGAGCACATTGAATACCGTCTACGTTTCAGGACCCTCACTTCCGTTCTCAAACATCCTGGCCGCCTCGAGCCTCAACAGTGGAATCCTTACATACTCATCCAATGGCACCATGGCGTCCTTCAACGTCTTTGATGTCAATAGTAGCACTTGGTCCGGAAATGGTCTGGTCTCGGCAGCTGTAGTGGATCCTAACTCGACATCCTCGACACCTCTTGGGGCCATCATCGGAGGCATTGTTGGAGGTCTCCTTGTCATTGCCCTCACAATCTTCTTCCTCGTCCGACGCCGCCGCCAGGGTGCTCAGAAATCAGCTAACAGCGCCGAACTTGCCTGTTTGAACTCTGGCGAGGCCAAGGCAGCTGGCTTTGACCAAGGATACGTTCAGTACGACCACGGATATGTCCAGTACAACGAAGGATACATCCAATACGACCAAGGATATCAGCAGACACCCACCTTTTTTCCTCCTCCACCAACGCCCATCAGCCAAGGCGCAGACGACTCGTACAAGGCGGATGCTCCAGCTAGCTCGACCAATCCCTACGTCAGCCCAACCTCATATAGAGAATCTGCTTCTCACCCAGTAGAAAGTCCTGAAAGTCTTTTTTCCAGGCCCGTAAAATTGTCAGTCAGTCATGGCCCTCAGTACGTTCCAAACAGCTCTGTTGCGGCGTCCGATACTCGATCCCCTCAACTCGTCTCCAGTGCAACTGACAGTACATAGTGTCTTGTATTGTGCTGTTTCCGCTTATACCCTTTTCTATGCGCAAATAAAAAAAGACTTTTTCACAAATTTTGCGTAGTGAGAAAAAATACAAGGTGAACAAAAAGCACGATCCTTCCCAACACTTCTCTGTGCTGTTATATTTTGTTTCCTAGGATTCGTCTTCGCTTGCCCGCCAAAAAGAAAGAGAGGGACCGGCAGCAAGAGCCTTTTATTACCTACTACTACATTATGTGTTGGTCATTCGCCGTTGAATGCGTCCCCTCATGCAATCCTGACAAGTGTTGAGCACAGCCCACTTCCATTGTTTGTTTCTTTGTTCAACAGGAAATAATGTTCCACTGTGCTTTGTTTTCTCTTGCCATACCATGCTAGCGTTTGCCATTGAACCCTTGAATAGCCTTTGTTAGTATGACTCAAGAACAAGGGTGCACCATAACAAGTTTTATTTTTTCGTTATTATTACAGCCAAGGGCATGAAAAAGAACCACGCCATCTGTTTGAAGCTGAAAAAGCATACGAGAAAGAATGGTACAGTGGGATGTTCTGTTTTGTTTTGGTCTTACCCATTATTTTTTCACGGCTGTGACTCGGTGAAAAGCTTAACCCTCGCCCTCATTTCTATTTTTTTGGCGGTATTGTTCCTTTTTTCAGAATCGATATTCTGCGTCTACCATTATCTTCGGCCTGGAAATGTCACTTCAGGAGGAGCTTTTCTAAGCTTGGGGGGAAATGGCTGCCCTCCCCCTTTTTTTTGTCTGAGCACAGCCCAAGCTGGTGAACGAGAGAGCAGCAGCAGTGCCTGCCGTATGCTTTTGTATGCTAAAAAAAGATAAAGTTGCCCGAGGACTTTGCTTTGATCATCTTCGCCCTCCCCTTTTTCTCTCTTGCTTCAACAATGCCCATATCCATTGCTGTGTCTACCGGTGAGAGATTGGCGTACTGTCACCCCATTGCGTGACCGAGGGCCGAGCGGCTGTGGACCTTTTTCCTTGCATTTTTTTCTTCTCTGGCGTGCCACTTTTTATTTATAAAGCCAAGGCGTACCGTCTTGCCTCGAGGGTTTTTATTTGTTACTTCTGTTTCTGCTTGTTCAATCGTGCAGCATTTTTTATGATCCATCGACCACTAACTTTTATCACATCCAACATATACCACTCCACCTCCATTCTACATTCTCCAATTCATTCTCACCTTCTTTCTAACCTTTACCCTGGCATCTCCCTCGTCTTCCCCTACCCAATTACAGTTTGCATTCCAGCCACACCAACGTTTACGCGTCCCCCACGACAATGTCTTCAGACATCCCCGTCTACAACCAGGCATGCCTCGCCACCGACAGCTCAAGCACTGCACCATCCTTCTACCTCGTCGGTTCTAACTTACCAGGATCACTGGAAGTCAATTACATCAACAACCCCGACGCGACGACTTATACCCAAGTCGCGAGTAAGAGCGATCAATCTTCTTGGACCCCCACCGCCGCAAAATTGTGTTTTATACACCCGTTCGCGGGGGCTGCTAATCCGTAAGTGTTGGAGAAAAAAGGGTATGCTTTATTGTTGACACGATGAAAGAAAATAAGTGTGACGAAGTTTTTGCTACAAACGTAACGATTATCTTTGTACTAACACCCTTTTTTCACTCTCTCTCTCTCTCTCTCTCTCTCTCTCTCTTTTCTCTCTCCTGCAGAGGAATCAAGATTGTTCAATTCGGTTCGGACACTACGTACATGGCCCTTGCCCAAACCAGCAACATAGTCTCTAGCGCGAACTCATTCCGTGATTCAGGTTTCATATCCCCTAAGCTGTTCAGTTGGAGCGGGAAGGCCCAGGATTTCGATATGTTCACGGTGGTGACGAATGACACAGTAGCCAATGCCCCAAAGCCAGGGATGTGGGGGAATGTCATGATGAACTTCCAGGTCGCCGGTACCAGTCTGCTAAGGTAATAGCAAAAGTAAAACAGGTGTTTTAGTTGCTCCTCTGTCTTGTCACCCTTGAGAGTGACTAGCGACTTAGCATATTTTTCCTTTATTAATAGCTACGACATGACGCACAACCCTGTCGCCGTTGATAATGCCTTGCTGGCAGTCGGAACATACGGAGACTCGTTTGGCAGCATATCTCATGGATACACCATCGTTTTCGATAAGGTCGGCAAAGGACAGATCTTTGCTGCCACAGGCAATCTCCTGGCGACTGTGACTAACAATATCTCTGCTCTTACGCTTGGAATTCCGGAGAGTGTCAACATGAACGGGATTTCGCTCACTGTGGACGCCATTCCTATCACTATGGGCACCACAGCGTACATCCTTGACAAGGTAACACAAGGTCTATGTTTCCCTCATTGATGTGCTGATGTTACCTTCCATGCGTCTGACATGCAACTGTTTTTCTCATTATTTTTTTAGGCAGACAATGGCACTACAGTCGTCTACTCCATCAACCCAACCACTTCAACGACCTTGAACCGCTTGTACAACACAGGCGACTCCCTCCAATTCACCAACAATATGGCAGCAGCAGCACTTAACAATCAACTCCTCACCTACTCCGTCAACAAGAATGTCGCATCATTCAACGTCTTTGATGTGACTACATCATCTTGGTCAGGAGCCGGCTTAGTCCCGGCGCCCGTGTCTGGACCCACATCTAATCCAACCTCTTCAACATCTTCACCAACATCTATGGGCGCCATTGTTGGAGGTGCTGTTAGTGGACTTTTTCTGATTGCCATTGTTGTGCTTTTCTTTGTACGAAACCGACGACGGCGCCAACGTAAGAATCGCCAAAAAATTATGGAGGGGACCAACTTTGCACATCTGCAAGGTCCTGAGGCGAACATGTATAATGGGGGCGCCACTCCTCAGCGACATGCTCAGTACGACATCCAAGGATACATCCAGTACGAACAAGGTTACGTCCCCTACGACCAACAAGAATACCAGCACCAGCCCCAGAACCAGCATCCATCATCTCCTTTTATACCCCCTCCGCCTTTCAACCAAGGAGGTGTGGATGACCTATCGTCGTACAAGGTGCCACAACCGATCTCAGCAGAGCCCTCGTCAGTTGATTCACCGCTCGTGCGTGATTCCTCGTACATCAGTCCTACCTCGTACAGGGAGTCGTTTTCCTTTGAACCGAAGAGTATTGATTCCGTCCTTGCCATCTCTAAGTCTGAGGAGAGGTCGTCGTTTGGTCAGAGTCCGCAATATGTTCCCAGTGCTGTGGGTGGTGCGGGATCTGAGGTTCGGTCCCCTCAGATGGTCCCTAGTACTTCTAACGGTCATTAGATTTCTCTTCTCTATACCCAACGCGCGTCAATAAAGTGGAGACAAAGAAGAGAGAATGCATGAAGGTAAAAAAGACAATTAATCGATTGTACCTTACTGAAATAAATAAGGTTGGTGCTGATCACAGATTTTTTTTTGTCTCGTCACCATCACTTGTTCAACAAAAAAAGTGCTCCATACTTGCCTATTGAGAGACTTTGCTGCAATGGAGATCGCTTTCTAAGACGTGGACCAATATAGTTACAAGAACACATACTCCGAGGATCCATGAACATCCAGGTCACGTTTCATAATAATATGATGACCGAGAATCGCTGTTAGTTTGTCTGTCTGTCCGTCATGGCGGTGCTTTATTTGTGACACAACCCTGGGCGGTGCGTATTTGCTTAAATCCCCTTTCAATTTTCTTGTTCCGCTGAAAAAAGGTCCGCCCAATGGCATGCCTTCTGGCTGGTGCTTTGGCCTTCTGTTGTCTTTTTCGATTTGTGTGGCCAGACCCTTCTTTTTTTTCCTTCCTCCTGTCCAACAGAAACACTCGCCTTTTTTCTTTTCTTTCCTCGGTCTCTGTTTCTTCCCTCGTTTGCTTGTACAATTCACCTGTTCATGCCCCCTTCCCCCAAAGAAATCGTTGCATAGGCGTCGCTGTTTTTTTATGTCCTTCTTGATCTCTGTCGAACCAGATGGGCCTACCTTATGCAGTTTTTGCAAGCATATTAAGGTAGTGAGGTCGTATTCCCTCCTCCTCTCATCTTTCCTTTCCATTCCCCCCCTACTCCTCTCTTACCTCTTTCCTCGTCCTCTTACTCACGCCCGCACACCGATATCAACTACCAACTATAGCTTCTCTTAATTCTCCACTGTACATACTCCACCAACCTCCAAAAGACAGACAGTTCTCTTTAATGTCGTCCGGCAGTGTCCCAATCCCAGTCTACAATCAAGCATGTCTAGCAACAGATAGCACCTCGACCTCCCTTTCCTTCTTCCTCGTCGGCTCCTCCGCCCCCGGATCTCTCGAAGTCAATTACGTCAACAACGCCGATGCCGCAACCGTTAACCGCATCGCTACTCAAAACGACCAATCAGCCTGGACCCCCAACGCTGCTAAACTCTGTTACATCTACCCCTTTACCACTTCGGCCAACCCTGGGATAAAGATTGTTCAGTTTGGGTCCGGGTCGACTTTTATTGCACTTGCTCAGACGAATAATGTTATCTCTGGGCCGAATTTTTTTAACATGACGGGGTTCACGAGTTCGAGGTTGTTCGGGTGGAGTGGGCGGTTTCAGGACTATGATATGTTTACGGTGGTGACAAACGATACGAATTCGCGGACGCATCAGGTGGGGATGTGGGCTGCGTTCAGGATGAATTTCCAACAGGGTGGAGAAAGTTTGCTCACGTTAGTATTGACTGCACAAACAAAAAATAGTGGTTGGCACTGCCAAAACAAATCGTGCACAAGACCCCTTATTGAACTAACGTGTGATTGCTATGCTGTGGTACTGATAGATACGGCATGGTCAACCAACCAGTTGACACGGACGACGCTATGCTCGTGGTCGGGACATATGGATCGTACTCTGGCAACACATCCCAAGGATACACCATCGTCTTTGACAAAAGCAGCAGAGGACAGATCTTCTCTGCCACAGGCAACCTCCTGGCGAACCTGACTAACTTTGTCCCGGCTCTCGCGCTTGGTATGCCCACGGTGGTCAACATGGACGGGATTACATTGTCACCGAACGCTATCCCTATTACTATGGGAAGCGTCGCTTATATCCTTGACATGGTAAAAACATACAATTATCGGTCAACAACAACTGATGGTGCTGAGGTATACCAAACATCTGACTAACATGTGTTTGGTGCCTCTTGACTTTTCCCCTTGTCTGCCATTGACAGGAAGCAAATGGTACCACGGCAATCTACAAAATTAACCCAAGCGCATCATCAACACTAGCACGTGTCTACAAAACAGGAGACTCACTCCCCTTCAGTAACAACATGGCTGCCGCAGCCCTCAACAACCAACTCCTCACCTACTCTGTCAACAAAACTGGAGCCAACATCAACACCTTTGACTTGACGACTAAAACATGGTCCGGAAGCGGACTTATCAAGGCTGCGACTGACCCCAACCCAAAGACATCGGTACCACTTGGAGCAATCATTGGCGGTGCTGTTGGAGGTCTCTTGGTCATTGTTCTGGCAATCGTCTTGTGTATTCGATGCCGACGACGTCCACATCCGAGTGTTGAGAAAGCCGCAGCTGGTGCGGGACTCACCACGTTGTGCCCTGAAATGACCAAGGTGTATGACGGCAACCAGGGACTCGGCTATCAACAACAACAGCAAGTCCAGTACATACCTTACGATCAAGGTCAAGTACAATACGTTCAAGTACAAACACCGTACGACCAAGGACAAGGACAAGGACAAGTGTACTACGACTCAGCATACGGACGCCCCTCTCCCTTCATCCCACCTCTACCTCCACCACAACATCCTACCAGCAGCCAGTCTCCAGTTGCAGCTTACATGACCTACCAACCCATCATGGAGGAAGCAGGCGGTTCATCAGTAGCAAGCACGACAGTCCACAGCTCCTCGTATGCTAGTCCCGCCTCGTACAGGAACAGTGCTGCCCTGCTACAGGGGAGCCCGGAATCGACCTATGTCAATTTTCAGAGGATGTCAGTTACTCAGCATGGGCCGCAGTTTATTCCTGAGGGGTATTTTGCAGGCGCTGAGACCCGATCCCCCCAAGACCGATTCATCTCTTAGCCAACAATGCTTTTTTCTATTTTATTTCTATACCCTCGTATTATTCATAACATCACCAACCCATAAACAAAATTATATTTACAAAACATCGATGTAAGTGTGTTAGCTTCGTTTAACTTGGCCTGCGCTCACTACTAAAGAACTAGCCAAGTTTGTTCTGATGACTTCTAAACCTTCAGAAACGTTCACATTTCGTCAAATAGGACGAGAGATAGATGGGCGAAGGCGAACTAGTTTGATCCGTATATTTTATTCTAACCAAATTTGGCGTATTGGACGCATGTTCTGTTGCGCAGTTTAACCTGTTTGTTCTTCGGCTCGTCGACGGGACAACAAGCATCATAAAATCATGACCTCCCCTCCTCTCTTCATGCACGCCACGACGTCCCATAATGGAATTGGTTCACTTCGTCCTTCAGAAACAAACAAACAGGTAGAAGTCCACCCCGGTAAATACGATTGCAGTGTGCATGGCTTGGTCCCCTCGCCACTTTTTTTTTTTGGCTCCTTTGGGCGTGGTCTAGATCGATCGCTTTTCCGTAAGAAATCAGGAATGGACTTCTATGGCCTGCAAGAAAGAAGGAAGGCATTTGAGAAAATTTTCTATTCTCGATGGTGGTACAATCCTAGAACAAAGCAAAAAGAAATCGACCCATCGTCACTCGCCTCCTCATCCTTGCCACTCTTGCACATTCATTTTCACGGGTGCCCACCATCGCCTCATCTCATTACTGTCCTCAGTGCCCAAATCCTTATTTTCTTTTGAGATTAGGCGCAAATATGTGAGCCCGTCCTCGTGCCTGTTTTCCCCTTAACCACTCGCTGTCTATTCTTCTCCTCTTCCCCTTTCCCCGGGTTAGGAGAAGAGGGGAGAAAGAAGGGGGCGTTGGTAAGGAACGTAAGGGGAGTCATCTACATAATTTATGTTCGTTTCTCATCCTTTTCTTTCCGACCGAGAAAAACTAACTATCCCTCTTTTGATTCTGTTTTCTTTTCGTTCCTTCTCCCTTCTCCCCTTTTCCCCTTTTCCCCTTTTCCCCTTTTCCCCTTTTCCCCTTTTCACATCGGCCCCTCCTAGCCCTCTGCCCAGTTTCCCTAGTAATCCTATCACTATCAAGCTTCTTTTTCCTCCTCCTCACTCTTCCCCCAAGGCAACTATGAGCACCCTACCCGCGTTCAAGGAGGCATGTCTTGCCTCCGATATAACCAGAAAATCAGTGTCTCTTGTAGGATCCGTCAACGGAGGAGAACTTGAAGTCTATTCCATCAGCCTCGGCGACCTCTCCGCGGCCACTTCGACTTTCAAGGTAAAGGACGTCACCCCCTTGATTGCCTGGAGCCCCAGTCTCCCCAAGTACTGTTTTGCTTCGCCCTCCGATATGAGTACCATCTTCTCATCTGTCGATGTGACCGTCGTCCAGTTTGGAGAGACTGAGACCTTCATGGGTTCTTTTGGAACTGGAGATCGGTCGAGTGTTCCTGTATCCGTCCCTGCGCTTGCGGGTGGGTCCCCGAAGCTGTTTGCGCTCAGTGCGGCCTCCTCGAAGAAGGAGATTTTCAATGCCTACGTCAAAGGTGATCCAGGACCCGGCAAGGCATGGAGAGGGTTGCTTGTGGACCTTGAGCAGCCGATCGCGTCTAAACAAATACGGTAAGTGTTCTTTGAGAGTGGGTGCGTTTGACTGTGTGTGAAAGTGAGAGTTAGTGATGTGGAGAGAGAGTATTCTTAAAGGGAGAACGACATGCATTAAAACAAACATAAAGTGACATGTAACTCTTAAAAGTCTTTGTTTTGATGGCACGATGTTACCCCTAGCCTATTCACTGACGCCCTAATACCCTAACATCATATACGCACACTTATTATCTTATTATTCTTTTCTTTAATTATCAGTAATGCTGGGAACGCAACAACAAAATCGTCTGCACTGCTTGCTGTTGGGATACTCCAAAACAGTTATAGTGCGGATAAAGGTACTGGATACTCTGTTATCATTGACGGAGGTGGAACCTCAGGAACCACCTTCCCTGCCAACGGTGACACCTCCATCTCTGCAACCAGTGATAGTCCTTTTCTTACTTTTGGTTCATCGGTCCCTGTGTTGATGAACGGCAACGTACTTTCCGATAAAGCCGTGCCTGTTTCTATGACAGGAATCTCGTACATCTTGGATCAGGTAAACATCAGTCCTTTTGAACTCCAAGGCTATTCTACATGTGTTCACCCACTGGTTGTGATGATTTGGGATACGATGAAGCTAATAATTGTATATGCACACTTTTTACTCTTTCTGTTCACGCAGGACACTTCTACCCGAACCGTAGTTATCTATTCCATCAAATCATTAGATACCTACGGCCTAGGAGGAGTCCACGACTTCGCCGCGAATCTCACCAAGATCATTCCTAGTTCTGGCTATACCCCTTTGTACTCCGGATCCCTGGTGGCGACATATCTCGGTAAAACAATCGTCACTTATTCCCTCGGTAGTGACAACAAACCCAGCATGAACTCCTTTGACATCGCCACATCGAAATGGACCGAGGTGAACTTTACGGCTGGGTCATCTTCGGGAGGAGGAGGAGGAGGACTCAGCACTGCGTTGTCGGTAGTCGTCTATGTGGCCTCGTTTCTAGTGATTCTTTGCCTCATCAGGTGCTTCTGGGGCACTATCAAGGGGTTGTTCTTTTGTATCACGGGCAAACCAAAGAACGATGAAGTGTATGTGGTCCAAGAAGTGCCCGATCAGAGCATTGCCCTTGAGAAGATCAACGACTATCCTCAGCGACCACAGCCGATTGTCTACATCGACAACAGTGTCAACACCACCATTGACAATAACAGTTCTAACAACAATAACGTCAACACCAACAACAGCGTCAACAACAGCGTCAACAACAACAGCGTCAACACTAACAACAGTGTGAACCATAACAACAGTGCGAACAACAACAGTGTCAACAACAACAGCGTCAACAACAATAGCGTCAACAATCACAGTGTCAACAACAGTGGCAACGTAATGGGAATCCAACCAGCACCAGGAGCAGCAACACCTTCAACCGTTTTCGGTACTCCTGCACCTCAATATCCTTCCTCCCCCTATTCCCAGCCGCCTTACTCCCCATCTCCTCAATACCACGCCGACCCTTACTCGTACTCTGCCCCCTCCTCTCATTTCCAATCCGCTGGGTCTCCTCCAACACCGATGGCTACTACTCCTCAGCAGTTTTACGCTGCTCCTCCTCCTCAGAATTATGCTGCGCCGGCTTTCCCTCAGCATCAAGCTGCCTCTCCTCCTCCCCAGGTCTATGACACTTCTTATGGATCACAGCAGCACCAGCAGCACCAGCAGCCCAACTGGTAGTACAACTAAGAAGATCGAACAGTGAAGTACTAGATAAAATAATAAAAAAACCACCAACCATTCTTTTAGAGTGGGGACAGCGTCCTTTTATGAGAAGAAATAAAGTTATCTGATGTGGCGACTTGGCTTTTGTTTTACCCCTTTAACCTACACCCGATCGGGTGTACTTGATCGTAGACTCCCTTTTAGAGTCCTTACAAGAGCAACGCCACTCTGCCTTCGGACGCAGGAACAACGACCCTTCTAGACCTTCGTTGTTTATTGATTTATGTACACAGCCACCCGTCGCCCTTCCAACCCTTCTTTTTTTCGCGCTAAAAATGTCATTGTCAGGACATGCTCTGACTTTTTTTTAGCACTTTGTTGCCTGGGCCTTCCTTTCCAACATTAAACCCTGGGCGGTGTATCTCCCTCCCTCCTTCGCATCTCATCACCTCTCCATCTATCCCGTTGTGAAATTTTCAACCCGCTTGCTGCCCTCATTTGTTTATTTTGCATTTTTATCCCCTATCGCCTTGAAAGTCGTTTATCGAGTGGCATTTTTTTTTGGTACCTCGTCAGACGAACCAAATCCAGGTACCACTCTTTTTTTTCTTTTCTTTCCTTTCCTTTCCTTTCCTTTCCTTCTTTTCTTTTCCTCCTTCCAACTCCTTTCCTCCACTTCCATCTCTCCACTTCCCCTATCCCCTTCGTCTCCTTCTATCCTCCCTGTTCTTCGTTACCCACCCCTGACAGATATCTGTCCTACCTTCCTCGCTCCTCACCCCCATCGCTCACACACCTCCTTATCTTCCTCCTCCTCCTTGTCATACCATCCACGACCAACACATCCTTTACACACCACTACCTTATATCGAATGGCGGCTAAGAACATCACCATACCTAGATACACAGCTGCCTGTCTCGCAGCCGACGAAGGCAATGGCGTCTACCTCGTTGGCTCTCCCTCCCCAGGATTGATCGAGTTAAACTTTATCTCTGACTTTTCGGCAAAGACCCTGGATCGAGTGGGATCCAATCTTGACTCTACTGTGTGGGCTACCGGTGCCGGTAAGGCATGCTTTACGTACCCCTACCCGAAGACTGCAAACAGGTATGTATGATTGTTGTTGTTTTCCACAGAATGAGCACGCAAGCAATCTCTGACCACAATAAGAGAAAAAATGATTCCAATTCAAATTGAAAAAAAAAATTGAGCCCGATTGTGTGTGTCTGACCTGGGACTGACTCCCGTCCCTCATTTACCATGCACGCATACCATATTTTTGTAGAGCGATTCAGATTCTGCAGTTCGGGAGCTACTCGACGTATTTCAGTATCGCATACCCTGATGGCACGATAGGATCCTCGAGTTTCTTCCGTGAGAGGGCTTTTGCCTCGCCTCGTCTTTTCGCTTGGTCGGGTAGTTTAGGCGACTACGACATGTTTTCGCTCGTCACCAACTATACCGTTCCTGGATACTCCAACTGGGCTGGTCTGCGACTGTCGTTCTTGTCAAACTCCGGCAACACCACCGCTAACACCGGGTCCTTGTTCGGGTAAGAATTCCCATTCTTCAGATAACGACATATTTTTTATTTCATTTTTTTGAACCAGTTGAGCATTGTTGGACTGAACCCTTACGTTTTGCCCTTCTTGTAACTGTAACTGTTAGGTACGGATTGACGACTTTTCCCCCGGCCGACCCATTGCTGGCAGTTGGAACCTATACCGCATCGACAGGAGTCCTTTCGTCGGGTTATACAATTGTGTTTGACAAGGCGAACCAGGGCAAGGCGTATTTGACGTCGGGAAGCACTACTGCATTTCAAGGATCTACAGAGTCGGTGATGACTCTTGCGCCGTATGTTACAGTTAACATGAACAACATTGTCCTCTCTGCGGACGCTTTGGGCGTTACTATGGCAGGAACAGCGTACGTCTTGGACAAGGTACATACTTGGAATATTTCAAGGACATGAGAGATGTATCTGACGTGCAAGACAGTGAAGCAAAGACTGACACTCGATTTATTGGAATGTAATAGGTTGATGGTGGCAACTACACCGTCATCTATTCGATTACCCCGGGCTCAACCTTCGAGCTCAAACAAGTCACAGCCAAGGGCGGCGCACCTCTGTTCTTGCCGTCCATGGCAGGAGCGGCGTACGGAAAGCAGATTGTCACCTACTCTGTGCCTCCTACTGGTGGCGACGCATACTTCAACATCTTCGATACCGCATCAGGAACATGGAGCGGCAGTGGCTTGATCATGCTTCCTGGGGACTCGACGACTGACGGAAAGTCCTCAACCCCCATTGGAGCCATTATTGGAGGCGTGGTAGGGGGACTGCTTGTCATCGCTCTTGTGGTCTTCTTCTTTGTCCGTCGCCGTCGTCAGAGCGCTGAGAAATACACCCCTGCAGTCCAGCCAGTCCAGCAAACCTCAGAAGTCAACAAGTTTGACGGAGCGAACCATGGACACATTCCACCACCAGTTCACCAAATCCAGCACGACCAGCCCCCTGTCCAGTACACCCAATACGAGCAGCCACAATCACCCTTCGCCCAAGCGTACCAGGTCCCATATGATCCAAACCAAGGACAGCAAGTTCAGTACAACTTCGCACACGCCCAACCCGACCAAGGATACGCTACCTACAACAACCAAGGAGGATACCAACCACCCACCTTTGTCCTTCCACCTGGCCAACAAAGCTCAGAGACACCCATGTCAACACCGTACAAGCTGTTCCAGCCAGCTGTTGTTGCTGCCAGCGACTCGGTCGGCTCGCCTATGAGCACGACTGCGTACAGCTCTCCTTCTCCGTATGTCACTCCTTCTTCTCACAGGGACTCGACCTACCCTCCAGGAACGCCCGAGTTTTCCAATGCCAAGCCGGACAAGACGTCTCTCCCTCAGAGCCCACAGTACATTCCACCTGCTGGCGAGTCCTAGGTGTCTGAAAGCTAACTTAGACCTTCTCAGCTGCGCCGCCCGTCAGTCACTCATCCCTACTACCTCGCGTTTCATTATACCCGCTTAGTGGATTACAGACGGTTTAATAAATCCTTTTCCTGGACGTTCTTGATTCCGGTCTGCACTCCATGATGCTGAAGTGCCCATCCGTCCATCCCTTCATCGTGTCCCTTGCATACCTTTTATCTTCCTTCCTTCCTTCCTTCCTTCCAGTAATGTAAAAATAAATAAATGGTTATGATGCTGACGTCTGTTCTACCCATGTCGCATGGCGCCAACATGTGTCGCCTCTTTTGTCCCCATTGGCGCACACAAGATGGGCTGTCGCTTCTGTGTGTTCTCAATTGGTCCTGCATCACATCCTCGACCTTATTTTTCTGCTCACAAATGATTTTTTTAATGTTCGCGTTTTTTTTTTCGACACATGGAATGGTTTAGAACGTCTCTCCCAATCATTTCTGAGGGGAGGCCAATTGCTCGTAAATTACCTGGCTTTCCTGGTCAACATCTTCCACAGCACAACCGTTCAGTTGATATGATTGGATCATTGGTGAGAGAGAAGGAAGCAAAACGGCAGTAGAAAACGAATGAAGAACAAAACAAACAAAACAAAGCAAACAAAACAAAACAAAACAAAACAAAATAAACAAATAACAAAGGGGAATGGTGGCAATGAGCATACATCATGCCTCTTTTATTTTTAAAGAAGTCAACATTACACCTCCATTCTGCCCAAGAGAAAATGAAATTACATTTCCCTTTAATGGTTGCACATGGCCAAGAAAAACAGCACACACAACATACACCGTTGATGTGCAATGGTGGCTCTTTTTCCGCGGCGTTCTTCTCTCTCTGTTGTCTTTCTCTCTCTCTTCTCTGGTCTGTTGTTTACCATGCCTTGAAATAAATTAGAAGTGTGTGGTGTGGATGTGTTGGGAGCCCATCTTAGTGCGTTTGTGTTTGTTTTGTACTAGTTTGTTTACTTGTTCATTTCTCATTGTCGTCTTTCTCTCGTCTTCGATCTCTCGTTGCACCTTCTTCCCCTTTGCCATGGTCAGCCCCTCGTCTCCTCGCCATCCTGGGATTGAGAAAATTATTTGTTTATTCTTAACGCTCCACCCGTGGAACATCTCTCCTCTTTTAATCTCTTTCATTCTTTTCCTCCTCACCTCTCTCTATCCCAATCCCAACCCTCTCTTTTCAATTCAAGAACCCTATCGCCATCAAACTTCCCCTTTAACGCCCCTCCTTCAGCCCACGTCACTATGTCTGGTTTAGAACCTTACGAGCAAGCATGTCTCGCCCCAGATCCCTCACAAAATAGGGTGTTCCTGGCTGGCACTATAAAGGCATTAGACGGTCAGTTGCAAGTTAGCTCCGTCGCTTTGTACAATATGGAATACCCTGCCGTCAACTTCTTCAATTATGAGCTCCAAGCCAACAAATGGAGAACTTTCTTGCCCAAGTATTGCTTTCCCTTTCCTGCCGAGGCGAACCTCCCCAGCAGTGGAGGGAACATCACGGTCATACAACTCGGAGACAAGGAATCGCTCATGGCTCCATTTGAAGCTAGAGATAATGGTGGCTCTTCCGGTCCCGTACCCTTTAAATATCGCCTTGTTTCTCCAAAACTTGTCGCTCTGAACGGGTTATATGCGAACACAGGTCTGTTCACCGTCTACACAAACATTACTGGAACCAGTCAATGGGTGGGAATTCGCATGGACCTAACAAATTCTACCGGGTATACATCCAGGTAAGTTGGAAACAGAAGGGGAGGAGACAGGAGACAGTACCTTGCATTTGGCAACAAGAGGTCTGTTCTTGAGAACTTTATTTTGAATTGAGCCACCTAAATGACACCTTCGCCTCCCTTTTTTGTCTTCTCGATAGTGAATTGCAACTCCCACCACCACCGGCACCACTATCAGTTGGCAACCCGATGGTTGCTCTGGGAATATACAATACTACATCCTCACCCACCACCATTGGATACTCCGTCATTTTTACCGACCAAGGCAAAGGATTGCTTTATCGCGCAACGGGCGACGTTTACACCGGTAATCTGACCTTCGAGATACCCACAGAAGTGAAGACGGGTGGAGTCAATCTCACAACGTACGCCGTGCCCGTATCGATGAAGGACACTGGATACTTCTTGGACAAGGTACGCACTCATTTCTGCGTTCTCTATTACATGCCATTACTGTAAAGGTGTAGAGGTTAGGAGACCTACTAACACATACCCTTCTTCTAGTCATTCAACGATACCATAATTATCTACTCCATCACTCCATCCAAGGGCTCCTTCATAAACCAGGTCACCGTCTCCAACCAAGCCCCACCCTTCACAGGAACCCTACTGACAGCGACGGCGGTGAAGAACTCAATCATCACCTACTCTGTCTCCAAAGACAACAAAGCTTATATACATGCTTTCGACACTACAACAGGCACATGGAGTGGCGCGGGGATTCCCTCTCCAGAAGGAAAAGGATGGAAGATCCTCAACACGGTCCTCGCTGTCATCGCGTCCATCATCCTTATTGGGATCGGTTTCTGTATCCTCAGGTGCTTTGGTAGTTGGGTGGGGACCTGCAATAGATGTTTGGGCCGGTTGCGAAAGAAGAACGTTCCTCAGGTAGTGCCTCAACAGCCAATATTTCTACCACCGCTGCCGTACAACTTCAACAGCAACAGCGACAACGACAGCAACAATAACGCAGGCAATAACATTAACAATAACACCGGCAATAACAGTAACAATAACACCGGCAATAACAGCAACAATAACACCGGCAATAGCAGCAACAATATCACCGGCAACAACAACACCTACAATACCTACAATACCTACAACACCTACAGCGACGAAGGTCAAAACAACAACTCCAGCAACCACCATTCCCCCAAATCCAACAGTTCCGACAGCACCAATAACACCCTATTCCCGATGGGAGCAGGAGGAAAGAAAGGGAGCGAATCGACGGCATCCTTGGTCAATTCAGGACACTCTGACGACGACGACCATGAGGACAAGAACGTGTCACCACCCAGTCCTACATTTCAACCACAGCCTATTCCTCCATCGCAGTACGGCTCCCCACGCGCACCTCAGTTGGTCCCGCCACAACGCCACCCCCACGCAAACCGGCCGGAGTGGTAAGCAGGTAGAACTTAAAATAAAAATGAGCAGGTACGGAGCGCCAGCCCTGTCTGACCAAATGCGAACATGTTGTCAATCATGTATGTCTTTGTCGGTAAATAGGGGTGGTCAATTCTATTTCCAAAGGCAAAGAGGTAGTAAGGACACCACCCACGTTGTCTATTCCTCACGGCCGAGAAAATAAGGCGAATGCTGAATGGCTACAACAGCAAAAAAGGAGGGAGAGGAGACCCACACGAACAACCTTAGTCCTGCACAGCCAGAGAGAGCGGGAAGAGAGAAAAAGCAAAAAATAATAATTGTGGCAGTGCACACACCGACAGACACGAAGGACTAAAAACAGTTCTTATGCATGCTGTCGCCTACCCCTTTCCTCTCATATGCCCTCTCCTATGCTCTCTTGCCTTTTCATCCCTGCCCAGACATACCCTCGCTACCCTCTTGATCCCTTTACAACCTGATGTATGTGTCCTGACTGGGTGGATGCATCAACAACGCAACCTTGGTTGGCCCTTGGCCCTGAAATCAAAAAAAGCAAGAGGGTAGCTAGGAGGAGGGCAGGCGGGCAATGGTTCCTTTAAAAGACGCACATTTCACTTCCTTTTCCTCTCAGCATCCTTCGTCCACTTCTTGTTACCCTTTTTTTTTTTTTTTTTTTTTTGGTTATTTTGGTTAGTTTGTGCCTTTGACACCACATCACAATATTCTCTTTCTTGCTACACGACCTCGCCATCCTTCCTCTCAACCATTTCTAATCACAATGGCGACAACACCGCAAAAGATTCCAATACCCAACTATCAACAGGCCTGCCTTGCAGCAGACCAAAGCAGCCAGTCGTTCTACCTCGTCGGCTCCTCGACTGTCGGGAACCTGGACGTCTACTTCGTGACAGATGCCTTTGCCACGCAGGTCAACTATGTCGCGACACAGAACAATATCTACGCTTGGAACTATGACGCACGCAAGGCCTGTTTCAGATCTCCCACCTCTAAGATGACCAATGGTGCGTGTTCACCCCTCGTATTCCTTGCCCGACAAGTAAAAACACAACACCAATTTTCGACGTGATTTTTCTCACAACCTTCACCTCCATTTCTTCTTCCCAGGCCCGATAAAGATCACACAGTTCGGACTGGCAAATACCTTCCATACCATGGCTTACCCCAGTGGGACAGTAGCTCAACCTGAGTTCTACGATACACAACCTACTACGTTCGTATCCCCGAAGCTGTTCGCCTGGTCAGGCCAAATGGCAAACTACGACCTGTTCACTGTCTTCACCAATTACATCTCTCCCGGTTATTCACAATGGGCTAGTAACCTCCAGCCCTTCGAGGGAACCAACTCTAGCAGCATCAACCGGTAACTGCCCTGACCACAATGCAAAGTTGAAAGATGCATACATGGCCTCCAATTCGCCCCCTCCCTATTCCCTCTCTTTTCTTGTCCATCGAATACTTGGGACTGAACAAATGCTCCTGCCTTGCCCTGCCCTTTTTTTCCTGTCTGTGTAGGTTTGATCTATCGCACTACCCTGCCCCTGATCCATTACTCGCTCTCGGAACCTACACACCTTCAACCGGCACCAACTCAACGGGATATACTATTGTCTTTGACAAACTGGGTGAGGCACTTGCTTATATCACCACAGGTACCTCCGCCACAAGTCTGACTAATACTATCCCGCCCATGACTCTTTCTCCGAGCATACGGGTGAATATGAGCAACATTACGCTTACTGAGAACGCGATCCCTGTTACTATGACAACCACTGGATATATTCTGGACAGGGTAAGGTTATTATTTCACGCAAGGAATATGTGTGACATGTAAGTTGATAAGAAACAAACCAGGTAGTAACACTTGTCTGATTTTACCCAACAGGCAAAGGACGGTCTCTCAACAGTCATCTACTCCATCACACCTGGCAAATCATACACCCTCCAAGTAGTCACCAACACTGGTCCCTCACCCCCATTCGTCAACAACATGGCCGCCGCAGCGTCGAGTCAAAGTATTATCACATACACATCACCACATGGAGCAAACGCGTACTTCAATAGCTTTGACACAGTCACAGGGACTTGGAGTGGTCAAAACCTTGTTACCTCAGGGAAGAGTAGCAGTAGTGGTGCACCAATCGGTGCCATTATTGGAGGTGTTCTGGGAGGACTGATCCTCATCGCAATGTTTATCATCTTTTTCATCCGACGTCGACGCCAAAACGCCCGCGAATCTGTCTTCCCTAAACCAGAAATCGGAAATACGATTTCAACCACCAACGCAGACGACATTAACGGATCTGGGCTCGGATATGTCCAGTACGCACCAGGATACCCTCTCCCACCATCTTTCATCTCGCCACCATCAGCATTTAACAGCATCAACGATACCAGTCTCAAGGATTACAGCCCCACCAATCATCATGTATACGGTTTAATGTCTGCAGAATCCGACCTGACAGTGCTGGACCCAACAAATCCGTATAGCTCCTCGTATGTCAGTCCGTACTCTTACCGAGACACCCAGATGACGAATACGAGCCAGATGGTACCCAACAGCCCTGAGATGCATCAAGTCGAGCAGCGGAAATCAAACAGTAGCCTGCGGACGCAAGGACCACAGTACATTCCTGGCGCCCCTATTCAGGAGGGGTCGGTTGGGCGGCCACCGCAGGCTATTGGTGGTACACTTTCTGATTGTCCTGAGAGCCCATGATCACACCCTTTGGTTCGATTATACCCTTATCTTACAGCGATTTAATAAAGACCAACACTTTGTTCCCGGTACCGAATGTCGGTAAAGAATCATAGCTCTTCATATACCCAGGGGGGTTTTCAGTTCTCGTGCGAATACAAATACAAATACGAGTAATCCATTTTTTGACTGTTTTTCATTGCAAAAGTCGCACGTACAACTTTTGCCTTGATTGGCTCGTTTGCATGCTAAAAATATATACATGAAATTTGACGTATTTTTTCTCACAGGCCACTCCTATAGTGCCCTTTGGCTCCACAACGACCATTCATTATATACAACGAGAGATCCTCTCGTTTGCTTCACACTTCTTCTTCCTCATCACCATACCCAACAAGCCCCAAATAACCTTACCTAGTTGCAAGGCCCTCGTAGATGCCGCTCCTGCTACTCCCCAATCTCGATCACGCCGGCGATCTCAGACCTCGACACTCGACGACAATGAAGAGGAACCACTCGTACGCAAAAGATTGCATCGCTCCTACCAGCAAACCTCTCCATCGTCTGGGGATGATCACCGTAACAATGATGACGATCGGCAAAAGGAGTTATCGTTTCTAGCCGCCACATTGCCATCAGCTCCGACCTCTCGCGATGCGTTTACAGCGAACGATGATTGTGCCAAAAAAATACCACCAGTGCAAAAATGACGTACTCAAAACTGCATTCAGAACTGAAAACGGCCCAGGTGTTGGGAAAGTGAAGGAACACTACAGAAGTCGTCGCCTGACATCTCGTCAAAAGAACGGATGAACAAAAAGTCCAGCCCTGCACAACCTCCTAGACATTTAACGTGTGCGCTAGCCCATTTCTTTTTCGTAAGGATACAAATTACTTATCGACCTTACCGAGAAAAAGATTCGTCCGCTCGCTCGTTACACCCTCCTTCGCCCTTGCCCATTTTTTTTTGGCTTGAGCGTATTCTTTCTCGCATGGGTTTTCCTTTCGTTCCTTTCTCCCCCTTATACCTCTTTACTTCACTCCCTTCATCTACTCCTCTCGCCCAGGTCGCACTCTCTCCTCTCTCCCTATTCAGTCACATACCCTCCATTGTTCATCCATATAGCCTTCTCCCCTTTGGTCCTCGTCAAAAACAATGAGCACAACTATACCCAGCTACCCAAACCCCTACCTTGCAGCCGATGAGGCTAACAATGCCGTCTATCTCATTGGCGCTTCATCAGCAATACAAGGTCGCCTCGAAGTAAACAATGTCAGCATGATCGATGTCAATGCCCCGACCTCATCACCCGTTGGGTCCCAAATCAACACTAACCAGTGGTTCAGTGGTGCACCAAAGGCCTGCTTCATTCATCCAGCAACGACCTATGCTAACCGTGTACTATCCACCACTCTCCTCTGATATATTTTGGACTACATCGTTCTCGCAAGCCCAATGTAAACCCAACAAAAAGTAATGCAACCCAGCGGTTTGCAGATCAGCAAACTGAAGATGCTTCTACTTCTCCCCTTTTTTTGTTCTCCTATAGCCTCTCTCTGTGACCCAGTTCGGCGACAATGTCTCCTATAGCACACTCATTACTCCCAGTGGCACTATTCTCGGGGGCGACAGCTTTGTTAACACCTCGTTTGTTTCTCCCAAGCTCTTCGTGTTGATGGGCAGAGCTGCGCCATTCGACTGGTTTGTTGTCTTGACAACAGATGCAGCCTCGCCCTGAGCTGCTGTTCGACTCAACTTTACCAACCCGAACTACGATCTCCTGGAGTAAGTTTTCCTTACCCTATACATAGTCTGTCTTTTTTTTTTTTGTTCCTTGCTTGGAACAGAAATTCGTTCGCGCAAACAGCGAGAGCCACTCCTTTTTTTCCTAACCGTACTTCTTTTTTTGCTGTTGCTCTCTACCTTGGTTTCGACAGCTACAGCGAGCAAAGAATACTTTGTTGTGTTTAACAGGTTGGGTCAAGGTCAGATCTTTGCTTCGACGGGCAATGATACTGCCATCCAAACCAACAATGAGAATATTATTGTCTTGATTGCGCCAACGAACGTTCACATGAACTCGATCAAACTGACGGGGAAGCTGTGCCTGTTACCATGACCACCACAGGGTATATCCTCGACAAGGTAATAGGTGCAACCGTTTGCCTTTTTACTATTCAGTTATTCATGACAATACGGGCACTCTGCTAATTCGCAATTTTTTCTTTTTGATTCAGGCACCGGACAATTCAACGGTGATATACGCCATTACCCCTGGAAGATCATCTTCCCTCCAGCGGGTCGATATCAAAGGCGGTTCACCTCCTTTCTCGAAATCATATGCCGCAACAGCCCTGAACAAGCAGATCATTACCTACACCCCCTCCGTTTCTGACAACCCTGCATTCAACAGTTTCGACACTACCGCACAGGCCTGGGGCGGACCTGGGCTGATGAGCAATGACGGTGGCGGCGGGGGAGACAACCCTACTACCCCTGAGTCTTCAGGAACTCCTATTGGTGCAATAGTTGGTGGTGCAATAGGAGGCCTCGTGGTCTTTGCTTTGGTCATCTTTTTTCGGCGTCCGTCACCGACGCAAGAACCGACGACAACAACAGAAACCAACGGCACCAGCAACAACAGTGAACCCCGAGTCGGGTCGTAATGAGGGGCCGAGGACGGCGAATGTCGGTGGCGCCAGCGGTGATTTTGGAATGCAGAAGGGCCAACTACAGGAAATGCCCCAGATGCAGCAGATTCATTACTACCAACCACAAACCCACGAACAAGGACAAGTGCACTATCCTCCATCCCCCGCGACATTCTTCATTCCTCCTCCACCACCCAATAACCCAAACGCAGTAACACCCTTCGAAGCCTACCTCCCCACGTCCATCGATGAAGCCCCAGCGAGTTGAACTCCACCCCCTACGGCTCACCCTACATCAACCCCCGCCCCGACGCGTACAGAGCCTCGGCCGTCTCTGCAAATACGACCCCGTTGTATCCGCATCAGCGGCGGCAACGGTTGCAACAGCTAACAGCCCCGAGTGTAGCTATGCGAAATCCCGAGTGTCGTCCTATGGCGGCAGTGGGTACTCCGTTGAGTCCTCAGTTGTACCCGGAGGATGAGGAGGGTCATGCTCGCTCTCCTCACACTTTTGCGAGTTTGTCATCGAATGTCCAGAATTCTTCTCCTTGAAGTTGGGTTTGTTCGCCTTGGGTGATAAAGAACATTGTCATTCTGTGTACACCAACCATGCTACTCTTTCCTTGCATATACCTTGTTTTTAATACATAAAATATGTTTACTCTTATTCTCCGTGTACCTTTCGTCGTTTACTGCAACAAGGGGTACATATAAGCACATACAGCTCGAAACAAAGAAATTGTGTGTCAACCCTAGAAAGAGAGCATGACCCTCCCTCTCTTTGCGCATCATGTCTCCTTCAGCGCTGCCTTCATATTGCTTTTGTTATTTCCTAGCAGGTTGATTGTGTCGTCGGCTGTTTTTTATTTGTTTGTTTTGTTTGTTGTCATGCAAAACCTTGAATTGGTTCACCCCATTGAACCGAATTCAGGAGAGAACCAATTGGCTTTTTTTTCCGAAGGTTAAGTGTTTGTGGTTTTGAAGAGAGCAAGAATGGGCACTGCCCTGGTAAAACATGCAAGAGCGGACTGACAATTTCGATATACAAAAAAGTCAACGGACAGATAGGCAGAAAGACGCTGTGATATTCGAGGCAGGAGGTAAACAATCGAAATAAAATAAACAAGCGCCTCGCCTTCACTCTCGGACTGGGGGATGAAGCGGTTGAGGGCATGTTTGCCATGGGTGCATGAGTGCGCCTTTGCCATATTCGATGCGTTCTCGTACGTTATGTTCTCTCTTGAGCTCGTCTTGTTCACCCCATCCGCTCGCCCATTCATATCTCATGCCTACTTTATCCTTTTCAAGCCAACAGGCCCACCCTCACCCTGGTGATCAGTGTGGTGATGATCAATTGATCAAGGTCTTTGTTTCTTCTGGTGGGCCGTCGATTGACCTCGCCCTGATAACCAGTCGACAACTTGTGTCTTTACTTAATGTTTTTGTTCTGTTGAACGCACCGTTTTTTTGTCGTTTCCAAACCTACTTTCTCTTTTTCCCTTTTCATTTTCTCTTCGAGTTACCCACTTCCTCGTTTGCCTCCGCCTCCGCCTCCGCCACCACCACCACACTACTCTCCTTTTTCATTTCCTCACTGCACATTCTTGCCACTTCAACATCCCCCGGTGACGACATAACAACATACCCCCTACCTCCTTATATTCTCGCCCTCTCTTTATCCTCCTCCTATCGCCCACCAAAAAGATGTCGACAGGAGCAGGTATCCCCAGCTACCAGCAAGCCTGCCTGGCCCCTGACAACTACAACCCCGCCGTCTACCTAGTTGGCGTCGCCAGTTCCAACGCCGGCATGCTTGAAGTCAACTACATCTCCCTCACCAACGTCAACGCCCCCACTTCCCGGCCCTTCGGCAGCAACACCAACACCCCCAAATGGTCCGCAGGAGCTCCCAAAGCCTGCTTCGCCGCCCCTTCCTCCAACCAAGCCAATTCCGTCATCAAGGTCGTCCAGTTTGGACGAGGGACTACCTATATGAGCTATATCTCACCCGAGGGAGTTGTTGCTGACCCGACATCGTTTGCGGATCTAGAGTGTCAGAGTCCAAAGCTGTTTGGGTGGGTGGGGAGTTTTACGACGTCGAATTACAATGTGTTTCATATATATGCGGTCACGGGGGGTACTTCGACGGCTGAGAGGTCCCATTGGATTAGTCTGATGTTGAGTTTCCTCTCTTCGACTGCAGGTCTGTATGAGTAAGTGCCTCGTTTTGTTTTTACTGAGCCGCTCTAGGGGAAGGGAAGTTGAGAAATGAGTCGGTTCTAACGTTTAGAGCGTAATCAAAAAAATGAGTCTTCTACTGACCCTTCATTTTCCTTTTGATATTTGTCTACTCTCCTTCTCTGCCTGTTACTGACAGCGACGATACGAGTTTGTTCCCGTCGGCGGTCGATCCTCTGCTCTCGGTCGGGACCTTCACCCCAACCAGCACGGGTAATTCCCGGGGATACTCTGTCATCTTTGACAAGCAAGGCAAAGGGCAGGTGTTCTCTGCAACGGGAAGTGACCAGGCGACTGTCAACAACACCATCTCCGTGCTCGTCTTGTCCAACCCAGGAAGTGTCAACATGAACGGGATTGTGCTCTCTTCCGATGCCGTGAGTGTCACCATGGGCGAGACTGGTTATATCTTGGATAAGGTAAGACAAATATATGTATGTTGTAATGTGGCACAATGAAATGAATTATAGTAACTGACAAGGCAACGCATTGCGAACTAATACATACCTAGGCCAAGGATACCAACGCGACTGTCCTCTACTCAATCACCCCCAGCATATCCTCAACCCTACAAAAAGTCACTAACAGCGGCGGCGCTCCAGCCTTCTTCCCATCCATCGCAGTAACAGCCCTCAACAAACAGATCGTCGTCTACTCTGCTCCTCCCGGCGGAACCCCATACTTCAACAGCTTCGACACCACCACAGGGACCTGGGGCGGACTCAATCTCATCACCGCACCCGGACCAACTCCATCAGGGCCACCCATAGGCGCGATCGTTGGAGGCGTCATTGGAGGTCTGCTTGTGATTGCCCTCCTCATCTTCTTGTTTATCCGTCGCCGTAACGACCACAGGCGTAAAGCAGGCGCTGCAACTATCGCCAACGCAAACGTCGATAAATATGCACCAGCGCCATCTACCAGAGGCATAACTCAGATCCATAACGGAGGAGTGGTTGTGCCCGTTCAAGGACAGATCTTCCAGGGTCAACATCAACAACAACAACAACAACAACAACAAGCTGGATTCAACTACCAACCTCCTATGGCCGACCCATACGCTCAGGTCCAGAAACCCGATAAGCCTTTGCATGTACCCTACCAGCCTCCAACAAAGTTCTTTGACCCATACGGAGGTAAGCAGGGTAACGGCGTGCCTGTGAACTATGATACGACTGGGTCGCAGTCCAACCCTACTGTCTATTCCGCGTCGCCTATTGCCAGCACCCTGCCCTTCCGTACAGAGTCAACACCAGAGCACCAACAGCAACAACACTACCTCCCAATTCAACAGCAGCAACAGCACCAGCAATGGCAACATTTTTTGCCAGAGGAACCTCCTGCGGCAATTGGTGTGCCTATCAGCGCTGCCTCCAAGAACCCTCAATTCATTCCCGAGTCCCCATGATCACCTTACATACTTGAACATATCTCATGAGATAATACCTCGACTCTTTGTAGTTGCTTGATAAACACCAACGTCATGACGATTCCTACCCGTTGTCCTTACGCGCGTTGGAGTGGGGCTGCCGTGGTGGTCGCGACGAACTGTGAAAAAGTAAAATGGTCACATTAAGGGGATGTAAACAAAAGATAAATTAAAACGCGTCCCTGCGTCTTGTCTGACTTGCCACCTGTTTTTTGTTGTTTTTTGTTTTTCCCCCTGTTCTCTTCATCCCCTTCATCCACATAAAGACGCAATGGCAAACACTATCGCACAGGAGGCCTCCCAGGACCGGATCAACTACTACGTCAACTTCCTCGACAGCGACGTACGTCTCTCTTCTGTCTCATCAGTTTCTCATCTGACATCAAACGAATACGCGAATAATTCATACTTGGCACTCGTGGAGGAGGCAATGAACTAAGCAGCCTTCTCTCATTGTTGTTACTTTTTTTCTCGCATTGACAACCATAGCTGGGTGTCAATGAGTACAAAAATGAGATTCGCTCCATGCTCAGCACCGGTGCGAAGCGTCTTGTCGTCAGCTTGGACCGTCTTCGTGACGACAGCCCTGCCGAGACCGCAAAGTATGGTATCCTTTTTCGTTTTTTTTGTCAGGAACCAGCAGCAAACAGCTTTTGCGTGTAGAAGGCTTGTATACCTCTCTATGAAACGTCTCAGAGCGAACAGTTGATAACCATATTCTTTCTTTCCGCTGTATGCGAGTAGGTTGATGAACTCACCTATGGAGTATATCCCCGACTTTACAAAGGCGTTGACACAGATCGCAGAGACCATTCAGCCTGACGATACCGGCGACCGTGTCTTGTATATTGGTCTCAAGGGAAGCTTTGGAGACCACCACGTCAACCCCAGGACATTGCGTGCCAAGCACTTGGGAAAACTTGTGTGCCTGGAGGGAATCGTCACACGCTGTAAGTGATTTCCACACCCGATTGTTGCATGGGAATGTATTGGACGTTTCTTAACCGCATGGACTAAGATACTTACCAGAACTCTTTTTGATAAATAGGTGGTTTGGTCAGACCCAAGGTCATTCACAGTGTGCACTACTGCCCCACGACCGAGAACTTTCACGAGAAAAGCTATGTGGACGGCACAATGATGACGAGCGAATTGGCGACAGGATCGGCATACCTTCAGACCGACGACGATGGCAACCCCCTGGAGACCGAGTTTGGTATGTCGACCTACCGTGACCACCAGAGCATATCGATTCAGGAAATGCCCGAGCGCGCGCCCGCCGGTCAGCTGCCCCGTAGTATCGATGTCTTGCTGGATGATGATTTGGTTGACAAAGTCAAGCCTGGTGATCGTATCCAGGTTGTTGGTGTTTACAGAACGTTGGGAAGCAGGGATGCCAAGTCCACTTCTTCTACCTTTAAGTAAGAACCATTGCTAAAGCGTTTTACAGGCGGAGCTCGATTATTTGGTTTATTGATACGATGCCATTATATTTAACCTCGACTTTTTTTTTCTTAGGACCGTTATTCTTGCCAACTACATCACCACATTCGCAGGAAAGGCCGGCAATGGAATTGCGCAGCCAACTATCACGGACTCGGATATCGAAAACATCAAGAAGCTGGCGAAGAGAAAGAAAGCTTTTGAGATCCTGTCCAACTCTCTTGCTCCTTCCATCTACGGACACGATTACATCAAGAAGGCTGTCTTCCTGATGTTGCTTGGAGGCATGGAGAAGAACTTGAGCAACGGGACCCACATCAGAGGGTACGTTATTACTCCTTTGTATTTAAGTGTGTTGCTGTTGAACGTTGACACCAACGTGGTTCGAAATACTAACGAGTGCTATGCCTCATATGTTAATAGAGATATCAACATTCTTATGGTTGGTGATCCATCTACAGCCAAGTCGCAGATTCTGCGGTTTGTCCTCAACACTGCCCCTCTCGCCATTGCCACCACTGGACGCGGATCTTCGGGAGTCGGTTTAACTGCTGCTGTCACTACGGACAAGGAGACAGGAGAACGCAAGTTGGAGGCTGGAGCCATGGTGTTGGCTGATAGGGGTATCGTCTGTATCGATGAGTTTGACAAGATGTCGGATGTGGACAGAGTCGCCATTCACGAAGTTATGGAACAGCAGACCGTTACCATTGCCAAGGCTGGAATTCACACCTCGCTCAACGCTCGCTGCAGTGTCATTGCTGCCGCCAACCCTATCTACGGACAGTATGACGAGGGTATCCCTGCCCACCGCAACATTGCCCTCCCCGACTCGCTCTTGTCCCGTTTCGATTTGCTATTTGTCGTCACTGACAAGCCCGAGGAGGGTCGTGACCGTCAGATCTCGGAGCACATCCTTCGCATGCATCGTTACCTTCCTCCCGGCGTTGAAGAAGGTAACAGTTGGTATTCTTTCTTTCTTCAATGTGTTGTGTTATTTGTGATATTGACAGTAACTAATGGTATCGCTTACATGCTCGATGAATCGCTCAATAGGCGCTCCTATCCCTGACAATGTTACCCAGAACTTGGATTGCGGTGCTGATGAGGAGGTTGTCAAGGATACGCCTGTTTACGAAAAGTACAACGAATTGATTCACGGAGGTATGCAGTCCAAGTCTGCCCAGAAGAACATTGTTTCGATGCCTTTCCTCAAGAAATATATCCATTACGCCAAGTCCCGTATCAAGCCTGTCCTCACTCAAGGAGCTGCTGACAAGATTGCCAACGAATATACCAACATCCGTAACCAGGCTCTCGAGGACTCTCAGAAGGTAACACTTATCGGAACACTTTATTCACATATTGTATTGGAAGCATGACATTGAATCAGAAAACTGACAATGTCCATATTGTTGTGGTATATAGGTTGCCCCTGCGACTGCTCGTACATTGGAGACATTGATTCGTATTGCGACTGCCCACGCCAAGGCCCGTTTGTCGAACTTTGTTCAGGATCAGGATGCTATTGCTGCAATCAGCATTCTCAAATTTGCGCTGTTCAAGGAGGCACCCAAGCCCAAGTCGCGCAGCAAGAGGGCGCGTATGGACCAGTCGATGATGGGCGAGTCGGACAGTGACGATAGCGATGATGATGATGATGACCGTTCTAACCCACGGATGTCGGTCAACGGCTCGAGGAGATCTGGCGGCCGTGCCGGTGCTGCCCCTACTACTACTTCCAAGGGCAAGACTCCCCTGAGAACATCTAACAACAACCAGGATGATGTGGAGATGATGGATATTGATGAGGCAGCGGATGAAATTGAGGAGGAGCTGTTGGCGACTCGTCGGGCCTCTCGTCGTTCGCAGAACACTGCTTCGTCGAATATTCCTTCGCAGGGCTCGTCGACGAATCAGCAACCTGCTGGACGGTATGTCCCTGGTGGAGCGATCCACCCTAGCAGAATGGCGCTGTTTAAGAGCAGGATCAACGTGTTGATGATGAGTTCTGATGGCAGTGCCGTGCAGTTTGAGGATGCACTTAGTACTGTGAACAAGAAGTTGGAGATCAACGAGCTCTTTGGACCTGCTGAGGCGACGGCCATTCTTGAGAAGTTGGGCGACGAGAACAAGATCATGTTCACTGGTACCGAGATCTACTTGATCTAAGCTTGGATTGACGGTGGTAGAAAGTAGTAGAAGGGGCAGGAGGAGAGGACGATGTCTTTTTTTGTTGCTAGACGCCTGAGTACACGAGAGGAGTAATTGTAAAAAACAACATATCACGAATAATAATTAAATAGTTTTTCATTCTTTACAGTACGAGAAAAGATGTGAATGTTGGTGCTTCATTAGTATTTTAATGCCTCGTGTCTATTTGCTTCTTAGGAGAGATAGAAGCTTCTATGTGTTTTGATAGAAAGATCCAATTGCCCTATTGAAAGCGTTGGATGACCTTCTTGGGCAAGAAACGACCCCACATACGAAGAACAACCTTCTTGAAATAAGGACGACGTCCAGCGACGGTGGCGACGGTCAAGAGGACACAGGAATAGAGGGGGAGGGTTGTGCAGAGGTATGCGAATCGGAAGGACCAGGGACCTTCTTTCATTGAGCCATCTAATTGGAACACTTTTTTTTTTTTGTTTTGCATTAGAGTTGGGAAAAAGGTGGGTGGTTGGTTAGTTTTCTGGGGTGAAGCTGAGAATGATTTGTATTTTTGTAAGTGAGAAGAAATGAAGAGAATGAAGTGGATGAGATGAAGTATGGTTTTTACCTTCTTTGAGGATGGGCTTGACGACCATGACGGTTGAACTTCCAGTGACAGCAAAGACGCCCTGTTTTTTTTTTTTTTTTTTTTTTGTGGAGTTGGGAGATAAGAGATGATCAGTGTGGTTAGATATAAAGTATGAAGAGTGTGGATAGATGGGGTTTATGCGTGTGACAATGTACTGTTGAATCCAGGGGCATATCAGATGGAGTTTGGATATTTGAAAGAGAAAGGGGAGATGAGGCCATCTGAGCTGATCTACTCCTTTCTTCTACTTTTTCCCCTTTTTGAGAAAATCATCCAATCGTGGAATCCTTCTCCATGTGAACGAGGCGATCGAGCCAGGTACACCTCTCTCTCTTTCTCACACACATACACACGCACAATCAGGTATCACTAACAACGAACAAACAAACAACCACGCAACACAATCACAAATTGTTTTCTCGATTGTAGAGCCTGAATCCCTCTCGCACCTCCTGGTTGCGTGTTAAACGTGAGGCAAGTAAAGAAGAGAGACTTACCATGACGATGGTCCACTCCTTCCACCAATTGAAGCTGAATCGGACCTTGGTCATTTCCTCATGAAACGACAACGGCGCCGCCCTTCCTGCTGTTGCTACTGTTGCCGTTGCTGAAACTACTCTTGATGCGGCTGAAGAGGATTCCTCGGCCAGGACTCGGGCCGCTGTTGCTGTTGCTGTTGCTGAAGAGGATGAACTGGGAGGAGAGGGCAGGGAGGTGTATGACCGTGAAAGAACTGAAGTCTTGGACTGTTTTGCGGATAGTGATGATGAAGAAAAGAAGGAGGCGGAGGGGGCCGATCCGTTGTTGGAGGTAGCTGCGGGTCGGGTGGAGGAGGTGAAGAGGGACCTGGTGGAGGATCGGTTGAGGAGGTATGATTGAAGTGGGGCTGTTGTTGTGAAGGTGGAGAGAGGCCTTGAGGATTGGGCTACGGATTGGAAGGGTCGGCTCAGGAGGTAGTGTGCAGAGCAAGAAGAGGAGGAGAAGGAGACAGTTCCTTGGGCGAGTCGTCTGGTGGAAGCCGAGAGGGCTGTACGAGGGAACATTGTTGAGAGGAAGTAGAATTAGGAATTGAGGTGAGATGAATGAATGTGAGTGAGGAAGGAAACAAGAAAGAGATGAGGCTGATGAAAGAAAGAGGAAGAAAGAAGAACGAAAAAGAAAGAAGGTTGATGTGTGATGGGAGTTGCACAAGAGGAATGTCAGGGACCCTGAACAAGGTTGTCGTTCTTGTGGACCGTTGACTTGTGAAAGTGGAGGAGGTGTTTTGAACGAGTCTTACTTTCTGTGATAAAAAGCCACCCAGGGGAACCCACGTTTGTGACGGCTGAAGACGAAGGGAGAGTCAGCCGAGCCAGCAAGAAAGAACATGAACGCGTGTACTTTCGCTTTCTTTTTCTGCTTCTTCTTCACACCCAACGACGAAACCTCAAGGCATCTCAAACAATGGTTAACGCAACAGCAACAGCAAACGGAATCCACCTCGACCAAGAGACTCGCAGCAAGGAAATTGTCGCCAGCCTCAGAGGATTCCTCAAACATCAAACGTGAGTTATTTTCTGTCTTCTTCAACGCACTCATGTCCATCACTTTAGAAGTGGGTGTGAAGGGACAAAGTGCTCATTTCCTTTTACTTTCGTCGTCACTATCAATAGCGAGCGTGTCTCTTTATACAAGGAATTCAACGAGTAAGTCGCAGGTCAGGATGCATCTTTTCAACAATTAAAGGAAACTGGCTTCATATGCCACCCCAAGATGCTGACCGCAACTTCACTTTGCAACACAATAGTGCATTCAAGGAGTATGTGGCAAAGCGGATGACACAAGAGGAGTACGCCACCATCTGCAGGATCGTCACCGAGGGATTCGTAGAATTGTCAATTGAGATTCTGGCACTGGAGTCACACCTCGGCGGACATGCTCACGCAAGCACTATCAACGTCTTGGCACCTCCCACGACCGCAACAGCAACAAATGACCCTTCAGCATCATCAGGGCAATCATCAACCAATACCAGCAGCAGACGGAACTATTCATTGGATTCACCAGAACATGCACAGCTGATTCGTGAGGTTCAGTTGCTTGAGAAACAGAAGCTGGCTCTGACAGTCCAAGGACAAAAGTGGGTTCTGGAAAAGGAGGCCCAGGTGGCTCAGGATATCAGGGACCAGGAAGCTGAGCTGCAGGCAGATCGGGTTGTTGGAAGCGACGAGGAGAATGGTGAGGGGGCAGAGCAGATTGAATCAGAGGTTCAGGCAACTGCTGTTCATGATGCCGAGGGCCGGACGCCGCCACAAGGTGCCTCTGCTGCAGTTGCTAATGGAGGTGTTAAGTTGACGGTTGAGGAGTGGCAAGCCAAGGTGGACGAAAACCGTAACAGGTATGTAATCATTTGAAGGCGTAGTTATTGACGTGTGCTGCAAGTTACGTATTTTTGGATACCGAAGCCGTACAGGTATCTGATCACTGACTTTTGTTTTTTGCTTTGCTTGTGTAGCTTGAACGGGATCGTAGAAGAGATCAATGACAAGTTGGCCGATATCCAAGAGGCAATTGCCGTTCTTGTTCTGTAGAATTACCGTATTACCGTTCGCTTTCAGGAATAAAAGGTTCAGAAAATACACGAGGTATTACCAAATCGCTGGCTATGCGAGTTGTATGTGTGGAGCTGAGGTGTGGAGAGATATTATTATGACAGGCGACTTGAGCCGTGCGATTACTGCCAGGTCAGGATCGGGATCTGTTGCGAACCAATTCAATCAATTGAGCACCATAAGCAGTCTACAGAAAATGTCTTTTCTTGGGAGATCTCAAGTTGGTCTCCCCTTCCTTTTGATGTCGACTGACCTGCTTCCGGTCGCACCATTCCCTCATTCACGCGGTATGATTGGCCGCATGCTGTGCAAGATAACAGTTGTCGTGTTGCTGCTGTATGAAGTTGACAGTGGCTATCAGATTCTTGTCGCGTCGTCGTTGTCGGCTTTCTTATGTGCCAAAAGGGCGAAACAAAACGCGACCTCCTCATTTCAGTCGTCTTTCATCACGTAATTGAATCCTAAAAAAAAAGAGTGCCTTTTCTCTGGTGAAAGGCAAGGGGGTATCTCAGAATTTCTGGGCGTTCCATGATCCCTTTTCGCGTTGGAAGGAATAGTAACAGTAGTGTAGAGCGCGAGACCCCGTTTTTAGCTGGGAGCAGTCCTCTCTCTCCCCTTGATGAGTCTTGCAGAAAGATGGGTAGACCAAGACACAGGAGGAAAGAGTGTGCGGATATGCGCGTGTGAAATGTGCTTATCACCATCTAGCGACGGTGAGTACGTCTCTTAACTGCACTTGACGCTATGTCTAGTCCATGCAGCTCCTTGGACTTCGTTCCTCACTGAGTCCCTCTCACTCTGAGATGTTATCTCATCGTCGTCTTCTCTCTTTGCCTGTCACTGAACCCCGAAATCAGCTGGACTAACGAAAGCCAGCAGCACCTTTCTTACTCAGTCTTCCCGCATGGGTCATCCAGCTTTCTTTTTCCCTTCGCGTACTTTAAACAAACCCAAAGCATCTTTCTTCTGCCGCGTTTTTCTTTTTTATCCTCTCTTTCTTTCTTCGCTATTGTTTATCTTTTTCGCTTTCCACTCCTCAGGCACTACTACTCTTCCCAATTCTCACCGTGAAATACGCTACTCACCTTTGCTACCAGCCTTCGTTTTCATCCACCTGCACCTCTTCTCCTCTTCCTGATTCATTCTTCATCTTCTTTTTACCTCTCTCTCTCTCCTCCTTTTCGTCTTCCTGTCTCTTTCTTCACCTCTCAAACCATCACTCTAACATACAATCTATGGCTCTCTTCAGCAAGTTCTTTGGCCTTGTCGCTTCCCCGACTGGTGCCCCCATCCTCGGTCTCGTCTATGCAACCATCGGCCTTGTCTTTGCAATTCTCTGCTTTGGTCGCTGTACGTTACACAACCCTTTAATTGCTCAATTACATTATTTAAACCTACACCCCATTCCAACTGTGCAGTGACCGGTATCCTTCGTTTGCCTTCCACACCCATTTCATACGACACTTTATCGTTGTCAGACCATGCTCTCCCTCACCCTCGTCCTTCTTCTCCTCTCCCCCTTGCACCACAAAATCACAGCCCCTTCCTTTCCTCACCATCTTCCTCTCCGCGGACTGCTGTGACAGCAACCACAAAAAACTACCTCCTGGATGTGATAGCCCCTTTGTCGAGGTTTCCGGGAATTCTCTTCGAAGGAGACATGATGATTTGTAAACACGCCATAAAAAAAGGGTCAAGGGGAAGAACGACAGTCTGGAGAAACCATTCCCACCGCCTCCTTGGGTTTCCAAGAGCTTCACATACATTGGGTTACCGGGAATTGTACGAGAAGAATCTATATGTGATTAGTTTGTGGATGCTGTTACTCAATTGCGTTTGGGATAACGCTCCCTTTGGATCGCGAACGATTGAGCAGTAGCCCACGGGTGAGAGAGTGCCATGTCCCTAATCTTCACTCCATCTCGTTTTTTGCCGTCCCTCCCCCCCCTCTCTCTCTCTCGTCCTTGATGGACCGATAGGGATCATGCCGCATGCTGCACTTGATCTTACCCTCCCTTGGGCAATAGTCTCCCTCCTACTTCTCGCCACGGGTGCTTACGGCTACTGGGGCACTACCAAGGTAAAGCTTCCTCGCTGTGGACATATACCCTCTCGCTATGCCTCACTTAATCAGAAAAGGTAACTCGTACATATGTATCTAACACTCTCTCTTTATGCATCTTCAAATCGACATACATGAGAATAGGGTAGCACCTGGCACAAACGCCAATTCGTCTCTGCGTCGTGGGGGTTCCTTCTTATGTATCTCTGCTGGGCCATTGTCTATATCGCCGTCGAGAACAACCACATAGAAAAGGTTAACCGCGACTGTGAGGAGCGAAACCCTAACTGGGATGATGGTCAGTGCGAGGAGAGCCGCCAGTCGACTGTCACGATCGCGACGATCTTTGTAACGATTGGGATGGTCCTGGGTATCTACTTCACGCTGGTGCTGTCGAGATGGGTCAGTGGTCTTGAGTGGGAGGCGCACTTGGAGGAGGAGCAGCGGTTGGAGAAGTGGCGCCGTGGTGAGCTTGAGAACCCTCATGATACCATCGTCGACTTGTAGATCTGTAGTGATTGCGCGCAATAGATGATTTTTTTCTGGCCTCATGACGTCACCGAATCGACCTTGCTCGCTAGTAAAGGTCACCCCTCGCCTTTTCAGTGAGACAGACCTGGCAAACAACTGCCCAGGCCAACAACAACATGCCACCTAGCACTCGTGGCGATGCTCCGTCAGGTTGGGCTGCTCACATTCCGCCAAGGCGGCGCGGGGCCGATTACTTCTTGAACCATCCGCCACACACCTGGACTGCATGTGCCTATTTTGATCATCGAGAGGCCTCCATCGAGATGAAAGAGCGTGTTACCGATGAGCTTTGGGGTTGGGTTCGTGTCTTTCAGTCGTCGAATTGCCAACCACTTGAAGATATGGCCGGACACTTAAGCAGAACTGACAAGGGGCTGCTCAAGACGTATTGGGAGAGCAAGGAAGATGAAGAGCATGAGAAAGCGATGACCAGTATGACCCGCAAGCGCGCGCTTGACATTCGCAAAGAGAATCTAAGGCAGCACAACATTGATTCTCGACAGATGACACAGGAACTGGAAACGCTGCACCGTAAGTATTTCAAATCACCTTGAATAAGTACGAGTAACAGCATCGTTTCTCTCCAATATCAACATTTTTCCGTGTCCTATGGATGTGAAATAGGCCCTGCTTCCCCGTCGGAACAAGCCAAGCGCCGGCGGTATCATACGCGGTCTACCTCCACCCCTCAACCTTCATCTTCTTCTCCCGGTATGCACTCTTTGGAGTTGGATAAAGCAATGTTGAGCGGTTATTGCCACAAGGAATATACAGTAGCGTCTTTCCTCATGGCATCATTTTGAGATATGTAGCAAAAGTAGATATCGACGGGCCACTGAATCCATTCCTGACCCATGGTGCCGCCAGCAGCAACCGGTTATCAGACTCCAGTAGCAAGGCCACGGATGCAACCAATCAGGACGTCCACAGCAAGGGTGATGACAGGGACAATGAGGCCGACTCGGATTCAAGCTACCAGCTGTCCAGCACCAACTCTGCAGACACTACTCCCAAGGCAAACCGCAAGAAGGATTGGATATGTTTTTACCCTCTAGGCGTGGGAAGGCTTGACTATCCAGCAGCGTTTCGTGGTCCAATGTTTGCGAGTGAGCGAGACGTTGCAGAACTTTTGTGGAACTTGCGGCAGGTTGTGGTAGACAAATTGGCTAACCAGGAAGATATCGATAACGCTAACCAATGTCCGACGCTGGATCGTCCTCACGAGTACCTGTAAATGTGATACCGGCAAAGGCTCTCTAATAGGACAATGTGAATAATGGTCTCTTCAACTCACTTGTCTTTTTTTTTCTCGATTTCGTGCTTAGTGTGCTCAACCACATCTACTTGATCGAACGCGACGACAACTATAGCTCCCTCCACGCATGTCTTGGCCATGACCTTTGGCGTGCAATGCAAGCACCAGCGCTGGAGAAGCTTATCGATGATCAGTCTGTGACGGCATTGGTCGATTTTTCGTTTCGAGTGGCTTCTATCGGCTATCAAGAAGGACGGGAGCTGGTTCGACAGTGGCAAGGAGATCAAGCTGTCGGTGATACTCTGTGGTCCTTGTTCATGACCAACATTCTGTGGGATACTTCGATGGACGACGATAACGAAGTGGGGCTAACCAAGAAGAAGAATGACCCGTTCTTGCAGGCGTATATCACTCATCTTCCACACTCCACTCCATACTGGTAGGTGGCCTGAGGGCAGTGGCAGCGACAGTTCCACCTCCCGCAATCAGCAGATATTCATTTTATTTTTGTTACTTCCTTGAACACATTTTAGGGATAAATCTCTCCCGCCTTCCAAAAAACGGAGAAGGTTAGCACGCGATGGAAATGGCGCCAGACCTGATTTCTTTTCGGGCTTCAAGTCTCATGGCAAGATGTCGTATCTGATGATGATTGAAATCAAGAAGAAGGCACAAGGAGATACAGTCATACTAACAGACATGGAGAAGCTCGCACTGGAGATGAAAGATTGCATTGACGCTATGACTCGCGACCGCGTCGACATTGTCGGCATCAAAGTCTATGGCTATACCATTGTCGGTCAGTTGCGACAAAGGCCGACAAAGAGCATGATTGGTGGTGAACGCGATGGATGAACGACTAATAAGCCAATTAACCTCACGTTCTTATTTCCCTCCCTCATGGACATTGGCGCGTAGGTCATGAGATTGCGCTGTATTCGATGTCGTTGGAGGCTCCGGGCATGTACATGATGCGCGAGTTGGGCAAGGCCTATCTTCCACGGAATCATCATGATTTGGCTGTACTTCCAAACACCATCAACCTTTTCCTGAACCTCCAGCGAGGCCTCAAGGAATCGGCTCGCTTGTGTGGGCAGCCCTTGCTCGATCAACCTTACACTGGCATCTGCGAGACACTGGGCACGCCTATGAAACGCCGCGTCGCCAAGTGAGCAAGACGAAGGGCCCTCGCGTACTAAGCTTATGCAGTCAGTGCACACCACTAACAGGATACTGCAGAATCATGTAGCAATAGATTGTGTAATTCGGAATAAGAAATGACCTGAAGGAATACTGTCGTGCTGTATTCTGGGGAGAGGGTATTGCACGCAAAAGAAGCGGACTCTTCATCAACAAGAAACCACAAGTTTTTGTAGCTATCAGCCATGGTGTTGCAAAGCAGCAATGGGAGTGAACTTGAAAATGAAATGTAGAAGGCTGAAAGAAAAGAAAAATGCGAAGTAGAAAATAAAGGATAGATTGAGAAGGAGGGGTGAATTACCAGAAATGAATATGCACCTTAAGCACACTTACTGCTGTCCCCTACCCTACATGCGTTTTGAGACACGACCAGTATCAGTTCAAATCTATAGAAAAGCAGACTTAATCTAACCATCTCGAGGCTACAAGGCCACTTGATCGCTGAGAACAAAGCGCTCAGTCTCATAAGCATTGTCGCTTGATTGGTTGTTAGTGGGCAAGTGGAAACAAAAGCCCCTTATTATTTAGGAGGCATGGTTGTTAGGGAGAGTGGAGGCGCGGTTGGTGTGAAGAGTGGAGGCGAAGTAAGAGAACAGTCTACGATACTATCCCGATTTTCCTGATATGCTTTTGAAGACTATCCCTATTGGCGTATGAGCGCTCGCAGCCGACATGGGCGCATTTGAGTGATGTGTGTGTTTGAGTGTGATTTTCCAGGGCATTTTTATCTGCAAACTGTAATCGACATCCTGGAATCTTGTATACGAATCCTTGATGTACAAGGAGCAGGTGTTTCTGGAGACCCGAACGACTCAGAAAACTCGAGTTGCAAGGTGATGGAGGACAGGAAATCCTTTTGAGAGGTCTTCTAGAGTGGTATCGACGGACATGATCTTCCACGGTTCTTTTGTGAGCGAAAAATTTGGGACAATCTGGTTGAGTGCAGGGATATCGTTTGTTCTTCGGCATGATGATGAGGGACGAGGGTGAAGCTTGAAGTGTATTAGAAAGCGGTCAATGTTATCAGAGAGAGAGAGCGTCACCACACAATGGAATGGGAATCGCCAATGATAAGAAGATGATGATGGTGTAGAAGCAAAGTACGTGAACAAGAGTGTTAGCAACGAAAGAGATGACATATAGGAAGTAGTTGAGTTTGATATGCTTTAATACGCCACCCTGTGCGACAAGTGAATGTTGATATCTATCTAATACACTTTGCCACAAGCAACATACCAGAAACACCGAATACGGGGATCAATGGTCGGTTATTGTCTATCATCATGTCGAAAATGGGGCCCGCTGCGATATTTCTTGACGCTAGGTCGGGTATCAGGGAGATGGCAAAACTGGCGACGCCATGCTCTCGGCAGGCCTCGAATGGGCCCAGTCGTGATAGGCAGTGCTCCTTAACCTTTCACAAACGCATCGAGAAACTTGGCAATATCTGCTCCTGGCATGAAGAACTTGTCTGTAATCTTTTTTATGTCAGCATGGAGGTCACCTAGTTGCATGAGAAACGTCAATCAGTATTAGTTGAGAAAAAGCTCATGAGACTCTTGAATAGACAATGAGATGCATACAAAGGCAATGCAATAGTACTTACCAGACAGTGGTTTGCTAGGACGAGACATCCGAGAAATGACCAAGGGGCGGAGTCAAGGCTCATGCAGGGTTAAGTGCTTGGGCTAAGTTGGTGCAATTGAACGCGTAAAGTAAGGTTAGAGGTATAAAAAAAACTTGCTGAATGATCAATCAAACAAAACGCGTCTCCTTACCTGGCGCGGGTCGCTGAACGATGATGTGAATCGTGTCCTCGGGTAGCTCAGTGTCAAAGGCCTTGGCGAGCTTGGTGGTTGCCTTGAGCTTCTTCTCCGAGACCTTGTCCAACAGGATGGGCTGCTCATCGTCGTCATCGTTGGTCTTCTTGAGGTCTCGCAACATTGTAGATGTTAGAAGAGTACAAGTTAGATTAACAGCTAGATGCGAAAGCAAAGGAAGACATAATAAAAGAAGAAACGCAAGACCTAGAACTGCGAACAGCACAGCTAGAGCACTGCCTTATGGCAGGAATCGGACATGGAAAGCGTCCGAGACTTGTAGGCAACATTACCCCCCACCCTGCATCCGTCCCAAAGCGACGGCGTGTACAGTGCATACTAACTAGCCCTACGCTGTGCGTGATGCATGCTTGTCTAGTGCTAGAAGCTCGGGGTGCTCCCGATCCCCCACCTTTGACTACCAGAAGCAGTAAAAGGGGAGACGATGTCAAAGACATGCTTCGAACGTAAGAATGCGTTCGACTCGGATCGAGCCAAAGAACCCACCCGTCCCACAAATACCTTAGTACGTGAGAAAAGCATACGAGGCTGCCGCGAAGAGTGTGTTTTCTTCGTGTCAGGATCGCTCGGGAGGCCCAATACTAGGCTTGCATATAACAATTCCCATCCAGCTACATTACCTTGAAGAGAGTGGCGAACAGAGAAATCTGGATGGCGCAGCTTGATGCACTGCGACCAGGACAATGGGCGCGAGAATTACGTCACCGGAATGAGTAAATCGCCCGCGCTCCCGAATCCCGAACTCTAAAATCTAAATACTAGAATAGGGAAACCTTTGCTAATGAAGCTCTATTGTTCGATTGACTTGACTGTGCTCCCTCGCACCTCGCCTTTCGCTTGACCCCTTTCTGCCTTCCATACCCTCCGGAGCGTGGCCTGGATAGCCCTTTTCCTGGTAGATCTGGGGATCGAAACCGTCGTCGCGAAGGGTGTTGATATGGGCACGCAACTCCTCAGGCTCGACAACCCTGACGGCTGCCGCGATACCGGCCTCCTTCTTCTGTCGCCCACGCAGGCGATCGCCATCAGGGGTCCTTGGGTCGACGGGGGCAATGAAGCGCTGAATCAGCCGGCCTGGTGTTTGAAACGGCAGCTAGTCCTTGATCACGTCCGCCTGCCCCAGTTGCCGCTCGTCTTTGCAGTCGATGAGCTTCTTGGGGATGGGGTGCAGCTCGTCCCGCTTGTGCAAAAGGCCGCCAGCTCGATCTCGGTGAATGTCATGTATCCATTCTCCTCGGACGACAGGGGCGAAAGACGCCAAGGCCGACCGGCTGTGGCATTTGCTCGCACAAAAAGCTGGATCGCTGGCTTCTTCTCTGTCAAATCTACAGCTTTATCGCTCGCCAATTTTTTCTTCTTAATCATCGTTTGAACCTATGGCAATACTTAGAAAACGAGCGATCGAGTTAGAATTTGTCGTCCACACAGATGACAAGAGCGAGAAATAATAAATGAAAAAGAAGTCGATCGACCACATAACTCGGCGTATACTCCTTGACACTCTTGAGCATCCGCTTTGGCCACTTGTGACTTTTCCAGATGCCCCATCTCCTGTAGACGACTAATGAAGGTGTTGACGGCTGACCCGGTTTTGCTCTTGTTAGGCAAATTGCCCGAGTACAGGGAAGTGAGGAATGAGTGAATAAAGGGCGTGTTGGATCCATCGTCTTGACCGTCCCCAGCAGAGCTGACACTGTTATTGTCGTCGCTCATTTCATTAGACGAGCCGAGGGCACAGGTTGTCGAGAATAGATTGGTCTTGCTGGTTGATATTTGCCACAGGCACTGCAGGTCGTGGGGCACCAGGCCTAGGTGGAGGATACAAGAGATCCTCCAGATACAGGCCAATGAGCACCTGGCATTGCCGCTTAGAGTCGCATGCCACTCGGACTGTACCACGGATGCACTCGACGATGGCCTTGACGATTAGATCGTTCTCGACGGCGGCGCGGAAATTAAATTGCAGGGTAGGCGATCAAGGTCCAGAGTGATTATTGGGTGCTCAAACGACAAGGCATTCATCATCTCCCTGCGTCCAAAGCGGTTGTCCTCACTGATCTCGGGTTTGAAGGCTGCAGCAGGCTTCTTATTTGCACGCTCTGGCAGACTTGGCTTCTCCGGTGGCTCCTTCCTTCCAATGCTTGAGTATGTACTGCATCGAAATGACTGGTGCTGGTTGCTCCTTGGACGGCTTTACCCTTTCTTCCGGACAAAGGGCCATAGATATGGAATGCCCATCAGGGCAGAAAACAATGTATAGTTGGTGTAAGAGTGGTACTGTGAAGGAGAAGGATGAAAAATTGAAGAAGGATGGGGGTGGCACAAAGTCGCTTTTGTTGATGATAAGAATGGTGCTGCGAAGAGGAAAGGCGAAAAATTGATGAAGATGGATGGGAGGAAAGAAGAGGGGTAAAGAAGAGAAAGAAGGGCTGAACAAAGTTGCTTTTGTTGATGATAACCCTTGTCAGACCTGCTGTTTATTTATACCATGTTGTTGGCAAGGATGGTGTTACTATTGCCCGACCACCCATAGTTAGGATGTGTGTACGTGAAAAACATAACTGCCACTGTCAGAAAGACTTCCTCTATCCAACCAGCTTGTTCTTTTTGCTCTGTTGCACCTCCTTGTCATGGGCATGGAGTTTCGTTTTGCATGAATTAGCCATCATCATGCCTTTTCCGTTTTTTTTTCACTTTTTTGCCACCGGGGTGTCATTCAGCGACCTCTTTTCTATCAGACTGCACTCAGCACCTCTACCTAACGCCTGTTTCTTTTTTTGCCATTCCCGGTCATTAACATGAAAAGTGGATGATGGAGAGGGCAAGGAGAGCAACACAGAAAAGAAGGGACAAAAATTAAGATTTTTCAGTCACAACTTCACGTACAACACCCTCACATCCTTCTTCCATTGTCTTTGTTGCTATTACTTGACCAATTACTTTTTGGGCCTGTTGCCACCATGCATCTTGCGAGCGAATATAACTTTAGACGGAGATTCGAGAAATGGAATCGGAATCAAAATGGGCATATGAAAACAGGTATATAAAAAGACAAGCATCCATGTTTCTATGAGGAGGGTATTTCTTCTTTTTCCTCTTTGCATTCACTTTATCCTCTCCCTCCCTCCCTTTTCCCCTTCCCCCCTCCCCTCCCTTCTTTTTCCTCCTCCGCTACTCTCCTGCCTAAGCATGACCGGTTTGAGGGTTAGGGATATCATCCTCTTTACGGATGAATTCGACCCTCGTGAACTCGTCAAGCCGTTCGCGATTCCCTCTGAAAAGGATGAGTGGACAGCAGTTTTCACCGGTGAGGAATTCAAACCCTTTTGGTACACCGAACGAGTCGCCAGGCAATCAATGGCAAATGATGTTTGAGAGTGGTTTTCGACACATCCCCCTCAAGAAGGAGAACGCCGACGATCTACTACCAATCCATACGAGGACTCCGGGTTCTGTTGGTAGACCACCATCGTATGATTGGAGCTTTCGGTTTTGCTGCAGACGACACCGTCCTCCTTCTCAATTGGTAATCAAACGCCCCTCTGTTGGCAACGATTGCCCAGTCGAAATCAGGATGCGGAAGCTTCGGGACAAAGATGAAGTACAGGCGGTATACCGTTGGCGCCACAATCATGACGATTCGGCGAAGGCCAGATCGAAAATGCCCCTGAGTGGAATCGAGCTTGAGTGGGTCAAAAAAAATGGCTACAGACGGCCTCGACTGGAAGTCGATAAAGGCTCGGCTTCGTTTAGACAACTGGTCACTTCGTGCAACATATTAGGTTTATCATTGCTCTCTAGTTAGTCATTCCTTGTCACTCTCTATCATCTCTGACTCACTATGACACTACACCTAGAAACCTAGTTGACGACTTTGTATATATATTTAGTTGTACCATAGTAATAACATCAATCATCACTGCTTCAACTCTCGTCCCCGTTCTATACTTCTCTGTCCCAGTCTTCGCCTGTTGCACTTCGTCAGGTAATTTAATCCACTCTTGCCCAATAATCACCTACTCACATTACTTTCTCGCTTTTTTCATCTCGCTAAATTGCTGTCATTATAACTTTCATTTGCAATAGCTCGAGGACCAATAATCTCTTCACACGTTGCCTCCCTACCTTTACATGCTGTACGACGACGTTCGAACAGTCGTGTACCGCAATCGGACGCAGTTATCTCGAAAGGCGGTCAGCCCCTCGTACAGTGTGAAGCTTTCGCTTGAGCAGATCAAAGACGAAAGTGGTAAAGCATGTTCAAGGATGAGGCCGCGCAGAACAAAAATCACTACCTTTTTGCTTGGTGTACAAGGTTTCAGCTAAAGATTTGTGGCTCGTTTATATGCATACCGTTAAATGCCTTAATACCCTCAATGCAAACCTAATGGCATTTTCGTCAAGCACTCTGTAGATCATGAAGGACAACACCACCATTGTGTGTATGGATTCAACACATAAAACAGTCAAATAATTGAAGCCAAGCCCGGAAAACGACAAAGTATTTACGTCCGCATACCTATTTATTATTCTCGTCAGGGATCGAAAGTCGCAAACCGGCATACCGATTGCATTTATGGTATGCAACTCGGAATCAAGGTGAGATTGTGCTCAAATATGTTCTACTGTCCCATTGTAATATAGCCCGAGTTATTGAGACTGACTATCCTTATTTTTAATTCTTTTCTTCCTATTCAACACTCTGTTCAATAATAACTATATAATAACAGAATGGTTAACCTGGCTGAAAATTGATTGCGAACTGCGAGCTTCCAAGTTTATGGTGGACTGCTCTGTTGCAGAATCCGAAGCCTTAAAGAAAGCATTCCCGCTCCCTCCAATGGAGGTTTATTTTTGCGCTTTTCATGTGAGACAAGCGTGGGATCGAAAATTGCGAGAACTGCACAATGTAAGTGAAGAATCAAGTGTTGCAAGAAAAGCCAAGTACAAAATCACCTGCCAAAGTTGATGCCTTTAATCAGCATATGGCATTTGTACTCATTGGTTCTTTATTTTTTACCTTGGAACCTTTTTCTTCAAAACAAAGATGGAAGATAGTGACAGAATGCGCCTTGCTTTGAAAGCCATTCGAAAAGCGGACTCGGAGGCCGCGCTTCAGGAAGCGTGGAGGAAGTTTCAAGCATCATTCCGACATGCTAAAAGCTTATCGCCTACATCAGAACTTGGATGGAGCCAACCAAACTGGTCAAATGAGTTCTCTACCTTAGAGAGGTGAGAATTACTGTCTTGTTCCCATTTGTTTGTGTTTATGTTGTTGAGTGCAAGTAATCTAATTATTACACCTTATTTTATTCATACGATAGAACAACCAGCATATCAATACCAATAACTTGGTAGAAAGTTGGCACAAAACCATCAAGAGCCAATACTTGGGATATGCGAGGGATCTACGCCCAGATAATCTGTTTTTTTTATTACAAGGATCAGTGGACATTGATTTCAGGATCTCATACTACAAGATCAGTCATGGGTTGCAACCCATAACGCTCTCAGAATCCGCCGCGAAAAGAAGAGCAAAGGCAATGGCATTACCATTTGTTGATGCCAAGGACATGATTGATGAGATGTTCCCTGACAAAAAGGTACTTGCATTTGCAAACAATCTCTTCCAGTATTCAATGCTGGTAAACAGTCATCGTGATCATGTTCTAAATTTATCACTCTATTATATTATAATTTCTAGTCAGATCCTTCTCTGGGTCTCATGAGTCGTATTCTGTCAGCACAAATGAGGATTTCTCATGTCTCTACTCTTGCACTTGCGGCGATTACACGCGGTGCAAGGAGCCTTGTAAGCACATGTATCTTGTGACAAGGATCTACAACGATATAGAGATCAGCTATGAGGGTGAGCCATCCCTCTCAAAGGAGTCGACCGCAGACGGAAATCAACTTAACGCCTTGTTGGAGACGATTCTTTCGCCTCAGCTCCTTGTTTTACTGCAGAGACAAAGGGCTGAAAAGAGAGAGGCTGATTTATTGGCCAAAGCGGCCGAGAATGCCCGAGCATTCCGGGACGGCGAGGAACAGTTAATGGCCCTCTTCAAGGAGATTTACGAAGTACTTTCGGCTACAAAGAAAAGAAAGTGCTCGTTTCAGTACCTTCAAGAAACGATAGCGTTGCTACACAGCGCCTATCTTCAAGTCAAAGGCCTTAATGAGAGTGGTGCAGGGCGAAAGTGCCAGTGAATAAACATATTGTGCCAAATGAGTTCCTTCAGCCGATTTTGAATGGACAATATTATTATGGTGTCAATTGACAGTGTAAATGCAATCCATATTAGGAAAGATTTCACGCGTAGCTTCAGCCAATAAGAGAATTATGGCGTCCATTGTCCTGTACCCCTCCCCCCTCCCTCGCCCGAGTGATGAAATGGAAGAATCTAGGATCGTATTTGTAATCGGTAGCTTTTTATGCCGCAGTCACGGCAACATTTTTTTTCTTGACCCAGCACAGACTCCACCTTCACACTTTTGCAGAAAAGGATCTGATCATTGGTCCCTTTTTCCTTTTGCTTCTTTTCCAATCCCATCCCTCATTAGTCCCCTTTGCACCCCCCACAGCAGGATTACAACCATGAGCGACCAGAACGACAACGCTTCCCCTCCCACCGCAAAGCTCTCGGGATTGAACCTCAACGCCGGCTCATTCGTCCCCCGTGTCGCCGCAAAGGCCTTTGTCCCCTCATGGATGCCGCCACCCGCTGCCGCTGCTCCCCCCGCAGCTGCCGCCTCTTCGGGAATTGACTTCAACCGCCCTCCTCCTGCCGCAGTCGTCAACAAGACTGTTGAGACCCTTGCCCCTACTTCCTCGGGCATTGACTTCAACCGCCCTCCTCCTGCCGCAGTCGTCAACAAGACTGTTGAGACCCTTGCCCCTACTTCCTCGGGCATTGACTTCAACCGCCCTCCCCCCGCTGCTGTCGTGAACAAGACCGTTGAGGACCCCAAACCTGTCACCCCCGCCCCTGTCGTCAAGCCTGCCTCGCCTGCCCCTGCTGCCAAGCCCGCTGCTGCTGCCCCCAAGAAGCCTTCTGCCCCCAAGGCAGCTGCTCCCCCCGCTGCTGCCCCCGCTGCTGCCCCCGCTGCTGCTGAGGTCGAGGAGGAGGTCGTCGATCAGGAGACTTTGACCGAGTTCTTTGGAAAGGAGCACATGAACGTCATCTTTATTGGGCACGTCGATGCTGGAAAGTCGACCATGGGTGGACGTATCTTGTAAGTGTGTAGCAGTGAGACCTATTTCTCATATTTTTTTACCATGGCGCGTCAAACTGGCGCTATTGGCAAAATGCTGGTGCATTTTTTTGACAGTTGTTTTTGTGTGCGGGCAGGGAACACTAATGCTAAGCCAATGACGACTGAACGTGGACTATCATTTTCCCTAACCGCTTTGTTGCTCCACATTGTTTTCTTCTGTTTTCGGTCGATAGGGAGGCTTCTGGAATGATTGATCAGAGAACTTTGGAAAAGTACGAGAAGGACGCCAAGGAGGCTGGACGTGACTCCTGGTATTTGTCTTGGGCTTTGGATACCAACGCCGAGGAGCGTGCCAAGGTACGCCTCTCCTTTTATACGTTTTGGAAACAGGATAACTGCGGATAATTAAGGACGACTGGATACAACGACGTCTCAGGACAAAACACTGATATCATATACTTGCACGTTTTCTCTGGACGATTGTAGGGTAAGACTGTCGAGTGCGGACGCGCTTACTTCGAGACTGATGTCCGCCGTTATACCATTTTGGATGCCCCCGGACACAAGACCTATGTTCCCAGCATGATTGGAGGAGCTGCCCAGGCTGACTGTGCCGTCTTGGTCATCTCGGCACGTAAGGGAGAGTTCGAGACTGGATTCGAAAACGGTGGACAGACCAGGGAGCACGCCCAGTTGGCCAAGAGTGGTGGTGTCAACAAGTTGATTGTTGTCATCAACAAGATGGATGACCCCACCGTCCTATGGTCCAAGGAGAGATACGACGAGTGTGTCACAAAGCTGTCGCCTTTCTTGAAGGCCAACGGCTACAACATGAAGAACGATGTCACCTTCATGCCCGTCTCTGGATACACTGGAGCCAACATCAAGAAGGGAATCGACCCTAAGGACTGCGCCTGGTACAACGGACCTTCGCTGTTGAACTTCCTCGATACCCTCAAGATTGCCGACCGCAAGCTCAACGCTCCCCTCCGCATGCCCATCAGTGAAAAGTACAAGGACATGGGTACCATTGTTGTCGGAAAGATTGAGGCCGGTTCGATCAAGAAGGGTGCTCAGCTCGTCATGATGCCCAACTCTGCTAAGGTCGAGGTTCAGCAGATCTACAACGAGCTTGAGGAGGAGATTCCAATGGCCGCTGTTGGTGATAACATTCGTCTCCGTCTCCGTGGCATCGAAGAAGAAGTACGTATTATTTGCTATTGTTTTCGCGGGAAAAAGCATGGATGAAGGAGGCAAACAGGATACCATCGTTGTTTTATTGATGACTAACGCAACCTCTGCTACATGATGTTCGTTATTATTAGGATATCCTGATTGGTTTCGTCCTCTGCAGCCCTAAGAACCCTATCCACGTTGTTTCCAAGTTTGAGGCACAGCTGGGAATCTTGGATCACAAGAACATTATCTGCGCAGGATACACGGCCGTGTTGCATATTCACAACGCGATTGAGGAGATTACGTTATCGGGGTTGATCCACTTGCTCGACAAGAAGACTGGACGCAAGTCGAAGAGGCCTCCTCAGTTCTTGAAGAAGGGCCAGCAGGGTATTGTGATGATCGAGACCGCAGGACCACTCTGTGTCGAGACCTTTGCTGATTCCCCCCGTATGGGCCGCTTCACCCTCCGTGACGAGGGCAAGACCATTGCCATTGGAAAGATTACCAAGCTCTACCTTGCCGAGGATGCTTAAATTACTAAATAGTAGGAGACATGATACATTTTTTTCACATAATACAACACAGATTCGTAGATGCAACAGAAAAGAGACATGCCTTTTTTTTTTTTTTTTTTTTTCAAAGTATGAGTGATGGGAAAGTACCATTTTAAGCACCGCTTTGGAGTTTTGGGATATTTCCTGCTCTCTTTTGTTTTCCCTTTTTCCTTTCTTTTTCTTCCAACAATCATTTTCACCTCTATGTCCCAGCCATCACACAACAACTTACATAGAGAAGGTTGTTCTTGGATGTGGAGATGAATTTGAAGGCTTGTTATGAGAGAAGGGAGGGGTTTGAGGCGCGGTTCGGGGGTGCTGCAGGGTTTGAAGCAGTAATACGATGATGATGAGCAGCAGAAGCCGAAGCACATGGTTTGGGGGGGGGTTCATCAGAACAAGTTGAGGATGATTGAGCAGGAGGAGAGATCGATCCTGGCGAAATCTGGCGTGGATTGGGAACGAGTAAGCGGAATTGGAGCAGAAGCGGGAGGAAAGAGTTGTAAAGCCGATTGAGAGTCTTGAAAAGCAGGTGGAGCTTTTCAGGGCAGAGATGGAGAGGATTCAGGGGGGGGGGGGGGGGACTACACGAGTTACGGGAGTTGAGGGATCAGTACCGTCAGAGCACTCGACAACAGCGGCAACAAACCAGGACAATACAACTACAACAATCAACACTTAGCATCAACTAAAGTAGCAATGGTGCAACCACTCTTCGTCACACACACACACTCTCTCTCTCTCTCTTTCTTTCTCTCTCTCTTTCTCTCTCTCTCTCTCTCTCTCACTCACTCACTTACACACACACATACAGAACCATACGTTTCATCAGAGGTGACCGGGTGATAGCAATAGTGCAGCAATAGCTTGGGTCTATTCAATGAAAACAAATCTTTTTGCACATGCATTGAACGCTCGCAATGTCAACAAACGCGTCCTTGACCCACAACCATCTGTCACGCCACTAAATATGTTATATATCGACGTCGATGTACACTATCGTCGCTGCTCTTTGAAGCGAGCTAGCACTCCTAGAATGAACGCATCATGACACGACCCCTACTTCTCACTCGTATATAAAAGCACGCCCCGCTCTTTCTTTCCTCATCAACCACCACCAACCACCACTAATCCAGCACACACCAACTCACAGATACCCAAAACCTCAACTTACAAATACCCAAAACCTCAACTCACAAACAAAACAACAACCAACAATGTCGAACATCACTGAGAAGGTCACCAACACCGTAAACTCCTATATCGGCGGCGCAAAACAGACGGTCGGCGAGACCATCGGAAACACCAACCTTGCTGCCTCGGGAGTCCAGCAGAAGGCTCAAGCCGACGCTGCCACAGAGGCAGCCACCGCCAAGGCCCACTCTGAGGGTCTCGGACACAAGGCCCAGGGAGGGGTCCAGCAGAATGTTGGATCCTTGACAGGGAACACTAGTATGGAGGCGCGTGGACATGCTAATGAGGCTCGCGGCGATATTCAGCGTAACGTCTAGAGTGGTAGATCTTGCAGGATGACTTTTTTCGTCGTCCGCATGCTTGATTTCTTTTTCAGTTGGCCGCCTTCCCCCCACCTTCCCTTTAATGAGCTAATTCCGAACTTGAACCCACACACAACCCTTACCTTCGTTCCCCTTCCACTAATCCCTCCTTCGTCATTATTCTGAGATCTCGACGAGCGAATGGAAGTGCTCCATTTCGACCCCCCCCCATTCATGCAAATATATTTTTTTGTCTCATGATGATCAACAGCTCGAAGGTCGTATCAACTTTGAGGCATTGGGCAAGAGAAAAAAGGGGCTGCTGGATGTACCAATCCACTCCTTCATCTTTTGGTCTTACATCACTTGGATCAAGGTCCTCCATGGTGGTCACTTTGTGAACAGGAGTGGGGCCTACATGAACTCTAAATTAATTACGACATGATGCGTCATTTTTCTCTTGTGTCACGAGAAAAATATTCAGATAAATAGCTGCACGCACTCTCGTTTCTTGCCACCAACAACAAACCTCACCAAACACACAACCACACAACCATAACAACACTTTCTAGCCAACAATGACCGAAAGACTCTCCAACACCGCAAGCTCCTATATGGGAGGCGCCAAGCAAACCATCGGCGAGACTATCGGAAACACCGACCTTGCCGCATCTGGTGCCCAGCAGAAGGCCCAGGCCGATGCCGCCCAGAAGGCCGCCGATGCCAAGACCAACGCCGAGGGTGTCGGCCACAAGGTCCAGGGTCAAGTCCAGCAGAACGTTGGATCGATGACAGGAAACACTAGCATGGAGGCTCGCGGCCATGCTAATGAGACTCGTGGCGATCTCGAGCGCAAGATCTAAAACCCCTGTCGGCCCCTCTTCCCAGAGCGCGGACCTGGTCCCGCAAGACCTGTTGCTTTTTTTCGCGTTTTCAAATCAGTAAGCAATTTGTAAATAAACTCTCTTCTCTTTACTTCATATCGTTTTTTTTATGAGTGTGCATGAAATGCTGCAGGACGAAGACGAGAAGGACAGTGAAAGAGGACAAGTTTACTCTATAACCCAGGGGGGGGGGGGGAATGGAACGCGCTGTGATATGACCTTGTTTGCTTCGTTCCTCGCAAAGGAACATTGCACTGTGTGATCTTGAACGAACAAAAACCAATCATACCAAGGTTTTTTTTCTGAGTGAGCTCAAGGGCGAGACCAATATATGCGAGACATTAAAGGGGTGACCCACATCGATAGGTTGTGGACCCTGCACCGTGAACCAATCCTCGAACGTGACAATCCGTGTGTGTGATGACCAAATCGCCCCCTTGTTGTCTTGCGTTCTTTTTGTCCATTTTTACGTATGTACACGCGTACGTAGAAAGAGGAAGTTGCTGAGGGTGGGAGGTGGTCGCCGTCGTTTTAATTATGTCACACGGGATTCAGTGAACCCGCGTCTAGACGACCCCTTAGACGAAAGAGTGACCTCATAACAGTGTAATGATAATAGTTACCCACCTCACCTTACGCGATTCCTCAAAAACTGAATATAAAAGTGTCGGCTTCCCGCACCTTTTCTTTCCTCTCATCAACAACCAACACAATCACACTCAACTCTACCCAACCCAACCCAACCCAACCCAAACACACATTACTCCAACATGACCGACAGAATCTCCAACACCGCAAACTCCTATATGGGAGGCGCCAAGCAAACCATCGGCGAGACCATCGGAAACACCAACCTCGCTGCCTCGGGAGCCCAGCAGAAGGCCCAGGCCGATGCCGCCCAGAAGGCCGCCGATGCCAAGACCAACGCCGAGGGCGTCGGCCACAAGGTCCAGGGTGGAGTCCAGCAGAACGTTGGGTCCATGACCGGAAACACTAGCATGGAGGCCCGTGGCCACGCCAACGAGGTCCGCGGCGATATCGAGCGCAAGGTCTAACTTTCGAGCGACGCACGCACAACACCCGGTCTTCAGGGAACCAGCACCTTTTTGTATATAATAAAACCATTATTTTTTTCAGCCTACCTTTTTTTTTTCTCAAGTGTATATTGAATGTTGAGCTGTGGGTATGTCAATGAAGAGACAAGAGAATCAAGAAAGATGGGCGAGCAATAAACCATAAAAAACGAGACAGAGCTGTGAAGGCCTTGAGTTGCAACCTACGCAGTACACTTTACCGCATAATCACCACTGCTTCGTAACAAAGAACAAGATAAGTTGGTTCAGGCACACCTTTGTACGCGCCTTCATTATCTTTTAGTGAACAAGGCTAACCAAATCGACCTTAGCGCACGATACGAGTGCGGAATGCATGTGAGAGCAAGCCAAGCCATGACCAGTTGTATCCAAGATACGAACCATTTCAAGGGTCGATCGATCGGGCATATCCCGCATCGACAACCGAATGACCAAATCGCCGAATCGCGTCTTGTCTATTTTCACGTATGTGCATCTGTACGTGGAAAAGGGCGAAGTTGCAAGAAGGGTGAGAAAGAGCCCCGGGCGGTTTCCCCTCAATTTTAATTATGTCACACTGATATCATTCGATGATCCCATCTCTTTGACAATACAGGACTCCATTGTAGATGTGTGATATCATTACATTGTAATGGTAATGGTTACCCACCCTCACCATCTTCAATGATACCTTCTCCAAAAACGAATATAAAAGACACAACTTCCTGTACTGTACCTTTCTTTTCTATCATCAACACCAAACACAACCGCAGTCTCCCCAACACAACCCAAACACATAAACACTACTCCAACAATGACCGACAGAATTTCCAACACCCTCAACTCCACCCTCGGAGGTGCCAAGCAGACCATCGGTGAGACCATCGGCAACAACAACCTCGCTGCCTCCGGTGCCCAGCAGAAGGCTCAAGCCGATGCCGCCCAGAAGGCCGCCGATGCCAAGACCAACGCCGAGGGTGTCGGCCACAAGGTCCAGGGTGAAGTCCAGCAGAATGTCGGATCCTTGACCGGAAACACTAGCATGGAGGCCCGCGGCCACGCCAACGAAGTCCGTGGCGATCTCGAGCGCAAGGTCTAAAACGGAGACATGACGTCCTGATTCCAAGAACGTTCCTCCCCCTCTTTTTCTGTACATAATAAAGCCTTTCTTTTTCCTCTTCTACTTTTTCTCTTCTTTTTTCGTGAGCGGATTTGTATGAAGGACGATGGCTGTGTCAAGTGTATAGTACGAGTTTGCGAAAGAGGGCCTGCAAAAAATGGGAACTGATCGTACCTGAACCATGCACGTGACACACACCAAATGTCCAAAAGCTGCCATCCGAAGGAACAACTCTCCTTTGACCTTCTCCTTTCCTCACTCCCACCCGACAGACCTCCTCCTCATGACTCGCGCCATCGTCTCAGGAGCAACCCTCAGTCTCTGCAAGAGGTCGACGGCAACAACCTCGACACACCACCTTGCCACTGCTCAATGCCACCGCATTGCTGTTGCATCAATGCCATGCGCAAGAACCAGCGCCATGGCGACTACTCCTGCAAGATCAGTTTCGACACGTCTCTTGTCTACCTTTGCACTACAACGACACCACCCTCAATCACAAATATCACCTCAACTGATGTCTACAACGGCAACAAGAACATTCGCCGTCTCTCCTTCCTCTCTCTCCTCCAATACTGACACCACAGACAAGGACGGATCCCTCCACCGCTACACCCATCTCTCAACACCCTCAGAAATCGCATCCACTCACTTTGACCTCTCCCACATCCCACCCTCCGAACACGCCCAGATTCTACACGATTTCATCCTCGTCCCCGACTACCTTACCCCCGAAGAACACGACATGATGGTCAAAGGTGCCACCCTCAAACTGAAACGCGCTCTGGGAAAACAAGTCCGATATGAGGATGGTCATTTCGACGGGGTGATCACTCGCTACCGGGAGTGCTCTGCTGGCGACTGGTCGAGCCCATTTTCAGCCACCACTTCACCATCTCCCGACCCCTTTTCCAACAATGACAAGAAGGAGAGAACAACCCCCCGTGAAATGATGGACGCCATAAAATCCGACTTCTTCCCCTCAACCTGGACATGGGTATCACCCCACATCCTAGAACTAGAAGCCGGTCAAGGTGGGATCAAACCCCACGTCGACCACCTCGACGCCTCTGGCTCCGTCGTCGCAGGTCTCTGTCTAGGCTCCTCGGCGGTCATGGAACTAATCCATCAGGACGACCCTCAGAAATGGTTCCGTGTGCTCCTCCCGAAACGCAGTTTTTATTTCCAGCGGGATTCGGTGAGGTATAGTTATAAGCATGGGATCCCTATTGAGCCGGAGGACCATCAGTTCAGGGGGAAGGTTGTATCAAAGGAGAAACGTATTTCTGTCATGCTGCGGGTAAGTTTTTGTGTTTTTGAATTGTTGTTTTGTTGTGCTGAACTTTGCAATGTCTTTTTGTTGACTGACATTTATCTCCTATGTTAATCTATGTCCCACAGAACGCATTAGACCCCTCACTTCATCCCGATCGACCAAGCGCCATGTATTAACGTATTAAAGCCTCGCCCGACTAGAAAGGGATATTATTGGAACAACTTTATTAGTTATTAGTAGTTTACAACGAAAGAAGGAAAAGGGAGAAAAAGGCGAAAAAGAAAGGTGTACGAGATAATATCACAGGAGGCAGGAAAACGACGAAAAGGGTATATCTAAATGCAGAAAAAAAAAAGTCGACGAAGCACCAAAGGACGCCTCGACGACGAATCATTAAAAAAAGCAAAGAAAAAGGAAAGAGAAGGAAAAAGAAAGACGGGACTAAATGCCTCCACCTCCATTGGCACCAGGGTTCGAGTTCAGGAACCCTCCAAACCCCAGCATGCCTGCACCGAGCGCACCTCCATTGGTCGATCCTGCGCTTTGACTCGACTGTGGCTGGAAGGCGTTCTGACCCTGTTGCTGTTGCTGCTGTGCAAAGCCGCTGGGAAAGCCATTGAACTGTTGACCAAAACCTAGCAGTGCGCGTTGATGTTGCTGTTGTTGTTGTTGCTGTTGCTGTTGTTGAAGCTGTTGCATCTGCAGCGACTGTTGTGACGTCGAGGACGATCCTGCGGAAAGAGCGTTCATCTCCTGACCCATGATGGCGTTCGACGCAGCGGCGGTGCCCATGATCCTCATGGCAACTTGGTGAGGAGGCTCGACTCGACCACTCATCTTCATGCCCAAAACCTGCAGTGCCAGAGCAATCAACTCTCGATCGCCCTTGCTCTCTTCGTACTCAAACAACACTCCAACGTCATCGTCTCCCAAAATCTGCTGAGCGGCCGTGGGTCCTCCGAAGAGCTGGGTCATCGTCCTGACAAGTTCGTTGCTGTTGGGATCGTCCGTCGATGTCCCTGGTCCTGCCGCCACCGCTGCACTCAGTTGACTCTGCGCCTTGACCACGACCGATCCAGGGAAGCTTCGTGGCGGCAACCGGCAAATTACCGTCTCTGGTCCATAGTACTGAACATCCTGAGCTGGAACGCCGTCGAAAGTAGGCACCATGCCTGGAAAGAATCCGCTACCCAACAACGTAATTTCCACACCCCCTTCCACAGGTCCACGAGACGGGATGAGTTTTTGGACTCTTGGCTTCTGTCGAGCGAGGATCGCCTGCTTCTGCTGTTGCTGGAGTTGCTGTTGGTGATGCTGCAACTGCTGCTGTTGGCGTTGCTGAAACAACAAGAACTGGGCTGCGGCGGCAGAGGCAGCTGCGGCAGAGGGTGGCGCAAGCGATGCCAATGATGGCGAGGGCGACGATTGCACGGGTGTCGGCGGCAACGTGGAGAGCACTGGCGAACCGGCTTCCGAGGTGGTTGGGGCAGCTGCCTTTCGCGGGCGACCTCTCTTCTTGGGTGCGAGTGGAGCGTCCGCGGTGGATGTCGATATTTCTATGGCGTTGGTATCGGTGCTGGGCTTTGGTGTGGCTGCTTTATCGCCGTCCTCTGGCAAAGAAGTCGGGATGGGGATGAATGCTGACGATGAAGGGCTGGTTGTTTGGGACATGGCCATACGCATCTTCCAGTAAGGGTCCTTGTTGTCGGTTTTGTTGGTGGTCCATGGTACTGGTTTGGCTTCCATTTGTTGCTTGTTCTGGTTTTGGACGCCTTGCTGCAGCTGAAGAAGTAGCTGTTGCTGCTTTTGTTGAGTCACACTCTGGCGCTGAAAGTTTTGAAACTCCTGCATCTGTGTCGGGTTGAGAAAACTTGACGACATCCCATGGGCGTTTACAAGGCTTGAGCTGGTCGCAGGTCCATTCATCGGTGCTGAAAAGGTTGTACTGAAGGCGGACGTAAGCATACCCGCAGAACTGAAGGGGTTGGATGATGCTGTTGACATAGGGGCGAATGCTGGAGCAGGGACGGAGAATGACGCCCGCGTTGGCAATGCCTGACTAGTGGACGAGGTCGACTGCGATGTGTGCTCGGATGACTGGCTGATCGAAATGGAATCCGTTGATAGTGTCGATGCTTGGAATGCGTCGGGAGGAGACCCCATCGCCTCATCCAATGTTGTGAACTCCATCATCGACGACTCGCTCTCCACTGTATCCTTGGAGATCTTGCGGAATCCGTTCTGTTGCGTTATTGATGGAGGCAGACCGGCCGTCAAAAACATGTCGATATTCTTCTGGTCGAGAAAGCTCCCGTCGAGTGATTGTGAGAAGGACGGCGAAAAGGCGTTGTGCTGTGAGTCATTGGCGAATGGTGATCCTGGCATGAAGGGTGAAAGCGAGACGAGTGAATCGGTGGGGAGTGATGTTGCAAAGGAATGAGAGGAGGAGACGAATGATGCCGGAGCACCAACTCCATGTGGGATGTCATGGCTTGTTTTCCGACGGAATGGTCCTCGAGAGGGGTCGATGTCCGACTGCGTTTGGACTCCATCCATAGTGCTTTCATCTACCACTCTCCGCTTTGCTCCTAGCCTCTCCGCCGCAGACGACAAAGGTGTCAGAATATCTTCCGATGCCATCTCTGCATCTTCAAATTTCATGCCATTTGCTGCAAAACTGTGCTGATGTATATGGCGTCCAGCTTCCAGGTCAATCTCGTCACCATCCCCTTGGTCCGCATCGTCCTGGTCCATGTCCTCCTGATCGTCATCGTCGTCGTTCTGCTGCCCGTCTTGATCGCCATCATCTTGGTTTTCTGTCGAGCCGGCAGCTGTGGGCCCATTAGATGCTCCTGTGGTGGCTGCCTTTTTCCTTACTGCAGTCGAGGATGCGGACTTGGCAGCGCCTGCCGTTGGCCGCTTTCCTGACTTGTGGTCGTCCATCATCATGACAGCGTTGCTCAGTACGGATGCCACCACGGCACCAGTCGAATCCTTGGCCGTAAATTGAATGCTAAATAGAATTGAAGGTTGCACAAGGAACACGAGTTAGCATGTGGCTCCGGTGAAGATTGCAGTGCTCCTCGCGCCAAGAAAGGCTTTGTCGACTAACCGAAATCCAACTTTCTCGTTGTGGTGGCGACAGTAGCAGGTGATGCGTGTGGGTAAAAGACACTGTCCTGAGGAGATGTCGACGTATTCTGTGCTGCTGAAGACCATAATGCGATGTCGTTCCCATGCTTGATATTCAATTGGGTCTGTTGGTGTCGGTGGGATGGGTTCGTCGGCGAGAGACACTGGACCATTCTTGGGATTGATGGACCCAAAGATTGGTATCGAGGAGAGGGGTCCTGGCAGTTTCTGGCTCTCCTTGCGACGGTGTGCTCGTTTCCGCTCCCGTCCGATGCAGTTGTCGCAGCACTCCAGAATCTTTGTCATGTCGTGGTCGCAAACAAGTCGAGCATCGAGCGTCAATATCTCCGAGTCCTCGATGTGTTTACTGCGACCTATAGTTGGAAAGCAAAACGGGTGCATTTGGTTAGTCATGCATCTCTCTTTTCCCTCTCAAGGTAGCTCGTAGGACGCCATTGGGCGTGATGTGAAATGATATCAGACGACAAAGGTTCAGGCTGCTATGTGGTTTTTACCATTGAACTTTTCCATGCGGTGCTTCTCCTTGGCTATCAGCGAGTGAGGGAGGCGAAGTTGCTTCCAGTCCTTGACGCTCTCATTCTGTGCGTTTTTTAGGTGTAGAGCGATCTTGAGTTGTGTTTCGACTCTGCATTTGCCGTTCTCGGCAGGGATGCCCGAGATTTCAATCTGAAGGCTGTTGTGGCGACGAGGCGGTGGTGGAGGTGGGTGGGTTGTTGTTGGTTGGTACATTTGTGTTGTTGTTATTGTTGTTGTGTGTCGTTGTGGAGTGTGGTTGGGCGGTTGAGATGATGAATATGTGAGATGAACGAGAGAGTGAGAGAGAGAGGGAGAAAAGGGAGAGAAAGGTGAGTAAGAGAGAAGAGGCGTGATTGAGAGAGGTTGTGAGGAGAGAGGTCAAGGGAATCGGAGCAAAAGGAAGGGAAGGAAGGATGTTGTCGATCTGCAGGGGGCGAGAAGGAAGGACAAATGAGCGAGTGAGTGTGAACAAGAGAGTGAGAGAGACAGAAAGAGAGAGGGAGAGGGAGGGAAGAGGAAAGGGAAGAAAAAGCGGGAGTGAATTGGAGGGACGTCCACAAGGCGAGAGTAGGGACGATTGAACGAACGAACACAGAGAAGGGGTCAGAAAGAAGAGATGGAGTAGGAAGAGAGTGGAGGGAATACATCAATCGATATATCCTTGGCATTGTCTGTGCCTTTTCCCCTTTTCGTTCTCTTCGCTTCTTTTCTTTCTTTCCTACCCACCCTCATGCAGCCCAGATCCTCGAGGTTCAGTTGCATATTGGTGGCCAACAAAGACAAAACTAGCATTGGCAAGATATGTTAACAAGATGCTACTCACCCTTCCCGGATGGTCATAGGCGCAGGTGCAGTGTGTGTGTGTGTGTGGAAATGGGGTCCAGTGCAGAGAATGGTCGAGTCAGTCTATAATAGTCGTCGCCACCGTCGTCCTTGTAATGTTGGTAGTGTTGTCCGTTATGTCAAGACAGCCTTTTTTTGTCAACTTTTTTGGCTGCGCTGGTGCAAAAGATGTCGTTGTGATTTGGAGGGGTGGAGGCGGAAGAATATTGTGGGTCCAACTGTTGAGTGTCGGCGCAATGAATGCGAGAAAGGCAATAAAAGGTTGAAGAGGGTTGGTGGTCAAGAGATTGAACCTTTGGATAGAAAAAGACGAAGAACGACGGAGAGTGAGAGAGGGAAAGAGGTGAAAGAGAGAAAAAGAGAAAGAGAGAGAGAAAATATTTGCCATATGGCTCATTAAGGGTTCGTTCTCCCTGTCAAAGATCCGCCTGTTTACCCTGACCGCTGAAGGCATTATCATCACCACCTTCGCTCCCAAGAACCCCCTGCCAGCCCGTCCATCCTATCCTGCTTTCCCTCCGGATTATCTTCTCTTTCGATCGAGATAATACCAACGCCTCCTTCCGATACGATGCATTGGTACTCAATTGACCTGATATCTCTCCTCTTTCAAGACGCAGAGTTCATCTAGAGAGAAGACAAAAATCGCCGATGATTGAGCTTCCATTTCTTGTGGAGAAAAAAGAGAAAACTGCAAGTAGCCCGACACGACCAACTCTCTAGCGCATACTACCTCTGCAAACCCTTCTCTAATATACTAGGAACATGTTCCTCATTTGACTAGTGATCGTACCTGGGCGTGGATCGACTTTCTTTCTTTAATTTCTTAATGGCGAAAGAGGAGTGTCTCCTGAGTCTCGAGTCCCGACTACCATGGCCAGCCCTCGTCTTTCTAATACTAGTACCACCCATTGCTTTCCTCTTCGATCCAAATGATCTCTTACATCCTCTGTGCACATCTTTCGAAGCAAGACAGCTTGTTGTATATAATGCTCTCAAGTGGCTGTTTACCGCCAGCAAGAAGAACTAGAAGAAAGTCAGTTGGTCGCAAACTCAAATACAACACAAAAGAAACGTTTTTTTCCTTGTGTTTCGTGGTTCTCGTTATGGTAGAAACTCGTTCTCGAACAGTCGAAAGAAAATGAAGGGGAGCCAGACAGAGGGAGAGGAGGAGGGGTACGGTCGCTTTTGATTTGAACACATATCTCTGTCCAATTGGTTCCTTGGCGACAACAAGGAATTATTTTTGGGGCGAGAACCAAGAACAAGGAACAAGGATAGCAGAACGCGCCTACTTCTGGAACCCGTCTTTCTCCTTCTAGCCAAAGATAAGCCCTTCGTTTTTATTATTATCGTTGGAGGTTAAAGGAAAGAAACATGCGGTCAATGTTTATTTATCATTTTGGCATTGCCATTGTCTCATCAATGTGCTTGGGCCTTTTTCTTTTTCTCCTTCATTTTCTTTGTGTGATTGATTGCCCTGAATGATAACAATGCACAGACACACGGACGAACGCGATAGGGATTGTCAATTGCTGGTCTGGGACATGTTCCAATGGCGCAATACCAAGAAGACAAGTTTCTTTTATTCACCCCACTATTTTTTAGGATGTCATTACAAATGACTACTGTTTTTTCCTTTCCTGGGGCTGGCTGCTTTTTTTTGTTTTACGTCGTTGTGGGTCGAAGTATAATCCGGCCATGGTTGTCTTGGCTTGTCTTGTACATATTACACAGTTTGACTTCTTCTTCGGCTCAGGCACGCTCCCTCTGCAGACACCTTTTGGTTTACAGGTTGCACAAGAAAAACAAACACATCCATTTTCTGTTGAGTCTGTTGCTTAATTTCTTTCTCGCAAGAGAAAATGAAAACCTCATGAGCAGGCAGTGCAGCCGAGATTACCGGAATGAACTGACTGAAGGACGGACAAATAAATCCCAAGAAATGAATGGACTACTGCAGTCCACAAGACGATCGGTGTTGTGGTTGGGTTGTTTGCTGATATTGTTGTCGGTCTGGCTCTAAACAGGGGATTTCGGGGGGGCCTCCTCAACACATTTCATTTCCCCTCCTCCACCTCCGATGGCTATTCCGATCGGTGTGGTCCTGTGTTTGTGCGTGGAGGAGATATGGATAAAATGTTGCCGGGTTGTTGTACCCCAACCCCAAAATCGCTATTTTCTCTCTTCTTTGCACTGTTTATTTTCCGCCACGACATTCTTCGCTCTTCTTTCATACTCTTCACTTCTCTATCACTTTACATGGTTCTGTCCCCAAGAGGGGATCGTCCTTGCTCTCTCTAGGTCGCACTTCGCGTCAAGTTCTGGGGTGTGCCATTGGGTACTGATCATATCAATGAACCCTCTCTGGATCCATCCAAACCACCCTCACGTCGATCGCCTTTTGGCCCTTTGATCACCCTTTGATCGGCATTACAGCCATGGGGGACATCCAGGACGTATCAAGAAGAAGGTTGTCTTGTTGCTCAACAATGCCTGCCGCACGCTTTGGCCACTCACTTCCACCCTTGTGGGCTCCCCTTTGTCCATCACCCCTTCCGACCCTTAGTTGCGATGCACCCTCGATAGTATATCCCCTCCAACAAAGTACACGTCCATATTATGGTGAGAATTGCTTGCACCCATTTTCTTTTCTTGTCCAATCATATCAATCCATGCCACGTCTCCTTTTTATTCTCTTTTCTCTATCCTTCTCCCTGTAAATGACCATCGATGGTGTTTGTATCCCTCACTTCCTCACGCAGAACACTTCCCCGATATTCCATGCTGACCTAGTCTGAGGAAGAAAAAAAAAAGAAGGGGTCAAACAGAGAGAATTTCATTCATTCATTCTTTGCGAGACCATTCATCCACCTTTCTCTTTTGTCGCTTTTCCTTTCCTTCCGACCTTTCCTTCTGACCTTTTCTTCTACTCTTTCTTTCTTAACACTTACACTCTTCTCGTGCACATCATTTTTGAACACCGGCAACTGGCGTACAATACTCGCTGCCGGAACTCATCCCAGGAAACTACAAGTCAACACACCTCAAAACAAGACAACAACGAGGATGTCGTATGGTGGATACAACCCAGGAAGGCAGCAGCAGCAAGAGCTTCCATACTCAAGCGCAGCCAGCGGAGGAGTAGGTCCTCCACCCCCTCCTTTGACTCAAGGATCAACAACCATGCGGTCAAGGTCTGGCAGCTTCTCGTCTAACCTATCTCAACAACAGCTACAACAGCAACAGCATGGGTCTTCGTACTCGTCACAGCCTCCAACACCTACAACTCGCGAAGGATTTTACAGTGGTGTCGGGTTGAACATCCACACGACTGGGTATGGCTCGGGTGGGTATAACAACAATAAAACGGGCTACGGATCTGGTCCCAGCTCTCCGGTCTCGATGTCACCCTACGCGACAGCCGCACAGGTACCAGGAGGTGGAGGGGCATCGACACCTACCCCTACAACGCCTCTTCACCCACAGTCGCATCAACTCCCGGCATCTAGTCGTCGCAGTGGAGGTGGTGCTGGTAGCGGTGTGGACGATGGAGGATATAGTAGTGGGTACGACTCTTCATCAGGCATCTCAACCTCTGTGCCTTATGTCTTCAACACCAACGGGCTCCATCGTCCACACCCTCAACACCCCCAGCAACAGCAACAGCAGCACGGTGCAACATATCAACAGCATCAAACAACCACATCCACGACTCGTCAATCAACTCAACGATACTACCCACGTAGTCACAACAGGAACCTTAGCAACGCGTCCGAGACCTCTCTAAACATCGACACCGGCGCCGATACTACACTCTACTCCTCCGGACCCGCATCCCTCTCCAGCGCCAGCTCCTCACGTCGTGGTAGTTTCTCTGATGCGAATGGTATTGGCACCACCAGCAATGGCACAGGATACTTTGCACGCCAGAGGACATACCGCCCCCCGACCGCAGGGGCAGTCTCGGATGCGGATGATGATCTGGACATGGACCTTGGTAACAAGAACAGTCCCCGTCGACTCCGCCAGAAGCGCATGACTAAGAAATCGGCCAGCAACAGGGGCCTTCTCGGCGCTGTTGGTGGCATGGGCGGTGGAAAGTCTGGCGGCAGAGGGATGAGCGGAATTTTGAACGATTGGGATATGCTGTTGCCGAGTGGCGATCCCTATGAGGATGTAGATGAGAATGAGGACGATGATGGGATGAACGAGAATGAGCGGTGGAAGAAGAAACAGTTGGCTAGACGTGGGTGGGAGAGTAAGCGTGGACAAGGGATCATCCTCGGTTTGATTGTTACTGTCGCGGTCTTTGTTAGGATCTGGAAGCTCGCTGTCCCTGCCGCCGTCATGTACGTTTTCTTTTTTTTGCAGAATGCACGGACGAAAAAGAAAAAATTCAAGGAGAGTTATAGGAGTGAAAGTAACCACATGGTTTGTTTGCATTGGTACAAATAGGTCTGAGGAACAACACTTGGGAGGATACATCCGCGACTATCTTCAGGGCAACTTTGTAGTCGACGTTCATCCTCCACTCGGAAAAATGCTCTTCTCCCTCGTCGCCTACCTACTCGGATACGATGGCAAGTTCGACTTTATGTCCGGAAAGTACGTCCCTTTTTCATTCTTTTCAGTCAAGTTATTCTATAGTCCTTATTTGTTCCCTTTTTGTGTCGATATTCTGACAAGCTTTCGGTCTTTTTTATCTGTTCAGATTATATCCAAGCAATGTTCCTTTTATCGGGATGCGGATGTTTGCAGCAGCCTGTGGAGTGGGCCTCATCCCCATCTCCTACCTCATCATCAAGCGATCAGGACACTCAACCCAAGCCGCCATCACCTGCGCCATCCTCGTCACATTCGGTACGTGTTCATTCTCTGACATTTACTTAACCAACTAAGTTCACCCATACTCACAGTCACGTTAACTGTTACCCTTTATTCACTTTTTTCTCACGGTAGAGAACGCGCTGATAACGCAGAACAGGTTCATGACACTGGAGGCGCCAATGATGCTCTTCATGGGGTACACCCTCCTCGCCTGGGTCAACTTCTATAACCACCGCAATCGCCCTTTTACGCGTGGGTGGTGGACTTGGCTCCTCCAAACCGGTGTCGGCCTTTTCTTGTCCAGCAGGTAAAAGAAGGACCACTTGGATTTCTCTGCAGATATGATGGGATCTAGAGAATATCAAGAATGCTAACATCTATTTAACTTGGGTGTTGGAGAATAGTGTGAAATGGGTGGGATCGTTCACGTTAGTCACGATTGGCCTCTGTGTCCTCAAGTACTTGCAAGAGTCCAGGAAGCACCTCTATCTCAGCACTGTAAGTCCGCTGTTTTCCTTCGCCTCACTGCTACATCAATGTCACTCAAGAATAAACACTCACATACCCCGCTTTATCATGTTTTTATTTTCTAGCGCGACTTTTCAAAGCAAATAACGGCACTCTCACTTTGCCTCCTCGTCCTCCCAGTCCTGCTATACACAGGCCTTTACGCAATCGAGTTTCAACTTCTTTCAAAGTCAGGATTGGGTGACTCTTGGGTCAGTCCACAGTTCCGGATGACGTTGAAGGGGCACGATGTTGAACTTGTTATGGCTGGTATGGATTGCGTTTCTTATTCACTTGGGCGGCATTTCTTTTTGTGCGAGGCGAAGTTATTGCATGAGATGTCTAACTGTTTTCGTGGTGGCGGTGTTGGTGTGTAGATATTGCGTGGCAGTCCAAGATCCATATGCGACATGCAAACTCAAACGGCGGATGGGTCCACTCAACCCCTGGCGAATACGCCCGCGACGGCACCATCGGTAAATCACGCAATCACACTTGGAACAACAATAACCCCTGTAGTTTCAGTTTATTCATGCCTCCATGGAACCCCCTCCAAACAGCCAACTCATTACTACCTCTTTTTTCACATACTCAATATAATGTTCTAGATCAAGCGATTCAGCTGGTGGAATGGGACGACGAGTTGACATGCTGGCAAGTCGAACCATCTGACCTCGCCACAAAAGAACGTCAATCCCAGAACTATATCGATCGCGCCAAAAACGCCAAGTCCGACAATCTCCCACCGTTCGAAGGATACATCTACGACGGGAACCTTATCCGCCTAAAACACTGCTATACAAAAGTCGCCCTCTCGGCCCATACAGTCGAATCCATCGGATCCAACAAATCACACATCCAAGAAGTCCGTGGTATCCCATGGACACGCGAACCTTCCCAGGAGACCATCTGGAGAGTCGAATTGGTCCCTGATGGCGCTGTCCCTGGGTTATGGACACGGACTGCGAAGCAGCCTTTGAAGGCGGGAGAGGTAGTGAAGGAGAGGTGGCATTCGATCAAGGGGTTCCGGTTGTGGAATGAGCAGAGGAGTTGCTATCTGATGTCACATAAGGTGTATAGGACGACTTATTCTTCATACCAGGAGGTTGGGTGTATCCGGGATGGGCGGCAGAAGGGAGATACTATATTTGTTGTCGACCGTAACGTCAACCTACATCGTAAGTCCGTCCTTCATTCTTATTGTCAAACCTGATCCACCGGATTGTTATCAGCAAATAATATATGACCTAACCGCCGCTTCTTTTTTTCCCCGTACAACTAAAGTGCCGGCAGCGACTCCATCGCACTCGTACGAACCCCTGAGCTTCCTCCAAAAGTTCATCGAGATCAACAAAGTCATGTGGTGGACTCGTCATGACCTCGCGTCTCCTCTCCACTCCAACTCCCACTCCCCCTCTCATAAATCCCGCAAATCTGACGCGTCCCAACCATGGAGCTGGCTCTTCCTCGGCAGAGGCTTGAACTACTACAGCAGCAAAGAAACCAACAATTACGTCTACCTCCTCGGCAACCCCGTCGTCTGGTGGGCCGCCTCCTCGATTGCTGTCCTCTACGTCCTCGGTTGTTTCTGGTCTGTCTTCGGCTTCCTCCGTGGCAAGGCCGCCAAGGATCAACAGAATCAACCAAGGGCTAGATTTGGGCTGACGCCATTCTACACAATCGCACCCGGAACTTTCTGTCTTGGCTGGTTCGTCCACTACGCCCCTTACTTCTTCATCTCCTCCTCTTCCCCAACGACCCTCGGCTCCCAACTCTACCTCCACAACTACCTCCCTTCCCTCTACTTCTCGATCCTCCTCCTCGTCTCCCGACTCGACCGCACCTGGCAATCCTGGTCCTCCCGTAAACTGCGCTACACCACCGGCCTCATCCTCGTCATTCTTGTCATCCTATCCTGGTACAGTCTTTCTCCCCTCGCCTACGGGACCGACTTCTCGTCTCGCCAGGCTTGTGAGCAGGCGAGATCAGTCGGTGGATGGGAATTTGTGTGTAGACGACAGAATCTTCCGTTGGCTAGGCCGCAGGATGCGATTGCAAAGATTGTTGTGGAACGAAGGATGGATCATGAGGAGCACGAGGAACAGGAGGAGGCAGAGAATAGTCAGCTCTATTACCAGACCCCGCCTGTCACCGATTCGGCTGGTGCTGAGTACCACGATCATGGGCATGACCACGACCATGCAGGACACGATCACGACGGCGAAGGAGGAGAAGGGGAAGAGCACGACCATGAAGGACCCTTCAACGAAGACGAACGAGAACACTACGACCACGAACACTTCCACCACCCTAGCGGACACCAACACCCCGACGACCATGGACACTACCACCACCGCTACCACGATGACCATCCTCACCAGGACACTCCTCCCTCCTCACTATCCTCGCCAGACGCCCAAGCGGAAGCTGACAAGAAGCTGTCGGCAAAACAGGGACGCATGGACAAGATGTTTGCGGCAGCCGCCCAGAACGCCAACAACGCCCTCCTCCAACGGGAGAAATTGGTCGCTGAGAAGTTGGCACTTCAAGACCGACAACGGGAACTGGATGAGCAGTTGAGGGTTCAGGAGGAGCAGGAGAGGCAGCAGCAGGTGGAGGTGGAGCGGCAGAAGGAGGTGGAAAAACAGAAAGAGAGAGAGAAAGAAGAACGACAAGCAGCGGCAGCAGCACATGAAGAACAGGTGCAAAAGGATAGGGAGGTTCGGAAACAGGTCCGACGCGCTCAAGAGGAACGTGAGCGTGAACGACAGGCGCAGGAGGAGAAGGTGAGGGAGGAGCAAGAGCGTTTGCAGCATGAAGAGCAAGAACATCAACAGCGTGAGGCACAAGAACAACTAGAGCGTCAACAACGTCAGGAGCAGGAACAAAGAGACCGTGAGGGTCGAGAGCGTCAACAGCGTGAGGCACAAGAACAACTAGAGCGTCAACAACGTCAGGAGCAGGAACAAAGAGACCGTGAGGATCGAGAGCGTCAACAGCGTGAGGCACAAGAACAACAAGAACGCCAACAACGTGAAGAGCAAAATCAAAGAAACCGTGAGGCTCGAAAGCTTCAACAGCGTGAAGAGCAAGAACGTCAACAGCGCGAGAAACAGCTTCGGCGAGACCGTGAAGCTCAGGAGCTTCATCAACAACAACAACTGCTGCAGCAGGAACGCGAACAACTCGAACGTCAGGCAGCTGAGAAAACCGCCGCTGCGATGCAGAAGGAGAAGAAAGAAGAAGAGGCCAGGAAGGAAAAGATGACGCGACAGATGTTGGAGGAGCAGGTCCGCATTCTTCAGGCACAGGTCGACAGTCACCACGCGCGGTCATTAGGTATGGCGGCTCAGCAACAACAGCTCCAACAACAGCAACAGCAACATCCAGCATAATCAACCCATCCCAAACTTATTTACATTATTGGTCGTGAAAGGGATTTTATTAATAGATGTAACAAATAAAACGATTTTTGAACAGTTGATGGAAAACTGCTATGTGCGGGTGATGTTCATGAGAGGCTTGGGGGTGTCTACTATGGCCGTTTGTGGTCCATAGGAGCGCCATGGGCAGGAGGCCGCTTGGAGGCAGCAACGACATGCTGATCGTATCCATAGTCGTGCATTTGGTAAGCGTCCTGTTCGCCATAGCCGCCTTGGTTGTACTGTCCTCCTCGATAATGATCGTACTCCTGACCACTATATCCGCCCTGTCCATGTCCGCCCTGTCCATGTCCATAGGCATCGTACCCTCCATGGTGTCCGTGTCCATAAGCATCATACTGATCGTACTGTCCATCGTACTGAGCGTCATACCCTCCAACAACGCTTCCATCACCATATCCACCACGTCCATTTCCACGTCCAATGACTGGGGCTGCGCTGGCGACAGGTGCTGGGGGCAGAGGAGGCGATGTGGGGCGATTGGGCTTGGCTTCCCAGTTATCCTCGAGGTGGGAAAAGTTGGCGAGGGCTGGGGAAGAGTCCAAATCAAGGGGGGTGCGACGACGACGACGGCGCTTCATCATCACCACGGCCATAACTCCCGCAATAAAAGCCACTCCGATAATACCGACCGAGATTCCGATCGCCGCAGTGTTGGGTCCGCTGGAGGTCCCCGAGGCGTTCTTGTCGCCGTTGAGAGAATCCTGCGAACTGCTGGGACTGCTGGAATCCGATGTAGTTCCTGAAGGCTTGTTTCCATCGCCGTTACCACCACTGCTACTGGTTGTCATAGGATTAGGCTTGACAGGACCGGTAGTAGATTGAGGGTTGGTAGTAGTCGTGCCAGGGAGGGGTGCGGGGTTAGGCGTCCCGTTCCCAAGATCGGTTGTAGTTCCGGGGGCGACGACTCCTTTGTAAGGGAGGTTATACGCGTCAAGGGTGATACCCCATTCCAGACAGGACGTCAGGTGCTTCTTGGGGGGCACACCCTTAGATCCTTTACCGGCCAGGAACTCGCATTTGGCGCAAGTCCAAAGGACCTGCTGCATGACAGCTGTACAGGTGCATGTGGCATAATCCTTCTGGAGGACATATTCGGTGGGAACCTCAATGTCGGCCGGAGTGAACGATCCTCCACAGACACCGATGGCGTTGGCGAAGGTCTGGCAGTCTCCACAGAAGCCCGCTTCCACTGCGGCAAGGGCTCTGCCTCCTGCGGTCGAGGGAGAGAGGAAGGCCAGGAAGGAGTTGAGAACGACGACGAAGCAGAGTAATGACCAGGCAATTGAATGCGCGGGGCGTGATGGTGTTGTGTGTGAAGAAGACTGTGATGAAGTTGATAGGGAGCCGGTCTGTTGTTTACGAGAGACGCGAGGCTCTGCTGTGAAGAGACGCATGACTATTGTTGTTGTGTGAATGTGTGCTGTGTGTGCTGTGTGTGCTGTGTGTGTGTTTTTTTTGGGATTGGGAAGGGTGGGATTTGGGTCGGGGCTACAATATCCCAGAGAGCGGAGAAAAAAGGAGCGACGAAAAAGTGGTCTTCTCTGTCCTGGGGGCGAGAGTGTTCGTTATGCTGTTTTTGTTGATGGATGTAAAGGTGCAGCAGAAACAGTAGAAAAAAAAGAGCCGAGGGGTGGAAGAAGGTTAATGAGGATGCAGGAGAAGAAGAGGAAGAAGAGGAAGAAGAGAGCAAGTGGGTATTCCAATGGATGGGGGATGTGATGTCATCCAACGCGTGAAGAATAATAGATAAAATTAGCGTTTGAGTTGGGATGACGGGGTGTGTCGAGGGGGTTGTTTTTAGGTGCGTTTCAGAAAAAAGAAAACGATAAACGAGAAACGAGAAAAAGAAAGATGGAAGGAACGAAACCAAGAAAAGTACAAGGTATTCGGATTAGATGGACAACAAGGGGTGAAGCGGAAAGTAGAACGGACACATTGAACAAGGAATGATATACAAAAGAGAAGTCCGTGTGCAATTGAGATTGATGTAGGAAAAGGAAACGGGAAATGTAATGTATGGGTGCGTGCGTTGTGTTTGAAGGGCGGTATGAAAGGAAACGTTGAGATTACACAAAGAGGTAAAATACAAAGGAATGGAGTACAACGGCGTAAAAAAAAGAAGTGAAGGAAACAAAGAGAGAAGAGGCAATAGTAGCAATCAGAAGGAGAGTTTGTTTGGAATAAAGAGAAAAAAAGAAGAGAAAGAGTGAAAGAAAGGAGGAGAGGAGGAGAGGAAAGGAGACAAGGATCCAAAGGAGGACAAAGAACACCAAGCCAAAGGAGTTGCGATCGATTTTTTGTTTTTTTTCAAGGAGGAGGAAAGAGAACAAGAAGGATGTATGGCACAGGCGGGCAAAGAGGCACACAGGCGAGAGTTGAGATTTGAGTGGACAAGATTGAGGGTGGTTCAAGAGTAGCAAAGGGAGGGAGAGGGCGTAAAACGAGGACAAAGAAAAGAAAAGAAATAGAAAATGTTGATTAGCAAACCATTCACTACGTATTAAATTCATTTCCGTGTTCACATAAACGGACAACACATCGTCAGCAACAACTAAATTTGAAGGCTTTGGATGCTCGCCTGTTGTCTCTTTACCCTGGGTTATCAGGGGGTTTGTTGAATAACAACAATCCGAGTAGGTTGTAGGAGAGTAATGCAAATGACACATACGTTGCGTGTTGTCCTTGACGAGAGAAGGACACACCGATCCAGGAGCTGAAGGGTGTTGTCGATGTCGAAGAATAGAAAAAAAAGAACGGAGGAAGGAAAAGGGAAGGAGGATCGAATTATCCGGCTAGACCCTTTTTTTTTTGGGAGGGATGGTGGGAGTATCGGGTTGTTGTTGTGTTGTTGAGGAGGGAGAGAAGGGGAAGGAGAGAGAGTGAGTAAGTGTGTGGTGAATGTTAGAGAGACGGGTGGTTGTGGATGCAGATGGAGAGGAGAGGCGAGGGAGAGGAGAAGGAGGTGGTGCGAGTTGTTTGAAAGAAGGAAAGGAAGGATGACAAACAGCAAGGGTCTCGGGCGGAGAGGAATAATAAGAGAATGGAAAAGGTAAGAGAGAGAGAGAGAGGAGTGAAAAGTGTAGAAAGGGAGACAGGGAAGACAAGAGAAGAAAGAAAGAAAGAAAGAAAGAAGAAAGGAGAAAAGTGAAAGAGACAAAGGGAAGACAGAAAAACATCCACGTTGTTTGACTTACTGGCTGATGCTGTTATTATTATTCTTACCCCCGGTACAGACAGAGGACAACAGGATGGAGTATGCAGGGGAACAGTCAGTTCAGAGACACATTCAGGGCGGATAACAGACAACCAATTGCAATAACTGATCCCGATCATTCCTTTTCATCATTTGTCTTTTGGCTGCCAGGCTGGCAGTTATTCTTCGCATCATATCAGATCCTCCATCTCTCTCTCTCTCTCTCTCTCTCTCTCTCTCTCTCTCTCTCTCTCTCTCTCTCTCTCTCTCTCTCTCTCTCTCTCTCTCTCTCTCTCTGCCATCATCACTCGCTCCTTCTTTCAACACTATACCTTTTATTAGTCTCCCTCGGTCCTACCCCCTCCCCTGCCCTGAATGTATCTCCTGTACGCCTGCCAGCTGGAAATTGCGAAATCCATTCATCAGAAACCCGCCAAACAAACACAATTCACATCCCGCCGTCCCTCTTCATCTCTCAACTCCAATGAACGCTAAATGAGATTGTGGTCGACACTACTAATCTTTCTTTTCTTTTCGCGCTAACAACATAGCCCGCGCCTCTTACTCACCGAAAAATAAAAACATGCGAGAGCATTTCGCCCGAAAAGGGCACAGAGCGTCCAAGTCTGCGTCAAATCAATCATTCTTCTTTCTCTCTTTCGACCCTGCTCATCCGGATCCTCTTCACTTCCCTTTCCTTTGAAGACAATTGTTGCCAGGTGGCAAGCCAAGGCCAGGTCAGCCTAAGGCAGGAGGAAGAGGAAAAAAAAGACGAAACGAGATGGTGCCTGATTCACAGCAATTTTTTTTTTTTTTTTTGCTGCCCTCATACCCATCCTTTCGTTCGATCCTTTGTTCGCAAAACAAATACCCTGTGTATGTTGTGTTGCTCTTACCCTTATCCATTGTCCATTTCACTACCGCGCCATCGGGAGACATGGATGGAATATTTCTTTTCTTCTTTCAATTATACCATTGTACGACGAAGTCATACCCTAATTTTATATAATTAATGGCCCAAGGTCCATCCTCTTTCCCGCTCGCTCGCTCAAAAAAAACAAAAGAATTAAGCACCTGCAGCTTGGTCAGGGTCACCATCTCCTCCATCCTCTCCTCACTCCCTGTTTTGCCCCCTGTATCCATCACCCACAACAGGCATCCACTGCATGCAATACAACGCACAACACAACAATGAAAAAACCACAACCAGTCTCTCCCTATTGTCCACCTCCGTTTTTACTTTTTTTTTTGTGTGTGGCGTTTGAAACTCATCATGAAGCAAGGCCGTTTTGGATATGTGTAGTTCAAAACCGTATCATCACGAACCGTCGTCGTCAGTGCTCTCAAAAAAAAACATAAGTCGTTCAAAATAACGCCCTATGACATATATCCCTCGTTCATTCACATCCGTCAGCGGCGGTCAAGCAGAGGGAGAGGAGGTAGGTGTCTTCCTGGCAGGTAAGGTAAGGCAGTGGGCTGCTGTGCCATAAGGAGAGTTGAGGGCCTCCGTTGAAGTGGATAAACCCATAGCACCCATTCCTGATTACGTACTGTTGCAGCCCCCAGAAACCCACTAGTCAGCTACCTCCAATTGCATCCAGCTGTTACGCCACAGCCTGTTTAGCTTAGCACCTCCTTGTCTGTTCCTGAGAAGAAATAGCGTCAACAGCAAATACCATATGAAACGTGATGTGTGTATTTTTGTCGTAGTGAGAAGGAAGATGGCAAGGCTACTCTATGAAAAAGGTTAGGGGGAATTGGCGTTTTGTTCGAGTCGTACCGGTGAAGCTTTATGTCTTACACGATATATCCTGTGTCGTGCTCTAGTAGATGGCAGTTGCTCCTCCAGCCTGGAAGAATGAGAACAAATATATGCGGTTGATTAGCCATCAGATAAACCATAGTCGTAGAACTATTCTCCTCTCCTCTTCGTTTCAAATAATGCCCTCCATGGAAAAAGTAATCCCTCTCCGTATGATCGTTCCACTATCATGTCCATGCCGTCATCCGAAATAACTGTCTGCATGTCAGGAGTTGCAAAAAGTCAAATGCCGTTCTCCTCTGAAAGTGGTCTTTGTTCCTTCCCGATATCACAAAATTACCGCTCTTCACAAAACCAATTCTCCTCTGACCCTACCACCATTTTTTCTTTCATTTACCTCGACGGCTTCAATCTCGGCTTCGGTCAGCACAGGGTGGCGGTAACGGTTGGGGAGATCGGCAAAGTCAAAGAATTGCCTTGATACTCCGTGAGGTCCGGGTGTAGTGACGGCAGAGGATGAAGATTTTGAGGAGGCAGCGGTTGCCTCTGTGGGGGTTCCTGCCTTGAGAGGGTACTCGGCATCCTTGGGGGCAGCAGGGTGGCGGGTAGGGTCGTGGTGGGCTAACAATACCCGATTGTTTTCCAGAAGAATGGGAAAAAAAAGCCGTGAGTCATGTAGTCTTCACTTTGTCGGGGGGTACTTTACTCGAAGGCGTTGTCCCTGACCCTGTGTTGTCTTTTTGTCCACATGTTGGTTATTTTTTGTTCCCTGCTGGGGCGTGAGAACAAGCCTTCCGGACAATGGCATGCGTCGCTCGTATCTGGCCATATCCATAAAGTCGCAACACCGCGAAGCTACTGTATGGGTTGCCAGGTACCACTACACTGTGTCGCTAAAACTCTCCTCATTGTTGCCTGCTAACAACTTTTGCCCTCTTCCCTTATTGCTCTGACAACCCTAGCCCTGAATTTGTGCTCGCTTGTTGAATGAGAATCCTTCCTGTAGGTATTCTCTGCCTTCCATGCAATTCCTGCCGATGCGTCACGCTCCGATGTATTTTTTCTCGTTCCTCGCTCCTGGTTTGTCCCTGTTTCGTGTTATTTTTCTTTCTCCTAAGAAGAGACACAGAAAGTAGAGAAAAAGAAGAGTAGTACCTTCGTGCAGAGCGGCACGGGGACCGAGGAACTTGATGAGGGGGGTGCGTGCCTGGACGGCGGCTCTAGCGATTCTTGAAGGGAGCATGGTTGTGATGCGTTGTTGAGGTGTGATGTGAAAGAAGTAAAAAAAAAGTGAGAGGGTGAGGGAATAGATCGGCAAGTGCAAAAATAGGTTTCGGGTTGCGGGGTCGTGAGCGAGAGGTTCAGTACAGACCCTTTCCTTCTGTGACAAATACAACGTCACACTCTGGGAGGGCTGCACGACCGTCTTCATCACTTTCTTGCTCAACCACTGCAAAGAACAAAAACGCGAACCATCAGGACTCAGGGCAACTAACGCCAGCAACGGGCAAGGATAAGGAAAAGGAACATCACACAACCATCAAGCACCAGCACCATCATCCATTAGCACAAGATGATCTACAACATGTACATCTTTGACAGGCACTGCCAGTGCATCTACTACCACGACTGGCACAGAGGCCATACAGCCAAGACCGCCTTTGACACACACGGCGATCCACTAGCCTCCCACCCAAGTGGCGGCGGTGGTGGAGGGTCCACCACGACAACAACGACCATGACCGACCCACGACAAGGCATGAACATGTCCCTTGAGGAGGAAGGAAAACTCGTATATGGTGTCGTCTATTCTCTCCGCAACCTCGTCAAAAAACTCGGCAAAAGGTATGCTTCTTTGTCCACTTTGTTGTACATCGTTAGAGTAGCATTGGACGCAATGGACGTACGGGACACATTGGACACATTTGGACAGCATTAAGACTTACTGAAACAGGATATCCTAGGTCTGGATACAGATGTGCTTGGACTACCAAATATAACCAAACGTACAGGATGAACAAAGCCAACAAACAGCAGTAACTAATAGGAATTACTTTCTTCTATCTCGTATCATTGATACAAGCAGCCAGGACGGGTTCATCGCATACAGGACATCACACTACAAGTTGCACTATTACGAAACCCTGACAGGCCTCAAATTCGTCATCAACTCGGACCCCAACGTCGAATCCCTCCAACAGGCGTTACGTCAGATCTATACCCAAATCTATGTCGAGCTCGTTGTCAAGAACCCCCTCGCCTGTGCGACCATCACCAGTGGACAAGTCAACCCAGAAACCATGGGCGCCGAGGGATTCCGGAACGGCGTCGATCGGTTCGTTCGTTCCTTAACCATGTTCGACACCTAGTAGTTTTTGTCTTTTGTAGTTCTATTAGCCTTGATAAAAATAGTTGCATTCTTTTTTTGCCACCAAAAAATGGGTTTCTATCAACAGTCAGATCAAACGCACTTTGCCTCTTCCTCTGTTCCTTTCCCCCTGTTCCAAACGATCACTACAAGCCTTTCCCTCATTACCCCAGTTTCCACAGGATTCCACAAGGTCCCCGGGCACAGTTTCCATGAGATCTCAGGCACATCGTACTGTACTCTAAACTCGTTCGTCATAGTCTCACCATATGTATCCTGGTGGCAGGTTTCCTCGACCCATATTGCCCATCATTTTGACACCCCGCCATACACATCCATGATCCATGACAGCGATTGTCAGAAGTGACGCCATGGTCCCCTTTGCAAACGAAACTAGTCCGAGGTTCATAGTCAATAACGGAAACCTTTTGTTCTTTGGTCCTTGATCCGTCGGTATTCTGGTGTCGCTTGGCGTACACAAAGGCGATGAGAGATAAGAGAACAAGGGCGTGTGAGGGATATAGATTTATTAGTGCAATTAGCCTCTCTTTTAGTCAATGTTTGCCCCAGATGGTTCCCCTTCTCCTTCCTTCCATCACTGCTTGATGATGACATCGAGAATACGAAAGACAAGCTCGTGCAAAAAAAAAAGACAGGGGAAGAAGGAGCGAGAGAGAAAGATGGGTTGTATTTTACTTTTAGCAGCATGCAGCTTTTCAATTGCACGCTACTTCTACTGGGTCTAATACTTGTCAATGTTTATTTTCTGCACTCTTTGTCTTCAGCTCGCTTGAGGATACAATGTTACGGTACCTTGTGGGTCTTGAAAAGAAAGCCCATGGACTCTTGTGGAAGAAAGAAGGAACTAGCATCAACCATGATAAAAAGGATAACGAAACAGGAACAGAAAGCAACCATTCTTGACCTTTTCGCCCACGACAGTGCAAGTGCTGATCCAAGGGAGAGACGAGACACATCTCGGAGGTTGCAGAACATCACAGGAAAACAAATCAAAGCAAAAAAAAAATCTCTCTCTTTTTCGCTTTGGCCACTTTGTCACCCCATTTTTGTCAAACCTCTCCCAGATGGACCGAACGCACACAAAACATTCAGAGAATTATTATTTTTCCGTATTCCATACGGTTTTCTCGAAATGTGTAATTGAGAGGTGCTGGGGCCATGAATGGATGAGTGGAGTTGAGAAGTGTCAATAGTGAGACTGTGGCAGCAATGAGTGAGTGGGTGGAGAAGCGGCATTTTGTTAGTTGACGGTAGCTGATAAGCGGAGATTGACTGTGTCTATGTTGAGTTAGACAGGGGGACCTCTTAAGTCAAAAGTGTCAAAAAGGGATTTTTCACGGTGCATGGGCAAAGTCAGATCCTGGGAACAAGAACAATCCTTGAGGAAAGGGGTATAAAAGAACATGGCCGCAGCCATGTGTTTCTTCTTTACAACTCTTTTTTTTTCACTCCACCTTTCAACCAACAAACAAACTTCCGCTCAGTCAAAAAGTCAACCATCCAACAATCAAAAAAACACAACAAACACAAGACAACATGCTGCAATCAAGACTCGCATTCATCGGTGGAGGCAACATGGCAGAAGCCATCCTCGGCGGCCTCCTCGCCAGCGGATACCCACTCTCCCAATGTGTCGTCACAGAACCCCTCCAGGCCCGCTGCGAATTCCTCCACTCCAAATACCCCGGTCTCCAAGTCCTCTCTGGTCCTCAAGCCAACTACCTCGCCGTCAACGGTTCCGAATCTGCATCCCATACCGCCGCACTTGTCGACAACGGATCCGTTCATATCAACCCTACAGCGGCTAGCGAGAGCTTCTCGCCAGCAGAGGTTGTGATCTTGGCGGTCAAACCTCAGGTCTTGAGGGGTGTCGTGACAGATCTGGGAAGCACTTTGCATCAGAGACAGCCGCTTGTTATCTCTATCGCTGCCGGGATCGAGACTTCGGCGATCGCTCGCTTCATGGCCGAAGGCGCTTCTTCAGGGTCATCAGGATCAGACGCAACAGCACCAACACAAATTCAGCACGAGGACCTCCCAGCCGTCATCCGCGCCATGCCCAACACCCCCGCACTCGTCAACGAAGGTGCCACCGGCCTCTACGCCACCCTCGACACAACCCCTGCCCAACGACTCGTTGCAGAATCCCTTCTCGGTGCCGTCTCGAAACAAGTCTCCTGGGTCGACCAAGAATCCCTCATCGACACCGTCACCGGCATTTCTGGCTCCGGTCCCGCATATTTCTTCCTGATGATGGAAGCCATGGAGGACGCCGCCGTGAAACTGGGTATGGACCGTGAGACAGCGAAGGAACTGACGATCCAGACTTGTTTGGGTGCTGCCAAGATGGCCCAGTCGAGTTCGGATGATTTGAAGACGCTGAGGGTGAAGGTGACGAGCCCTCAGGGAACCACGGATGCGGCGATCAAGACGTTTGAGCAGGGTGGATTCAGAGATTTGGTGGCTGCGAGTGTTACGGCTGCGGATTCGAGGAGCAAGAGTCTTGCGACTGAGCTCTGTGGTCCTGGCAAGGAGTCCAAGCTGTAAAGAATCCTTTTTCACCACTCCACCATTCATACATACTACATCATCTCTTGACCTAAGTCAACCCTCCCTTTTCTTGTAAATAATAATAATAACCATCCTGTTCTTTCCATGCATCAGTTCGACAGTTTGACTCTACTTTGTGTGACCATTATGCAAATCAAATGGAAACAAACGATGATTGACGTTCAAAGTGTTGACGCACTCCCGCATGAACATGCCACACTTTGTTTTTTCCTTTCTCTCCACTTCCACTCAACTCCCAATCCACCACAAGCAACAAAAGCAGCTTCTATACAGATACCCTATTTATTGACTTACTTTTTATTTGAAAAAAAGAATAATTCTTTTTAAAGAGAAAAAAAAGAAACAAAATCTAAAGCACTTTACTTAGTGTTCTTGGAAATTTCGGCCTTGGAGGGTCCGACACCACGGTCGTGGGACTTTCCGTCACCAGGGTAGGTGACACCGGTCTTGACGCCCTTGGCCTTGAAGTCGTACTTCTTCATCAGCTGCGAGGGCAGCTTTCCGTTCTTGACTCCCTTGATCGACACATCCGCACAGCTATGGGTTGATAGGGATGAGATGGTTAATTAAATGAATGGAGTGTAGGGAGGGATGGGATGACGGAAATAGATTTCATTCATTTTTTTCATGGCCAGCACATATCACTCAGATAGAGAGACGAGGAAGAAGGGTTCAAAGGACAGCCTGATGAAGGGTACGACCTGCATCCTTTTTCTTTTATCTTTGCATGAGCCATTCCAAATCCAATCGTGCCTAAAAAAAACCAAAACTTACTTGTGGTAGTACTGGGGGACGAGGTTGGCAGTCCAGGACCAGGAGAACAAGCACTTGCCTAATTATTCAAAAGCAATCCCCGAAAATAGAGAGGAAGAGAACACGGGCGTTAGTAAAAAAAAAGGCAAATTGATTCGAATACATGCACCAATGAGGGAAACAATCGAGAGCCCACTTCTCAGGCGATATCTTTTTTGCATCCACCGGGGTCATGTCTATGTCCCAGGAGGGTAGGATGAAATGGAAAAAGAGAGATGCTTACCAGGCTGTGTGCAGGAGGGGACGTTGGCAGGGATTTTGACAGGCCACTCATAGTAAACTAGAACATGGAGAATCACAAACAAGAGTCTCTCGGTTAATTCATCAGTTTGTTACACGACATGGATCTCCACACACAAATGGCATAGCCTGCTTTGAGTACACAAAACAAATACAAAACGAAGCATACCATCGGGGCAGGTCTTGGTGTAGGATCCAATGACGTGGAAAGACTTTCCACCATCATACGAGAGCGAGAACTCGCACATGCCACCGCCATGACGAGCCTCGCTCATCTTGTTCTTGGGCAGCGAGTTAACGTTCTTCAACTCAGGCGTCCAGAAACGAACTGGCACCACTTGTCCCGCCTTCAAGTCTGTTCAAAATAAGAGAAAGAGAGAAAATCAAGATGGGTTGGTAAGAACAATGATTCAGAGGGGGGAGGTTGAGTGAATCAGTTGGTTGTCGTTGAAGAACGCGAATGAAGGAATCAAAGGACGTACTGGTGGTAGGACCCTTGGGGTATCCGCCGCAGGGGAACTTGAAGCCCTGGTAGTCGACAAAGACGTGGATGCGGCCGTCAAACTGCTTGGTGCCGTATCCGCCACGAGGGGTAGGGTAGAGCATGGCCATATGGGCGTCGGCCTGCTTGGGGGCCAAGAGGGCCAGGATCACCAGACCCAGGCACAAAAGCCACGAGGTCTTGAGGGTTGTCGAGAATGCTGCCATTTTGTTGTATGTGTTTGTTGGTTGGTTGAGAGTTGGAGGTGGAAGTAGGGAGGAAGAAATAGAAGTGTTGGATGGAGCAGTGGTGATGGAGGGAGGGAAGGGAGACAAAGGGTAAAAGGGGGGGTACCGATGATGAGGACGGTAGGAAGGAGGCGTTAAAGTGATAGAGTGACAACGAGCAAAGGAGAAAACAAAAGAAAAGGAGAGGAAAATGTCAGTCTCGGTATTTATTTAAAAGAGAATACGAAATGTCTGCCTTCCACCAGGTACTACTATCACTAGGACCCATAACCAGGGGTGTACTGTACATGAACATGAAGGAGTGTACAGTACCATCCCTGGGGACAGTGTCCATTCTCATTCGTTGTGCTTTTTTTTGGGTTCTGGCAAAGGGCTGCAGGCAAACCTGCGCTCACATTTAGCTGAATTCATTTCATCCTGCTATTTTAGGGTCTGCCGCCCTGCCCACAAACAATGTCCACCTGCCCCTGCCTGTTGGCCCACGCCCTCACTCAAAAAAGGCTAGAACACTCTTTCTCTCACTTTTGAGTTGAAGTGCTCCAAATTGTCTTTTCTGATTGCATTCCTTCGTACACACGCTCTCTTTTTTCTGCTTTTGAGTTAGCCTACTCAACTCGCAACCGCTATGGATATCCTTGCCCGTATGAGAGCCATTCAATTCACCCCTGCCAGTGAGAAGAGAGAGAAAGGAGATGATCTGTTGCGAAGACATCGAGAGGGGCATGCGTTTTGTTGATTCCAAGTTGCAAACAACATGTGGAGAGAAAGCTAGAGTAGGGCAACAAGGTTGTTAATTACCCCGTCCCGAAATAGAAAACAATCCACACGACCAAGAATGTCCAGACAAACCCACAAAAAAACGATAACGGGTGATATTTTTTTTCTTGGTCGTCGTTGCCTATTGCCAATGCTCACCATTCGGAGAAATGAGAACCCAATGGTGAATTGCAATTTCACTCTGACAGACATTTGCAGAATCATCAATGAGTTTGAGAGAAACGCCACAACCCAAGAATGAAAGGAGCCGGATTGGAGTCGAGAGATAGAAAACGTTCAATTACAAACAAAATGAAGGGATCATGTCTCTTGTTTGAATACACGCACTGTAGTGTCTTAATTTTTCCGACCTGGTAGTCCCGGTTCCAGTGAGTGTTTCTTTGAACGAGCCGGCATCTCCTCATCGAGCATATAGCATGGTGGGTGAGAAGAGCGTGTCTTTTATCTAGGAAACTATTTACAAACTTGCCTTTTCTACGTTATTACGTTAATACAGCTATTGTTAAACAAAAAATTACAGTGGCCACATCCTCCTCTCTTAATGAACAACTATAGAGTGTTTAGTGGCGGACGTTGTTGTTGCTGTTGTTGGTAGTAGTGGCGGCAGTACCGTTAGAGCCGCGGTTGACATTGGTGGTCTGTTGGCCGTGACCGAGGTGCTCGGCGGCTGCGGCTTTGGCGCGGACGTACTGGGCCTGGTTCTCAGCATCGATGCCGGCGTTGTACAGGTCATAGTCAAAGTAGCGGAACAGGATGTGCAACGCCGCCGCCAAAATTGCTCCGAACAGGGGTCTAATTAGGTGTAGTTGGTAGTGGAGGGCGAGGGAGGATGGTATGTGTGAGGTGTCAGTGGTTGGTGTGTCTCGCTCTCGTGGGTTTAGAAGAGAAAAATTTCTCACTAACGCGTTTCCCATTGTTTTTTCTTTGCTTGACTGTGCATTCCCTCGTCCCTTACGAAACAACAAAAGGACCAAGAAAAATAACATACCCGAGCCAGTAGATCCAGTGGTCTCTAGTAAAGTGACGGGCAACAACAGAGGTAGCAAAGGCACGGGCAGGGTTGATGGCCGCATTGGTGTACCGGGCTGCAAACAAGTGGCACGAAAAAAGAGCCAAACCGTAGGGGAGGGCCGACATAAAGGTCGAACGGTTCTTCTCGTGAACGACCATATGGTAGACGAAGCACAGGATAGCGGTCAAAAAGAACTCGAGGAAGAATCCACGGGCTAACGACTGTCCGTTCATCTATTAGTTCCATATGTTATTGTAAGGGGGGAGGGAAGGAATGTTTGTGTAAGTAGAGGAAAACAATTTTCATTTAGACTAGCCGTTCACTTCCTTTCCTTAACCCTCATAGACATCTTTTTCCAACTTCAAACGAAAGAAAACTTACGAGAGAGTTAACTTGCGTGATCATATCCGTCGATGGAGTAGTACCCTTAGCAAGTGCAACGCCCAACATTGCGCCTAACAATTGGGACACGAAATACAACACAAACCTGGGCACGGTCAAATGCCCTGTGATCAAACTCGAGAACGACACTGCCGGGTTAAAATGCGACCCGGAAATTCTGAAGAACCCCCAAGCGGTGATGACGAGACCGATACCAAAGGCAAAGGCTTTGGCGAGGTAGCCGTTGTTGTCACCAATGTCGTTGGTGACGGCGTCGGCGCCTCCGACGGCGATGTACATGAACATGGCGGTGCCGATCAGCTCGGCGAGGGATTGGGTCAACCATCCCGAGGCAGTTGACTTTGACATTTTAGGTTGGTGTTTTGGTAGTTGGTTGTTGGTTAGTTTTGTTGGTGGGCGAGGGGAATGGGTCGACGTCGTATGAGTGGGAGGTAAGTGTGGGAGATTAGGTAAGTAAGGGAAGGGAATTAATGAAAGGTAAAGAAAAGGGTAAAAGTGAAAGGGTGGAGATTAAGAGATCAAGAAGAAGGAGAAAAGCACCCTAGAAAAACAATAATGAGGAATTAGCAAGTGGTGGCGGCAGATAGAGTGGGTGGAATGACGACGCGCGTGGGGGAGGAGGGGAGGGGGGGGTGAAAGAAAATAATAATCCTTGTGAGACTGAGGCTGATACATTTTTTTTCTTCAGCTTCGCCGAATGACATCCGTTGCTTTTCTCCTCACGCGTGCCAAGCAGAACAGAAGAAAACCTCGGCAACGCGTCTTTGTCATCCCGCCCAACCAAACGGGCAGGGTTTCAAAACAGGTATACGATACCCATCGTCACTCCCTGTTTCAGTATCTCAAAGTTTTTTTTTTCTCGATGGGATGAACAAGAACGCGTCCTTTTGTTGCAAGTAAGTGACAAATAAATGGCAAGTGACCATATCATTGAAATAATGGTAGTTTTTTTGTATTTATACAAGGTTTATTATGTTCGATATGTATGTACAAGGGAGAGGAGAGAAGGGATTATAAAGAGGAGTGGAGAGGGCAAATACTTATGTACAAAGCGGGAAAAGAAAAGAAAAGGTTATAGAGCAATCAAACACACAGAAGGGCTGCGTTTATCCCTGCATGGTGTTGCTGTAGCTGGGGCGAGGCCATGGTTGCTGAGGCATACCCAAGCCTTGCATCGATCCAACCATCATGCTCGACTCCATTGGCACATCATCACTGCCAGCGGTGGTAGAAGCCGCGTTCATCAGGCTCTCCATCGCGCCAAGGGCAGCGTTGGTCGACACACCGTGATCAGCAGTCGAGGAGGTCCTTCCGGCAGCAGCAGCCACAGACATGGCTGTCATCGTCGCAGCAGCCTCCTCCGGAGTTGGCTCGTCGAACAGGTTCTCGATCCAGACGAAATCTTCACCGAGAGCATCCATCATCGTGAAGTCCTGGAACAGATCCGCATCGCTGAAGGCTGGATTCAGGTTAACCTCGGGAACTGCATAGTAGAATCCGACCTCATTGCCATCCTCGTTGGTGGTCTTGATCACAAGTGGGGGTGGGGGGCCGACTGGATTGGGCACAGCCGAAAAGTCGGCATCCGATCCCATCTGCGGCGAAGTCGAGGTTCCGACGCTGGTCCTCATTGGCTGCTGCTGCTGTTGTTGTTGTTGTTCGTGCAATTGGGTCGACATCGAGAGACTGGTATCAAAGAGGCTGGGAAGGTTGTGATGGCTGCCGCTCAATGCTCCAAAGTTGGTTTTGATGTCGAGAGAAAGCTCCAAGGGGCTGGGAGGGTGAGGCGAGTGCTGAGTAGGGCTGTGACCGCTTGGGCTGTGGAGGAGCGGGCTGGTGCTTCGGTAACCTGCCTGGAGTGACTGTTGTTGACCGAAATTGGTGTTGATGGGTGTGAGCACATTCTGGTGGACATACAAGTTCTGCTGCTGTTGTTGATGTTGCGGTTGCTGTTGAACGTCCGATTGGTAAAGGCTGCCAAAGGTGGCGACAGAGGGCAAGGCCAGCAAGGCCGACTCGCGACGCTTATGGTATTCAATCACGTCAGTCGGGCTAAGAGGCGTTGGGCTGGGCATCGAAGTAGGGACGTTCCTGCCTTGATCCTCTGAGGGACGCTTTTGGTGGCGCGACAATGCCTGCTGCTGCTGTTGCAGTTGCAGTTGCAGCTGTTGTTGTTGTTGCTGAGGAGTCTGGCTCTGGTGAGCGTCGATCAGTGCCATGATCCTGTACTTTTGGGGACCCTGCGTTGGCGATCCAGCAGTGTTGTCGAGGTTCATGTCCTTGCTTGATCCGTCTTCGGGCTCGAATGACCTCTTAGCTCCATGAGAGGGCGATTCTGAGGAGGGCGATGAGGTCTAAATCATGTCCCATCCAATACAATGCGGTCTGATTAGGATATCATGTGTCAAAATAGAGTAGTTTCATTCTCGTGACCTTTTTAGCACCGCAACTTACAACATCCGGTACGTCTTGGTCGTTGTTGTTGTTTTGAACAGACATTAAGTCCTCTTGTTCCTCGGTCAGGCCCAGCATCTAATAGCAACAAGTCTTTGTATGAGTACACTTGTTTGTGTTCATGAAAAGATCGCCATTTGCACTGTTCCATGGAAGAAAGAGGACTTACATCCTGAGCGAGAAACGACTTGATCCTGTTGTTGTACACCAGCAAGTTGGGCTGCTTCTGGATGTATTCATACAGTGCCTGATCGAGCTCCGAGTCCATGTCGCAGATGATTGGGATCTCGATGGTCTTGAACTTGATTTCCTTCTTGCGACCACCCATGGCCTGGACGACCTTGGCGCGGCATTGGTGGCGTCCAACACAGTCTGCGATGTGGTAGAGGTGGACGGTGGGGGTGAAGGTGCAGGGGCGATCGTCTTTGGCGCAGCGCTTGCACTTGTCGCCGGGATCGGCGGTCGGGTGACGGACCTTGTCACAGGTCTTGCGATTGAGGAAGCAGTGGTCGCAGCTCTTTCTGTTGATGGCAGCAGTACTGGCCAGGCTGACGGTGGCGTCAGCGTGGAACTCGAATACTTGCATAGGCATGCGGGAGGAATAGTTGTTTGTTGTTGAGGACTTGTTGTCGCTGGTTTGTTGGTATGGTTCCTGGTTATAGCTGTTGGACAGTGAGCGAGGAGTGGTAACTTTAAAACGGCGGAGAGCAAAAGTCAAAAGTCAAAGAAAGTTGAGTTGAGAGAAGGTGAATGAGGAGTTGTTGAAGAAAGGCGACGAAATGAGCGTCGAGTCAATATTAGAGAGTTGTTGTTGAAGAACAAGAAGGGTCGTAAACAAGGGGCGAGGGGAGAGACGTCGGCTGGTCGAGGGGTATACTGTTGTTGTGTGAATGAGTCGTTGTTGTTGAAGTGATGATGTCAAAGACAAAAATGAGAAGAGTGAAAGATAACGAAAAGAGAGAAGGGAAACTGCACCGGAGGGCTGGCTATTTAAACACAAAGTTGCAGGAGTCCTTTGTTAACTTAATTTTCACGTCGTCACGTTTTTTCTATTCTCTTTCTTTCTTTCATTACTCTGCCACACTTGACTTGATCAATGAGTGAATCGATCAATGATGCTTGATCATGACCCCTGTTCTAGTCCTGTTGTCGCCGTGCTCTCCCCCTTTCTCCTTTCATCCTCGTCGTTGTTCGTGGCTCACAACCAAGTGCGCCATATTCCTCCTCTCCCTTTTTCCCTTCATTGAACCCTTCCTTCCTTCCATGCTCCCTTTCCTTCCTTTGGTCATAATTCATTTGCTTGAACGGTCGAAACTGAAAAATAAAAATGAACGCATTTTGTGATACGATGCGAACCTGATGACCCCTTCTGCTTTTGTGTCGAAATAATTAATTCGCTCATGGAGAACGATGATTCTTCATCCTTTCCTCGATATGTGGCTGTTGTACTGTTGTCGACACACACACATCCATGGATGGCTCTGTTCAACAACGATTGTCGTTGTAAAGAGGAGTCAATGAACGCATGACCTCTTAACAACCTTATCATCTATTTGGTGGCACCTTTCTCGTCCATTCACTGCGGGTGATATCGCAAGAAGACTGACCTTCCCAATTAGGACATTCGACCGAACACACTGCCATTTACTTTTCGACTGTGTATCCATCCATTAGTTGACTGGCTGACAGGCTGGCTGGCTGACTAGCTGACACCTTCATGTCTCTTGACCTTGTGAACACTAATAGCCACGTTATGACGACGCTGTGTATGTCAGTGTCTTTGTGCCATCCATTCATTCCTCCCTCTCCACCCTCCAGTCAGCAAATGAAAATCATAGTTGACACCCTGCTTGCTTCGCCATCGAACATTATTCGGTAGCAACAAAATCATTATTCACCTATCCTTTCTGTCGCTTCTTGATCTATCCGCGGAGAGATTGGAAAGGACACCAGCGACCATCACAACAACACATCCATTCATTCATGCAACAAACAAAAGGAAACTATGGCAGGCACAGGGAGGAGGAGCAATTAGAATGCCCTACCCACCAACAACCGCGCCACGATATTCGAACTTTTATTCTTTCTTGGAACGAACATTAAGAAGGGGAGAGGATCTAATCGTAGCATTTTGTCGAACCTTCCATGCCTTAACATTAACAACACCCATCAACGATCGTTACCTTAGAAGCAGCTATGGCTTCTTTGTTTTCCACAAAGTCTTCCTTCTATCCTTCCATCCTAACATCCTTGTGTCCTTCCATCCTCCACTCTTCCATTCGTCTTTTCCATTTTTTTCCTTCCCCCGTTCCATTCTACAATGCTCTTCTTTATTTGCCTGTTAGCTTCACCATGAATTTTCTATCAAGAAGGTGAAAAAGCATGGCTCACAATTAAAAAAAACCCCTCTACCTACCCACCAGCCAATACGATAGGCTGGTTATCTTCCTTGGAACATTCGCCACACATTTAAGGCGCATACAAACATGGTCCTCCGAGGTACCCCCTTCCTTCCTTGATTTTTTTACCATGGAAACGGACCATGGAACCCTTCCAAGAAATAATCTCCCTTTCCTTCTACTCCTATTTATCCGCGAACCGCACCCCTGTGGGGGAGTACTCTCCTGTCTAAACTCTATTACAACAAGCATGGCCATGCACTAATTGTGAAAGATGAACATAGATAGGGATACGGTATGTATGCTTACAAGGAATTAAAAAACGAGGTTACCCTTGTTTTTTGTTTGTTTATCTGAGAGAGCTTTGTTTTCCCGGTCGGTTTTCGGAGGAAACGCACGCGTTCTTGTTCGTTCCTGTTGACTCATGTCCTTAGATCACGGGTTCTAGTAGAAGTGCCCATGCTTTTATTTTTGAGTTATGCCACGCGGCGCGTTACACATACCTCTCTCGCTCGAAGTTCTTGGTGTGTGAGTGAGAGGGAAGGAGGAAGAGGTGCAACAAGAAGAAGGAGCAAGCAGTAAAAAAAATCGCGCAGGGACTCTCTCCCTGTGATTGAATCTTTATCACCTTGACCTTTTTTTCATTGTTCACAGTATGCGTCCCCACCTGGCCAGACACAAAACCCAATTGGAAGTTGAGATTTGAGGGGGTGCCCCTGTCCTATCTTTTCCTCCCCTGCGTAGCGTTTAAATGGTGCCAAGCCCTCCTCCTTTGAGCAACCGGAAAATGGGCGAAAACGCTTTGGTCACACCTGTGTACATCCCCCATTATGTGCTATGAAATGATATAATACATCCTGGCAGTGAGGGGGAAGTAAGAGACATAACAAAAAAATACAACAGCCCAAACCTTGTTCTATGTGGTGTCCATATTCAAAAATACTTTTTTTCTTAAAGTTGCTTCCTTCTAATGGAAGATGACCTTTTCTGTTTGACAAGAAAGCAAAAGCATGCTTGGAAAACAGGGAAGATGGTTTCTTCTCCTTTGCTCGTGAGCGCTGCACGAGAGGTAGAGGAATTGAATAGAGAGTGGCGCCCCTGTTGGTGGGTGGGTTGCTTTGTTCTGTGTTTGTTGATGATGGCGAGTGTGTTTGGGCGAGAAGGCTTTTATCGATGATGATTTACCTTAATAACAATGAGTTAAGGAAAACTTTAATTCGTCGACTTTGGACGCAGTCACCTTTGAGCGCATGAGAGTCACAGAGGCAGCTAGGCTTGGCTGCAAACCGAGGGGGAACGAAAATGCTCACGAACACACCTTATGGAGAAGGGGTGAGTGAAGATGAGAAAAGACACCCACAGCCTCTCTCACTCTCCATTCCCGTCATCCACACCCAACCACGCGGCAAGGAAACAAGCACAAACATGACTTACCTGTTCTTTGTATCTCCGAACCTGTGTCCGGGATATAAAGAACGTGAAGTGAAGTACTTGTCTCACTTCCAGTAACCAAGATCTCTGTCTCTACTTCCTCGAAGCAATTGATATTAACTACACCGGTACCCACCCATCGCCCGATGATGCAATGATGCTACCGCCTTGATAAGAAAAAACTAAACTAGTCTCTTTTCTATTGTTGTATCTCATGAACTGGGTAAACTCCCTCCCCTGAGACGACGATAGATGGGCGTCGTCGCGCACCTGCCTATCTGATTCAGTTCATATTATTCCATGACCTTCCACGTTGTTTTCATAGTTTGATTTGTACTGCTGTACCCAAGGATGTCACCAAGTCATGTGGATCGACTCGACTCGACCGACAGGCGGGAGACCTACTGAGCCCATTTTCTTTCTTATCCTCACTCATTCGCCTTCGTTTGTTAATCCCGCATGTTATTCCTTTCGCCCTTTTCCAAACAACCTTGCAAGTTACAACTAGACCATCACACTAACTCTCACTGGTGCCTCTTCCCTTCGTTTTCGTCTGTGCTACTTTATTATTTTCTTTTCATTTGTTTTCATTCCTTTGTTTTGCCATTGCCTCGTTGCTGTTGCTGTCTCGTTGGTAACAAAAGGTACGGAAGCAATTGACCTTATTAAGGTATATCCGACAAAAGGTTTATCTCTTCTACTCTTCCTTCCTCCTCCTCTTCCGAGGAGTGGAGAAAGAGAACAAGGCACGCGAATCGGTCGATTTGGGCTTTTGGTCACACACACACCTCTCCTTCCAATCGCCAGGTCGTAGTTCGGTAAGAATAAAAAAGAGGGCCTTTTAGCCGCGTTGTTGGAGCACCATCCAATAAACGATGAGAGGAGAGGACGCGTTAGACGTTCATTCGTTTGCTTTTTTCGACTCTTGAAAGCGTCCTTTGTTTGCCACTTGATCACTGTTGACCCTATTGGCTTGCTATTTCTTGCTCATCCAGTGTAAGCAGTGCTATTGATCACTCGTGCCTTTCATCTCTTTTCTTTATCCTCCACCATCCTCCTCTTTCCTCCACGTCATTCTCTCTTTAACACGCGCGTCAGGCTACCTTTACCATCCCTCTCATTCCCTAGACCCCTCTCCTTCTCCATCCCTTCGGACATCCACCTCTCATGCATAGGCCTCTCCCTTGCAAAGAAACCTCCACCCACCACTTCCTTACTCACCCTTCTTTCGCCCAGATACTCTCGCCTTTTCATTTCCAGCCTTTTTCCATGACCCCTCTCTCCATCACCCCTTCTCCCTCTCACCATCGAACGATGTTCACTACCGCACACTCGCCTTTTCGCCTTCTCACTCCCCTAACTCATCCCCTTATATGCTGTGCCTGCCGTTTCTTTTGCGGACGCCTTGGTGCATCGGACGATTTGTTGCTAACACATTGTTCGACCACACAAGTCTGCATATGCGCACATACATGCTTCTGGTTCCCCCCTCTCCTTCTTATGCTCTTCTACTACTTCACTTTTTCTCTCCTCCCAGTCTCACCGCCCTTGCAACCCTTCCCCCTACTCCTCCTACTCCCCAATGTCCAATAGACTATAAATTATCTTTGATCCACCGTACATAGCATATTCTTTTCACATTCTCTTTCCCCCTCTCATCTCCATCAAATTGAGCGCGTTTCGAGTCAGGTAGCGAAGGAGTATTACTTGGGACAAAAAAACAGACTTTTTTTTATTTTTTTGTGATAAGAGTGGGGATGGCGTTGACTATATTACATTTGGTTGTGAAATGGAGGTAGTGTGATATGATGAGAGGTATATACAAGTGAGCTTTTTTTTTTTTTGGGGGGGGGGGGAGGTTGCAACGAAGAATAAGGCTCGTGCTTTGTGTAAAAGGTATGTGCAGTGTAGGGTAGGGGGTTGGTGGTGGTTAATAGGTGAAGAATGGGGGGGGGGGGGTGTAAAGGGTCAAGATAGAACAAAAGATAAAAAATCGAATGCCCACACCTAGTAGATTTTGCTGTGTTCAGCCAAAATAAATAAATAAATAAATAAAAAAAATGCATGGAGCACGAAAACGTGACCGAACCTGCCCAGTCGCCGTTCAAAAAAAAAGTCTCCTTCCCCACTTAAGACGAAGAAGCGGACAAAGTCGCATCTCCACCACCAGCAGATCTGTAGACAATGAACTGGGGCGCGTACCGGGTCTGGTTAGCAATCAACGTCGCAAAGCAGGTCAAGACGGCCACGCAGGTCGCAATCGCCGTCATGATGCAGCGTGTACCTGACCGATATACGGCCACACAAGACAATAGGACCGTGAACAGCATCAATGGCGAGGTATCGTGTCTATTGGAGTGGACGAGGATAAACATAGAAGAGAGATAGGGTATGTTAGCGATATGCAAGGAAAAGCGACAAAAGGAATGGCATTAGAGTAGAGAGGGAGGAAGGGTTGATGTAGTGGGCAGTGGGTAAGCAAACAAAGGTATTGGGTACCCAATAGTGAGTGAGAAAAAATGAGAGGAAGGGGAAACAGGGAGAGCGATGGTAGCCTGTTTGGAGCACGCATTTTGCATCTTGCATCTCTGAAGGCAAAGCAGCAAAGAAAAACAAAAGGAAGAACAACCTGGTATGTTCGACCAGTCGTGCGTGTGTGTGGTCAAGTGCAAAAGAAGGCGCGGAAGGTCAAGGAAAGAGGGATAGGAGAATGAACTTGATGCTGCATTGTTGTATGTGCAATGCGCGTTTGTGTTTGTTGATGCCGTTTTGTTTGTTTGTCTGTTTGTGTCGATGCACTGCGGTTGAACAAAACTGCGAGAGCAGCAGCAACAAAGTAGACAGACAGGTGTTCGTGATAAACACATGCAGAATCGATCATTTTTGAAGAGTAGCGCTACGCCACAGAATCGTGGCATGCTGTCGATCGTAGCGATCTGATTTGCTGCTCAACTTTTTCTCTCGGGCGAGGAAGAGGAAGGGGAGAGAGGCATGAAAGGAGGAGGGATAAGGGATGAGAGTTGGGGAATGAGGTGGTTGTTTACTAGTCCAGAACCTTCTTAAGCTGAAGGACTGACTGGCTTGTATTACGCGAGACGCAAAAAAAACTCAAATGCCGGGCAATCAACCCAAGACAACACACAAAAAATAATAACGAGCTTCGCAATGCTTTAGCAGTGGTGGCATGCTGTTGACTTTGGCGTTATCGTTGTTTGTGTGTTTCTGGTCACAGTTGGGGAAATGCGCGGCCCTTCTTCGATCGATAGCAAAAATGGTGCGATAGTGGAGTATGAATAACAAAAACGAGAGAAAAACATGAAGTGGGTGTTAGAACTGTACCTGGCGAGATGGGCTGGGATGAAGACCTTGGCGGAGGTTTGTTGGAGGACCAAGAGGCCCATGAGGAAGCCGAGCCAGAGACCCAGCAGGAATCCACGGAGTTGCTGCCTTGATCGGGCTATTTCGCACAATACGAGAAAAGAGAAAAGAAGACGAAATATGGTTAGGAACTGACAAGACAAGCCTAGGTTACTCTGTTAGAGTTAGTTGGGCACTTGCGGGAGAGAGGGAGAGAGGGGAGCAGGGCAAGCAAGCGAGCGATGTCATTATGGTGTCACTGCCTGGATTGACCAACACCGGAACACCGGGGTGGGGAGGGAGAGACGGCGTTGAGTAAACACAACATGCGATGGGGTCAACCCCCGAGGGTGGGATGGCTATGAAGCATAAACCACCTTGCCTTCCGGGTGAAACCATTGACTAATGACTGTCTTCTGTTCATGACGAGGGCGTCGTTGTTTGTATTTGTTGCTGTTGGTTGTGCCCTTCTTTTGTTTACAGAAGAATAGTACACTAAGTCCAAGCAGGGTCCTTTTCTCTCTGTCTGTGTCTTTTTTCTTGTAAAAATAAACATCAAAAAATAGATTGCGCCTCGAAATTCTTGACACTGGAGAGTAGGGCATAAAGGGTTTTGTTGTAGGGAGGCATACACATTCCCACACTTGCATTCTGAACAACTGCCGTTCAGCGAGACAAAGAGAAAACAAGCGCAATTGTCGATAGTGTAACAGTGCGCGCACGGCACACATTCACGGAGCGAAGATTGTCCCATCCATCACACACACAACAACAACGCCCATGTCGTCTTTTTTTGCGTATCTTGACTTCCTGTCTCGCTAAGCAACTGTTTGGTCAATGTGATTTGTTTGTTTTTTTTTATGTGTGTGCGTTCGTGGACCAGACACCCCAACTCAAAGAAAATATCGAACAAGACCGAGGAATTACCCATTCAAATTCACCCATTACCCACTACCCACTCACTAAAATGATACGCTCATTGGTGAGGGGACCCGCAAGGCTTGCCCCCGATTACATTGACAAAGTATTAAATAAAATAGAAAGGGGGCCAGTACTCTCTCTAATGCGCATTTGTTGAATAGCAAGGGTTCTTTCTTCTTCATTCAAGGAGACAACGACAACATCCTTGTCCCAGGTGCCTTTTCTTTGCCGATTTTTTACACTTTTCACCTTGCGATTTTTTTGGCAATGCAAAAGGGAAAGGGGGAAGAGGAGGGAGAGGGAGAGGGGAACCCAGAAAAAAAGTCAAGTAGCTCGGCAGAGCATGCATGCAGAAGTGAACGTCTCCTGCGCTGTGTGTGGTTCTTGAAACACACACAGAACCCCCGCGCGTCGTTATTATGTTTGTGATTCTGTTCCAGCCGCCTGGAAAGAGGCAGAAATGTAAGGAATGGTGGGGTGCGGTGTGAGATAAAGAGGAAGGGGCTGTTTACCTTTGAGTGCGTCGCGTCGCTCCATGTCCAATTGCTTCTGGAAGGCCTCATCAGGTCCATTCTCCCACATCTTATTATCTGCAATCTGTTGCTTCTCATCCAAGTAACTAACAGGAGAGTCGACAAGCGTGGGTGAGAATAGCTTGAGATAGCTCTGATCGCCATGCTGGATGATGGTGGGCGATTTCTGTAAAAGGCATTCCTGAGAGGTGTCGAGGCTCAAACGAGGGAGACCTGCGCGACGGGTATCGAGAGAGAGTGGGGAGGGAGGGGGCGAAGCGAGCATTCCTTGCTGTTGTTGCTTTTGGTAGTTCAGAAGCTGCTGCTGCTGTTGCTGCTGCTGCTGCTGTTGCATTTGTTGTTGCATTTGTTGTTGGTGCTGTTGCCAAATGTTGCTTGCCTTTGGGAGGGAGTGGCGGTTGGGCTTTTTGTTGCTGCTGGGGAGTGAGTTCATGGGTGGTGTGGAGAGAGTGGAGTTGGTATTGATATTGAAGCTGGCATGTTGGTGGTGGATAGTTTTATGTTGCTGTTGTTGTTGAGGGATAGAGATTGGGTTGTGGAAGAGTGTCTTTGTTGCTGGTAGTTGTTGTTGATGTGATGATGATTGTTGTTGTTTGTGAGAGAAGGAGAGGGTGGAGTAGGAAGGAGAAGAAGGAGGGGTGAATAGGATGGTGGTAGAAGAGTTCATGGTACTAGAGACGGTCTCTCTTTCTTCTTTGTTGATAAGAATGGATGTAAGAAGGTGCTGGGTTCAGTTGTGTGTGAATGGTACAAAGAGAACGGTAGCGAGAATGATGAGAATGATGTATGTGTTTGTTTGTTCCTGAACAAAAGGATAACAAAATACAAAAAAAAAGAAAATCTTTTTCGGTCGCCAGGAATCGTCCGTCTATTTATTCTCTGTGTGTTTGTTCCTGTCAATCGCCATTCAAACATCGCCATTCAAACATCGCCATCAATCAGAGATAAGAAAGACACCATAAAAGAAATCAAAAATAAATAGAGTTTGCCATTGGTTCGCACACAATGACATCGCCTATGTTTACCTTCTCATTCAATCACCCTCGATGTTATTTAATCGACTCGACACAAAGGGTACATGGAGACACTGCCAACACTGCACCGCAACAACAAAGACACAGGCAGGTAGAAACACATAGCAAAACGCCTTCATCGCCACAAGGCCATGGGTGACTTGCTTCGTGGCAAAGAAGGAAAAATAGGGGGAGGCAAAAGCCCTCGCTCGGTTGGGCTGGACTGGCAAGGTCATCCACTCTCAATACCATGCCATGCCCTGCTTTGCCACTCCATAACGACAAACACAGCAGGCACTGCCGCCAAAAAATTGTCCTTCGACACTTCGTCTTCCTTTCACCTCCCCCTTTCTCTTCTCTTCTCACTACATTCTCTATGTACTTTACGCCTCAGTAAGCCGACGTACCAGCCAGCCAAAACTAACCAGCCCTGAAGAACAATCGTCTCGTGTCGATACATATTGTTTTCACACTTCCCTCTTTCACCCTTTTTTTTTTTGTCCCTGCCCGCCCAATACTCCTTGTTCCCCTTCCCCTCCCTCTACCTCGTAAGCACAATCACGATCTTTTGGAGAGGATTGAGAAGAGAGTGCTCGCTCGTTCTTCCTGACTGCATAGTGAGACCCTTTTTTTCTTGCTCCGAACACCCACCGCGACAGTGCACGCTCTTTTGTTCTTTGTTGTTGTCATCAGTGATTAAAAACAGAATGGACCGAAAAAAAGAAGAGAGGACGAAGAAGAGAGGACGAAGAGGAAGGGGCAGAGAGGAAGGAGAGAATGAGTGGATGCATGTGTGGTGTTGAGTCCATGCATGCTTTATTTTTGCAGGACTGAATTGCACTGAGTCCATCTGGACAGTGGATAAACACAGACACACAACAGATAAAAGTCGCCGAGTCCGAGTCCGATTCTCGATCCCCTTCCCGTCCAAACGCCCTGAAAAGAAGCAAACAAGCAAAAACCTTGGCTCTTCTTGTGCATGGGAGCACCCATGCGTGGCGGTAGTATATTTTTGGCCCATCTTGTATTTCTCTTGCTCTCTCACTCTCACTCTGCCAATCCACCCAAATAACAAGAGCTAGCTCGAATGCAAGGTAATTAGTTCCTGTCGTACGTGGTGTTGAAACACCATGATTTTAACGTGAGCTCTCTCTCGCTCACTTTACACCACACACAAAGAGATGCATGCGATGGATGATGGATACAGTCTCGCTTGTAAAATAATCCAACGGCCGTCTCTCTTTTTTTTTATGTTGAAGGAGAGATTAAGAGCAACAAAATGAGGAGAGCAAGTGCGTTCGTCCCCACCGGAAAAATGAGAGCACAGAGATAAAGAAGAGGGGTCAGGGCCCAGGTCTGAGAGTAAACATAGGGAGCTGGGTCTAGAGAGACACCGTTCTGATCCCCGATCCCGCGGTGGTTTCCCTTCTCACTCTCCCCCCCCTCTCTCTCCCTCTCACCTATGTCCGTCACCCTTTTGTCCACCACTCCTTTGTCCCCCTCCCCCTGTTTGTCATAATTCATTACGTTTTGTAACACAATTCAAACCACGACTGGACTTACCCCTGCTCCTGCTCCCGATGGAACCACCCAGGTGGTTCCCCTCTACATTTGTCTCCGCGTGAAGGGTGGTGCTCACTTGTATTAAAACGGCCTGGCCACCTAACCAGTCAGCCAGGGATTGGTTCATCTTTCAGGAGAAAGGAGAGAGGACCCGGACCCCTGCCTTTTCCCCTGATGTAAATGGACCCGTTGTGTGTGTGTGTGTCTCGTCTTGGAGAGCAGCAGAAAAACGAGGAGAAAGCAGGCAGACAGCTGTACCTGGATGTCTTTCTTATTTAGCGAGACCAAGACAAGACAGACATGCGAATGAGATGTTGCGCTGTTGTGATCAATTGCACCGCACACGACGGCGGTGTGAAGAATGCTCCACTCTTTTCTCGTTCAATTGACTGACAGAGGACTGTGCATGACGAATGTGGCAGCATATGAAAGGGGTCAAAGTGCAAAGAATGTGAGAAAGTGCGACGCTGGTTTTCAATAAAGAAAAAAGGAGCTCTAACAACACAATGCTCTCTTCAGCCCAAGTCATCTGTTTACAACAAGAAAACAGCGGCAGTGGCAAATGTGATTCGTAAAGACGACAACGAACAGGGGTTCCTGATCATTAACAGGCTAGTACGATGGGGAACGTTGTTGATACCACACGATTCGAATCTTAGGAGTAGGGAGCATCCGTTCATTTATTACATTAATGCCCATTAGAATGTTTACAGGAGTGTAAAGGAAGGAGAAAAACAGGGAGAGGAATGCCTGCTACAAAAACAACAAGTTGACACAGCTGTTCTTTGTTGTCGTTTGCTGTTATTGCTCTTGTTGCTGTTCATTATATGTCGTTTTTATCTTTTCGCTATCCGCGAATAGATGAAGCTGACACGAAAAAGGGCGGTCTACGAAAAACATCACAAACAGCAACCACAAAGACAACAAACAAAGTAAGGTCCGCAACCCAGCCCTGATTTTGGTTTCCTCGCCTGCCTTTTCATTCCTCAGTTCCGTGGAGTGTCACACCAGATCGATGTCCTAGGCTTCAGATTCCCCCGAGGCCACACAAGAAGAAGGTATGCAGATCTTGCCCTTCCGATGAAAACAAACAAACCAAATTTTCTCTTGGGTCTTTTTATATCTTCCTCGTTTTTTCTTCTTGAAAGGAAAGAGACACGGAAAACTGTAATTCCACAACCCTGCCGATCTAGATCTATCCGTCCGCGGGCGATGGACCAAAGACGGGCCCTTTGTTGGCTATTGATGTTTGTGTTTTTGTCACCTCATACTTTTTCTTCTTTGCTTCTAGAACCTAAGCGATAGGCGTGTCTAATTGCCTATCTTTCGTCACTCGTCTCGGCGTTTAAAACACACACAAGCGCATCAGGTCATACAAACGAAAAGGGCGAAGGAAGGACTGAAATATAAAAGAAAAACAAGAAATAAGTGAGGAGTGGTCAATGTGGGGAGTTGAAGAAGAGAGGTCCTCATGCACCTCCTCCCTTCTCCTCGGACCAAACTATTTAGAAATGTGACTTGTGATTTTCCATGTGGGCCAAATGACCTGCATCCATTCATTTTCATCTTCATGCAGGCGCCGCCATGTCTCATTCGTATCCTTATACTGCACATCTTCTGGACAAAGTGGGCGAAATCTGCAACAGTCAGTCCCTCTGCTATCCCTCCAATATCCCCCACAGTCAAAGCTGGAGATCTCCGTGGTTTGTTCTGTAACAGAATGTCATGCATGCACCTCATCTCATGCCTTACTCCAGCGTCTAGTTTGGTCACCCTATTAAACCTTCATGTTACCTCCACCTCTAATTTGCAGCCAATGCACAGAACCGCTTTTCCGATTGACTGAACGACAAAAGCAATGCCACTGCTCTTCACAGAAACCAGGACGACCAAGATACCCTGACAACGTCGACCAATGTGCGCGTGGAGCACCAGACACATAATCGACACCAAAGCCAGTTGCTGCCTATCGCATCGTCACCAGTCGGGCTTACGGTTTCATCGGAGCCTGGATCAAATTCACGCAAAAGAAAAGCGCGACAGCCAATGCAACCTCAATCGCCACCGCAAAGCACCAGTGGCCAAGCCGCTCTGCCCGTAACAGTTCGGTCGGAGCTAGAGTGGGCAAGATATAACACCATGCAGGAAGCAGATGCCCTTTTCAACAGCCAGCAAATATGCCGCGCCAATCTACACCCCAGTGAAGGTATATGACATCTACCGAGAACATTGGTTTGTAAGTGTACTACTAACCCCACCTTCCTTGTCTTATCATTGACTAGTTGTTCAGTACTGCAACTAATATACTATTGTCATTCTACTCTGATAGGAATGGTGTAAAACCAATCATTACAGGACTACATTGTAATGAATTCACGCGCAGCACGTTACTTTAAGGAAGCATTCGGAGAACCGGACCCTCTGAAGCCTGAGATCGTTCCTTTGCGCAGACAGAAATCTCGAAATGATGCGCTCGGAGACTACCTTATGCCTGAGACGATGAATTTCTATATCAAGGCTGTCGTCGATCTGTAGAATGAGCAGGCTACTGAGGCACCAAGTGGAGCGCGTCCAGGAACCGATGTGTCCCACGGAAGATAGCCAGGCCTTTCATGGAGGCGTACAAACGGAAGATTGGTAAGATGGCGAATTTCTGGGTCATGTAAGCACAGTTGTAATGCTATATTTTACTGTTTTATTAACATTCTCTCTTAACTTTTTTTTAGGCGCACTCACAAAGGCAACAAAGTTCCAGGGCATTAGGATCACGGAGGGGTACAACAAACAGGGCTTCAAGCGCATGATGAAGTCGTATTGGACACGAAATTATGTTCACGAAGATCAAAAGAACCGCAGGAAATTAAATGGATTCCGCGACCGACTCAACCTATCATGGATTCACTTTATGATGTGTCGAGGTGAAAACACGCGGATGGCATTGCTGCAAGACCTGAATTTCCACGCATTCGAATTCAGTGATGCTACAGGACAGTTCACCCCGAGTATTGTCCTGACGATGCTGCAAGGCAAGATGAACGCCGACGGGAAGATGCTCTATGGTGTGGTTGTTCGAAATAAGGATGTCGAGACGTGTCCAGTGGGTTCCTTGGCGTTTTATTTGTTTGAGCTGTTCATGGTATGTTGACTGCGGCGGACTATTTTATGTTTGCTATTACGTTGCCCTATCTGGATTTTCAAGTTGATGGATGTTAACCTGTCGTGTTTCTACGCTCTAGGACCCACGCGTGTGCCCCGATTTCAGCATGCCGGATTGGGAAACCCGATACCTCGTATTTGCATGCAACCCTACCAAGCCGATGTCCTCCTCCACGCATTACACTGCTCAAAAGCAGGAGATGGAAGCTACCAACATTCTATCATCCAAGGTCACTAATACCGTTCGTCGAGCAGGAGCACAGCAAGCCCAATCAGCCGAGGAAACGATAGAGAAGACTGCACTGCATGGAAACTGGTTGCACCACCGGGTTGTCACAGACTATCTGAGCGAGATTCCAGAGCGTGTACCCCTCATGTTAGCCGGCTTTACAAATCATCAGGAGCGGTTCTGGATTGCCAGGAATACACTCATTCCACCTGTCGACCTTCAAAAGCTCATTTTCCCCGTCCTTAATAACGCATACCCGGATAAAGATTGGGACGCTTGGATGGATAATATCATGACCGACAAGGACGAATACGACAATCGCCAACTGGATCAGAGGCTTGCATCAAAGTATCCTCAGCATGACTCCCAGAAGATCAAGTTTTTTGTTCTTCTCGCTCATCTCCGCAAGATCATCTTACAGGACGCAGCCACCCTCATGGATATCAACAGCGACCCACAATGTCAATACGACCTTCACCATATCTTCCTTGAGCCCGTCTTCAGGTCACCCTTGTTCATCCAGTTCAGGGTTGGTCTTCGCCAAAAGATGGCCACCCATATCAGATAGCCTCCTTGCCAACGCTCCAGCAATTCAGCACGGTCTCAAGGACATTTCTGATAGGCTAGGGTCTGTTATGGATCTACTTCGACACATGACTTCAACAACCGACATGCATCGCGACAGAGAATTATGGTCGGCATCAATTGAAAGGCAGATGGAAAGTCTAGCTACGGTGCACAACGGATTGATTTCGACAAGCAACAGCATAACTTCTAACTTGAGCGCAGTTCAACAGACCCTCACGCAACTTTTGACCTCTGCCGTGGATGTCATATCTGCTACGAAAGTTGCGGAAGCAACGGTTCTCCCATTACCACCACACGTGCCGTTTATTCCGCCTTCGCTACTCCAGCCATCATCACAGCAGCCATCACCCCCTTTGCAGTCGCAACCACAATCACAACCAGACGAACAACAGTTCTCGTCTGGGATTCAGTCTGGACTACCAGGAAATCAATTGCCTCCTCCGCCCTCAGTTTCTCCGCCTCCCGCTTCTCCACCTCAATCCCCGGCTTCTCAACTTTCACTCCCTGGATCTCCGCCGCCACAGCAGTATCAGTCTTTCACAGCAGGTGCCTTACCAGCAGCTATCCACCAGGCGACAGTCGACCTAGAGCCAGACCTGGAGGCCCTGGCAGAGAGTTTTGCATCACCACGGCACAAGCCTGCCACTTCAACTTACACCATGAAGCCTCGTCCGCGCGTCCTTGAGCCACTTTGGCAAGAATGGTTTCACGGAGTTGCTGGAGAACCCTCGATCTGGCAGATGAACAAGCACCACAAGTGGCGCAAAAATGCGGACGCCGCGATGCGTAAGCATTATGCATTCAATCGAGCGATCATTGAGTCGGTGCTGAAGGCTATTTCGGAGGCAAAGGAACCTTCACTCGAATTAAGGAAGGAGGCGGGAATGCTGACAGTCAAAGAGAGAATTGCTAACGCTGGGTCGCTTAATAAGTATTTTTTGCAACTTAGTAGCAAGACTTGAATAAAAGATAAGATCAAAAGAGTATTCTTGTGTTTAATCGATGGGCTTGGGGGGGGGGGGGTTCATTAGAGGTAGCGACCATTGTGTGAATGTAATCATTCTGTGCTAGTGCTAGAGATTCATCCTGTGTATGGATTGATCTGTTGATGTAAGTGGCGGTTACGGATATCGTAGATGACATAGATAACAAGAGGGTGCTGAGCCAAGAGTTTGCGTGTTATGATACTGAACTTGGATTTAACGGTAAGCATGGAGGGTGATCTTAGCCCTGTATGCGTCCAGATACTAAGTGGCACACCTTGGAAAGTTTGACAATGCGATCAATATCTACGCGCAGGCATTATTTTGTTCAATTCAGTTCCTCTATTCAATAGTCATTCAATTCAGTCAACTATTGCAGCAGTATTGGCACAGGTACATAGGCTTGAAAAAGAGCAACCAATAAAATCCTCGCGTGCCCACCACGCGTTTGCTTCTTGCATTGCGAAAAAGTTCGACCTAGCCCCTCGACCTTCGTACTTTGTACTGTACTTGGCCATTTGGCCCGCTGCTATAAGATCTAGATGGAGGTTTCTATAGTTCCTCGGACTTAGTATCTTGTTGTTTTCTTTGGTGCTTAGGATGCTGCACAGACACCTGCTTCTTCAAGCGGTACGTTGATGTCATGGGTTGACTCGGGGTATGTCCTCTCTGTCCCTCTCTCAACAACAAGATTGGCCGTGGGGGAGTGGAATGGAGCGAGGCTGCCAAAGCTAACATATTGATCCTCCGCTTGGTCCATCTTGGTAACTTTGTCATCTTTTCGACACCATCGTGTTGTCTGGCCATATTGCTAACGTGTCTGAGTTTGTTCCTTTTTGCCCACATGTTTGTTGCGGGAGTGAGTGAGTGAGTTGCGATTCGACTTTTTGACCTTGTGGTTATTGTCGTAATGGATGCCGGACATCTAGGAAAGAGAAAGAGAAGGAAAAAGTTACTCAGGGACGGCATTGTTCAATCAAGGAGACGCTGGGAACCGATATCTTTATTTGTGTTACACTTAAGACTTCTCAATGGAGCATCTCTCTCTCCTGCAGGTTCAACTCGGCTATTCGTCCGTCTCTTTGTTGTGTTCCTGCGCCTTTGGATGGCGTGGTGGAAGTTCAATTGTTTAGCGAGTCATGGAACTGACTGTAGGACATAGGCAGACGCGAAACTAATTCATGGTGACCGTGCAACCCACACAGATAACAGTGGTGGACCCTTTTTTTCGTTCGACAGGGGTGAGACCAAGCCACCGACCATGTTACGTCCTCTTTTGTTCTGCATTCGAATTTAGTCAACACAACTCATGACATCTCCTGGTGCGACATTCACAACACAACTGGCCACTCACTTTACCCACACCACCCATACTACCACCAAGCAAACAGAACAACATGTCATTCCGCCTACCAAAGTTCCCAATGATCACAATCTTCCACAACCCATCCCTAAAAACCTCCACCGAAGCCCTATCCCTCCTCCAAAAAGCCTCCCGCCGCTACAATTTCGAAATCGACCTTATCCAGACCAAAAAGCAACCCCCTACCCATCAACAGGTCGCAAATATCGTCGAATATCTGGGTAACGGGTCCATAGACGCAGGATTGGAGCAAATATTGGTACCCGAGGTGGAGAAGAAGCCGTCGACAGTGGCGGAGGTGCAGGAGATTCTAGATAGGAACCCTGGGTATTTGAGGAAGCCGTTGATTGTTGATTGGAATCGGGGCAAGGCATTGATAGCCGATGTAAGTTTGTTGTTTAAGTGCTTTAAGGTTGTTTGAGTATGGGTGGTTTCATTAGCTTGACGCGTATGCATGTCCTTCGTTTGTCTTTCTGTCGCTTGGTAGCCCCCAAGAAGAATCTTTGAGCTCGTCAAAGGCGCCTACGAAGAACGGTGAAGAACGCCATGAAGAACAGTATCTGCACCGTCATTCATTCAAGCAATAAAATAATCCGCAGCTAATTAATTCCTCAACCGAACAAGTGCAGAAAGGAAAAAAAGGTGATCGCGACGGGAAAATGAAAGAAAAGTAGGCGCGTCGCGTATCGCGTCTTTTTTTAGTTTCCTCTAAGACACGTCGAGCATGATACTAAAAAGATGATGGGTATGATGGCTCGAGGGTAGTCATGCCCGCCTAGTGATGGATGATCCCAGGTCACTCGTGAAGATGCACGACACCCTCTTCCCTCCTTGCTGACGTTAGCGCCCGCAACTCCCTCTTTTCTTCGTCCTGGTCGAGAACTTGGGTACTGGTGTGTCTATATCTTCCTTGTACTCTCCCTCCCTCTCCTGTCACAGAAAGCACAACAACAAAAAGATACGACACCCGGCCTAGCCATTCACAAAATGTGTCTTGCAACCCGCAACTCCTATTGACGTGTATGCCATCATCTGAAAAAATACGGGAGGGAAGCACCTTCCTCATTGACGAAATAGAACGTTACTTGTTCATATCTCGCATGAAATTTAGAATAAAAAAAGTCGAAATGGTCGTTCTACTCAAGCACACCTGAAAATCGGGGGTAGGCAAAGAGGTTGGTCCTCCGCCCAGGTTCGCCTCGCCAAATGAAAGAAAAGAAAGAAAAGAGAGGCTCGCTGCATGTTTTATATCCTCGCCACCACTACCTCGCATACATAGAGGGATCAGTCAATGTTTGTCTCGACCTCTGCTATCCACCTGCATCCGACAAAAGTAAGCATATGCTACCTCATGCTTTGGCCATTCAATCTTCAAGAAACTGACAACTCTTGTGTATGAAAATTGAAATGATCTGAGCAGAGGCAAGCCTCAGAACAACTCTGGTAATCCTCCACTAAAGGTTTTGTTTAACGAAAAAGGAGAATATGTCCAATTTACTATCGTCGAAAGAACCTCCTCTGTTCCTATCCATCTCAACTTTGTGAGAAAAGAAAACTTGTAAAAGCTAAACACACCTATCGACTAGTACGATCCTCTATCAAGAGCTCAACCGTCCATAACGTGTTCATTAGGCAGTTTCAAACTTTGACATACCCACATTCAAATCGAAGCGTATTTCAATAGCGCATTTGAAACACATCAGTCATCTAGGAAACGTATTTCCATAGCGGAATTCCTTGATGGCGCATTTGGTTACACGCCGTCAAATGTCAAGGTTTGAAACTCCCTATACTCGCCACCACCTTAATGAAAACCTATCAATGGCGGGGTGGAAAGTTGTCGTGTTATCGGGTGGGACGAAAATAATAGATGAAAGTCAAGTTGCACACTGAGGGTTTTTTTTTTTTTTTTTTTTTGGGCTGGGAATTCATCTTTCTCTTTATGCATGTTCATCCTCGGCCATAGGAAAGTACCTGTGCTGAACAAGGCTCGATTTAATAACGCCATATATATGTTCTCAAGAAGAGGCCGGTCAAGGATGGAGGTACGGCCACCGCAAACGTACGTCTTATCTTGTCCGTCTTGAACATGTCCGAGTTCAAGCGCAAGAAAGCAAGAACAAACAATCTAGCAAAAAATAATATGTTCAAGCAATGATTTTAACATACGCATCCAAAAAGAAAAAGTAGGGTTTCCTCACAAAGGAAAGTCATTTATTCTCTACTGAATTCGCCCTGAATTGGTATTCAAGCAATTGAGTGCATTGAGGAGAGGCGTAATTGACCTCAGGTATAACTATAATCTTTCTTTCACCCTTCAATTACCATTGCTAAGAACCCTGTAGATTCGAAGGAAACACCTTCTTTCTCCGTCCGATCGTGGTTTTTCCACTTTACCCCTTCATATCAGAGAAAGGAGTGCTTTTTTCCTCTTCTTTTCCCTCGGTACCTCGGCGGTTACTCTTTTCTCCATCTTATGCCTTCTCACTTTCCTCGCCATCCTCAAGCGGATCTAATCGACAGACCGAGCAAACTCATGACTTGAACTGCCAAAATCCTTCATCCGCCCTCTTTTGTTCAACATCCTAGTCATCCCTCACAGGCATCGTGCCAATTTTCGACAGTGCTGTCACTTTATCCGTTTATCCGTCTCGCCTTCCACTAAGGTTCGCCTTTTCACACCTGCCCTTTCATGTCTCAATATTGTCTCAACCATTGAGGGTGTAGACACATAAATCCAAAGACAAAAGGTAGTGTATCCACCCATCATTTTTTTGGTGGCGAGCAAAATAAAGCTCGGTAGATCAGCCATTGCTTTTAATACACGTAAGTGTCTAGGTACTACTTCTACAAGCTCTTCTTGAAAAACTCGGTCAACTTGGGGACACAGTCGCTGACCTTGCGGTCATAAAGGTCCACGTGTGTGGCTCCGGCAATAGTAAACAACTCGCTCGGTTTTCCTGCTTTAGCAATCGCAATTCGACTGTGCTCAAAGGTATCTGCATCCGTTCCTGCAATCAGCAATAATGGACGAGGGGAGATCCTTTCGATCCTGGCGAATGCATCGAATGCGACCAGAGAATCATAGCTCCAAAGGGCAAACTTGTTGACGGACCGGCTGTGGGATGCACGAGACGTCAGGTAGTAGTCGTAAGCCTCCTTCATCAAGACCGGGCCGTCCTTCACATCCGCGGGGATGAACGGAAGGTACTTGACCTCGCCTCCCTTGGCGTACTCTGTCCTGTTCTCTCCAGCTTGAGCAACCAACGAAGAAAGGGTCTCCTCCGGAATCGATCCTGCGAAGAGCAATCCAATATCAACCATAGAGACGCCGGCAATGGCCTTGACACGAGCATCAGTAGAGGCTGTGGCGACTGCATATCCACCCCCCGCGCATACACCGAGCATTCCAATCCTCTTGGGGTCCACCTTGTCGTTGGCCGTGAGGTATGTCACTGCAGACTTGGCGTCTTCAATGGCGGCATAGGGGTCCTCGACACATCTGGGAGTACCCTCGCTGGCGCCTTGAGTGCGACGGTCAAAGGCCAGGGTGATGAAACCGTGTTTGGAGAGCTCAGCGGCATAGGTACCAGCGGTTTGTTCCTTGACTCCACCGCCTGGGTGGAGGACGACAATCCCGGGCAGGCGCTCGCCTTCCTTGTACGAGGCGGGGACGTAGAGGTGACCGGAAAGGGTGATGTTGTTGCTTGGGAAAGTGATTTCGATTGGAGCCATTCTTGATACGGACTTGAGTGTCAGAGAGAAAGATAGAGTGTGTGTGTGAGGAACTAAAGAGGGCGTTGGTTACTGTGTAATATCAACAGAGGGTAAGGCAGGATGGGTATAACGAATATCATTGAGAGAGGAGACAGGGGGTAATTATATTTGGAGAGAAGGATTGAGGCCGGGGACCGTCGAAGAATGTAACGTTGGAGAAGATAGTAATGAGAATGCAGTGAAGGGAAATTATGCTCCTTGACCCTCTCGTCACCCTTTTTTTTCCTTAACAGGATGGGCTAATCGAATTGCGAACACGTATACCTTCGCCGCTCGAATTGCTATGGGTGTTGGTAATTGGTGGAAAGCGAGACGGACAAACGGATAAAGTGACAACAGCGTTGAAAATAGGCACGATACCTGTGAGGGGTGACTAGGATGTTGAACAAAAGAGGGGTGGATGAATGATTTGGCAGTTCAAGTCGTGAGTTTGCCCGACCTGTCGATTAGATCCACTTGAGGATGACAAGGAAGGTGGGGAAAAAAGCACCCTTTCTCTGATATGAACGGCTAAAGTGGAAAAACCACAATCGGACGGAGAAAGAAAGTGTATCCTTCGAACCTACAGGGGCTTAGCACAGGGTGGAATCCTATTAGCCATCGATGCAAACAACGACTTGCGTGTCTACATCCTCACTGGTTGACAATGTTAAGACAAGAAAAATGAAAAAATAATGCATTGGTGTCACTCAACAAAGAAAATAAAGCAGGCTTGAGTAGAAATCCCAGCTCACACCATCAATGGCGTGTATGTTACGTAGATCCTCGTTACAATGTGACATCCCTTCAAATATAGAGGGTTATTTATACTCAACCAAGCAACAACTCTTCCTTACTCACCTCAATTAGCACACCCGATAACAACCATGTCCGCCAACAACGCCAACGTCGAAGACACTAACACCACATTCACCGGCTGGGCCAGCTCCGGCACCCTCCCTCTGAAAAAATTCTCTTACCACCCCCGCCCTCTCGGACCCAAGGACGTCGAGATCGAAGTCACTCACTGCGGCATCTGTGGATCTGACACCTCCACCATCTCTGGAGGATGGGGCCCACTCGCTGGACCCTGCATCGCCGGTCACGAGATTGTCGGTACTGTCGTCAAGGCTGGCCCCCATAGTCTTCGCAAGGTCGGCGAACTTGTCGGCGTTGGCGGCGTTGTTGATTCCTGCGGTGAATGCAAGGATTGCAACAGTGGATTTCAGCAGCTGTGCACGAAGAAGTCTTTTGTCTTTAATGATATCTACCATGATGGAAGCAATGTGCGACCCCAGGGAGGATTCGCTGACCGTATCCGTGTTAACAGCGAGTTTGTTTACAAGATCCCCTCGGCGATCTCTCCCGCTGAAGGTATAGAACGTGTTTTTCTATTGCTTCTTTCTCTTATCTGCGACCATGGCTTTTATTCACATAACTGACGCTCTACCTTCTTTTGCTTTCCTTTCCTTAGCCGCTCCTCTTTTGTGCGCTGGTATCACTACTTACACCCCCTTGAAGCACTTTGGTGCTGGACCCGGCAAGCGTGTCGGCGTCATGGGTATCGGTGGGCTCGGTCACTTGGCCATCCAATGGGCTGCCGCTTTCAAGGCCGACGAGGTTGTCGCCATCTCTACCAGCGACAGCAAGCGTGAGGAGGCCAAGAAGTTGGGTGCTACCAAGTTCGTCAAGTAAGTTTTCCTCCACATTCGTACCATTAGCTGCAATTGAAACACGATCCGCTTGTATCATGCAAAGTGTCATAACCCATTATACCCCCATCTCTTATCGTCGTGTTTCAATAGCTCAAGGAACGAGGAAGAACGTAAGGCCGCCCGCCAAAGCATGGACATCCTACTCTTGACCAGCAACGACAAGAACACCGACTGGGCCGAGCTCATCGAATACGTCGCCAACCATGGAACCTTGGTCCTCTTGGCCATGCCCGAGATCCCAACCATTGCCGTCCCCCCAAGCCCGCTCTTGATGCGCCACGTGTCCATCGCCGGATCCTTGACAGGAGGTCGTGAGATCACCCAGGAAATGTTGGAGTTTGCTGCCAAGACCGGTGTCCGCCCCTGGATCACCACCATGCCCATGAGCGATGCCAACGCTGCTGTTAAGGTTACGATGGAAGGCCGTCCCCGATACAGAGTTGTTATGGAGACTGAGGCCGCTGCTCGCCTTCAGAAGCACTAAAACGTTTACCTCATCGTTATTGGTACCATGCAAGTATTGCTGTAAATAAAAATATATCATTTGTCCCTTTTTCAAGCCTCATTATGTATGTAACATTTATTTCATGACTCTCCGTACATATATTGAGCAAAAAAAAAAAAAGACACCACCTTGGTGTCAAGCTTGAGCTTTAGGACATGTTGGGCGTGCAAAGAGATCAAAAAAAGACAGAGTGGTTAGAAAGTGTTTGAAAGTATCATAGACCATCCACTTGCATCCCCTCAAGTCCACCCTCGTACTAGTTGACAAGAACACCATTAGGCCGCATCTCCAAAAGCAGACCAGCAAAAAGTACACGACATGCCCTCACTGTTGTCCACACCTATCGCACAGACCCCCACGACAATAAGAGCGCACACCATTAAAAGGAACAAGGTCCTTTCATTCACGATCGCCTAGGAGTGGACGTATGCACACCGGTGGTCCACAGTCTCCACAAGACTGTTTACTCAACCCAAACCCACCGATGCTACAGATGTTGTTACAACACACTCTTTTGCCTATCTGACATTGTATCACTCAGTCCTCACATCAGCAAGCCCACCCATTCCCTGGATGGATCTGGGGTAAGTGGATATGTGCAATTGGGGCATACAGGTCAAGGTCATTGAAAACTTTGAATTGACACGAACGGCATCGGCTTGGAGGGATACAGTGCGTATTCTCGTGAGGGCCCATCCATGTTGTTCATGCTGGAAAGAAGAAGTAGTTGTGGGAGGGGATGAAAAGACACTGGTGGTTCTCGTTTCTAATTTCCTTCTTGGTGAGGACAGAGAGAGCCTTGGCATAGAGTGAGAAAGATCAAGAGTTCTGTTTAATGTTTTTGTTTATTTTGAGAGAGCACCGTGGTAAATTCGAGTCGGAATGTAGCATAGACAGGAGGCTTGAACATGTTGGTTGGATAAGAGTGCAGTATGGCTCGAATGTAAGCGGGTTGAGGAATGAGCTTTCGACAAACACGAAAAAAGAAGCTTTAGTACGCGTCAATCAGCGGTCACTCAGAGTACAACAGTCACGGAATGCATGGATGCCATGCCAGTGGGTTCTCCCGATCCAAGATTGGACAAAAAAAACAACGCGCTCGACTCTATATCCTTGTTATTGATCCTAGGAGTAAAGAGGAGAACACCTCGCATCTATAGAAGATTGGCGTAAGGAAAGAAGGCGTTGAGCTTGTCCTAAGAGTAAAGAAAAGAGAGAACACCTCTCATCTATAGAAGAATGGCTTAAAGAGAGAAGGCGTCGAGCTTGTCCTTGGAGAAGGAAACGTCAACCTAACAAATAAACAAGCAATAAAAATATTAATAATAGTAATTGACTATGTTCCTGTGCAGTTTCGCCTTCCTTCTCAATTGGAGCAGATCTACCAATGAAAAAGTGCGCCCGTATTCCTTCGTTTCCCATTCTCTGCGCAATGCACATGTTGTTTTGACTTTGCTTTGTCAAACAAATGAGGTTCTAGATCCAAATTCCTTTTGAGGTTACTGCGGCTCATTCTCATCTTACGCCGTGAACTGTTCTGAGGATGCACGTTTGGAGTATCCTGTATCAACAAAAACATTGGAAATGCAGATATGGATGAACGGATAAAGGAAAAAATGAGAAGTCTGCGCATTGAAGGTGAAGAAACACTGGAAGTAAACAATACCACGCTGGTGCATTGAGATAGAGCGAGAAATGGGAAGGAAGGGGTAAAAAATCTTCGGTTGCACAAGAGACGGCTAAAGTGGAAAAACTTTGATTGGGCTCATACAGAGGATAGAAATGGAATAATCCTATTCGCCAACGAGGAATTGTAAATCAAAATTGCGCGTCTGCAACCTTAGAGGTTGAACGGCCAGAACACACAGACAATATCCTCTCTCAACAGTACGTCAATATGAACAAAGAGAAAAAGTTGTTTTGTCATCATCATCCTCGCACACCAGTTTGCTGGTGCCTGATTCAAGGGTGTATCCGATAAGGAAAATGAACGCCAGCGTTATCGCAAACACAATTAAAGTACAGTACAGCACCCTCGATCCCTCCGGGGTATATCGAAACCAACGTTGTTGTCGTTGGTATAAAAAGTCGGCCATCCTCCACCTTTCTTCTTTTCTTCATCTCAAGTCAACTCAGCTCATCCCAACAACAAGAACTCTCAACCCAACTCAACCCTAACACTCAAAAACAACTATGTCTGCCACCAAAGCCATTGCCGAAGATCTCACTGCCACCTTTACCGGCTGGGCCTCCACTGGATCTCTCCCTTTGAAGAAGTTTTCCTACCACCCCCGCCCCCTCGGCCCCCAGGATGTCGAGGTCGAAATCACTCACTGCGGTATCTGCGGATCGGATGTCCACACTATGACCTCCGGATGGGGTGAGCTTTCAGGACCCTGCATTACCGGCCACGAGATTGTCGGTACTGTCGTCGAGGCTGGCCCCGAGAGTCTTCGCAAGGTCGGCGAACTTGTCGGTATCGGTGCCATTGTCGATGCCTGCGGTGAGTGCAAGGACTGCAAGGAAGGTTTCGATCAGCTCTGCCACAAGTCCACCTACACCTACAATTCGACCTACCACGCTAGCGGTGCCAAGTCCTATGGAGGATATGCAGACCGTGTCCGTGTCAACAGCCAGTACGCTCACAAGATTCCCTCGGAGATCTCTGCTGCTGAAGGTAAACAAACAATCTACGAACGCCTCGAAAGTTATATTTTTGTGTTTCTTTTCCTGCAGGGAACTACTGCACTGCGCCTCGTCCGTTGATGTCTAATCATCTTGTTTCTTTCTCTACAACCTATTTTCTCTTGCCTCAGCCGCTCCTCTCTTGTGCGCTGGTGTTACCACCTACACTCCCTTGAAGCACTTTGGTGCTGGACCCGGCAAGCGTGTCGGTGTCATGGGTATTGGTGGACTTGGTCACTTGGGCATCCAGTGGGCTGCCGCCCTTAAGGCCGACGAGGTCGTTGCCATCTCCACCAGTGACAACAAGCGTGAGGAGGCCAAGAAGTTGGGTGCTACCAAGTTCGTCAAGTAAGTTTTTTCCCTCACATTCGTGCCATGGGCTGCAATTGAAATACGATCCATTGTGTTAAGCAAAATGACCCTAACCCGTAATTTCCTTTTCTCCCATCTCCGCTTCTCAACAGCTCAAGGAACGAGGAAGAACGTAAGGCCGCCCGCCACAGCCTCGACATCTTGCTTTTGACCAGCAACGACAAGAACACCAACTGGGCCGAGCTCATCGAATACGTCGCCAACCATGGAACCTTGGTCCTCTTGGCCTTGCCCGAGATCGCAACCATTGCCGTCCCCCCAAGCTCGCTCTTGATGCGCCACGTCTCCATTGCCGGCTCCCTTGTTGGTGGCTGGAAGATCACTCAAGAGATGCTCGAGTTTGCCGCCAAGACCGGTGTGCGCCCCTGGATCGAGAAGATGCCTATGAGCGATGCCAACGCAGCTATCAACCACATGATGGAGGGTCGTCCCCGCTACAGAATCGTCATGGAGACTGAAGCTGCTGCTCGCCTTCAGAAGCACTAAAACGTTTACCTCATCGTTATTGGTACCATGCAAGTATTGCTGTAAATAAAAAATATATCATTTGTCCCTTTTTTTAAGCCTCGTTACGTGTGTAACATTTATTTCATTTGGATACAATGACTCTCTGTACATAGATTGAGCAAAAAAAAAAAGATACCACCTTGGCGTCAAGCTTGAGCTTTAGGACATGTTGGGCGTGCAAAGAGATCAAAAAAAGACAAAGTGGTTAGAAAGTGTTTGAAAGTATCATAGACTATCCACTTGCATCCCCTCAAGTCCACCCTCGTACTAGCTGACAAGAACACCATTAGGCCGCATCTCTAAAAGCAGGCCAGCAAAAGGTATACGCACAGACCCCAAGACAGTGACGAGCGGACTAAAAGAACAACGTCTTTTCATTCTTGATCGCCTAGGAGTGGACTTATGCACACCGGTGGTCCACAGTCTCCACAAGACTGTTTACTCAACCCAACCCCACCGATGCTACAGATGCTGTTACAACACACTCTTTTGCCTATCTGACGGGTTGGACCACTCAGCTCTCACACCAGCAACACCACTTATTCCCTGGATGGATCTGGGGTAAGTGGATATGTGCAATTGGGGCATACAGGTCAAGGTCAATGAAAACTTTGAATTGACACGAACGGCATCGGCTTGGAGGGATACAGTGCGTATTCTCGTGAGAACCCATCCATGTTGTTCATGCTGGAAAGAAGAAATAGCTGTAGGAGGGGATGAAAAGACACTGGCGGTTCTCGTTTCTAATTTCCTTCTTGGTGAGGACAGAGAGAGCCTTGGCATAGAGTGAGAAAGAACAAGAGTTCTGTTTAATGTTTTTGTTTATTTTGAGAGAGCACCGTGGTAAATTCGAGTCGGAATGTAGCATAGACAGGAGGCTTGAACATGTTGGTTGGATAAGAGTGCAGTATGGCTCGAATGTAAGCGGGTTGAGGAATGAGCTTTCGACAAACACGAAAAAAGAAGCTTTAGTACGCGTCAATCAGCGGTCACTCAGAGTACAACAGTCACGGAATGCATGGATGCCATGCCAGTGGGTTCTCCCGATCCAAGATTGGACAAAAAAAACAACGCGCTCGACTCTATATCCTTGTTATTGATCCTAGGAGTAAAGAGGAGAACACCTCGCATCTATAGAAGATTGGCGTAAGGAAAGAAGGCGTTGAGCTTGTCCTAAGAGTAAAGAAAAGAGAGAACACCTCTCATCTATAGAAGAATGGCTTAAAGAGAGAAGGCGTCGAGCTTGTCCTTGGAGAAGGAAACGTCAACCTAACAAATAAACAAGCAATAAAAATATTAATAATAGTAATTGACTATGTTCCTGTGCAGTTTCGCCTTCCTTCTCAATTGGAGCAGATCTACCAATGAAAAAGTGCGCCCGTATTCCTTCGTTTCCCATTCTCTGCGCAATGCACATGTTGTTTTGACTTTGCTTTGTCAAACAAATGAGGTTCTAGATCCAAATTCCTTTTGAGGTTACTGCGGCTCATTCTCATCTTACGCCGTGAACTGTTCTGAGGATGCACGTTTGGAGTATCCTGTATCAACAAAACATTGGAAATGCAGATATGGATGAACGGATAAAGGAAGAAATGAGAAGTCTGCGAGGTAAAGAAACACTGCAAAGTAAACAACACTGCGCTGGTGCAAGCGAGAGATGGGTAAAAAATCTTTGGTTTGCCCGAACCAACCAAAAGTTGTTCCCGATTAAGTCCGTCCGGGCATACAAAGAGAGTGAGGAAGTAAAGGGAAGAAGGGAGAAGAACAAAAACACAGCTGCTTACTAACTCCAAGGACGGCTAAAGTGGAAAAACTGTGATTGAGAGAGGCGGAGTTGAAGACACCGTCATTATTGACATTGGTCTCATACAGAGGATATAAATGGAGCAATCCTATTCGCCAATGAGATGGTAAACAATTGCGTGTCTGGAACCTTAGTGGTTGGAGCACACAGACAGGCCACTTTCTACGTCAATGTGAGAGAAGAGAGGAAGTGAAATGGGAATGGGTCTGGTCGCAGCTTCAATTGACATCCTCTAAGACCCCAAATAAGAAAAGTTGTTTTGTCATCATCATCCTCGCAAACCAGTTACCCGGTGCCTGATTCAAGGGTGTATCCGATAAGGAAAATGAGCGCCAACGTTATCACAAACACAATTAAAGTACAGTACAGCACCCTCGATCCCTCCGGGGTAGATCGAAGCCAACGTTGCTGTTGTTGGTATAAAAGTCGGCCATCCTCCACCTTTCTTCCTTTTTTTCATCTCAAGTCAACTCAGCTCATCCCAACAGCAAGAACTCTCAACCCAACTCAACCCTAACACTCAAAAACAACTATGTCTGCCACCAAAGCCATTGCCGAAGATCTCACTGCCACCTTCACCGGCTGGGCCTCCACTGGATCTCTCCCTTTGAAGAAGTTTTCCTACCACCCCCGCCCCCTCGGCCCCCAGGATGTCGAGGTCGAAATCACTCACTGCGGTATCTGCGGATCGGATGTCCACACTATGACCTCCGGATGGGGTGAGCTTTCAGGACCCTGCATTACCGGCCACGAGATTGTCGGTACTGTCGTCGAGGCTGGCCCCGAGAGTCTTCGCAAGGTCGGCGAACTTGTCGGTATCGGTGCCATTGTCGATGCCTGCGGTGAGTGCAAGGACTGCAAGGAAGGTTTCGATCAGCTCTGCCACAAGTCCACCTTCACCTACAACGCAACCTACCACGCTAGCGGTGCCAAGTCCTATGGAGGATATGCAGACCGTGTCCGTGTCAACAGCCAGTACGCTCACAAGATTCCCTCGGAGATCTCTGCTGCTGAAGGTAAACAAACAATCTACGAGCGCCTCGAAGTTATATTTTTGTGTTTCTTTTCCTGCAGGGAACTACTGCACTGCGCCTCGTCCGTTGATGTCTAATCATCTTGTTTCTTTCTCTACAACCTATTTTCTCTTGCCTCAGCCGCTCCTCTCTTGTGCGCTGGTGTTACCACCTACACTCCCTTGAAGCACTTTGGTGCTGGACCCGGCAAGCGTGTCGGTGTCATGGGTATCGGTGGACTCGGTCACTTGGCCATCCAGTGGGCTGCCGCCTTGAAGGCCGACGAGGTCGTTGCCATCTCCACCAGTGACAACAAGCGTGAGGAGGCCAAGAAGTTGGGTGCTACCAAGTTCGTCAAGTAAGTTTTTTCCCTCACATTCGTGCCATGGGCTGCAATTGAAATACGATCCATTGTGTTAAGCAAAATGACCCTAACCCGCAATTTCCTTTTCTCCCATCTCCGCTTCTCAACAGCTCAAGGAACGAGGAAGAACGTAAGGCCGCCCGCCACAGCCTCGACATCTTGCTTTTGACCAGCAACGACAAGAACACCAACTGGGCCGAGCTTATCGAATACGTCGCCAACCATGGAACCTTGGTCCTCTTGGCCTTGCCCGAGATCCCCACCATTGCAATCCCCCCAAGCTCGATCTTGAGGCGCCACGTCTCCATTGCCGGCTCCCTCATTGGTGGCTGGAAGATCACTCAAGAGATGCTCGAGTTTGCCGCCAAGACCGGTGTGCGCCCCTGGATCGAGAAGATGCCTATGAGCGATGCCAACGCAGCTATCAACCACATGATGGAGGGTCGTCCCCGCTACAGAATCGTCATGGAGACTGAGGCTGCTGCTCGCCTCCAGAAGCACTAAGCTTTTGTCTCTGCCTATTTCCATCCCCCGCCTTCCTCCCTCTTACATAATGACATAAGAGCGGCCGCGTCTGATCGTTTTTGTATTCCAAGAAAGCAAGAGTTGCTGTACATAATAAATCATATCTCTCATTTTTCACCTATTCAGTGTCTCTCTATCAACATGGGGGGGGTTTTTTTTTTCATTTCAGTGCAGCAACGCTGCTATGATCCATGCAAAGTGTATGCAGATTGTTCATCCTCTTTTGAATCGATGTCTCCAGCTCCTAATTTTGTTATCGCTGTGTTCATTTGTTGACTCAACTATTACTTGGAGCCTTTTTGTGTACATCCGGCTTCCACGATGTCAGTTCGAAGATCATATGCTTGATACCGATCTTCCTATCGTCCGGAACAACACCATTGTCTTCTGTTTTCTATGTGGATCTTTAATAATGAAAACTATGCCGTGAAATGACTTCTACTGTTGAGTCCTGCAACTCTCTCCCTCCCCTCGCCTGCGGTACTTGTTCACAAATTACAGACGACGAGCCTTGGGTGGCCTGCATCCGTTGAAGGGGATGGGGGTGGTATCGGATATCCTCTTGATGTCCCACTCAGTCTTGGCACGGATAGCCTTGAAGGCCGAATCCCGTCCGGGTCCGAATCCCTTCATCAACACATGCAGACTATGAATCTGCACGTTCTTCTCCTGGACCTTCTCGATCAACTTGGTCATGGCCTGGTAGCCAGCCTCGGGTCCCGAACGAGCCGATTTTTTGAATCCTGCAGATCCTGCGCTCTGGGTCGTGATGGGGTCTCCCTGGGAGTCTGTCAAGGTCAGAATGGTGTTGTTCATCGAGGCGTGGATGTGGAGGTTGTGGGAGCAAGTCTGGACGTCGCTCAAGAAACGGCCGTATCCGCCGGCGCCGCCAAAGCTGTTGGAGCCGCCCATGGCGTTCTTGGAGCTCAAGAAGCTGGTGGAGCGCGAGGCCTGCTGCTGACGGTCGGTCGCCTTGGAGAGGGTCTCCATGATCAATGCGGCGCTCGATCCCTTGCTGGTGTTGCTGTTGTTGGTGGTGCGGGGGGTCTGTTGTGATGAGCTGGAGCCCGAGAGAATGTTCATAAGTGCCTCGGTGCCTTCCATTTTCCTGCTTCCGCTGCCGTTGTTGTTGTTATTGTTGTCGGTGGTATACAATCTAGAATAGTGTTCATGATAATTGTGGATGGGTTAGTCTTCCATAATAGTGCTGACACGAGCATAAAGTCGCGAGGAGTGTGGCGACAGGTTCCTTGTTGTTATGCGGCAGGTTCGTATTGTTGGTACCTGAAGGACTGGACGGGGCGAACGCAGGGAATGGCAGCCCTGAGAGCCTGACGAGGGATGGACAACATGGCTGGCAGTTATATGTTCCTTGGTGATGCGAGGTTGGTATGAAAAAGGGTGCAAGTCCGAGGAAGAATGTCCTGAAGTGAAGGTCGATCGTCGGTCGGTCGGAGGAATGAACACACGAGCAGGTGAAGTTGAAAGCAAGGCCAGGTGCTGATCACCCAGCCGCATTCACGGACTGGGCAAGGGTAAACAAAACCGAAGGCGCAACAGTCACAACTGGGTCACGTGGTATTCCAGTCTTTGACAGAGGAAATGAAAGTTGTCTTAACGAGGAAGGAAGGGAAGAGAGCGAAGCACTCTTGCAGCTATCATGTAGCTTGCAACTTGCAGGAAAAATAAGTCTATTCGTTATCCACGATACATACCGCCTCCTGCTTCAAGTGTCGACCTCAGTCTCAATTGGGAAAAACGGCGTCGCTCTCTGAGAGTGGGTGCAGAAGCTGAGCAGAGGCAAGGCCGTTTATCAACTGGCGTCTCTATCGCAACATTGTAATGAATGTTGAGCGCCGCCACGAGGATCGATGACGAGGTGTATTTGTTTGGCGGTACTTGGCATTGGTATGGGAAGATGATAAGCGGATAACGAAGACCAAAAGACCCTAAAAAAGGACGCCACTAACTTTTTCCGAATGATCAAACTCCCAATTCGGAAGTGTGAGAGCTACTGCTTATCTTACAGATCGCTGATCAGTGATATTTCATTTCGAGAGGATTGATTGTATGTGCGTGAGAGAGAGGAAGAAACAGGGATATGGGAATAGATTCCACCTGGGCTTTGTTTATCTGGCTGTCAGTGGCTGTATTCGATCCACAGGTGGAAGAATGACTGAGAGTAAAAAGTAGCACCAAAGTCGTATGTGTGTGTGTGTGTGTCTTTCTGTCTAGGGTGATGTTTTGAAAGAAGAGAAAAGATAAGTATATGCGAGGCTGGTGTCTGTCTCGGCGACAAGCAGGTTTTCAAGACGCGAGAGACAAGGCAATCGCACAGAGTGCGAACGAGCGGAAATATCCTTCTCCTCTATAAATACGTCAGCTAAACTTTTTTGCTTTTCACCTCTTCTTTCTCTTCTTTTTTTCTTCACCTTCAAAACACCCCCTCACCCCCCTTTTCACACAAACAACACTCACTATCTCACATCATGTTGGACGACGGCATCAAGACTAACCTCGAGTGGACCTCGGCCCTCGACATCGACTACCAGCCCACCAACACCCGCAAGACCTCCATCATCTGCACCATTGGTACCGTCTCTTCTCTATTTCTCTCGATCTATCGCTCTCACTTGTTGTTGTATCGATCTCATGTACACTCATCACAACAATGCTAACCGCATCATGGACAATTTTCGTCGTTTGTTCATGCAACCAGGTCCTAAGACCAACTCGGTCGAGATGCTCAGCAAGTTGCGCGACGCTGGAATGAACATTGTCCGCATGGTATGTGAACGAACGATCTATCATATCATCGTCATCATCGCGAGAAACTTTTCTTTGCAAACAAGCAGCACGCAAAAACACGGTCAAGAAAATTAATCCAATCAATGCCTTTGTCTCACAGAACTTTTCCCACGGATCGTACGAGTACCACCAGTCTGTCATTGACAACACTCGCAAGAGTTGCCAGGGTAAGCTACTTCTTCTTTTTTGACCGGAGGGCTTGCAACAACATCAAACATCATCAAAGTGGGCAAGGATAACATCGACAACATGGACAGCAGGATGATTATTGTGTAACATTTTATCTCGGACAAACCAAACAATCAACAAAAGAAAAAAGAAGACGAGGGAACACAATCGACAATGAGATTACAACGATTGAAGCCCCACCCTTTTCCTTATCTCTTGTGTTCTTTATCGTCGATTGTGGAGAAAAAAAAAAAAAAGGGAGGTGGACGCATGGGACTGCTTGTCGCTGCAATCTATTTTGATTGCCCGCTTACTTGGATTAGTTTATCTTGTCTTGCCTTTTCGCGCGTCATTTGAATTGGGTGGGTGCATGGATCGTCATAGCCAAACTTTAGTTCCGACATGCATATTAACATAAAAACCAAACCGCATTATCTCCAAAACCAATTAGTGCACCCTGGACGCCCCGTGGGTATTGCTTTGGACACCAAGGGTCCCGAGATCCGCACAGGATTGATGAAGGACGACGTCGAGGTCCCCATCCTCGCTGGCCACAAGCTGATCATCACTACCGACGAACAGTACGCCGAGGCTTGCACGGGCGACCACATGTACGTCGACTACAAGAACCTCCCCAAGGTCATCACCCCCGGCAAGATCATCTACGTCGACGACGGCGTCCTCTCCTTCAAAGTCCTCGGAGTCGACGGCACCAACGTCCACGTCGAGGCCATCAACAACGGCAAGATCTGCTCCCGTAAGGGTGTCAACCTCCCCAAGACCGATGTCGACCTTCCCCCTCTTTCGGAGAAGGACAAGAAGGATCTCCTCTTTGGTGTCAAGAACAATGTCGATATCGTCTTTGCTTCCTTCATCCGTCGTGCTGAGGATATCCGTGAGATCCGTAAGGTCCTTGGCGAGGATGGCAAGCATATCAAGATTATCTGCAAGATCGAGAACCACCAGGGTGTCAAGAACTTTGACGAGATTCTCGAGGAAACCGATGGTGTCATGGTCGCCCGTGGCGATCTTGGAATCGAAATCCCCTGCGCCCAGGTCTTTATCGCCCAAAAGATGATGATCTCCAAGTGCAACCTGGCCGGCAAGCCCGTCATCTGCGCTACCCAGATGCTTGAGTCCATGACTTACAACCCCCGCCCCACCCGTGCCGAGGTTTCAGATGTCGCCAACGCCGTCCTCGACGGAGCCGACTGTGTCATGCTCTCGGGCGAGACCGCCAAGGGCTCCTACCCCCTCGAGGCCGTCCGCACCATGGACGAGACCTGCATCCTCGCCGAGTCTGCCATCTGCTACCCCCCACTCTTCAACGAGCTCCGCCAGCTCCAGAAGCGCCCTGTTGAGACCACCGAGACCGTCGCCTCGTCTGCCGTCTCGGCCTCGCAGGAGCAAAAGGCCGGTGCCATCATTGTCCTCTCGACCTCTGGTGACACTGCCCGCTTGGTCTCCAAGTACCGCCCCGAGGCCAATATCATCATTGTCACCCGCAAGGAGTCGACCGCCCGCTCCATCCACCTGTCTCGCGGCTGCTACCCTTTTATCTACAAGGAGCCCAAGAGCCAGGACTGGCAGGAGGATGTTGACAAGAGATTGCGTTGGGGTATGGACCAGGCCATTGAGGTCGGTCTCCTCAAGGCTGGTCAGCCCGTCGTCGTCATCCAGGGATTCCGCTCCGGATACGGCAACACCAACACCATGCGCATCATCGTCGCCTAAGTTAGTACTTTGACTTCTTGTTGATAGCATAGCTCCCATCCCTACATGACCCACTAGCATGCATCCCCCCTCTGTATAGTCCCACCTTTTTCCTTAGCATCCATATTATTCCTGTTGCAAATACAACCCCCATATGTAATCGTACTTCTCTCGAATGGCTCAAGTTGGTGTGCATGTTTCTATATTCGGGCATATGCTGCGAGTTCGTATCTTGTGGAACTGGAATGGGGGATGTGGTAGTAGAGCAGGTGTGAGGTCAAGAGAGTAGGAAATAGTGTGGTTTCGAGCATGATGCTTGACCTTGCCACAGTCACTCCTCCCCACCCTTCAGAAAAATATATATTCAACAGGTCAACAGGATCCACAAAATGCTATCAGTACAGCAAAAAAAAAACGATTCCCTTTATTCCCTCCCCCCCCTCCTCCCACCACGTCGGTCGATCCTGGAACGCGTCGTAATAAGATCCTATCGACCCTCCATATAAAGTCCCTCCTCTCCCCTCTTTCCTGGTGTTTTTCTCCTCATCACTCAACCCTCTCCCGTCTTTTCCCTCCTTCGATATGCGTATCCCAACCATCGTCCTCCTCTCCAGCGTCGCACTCTCGCTCCTGGTCACCGCCGAGACCACGCCCCCTGCTGCTGCTGCCGCCGCCGCCGCCGCCGCCATTGCTCCTATTTCAGCAAACGTCGCTGCCCCAGCAGCAGACACCACCCAACCCAAAGACATGGAACCCCTCAGCTCCTTAAAGATGAACGAAGACGGGAAGACCTACCCCGTCGGGAATGGCATCGTCTTCACCAAGACGACCTTTGTCGTCGACGACAAGAACAAAGATAAATCTGGCACCAAGGACGAGGCGGAATTCAGTGTACAAGGATTCTTGGACGACCTTTTGGGAATTGATATCAGCCTCGGAGGTGGTGGTGGCGGTGGGAAGAAAAAGAAGAAGGATCCCCCTTCTGGTTCGACGACGACCCCACCGGCTGAAGAGACGGATCCGGATTATATCCCGTTGTATGGGGATGACGGGTATAGGCCTCGTCCGGTGCCTAAGAGGTGTCCGGAGTTGGTTTTCTTGGATCAGATGGTAAATGTTTGAGAGAAAAGAGAAGGGGTGGTTTTGTTGCAATAGAATGCATTTTAAAATCGTGGTCCTTGTGTTAACTCGGTTGATATTTGATAGATCTGGGACCAGCAGGGTAACAACGGATCAATTGAGGGTCCCGCATCCACCACACCTCCCGTCTCCTCTCCCGCCGACGCCTCTGCTTCCTCTCCATCTGAAGCAGATGCCGACAAGAATGCCTCCGAGATCGAAAAGAGGAACGCCCCCGCCGCCGCTGCCGCCGAGGACAAGGCAACCACCACCACCACCGAACTCAAGGACAAGGACGAGAAAGAAAAGCTCATCACAAAGATCAACGCCTCCGCCGTAACAGTCATCGACCCCAAGGACCTCTCCAACGACAAGGACCCCAAGAAAGTTGACCCCAACGGCATCCATATCTGCCTGCTGGGCGGGTGCAATGACGACGATAATGATGACAAGCCAAAACGTCGTAGGGTCCGTCATAAACAGAAGAAGTTCTTGAGACAGTTCAAGGGTAAGGCATTGAAGATTGACGGTCGTACCGGGTGCCCTATTCCCTCCGGGGCCTAGAGAAAGGAACGTAACATACCCCCCACATCCCCCGCCCATGCACACACAAAGAAAACACCAACAACAAAAAAACCGATTGTACATAGACCCTTTCAAAACCCCCCACAGAAGCGATACCAGTAATGCCACTTCTAACGAACAATAAAAAAAAACCAACTTACAGAATACCTTTTGAATAGGAAAATGATGTTTTATGATAATGCATGAAAAAAAATAATGGAAGGAAGAGGGGGAATGAATGCAGGCAAAAAGAAATAACTACAGAAAAGTCTACTTGAAGGGTGCGGTGAGGGGATCGATGATCTTTCCGAGCTTGGTGGTGACTCTGGGGAGGGTCATCTTCTGGAAGGTGGCGTTGGTGTTCCATTCCTTTCCGACGGGGGCACGGAGAGACTGCTCGTACTGGGCCCAGGTCGTGAAGGGGTGAGGGATCTTGGTCACAGAATAGTTCGAGGCCTTCTTGTCGCGCTTCTCGTTGATGATCACATGGGCCAGCTTGGCATCCTTACGTTTGCTGATATCCACTCCATCGCCTGGTTGTGCCTTCTTCACCACCACATTCTTCCTCTTCTTCTGTCCCTTTCCTGCCCACGAGCCCTGTTAGTTTTAGGATGAGGAAGTATGTAAAGAGGGTGTTAGCAAACTATAATGTCAACAAGGACTTGATCAGGCATTACAAAACAAGAAAAGAAACGTACCCATCCAGGAAGGGTGAGGTCGATGTCCTTGGGCTTCTCGGCTTCCATGGTCTCCATCTTCTCCTTCTCAAACTCTGACACAACATTGTCGTTGGCGAAAGCGCGGGCGACGAGATCGCGTTGTGAAAGAGCAGCGACAGTCTTGGTATGGACCATCACGGGCTCAGGGTCCGAATCGTCCGAGTCATTACCATCTCCCGCTACCGTTACCGTTCCCTCCTCTGCTTCTGACATTTCTTCTGCTGCTGCCTTCTTGTTCTTCTTGTCCTTCTTCGACGTCGTTGGTGCTGGTGCTGATGCTGTGGTCGGTTCGCCCTTGTGCAATCCGCGCTCCTTTTGGCTGTCCTTGCTGAGGGTCAAGAAGGAGCTGGTATCAATCTGGACGTCGTCATCCGATCCGGCCTCGGCGTCCTTCTGCTTCTTGATCTTGGCCTGCAACTTGTCGACCTTGGAGCTGTCCTTGGTCGTGCCCTTGTCGTTCTTCCGTGCAATCTTGCCCTGGTGGTGCGTATCCGTCTTGAGCCATGGGTTGGTGGATCCGTCGTCAGAGCCATCGTCCTGCGCGGCAGTCCGTGCGCTTGTGCCAGCAATCTTGACAGTGACAGGGCCGGCAACCTTAGTCGTGTGTCCAGCTGAGAGCGCAACCTTGTTGATCTGACCAGCATTGTTCAACTTGACAGCCTTGTCGGGTTGACTGTTTTTCTCGATAGGGCCGTCCGAGGCAGTACCAAAGACCATGCGTCCACCGGCACCAATGACAGTACCAGCCTCAGCCTCCTTGGTCTTCTTGCCTCCCTTCTTGTTCTTCTGGACCGTCTTCCACTCGTCATCGCTCGACATGTTGCGCATCTCCTCCTCCTCCTCCATCTCCTTGCGGAACTCGTCGGCGGCAATCTGAGCCTGCATCTTGCTCCTTTTGGCAGCATCCTGCATGAACTTCATGGCAAAGACTCCCTTGCCAACCTTGGCTTCCTTGGCAGCATCCTCAGCCTTGGCCAACTGAGCCTCGACCTGAGCCAACTCGTCAAAGGCACGAGCCTTGGCACCCTCGACATCGTCGTCCTCCAGATCACTGTAATCGCTCTCACCACCAGATTGCTCCTCGTCCGAGTCGACATCCTGGATCTTGCGTCTCAGACGGTCACCACGCTCAATCTGTTCGGTAATGGCCTGGCGGGACTCGGGATCAAAGTTGCCGTGCTTGAGCTGGTCCTTGGCCCACTTTCCAGTGTTCTTGTGCTTGAGGGTCATACGCTCCTGGGCACGCTTCTGCTCGGCCAACAGACGTTCCTCGTGAGCCTGGGCCGGGTCGAGATCCTCCATCTCCTCGGCAGTCAATCCGTTGCGTTCACGCTCCTTCTTCTTGATCTTGCGGTACAGCTTGCTCTTGATCTTGGAGACACGCTTGGCACGGATCTCGTCACGGAACATCAACTCACGCATCATGCGGAGGTCCTGTCGACGTTTCTCCACCTCCTCGGTTGTCATCTTGTTCAGAGCCAGTTCCTCAAACTCGACCAGCTTGCGTTCCTGCATACCACCCTCCATCAACACACTCTCGACCTCACGCTCCATCTTGGTCGAAACACCAAAACTGCTAGCAAGAGAGGCACTCGAGGGAGTATGGATACCGGGGGCGTTCATGGGGAAGGCCAAGTGCTCGGCTTGACGGTTCTGCTGGACAATGGGCAGCCACTTGGAGATCTCCTTCTTGGACTCGTCATAGGCAGCCTGACGGTTCAAACGATCCTGGACAATCTTGGGCAAAGGTGCTGTCAGGGTATCGGCAGACTTCCCGCTCTTGGGACCATTATCTAAAGCTTGGACGTTCTTCTTCAACGAGCTGAAGCCGGCCTCATCCTGAATAGAGCTGACCAAATCAAACATGTCGAGTTTCTTCTTGTTGCTGGGTCCGTTGAGAGAGTGTGCCGCAGAGGATCGGTGAGCCTGAAGGTTGTATTCGGACTCGTCGTAAGCCTCAGTACGCTCGCGGAGGTTCTTACGAGCCTTCTTTGTCGAGGCCGAGGCGTTGTCATCCTGCTTGCGCTTCTTGACAGATGTCTCCAACGAGTCGATAAAGCTGGTCAGGTTACTGGACTTGCCCTCGTCCTCGCCCTCGTCCATTTCCTCATCTTCCTCCTCGCCCTCCTCGGCATCCTCCTCATCATCCTCATCCTCGTCTTCATCCTCCTCTTCATCGTCGTCGCCGCCAAACTTGAAGTCGTCGACCTCGCTGTCAGAGTCGTTGAATCCTGTGACCTTGGTCTTCTTGGGCAAAGGAATCTCATCATCCGACTGGGGCTGGTCCAACATCTCGGAGATATCCATGTATTCTGCACCCTCTTCCTCCTCGGACTCTTCCTCTTCCTCGCTCTCATCCTGGTCCATCATGTCCTCGTCCTCTGAATCCGCGACTTTGCTCTTGCCCTATTCAACATTTCACATATTCAACAACAGCAAGACTTTGTCAGTAAAAATCGATGGGTTTTATAATGCATGTAAAGAGAAAGAGAGAGAGAAAAAATATGAACAAAGCATACGTTGCCATGGTTTATAATGCATACCTTCTTATCAGCGAGCTGCTTCTTCTTCTTATTCTTCTTGGCCTGATCCTTGGACCCATAGAACTGGAAGTTCTCATACTTTTCCTCGTCGCCCTCATCAAAGGCCTCATCAGAGTCAATTTCTTCATCATCCTCATCATCAATCTCGTCAACGTTGTACTCGTAGTTTTCAACCTCGTCCAGGTACTGCTTACGACGTCTCGCAGTCTTGGACTCGTCCTCGTCATCGAGCGAGAAGACGTTGGCGAGGTTCTTGACCACCCTGTTCTTGCCGGTTCCTGAAGACGCAGCCGCTTCTTCTGCTGCTGCTGCTGCTCTACCGCGAGCTTTTCTGCTGTGGTTGTTGGCTTGTGGTTTCCTGTTCATGTTGTTGTTGCTGTTTCCACCACTGCCGGCACCTCCTCGTCCTGTGCCTCGTCTTCCTGGAGCCATGATGTGTATGTGTGTTAAAGAGTTGGGGTTTGTCTCCGGATAATGTGAGGAAGATTAGGGGGGAGAAAAATTGACTGTGTGGGAAAGAAAGATGAGACTTGTGCAGGTCTCTGTTCGGTTCGAGTCGAGAAGGAAAGAGTGAGCAGAGATGTGCACAAGGCAAGGCGGAGGGGAGGGTGAAGTAATGGAGGATGCAAGAAAAAAAAAGTAGCGACAGGGCAGGCACAAACGAGCAAAAAGCAGTTGATGTGACTGTTTTCCAAAAAAAAAGAAAAAAAAGAGAAATGTAAACAAGCAACTGCACATACAAATGCACACCCTTAACAAAAGTATAATTTAGTGGCGTAAATTGTTTTTGAGGAACAATATATTATCTTTTATTTCTACGTGTCCTCGCGCTCGAACCAGCCAGAATGAGTTGCCAGAGGTTTAGTCTTGTAGAGCGAAGGTCTTGACATCCCCCTCGATGTTTCCTGAGATCCAGTTGCTTTAGAACCTCCAGCAGCAACAGCTGCAGCAGCAGCCAGCTTCTTGTCGTCCTCTTTACTCAAAACACCCAACCCAATGCCCACAGAACTGACTCTGCGTGAGCTCAAAATGGACGAGTTGCGCTTATCCCGCTTTAGAGGTTCTGGAGGAGGTAGTCGCGGCGAGACAGCACTAGGTCTCTGAGTATTGCTGAATGTCCTTGCAGTCGTAGTTGGAGGTGCCCTGTTGCCATTAGGCTGGATAATCGATGCAGGTGCAACCTTCGGGGAGAGAGAGGCGGATGGATAGCCGGTGCCCTTGTTGCCATTCATCTGCATGGAGGCAAAATCCTTATGAAGGACCTCCTCAGGTGGAGGGCGATTCTTGTTCGTTGTGGGTCGGGGTTCAGTCCGGGAGCTATCCGTTTCTGAGTGTTGCTTCCCTGACCCTGTCCATGATCTTGCGTCCACACTGGACGAGAATCCTCCAGGCATGGTCCCTGAAGGATAGTGATGGTTGTCATGTTTTGACGATCTCCTGCGACTGAGTTGCGGGCGCGACGAAAGGGACTGTCCGGCTGAGGGTGAATGTCCATCCACCGTTTGTAGTGAGTTTGACGAAGTCGAGGGTGTAATACTTGACTTGTTTTTGCCTGATGGCGAGATCCTTCCCATGTGTTGACTCTCCTGCTGGCCACTGTGGTCAAAATCGGACGATAGTCGAGGGTTCCTTTCCACGTGAACGTACTCGCTCTCTGACAATGCCTCATCCATATCGTTGTACTCGTCCGAATCCTGGTCACTGAGCTCGCGAGGTCCGTTTCCAGCTCCCATCTGCATCGCATATCGCCGAATACCAACTCGTCCTTGAAGCCGACGATGTGATATCCGGGGCGAGCTCTGACCATGGCCTACCAAATCGCTCTTGTACTGACCAAAGCCACTAGGATATCCTGTAGTTTTGTTGTTGAGATGGCCTAGACCGTCCTTAGAAATATCCATTCCGCTGACACTGTTGGATTCACTCTTGCTGCCTGGCGATTGTGTCCGATTGTTGCCGTTGTGACTGTAGTACTGCACCGACGCTGGTCTTTTGGGAGGCACTGATCGGAAAGCAAAGTGTTCCAAGTTCTGGGCAAAGGGCGAAATGGTCTGGTTGCTGTGGGTCAAGCGCTCAAACTTGTTGGCCAGATGGGTCGATTCGGCAACGCCAAGCAAAGAATGTGCCGTTTCGTCCCGCATTGAGAGACGTTCCAGTGTCGATGGGGTGTACGCTTCTGCATAATCGTGTCGTTCAGATATGCGAGATGATCTTCTGCTTGGAGGTTGAGATCGACGTCCGACGGTGGGGTTGTTGGATTCATGGCTCAGGGACTCTTCCAGCAAATCCCGCTGAGCATCGCCCGAATACTCTGTGTGAGGGTCCCTCCGAGATCCACTGCCTGGTGACTCTGAACGTACTGTGGCCGAGGCTGGCTTCCTGACTGGTTTGAGTCCATCATCGTTGTACTGTGCGCCCATGCTGTAGTCAGGTTCCGAATTGGTCCTTCCTGGGGCCCTTTTTCTGGGTGGGATGACGGATGACCGCCTAGAAGGAATCTGCGAGACCGATGGTGTCGCGGGTCCGCCGTCATAAATGCCTCGCCCATGGAGCTCCTCCTGCTGGTGTTGCTGGTGTTGTCTGGAAGCATCATCTGGCTTTTTGGTGAACTGCTGAGAGAGGTTATGGATGGCGGTAGGGAGATCCTCCTGGAACAGATTGCGGAGCTGCTTTTCGATCTCTGATTGGAGGAAGCGCTGGATGGGCGTGATACTGTCGAAGGTGGAACTGACGAGGACGGACTCTAAGGGGTCGTTCTTGAAGACGAGGGTGATGCCCTTGATCTGGTCCACAACGAGGACGATGATTCCACGCAATTTGAAGTCTGAAATCCTGAGGAGCATGGGTACAACGAGCGGCTGGTCTGCTGCCAGGATTCCACGGCGGGTATAGGAAGGATTGTCAGTCTTCTTGACATTCATGGGGTTGGCCTATATGTGTATCATGGAAATGAGTGTCAGATTCATACAGAAGACGGACAGGTTGGAAAAGGCACGGTTTGTTGGTTTTCTTTGTACCTGAACTTTAGTTTGGAGGACGATATGAGCATCACCATTGTAGGTGAGTTTGAAGATGCCACGGAAGCGCTCCATCGATAGCTCTCCCATCTCCAGCATCTCCAGCTCTGGCGGCTACAGTGGAAAAGAGAAGATAGTGTGAGGATGGTGATTAGCGAACAGGGTAGTGAGCGGTAGGTATCTGGGATCAGGCAGAGCAAGGCACAAAATGCTTTTTCTCTACATGTGATGCTGGAAAAAGAAAGAAAGCCCTTACCAAGGTGCCCATGTCGAGCTCCTTGACAGTGATATGGTCGACGATAACAGCGGGCTTGTTTCCTTTGTTGAGAGCGTTGGTCAGCATGGTCTTTGCTTCCTGGATGAACTCTTCCGAGAAGTATGGCCATTGGAATCGAAAGGCCATTGCGGATCAGTTGTCGTCGTGTGTTGAATCTGACGGGTAATATGTTTACGAGTTGGGCAAAAGAGACTGTTGAAGTCTTTAGTGTGTGTCCTGTTGTAAGGAAGGCGTAGGTGGAAAAGAGTGATTCAGAGGAGTGGGTGTGGATTGGTTCTGATGGAGAGACCAGGGGGGAGACAAGGGGTCATTCGATAAAGGGTGTGTCCCGGTTGGATGGTTGGTTGTAGTTTGTGGAGTGAGAAAAGGTGTGAGAAGGTGAGAAGGGTGTCGGTTGTCCCAAGTACCGGAGGGTGCCAACTTTGTCGAAGGTCGAGGGTTGAGGGGGGTGAAGTGAGAAGGCAAGGAGGGTCAGGTGGTGGATAAAGGGCTCGAGTGTGAATGCCAATGGTAGAAGAGGAAAAGGGTCCAAGAAAGAAAAGCAAGGGGGAAAGAGAAGAAAGGGAGGGAAGGGGAAAGAGGGAAGGAGGAAGACTGAAGTAGAGAAGTAGAATGAAAGAGAGGCATCCGATACCAGGAGACAACCTTGAAAAAGGAAATAAACGATTCGATGAGTGCGAATTGACAAGGGAAAAAGTGACGGCGGTTTTGCGTAACAGGGAAGGGAAGGAAGGGAAGGATGGGAAGTAAAAGAGATCAGCTTTCCTTCATTACATTCATTCATTCATTCACTGTTAGCCATGGGAGTCACCAAGAAGACCATCACCCCCGGAGACGGAATCAACTTCCCCCAGCCAGGACAGACCGTCGTCATGCACTGTATGTTATACAATCAATGGTGATCCATTGTCGTGTTATTGAGGAACACTTCAGTACACTGATATATCATACGAATATCAGATCAACATCATATGCTAACGCCTTGATCAATGTTCACATACCTAGACACCGGCACTGTAAGTGGGCGATGGAAAGAGCGAGCAATGGTCCATTGATACCAGGACCATGGACAGCAACCAACCTAACTTCTTTCTTTCCTTCTGATGCCCATCCAGCTTGAGAATGGCCGCAAGTTCGACTCGTCAAGGGACCGGGGCGAGCCCTTTGTCACCCCGATCGGAGTTGGACGCGTCATTAAGGGCTGGGAGAAAGGTAATTGTATCGCATCCCTTTCATCCCGCCTCATTGCAACCCTAGTTCAAAAAAGAATCCCAACCAACGACCAATAACAACATCACCAACGATATCGGTGTGCCAGGGGGAGGTGCAGCATGCACAAGGGACAAAAAGGGAACAACAAAAAAAAAAAAAAAAAAAAGGAAAAGAAAGAAAAGGAAGAAGGGGGAGGGTTGATGCCCCCCAAATGGACTACAACCCGTTAACTCATCTCGTTCATTCATTGCGTACATATACATGTCGCTACTTCTTCCCCCTTCCTCTTACTTGCTTGTTTTTGTTCAAGAAATTCCACTGTTTTGATCTTGTCTACCTACTCATTATATTTGCACTTTTCTCAACCACCAAAATAACCCAATGGCACATAATAGGTGTCCCGCTGATGTCGGTAGGAGAGAGGGCTGTGCTGCACATTACCTACGACTATGGGTACGGTGCTCGCGGTATGCCCCCCGTCATCCCTGGCCTCTCCAACCTCATCTTTGATGTTGAGCTTTTGGAGATTCGTAACTGAGCGCAAACTCGCGCGTCCTCATTGACCCTTGAATAAAAATCTAGCAAATATTACCCAATTGATCGGCAGCTGTGTTTAGAGCCGTATGTAGGTGGGCCAATGGATAAACCATAGATGAGCCAAGGAAGGTTGTATCGCGATCAATGGGGGATAGAAAGGGTCTTGGCGCTTATTATTATTATTATTATTTTAAAAAAAAGGCAACTTCGCGAAGGAAGTGGAATGCCCTGGGAGGCTGGAAAGCAAATGTGGGATCAAGTTTTTTTCCTGTTCCTTGTTAGCTTATCAATAGGATAATGGAGGTATTTACGAAAACAAAGGAAGAAGTAAAATTAGGATTGGGTGGTGGTATTGTTCTTGCCGGATGGTGAGTGTTCTTTTGGAGGGAGACGTTGTTTGATCGTTTGCTGCTGTCCAATATTTTGCCCCTGGATGTGTCTCAGGATCGGATTGATTTGAAGGAAAGGAAGAAGTGAGACGCCTGCGGGAACGCAATGGCCACACATCCAAACAACAAACAGCACACACCCCTCGCGTCCCTCTTTCTCTCTTTTCTCTCTCTCTCTCTCTCTCTCTCTCTCTCTGTGTGCCCCCCTCTTTTCTTTTCTTCTCTTTTCTTTTCGTGAAAAAAACGACAAGGGGACAGGGCGGAAAGCGAGAGAGAAAAGAGGAAAGGAAGGGAGGGATGTTGTTGTAGTTCTTGTTGAAGTTGTTGCTATTGTTGTTGCTGTTGTTGCTGTTGTTGTGGCACAGGAGAGGATGTGCAGGTGCAGACGAGTGTCCAATGGGTTGCACGCTCAGCAAACAAACCAACAAACGACAGCAAGATAACAACAACAGATGCAATGGTCAATTGCCGTAGGGATGAAAAGAAGAAGAAAAAAAAAGGCGGGGGGAAAAACACTTATCACACACACTTGAGCTAGCAAGGGTCCCTTCTGATTCAATTGGTAGAAGCCTAGAAGGGAGCGAGAGTGAGAAAGAGAAAGAGAGGTACATGGTTCGAGGTACTTTTGAATGCTCGCTCTGGGATTGGATTTTAGGGGCTGCCACTCCGGGGTCTCCCTGAAGTGTTTTGAGACACAGAGCAAAGGAAGGGATGGGTACTCGTACGGATAAAAAGAGACTTTCTTCCTTGCTTCTTTCTTTCCCTTTCGTCCCTTCCTTCTTTCTTCGTTCTTCTTTCTTCTTTGTCACACCCCACTCTTACTCACACTCCCTCTGTTCCTCCCTCTCCTCTCTTTCTTTTTCTTTTCTTTTCTTGCTTCTCTCCTTTCATTCCTCCCTTCTTCACTCACTCACCCACCCTTCCTCCCATTTCACCCATCCTTTCTTTTCTCACATGGACGTCTACTCGCTCACCAGGAAGCAGCGCCCCACCCACTTGACTCGAGGGGAACTAGACAAGTCCCACCTCACAAACACCACAACTACAACAGCCATGACCCAGCCTGAACAGCAGCACTCACAACTCCCGCCCGAGTACAGGCAAGCCCTCCTTGAACAACAACAAAAGCAGCAACAACAACAACAACAACAAGTCCCTGCTGCACCCCCGACGTTACAAGAGATCGAAAGCAAGCACTCGCAGCTCCCGCCGCAGTACCGACAGGCTGTTTTGGAACAGCAGCAACGGGAACATCAACAACGTCTACTGCAGCAACAACAACCTCAACAACCTCAACAACCAAACACCTCCTCGAGACCCGATACCCAACGACTCTACCAGTCAGCCTCCGTCTCGTCCTCACCTACCGGGAAGCCTAGCCCCAACGGCGCTAAAAGCCTAGTCGCTCGTCGGGCTGGTGCGAATGCGTCGCATCAACGCATTGTCTCGGCCCCTCTCATGAGTTCCCACCGGTCCGACCGCAACGAGGCCTATTCGAATGCAACTAGTCCCGGCCGTGCCCACTGGAAGGTAACAAACATAACAGACCCACCCTTGTTCGTAGTTATTCCGAAGGAAGGCTCCTTTTATCCCACATGGCAATTGAAGTCAGAAAAGAGACGGACAACTGATCCGATAATTATAATTCTATTCAACTTTGCACTTTACTCTGTTCATAGCCCGACAGCAGCACCCAGGTTTGCACCTGGCCAGGCTGTCTCCGCGAGTTTGGCTTCTTTGACCGCCGACACCACTGCAGGAGGTACGTTTTTTTTTTTTAATTAGCTACTTTTCGTTCTTCATTTGCTTCGTCTCTTCTGTCTTTAAGCTCCAATTGCTTCGGAGTCACGCAACTCACTCTTCTCTGCATGCACCAATCCCATTCATTTCATATTAGATGCGGCGATATCTTTTGCAGCGCTCATTGCTCAAAAGCAGTTCCACTGGATCAGGCATTGGATTTCAACCCGGCCATGGGCGTTACCAGCAGAGCCTGTACAGGATGCTTCGAGGCCTATGAGCAGTGGCAAGGTTTGATCCCCTCCAACGGCACCACTTTTACCAGTCAACAGAGTGCGAGGGGAACCTTTGGATCTGTTTCAGACAGCCACATCCCCAGCGAGTACTCGACCCTCAAGGGATCGCCTCTGAGCAAGCCAGCGGGATTGTCGCCTTCCCGCAAGAACACTGGACATATCCCAGACGGACTTCTTGCAGGCAGCACCTCTTCAAACGAGACTCTGGGTCGCGATGGTAATTACATACAGCATTCTTATTTCTTTCTTGGAGCAATCTTTTCGGAACCTGGTGATTGACCTCTTGTCTATCATTTGAATTGTAGATACGGTGCGGCTCCCAAAGTCAGCATCGGACAACATCGCTATCAAGACACGGCCCGTTCAAGGTATGAGGGTTGCATTGGCGGACTTGGACGTTGTGTTCATATGAGACTGTTTCTGTTGGTATGGAACCGCATTTCTAATATCAAAATTTGGTCCCTTGTCCTTTTTAGTAGACACATCTAACATGCCAATGCCTTCTGTCCCTCACGACTGGTCTTGGAGCACCTTCTAAGGATACCTCATTGACAGGACACTCTCACGACAGGATGCATTTCAACGACGGGACGCGACACGATAACAGTGCTTCAAGTAATGACGTTCCTCTCATTTTTGATTTTTTTTGGGACCACATTCAACATTCAATGCCACACATTCATATTACCTCACCACAAGCACAACGCAAAAGCATACACGTTTTTTTTTACAACCACAAACAAAAAAGAAAAACACATCCACGACCTTCATGCATACACATCTCTACTAAGATGAATGAAAATACACCACCAATAATACATATTTTTTTCATCAACAACGATTCACTTGAGCGCGCAATGCAATGATGTTTCAAGAAGTATGTATATTTACAAGTTGGTTCGTATGTACTAGTCCCAAAGGCGAGATAGAAGGGGTGACAAATGTCGGGTGAAAAAGAAAAGGCACTAGGAGCTTCTTTTAAACCTTGCGCTCGAGATCACCACGGACCTCATTAGCGTTCCCGCGAGCCTCCACACTCGTGTCCCCCGTCAAGGACCCGACAGTCTGCTGGAGTTGTCCTTCAGCCTTGTGGCCGACTCCTTGGGCGTGGGTCTTGGCGTCGGCGGCCTTTTGGGCAGACTCGGCCTGGGACTGTTGTTGGGCACCGTTCGCGGCGAGGGTGGTGTTTCCGATGGTGTTTCCGATCGCCTGCTTTGCGGCGCCGATGTAGGAGTTTGTGGAGTTTGCGAGTCTGTCGGTCATCTTTTTTATTTTGTTGGTGTGTAGGTTTTGAGTGTGTTTGTTGGTGGGGTTGGAGTTGCGTGAGGGTTGGTTTGTTGATGGGGTTGTGAAGAAGAGGAACGAGGGTGGTTGCTTTTATGTGTTTTTTTTTGTAAAGAGAAAGAGGTGAGCTAGTATGTAGCAGGAGGGGGGGGGGAATGCCGTCATGAATACGAGTTGTATTTGCTTTCTTGATTAAAGGGGTGATGAGAAAGAGAACCGGAAGACATGGGAGGGATGGGGGTATTATGACGCCCAGGTAAACCTTAATGTCATCAAACCAGTGCGCTAGTTACCAGGCATACATTTACGAAATGATGGCATATTGACGTGATGTGCCTACTTTTTTTTGTGAGAGGGTGTGTGCTATGCCTCCCACCCCAACAGGCAAGGGTTCAGGGCAGATCTGAGATTGGTTCGTCTTTGTTCTTTCAGATTTAGTTAGAGCCAGGTCCAACGCAAATCTCGTGAGCCCTTTGCTTTTGTGAGAGAGAGCGAGAGCGAGAGTAAGAGAGTGAGAGAGAGACGTGAAGGCTGCTTCAAATTGATTGTAAGGCATGCATTTGCTTCTAGAACAGAACACGAGCAAGAAAGAGATAAGGAGGAGGGAGGTTCCCTGTCTTTTATTTTTTTGAGAAGGACAACGGCCGCGATAAAAGCAAATAGGATGAGTATGACGGGAACTCGTCCTTTTATTCTGTTCAACAGGTCACTCGTACTTCTCACCATTCTTTCGTTCCACATGTGCGAAGCATAATTCAAAAGAGAGATGAAAAGTACTCGAAAAAAAATTGTGTTTTTATTACAGAAAAGTTATGTACAGCTTGAGCCTTCAGGAAAGAGTGGGTGGAGGGTCTTGAGGTTGGACAGTTCAGGTCTTGAAGCTTAGACCTTGCGCTCGAGATCGCCGCGGACCTCGTTGACATGGCCGCGAGCCTCCATGTCATTGTTGCCAGTCAAAGATCCGACGTTCTTCTGGACCTCTCCCTGGACCTTGTGGCCAACACCCTCGGCGTGGGTCTTGGCATCGGCGGCCTTCTGGGCGGCATCGGCTTGAGTCTTCTGATGGGCTCCGTTGGCGGCAAGGTCGCTGTAGCCGAGGGTCTCACCGACGGTCTGCTTGGCGCCGCCGATATAGGAGTTTGCGGTGTTTTGGATTCTGTCGGTCATGTTGTTATGTGTGTTGAGTTGGGGGTTGTTTGGGGCTTGGGTTGAGTTGAGTTGGTTGGTTGTTGTTGTTGTGTTTGTTGTTGATGGGGAGGAAAAAAAAATATTGCGAACTGCTCTCCCTTTTTATTCATTCTTCGTCGGTCGGTTTCCGTCATCCAGGGGAACTCATAGAAAAAATGATGCGCGTCAAAATGTCGTAATGAAATCTAGGTCGAGAGAAATAAGGTTTCTGCATAATACGACTCTGGGTGATAAGGGGTAACAGGATCACTTTGGTCATTCCAGATGATGTAACTGTAGACCGTCATAGAAAACGTACCCTGCCGGTTGCATGTGAAGTACAACCATAATACGTCATGAACCGCCTAGCGTTTTTTTTTTTAGGATACTATTTTTATTATGCGATGATGAATGCTGAAGGAAAAAAAAATCAGTCGACCCTGCGACGCTTGGGACCGCCCAAGATCTTGGTCTTCTCCTTTGCAGAGTTGCGTTTCCTCCTCTTCTCCATGGCCCGGGCCAAAGCCTTGGGACTCTCGCTCAAGTGCTTGAACTTGTCGATCAACTCTAGCTTCTTCTGGTCTGACTTCTTCAAGAAGAAGGGGTTCTTGCCCTTGAGGACCAATTCCTTCTCCTTGCGCTTGTGGTCGCGCTTGATCTCCTGGCGACGCTTCTGCGAGGCTTCGGTGGCTTGACGGTCGATCATGCGGCTGAGTTGGTTCTGGAGCTTGTCTTTCATGTCTGGGTCGCGCTCCTTCTTGACAAGTTCCTTGAGTTTCTTCATTTCGTCCACTTGGTAGTCCTTGAGGAAGGAGTATGACTTTTCGAAGAGGTCGTTGTCGAGTTTTCCGCTTAGGCTGTCGAAACGAGGATCACGGCGTTTCTATGAGGTTGAAATTTGAGCGTGATATGTATGATCGTTAAGAACTGATCCGATTGTGTCCTGTCTTTAGTCTCTGTTGGGCATTGAGTAAGACGAAGAAAATTCCTTACAGCGCTGGCGACCTCCACGACTTGACGGTAACGTCCAACTGGCTTCTTTGATCCGATCTCCATTGGCCTATATGATACACGGCACATGGTGCAGAGGTGTTAGATGCCACAACTCTTTCAAATAAGAACACCGCCAGTAAGAAATGCACATTCCGGCTCAGACTCATGAGATCGTACCTGTTTTTGTCTGCACGCTTCTCAATAAATTTCCGCTCCTTCTTCTCCTTGTTCATGGCATCCCTCAGCTTATCCATCTTGTTCTTGGGTCGTCTCTCCTCCTCCTCGCTATCCTCCTCGCTATCCTCCTCCTCTGAATCATCATCATCATATCGATCCTGAGATGCTTTCCGTGCGAGTCCCTTGGTGGCGACCTTCTTCTTCTCTGCTCCACGCAAGGTCTGGTGGAAGACCTTCATGCCGACCTTTTGTTGGATCTCTGCCAATTTGTCGAAGGGTATCTGAGCCAGGTCTAAGATGAACACAAAAGAGTAGACAATAGTGAGTTAGACACCGATCCAGGTCCCACTGTGTCACCGCCTGTGTTTCGCGGTTTCTCTTCAATGTGGTCCGCCTTGTTGCGGGAACTTACTCTTTTGGAGTTCCTTGAGCTTCTTGTCATCATCATCATCGTCGTCAGAGTCATCAGAGTCATTAGAATCTGAATCTTCGTCGCTGTCATCCGAGTCATCCGAGTCCTCTTCTTCTTCTTCTTCTTCCTCTTCCTCCTCCTCCTCGCTATCCTCGTCAACTTCACTCTGCATCTTCAAATCGTCTGAATCCTCCTCTTCCTCCTCGCTATCCTGTTCCTCGTCGTCAGAGGGTTCCTGATCACTACCGCCGCCGCTGTTGTTCTGGTCGAGGTCGCTATCGCTTTGATCGAATGTCTGCATACGCCTCTACAAAATTTATGAAAAGAATAAAGTAGCGGGTTAGGAGGATTTTAGTGGCGCATTTCCCTTGGGACTGACTAGGAAGGTATTTTGTCCCCGACATTGGAAATGAATTTGACGACAGGTTGCGCATAAGGTTGTTTTTTTACCATGGCGCGAGCTGCGGCGTCTTCCTGTTCCTGCTTCTTTCCCTTCAAGGCCATGGTGATGTGATGTGATGTATGCGGGTTGTATGAAAACGAATGAACCCGTTCGTTGAAGGTGTTGAAGGCTATGGGGTAAAAAAAAAGAAAAAAAAGTAAAGAAATAACCCTGCTAAGCCTCAAAGCATCCCAAATTTAGCAGTCCCGACCACCCATGTCCGCACAGGCACACACAATATCGCTACCCACATTTCTCACCTTTATTTTAACCTACTCCCCCACAAGCACGACAAGGAGAACAAAAAACGAAAACCACCACGGAATGACCGACTTTAGCGACGAGCTCGACGGATACCTCAAGGCCCGGACCGCAACCCAGGACCAAGAGACCTTCGAAACCGCCGCCGCAAACGCTGCAGCCGACGCGCTCTTTGGTCACTCATTCGCTCACCCTCACCCTGATGGTTTCCAATCGACTCAGGACTCTCCTGCATTCGCTCAGCATCCTCAGACGCTAATGTGGCATGATGCCACGACGGGGACTTTTTCTTATTATGATGCGGGGTCCGGGACGTATATTCCTGTTGATGGACCTAACGCTCCGCATCCTCACCCACAGCAACAGCAACCACAACAGCAACCGCAGCAACAACAACAACAACAACAGCAGCAGGAGTATCATGCTTACTCAACCTCTGCGGCTTCGTACGATTCTCCAGGAGGCTATCACATCGACCCTTACACCGGATACCCCATCGAGACCACGCCAGCAGGAGCAGCAGGAGGAGCTGGACAATACTATGAAGCACCACCCGAGAGTGATGCTACCCTACGACTCTGCGTACTTTCCTCCAAGATTCTCAAGGTTGCGGGGGTCATTCTAATGGACGCGTCAGGGATCTCGTTTGGCAGGGATCGGCCGTTGAGTGGACAGGGGAAGCGTGTCCGGATGATTGAGATGGAGATCAGTCGTTATCACGGGAGCATTTATCTAGATCGACAACTGGTTGCGCCGGAGGCCCATGGGTCTACGGCATATTCACATTTTGAGTCGGCGGGAGCAGTAGGGACTCCAGCAGTTGAATCGGCGGCGATGGTAGAGATGCGCTTGGACGAGAGCAATCCGACGGTGGAGGAGGAGGAGGAGGAGGTCAATGACGATGGGGCGACGACACAGTCAGTAGAGGTTGACCTGTCGGAGGAGACTGCTACAAGGCAGGAGGCAGAGAGCAGTAGCAGTAAGGACGAAAACTCTTCATTACGTGAACAGGATACATCACTGTCTCCCACAACGATACAGGGCGAACAGGATCAGGAAGCAGAGGATGGCGAGATACCCGATTCTCCACTGGGCGCTGGCGCACGGGTGCAGAACCATCGAGAACAGGGCGAGATGAGCGACGACGAAGGCAAGGCCGATGGATCTGAGAAGCAGGTCGCTATCGACGTCCAAGAAGAAGAGCAACAAAGGCAGTACAAAGAGTACCAACGACAATTGGAAGAATACCAACAATACTACCAGAGCATGGCCCCCCCAGTGTACGTCGACACCTTCCAGATCATTGATTGCGGTTCTACTCATGGAACCTTCCTCAATGGACAACGACTCTCGGACGCCAAGACTGCCAGCCAACCCTTCCCGCTGAATCATCTCGATCAGTTACAGCTGGGCTCGACTGTCTTTGAGATCCATGCGCATGAGGAAGGGAGGATTTGTGGCTCGTGCCAGGTGACAGATGATAATGAGATTGAGGTGCTTGACGACAAAAACCAAGAGACAGATGGATCCAAGGCCTCTGGAGGAGACGCCGCCAATAATAGCGGCGGTAGCAACAAAAACTCGTCAATGTTGGCAGGCGACATCAAGTTATCACGAGAGCAGGAGCGGATCGACGAGATGAACCGGTTACGGAAGAAATGGGCTGGTCCTGATCGGAAGACCACCGGGAAGCGCTCTGGTGGCGGTAGAGGCGGATACCATGACGGCTCCGGATCATCAACCTCATCACCGTCCTCAGACTATGGTGCCACTTCAGGATACGTCGACCGGGCTGCGAAACGGCGACAGTTCAACCCAGACAATTCCCAGCCCATCCGCTCAGGTATGCCCGACCACTCTTCAGCCCCTGAGGTAGTCTCCGGTTTCCATGTTCCCGTAGCCAAAACCAACAAGGGCCATGCGATGCTGAGCAAGATGGGCTGGAAGGCAGGCACGGGCCTCGGCGCAACGCGACAGGGTGTTGTCGAACCTGTGCAGTTATTGGTTGCGGACAAAAAGGCTGGCCTCGGCTCCAAGACTATACAATCCCAGGGCGCTGCTGCCATCTCTGCATCCCGACTACCAGAAACCCAGGCTGAAATAGCACGGCGCAAAGCGCGTGAAAGATTTGCACAATTGAAATAAAACTGGGTAGAAACTAGCTTCTTGTGTGTATATGATATTGTATTTGCGTCTATATCCATGTAAATGTCTATAATATTTTTCAATCGCTGCAAAAACTCGTCCTAGTATCCTACGACGTGTCGTTCTTAAACCTTTCCTCCGATCAAGGACCAGCTCGTGTTGACACTGTTGTAGCGAACCTCCTGATCAGGGTGGGCCATGAGCTCCATGATCTTTTGCTTGACACCGATCTCTTGCAAGAACCTATTCATAAACAAAAATAGCAAACATGCATTGATTAGACAATGTGCCTCAGAGTCGCTTGCACGATGCGTCAATATAAAAAAAAGGTCACGCGTTACTTACTTCTTGCTGCTAGGGTCACGCTTGACATATTGTCCAATGTCACTGGCGGCCACAGAGAGCACAATGGCATCGTTGGAAGTGCTGAGGAGACGTGCCAACACCCTACAGAGTAATCGATGAATGAATTAAGTGAGTCCATGGTTTCTCCTCCTTATCAATTTCAAGCATGTCGCGATGAAAACCGAAAATAAGAGATACCTCAAAAGGGCATAGTTCTCCTTCTTGAGCTCCTTCCAGTTCTTGATCCAGAATTGTTCCGACAAGTGGGGTGGCGACCAGGTCAGTCTTGACGACAGCAACTCTGCCTTGTAAACCTCAAATGTTCTGTCATGTCGGCACAAAGGGTAAAAAAAAAAGAGAAAGGTGGAAGTCAGAACTGAACGTTTTGATCCGCACTTTGCATGAAGTGTTAACATATGCCTCGCAAAATAAAACTGTCGAACTTACGTCAATGTATGGAAGTTCTCCTGGAGCTGTGCCTTCAAAAAGTTGACATCCTCCAAGATCTCGGCATCCGACCACTTGCGCGACGACAGGTTCTCACTGAACTGGAGCAACTTCACAGCAGCCATAGCAGCCAAGTTGGCCTCGGGTGCCTTCTCAACCAAGTTCTATAATTAAGGGCGTATTGACGACGTATTAGTTAGGGTGAATCGTTGAATCAGTGGAACCTTTTCATCGAAGTATAAGATACAGGTAAGATAAAGATTTTACCCTCAGGGTGGCAATGACAACACGGATGACCTTCTCCTTGATGGCGGATTTAGCAATATCAACCAACTGAGGGATAACATCGTACATCCTAATAAGCAAGGAAATATGAGAAAAGGCCTTGCTTAGTCCTGGGCTCCGTGTCATTCTTATCCAATCCACGATCCTCGAAAAGCAGCAATCCTGACAAGTACCTGTTGAGCTCCTGAGCAATCTCCTCGTTAAAGGTCAAGATCCAGAAACAGTAGATGACCTGGTACTGCATCTGAGGTCCAGGGTTCTCCATTTTCAAGATCCTGACAAGGGCATCAATCGCCTGAGGCGTGTTCCAGTAGACAATGCGAACGTTGCGCTGTCTCAAAGCCGACTCCAGAACCTGAACAGAAAGATCGACCTCGGCAGGGTTCTTGCTCTGCAATTGAGCAGTCGTCCAGCGGAAAAGTTCTCCTGCAGCCTCAGTGTCAGGCTTGGGCGAGGCGCACAGCAGGGTCGTCAAGACCTTGCTTGCCTTCAGGGCAATGAAACTGTCCTCGCTTCTCAAACACCTAACAAAAAAAATGTAGTGAAGACGATGTCAATATGAGATTTGAACAGCAGACATGGACACGCGGACAAAATTATTGTTGGCACGATGCGACGTACTTGAGGAGAGGAGCATAAGGCAACGAGGCATCCGTCTGACCAAGTTGCAAAAAGTAGGCAGCACGCTCTTCGTGATCTGTGTTCCATTGAGGGACAATGGTGTGGTTGGTCAGCCATGATTGACAAAATGGAGCACGTAATGGTTGGGCATGGTGTCACTATCAAAGTGCTATTTTTTTTTACCAAGGAGAAGGTCGTCAATGAGGATGAGGATTGACTGAATGGTATCGACACGGACAAGCTTCTGGAGCAAGCTGATAAAGAGTTCTCCGTAAACGTTTCCCTCCTATCGAGTATGCATAAGCAGTAAAGGTAAAGAGGTATGAGCGATCTGTGCGTGTGTGTTTCCTGGCCGTAACGAATCGTTGCTGTTCAAATGGCGATGTCCGTGCCCACCCCTCCTGATTGGTGTGTGTGGTGGCTGTTACCTTATCCACGACTCTGGAAAGATCCTCGCCAGTCTTTTTCTCGATTGCCTTGATATAGTTGAGCTCAGCCTGGGTAATAAGAGTCGCGCGTTGGTAGCCCTATTGACACCAAAGTAGTGTGAATTGCATGCAAACGAGAGTGAACGAGAAAGAACGGTGAGTTTGTGCGATTCAGCATTCAGGAACAGAATGTAAGTAGACCCCTGAAAAATTCTCTCTTAGTTTTACCTCCCATGGGATAGGACGGGCCCTGAGGCCAGAGGTCAGTTCGTCGAGGAAGGCGTTGGAGACGAAGGCAAGGGGCACCTCTGCGACGCCGTCGTTGGAAGTCTGAATGGCCATTTTTTATGTGTATGTGTGTGTGCGTGCGTGTGGAATCAGATCAGGGAAAAAGAGGGAGTGTCGCGGGTGGTTAGAGTAAGGGAGAAGTGATGAGAGGAGTGAGAGTCGTTCCTTGATGTTGTTCCTGAGCGACAGCGGTAAGGAAGAGAGTTAGAAAGAGGGATGAATGGCGCGAGGAGATGGAGACGACAAAAAAAAAAGTATGGCGGGCATACAAGTCGACTATAACCAGAAAAAAGTGACGTTTATTCAATGAGAGTGGAGAGAGGCGCGCGTTTATTATTGGCTTAGGACGGAGTTTTTGCAAGGTGATTAGATGGGACCGTGGGGGTTGTTGGGTGGCCGGGCCGTATAATAAGAAGTATCCATCGTAGCCTTTTCGACGGACGAGTTGACAGTGAACGATGTAGCGTGCGAAAAAGGAGCCGTCGGGGGTGCCGTTGAATAGAATGGCTGGGTATCTTGGTGTCTTTCCTCAGGTCCGCGCACAATAGACGGTGTCGAATAATTAGAAATTCCAGGCAAGGACAATGTCGTACCACCAGCAGCAGCTGTGACTGGAGGTGCTGGACTGGTCCACGGCGAGAGTGACACAGTTCCTGACATAGATCCAGATCCATGTCCATGTCCGTGGCTCGAGTATACGTAGGGTGTATTTACCCCTGCCTTGATTTCGCCTCCTGTCGTGGTAACTACGTTTGGGCGAGGATGTGAAGAAAGTTGTAATTGGTGCTGCAGGTCTGCTGGCTGGTATGAGTCTTGCTGAAACGGTGCCGATGGTGCCGACATTGCGTATGGTTGTGGTGCAGGAGGCACAAAGGGCTGGTATGGAAGCTGTTGTTGCGGTTGTATGGGCAATTGCTGTGGTTGTGATGGGAGAACTCCGGATGAGGGGAGTGGGCGAACCAGCAGACCGACGGTGCCGTCGGGCAGGACGCCTGTTGACATCAATCCCAGGGGTTCTTGGGCATGCATCAGGTTGGTGGCGTCCATAAGCTTCTGTGTGCTTCGTGCGTTGGCTTCCTTGCGACAGCAGCACATGTAGATAAAGCCGAGGCCGACGATGACAGACGGTACTGTGATGCCGATAATGGCTCCTTGGGTGAGTGACATGACTGACGGCTGTACGTCCCTTTTTTTTTTTTTTTTGCTTTGAACGTTCTCTTATTCCTGAGTCGGGTGCCCTTTCTGATTATTTTTTCTATTCCTGTTCCTGAGTGATGGCGATTGACAAGACTGCGAAGTAGAGAGGGAGCAGAGAGTAGACTGTTGTTCTTTGTTTGTGTGGTGTGTGGTGTGTGTTCTGGGATGGGTTGAATGAGAGGGTATGTCGGTGAAGAAAGAAGGAAGAAGGATGAGCAAGTGAATGAGAGTGTCTGAGTGAATAATATGCGAGGGGGAGGGAGAGAGAGAGAAGAAAGGTTCAATTTTGGATGGAACAACAACAAAAATCCCAATGCCAGTGGTGCGTGTTGTCTACTTTGCTCTCTGCAGCTATCGGTATTTTGACTCTGACGCTGCAGACGATAATGCTAAAACAAAGACACGCCGGATTGCCCGCCGAGAGTTAAAATAAGCATTTTGTTGGTGTACAAGAGTTTTTTTTTTTGTTGTTGTCATCTATCACTGCCACTTTATCTCTTTCTCGACGCCCCTTTTGCAATATCCTCATCAAGTCAAACCTCAACCCTCGCTCCGATCTCACAGACCTCACTTGCACCCTCGTCAGTGCATCCCTTCAATCACGCAACCATATCCTCCACATCTATCCTGATAACGACCAGGCGCTATCGACGACAATGGAGTTTACTCGGTCCTCTCCCACGAATACACTTCTTCCTCTTCCACATATGGGACTGTAGAAATCCCAAGAGGATTAATTGATGTACCGCCTTCCTTCTGCAGGCGGCAGTGGCAAGGGTGTCCGGACAAACATTGGCATACCCCCCTTCCACTGTCTACGTTGGAGGCCAATATCAGCATCAGTGGCGGGTATGGAAGAAGACTAGCCGTTCCAGGTGAATCATGGGAACTTCCGAAAGAAAACCGTGTTCCAGTCAAGCTACTCGTTGGCCTTGGGGTGGCGGGTACCATGATTGTTGTGACATTGGCGATTTGCTGTGCGTCGTCATCGCCAACGCCGTAGAGAGGCTCAAGCCCAAACGCGACTCGCCTTACTTGACATTCGCGCTCCTTCCTGCCTCCTTCGCAGTCACTCGGTGCAAAATTGAGGATATCAGGGCAAGGTTCACTTCTTTCTTCATTCTTTATTCTTTTACCCCGCCACTCCCCTACCGCATCACCACTCACCCTTCACATCAACACAAACAACACACCATGGCTGTAAGACGACGACAACAACAGCAACTCTCGATGAATCACGGAAGTGTCGAAAAAGAGCGACATAAACGAATCACACATGGTGCTGATCCTTCCCTTCCTCCCTCTCTCTTTCTCTCCTCTCGCTCTGTGCAAACCCAAATAAAAAACCCCCCTTCATAGGACAAGGACAAGGAAAAGGACAAATCACGCTACCGCTACCAGAGCGAGATCCAGCAAATGATGTTTGTCTTTGGCGAAGTCTCGGACGCCATCCAGGAGACCACCATGCTCGTCGAGGACATTGTCCGCTCACAAGTCATCGAGATTGTACGTCTTCCCTTTTTTTTTTTTTTTTACTTTACTTGGCGAACGCCATGGCTTCTCCGTCAGGGTGAATGGCTAATTATTTGAAACAGCAAAAAGAGTGCACACTTCTGACTTGCCACAATCATTCTTTCTTTTCTGCTAGATATGCTTGGCAGCTCAGCAGGCACGGAAACGAGCTTCTAGGTTCATGACAGCAGAGGACCTCATCTTTCTTATCAGGCACGACCGCCCCAAGGTCAATCGACTCCGGACATATCTCTCCTGGAAAGATGTCCGCAAAAACGTCAAGGATTCTTCGGATGGCGCAGGAGGCACAGGAGCTGACGATGTGGCTGGATTGGATGATGCTGCTGCTGCACATGAGAAGGGCGTCGGGGTAGATGGTCCCGGGGGTGGACCTAATGGCAAGAACTCTGCAGCTGGGCCTGTCCCTGTGTCGAAGGCTAGGCGGATGAGGGTCAAGTTGAGCTGGGAGCTGCTTAATGGGTTTGCAGATGCCATGCTTGGAAACGGAGAGGATGACGAGGAAGATGATGACGATGAGGATGCTTACCTGGACTCCATGCAGCGGCTACGAGTACGTAACTGGATTATAATGCGTTGTGTTTTTGTCATTTGAGCGTAAAAACGTGGCGCTGACACCTTCTCAATTTTCTGAACTTCCCAAACGATAGGATGCAGACAGAATTACACTGGCAATGACGAGAGAGGAATACGAGCACTATAGTGAATGTCGACAGGCATCATTCACTTACAGGAAAGCAAAGCGATTTCGGGAATGGGCCAACATGGCCTCATACATCGACATGCGACCTAACGACGACATTATCGATATTCTCGGCTTCTTGACCTTTGAGATGGTGACAACCCTTACAGAGTCAGCCCTGAAGGTGAAGAAGGAAGAAGACGAGAAGCAGCGACTCTACCGCGAAGCAGTGGTTGCGGCCAAGAACAAGAGCATGGGCAAAACTGAAGATGGTACAGGGTCAGGCGCAGGAGGAGACGGTAGTAATGGCGCCAACAATGGAGCAGGCGAGGATATGGACCTGGATGAGGATGTACCTGGATTGTTCTCGTTGCCGCCCAGCGAGAAGGGTCCCCTACAGTCACGGCATATCCGTGAGGCATTCCGACGACTGCAACGTGCACCTCTTCCCATCAAGAACTACAACGGAGGGCTGGCGCGAACCAAAGTCTCGCTGATTTGATGGCTTTTTGATGCGGTACAGAATAAACCCCTAATTTGATCCACTCTAACGTCCGATTTGCTGACCAAATCGATACTGTTCGATGCTCGCTACTCAAACTAGGTTACATGTCACCAAGTAGAAAGTGAATGTCTATCGCGCATGGTCTTTATTCGGATGGTAGGGGTGTTGATTAAAATATTGAATACGCGGTGTTGTCGCTGTTGTTGTCCGCTCAGTATGGTTCTACTACTGCCGTGGTCAAAGTGAGATTTGTTGACAGGGTCTTCCTGCTTTAGCTCTTGAGAGCCTCCAATCGTCTCTGCATATCGTCCAGTGCTGGCTCCTCCTCTTCCTCTTCCGCCTCGGTTGGCAATGATCCAGCGGCAAGTGGGGCTTCTCCCAAAAGGCCTATAATAAAGAAAACATAAAAAGGTGTGAGTATTCGCCTGATTACATCTAGCGTACTAAAATCGCAAAATATATGACATTGGAGGATCCTGGAAATATTACCATCTGTAATCTGGAAAAGAACCTTGTTGACCTCCTCCTCTGCTTCTTCTTCGATCTCGTCGTCGTCCATCGATTCCATGGTATCCTGAAGCATCTCGTCAATAATGCCAGCCTAGAAAGTGAGGGTGTCAAATGAAAACTCGGTTATCAATAAAGCGAGATCGATAAGGACGCATTGACCTATGACATCAAGAGTGCAGTCAAATCAAGACACGGAATGTGTATGCTGCGTACCTTCATCATCTCCTTGGACATTTCCTGCATCTGGGCAGAGATCTCAGGGAGCTTGACGAGGTTGTTGACCATGCCCATAACCTCTGAACTCTTCTGCAGCGTACCGGCAATCTTTAATGTGGCTAGAACAAGATATGAAGCAGAGGAGAAAAGATGAGTTAGCCAAGAACAAATAACGACTTTCCCCTGAAGTAACAGCAGCATACCAGCAAAGCTATGCCAAGACTAAAAAGACTCCCTCAAAGTATCAAAAAAAAAAAAAAAAAACTTACAAAGCTGATGTTGGAGCTGCATGGATATTGAGTTCAATTGAGCTTTGCTGGTAACGATACGATCCTTCTGACGACGGGAGCGGACCAATTCCTTGGCGAGGATCTTGCAGGTACGGATATCGCCCTTCTTGGCCATCTGCTTGATCATCTTCTTGGCCTTGAGCTCCTCTGCTTCGATCCCGCGCTTCTGACGGTCCAGAGCTCGTTGCTGGGCGTTAATTTCTTGGCGCCACTTCCTGACCTGCACCAAAGGGGTCAAAGGTTTCCGTTTAGGTTGTCGCAAGTGAGATGGGAATCGGTCAAAGTGAAAGAAAGGTGTGAGATGAGCCCAACGGTTGAGAAGAAGGAAGAGAGGAGTAATGCAGAAAGAGTTGACGGACGTTAGTTGACTGAAGGAATGGGCTGTCTCTTTCATTGTTTGAAAGTTCAACATCCCAGACCAGGGTTCCTCCCACTGTAGCCCGTCATGCCACTGCATGCGAACGAGTGTGAGTGCAAGGTATGTACCATCTCTTCAGGGGTCTTCTTGCCAAAGAACCGTTGAACAGACTCGACGGAAGTTTTGAATGTCGATGCCATGGTGCTTTTTTCTTCTGTTGTTGTTGTTGTGTCCTTGTTCCTCGAGTTTTTGTTGCGGGTTTGGCTGTTGTGATGTGTTGTCCTGGAAAGTGTTTGCCGATGGGCGAAAGAGTGAAGAAGTGAAAAAGTGGGAGGGAAGTAAAAAAAAAGGAGCGCTCCTGAAGGCTCGCTCCAACGACACGTTTTCGTTTTTTGATCACGGGACTGGTCGATAGAAAAAAAATCACATCAGCCCTCCATCGCGTCGCGGTGTTGGCAGCGGCCAAGCTGGCGTCCCAGCCCTTGCAAAAGTATACATACACAGACAAAAAGTCACGTACTGCCAACTTGTGCCGCTACGTGTTGTGATAGGTGCTTATGGCATTTGGCTTGTCAATGACTTTTGCATCTCATACTTTTCAGTCATCAACCGGTAGTCGGATCCAACTTCCAGTTTTACGCGCTACACAAAAAAATGATTAAGGTAACAGAGGATGCCAGAAATCTTGCGCGCCAACTGTTTCGTTTCAACGTTTCCTTGTCCCAGAGAGTACCCAGTGCATCGACGATAAAAATAATAATGGTATCACAGCCCCCTTACCAACATCTTGTTTTGCCTTCTAGTAGGATCAAATGCGATGTGGATGGATGACTGACAGGTTTTTTTTTGCCGTCAGTTAGTCGAATGCATGCCTGGCTTTGTTCCATATTAAAAAAAAGACGCCGGCACTTTTGATTTTCGGTAGAAAAAGACCGGTTGGGACGTTGAGATGCACATTTACCCGATTTACCTGGATCCTTGGATCGATACACTCTGTTCTTTTTTTTTTACTCTTGTCATTCCCAACGAGAATAGAATGCTGGAGGTTAAAAAGAAGGTGATCTGTTAATTATCGATAATAGTTCAAATGAAGGGTGCCGTAGCTTTCAGCAGTTGTTCCATGGTTCTGCGAATATAAACACTCGAGGATGTCCTGCCTCTTGCTCGAACGGCCCTTGAGCGTTTGCTTTGTTATGGCCTTTTCATTCATTGGCGGTTTTAGATTGGCCCGTTCGCAGGGCCTTGCCCTGGAGTAATATAATAAGCTCTCCTCGGCCTGATCCATCATTACCGAGTCGTGTGCTTCTTTTGTGGACACGAGGGGCAAGATACGCGACTGAAAAAAGTGAAGAAGTCCCGACACGCGACGACGCGCCTTCACATCGCGTCTGATGGATCGAGTAACCCCATTTTTCGTGACTGAGCTACGTGTGCCAATTCTATAAAGCTCTTGCTCCTCTCACCTCTCCTTGCACACACTCTCTTCGGGTTCGGGCTTAAATGTCATCCCTGAGAGCTACCAAAGCAGCAAACAAAACAGCGACACGCGTTTCGCGTCAAGTCAGTGGAATCTTTTGGTCAAACGGCTCATCAGGGCGAAGGCCCGCGATTGCACCTTAGCAATTACAGTGGCTTCTTCAGTCGACAAAATGTCATTTTCTTGATCGGCTGTGAAATCAACATTTCTGTCAACCCTTCGTCAAACGAATCGGCTTTGCCTACTAGACTCGACCATATTGGCAAGTTTTGTTGTGCGCCGTGTATTGCCCAAACAATCAAGTTCCGGTTCCTGCTGGCGGGGAGGAGGTTGTGTTTTGGCGGAAAAAAAGAGATACATAGGTATGTGTGGATCCTCTTGAATGTTGAATACAGGAAGATGAATGACAAGGGAGGAATGAGCCACGACTTTTTTTTATAGCTGTGGTCGGAGAGTGGGCGTAGTGTGGGCGTAGTGTGGGCGGCTGGGTGGCTTAATGCATGAATGAATGAATGGACGCATGCCAATTTATTTTGAGTTTGACAGCTGAAAGACAAAAAAATGCCAGCACCCACAAAGCGGAAGGGAAGCATGGATGGAGACGTGAAAAAGAGACGTTGCTTTCTCGAATGTAGAGTGTGAAAATAGTACCGGGTGGGCGTACCGAGGATCCAGTTGGACCCACCCAGAGATGCATCTACCAATGCAGTGAAATAGGATGGCGCCGAGATGGGGACAGCGGGTCAATCGAGTCCACCGACCTTCTTTTTCCAATCCCGCCCCCCTCTCCAACCCTAAACCAGGGATTGCGAAGGTAAGGTGAGATAGGGCTTTTGTTGTTTTCTTTCTATTTTCATAATATTTGAGAGCATCAACGACGACCATTGGGTGCAATGGGTGGTGCTGTGTGTGTGAGTGGACTTGGTTCTGTTCCTGAATTAGTGCCCCCCCGGTACCTTATTATCTTTCCTTTGCTCTTTTTGTTCCTCGCTGCTCACCTTTTCTTCTCTTTTCGTCTTCCTCTTCCTTCCAACCCCTACTCTTCCCATCACCTCTCTTCCCTCCTCCTCCCTATCCAACAACACCAACGACAACAATGCGTTCCTCATCCACTATCTGGACAGCACTCAGTCCCCTCCTCCTCCTCCTCCTCCTCGCCCTCACCTCAACAACCACTGTAACCGCTCAATCTGACAAATGCCACGCCTGCATCCGCAAAGCAATCACCGTAGTCCCTGACTGTACCAGCCTCACCCCTGCCTCCCTCGACACCCTTGACAAGATCATCATCGGCTCCGCCGACGACGCCACCGACAAGTACAAAACCTCGGACCCTGCTGGACTGAAATGCCTGACCGCCTTGATGTGGGATAGTGTGCAGTACAAGGGCAAGCTCTGGGGTGGGTGTTTGGACCCTGTGAATGCGTGCCCTTGGTCAGAGATGATGCAGTGGTTGGAGATCATTCCCAAGGTTGCATCCATCTATGGTGCTGGTGCTCCTCCCGTAAGTTATGTTTTTTTTTTTTTTTTGGTCATTCCAAGGAATGGGAGAATGTTTTGAAGGAAGAGATTCGCGATGCTACGAAAAAAAAGAAGGTGTGGGTTGCTGAGAAAAAGTTGGTCGAGGAACGCCCAACGGACACACAACAAATGATTTTTTTTACCCAATAATCGATTGCTCACTCTCCTTTGTCTTTTCTTCCTCTGATGCGATGCCTTTTTCGTTATCCAAAAAATTAGGCCCAGGTCTTGGTTGGTGCTCCCGCCTAAGTCGCTCAAAAGGAGACGCCTCAATCCAACACCACTTTCCTTTATCCACATCGCCTCCTCTCCTTGAACCATCGGCAAGAACACGACCCTCACCAACAATAAAAACCCCCGTTCAGAAAGACGAGCCCCTACTCAGAAGCAGTTATTCAATGGCTTCATTGCAAAAACGAAGGGAGCCCAGGCACCAAGGATAATGACAACAGGGCGGCATCATTTCGTTTACAGCCTTTGATGTGAAATAGATAGGGAAGTTCTCTGTTGACATCCTTCCAAGCCATCAGAAATCAGCACACAACACAGGCCCATCACTCTTGCTGTTGGACTCGCGTATCCTCGAAAACACATTACAGCAACAAAAAGCATGCGATTGGATAAAAAAAAACGGGATTGTGTCTTGGGAAGGACGCTCTCCTAGCTACGACAAGTTTCACGTCGGTGCACCCCGATCGTCAACAGGAAAGGTATTCGTTCCTTAGAGACGTGTGCTTTGAAATTGAAAGAAAAATGGTTGAAGTCATTGGACTTGGTGGTTGTGGCATTCGTATGATCGTCGTCGTTGTCTTTTCCTCCTTGTTGTCACTCCTTTGGGTTCATGATTCCAAATGGGTGGTCATTGAGTTGAAGCTGCCGTTTACACCACCTGACCCTCTATTAATATATCACGGTGGGAAAAGAGTGGATGTCAGTTCATGGTTGACACATGGTCAAGAACAGGAGCCTCAAGGAACAACAATAGCAGGAGGTTAACAATGAAAGACAACAACGACGTACCGAGGATGTGCTTCTCGACGAGAGTTTCTGGGGCTGGGCGCTCCTGAATCTTGTGGTTCAGGACATCCTCGAGCTGTGACCTCTTCAAGTCTGCCTCCTTGCCCTGGAGAGCAGGCGCCACGTGCGAAGCTAAACAGTTTCAGTGATTCACAGGCAGCAGGGATAAAGATATGTAGACAGAAAAGTAAAAGCAAGGGACAAGAATAGATAAAAAGTTTGTTAGCGCCTGGAATGGTAGCATCATGTTATTTTGTACCGTCATGCAAGAGATAATTGCTGGGAAGAAAAGCATAAGGGAGTGGGAAGGAAAGGAGAAAAGAAAGGAGTGAGTGAGAGAAGGAGGAGAAAAGGAAAGGAATGAGAGGGAAGGGGAGGCATGGGATGGAGGGTGCAGAGGGGACGTTTAAGTTGATCATAGGACAGCTGGCATGCACTCATTAACAGATACCAGTGATCCATCCCCCCCCCCCCTCCTCTCCTTCCCTTCTCACCGTCGCATTAATAAGTATTCATCTCCTTACCATGCAAAATGTTGTGGTCGATCAACTCTGAGGCGGGAGGGCGGTTCTCGATCTTGTGGGCCAAGGCCGTCTCCAACTTAGCACGCTTGAGTTCTTCAGCATGGTGTTGCAGAGCAGGGGCGATCTTGGGGTCTATTCAAAACATATCACAGAGATATAGTGGATTAGTGGTGAGACTTTTGTTCAATATTGGACGTCAACGACTGGGTTGTCGGGTTCAACTAAAGCAAACACAAAAGGGTCAAAGCACCCTCAAAACGTCAAAACCGAACAAAGAATAACGAGAAGAAACGCATTGTGTTCGCCCCTGGGTCAAATAGCGTGGTCAAGACCCTGCTATTTTTTCGCTCTCACGCCCTCATGCTCTCTCCTTTTTTTTCAATAGTGTCTCGCCTCTGGTACTTTCGTTCCTTTTTGGTCGTTTGGTCTGGGTCCTCTCTGCAGCATGGGCGTGCCCCGTTTTTTTGCACACTTGCCGTCGAAAAGTATCGTAGTCTCAGCAAGAAGGAGAACCATATGAAGAAGGCCACGCGAAAGAACTCAGTGGATAAGACAGGATGAGCTGAAAGGTGAGAGGAGTAGGGAAAAGGAAGAAGACAAGATACCTTTGAGGATGTTCTTTTCAACGAGCTCCTTCTGGTTGGGGCGCTCCTTCAAGAACTTGTCCAATTCTTCGTTCGATTTGCGCAAATGGTCTGTAGTTGTAGACGCGCATCAAGAGGATGTTGCCCAAGTTGTTGGTCCAAGAAACATAATGCAGTTGGCGGTCCTAAACGCGCGAAGAAAGGGAAGGGTTCGAATACGTAAACAAAGGTTAGGAGACGTTGTCCTTTCGTTTTTGTTCTGTCGTTTATGCGTGTCGAACAATAGAGGTGTCACATACAAACACAGTTGTTCAGTCAAGAAAGAAGGAACGAGTACGAGACATATCCATGCGAGGATGACAAGAGGCCAGACAGATCCGTGAAGTATGATAGGTGTGAGAAAAAAGTGGAGGACAAAGAGAGAGAGAAAACGGAGGATAACACGAACGAGTTAGTGACCGCTTATTATTTGTGGAGCACAGTGAAGAACAAAAAAAAGGTGAACAGAAAGAGAAAGTGAGGACGAGAGACTTTACCCATGGTGAATGAGGAATGAGTGTGTGGTGGAAAGTAATTGTGGGTTGTGGGTTATGGTAAGAGGAGAAGAAAGAAGAAAAAAGAAAAGAAGAGAAAGAAAGCAACAGCGTGCAAAATAAGAAATATAAAAAAAGGAAGGGGCTACTCAACATGGGTGAGCGTGTGTGTGTTTATGTGTCAAAAAGCTCCAATGCGGGCCATCTGACCACCTGTCTACATTGGGCAGGTTCTTTTTTGAGTTTTCACGGGAAGTGCGGTATTGTGGTCACTCTCTTTACTACTAATTCATGTCCCTTCTTTGTTACTTCTCTACTTTTTGCAGATGCCATTCATCTATCAATAGGACGACTACTGATATGAGATGGTCATGTCGGCCAGGATCGTGACCGAGGAAGACAACAACGAGAAAGCGAGAAGAGGGGAAGGGGAAAATAGGCGGAGTTGTCAGGAGGCTGCAACAAGGGGTCAATCGCTAGTCAGTTAATCAGAAGAAGATAAAGAACAGAAACAGATAGCAAGACGTCTAGCAAGACGGGATGAATGATGAATGAAGGTCACTCTTTTTTCTCCCACCCTCCCTCTCTCTCTTTCTTCTCACCAAGTCCGTGTTGTTTGCCCTGTACCCTTCTCAAATACATCAATCTCAATGACCCAGTTGGTTGACAATGAAAAAAATGATTGTATTATGCATGTTGTTGTTGTTGTTGTTTCTACATCTAAAAAGTGTCCTGTTCCTATGTTCCTGGATCCCATGGAGGTCGTTTACTTCTTCTTGGAGGTCTTCTTGGCGATGGTCTCGTCGCCAACAAAAATACCCTTCTGGTTATAGGGCTCTGGCTCTCTCCATTTCCTGATCTTGAACGCAAACTCCTTGACCCTCTGGATATTGTTGCCCTGGAGCATGATCTTGTTGGGCAATGGGGTCGTGCACTGGATGCCCTCAGGGATCTCAATCTCAACAGGGTGGGAGTATCCCAACTTCATCGACAGCTTGTTGCCGCCCTCAATTGCCGCACGGTAACCGACACCAACCAGACGGACAGGAACCGTGTACCCCTCTGTGACACCAGTGACGGCATTGGCGATCAGGGCCCGGGTGGTACCCCACATCGCCCGCTGTTCCTTGATGGTGGGATCCAAGACAGACACCGAGAGGAGGGAGTCTCCTTGTTCCTGTTCAAAGGCGAGCTTGATGTATGGCTTGATGGGGAGGATATGTTCTCCAAGAGGGCCTTTAATGTGAAGAGTGGTCGAGTGGAGGTCTGCGGGGACTCGAGGGGTCAAGATCGGCGTCTGGTCGTGGGTCATGACGACGTCCGAACCAAAAGGGAGGGTCTGCTTGCCAATGTGGGAGAGGACGGCGGGTGAGGTTGTGAATGAGCGTCGGATCGATGAGTGTGCTGTTGCTGTTGATGCCGTTGATGCTGCGTTGAGGCAGGCTCCGAGTCTCCGTGTGATCATGGTCGCCATTGTCCTGTGATGAGTCTGGTGGGGTTGCCGAGGTTAGAGGAAGAAGAGTCGCTGCCTAAAGTTTCGTTCCTGAAGTAGTCCTCATTGTGTTCCTTCCCCGAGCGAGGAGATCTGTTTGTTGCGAGCTGAAGTGACTCTCTTTTCCTTTTACACGGCTCTACTGCAGACCAGTCGACGTCACTCGGACTCGTTGGTAAACAACGGACCGATCAGCTCCTTCAGTTCATCTCCATCCCGCTTCGCCCGTCTCCTCCTCTTCATTCCCTCCAACCACACACAACACAATGCCTCGCGCCCGTATTATCCGTGACATGAAGGCCAGGGCCACCGTGGCCTCTTCAGAAGTCGTCCGCCAGGCCTTCCGCTACTTGACCCACAACACCGCCCTCCCTGCCAAGGTCCGCGCCCAGGCACAGCTCCAGCTCAACGCCTTCCCTCGCGATGCCCGCCCCACTGCTATCCACAACCGTTGCCTCGAGACCGGCCGCGGTCGTGGTGTCCTCCGCGCCTTCCGTCTTTGCCGATTCCAGTTCCGTCTGAAGGCCTTGGAGGGCGAGCTCCCCGGTGTCAGGAAATCCACTTGGTAAACTTGTCCACCCTGTGGGAGGGGGGCAAGGCAGGATCGTTTGGCGTATTTATCTCGGGATTTCTTCTGCGGGAACAAAGGAACAGGATCGAGAGGAAAACACTGGGACTCTTGTCAATCCGGAACCTTTGCCGTCCGAGAGGAACTCGAGACATATCGGCCAACAATCCCGCATCTCAGGCAGCAACAAAACATTCACACACTCGCATACATACAACTCCAAGACGGCAGCACGGAAAGAAACCTTTTTTTTTTTTTTTTTGCAGTCTACACCAACTCTCAACCTCGACCTCATCCTTATCCAATAACACCTAGATTAAAGCAGGACTTCACCTTTGTACTATTAAACATCACTTCACCACCCTTTTCTTTTTATTTGGCGTGAATGGACCCGGAGGACTTATAAATCAGGAAGAATCGACCATGCTACTCTCTCGATTGATTGACTGGCTAGTGAATCTCGCAGAGGAGCTTTTCAATGAGGGAACAACATTTCAGAAGAAGCAGGCAATTGGATTAAGCAGATTGCGATTTTATTATGGTTGTTCTTTTCTAAGAAATCAACAGAGACTATGTACAGGAAAATGACAGCCGCGAAAAAAGTAAGAGCTGAAAGAAGAGTGGGGAGATGTTGTGCGAAAAAAAGCAAGGAAGCAAAGTAGTTTACAAAGCGCAATAAAATGAGGCAAAGTGGTGTAGGCATAGACTTAATCAAGGTCCATGTCCATAATCTTGTCCTCCAATTCGTGGATCAGCCTGTCAGAGTTATCGACGGAGGTATGAGCGGCCTGGTAGATGTTGTAGTCGTCACCGAGTTCCTCGAGAACTGTTAAGGAGGGCTCGTCGTCGTTGTCGTCATTGTCTAGCAAGGCTCGGGGAGGAGGGGGCCGGTAAAGAACCAACTCGTTGCCTTGCAAGTTGTCCAATGAAGGGATATAGTGATCGTCATTCCAGCGCTTTCGGATCAATGCTTCGACACCGTCGGCAAGAGTGACGGTCTTGGGACCCTCATATCGGATCAGAGCCATCTCGGGTCGTGCCGCCTTCTGGCGCGTGTCGTTGGTGTGGTAATCTTCGTCGTCACTCATCCAGCCAGCTATGTCCATCATTGCTTCATCGCGATAGTCGTATGTGTTGTTGTTGTTGTTGTTGGTGGCGTTGATGGTAGCGTGCATATGTCTTGGACGAGCAGTACTGCGCCTGTTTGGACGCTTCCGATCTCGACCCTGCTCCAGTTCATCTAAAGATCTCAAGGGTCCGTCGTCGTTTGGAGAGGAATCGACTCTTGAACGCTTGGCAGGCGAAGGCAAGGCAGGAGCGTGGTCGAGTACAGCGTTGAGCGAGCCATCCTCCATGACATCATACACCTCCCGCAAAGACTCGACAGACGAGGACGAAGAAGAATCGGTTACGCTTTCGCGTGGGCGCTTGTGGTCACTCTGACCGACGTTCATGGGGATAAGTTCCTCGCCCGAAGAAAGATCGATAATGCTAGGTCCCTCGGTGGTCTTGGAGGAAGTGGAAAAGCGAGGCGATGTGGTTGGCGAAGCATTCGATTGGGCGAAAGAGTTGGTAGCACTGTTTGAAGAGGTGTGGTTTCCGTTGATAGAGACCGTCGCTGTTGAGCGCCTGGGTTTCTTGCAAGGACGGGGCCGTGAGAGGACAGGTGGAAGATCCTGGAGGGATGAGTCAAGGGCAGAGAGGAACTCTGGTTCAAAGTGCAGCGAGTGTTTCCGTCTCTTGTTGTGGATGTTTGCAGAGGAAGGGGACTGGTTGGTATCGAGGCGAGGAGGCTGCTGGTGTCCGAGTTCCTGCTGGGAAGAGAGGCGGTGGCGGCTGTTCTGTTGAGCGAGAAGTTCCAATTCCTTGTGGCGCCTCTCGGCAGCCGAGATAGCCGAGTTGTAGGCAAAGAAGGGGTCCACCGGCCGCGCAAACATGTTTTCGAGAGAGAGGGTGTGTGTGTGGTGGGAGTGGTTGTTGTTAGGCAAGTTGTTATTGAAAGTAGTGTGAGTGTGGTGAGTAGAAAAGAAGAAGGGGGTGAATGTAAGAAAAGGAGAGCGAATGAATGGGCTAAAGTGGAAAATAAAAAAAGTGAGAGGTGCGTACATCTGGTCTTCTTATGCTGAGCTAGTTTTCTGTGCGTTCGTTCTTTGATGTTCCTTCGCTTCACCGCCGAGAAGCGCACAGAAGCGTCTGGAAAAATCAGGACGGCACTCGACTGAATTATGATAACGTGACTGTTTCCGATTGCCGCTGCCTGCCTTGGAGAGGAATGCCACCTGCTGGGGTGCAGTACCAGCGAGAGAGAGAGTGAGGGAGAGTGAGAGAGAGAGAGAGAGAGAAAGGGAGAGAGAGAGAATGAGTGAGAGAGAAAGAGTGAGAGAGAAAGTGAAAGGGAGAGAAAGAGTGAGAGAGAGAAAGTGAAAGGGAAAGACACCAAGGATCACCCGCCTTTTCCTTTTGGGTACTCGACGGATGCAAGCCTCACGCGTGCGTGCGCGCGTTTACTTGTTTACTTGAAGGAAATCAACATGCACATATTACATCTGCGAGATGGATACAAACTTTCATACTCAATAGATCAGATTCAGTCATCCATGCACTTCGGTTAGACTTTTTTGAACAGACAGCTGAAATTCCTGTAAGCAAGAGGGACCAAGATCCATCGGACAGCACTGATATGCTTGTCCACAATGCTTCATCATTCATACCTAAAAAAAAAAAGAAGCTCGCACTTCAAAAAACGTGCTGGGAGGGAACCCGCCTGGATACCAGAGTCCTAGTGGTTAACCTTTGCTTGCCACCGCTTTTTGACTCTTCTCTTTCTCCTCTGCTGCCAATTTTTTAGCTCTTCAAATGCATCTGCCCCCCTCCCTCCCTCTCTTTTTCTTTTTCCTTTTTCCTTTCCCCATCCCCCTCCCCTTCCTGTCCCTTTCTATCCTTCTGTTCCTTTTCCATTTTCCACTTCTATTACCTCCTCCTCCTTAGCTCTTTCGCTCCTTCGTTACTTCCTTTCCACTTCTTCCTCATTCCCTCACATCCTTTACAAGCGTACATCGACACCCCATCCAAATCAAAGCTGTAGACCATCGTCAGCAAGAAAGATTCACAACCACTACACGGGCATCGCGAATTCACATGCATGTCCGGTCATGGAGAAGACGCCCCAGGGCCACCACCCACTCCCGCATCTGCCCACGCTCATGCCACGACCACCCCCTCAGTCATACCTGCTCAGACCAACAACAACAATACAACACCACTCATAGGCCCCAACAGGACACCTGCACCGACACCCGACAGCCTGCCTGAGCATGCTCCCAATAGCTCTAATGCTATCACGAGCACACGAGGAGGCACCAAGGACAAGACGCCTCAGGAGATTCCACCAACTACAACTACAACCACAGCCACAGCGACAGCGACAGCTACAGTAACAACTCCAGCACCAACAGCTGGACCCACGCTCATGGACAATCGCTCACCTCGTTCTGTCTCCGCATCGAACTCGACCTCCTCTATTCTGGGTTCGGCGTCAGCCCTCAGCTCAAGAATCTCCCCCCCACCCCCTTTGAGCCTCTCTCCTGGATACTTTTCCCAAGTCCCGACTCAGTCCACAACCCAGCTTCAGCTTCAAGTCAATACGAAATCATGCTCGACCTCCCCGCCCACGCTCAACCTTGTCCCCGCCACGCCTGGGCCTATCTCAGCCAACTCCAAGCCATTAACGATCGACCTCCCGACCTCCAACCCCTCGACCCTCTCAAAACACAAGGGACAACCTGTCCTCCCCTACCTCGTGACACCCAAGGAAGAAAAGAGTCATGGAGCCATCTGGGGTCTTTGGGATCACGACGACGGTATTCCGTCAAAGTCTATTACAAAAGTCACAAAGTCCAGCAAAGGTCCTCCAAGCACCTCGGGATCCTCCAAAGTTGTCACCTCTATGGGTGCCGAAGCAGGACGGAAAGCACTCTTGGCTCTGCAGAGCGTTGCAGCAGAAGAAGGAGCACCTATCTCCAGTGGAGGTAAAAAAAAAAAAGATTTTATGCATCAATTGCATCTAGAGCGCGCTTCATTGACAGATTCATTGGTATCGCGTGCTCTGGACATGATGTCGTCAATGGCTGTCGAGTGCCTAACCAAAGTTCTTTTTATAATTTGCATTGCTCGCCTGATGGTAGCCCCTAGAAAAAAGGCATCTGCCCAGCAACTGGCATCAAAGTTCACGATTCTTGCACCCCCTTTGTCATCGACACTCTCTGTTGCGTCGGCCCCTGTTTCGCCACACAAGGAGAGAGCCATTGGGGCGTTAATAACGGGAGGTTCACCCGCCACACCTTTTGAATCGGTCTCATTGCCAGCCACTCCGACCGCCACAGAGAACAGATCCACCTGCCTTCCAGAGAATGGCTTCTTCCTGGCTGTCATGTCAGTCTACTGGTCAAACCTCGTTGGTCCGCGGATAGAGCAGGTGAGGCAACTCTTGGACTTGTTATTGTGGCGAACTGATGTAATCCGATCGACGTGTCTGGACAAAATTTTCTTCATTTTACTCACTCATACACCTGTTGTTGTTTTGTCGCTTTCGTTCCCTTCTAATGAAATGCAATGGTTGCACAAAATTCAGATCTGGACCCCGCGAGTTGGGTGCCCCGACGAGTCGACCCTTAACCAATTGGCTAAGCAGATCTTGAACGGGGAAGTCATGCGGACGACGGAGAAAGTAGAGTCAAAGATGGTGGTGCTTCAGGAAGAAGGTATGCTAAAGCGACCATATGTATCTTGATTGGCATTGTTGCCTTTTGTCAACAGGCTGTTATCCCAGCACCGGAGGCATGCCTGCTCACCAAGAATCTTGTAATTCTGTTCCTGTGAATCAACAATAGGTCTTATTGCCATGTCATACCTATATACAGCCAACCCCTCCATGGCAGAGACCTGTTCGTTCAGCAGCACCACTCTCGGGATCACAACAGGAACACTTGCCATGTCAACCAAATTTGTCCTCAGCTTTGTCGTTCCTTTGGCCTACCTTCAAAACTTTTCTGGATTCTTTGGCGTCATGTCGGACCACGCCCCAGTCTTGATTGAGATCCTTCGCGGTCTCCGATCCGGTCTTGTAAGTCTCTTATGGCAGCAAAATACGCGCAGCACATATGATAATATACTTTCGTGATTGATTCATTGACATGCTTGTTACTCCTTTGTTCCCTTTGGTAGAGATTGAACGTCGCTCTTGATTTGTTTGCTGAGGAGCATTTGGTGCCATTTGTGGAGGATGTAATGACAATGGAAGCAGTGGCAATGGCTATCGAAGGCGCCAAGGTATATATGCAGGAAATGACGCACATGGGGATTGTGGGACACCCCCTAATTGTGAACGGGACTCTGACAGCCTTCCTGCCCTCTCAAATCATAGGTGAGCCATATTGCGCTTGGACGAGAAGGCGATCAAGTGTTTGGACGGGAGTTCTTAAACCGCGCCATCACTTCTCACTTGCAAACCAACTCGTCAACGGTGGTAGTCGGCAACAACATCACCATCATGAACATGGTAAGCTTCAAGACTGTTTACTGTTACTTCCTATTCTGCCATACAAACATCGAAACTAATCTACTTGACCTACATATTTCTGGACCATAGATGATCAACACATTGGCATTATTCTTGTCGGCAGAGGATCGAGCAAAGTCATGTCACGCCAGGAAACAACACCGCTATCTCCCGGACTTGTTTCTTCAGGGAATCTACACACCCAGCATCGGAAAGCAGTCGAACACTTCAGGGACTACCATTGACGCGGAGACAGGATTGCCGTTGCGCAAGTCGGATCGGTGTAACCGGTTATATCACATTCTCTCTTCGCCTTTTCCAACAACAATTGTTGATACCGTGCGGTGCAAGGTGGAGCAGACGGAGCGGTTTCCCAAGTATACGGCGCTGCGGTCAGAATACCAGAGGGAGCAGACAAAATGTGTCATTGACCGCTCCATCAGCCGAGTCACGGCGTGGAATGCATCCAATCAAGTTGGGTATCTGAACTTGAGTTCGATACCGCCTCAGACCTTTCAAAATAACACGGGATCAGATGCAGGAGGATTCTGGGGCGCCAAGCGGGAAAACAGCTGGACAAGCGTGGAGTGGAAAGGGCAAAAGGTCGTGCGGCCAGTTCAGTCTGCTGCATCTATGGTGGAAAACCTTGTCCGATGTACTGTGGGCTTGCCGATTGAGATGCGCGAAGGGTATGTCCGTCAATGGCGGCGTGGTCTTGTCAAACGATCCATGTCCCTCGTCAAGTTTGTTCGCAAAGAAGGGTACGTTTTCAAGCAAGCTAGGAAGTAACAATCCTTGGGGGTATTGTATTTTGTCACCAAACATTTGGTTAACTCAAGATTTTCATCTTTTTATAGGGTTCACCTTGCAGAGCAATTGGAACAACAGCAGCGGAACCCCAAGCAAAAGTCAACATCCACGGATCAAGACTCGGCTCTGGATGAAGACCCTTCACAACCGGCAACAGTTCAATCAGCCCAGGAAATCTTTCAACAATTGGGTATCGATTCGAGTGATCTCAGCATCATTCTTGGAACCGCCGAGCGGATACTTCCTTCCATCACTGAGTTTGTTCGTGTTCACCTTGGCGTTGAGTGAAAGACGTTTTTTTTCGTTTCTTGGCACTAATAAAACCGGCATAGTCAAGTAGCGAAAACATGGGGAATTGCATACAAAGGTTGTTGTTAAAAGTATTTATTTACGGAGAAGTAAGGATGGAGGTGGTATACAAAGGGAAAGAGGGAAGTAGAGTGTCATTTAGACTTTGCGCTCGAGGGTTCCTTGAGTTTCGGTGGTGGCACCATCAACCTTCGTGGAATGGTCGTTCGTCAAGTCGCCGACCATCTGCTTGACCTTGCCTTCGAGTTCATGTTCAGTTCCACGGGCCTGAGTCCTAGCATCTTCAACGTTCTGTTGGGTGTCAGCACTCGACTTTTGAGCAGCTCCCTCTGCAGCTAGACCTGACAAGCCGAGAGTCTGACCGATGGCCTGCTTGGCGCCTCCGACAACCGAGTTGGCGTTGTTTTCGGCAGTGTGTTTGAGTCGTTCGGCTTCGGCCTTGGCGTCGGCGACTTTTTGAGCGGTCTCGGCTTCGGATTTCTGGCGGGCGCCGTCAGCGGCGATGTCGGGGTAGCCCAATGTCTGGCCGATGGTTTGCTTGGCGGCACCGATGTATTGGTTGGCGGTGTTGGAGAGGCGATCAGTCATTTTTGCGGTGTTGTTGTTGTTGTTGACTTGTTGGGAGTGTGGATGTGTTGGAGTTGGTTATTGTGGCTGTTGGTTTGATGAGTAGAAAGTGAAGAAAGTCCAGGTTATTTTATACGATTTTATTTTCTTTTTGTTGTAGGGTGATGATGCGTCTATGTTGTAACTATGACGACGTTGGTCATCATCAGAAACCTGGTCAATTAAATGACGGCATTTGTTTAGTAACTGGTGGATTGGTGGTGCCTGGATATTCGTGTGCTTATCATTCGATGACATCGAGAGTTTAGCTAGGATGGGCACCGTCTGAGGTTTGGGTGGCGATGATGGCCGTAGGCAAAGACTCCCTTGGTACCCAGGCTTAGTAGGTTGGAGTCTTGAACTATCAAAAGGGGGGCTTTCAAAGAAGAAGTGAGCCAAAGAAATAAAAAAAATAATCACGGGTCCTATTCCTTTTCGCCACACTTACTATGCAGGAGTACAGAACAACGAGAAAAATACGATATGCATTGTTGCATGTTGATTGAGAGTCTGCTGCTCTCCTATCTGGATTTTGGACAATGTGCTACGTTGAAGCAATGGTGGCCCATTTGCTTTCTTCGATATCTGAGGTTCTGTGTTGTTTGTACTTTGTACTAACCACCCTGGAGATGAAATTTCATTTCCTGTGGTCGCAAAGGTTAAAAAAAAGAGCGACGAATGGATAGTGTGTATGGTAGGGGGAGGGAGAGAGAGAGAGAGTGGGGCAATGAAAAGGAAGCGGTGCTGGGCTCATTTTCCTTTCATTCATTTAGAGTGTCCCTGACTTTTTTGACCTTTTGCCCAGAGTAAGGTTACCAATGTATATGGATTGGATATGTTGAATGAAGAGTGGTAGTGTTTGTGTGAGTGTTTGTGCGCCAATAAGCGTTCCATTTTATTGCCCCAAGACTGACTGGCTGACACATGGAAGCAATTGAACACCTTCATTGCACTCGGATAGACCAAAGTAATCCGGCACCTCCATGAGAATGGAGGGGGAGCAAGCATGAAACAAGAGGAAACATAAACAGTTATCAACGCCCTGTCTCCCGTTTTCGTTTCATCGTGCATGTTCCTTAGCCTTCCTTCCCCTTGTCCCTGTCAGCGGTCGGGTAACTGTCTGTCTGTCCTTCTGTCTGTGATGGCAGTTAGTCAGACAAGTAAAACCTCCGACATTACACATCCACCCTGGCTACCCTTTAGTTCTTCTTATTGTCTCCGTGAACACTCTCTGTAATGTTCTTTTCATTTCATTACTGACACTCGTTTCTTTGTTTTCCCTCTCCGCCTCAACTGCGACGAGGTAATGCTCTCTGATGTCTTGTCCACCAGCCCAAGTCCGTTTTCTGCTCACTGCCAAACCGTCCTCTCCCCCTTTTTTTTGCTTGCCTTCCTTCGTCTTTTGTCCATGGGCGATTGAAGGCAGTGGCACTGCGATCGATTGCACTTGCCCATAATAAAAATAGTAATGCCCCCTGCTGTTGCCCATCCTCTGTTCTCCTTCTTCTCTTCTTCTTCTTCTTCAACCAAACCCCCACCCTTCTCTTTCTTTTCTCTTTCACATTTTTAACCGTTCCACCTCTCGCCCACTTATACCCCTCCCTCCCTCCTTCAAGCTTTCATAGAACCCAAACCAAAAAAAAAAAAAACTAACGAACCCTGCATATACGACCAACTACATCAACATGTCCGACTCGAGTGCCATGGTCTCCATCACCGCAGCCAACACTAATGACACTCTCAGTTCCCTCCAGGACACCCCCAAGCCCTCCTCAGTCGCCGAAAACGCTCCTACAAAGTCGACCTCGTCTTCCTCCATCTCGGCCGCAGCCGCAACCGCATCGACTACCTCTACCACCACCACTTCCACAGAACCGAATGAGCCGCTGTCGAGGGATGAGCACAAGGCCGCCTCAGCAGCACTTCCGCCCAAACCGCCCACTATCCTTTTGCCCCCGGTTGAAATCGATGAACGACCAACCTCGAAGAAGAAGGGCGACGATAACAACAAGAACATTGATCCTCTAGCCACACCTCCTCCTGCTGCTGTTGCTGCAGCAACGAAGCAAGGGGTCAAAACCACCAAGCCAGCCACTGGCGTGGCTTCAAAGGCAAAGAGTGGAGTGGTAGCTGCTTCAGCGACTACCTTCACATCAGTAAGGAAGCCACTGACGGCGAGTTTATTGAAAGCCACCACAGCTACCACAGCAGCAGCAACTGGATCGACCTCCAGAGTCAAGCCTACAACAACAACAGCAGCAACAACATCGTCCACAACAAGGACACCTGTCAAGCCTCGTCCTGCTATTCCTACGACTTTAAGAAGCGCTGCTGCTGCTTCGACTGCCACTTCTTCCACACGAACCCTTTCTTCCACACGAACCCTTTCCTCCCCACGAACCCCTTCCTCTTCCACGTCCACCACCACTGCTGCTTCTAGAGCTGCTGCTGCCAGAACTCTCGTACCTCCCACAGCCTCAACAGTACGGAAGTCACCCTCTACACCTTCCCTTTCCAGTTCTACCCGCCCAGCCGTTTCAAGTGCAACTCGACGTGTCGCTTCGAGTTCTGAAGCTGCACCCACATCATCATCCTCTCCACAGAGTGGCAGCCCTTCTTCTACGCCAGGACCTTCTCGTTCAGCGAGCCGTGCGTCCATCGCCTCTTCCGCGACCACAAACACAACCACTTTGACAGCACGACGACCTCTCATATCTTCATCGACCACTACTCTAGCAAATCGCACTACGACGGGTCGGGTCGGTGCGCCAGGTACCGCCTCATCTTCAACAGCATCAGCCACTCGGAGAACCCCTTCCAGCTCGACCAACCTCTCGCCCACGTCGACCTTGCGTTCGCCTTCCAACACGTCGTCTCTTGGCCGGAGTTCTGTACGACCTACGGGAACTCAGTCGACCACCCCTACACCCATCCGCAAAACCTTGACCTCTGCCTCCACAGCCTCGACTTCCACTCGTCCAGTTACGGATGCAACCAAAGTGAAGATGTTGAGCTCTCAGTTATCTGGGCTTCAAGAGAAGGTAATAATGCATTTGCTTTGCCAAGATGAAAGAAGGAACTTTGGGGGTTGACAAGACCCATATGACCTTGTCACTCCTTTTTTTGTTGTTGTGTTATATGTCGGCTCTTTGTTTCTTTCATTGTTTGAGGGGTGGTGGAACTTGGTCATGATTATATACGATACTAACATCCAAATTATTCGTGCATCTGCACCATCTTCGTCATTTCTCTCTCTCTTTCTCACTCCTTCCCCACCGTCCAACCACCTCTCTATTCTTTTTTTCCTATGTAAACGGTAGCATGATCAAACACTCAAGCTACTCCAGGAACAAGAAGAGCGACTGAAGCGCGAATTGGAGGAATTGTCCACCATCTCATCCGATCAACAGCGAAAGCCGATTCCATCAGACACTCACGATATCTTGCAGGAAATGGAGGATTTGAGGTCACAATTCCAGAATGCAAAGGAACAGCATGAGAAAGCCTTGGAAGATATTTCTGCTGAGCGCGCTTTGGAGATTTCGCAGCTCAAGGAGTCGCATGAGGCCCTTTTGTTGGCCATGACGCAGGAGAGGGATACTGTTGCAGAGTCTTTGAAGGTATGGTGGACTTTACTTGGCATCGTGTTTTTGATTTGGTGCTCTTTGTGTGGTTATTGTTCAATCTGCATATCAAAGGTAGTTTCTAATAATATACTTGTCTTTCTGGGTTTTGATGGCCACCGATTAGGTCTTGAAAGAGTCGGGAGAACTGACTGAGCAGGAAAAGAACGACCGCATCAAATCGATGGAAGAGCAGATGGAGGCCGCACTTCAAAGCCATAATGAGGCCGTTGCAGAGCATGCGGTCGCCTTGGAGACGCTTCGTGATGAAATCGAAGCTGCCTGGAACCTAAAGCTCGAGTCCAAGATCCAAACCTTGGAGAGGGAACACAAGGAGAAACTTGGTGCTGCAGAGGAGAACATCCAAGTGGCTGGTCATTCGAGCGAAGAGGCGATCCAACAACTCAAGGACTCGTTTGCGGAGCAGATCAAGGACCTCGAGGACGAGAAAGAGACCCGGATCTTGGAGCTGATAGCTCAGCATGAGGCCGAGCTCCAAGCTGAGAAGGACAAGTTTGTGCAACAGGCCGATGCACATGAGGAGCTGATTGCCCATATGAAGGACCAGCATGAGGAGGTTGTAGGAAAGCTGAAGATCCGATTGGAGTCGACGGAGGACGCCATGGGTAACGCTCAGAGCGAACTGATTCGTATCCAAGAGGAAACTCAGGTGGAACTCAAGGAGGTTCGTCAGGCTATGGAGGAGATTCGTAAGGTGTTGGCTCTCAAGGAGACTGAGAATGCTGATCTGGAAAGACGTATCCGGGAACTGACTGATGACCTGGAGATCGCCTCCCTCAGCGCCATGTAAGCTTGCTTTCTCGCTTCCTGCGCTAGCTTGATGATGAAGCTACATTCTTTGTTTGCTAAGGTCTGACCAATTTTCTTCCATTTTCCATTCCACAGGTTGAAGAACGACAAGAAGTACAAGGTCAAGTTGGTCCAGATTTTCGGTTCAACCGTTAGCGGCAACTTGAAGGTATGCTGCAAAAATAGTCTTAAATTGCATTGGTCGTTTCTAAGAGTACCTCGTTTCTTAGTCTCTAATCCTATATCCTTCCTTTTATATGGATTAGATCAAGAAGGCACAGCAGTCGATTAGTGATGCGCTGGAGCAGCTGGAGATCGAGTACGAGTTTGTGGATGTGTCATCCTCGGACGAAGCCAAGAGCTTGATGCGCCGCAAGAATGGTAACGAGACCCGACTGCCCCAGATCTTTTCTGGTGGCGAGTATAGAGGACTCGTTGAGGATTTCGAGTACGCTATCGAGACGCACCAACTGATCCAGTTCTTGGGCTTTGACCGTGTCAGGGCGTTTGTCCCTCAGAAGAAGGTCCTGGAGCCTTCTGCCTTAAGTTTGGGAGCCCAGGATGGCGAGGATGCCGAGCAAGGAGCCGGACGTCCTAATGTCGTCGTCAATGGGTTGGGCAACCGGGTGGGTGCTTCTCCTGGTACTCCTGGTACTCCTGGTACTCCTTCCAGCAGTGGACGGTTGAGCAGTGACCTGGGCACATCGATGTACTTGTTGTCGCCTTCGTCGAACCGGTTCCAGTCTACCGCATCCGTGGCATCGAACTCTCCCTCGCGGAGTAATGGCGTCAAGAAGCCCGGATTTGTGCAGGCAGCTGGTCAGGCTTGGGATGGCGCACTAAAGGAGGATGTCACACGTGCCAAGCATGATCTGGGCTTCAACAGCACTGTGACCCCTGATGATGACGAGCTTGAAGAGCTCTTCCAGAACGGTGCTGTTAGCGAGGCTGACCTTGAAGCCATGCTGGCGTCTGCTCGTATTTGAACAACTTTTTCAATCCCTTTTTCTTTTCTCCTTAATACCCCAATCCCACCTACCTTTGTACCATGATCCCATCCCCTTATGAAAATAAAATGAAAGAAATGAATATTGAGCCCACAGCGTCAATTACACGTTGCACTCGCTGGCTGGGGGACTGCCGCCTGCAATAAAAATTGAGAATGACATGCTTCCTCGTTTAACATCTTTCTTCTTTCATCACAAACCATCGCGCCTAAGAGTGTTACTTCAAGTCAGGAAAACGAGCCAGGACACAAGGAACCAAGGACCATAGTCACACTTTGCTCGTCCCAACTAGCATCCGACAACCAGCCGCATTACACCCACCCCACGGCATTTCACACTAATCTTCTCCGCATTCATCATGCCAGACCTGACGAGCGTGTTTCGCGCGACAGTCCAGGACTTGAGCCAGGCTTCTGGCAACATGTCTGGCATCCGATCTCCCAACCCTGTTACGGCTCACACTACTAAACCAACACCGGACCCCTGGCTTAAGGAAGCACATCAAATCGTACGCAGTCTCCAAACCTGTGCGGACTATTCGTGCTGCATGTTTGCCATGTGCTATGGAGCGGAGGTACTCACACACGTCCGCTTGTTTTCATGATACCCGTTCATAGTCCAGGACGATGGCAGATCTTCGCGCATTCATTATCACAACACGCCCCGCCTACCTCAACCTCTCACGCGGAAGTGGTACAGGATCCTTGACCAGCTCGCGGATGGGCCCTCCTCGTCGTTCGGACTCGATACCCAGCAGCAACGGAGGAGGATATCGTAGTGTGGCAGGAACTACTTCTTCCAAGGTCTTGCAGGAGCTCTTAGATACTGTCGCATCGCTGACTTCATTATCCGATAAGGATCGTGATAGTATTGATACCCAGGTCAAGGTCATGATGCGACAAATTAAAGGCGCTATTGAAGAACTTGAGTCTCTTGAGCAAGGTAGCCATACACTTCTATTTTTCGAGTGAGTTACAAATAGGACTATACTGGGTCAATTACTGACTCTTCTCCCTTTATTGCATACGTTTTTAGAGCGCAGGAAGAAACAACGTGCAAATGCTGCAGCTGGGGGCGGAGGTTTCAACCAGCTCTTGGCCGCAGCTGCAAGCACGATGGGGGCTTCAGGACCGGTCGACCAGTTGGCTCAGCATTGCCAAGGTGTGACTCTCTACTTGAACGAACGACTTGCCAGTCTGGCCACTTTGCACAAGGACCAGTATGAAGTCAGGATAGCACGAGAGTTGGAGAAACGCGAAAGGTACATCCATTTTTTCTTACTCTGACAGAACCGCCAACAAAAGAACCTTGGTATTATTATGCTGGTGAAAACGAATTGACAGAGTATTATTGTCTTTTCAATTGCAAATATAGCTCACTCTATAAGGCATTGCCGAAACCAACGCAGGGCGGAGCAAACGGATATGGAATGACGCAACGCAGGAACTTTAACGATACCACCTCTACAGCGACGCTACCACTATCGGTGCCAGGATCACCCTTCACAGCAGCAGGAGGACCAGGTTCTAATGGCTTTGGTGGCAACAGATCGGATCTTTCAAAGGGTGTCTCATCATCACACGACTATTACTCCCGGCAAGGTGGCGGATCGGCGGATGATCAGGACTTTGAGCAGGGTCTGACCGCCCAGGAGCGACAGATGCTAGAAATGGAGAACGAGAATATTGTCCGCAAACTCGAGACCGAGCTCAACCAAGTCCGGTAAGCTTTGTTGCCTTCTCATTTTCACCTTGTGTCGCTATTTTTTTTTGGCCCCGAGTTCCATGTCAGAATGCCTAACCATGTTTTTTTTGTACATGTGTGCAAATGATAAAATAGGCAATTGGAAACATCGATGATTGAGCTATCGACGCTGCACTCGACCATCCAGGAACATCTCGAGATCCAGACCCTACAGACGAATCGGTTGCATGAGGAGGCCCAGACGGCTATCAACCATATTGATGCAGGAAATGAGCAACTGATCAAGGCTGGCAAACGAAATAACAGCACGCGCAAGTGGATCCTTTTCTTCCTCATTCTTGCCAGGTAAATGATCCTTGTGAGAAGAAGTGTTTGGGTTTTGCCTTTTTTTTTTTTTTTTTTGGTTACCCTGAACTGACATTTTTTTTGGTACTCTTAATAGTTTCGTGCTGTTATTCTTGGACTGGTATGACTAAGCGAGGAATATCCAGGAGACAGACAACGGTGCAGAGGGGTTATGGAACCTCCTTGTTCCCCTTGAGCGTTAATGAAGCTGCATGGGTATGCAAAATAAATAAACGTTGTTCCCATCATGCCAGTCGATGGATGTTTCGTCTTCGCTTTGCATTATTTTGGGAGTAAATTAACTGCTGTATCGCATGGTTTTTTTTTGTTTTGCAAGAAGTTTATTGCGTCGTGGGAGTGCGTGCATAAAACTAATACTCGTCAGCTTCGAGTCACCGCCAAATCAAAAGATGTAAAAATAAAATACTTTCTAAGAAAGCACAGCTGTGTCGCATGGTCAACAGCAGAAGCATCCACCCCCATCACGAGGAACTTTACATAGGATTGCTCCCGGCAGCGGCCACTTGCGAGAGGAGCCAGTCGACCAACAGAGGAAGCTTGAGCCTTTGTTTGCAAAGGAAAGAAGACGGGAGATGCGCTATCATGAGTCCCTTCAAACTGCCGTCGCGCAGAAATCTGAGAGTTAGGATCTAGGATCCACTGAGCCAAGATAGGAGTAGGGAGGGATACAGTCGTTTCGACCCTCCATAATACATGCCTTGGCAAAACGCACGGACGGAACTATTGCAGAGTCATGTGCGTTGATGCTACTCTGAAATGATTGACTATTTTGCCACTTCATCACCCTATCTTCTTTGCCACCAGTTCAATACCCTTTCACAGCCCTTTCCTTCCCACGCCTTCATAGCCTTTGCCACCACGCCCACATTTCGTCGCCTTTTCTTTCTTTCATCGCTCCCCTTCTTTCGATTCTTTTCCTCGTTCGCCTTCTTCCTTTCCTTTTCCTCCTCACCTTCTTGCTTCCCTCTTTCATCCCTCAGCCTCTCTTATATCTCCCGCCTATTTTCATATGTTTCTTCGCAACACCATGACCCGCAAGCGCCTGAGTCTGTTGTGTCTTGTTGACGGTGACCCCATCTCAAAAGCCTTTGAACTGGCCACACCATCGGCAGACACTTTTAGGCAACTCAGAAGCACCATCCATCTCAGCAAGCCTATCTGGTTTAAGGATCTGGAAGCAGAGGATCTTACCCTTTGGCACGTCTCGATCCCCATTGTGCCAGCCAACAAACACAGACCAATTCTCCTGAACGAATTTCTCGAGTCAGCGACAGAGCTCGACCCAATAGACGATGTTTCCGATGTCTTTCCGAAGGCTCCGCCCAAGAAAACGATTCACATCATCGTCCGGCGACCCCCGTCAGGTAACACGTGTTGCTCTCATTGATACCTTAATAGCAAACGTGTTCATTGTGCCTACCTCATCTACTTATCATTACTCTTTTGTACTGATATAGTCCATGCAGTTGTCCCTGCTCAAGCATCTACTCCTCTCTCTGGTCATTCTTATCCTTGTTCGCAGCCAAGTGGTGAGTATCATGAACTTGATTTTTTTTGTTTGAAATGATATGATCAATGGTCACTCCAAATGCTAAACTCTACATCATTGATGCGTATTCAGGCAAACTCAGAGTGGACATCAAGAGGATCACAGACGAGTTCTTCGCACCTGGACCAATTGCTGACTTTCTCGTTGAATATGTGAAGGGCGAGGGACGTCTTCCAACCACAAGTGGGCCTATTCGAGGTTTGCCAAGAGCATGGCGTCGCACTTTCGGCAAGCCACCAGAGACACGACCCAGCCTGCTGTTCTTGGACCTGCCCGACCCTTCGACCCCTGACTCAGTGTCAAGGAATCTTGCATCGACAACTATTTCGGATATGGTCGAGGAAAACACTCGCCTACATATCCCTGTGTTCGGGGTTTCCGGTAGGTTTTAATAATATATGATTTACGAATATCTGTGGGTATCCCTATCACACAAACTCATTTTCATCCGCATTCTTTAATGCTCACATAGGCTGTGGCAAAACCCGCGCTGCAATCGAACTCCTGTTTCAGCATTGGGGGTTCTATTTCAATGCCGCCGATGACGACTGGGGATCAGGTGACATGAGCACCCTTCACTCTGTCGTCCAGAGGCACTTGGATGATACCCGAGACTCCACTACGGTTAACCGACAAGCCAACAACGCCTATGCAAGAAAAACGACGATGTTGCTCTTCTTCTCTCGGCTCCTCATCTTCAAGTACTGTTTGAACGTTCCCGGCAGCAGTGAGACATTTACAAGCGCAAGATGGGCTCTCCTACAAGTGTGCCCGCATGTGATTTTCAAGGACATATTCAACAAGTTATTCCGCCGAATTGTCAAGCTTCGACGTTATGGCGAGAGCGATCTTTGGGATGTGGTCTGCGACCTATTCGACGAAACGAAACAGTGTCTTATCGAATATGGAGGCCTACCAAAGGTCGATGACGACACCAAGCTCCTAGTGATCCACGATGAAGCGCAGGTCCTCGGTGATGTATTTCATGGCTGCTTCCAGTCTGTATCTTCCTCGGACGAACCCCCGCGACCCCTTCTGTCCCCGATATTGCATGCATTTCGAGACGTCGGCGGAGATACACTCACACTCGTTACCTGTGGTACTGGCTTGAGCATCAATACTCTTTTCTGGGTTCAGAGCTCCGGCTCTGGTACGAAGGACAGCTCCACGAACTTTGAGGTAAACAATTCAGCTTGGCTGATACAGGCTTGTGTTTGCAACTCCTATTCCATCCATAGAGACGTAGTCAAGCGGAGAAATCGTGTGACAGTAATGGAGTGAGCTCGTATACTAATAATTTTTCTCTCTCATTCTCTTATATTTTCCACATCCACTTCCAAAAAAAAAATGCCGTACCATTCGCACTCCTTTTTCTCTCTCAGCACATGGAGTTTCCTGGATGGACGGATCTAGAGTCGATCAAGGCTTACATTTCTCGGTTGCGGAAGTGCCTGATGGATGATGAGTCAAAGCTGGCTTTGGACGAGCATCTTCCACAAGAGGCAGTCGACATGCTGTTCGAAAAGTTGACGGGCCGCTATCGCCCAGCCACATTGGCGATGGTATGTCCCTTTGCATGTCGTAATGGGCACAATGAGAAAATAAGCGATAAAATGAAAATATGCTCAAGACCTACATCCTCCACGTCTTTATCCTCTTTCCACCCATAGGAAAGGATTGTCGAGCACAACGATCCGAGTGCATGGAAGTCTGCCATCGAGGACACGGAAGACAGGTTGATATCTTGGTCGCGCCGAGGTATTAAAGGAAACCTGTGCGGCGAGCTCAGTCGCCTACACGACAAACACAACAAATACAAGGATCAACTTGTGGAGTCTGTCGATAGCATTCTATGCCTCCTTTTGTACAACCGTTGCATGTTTGGAGACCACAGGCTCGTCCTCCGTCAAGTGGACCCTCTGTTGGTGGAGCGAGCCTTTGGTCGAATCAAGATCCTCCATGGCCGAGCAGTCGTCGTGGTGGATGAGCCGTTCGTGTCCAAAGCTGTGGAGAACTATTTCGTCGCCACGGATCCCTACTTCAAGAAGGAAGTGCGGCGGATTATGCGCTCCTCGACGGCCTCTGCTCAGGGAAGTGTGTTTGAACAATTTATGATGAGCGTTTTCAGCGAAACGTTCACCAGGCGACCTCTATCCGAGTGGCCACATCAGCCTCCGATCTCAAAGATGTGCCCAGCTCTTGTCGGCAAGGTGGAGATTGTTGGCTGGAGGGAACCTGGGGTCGAGCAAGGGACCACCTACAAGAATGTTTCGATGCAAGAGTTCATGGACGCGCATGTCAACCACCAGTCCGTTCAGAACAACAAATCTGTCGCCCCATTTTTTTTCCCCAAGTCCAAGCCCTCGGGGCCAGACATGCTTTTCTTCATCACAATCAACGGCTGTAGACTGGTGCCAGTCTTCGTTCAGATGAAACTGCATCAAAGTTCGTCCACTTTCTCTGAGAAGGATTGGAACGACGCGCTCAGCACAGTCTCGGCACCCAAAATCGAGAGCCACGCAAAAGACTTTCGTGACTACTGCCCAGACAACGTGTACATCAGCATGATCGTCGCATACCCTACCAGATGGAGCTCCGAGTTACCAGCACGTTCATATCTTCCAAGCACGTTCATATCTTCCAGAGGACACCAGTGGTGTGCAGCAGGTCGTGATCAACGTCAGCGATGACAACTTCGGCGAAATCTTCCCCAAGGACCATGTTGAGTTCGACAGGCTCAAGAACGTGAGAAAACGATCTGCTGAGGATGACGACGGCTATGGTGACGATCATACTAAGAAGCAAAGGGGCCGATCTGCTTCTCGAAAGCGTCGCTGATCCCATGTTTGTTCGAATAGAAAATTGCTTTTCAGTGTTCAACAGATCAAATTCAATCAATCAAAGCGGATGTCAACCTTTGACAGCAGCATAAGTCACGCTTCTTGGACCGCCCGATGCAGCTCTGCGGTCATTGACCCATACTTCACGACTCCCTCTCTTTTTTTGTACTTGTCGTTGGCGACCTCCTATGCCTCATCCATTATCTGGACAGAGATTTGTACTTCCTGTTGCACTACTTCTTCCACCCCCTCGTTGATTAGACCATCCTCATCTGAAACTCTCATGCATGGCGAGTTGTTTTCAATCTATTGTTGCGTACCACATTTATGCCCCATTTTTCAATCCGCGGAACACAATACCTTCCTACCAAGCCTTATCAATAATGCCACAAAAATTTACAAAATAAAAATTAAGCTTTCGAAATACACTAAAATACTTTAAGGCTAAGCACACGCACGCCCCTCGGGCGAAACCTTTTTTCTCCTAGAAATTAGGTTTGAAAAAAATACCAGGGACGACATTCATTTTGTTCCTGCGAATGGGTGAGTGCAAGCGAGTGGGCGTGGAGGGTTGAAAAAGATGCTTTGTGTAGGGAAGTTTGAGGGTGTACGATGCTGTGGGGATGTAGGGGTGGATGGAGTGAGTGTGGGAGGAGTGAGTTAGTGATGTTGTGTGGTGGTGGTGTTATGTGGTGGTGGTGTTGTGCGTGGATAGTGTTGTGTATGCCGCCTCTCCAAGTGCAAAGGATGTAAAAAGGATATGAAAAATAGCCAAAGCCCAAGGAATGCACTGTAGACCTCCATAGCTGATATATCTCTCCAAAGTCCACAAGAGAACTTAAGGTGAGATAGCGACAGACAGCACAAGATTTTTTAAAATGTAATCCCTCCCCTGTATTTCACAGCAAATATACAGTTGAGAGTACAAGTGGATGATCACGTACAAGAACTACTCCCTTGGGTCTTGCAGTGAGGGGTACAGTCTAATGGTAGATGGGCACATTTAAGAGATTAGGTTGCGAAAAATAAGAGGACATTATTGTTTGGAGAATGTGGTGGTGTTTAGTAGGAGAATTACGCGAGGAATTTTACAGTGGCTATTTTACATGATTGATATCATACATACATACACTCTCCTCTATTGGTCGCAGTGGGTATCAGCAAGATCTGAGATGTAACAAACACCATATTATAATTTGGAGATGAAAGGCCTCCAACCTGGTCATCGGGATCGACGAGTATTACTCGTCCAAAAGATGCCCAAACTGCCATAGCTTTGTTTGCGCGACGTCGGACTGGCGGACCCTTACTGCAAGACCTGCAAGCGCTTCCGACAGCGCGATGTGATCGCGTCCAAGAGCATGAACAATTCCATCAGGGGCCATCTGATCCACCAGCAGTGGCCGCTCTACCTCCAACCTCGGCGTCAAGACGGATCTTACCCATTGACGGATGTCGCTGCTGGTGGAGGAAGTGGTGGTGGTGGAGAAGAAGCAGGCGGGTCATCGGCTGAGGCCATGGGCAGTAGTAGAGATGGAGCAAGCGGTAGTGGCGGCGGAGGAGCAGCAGCAGCTATAAGGAGACGCGCCGCTTCAATCGCCTCGGTCCAGGCCCCCAACACCGACGTCGACCCCGCGGCTGATGCACCCAATTCTTCATCTAGCCACACCAAAGATCACCGTAGCACCCATAGTTTGATATACATGCTTACTAGTATGGGTCACGTGAGATCGGTTACTTCATCGTAGGCCTAGAAGGCGCAACGATTACTCACTTCAGTGACTTAATTTATGCGCCCGCCTTCATAGCCTTTGCCACCACATTTCGTCACCATTTCTTTCTTTCATCGCTCGCCTTCTTTCCTCGTTCGCCTTCTTCCTTTCCTTTTCCTCCTCACCTTCTTGCTTCCCTCAGCCTCTCTTATATCTCCCGCCTATTTTCATATGTTTCTTCGCAATACCATGACCCGCAATCGCCTGAGTCTGCGGTGTCTTGTTGACGGCGACCCCATCTCAAACGCCTTCGAACTGGCCACCGTCGGCGGACACTTTTGGTCAACTCAGAAGTACCATCCATCTCAACAAGCCTATCTGGTTTAACGATCTGGAAGCAGAGGATCTTACCCTTTGGTACGTCTCGATCCCCATTGTGCCAGCCAACAAACACAGACCAATTCTCCTGAACGAATTTCTCGAGTCAGCAACAGAGCTCGACCCAGCAGACGATGTTTCCGTTGTCTTTCCGAAGGCTCCACCCAAGAAAACGATTCACATCATCGTCCGGCGACCCCCGTCAGGTAACACGCGTTGCTCTCATTGACACCTTAATAGCAAACGGGTTCATTGCGCCTACCTCATCTACTTATCGTTATTCTTTTGTACTGATATAGTCCATGCAGTTGTCCCTGCTCAAGCATCTACTCCTCTCTCTGCCTATTCTTATCCTTGTTCGCAGCCAAGTGGTGAGTATCATGGACTTGATTTTTTTAGTTTGAAATGATATGATCCATGGTCACTTCAAATGCTAAACTCTACATCATTGATGCGTAGAGTTTCTCAACTGTCGAATCGAATCGAATATGGGCCTTATTCGAATATCGAGGAATATGGACCTCATTCGATTCGACTTTTATTCGACTTTTATTCGATTTTAATAAGGTCGAATCGAATAAAATCGAATCGAATCGAATCGGAGCTCTATTCGAATTCGAAAATATCGAAAATATCGAATCGAATCGAATCGGAGCTCTATTCGAATTCGAAAATATCGAATCGAATCGAATCGAATGCCGAATATCGATTATTCTTGAGAAACACTATTGATGCGTATTCAGGCGACCTCAGAGTGGACATCAAGAGGATCACAGACGAGTTCTTCGTACCTGGATCGGATGTCACCTAGTTTCTTGACAGCTTTGTGCGTGACCTGGTGAACCTGTCGCTTACAACAGGAAGCGTCTCTGGTCTGGCTTCGCAAGGACCGAATTTCCAACACGCACCCGAGCCTTCTCTTTCGGGTCTGCCTGACCCCTCTTCGAGCGACAGACAATCCTGTATCCCACGTCGGACGCCATCCTGCAGCTTATCAAGAGATGCCACACCTCCACTGTGCCTATTTTCGGCGTCAGCGGATGCGGAAAGACTCGCGGCATGATCGAACTACTGTCGCGGCGCTGTGGCTTCTATTTCAAAGCTGCAGGGAACGAATTGGTGTCGGACGATGTTACCATCCTTATATCCGAGGTCGAGTCGTGCAACAGGCGAAGACTGGGACAGAGAAGTATAGAACGGGGACGGGAGTTGAAGCAGTGATGATTGATGTTATTACTACGATACAACTAAATATATATACAAGTCGCCAGCTAGGTTTCTAGGTGTAGTGTTATACAGAGTCAGAGATGATAGAGAGTGACAACGAATGACTAACCAGAGAGCAATGATAAACCTAATATGTTGCACGTCGCGTCTGCAGGAGGATCGAGAAGCCAATAGCCGTCAAGCAAGAACGATGACATACCTGGCCTTCCTCGCTCGGCTTAAGACCCTTCAGTACTGTTTGACAATCCCGGATGCTGGACAGACATTTACTAGCGCAAGGTGGACTATCCTCCAAACCTGCCCTCACGTCTTCAAGAACGACGTTTTTAAGCAGCTATTCCTGATGTTTCTTTTGCTTCTCCCAGTGGACCAGGCATTCTTAACGGAGCTGGATCTCACGAAGGTTGTCCAAGAAGAGCTCCTAGCAACAAATTACCTCCTCGTCCAACACGGAACCCAGGGCGGCCTTCCCGCATTCAAGGAAAGGGACAAACTGTTGATCGTCCATGATGAGGCGCAGATACTTGGCGATGCGGGTGACGGGCTCTTCAAGCGCCCTGCCTCTCGTGCGTAGACTGGAAGACCTCTGGAGGACGTCGCCCATCTTCGTTGTATTCGGATGTCGCTAAGTTGAACTCACTGACGATTTCATAAGGATATTGAATGGGACTTGTCTCTTCACCCCCAGACCCTCCTCGCCCTCTCTCGGTACTTTGCTGGATCGAATTTACTCAACACCAAGAGCGGACAGGCTGTTGTGGTTAACACCGTGGAGGGTTATGCCCGGACGCGTTGGCTTGATGTACATTGCGAGAGTTTCGGGTCCAACAAGGGCAAAGCGACGATGACATCGCTATCGGAATTGAAGCACAAGGATCGGTACAAGGGCGTCCGGCCGATTACGATGGGAGCGTACGATGGACAGCGATTGGTGATTGGGACTGCTGTTGCGGATCTCCTGGTAACATCGTCGTTTCGATTGGATCTGGGGGAGGCGGCGGAGGCGTGTTCACTAGGGGGTTTCAAAACTTGACATTTGACGGCGTGTAACCAAATGCGCCGTCAAGGAAATTCCCATGGAAATACGTTTCCTTGAGGGCTGATGTATTTCGAAATACGCTCCGATTTGAATGCGGGTATGTCAAAGTTTGAAACTCACTATTAGGAGGCACAACGACGACCTTCTTGATCCCAAACACGATGGACTCACGGGATATACGGATATTTTTAAACCGAGAGAGTGTCGTAGTGGGGGAGAGGATCAACCAGGAGGATGATCTCGAGAATTGGTGTGTCGACAGGATCGGGATTGTTTATCAGTTGCGGCAGCTGAAGACAAAGTTCCAAGAGCCATCAACTTACCTGTTCAGCCGCGCGTCGGAACCTCTGACGAATATGCACCCGTGCATGCCATACACTACCTACACCGTCTTTGTCAGGATTGAAGTCGAATGATGGTTGTGGACTTGCGGACGCCGGGCTATTCCGTTTGATTGATGAAAAATGGTCCTGTACGAGGCCAAGAAGATCGCCAAACCCACTTTGTCTGTGAGCCACGTGCGGGAGTTCAGGAAGCGGTGCAAGGAAGGCACCGTTACGGAAACTCTATTCAACCAGCTCCTAGAATTGTTCTCCATCCACAACGGCGATGAGATTGAGGTCCTTTACAACAAATCCTTGAACGATGTTTCGGAGATGATTGCTGAGCTGTTGGCGCCGACCATTACGATTTCCAACAAGTTTGCAGCGCAATTTGTCACCCAGCAGTCATTACGAGGCGTTGTGACGAATTAATAAATATTCCTATTTATTTGTTTCTTTGTTGATAATTGTAATGATAAAAAACGGTAGACATAGTGGGTTTCTTGTTTGTTTCGCTCATTCTTTCTTGTGTGAGCCGAGGAGCATTTGGATGTTGGGCTCGTGGGGTCGAGAGAGAGAGAGAGAAGGAGAGAGAAGGAGAGAGAAGGAGAGAGAGAGAGAGAGAGGAAGAGAGAGAGATAGTATGTGTGTGGTGAGTAAGAAAAGGAGAAAGGGAAAAGATGAAAAAAATCAAAGAGAACAGAGGAATTGAACAAAGGGCGTGGCGATCAACAAAAATGCAGTGGTAAATAACAGAGAGACGAGGACGAGAACTTCGATTGAGAGATTAAAGGACAGTAGGAAAAGAGGTGAGAATTGATAGGAAGGGAAAAAAGAAAGGCGACAATGAACGTGGTAGTGTGAGATACAAGGTGTGATGAAGGAAATAATCGCCTGTTTTGCCAATGTTCCCACGCTCGTTTCCTTGTTTGTCTTCTCCTGTTTCTCACTCACCCTCCTTTTTGCCACCGTTCCCACACCTTCATCGCCTTTACCGCCACCCCACTCTTCTTCATCGTCTTTGCCATCACTCGACCACTCGCTCCCACGCTTTCTTTTCGACTTTGCTTCTCGTTTGTTTCTCAATACCTTTCTTCTTGCCACCATTTGACGTCCTTTCGTTTTCTTCATTCCTCGCCTTCACTACATCCTTCTCTTTCACTACATCTCTCATGTCTTCCCTCACCCACCTTTCTTTTCATTTGATGCTTTGCAACACTATGGACAACAACCCTCTGACCCTGTTCTGTCTTGTCGACGAAGAGTCCACTACCAACGCGCTTTCACTCGAGGTTAACCCAACCAAGACGGTCAATGGCGTCATGGCGTCATGGCGTCAAAAAGCTCATCAAGAGCGAGAAATCACCTAGAATCGATGACGTTGCAGCGGATGAGCTCACCCTCTGGCGTGTCTCTGTACCAATCACCGAAGATAACGACAAAATCCCCATTCAGCTTGACAATGTCACCAATAACGACAGGAAGAAACTCGGCCCAGTGACGCATCTTTGGTATGTCATTCAAGATAACCACAAAGAGTAGATGCGATGAAAATATTTAAATACAGCATGCTCAAGCTTACAGCCTCCGTGTCTTTATTGTCTTGTCACCTATAGGAGAGGATTGTCGAGTGCAGCGAGCCTGGCACATGGATGAGGACCATAGAAGAGGCAAAGGACAGACTGGTATCTTGGGACAATCGACACATCAAAGGCAATTTGTGCTACGAGATATCTCGCCTCCACGACAAACACAACAAATACAAGGATCAGCTTGTGGATTCTATTGACAGCATGCTTGGCCTTCTCATGTATCAGCATTGCATGTCTGGGAGCCATGACCTTGTCCTCCGCGAAGTAGACCCTCAGTTGGTGGAGCACGCGTTTGGTCGGATCAAGATCTGCCATGACCACGCGGTCACTATGCTAGACAATCCGTTCATTCCAATGGCTGTAGGGAATTACTTCTTCGCCATGGATACATACCTCAGGAAGGAAGCCCGCCGTCGAATGCAGACCTAGAAGAACCATGGATCTGTGTTTGAACAGTCCATGGTGAGCATTTCCATTAAGACCCTCCAAGCGCGACCTCTATCCGAGTGGCCGCATCAGCCCACAATCGCTGAGATATGTGAGACTGACTCTCATTGGGACGTTGTCGGTTAAAAAGAACCTGGGCTTCATCAAAATATGGCCCACAGGAATATATCGATGTAACAGTTCAGAAACAAGAGTGGAAAATGCACGGCAAAGCAGCTGTATTAGATGCATTGGAAGATGACTGTCAGTCCCTTTCCAACGCCATCTGTCACCTCTCTTCTATCCACCTTGACCCTATTTCATGTACAGTACACCTGCAGCACAGTATCCTTCCTTACAGACCTCGCTGACTGGTACTCCCTGGCTATCTCTCCACTAACTCAGTCGTTATTTATCTTGTCTGCGCTCCATCCCTCGCTCTTCATCTCGACCTTATCATCCTTCCCTCCTCTTCCACTCTTCCATCCCCAGCGCGACTGACTGAGTCAGATCGTTGATGTATTCCTAGACAACGGCAGCGACTACCAGTGCAGCGATAGCGATCAAACAGCAGCGACAACCAGGATACGCATCAGAACATGAGCGGCATCCAGCTGTGATTAACATAAGCACAAATGGAATGAGGTAGCCTTGGTTATCTTATTTTGCAGAGACGAAGTGACAGAAGGGAAAGGAAATGAAATGAAATAAAAAAAGACCATATCAAGAAAAGAAGATCTTGAGGCACATCCTTTCTTGATATTAGGGTGTGCCACAGTGGGCAAACAGTTGAAAGAATGGTCCAATATCTGCAACAGACAGCGACGCAGGCCCCAAGACTGGTGAGGTCAGAGCCATCATGCCAGGAACCGTAGGTGAGAGCCTAAACCCATTTAAAGCGAGAGAGGTAGTATGAACTTGCTTGAAATATGGAAGGTCGCGAGATGCGAGACGCTCTATTGCGTCGATCCTCTAGATTTACTCCTTTGGTCGATAGATTTGTTCGTTAATGGCGGTATCATTCCTCTTCTTCTTTCCTTTAGATCAGGTTCTTACGAAGCTGTTGTTTCGACTTGCCCACTAATAAAGTTCAAGCGACATGCACAAAAAACAACAGGATGCGATACACGCCACCACATACCATCACACACCACCTTACACCGCCTCACACCGTCAACTCACCCCTCCATACACAACACTATCCACGCACAACTCCACCACCACACAACATCACTAACTCACTCCTCCCATACTCACTCCATCCACCCCTACATTTCCACAGCATCATACACCGTCAAACTTCCCTACTCAAAGCATTTTTTTCAACCCTCCACGCCCACTCGCTTGCACTCACTCATTCGCAGAAAAAAAATGAATGTCGTCCATGATATTTTTTTCAAACCTAATTTCTAGGAGAAAATAAAGGTTTCGCCCGGGTCCACAGCAGAGCACTGCCACTTGCACTGAGCGAAGCCACAAAGGCCAGCCAGTCGCGAGGATTAAGGTTTGCAAAAGGTAGCAGACAGGTTACCACAGGGACAACTGGCTTGTGGCAGCCAAGCGTTCATAGCGACGTTGCTTTTTGGTCCTTCAATGTCGGCTCTTTCAATCCTTGCTTCTTTAGAATTTAAGGTCGCGTTGTTGATGCTTGTCAACTTTTTTTTGTGGTTTTAAGGGGTGCTTAAACACCGAACCAAGGTTAGTGGTTTTATGTGAGTTGGCATATTGTAACCCATGTGTGGATAGGTTGATGAGAAAGAAGGTGGTGGGTATCTATACTAATATCGCTATAAATTATATACTCTCTCAGTTCGCCATTCTTAACAAGTCATGGAGAGTCGCACCCATATCGGTCAGAGTCGAGTTCGTCTTGAGTGCCACAGACAGCGCAACAGCTCCGTTGGGTCCGATCGAGTTGCCATTCAAGCCCAAAGTGGTGAGAGTCGAGTTGGTCTTGAGTGCTTCAGACAGCGCCGCAGCTCCGTTGTCTCCGATTGAATTGTACTTTAAGCCCAAAGTGGTGAGAGTCGAGTTGGTCTTGAGTGCCTCGGACAGCGCCTGAACTTCGCTCTCTCCAATCGAGTTCCTATCCGTGATCAAAGTAGTCAGATTCGAGTTGGCCAGGACGCTACCAATGACTTTGTCTCGTGCAAATGTTGATGATAGGTCTTTTTCATAGGCAGAGTTCTGAATCTCTAGACGTCTTATAAGGTGCTTGTTTCTCTCGACAGATTCTATGCTGAGGCCATGTTTCGACAACACGACAGAGCTGTAGAGTGGCGGTGTAAATTAATCGTTCCAATCCTTGCTCACACGCGCACAGGACGTGAGGTCTTTAAGGCCAAGACTGCTGGCAATTCTGGAGCGAATCTCATGTAGATCTAGGGGATGTGTCTGGAACATCGTAGTCATAAAGATGAAAGCGTGACAAGCGTGCGGGATGATGACCGGGATGGTGATGATGGGGTTACAAGAAGGTGCGATTATGAAGGAGGAATGTAAAGTAGTTAATGCGTTGAAGAATGACAGACACTAATTGTAAAAGCAACAGAGCAAGAGCGTGTGAATGAGGGAATGGACAAGAGAAGGAAGCAAGAGAGAAAGAGACAAGAATGCTAAGGGAAAGTGGAAAAGGCTGTGTGCAAAAGGATTGGAGGCGTGGTTAGTGGAGGTGTGGTGGTGAGGGCTGATGAAGGCGTGGCTGAATGGAAGACACGATTCCTTCATGCATCATTTTTGCTACAGCCTGAAGAGTCATAATCCTAAATGAAATATCGCTTGTGGCTCCTTCGATGTCGGCTCTTTCTCTCCTCCTTCAGTATCATTCGAAGCTGCGTCGTCGATGCTTTGAGGGAGTAGATATGTTGGTGTCATGTTCTTGTGGAGGTTGGGCTATGTGATTGTTGTTTAAGGGTGATGACAGATCGGGGATGGCGGCATCTTGACCGTTTGAAGACGAGTTCAAAGGCAAGGGCGTTGGTATGGTCCTGCTTATATAGTGAAGATAACCTTGGAAGAATGGGTGCATTGGGATCGATGTTCTCCTTGTTGAAAAGGGTTTCACGAGCACACGCAGAAGCGGTATGCAATGCTGGTGCGCGCTGTGCTGCTCGTCCCCCTTCCTTCCTTGTTCTCCTCCCACCTCCCCCTCCTACCTTCCGTGTTCTTTTGCCATTTCTATGTCATTTTATCGTTTACTTCCACTTTTATGTACTCATTTTCTCTTACATTTCACGCATTGGCCTCGGTGAACTTTCATAAAACGCAGCATGAGTTTTGGGAAGGTCCACACTGAGCAGTGTTCTCACAGATATAACCAGCATAGGGCGGTGGTCCTGGGCTGCAGCGATGTGTTTATGGCGTCTTGTCTGGAAAATATTTCGGGCACAGCAGTTTACCACCGATCTTGGAGCAGCTGCAAGCATGGCGGCATGCATAACCCAGCGAATCGTCAGAGCATGATAGCACCCACAAAAAGGTGGTGTCAATTGTGGCATTCTTAGGGACAGCAACCGAAGCCGTTGGAACTACAGCTACATTGACGCACGCGCATGCGGTAAAACAGGATGCTATAACGAAGGACAATTGCATTTAGTCACCTATTTTACAGTTTCAGAAAAAGGAGATTACAATATGCAGTCAGATGTTAATCTCAGCTGTCAATCATACGATTGTAATAAAAACAAAGAGTTCACTCTTGCGCTTGTTGGTAATTCACAAGTTCTGCGAAGGGCTTAGTTGAATGGGTGGACTGTGTGAATGAAAGGATGTATAAGAGGAATGCTCGATGCCCATGTTTTTTATATGTCACATAACAACACGTGTGTTGACTTGAAACGAGGAAAACCTTTTATCCAGTAACTAACATGCATGGGTACAAACTGTACAAGCTTCGTCAAAAGCACCAATCGGCATATCTTTCTAAACGGCGGATACATATATTTTTCTGTGTTCGTGCAATGCAAGACGATTGTCGGCCTGAGTTCATGTGAGAAAATGAGACTTCTCTCTCATAAAATCCCGCAAACAAACATGTATGGGTACAAACTAACGAAGGTTTTACAGCTGTGGTAGAACCTTCACCGTCTTAAAGTCCCGCAAAACAAACATGCATGGGTACTTGATAGCATCCCACCATGAGAAAATGAATCTTACCCAGTCCACTACATGTACTGTACCCTTGAATAAACAGACAGAAAGCCAAACTTGATTTTTTTTTGTTGATTAAACGTTAGCAATTGCCTGTCGAACTTACAGAGAAGGCGCAACTAGCGAGTGACTCAAATAATATCACTCCGGCCCTACTTCACTTTTCATCTTTTTTGTTGTCACCATTACGGATAATCACATAAAGACGCTCATCTTGCCTCGAGGATGTTTATTTAGGCCATAGCCATATGTGATACTATGCTTTTTTTGTTCACGTTTTGGTTGACGAGCTCATCGAGCAGGCCTTCATGTAAACTAAGCGGCCTCCTGCAATAAAATGGAGTTGAATTCCAGTCTCAGGTTGGAAGCAATATCTGGCCAGTCTCTAGTATCGGTTTCCACAACGATGACAGTTGTCTCATCATTGCTTTCAGCGAAGGTGACAGATACTCCTTCTCGTCGAAATGCCTCGACAAGTGCCGTCTTGAATTCATGGATTCTTATCGTTTGCCTGAATCTAACTATGTGTGTTCTAGTTCCTACTTGAGTGTTCACCATTATGAAGTCCATTTTTGATGCGCGATTGTTTGGAAAGAGAGAGAGAGAGAGAGAGAGAGAGAGAGAGAGAGAGAGGGAAGAACGAAGAGAATAGATAGAACAAAGAGAGTGAAGAGAGTGATGAAAGAGAGAGAGGGAGAGGAACGAAGAGAGCAGATATAACAAAGAGAGCGAAGAGAGTGATGAAAGAGAGGGATGAACAAACAACAGGCGTGGAGTAGGCAAGAGTAAGGGGTGATGAAAAGGGGGTGGCAAGTGAATGAATGAGAAGAGCAGAGGAGGGCGGGTGAGAAAAGGGCATGAGAGACGGCGTAAGGCAAAGTTTGCAGGACAGACGCCAATGGTGACGTAGCAGCGCTTGTAGTTCACTCAAGCCCTCCTTAGCCTCAACGAAGGATTCTTAACTTTTCATTATCACAATGAATCGGAAGAAGGCATAAGAATGACCAGCAGTAGGGGAGGGTCAATGGATGGTGAGCGGATCAAGCACATACAAGAAAAAACAGGGTCGAAATATTCCGAATCCCGCCTGACCTGTACAGCAGTAAGAATGAGAAAAAAAAACGTTGAGGGACGGAAGAGTGAGAAGGCAAGGAAAATGTGGCAGTGGAGATACAATCATTTCGGTGCCAAAGGGATTGGAGTGCGGAATGCTCGATGAATTTTCAAGGTAAGAAAAGAGCCAAGAAAAAGGGGGCGAGGGCTCATACGCAAGGGCGTGTGCTTAATGTGGATGTGAAAGTGGAAGTGATAGAGCATAGGCCATGTACAGCGCCCTCCCAAAAAGAATTGCCGGAAAATTTTTTGAGCACCATTTTTTCCCCTTCTTCTTCGTATTTAAATGATGGAAAAAAAAGTGCTCAAGAAATTTTCCGGCAATTCTTTTTGGGAGGGCGCTGTACATTACCTGCATACATAAAGAAAATAGTAACCCCCACGAGAGTCTAAGTATTGTTTCATATTTTGCAATCCAAGTAGACTCAGGCAACAACACCAAACAGCAATCTTTTGTCACCTGCAGCAGCTGTCGATGACCCATATTCCCGCTGTCCCTCCAAACTCCAAAAGTTCCTGTGGTGAGTGTGGTGAATGTGAATAGAGAATGGTTGACAGTGAGGCGTCCATCTTTTGGCGAATGTTTTTCGTACTCTTTTTCGAACCAAGAAAGTAGTATGCGACCCATTCCAGGTCTGAAATGTGAGAGTCGAAAACGAAATACTGGAATGTCAAAGTAGAAGTGGCGGGATACAAAAGAAAATGAGGAAAAGAAGGAGGAAGAAGTAAGAGACCAGGGGAGATGAAGCAAAGGACCGAGAAGCAAAGGAAGGAGAGAAACCTCATACGCGACAGTCAGGAACCCGAGACAAAGCCTGAATGAAGACAATCAACAATCGGACAAGAAGGCGAGTCAATAGAAAAAAAAGTTAATTGTTGCGCAAAAAAAAAGATGTTACCGCTGCACAAAGGGACTTCTCGAAAAGCCTTTGCCTTGTCGATGTAGCCAAAGAGCTTGCGTGTTCGCCCATTGCTAGGGGGATATGCCACCAAAAGGGCGAGTCTCCCAAGGCAAATATAGTATGCATGCGACCCAAACTTGTCAACGCCTTAGATGTCATTGATCAGCGATAAATGAAAAGATCGGCGTGGCACGCCAACAACAATGTTCATTACTTCTAACTCAATGGAATCCACTGAAAAAAAAAAACATAGTCTGTTATATTCTACTGCTGTTCGAGAGTATCAGTAAGCTCGTATCCATGGACGCGAACGCGGTAGACACATGTCATCTTGGGATGGCCCCAGTTCGATTTGATCCGGAAAACGGCTCCTACAGAAGGCACGGTCTGCTTGGACAAGGGGATCGAGAATGTCTGACGTGACTTTGGCTTTTCTGACGCGTCGGCGTCGATGTTGCTGGCTATTGTTGTGTTGGCGTTGAACTCGATGGTTGTCAAAAGAGTCGATCCTGGCCAGGGCGCTCCTTCGCGCCATCGATCGCCTGCCTTGATCTCCTGCTTATTTTCTTGCTCCTGCTTGTTGGCTGAAGCTGTGCTTGAAGGCTCAACATGTGGTCGTGACGACTGAGGCGTAACGGGCGCCGCGTCGTCCCGACCTCTCAATCCCCAGACCTCAATCTCTCTGGCAGCACTACCCAAGTCCAAAACAACCGACGGATCCGCATGCTCGATGGTCACCTCTGTGATCACAATCTTCCGTGCAAGTCGAACCGCCAGCTGTCCTTCTTGTCCATCCATGGCCCAGCACTCTCCAGCATGCATGTCGGGCTCGATCGCCTTCTCTGCCGGTTTCTCACGCCGAGGCAAGGGGATAAAAAACCGTGCGCCAAGTCGACCCAGCAGGGTGGGTTCCACATAGTGAAAGTAATTGGGCGAGGTGAGTCGAGGGATGATCCTACCACCCGCTGAGTGCAGGGCATAGTCGGGCTTGGCCAGGGCATCGGCAGAGTACTTCTCCAGCGCCTTGTCGATTAATCCTGAAATGAGATCTCGCTCAATGTCCGTCAAGGCCCGTTCAAGGTTGTTGTTGTTGCTGTTGGCCGAATTAGACGAGTCGTAGCCACCCCTGCCAGGCGCGGCTTTGCCCTCCAGCTTGCCTTGCTTCTCCAATAACGCGACGACATTCCGTTCCAGACTCTGCCAAATCAAGTTCGCCTCAGTCCTGAGCAGACTCAAAAAGACGGTTCTCGAGACCTTCGACATCCTACCCTCAACAAACGAGCCCATCGCCTTCTCATTCTCAAGCAAGAAGTCATCCCAACCAATCGCCTTGCCAGATTTCTTCTTCCCGCGCGAAGAGCCCCAGGACCATCTGCTAGAAGAGGAGTCGTCCTCCTGTTGGTCGTCCGAGTCCTGGTCGAGAAGCGCCACTTGATCCTTGATGGATTGTTGAACTTGATCCGAAGTCATAAACAATTCGCGGGCAGTATCCCAGAACTCGCTCGGGATTGACAGTTTACCCGTCCGAGGGTCCCTGGCGACCACCAAATGTCTTGGGATCTCGTCCCGAACCAGCTCCAGCACCGTTTGCTCGATCCACCGACCGTCGCTGACGTAATTCTTCAGCGACTCGACCTCGCTCGAGACTTTGTTGACCTTGTGTTCGACACCCTTGAGCGTGTGTTCAACACCCGAGACCCAGACGGACATTCCTTCCAGCTTTGAGCGTAGGTCCTTGTCTAATCGATCATCCGCGTGGCCGAGGTCTACCAGCGCCTTCTGAATCAACTCAATCCTTGACTCGAGCTCCTCCAAGGACTGGATCTGTTCTGTTGGGATCTGAATAGTGCTCGACGGCGATGGTGAAGGCTTGCTGGTCTTGCGGGATGGGATCCACTTTTCGACAGAAGGAATACTTGGGACCCATTCGAACCATTGGCGTGGGTTGCTGACGTGAGAGCGTCCATCCCGTTCCGGTGTACTTGGCCAAGATATCCTATCCCATGTGCTCGACACAATCTCCCTCAACCCAGGTCCCCGACTTGGACTTGGCACGACAGTCTCGTTGTTACAAGCTCGTCCGTCCTTGAATCCTGAAACGCCCTCGTATCCAAACTTGTGGCTGGCCCAGACAGCGAGTCCAAGAAGAGCGACGCCAAAAAGAGTGCCTGGTCGCAACAGTCCAGATGCGATACCAGTCCGAACCCAAGACTCTCCAGTCTTCCAGACAGTATGCCTTTGTGACCATGGCCACAGAAGGATGAACGAGACCCACGAAAGGACTGTCCATGCAAAGAACTCCAATGCTGTCGTGAGAGAATGGTAAATGTGCTGAAGGGTGTCCAAGTAGCCCTCAACCGCATGTCCCACAACATGCCAGGGGTAGACGCGTGCAGAGGCCGAGGCTTCGGTAGACTGATATAATGGCGAGTGGGTCTCGTAGTGCCAACTGTATCGAGGCTCGATCGGGTTCTTCGTCCGCAGATTCACACCGTATCTCGACCGACGCTCCGTGTCGCTCTCGTAATCAGAAGTGTCGGAATGGTGGCCATAGCGCTCAGTGATGTACGGCCGCTCATCTTCCTCCTCCTTGAAGGCGCTAACGCGACTTGATGGTCGTGGAGAGGGTGTGATGCGTCGTTCTAGAGGTCGGTAAGCATCCAACACAACCGGGTCCTTTTCCTCCGCACTTGTATGCCTTATAAAGTCTGCCTCTTCCTCCTCTTCCTCCTCTTCCTCCTCAGCCTCTTCCTCGAGCAATTCTTCCAGAAGCTCAGCCTCGTCATCAAATTCCTGAGAGCCGTCGAGTCCGATACCAGAATCAAACTGTCTCATCGAGGGAACATTGAATGGAGATTTGCTGGGAGACCTGGGAGACGTTGCTTGTGACCGAGAAGGCGTAGGCTGAGACCGAGGAGATGTTGGTTGGGAGGACCGAAGCAATTCTGGCTGCGGCGTAGGCGATCTTGGCTCGGGTGAAGGCGGTTTTGAAGCGGAAGTTGGGGCGGCGACGACTTTGCTCAATCGCGAGGGGACGGGAGTCTTCTTCCTTTGATACGGTTCCCTGCGAACTCGAGCACTGGTGAACGAGGTGTCGGAATCAACATCGGAGCCTTCGCTGGGATAGCCGTCCTGTTGCTTCGAGTTGCCCCAGCCAAACTCATCGCGCTGCTTTCGCAGCAAATGTGCCCACCGCTTGATGAATCCCAATTGTTCCTGTTCCCGCTTGAGCTCTGCAATCTCGCGCTCGTCCAAGGACTCGTCGCTTTGGTCGTCTAACGCTGCATCGTCGTAGCTGTTGCCTCGAAGCCGCTCGTGGGGATATATTTCATCTTCCTGCTCACCGATGTCGAGCCCTTCATCATCATTCTCGTAGGCATCATGTTCGAGCTCGTCATGAGGTGCATCGTCCCTCTCATCCTCCACGTTGTCGAATTGATGCCTCTCATTCAAATAGAGCTGGTGATCCTCTGTGTGCTCGACTTGGTCGTTTAGTGTTCGGTCAGTCTCCTGACGACTGCGGAAGTTGGCTGAACGAGGCTGGTTTCCGTTGTCGTCATCGTCCTCAGCGTAGTCGTGGTTGTTGTGACCGAGAGCACTCACAGGACTTGCACGGTCGTCGACTTGATCGTCCACAAAAGGAGAAGGTTGATATAAATAGGAGGTGAGGCCATCTGATGTCCTTCCGTTGCTACCACCGTTCCTGAGATTGTCGACACTGTCGCTGTTCTGCGGGCGTTTGGAGCCAGCAATAGGGGTATCATGGGGTCGAAATGCCTTTCTGTACTGCTTTCCTTGTGGCGTTTGGGGAATGTCGCCGTTATTCCTGGGTGTACCTTGACCAAAGCCAAGAGACGACGGTCTTTCAAGGGCAACCTCGGTGTCGATATAATTGCCATTGGCTCTCCGTGATTGTGGAACGGCAAATGGGGAGGAAGTGAAGGACATCCTGTTCTTGAAAGGGCCGTTGTTGCTGTTGGCGTGAGGGAAAAAGTCGAGGACTCTCTTTGCGTTGGGTGACCGGATTGGAGTCTTGGGTCCTTCGACTGTTGCGCCAATGACCCCTGGGAGGAGGAGGTTGTCAACTGTGGTGTAGAGTGGTGGGGTAGTCGTCGCCTTGCCGCGGGCCTAGAAGAAAGAGGGAGACGAAGTCGGAGGGAGTGAGAAATATGGTTCTCGTTGTTATTGTTTTTGTTTTCTCAGGGCGCTCTTGGATGCGAGTCCCTGTGGTACGACGAAGCTCGTCCCCGACGCGTGCTCTATGGCCAATTCTTCCCGGTCTTCAATTGTACAAGGCTCCTCTTCCCGATAAGAGTCAACATGCACTGGAACTGTTGGAGATAAACACGCAATTGACCTGCTGGCGATAAACGAGCAATGGTGACGACCCTCCGCAGATAAAAAAAATAAATAAAAAGGCTATGAATGATAGCGAGGAGACGTACGGGTGAGGAGTAGTTGTTGGTGTTGCTGTGAAGGTCGTTCGAGACCCTTTGTTGTGTTCTTGCCCTTGAAGGAGTCAAGGTATTCATGGGTTGGGATCAGATGAAGGTGCGGGTGGGAGGTCGTTCGTCGAGTGCGTGTTCGAGCGCAGTTAATTGTTGTTCCTCTTCCGGAGGTGTTGTCCAGGGGAAAGCCGGGAGGAGGAGGAGGAGTTGATTGCGAGTGAGTGAGTGAATTAAGGATGGAGACACTGACAAAGGGGAGTGAGGAGCACTATGTGTTCTGTTGATGAGTAGAAGTGGTGGTGGTAGTGGTAGTGATCGTTGTGTGTTTGTTTGTTGTACGTTGAAGGAGAGAAGGGAAAGTAAAGGGCGGGATGATGATAAAATAGAAGAGTGAAGAGAGGAAGAGAGAGGAGTGTGTTGTGGTGGCAAACAAGGACAAACAAACAAACCCAACGCGTTACGTTATTTTCTCCCTTCCCCTTGCTCACCCCTCTGCTGAAAAAATGAAAAAATCAAAACAAAACATATCCTTTGGTCACTGTGCAATTATTTTTTCTTCTATTGCTTATTTCTGTTCGAAAGACTGATTCTCTCTCTCCTCTCTTCTTCATTCTCACCAAACAAGCAACACTCACTCACGGACATCAATCACAACATACAACATGCCGGTCCACCACGACAGCGACAATGAGACCGACTCTCACGCTCAAGACTTCACCGGACTCACAGAATAGTACGTTCAACACAGTCTTCAAAAGCCTTGATACAGCCATCCTGACCGCGGCTTTTTATTTTTTGTCGCTGTTATTTTTGGTGGCGTTGTCTGGCAAACGAGCCAGAAAAGGCCAATTGGCCGTGAACACCTTCTTCGTCCTACTTTAACTAACTATGGTGTTCACCTTTTATCTAATTGCTAGTGAGAAAATGCGCTTGGAGAACATCAGGAGGAACCAGGAAGCAATGAGGATGTTCGAGTTGCCTGAGGCCGTCTCTGCAGTCGGAACCTCCCGCGCTGACAGAAACAAGCGACCTGCACCTACACCCGGTCTAAAGAAGGAGAAGCGAGTTAAGCGTACGGATGTCTTGCCAAGGAGGACATCCAGTCGTCTCGCCAACATCGCTGTAAGTGTTCTTTCTTTGTAATAGATCAAAGTATCAACCACACAAAATTAATTGGTCAAAAATATCTCGACTTTATCTGATCATCGGTACTCTTATCTACCCGGATGTGTAGCCTGATAGTACGCCTTCACGGAGAACAGTTGAACCAGTGGCAGACCCAGAGCAGATCAGGAGGACGCGCAGAAATGGGACACTGTCGCTCAAGGAGACTAGCAACGGACATGGCAACGACGACAGGTTTTCACAGCTGATGGAGGAACTCGCAACATATGTCCCCGATAAGGCCCGCGTCAAGGATTTGGAGGATCTGAGTGATGATGATTCAGCAACCATCGTCAAGAAGGAGCCCGAGGTGGACGAGAAGACTGTCAAGAAAGAGGCCAAGAAGGAAGTCAAAGAAGAGGAGAAAGATAACAACACCAACGTCAAGAAGGAAGAGGCTGACGACATGGTCAAGAAGGAAGAGACTGAAAGCAAGGACACCAAAGTTGGCATCAGGAAATACTTCAGCAGATCGTCAGCTACAAACGCCACCACCCCTACCGCAAAGACACCGGATACAAAGGCGAAAGCAGGATCGGCAGCGAAGGATACGACAAAGGCCAGTCTTCCCAAGTCTGAGGACGCAGACAACAAGCCTATGTCGTCATCTAACAGCATGGGACCTTCCTTACGGCGACAAGTCCAGGCGCTCCAGATTCGAGGACCATGGCCCACCGTCAAGGTCTGTCAGGGACGCATCTACTGCATGGCGATTCACGAGAACAGGGACAAGATCCTGGTTTGCGGTGGAGATGTGGATGGCAACCTCGGATTTTGGGATCTTGACGAATCGCAGGCGGATGATTATGAACCCGATGTGGAGGAGGAACCCAACATCTACAACTACAAGGCCCATAGCAGGACCTTGTCCAGTATGCAGTACTCTCCCACTGAGCCCAACAAGTTATTTTCGACTTCTTACGATGGCTCTGTTCGGTATCTGGATCTTGTTCAGCAAAAGTTCATCGAGTCCTATGTCGTCGCCCCCGACGCGTCCGACCATCTCGGCTCCGTTTCGATCACCTCTTCAGGACAACAACTCTGGTTTGCTGATGTCGACGGAGGTGTGACCCTCAAGGATATCCGGACACCCAAGGACGAGATGGTCTTCCGCAAAGTTCTTCACGAGAAGAAGGTTGGATGTGTCAACGTCAACCCCAAGTACGACAACCTTATTGTTACTTCCTCGCTTGATCGGACCATGAAGATCTGGGATATCAGGACTTTTGGACAGTACAAGGAGGATGAGGCCATTGTCGAGATGGCTTCTTTTGATCACCGCCTCAGTGTAACCAGTGCCATGTGGAGCCCCGATGGTACGTTTGGTTATTATAATTTCGCTAACCAATGTGCCCAAACAGCGCGTTATTATTCATGAAAGCTAACATGATTTTACTGGGTGTAACATAGGTGCAAGTATTGCAAGCACCTCGTATGACGACAATGTCAGGATCTTCAACAACTTTGAACCCTCCCTCCCCGACTTCAAAGAGATCCCAGAACCCGTTCGCATCCCACACAACAACCAGACTGGCCGATGGGTCACTATGTTGCGCGCCGTGTGGTCACACCAGTTCAACTGGTTCTCAATCGGAAACATGAACAAGTCCGTGGATATCTACTCTCGAGGCACGGGCGACTTGATGGCCAATTTGTACGATCGCCGTAACTTGACGACCGTTCCCGCAGTCAATGCCTGGCATCCAAACCGTGTTCTCCTCGCCAGTGGAATGGCTAATGGCAAGATGGTTATCTGGCGGTAGATGCATGGAGTGTCAAATATCACGATAATAAATTATGGTTCTTATGGTACTTTTTTCTATGGTACATTCTAAATGGTAATCGAAAATCAAATAAAGAAAGTATGGTACTTCCTCTCGCTATCAAAGCATCTCATACATAACACTCAAAACAGCTAGGATCAACCCAGTCATTCTACCCCTATCAACACCAACACCAGCAGCAGCACCATTGTTGAACCCACCAGTTTCCAGGTGCGCAAACCCAATCCTACCACTCGTCGCAGCATTCCCGAAATCGAATACCGAATACACATTCTTCAGAAAAACGTCCCCAATCAGCCATTCCTGAATGGACACCACCGATCCTGAAGGAAACATGACCGCGCTCAGACAGTAATCCCCCTGTTGAGTCTTGGACCGTTCAGATTGAAGTGCCAAGTGGGTGTAAGGAATCTGGAATGTGAGGGTACCAAAGGTCATTGTGACAACCGTGTCGCCGCTGCATGGCATGTACCAACGCCCTTCTTGTGTCGTCTACTCAGGCAAGAAAAAATATAGATGGAAACGTTAATTCAGATATTCAACAGAGAGATAATAGGGGGGGGAAACGGGATTTGTGAATACGAGAAGGGGTGTTACCACTCTGATAGCACCGGGGATGGCGCCGTTAATGGCGTCAGAAATGACTCGGGGGACCAGCATAGCCGTTGTGCCCGTGTCAATCGCGGCTAGCGCTCTATTAACATTGATCTTTGTACTTCCAACCGTGATTCCGCCTACAGGGATCTGTAAGCGATGGAAAAGGAGAAAAGCCAGTAAGAAAAAGACGTCTTCATCTTCCAAAGGTCCAGAGTGAAAACCACAACAAAAGTTGAACAGGTCCAACGAAGAAACACTTACACTCCACGGTCGCTCGCCTGCACAGTTGACATAGGTGATCTCGCCATGGAATTTGGTCGTATCGACGCCTCCAAAGGTGATCTCCCCTCCTGCTGAACCACCCGATTGTCCGTTGGGAGTCGTCGACTGCAGCCAGATGCCGATCATGTTGCGTGACAGCAATGTGTTGTTGCGAAGGACATTCAGGATGGGGACTGCACTACCAGTGGCATAGTACCAGAGCCCCATGATCCCATCGACCTTGGCCGGTAACTGGGCTTTGTTTTGTGTCACAATACCTGCGGCGCCTCGAAATTGTAGTGAGCCAATGGTATATGTTTCCTGTTCAAAAAAAAAGTAATAGAGAGGGATTAACGTCAAGTAACGTCGAGGAGAGGGCACTCTATTTGTGCAGATCCCTTCAGGTAATCAGATGAAAGCGAAGATGACTTACGGCGACATAATGACCAGAGACTTCTTGCCCGCTAACATAAGAAGCGCTAAAGGTGTTGTTCAACGTCTTGCAGGATCTGTTCGTCCCAGATTCAAACAAGGAAAATGAAAGAGATATGTCAGTATCTTGTTTTTGGCGATCCAACTGTAAATGCAAAATTAGAAAAGACGACATCATGGTGCATACGTTGAGGAATCACAGTGGAATCGCGTTGCTGTCAAGCAAGTCTTGTTCACGCAGCTCGACGATGACAGCCAGGTAATGGGGCTTCCTGTGTCGATGATCACGTTAAACATTTGCGCTGGTGTGCCTAGTCCAAAGGGGATTGCTAAGTAGAGGCACCAGGAGTGGAAAAAAAAAGTTTGCAGACAAGTCTCCAACGGGCTCAATGTTTTGTCCTCCTTCGATGATAATGGTAATGCTCAGATTGATTGAACTTGAATAACGATACGAAACTTACTGTACATGACATCGCTTTCAACGTTGGTCAATTGAATGCTACCAAAGGGTTCTGTCGTAGAGTTGGTTCCTGTGCCGTTCGTTGGAGAGGGGACATCTCGCTTGTGCAGGTATCTCCTTGTGAGTGAGTCCGGGTTAAGGTGAGCGGGATTTCTAAAGGTGCTAATTGGAACACTACGACAGGGATGAATGAATGCCAATGGATGCATTAGCGATGTGTGTCCTCTTCCCGGGTAAAGTTATGAACGAACGAAAAAAGAAAAAAAAAGTGTTCTTTCGATCGCGAGTAAAGAAGAAGGGACGTCATTTGCTTTGTTAGATTATTATTTTCCAACGTCCGTGTGCTCGATACATTTCTTCTTCTATCAACACTTCAAGCAATCCCCCGATTGTTGTTCCTTGTTAAAACGGAATGAATATCTAGACGAGAAGGACATGTGGGGATGTTGCAGCAACAATGATGACGAACAACCAACAGACACAAAGAAAAAAAAGGAGACGGCGATGAAATGCACTTTATGCACATTCAGGTAGAATAAAATAGATCCTCACTACATCATCATCTTCAACTCGCTCCGTTGTTGTATCTGCAACTGGGATCTTATCTAGCCCTTTTACTGTTAGATCTTCCCTCTGATCTTTGCTCCAACCAAACATCCACACAAAACAATAACGGCTGAACTGGACCTGAGCACCGGTATTTTGGTCTCGGATAAAAAATGAAGAGTGACAAGAGCAAGGCTTGCTTTCTTGTCCTGAAAACAAACGAGGGATGGAGTTGTCGTTAGTGTTCAAAGAGGGGGAATGGAATGGAATGAGAAAAGTGAATGTGCCTTTGGTGCATTACGTGATGAGGGCCGAGGCTGTGGAGGTAAAGAAGGCAAGGGCCAGCCACGGTGTGGAGAGGGAGATCTTCATCAATTATTGTGGGGCGAGCAATTGAATTACGAGGAAGGAGATGGAGGGGAAGGAGAGGAGAGTGGGAGGAGAGGTTGAAAGACGGAGAGAAGAGTAGAAAAGAACGAGGGAGGAAGACAAGGAGAGAAAGGAGGATGGATGGACAACGTGAGCGGAAGTGAATTATAAAAAAAGTGAGAACTACAACGTTCTCTTGTCTTAACGCCCAGCCAAACCTACCTGCTTTTTCACTATCTCTCCCGATTCACATCTCCCTGCATTTCCACGCCACGAAACATGTATGCTGTTATCGCATGTTGCCCACCAAACGAATGATTACTGCGCTTCTCACCCTCTTACTTTGTCAGTGTTTGAAGTTCAAGCCGGTCGTCCACCTTAATCGTCCCTTCCTTCCACCGTGCTCTGAATATGACGATGGCTTTCATTCCATGGCCTCCGCGATAGTACTTTATCCCTTACTGTTCTTGCAAATAACAAACACTCGTCTTTATTAAGCCCTCCTTCATGGCTGAATTGCAATGTACAGCAGAACTCCCTGCCTAGGGACCCCTCAGGCAACAAACAGCCAATAGGCATAGGGTAGCATAGGCGGTCAAGTATTGAGGCTCGAACGATAAAAGTATGAAAGAGGGAGATAAAAAAAAAGGCACACGTCGCAGATAAAAATGGGCAACAAAAGGGGAAGAAAGGAGGGGGCAAAAAGGGTCCAGCTCCAGCACACCCCAATACGCTAGAAGCCAGTTAGGATGACACGACAAGCAACCGACTCTTTTGGAAAAGAGTCGTACACTCCTCCAAGGGAAGGAGCGCGCCCGTAACCGCCATAAGACATCCTGGATAAAGTACCTTCGCGCTGTGTCGAATCCGCAAACCAGCGCGTCAATTGGCATTTTACAATTGAAACTCTCCTCCGCGAAAGTGAAAGAGTGATCAAAGGAGCTGGGATAGAAGTGCGTGTAGCTTACTTCATCACACCCCAGCTATGCCGGACAGATTCCCAACAATGAATGCAGCGTGAATGGAGAGAGGGAGGAAGAGTGTAAATAAAAATAAACACTGCGAAAAGAGGGTGCCTTTTAACGCGTGATGCATCTAGTAACCATACCTAGGGTAGACGGCGGCAATGACAGCGAGGAAGCGTCGACTTCAAGGAGGGACGATTTGGTTGATGCTAAAGGGGAGATTATTTATTTTTTTCAAAAGGCAAGAGAAAACACGCCATGGCATTACCTTCTTCATTGAGGCGATGAATAAGCACGCCTATTCACGATCACAACGTGATTGTTCTACGACAACAATTGCAAACAACTGCAGAAGAAATATTGCAGCTCGGAGACACACCGACGACACGAGAAACACGAGCACGGAAGTATGGACACCCTTCTAGATTGAAGAGAACGCGAGAGAGATAGTCCGAAGGCGGACACTGGTCGAGATGGCGGGTCTGGTCATTTCATTTTTGCGCAAGGAGGCTAGAATCGTTTAAGGGGTATTTGTCGTAAGCCTGTTCAAGCTCGGACCACATTATGTCTGGTCACACAATTGATCTTCCTTTATGATACTCTCCCCGTCCCCGTCAACAACCATGTCCCCACCACCACCGCCGCAGTCAACAAAAATCGGAACCCCAACAGACCTCAAACCCTCCCACTCGCTCTCCGGGATCCAAGACCACACCGGAGCCATCCCACCAGACCTACCCCTCAAAACCGACTTTCTTCGTAAAGTACAACCCCGCTTGTAATAGGAGCAGAGCAAGAGTGCATGAACAAGGAACAGAGAGAGAGACAAGGACGAGAGGGAGGACAAGATAGTAGGAAGGACAAGATGAAAGGCTAGAAACGGGTGAGGTTTATTGTACAGAAAGGGTATTTATACGTCTATGATATTAGGCATGCTGGCGAGGTAATAATAAGCAGAGATAATGTGTAAGACAAACACACAAGATATTGACAATGTAAGTAAGGAATAAGGTAGTAGAAAACAGGAGGCAATCTACAATCCTGTTACACTATGATCCTGTAACACTATGATACTATCACACCGCTACTGGACCGCCGAGGGGTTCCTCTCCCACGGATACCTAGACCTGGACCTCCTCCTCCACGACCTAGCAATCATGTCCGTCGCTCGTGCCAGAGGGCCGACGAGACAATTGATGATTTCGTATTGCAGGAATTTGGTCAAGTTTTATAGGTCGGAAGAAGGAGGGATCCAGTTGTTGAAGTCGAGGCAGCGGTTGGTGAAGGAGCATCAGCTGTTTGATATAAACGCTTCTATCGCCGCCTTAAAGAACTACCGAGGTAACGACGGAGCTCTTTTTTTCCCTTTTCATATACGTTACCTGAACACAATGTTAATTTTGTTTGGCACGTACTCGCGCCTCGTTTCTTATTGTTATTATATACTCCACCAACGATAACAACATCAGGATCGAGCAACAGCTCAACTTCAACCCCGGTACTTGATGGCGGCAGAGAGAACGAAGAGGGCGAGAGAGTGACACCTGTCGCCGCAGCGGAAACCAGTGGTATTTAAGAACGCCTCAACAACACGTTGGCGGTAGCTCTTTGAATAGATCGCGTGGGAATATGCACAGCAGCCCTCATCCTAACTCGTTTGTCCTTTATTTATTTATCTACGTTGTCGTGATAAATGTGGCACAACCGTGGAACAAGTTGATGGCAGCATACCTCGAAAAGCAGCGCGGAATGTCTATAGACGACATGGACCTTTCCCCTGAAACTGACCTAAACGCTGAACAAGCACACCTCCACCAGCACTGTCTCCGTATCCTGGCCAAGGACACGCCTACGCTGCTCGAGAAAAAGCAGTTGCTGTAAATTATTTTCCTCCTCTGGTTTTTTGTTGGGCGCAGTTGCACTAATACCCATAGGGCAACTGATCTGAAAACATCTATCGCAAAAATTCCGATGGGGATTTTTTTTGTTAGGACAATGTTATTAGGAATTATGGACCTTCGCCTGGTGATATTTGCTCGCGCGCGCGAACAACTTCTGGACACTCGATACGCCGAACCGCTGCACAAAGAGATCTCCGACACCCTCAAGCTCCTTGAGCCATACATCAAACTGGGGCCACGATATTGCGTCTCAGGATCGAATCGTTGCTCGGGAAGAATGTTGAACAGGTCCTTGCAGGGGAAGACATGTCCCCGGCGGTGCCTGCACTCCGACTGATCAATAAGATGTACGTATCAATTTGGTCCGATCTCTTTTCTTTCCCACACGAACTGTTGTACGTTTTGGAGATTTTTTTCGACTGGAATGATGACTTTTGTTAATTCCGATATTTTTCTGCTAGGGTGACAAGTATTGATGCGGCTACATTACCGATAACAGAAGCAGAATATGTGGCGGTATGGAAGGACACCTTGGAAACCCTGAGTGAAGGTTAACTCAAGCTACGCAGGTGGGTCTACTAACCCCTTCTACTTCTCACCATTACGTTCGATAATTGTCATATCTAAAACTCCATCCAATTGCCACCTTTATATGTGAATCTAGCGGCGAGACGTTATGCAACGCGATGGCGGTCCAAAAACGTTCCTCAACATCCCTCTGGAACGCCGCGAATGACACCGAATCCGGTCTAAAAATCGACGTCATCCTTCAAGTCGACGGGGTGGAGGTCATGAACATTGAAGCGAAACGTGGACAGGACCTCATGCAGGCCGAATCGCAGTACTACAAGAACTTGCGGATTAATCAGGCTATTTACTTGGCTGCGAGGCAGAAAGGGGTTGTGCTGGAGAATATACCCTTCTTGGACATTCGAGGTTATGGTTTCACGTGAGGTTTTGTTTTTCTTGAAAGATGGATTAATGTGTTTACTAGAAAGGTTGCCCGTGGGCGATGCCACGGGTGCCGGAAGTTGCTGTAAGGGGGTCTGGGGTGAGGGGTGTAGGTCTTTGAAGGGACTTTGAAGAAGACTCGTTTAAAGATACGGGTGCCACTTGCCTATTACCTTTTTCCTTTTTCAAGTGTAGTGTGACTGTAAATTTTTCACAACTACCTGTGGCCAATGGCACGCTTGGGGTTGTAGAGTTCATACCTGTCGAGTTTCCTATTGTGCCTTAAAGAATAATATCCCTGGTCCCAGCTGGGCCCAGCTGACATCACTTATTAGATAGTCATCTTAGTAGCTGGAGAGCCATCCCCCTGGCCTTGTTTGTATTCATTATTCTCTCGCGTCCGCCTCACTCGCAGTATATTCAAGATATCCTTGACTACCCTTTGCTTTACATCACGCCAGAGGATTTCTTACTTTTTAGTAGGCTTGCGAAAAGGCTCGTTCACAGCATACTGGCGCTTCGCGCTAAATGGCCCAGACGGCCACGCTCCAGCGGTCGCTTCCTTTTGCCGCAGGCGGCAACAGGTATCAGACAGCTACAGCTTTGCCCTTACAAAGTACTGGGGCTTTGCGCAAGAAAGGTTCTCTGGTTCGGGCTACGCCCTCACATCCTCTTTTTAGTCGCTTGATTCGGGCTACGCCCTCATATCCTCTTAGCCCGTGACGCTCGCTGCGCTCACAGGATACTGGCGCTTCGCGCAAGATACTTTCGATTGTCGCGCCAGGGCGCGCGCCCGTGACCATTGCTCGCTGCGCTCACAGGATACTGGCGCGCTTCGCGCAAGATACTCTTGATGGCCTTGCCCGTGACCATCGCTCGCTTCGCTCACAAAATACTGGCGCTACGCGCAAGATACTTTTTTTTAGTTCGGGCTCCGCCCTCACGTGATTTAACTTTTTTGACTTTTTTTTAAGAAGATAGAGACTAGAAAGGTTGCCCGTGGGCGATGCCACGGGTGCCGGAAGTTGCTGTAAGGGGGTCTGGGGTGAGGGGTGTGGGTCTTGGAAGGGTCTTTGAAGAAGACTCGTTTAAAGATAAGGGTGCCACTTGCCTATTACCTTTTTCCTTTTTCAAGTGTAGTGTGACTGTAAATTTTTCACAACTACCTGTGGCCAATGGCATGCTTGGGGAATGTAGAGCTCATACCTGTGGAGTTTCCTGTTGTGCCATAAAGAATAATATCCCTGGTCCCAGCTGGGCCCAGCTGACCTCCCTTATTAGATAGTCATCTTAGTAGCTGAGGAGCCATCCCCCTGGCCTTGTTAGTATTCATTATTCTCTCGGGTCACCCTCACTCGCAGTATATTCAAGATATCCTTGACTGCCCTTTGCTCTACATCACGCCAGAGGATTTCTTGCTTTTTAGTAGGCTTGCGAAAAGGCTCGTTCACAGCATACTGGCGCTTTGCGCTAGATGGCCCAGACGGCCACGCTCCAGCGGTCGCTTCCTTTTGCCGCAGGCGGCAATAGGGATCAGACAGCTACAGCTTTGCCCTTACGAAGTACTGGGGCTTTGCGCAAGAAAGTTTCTCTGGTTCGGGCTACGCCCTCATATCCTCTTGTCCCGTGCCCGTACGCTCGCTGCGCTCACAGGATACTGGCGCGCTTTGCGCAAGATACTCTTAATGGCCTTGCCCGTGACCATCGCTCGCTTCGCTTACAAAGTACGGGTGCTTGGCGCAAAAAAGGTCCTCTGGTTCGGGCTACGCCCTCACATCATCTTCTCCCTTTCGTACCCGTGCGGTCACAACATACTGGCGCTTCGCGCAAGATACTTTCGATTGTCTCGCCAGGGCGCGCGCCCGTGACCATTGCTCGCTGCGCTCACATCCTCTTCAAAGCCCCTTGATTCGGGCTACGCCCTCATATCCTCTTAGCCCGTGCCCGTACGCTCGCTGCGCTCACAGGACACTGGCGCGCTTCGCGCAAGATACTCTTGATGGCCTTGCCCGTGACCATCGCTCGCTTCGCTCACAAAATACTGGCGCTTCGCGCTGGCGCTACGCGCAAGATACTGGTGAGGGCCACGGCCCTCACAACATTTTTAGTTCGGGCTCCGCCCTCACGTGATATACAGAAATCGTTATTTTTTTAAAGAGAAAGAGATTTGCGTACTGAAATACCTTTTTTGATATGGCAGGTTGTACGGGTCTGGTATGTGTATTGACAAAGAAACAGGACAGCAGTGTGTTCATGGGAGGACTAGCCTGCCAACAGGTCATTGAGCTCCCGGCCCGGTTGGATGATATCGTCGACTTTATGAGCGAAGGCGGTGGCCTCTAGACTCTGATCTGTTTTGTGGTAAACCCCCCCCCCTCTCCGATATCAAGCAGAATTCTGCAACCACCACCCTTTTTTCTAGAGTTGGAATCACCCTGACTTGATTCTTCATTCAACCCATTTCTCGAATACTCTAGGACATTGTGCTCAAGTTCCAGGAGAGCGTCAAACAACAGCTAAAACCCCAACGAGCCATTGGCGCAGCAACATCAACAATACAATCCAACAACTCCAACAACTCCTACTGCTCCAACGTCTCCAACGTCTCCAGCGTCTCCAACTCCAATACCGACACCACTCAACACGACAACAATAACAACAACAGCAACTATTACACCTACGGCGACAACGAAAAAGACAACGACAGCTCATGCAAGCCTCCTCCTCGACCACCACTAGGCCTCGGCGCGTTTACGCTTCTGACGCCCAAGAAATCACGGCGAGGGGCTTCCTTGAATCAGGTGACCTCTTCGTCGTCTTCTTCGGGCGGAAGTCAACAGAAACGCCAAAGAGGCGTAAGTTACAAACCCCTTGCATGTACAACCGACGACAGTAGAATTGTCTACGAGAGCGACGACGACGTCCAGGGAGCACGTACCACCGTCAACGACAAGAAGAACCGTAGCAACCCTTACAATAGTACTGGCAGCAGTGGCAAAAACACAAAAGGTAGCGGCAGAGGTGGAGCTAATGAGAGAAACAGTAAAAGTCTAAGCAAAGGCACAGGAGCATAAACTACAGCACGGCACTCTGTCCAATAAAGCAGTTGTTCTCTATGTACATGATTTATTATTTCCACCTCCTCTCCTCCTCACACACAATCTTCAGGCCCACGCTCAATGCCATGTCCTCTGTCTATAGGCCGCCCCATCGCTCGTCGCGTCGCTCCAGTCACGCCAGTCATCCCAAGCTTGACGCTGTTATACCGCCTTGGCTGTGCCTGCAAAAGCCAATCTCCTCCTTCCTCATCCACAACTGCCTTATTGGAAGTACTCAGCAAACCGCGGCTCATCGAAGATGGCGACGACGCTGAAGCCGTTGTGATCTTGGGATGGTGTCCTGACAGTTCATCGTTCGTCGATGTGCCCTTGTAAGCCGCTACAGGTGGTCGAGGCAATGTTGCCGGTGGAGCTGGCAATTTTTGACGATGTGGCGCTTCCTGAGTTGATTGAGAAGAAGAGCTTGTACTCTGCGCCACGCTGGATCCGTCGGCGCCACCATTGCCTGTTCGGCCCGAAACGTTAACCGACTCGCTCTGACCTCTACCAACAACTGATGGACCATCAAAACGCGACCCACGCGCCTCCTCTGCTCGGTGCTGTTGGTTGTTCTGAGTGTGGCGGGGGACAGTCCTGAGACTTCCTGAGGACGAGTGATGTCTCTGAAGACTGTCCTTGGCTGACTGAACAGCGCTTGGCGGGTTGTCAGCGGTGGATGTCGATGAAGCGCCAGGATCCTGTTGGCCTCTGGTACCACCACGAGAGCTGATTCCGGTACCGGCAATAGTCTTACTCCGACCCAACAAACTGGCGCCTGCACCGAAACGACCTTCATCCGAACCAACTCCATCGTCTCGATCAGCATTTCCGGTCTTTCCTTTTTCATCATCCGTGTCCGAGTCCGTGTCTGAGTCCGACGTGGCATCGGCAAAACTCTCATTCCACTTCTTTTGCTGACTCGACTCGTCTTCAGCTACCCGCAGTCGATCCTTAGACTCCTGGTCGACATCCAAAAGTCCGCTGCGTCGCTTAGGGTTCGCTCGGTACTCCTCGAACTGCTCGCGGATTTTGTCCGCCTCGTCCTTGGTAACAACTCTGGGCTTGGTCGGCTGAACAGGAGCGGATGCTGTCGGTTCCGCCATGGCAGAGGCAAAACTGGGGATGGTACTCGAGGCAGAGATAACTCCCTGAGACTCTCCGGCGTTCGATATCACGGGCGAGAAGGGTCTCTCTGACCAACCGGCGGCACCATGCTTGGACGATGTCTTTTCCTCGATACGGACCTTCTCTCGCTGGACAACGTTGGAAAGCATCGACGAGTCTCCGAGCACGGCTGAGGAAAGCAACGGCGTATCTCCGTGCAAGTCCTCCAAAAACGATGTTGATGACGAAAGTAAAAGCAATCCAGCCTCGTGCTGAGAAGGAAATCCGTCCTGCATAGAGTTGGAGGGCTGGTGCTGATGCATAATGGACGACGAGGATGATCGTTTCAGGTGCTGAGGAGCCCATGCTGGTGGACGAGGCTGGTGAGTGCGATGAGCGTTCGCCTGCGAGTTGTAATATGGCGCGTAGGGCTGCTGGTTTATGTGCGATGATCCCATGTCGTTGCCTCCAAAGGGACGCCCGGTACCTTGTGGGTGCTGCATAGAATGGTGCCGACGAAGATGTGGTACGCTGGAGAACTCCTGATCGACATGTCCCTGATGAGGTCTAAGGGAGCTCAAATCCTGGGCTGGGGTCTTCATCGACAGAGGACGTCCTCCAGCATAGTTGGACGAGAATGGATTCGTAGGTCCGAATTGGTCCTGTGCCTGTTGTCCACCGCCACCATATCTGAACTCGAATCCTCCAGACATGGGTCGTGTGGTGATGATGTCGACAAGTTGGTATCCGTCCTGGCTGCTTTGGCTGCTGTGGCGAGTATCAGTAGAATGGCGGTATTGGTGGCCATGGAGCTTATTTTGTTGGTGCTGCTGCTTGAGCTGATGAAGGGTCAGACCAGCGTGTCGTTGCTCATCCTCAACCTGCTGCTGCTGATGGTAGTAATCTGCGGACTGTATATCGTCCGTCATCACTGGCGCTGCTTCCTGTCCGGCATTATGAGTAGGAATCAGGTCGTATCCCTCTCCAAAGCTCACCGGCGCCTGCTGTTGCTGTTGCTGTTGCTGTTGCTGAGGCTGCTGCTGGTGAAGGGCTGGTTGCTGGTGAAGGGCTGGTTGCTGGTATTGGCTCAGAGGATCCTCCTGAACGTGTCGGTCATCATAACCCGCCTGATAAGAGTCGCTGCCATACGTCGTTTGGTTGGGACCTTGAGGCTGACCAAAAGATTGGAAGCCATGAACTTGGCTTTGAGCAGGATCTTGGGCTGGATCCTGCTGGTGTGGGTAGTATCCCCGAATAGAATCCTCCGAGTTGCGTGGCATCTGAATCAAGTACTCGTCCGAGAGCTGACGAACACGTTCAGTCTGCTGGATGTCATTGTCGTGAAAGTGGTTTCGACGAGGCTGCAGCTGAGGCTCTTCCTGTTGGGCCAGCATCGGGTATGGGTCGACTTCGTGCTGTCGAGAGGACGACTGTCCAAAGTCGTACTGGGAGCCCTGTGTCTCCACTGCCCGACCGAGTTGTTCAACATACTGCTTTGCTTGATCCTCGTGATGACGCCGGGGTTGATCCTGGACACCGTAATCATGACCACCTTGCTGGGAATAGGTGCTCATATGAAGCGCAGCCGACTCTTCCATCTGCGCCTGGTGGGACAGGTACAGTTGCTGCTGCTGCTGCTGCTGCTGCTCTTGTTGTTGCTGCTGCTGCTGCATGAACTGCTGTTGTTGGATGGACTCGACAGCAACACCCATGGTATTGACAATATTCGTCAACACATCGTGCTTCTGTCTCAACAACATCGCTTCCTGATAGAACTGGTCACGTTCAGACGACAAGGAGGCAATCTGGTCCCGGAGAGTCGCGACCAAGAGCGCATCACCGGAAGAGTTTGAGGCGCCACCTCCTCGGGCTTGCTGCTGTTGACCAGGATGCCAGTTCGCGTGGTTATGCTGCTGCTGGTAATCGGGGTAGTCGGAACCTCCATCAAAGGCAGAGTTGCCGTCGCCGTACGGTTGACCATGGACCTGGTCGCGACTTCCCTGGCTTCCTTCGGACATTCGCCCGCTCGTCCTGCCATCGTGGCGCATACGGTCGCTCTGGCAGTAGAGGTAGTCCTCCTCGTTAAAGTTTCTGGCTTGTTCTGATCCCATCTCCTCCATAATATGCTCCTTTGAAGGACTGTCCGTTGTGATAGGTGTGATCACGCTTCGGGTCGTAGGCATTGGTTCCGGGGCGATAGAGGTGATGGTGATGCTGTCGAAGGCATCGCCTATGCTCTCCCGAGATGCATATCGACTCATCTGCTTGGACCGTGGTCGTCGGGCATTCCGAGGAGGTGGGATGGGTGGAGGGTTGTTTGTCCTGCTCTGGCTTGGCTGTGAATGCATAGGAACAGTGTGTGACGGTGGAACACTAGGCTGTCTCATGGCCATATAAATGGCCTTGGTCCGAGGTGACACTGGACGTTCCGGTGCTGTCGATCGCAGTCCTGAGGAGATGACTTCCACAATCAAGGGGGATCCTCCACTGCTGTTCTCCGAGGCAGTACTCTCACCGTCGTAACTGGTGTCCGAGCTGTCATCCCCTGGAACCTTCTCGCTCGGCAAACGTCCCAAACCCGACAATGATTGCTCGGTCTCGGGAGACACCTCCTCCTTGTAGCGAGAGTAGTCAATGGCGCTGTCAGGCGCGATAGCCCCACTGCCTGACGCGCTGTTCATCAACATATTTGGATCCTGAACTCGCGCATCCACTGCTGGCTGGGCTAATGGCTTGGCGTTGAGTGGCGAGGTAACGGGTGACACAATCGACATGCGATCCGCAAACGGACCTCCGGAACATGGTTGTGGCTTGGCGATGCCCAGTGCGGAAGGCGACGTCTTGTCCAGCTTTGATGATTCTACTGGCTCAGAAGGCTTCCTGGGGAGGACCTGGGGCTTGGAGGAGCTCTCGAGGACAGGTTGGGGTGAGAGACGGGTAGCATTCCTGGATGTGACGACGGCAGTAGAATGAACTTGAATCTGCAAAGGCTCCTGGTGTTCGTTCGTACCGCTCTTCTTAACACCACTGAACACAGGACTGGTGAGAATCTGAGATCGCGTTCGCTGGTGACGACTGGGGGATGTCGAGGCAGCAGGGTTGAATTGCGGCAGTGGCAGACCCTGAAGGAACGACGTGCGGTCGTATGATGCCTTGGATGGGTGCGTGCTGATGATCTCTTCTTCGTCGTCGCTAGAGCTGGTGTCATCTTCCCCGCTATCGTCGCTGTCAGAACTATCCCGCTCATACTGTACGTTGTAATGGCTCGGATCGTCCTGCTGCACTACCGCCAAAGAGTCGCCTTCCGATGCAGCGTACATAGGGACATGTTCCTGAACATAGCCGGACTCGGACATACGCGGCTCGTCCTGAGAGGGCCTCTCCTCTCCTGGGAAGGCTCCGGGCAGTACAAACGAACGACGCTTTGTATCCTTTGACTGGACCTCAGTAGACAAACTGATGTCCCCGTTGGACTCGAAATCGGAGAACAGATCAGCGCGGATCTGCGTCAATGGACTTGACGATCCCACTACGCCATCCGACTTTGGTTGGGGCCAATCCGGCAAAACATCCGCAGGATTGCTCGCTTCAGTGGCCGGCGATGATGTCGTGTCGTTCCTGGATTTGAAAATCATCTTCATGAGCGACTGTCGAGATCCTTGAAGAGACCAGGTTGAACCAGAGGCGGCAGTTCCTGTCAGGTACGACAATGGCGACAATGATGGTGATGGTGACGAATTGGGTGTGCCGCCTAATGCGGAAGGGTGGCTCTTTGAAGAAGTTGACGATATTACCGAGGGAGACGCTGCTGACAAGGCGTGCGAGTCAGTGAAAGGATCCTCGTCGTCTAGATCGTTGCCAATTTGAACTTGAGCCTCCGCGACGATTACCCTCTCTCTGGGAACCTGAGTCCTGACTGACAGCGCTGCGGGAGCAGGAAGGCTTGGTGATCGTTGGACCACCTCAGCTTCCGGAGCATTCGACTCGGCATCAACAAATTCGCTTTCCTCATTGGTCGATGCGGAATCCTCCGTAACAGTGTCTCTGGATCCAATTGACTCCCTACACTCGCTCTCAGGAAGGACATCGGCCGTCTCAAGGCTGCCATCGTCGCTATCATCACTACTGTCGCTATCCAGTGGAGGTGCCTCGGTCCGTTTGTTGTTGAGCGCCCTAGACAGTGACCACAAGATACCACTGTCCCACTGTGGTAAAATTCCTGGAAGTGTCCGAGAACGATCGTGACGAACAACGTTAACCTCAGAAATGTCGTCTACAAGGGCAGCTGAATCTGCTTGTGAGTCCACTTGTGACACCTCGCTCTGAGCTGGACTTTGTTGCGATGATGCCGCTTCTGACCCCGAAATATTGGAAGACGTGTCCAAAGGACTCTTTTCAGAACGAGGAGAGACGGGCGAGTTGGTTATTGACGAGGAGCTGGGTTGCTGCGGGTGTTGAGAGGGAGTAGTAAGTGGTCCTAGAGATTGTGTCGATCCATTGTTCCTGACAAGCGAATCGGCCATGGCCGGTCGCAATTCTGTCTTGCCTATCAGAAAAAAGTAAGTAGTAAACGAGAATGTCAGTCTCCAAAGGGTAGCAATTAAAAGTCAACAAGACTAATTAGCGACATTTCAAAGGAAAATACTCACCATTCCCGAACAAGGATGCCCACAGAGACTGGCGCTTGGGTGTCTGGATAGCTGGATCCGCCTTGGCAGTGGACTCGATCGTTGATGTCGATACAGTTGGGGCGATGGTCGTCAAAGACTTGACCTGGCGTGACCTCCGCTTCTTGTCAATGGAGAGCCTGGTCAGTTTTTCCAGACTTTTTCGGACCTTCCGCTGACGCGACTTTTTGCTCCTGTCATGGCCCTTTCCTAAAGTCGACTCGTCGTCGTCTACATCGTCGTCGTCGCTTTCTTCTCCTTCCGGATAAGCTTCTGGTCCAATATGATCGGTGTTCTCCTGGCGCTCCGCTGTCGTCTTTTTGTGGGCCTCTGGTAAAACAGTTACTGGCTGGGGTATTTGAGCGTCTATAGTAGTCGTCAGAAGAGATTTGGAGGAGAGTTGTCCTGAAGGGAGAATAGGACGGGATTGACCTGTTGCATCAGTTGGTGATCGAACGGATGACAATCCTGATTGGCGTTGCTGTCTCGGTTGGTGACTCTGCTGCGGTGCCTGGAGTGCAGGAAAGAGTGGATCGCGAGGCCTGGGAGACGGTGTTCCTGGATTCGCTACTGCAACAGGTGCGGGTCCTGACTTTGGCCGAGGAGCAGTATCAAATGGAGGAAGCGAAGGGGAGGAAGTGGATGTCGACGAGGGAGAACCTCCTGTCACTGCTGGTGTCGTAGATGTCAAAGTCGAAGGAGGGCGTGCCAAAGGGCGCGCATGAATTCCGTGTGCTCTGGCAGGAGGCAGTGTTGGGGGAGCGGGACGCGGCTTTGGTGCGGGAGCTGCGGGAGTCGCGGGTGAGAACGCTACAGGAGCCGAAGGCGATGCTGCAGAGGCCGCGGGTGGTGGAAGTGGTGAACGAGGTGACGACGGTGAAGCAAGGGGCGAGCTTGCCCTAACCGGGCCTTGTCCTGGTGACATGCCTGGTCCATGCTTGAGTCCTTGTCCATTTCCTGATCCGAGTATGTTGACGGGACGAGTAGGGGGCCTTGGACTTGGGCTCAACTGGGGCTAATTGGTATTGGAAAAAGAAAAAGGAAAAAGGATGGGCGGGTGGCGTTGAGTACAAAAAACGACATGATATCACTGGATGGTATGTGATGGTTGTTTCCACCCGATGCATGCTGCTCGTTCTTCTACTTTTTTGCGTCTTTTGTTCCGTTTGTTTATCCTTGTTCCACCATTGAGGACGAGCAGTCTCAATGACCATTGCAGCCTATCCATATCTACTCCTCAATTGAGTTGAAACTGCACTCCTGAGGATCTTATGCTTTGCCTTTTGCCCTTACCCTTGGAGGGAGCTCTGACGATGTTGTCTTGGCAAGAACGCCAATCAACCCGTTGCCACCACCATCTCCTCCTCCTCCTCCTCCTCCTCCTCCTCCTCCTCCTCCTCCTGCGGCTGCACCTGCACCTCCGTTACTTTGTTGGGGTTGTGGGGGCAACGTCGACTGCTGCGGTGAGGATAGCGGCTTTAATGTCTGTGGGCTCTGCTGTGGTATAGGTTGTTGTAACTTCCTGGGCGTCTGAAGCTGTTGTTGTTGTTGTTGCTGTGGTAATTGTGATAGATGTGGTTGTGGTAGGTGTTGTTGCTGCTGCTGTTGGTGTGAATGCGGAACAGATTGTTGAGAGGGTTGGACCATAGAAGGAGGAGGTTCGTTTGTTGTGGCTGATCGAGGTCGAAGAGCAAGGCGTTTGGGATCAGCCGAAGGAATAAAGGATGAGATGTGTGAAGGTTGTTGCTGTTGTTGACTGGCGCGGGTATAGGGCGATGCAGGGAGTTGATTTTGTTGTTGTGGTTGTTGTTGTTGAGGATGAGATGCCTGCTGGTGCTGGTGCTGAGATGGTTGACGTGGCAAGGGCTGAGTGGGTCTATGAAAGGCGGGTGAGACGGCTGCGATGATAGCCGGGTCTGCAGGCTTGGTTGTCGTGGTGGAGGCGTTCAGCTGGGGAGTGTTAGCAGCCATGGTCGTAGGTCATCTGTTTGAGGGAAGAAGGAGAGAAAAGGAGGCCTTTTTCACTCTGCGACAAAAAGTTGATTGGACAAAGACAAGAGGATGATGGAAGGAAGTAAAGGCAAAGGATGACAAAGAGTAAAGGCAAAGGACGACAAAGAGGAAAGGCAGAAAGAAAGAAAGAAAGAAAGAAAGGAGCCAGCAAGAAGAAGAGGAAAGAAAAAAGGGATGAAGTGGATGAGGGAAAGGGAAACGAAAGACAAGGTAAAAATAACAAAGGCATGAAAAACATGAAAAACATTATGTGGAAAAGGAGGATGAGACTGACACACCCCTTTTTTGATTTGCCACGGGAATCATCCTTGGGGGGGATAGGACAAAGGGTCAAAGGGAACAAATAAAAATGATGCGGTGCCACCAAAACACAAAAGTTCGAAACAAAGCGGAAATATAAATAAAAAGGCGCACACGCCCGCACTTCTGTAGCAGCATAGCATTGAAACGCGGATTTTCTCACATCCTGTCATGGGGACAATCGATTGCAATCATTGTCATGCTCAATGGGGTCAATGGGGTCAATTGATGAAAAAAATACTGTAACGAAACATGCTTTTAATAAACTAGAAGTATAATAGGTGGTGGTAATGCTGGTATGCTAAATAAAATGTACAAGCCAAGAGAGCAACAAAGTGTTTTACTTGTGCTCCTTGACGGCTCTGTCATCGTCAATGACAGAGTCTTGGTTCGAGGTGTCGGTCATATAGGTTCTCATGCGTTCCATCTCGAGCTGACCGTTACCCTCGAGGTGAATGGGCTTCATGAGTCTGCGCTTGGCAAACTTGTAGCCTTCGGCAAAGAGGATAAACAAGATAACGGCAGCAATGACCAGACCCCACTCGTACGTGATTCTCGAGTGCTTGAAGACGTTGTGGTTAAAACCGGGGATGTAGACGACAGGGAAAACCAGGAAGGCACCGACCACGACAGAGAGCCAGAGCATCTTGTTGTGCTCCAGGGTCTTGAGGTTGGTGATGGTCCAGCCAGGCTCGCGGAGGGAACGGCAGTTGATGGCGTGGGCCAAGATCAGCAAGGTCATGCAGGTGTACGAAGTAGCACGGGCACGGAAAATACCCTCACACTCGAGACTCCACTCGGTGTTGCACCCGAGGCCAATTGTGCCGTTCTGGAACCCAAAGAGGACGATCGCGTAGCTAGCGAACGAAAGGGCACCCATGGCCAGACCGTAGACGAAGGTGTCCATGACAACCTCGAACGAAAAGAGACCCTGCTTAGCGGAACGAGGGGGCTCGCGCATGTTGGACTCACTTGCAGGCTCAAGACCGAGACCCATGGCAGGAGGCGAGGAAGTGATCATGTTGAGGAAGAGAATCTCGACGGCACTCATGGGGAAGACAGCATGGCCATCAGCGTCCTTGATGGCAAGACCAATGATCAAGACGACAATCTCGGCAACGTTGGCCGACATGAGATGCTGAATAAACTTTTGGATGTTGGCAAACATACGGCGACCTTCGGCAATGGCCTTGACGATCGTGGCAAAGTTGTCATCAGTGAGAACAATATCGGAGGCTTGCTTGGCAACATCGGAGCCGGACTGGCCCATAGCAATACCGACGTTGGCAGCCTTGAGCGAGGGAGAATCGTTGACGCCGTCTCCGGTCATGGAGGCAAAGAGGTTACGACGATGGAGGGCAGCAATCATCTTGACCTTGGTGTTGGGAGAGCAGCGGGCAACGACGCGGGGCAACTCGGCCAAACGGTCGACTTCGTCATCCTCCATGGCATCGAACTGGGCGGCGGTCATGATCAAGGGGTTGTTCAGAACAGGGACGTCCACGGGAATAATGGCAACCTCCTTGGCAATAGCAGCAGCAGTCGAAGGGTGGTCACCAGTCAACATATGGACACGGATACCGGCCTCGTAACATTGGAGCACAGCAGGGCGAGACTCGGCACGGGGAGGGTCGTAAATACCGACAAGACCAAGGAAGACCATGTTGGTCTCGACCTCCTCACGCTTCAATCCGCGGACGAGATCGACATCGGGCTGGACATCAAACTTGCGGTAGGCCAAGGTCAAGACACGGAGACCCTTCTCGGCGAGGATGGTCATCCTCTCTTCGATCATTTTCTCAAAAGCAATGCGGCTACCCTTCTCGTTTTCGATCGAGAGCTCGGAATCGCCGGCGCGGTAGGAAGTGCAGCAGCCGAGGACACGCTCGGTAGCACCCTTCATGAAGATGTAATGACCACCAGCGGCAGAAGAGGTACTAGGAGGAGACTGGTAAAGGACAGACATGCGCTTGACCGAGGAATCAAAGGGGAACTCAGCAACCAGCGTGAAGCCCTGATCGATTAACTCGGGCTTGGCAAGTCCGGCTTTGTGGGCCAAGACCTGGAGAGAAATCTCGGTGGGGTCACCAATGGCAGCCCAATCACCGTGGGTCTCGGGATGCAGAGTACGACGGAGCTCGGCCATGTTGCAGAGAGAGGCGACCTGGAGGGCGCGGAGGAAATGATCAGAGCCAGAGCCGTTGGGGACAAGTTCTTCCTGAGCAAGGGGATCGCCAGCGACCATCTCACCCTGTTTGTATATCTCTCCTTCGGGGGTGAATCCAGTTCCAGTGACGCGGTAATAACCATCCTTAGGGAACCACATGCGAACAGCAACCATCTTGGATTGAGTCAAAGTACCGGTCTATATGAATAGATGCAATGGTAAATGTTAGTGTCCGTATTCCCATAGAGCCTAGATCATCATAGAGATCACTCGAATGACAGAAAACTATGATAAGTAATGTACCTTATCGGAGCAAATATTGGTGACGGCACCCAGACTTTCAAGTGAAGACAGGCGACGAACAATAGCTTTAACTTCGGCCATACGGCTGACACCAAAGGCCATGGTCAGGGTAACGACGGCAACAAGACCTTCGGGGATGATAGCAATAGAGACGGAAATGGCATAGATGGCAACCTCGTTGGAGTACTTGAACTTGTGGACAGCAAAGACAACGATGACGAGGACAATAGCAGCAAGGAAGACGCAGTAGGCCATCTTGTCGAGGCGCTTCTGGAGAGGAGTCTTTTCGTTGCTGTCGACGTTCATGAGGGAGGTGGCGATCTGACCGATCTGAGTCTTCATTCCGGTGCTGGTGACGATACCCTTGGCGCGACCCTTGACGACAGTGGTGGAGGAGAAGGCCATGTTGAGACGGTCACCGAGGGACTCATCAGTGTTCTGGATGGTGGAAAGGTTCTTTTGGACGGGGAGGGATTCTCCAGTGAGGAGGGCCTCGTCGGTCTCGAAGTTGAAGCATTCGAAGAGACGGACGTCAGCTCCGACGACATCACCGTCCTCGAAGATCATGATGTCTCCGGGGACGGCCTGGTTGTTGGGGATGGTTACTCTGGATTCGTCGCGGATGACTTGGGCGGTGGGCGAGGACATGTTGCGGAGAGCTTCCATGGTTTGTTCGGCGTTGAATTCTTGCCAGAATCCGATGGCTGCGTTCATGACGATGACAAAGAGAATGACACTTCCTTCGGCGAAATCTTTGGTGGCAAAGGCAAGAGCCTATTTGGGTTGTTGTTGTTGTGATTGGTGCAAATTATCAAGCGGTATGGTGCATGTTAGACTTTTGTTTGTTAAGCAGTTAAGCAGTTAAGCAGAAGCAAGGGGCACCGAGAAACACATATAATTCAACTTACGGTGGCAATCAGGAGAATGGCGACGAGGACGTTGGCGACTTGGCGCCACAGGACCTTGTACCACTTGACTCCGCCATCACCCTCGAGGGCGTTGAGACCATAGGTCTGGAGCCGTGTAGCGGCCTCTTCGGAGGAGAGACCTTCGAGGATCGAGGTCTGGTAGTGTTCGACGACTTGTTCGACGGTGAAGGTGTGGAAGGGAGTCTCTGGCTCGACGTTGATGGTCTTTTTTCCCATAACTTACTGAAGAGTGGTAGGGCTGTGTTCTTTTTGAAGGAGGGGAAGAGTGAAAAAGGGGGGTAGAGAGAGAAGACTGGTTGTTTCGCAGGAATAGTTTGTTGACTTGTTGTTGTTGTTATTGATCGGAGGATCGGAGAAGACGACTTCTTGGAAAGGCAAAGAAGGAAATAAGAGCCTTGTGTGTGAACGTGTGAACGTGTGAACGTGTGAATGTGTGAATGTGTGAATGTGTGAATGTGTGAGGATGCAAGGAGAGAGAAGAGGCAATCCGGTTGAAGAAGATGAAGAGAGGAGAGAGGGGAGGATGACAATGAGGAACAAGAAAGGAAGAAGAAAGAAAGGAAAGAGAGAGAGAATATCCCTTCTATATATATATGTTTTTTTTTTCTTGTTCTGACTGATTGATCAAGTCAGTGAACAATTGATTGTAAATAGGGGAGGGGATCACATCAAAAAGTCTTTGGTGGGTGCGGAGGGAATCAATAAAGGACCGAGATCACTCTATTCAGTACCGGTTCGACTGAATTGAACTCTGATTCAATTGGAGCCTATTGAATGAATATATACTAACTTGTATTCATACAAACAACTGCAACCTTATCCTTTCTCTGTGTCTATCTTTCTCTCTCTCTCTCTCCCTCTCTCTGGCCCTGACTAGTCGAAAAAGAAAAAAAAGAAGAATCTCTATCTCCACCTCCATCCCATCCCCTCGTCGCCGTTTATTTTCAAAGGTACAAACTACAGCACCTTGTTTTTTGGCCTTTTTGTTGCTGCCATTACCTTTGGGCCTTGCGCACTTCCTGTTCTCTCTTTCTCTCGACTGTCATCTACAAAAGGTGGAAAGGGCTCTTCACGGACAACAAGTACACTACAGTACAAGAAGGATGTCTCACCTTGTTTTGGTCTCTGCTAAAAAGTCAATGATGACAACGACGATGCTCCTCTCATACAGTGCCCCATTGTGTATTGAGAAAAAGAGAGGAACAATACTCGATACTGGATCGATGACGAGACCATAAAGTCATGGTACCCTTCGAGATCTTCATTGCGTGCTTGTCCCTCCCATTCCACCTTCACGGTGCCCCTTCCCTTTGTCATCGTCCTTTTCCTTGTGTTGGTATCCAGCTACTTCTTTCTTCTTCTGGTCGTTCTACCCGACATTTTCTCCTTCTGTCCCCACGGAGGGAGGGATCTTCGCATCGACTTTAATTTTTTTCATTGCACCGTCTCTTGTCTTGACGTCCTTCGTCTCTCCCTCTTTCTTGTCCTCCCTTACCCTTCCTTAACCCTGGCCCTCTCCACTCCGGGCCAATTCTTTTCCGACAATTGCGCAAAGAGTACCGTGTTACCCGATGGCCCCTTCTCCAGAGATATTCTGGTGAGAAAGAGTGAACCCCTTTTCATTCTTCTCGATGTTCCTCATCATCTGATTGGCACATATCATTCTGGAGTACCAGGGCCCACCTTGCACCCTACCTACCCCATCCTTCCATTGCATTCCATGTCGCTGAGAACAAACGAAACAAATGGAATCAACAAAGTTATCGACGACCGACAGGTTTCTTGTGTTCCTGTTCCTTGTTACTGAGGACCATTGGACAATCTCGAAATCGAGTCCGATTAGAGCAAGAAAGTGAGACGAACAAGCGATCACCACGCTGCTGCTGTACAGTACCCTGTCCAACTGACATCTGGACTCCCTATTCTCCTTCCGTTGGCCATGTTCTTCCATGTCTGCGTGTCCTTCTTGCTCTCTCGAGAAATGCTCAACCCCTCTTTTTTTTTTTTTCTCTAGCCTTCTTTCTTCTCACTCCTCACTCTCACTCCATGCTTGAGCAACTGTGCGACATCCACCTCTTACCTCCGCCTTCCATGTGTATGTGTATGAGCGTGCATTCTTTTTTTCTCTCTCTCCCTCTTCTCTCAGACCACAAGAATAGCACCCGCCTCCACACCACACGACAACAGAACCTTGCAATTCTTTCGATCTCTCTTCTCTTGCTCTCCCATTTCTCACACCTCCTTCGTTTTTCTTTTCTTTTTCTACTCTTCTTCACCAACACTTTCTCTAATGCCTTCCACCGCCCCTATTCCTCCATAACAACGTCCAAAAAAGAAAGAAGAACCAGATAGATGAGCCCTATCTTTTGCCCTGCCCCCCCCTAACCCATACCCCACCCCATCCACTGCCTTCGCCATAAAAAAAACCAAAAAGTAACAATACGATCGCAGATTCAATTTTTTTTATTTACTTTTGCATGGTCCTTTTCTCCCTTCCATCCAGCCTGTTCATTTTAATCTACTATCGAAACTACAAAAATAAAAAAGATCCATCGAGACACAGAAACGAGAAAGTCCACACACCATGCCCCAACTCCTCTTCCTCCTGTTCTGCTCATACGGTACTGTACCTTTGTTTTGGAGCACCGCTCTCTCTTATGCTCTCTTTCTCCTCCCCGCAGTCGCAACTTCTCATCTCTTCTTTGTTTCATCCAACGATACAGCCTACAAGAAAAGATGAGACATGATGTTAAGGAAAACGAGAACGAGGGGGTGAGGTATCGTTATTTTTCCGAAGGGAGGAGTCAGAAACAGTCAGTGATCGAGAATGACAAAGGGTAGCAAACAGAACACATGCCCCATACAACGTATACAAGTTAAGCGCGTGTTCGCTATTTGCACACACACGCAACAAACAACAAAAACACTTATGTACTTGCATACACCAAAAAAAAAAACAATTGTTGCCTCGGGGTAACAGAAAGCAACAACGACAAAGCGTTCTTTGGACATCGCCATGCTACGGTCTCTGTCGAAAGGTTAAGCAAAAAAATATTGCAGTGATTGGCAGTGATTGGTATCTTGTATCATCACTCCCACTTCTTGGCTCGATGTAACAAAGCACCAAGGAGTACGGAAGACAGGTAGAGGCGAGGGTGGTGCAAAAGGGAGAGTGAGGGTCATGGATATCACCTTGTACCGCAGAGAAAGGATATTATCAAACATACCTTTAGAAAGAAAAAAAAGACCATCGGCAGATGGCTAAACATTTAAAGAAAGCAGCATGAGTGTATGTCTTCCTTTGATCCAAAACACTTTGTTTAGTCTGTAAAGCGTACCGGAACCCACACTCCAATCCCCCCCCATCAATTTTTTCGTGGTTTTGTGATTTTTTCTGTTGTGGGCGTGTATGTGTATATGTGAGTGCCGATGGCCACAAAAAATGGAGGGAATGGGGACGGCACAGGTCGCGAGGACCACCTTGATTCGATTTTCCTAGACCCGCTCTTTGTTTATTTTGGATATGGTCCAGAGAAGGGAGAGAGAGTGAACGGAGAACAGAGAGAAGGGAGAAGTTAAGGTTTTTTTTTTGCATGCAGCGACCTCGAATGAATTGCCGCTTCGAACAAACAATAAGCCAAGAACTCGGTAACCATATAGTTTGCTTCTTAATTTGAACTAGACCTGATTATTAGCCAATCGCGTCATTCTATTTTATTCCTTCCCCTTCCATTCAGAAGGAAGGGAAAAGAACAGAGGCCGTGATGATGTCACCACAAGGATGAAATCGTAAGTCCTGCGTAGTGACGTTTTGGCTATTTACGCACACAGAGGAAAAAACTTGTAGCTGTGTGTCGCTGTGTCTTTCTCGTCTATCTTCTATCTCGTAACCCTTTTATATTTCGCATCTACCATTTTCCGGAATGAATAAGAAAAATGAACACTTTTTGTTTTCTTTTTCTTGTGTTGCTCTCCAGCTGGCTGGCTGATCCAAAAGACGGAAAAAAAAATACCCTAGATGGCAACTGCTATGAACAAGAGAAAAATCCTTCTACACTGACATTTTTTCTCTCACCCAGTCGAATGCCGTCCTTGGATCCTCGTGGTGCCATACTCCCCATCCCAGCGGTCAAGCAAAACTCCTACCTTACCTTACCGAGTCTGTTTGTTTTGTGTAGGATGCACAAAATGAAGAGGAAATGGATCAGTTATGAAGAAAAGAGAAAAAAGAAGGACAAGAAACGAAAACTTTAAAACGCCAGGTCGCCCTCAAATTTGACGAGAAGCAATCGTCTGACCACCTTGCCTAATCCTGCAATCTGATTCGCTGTAAGGGCAGGTCATCACGAATCCTTATTTCTTTGTGTGCATGCGGGTGGTTCGTGTGGGGAGTAGAGTTGTTCCCCCTCCTCCCTCTAATTGCCCTGTTTTATGTTTTGTGTTTTTCTCAGTTACCAGGGAAACCGCAAATAAAAACGTGCTAGCTGAGATAGATGTATTCTCGATACTTGAAACCAAACGGAAAGGGACGGGAAGTACAGGCTTATTTCACGGCACACTCGTAACGCTACTTATCTACTGGTTACCGAGGAACAAAGAGGACATTCTAGACAGACAGGATGCGATCCAGATTTTGACAAAAGGGCACAGGGGTCGAAAGTCTCCTCTTTTGTCTAGCTTGGGGGAAGAGGAACAGAGACACAAACATACACAGGGCACCGGGAGTAACTTGATTCCGAAAAGTGGTTCTTTTCATTTCTCGAACATACAGTGATGATAGGATGACAAGCGACAAGGAGAACCTTGTAATCAGTCTCGACGTGTAGACTATTACAACAAACAAGGACAACAAAACAGCGATGAAAAACGGCTTTCTGCCATGTCTTACATGCTATCCATGCGCCCTCTCTTTCTCGCCCTGACTCAACCTTCCGATCACAAAGACTTGTTCTTGACTTTACTTTCATTCTCCTTCTCGGTACTCAACAACACGCCACGACAAACATTCATCTTTCTTCTTCTTCAGCTTTCCGTTTACATTAGCATTTGAGCCATTGAAAAAGTATAAAGAAGGGCATGGGAATACAAAAAAAAACACTCTTTCCCCGCCTGAACAAGGAAGCCTACGGTAACACCAAAAAAAGTTATGTGAGCAAAGAGTCAAATTCTTTTTTTTTGCTTTGACCTTGAAAGCATGCAAGTTTCTCGTTAATCCAATCATCAATACGCAGCCAATCCACGTGAGGTGTAACAGTGTCTTTCATGGTTGTGATGGGTCATGGGCCAAGTTCTTTTTTCTGAAAAAGTATTGATACAAGGAGAGTGGACCAGAGTTGTCCTTTGAAGGATAGCTCAAAAAAACTCATTTGGTCAACCTCCATCCGATCTCGTTTCATTGAGAATGAAACGGCGAGAACAAAGGGAAAGGGCGCATAGCTGAAATGAAAACTAATAAAGTCGGATGAGGTGTGGGACAGATAACTTACCGAGACCACTCGATAGCTTTACCTGGTAAGCGAGGTGGAATGGCGTGCATCCGTTGGTTACTTCATCATCTCCTTCCCTTGCTCCTTCGCCTGTAGTCTTTCCTCTAGCCATAAACGAGTTTAATAGAATAAAGAACTGCAAACAATAGCAAAGGCTTGCTTACCATTCGCTGACATGATAAACATTTTTCCTTCCTTCAACCCTCTTCTTCGCTTTCTTCTATTTTTCCATGCGATGGAGGATCGACTTTGGACCCCTAACTTACCTACTTCTTCCAATCCTTCCTTACCTTCTTTCCTTCATTTTCTCCTCCCTCCCTTTTTCACTCTATCATCTCATCAATGTGCTCCTCCGAAGGAATCTCCGATTCATGCAGCAAGCATATCTTTAGTCGTGTGTCTCACAGAACCTGTTTTGCCCTTTTCTCGCACTAGTTTCACAACTAACCAACAAGGACTCTAATGGTGGATGGATGGACTGGACTCGACAGGGTCGTCTGTGCGCAGCGTAACCAAACTAAAGGGTGGGAAGGAAGGTTAAAGGAGCAACTCAAAAGTCCTTACTTTACCACGCTTTACCCGGGTCACCTCTTTGTTTTTCATACATTTCCAAAAAGAAGCTATTGTTCAGTGTTCATTACTTTTTTTTTTTTTGTTGGTTCTTTTCGAGGGTATATACACATAAGTCTTATGTGTGTGTGTTTGAATTAGTGACCTAGTTTGAATGTGCATGTGCCCGATTGTTAAAGAATCGCGCAACTCTTGTTTGTTTGTTTGTTTTGCATCTGGGCTCGAGCCTCGGGGTACAATGTTCCGTCCGTTTCGAGAAACTATGAGATCCGCCTCTGGCCACCCCAACCCTCATTTCCACACGGTCCAGTTATTCCATTCTCCTTCCTTATGTTCAAAGTCGACCGTCCCTCGTTTTCTCTAATAGGTCCGTTAATCATGGTCTAACGACGAGTCATGTGGTCCGGTTTCCCTTCCCCCCAGGTCTCTAACCTTTCCTTCTTACGCGCTGCCATCCCCCTTGTACTATTCGTCATTTCATAGTCATGTGCTCCCTACTCCAGCCCCAGGCTAAACCTTAAACGAACGAATCGCGACCAAATGCTATCCATCCCAGTCTAAACTTTGAAACGCGACCATGTACCCTTCTCTCATTATAGAACGGTTATAGTAAGACTGTATGCGCTCATAATAACCCCACCCTAAACAGCTGGAGAGAGAAAGAAAAAAAAACAGTTGAATCCTGGCACCATTTTCCTGGGTACTTGAGACATTCTCACTGCGCTTGATTGCGTGCTTGGTTCCCTTTGTCCATTACACACACACACACACACAGACACACAGACACACAGACACACACATATGCAAGACTTCCACATATCCTGCCTGAGTGTATAACCGGACCAGACCATTGTTAATACACGGTTGCGTCGATGCGGCTATGTAGACTTTTTGTTATTTTGATTAACTGTTGCAAAAACGAGCCTGTCAATAGATTGTGGGAGAGTTGGGAGACGAGAGTAGAGAGAGGGCAAAAACAAAGATATATAATTTCGTATTTTTTAATTGTCTAGTTTTTTTTTCGGATCCAATATCTCTACCGAGGCGCTTTCTCCAGACGGTTCTCGTAATCCGGACTGGGTGAGTCGCGGGTACGGGTAGAGTAAGGAGATATGAACACTGCTGGCGGTGGGAGCATTCCATGATCCTGAGAATCACCTGCGCCAACCTCTACTGACATGGCAGAGGGTCCTGTGACAGGACTGCTTGGGGCAGGGGAATGGCCGGTACTGAGGGGACTGTGACTATGCGGCAGGGAGTGATGGTGCAGGTGATGAGGAAGAAGGTTTTGGTGAAGCTGATTTTGGTGAGAAGAGGCGTTACTGCCGGTAGAATGGCTTCTTTCGGGACTGGTGCCTCGACTTGGGGCCCGACTGGCAGCGCGACTGGTGCTTCGACTGACATCCCGAGAGGGGTTCCTGCTGTTGGCGTCTGACTCTGACTCTGCGTATGACGGGAGGTGGATGCGTTGGATCATGGCGCGGAGAAGGTCATCATCGCCAGGATCCATATCGCGTTCAGAATCGAACGAGACTCGGGGGGTCGTGAAGGAGGTCAAGTAGCTGGGGAGTTCACCGTCGGCTCCGTCTGAGCTGCCGTTTCCTGCCTCTTCCGGATCGATCTGGTAGTCGTCCTCGAATGCTAGCACCTTGACATCAATCTCGTTCTCGACCCGGAATCGCTTATTACCATCTGTCCCCAGAATGGAGAATCGCAGGATGTGAGTAACCTTCATGAGTCCATTGTCTGCGGAGGGGTTGCAGTTGTTCTGGTCGGGTCCCATCTGAGGCATGTCGAATAGCAAGACCTTGTTCCAGTTCCATGCGTCGGACTGGTGGTTTGGTGGTCGGTCCCACCCCTCACTCTTTTGGATCTTGACCAGTCTCATATCGACTCGCTTACGACCATCCGCTCTATAGACGACTCGCTCCCACAGACCAACTTGAAGGACTTGCACAAACGTCCTGGGCGTAGGGGCGGTGATAGAGACCTGGAGGGGGACTTTGGTGTTGTGAGGGACTCGAGTCTGGGGCATGCTGATCTTGTACTTGATTTTGTCATCGGCCGCACTGACTGCCCGCCCGCCTCGTTGGTATGCTCGTGATGCCTGGATGGGGTGACGACGGAGAACGTTGACGGGGAGGGTAACCGTGGAGGAGTTGAAGGTCAGTCCTGGTTTTGTCAAGTTCGCAGTGAGACGGTAGGCGACCTTTCCATGTGTTGTCGTCAAGGTCTCGGGCAAGTCGTCGGTCAACTCCATCGAGAATGGGAAGGCGTGCTGTCCTGCTGGGAGAAGGATGGCAGGTTGTTTGTGCTGGTGAGGGATGAGTGCCCATGAGTGTTCAATATGAGGGTTGGTTTGGTGGCGGGTTGCAGGGCTGTATGCATTGTCTAATTACCGTCGGACAGAGACAGAAAAGGTCAAAGGTGTTAAAAAAGGGTGCAGCTTCTTTGTGTGCTGAGAGAGAGAGAATGCATGGGTTAAATTTTTTGGACGACTGTCTTACCATCGACCCAAGTAACAGAAGAACGACCAGAGAATTCGAGGTTCAGCGCTTTGACCTTAGTGGTCTTGTGAAGGTTCACATAGACAACACCCTCCAACATCGTTGTCTGTCCAGTCATCAAAATAACCTCTGGATGAGTCAGCTCGATCTTGAGCGTCTTTGTCGAGTGGTGCTCTCCGGTGGGACTATGACTGCCGTGGGAAAAAAACGAAAAGGGCGACAGAGTATGACTGTGGCGGTCACTGCCGATGGTCTGACTAGGCGAGGCAGTCGACGACGAGAGGCCTCCATCTGACCGTAATGATGATGATGACGAAAAGTTGGGTGAGGGTATGACCGAGAGAGAGTTGAATTGAGGTTGCGAGAGAATCGTGGCAGTTGTTGGAGGAAGTGGAGGCGAAGTTGGACGACTATGACTCTGGGGCGAGGTTGGACGACTATGACTCTGAGGCGAGGTTGCACGACTATGACTCTGGGGCGAGCGACGTCTCCTGTTGTAGCGATGGTCCTCTAGAGCTTCTTCGTCGTCGTACTCATCGACCAGATCTGTATTGTGGCTGACCATGTCTGAGTGGTCCTCCGAGGGGGCAGGTGTGGCTCCATGGGCTGACATGGCGGGGGGCAGCAAGTCGAAGGATGGGGGCAGGTGGGTATTGTGGGTATTGCTGGGGTATCTTCTGGGCGAGGAGAGGGGCGAGGACAAAGGCGACGAGATTGGTGACCGAGGGGATGGGGAGAGTGCCTCTGGGGTGAAGTGGCCTCGGTAGAGCAGGAGGTCAGCAACATTAGCAAACCCACCGTTTGATGTGTTGTTGTTGCTGCTACTGGTGTTGTTGGTGGTGGTATTACTTGATCCTGACATGGCTGTGGCTATATTAGCTGTGTCTGTCCAGTCTGTGTGTATGTGTGTTTGGCCTGTCCTTTGTGGTGTCGGTCGGGCCGAGGTCTTGGTGGGGAGCGGTTATTAGGTGTTGAGCGAAGAAGAAAGAAGGGAAGAAGAAAGAAGAGGTGGAAAGGAGATATAAGAAGAGAAGAGGGAGAAAAAGGAAAATAACCTTGTGGTGTGGTGGAGTGAACGGCGAAAAGAAAAAAGATTAAAAAGTAAAAAAAAAAAAAGGTTCTGTTGATGAGGTTCATCCCCCGACAGAGGAGTGACAAGGAAATTGACGCTCAGTTTCCATGTGGTGTCATCTGTGGACAAATGCTCGACACCACCATCCTTCGCTTTGCATTGCACTATTATTACTTATTACCTACTGCACTCCCCTCTGCTCGCCTCCTCCTTCAAGAGTGCCCCGTTCCTCTTCTCCTTCCTCTGCTCGTTAGCGCTGCGGACAGGAGAGGGAGGTTGATGAGTGATCAGTTGATGCTATCCTTGCTACCTCATTGACTGATCGAAAATGGGATCCCAGGCGACCGGTGAACTCTGATTGGCTCGCAACGTGAATCATAACGTGGGAACGAAGAACGAAGACAAGGAAATCGTTCTTTGCTGTTCTATCTATCTATCTATCTATCTATCTACACACACATCCGTCCGGTTGCCATGGTCAATGAAAAGTGGGTGCCGCATGTAGGGTTTGGTCGATGAGGTCCATCGATCCGAACGCCGTTCGTTGGGGTGAGTCAATCTATTCCTTTGTGTTGACAAACAAAAGAGAGGCGGGTAGCATTCGGCTAAACTCTACTGTACGTGGGACAACCATTTCATCCCCCTCACTCTCTCTCGTTCTCCACTTCCACATTGTCGTCATACGTCAACAACAACATAAAAAATAAACAAAAAGAGGCTCATGCACACATGGCCCAGTGCAACGTTCTTTTTTTTTTTTTTTTTTTCTCCTCCCTCAATGAGGAACTTAACAAACAAACAAACAAACAAGCGCTCAACGGTCACCTCGCGTGATGACATTTCTCACACATTCCTTGATCACCCAGATTCCTTCAACTTTCCACTCACTCCCAGCCCGTTGTCTAGAGAGGTCGGGCAGGCAGTCAAAGACGAAGAACGCAATAAGGTCCAGAACAGAAGGAGGACTAAAGTTGATCGACACCCATGGGTACGATGTATATGGCGCAATTGGGTACCGACGTGAGAACATTCCGACAGAGAGAGTCAGGGCGTGGGACGCACGCACGTTCGTTTCGTTTGTTTTTGTGGATGGGCTAATGGCACATACGCCAATGGACAGTGGGTATGATACCTGGCCTTTGCATTTTTCTTCTTTTTTGCTGTCATTTGTTGTCTCGATAGCCTTTCTTATCCATATTCCATTGTGGTCCGATGATGACTCCGACGTTATGGTTTTTTTCGTTTTTGTCTATTTATTTCCCTTGAGGATGAGAGCAGTTGAAGGAGTGAAGGAGCGGGGACGAAAAAATAAATTTTGCTTTTAGTCGAGCAGATTGGCAATGGTCCTCAACTCACCTAGGGCAGGGCAGGGTCCCCTTTGGTTTCCCATGGTCACATGGTCTTTGTGGCTTCAATAGTTAGTTCACGATAGAGTGCGTGTGTTCACGGGAACTCGCGATGACTATGGGATAGGATATCTGCAATGAACACCGTAGCTGCTTGGAACCGCGCCTACTACAGGTACATTTACCAATCGAACGTATACGCCGGATCTACTGCCTATTCGGGTAGAACGTTCCTCGAGAACAACAATGCCTCTTCTCTCTCACTCTCTTTCATTGTTCGTCGTGTCTTGCATATTGTCTCCTCAGGTGTGCATTCGCTACTATATCAACCATCCATCAAACGTGGGATGGATTCCCTTCTGCTCTTTCCTATTTCCTGTTACGATATATTTTTTTCATCTATCCTCCATCATCCACTCGTCACTCATTTCCTTCTCTCTCTCCTTTCTTTTCTCTTCTCATCGTATCATCCACACTCAAAAATTACAACGTAACATTCTCCTTTCTCATCCTACCATGAAGTCCACTTTCGTCCTCACCATCGCCGCCCTGTGTGCCGCTCTTGCCGTCACCCAGCCCGTCGTCATGGCCACTCCCGTCGTCGTCGTTGCCGAGTCCAACCCTCTTTTGCAGAAGAGAATCCTCGAGCAGTGCAAGAACAAGACCGGGGTCTGCGTCTCCAGAGAAGCCTGTGTCGGCACCGGCTTCGATGGAAAGGAGCGACACATCGATGGACTCTGCGATAAAAAGAACGACGAGTTTATCTGTTGCATCAACTTTTAGAAACACACACACACACACACACACACACACACAGCCTTACGTTCGTAGCTCACGCACATTACTTTCCTTTCGTCTTCTTTGCTGAAAGGAAAATATAAATAGACATGATGAACCCCTAAAGTTGAGGCTTTAGGTATTGTCGTTGGGTATGATATTCATTGCGGCAACGAGTGGTCTTTCTCAAGTTTTTGTTGGATCCATGATTGTTGCATGCGTGTGCGCGCTCTTTAGCAAGATATTTGATGTCGAAAAGGGGGTAGGTAAGGTAAGAGTGTCGGATACATGGGATGGATTCGAGACTAAACAAATCCCGAGGTCATTTAAGGGGTTTGTGTAGTTGTTTGTGAGTGGTCTGCGCAATAATTACGTAAAAAAAATCCGTGGCGTTAGCTTTTTGGAAGTTATTTAATTTAGTCAACAGCCAACACTGTCGCTTTGTTTCTATTCATTATTAGTTTCCTCAGACCCCACTTGCTGCAATCTTTCCATTAGGGATGGTCGTCTTCCTCGTGTTTGCTTTGTAGGAGTATGAAGGACAATGGACTCCCATTCCAGACCCTTCATTGGTTCTTGTTCTTGTGGCTGCAGAACATTCACTTCATTAGCCATTCTTCGCTCATACTCGTAGTCCAACTTCTTGATGCGAATCCCCCTTGAATACTGGTCATAATGCCACTGTAATGTAAAACGAAAGAATGCGGAGAATGTGTCAAACAATGGGAAGATGATGGTGGCGATACAGTAACATACAAAATCCTTACCAGCAGGTTGAAGAGAACATGGACCGACCAACGCAAGAACCGTGGGACCTCATCAGGAGACTCAGGGAGTGCAATTGTCCTGCATGCAGGGCCAGCTACCCAAATATCCTGGAACCTCTGTAAGGTGACAACCACCGCTGATGTCCCTATTGTCGTTATATTGGCCGGTGGTTAGAGAAACCAAAGACAGTTTGTATGGATGTGCACGAGAATATCGCCGTGAGCATGAATGCACAAAATCGGAGGGCATCCAACACCATACCTCTCCAACTGCAGAAGAATACTTTTGTTAATCTTAATATTCTTCCGGAGCTGGTTGGCCAAGTCCAACTCACTACACGCCCCCTTCTTCGCTTCAAAATTTGCTACTTCAAGTCGTCCACTGAAAGAATATAATCGCATTTCCTGGTTGATGTGGCCGTGTCAAAAAAGGTAGATACAATCGAGCTCGATAGCTTGGCCGCCGCACATCCTTGCTCGCCCCTATGAGTAACAATCACTTGGATGTAAGTGTGGGCATTTACAATGTCATTCCAAAGGGCACATGGTTAAAGACAGTAGCACTCACAGATTCAGGGCCAGGCTCGACTTGGCTGGCAGTTGCTCTCTAAAAATGCTCGACCATAGACTCATAGCATCCGCTTCGGCAGGACCTTTCGATTTGCCATGGAGGGGTCTCTCCGCATGCTTGAAGCTATTCTCCATTGAAAGATTTCTTGTTATTAACAAAGAAACATTGTGCGGGCCAAACTAAAGCCATACGGCAACTTACACAGCAACTTACATAGTCTTTAGTGCATCCAAAGACCTGCGAAATTCCGAGGATATAGCTTGAAGTTCATATACCTTCTCAATTAGATCATCTATGTCTGAGCCTTTTTCAGCCATAGAGACTATTAAACTCGCAAAAGCCTCATCAGGTACCTCCAGCTCCTTTCTCAGGCACAATTGTCTACCCTCCGTCAAGTGATCATTAAACGCTTTGTTAGCCTCCACAGAGAACATGTTCCAAATGCCAGACAGCGCAACACTAAATAAAATCAGAAAATATGTGGTCAGCGAAAACCATGTTAACAAAAAATGCAATAAACATCATCCTTTTTGCACCTTCCTCTTGTCCCCCTTGTCTTCCTCTTGTCTTCCCCTTGTCTTCCACTTGTCTCCCTCTTGCTCCGTTGCTATTACACCAAGCTGTGAAACGCGTTTGCCACCAAGTTGTAGATGATATACTGAGGCGATTTCCACGTGTCAATCATGGTCACGTGTGGGCAGCACCTTGTCACCTCTCTCTTGACTCGCTCACACGGGGACGAACAAGGTCGCTGGGAGGTTGTAGCAATGCCAATCAGTCAAGTTGGGAAAATGCACGAGCAGTGAAAAGCCAAGGGATGATGGTTCGGACTCAAGGTCTCAGATTTTATCAGTGTCGTCTGTGGAGAGAGGCAAAAAGGGTGAAAGGGGAATGGTGAAAAGAGGACCTCGCTAGGATATTTGTTTACCCGAGGGCTGACATAAGTTGGAAGGTGATGAATCTAATTTTCCTTATTACGGACCACCTTTCACACCTCATGTTCACAGCACGCAAAAAAAAAGTTGAATTAATGACAAATAGGCCCGAGACAAGAACGCCGTTTACAGCGAGTTTTTTATTAACGAGGAGAAACAAGACGCCATCACAGCTACTACTCCTTGCGGCAGATGATCTCGCCATGAAGCACCGAGAACCAACCATTGTCATCTTCAATCCAGGTCCTCCACGCCTTGGCCATCGCCTTCAGCTCCTCTTGGGTCGCCAGGTTCAACTCCGTCGCATTGGCGGCAAAGACCGACGACAACGTGCGCTCCTCCATTGACCCACCCCAATACGCGCGCTCCTCTGGAGAGGCGAAGCACCACGCGCCCGAGCTGCAGGTAATCTGAGATCGCATAAAACCAGCCTCCTGTGCCCAAACATGAAGGTGATGGCCCGGGTGCGGGTTGCTGCCCTTGAGACGACCCATGTGTGTCGCGACCTCCCAAAAGTGCTCCAGACCTTGCGACTCGGGGTACCACAACATCTTGGCCGACTCGCGAACGGCCATAATGCCACCATCCTTTTTGCAGACGCGCTTCATCTCACGCAGTGCCTGAACCGGGTCGGCCACATGTTGCAACACTTGATGCGCATGGACAATGTCAAACGTGTTGTCCGGGAAATCGAGTTTGTGGATATCGCCGACTTGAAACTCGGCATTGGTGACACCCTGCTGTTGGGCAAAGGTACGTGCGTCCTTCAGAGGGTCCGATGTATATTCGATCCCGACCACACGACCCTGGGGCACCAGTTTGGCCAGGTCGACCGTGATGCTGCCAGGGCCACAACCGACGTCTAGGATGGACATGTGGGACTGGATGTAAGGGCGCAGGTAGGTAGCCGAGTTGGCGACGGTGCGCCAGCTGTGGGTCTGAAGGACAGCATGGCTGTGGTCTTGCGCATAGACAATTGGCTGTGAGGTCGAGAAGGACATGCTTTGGGTGTGGGTTGAATTGTGTGCGTTGTTGTCGTGGAAGAAGCGGTTGCGAGAAGAGAGGAGTAAAAAAGGGAGTGTACTAAAGGAGGCGAAAAATCTGGACCAAAAAATAGCCATTGCAATTTTTATTTCTATTGCGTCACCATCATCAACGTTCTTCGATGTTGCTCTCGAACGCGTTGGTAAGTTGCTCTTTTACCGACTTTGACAAGCTCTATTTTGAACGATAATACACGCAGTGCCTGGTCCACTGATAGTCAATACTCCTGCTCTACACAAAGATGCTACGCCTAGCTGACTTTCACAGAGTAGCGGCAGAGTAACGATTGGTAGAGGAATTGGTGTTGGTCGAGTGGAAGACCCGGTGGAGGACCCGATGGAGGACATGATGGAGGATAGTGTACATGAACATATGGAACAACCTGTCGGTGGGTCAAATGAGATGGAGCGCCTTGACCGCAAGTGGGCTGTAAGGAATGGGGGGGCTATGGACTGAGCACAAAGAATGGAGGAAGCTCTGTAAGGGAGAAGAGAAGCTTAGAGACTGCCCTGTAATTGGATGTACAAAGTCGTATCTGAGAGGCAGTTGGATGAAGGTACATCTGATAGAGTGCCATCCGATAGTAGAGGTCTGTGAAGTGAGTAAGAAGTGCTGTAACGGGAAAGTGTCGTCATGGAACCATTTACTTTCTGTCGCGTCCAAGCCTGTTTGTTTTTGCTTTTGTTTGGAAAGCTGAAATTAATTCATTCCCATAACATCATAACATATATACATATGTATACTTTAGTTTTCCCACCTCCTTTTGTTCTTTACCTAGTAACTTGAAATAAACCCTCCTTGCACCTTTGAACCGTTCTCACACAATTCCTGCACACGCTCCCTCCCCTAACCTTGGCCCTGCCTTGGGAAAGGTCACTTATTTCCTGCCCTTGCCCTCGTTCACGACAGATAGACCCCATGTGCACATATCGAGAGGCTTTTGAGACGCGATCTTCAAACAGCAAGTACATTCGAGAATAGATGGTATTCTGCTAGAATGTTACTTGCTCCAAGCACGGTACATCATGATATCTATGAAGAATCCTCGTCTTGCCTTGCAAATGATTTTGAAATCCCCTTAGATGTTTAACCTTGTCTTGATACTCTTTTCATTCACAATTAGCCCTCCGCTATCACCACTGCCTCCTCTATTTCCCCTACTTCTTACACCCTGCGATATATCAAGGTTTTCACACACGTACACTAGTAACTGATGAGACAAAGAGAGGATTGTATTAGGCACACCAGGTACAGACTAGGATGCAGCGTGCTTCTTGGGGAGTTTTTCTTTTATGAATGCTCCCCTCGAAAAGAATTGAGGAATGGTGAAGGCAAGGGGTCGTCCTTATTTGAGGGGATATCGTTCGTCCTTTCTTTCCTTCGTACCTTCATCCTTCCATTCTCGCCCTTTTTCCATCTCGTTCAAACACTCCACTGCTACACTCAAAGCACATACAGGGCACAGAAAAACAAACATGAAGCTGTTGTCGACCGAGTACATTGCCGTTCTAATGGCTATTGCTGTGACAGGAAGCACATTGGCGATGACCACCACCGATAATCGCGTATGTCAACAAGCGGGTAGCAAGGTGGCTGATAGTGAACAAGTCATGAGGAGTGCACCCATCGGGGAATGCAGGAAGAAGGGTGAGTGGACTGATAATAAAATGGCTTGTGGAATGGCTCAAGAGAACAAGAGAGAGCGATCGACACTCTCGGGGAAATAGCGTTGTGGATGCTGTGCACAGTGACCATGATGGTTATCTAATGGGCATACAGATCTTAACGTTGTCTTTTTGCACGCTCTTTTTCTCTCTCTTGTCTCCAGTGTGACTTTCCTTTCACCATTTTTTATGTCGTGCCTGAGCTGCTTTCCTAACTTCTTTTTTTGCTCGTGTTCTACTCTTCCTCTTCTTTCTTCTTTCTTCTTCACCTCACACCTCCTTTTCTTCCTTCTAGCCCACTCTCTCTTTCACTCAACAACAACAATGGCCTCCCACAAGCTGTGCATGATCCCTGGTAAACAACTCCTTCGCTCATCTCTCATCCAATCTACTTGTTTTTTGTTGTTCATTCAGCTTCACATCTTTATTTTTTTCTTTGTATACTCATGCTTCAACTGCTCTATCCAACAACAATAACAACAACACATATAGGTCCCATCGAGTTCCACGAGGATGTCCTTCAGGCCATGGCCACCCCCGCCACCTCCCACGTCGCCCCCAACTTCATCCCCGCCCTCGGCGAGTCCATCGAGCTCCTCCGCCAGATCCTCTTCACCTCCGGACAGCCTTTCATCATTGCCGGATCCGGTACCCTTGGATGGGACATGACCGCCTCTAACTTGGTTGAGGCTGGCGAGGATGTCCTCGTTTGCAACTCGGGATACTTTGGCGACCGCTTCGGCGAGTGGTACGTTTCTCCCTTCTTTTGTTACTTTGGATACTGATGTGGAGGGGCGAGAGAGGTGCATCGATCAAAAGATGTATCTACTACTGGTGCTGCCATTACTACCACTACTACTATCAATCAGGAACACACCACGGGGAACAAGCAAAACAACAACGATGCAACAGCAGTTTGCGAGGAGACAAGGAAGGGGCATTATTGAGAAACACCTTCGAGGAACACCAATTGACACGCAAGGGCGACTTACTGCCAGGAGGGAAGGAGATCGATGTACACGCCATTCGATGTCTCAGGATCGGAACGGGGTTTCCTGGATACCTTCACCCTTTCTCCGGCGCTGTCACTTTTTTTGCGGAGAAATGACGGATTGCGGGGGAGTGAGTTGGAACGAGATCAAGTAGTCCAGCAACCAACTCGCACAGATAACAGCTGCTGTTGTTTTCCTCAGTCAGGATTGAGTTTTTTCAAGCACACGGATCGGGACACTCTCTTTCTCCTTCTCTCCCTCTGGCCTTTGAGCGAGTGCCCACGGAACGGGAACTTTTCGCTCCTTCTCAATCTGAGCGGCACGCCTCTTCGGTTTTCAACAGACACATGGGACGGACGGGCGGGCGTGGGACAAAAAAATCTTTTCTTTCTTCCATTCCTTTTCTCCCTTCCACACACTCCAGTTGATCCGACGATATGACTAATCCGCCTTATAATTGAACTTGCACCTAAATAGCTTGGAGACTTATGGAGCCAAGGTCACCCACCTCCGTGTCCCCATTGGCGAGTCCCCCAAGCTGGATGACGTCGCTGCTGCCCTGAAGACCAAAAAGTTCAAGGCTATCACTATCACTCACGTCGACACCTCCACCGGTGTTCTCGCCGACATCAAGGGAATTGCCGATGTTGTCCGCAGGGAGTCCCCCGAGACCCTCGTCGTCGTTGACGGTGTCTGCTCGGTCGGTTCGGAGGAGATCCGCATGGATGCCTGGGGTATCGACGTTGTCGTCACTGCCTCCCAGAAGGCCCTCGGTGCCCCCCCTGGTCTCTGCGTCATGGGTGTCTCTGAGCGTGCCATCGGTGTCTTCAAGAACCGCAAGACCCCTGTCCCCAACTACTACGCCAACTGGAACCGCTGGTTGCCTATCATGAACGCCTACGAGGCTCGCAAGCCCTCGTACTTTGCCACCCCCGCTGTCCAGAACATCTTTGCCCTCAACGTCTCGTTGAAGCAAATCGTTGCCCAGGGTATCGAGCAGCGTTTCGCTGTTCACAAGGAGGCCTCTGCCAAGGCCAAGAAGTTCATCCACGATTTGGGCCTGGAGCTCGTCCCTACCTCGTTGGAGCACGCTGCCAACGGTATGTCGGCTGTCTACTATCCCGAGGGCGTTGCTGCTACTGATCTGTTGCCCAAGTTGGCTGCCCACGGCATTGTTGCTGCTGGTGGTCTCCATGCCGATATTGCGCCCAAGTACTTCCGTATCGGCCACATGGGTATCTCTGTCACTGAGCCCGAGCGTGGCCACCTCGATGCTACCTTGAACGCCCTCAAGGCGTCGTTGGCCGAGTGCGGTTACAAAGGTGCCTTGTAAACGAAGCAAGTCCGGAGAACCACCATATCCTGTAATTATCGCCATCAGCATGTACCATAAAACATTGTTTTTTTCCCATCTGCAACGCATTCTTGCTGTTTGCCTTTGTCTGTGCCATTGCAGACCCTTTTTCTGTTGAAGCACGAGTCGGTATGAACGAGCATTACACGTGATGCATCGGTGTACAGGAATAAAGAAGGGTTTTTCACTCCACTCTTTATTCTCCTTTCTCCATTCACAGTGCAACTCGATTCCACTTTCTTCTCATTCACCCACATTCACCACATACACCACAAACCAACACTCTCAAGAACTCGCAGCCTAGAAAGGGACTACTTACTTATCACCAAGGAACCACACATATATACACTCCTCCATGGATAGTAATATCGTGCCGGATATCGATCACCTAATAAACGGCCAGGACGATCACACATTCCCCGCTGAATCGATGGATTCGCCACCTTACTCAGACAAGGCAACAACGACATCCTCAAAAGACCTCTTGCCTCGTCTCCACCTTATCGACGACGAAAAGCGCTTCAGGTGAGGAAACACTCTTCAATAATTGTCAACCAATGTCGTCACCTTTTCTGCAGCAAGACAACTCTAAATTGTTCGACGTTTGCTCACAACCATCTCAACCTGCAAACTCATTTGTGTGTTCTCTGTCTTCATTTGCGTGTGTCTGCTAGCGATGAGCTATCGACGTATATCAGCGACAAGTGGCATCTCAAAGACGTAGGGTTCAATTACAACCTGGCGGCCATCTTTGGAAGTCAGAGTACCGGCAAGAGTAAGTGAACCTGCAACCTTTTATTCGTTCTGTTCTTTATTTTTTTCTGTCAGCAGGCAAAGCACGTTTGGGCCGGTTGTATGACTTCAGATTTGGTCACACATACGCAATGCACACCCGCATGCATGCGCATAGTAGCGAATCATAAATGAAGCAAAGATTCAAACAAAAAAAATGACACCTATTATTACATAGGCACACTTCTGAATCGGTTATTTGGGACTAACTTTGACGTGATGAACGAGACGGCAAGGATGCAGACGACCAAGGGTATCTGGATCAGTCAAGGCAAGGACATGAAAGCCCTGATCATGGATGTCGAAGGCACTGACGGCCGTGAGCGGGGCGAAGATCAGGTATGCCCTTGCCTTCTGTGATTTCAGTCTACCTTTTTGGTTATTTGTATCAGACATGAGCCAAAGGTATGAAAAAGATGACTGACGCCGATTGTCTTATGTTCTTGGTTGTGCCCTAACAGGACTTTGAGAGGAAAAGTGCGTTGTTCTCTGTGGCGACGTCGGAGGTGCTGATTGTCAACATGTGGGAGCATCAGGTCGGACTGTACAATGGAGCAAACATGGGTCTCCTGAAGACTGTTTTTGAAGTCAACCTGCAGCTCTTTGGAGGAAACCGTGGGTAAGTGGAGGGGACAAGATGGACAAACACGGGATCTCGGCGTATGATACTCTGTAGGATGGTCGATTTTGTTCTTTTTGTTCCTACATTCGAAATACCACCTTACTCACACACTTTTCCCCACGTCTTGTACAATCGTGCCAAAAAAAACATCTCAGAAGGGAAAAAACGCTGCTGCTATTTGTGATCCGTGATCATGTTGGGTCGACACCTCTTGCCAACCTGTCCAACACACTCATGGCTGACCTTGACCGGATCTGGCAGGGACTCTCAAAGGTGAGTTGTGCATGTCTGTTTTTTGTGTTACACGCACGAGCGCTTCAATATACTAAACTCTCCTTACCATTTCGTTGCTCTTGAATGGTAGCCGGAAGGTTTAGAGGGCTGCAAGATCTCGGACTACTTTGACTTCATGTTCACGACCCTGCCTCACAAGCTGCTTCAACCTGAGCAATTCGAGCTTGAAACCCAAAAACTCCGTAACCGGTATGCTACGCTTCTTACTTGTCTCCTTTTGTCATATACGAACCCCTGTCACTACCTCATAGTATTAACTATCTCCTGCATTCTGGCAATGCAATGCTGCATTATAGATTCGTAGACTCAAAGGATCCAAACTATGTGTTCCAACCACAGTACTCAAAGCGGGTCCCCGCAGATGGATTGCATGTCTATACGGGAGCGATCTGGGAAAAGATTATGACCAATAAGGATCTGGACCTACCGACCCAACAGGAGTTGCTGGCTCAGTTCCGATGCGAGGAAATTGCCAACGCGGCGTTTTTGATCTTTAAAGATCAGATCAAGGAGTTCCGTCACCCCATTGAGGCTGGCCAATTGGTCGAGGATCTTGGACCCAAGATGGAGGAGGCCCGCGACGTTGCCACCAGTAAGCTCAACATGTGTGGCGGATTGATGCTGGCTACCTTTACACTGACTCTCGAAACCCCTCACCAACGGCTATCTTATTATTTGATCGTATAGAATCGTTTGATAAGGATGCGTCGCGGTACTTGCCGGTAGTGTATCAGCGGAAACGGACAGAGATGCTGACAAAGGCCAACTCGATGCTGGAATCATATTTCGTGGGACAACTCAAGAACTTGCACAAGACGGCAGTCTCCAACTTTACGACTCAGCTCCAACAGGCGCTCAAAGTCGAGGGTACCGAGTTTGGTAAAGCTGCAGCCAAGACTAGGCAGGAAGCTGTGGATTTTTTCCTCAAGGGTGCCAAGGCGATCAAACTGACTGAGACCGACTGGGAGTACGAGGAGGAACTCTACCAGTTAGAACATGATCTGGAAGAGTTGACGACTGTTCAGCGGGAGAAGGAGTTGGTCAAGATGTTGACTGGGTTGGAGAAGCTGATCAAGCAGGAGTTGGATGAGCCTGTCAAGCTGGCGTTGGATCAACCTAGACCGGGGATGTGGGGGCGGATCATGGCGATCTATAGGAGGACTAGTGAGGATGCGGAGGTGTTGTTGTTGAAGAAAGCCAAGACGTTCGAACTTAAGGAGGAAGAGGAGGAACAGTTGGCGGTGAACTTGAAGAGGCAGAGTTGGGTGCTGTTGACGATGAAGGTTCAGGAAGAGTCTGTCGATGGTTTGATCCTGTACAAGCTGTCGAATCGGTTTGAGGAGATGTTCCAAAGGGATAGTCATGGCCTTCCGCGTGTCTGGAGTCCTACCGATGACATTGACACACCCTTCCGCAAAGCCCGCGAGGAGGTATGTATCATTTGCAAGTACGGTTGTGTAAAAATTGCTTGGTTTCTGACGTGTAATTAATAGCCACGGCTTCTTGATCTTCTATCCACTGCAGACGATAGAGTTGATCCGATTGTACGCAAAGATCGACACACTAGACCCTGTCACAGACACCCACCTTACCCTTGAATCTTCCGATGATTTCGATTTCGATCAATCGCTCCAAGTCCTCTCAGAGACACGGCAACAGGAACTGACGACACTATTCAAACGAAAAGCGGACGCCTCCTACGTTGAAGCCAAACGATCCATCGTCGCCACGCAGGCCAAGATCCCTTACTGGGTCGGCGTCGCTTTGATTGTTCTGGGTTGGAACGAATTTGTGACACTGATTACGAACCCGTTATATCTGTCCATGACCTTGATGTTGGGTCTGCCGTTGGGCGCGCTGTGGTATTTGGGTATGTTGGATCTGGTACGGAGTATGGGATGGAGGGCGTATGAGCAGGTTTTGGTTCTGGGGCGTGAGAAGTTGAGGGATGTTGTTCATCCGCCTGAACCAGTGCCTGTCCTTGTACCTGCTGTTCAGCACAGTAGGAGGAGTGAGGAGTTTGAGGAACGGCAGCAGAAGAGGACGTCGTTGCATCATCACCAGTCTGCTCGGTCGTTGAATCAACGGACTGAAGATAATGAGGGTACAGGGATTGAACTCGATGCCTTTGAAAGTAGGAAGACTTTGTAGAAAGAAGAAAAAAAAGCAAAACTATACTCACCCTCTTTGGTTCAACTGTAAATAAATATTTTGATGCCTTTTTTTTTCTGCTTTTGGGTTCGCTTAGTATGGAGTGAGCGTGGATGGATGATGCAAGAAATGAATCTACAATAAATAAAAGAACTACTTGGGGTGGATCTCCTTGACGCCAGCCATAAAGGGCCAAAGACACTCTGGTAAACGGACAGACCCATCGGGTTGCTGATACGTTTCAAGCAACGCCACAATGATCCTCGGAATCGCCATCGCCGTACCGTTCAACGTATGCACAAACTCTGTGCTGACCACCGAGTTCGAAGCTGTGGCAGACGTAGCAGAGTCCTGGTGGGGTTGGCGGGGCTTGTTGGTGCGGTAGCGGATGTTGAGACGGCGGGCTTGATAGTCGGTACAGTTGGAGGTCGACGAGATCTCGCCCCATCCGTTCCTGCCGGGCATCCATGCCTCGATGTCGTATTTCTTGTATGCACTCGCTCCCAGTTCTTCCGTTGGCATATCCAGCACCCTGTTTTTATATTGATGATGAAACAATAGAAATAAATACCACAATGGGCAAAATCCACGAATATCGCGAAATAAAATACAGGCAACAAAATAAAAAGGCGAGAAAGTTACCTGTAGCAGAGTCCAAGCTCCTCAAAGATATCTTCCTGGAATGCCCGGATATCCTCTAGGATGCGATCACTCTCGCTGGGGTCGGCCTTGGAGACGACAAAGAGTTCGACTTTACTGAACTGATGGACGCGGTAGAGGCCCTTGACTTCTGCACCTCTCGACCCTGCCTCAGCTCTGAAGGCGCGCCCAAAGCCCGCCATCTTGATTGGCAGCTGGGATTCCTCGATTACTTTGTTCAAGTTCATACCCGCCAAAGCGATCTCGGCCGTTGCAACTAGGCAGAGTGCAGAGTGCTGGTGGTGGTGTGATCCTTCTGTTGAAACAGCTTTGGTGGATCCTGGAGCGACTGTCGAGACCCAATAAGTCTGGGATGCCTCATCACGGGGCTGGAATCCACACGCTTGGACTACCTCGGGACGAACGACATCGGGGGTAATAACAGGCATGAACCCAGCCTTGACCGCCCGCTGTGTAGCAAACTGGATCAACGCCAACTCCAACAACGCAGCCTCATTCTTGAGATAATACCACCTCGACCCCGTCACCGCCGTCGCAGATTCGAAATCAACCAGATCCAAATGTTTCGAAAGGGCAACATGGTCCAACAACGGGTACTCGGACATAGTTCCCAACAGCGCCCTGCCTTCCTCCCCTGCACCACCTAGAGCCTCCGCGGTGGAATCGGCCCTGGGTTGAGCAAAGGCCTTGACACCAGGGTTGAGACGGGGCACGCCTTGGATCCGGACCAGTCGCGCCTCAGATTCGGGCCCAATCGGAGATTTCGGGTGGGTGATGTTGGGGATCATGACTGCTTGATCGTACAACTGTGTCTCTAACGTTGACAACTCTGCCTCTTGGGCATGGATCTCCTCCTTCAAAACTCGACCCCTTTCGACCAATTCCTGGCGTTTCGCCTCCTTTTCTTCCCTTGACAACTCTGCGAGTTGCTCCTCTGATCCTGATCCCGATCCCGATGCTCCTGCCCCCGCTGTTGTTGTTGTTGTTGTTGCCTCAGTTCCCGACTTCTTCCCACCCTTCTTCCCACCCTTCCTTGCTCCACCGCTAAACAAAGCCTTCATCTCAGCAGCAATCCGATTCCTCTCCGCCCTAGCCCGATCCAACCTCTGCGTCCGCTCCATAACTGTCGCATACAACTCGTTCACCGCCACAACTGAGATGGAATCTGGCAGGTTCCGATCCCGGATATTCTTGGCCATTGCTGCGGTTGCTGCTTCGGATTGGGAGAGGGCCTTGAAGTTGATGTAGGGTTTCAGGATGAGCGCCGGTACCGGTGCTGTTGCTGTTGTTGTGGTGGAGGGGGAGTTGTAGAGACGGCGAGAGGTTGAGAAGGAGGACCGCTGGGAAAGACGGAAGGAGGCTACAGCGCGACAGCATGCTTGTTGTGATGATCCTGGGGTTTGGACGATGATGTTGGTCGTCGTCGTCGTCGTCGTGGGGAGTCGCAAACTCCTGAAGGAGACTGTCAAAGTCCTTGTGAACCGGTGCATTATCGCGCTTTGTATGTTATGTGTTTTGTTTATCCTTCTTGAGTTTTTTTGTCGATACTTTTTGGTGTAAAAGCCAACGCGCTTTTTTTTCCGTGGGATTTAAAAAAAATATAGAAGAGGGAGGGTTTGGTTGACTTTGTGGATAGGGTTGTTGTTGTATTCTTGTCCCTGGTTCGCTTTGTTGAATGCACGATGCCTTGAATGTCGAGAGTTGGGGGGGAATGACGGGAGTAATGAAGAAGGTTGAAAGACACGAATGAGCTGAGGTTGGAAGGTCGAAACAAAAAAAAGTGATCTGTGTCAGTATGTGTCGCGACCACTCATCGCTTAATTGTGACGGTGTTTACGTTTTAGGACATTCCGATTCAAGACTGAGAGGGAAGGGGAGAGGGAAGGGGAGAGGGAAGGGGAGAGGGAGACGAATGCAAAAATAGACGGATGAGCAGCCTCGGGGAGACCGACCCTTTTTAGGCCACTCGTTCACAAACACGCCACACCAATGCCCATGCCACTTTCCCAAGGTCCAAGTATCATGCGCTATTTGTTGGATAAAAAATGCGAGAGGGGTTTAATAATGTACAAGTCTATGGCGGAGTGGATAATGGGTGGCCAGGAGGATATGAGAGAGAGAGAGAATAAAGTAACAGGATCCTGTGGTGGCCTCCTTCTGGTTTCATTTCTATGTCATGAAGGACTGTCCGCAGCCGCAGGACTCCTTGACGTTGGGGTTGTTGAACACAAACTGCGCCGACAACTTGTCCTCGACATAGTCCATCTCTGATCCCAGCACCGACATCAACGCCTTGTTATCCACCAGCACTGTCACTCCTATTATAGAAGAATAAAAAGAAAAGAATGATGTAAGTGACTGAAAAAAACGAGCGCATAAGAGCGACAAGGATCCTGGTTCTCTGAAAGGCAATAAAACGAGAATATAAAAACGTACCATCCTGCTTGACCTCTTCGTCAAAACGCTCCTTCTTGGTGGTGTACTGAAGATCGTATTGCTGTCCCGAGCATCCCTTAGTACGGATACCGACCCTGACGACCTTGGGCTCAGGGCCCTCTGTCAATGCGCGCAGACGATCAATCGCCGAGGGTGTCTGTTATTATTTTGTTATCGTTGTCGTAGTTGAGAGAGTATGGTATATTCCCCGTTCATGTTCCAGCAAGATGAAGTGTCCGTGTGACCAAAAACCAAGAACGTTTTCCGCGAGTGTCCGAGAGAGGCAAGAGAATCCCGTTGTTGAACAAAAAAGAAGGTTGAGGGGCGGGTTGTGGATTTTTTTTTTAGATGGGTTCGGGTTGGGGTCGACAAATATATCAATCCCGAGGAGAGGAGTCAGTAATCATCCAGCGCAGTTGTGTGTCCAGTCAAGTTGGTTGTCGTTGTACGTCCATGAAGGAGTAAAAAGTCCAGATAATTATGCACACATTATGTCGTTTGTTGTAGGTTTGTGTATTCCAAGACATCCCGAGCGAGAAGAAGAGAGGGCCCGAAGAGATAGAGAAACCATTAAAAGGTGGAAAAAGAGAGAAAAAAGGTACACGTTTGATTAGTTTGTCTGTTCGGCCATCTACTTCCTTGTTTTTCTTTTGCATCCATCAGCAACTACGATGTTGTTTGGTTGATGACAAGCGGGTGTGAACAACATTTGTAAACGTATAGCCAAGACATAACCAAAAAGAGAGGATGAAGAGGAAACATACGAGTGTGAGTACGGCCTTGCGGGTGCGAGGCACCTTTGGGATGGCTGATGCTCTGATGGCTGCTGCAAAAGACATCTTTGTTGTTGCGTGTATGAAGTGTTTGTTGTTGTTGTTGTTGCTAAGGGCGAGTGGTGAGTGATGAGTGTGTGAGTGAGTATGAGACGGGAGTGAGCGTGGGGAGAAAGGTAATTGAATTTTGTTGGGTTGGAAAGAGTATTAAAGTGGAATACGGAGGAGAGAGGGACGGGATCAAGAAAAGAAGGTACGAATATTGAAGGAGCAAAGCCACTGATCGCTTCGCTCCCTTCCAATTCAGCCCCGAAGATTTTACTTTCATCAATCATCACAAATTATTTATCACTCCTTGGATTGATTGACGTGTTGACGTGAGACATGGTTGGCCTGGGCTTGTAGGATATGCATAGTGTGAGGATCATACGATGATTAAGCGCATATACAGAGGGTTTTTATCTCTGGGGGTTATCATATTGTCACTAGAGATAGAATTGTGCACATCACACCACTCTCAATGCCAAGGATTCGTCAAAGTGAAAGAAACAAGTAGAAAAAAGAAATAGCAAGCATACGTTTTATTTCTGCTCAACTGAAAGAAACTATCCTTGTGAAAGATGTATGAAAATTGTGTTTTTGAGAGTGACACTGCTGTACATGTATAAACCCCCTAGAAGGCCATGAGGGCAGCAATGACACCACAGACAACAGACCCGACCGCAGTCCACATAGCATCGCTCGACACAAACCGGCCCTCCGAAGGATGAGCATTGTTCGACCGCACTCTGCCGTTGTCTCCACTCCCAGATCCTATTTGTGGCGAGTAGGAAGAAGTACCCTGCTGGATCGCGTTCGGCAAGAGCATGGGCAAATCATTGGCCGACGTCGTTTGACTGGCTGGGAGGATATTGGCGCAGGCGATTCGGGTGCCGTTGTTGTGGATGACGAGTGATCGTCCGACGATCGTCGTCGCGTCCCCTGTGAACTTGAGTTGTCTGTCGATGTACTTCAATTGCAGATCTCCCTTTGGTGTCACCTCCAAGTTCCCGTGCTTCCCTACTCAGTGGGAAAAAAGGACGTGTGCCAGCAGGTTAGAAAAGGCGCTTATACACACTCGACATGTTGTGTCCAAGTCGTGAACCTCGTAAAAAAACACAGAGAAAGGGCCAATGAGTACCTGAAAGGTCGCCCATCTGGCACGTATCGGAAGCGTACGGATCACAAGGGACAACGCCAGGTTTGGCAGGATCAGGATCCAAATGCCCACCCGTCGCTTCACAGTTGTTGTTGGGCCCGACTTGCTTCACATGGATATGGTACTCAAGCCCGACCCCGCGCTGGATCTCCAATTCTGGCGTCAAGCCGCTCTCGATGTCGATCACCACACTTGCCCCGCCGCCTCCTACTTGTCTGTCTGGCAATGGACTGAATGTGAACTTTCCGACGATCCCGCCTGATTATAGGTGAAAAGCGAAATAAAAAGTGCGACAAGGAACGCCGGTACGGCACGACAAAGGCACGAGGGATGCAAAAGGGATGGTGCAAGGATGTATGGTATGTGCAAGGATGCGTGGTATGTGCAAGGATGCGTGGTATGTGCAAGGATGCGTGGTATGTGCAAGGATGCGTGGTATGTGCAAGGATGCGTGGTATGTGCAAGGTGAGGCATATGGTGTTTGTTGTGAATCGGATACATGGGGAAGCCAGTAATGAAAAAAAAACAAGGGGAGGGGAGGACAGGGAACAGGAGCCAAGGGTTAGTGGTGTAATAAATTGCAGACATCGAGGGCTCGGGGCCATGATTGTTGATCGGAGCGTGATGTATTGGCATTAGTGATTTATGCAAACGACAAATACGACCAAGGACCAAGAGGCTCAAGGAGGAAGGGACACGTACCCATGTTGATGACCGCAACTTGGGATTCTCCTGTTAGTGCTAGAGTCGTCGTGGCCAGGCAACCCAGGATCGCCAAGAATGTCACAACACAGGTCTTCTGGAGCATCATCGTTGAATGTATCCTTCTTGTGAACAAAAAAAAGGACGGCTGGCGATAGAAGGAGATGGGTGAACAATGGAGGGCTTAAGTCGTGTTTGTACTTTGCAGATGTGTTTTGCACGGAGTAGATAAAGATATTAGTTCCAAGAATTGGGGATGGTACTGGAAGAGCGTATTAATGGTGTATGCGAGAGAAGTGAGCGCGGAGTGAGTGTTGGAGGAGGAGGAGGAGGACGTTGGGAGGAATGGATGGGAGGCGAAGTGAAGAAAGAAACAAAAATGAGAAGGGATGTCTTTCCTCTTTTGGTACTTCTTGCCCACACCATATGCCTGCCGCCCCATAATAAAGAAGTGCCCAGCCATCCGGCAACCAGGTCCTTGCGTTCTCTTGGCTGTTTATTTTCGGCTGGTGAGGGGCTTATTATTCCACATCCCTTCCCATCAAACCAATGGCGGACAGCACCTATTCTTTTGTTGCCGTCGCTTGTACAAACCTACTTCTATCTAGTATACGGATGGAGATAGATGCGCGCTTCTTTTTTTTTTTACGCAAAGAGGGAGGGGGGGGAAAACAAGAGAAGACGTAGGAGAAAGATGTACGTGTGGATATATGCGCGCCTAGGACAGACACTGCATCAACGGTGCTGAACTTCAAGGAGAAGGCGAGCTTGTTCGAAACGAGTGGGATGAATGGTATCTCAAAGCAGTAGTATTGTCTTCTCGTTTCTGATCTTGTTTGCTGTTTGTTGCTTACGGTGAAAAGCCGAAGAGAACAAGGACTGGTGTGTGTCCTCCTCCCTGCTATCGAGACGCGCCATGACGGTTGTTATTTCTTTTATTTGGTTGTCCCTTCCCCATCTCTCCTTTGTGAGCGATAAATGGCCAACAGACAAGAAGCCCATTATACACGTTTCGAACAAGAACAAAGCCCCTTTGGACCCATCTCCCTTTCCCTCTCCATCTTTTCTCTTCCCCCCTCGCACTTCGTTGAAGCGCCGAAGGCTGTGGAGCCTCTCTCATCCCTTTCATTCTTCTATGGTGTGGCCTGACTAATTGTGATTGGCGTAAACGTGTAATGCCTCAAAAAATAAAAGGCGCATTGCCTCATCCACACGTAAAACATCATCCGTGTTCCACATAGCCCACAGACATGCCCAACATTCCAGGAATCACATTCTCCTGCTGACAAAAGCACGACAGAGCCTGTAATTATTATTACAAAGGCAACTTATTCTCTAGCGGTACGGAAGAGGACATCGTTCATGAGGTTCACAAACGGACCCTTCAACGTATCAATCGTCGGCACCTGGGGCACCTTCAACCCAAATTCTCCATCTTCATCCTCCTGGTTATCATTACTATCACCAGTCTTCACCTTGGACGCCTCCCAATTGATCATCTCCAATTCGTCCACATCCTCCTGCTGCATCCCCAACCCCCTCAACTCGTTCACAACCCTCTCGTTCTCCTTATCATCTCCTTCACCAGCACTATTACTGGCGCGATCAAGTCCAGCCATCTGTCGGACCTCCTCCCGTTTGCGGTCCTTGACTTCTGCAAAATACACCCTCAAGGCCTCAGCCTCCTTCTGGATCTGCTCCCACTGTACAGGGTCAATGGTCTTCTTGACGAAGTCGTCCAGGTCAATCCCGACTCGCAGTTCCTCGCCGGTCTTGTAGTTCACCCGTGGGTGACCGAACCCTGTGCGCATGAACGTGATGATGCTCTCGATCCATTCCAACAGGTCGTGGAAGATCCCGTCATCTTGTTTGTGGACCGCGTGGACAAACTTGTAGAAGCTTGGGAGGTGTTTCCGGGCGAGGTTTAGGTAGAGTGTGGCGGCCGTCGGCTTTCCGCTTGTTCCTCCTTGGCCTATTTTAAGTACCACATATTTTGATTAGCATACGAGAAAAAGTAAAATAGTCGAATTGATGTTGACCTCCAGTGACCACAACAAAAACAGAAGAGGGTTACCATTGTCATTCTCGGCCTGCTCGACAACCTTGATCAGCTCGTCAACAAAGTACTTGACGTCCATCAGACTGTCGGCAACGTTCGCAGACTTGTATACCTTGACGAGGGGCTCGTAAAAGATTGATATGATCTCCTTCAGGATCTCACCCGTGATACCCTGGAAGATCAGTTCCATGAGTCGCTCCTTCTCGCGGATCCGAAGGTTGACCACCAACAGTTGCTGGAGCTGGCGGATCAAGTTGGACTCGGAATCCTGAAGCTGGAGCTCTTGCTGTTGTTGGTCGTGGTGCTGGTGGTGGCTGTGGTACTGTTGGGTATGTGGCACGTCCAAGTACTTGCACTTTTCGTCGGCACTACTATCCAGGTTGAGGCTGCTGCGAGAAGAGTTGCTCTCGCTTGACCAGTCACTGCTGTCGCTCGCATCACTGTTGCTAGTATTTTGGCTGTTGCATGCCTTGAGTTGCTCCTTTTCAAGCCTTTCCTGTTCCAGAACCTGCTGAGCATCCCAGACCCGCTTAATCTGCAAGGGCTGCAACACGGGCAGGATCTCTTCCGACCGAAGGACATCCATCACCAAACTCAGCTCCGCAATATCATACGGTTCTAAAAGAGTAGCGAACAAAAGGCAGTGTTAATAACAAGAACCAAGCATACTGAAAGTTCAGTAGTCAACAAAACAAGCAAGAAAAACAGGTCAAAGTACCATCGTCGGGAAAGATCTTGCTGATAACGGCACGGGGGGCAAAGACATAGTTGCGGATCTTTTCACAGAGGGCGGGGTCACCGATAGCAGCCTCGACCTCGGCAATCTCTTTCTTATACTCTGATACCTCCTCTTGCATGTTGCCCGAGAGGATTCGCTGCATGAGACTGCGACTGCCAAAGGGCTGGGCAAGGAAGAGGTCCATAATGCCCTTCATCATCGCCATAGGGTTCGAGATCTTTAGGATGCCCCACATGGTCCTGTAAGGTATCAAGAAATGAGTGCGCTTGAGCTGTGTAAGGTTGAGGGTTGCGTCGTCCGAGGATGTCAAGACATGGTACAGGGTAGACGCAAAGGACATGCAACCCCACTCAAAGACCGACTGGTACAGGGGCGGGAGGTCGTCGACGTTGTCAATGTGCTTGAAGGCACTAAAGAGTCGCGAGACACCACCCGGTTGCAAGAGATCCAGTTTGACCTCCTTCAATTGCGAATCTAGCTCGTCGACCTTCTTGGCCACCTCCCTATCAAACTTGGCCTGTTGCTCCATCCTGTGCTCGTCCAACGAAACTCGTATCTGAACATCTTTTGCTTCTTCCTCTGACAGGGCAAAGGCGTCCTTGGAGAGGAAACTGATGAACGCAGCAGAGTCAACAACTTCCTGGCTGACCTTGGCAATGTTATGAAGGTATCCTCGCAGGCTGATCCTATCCTTTTCCCGCGCCGTCTTGACGCCTGAGGACCCAGACTTGACGGGGTACTTTGATGGCGGTACTGGAATCATCAAGTTCGGGAACTTTTGCCTCAACTATCGTAACCAACGGGCAAATGAAGAAAAGGGTCACTTCGTGTTCGTTTGTCAACTGGCCAATTTCCCGCTAATTGCTTCTGCCACCCCCCCTCCCCCTTTTTTTAAATCAGAGTTCCTGCATGTGTTCTTTCTTTTAGACAAACAATGCTTACGTGGTGATAGAGTCTTCTGAATCGGCCGTGGCGTCGAGCGACGACATACTCCTGTCCGTCAGCGAACGCACTTGCAATGATGAACTCCTATTGTATTCATGACGAAGGAGTAAAAGAAAATAGGGTTAGTGGGCCGACACGCGGAGCATGTTTGCATCATGGCGCAGTTTAGGGTCGGTTGACAACGCAATGACGGAAGAAAGTTGCTGCTAGGATTTTGTCGTTGTCTCAAATGAGGAAAAGGAAAAAAGTAAAAAAATGTTTGGAGCCCACCACAAATCATTACGTGCGTGCAATTATGAACTTTTGGAGGGAGGGGATTATGAACAAATGAAGGGAGGGAACACAAAACATCAAAGAGGACCAAGGGAATAGCTTACGGCATGCTCGTGTTCTCGGACATGTCGTTTTTCCTTGACCGTCCGCACGCCAACAACATTCATACGAACTCCATGGATCGTGCTCGTGAAAACTGCAGGCGACACTGATCGGGATCTAGGCGTGTCTTGCCTTTCTTGTTGTTGGTCCAAATGGAGCTGATCCAAGCTACTACTGTGGCGTTCATGTTGCTCCTCCTCCTCCTGTTGGTGTTGATGTAATTTCTGTTCGGTAGCTAGTAGCTGCTCCTTTCTTGCAGTAAGATCCCGCTTCTCTTGTGCACGTTGCTCAACGGTCTTGATCGCCATACTGTACATAAGCACCAGTGTCTTCTCGCCCTTATTCTGAAGACGTTTCCTCCTCAACATCTCTTCCCGCTCAACTCCGTTTCCTGCCTCAATCTTGGCATACTCGTCCATAAACAGCTGCAGTTTCGGCCAGAGGGCACCTCGACTATTTGTGAGAAAGGGAAAGGGGACGACAATGGATTCAAAGAGGTAGCGGAGGAAAGGGGTTGTGGAATCGGCATGTTCGTCCTTGAGATCGAAGGGTCCTCCGAGATTGGGCAGGGTTTCGTAGGGATCCTTTTGGAGGAGGGCGAGTTCGTTGTTGATGAGGACTGTGAGGAGGTATTTTTTGACATAGTGCTCCTGACTTGTCGTTAGCAGTGGTGCTTGCAATTGAGTTTCTATAGAAGAGGGAGAGGGAGGGGAGAGAGTTGGTTTAATACAAAGGTCTTTGTTTGATACAGGAGTTCGTGTGTAGCGGATCGTTGCGTTTCATTTCCATACCAGACATGGTGAATATGTTGTCTGTGTGGTAGGTGCTAGTTTGTGGAGTTGAGTATCAGAATGGGTGGAAGTGAGAGGTAAATGGGGTGAATGAGTAAGTGAGCAGAGCGTGAGTCAATAGAGAGAGTGAGAGTGAGAGTGAGAGAGTGGAGTGGAATGAATGAATGTAAGGATGGGAAGGTGATGAAAAGTGAAAAGGAATGAGAAAGAAGCTGGGGCAAGAAAAAAAAAAAAAAAAAAAAAAAAAAGGAAGAGTGGCGAGTAGTACTGTAGTAGAGTGTGAATGTGAGCCAAAAAGTCGATAAGAATAACATTGCGTGTCTGCACAGTTTAACATACATTCTCCGCCTCGAACACACGAAATAAAGTCGCTTAAGCCAAGAAAAGCGCATGACTCTGATCGTCGTCGCTCTAATTACTCTAAAAAAAGTTTTCTAGGAAAAGGGGCTGAGGACCAGGCTGTGGCAAACACAGGAAAAAATAAATGCAACACGGCCAATCAAACGGGCACAACGGCAAATACGACGTCCATGCTCGACCCTGCAATACAGGAACGGTATCGATCATTCTTTATCTTCATTGTAGTACGTCTTCCTTGCGTGTTGTAACCATCACATTCAACTCTAGTCTTCTGTTTGTAAACCTCAGCTTTGTTGACATTTCTTGACCTTCGTCATGTCAAACTCGCGAATTTCTCTCCCTTGCCAAGTCTTTCAGTTTTTCTGCGGCGTTGTACCTCAAGACCACCCTTTTTGGGTAATGACTCTGACAACTAGGATAAGGCGCATCGACTCCTAGAATCCGCGCTTTGATCAAGCGATAGAGAGGCACCGATGTTAAAAGACTTTCAGTATCCCGTGCGGTGTTCGGTTTCAGATCGGTTGATGTCCGTTCGTTGTTGTTTCAGCTTGACGCGTCGAATTTGAGTTTGTTGGTCGATTGATTTCTGCATCCTGTGTGGCCATCCTTTCCTTGAAACCTGGCATATCGACTCTCCCGGTAATTGTTGAATAGTTATCGTTGTCGAATGCAAGAATAGCTTTGTCGACCTTGGGGTTTCGTCCGCTAATGTGTGCAACAGGTCGGCCATTATTGTTGATGCCTTTTTTTTTGGTGGACATCTATGCCTCATCGATCCATCACGAAAAGGAAGGACCGATAACAAACCCTTTGTACTTGATCATTGCAAGACGCGCGTAAGGTCAGCATAAAAAATTTAACAAGACAAGTCTTACCAATCTTCCTCACCACGATGCAACAAACCGCGCTTTCGATATGCCACTTTTTCCGAAGTTATTTCCTTTGACAGTCACAGACACTTGACAAACTCGGATATCAATCCCGCGTCTCCTCAGTCAACATGAAACGATTCGTTGCTCTCATGAAGTGCCAAGCCTCGTGTTAATACTTCCGTTCCTTTTATCGCCATTAACTTTTTTTCTCCCAACCTAACTTGAAGTTGACGTAAGAAAAAAAGGATGTTAGGCCTTGTTGATGACTACTATGTGTTCCACGCTAAAAAGAGAAGAAAAGAAAAGCAAAAAAATGGTCGTACCGAACACCAGGATGAACCATCTGAAGCCGTAGATGACCCCCTTTCACGCAACGTTTGGGGTTTGCGCGGGGATAGGGATTTCTGTTTTCTTCCACTCCATTTTGACAAAACTGTGAAGAGGGGATAAACGCGCCTTATTCAAAGTAAAAACCAAGGAGAGTGTTCTTTATGAACAACTAATAATGGGAGCTAGGGAATGGTGTGGGAGGTCAAAAAGAAAAAGGTATGTCGTGTCGATATTTTTTTTTCGTTCTTTCCCCCTTTCTTGTTCGCGGGGGGTGATGCTGACGAGGATGGGCATAGGACCCATTGTAGTGTTGTTATGGAAACGTGTGAATCCTTCTAAAGATTCTTTTTTTACATGACAAAGTAGAAAAGCCACCTGCTTGTCCCCACTCATGCACTATAAATGCTGTTCAGGGACAAGCTCATAATAAAAGAAACAACTTTACTCGTCATTTTCCTGAACAACATCTAGCGACACTTCACAGAGTTGCATCAACTAGGCGCATGTTTTCATTTTTTGCGGAATGGGTGATAGTATTAATCTGTTGATGACATGGGCAAACCGGTTTGTTGTGTGCGGTCCTAGAAGGGCGATCATCTCGGAACGGGGTGTGAATCGTCAAGTCCTCCATTGGAAGCATCCTCTGAACTCTGTCGGGTGGGAACATTAGGATCTGATAAGAACAAGAGGAATGCAAATTCAAACTGCGACTACATGGATTTCAGTAGACGGGATGGAATCCCCTCAATGATGCAAAAGGAAGTGGACCGTTTGTAACGTATGAAGCATGCCTGTCATGTCTAACTCTACAAGAAAGAAAAGAAAGTGGACGAATGTGGCAAAGTAAGACAATGCAGATGGTGATGGACATATCGTCCTTGATTAATGAATGTGGAGAAAAATGAAGGAACAAGCTGTCCACCATTGTTGTTCCTTCGACATCATGTTGCCTTCGTGCTTGACTGATGTGGCATCGCCCTCTCCCAGAAAAAGGGACAACGAAGGAAGATGGTGGACTCCATTCGGATAAAAGGTAGGACCGGTCGAATGGGTCAATGATGACTATAAAGAGGAGGCTCGAGAGCGCCTTGTTTGCATGCTTCTTGTTCTGGGCCAAAAAAAAAAAAGTTGAAAAGACGACTTCTTGCTTCTTTTTCTGTTGCGAGATTGAGATTTTGTGCCAACTCTAATTTGTTAAAACAAATACACAAAACAACACACAAACAAACACATAAAACAAAAACACAAGCAACAAACAAACACAAGCAAGCAAGAACAACAACACATTGACACCATCCTTGGTACAGAACAGAGCCCAGGCCAAAGTCGATTAAGGTCAGAAGCAAACAAGGAGAGAACGATCGTTGTCGCCTTCCTGCCGATCTTTCCCTTTCTACCTTGACTTTGAGGATGCCATCGACATAAACCAGTTGCCTTTACCCGCGATGAAAGTACCTCGTTGTTGAAGAGAAGAAGTAGAGTACCGAGAGAGGTAGAGAAGGAACGATCGGGAGTTGAATTCAATTCGACGCCTCTTTTTTGTATTCTTCTGACACCGGAGATTATTTTACTGTTTTCAACCATTCCAAATGGAGGGGAGGAGAGAGAGTTTTGATGTTCCTGAATCATGTCACCCTCTTCTCTCTCACCCGTTTTTTGTTTGTTTGTTTGTTCTTTCCGTCCCCACTTTCTCCTTTCCGTCCCACTTCCTTCCTTCCATCCTCACTTCTTTTCAAGAGATTCTATACAAGAGAGAAAGAGCGGATAATCAACATGCGACAAGTGCCAGTTCGCACTCCGAATGCAACAAATTTGTCACTCTTGTGCATAAATACCCCTGAGATACAACCACTCCAACCTTTCCCCTCTTCCTAACTGCTTCGATTGTTTTCCTCACGCCCACTCTTCTTCATCCTTTTCCTTCTTTGCCTTTCCTTCTTTGCCTTTCCTTCTCCGCGTTCCTCCCACCCCTGCCCCTCCTCTCCATTCAGATTCCACTCCTCCTCATTCGTGTCGGCCCCATCTCTATTCCTCACGACTCGACTTTAACCACCCCCACCTCGAACACCACAGTAATACACACGATACAATGGCAGAGGATAGGGCGAATGCGTTACAAGTGGCAGAGAAGGGAAAGCTCGAGGCAGAACACCTCCATAGCATCGATTCAGTCCCCACTATTGTCGACGGCAAGATCGAGGAGACAGGAAAGGCAGAGGTCCTCCCTGTTGGATATGTGGATCAAAGCCGTGTCCTGCCCCCTAAAGAATTGGCCTTGGTGTTTGTCGCGTAAGGCCCGCGCATCCCCTTCGTTGACTTTGTTTTTGTTTTTCAGGAACGACGGATAGCTGACGGCACTTCTTTTTTCGTACCCATTGTCGACAACCATGTAGGTTAATGATAGGTAAGACGACCCTTCTTCAACTTGTCGCGTATTTGTCGTTTGGGAACACGGAACTCAGTTCGCTTCACTAACTCATTTCCTTTAACTACCTTCAAGTTATCTTTCTGGCTTCACTTGACCAGACAATCGTTTCTGTGCTTATCCCTGCACTTGGAAAGACATTCAATGCTCCTCAGTATATCGCATGGGTTGGTACAAGTTATCTTCTCACTAACACAGCTACCCAGCCTCTGTACGGCAAGCTAAGCGACATCTTTGGAAGGTAAGCATCCAGTCGCAAGCCGTTATGGCTGACGAGAGTTGCAGCTCTCCTTGAGTCGGATCGAGTCCGCAAGAAAAATCACCAAGGTGTTCAAAGAGCAGTCACGTATTGGCTCCTTAACATGTTTGTTCACATCTCGACCCTCACATATTGCCCTTTGTAGGAAGAGTACCATTATCGCCGCGATCTTCTTGTTCCTTGTTGGTTCTTTAATCTGTGGTGTTGCTCCAAGTATGGACGTTCTCATCTTTGGGTAAGAATGACATATGGGGTCATATTGTGTATTCTATAGAAGGATTTCTGCAATGCTCGTACCTTCCCATGCATGTTCTATCGTTTTAAAGTCTTCATTGTTTATTGACATTGCTTCTCGTCTATTTCTTACTGTAAAAGGAGGGCGCTCAGTGGGTCTGGTGCAGGCGGAATGATTAGTTTGACGATGATTATTATCTCGGATGTCGTGTCGATGCGCGAGCGCGGGTGAGTTTTTCATCAAGACAAAATCCCGTTTGGACGATCAAAAGACGGAGTATCGCGTATCACAACTAACATATCCTATTGGGGTTATAGAAAGTACCAAGGAATCATTGGATCGATGTTTGGACTGTCGTCGGTGATTGGACCGCTTCTCGGGGGCGTACTCGCTGAAAAGTCTACGTGGCGCTGGGGTTTCTACATTAACCTGCCACTTGGAGCTTTCGGGACAGCCATCATCATCTGGATCCTTAGACTCCCGGCCGTTAAAGGCACTCGTCAGGATAAGTTGAAGCGTATTGACTTTCTTGGATCGTTCACCATCGTGGTTGGTATCGTCTGTATTCTCCTTTCGACCAACTGGGGCGGTAACGAGTATGCTTGGAACAGCGTCCAGATCATTGTTCCATATGTCGTCGGAGGCTTGTTCTTGCTCGCTTTCCTCTTTGTAGAGGCCAAGATCGCTGTCGAGCCAATCATGCCTTTCAGACTTTTCAAGAACCAAAGTGTGTCGGCTGCCTATGCTACCTCTTTCTTCATTGGAGGGTAAGCATCTCGCTGATTGTTGTGATGTCTTACTGAGACCAAGAAGGTTCTTCTTCCCTGTGCGATCACTGATCAAAATTCATTTTCTGATCATTCTCTATTTTAGAGCATTCATGGGCGCCATTTTCTACTGTCCTCTCTACTTCCAAATGGTCATGCACTTCAATGCGACCAAGGCAGGAATTCACATCTTGCCAATGGTAGCTGGAATGTTGTTCGGAGGTATCGGTGGAGGTGTCGCAGTCAGCAAAACTGGTCGCTACCGTCCTTTCATTTGGGGTGCCTTGATAATCTACACCACGGGAATCGCACTGTTATCGCTTTGGGACGAGAACTCGGGATTGGGAGTTCAGATTGGATTCCTCTTCCTTGTCGGCCTCGGACTCGGTGGATGCATGCAGAATATTGTGTAGGTGTCACTGTCATATCAGGCGTGTATCGTTGACGTTCATGATATGTACGATATACCTGTATCTTTGATGTTGCGCTGACGTTATTCCTTTTGTCTTCATTAATAGCCTGGCGGGACAGTGTGCGGTCTCACAGGCTGATATCGCCACGGTCACCTCCCTGATGTCATTCTTCAGGAGCATGGGTGGCGTCGTCTGTGTCGCCATTGGAGGCTCCTTGATCAACAATATTCTGACTAAGAATGGGGTCGATCCCAACAATTTTGCTGTTATCATGGAGCACCCCGAGATCTACGCCAAGGCCATCCAAACCATTTTCCGGCAATGTAAAGCATCACTTCTTTTTTTCATTTGCCTCTGCTCGTGTTGCACATTTGATTCTCAGTCCACTAAATCGCTCTTCTTTTTCATGAAATAGGCATTGCATGGCCAGTTCTGGCTTTCATCTCTGCGTTATTCTTGAAGCACCACGTACTCCGTAAGACTGTGAGAGAAGAAACCGCCGGAGAGGCATAAAAAGGAAGGATCCAGGCAGACACATCTATCCTCCTTTTCATTCTCCCCTGCTTCTACTCTTGCGTCACGAGAAGAATAAGCCAAACAAAAAGACCCTTTATCTACTTAATATCCCCGCGAACATGTCATCCTAATACAACAACAACTAGCACTCATTATCTCCGACCGAGTCGTACTTTTTATGCGTGAAAATGAGAAAAAGTTTGAGGGATGACATGTACTAAAACATCGGCTGGATGGGTCTCTTTGTAAGGACAAAGAAAAACAAACGAGAGGGAAAACATAGTCGTAAGAGAAAGAGAATGAAAGAGGAAGGGGAAGGCTCATGTAGTGAGTGGGTAAGGTCGCCTACTCCTTGAAAATTTAAAAGAACGCGACTTTTTCTCAAAAGGAAAAAGTTCATTAGTTGGGGTTGGAATGTTCACAGGCGCGCGTGGCGACAAAGGGCTAAGCCCAACTACCAAGTAGCATAGTTTTGCCAGACAGCTTAGTCATAGATAGAAACTGATAGAGCTCGTATCCACTTTGCGTAGTTTGGAGAGTGAACGTAAACCACTACGACGCAGGTGGGTGACTTGAGGTGTTGCTGATTACAATTCGGCCAACCGCTAAAGAAGAGGTTGCTTGATTGGATGTGATCTCTCCCTCCCCCTTCTGAAGACCGTGTTACTACCTAACTGTCGCACAGCGCATGGCACCGCAGGACCGGCTCTACAAACCAAAGAGGTCGACGGGTCGAAAGTAAATATAAACGACTTTGTGTGATGACTGAGTGCAGCACAACAACGACAGAAAGGGCTCACTTCCATGCATCGGCTCCTGGAAACCATGCCTTTTGTGTATCATTATTTTTATTTGATTTGTTTTGTGTAAAGCGACTCTGCGAGAGAGGCCTGAGAACAAAAAAAAAAAGGAGGTTCATTCGTGGCACATACAAACCTGTCATCCATGGTCCAATGTTGATGTGTCTTTCTCCTTGAAAAGGTGAGAGAGAGAAAAGAGAGGGAGAGAAATAAAAAAAGTAATACATCGCGTCTGTCTCCTTACAAGACGAGAGAGGAGCCTTTTGCACGGAGATCATAAAGTCCCTTGTTTGTGGCCCTTTTAGTTCTCAGACGCCACTATCATCCCAGGTTTCCTTGTGTGTTGTTGTCGTCAAAGGAAACAAAGACGAAGAGGGTGATAACCCGCGGCGGCCTGGCTGGAGCAGGATCCTTAAAGTCGATATCTCGTTTAGAGCCAGGTTTGTGATATCTCCCTCTCTTCTCTAACTATCTCCCTCTCTTTCGTTCTTTCAACACTCAATCTCAATTGTTCTCACTCCCTCCGACCTGTATCTCTTTCTCATCTTCACTTCTTGTCGTCTATTTGTCTCTTTTCGCCTCTTCCTCATAGCAACCCCCTTCGCTAATTCTCATATACAAGTCGCCCTTGAGCGAAAAAGACCAGGAAAAAAAACTATATATAAAGCCTCCACCAGGTTGGGCCTCTTCCCCTCCCACATCCATTCAAGATCCTCCCTTGCACCCTTTCTCCTTCTCATTTACACTTATTCTCCCTCACATACACTCTTCTCTCCTCCACCCAAAAAGCCTCACCCATCCTCAACCTTATCTTTCGCACTCCAATACACTCCCATCATGATCTTTTCAAAGACTGTCGCAACCCTCGCCACTCTGGGATCGATGATGGCCCTCGCCCAGGCCGACATGCTGTCGCTCTCCAACCCAACCAGCGGCACCACCTGGAAGGTCGGCGACACAGTGTTCTTGCAGTGGAAGGGCAACTGTGCTTCGATGGGCAGCCCCGCCGCCAAGACAGTCGACGTGAACCTGATGTCAGGACCCTCAACCGCGCTGCGTTTTGTCGCCAAGCTGGCCTCGATCGACTGCTCCAACACCAACACCCGCAAGGAGTTCACTATTCCCGCAGATCTGGCCAAGCTTGTGAAAGAGGACGACGATTACTCGCTCCAGGTCCAGACAGAGCCCCAACCCTCGTACTCGCCTACGTTCAAGATTACGACTGGTGATGGATCTGTTGCTGTTGGTGCTGACGCCAATGGAGGAGAGACGGTTGCGGCAGGAGCTGACCCTGCTTCGCACACGAGCGGTGCTGCGGGCGCTGCCTCGCCTATCAAGAACGGAGGCTCGATGGCTACTGGTGCTGCAGTTGCACTTGCTGCCGTTCTTGTGGCTGCCCAGCTCCTTTGAGCACAGCACACTGCTGTAGCGAGTAGTGAGCCCATTTTTACATCTTTCATACCCATGCCTTTACATCCTATCTAGTCGTCTATTCAAAGCATAGTCATTCAAACATTAAAGAACTTCTAATTGAAAGCCCCTCTCTAGGTTACTAGTCGCGAATCGAAAAAAAGACAGTGACGTCACACCCTAAATTTTTGATGTTTATCCTCCGCTGGAGGTTGAAGGCACAGTGAAAGAACGCACCCCGCCCTAAATCAGCCTCGCCTCCTCTTCAGATACATATTTTGCTTCTTTTTTTTCCATTCATATCCCTCTTCACACATCCTTCTCTTTTCACTTTTCATCCTCCCCCCCCTCTTCATCCTCGCCTTCCCTTTCATCACACACACTCACACCTCCCCTCCCCTCCCCATCAAACACAACAGGAAACGTACAACTGTTGTCTGGTTAATCAACAACCAAGAAAGAAAAAAAACCTGATCAACAGACACCTGTAAGCAACAGCAACAACTACAACACCAAGATCAGCATTACATCAGCTCCACCAACACGACCTAACTCGAGCACTGTCGTTATCACTTTTAGGCTCAACACCCGAGATCGTCTTTTGTCTGCCGTGCCCACGTCAAGCCCTGTCTGCCTCCTAATCTCGTCTGGATTGCGCATCGTAAGGCAATTTACAAAAACGGTGGCGCGTTTCGAGAAACCTTTTTCTTCACAAGCGTGATATTCGATCATCTAACCATTTTATTTACTGTTGTATTACTCCTACTTGTAGACAGTTCGCGGTTTCTGGTCAACTCAACAAAACACCACCCATCCAGAACCTCGTTTTCGGATTGTACTTTTTTCTTCTTTTTTTTGTATTTTACTCTGTCGATAAAAGTAAGTGACATATCATACCTAGATCAGATCGAGACTGCGCTTAGAACACACAGATACAGTCAGCCACTCTGCCGATTAAGAAGCCTAACCACCACCAAAACCTCCCTCCCTCAACCTAATAGCGTCAACATGGCCGATAAAGTAGCCAAGGACCAGCAATACCAGTATGCGCTCAACTCCAACTTGGTGCTCCACTCAAATCGGTCCGACAACCCACGCAGAGGAAATGAACCCACAGGAGAGGCCGAGTCCCTGTACGGTCGCATTGACCCCAAGGAGTTTGGTAGCAGAGCAATGAGAGACACAGCCAAGGTCGACGAGGCTAAAAAGAAAAAGTCCGAGCCTACCGAGAAGGACTTGGAGAGGCGCAAGAAGCGAGCAGAAGACAAGGCCCTCCGGAGCGCCTATGGCTACTCTTCCGTCTTGGCGGCTACAGAGGATCGCGAGAGCGGTGGATACAGACCCAGGACGAGGGAAACACGACAGACCTACGAGCTGATCCTGACATTTGTCCAGCGTTATCTCGGAGACGTCGCACATGATATCGTCCGGAGTGCTGGTGACATTGTCCTGGAGATCCTTCATACCGACACCCTCAAGGATTTCGACAAGAAGAAGGGCGTCGAGGACGTTCTGGGTCCCGTCGACTCGGATCAGTTTTCGGTCCTTCTCAACCTCGGCAAAAAGATCACTGACTATGCACCGGGCACCGAGGAGACGAGCGCCGTTGGCCAGGACGGAGAGGTCAAGAACGTTGGCGATATCGACGAACAATACGGAGTCGCTGTTGTCTTTGACGAGGAGGAGGAGGATGAGGACATCTACTCCCTTCACTCTGAGTCTGAACACGAGGACGAGGACGCTGGTCTGGATACTGCTCAGGATGTGGTCGTTGGCGGCGCAGGAAAGGCCAATCAGGAGGAAGAGGAAGCTATGGAAGTCGACGAGGATGTTGCTGTCCGCGTTGGAGCAACAGAGGGCAAGGTCGACACATCAAAGAAGCTGCAGCCTCACCAGGTCGACGCCTACTGGTTGCAGCGTTTCATCGCCACATTCTACAAGGACGAGATTGTTGCTCAGGAAAAGACCGATGCCGCGATGGAGATCATTGCCTCCGAGACAATCAACATGCGCGACTGCGAGAACGAGTTGATGGCTTTGTTCGACTATGACAAGTTCGAGCTCGTTAGCATGCTCACCAGGAACCGCGAGGTCATCGTCTGGTGCACACGCCTCGGAAAGGCCAGCGAGCAGGAGCGTACAGAGATCGAGGGCATGATGAGAGATATCGGACTGGACTGGATCATCAAGGGCTTGGGCCATCAGACCGGCAAGAAGTCCGACTTGCGTCGCCGTGGCGCAGGACAGGCTCCTACTGCTGCTGGGCCTACCGCCGTTTTGCCCAAGGAGAAGGGACCCGCCCCTACCACCTCTGCCCCTCGTCAGCTGATCGACTTGGATTCTATGGCCTTTGCTCAGGGCTCGCATTTGATGTCCAACAAGAGCGTGCATGTTCCCGAAGGATCCTTCCGTCGCCAGAAGAAGGGATACGAGGAAGTTCACGTCCCACAGCCCAAGAAGCCCACAACCGACCGTCCCCTCAAGGGCAAGGACGAGCTTCCAGTATGGATCCAGGATTGCTTCCCCCATGGATTGAACCAGATCCAGACTGCCGTCTACGATGTCGCCTATGGCTCTGAAGAGAACATGTTGCTGTGTGCCCCCACTGGAGCTGGTAAAACCAACTGTGCCATGCTCACAGTCTTGAACGAGATCGAGAAGCATCGCGACCCAGACACTGGAGTGATTGACAAGGACAACTTCAAGGTCGTCTACATTGCCCCCATGAAGGCCTTGGTCCAGGAAATGGTCGAGAACTTTGGCAAGCGTCTGGCGCCCTTTGGACTCTCGGTTCAGGAGTTGACAGGTGATCGCCAGATGAACAAGCAGCAGATCGCCGAGACCCAGATGATCGTCACCACCCCCGAAAAGTGGGACATTATTACCCGCAAGGCCACCGACAGGAGCTACACCAACTTGGTCCGCCTCATCATCATCGATGAGATTCATTTGCTGCACGACGACCGTGGTCCCGTTCTGGAGTCGATTGTCGCCCGTACTTTGCGCCACATGGAGCAGTCTCAGGAGTTGATCCGTTTGGTTGGTCTTTCCGCTACGCTTCCCAACTATGTCGACGTCGCCACTTTCCTGCGTGTCGACACCAACCGCGGAATGTTCCACTTTGACAGCACCTGGAGACCTTGCCCCTTGAAGCAAGAGTTCATCGGTATCACGGAGAAGAAGGCCATCAAGCGTTTCCAGGTCATGAACGAGGTCACCTACGAAAAAGTTATGGAGCACGTCGTCCAACCCGAGGGCGACCAGGTCCTGATCTTTGTCCACTCTCGCAAGGAGACCGCTAAGACCGCCCAGGCCATTCGCGACATGGCTTTGGAGAAGGATACGATCGCCCATTTCGCCAGACCCGACGGTGGTGCCCGAGAGATTCTGTTGTCGGAAGCTGAGCAAGCGTCCGACCCAGCCTTGAAGGACATCCTCCCTTACGGTTTTGCTACCCATCACGCCGGTATGACCCGCCCTGATCGTGAGGCCGTCGAGGAACTTTTCATGGCTGGCCACATCAAGGTTCTTGTCTCGACCGCCACCTTGGCTTGGGGAGTCAACTTGCCCGCTCACACTGTCATCATAAAGGGAACTCAGGTCTACTCGCCCGAGAAGGGTCGCTGGGCCGAGCTGTCTCCTCAGGATGTCCTCCAGATGTTGGGACGTGCCGGTCGTCCCCAGTTCGACGAATTTGGTGAGGGTATTATTATCACCAACCACTCTGAGCTTCAGTACTACTTGTCATTGATGAACCAGCAGCTTCCCATCGAGTCCCAGTTCGTCACCAAGCTTGCCGACAACCTGAACGCTGAAATCGTCCTCGGAACCATCAAGAATCGCGACGAGGCCGTCCAGTGGCTTGGATACACCTACCTCTATGTCCGCATGCTCCGCAACCCATCCCTGTATGGCGTTTCTCCCGACGACCTCGACGATGACCCTTACCTGCAAAAGAAGCGCGTCGACATTATTCACTCTGCGGCAACTATTCTGGACAAGTGCAACATGATCAAGTACGACAAGCGCACAGGAAAGTTCCAGGGCACTGAGCTCGGACGCATTGCCTCGCACTACTACATATCGCACAACTCCATGGCCACTTACAACCAGCACTTGAAGCCCATGATGTCGCACATTGAGCTCTTCCGCGTCTTCTCGCTCAGTGACGAGTTCAAGTATATCCCGGTCCGTGAGGAGGAGAAGGCTGAGCTACAGAAGTGGCTCGAGCAGGTCCCCGTCCCTGTCAAGGAGAGCATCGAGGAGCCCACCGCCAAGATCAACGTCCTGTTGCAATCGTACATTTCGCAGCTCAAGCTGGAGGGATTCGCCTTGGTCAGCGACATGGTTTATGTCACCCAGAGCAGCGGTCGTATCCTGCGCGCTATCTTTGAGATTTGTCTCCGTCGCGGATGGGCACAGCTCACACGCAAGGCATTGGATCTCTGCAAGATGGTGGAGAAGCGTCAGTGGCTCTCAATGACCCCCCTGCGTCAGTTCAAGGGAATCAACCCAGAGCTGATCAAGAAGATTGAGCGCAAGGAGTTTGAGTGGGTCCGCTACTTTGACCTCTCCTCCCAGGAGATTGGCGAGCTCGTCGGTGTCCCCAAGGCCGGCAAGCTTCTCGAGCGCTACGTCCACGAGTTCCCCAAGCTGGATCTCCAGTCCCACGTCCAGCCCCTGACCCGCTCGATCCTCAAGGTTGAGCTCACGATCACGCCCGACTTCAAGTGGGACGAGAAGGTGCACGGAACAGCTGAGGCATTTTGGATTTTGGTCGAGGATGTCGACGGCGAGATGATCTTACATCAGGAGTCCTTCATTTTGAAGCAGCAGTACGCCGAGGAAGAGCACCTGATGACCTTCACCGTCCCTCTGTTCGACCCTCTCCCTCCCAACTACTTTGTCAGCATCGTTTCCGACCGCTGGCTTCACTCGGAGACCCGTTTTCCCATCTCGTTCAAGCATTTGATCTTGCCCGAGAAGTACCCTCCCCACACCGAACTCTTGGACCTCCAGTCTCTTCCCGTCACCGCCCTGCGTAACCGTGAGTTTGAGGAGATCTTTTCCCAGACCCTCAGCAAGTTCAACCCCATCCAGACCCAGACCTTCAACACCCTCTACACCCTCGACGACAACGTCTTTGTGGGTGCCCCCACCGGATCTGGCAAGACCATTTGCGCCGAGTTTGCCATGATGCGTCAGTGGAACAAGAAGCCTGTCAAGGGAGTCAGGGGTCGCATCGTCTACATTGCACCCCACCAGGAGGTTGTCGATGTACGTCGTCAGGAGTGGCACGCCAAGTTTGGAGACGTTCAGGGAGGCAAGACGATTTTGTCATTGACTGGAGAGACCAGCGCAGATTTGAAGATTCTCGAGCGCGGCGATGTTATCTTGGCTACCCCTGGTCAATGGGACGTGATCTCTCGTCGTTGGAAGCAGCGCAAGAACGTTCAGACTGTCCAGCTCTTTATTGCCGACGAGTTGCACATGATCGGAGGAGATATTGGCCCTACCTACGAGGTCATCGTTTCCAGGATGCGTTACATCGCCTCGCAAGTCGAGAGCAAGATCCGCATTGTCGCTTTGAGCACATCGCTGGCCAACGCTCGCGACCTCGGCGAGTGGATCGGAGCCACCAGCCACTCTGTGTTCAACTTCCACCCCATGGTCCGCCCTCTTCCTTTGGATGTCCATATCCAGAGCTACACCATCCCTCACTTTGCCTCCTGGATGATCGCCATGGCCAAGCCTACCTATACCGCCATTACTACACATTCGCCCGAGAAACCTGTCATTGTGTTTGTGCCCTCAAGGAAGCAGTGCCGCCTCACTGTCACGGAGCTGTTGACCCTCTGTGCTGCAGATGACACACCTAAGCGCTTCCTTCACTGCGAGGAGGATGTTTTGAAACCACATCTGGAGCACGTTCAGGATTCGGCTTTGGCGTCTGCACTGGAGCACGGAATCGGATTCTTCCATGAGGCTCTGAGCAAGGGTGACAAACGCGTGGTGGAGAAGCTGTTCGAGTCGGGTGCTATCCAGGTCGTTGTTGCTTCAAGAGACACATGCTGGGGCATTCCTTTGAGCTCGTACATGGTTGTTGTTATGGGAACTCAGTATTATGACGGCAAGGACCATCGCTATGCCGACTACCCTACCACGGACGTTCTCCAGATGATGGGCCGTGCCTGCCGCCCTCAGGATGACGAGTCGAGCCGCTGTGTCCTCATGTGCCAGTCCAACAGGAAGGAGTTTTACAAGAAGTTCTTGTTCGAGGCCTTGCCCGTGGAGTCGCACTTGGATCACTTCTTGCACGACCACTTCAACGCCGAGATTGTGACCAAGACGATCGAGAACAAGCAGGATGCCGTCGACTATCTCACATGGACCTTCCTTTACAGACGTATGGCCCAGAACCCCAACTACTACAACCTCCAGGGCGTGACACATCGTCATTTGTCGGACCACTTGTCGGAGCTGGTGGAGACGACGATCAATGATTTGGTCACCTCCAAGTGCATTGCGATCGAGGACGAGATGGACGTGTCGCCGCTGAACCTGGGTATGATTGCCGCCTACTACAACATCAACTTTTCAACGGTCGAATTATTCAGCTCCAGTTTGACACCCACGACCAAGCTAAAGGGACTGTTGGAGATCATTTCGACTGCCGCCGAGTACGAGTCGATCCCTATCCGCCACCACGAGGACCAGGTCTTGAAGCGCGTATATGAGCGTCTCCCCGTCAAGTTGAGCAACGTCAAGTTCAACAGCCCGCACCACAAGGCCAACATTTTGTTGCAGGCACACTTCTCCCGTACCCAGTTGCCTGCAGATCTGGCTTCGGACCAGGCGTTGGTTGTAGGCCAGGTGATTCCTCTGTTGCAGGCTTGCGTGGATGTCATTTCGTCGAACGGATGGTTGCCACCCGCATTGGCGGCTATGGAGTTGGCGCAGATGAGCGTACAGGCGATGTGGGATCGGGATTCGCCCCTGAAGCAGATCCCTTACATGACCAACGAGCGTGTTAAACGTTGTGAGGCCAAGGGAGTCGAGTCAGTGTTTGATATCCAGGATCTGGAGGATAAGGATCGTGACGCTGCTCTTCAGGTGGATGAGCGCCAGATGCGTGCTATTGCAGCATTCGTCAACCGGTACCCCAGCGTTGAGGTGGAGTATGGCATTGAGGACGAGAACGATATCAAGGCTGGCCAGCCTGTTGTGATTGAGGTTCAACTGGAGCGTGATGGCGATGAGGATGATGGCGAGTTGAGCAGCGTACCGGCACCGTTCTTCCCCGGAAAGAAGGACGAGGGTTGGTGGATTGTTGTCGGTGATCCCTCGACCAAGACACTGTTGGCGATCAAGAGGATTACGCTGCAGCGCAAGCTGAGGGTGAAGCTGGAGTTTGTGTGCCCCCGTGCGGGTAACCAGACCTACAAGCTGTACACGATGTGCGACAGTTTCCTTGGATGCGATCAGGAGTTTGATCTTGAGCTGGAGGTTGGTGAGGCTGAGGAGGACAGCGACGAGGAGGACGAGGAGGACTCTGATGTCGAGATGCAGGAGTAGTTGAACGTGCGAGCTCTATACGACTGACTGTAGGAAATACTAGTACGAATACACACATTTATTTGATATCTTTACTTTGTTGACATGTCCAATGGATTGCTTTGCCGTGCAAGGTCTCGATCAAGGGTAAACCGCGCTGCACGTGTGTGACAGGGTCGGGACGGGTTTATGAGTGAAGCAATTGATTGAGCGTGAAAGTTTCGGCTGGAGCACAAGGAAGTGGGGAACGAATGACAAGAAAAAGGGAGTGGCGCATGGTTCAACTGGCGAGAGAGCCTTCTGCATTCTTTTCTTTCTTTCTTTCGCTCTTCACTTCTCATTCATTCATTCACTCATTCTTTCTTGCTTTCATTAACCAGCTCAACACTACACGCTTGTCCTTTATTCCCTATCGTCTTCACTCGTCAAAGATACCTCTTTTCAACTCACACCAACAATCCTTCTTCCCTTTCAAAGTTGGCCACGCTACCACATACCAGCAACCACAACCATCAGTTGAACAAAAAAAAGTAAAAGAACAACCAGGACACAGCAACATGCCAGCAGTGACCCCATTGGCACTCTACCGCAAGGCAAACCTCGGTCGACTGGCCAGAGAGATTGTCAGAGGCATCCCTGCCGGTCTGGTCATTTCGCTGAATGCCTGGGGTAAGTCTTGTTGAAGAACCTAATTTTTGTTTATTCGCTTTAGCAAACATTCTTTACTTGAAAAGGGGATCTTGTTTTGTACGTCCTCTGGTTTTGTGAGGCCGCCCCCTCAAAAGAAAACAAGAGCCTAGACAAAAAATACTGATTTACCAATGCTTTCTTTCTCTCTGTTTCTCATTGATAGCGGTCTCTGCATGGCTCAAAGGTAAGAAGAGTGTTGCATGAATTCCTCCCACAACCCACAAAAGAAAACAGGACAAAAGGGGGGTGGAACGAAAGACAGGAAAAACAAACTTCTGGGGTTGATCCAATTTTTTTTGGCAGCATTGCCTATTGTCGTTACTGCTGAGTGTTCAGCGCTGCAGGTGTTTTCGTTACTGTTCAATTGCATCTAACGCATCCCATCTTCCTTATGTTCCTTCAATCACAGCAACCATCCTTATCAACTCACAACCAAGATGGCTCTTCCGCAAGAAGCGATGGAGTGAAGGCGAGATGCGCGCCATCAGCTGTTATTACCTGGTCATTGCCTACATGATGCTCCGCGTCGTCCGTTTGACCTCGACCTTGACCAAATGCCCCGGTCGGCCCTATGGAGATTTCTTCCGCAATACACGGCCCATCCTCGGTCAGATCGCCATATTTTCAATTGCCACGATGCTGACGGACGAGTTTGTGATGTTCTATATCCTCCGGAAGTTTGGGCTCGAGAAACGTCGCATCCTGATCACTGGTCGGCCGCTGGACAAGGAGATCGAAGTCACGGACGACGACTGCTGTATCTGCTACGGAGCCATGCTGGACGATGACGAGGACGGGATGGATCTGAGCGAACACAGCAACAACAACAATGGCAGGCATAGTCATGGAGTAGGAATTAACAAGGACACTGATCATGTCCTCGAGAACTTTTGTGTGGTCAAACAGCATGTCGCTCATCGGGGCTGTATTCGCAAGTGGTACAACTATGGACCCCAGGGATACCGACCCATGGAGGCGTTCAGGATCTTGAGTTGGGGGACGACGATTCATGGAGCAGTTGCGGGAATGAACACGACGCGGGCTGTCGGCAATCGGATTGGACTCGGCTGGTTGATGTCCCTCCCGACAACAACTGCGACGACGACAACAACGACGACGACGACGAGGACTGTCCCCTTTGTTCCTACTATCGATGGAGTTGCAGTAACGACTCTTCCCGGCACTCCAGCAACAAGAATTACAACAACAACAACAACAAACAATGCGAACGAGCCAGCCGAGCATGATCAGATTCATGCGGAGGAGCCACTATATCCCAATCAACAAACAACGGGAGAGTTGCACACACAAACACAAACACGAACGCAAACACAAACACAAACACAGCCGCTCCCACACCAGCCGATCCAACAACAACAGCTGGATCAGCAACAACAACAACAATATCACCATCATCAACATGAATCGACACACCCGGTAGATGTCGCAGAACCCGTACTCCGCCCCATGTTCACGACACCACCGACCGAAGAATACAACCAGAACGCGGGTCGGAAGACCTGCCCAGCCTGTCGTCAACAACTGGTCCTCAACTTTGTCGATCTGGCGAAAGGACGCAAGGAGATGGGGTGGACACAGAAGCTGGTCGAGCTGGGTCGGGATATGACAAAGTTTTCGGACTGGCGTGGGTTGGTGCTGAGGAGTCTTATCACAGCAGGATGGGTTGGAGTGACGATTGTGGGGGGTAAACTTCGGATTGTGGCAATGGATAAGGCAATTGTGCGGCATCAAAAGAACCGTGCTTTGGCCACCCTCTCAGCGCTTGCTGAGTCGTCTTAGAAGGTGCATTAAGAGGACCTTTTGCCTATCTGCTCCTCCTATTCTTCCCGTTCTTTCCCTCCCCCAGTTTTTCTTGCAATGTTCCTCACGTATAAATAAATAAATAAATACGTTTAATTCCATGTTTGTGCGATGCTAGAAGTGTATTGGGGAAGAGAAAAAAGGAGCATTGGGCACATTGGATAAATGGGAACTCGTAGACAGGCGGTAATGCAGATTGTACGGTTTAAGGAGGAACACAGTTGCGAAACGGGAATTCGAGCTGAGTAAGCATCAATGACGGATTCAGGGACAATCCCGCTCCGAACACTTTAAAGAAGACGGACAGCACTATCATGGGAAGTAGAGGCACGTTATTTTTTTTCACTTGATAGTTGTGATTGGAAATAACGTAGCCATCGAGAGATCTCAGGAACAAAGGAACAAGAGAGAAAAGGCATACATCTTGAACTTTTTTGGACACGACCGGACCAGAGCACAAAGAAAAAACAAAAAGAGGGGAGGAATGACAAATATTGCTCTTTTCGACTCCAAAGAAAAGGAAAAGAAGGAAAATAAAAACACTTGTGTTCATGTATTGGGCAAAGGAGGAAAAAGTGCTCTCAACATTAAAGACCATGTGTGTGTGAGAAACACAGAACGAGGGGGACAAAGAGAGATGGGATTGGGTTCTGAGGGTGCCTTTGTGTGTGAGCAAAATGGTGCTGTCCGCTAGTTGGGCTAATAAAAAAACTAGACTAATAAGGCGAAGGAAGCAAGGAAAAAGACTGATATGCAAAAAGTCGAAGGCTGGAGCCCTGGTATGAAGAAAAGTATGATACCAAGGAAACAAGAAGGATAAGTTGAAAACAGCGAGGCAGTGTGTGCAAGTATATGACATAGTCTTTGAAGAACAGGAGAGAGTCATACAGGTCGAGTCGAGTCGTGGCAATGAGGATTTCTCATTTGTCCCTTTTGCCCATTTGTTCATTTCTTCATTCGTTCTTTCGTTCATTCGGACCTCCACTCCCTCATCACTCTTCCGAGGGTATAACTAGAGTCTCCTTCCCCCTCCTCTGTTTTTCATTTTCTTCACTTTCCTTCCTTCCTTCACCCACTCTCCTGACCAACTCAATCTTTCCTTCCCCCTATTATTATTTTAAGACCTTCAAAACCACGCTGGACAACAACCCCCGATCTTCATCACTCAGGAACCATCAGTTAATTCAGGAACAATCAATCAAAGAAAAAGATAACGAAAAATGTCAAAGAGATCGTTCGAACCGAACTGTATGACGAGCGACGGAACGACATTCTACGCCCACGCAACCTTCAGTTTAGGATCCGGCAACACCGGCAGAACCATAGTCATCGCCAAATCAAACACCAACCCAGCCTCCTTTTCCGATGTCACCTGGTCCATCTATGCAACCGTCTCGGAGGCCGATATGGGAACATATCTCCAAGGAATGAACATTTTGAAGGCCATGCTCTGCTCCGTCGACAGTCAAGGCGTCTTCACCATCATTTCCACATCCACAAAGACGTCTATCGACAGCCCGGAGACCTTGGGCATGGGTGGGTACCAGTATACTCCACACGCCGATCCCACGACGGGGGGTACTTGGACGACGATCTTGATGAAAGACCCTTACCCGTGGTCCTCGTCCCGTTCTGGTGGATTGGTGTCTGTCCCTGCTGGAACTGCGGGGGGTAAAGATGTACTGATGCATGTCTTTCAGACCTCCAGCAGTGCGGATAGTATCAGCGTTGGCGTCTTTGATCCATTCACAAAGTCGTTTTCTTTGCAATCCAACTGGACTTTGGTAAGTGCATCAAATCTTTTGGTGGAGTGAGAACTGTGGGCGTTTGCAGGCTGATGGATACTACTATGTTTTGTGGGTAACAAGAAAGCAATAAATGTACAGCTTCTTTGCTTGCTTCAAGCGCCAAATTACCTAACGGAGAGCGGACGTATGATCTTGGTCGGCTACTAATCACAACAAACAACAAACGAACACAAAGTGTGCATTGACAGCAAACTAATGCAATACCTATCTGTATGGCCTTTATTTTTACTTTCATCAATTGACAAATAGCCTTCACCCGGACATCCATACATTATTGAACCGCGCGGGGGGCAGATGTACGTTCTGACGTATGTAGGTACACCTCCTGTCCTCAACAGGATGTCTATTAGTCCAACAGCTGTCCAGCCAGCCAACGCGTCCATCGCGACGTCAAATTTTACTATCCCAGATGGATGCAACGCGCTCATTGCAGATCGTCCACAGACCCTCCTGTTTGCCAATACTTTTTATTACATGTGTCATGTAAGTTACGCGTGCTTTGTTGTCTTTTTTTTCGACATCAAAGGAGTTCTTCAGCGAGGCGCTTTAATTGACATGATACTGTTTTCCATCCCATTTTTTTTATCCAATAAAAACCAGCATAGTAGTAACGCCAATTATTTGGTCACGTCGAACGGCACGGATACAGTAGGACCACTCAAGACAACAGTCTTTGGTTCCTACAACGACCTTTACCCCATCGGACCACCTGAAGGGCCGCCTCGCTGGGCTATGATGACCAACTACTCGGATTTTGCAGGCGTCGTCTTATCCGGGGACAAAATAGGAGAGTTTCAGACGGCTTCGACCAGAATGATCCTCACAGGACTGCCTGGAGATGGAGATGTTTCGGGCGATGGTAATTCTGGCAGCGGTGGTAATTCTGGCAGCGGTGGTAGTGGCATGTCTTCAGGAATGGTTGCAGGAATTGTCGGAGGAGCCATCCTCTTGATCGTGTCAATGTCCAGTATTTTCAGACTTTGCACCAAAAGGTCGAAGCGACATCTCGGATTTAGCCGTCCGACGACCCCTGTCTATGAGGATCCCGACAGTCTGGTGCCCAATATCGCGGATGTTCCCGAGGCCAAGATGGAGTGCGAGGCTCTGCCAATGGCGCCTACTAGTGCCATGCCGCCGGTGCCGTTGGGAACAACAGGAACTGGAACTGGAACTGGAGTGGGACCTGGAAAGGACGCGGGATCGTCAGTCCTGCCACCGCCACTACTTGCACCCCGTCCCTTGATGGACACCAAGGTCTCTCAGACCGCTCAAGCACAACAACCGCCATCGTCACAGTCACCACAGACACTGAACACCTATGAAGATGGATACCAGCAAGGATTCCAGCAGGCGTTGCTCGCCTTGAGGGAGGAGCAGGAACAACAACAACGGCAGCAAGGGCAGCAACGACGGGCGCAGAATCCTCAATTGCTCACCACCACCCTCGCCCACTCCAACCTACCGCCGGTCCCTACTCCCTGGTCACCCGCCAATTCGGACACCACAACCGTAACTTCCAACAACCCACAGTATTATTCACAGGGCAACAACCCTCAGTACTATCCTCTTCCAGTCCCCGAACCGACAGCAAACCAGCAACAGCAATTACAGCGACAGCAGGGCTATTATCAGATTGGAGTGACGACAGATGATCCCCGTAACCCTCAATCTTACAACACTGGTGCGCCTTTGTCGCCGGTCGCCCCTGGAAGCACGCCGTTGTCACCTCTCCCGGCCTATGTCTCTGGAAGTGTGAGCACGTCGCCCGTTCCCTCATATGGCACCGGCAGTGTTGGAACCCCTTACACGCCACCTGTTGTGCCGGGATCTAATCACTACCCTGGCAATCAAGGACCTAATCCCTCGTACCGTCAGTGATCAGTGATGGACTCTATCCGTCTCAGATTGTGGAATGTTCTATGAGATGATATGATGATACCCATTGCTGGAAGAAAAATATAATTTGAGTTGACTGCGGTGGTTGCGGTCCATGGGTTCTGGGAGCTTTTTTTCTTCTGTTGCCTTCTGTCGCGTTCTGACAGGGTGTATGTGTCACTGCAGTGTCAGGAATTTTTTGCCCCCTATTTATTACCACTACTGTACCGTCTTTTAGCTCTCACAATCAACAACCAACCCACCTTTCACACCTTGTCACCTACATTCAACTCACTCTCTGGATCGACACCATGTGCGGAGCAGGAGGACACGACCACCACGGCACTACCGATGCCAACACTGACAACAACAGCAACCCACCCATTCTTGCATTGCCAGCCCATCTCTACGCCCAGCTGACAGACGCCCATTGCCACATTCAGGACGACCGCGAAAGTATTCGTACGCTCGTCCAATCATGGAACACCTCGACCACCCCCTCTTCCGATGAGTCTGGTGTCGTACCACTTCTCACCGGGAAGGTCTGTCTTATGGGCGTTCAGCCCTCCAAGGACTTGGGACATGCTCCACCTACCACCGAGGACGCCAGCACACTTGCAGCGATAGAGGCCAACACAGCCTCGCTCTCTTTGAACTCGTCATCGCATTCGTCGTCTTCAACCCCGATTGTGACGGTTAATTGGAACGACACGGACGTCCAGGGCGACTGGGACTTGGTTGCCAAGTTGGCAGAGACTCACCCCGACCGGTTTGTACCCTGTTTTGGAATCCATCCTTGGTTCACGCACAAGTACAAGCCACTTGAGGGAGGGTATAAGGGCAACACCATTGAACTTCGAGGCGTCAGTAACTCCAACAGCAACAACAACAACGCTGAGTCATCCGCGGCCGGTGGTGGAGGCGTGGCTTCGTCGTCGGACTCTCCATCCTTGTCGTTTTCGTCGGCGTTCTTGACCCCCGTCCCTGGTCCCGGTGTCGGACGAGAGGCGTTCTTGGCCATGTCGAAGCAATTGCAGGAGCAGATGGCTAAGGAGAGTCGTGTGAAAGAAGGTGTTGCTCACACGGAGACCACCAACGACAGGCAAGACGACTCATTAACGTTGGAGAAGGAGACGTCCACCAAAAAGGAAAACAAGGAGGCAAACGAGGTAATGGATCCGACCCCTCTCGATGTCACGATACCCAACGCTGACGACGCACGGTTCTCACACTACAAGACCGTCCTCAGTCTTCCCACGTCTGCCTCAGAGTCGTACCTCGCAGACCTTGCCAAGCGCCTGCCAACTCCCCGAGCCCTCGAGCCTGCCCTACAGGAGCTGAGACGTCAACTGGAGGCGCACCCACACGCAGTCCTGGGAGAGATTGGTCTGGACAGGACGGCACGTGTTCCCGAACCCTCCTTTATTGCATCGTCCTCCTCCGAGAAAGAAAGAAGCGAGGACGCGTCTACACCAACAACAGCAGCACCTCAAAAACGAATCACGCTGGCATTAACATCAATTCAGCACCAATTGGATATTGTTCGGGAGCAGCTCAAACTGGCCGCGGCACTGGATCGACCCGTCAGTTTCCATTGTGTCCAGGCCTACGGTCACTGGCATGACTTCTTGATCCAGGAGGGCCGTCGACTGCGACATCTCGAAGCAGACCAGGAGTACCAGATTCAGCTGGCACAGATCCAGGCCTCGGGCGGGACGATACCACTTTTGCAGCCTGTCTTGAGCCCCACGGGTGGTATGCGTTTGAGCAAGCGCAGTACTGCGAGACTGAAGCGTGAGGCCCGGGATGCGGCGTGGGAGAGACATGTTGCCTCGACACTTCAGGAGTCGTCAGATGAGGAGGACGAAGAGGAGAGTGATGGGGGCAAAGATGGTGTCAGTGATTCGGAGCGGAAACCCAAGGCCAATGCGACAACAACTTCAAAGGATATAGTCCAAGAGACGATCTCGCCCACTCCTGCTCCGGAGACAACACCCGCTCCTCTCACAACACCCCAACCAGAGTACGAGCCCGTCCTGCCTCCAAGACTCTGCATGCACAGCTACGGCGGCTCGGTCGATATGCTTAAAGCGTTCACTAAACTTGACCACCCACCCGAGATTTACTTTTCGTTCTCGATCGTCATCAATGGTCGTCTCCAGGAACGAAAACTCAAGGAGCTCATCCTGGCCGTCCCTGAGAACCGCCTGTTGATCGAGTCGGATCACCACTCGCATAACCATGTGGATCAGTTGTTGGTCGAGATGGTGCTGAAGGTTGCCGAAATTAGGAATTGGAGTGTCGAGGAGACGGTTGAGAGGACTGCACGGAATTGGCACCGCTTTGTCTATGGAGATACCGAGCAGTAATTTCTCTTTTTTTCGCGTTGTTTATGGTTTTTCAAATTGTTAATAAAACAGACGCGAGAAATAATTGTTCGCACGAAAAGATGGGTGCTGCGTAATAAAGCAGATCAGATGCTATTGAAAAGTGATACCTGTAACCATACCAATCAGTTATTGGATAAGATGGTACACACGATTGCCGAGATCCGGATTTGGGCGGTGCAGTAGACGGTCGAGAGGACTGCATGGAATTGGCACCGTTTATTGTTTATGGAGATACCCGAGCAGTAATTTCTGTTGTTTATGGCTTTTCAGAGTGTTAATAAGGCAGACTAGAGAAATATTTGTTTGCGCGAAGGACGGATGCTACGTAATAAAGCAGATCAGATGCTATCATAAAAGTAATACCTGTAACCATGCCGATCAGTTGTTGGACAAGATGGTGCACACGATTGCCGAGACCCGGATTTGGGCGGTGCAGTAGACGGTCGAGAGGTCTCCAGGGAATTGGAACCGCCTTGTCAAAGGCGACACAGACCTGTAGTTTACTTTTTCGTTTAGTTTGTGCTTGGGTGCTTGTTCTTGCTTTCGAAGCGGCAATAAAGCAAGCGTCGTTAATTGAAAGTAACACAAAAATATATGATGGATGCAAGTAAAGCAGATGCCAACAATTGAATGTAACACGAAATGCTCGTTTTGGATGCAAAGAAAGCAGATGCCATCGTTAATTGAAGTAGAAAAAAAAAAGAAATTCATTTGTGTGGGTGTCCCGAGCGAAAACCTTAGTGTCACGCTTCCGACATTGGTACCATGTCGCGCAAACGCAAACGCAAACGGCTCCATGTTTGTGTGTGTGTGTGTGTGTGTGTGCGTGGGGTTTCTGCCTTGTTGGCTATGCAAAGCAAGCAGATTAAATGGGTTTTCTAAGGTTTGGGCTGTGTGGAATATGCATCCGTGGGTTTCTGTTTTGTAATCAACCATCCTCATTGTAGTTTTTTTTGTCTTGCTCGCATTTCTATTGGTGCGAAAGGCAATGATTATGAAAGACTGCATTTACTCGTTCTAACGTACGTTGCGTCTTTCCAGGTTCAGGTTGTCGGCATTTTTCCTTTCTCTCTTCTCTCTTCTTGTAGGTTGGACACGACCGTTCCACTTGTATTTCTCCAGTGTGTTCGTATCTAAACGGTTCCCGTTGTCTCTGACCAATGAGTGTATGTTGCGCTTCTTCTAAGAAATATGCTTATGAAAAAAAAATGTCTGCGTCGTCACCGCACCCGTTGAAAGTGTTTGTTAAAGTGCATGATTATGAAGGATCGAAACGAATTCCAATCACAGCAGTCGATTTAACAGCACAAAAAATGGAAGAAAGGAGAGATCCATAAGAGAAAGAAGATTCCAATGAGGAATGGAGATAGGCCCGATGAGGACTTGGACTCCCCCCGGTGTACAGGCACCTGCTTTTTTTTTCTCTCGCTCTCTGTTCCATTCTGCCGGTACCGGTACTGAATTTGAACTTTTGGCGCTCTGATCCCATCCCGGTGAGACTTTAATTTTGTCCCGATCAGCTCCAACAGAGTTCTAACAGTTTTTTAATCTAACAACGAGAAGAAAAGAGAAACGGGGCTAGGCAGGGCTTAGTATGTTGATGCAGATGTTCCTAGACGTCGACATCAGAAATTATATCGTTAGCACACGTAACAAAAAGAAATCGCGAAATAAAAGAAAAAGTGAAGAGCACAAAAGGTTCAGTCTAGACTTCCCCCCCCTCTCTTTCAACCTCGGTTCATTGTCATCTTGTTTGTGAGTATTTTTCTAGCTATTCCTTTGTCTTTTTGTTTCGCTACGTGCTGGTGAATTGGTTGCGTCACACGACGCTAACTGCCTTTTGTTTTCTAGCCATCGTCGCACCCGACTCCAAAACGTGCCTTCGCCTCCACCTCACGCTCCGTCTTTCTTGATCTGATATTCTCTCCCTCATGGACGATGTTTCTCTTGCACTGCCTCTTCCCTTTCCTCCTGCCTTTTCAGACAATTGCTTTTTTTCAGCAATCCTCGCACAGCAGGCTCGAGAATAGAAACGAGACACGGATCTGTTAAGATAATGCTTCGCTTTTGTTGTTTGTTGTTGTTTTGTTTGTTTTTGTCAGTGTCTGTCGACTGCATTATTATCTTTGTTGCTGTTGCAACCTTAATCCATCCGCTCTCTCTTGCCTCTCTTTCTCTCCTGTTGCATTTCTCTCCTCGATCCAACTCAGCTTATTTCAGTCTAGCCTAATGATAGTTGGACGTAAGGTGGATTCTGTCCCCTGTGGAGGGAATTGGACGCAAGGCGAAAAAAAACTCACAAAAGGACGTATACTAACCTGCATCATTCCATGGTAATGCTATGCCATGCTATTCCGCCCGAGAAATAAACAAAAAGGATGATGCGTGCGCGTAATGCACAGCAATTGCTTTTTGGCTATGCTATTGTTCGGAATTCAGATTCTCAATTGCCTTTTTTTTTTTTTTTTCTTTTTTTTTTTCTTTTTTTTTTTTTTTTTTTTTTGCTGGATATCCTTTCTGTTGTATCTTCTCAATTGGGGTGGATACGTCTTCATTATGGTTTGTGTTTTTTTTTATTGTCTTTGTGTTTGTTTGTTGACTAACGTGTCGTTGTTTGTTGTTGTTTTTGCTTGACGTTTGAAAACACGGTTGTTTGATGTTTTGTTTACCAAGGCGATGCGATGCTTTGCCTCTTTTGTTTTCGTTCATTCATTCTCCCCCCCTTGATTGCTTGCTTCCATCCCCCAATTTTATGAGAAACTAACCATCGCCCATCGTGGTCGACTCTTCTTCATTTCTCCGCTGCTGCTGTTCACCTGTCGATTGTTCAATTGCTCCGCTATTCTCGAAAGAATAAAGCCATCAAGGCTCTTTTCCATGCATTGAGTGTTGTCGAAATGACATGCAAGCCGCATTGTTCACTTTGCCACCTTTTTTTCTTGTTCTGATCAGGGGTCCCTGCTCTCTAACCTTCTTCCTATCACCGCGAACAGTCGTGGACAACTCAATGGGCTTTTACATTTTAGTGGTTGTCGACTGTCGTTATTGTGTGTTTCTTGACGACCTGTTACTGTTGTTACGATCCGTGACACAACATCGACAACATTGACTCTCTCTTTTTGATTTATATCTTCCATTTTCTTCTCGTCACTTCTCTCTTTCTCCTCTTCGCCATCGTTCAAGTCTTCTTCCCGTCTCTTATTTTTCCCGCCCTTCGTTATACCGATTGTGCTACTTTACTTTCGTGTTTCATTACTTGTTTGTTTACCTTGAGCATCGATCCAATTATATATGGTTAACACGATAGAGTAGTCGTGCTTGTGGCTCCAATTATCCATCGCTGTTCACCGCCTTGACCTGCTCGTGTCCGTCCCACATTTCTTTTTTTTTGCCACCCTCTTTCCTTTCCCCTTTACCTTTTTCGTCGATATTTTTTTTTCAGATAAATACCTCCTCTTCTTTCTTTTTTCTTCTTCAGTTCTCTCCCCTTTTTTTATTTCTTTCTCAACCTTGTTCCTTTCCGACATCTCTTTCCCAGTTTATCCTTGTCGTCTCTTTTTTTCTTCCATCTCTTAGGTGGTACTCTTAATCACATACTCTGGCCTTTCGTCCACCTTGTCTTTCATTGCTTGCCCACCCCTTACTCCCTTTCCCCTTCCCGTTCGGCAACCTTGCTATTTTTTTACCTTCACAACAATCAAAAAACCTTCTTTTGGATTGTTTGTTGTCTTTTTTTAGTTTATTTTCTTTCCTTTGTTCTTCTTGTTCTTGTTCTTGTTCTAGTTCTCGATCTCACTTTCATCCCTGCTTTTGCACTGCACTCAATCGTTGCCGCTTTCAACATTGCCGACAGAGAGTTCGATCCGCGAACATTTTCTTCTGATCGAGTCGATCATTGTTGCACCCCTCACTCCCTATTGGCTTCTGATCATTTCTCTCTCTCTTTCTCACCACCAAGACACATTGTTCGGAGATAAAAATCTCAGTTAGTCAGGTACGTGACCTATCTCCTCATTCAGTTCAAACCCTACTTTCTTTTTTTCTTTCTTTCTTCCTTTGTCATTTGTCCTGCTGCTGCTCTATGTTTTTTTCTTTTCGTGCCTCCGGGGTTCCGGCCCTGCTTCTGTTGTCATTGGCCTTCCATTGTTTTTCTTTCTTCATTCTTTTGTTTACGTTCGTCACCGATGAGTGGTTATGGAGGAGGGGTGTGTGTGTGTCTGTGTGAGTTGTCATTGTCGTGTTCTCGTTGGCAGACTGCACAAGTCAAGCCAAGGAAGAAGGAGAAGACATGGAAAACAGTAAAAGGCGGGAGAGGGAAAGAAGAGGGAGGGAACAAAGGAAGGAAGGAAGAATGGGCCGAGAATGGACACAACTTTGCATGAGTACGTGCGTTCGCGCATTTTGAAGCGGGAAGAAAAAAGAGAACAAAAACAGAAAAGCAAAACACAGATGAAGAAGTCATCCAAGTGGATGAACCCTTTCCACTCTGAGTTCCATTGGCTCTTCTCTTTCTCCCTCCTCCCCCGTGCACTGTTACACGCCCATTCTCTGTGCCAAGGATTAAACACAAGGAACGAAAGTCGGGCGGGAGAGAATGATCGCAAAAAATAAAGCACCGCAACCATAACCCACTCACGAAAGGGATACAAAAAAAACGAGGGTTCCAACTGAAAAGTGGGCCCAATTCACTTTAATTCCCTCGCATTTTTGTCTGTCTGTGTTTATGTTTTTCTCCATCTTTATCTCATGTCCCTTGTTCTTCTTTTCTCTTCTTTTCTCTTCTTTTTTCTTCCATCTGACCACACATACACGCATACGCTTTGTATCTTTCTCTATCCTGCGCCTTTTTTGTTGCCGTGTGGTCGGTCTTGTTTCCATCTTCCCTTGCATCTGTCCCATGCTTGTTCGAAAGAAGGCATGTTTGTTTTTCGTTCGTTTGTTTTTCTTCTTCCATTGCTAATCTTCCCAAAAGGAAAAGAAAGAATGTTTAGTTCACTGTTCATTCGAGTCAATAAGAGGGCCGCCTGTCTGCTTTATTCTTTGTCGTCAGCATTTTTTTTCTCTTTGTCCTGTCCCATTCTAACTTTGATCAACAGACAACAACAACGAATCGACTAATAAGCGCACACTTGACGACTTACGCACCTCTGTTTTCTTTTTTTCTTTTTGTCACCCTTTTTCATCACACTCCTTCCCTTCCTCCCTTCTCCTTTCTCCCTCCTTCCTTCCATTGTTTTTCTCCCGCCCTTTTTTCCCTCCATTCTCCTTTTATTTCGATACCATTCGCCACACTTGACTTCCCCTTTCTCTCCATTTTTTACCTCTCTCTCTCTCTCTCCCTTCTGAACCCCTCGTCTTCTTTATCTCAGATCTTCCTCATCTCTCTCTCTTCCAGGTTTTCATTGCCTCTACCTGTCCCTCTCTCTCCCCGCCATGGCCGCCCCGACGAACGACAATAACACGATGGACATTGATGACGATGGGAATATTGTTCATGCAGCCCAGATCAACATCGCACAGCGAAGGGACAACCGTTCACCTGCATATCAAGTCCTGGAGACCGCAGAGTTGGTGAATAACATTGTCCAGTACCTTCCCATCACCAGTTACCCAGCTTGCAGTCTAATCAATCGAGTCTTTCGCGAAGACATCTTCTTCACCTCGCTCACCTACAAGGACTCCCTCCTCTCGGCGCAACATTGGATCGAATCGAAGCCTCGGCATATCTTTATCCTGAGCGCATACATTCTCCAGTACAGTGCCGACGTCGATGCAGGACTACCCCCTGGCGGCGCGTTGTCCAACCAATTTGTGTTTTCGTGTCAGACCCGATCCGACGGCGTGGACAGCTATGGGAGCAATGGTAGTAACAGCGACCAGAGGAGTGGCGAGAGCAGCGGACATGCGGGGACCTCGGACGAGAGCAGTGGTGGCGTGTCGCATCTTCAGAGGCACCATACCCATCAGCCGGGACATGATATCGAGCCCTTCCATTCCTTTCATACCTACCAATCCTCGGCGACCGTGCCGAATGTCTATTTCAAGACGAGCAGCCAATTGCCTCCACACTTCTCGTCCCCTCCATCATTGTCCCCTCATCCCATTGCACAGCAGAGCGATTATAGCTTACCACATCAACACCACCAAACAACAACGGAATTTCTTCCAGGACAACATGTATCCACCATGAACGCCAGGGCAACGATCGCCGAACTCTCGTCGTCGGACCTCCACCATTACGAGGCGGACATTAGCACTAACTCGAATCGGTCGAGTATGATGGTTGTCGATGTCGCCGACATGTCCCTCTCCCCAAGCCAGATCCTTCTTCCTCCGCATGGGCTCTCAACTCTTCCGACACCACGGCAACAGCAATACCACCAACAACAATATCAGCAACAGCAACCAATGGCCCGAGTCGTCCCTTGCCCATATGAACTCCCGACGGAAGGCTCCATGCAATACGAAGAGAGCCTGGTCAGTGTCAAGAAGGGATCCAGGACCAGCACCGGGAGCACAAACAGTCATGACAGCACTATTAGCACCAGCAGCAGTTGTAGTAGTAATGGCGAGGGTCACCACGGGATGAGTGATCCTTCTTCGTCCTCGGTCTCGGTCCTTCAGGGTGGCGCGTATTCTCCGTATGCTTCTCCAATCATGGAAGAGTCGTCTAATCCCTCGGTCTTTGGATCGCCGTATGCTGTGGTGGGAGCAGGAGGAGGAGGAGGAAGTGTAGGGTCGACTTCTGGAGCGAGGGTGGGCTCGGCTAGGAGAGGAGGTGGAGGACAAACTCAAGGGTCGAACAGTCCTGGGTCAGCAAGAAGGAGTGGCAAAGAACTGGCGCCGGAGTATCAGCGGGAATCGGCGTTACAGGAACACAACCAGCAACTACAGCAGCTGCAGCGGCAGGGTGGGAGAAGGGACGAAAAGTCGTCGCGTGATGATATCCCGATGACCCATATCGGCGATCGTGGAGACATTAGGATGGACACCTCAAACTCTCACCACCACAGTCATCACCACAAACATCGCCATCAAGAACGCCAACGACTCTCCCGCCAACACCAACAACAGTCACCACCCAACAACACCCGCCCCTCCGAGAACTGGAGCATGGCCATTCAAACCTTCTACTACCAAAACTCTGCACTAAACGCCATGATCGTCGCCTGTCGAGAACACATGCTTTCGCCCGAGGGCCAAGGCGGAGCAATTATCCTGAAGACGGATACTTCAAGGGTCATCTGGAACGATACGACGAGGCAGGAACATATCTGGACGATTACGCCGACGTTGATGGATCGGACCAATCCTGATTTTGTGGAAGAAGATTTTGATCCTGATCGTGATTATGCGTAGTTCGTGGAGGAGAGGTGGATGATGGGAGAGAGGAGGGGAGGAGTCGTACGAAGTTAGTGATTTTTCTCCTAATAGTAATGTAGTGAGTCGTAGACAAATGAAAGTGTTTTGTTTTTTTCGTGACGAAAGAAAAAAAACGAAAAGCATCGTGTTATGTTTTTGCCAAGTATATATAGGTAACGTGAGAAAAAAAAGTGGGTATAACAGACTACTGTTTTGTTGGGCGCAGCTCTGTTTGTCCCCTTGTGGGCAATTAGGCCACATGGGCTTCTTTGACCACTGTGCTCTGCATGGACGGCGGGCGGGCGCTGTTTAGAAATTGGAGCTTGGAGAGAGAGAGAGCCTAGAGGGGGTATGCCATAAAAGAGTATGTAATCGACAAGATGATGCGTTCAGTTGGCACATAAACGCCATCAGTCCGTTCCGTCTGCTCGTTCACTGGATTGCATTGGATTCAAACACCAAAGGGAGTGAGAGGAGAGCGAGCACGCAAGAGGGATGCATGAATGGCAAAGTAAACATTACCTCTCTTCACCTCACTACCCCTGCATTACACTGTGGACCAAGTAGCCCTATTCAGATGAGTGCATGAACTATGAATAAAACCGAGGGTGTACAGTACATTCAGACCGAGCATCACTCGAACTGAAATCTCGTACAGTTGTATGGGAGTCCAGAGTAAAGGAGGAAGGACTCTGGGTTCCAGTCAGGCCGGGTCCAGATTCTCGACCTCTTTTGGGAGGTAGTGAGGAGAGGGAGAAAGAAGGAGAGGGACACGGACCTTTAGTTTGGATCGAAAATAAATGCAATTTGTTTAGGTTTCTCCAACTCGAAGTTCAGTCCACTCAGAGAGGGCCTTTAGCGAAGGAGGAAGGAGCGCAGAGTGAGGTTAACTGGGAAAGCCAATTGGCCATGAGCTTTCAGGGGGTGAGAGATGGGGGTGGGAAGACTTGCTAAACGATTGCTTTGTTGTTTTTTGTCCTTCTATGCAGGTTGGTGAGCATTTGTCTGAGAAAGAGAGCCAGAGGCGGAGGTTTTTTGAATGACGAGTGGATTTGTTGGAATGGGCGAGTTGTGTATGTCCTTTAGGGGCAAACGAAGAAGTATTCCCAGCCTTCTTTTCGCCTGTTTGGTTTTGTATACCCTGCCTGTCCCTGTTGCAACCCGCAAAATAAAAAATAAAAAATTAGCGATGGTGCTAAAATATTAATTAGTGGTCATTGGTTGATGAATGTAAATCGACTCTTGGCTCACGCGAGGGCGTGGCAAATTATGGCAGTGGTGATGATGAAAGGGAAGACAAGTTGTCTGACGCAGAAAAGTCACACTAATTGCGGTGTAGGCGATTGGATTGATGGCTTTGATGGCACCCCAAATACTACTACGCCTTCTACAACTTTCAGTCGACGCCTGTGGCATGTTTTTCTCTACTGGGGCGATACGTAACCTTTTTTTAGATGCGCATTTTTCTTGAACAACCCCCTTCACGAGTCCTCATGACCTACTGTTGTTTTTTGGTGTTCATCGATCCTTGATGCAAATTATTTTATTTTAGCACTGCACAATGTGACAGTGCGCCGCAGGGAATGGGCGAAGGCGATGCAAAAGAAGAGGGGGAGGTATGGCGCACTATCATAACCACGGGGACACACCCGAAAGACTGAACGACACAGGATCGATCATGACGATGATGATGATTGCATTTGTGAATGTCGTGCAAACATACGTTATCACTCTGTGTAAAACAAGTTTATCCAGTTGTCGCTATTCTCCTACTTGACTCTTTGCTCCGCGGCGAATGCTTCCGTCTTTGCTCTCAACTCTTTTTTTTCGTGAATACGTTGTTACCTTGTCTTCTCCCTTTTCGTTGAGGTAGGGCTGGACAGTGCAAAAGGGAGAATGGCGGCCCGCCTTTAGACGCTCTGGGTGTGTGGACTGAGTTGACTGACTGCACTAGTCGATGAAGGAGAAAAGAGAGAGCTCTTTGGTGTGCTCTCATTTTGTTGCCCCCCGCCTTTGCTTTTACGTTGGTTGTCCACGCAAACAGACAAACAGCCAGACTCAGTCAGTACCGCAACAGCCACAACAGGGTGTATCTGTGGTGCTTGTAGACAAGGACAATGATATTATTTTCTCTCCGCAACACCCTTCCCTTTCCTTCTCTGCTTCTGCCCCTGCCGCCATTTTTTTCTCTTTCTTCCTTTCTTCTCATCCATCAACATTCTCTGCCCTTCTCCTCTCTTCTCCTCTCAAACACATCTTCATTCCTATTGCACCCACTTACTCGCTCATTCATACCCTTCCAACACTCATTCACATACCCTCCCCCTTCGTTACTTATACCCATCTACTACATCGTCACCTCATCACACACATCACACACCGACACACATACATACTCCTCGTTTCGCTCCTATTTTTTGGTCCCTATTGCTCACTCAACCCCATCCACATACCCTCCTAACACCGCAGACAACTTCTCACCCCACCCCCCACCCTCTAAATGATTATGGCGCCCGTCTCGCACCCTTCGTCTTGCCAACAAAGAGACACAGAGGTCGACCTTGTGACAGACAATTGCCCTCCCTCTTCTATCCTGGCCAGAAAGAGAGCCTCCGTGCACATCATCGAAGGTAACCAATTCAACACAACCCACTGCCAACCCCTCCCCTCTACTTCCCAACACGCTCATTTGGCATTTGCCAATAGCTCTTCTTCTTTGCCTCCCTCAAGCAGACATAAGACCCCCAGTGCCCAATTGCAATTTGCTCAGTGTTTGCTCGGTTGGCTAACTCCATGTTTTTTTTCGTTCCGCTTGACTTACGTGATACGTTGTTTTTGATGGGTGTTTGCAGGATCTACTTCTGCCAAGCGAATTTCCCTCCTTTTCAAGAATTCGCGCTGCCGCTCCTTTTCAGAGTCCTGGGCCTTCCTCTCGGCCTCGTCGGGTGTGAGCCCAATCGACGAACGTGAAGGTCTCATCAGCAACAACAACTGTAACGGTAGCAGCAATATCGCCGACAGCAACAACAATGTCTCTTCACTTCCTCCTTCTACCCTGAGACTGTCTCCGCTGTGTCCCACCGACAGTGACATCGATATCGATTGCGACTCTGCCAGTTCTTCTCCTACTCTTTCTGCTATCTCAACATCATCATCTTCAGCGGCTGCCTCCACAAAAACAGTAGAACCTTCTTTTACTACAACAACACCTGCTACAACAGAGCCAGCGGAGGCATCGAAATCGTCATCATCATTGCCGGAATTACCACCGTCCTCCTTGAACTTGTTCAGACAGCCAGCAGTAACAGGATCAACTGCATACGAAGACCTTCCAGACCAGGATTTGTTAAAGACCTTGGCGGCCTTCCTCCGAGGCGACTCGTCCCCATCTCACAAGAAAGGCAGCCGCCCATCTGCTGCAACCACATCTTGTTCGGTACGTATCTATCGAGTTGTAACACAACACCCACCCTGTTTCTAACTATATTTCCCCCTCCTTGAACTTGTTTTGGATTGCTTGTCTCGCATTACTTTACTCTCCTTTGTTGTTGGGTAGGAGGCATTGTTTTTCTCGTTCATTCTCACTCTGTTCCTGTCGTTGAGCATATTGTTTACATCGGCAGAAGTGGATTCCCCTTCTCTTCCCTCTTTTTCTCACTCTTTCTCTTTTTGTTATCACCTATTGAGCGATGAGAGCATCCAATTGCATGCACGTCAATTGCATGCATTCTTTGTCAGTCCTTCATGTACTTTTTCCTTTATGTATGTTGTGCGAGCAATTGTAAGCAAGCACATGCACGATTGTACATTCAGTCCATGCATGAGTGAGAAGAGGAATACGTTTTTTTTTTTTTTTTTTTTTTTCGCACTGTCATTTTGTTTGGTTTCTCCCCGCCTCTCCTGGGCTTGGATTTGGTTGGTCTGCATAATATTTTTTTCAAGCGGACTTGGAACTCGAACGAGAAGGGAAAGCTCTGATTGCGAGGGAACATGCTTCCCTTTCTCTCTCTCTCCCTGAATCACTTTCTGAACCCACGGCTAACCAATCTTCTTGTTTATTTGTTCTATGTAGAGTCAGGGCAAGGATGAATCCGCAATGTGCGATCTTGGTAAGGGCTCACTCTTGTTTGCTTTGGAAGATTATCGCCACATTACTTTGTGTTGTCGTTGTGGGAGGGCGAGGAGGGAGAAGTGGGTAAGACACTTCGTGGATCAATCATCGATACACATCCACTCACCCGTCCTCCTGGACTGAATTGCTGCACAAAAAAAAGGACAGGAACAACAGCAAACAACAGCCCACAACAAAACAACGTGGAAGAGAGTGCTTGGAATGCTGACGCATACATGCATGCCGACGTTATGTTCTTATTCCTTGCTGTTTGTCATACATAAACGACTAATGCGCCTAATGAGGAAGAAAGTGTTTACTAATGCACTTTCTTACTTCGTTGCATACAACAGTGGTGACCGTACGCGATTTTGCTTACCCAAAGACCCACCCCTATCACATCGGCAACTACCCACCCGAACCCGAGTATGAGGAATCCGACATCGAAGAGGACGAAGAAGAAGAAGAGGAATACGCCGAGGAAACCATCGACTCATCAATACCAACAAGTGGTGAGCAGGACAAGACAGAAGGGTATGCACGAGGACTATACGACTTTGATGCCGAAAACTCGAGCGAGTTGAGCTTCAAGGAAGGCGAGTTTGTGTGGATCCATTGCAGACAATTCCCGGGCTGGTTCCTGGGCGAGAAGGATGGTGCTCAAGGCCTGGTGCCTGAGAACTATGTTCAGCTTGTCTGATCTTCTGTGGACGATGGCGAGATGACGTTGCGCCGCCACCACAATGTTTATTATTTATTTTTCTATTTGTGTTTTCGTGTTGGAGGTTGATCCTTCTTTTCACTCTTCACTCTTTTGTTCGTTTTTTTTTTTTTTTTTTGTAGTACTGTACATATTGCCAGTTTCTTTGAAAGAAGAGGTCCCGACCCCTTTGCTGTTTTGTTTATCTTATGCCCAACTCTTAATAAATAACTTTTATACAACATGCCAAAAAGAAACATGTACAACACAGCACAGCAACGGAGCAAGTGAAATAAGTTGACGTAAAGAAGGAAGGGCAGGGACGTCCCGATCTTTTCTTTAATGAGAAATGAAGGTATGCATAATGTAAGAGTGGAAAGAGATAAGAACGTGGGGTATGTACATGATTATGACCTTGCGCAAAAAGAAGGAAAATGAAGCACAGGCCTAGAAATATAAGTACTAGAATAAAGGCCACCAAACAGCAACAACAACAAAAGAACCCATTACAAGGGCTGGCTGTAGCTGGGGTCAACGGCAGTGGAGGTGGCTTCGGTATGCTTGCGCTCTGCAGCGCGCTCAGCAACACGCTCGAGGCGCTTCTGCTCAAGTTGCTTGAGTCGCTTCTCCTCACGGATGATATCCTCGCGCTTGAGACGGGGGGTGACGATGCGGACGTAAATACTGAAGAGACAGATTATGATGTGGACAGCACCAATGATGACAAAGGGAGCGCCGTGCATCCAGGCATCAAACAGGTAACCTCCCAAACGGGCGGTGAACATGATCGACAGCGCACCACAGAAGGAGAAGACACCTGCAACAGAACCACGGTACTTGGGGTCGACGTTCAAACCGTTGACGAGAGTCATACCAACAATGATGACGCCCATCTGGCCAATACCGGTCATGGTGACAAAAATCATATTGGAGTCGTGGGCGGGGTTAGTCTTGGTGAAGGCAAAGGGCAAGGAACCAATGGCGCCCATGAAACCTGCAAAGGCAAGCACGGTCGACTTTTCGAGTTTCTCGGCGGCGTAACCGAAAAAGGGGGCAAAGGCAAGAGAGATGCCTTGGCCGTAGCCAGTCAGCTTGTGGGTGCCTCCGGCGGCGGGGTAGCAGGTGATGCCCTTGTCAGCATCACACCAGCCGAGTTTGACGTAGTACTGGATGACCCACAGACTCATGAAGGACGAGAAGAGGACTGTGTCCGCTCTGGCCTGTTATTAAATTGACGGTGTAAATAAAGGAGTCAATTTACAGGGTTGTGGACGAGAATAAAAAAAATAAATTGTCGAGACCCAAGTCAACAGGGAAAGTAGCGCCAGCTGAAGGAAGTGGGAGGTGCGGAGCATGAAAAAAAAATGTACAACAAGTTGGGTACATACCACGAAACTGGAAAGGTAAGCGAGAGCAACACGGGGATCGCGACCAGCCTTGAATCCATACTTGAGCAACTTCCAGGGAGAGATGATCTCCTTCTCATCCTCGTCCTCGATCTCCTTCTTCAAGACCGTCTTCTTGAACCAACCAGCGACACCATCGGCCTGACCTTTACCGGTGGCGGGCATGGTGAGGAACAACAAGATGCTCAGCGCAATCGCACCGCCTCCAACAATCAGGAACGCAGCCTTGATACCTTGAACCTCACCGCCATACCTTTGCTGGAGATGGTAAGGGATATTGATGAGAACCATACCAGCAATGAGACCACCGCATCCGGCGCAGAGACCAACAATGGCAGAGACACGGCCACGTTCGTGGATCGCGCCGGCGACATCACCCAACGTGCCAGTCATCATGCAGGTCGCAGCCGACGAACCGAGTGAGAAGAGCAGTCTGCAAAGAAGCATTTGGGGGTAGACATTGTCGACACGGGGGTAGATCATCAAAGCAGCGCCGAGTAAGAGGAATCCGGCACTGTAGACAGGGCGGCGACCAATACGATCTGAAAGGACTCCCCAGAAGAGCGTCGCAGGGAGGGCAATGATTTCGTCATAAAGGGCGAGTTCACCGGTAAGGTTTCCTTGGTTTTCAGTGATTTTGAGGATGGTATGGAAGATAAAGGGCTGAACGATGGAGAGGTAGGCGACAAGGGTGATCGAGCCCATACAGGCGGCGAGGTAGAAAATGAAGTTGAGGTGGTTGATGTGCTTGCGGACGTAGAAGATGTAAAAGAGACGCTTCTTGTCAGCATTGGGGTCATAGCGCTTGACTGAGATGTCGTCCTCGTTGGTGTTCTCGACGTCGACGTGGTTCGAGGTTGTGGAGGACTCGATGGTGTCGACTTTCTGGGTCTCAAAGAGATCCGTTTTAGTCATTATGAAGATGAAAGTTGTTGTTGTAGGAGGAAGAGAGAGGGAGTGAGTGAGGGAAGGAGGAGTTAAAGTCTCGTTGTTGCAGGGAAGAGAGGGGGGATACAAACAAACACAAAAAGGGGATGGGGCGTATGTGTGTAAGAGTGAGGGTGGGATGAGAGCAGATGGCTGAAGGAGAAAAAAGAGAAGAGAAGAAAAGAAGGAAAAGACGGGATATAAAAAGGAAGTTTAAAAAGGAGAGCAATGTGGAAGGTGGAGAGGAGGGGCCAGATCAGATTGTGAAAAAAATGACAAAGAAATTCAAAACAAGTTGGAAGAGTTATCTGATTTTATGTCTTTCGCTGACAGACACCTGGGTAGAGACAACGACAATTTGGAGTACACAACAAGGTGGGCGTAGAGATGGAGGGCGAAAGGAAAAAGAAAGATGGGCTACGGAGTTTAAAGGAAGGACGAGAGCGAGGGTGACAGAGTAATGTGAGAAGAAAGGATAAACACCATCTGATAACGTCAAGCGGCAAGGAAGAACAAAGAGTGACAGGTGAGGAAAAGGCACAAAGATGAAGGATGTTTACGAGGTCAAGGTCGGGGAGTTCATGGGTAGGGTATGTTCCAATCGAACAAGGGCTTGTTGCTCCAGTACTGTGCATGTAGCCCATGGAAGGATGATGGAGTTTTAAAAAAAAAAACGAGGCGAGAGAAGCAGTTAGCAACAGCATCTGATAAGGTGAAGAGTTGGCATTTACTGCACCAGGGTACGTTGCTGTTGTTCTGTGCTGTAGCCCTGTATAGCACACATCGGTGACAGAGTAAGGAATAAGGTAAAAAGGAAGCAAACTGGTTTGGAGCAGAGTTCAGGCTCCTCTTTTCTGGTGTAGTCTTTCTTCTGCTCTGTTTCTTGTTTCTTCCATCGGGTCTAGTCTTTATTCCTTGTGCTGTAGTCCTTGGTAACGAAAAAGAAAACAAACGCTATGAGTAATACGCACCTTCATCTATTTATTTTTTATTTTTTTTTTTTTTTTTTTGTTGATGATGTTGTTTGTTGCTATCACTGTCGTGGTGTGGGTATGTGGGTGTGCGGGTGCGGTAGATCGGGTGTAACCCATGGTGAAATCTTGGAGGCTCAAACTCCCTTTCACTTCTTTCTTAGTAAACCAATTGCTGACCTCCTTGGTTCGTCGTTTGTTGTTTTTTGTGAGTCCGCCCGAGGAACAAAGTACGGCGTTGTGTTTGCTCATAGGAGCGTTTGCTTAATAAAAGAATAAGGGGTCTTTTTTGCTGTTGTTGTTCATGATGGATGGACATGTGGTGTTTGCATGATCGAATAACGACAAAAAGACTAAGCACTGCTTCGCTCGTTCCAACCCTCGGACTAGATCTTCCATTACCCTCTTTTCTGCCTCCAAGAACCTGCTAGACAATTACGTTCAGAGGGCGAGAGAAAGAAAGAGAGTGGATTTTTGGGAAAGAGAGAGACAATAAGGTGAGGAAGAACGAGAGTTTTTGTTTTGTTCTGGTCCAACTTTGCCTTGTGATTTCTGAGTTTTTTTTTTGTTTTATGGCTCTGGGTGTTTTATTAGTCAACCACTTGTCCTCTTTGTATCGATTACCATTCATAACCAGGTATTGTCGGGCATTAGTGCTGTTGGGCAATCGAGAAACATGATGGGTGGGCGTGATGGCATACTAAAGATCGGGGCGCGAACTTGCTGGACTTGGTGGGCTAGAATGGTTGATGGACTGCTACCCGTCTCATATCTCTTAATTCTCCTTGACACGCAGAACAAACACTTACGCGTAAACAGAAAGTAAGAAAGAAACACAGAAAGACAGAGACATGGCTTCGTTCGTTTTTGGCTGAAGAGTTGAGCAGAAGAAGCGGGAGAGCATTTCGTCTAGCATCTTTTTTTTTCACGGCGCCCAATCTTCCTTTCCTTTCTCTCCTCGCTTTGCGTCCACAAATGCCCGTCTTCACGTCTCGAAAACCTTCATTCATGCTGCATGTAAGGAGATGTACACGTACTTCTAGCTTTGCTATACGACGCCTCGTCGTTATTTTATTTTCTCAGCAACCTCTCCTCGGCGGCTGATGCATTTGACCTGTTTTCCATACTCTTCTTGGACAAGGTTGCTCTTTTTGTCATAACCGAAGGCTTAGTTTCGTACGTTTACTAATTTCAAAGCGGTGATTTTTCTTTCGTTCTCGAGTGTTTCGATGTTAGCTTCTATTCGACCGGATCAGATAACCCTTGCACCCAACCATGCTCTCGTCTTTTTTCTGTTGTTGTGCTGCACAAGCGGACTCTTTACGAGGAGTTTGTACTTCTGGATCCAGGGACGGGGTAAATGAGACATTACACCAATGATGGATGGGTAAAAGGTTATCATATCCTATTTTGCCCGCACACATTGCAGAAAGAAGAAAAGGAGAGAAGGAATTTAGGCTTAACATGTAGCCCATCCATGCGAAAAAGGACAGAAGCGTTGCCGATGTTGTTCTTTGTGTCCACATGCAAACGTGTGTGAACGAGTTAGAGAGTGAGGAAGAAGAGGTGATATTTGCTGTTGTTTTTTTTGTGAGAACAGAAGAGAAGGGGAAATAGCGAAGACAAAGAGGGCGAGATCGATGACATCGAGTGAGAATGAGCAAATAAGGTTTTAACTCTGATTTTTTCTTTCTTTTTTTCCCCGGGTGTGGCCATCTGATAAACAAAAGAGACAAATACATTTATCAGATGAGAAGTTATTTCAAAGTCCTACCACTCTGCATTTGCATGCACTCATTCACTCCAAACAAACCGTCGTCAACAAGAACCATCCTACACGCAAACCTACACACACAAACAAGACGAAATTCAACGGGCACACTCACTCCCCTTCATTCCCTGTCTTCGAATGGAAGGCTTCTTTTTTTCGGGTGAGCCCCGCTTACACACACAAACGCCCAGCCCATACTCTTGACTAAATATTCACACGTTTTTCTAGCTCCATGCATCATCCGCTTCATGCAAGTGCCCACTTTTTTTCTTCGTATAGATGGGAACGCACACCGCAACTCCCTACCTTGCATTCCTTTTTTGGCCCACCCCCGTTTGCTCAGTCCCCAGGTTCACTATCCGCCCGGATGAATTCTAGCTTGTTATTAATCACATTCCTCCAGTCCAGACGACGGAGCGTGCGTGTATGAAAGAGAAAAAGAGGAGAGTGAACTGGATTGTAATTGCGTTAATTACATACGTTGGGCTGGCTAGGCTGGCTGGACTTGATTGCTCATGAACCGCTGTAGCAGGGTGAGAGACAGACAGTATGTGTGTGTGTTGTGCGCTTGTGTGCGCAATGTATGTGCTGTATACTTGAGTAAGGAAAGAAAGACGACAGTGGGGGTAGCAATAACAACAAGGAGAAAAAAAAACAACCAGAACAGTAAGTACCTGGCAAAACCTGTTGCTCTCACTCATGACCACATCACCACCATCAACAACAAAGAGAAGAAAAACAGGTCCAAGCCAAAGTCAAAGCAAGTCAATCGAAATCTGAGAAGAAAGAAAAGATTTCAAGAGCCGGGATCAGATAACTTGTGTGGTCCCCCGTTCACCTTCCACCCTTTCCATGATCTGGATCACGGCAGTTTGTTTATCAGATGGGGTCTTGATTCAGACTATATAAACCCTGCCCGGTAGTTCCCCCGAATCCTTTTTTCCCTTTCTTCCTCCTTCTTCTCTCTCAGCCGTTTCAACCACCAAGACCCCATTCCTTCAACCACACAACCACCATGCGTTTCTCCACCGTCGCCATTGCTTCCGCCGTTGTCGCCGTCGCCTCTGCTCAGGCCCTCGACCCCAACTACCCCTTCCAGCCTAACGGTGCTTGCGTCGATGGTTGCTTGACCGTACGTTTTTATTTTTCATCCCAATCAAGCTGTTTCGCCCTTTGTTTTCTTACAGCGTCAAGCAAGGGACAATCAAGGACATTTACGACAAAACGACAGACCGCCTGTTTCCAACTTTCATGAAAACGAAAAACAGCCTTTAACATCGTTTCCTTATGTTCTACTATTCTTCTCGTTGGACTCAATAGAAGGTCGGCAAGTCCATGTTCGCCGGGTTCACCAACGACCCCACCAGCCCCGACTTCATGGCTTCCCTCGCCTTTGCCCACGAGCGTGACACCCCCGCCTACAAGACCTACATGTCCCAGACCGGCATGTGCATCATGAACTGCCCCATGTCCGAGCAGGACCTTTACAACGCCCAGTACAAGGCCAAGGCTGCCTGGTACGCCGATAAGAAGGCTGGCGGCACCGGCACCTCCGGCAATGCCACCGCCCCCACGACCGCCCCCACTACCACCCCCACGACCACCCCCTCCGGCGCTGTTGCCAACTCTGCCTCTGCCCTCGTCGGTGTTGTTGCTGTCTTGTGCACCATTGCCCTCCTTTAAAGAAGTGTTCTTTTAGGATGACAACAAAACCAAAACCATTATCACATATCCCCATTGTAATTTGTAGAACATAAAATCCCATAATACTTCAATGCTGCGACACCCCGAATTCTCTGTTCTCTGATTGTCTGTCTTTTTAAGGGGATTTTAAGTTCAAAATTTTGAGTGACGTAATGAATATCGTATCCTCGCACTTGTAATCTTGGCTGGCTGATCTCTCTCGACTTGAGTCCCTTTTTTGTTCATTGTCCTTTTTTTTTCACTCCCATCACGTACCGACGCCCTCCCTGACCTTCCCATCACCATCAACCAAAATCCTGGGAACAGGGAAAGGTAATAATAAAATAATTGCCCATTCACCGTTACCGAGACATCATACCGCCACGTCACCTGCCATAGCATAACCAAACAGACAACTTGTGCAAAAGAAGAGTCTCGATTCATAATTAAAAGAGAGCAAGTGAATAAAAACGCGACAAAGGCAACTAACACGCGAAACCCCTTTGTCAACAGTCAACAACAATCACTTAGGACACAACCCGGGACACACCAACACTGGGGAAGAATACATTGCTCGGAAAGGGACGACCTCAACAATCATCACAACAGCATCACACCCTACTCATCCTCTTCCCACCCACCTTCCACGTCCCACCGCTCCCCACCCTCCACCTTATACTCGGTCATGGAGATGACGCCGACAGGCATCACGCTGAACGACCAGCAGAGGGACAGGATCGCTGGCCTGCTGGCCCTGGAGGTTCAGGAACTATCATCCATCTTTTTGCAACTCCAGGATGCAACCCAGGCTGCTGCGGCTTCGAACAAGCTCTTCCAGCAACTTGACGCTAGGGCAACCCAGCTTGCCGGAGCAGACTCCTGGAAAGTGGAAGCAGAGGAAGCCAAAGCCTCCCTTACAACGGAAAAGATTAATTATGGTATGCAACCCAGCCCCCCTCCTCCTCTTTGTCGACTCGAGGGATTCTTTCGTGTGGTTGCTGTCCCATCTGCCAAAGGACCGATTGATTAATGTATGGTCTGCCTGATTTTTTTATAGAGCAACGCCTCCAGCAACAGGAAACCAAGAATAATGCGTTCAAGTCCCAACTCACAATAACACGGCAAAAGCTTCAAGCAAAAACAAAAGAGGCAGAAGAGTCTGGTATGTCCTGATCGTTATCATGGATGCCCTTCTGACTTTTTGTTAACGATGTCGCCACAATGCATCTGATGTCGATAAACAAAAAAAGCGATTGTAACCCAATTTACATGCTCGTTCTTGAAAAAACAATAGCCGCCAAAAAATCTGAATTGGAGGCACAGCTGTCGAATCAACATAGCGGATCGATGCATGCAAATGTCGAGCTCGAGGCTTCCAAGGCAAGGATCGAGGCTCTTGAAGGCGAGAAGAGAGAGCTTGTCGCGGCTTTTGATCGGAAGGTGGGCGAACTGGAAGAAATGAACAAGGACTATCAGGCCATGTCGACTCGCTATCAGGAGCTCCGGAAAGAGTCGTCCAAGCTTGAATCTGAGGCGCGCGAAGCCAAGGCTGCAGATATGTCACGCAAGGTATGTCGTCAATTTCATTGAAAACTAGTTAGGAATATCATTGTTGTGGTTGCTTTGTAGTATAGAGCGCTGACTATGTATGTCTTTACACCTTAGCTTCATACGCAATCAGTGGAGCAGGAATTGGAATTGTTGAAGCAACGCGCAGAGTGGACTAACTCAGAATTGAAGGCAAAGTCGACAGAGTTCGCCAGTTTCAGGACAGACAAGTCGGCTCAGATTTTGAAGCTTCAGTCGGATCTCGATCAATCTCGTATGGAGGCGACATCAGCCAAGCAGTCCAACACCTTCCACGAGAGACGTGTCCAAGAGTTGCAGACAAAGCTCGATGAGTCAAACAAATTGGCCAAGGACCTCGATGAGAAGAAGCTTATTCAGGAGGAGCAGTTCAGAACTGAGATTGAGACTCAGAGACGTCTTGGTGAACTTTGGGAGCGTGAGGCCAAGGACACCAAGGGTCGCATTGCAGATCTTGAAGGTATTCACAACACCAGTGTGGTCTTGATGCACTGTGTCGTATTTTGCAAAGGATGTTAACATACTGGCATGCTTTGAACAAATAGAAACTCTGGATGATATGCAGCGCTCGCTCTCGGCCAAGGACTCTGAGTACCAAGAGACTCTTAACAGGATCTCGGAGGACAAGGTCGAGCTTCAGGTGCAATTGGAAAGGTCGTCTATTCAGATCACCCAACTCAAGGCGGAGCAGAAGCGCGCCGAGGAATTGCTGAGTAAAGCTGGACTTGTTGGCGCTCCTGGAGCACCTGGCCACGATCTCGGACCTGTAAGTTCACCTTTGTGCCTATCTTTTTTTTTTTTTTTTGCTCTGTAGCGTTTTCAAGAAAGCATCACACTCACACTCGCACATATTGTCCTTTTGTAATTATAGCTGGGAATTTTGTCACCTACTGCGGCTATTGCTGGACGCTCTCAAACAGCAGGACTGTCTCTCACTCAAGTTGTAAGTCGAACATCATGATTTGTGGTGGCGCACGGTGTGCATTCCGAACTGCTTAACGATCCCTAAACTAACCTTCACCTCTGTTTCCTCTTCTCGTGATAGTACACTCGCTACATGGACCTTCAAGCAGAGTATGCCCAGCTCAAGGCCGAGAACACTCGCTTGGAAACCTCGATGAATGATATTGTCACGGAACTCTCTGATGGAGTAAGTGCATACGTACATATCTGCTATCTAAGACAAACCATCTGATGTCATCAAACAAAGTATCAGTATTTGACGACAAGTTTTGACTCTTTTTTTTATAGGCTCCTCTCATTCGCGAGCAGCAACTAGAATATGAGCGCGTTAGCAAGCATAACGAGGAACTCTCGACTCAGCTGGAGACATGCAAACAAGAAAAGGAGCAGCTGGCCTATGGCGCAAGCCAAGCTGTGGCTCAATTGGATGGTGTGGTCAAGGAACGCGACTTGCTGCACAGGGAGAGCCAGGACATGGACCGTCAGGTTCAGAACTTGCTGTGGAGACTCAGGGCACCCAACGCCCCTCAGTCACTTGCTCCAGAATCGACCCTTCCTTCGAATAGTGAGGGATTGACGGATGCCGAGAAGGTTATTAACGATCATCTTGTGCTCTTTGCCGACCTTCAGAGTTTGCAACAACAGAACAAGAAACTCCGTCAAGCTGCCCGGGAGATGGCCCAGGAAAGAGAGAACGCTGAGGGTGCTCAGGCCCAAGCAAGGAGACAGGAGGAACAGGAGGCCCTCGAGGAGGCCGGAGTCATCATCGAGAGCATGCGCGAGCAGATTGGCAGCAAAGAGTTGCAGTTGACGACCTACAAGCAGGAAGTAGACATGTTGCGCCGCATCCTCAGAACTTCCAACATCCGCCATGTCCCCGCTACTGAAATCATCGAGACACCGGTCGCAGGGACATCAGATCAGCCAACGGAGACTGCAGCCCAAACCGTTAACGGTGACACTACCAACTACCCTGCTATCTTGACTGAGCTGCAAAAGACCTTTGACGACTACCGGACCCAGACCGTTATCGATATCAACCAACTCAAGGATGACCTTCAGCGAGCCCAGTCGGACAGTTCGAACCACAGGATCCAGCTTGGACAGGCCAATGCCCAGATCAAGGCCTTGAACGAGCACCAGTTGCGTTTGATGGAGAACAACAACCACCAGATGACCGAGATGACCGAACTCAGGAAACAGTACTCCACTCTGCACGAATCTGCGACGAGACGCGATATCTCGTACGAGAACTTGGCCTCCGAGCTCGATAGTGAACGCGAATCGGCCTCTCAGCTCACGGTAGAGGTGAACCACCTTAAGACGGAGAAGGCCTTGTGGAAATCTTTCGAGACTCGTTTGATTGAGGAGAACCAGGCGTTGGTCAAGGAGAAGGGCAACCTGAACGATCTCCTTCGCACTGTGCAGAACTTGACGACCGAAATCGAGCGCGGCAGCGAGGAGACCACGCGCCGACTTGAGAGCACAGTCACCAACAAGGAGCGGGAGGTCGAGACTCTCAAGGAGAAGTTGAAGGAGGAAGTCGAGTCTGGCAAGCGCCTGCGCGACCGCCGCGAGGTGGAGTCCAAGGAGTGGCAGGGCAAGATCGATACCCTGACTTCTGAGTACCAGACTTCCCGTGAAGCCCTTATTGCTGCCAAGACTTCCCTCGAGCACACTAAAGCCAAGGTTGATGACCTCACGAAGGAAATCAAGAGCCGCGAGGAGCAGCTGGCTATCTACCAGCAGAAACCTGCAGGCGCCGAGTCTACCGAGGCCAGCCGCGAAGAGCAGCTTATTGCCCAGGTCGCTCAGCTTCGTGGTGAATTGTCGCGTCACCAGGCCGAGGCTGCTAGCAACCGCGAGCACCTCGCTCAGTTCCAGGCCATCAGTCAGACCAATGAGGATCGTCTTGCAGAGATGACGGCTACTTTCGAGGAGTTCAAGAAGTCCCACGACCAGAAGATAGAGGAGAGCGCCCAGACCATCAAAACCCTGGAGACCAAGTTGGCAAGTGCAGAGGAACGCGCACAGACCTCAGCCTCAAACATGGTGGATATGCAGAACCAGGTCGATCAGGAGCGTTCGGCTTGGAGGAAAAACAAGGAGGAACTCGAGGCGAGGTTGCAGTCGCTGGAGAACATCAAGATCCAGATGAACGCTGTCGAGAACCGGTACAAGAACGAGCTCCGTCACCAGGGTAACCTTACCAGGGAGGCTCACGAGAACTACGAGCGCGAGCTGATGAACCACGCCAAGGACATGGAAGCACTCACCAAGCTCAAGGAGAAGCACACCATGCAGACGACTGAGTTGGAGAGGTTCAAATATCAGGCCGAGAATGCCGCGTCCAACCTGCAGTCGGCCGAGATCGCTTGGGAGGGACAAAAGTCGATCTTGCAAAAGAACTTGTCAGAAGTCGAGAAGCGCTGCACCGAGCTCAAGGACCAGAATGAGAAGCTCCATCGTCACTTGGAGGACGTCAGTGCCCAGGCTTTGTCTATTCAGCAACGTGCCAATGCCCAAGTCTCTTCTGTTGAGACTGGAGAGGGCGCTTCGACTACTGACGGCGAGAATGACGTCAAGGAGTCTCCCGAGCGTCAGCTGGCCGAGTTGCGCGACGTCATCCGCTATGTCCGTCGTGAGAAGGAAATTTTGGAGTGCCAGCACGAATTGAACCTCCAGGAGTCCCGCCGCCTCAAGCAGCAGCTTGATCAGACCAACAAGTCGCTCGAGGAGACCCGTGCCTTGCTCTCGGATGAGCGCAACCTCCAGCAGGAAGCTATTGTGTCCAAGGAGTTGCGTGAGCGCTTGACCGAGAAGGCGAACCAGCTCAGCGTCATTCGCGACAGCAACACACTTCTTCGTGCCGAGAACCAGAAGTTGCTCCGACAGGTTCAAGTTTTGGAGAGCAATGGTCGCCATCTGTCGGCCAAGATTGGTCCACTGAACGCACGCGTCCTTGAGGTGGAGGCCGAAATTGAGCTCAGGAAGCAAGAGCAGACGCAGATTGGCGAGGACAGAGACCGCTGGAGAACGAGGGCTGTCGAGATTATGGCCAAACATGACCGCATTGATCCAACCGAGTTCCAGGAGCTCAAGGATGCCAATGAAAAGTTCAAGATCGAGGCAGCTGAAAACGCAACGGCGCTGGCTGCGCTGAAGACTGAACAGGAGGCCCTTCAAGCTCGTGTGGAGGAGACCCAGGGCAAGCTTAACAAGATGACTCAGAACGCTCAGCTTTGGCGCAAGAGGAGCTTGGAGGAAGCTACCAAGCTCAAGACCAGCCATCAAGAGGTTGAGGATTCGAAAGCTAAGCTCACGCAGCTGGAGAAAGCATTGGAGGAAGTCAACACTAGAGCTGGCTCGCAGGATCAAGTCAGCAAGCGCGACAGAGAGAATGTTCAGAAGTCGCTTGACCAACTGTCGAAGCTCAAAGAGAAGCTGGAGACTGAAAACAAGGAACTCAAGGATAACAAGGAAGTGATTGAGAAGAACTTTGAGACCATCAAGGTAAATGACAACTCTGTTTTGTAAAATGTTTTTGTCGCGAGATGTGATGGAAAAAGAAGTCTCTGTTTTAACAATTCTTATCATTTTCATTGTTTATCTCTAAACAGGACCGCCTTCAACTCAGCATCGCCCGCAACAAGCAGCTTGTCGCCAAGTCGGTATGTTCTCGTTCCTGATGCAATGATTTCTTATTATTCTTAATATTTGCCCGCCATGCTAATGTTGATGGTGTAATCGATTGATTGCGTTATTAGAGAGAGCTGCAGGCTCAGAACAAGACGCTGACGGAAGGAGGAGCTGTAGCCGCGACACCAGCGGATACTCAGGCACTTGTCGATGCTGCCGTTAAGGAGAAGGAGGCGGAGTTGGAGAAGAAGTATGCGTCACAGGCAGCACAGGCAGCACAGGCCCCAGCCCCTGGTTCTTTGACTCCAGCAGAAGTCCAATCCCGGATAGACGAGGAGAAGAAGAGACTGGTGACAGAATTGACACACAGGCACGAGGAAGCGATCAAGAATCGCGACAAAATGGCTGAGATGCGACAGCAGATCAAGATCCAGACCAAGGACAAAGAGATTGCCAACCTCAAAGCCATCCTAGCCGCTAACGGCCAACCTGACGCTTCCAAGAAGACCCCTCTCTCCACTGGCGCTACTGCCTTCACACCGACCCAACCTGGCGCTGGCTCCATGCGACCACCTGCTCTTGGTCGCGGCGCACGACCACCCCCAGGAGGAGCACTCGCCCCATCGCCAGGTAACTCTGCACCGGCAGCCCGTCCTGGGGCTGGCCTTCCTGCCCGACCTGGACAAGCGAATGCACAGCTAAACCAGACTCCTGGCCAGTCACGCCTTCGTCCACCATTTGGCGCGCGGAATGCAGCTGCCATTTCGAACGCCACAGCTCAGCCAACAGCCACAACTGCAACTCCAGCCTCGAAACCTGCCGCTCCTGCTGAGACCACAGTTTCTGAACCTGTACCTACGATCACTGCCACTCCAGCGCCAACACCAGTCGCACCTACATCTGCCCCCCTCGGTGGGCAGGCCTCAAGGCCGGTTCTGATCAAACGTCGCCGCGAAGATGACTTGCCTACCAACCTTTCACAGGCCGTTACCGCTCCCGCGACTACTACCTCGCCCGATGCTGCTTCAGAAACGAGCAGTCCTGCAGGTGATTCAGGCGCCGCATCTGCAGCACCCGAGGCCAAGGCCATGTTGCTCAAGCGACAGCGACCATTGCCCGTCGTTGAAAGTGCCTCGAGCCCCACTTCCGCAGCTGTGACAAGTCCCTCGGAACCTAAGGCCCAGGCAGTGAACATTCAACGGAAACGAGTGACATCTGTGGTGGATACCTCCGAATCTCAGACTGTTCAGGAGACGATTGCTCACGAAGCCCATGGAGAAACTGAGACCATCACGCACACGGAAATTTTGACGACCGAGACTTTAACGGCTCCTTTGTCTGCTGTGCCCCATGGTCAAAAGCGTCGTCATGAGGCAACGGAGAGTGTTCAAGAAAACATCACTGTTGTCTCAACACCCAACCCCTCGGATCTTGAGGAGCTGGAGGAGGTCCTGACGCCAGAGGCAGCCCAAGAGTCCACAGCTATGGATGTGGACGAGGTTCCCCCTGTCAAAAGACAGCGACCTAGCAGCCAAGTGACGGTGACTGAGATTGAGGAGGAGCATCCTGCATCTCCAAAGGAGTCATCAGCAACAACAGCCTTGCCTACCACTCCTGGGCCGATGACTGACCTTGAAGACACTGACATTGAGGAGCACGGAACGGAAGTCACGACAACAGCAACAGGAGAGGTTGAGTCTGACGGATCAGCAGAGACCAAGGCGGTGGACGAAGATGTGCCAGAGATGTCCGCCGGTGCAACTACGGCAGCAGATCACTCATTGGAGGAAGATCTTGACGAGGGACTTGAAGGTGGTTTTGAAGCAGGAGCAACGACGGACCTGGGTGCAGAGGAAGAGGAAGAGGTGCACACACCCCAGGGCACGTATGCTGAGGAGGGAGAGCTGGATCTTGATCTCGAGGGTCACCGGGACCAGGACCCCGAAGGAGAGGGTTCAGAATCGACAGTTTAGAAAGGGGGGAGGTGATAGAGAGGAAACCGTACATTAGCACACGCACAACCACAAGCACCAGCAAAAGAAAGAACTATTCATTTCTCTTTTCCAGGACATGCGAGAATCCTAGCCTCATGCTAGAGACGGGTTGGGTGGGCAGAGAGTGGGGGCTAGTGTGTGTTGATTCCGATATCCGTTTTATCCTGAGTTAGGCATTACAGCTGTCTTACCATGTCTTCATGTAATATACTCTTTTTTCATTGTAACCTTTGCTGCTTGCATTGCCTTCTCTTGCCCTTACTTCACCAGTTGCTTATACATTCGCCATTCATCCGTCGCTCCATCACGTTTGTTGCATTCATCATCGTTCATTTCGCTCGTTGACAGGTTTTAGTTGTTGCTATTTTGCGAATTTGATTTTCGTATATCCTTCCCACTACAACAACCTCCTTGTACCTGAACTTGGCCCCTGCCAATCTCTCTCACACATACATATCTGACCCTCAATGACGCTATCAAAGATCCCTATTCCTGTTACACGAGATCGACAACAGCAACGACCGCTACTGACTGCCGTCAATCCCCTTACGCCCAACAAACACAACTCCACAACGTCCCAAATATCATCGACATCTACCTCATCAGCACCCTTCACGAACCGAGGCCTTCAGGAACCACCCAAACATAATGTCAGTATCAATGGCAACTCTGTCGGGCAACAACAGAGGTCTCGTTCTGCCTCTGATAGCTTGTCTGTAATTTTTGCCGGTTCGTCTACCTCTACAGCGTCGCCTGGTAATCATGATGTAGGGAATATCGTCGATTCAACAGTGCCTACCACGGCAGATAAGAAAGGTGGTCACAGCCAGCCTGGACAACAACAACAACAGCAACAGCAACAGCAACAGCAACAGCAACAGAAGCAGCAGAGATTGAGATTCGAGTCGTGGAACCACGGTTGTATTCAGGGTCGTGGAGAGGTGGCCCAGAAGGACGATCAGGAAGCGGATGATGCCTTCGAGACGAAGAGTTCTTCAGAATACCATTTTCAGCATCAGTCTTATAGTTGGCAGCAACCACAACCACAACCACAACCACAACAAATACAGCATCATCAACAACAGCGACAGGTACCACATAATGGAGAAGGTGGTCGAGACACGGGCACTACAGTTGGCAGTCGGAGATGTGTGCTGGAGCAGGAGCGAATCGGGAATAGCAGAGATGGAGACAGTAGCGGTGGTGAGGAAGATGAGGAGGAGGGACAGCGAGAGTCGCCGACGACATCTATCCCCGGATCATGCGTCTTCACAGACTTCCAGGATAATGAGGAAGACGAAGGAGAGGAGAACTCTCAGGAGGGACAGCAATCCAATAACCGCACTGTTGTTGGAGGGATGGCAACTCTGGCTGGTCAGGGGGATCATCCTATTGGTGCGACGGCAGGAGTTGCAAGAGTTGAGCGAATGCATGAAGTTCGAGAGGCTACCCCTGCGACACTCAGAAAGTGCCAAAGCACTCATGTTTGTAAGTATCACACCCTTTTATCGCGTGTAGTTCTGTCGCGTGTTTATTTGAACCGTTTGTAAACTGAAGCCTAAATGTTGATCGCGTCTTTGTTTTTGTGTTTTTTTTTGTTGGTAGATTTCTTGGACCATTACATCGATCTTCTGAGTTACCTAAAGAAGCGGCAGGAGCGAGTGCAAGAGTTCAAGAAGAACCTTGCTCGACAACACGTAAGTTTTGGCTTCTCGATCATATATCCTCGATCTCGTCTACAGTTGGGGTACTCTAAATCCCACTAAGCATACGTTATCTATGCTTCTTTCTGCATGTAGAATCGATCGGAGCAAACGGACAGCAGGGCACGGGAAGAATTTCGCCAACAGGAAAGTATGTTCCTCCGCCAACGCCGGACAAGAACACAGGCTATCCAATTCCAGATCCTGACCCAAGTAGGGCAAGGCGGATTCGGGGAAGTCTTCCTAGCCCGCAAGACAGACACGAACGAGCTCTGTGCGCTGAAACGCATGTCTAAGAAAAGCCTCCATCTCCAAGACGAAGTACAGCACATTCTGACCGAACGCGATGTCCTGACATCGACCAAATCCGAATGGCACGTCAAGTTGCTGTATTCGTTCCAAGATGCCGAGTATGTCTACTTGGCGATGGAGTTTGTCCAGGGTGGGGACGTACGGACAATGTTGACGGCTAGAGGTGTGTTGAAGGAGGAGGACACGAGGTTATATTTTGCAGAGATGGTGATGGCGATTGATGCATTGCACCAGCAAGGGTACATCCATCGAGATTTGAAGCCGGAGAATTTCTTGGTTGATGCCGGGGGGCATATCAAGTTGACAGATTTTGGATTGTCGAAGGGGCAGTTGGCCGAGGGTCGGATTGAGGTCATGAAGGCCAAGTTGAAGGAGGTCAAGGATAGTATGGAGCCGACGGTGCCGGTGCTGTTGAGACGTGGTGGGGGAGGATCTTCGGTGATGGGTCATGGGCTTGGGCAAGGGTTGGAGGGTGGGATGATGTTGGGAGGTGGAGGAATTGGAGGAAGGTTGGGAGGTGCGGGAGGAAGTTTTGCGAATTTGAATGGGATCTTGCATAGGTCTCCGTCGCACATGATGTGGAATGGTGGAAACGGATCCATGTCGAATTTGGCACCAACACAACCGCCTCCAATGATCGGGAACAATAGTCTGTTGAACTTGCACGCAGGAGGAGGAGGGTCGACCAGTAACTTGACGGCAGTCGGTAGTGGTATGGGTTCTTTGGGGACTCCACAGATGCGACATCGACAACTTTTGCACCAGCATCACCATCAACAGCAACAATACCACAACCAACAACACCAACAACACCAACAAGCCCAGCAATCCCAACAACAGTCTCAGCAACAAGGAAGCAATAACATCGAGTACAAGAACGAAGGCATCCGCCGCGCATTCTCAATCGTCGGGTCCGCAGACTACATGGCCCCCGAGATCCTGACCAGCCAAGGTTACGACTATGGAGTCGACTACTGGTCGCTGGGCTGTATCCTGTTCGAGTTCCTGTGTGGGTACAGTCCCTTCCAGGCCGAGGACACGCGACAGACGTGTGTGAATGTGTGGCATTGGCGGCGGGTGTTGAAGAGACCTGTTTATGATACGGAGGAGAATCTGGAATTTAATTTGACGGATGATGCGTGGGATCTTATGACGAGGTAAGTTGATGTTGCTGCAGGTTGTTGTTTGTTGGTAAACGCGTGGATGGTGGATGGTGGAGTGTGGAGTAAGAGGCGAATGGTTTAGTAGAGCATGCAGGGTTGAGTAGGAGAGCATTTCTTTTGACACTTACTTTTTCACTAACGAACATGACCTTATTTGTTGTGATGGATATGGTTAGGCTGATTACGGACAGGGACGAGCGATACACAACGTTACAACAGGTCAAGGACCATCCATGGTTTGCCGGTTTAGACTGGACCAAGTTGCGAGACATGGTAAGTCAGTCAGCCAACTTCCCACGCCATCCACACTCTGATTGAAAAGGGAGAGGGTGAGAAAATAGGGCGAAGGGAGCAATGATTTGAATGACCCAAAATAGAGCGAACAAGATCGTCATGTTTGCTGTCTCCCCCTTTTGGGTCTAACACACACACCCTATGCCTATGCAAATGTAATAGGAGGCGAGCTTTGTGCCGGTGCTGTCGACGCCGATGGATACGAGCTACTTTGACGATTTCTCGAATCCGGAGGATATGGTTTGGTATAAGGATGTGTTGTTAAGGCAGGCGCAGGTTGAAGATGCGGAGGAGAAGGCAGCCGAAGCTGAGCGGGGACAGGAGCCTTCTTCTCGGATGGATCGAGGTGGCGATAACGCGATTGGGTGCGGAGTTGGTGGTGATGGTAGTTCGGGGCCATTGCCGTATATTCTGAGAGACCAGGACCCGTGGAAGAGTTCGTTTGTCGGGTTCACGTTTCGGCACCAGCAGCAGTGTTGAGATGCGAATTGGCCTTGAAATAAAGGGGAAAGGAAGTCACACACTAAAAGTTTTCCCTTCCATCGGTGCGATAAGCATCCGTCCCCTTCTGTGTCCCTTTACACTTTCACTTTGTTTGTGTCAACTGTCAAGAGAGCTGATCTCACACTCCTCCATCAGCTGCAACAGTCCCGCAGCACTCATATTGTCATCACCACCCCCTTTGCTTCCTTACATCAACATACTCGTTCAGGCACCATCCTTCCTCCTTCCTCCTTCCTCCTTCCTCCTCCCTCCTCCCTCCTTCCTTGTTGGCCATCGCCAACTAGCATCCTTTCCACCCTTGTCACCCTCAACCACAGCAACCAAAAGACCACACATTCAACCAAAGAAGAGATCACCTCCCATTGCGTCTGTTCTCCCGTTTAGTGTGCGCCCTTGTTGCTGTTGTTATTTTACGGCCCTCCTTTCTTCTTCCTCTTCTTCTTCTTCTCCACACTTTTCACACCTTCTTCCCTTCTTCTCTTCTGTCTCCTTCCTTTCCGTCAACAACGTCAACCCCCTGCCCCTTCCTTCTTCCCTTCTTATCCCTCGTCTTCCTTCCTTTATTCCTCTTCCTCACACTTGCGCTCACAGCCACCGCCACTGCTTAGACTGACATCGTATCCTCGTGGCGTTCATTTTCAACTCCACCCCCTTCTCAAAACACACCCACTGTAACTGCCCACGGACAACAACACCCAAAAGCCATCCTTCTCTTCTCTTTGCCAACCCTACTCTATCCAACCAAACCGATATGAGCCTTCCTCGCCTGGTCGCATGCACCTCCGTCATCTTGGCTCTGTCCACCACCTGGACCTCCTCTCCTACCACAACCCTCACCTCCGCCCTCTCAACCGTAGCCATGTGCTCCTCCGCCCTCTTCTACCTTTATTATCACACTCGCCAACGTACCTCTTCTTCGTCTTCCTCGATAGCATGGGCTTGGGGACTCCTCTCATCCACACCAGCAACAGCAAGCACAACAAGAGAACAACAACCAGCGCGGTTTATCACTCTCGATTTCCTATCATCGCAACCATCTTCAGCAACATCATCAACCTCATCCAAGCAGTCAGCCCAGCCTCCCTTCCTCATATCGTCGTCAAACGACAACCACAGCAACAAAAGCCCAAGGCTAACAACAGCAACAACGACGACGGCCTCAACGACTGCTCTTGCGCAAAATCATCATCGCCCGCAGTCAATGGGAGAACAGACGCACGAGCACTCGAACAGCAACAACAGCAACAACGGCTCTCAGGGTCACTTACCGACAGCAACATCACCATCATCGGAGACGACACATGCTGCTGCAGTAGGAGCAGAGACAGCGGGTGTAACCTCCACTGATCATCCAAGAGCCGGATTGTCCGCTTTAAGAACTGTTTCCAGCGAGACCCTCGAAGCCGTCCGCACGCATCCCGATGACCGGATATGGGACCATATCATTGTCGGAGGTATGTGTTTACCCACTATGCTACATTAGTTTTCTTTTTTTTTCTTCTTTGATCGCAAGGCTTAGGGAGCTAGCCCTTGCTGCAGTGTTTTGGTCAATCTCTTTCTTTTTCCTTTGTCTTTCTTTTCATTCTGGACGAGCCAAGAGTGATTCCTCCTTCTTTCACGTGGAGTGTGCGCTTGTTTTTTGTTTTTTTGTCGGTCTTTGTCAATGCCTCACTTGTGACTAAGGTTCTTTTGTTCTTACTTTCTTATTTCCCCCGTCCTTCTTTCTCCTTGATTTGTTTTTCCCATTCCGCAGATGGATACGAGGTAAGCCAATCGACGGTCTCAATGCACCCTGCCCGTGACAATTGCATCGATGTTTTGTTTGTGCATTGCTTCTTTGAACTCGTTCAGCCACGGATACAACACGCGCGTTTGCATGGACATTAACAATTATCTTTCCCCCATCTTGCTAATGTGCTTTCATCATTCCTTCCTTCCTGTCGGTCAATCCGATCCGGTCTACTTGACCCTTTTCCGTGCGTTTCATTTCGGATTCGAAAAATAGGGACTCCAATCTGCACACCAGCTGGCTTTAATACACCCGACCAGAACAATTCTGGTCCTACTACAGCAGGACATCCAACCCAATGTCGTACAGACCGTCGTGCAGTGGTCCCAACAAAGATTGGTGAGTTTTTTCTCCTTTGTTGTTTTTTCCAGTGTAGATGGGCGTTTTTATTCGTTGCAAATCTATCATGCGGGGTCATCCACGACATCCACAGCGACAAGTTTGAAATCGGCGCTGATACCCTCTGCCTTGTTCTTATCTTTCCTCGCTCTCTTTTCATCTATATCAATATTGATTCGAATCGATTTGGGTCAACAGACAGAGCAGGCGCAAAGACTGTGGACATTGGAAGCTCTTCAAGCATTACCGCACACACAACATACCCCTGCCCAGTCGACGACAATGACAGGGTCCCTGCTCGACAAGGTAACAATACCTTCGCATTCAAATTGCGATAAGACAAATGACTGAATCGATTTCTCTGAGTGCTCACCTAACTTCTCTGTATTTTGTATGTGAATGCCGCTAGTCAAAACCTGTTGATATCCATTTACTCCCACCCAACATCAGCATCGGCTCTGGACTATGCGCTACTAGGATCTTGACCGACCAACCAGTTAGCAACTCTCAACCTTCATCTAATTCTACGGATTCACCAACCCCTTCCCCAGTCATGAGATTGAACGGCATTGGTGGAAGTCAACAAAACATCCTGAAAATCGACACTACACCTCTGGCAACTCCTCGTGCAGTAGGACTTGAAGTTAAGGGCATGCACAACATCAAAGGTGAGGAAAAGAAGACTCATGTTTCGCAAGTGTCATAAGGTTATCTTTTCTCAGGGGTGGCAAAGATGTGTTCCATGAAACTAATCTACATGCTTATCTCTGTACTGTCCACGTGTGACCATTCATAGGTCCCTGCTGCCAATTATTCTGCAAGACGAACATTGTTTTTGCAAATCACAAACACCCCCTCCTCCTCACCCTCAATACAATCACAACGCCACCCACCAGCTCAGCATGGAGGCGAACTTCATCGGACATGGCAGAAGATCCCTCGCGCTTGCCCAGGATGGTGTTTTCGATCAGGATGCAGTATTTTCAACAAAAGGAGTCACCCCAGCGGAGGGCCGAGCAGAGTTATTACCCGCCCTCATCAAACGCTTTCCGTCGCCTACTGGCGTCTACCTCCTCGATGTTGGACAGACTCGCACAGGGTTCAAAGAATGGGGTATCAAACATCATTCTGAGCAAGGGACTTCAACTCCAACCAATACTGTTGCACCAATCGGACCATATTGTGCACAATGGACGTGTCGGACCAAAAGCAGAGGACGGCGAGGTTGAAGGGACGTTCACGTTGGAGATTTCTGCATCCAGGACCTCTCTCGACATTCCGACACCGATTGAAGTTCACATCGACGTGATTACCCAGCCAATGCCCAAGAACACGTTCGGGAACACGGAAGCGATCCGCAATGGCGAGGCTGTCTTGATCGATGGACTGGTCATGGCTAGGAGTATGGCTCAAAGGGCTGGATGGACTTGTCAGGAGGAGGACGAATCCGAGATGATTGAGTGGGTGCGTGACCAAATGGATATCCAATGGCTCTCCGAGACGACTACCGATCCAGATGTGTTGATGTCGGTCTGTTCAACGATCGACTGTATTAAGAAGTTCAAGCGGGCAAGGACATTCTCCAACGGTAGCATCCGAGTCAGGACACCCAACCTTTCGCCCTATGCGTCTCGCACCCATTCATACCATGGCAAGCAGAAAGAGGACCTTGGACTCGGCATCCGACTAGACACGACTCTCTCGCGACTGCACGAGGTATCGGCCAACCTCAAGGAGCACAAGGCCACTCAGTCGGACGAAGCAGGGGATTTGTTGCACGCCAACGATGCGAACGGCGAGAACGACAAAGGACTGTCGCCACGTCAGGTCGAGGAAAATGGCGCTTCCAAAGTCAGCATCGTCGCGGCCGAGAGCGGAGCAGCCAAGCGACCTCTCAAGACATCCTTTGGCGGTTTCTCCTCGCTCAACGAATCTCGGTCTCAGACTTTAGCCCTTGCAGAGATGACGGAGGATCATTTGGGACTTGCTCTGTCGGCTCCTAGCCCGCCTGTCGGCTCCTCTTCTTCCACGAGCTCCAAGGATTCTACAGTTCAGGAAAAGTCATTGGGAGTATTCAGTGATGGCGTCACCACGTCCGAACTGCTTGGTACAGTGGAGACTGCCAAACCCAGCCCACCTCCTGGACGGAGTCTGTCTCGATTCAGCATCAAGAGCTATCAGCTGGAGCGGAGCAATCATGGCCTGGGTAACGAGTGGGCGCTTGGAAACGTGGATTTGCCACTGGGATCATCGGCACCATCCAAGGGTGATTTCTTCTCGTCGCCACCACTTTCTATTGAACGACGGTCATCAGGAGGCATCTCTCCGTTGAGCCCTTCGCCTGCCACATTCCAGACGACAGACTTTCTGCAGGATTTGAACGGTCGTGCGAGCCCCAATGTCAATGGGCTTGGTGTCCACACTGGGTCTGGTGCTGCTGCGCTCGAGGAGCCTGCCAAGAGATCGTCCCAGGGAAGCAACACTATCGACAACGGCAGCAGGAGAAGCTTCGGGGTCTTTGGGCCACGGAGCAATAGCGGGATCAGCAAACCGGGCGACCTTGGCAGATCAGTATCAAGTGGCGACAACAAGGGCAGGAAGAGCCCAACCCAACTCTTGGAGGAGCCTGTGGAACTCGTTCCTGATTTCTTGGGAAGCACGTTTGGATCACCCAAGACATCGACACCTGCGACATTTTCCGATACCATCCCCGACTTTTTGGGTGCCAGTTTCGGATCGCCCAAGTCTCCTCCTTCATCAACTTTTTCCTCGAGTGCTGTGCCAGACTTTTTGGGTGGCAGCTTTGGATCGCCACCTAAACGCGGATCATTCGTAAAGTTGAGTGACACGGACCAGTCGCTGGAGCGGAGCCATTCTAGCCCTAGTTTTGTTGGATCGGCCAAGGTGGTTCATTTCGCTGATATTGACGCTACGGACAAGTTGCAGAGGAGCGAGTCGGAACCTGCTACACATTCGCTTGGTGGGAACAATGGATCTGGTTCTGGTTTTGGAATCAGTGATGAGGCTTCGCGCAGGAGTAGCGGCAGTAGTGAAGGCGATGGCGAGTCGGGATTGCCCAGGAGACCGTCATTGTCCAAATCCAAGGCGCACACTCGGCGGTCTTGGGGCCAAGGGATTGGAGGGCACGACATCCAAGGCATTCAAGGCCTGGAGTAATCTCGTTACTTGTAATAAATGTTTTGCTACAATACAGTACTATACTCAAGTAAAAACTTGGAAATATGAAGTTGTGAGGGATCGACTGGCACAAAGAAGGTCGTTCAGGGGCCTAAACACAAGATCAAGTTGGGCGAAGCCACCTTAGCTGGGGCAATTTTGATTCAGGGTTCTAATTTCCTTTGTTTTTGGGGGTGACTGGAATCAATTCTCTTCTGGCTCCTCTTGTCGAAATGGAAACATTGCACAATCCAAAGTACGATCCAGTCAATTGAAAAGAATAATAATTATAAACCACATCATGTTCTGTGATCCTCATGTCTGACAACAAAAACGCATTGGGCAAAAACGACAGAGCATTTGTACGTAGGTTTTGTTGCATGAACAAGTATTTATGTAAAGAGAACGGATCCCTTAATCCTAATAGTTCTTTTTTTGGAATCGACATTAAAAGTACACGAGGAAACAAGAGATGCAATGATTATCCTTGGGAGTTTTGTAAGGTGGTCCTATGAGAGTAATAGTTCTTTGCGGTGATTCTTATGAGAAGTGTACGGCTCGAGGCTCCAAGGAGAGTAGAATAGGCAGGGAGAAGGACAGAAGAATCTGCACCCGTGTTTGGTGAGGGTGAAGACTTTGTAGGAAGGGACAATTGACTCTATTTATGCGTAATTTTTGTGCACAAGTGAAAAATAACGCCAATGTATAACCGAAAGGCGCTAAAAGAGTCGATTGTTCACTTGCAATACTGTACAAGAGTTGGTCAACAAACTCACAGTCCCAAAGAGGAGTATGATACGCATGGGCGTTACATGCAGATGTCGAATCGTACATCTGTTCCCTAACTTGGCAAGGACATTCGTAGCACCCTGGCTAGCAACATTCCATCGAAGACTAGCATGTACCTTCGCGCGTAAAGATAGTCCTGTCTCGCGATATTACCTCTCCGACATTCTTTGTCACTTTACGTTATCAGATCGTGACAAGATACAAAGTAGAGTTGGGAGTTGACATGTTGAGCCTTAGTTGTACATAGCAATGACGTTTTTATATTTCGAGTTCGTAAATGAGAGCGTTAACTTACGCCACAAGATAAAGAAAAGATAAGGTATGCTGGTGTACCACTCCTTGGTAAACAAAGAAAAGCAGATTAGGGTTAATGGGTCGACTCTCTCCGTAGCCATTTCGCCTGCAACAGGCAAAACATGGATAGAAGTTCTCTATCTTTTCTACATGTGAGCATGAATTAAGACGCTTTCTTTCCAGCCACGAGAAAAAAAAGATATACTTGTCTATCATTCCTTGGCACGAAGAGACGGAGATTTGGGCTGTTGTTTTCGACTGTCTTTCAAGACTTCCTCTTTTTCTTAGTGGATGACCATTTACATTTTTGTTACATGCAATGAAAGGCCTCCAGCCATTAAAGCCACGGCCTCCAACAAGGATAAGCTTACATACGGACTATATGCGCCCCTAAAACTCCCCCCTCATAAGCGACGCGTCTCCGAAAGCACAAGCCTCGTTAATTTTCTGACTGAATAACATTTCGATTCATTTAAACGATTATTTTTTTTGGCCGTACCATATCCTGCTGGACGAAAGGAATTACTGAGTTGACAGATGGATGACTTTCTAGGCTGTTGCTATCATTAGGCCACTTAGCTTCTAGCTTTTTCACATTCACCACCAGGAAAAAATATGTTGATTCTTGTTGATGAGATCTGTTGTTCCATCCTCCCCCCCCCACCCCCCACCCCCTAGACTGACGCTTTCGCTCAACCCGTCACTTCCGTCTTCATGCACGCCTTTTGTGTCATCGTTTTTATTTCCCGCTGTGTTTTTCCCGCTTCAGGTGGCGTTTATTTGTTAATGTTCAGGGTAACATAAAAAGAGGGTCAAGGGACGATGGTGATGACGGTGATGGTCAAGGAAACTGTGAAGGACAGGCAGAAGAGGGATCGCAAATATGTGCATTGGAGGGGGTAATGGTAGTAGCAGTTGTCGTAGACTGGGACGCGAATCTCTTCTTTGGGAATAGCTGCACGGCGGAGCCATCAGCCACAACTTTGTGAGGACCCCGCGCGAGCGATGTTGTTGAAGGATTGTAAGTAAGAACTGGTCGTTGTGATCGAGATGAGATGGTGGTGGTGGTAGTGGCGACAAAGCTCGGAGAGATCGGGACTTGATCTGGTGGTAGGATTGGTGATGATATAAATTCTTCGGTAGTGAGTGGGCTACCTGTTTGTCTTTTCTTCGCTCCGTTCCGTCCATGCTGAAGGTGGCGGAAGGAGTCAAAGTAGAGCCGATCGGGAGTTGTCCATGTCGAAGAGGACGGTGTATCTGGTGCGCTCAGGTTGTTGTGATTAAATGTCAGAGAGATGGAGGATAGATCGAGCTGGGAAGGTTGAGGCCGGAAGATGACGGGAACGGTAGGCTGCGTGCTTTTGTTCGGATCCACGTTAGATGTTGTTGTTGGCGCTGTTGCTGTGGTCACTCTTGCTTCTGTTATTGCCATTGCTGCCGATGTTGTCGTAGACTTTAAGGGAGAGGGTGCTGATCGTTGGTCGCCATGCGCACAATGGCATGCGTTGTGACTCTGAACGCCGTTGTCGCTCCAAGTGATTTGGTGGTTGACTGACTGGACCGGTAGTTGTGGTTCAGGGTAGAGAACCTTGATTCTATCCCTTGCGAGAATGGGATAGACAAATGAAGGCAAGTCGTGTTTACTTGTTGGAGGAAGCGGCGACGACATGATGAATGTGCTGGTTCTGACCCGACGACGTTGACGAAAGACGACAAAAAACACTACAGCTGACAAGAGACACAGCGCAACAACAACGCTGCCTATGGTCACAACCCAAAAGACTGGAGGTTGGTTGTTGTTGATGTCGTTGCTGATGGCGGCTGGGGCGCTTGGCTCGCTACCTCCAGCACCAGTCTCGTTTCTTTCAGCACTAATCTCACTTGCATTGTTGGCACCTTGATCCAAGGTAATGATCTTTCTTGGCGGTAGTAGTGGCGATGCTGTTGCTGGCTCTGACGATGGGTCGACCAGCCCAGATCCTGTCCAAATCCCAGTAACGGTGTCAAAGAGATTGAACCTCGCAGCGCCAGTTGTTTGATCCAGTGAGTAGATTACAATCTTTTCACTGGTGCCAGAATACTCGTCCAATACTGTCCCCGCCATGTTTTTGATGAAAGGAGGCACGTTCCCCTTTGTCGCCACCTTCACCAATTTGGGCGAGCTATCGGGTCGCAAGGAATAGACTACCGTCAAGTTGTTAAGTGTCTATTTGGTCAAAAAAAGGTGAACAATTGAACCATCGCGTTTTAGCATCTTAACGTTATTGTTGAGCATGGTTCTGGAGGCGAAACCCATAAAAAAAAATTTGAACCATAACATTTTTTGCACTTTGTGGCGCGTGAGTATTCTCGAGAAAGTACGCGAACCATCAGGTCCAGAGATAATGCATTTGAAGAATACAAACAAAAAGGATCCCTCCTTCACAAATTGTCACAACACTTGATTACTCGTCTTACCTGGTCAAGAATGAAAGCAATGTTCTGCGCACTAATGGGAATTGCTTCGGAAGTCAGGGTGGCACCTCCACTGTCAATCGGTTGCTTTTGCCCGCTATAAAGCCAGGCGATGGGAGCATTGACTCCAGTGGGGTGGCGTACACTCGACGCCCTGTATAGATATCCGGTGCCGTCCTTGTCATATACGACGAGATCTCCGTTGGCGTTCGTTGTAGAATATGCTCCAACGGCCAACATGGGGAACGGCGGTAAATTTGTTTGTCCTTGATCACTGAGTCGTACCATGGAGTTAAAAAACGAAAGAATAGATTGTGAGAGGAGGAAAAGGAAGAAAGGGTATCGCGCTCATAGGTGTCGAAAGGCTATGTTCATAGTAAAAGGAAGATATATATCATGCACAAAAAAAAAAGAATAGATGAACGTACGTTACAATTATGTTGCTGGTGTTCCTGAAGACACCAACCCACCCTTCCTTCTCCGCCGGTGCGCCACTGACAACATCCGCGACAGTAAAAGCTGCCCAGGCGACTGCATAATCGTCCCGCTCCTGAACCTGCGTCGTCGCAAAAAGCTTGGATGTCTTGAACTTGACCATCGACAGGTCAAACACCTGCTGAAGCCCAAAGGAGGCGTACAAAATAGCCGCAATCGTTGTTGTTCCAAGTTGCTGCACCTCTGTGTTGGCATAGCCGCCGCTAGTAAAGCTCATGGGGTTGGTGAAGCAGTTTTTTTCGGCCATCGAGTCCCATTTATATTGCCGGTCGGCCTTGGAGTTGGATGTGATATACGAGACTTTGGGGGTGTCGATGTTGGAAATGTCGATTAGGTGCGATACTAGGTTCGGGGTGTCGTCGGGAACTCCAAACAAAAAGATGAGCTGTGGAGAGTTCGAGTAGAAGGAAGGGGCCAGACAGGGATAGGTGTAAGCTGGAATATTGAAGTCCATTACGTCGTAAAGGTTGTTTGTTGTTGAAAGGGGAATGGGAATGGATAAGGAGGAGGGAGGATGAGGCGGAAAACACTAAAAAATAAGTGAAGAGTCAGAAGTATAAGTTGTGTTGTGAAAAGTGAAGCGTAAAGGAAAGAGAAATGATACCAAAGGCTAGAGCAGTGAATAAAAGTAGGCGAAAAAAGGGGGCGACCAATTCAAGGAAAAGACAAACGACAACCAAGGCGGAGATCATGCAGGCACGACAATAACGAGGCCCACAGAACAAACAAAAATTACATGGTTCACCTGCATACTTTTTTTTCCTTGAAGTAAGTAACCATTGGACATAAACAAGCACACCGGCAAGAGCGCCCGCCTTCTTTTTATTAGGGTCACGAACCTTTTGATTTTTTGTTGGACAGGGATCACGCTAATCGTTATTTTTGGGTATCAGGCGTGTACTGCGGGTTAGCTGGAGGGGGTTTATACAGCTGCTGGATCTCATGAAGTGCCTGAGTCGACAGCGTCAGCGGCGCCGTAATCGGGGTCGTCGGGCTCGTTGGGTACTCGGCGCTAGTTGTGTTATTGCTCACCGAGTACAGGGTATTGCTGTTGGCAGGGCTGCCTACGCTCACACTCTGGACTGAAGACGACTGGGCGTTGTTGTAGTGGTTATAGATGACTGGTGAAGGTACTTGTTGGATAACTTGTGGTTGTCGTTGTTGAGGGATTAGAGTTGGGGGCGTATATACATGTTGTTGTTGGCCGATGAAAATCTGTGGTTGCTGCACTTGTTGTTGAGGGGGTACGTAGACTTGTTGACTGGGCGTTTGGTTGTGGCTATAGGGCTGCTGTTGTTGAGAGACCTGATATAATCCCTGCTGTTGTTGTTCTTGCAGTTGTTGCTGCTGGTAAAGGTACTGCTGATGCTGGCCATAAAGTTGCGGTTGCTGCTGAGGCTGCTGCTGGGCATAGTTTTGCTGCAATTGCATTAATGATCCATGCTGGTTAGGGTCCTGAGAATTGGTATTGGTATCGGCAGGCTTCGGTTCCACAGGGACCGCATTCTTCTGACGTTGGTTCCTGATAAACAAAAACGCCACCAACGCAATAACTACCAATCCCCCAACAACACCTCCAACAATGGCTCCAATAGATGACGACTTGGAGTCTCCCCCACCGCCATTGGCACCGCTGCTGGAAGAGGACGAAGAATCGCCACCGCTAGGTGAGTATGGGGAGGTGCCACCACCACCAATGGTGGAGTTGATTAATCCTGGACCAGACCATGTTCCTGTAGTTGTGTCCAGACTGTTGAAGATGGGCGATAGGTTGTTGTAGCTCGAGTAGGTCACGATCCGGGTGTCGAGTGCTGTTGCTGTGAGGAGGTTGCTGAACCTTGGAACTTGGCCCTTGATGGCGAGGGTGTTTAAGGCCGATGATTTTCCTGGTTGAAGATAGTGAACGATGGTCGATCCGTCGGAACCCTATGGCAATAATTGAATGCCCCTCCGTCAGTACAATAATCGCAGCGGGAAAAAAGAAATAGGGTATTCTCCCAACGCAATATAAAAAACAAAAGTCGCTATTGTAGTATACCTGATCCAAGATATAAGCAGTATCCTTCATAGTAACTGGAATGGCATTGGCGGTCAAGGCAATTCCTGACATGGCCACCGTGACATTATTGTTAAGACTGATGATTTTCTCGTCCGGTGTGGCGATCGTCGACAAAGACCCGGTGGTATTGTACATGATGGCTCCGCCAGCGTGGTCAAAGATGGTGGTATATCCCACTCCGAGAGTGGAGTCGACAGTGTAGGTGCCGACGGTTAGGAGAGGGTTCGATGCTGGGTTGGAGGACATACCGAAGCTGTTGTTTGTTTGCAAAGAAAAAGAGTGAGTCCACGTGTACAGCGCATTTCAAATCAAATTGCAAAGCGCACATCGTTGTGGTTTACTCTTTTTCTCTCGACGTTGCTGGAAGAAGGGACTTACTTGTAGTTACTGGAGCTCAGTGTGGTGGCATTGAACCGGATCCCAGCCCAATAAGAGTTGGTCCCAACAACCGTCGTATTCGTGACCGCCAGGACCCAATCTGACCCACTCGCAGCCCCATTGATGGCAAAGTTCTTTGGCGAATTAAAAGCAACTTCCGGAAAATAGATCGACTGTCCAACTATGCCGTTAGTTTCGATGTTTGCGAAATGGGTAGTGAAGGCTCCAAACTGGACAACCAAGAAGGGGGCAGTGGTGGGGTTGATACGTCCTGGGTAGCTGTAGCAGGCTAGGGGTTGTAAACTGCTCCAGGCAAGTACGTTGGTCTGGGAGGCGAATGGATTTGCGGTGGGGGCGTTGATGTTGGTGAGATCGACTGTGTTGGCAACGAGGGTGCTTTCTTGGGAAGGGCTGATCCCGACTAGGTAGACGGTGTTGTTACCGGCTGCTGGTGCGGGGACTAAACAGGGTTTTGAGTATGCGGGGATACTCATGCTGGATTGCGTATTGCGTGGGTAGAGAGGAGGAGGAGGGGGGGGGGGGGGGGGTGGACTAGTGAGAGAGAAAGTGGAGGGTGTTGAAGAGAGAAGAGGGGAGAGAGGGAGTGAAGGAGGAAGAGTGAGGGGGAGAAGGAGAGAAAGAGGCTCAGAAGGAAGAAAAAAGAGAAGTGAAATGAAAACAAAGGGCAACAATATTCAGGAACAGAGGTGCCGTTTGTATCAACGTATCGATTGGTGGACCCTCAGTCTACCTTCGTCATTTTACACGTCTCTACTGCGACTAAACAAACGACTCCTTGGACCAAAAGCCCCTAATTGTTTGAGCCCTTTCCGCCTTTCCGTTACTCTTATTTACTCACCATTTGTTGCGTTGTAGAGCCCAATTTCACAATCCCTCGTCGACCAGTCTGGACCCTCTCGACAACCCTGATCTTTCTTTTTTGAACGGCCGCCTCGGACGGTTTCCGGCAGGGCTCGTCTCTGAAGACCACGAACTCGCTCAATCCAGAAAGCCCGTGCGTATGGTTAGTTTATTATCGTTATGATGAGGATGAGAAGAGTTGTTTTGCTTGTCCCTATTGAGGTTCCTATTGGGCATGATCGCTTTCATATTGTGGGACAAACTGAGGATTAGAAGGCGGTGGAGTGACACTCTTCAGTCCCCATTCCATGGTCTCAGAAACAATCGTACTCGTCAAGTCGTGTCCGACGTATTGAGGATTAGAGGGCTGGTTGGAATAAGAGTACGCAGCCTGAATATAGGTTGGGCTGCTTCCTGAGATCGATTGAGGATTAGAGGGCTGGTTGGAAGGAGAGTACGCAGCCTGAGTGTCGGTTGGGTTGCTTCCCGGGGTCGATTGAGGATTAGAGGGCTGGCTGGAAGGAGAGTACGCAGCCTAAGTGTAGGTTGGGCTGCTTCCTGAGGTCGATTGAGGATTAGAGGGCTGGCTGGAAGAAGAGTACGCAGCCTGAGTGTAGGTTGGGCTGCTTCCTGAGGTCGATTGAGGTTGAAAGATGATGGGGGCTGTGGTTAGGGGCTGTTCCTGGGAGAAGAGTGTTGGTGGTGTGTAGGTGTATGGTTGCTGTTGCTGTTGGTTATGGTAGTCTGATGGGTTGGGCTGGGGCATTTGGTGGTGAGAGGTAGATAGGAGGTGCTGACTCTGTTGCTGATAATATGCCTGCTGCTGTTGTTGATTGGGGTAAACTTGCTGCATGAGAGGAAGAGCTGGAGGAGTAGTTGCATCCTCGATTTTACCAGGATCCTGATAATCGCTGTTCGTAGGAGGGCTGACAGCCGCTGGCTTATATCCATTGCGACGTTTGCGAACAACGAAGAAAACGATCAGGGCAATAACGACCAGTCCACCGACAACTCCTCCAATGATAGCGCCTAGGGGAGACTTTGTGCCGCCGTTATCATCGCCGCCGTTGTTGCTAGACGAAGTAGGGCTTGGAGGTTTAGCAGCCTTGATCAAATTAGGACCTGTCCAAGTTCCTCCGGTGGTGTCGAAGCTGTTGATGAAGACGTCGCTGGTGTTAGAGGTGCTGTAGATGATGATTTTTGATCCCAATACGGCTGCTGACTGGACGGTGGAGAAGGTAGGGACGTCGCTTGTGATGGAGAGGGCCTGGAGTTTTGGGGATTGGCTCGGGTTGATGGAGTAGATGACTGTCGTTCCATCGGACGCCTACAACGGAGAAGGAGGGATTAATGTCGACGAATTAATGTGCAACAAGGAAAGTGGGATTAGGAGTCAAAGTTAAAACGATCGAGTGTTACAATGTGTTTACCTTGTCCAAGAGATATCCGACGTTGCTCATGGTCACTGGGATCGCAGCGTCCGTCAACTTAATTCCACTCATGTCCACGTCCTGAGCCTTGGCCAGGGTGATAAGGCTACCATTGGGGTCTCCGAGAACCGAGTTCGTGTTGAGTTGGGTGCTGAAGATTGTGCCTGCGCCAGCCTTGTCAAAGACAACACTGTATCCTGTTAAGCCTCCTGGTGAAAAAGTCCCCACAGTCACACTTGGAAGTGCTGAAGGATACTGGGACGTGTAGTACCTATCGAAAAGGGAAAAAAAACAATGGTCAGATATATGAAAAGGTGCAAAGGGTGAGCTAGGGCCAGAGCAAACATAAACAAATCGACCTTACGAGTGGAAGGAATAGAGAGAATCGGTCGCGTTGAATCGGGTTCCGCTCCAGGAAGAACCAGTACCCGAATACGTGCTGTTGGTATAAACATGAAAAAAGTCAAAGTAGCCATTGGTGCCCGCAAAGGAAAACAGCTTTGGCGAGACGAAAGCGACATCACGGTAGTAGATGGGAGGTTCGATATTGCCGTTGGCTCTGATGTTGGTGAATCGAGAGAGTGAGCCGAACTGTGCAAAGAAGGCGATTGAGGCTGGGTTGCCTGAGTAAGGAAAACAGGCAGTGGGACTTTTACTCGTCCAATCCGTAGGGAAACTTTGTGTAGCGTAGAGGGTTGCAACGGGGGAATTGAGGTTAGAGAGGTCGAGTTTGTGGACGTTAAGGGTTCCTTCGGCGGCTGAGGAGATACCGAGAAGTAGGAGGTCCTCCGTGGCTGTTGATGTCAAGCAGGGGTATGTGTACAGGGGTACGCTCATGGTCAGAAGTAGGTGTGTTCCTGATTAAAGTGTAGGTGCAGGAGGAGGAGAGCAAACGTTTGAATAAAGGGGTTGAGTCGTTAGGAAGGAAGAAGAAAGGGGTGTATATGGAGAGGGAAGAAGGGGTGGTGAAGGAAGGGGACGGAGAAGGTAAAGAAAAGAAGGAGAGAAGAGAGAAAGGAGAGGAAAGGACACTTGAGAGTAACCCAACAAAGAGGATGAGACCACCTTAGATGGTGGTAGTTGTTCTCTCTTTCTCTCTCTCTCTCTCTCTCTCTTTTCATTTATTTGTTACTCCAACCCTTGTTCGTTACACTCGTTGTTGTGAGCCGCAATAAGCGCAAGCTAAACAGCAAGTTCGGCTCTTGGCCCCTTCATTAGCCAACAAAGAAAGGTCCGCTTCCTCCTTCTCTCTCCCGGGTTCATCTTTGGTCAAGAAACGAGAGCCCAATTCCCTGTGTCCCTCTGAGTTAGACCTATGCGCCTTCAAAGTCGCACTCTCTCTGTCTCTGCGACTTTATTCCATTCTCCTAACCTTCTACATATTCTCTGTCATCTGTATATGGTGGCAAAACCTTCTTCCACTTCCAGTTATACAGTCGAAATAACAATGATATCTGATTGCAGAGTGGTATGGTGCGCGTAGGTCCGGCATGCAAAACCTCTGGGGATGTCTGGCAGTAGAGAAAACAAGGCATTTTCTTTTTAGAGGTTTCTTCTCAAGAATGATTCTACAACAGACTTCTTCCTATCAATCACCGATCCTTGACTTTTCTTCCTCCCTTCACGTCTTCGCCCATGGTCTCAAATTGTTTGTTTAGCAGAGAACCTGTTTGTTGTGCGTAGAACCACTTCATTCTCCTTTTATTTCCGCGCGAAGAAAAGTAAGGAGACGAAGTTCTTCACCTTCGCTTGATGAGTGAGAGACAAACAACAAACAAACAGCATCGTGAGAGGGGAGGTTTGTGCGACCATTCCTTCTTGTATCTTTTGTGGTTTATCCTGCCTAATTTCTAGAATCGCCATTTCGTACACAGGCAAGAATGCATGCTTCTTCTCTTTCTTCCGCTCTCATTCACAACAGGCATGAACCCCCCCCCCTTTTTTTTTGCCGAGATAATATGCCCGATGATAACGTCTCGAAGGGGGGGGGGGGGGGGGGGCGACGACAAAGTCCCTTATTTTTGCTGTCGGCTTCTTGGTACCAGAAAAAAGAGGATGGTAAAAGCGAAGTAAAGAAAAACTTGGGACAGGGCAGAAAAGGGAGCCGTATCCTCTCTTATTTTCTATTTGTTGAAATGACATGCTTTATTGGTCGTTCATGTGGGCTTGTTTTTTTTTCTTTCTCATTTTCTCATATTTTTTTTCGTTCGTATTTGGTGTATTAGATTGGGCGTATGGTATAGATTCCGCGGACCTCCTGCTTGTTCGTGTCCAATTCCCGTTTACTGAGAGGGGTGGTGGTACCCAGTAACAGTAGGGGGAGTGTAAACAACAGGAGTCTGGGAGGGGCTGCCTACTGAGGCGCCAGGAGAAGAACCAGTAGGCAGCAACTGGTAATGTGAAGGCGAAGTGCCCTGCGAAGGGATGCTTCCAGGCTGCGTTCCGGGTGGGTAGACGTAGGCCTGTTGGCTCTGAGCGGGCGGGATGGAGTAGACTGACTGGTGGGCTTGAAAGATGTTGGGGTTTTGGCCAGTAGGCAGTTGCTGGACAGTGGGTAATTGATTGGGGGGTGCAGAGTATGGATTGTAGGACAAGCGGGGGTCGGCGTATCCTGGCTGTGCCTGCTGTGGTTGTACTTGTTGTTGTTGTTGGAAGACCTGAGGTTGGAGCTGTTGCAGCTGCTGTGGTTGGAACTGTTGTTGTTGTTGTTGCTGAGGTTGGAACTGTTGTTGCTGCTGCTGTGGTTGGAACTGTTGCTGTTGAGGTTTGAACTGAGGTGCGGTGACATAAGGCGATTCCTGGTAGGCGGGGGTGGGGGCCTGAAGGGCTGCTGCTGCCGCTCCTGGTGCTGCTCCTGGTTGCTGGGAAGTCTCAGCATAGTAGGTAGGGACAACGGGAGCGTCAGCCTTCTTCTTCTGACGACGGCTGCGGATGAACAAGAAGGCGACCAGAGCTATAACGACCAAACCACCAACAACACCTCCTACAATAGCTCCAATAGGTGCACCCTTATTCTCACTGCCAGAAACACTATTACCGCTGCCGTTGCCATTGCCACCGTTGTTGCCTCCGGGCGTTGAAGGGTTTCCTGAGGAGGAGGGTCGGGCTGGAGCAGCCTTCAATCCAATGCCTGCCCACGTCCCTGTTATTGTGTCGAAGCTGTTGAACGAGGCTGTGGTTCCGACAACGCGGTAAGTGATGATTTGGGAGTTCTGGGAGGTGGCTGCGATGTTGGCGGAGAAGGGCAAGACGTCGCCAGTGGTGGTGACGACCTGCAGCTTGTTGGACTGACCTGGGTTGATGGAGTACACGATCGTGCTTCCATCAGTTGCCTGGATGTGTGAGCAAAAGAAGACGAAAAACAGGGGGTTAGGGAGGTCCAAGAGTCGATCGTTCGTTAGCACAATTGTATGTGTTAGAGGGATGGGTGGGCGTAAATTATGGTCAGTGAGAGAAGAGTGCAGATAGGGAGGCACACAACATCCGATCAAGCACATTTTTTGTCGTTTTTTGTGTACTTTTGGCATGCATAATATAGATTATCTCCACTTAGTCATTCTTTACCTTGTCAAGAATATAACCGGTTGTGCCAATGTTGACGGGGATGGCGTCCGAGGTCAACTTAATGTTGTTCATGTCGACAGTTTGAGTGACGCCAAGGACGAGCAGGTCGGTGATCAAGGGGTTCGACTTGTCGTATCCAGTGGCGGCGTAGACCCTTCCTGAGCCAGCGTTGTCAAAGACGGTCAGATATCCGCTGGCGGGTGCAACTGCGCTGGGGACGTAAGTGCCGAGGGAGAGGAGAGGAGTCGAGACAGGGAACGTCTTCATCCCAGTGCTAAGTGAAAAAAGACAGAGAGATTGGGGGATGCACGCGGTAAGTTATAAATTACAATGGGAGACGATTAGCTCATTCCTGTCTGTTGCTCTCTCTCTCGCCCTTTCCCCCTTTACTGTCTCCCTACTCTTTCCCCCCAACCAGCCGTTCAAACACAGGGGTTTGGGAGGAGAAGTGGCGAAAAAAAATTCAGTGGAATTTTGTTTGTAATCCCAACTTTGTCGAGAGATGGTCGCTTCTCCTCATTCGCTCCTTTAGTTTGTTGTCATCAACCTACTTCATGGTTCCAAAGAGTCCACTGGTTCCGTTGAGACGAATCCCGACCCAAGGAGAGCTGGTAGCAAGGGTAGTCTGGTTGGTCAAGGCCGCAACATAGGCAATAGGCCCCGCATTGCCCACAATGGCAAAGTTCTTGGGTGACATCCATGCGAATGTATCAAACCGCGAAGGGGCCTCGACGACTCCAGTCGTAAGAATGTTGGAATCGTATGAGGTAAAAGGACCAAACTGCTGGAAATGCAATGCAGCCGTGCTGGCGTTGGTGTCGCCCGGGTAGGTTGAACAGGCCTTTGGGACGTTGTTCTTCCAGTAGAGGGCGTTGAGGCTCGAAACTGCCTTGGTCGAGAGAGGGGTCTGGATGTTGGCGATATCGACGACGTAGACTTCAAGTTGTCCGTTGGTAACGTCCGAAACTCCTGCGAGGTAGACTTGTGTCGACCCTTTGGTGATGAAGCTGGCGATGCATGGGTTGGTGAAGGTTGGGATCACTGTTGAGCTAGACATTTTGTGATATGAGAGGAGGGGGAGGGAGAGGAGGAGGAGGAGGAAAGTTGGAGAGGAGGGGTCGGGGGAAGGGGCACGAGGTCGGAAGGAGAAAAAAAAGAGGAAAGAAAAAAGAAGAAAGAGTAAAAAAGAGAAGAGTAAAAGAAAGATGCGAGTGAGAGAGAGAGAGAGAGAACTGTAGTTGAGTTGACATGCCGCCCTGGATAATGACTCTTGCTCAACATCAGAACCCAATTGAGCGCAGAAAAAAAAGAAAAAAAAGAACAACAACAACTGCTCACATCGCTCTGGCTGGGTGGTGGCAATGTTTTGTTTAGTGGATTTTTTCTTCCCTCTGCCCTGCCGCACACTCAAAAGAAGGTAGGCTAATGGAATCCATAGTTTTTTTTTTGTTTTTTATTTTTTATTTTTTATGGTTTGTCTCGATCAAAACAAAAAAGAGGGAGCGGCGGGCACGACATTACAGGCACCAAACCCTATTCGTCTCTCATCAGTCACCACTCACCACTTGCTCTTTCATCACTTTTCTCGAATAAAAAAAAATACACTAATCTAAACTGGGTGGGCTCTAGGTCGACAAACAGACATCTTGACGACCCACAGCATAGCACTGCCGCTTACTGGATCCCGCTACGTCTCTCAAAGCAAATCAGGCTCCTTCAAAACTCATACCCAGCTCGGCTCCGTCCTTTTACTTCCCGCTTTCTTTGCTCCTGTGTTGGCCACTTTTTCTGGGGGTACGCAAGTACCCTTTGGTAAGTGCGAAAGATTTTTGATTGTCCGCCTGCGCACGAAAAATTGCAAAATAAAAAAAAAATTGATGGCGCACGTTGTTGAGGATGGATGGTCTGGGCTAAAGAAATATCCCAGGAAAGGAACGGGAAGAATGGGCGTTTTATTTTTACTTTTAACAGTTTGTAACGTGGGCGAGAACAGCAGCCAAGTTATATGTGAATTGGGCCGTTCTTCGTTCTCTCTCTCTCCCCCTATTTTCTCAGCGGTCACCTGCATATGTTTGCAACACCATCCCACCATCCCTTGGATCAAATAAGCGCACTGAAAACGCGTGTGGTACCCACCTTCTGTTTAGTTCACTATATTTCCGTTCTTGGCTGTGCTTGCATGTTTTTCAAATATCGACTATCACTCTGACGGATGAAAAAAAAACTATCTACGATATGCGAGACCTTTTTTCATCTTCAAGAGTGGTGAAGGAGACGCGAATATTTAAAAAAGAGAGTAAATTTCTTCTCCCGTAATTCACCTCTTTCTTACTTTCGCTTCTCAGCCCCTACTCAATCATACTCCACAACAAACCCTTCGCCACACTGTAACCCACCTACACACACACACACACACACACACGCTCGCTCACAATGAAACTCGCTATCCTCAGTACCCTCGCACTCCTTGCGTTCGCACATCTGATGTCAACCGTCCTAGCCTCACCCTCGCCAGAGTCCCTGCCAGAAGGAGTCGAGATTGCCAACAACAAGCCCAAGGACACGTCATGCACCGACAAAGGAGGAGAGTGCACGACCGCCAAGTGCGGAAGGGTGCAGTTCAAGTCCAAGCAATGTCCAAGCTGTCAACACTGCTGCGTCTGGGTCACTTGAATCCCTACGTCTAGGTCTGTATTCGCATCGCCTCACACCCTTTGTGAAGAGAAAATAAAGAAAATAACAACGCGTATGCATGATTTTTTTCCCCCCCATGGGGCTTTAAAGAATTCACAAATAAAAAGGCCCAAAGATGCACAGAGAAATAACCTAAGGATGCAGTAAGACGAAAAGAAGGTATGTGCGAAAAAAGAAGGAGTGCATTGGAAAAAAAAACACAACCACTTCCCTTCCTTTAGCATCCATCTCATTCAAACCCACATATACCTCCGACTCTCAAACGAATATTATCCAGTTCCTTAATTGGCTCGGTGAGCATTTAGTGACGAGGGCATTGGAAGATCTCTCTCCTTCTCCCATGACCCACTCTCTTCCTCTCTTACTCACCTGCTCACACAAACACAGACACACATACAACGAACCTTTCACCAATACCACAACCCAACACTGCACACACGCACACAATGAAGATCGCGTTACTCAGTATCCTCACCCTTCTCGCGTCGGTACAGCTGTCGTCGACCATCTTGGCCATACCAGCGCTGGCGCCAGAGGGACCCGATGTTGCCACCGACAGGCCCAAGTACACGTCGTGCGCCAAAACTGGAGGAGAGTGTCTGGAGGCGATAAAACTCGGACTGCAGTCGTTCGTTTCCGGACAAAGTGCAGCCGAAGAACGCTGTTGCGTCTGGATAAATGGAGTCCAACGGCCAGTGTTGTATTCGCCATACCCTATCTACTTGCAGATAAAAGACAGAGACAAAAGACAACAATCCCCCCCCAAAAAAAAACACACTATTACTGCAGTTGGGGAGATTTACACATCAAACACACTAATCTCGTTGTGACTATGGACGCTGATGACTTGACCCTTGTCCCGATCATTGCACGCTATCCGCATAGGCCCACTCTTCTGCCGATCCTGCTGCTGTTGTTGCTGATGCCGAGCATCTAAAGAAGAGCCCTCCGACGCCGGCTTAAGAAACGAGAACGAACGAGAGGCACCATCCACATCCATCAAAGTCTGTCCATCTAACGGCGTGACACAGCGGGATCGGTCGATCGGTAGTGTGTACACGTTGATGGCTCCCGAAGTACTGAACGCAGAGGATGTTGTAGCGTGGGTGTCCTGCGATCTCGCTCTGTCCAGAGCATGAACCAGTCTGTCTACCACACAGTCGTAAGAGGCGTCAAAAGATTCCAATGGCACCAGTAATGTCGATACTGGTTGGTATGGACGGTTGGGTGTGAGCAGAGGAACAGACACAACAAACTGGTCATCTTGTGCGGCGCTTGCATGGCTTGCATTGTCGACTGCAACGGCAGGTCTGGAAGAGTTCAACAAGATGCAGAGCGAGTTGTCATCCAAAAATGTAAGGTCTCGCACCTCAAAGGATGGTTGTGATTCAGACGAAGCAGGAGGGTTCTGCATCTTGGCCAGCGCAAGGGCTGATTCGGGGATATCGGTCTCGCTCATTTCATGCGACATAACGGATATGCTCCGGTCGTACGACCCATGTGTAGACATGGCAGAAGGCGCTCGAGCAGAGTCATGCTCCTGGAGCGAAAACATTGCGATCTCCAAATCCTGCTCGCTCAAAAGCTTGTGGCAGCCTGATAATGGGGTCTGTTTCTCCTGTCCGGTAGAAGTTGCAGCAGTTGGTTGTTCAGTTTTTGGCTTTGTGGATGAAGGCTTGATCGGTTGTGCCAGGATGAGGGTCCCTGAGCCCACAGTTGTCTCCTCGTTGATGTTTTCCGATGCCTTTCTCTTCCGACTTGGTGTTGCCAATGCAAGGTCGTTATCTTGTTCCATCCTGCATCTGTTTGTATCCCCTCTCATAGTCCTCCGGGACCTAAGCACAATCACTGTGTTCCATAAAGGAGACATTAGTAATTAGTATTGGAATAGATACCATCATTGTGCGCATCCGTCCTGATTATAGCACTTACAAAGTGAACCGGGGATGCTGTCTCGTGGTCCGAGATATACTACTAAATAGTGCCAAGGGAGAAGGTTCTAATCAAAACAACGAAAACATCAACAATTAGTGGCGTTACATGGTCAATTCAAACTTCGCCTCATAGACAAGCATCTGCAAACATATATCTGCGGCATTCTTACATTGTAGCAGTATCGTGTTGCAAACTTGGGGACCATCTGAGTATCCGTGCTATCCGCGTTCTCCATTATGATGTCGCCACTGACTGTTGGACCATATCCCAGTACATCTACCACATGCGTAACCTTCATGCTTTCACCAAGCGCCTTTTGCGGACCATCAAAGATTGCGTGGCACTGCATCGTCATCAGCCCCAAGTGTCGTTCAATAGTCAACGGTGTCGGCGGTTTATGTGACGGGGATACGGGCACTTCGTTGGGCTGAGATTTGGAGAACTGAACTGTCGAAGCTGATGACTTTGTAAAGAGAGTGACAGAAGGAGACTTCTTGGGAGGCAACGATCCAAAGCCTCGACCAGACATAGCCGCAGCAATGGCGACACCTGCAAAGGGGTTGGTCGTTTTCGTTTGTGGCGGGGATTGAATGTCCAAGTTGGTGTCCTTCAATGCCGAGGCTGCGCGCAGTTCATCTGAGAAAGAGTATACGATGGGATACGTCGGGGTCGCGTTGTATACCCCAGCTTCCTGATCGCCATTAATTGCTGAAGCTTCGACTGCCTCCTGGAAAAAGCGCTCGAGGCAGTTATTGGTGAGTCCCGCTTTCAAATATTGTGAAACTCCCTTGACATCGACAGGTGGAAAGTCTTTTTGCCCTTCATCGGCAGGGTCGTCTGGTCCTCTGGCAGGCGGATGTAGTTTCTCGAGAACTATTGATTATGAAGATATTGCACTGTCAGCATTCTCTTATACGTAGCATAAGGATTAAGATGAAGACAATAAGACAATGATATACTGTACCTTGCTCAAGCCAGTTTTCAAACTCTGAAAACTGCTTCATTTCGACCTTGATTGCCTGGAAGAGTCCCTCAATCACGCCCATAAAGTCGCCCACGATGATGATGCAGTTGTAAACAAGCGCCTCGTCCAATCGCAGAGGGCCATACTGCTCGGTCCTACATCAAATCGACAAGGACAAGTTAGTTAAGCTTCTTCAGTTACATTCCATAAACCTACTCAAACACGTTGTCGAGATCACACACCAGCGACTAAAACCAAGTAAATCTGACAGGATGACCAAAAGCCTCTCGCAAGCAGGCAAAAGACACTCGAATGCGACACGCTGAAGATTCTTGTATGCGGCCCTAACAGACTTATCCCAGCGCTTGAGATCGTGTGTGTTGAGGTCCTGCTGCAAATACTGTCCCATACTCTCACTTGGGCGTCCTGTCAGAAGCATCTGGATAAACTCGTACGTCGGAGTCGTCATTACTAAATAATGAGTGTAGTTTCAAACGAAGACGTTATTATTCAGTAACTCCCTTCATTTCTAAGCTGCAGCCTGTGACGAGACGAAAGGAAACTCTTACTATCGTTTGATGTCAGAGACTTTTGAAGGCTCTCAACACAATCCTCGGCCATCATGCTGATTTTTTTATAGTCGGTCTTCATGACCTGCAGCCCATCATTGAGGTATTGCAGCAAGTTCTTTATAGGACGCTTGTGTAACCCAAGCATGCGAATCTCCTGAGAATGGTTGTCGAGCAAGCTGGAGTTGAGAGTGACTTGCAGCAGTTGTTGAGAAGGCACCAATCCCGATTCATCCTTGGCATGAGTTCCACGGGCGATAATATTGATCTCTGACAAGTCTAGTTGGACATCTGCTGTCAGTATGTCAAGTCCGCCCTATGAAAGACAAGAGGGGTCAGTCAGTCCTTGGAACAGTTCACGCAATAGAACGGTCATGTCCTAACAAACAACGCGACTGTGAAGTACCTACTAGGTGATTCCTTGTGCCATGTATCCTGAGCAGATCCAGTAACAAGACGGCATCCATGTCGAAGCCCTCAAAGAGACGTAGCATAAATCTCCCTCGGTGATCCCCCGAAAACAACACGTTCATGATAGGACTGGTCTCTTCATCCAAAACACTGCAACTTTCTTCTGGACTCGGCCCTGACTTGGCACCTCCTGCTCCTGCGCCACCCAAAAAGTTCTTGTTGAACATTGTTCTCTCCATCAATTGTTGCTGCGCGCTTGTTGGAGGGATGGGCGAAAGCATTGGAAGCGCCTTGAGAGTCGATTTTTGGGTGTTCTATATCAAGAGATGTGCGGACCAAATAGTCAAGGGTGAATTCGATCCATTTCCTAGATTGCGTTCCCTGATCATGCTTGTTCTGTTGAATTGTTCGTACATTGGTACCGAAGATTGAGCTGTGGTTGGGTCTCTCAAGATAAATGTCGGTCCATTTGAGACAATGTACACTGCCTGAGCTTGGAGGCTGAATACTAGAAATGAGGGACCCGTCCCGATAGTCGTATATGTTGACTCCACCTTCAGCAAGACCAACCGCAATAGCCTTGCCTACATAAGCCATAATGATTGTTATTAGTTCAGGTGTCTGCGCGGTATGGCCTGAAATCATTGCACAAGAATCAAATACATTTACTTACCATCTGGACGCCAGGTAAGCGATACGACTTTTGCAGGAGCAGCACCCATCCGCTGATGCTGTGGTGCTCCTCCGAGACGGCTCCAAGCAGTGTGAGATCCTGGGCGCGAACTGTTTGAAGGAGCTGGTGCTGTGACGGTGACCGACCAATGAATTCTCCAGGACAGGCGATAGAGTTCCAGCTTGTTGTCATTGTTGACGAGGGCGATTAGATCAGCCGAAGGACACCATGCCTCCAGCTTGTGGTCAATGGGAACCTGGTTCTCGGAGTAAGGGTAGAATGTGTTCTGAGTGGCCTCCTGCTGTGCTGCTGTGCGATGTTGTATAGGAGGCGGGGAGACGGACGTCATGATGGCAAAAGGCGTGAATCGAGTTCTAGCTTTGGCGTGCTTGCTCTTCGTTTTTATGCGCGTTCGAACAACTCGTGACTGCATTTGTCAAGGTTGTGGCCGTGGGTTGCCACCAAACCTCCTTTCTCCACCAACATACTTTCATCCTTACTTTTCGCTCCAATGCCTTAATCACCACTTAATAAGAACACACCATGCCTCGCAACAATAACAATAGCAGCAACAACAGGACCGACCAGGACTCGTCCATGCCGCACTCAGTAACAATCCCAAAGAAACGACCCTGCATCCCTCCACCCCCCTCCATCGAAAATTCCTCTTCGCTCCTCCCAACCAACAGAGAAGGCCTGTTTGCCCGTCTCGACAGTGCCATCGAATCCGCTGCTGAGGAAGACGCTGGTCGTATTCCCAAAGATCTCATGGTCGGTCCGAACCTCAAGGTCGAGTCTGCCGGCAAGAAGCGCCGTGTTGTCCCTGCCCCAATTCCTGCCTCGTCCTCTTCACATCTCACTCCAACGACAACAGAAATACCAGGATCAACAGGAGACACAACGCCTTTACCAGTTCTTTCGTCACCATCATCGTCGTCATTGTCAATCGACTCTTCGAACAGCTCGCACATATTGGACAAAACGCCCATCAAGAGATCAATGCGCATCATATCGCCTACCGGGGGTTCCCACGGTAGCCCGGAGGTCGTACCGTCAAGTGTCCAGTCCGACCTATTCTCAAATCTACTCCCGGATCAAGAGTTTTCGACATATCCAAGAGCACGATCCAAACGTCACCAGGCAGCCTCCTCAACACTCCCACCTCAAGTACCACTCATGGAACTTTCAGTCGTATCAAATAACGAGATTCTGGAATCTGCATCTGCTGGAAGTCCTTCGTTATCGCCGCCTCCCGAATCTGACGGCCGGATAGAACAAGAGGCAGATGTTGCTCTTGTTTTGGAACCAACTCCGGAAGCATCGGTACCACAACCCTTGACCTCCATCTTGGATGACGCGGGATCGGCGGGAACGACTACCGCCCCAACACCTTCGTCAGCTGCGACTGCCATTACTATTGACGACGACGAACCGCCACCGCAACCTGTCTCGCGTCCAGAAAAGCATCCCACATCCTTGGACGAATCTACAGGATCACACCGACCAACAAAGAAGAGAGACGATGGAAGCAACAAAGATCTGGACAGGACTCTGCCAAAATCAACCAGGCTGGAGCACCATCACGAGAGCCCACCTCACAACAGCGGCCGTAGCAGCAGCAGTCCTCCGCCAGCACCGTCTTCTCCAACTAAAACAGGTGGAAGGACCAAGAAGGATAAAGCGGTGGTAACGACTGTGGCTAGTCGAGTCGGCTCTAGACGGAAACAACATGTGGCAGAGGGCTTATTAACCGCGACACCACTGGTACCGATGGCCAGCAGTTCTTCAGCAACGGTCTCCAGGAGTGTTAGCAAACCTACGATGACAACACCCCTGTCAAGGTCGGGAACTATTATTGAAATCGGCGATGACAGCGACGACGATGGTAGTGAACGTCCGGCGATCATCGTTGGCCCTGCTTCAACAACGCACATGAGACCACCGACTAACAAACCGCCAGCTGCAGGACTCTCAACAACGACGTCGGCAGAGTTGAAATCTACGCCTGCTAGCGGTTCGACATCGGCCACTTCACCAACATCCGCGCCGCCCCCAGAAAAAGACGCAGGTCCTCCCGTGAGACTCTACGTGATCCCAACCCTCATGGACAAGCTGGTGTTCTCTCTCTCTCGGGATCGAGTTCTGGATCTCAAATGGGAATGGCTTGGCCCGTTGGAAAAGATCCTGTCGACGGATCCGCGCGGGAATCAGGACGCTCCGGCATTGGATCAGGAGAGGACCACGCATATCGTCACCGCGTTATCAGATGTGGAGAAGGTCAAAAAGTTTTTGCGCGTTGAAACTATTGATGTAAGTTGGTATTGCAAAGTACAGTGTCCTTTTGCAGGTGAAAACTACCGACATATTTCGAGGCTCCCTATCCTCTGACAGCGATTACTTTTGAATTATTCTTTCTTTTAGCCCAAAATAGAGATAGTCAATAACCTATGGCTCGTGGACACTATCTTGGTACGACCCTGGTTGCTTTTTTGGCATGCGGACGAAATTGAATGATGAGCCAGTGGCTTTTTACTGACTTAAACGTGTCTTCTATATATTCGTCGCTCTCAACAGTACAAGAGGCCGATGGAACCGGCAAGTTACAGGATAGCTCGCTCAAAGACGCAGCAAATCATCCCGATCAATGTCCCAGTTGCCAACTCTCCACCTCTTTCAAAAATGGGTGCTCTGCCGGCAGAGCCTAACACAGAGAAGCAGCCTCGGTACGCCAAGTTTGAGAGTATCGATGGAAACGAGAACGGCGAGCAATTGGACTTTAACGATATCGTCTTGGGCATCAAGGAAGGCTCGCTTGAGGTAATCCCATTACCGTTTTTTTTATGAATTAGTCAAATATGACATCCGGAATAGGATTAATACTCACATGCTTCATCTCTGGCAATATGTGATAGGGAGGAGAAGTCTCTGATGACGAAAACGACCAGGAGGAGGACAAGGAGAGTGAAGATGACTACAATAAGGCGGGAGTAAGCGATGCCAAAGAGAAAGAGGCGGAATCCAGTACTAGCGCCACTAAATTACCGCCGGAGCTTTTGGAGAAACTGAAAAAGGAGAACAAGTGCTTTGAGTGCCAGGAACAAGGTCATTGGGCCAATAAGTGCCCAAAGGCTGCAAATAGAAGCACAAAGGATGACATTCTGCTGCAAATCATCAGCTCTGGAAAGTCGGAGGTACCTACCCAAGCCTTGAAATATCATCGCTGAAGCCTGAGCACAAATGATCTGTAGACCCATATCTGACAATCGCTCTCTCAAATCATGCAATAGGGGAAACGCCGCTCCAAGATTTTGTATCGATGTCAGGAGCCTCATACTGCTGGCCAAAAGGATGAGCCGAAGTACAACAAGGATATTCTGGAACAGGTAACTTTGCATTCTGCTCATCTTGCACTACAGCCAGAGCCAGATATCTCCTGAACCTTTGGATTTATAATCGAACATAACCCTAAAACCTTGCAACGCGTTTAGCTCAAAGTTTTAATGGACTATTATGAGACAAACAAGGTCAAAGGCTCAAATGAACACTTCAAGGTCATCAATTACCGCAAGGCGATCACGGCTATTCGAGCACTCGACTATGAGATCAAGTCTGAGGAGATGGCGCTCAAGATTCCCCGCGTAGGAAAGAAGCTAGCCCAGAAGATTGGCGAATGCATCTCCTTTGGCAGGATCAAGAAGTTGGATCATCTGAACTGGGACCAGGAAAAGTCAAAGACCGAGACGCTGTTCAGGAGTGTGTATGGTGTTGGTTCGGAGATGGCGACTGCATGGTATAACGATGGATTACGGACGCTGGATGAGTTGAGAGCGCTGCCTAATCTGACCAAGAACCAGATTTCCGGGCTGAAGTTCTACGAGGTACGTTTAGGTTGCGAGGATGCTCCTACTTAACGATTACCTAGATCATTTCTGGGTGATTGAGTTTACCACCACGCCATTTTAATTTTTCAATGATCTACTTTGCCCTTCTGAATCTAATTCTAATAGGATCTGTTGGTACGGATTCCCCGCTCAGAGGTGGAGCAGATCGGTAAGGTTGTTGAGGCAGCGGCTCACAAGCTGCATCCAGAAATCCAATCGCAGGTCACAGGATCATACCGACGCGGCAAGCTAGACTGTGGCGACATCGACATCGTAGTGGCCAGACCCAACATCGACAATGGCGACGAACTCTTTATGATCATGGACCACATCCTCAAGGACCTGATCAACCAAGGGTTCCTGGTCGACCATCTCTCCCTGCCAACATGGGAAGACAGCTACGTGGCACGACCCAAGCATTTCAAGTACATGGGTATCTGCAAGCTGCCGGGCGAGAACCAGATCAATCGACACATCGACATCCTGGTTGTTCCGTGGATGCACCTGGGAGCGGTGTTGCTCTACTTTACAGGAAATGACATTTGTAACAGGAGTATGCGTCTTTTGGCGTCGAACCGGGGGATGAGGCTGAGCGACAAAGGTCTGTTTGACAATGTGGTGCGAGGAAAGAACAGGAAGAAGGTGAACGAGGGCCGATGGGTTGCAGGCAGGACGGAGCGTGAGATTTTTGACTACTTGAAGATCAAGTACCTGGAGCCGTATGAACGCGAGTGCTGAGATTGTGATGGGGGTTATCTTTCTGGCAGAGATGGTCATGATGACAGGGTAGATCACGGACGAGACGCGCGTGGTCTGGTTTCAATTTGTGGGAAGGATTGGGCGGGACAGGCGAATGGGGGAGGACCATTGTTCTTTTTTTTTTTTTTTTTTTTTTTTTTTTTTTCAGTTGAACCCGACCTAGCAGGCAGCCAGACGGTCTGCAGCGATATTCCGTTTCCCACTGCCGTTGCTTTTCTTTCCAACATTTGACTTGTGTGCATCTCCTTCTTTGCCTTTTCCCTCTCTTCTCTGTACATCACCATCTGTCACCCGCCTCTTTTGTCTCGTTTCTTCCTTTGTTTATCTCCTTGTCTCCTCTTCCTTTGTTTATCACTACTTCCTTATCTACTCCTCTTCCTTTGTTTTATTCACTCCTCTTCCCCTCTTATTACCTCCTTGGCCTTTGACCTCACAACCCAAACACACGAACGATCCGTTCTCCCTACCCCTCCTTTAGACTCAACAACCATCCATCCTACCGTTATTTTCTTCTTTTTCAAATGCCGCCCTGTCCTGCACAGGCCATCGCTGCTGGTGCTGCTAGAGTGAAGCAGGCCAGCATTCTACCCGCTTCTAGCCACACTACCAGGATCCACTTTCTGCGTCCCCTCCCGACAACAGCAACAACAACAACACGAACAGGGTTCGGCAGCATCGCCGTTTGCCGGACCAAAGCTCACTTTTTATCCACTAAACCTTCCTTCCCTCGTCCACTCTCGACTGTCTCGGCCTTTCCATCTTCCTCGCATTCTGCCCCATCCTCCTCCATATCTTCTTCCTTTTCTCTTCCTCTTCCTTCCTCTTGTTTCCTCAGAACTTCCCACGCCCTCCCACCCTCAACCCTCGCCCGACCTTCGACCGCCTTTCGGTATTCAACTACCACCAGGACATACCCACGCCACCTCAAAAGCACCTTCTCCATTCTCAACCGATTCATTGGACTCCATTCCCGTCCTCCAAGACACTCTCATTCCGAACTCCTCCTCTTGCGTACATCTTTTTCCGCAGCCCCCATTCAACCATCAACCAACATGGATAAACACGCTCAAGCTCAAGTCCAGCATGCCTCCCTCGAGAACCCAGACAAGTACTGGGGTGACTTTGCCTCGCTCCTGCACTGGGACCAGCCTTACTCCAAGGTTCTGACCCACAACCCCCTTGCCCCTCCAACTGACGCCTACCACTGGTTCAAGGACGGGAAACTCAACACGTGCTTCAATGCCATCGATCGTCACGTCCTCTCTGGCCGTGGAAAGCAGGTCGCCATTTATTACGACTCCCCTTTAAACAACGAGAAGCGCCAACTAACCTACCAGGAGCTGTTGGATCAAGTTCAGACTTGCGCCGGTGTCATTGCTTCCCATGGTCTCAAGAAGGGTGATATGGTCCTTATCTACAGTATGTTTAATACCTGTTTTTGTGTTGTTGTCTCAAAGTGAACGCACATGTGCCCTTGGCATTGGCGTTGGAGGTCAGGGTAACCAAGAAAAGTCACTGACCTAACCTAAATCTTTCTTCCCCACATATTTTCTTAAACAGTGCCCATGGTTCCTGAGGCCCTGATTTCGATGCTTGCTTGTGCCCGTCTCGGAGTTACCCACAGCGTAAGTCGGGGTGTCAAACGAAGCACTGCAGAGGACTCTGAATTTTCATACAGCAATAAATACTTGACTAAGAGTATTCATTGTCCATAACGCGTTATTTTTTTCCACACCGCCACATAGGTCGTCTTTGGAGGATTCGCTCCTTTGGAGATCAAGAAGCGCATCAACGACTTCAAACCCAAGATGATCATCGGAGGATCCTGCGGTATCGAGGTCAACAAGGTCATCCCCTACAAAGGTATTTTGGCATTGACAACTTCCATTGACAAGCGTTTGCAGTTTCAAATTGACCTTGACGTACTGGGAAACTAACGCCGTGATGTACGTTATGGTCTGACTTTGTAATAGAGATGCTAGACAAGGCCATTGACATGAGTGCTCACAAGCCCGCCCATAAAATTATTTTCCAGCGGGACGCAGGACGCGCCGTTTTGGACCCCTCTCGCGGAGACTTGGACTGGAATGATGAAATGCAGAGGATTCGTTTGGCTGGAAAGCAGTTCAAGGATTATGTTCCCGTTGAGAGCAACCATCCGCTTTACATCCTTTATACTAGCGGAACTACCGGACTCCCAAAGGTACTGATCAAACCTCTTGAATCATTCAATCTGTACAAATTCCTTTGCTTAGGCACTAACATCTATTGATCACGTGAACGTTAGGGGGTTGTTCGCGACAATGGAGGACATGCGACACAGACGCTGTCAACCATGAAAAGCCTCTTTGGGACGCAACCTGGCGAGGTTGTCTTTTGCGCCAGTGATGTCGGCTGGGTCGTTGGACATAGCTTCATCTGCTACGGACCTCTCTTGCTCGGTTGCTCGACTGTGCTCTATGAGGGCAAGCCCGTCGGAACTCCCGACGCCGGCGCGTTCTTTAGGATTCTGGAGGAATACAAGGTCAGCACTTGGTACACCGCCCCCACCGCATTGCGCGCCATCCGAAGAGTCGACCCTGAAGGCAAATTCAGCGCCAAGTATGACCTCCATCACCTTCGGGGTCTCTTCCTTGCTGGAGAGCGATCCGACTCTGGTACTATTGCCCATTTCCGACATATTATTGGCGGCAAACCTGTTGTCGACAACTACTGGTCGACCGAGTCTGGATCCCCCATCACCGGTGCTTGCCAGGGTCTGCAAAATGTTCATGGAGCTCGTGTCGAGCCCATTGCTATCCGCCAAGGCTCTGCCGGCATGCCTTTGCCTGGATATGATGTCCGTGTTCTCTCTGATCCCGAGGACGACGGCTCCGGTTACAAGTTCAGCGAGCTCGGACCTTCGCAGTTTGGAAACATTGTCGTCAGGCTGCCTCTGCCCCCATCTGCATTGACAACATTGTGGAGCAACTCTGTCGGATTCCAAAAGAGCTATCTCTCTCGATTTCCGGGGTACTTTGATACCGGAGACGCTGGCATTGTAGATGAAGATGGGTATGTCCATGTCATGTCGCGAACGGACGACATCATGCAAGTCGCGGGACATCGTCTTTCCACTGGTTCTGTTGAGCAAATCCTGGCCGAACATCCCGCAATTTCTGAGTGCTGTGTCGTCCCTCTTTCAGACAAGCTCAAGGGTCAGATTCCGATCGGATTGATCGTCCTCAAGTCTGGTGTCACCCAGAAAGAGGAAGACATCGTCAAGGAGACCGTCCATATGGTCCGACAGAACCTGGGCGCGATCGCCAATTACAACCAGACGCACATTATCCGCCGATTGCCCAAGACCAGGAGCGGCAAGATTCTTCGTCGCACCATTCGGGATATTATTGCCGGCAAGAGCCTTGAGAACAACAAACTGGTTGTCCCGGCCACGATTGAGGATTCCACGGTCTTGAATGAGCTTGAGGTTGCGATGACTCGCTTGGGTCTGGTCGGCAATGATGGTGAGGCTGGCAAGATCGACGACACTGTCAAGGCGAAATTGTAAATAGAAATGGCGAAATGGTCTTTTCGAATATTTGCTGTTTTCAGTTTATTTCATACGCGTATGTATGTGTGTATGTGTGTATGTGTCAGCTGCATTCAGCAATGCTATCACAAGGAGTATTAGAGGAAACACGTTAGCTTTTATGTTTGTTGGAGAGCGTGACTTGAAAGAAAAACACGTAACGCGTTATATTGAATTTGGACACTTCCAATCGCGTGTCTTGCTCGCGTAAAAACTAGAAGGAGCATTAGCCGTTCTCTCCGATCCGGATTTCTGGAGAGGGTGGGGTTTGGGGTATATGACTCCAGCGGCGCGCGAGGATTGGTGGGTGCAGGAAGGGGGGGCTTTCAGGTATTTCGGTTTTACCAGACCTCTCTCTGTTGTTTGCTCGAATGGGGCTGTGAAAGAGTTATCGACATATCATCAGCACTTGTCGGTACCACCCAACCATTCATAGCAACCTCGCAAAGCAAGGGGGGGTACCTGTTGTCCTTGTTTTGCCGACTTCTCGTTCAGAATCGTTGTCGCTCTCACTTCTGTCGTTGTTGTTGCTGTTGCTGGAACCGTTGCTACTGCTGTTTGTTGATGTTGTTGCTGTTGTTGTTGTTGTTGTAGTCGTTGCGGCTGCGTCTACGACGATAGATCCGCAAGACCCAATTTGGGGCTTTGGGTAACCCGCCAACCAGCAAAAAGACGACGAAAGGGAAAGGTTTTTTTTGCTGTGAAGCTGAATCGGTCCGTTCTCTAACATATTGGTGCTTAGAGATGGTGGTGGTGGGTCGTTAAGGTTGGATGGTAGGGAATAAGAAAAGAACACAATGCGAAAAGCTCAATCGAAAGTTGCCAAAGAAAAAACAAAGGAAAAAAAACGATTCATGCCCATTTGATTGTCCATGGCAACAGTCGAATCGACCTCAAAGAGGAAGACGGCCACCGCGCAGATGTAGAAACGCTACTAATAGGGCGAACATGTTTAGTAATGAGAAGCGCTTTATTATTAAGTTACACATATCGCCCTGCACTTGGAGTTAACCACAGTTCCTGCGTCATTCATCTATTTACTTGGACTTGCGATGCTCGGGTGCATGAGATGTCTCATAGTCGACGTGAACAAATGCGCGCTCGACGTTTGGAAGCGCCTCCAACTTGATCTACAGAAACATAAAAACGGACACGTTAGTTTCTCATTCGCCTGCCCCAAAGTCCCTCTATCAAAGCCCTTATGAATAAACTAGCAAAAATAACGCCAATCGTACCTGCAAACTCTCACTGATATCGTGGCTGATTATCAAAGGAGTATCGGGCGACATGACAACATCGACCTCGACAAACAAGTTGTTGCCGGCATGGTAGGCGGTGCAAGTGTCGACCTGGAGGATCTTGCGGTGATGGGTCAACGCGATGTAGGTCAGCTTCTTCAAGAACGCTGGGTCAGCAGTTTTGCCAACGATGAGCTGGATTTGTTCTGTTGGAACAGACACGAAAAAGTAGAGACAAAGCAAATTAATAATAGGACATATGCGTCTGAAAGGGATGGCTAAACACATTATCAATATAAGCAATTAGAAGGTTACCATAGGCGGTCCACACCCAAGAGCGGAGAATGATCAGGGCAACAGCGATAGCACCGGCAGCATCCAACCACCAGCAGTAACGACTGACCAAGGAAGCAAACAGACCAAATCCATTGACAACCAGGTCGTTGCGATGGTCAGTCGCAAGGATATTGGCAGTGTTGTACTGAGAAATCGCCCTGCAGTACAAGAACAAGGCCAGCTTGCTGGCTATAGAGATGAAAGGGCAATATGTACCTCCGTCAGTGTATGGTAATCAAAAGATGTGAAGCAATAGATCAATACAACTGAGATTGAAATAAGGACCTACCGAGCGCGAAACTGACAAAGGCGATGGCAAGGGCGCCAGGCATGGGTGGCACCTTGTCCGCGTCAATCAGGGTTCTGACCGACTCAATCTATCATAATCACAGACGTGCAAACGAGAGGTTAGTAGTTGATCTGTTTTCATCGAGTACGCTAACCAATGGACAAGCCTTGCAAACAAAGTGTTGTTCAAAAGAATTTACAATAAGCTGGAGAGAGACGGTGGCCATGAGGGAAGCGAACACGATGGTGCCGGCAGTCTCCATGCGGGACTTGCCCTAAATGGAAAAACATGTCCGAGGGAAAGAAGTTGTAATGCATGTTAGATACCTTAACACACATTCAGCTCGTTGGGGAAGCACCGAACACGGGGACATGTTGCAGGGACTCTCGCTGTTGTTTGTTGTTTTCTTTTGTTAGTGTCCACAAAGCCCCTCGCTAATCTAGGGATGCAAACGAAACAAGGGGTGTTAAAAGAGGTAGGTAAAAGGATCCGATTATATTATTTTTCCTTACCGAAGGGTACTTGAACCAGTTGCTCTTGGTCGATGCTCTTGCGGCGTACATGAGGATGAAGCCGGACAGGAGATCCATGAAGGAGTCGGCCATGGTGGCAAACAGCGACAAGGACTTTGACGAGATGGCAGCGTACAGCTGCAGGAGGAACAGCAGCACGTTGACTCCCACCGAGCCATAGATTGCAATCTTGAGCTATATTATGAAAGAGCGAGCGTGAAGACGTGAAAAGGAGAGACGGTTGGACACGAGAGAAAAACAAAGGAAAAAGAATGAGAATCGTTTCTATTGTCAACAATGAGGCACTCATGTATATGAAATGCATTGTTTTTGTTTGTATTTGCAAGTATTACTTCCACTTGTCAAATGCGAAAAATGCAATGTCATTATTATGGTCATTTCATTGTGTCCAACCCTACTAATTACCTTGACTTGGTTCTTCTCCTCAAGCTCGGCAGCGCCCTCTCTACCCTCGGGAGGATCAAGGAGATCAGAAATGAGCTCATTCTGCTCCCGGTAGAACTCCCTGACCTTCTTGTTCGATTTGATCGCATCGATCTGCTCCTCCGACATACGCTTCGAAGCGAGCGACATTGGATCCTGTGACTCGTAAAAGTCGGGCGAGGGTGAAGGCGATGGCAGGTTGGAGAGCGAGGCGGCATTGGTGTCGATCGATAGCGTATGGTGGTGAGGGTGATTGTTGTGCTGGTTAGAGTGAGGATGGCTGCTGCTGCTGCTCAGTCGAAGGGCAGAGGACGAGGACTGGGCGATAGAGACAGAGTGCAGGGCGGCAGGGTAATGATGGTGGTTGTGGTTGTGGTGGGCCGAGGAGGAGGTGCCGGTGCCGACGCCGGAGACCATGTCTTGGCTGAGGTTGAGACTGGACAGGGTCCTGTGGGACAATGTCGGGGAGGACGGGGTGGGTCTGATGTTCTGGAGGGGTAGGTCCATGGCAGCAATGGAATGGAATGTAAAGAGGGGAATGAATGAATGAATGAATGAATGAGCCAAGGAGTGAAGGTGAATGATGTACGCGAGCAAAGTGGGGTGAAGGGTGAAGGAAAAGAAAGGGGGTCGAACAGCAACGCCCTATTTATCCTTTTTCTTTTTATCTGTTAAATTTGCTTTGGCGCTGTAACATGTCCCCAATTCACCCATTATCCACTACCACATTACAGTAGTTTCCCACCAGTCAAATGGGCAAATGCATCCCTGGATAGCAACGCCGAGCTACAGCTAGCAAAAAACTACAAACCCCGCATTCCCTTCTTTTCGTTGCAACAGACAGACCCCCCTCTATCCCTAGTCTACCTGCTGGACACTGTACGCACACACGAGCCCAATCCCGCTTTCCTTGCCACCTGTCATCGTGAGTATTTTGCTATTTTTCACTCGCTCATTTCTTTTTCCTCTCTTCTTCTGTGCCTTCCAAATGAACAAGGTTTGGAAAAGATGGAAGGATCTCGCTGTCCAGCGGGGCATAATGGTGCACAAACAAACACTCGCCTATTCCTAATCCGGCAATCATATCATGGCCCTAGTCCATTTGACTTGGACTCCTTCTCTCTACCAAGCCCCTACCAACAAACAAAACAGGACACAAAGATAACAATAGCAGGCTGCCGTCTTTGCTGTTGACATGCTACGTGGGGGTCGTTGTGTCCACTCATGATCCTTCTCATTTCATTTCGGTATGACCACTTGTGGCTTGAGGTCATAAGCGTGCCTAAAAACACGTATCTGAAATGCGCAGACCTTTTCCCCTCCTAGCCTTACATTATCCTTGTTTGACAATGTTACTGCTATCTTCTCCAGTCATTCATGGATGGACGCGCCTTTTTTTTTTATGAAATGTTGCTGCACTGCACTATTTTTATTTTCCGATGGGGGTATGTACGAAAGGCGTGTAGGAAGTATGTATAAAAAATCCTCTAGATAGTCTGGTGGATCAAATGGCAGAGCAAGTGGCTGTAAAGTCCAGATGTATCGCCCTAGAGTCATCGAATTGAAAGAAGAAAGGGAGCGGGTTAGAATATGATGTCAATCTCGTAAAACACAGATTGCCTGCAGTCATAACGATCCATAATGGCAAAGAACCACTTACTCGGATGCGGTCGGCAAGAGTGCGGTTGTAGTCCATATGGTAGGCTGCCTTGACCTTCTCCATGAACTTGCCACGGTTTCTGATCACAAGTCGCGAGAGATGATCCTCGTTGGTTCCCACACCCTCCATCGACTCCTCGAAGCGAAGGGCGACATGGCGAGCAGGGTCACCAGCTTGCATGACGGTGTATAAGAGCAGGTCGAGGACCTCGCCCTTGTGGAAGGGGGCGATGTTCTTGTCAATAGTGGTGACGACGTGGGCCTTGTGGTGGAGAGAGTTGTAGGTGCGGATGACGGTGTTGAGCTGGGCGGTGGTCAGGGAGGAGACGTACTGGAGCGATCCGTTGAGGTCCTTGGCCTCGAGCAGCTTGTGCAACTTTTCAATGGCCCCATCGACGTTCTCCAGTGGCTTTTCCTCCTTTGGCTAATTTCAGTTAAGGGTCATCGCCATTGAACATCGTCAGCGGGATTGGAAACTGTAAGAAAAAAGGTAGGGCCTTCCCGCGATCCTTCCTTCCCGCATCCATTACTCTGTTGCTTATCTAAGGAGTCAAAGAAAATAAGGGATCAAATCTTACCTCGAGGATGGCAACAAAGAAGGCCTTGGTCTCATTAACCTTGCAGAACGAGAGAACGTGCTCTTTCAAGTCGGCCTTGTGAACAGCAGTGAAAGCCTCCTTGAGTTCAGCAATCTCTTCTGAAGTTCTTCCCACAAGAATCTGTATGAGAATGTACAAAGTCATTACAAGTGAAAAAATACAAAAACAAGGGGTGAGCAACAAAAAAAAGGGCCGATTAGAACCGGGGCACATACAAAAAACCAAAATAAAATAAAATAAGTCAATTGCAAAAAATTCCTTCAGCCCGGTCGGTTTGTCAGTCGACCCCTGAATGCCAAAGAACACCAACTTGGCTGGCAACCGACAACAAATATAAAAAAGAAAACATACCTCGCAGAAAACTTCGATGGCGGTGTCCTTCTTTCTGAGGGTCTCGTACTTGCGGTTGGACTTACCGGCCTTGTGGAGATACTGGACCTCGGCAAGGACCTTGTGCTGGCAGGCACCGGCGAGTAATGATCCCAAGCTTCCAATGATCTTCTTGTCAAGCTCCACAGCCAGATCGACTCCGTACGAGGTTTTGTACTGGCGAGCAATGATCACCAACTGCTGGTACTCTCTGCGTCCTATTTGGCATGGGTTGGATGTGATAGAAGTCAGTGATATGTTTGTCAGGCAGGCAATGAGAATGAAGGGATGAGGAGAGGGAGAGTGAGAAGTCAAAGGCATGTTACATGTTTTTCTTCTTCTTTTGGAGACCCTTTGGGGTGGAAGCATTGTGTGGGGTTGAGAACGAAGGAAGGGCTAATGAGCTAAAAAGTGTCACTTTTACCCCTGATAAGGGCAGAGCCAAAAATAAGAGTTAAGAGACGCACCGATGATGTTGACGAGGGCCTCCTGGTCGGCGACAGTATATTCAAGAGCGGTGTGGATGTTCTGGAGGTCGAAGGTAAGCTCTGGAGGGATTGCTGGTGCCATGGTGTGAATGATGAAAAAGAGTGTTGTGATGGGAAAGAATGAAAGTTGGTGAAAGTGAAAAGAAAAAGAGATGGGAAAAAGAAAAGAAAGACGAAGGAGGGTTGAAGAAGAGGTCGTGTTTGCCGTTGTCCTTGTGGTTCGGCAATGGAAAGATGAGGAAACGTGCTCTCTTCTTTCCTCTTTTCATTCACATTCACTTCTTTCCCGAGGCATACGGCAACAGAAGCATATTTAGTATTCTTTTTTTATCTCGCAGTGAACGAACGATTGTATGCAAGAAAGACGTGTAAACATGAGGAGGTTGAAAGATGTGTACATGTACCTGATAATATTTTTGTTTCCCACTGTTTTTCTTACCTTTCGCCCTTCGGGAAGAGCAATGCGAGGTGGCATGGTTTTATGGTCTCAGTAGAATTCTAGGACCACGCATGCTTAGTTGTGTGTTCTCCAATACTCCATTAGCACTGAACCACATCTATCACGTTTTGGCATCTCCAAACAAGGTGGGCTGAGCATTGATTTTCATGCGCTGAATGAGGAGAAACGCGCTAACGGGTTTGTATGCCTCCCTGTCCCTGTCCCTGGCCTGTCTACCCCTCAATTGAACACATGCTGATTTCTCTGTTGTGCGCATGGGACAGGTTTTATTTATCAAACAGCTCAGTGTAGAGGTAGAAGACACGGACAAACATGCAGCCACCATTGAACAAATAGCGCAGACCTTTATTAGTTTACTGCGCTTATCGAAATGATAACCCTGACAACCCTCGGACGCGGCCACGACATTTCACGCCATTTCTTGATTGAGACTTTAAAAGAAAGAATGTGTGGAGATAGAGATGGGGGTGATTGATGTGAACAACGCTACTCCATTGGGAGTATTTGTCATAGCAATTGAATCTAAGGGCGTAGAAAAAAGAGCAGATCGGCAGCTGCGTAGTTGTTGCGTGGCCTTTGGGTTAGTTTATTTTTCTTGCCTTCTGATCGTACCTCGATGTGTGTGTCTATTTGTTTCCCCTGTCCCTACTACTATCTCCACTTTGACTTTGAGCTTGAACCCGAACCTGTTGTGCTATTCTCCGCCGAGAATTACTAATCTCTTTGATTCGTTAAGGGTCAGTTTGAGTCTAATCCACCTGGCTGATCCTGGCCCCTTCCCAAACCCACTGCGAGAATATACGCTAAACTTTTTTCTTTTCACCCTCCTCTCTTCTTCTTCTCATTTCACACTTCCTCCGCAACCAAACTCAACCCCTTCATTACCCCTTCTCCTCTTTCTCTCTCACACCCTCCCTCCTCCTCTTCATTCAAAAACGCCATGGGTCTCTTGTCGCTCGGAACACCAATGCACTGGGACGAGGCAAAGCAGTACGCCGACCATGTCCGCGCCCACGGCATTATCCAGTTTCTCAACCTCTGGGAGGCTACCAAGAACTCCCAGAAGGACTGTCTCCTCTGGGGCGACGAGATCGAATACATGGTCGTCTCTTACGATGACGAGAACAAGAAGGCCAAGCTTTCTCTCCGCGTCTGGGAGATCCTTCAGGAGCTTGCTAAAGAGGAAGAAGAAGCCGCCAACGACCCTGCCAAAAAGTAATTTCCTCCTCCCTTCTGTTGTTTTCTCACCATACTCTTTTTTTTTCTCTTTTCGTTGGATTGAGTGTCGCTAATGGATCTCAAACCCTTGTGTTATTCTTTGTTTACTTGTACGCGATGTGTTCTTTTTCTTGACATTCTCCATGGCGTTCGCTCCTTTCTCACGATATTTTTGTTCAACCACACATACATTAACCATTTCTTAATTTTACTCTATTCTTCTTTCGGCCTTTGCTTCACCTTGTCTCCCTCAATTGAAAACACCACGCAACAGGTTGTTCGTTAATTCGTCATGGCACCCAGAGTACGGTCGCTACATGTTGGAGGGGACCCCTGGCGAACCCTACATGGGACTTCCCCGAGATCTGCTCGCGGTCGAACGCAACATGAAACTCAGGTACAGTTCACAGTTCAGAGCCAAGGCCAAGCAAGTTCTTTCATTCTCCGGGAAAAAGATATCCGATCGATAGCACTTTTGACCTTCGTTCGTTGGTTCTGGCCCTTTTTGTCGACGGTGTTATCAGTCTTTCCCCGACATTTGTTCTGTTGAGCATTTCATTCTGTTTTGGGTGTCAGCGAAGGAGGGATCTCACTCAAAACGCGGTTCTAATTCATTCCGTTTCTTGTCCAAGAGGACAAAGGAAAAAGAGAACGAGAAAGAGAAAGGAGGGTGAGAACAGCGAGAGTAACCGGCCAACGTCAACCTTTTCAAACAACATGAGTAGACGCGAGTTGGCCTGCAAGTTCATGAAGCCCAACGAGGTCCCCGTCACGTTGACCTCTTACCCTCGCTTGGGATGCGCCGGCGAGGGTCTTGATCCTCACCATGACCCTCACGGACCCGCCGCGCGCAGCTTGTTTGTCCCCGACGACATTATCAACGCCCATGTGCGTTTCCCGTAAGTCTCGTTGTTTTTGTCGGATCAGATATTAAGAAAAATATTGCGCAAGAGGTCCTCGAAATAACGCAGTGTTTTCTGACGAATCACCCCTTACCTCTTCTTTTTCCTCGCCACTGTTTTTTTTTGCCTCGTCCCCCTTTTTTTTATCCGACCCATGCCAGAACTTTGACCGCCAACATCCGCAGACGCCGTGGAGCCAAGGTCGCAATTAACACACCCATCTTCCACGACAAGAACACACCCAAGCCCTTCATTGATCCGACTATTCCCACCTTCAACGACTACCCCGAGGACAAGAATGCGATCGAGCAGGGGGCAGCTCTTCCCGATCACATCTACATGGACGCGATGGCCTTTGGCATGGGATGCTGCTGCCTTCAGATCACCTTCCAGGCCGTTAATGTGGAGGAAGCTCGCAAGATCTACGACCAGATGGCGCCATTGGGACCTATCATGTTGGCCCTGACCGCTGCTGCACCGATCTACCGCGGATATCTGAGCGATGTGGATTGTAGATGGAACGTTATTGCCCAGTCGGTCGATGACAGGACAGAGGAGGAACGCGGCTTGAAGGTAAGAATAGAGAGCATGGAGAGGGGGTGATGGTCATGTTTTCGTTGGTGCCCCACACTTTGTTGTTTTTATTTGCTTGGGCCATGCACCATCAACTGCATTTTTTCCATCTATTTTTTTTTTTTTTTTGAGTGTGCTGAACGTCAAATGACACCATTTTTGCACTATCTTGACACATCTTTTTTTTTTTGTTCTTCTACATAGCCATTGAAGAACAGCAAGTACAGGATTGCCAAGTCGCGTTACGATTCGATTGATTCGTACATCTCAAACGACCCATCCAACAAGCCCGAGTACAACGATATACCCCTGGTCTTTGACGAGGACATTTACAAAAAGCTGTCTGACAATGGAATCGACAACCTGCTGGCTCGCCACATCTCGCATCTCTTTATCCGTGACCCCCTGGTCATCTTCCACGAGCTGCTGAACGTTGACGACAACGAGAGCACAGATCACTTTGAGAACTTGCAGAGCACCAACTGGCAGACGATGCGGTTCAAGCCCCCACCCTCCAAGACCAGCCCAATTGGATGGCGTGTCGAGTTCCGGTCCATGGAGATCCAGTTGACGGACTTTGAGAACGCTGCTTTTGCGATCTTTATTGTCCTTGTTACCCGTGCCGTCCTCTCCTTTAACACCAACTTTTATATTCCCATCTCTAAGGTATATTTCTCATTACTTATTGGTGAATCGTTGAGTTGTTACTGACATTGATGATTTGTAGTCCTCACTTGATGATTACTGTCAGTGATACCCATCTACTACTGATTGATGGGTTGCTGAAACTTGTTTGCTAACTATCTATCTCTCTTTTTTATATTTTTCAATGACGAATAGGTGGATGAGAATATGAAGGTGGCACAGAACCGTAATGCGGTTCTTGGTGAAAAGTTTCACTTCCGCAAACAGATCTTCCCCCAGTCTCGCCCTGGAACCCCAGCAGCAGGAACACCATTTGGATCACCCAAGTTGTCGAACGCGACCTTGCCCCGGACTGCCCCAGCCGCCCAAAACAACACTCATAGCAACACTAGTGGAGGATCTTTGGCACCAGGATTGGACCGATCGGACGAGTACGAGTTGATGACGATTGACGAGATTATCAACGGCGCACCCAGCAAGGGATTCCCGGGTCTGTTGGGACTTGTGAACAACTACTTGAACACGCTGAACATTGATATTGAGACGCGGTGCGAGATTAGCAAGTACCTGGAGCTGATCAAGAAACGTGCGAACGGTACATTGATGACAGCTGCCACATGGACGCGCCAGTTTGTGCAGAACCATCCAGAATACAAGCAGGACTCTGTTGTGTCTGACAGGATCAACTATGACCTTGTGAAGATGATTGAGAAGATCAACAAGGGCGAGGTGCAGGTGCCTGAACTCCTCGGCACCTTCTCCGTCTAGGGTAGGAGGGAGAGAGAAGCAATAGATTAGAAACTACCTTCAAATTATCATTTTGTATTCATCATCATCATCATCATCATATCGCGAAACGAATCACGTATCAACGATCAACGAAATGTATGACTCGCACAAAAATTGAAGTGTGTGAGTCGTAAGGAATTATCGAAGCCTGTCTTGTTTCTAAGCCCCACGTCGTTTTCGGGCGATGGAAACGAAAAAAAAGGGTTAACACTTGCTTCTTTTTCGACCTGACTCATTGCCTTTTTTTTTTTTGTGTGCTACTTCTTCTTTCCTTCCATCAGACATTCTTTCTTTCTCTCTTCACTCATCCAGCCCTACATAGGACCAACCTACGACACCCTCCGCCTCACACCCACAAACAAAGCAAACAACAAGAAAACAAACAATGTCGACTTTTGGAACCCACTTTCGCGTCACGACCTTCGGAGAGTCACACTGCAAGGGCGTCGGCTGTGTCATTGACGGATGCCCCCCAGGACTCGCCCTGACCGAGGATGACATCCAACCACAGCTGACCCGCAGACGTCCCGGTCAAAGCAACCTCACCACACCTGTACGTGCTTTTTTTCTTTTTTGTATTGCTCATTTGTCCGTGGGTTGGTGCTTTTGCTTGTGCTCAATTGATACCACTACCATTTACTCCGCAGTTGGAACTAATCGCTATCTTCTACCTCTTCTTTATCTATTGTTCTTTATGAATGAACAATGTACGAATAGCGCGATGAGAAGGACAGGGTAACGATCTTGTCGGGCACCGAGTTTGGACACACGCTGGGCACACCGATCGGATTGACGGTTCCCAACCAGGATCAGAGACCCCACGATTACACCGAGACCGATCTCTTCCCTCGTCCCTCTCACGCCGACTGGACCTACTTGCTCAAGTACGGCTTGAAGGCTTCTTCTGGCGGTGGACGTGCCTCTGCCCGCGAGACCATTGGTAAGCTACATGGGGGGATACTGAATGAAAAGATAAAGGAAATGGAGAGAAAGTGAGAGAGATGTGGTTCTCTTTGTTGATCTTGATTGGGCGGGGGGTTATCGTTTTTGGTCAGAGTAAATGAGGTTTATGATAAGATTTTGCCTGTGATTTCTGCTCACTTTGAAATGTTTATCATTTTCACATAAAAAGAGATCTTACTAACACACTTTTATCGTTCCAACTCTCATCCAAAATAGGTCGTGTGGCGGCAGGAGCAGTGGCGGAAAAGTTCTTGAAGGAGGCGTACGGGACAGAGTTTATTGCGTTTGTGTCGTCGGTCGGCAAGGTCGCCATGCCCTTTATCGAGGAGCAGAGCGAGACAGGTGTGCCCTCGGAAGAGTTTGTCGAGATGTTGAGCACGGTCACAAGAGAACAGATCGATGCTGAGGCCACCCGATGCCCCGACAAGGAGATCTCTAAGAAGATGACTCAGGTACTTATAATGGATGAATGACGAGGAAGCATGCGCTGTATACAATTGGAAGTCTGAAAGAAAGGACAACAAGGCACATATGAGAATGGGATCAGCGAATCAATTGTTTTCTAACTTGTTTACGTCGCTACGTCCTACTTACAACAGAGAATTATCGATGCAAAGGAGGCAAACGACTCAATCGGAGGAACGGTCACCTGTGTCATCAGGAACGTCCCCACAGGACTGGGAGAACCCTGTTTCGACAAACTCGAAGCCAAGCTCGCCCACGCCATGCTCTCCATCCCCGCCACAAAGGCCTTTGAGATCGGGTCCGGATTCGGAGGCACCCAAGTCCCCGGACACCTCCACAACGACGCCTGGGTTCAAAAGACTGGACGTAAGGGACAGAAGTTCCTGGGCACAAAGACCAACTTTTCGGGTGGAATCCAGGGCGGTATCTCGAACGGAGAGAACATCTACTTCCGGATTGGGTTCAAGTCTCCTGCTACGATCTCGCAGGAGCAGCAGACGACTAGCTATGGAGGTGTGGAGGGTGTTTTGGCCACCCGTGGACGTCATGATCCTTGTGTCGTTCCTCGCGCTACGCCTATTGTTGAAGCTATGGCCGCCCTTGTTATCATGGAGTACGTTCTTTTTTTCTTTTGCATTATCATCTATGCATTGTCAGGTTCCACTTGCAATTGAAACGATCTATGTTTCGTTATGCACTCGCTGACTTTTTTTTTTTCTTTGTCCTTTCTTCTTCAACCTCCTATAGCGCGGTGATGATTCAGTTGGCAAGACATGGTGCAGCGTCGCTGTTGCCCCCCATGCCCGAGACCCCTCTCCGCCCTGCTCCCTTCATCATGTCTGTCCCTGGTGGCCAGGCCATCAAGGTCGACGAGACCTCCAAGCCCAAGACCGAGTAACAAAAGTCTCTTGCCTTTTGTTTCAAAAAAGAAAGAATGCGAGGTTGCTTTTTTAACCCTGTTTTGACCGTTCCATTATCCAATTGCCCCCCTCACTAGCAAAAACCCATACAGACATATCGAAAAATAAATAAAAAACATATTATTATGTGCATTACATTCACACCTTTTCTCTTGGAACTTTTGCTTCACATCCAAGAGGGGTCAATTCAAGAGCTGGACAAGGAAGTGTTTTTTTTTTTGTATACTTTTATTACTTTTTTTGTTCGTTAGAATGAGGTATAGGGTGGCTAGTGTGTGTGGACCAACAAGAAGGGTATTATTCTAAGTGCTTTTGCGTGTGGGTGTTGTATGTCGTTATAGTAGAGCGACATTAAGCATTAGGTGTGTAAAGCAGAAGTAAGAAAAGGGGGGAGGAGAATGGGGGGGGGGGGGGACCCTCAAAAGTCCCAGAAGGGATCCATATCCCCCAAATCCCCCGACTGAGCAGCTAGCCCACGTCCTCGGTTCACATGCCGCAATAGAGGCGATGTGGTCGACGCCATCGCAGAGGTCGTGATCATAATCGGAGGGACTGGGGCAGTAGTCGGGGTCGGTCTAGTCCACCGGGAGACTGTTCCCGCGAACAGGCCGTTCAGGAAACCCTTGTCGAGGACCTCGGTGGTGCTTGCGCGCTTGACGGTCATCGCGCGAGGGTACTGTTCGACTAGATCTTCTTGTTGGCCGGGAAGGAGAACAGGAGGGAGGTCCTTGGAGTCGAGATCTTCGGTGACCTCGGCGGCGCGGATAGGTTCTTTTCGGTCAAGGACAAGGATCGCGACTGGAGGAAGAGGGAGGGTGGAAGCAATCAACAGCGACTTTGTAGACCCGGCAGACGAAGCTACTGGCGGAGATGAACTGAGCAGTTGCTGGTAGAGTTGCTGCGGAGATGAGGTTGCAGAAGACTTGTCTTGATCCACACGGACGGCATCCGCAACTGCGGTCGTGACAGTCGTCGTCGCAACAACGCCCTTCAGGAGCGGAGGGGATGGGAGCGGAGCCTGGTAGTCGTGGTAAACGTCGCAGCCTTCGTCCATGGGCCCTTCATACTGATAGACAGACTTGGCGTCATCATGCGAAGTCCTCGTAGAGTATCGGCTGTTGGCAGCAGAGTTTGGCGCGGATGAGGTGAAATGGTAAATGTCGCCGAGACATTCATCAAGCGCAGCCTTGACCTCGAGGTCATACGGAAGAACTGGCCAAAGACGGCTCACGTGTTGGTCCTTGAGCTGGTGCTTGTCTCCATGGCTGTCGCTGTGGCTATTGTTGTCGTTGATTGTATGACTGATAGTGAGTCCGCTAGGATCCTGCTGGTGATGCCCTTGGTCCAGCTCCTGTTGACACGTCGGTGAATGCGAGTGAGAGGAAGAGGGAGAATGTGAACCCAGGGAGTGAGATATCGACGAAGGATGTTCCTGATCCTCACTGCAGAACCGTCGGCTAAAAATATTTTCCTCCGCTCGATGGGACGAGGGAGTAATATCAGCAGGAGGGGGTAAGAATAAATTTCTTCCCTCGTCTTCCTCCTTTTCCTTGTCAGAAGTGTTCGAGGTACTCCACTCTGTTCCTGAAATAGGGGCTGTTGCTTGATGAACCTTCTTCTCCAACGACGCTGATTGGTCACTCGGCTGCTCAAGCACTCGCCCAGGACCCTGCGCAGAGACAAACTTGACGGGAACTGGGAGTGGGAGTGGGAGGAATGAGACGACGGAGGACTCTCGGTCTAAATTAGGGGCCGAGGTCGTCTCCGACAAAGACAATATCAGCGAGGACGAGGATGATGACAAGGAGGAACAAGACTGGTTCGTCCACAAGGAAGCTATTTCCGTCTTGACTAAGGTCGTCGCGACATCGAGAGAGGCAGGGACTGACGTGACATCGTCTTGCTTAGTGGGTTCTTGATTGGAGGGCTCGAATAGAACAGTACTGGCATCGTCGTCGTCGTCGTCGTCGTCTTCGTCGTGGTCGAGAACAGAAAGGCTTTGGAAGTCGTGGATCTGAATCGGATTCGGCTCAAACGGCGGTCTGTGGGTTAGGGCAGGACGAAGTGGAATCGGCGATGCGTGTGCAGCTGCAGGGGCTGCGGTAAGGTAGTCGGCCTGATGTTCTTGCTCTTGTTGTGGTGGACCATGCTCAAGCTCATGCTCATGCTCAATCTTGTGTTCGCGTTTGTTTTCGACATCTTGTTGCTGCGACAGGGGCGACTGCGTCAGAAGAGGCGAGGGCGGCGAGGACGAGGACCATGGGACATCAATGGTGTCTGCTTCGATGTCGTGGATAAATTCGACAGACAGGACGCGGCGGAGGCGATGCCGATAATAGTAGTTGGCTCCTGTTCGTGTTGTTGTTGTTGTTGTTGTTGTTGTTGTCGCATCCAATGCATTTTTGTTTGTATTGTTGTTTTTGTTGTCGGCCTTGGCATTGTAGGTGGCGAAGGAAGAGACAGAAGAAGACGAAGATGCTACAGCCGCAGTTTTTGACAGAGTTGGCGTCTCGGGGTCGTTTACTGAAGGCAGTCAGGGAGGGCATCGATGTCAGCGGAGGAAGAGGAAGAAGGAGAGGAAGAGGCAGAGGCAGAGGAGGGGGTCAATTGAGGGGACGAGGGAGGAGTAGGAAGGATGGACTGAGCCTTCTTGTTGGGGAGGGTGGAGTCGTCCTTGTTGTCAGTTGTGATGGCGTGTTCGCCTTCGGTGGTGGTTGTGGTGTTTGCGCGGTGGCAGTGGCAGTGGTGCGAGCAAGTGACGATGAAGCGACGAGAGGGGGCCATTGTAGTAGTAGTTGTTGTTGATGAGAGAGAGGTGCTTGTGGAGTAGTGGAAAGTGATGAAGAGAAAAAGTATAAAGTAGCGAAAGAAGGTTGTTGAAGAAAGAAGACGAAAGAAGTATGAAGAAGAAAGAAGAAAGAAAGAAGAAAGCTAAAAGGTGGGGGACCCTCTCCCTTTAAATACTTTCATAAGAGTCAAATATCGACTGGGCCCCCCAGTCCTTTTTGCCACGGCTGTCACTGCCGCAATCCAAATCCAACCTAATGGCAAAAGCATATTCCCGACCGTCGTTGCTTTGTTTGACAAATACCCAAAAAAGGAATTATTCTCTCTATACTCTTCTTCGCCAGGCAAGCACCATGGTCCAGGTGGCACATCGTCACCACTCTGCTCTCTTTTTTTTTTCCCCTTTTCATACTTGCTCCCCACTTTGACAAAATAGTTAAAAGGAAACTTACGTGTATGGCGAAGGGATCTGGGGAACACATCCAGAGTGCGGAATCGGTACACCGGCGTAAATCCTCGAAGCTCACTTTTCTCCTCGGCTGCTCTCGTTCCGGCTGCTTCTGCTTCTTCTCCTTCTGCCGTGATACTCTTCATGACAGTGAGAGTGACACTGCTCTCATTCTCATTCTTCGACCTGTCGACATATGCATATGCGTCCACGGCCCCATTGTTCGCTGTGGAAGCTGTATCATTCGAATTATGCGCTGCGGACCCCTTTTTCTTCCTCCTCCACTTCAAACCCCTCCCCCTCCACTTTGGCCCGTCATTCTCATCCCTGCTGTCGTGCTTCTTGCTCTGCTTCCTCCTTTCTCCACCTTCCTGCATTGCATCTTCCTCCTCCGCGTCTATTCGTTCCTCTCTCTCCTTCTCCTTCTGCTTACTGAGAAAAGGGAGGAAACGCAAACTCTTGAATATATTGCTCTTGTTGTTGTTGTTGTTGTTGTTGTCGCTCCGCCTGGTTTCGGTTTTGTCAGCACCAGGAATCCCGACACCGTCATCACCGTCGCACGCATTATGCGTCGCCGCTGTCATTGGCTGCTGGTCTCTGTCCTTTGTCCTGCCGAAAATGTTGCTGCTGTTGTTGTTATTGTTCTTGTTGATGGTGCTGTTGGACTCCTTTCGTTGCTTAGTCGACTTCAACGTCTCCTTTACCCTGCCCTTCCATCGCGACAGAGAAAACATCCTCCCCCTTTTTTTTGTTGTTGTTGTTGTTGTTTGGTTTGTTGAGTGTTGTAGTGGCGTTGGTTTGTTGTTTTGCTGGTGGCCGTGGGAGGTGGGGTCTGTGTGTAGGCTCTGCTGTTGGGAAAAGGGAAGCTGTCGGGAACTTTTTTTTTTTGTTGTCGTTGTCGTTGTCGTTGTTGATGTTGCTGTTGATGCTTGTTGCCGCAGGGAGAAGGGGAGAAAGGAGTGGGTATGAAGCTTCTCTGGAGTAAGCAAGCAGGAGGGGAAATGTGGTAGGAGTGTAGAAGGGATGTGTAACTTTCTTTTGCTCGTTGCAGGGAAGGGTGAAATGTATGTATATGTGTGTCCGCTTGCAGACAGCTTTTTTGTGAAAAACAAAACATAACCCCCAGCAGGGAACGTGCACCCTCTTTATATTGCTCCTTCCTTTTCTCCCCCCTAGTTGTTTCTTGATCTCCACTCTTTACCAGTGTCCACACATCTCTTTTTTTTCAGATGAGAAGATACCATGCATGAACAAAAGTAGGTCGGGTAGGTAGGGTAGGGCGGAGAACCCGCGAAACGCAGCGGAAACAGTAACGAAGGAAGACTGAACATACAATTTAGAAAAGTAGGGAGGGAAAAAAAAGGGGGGAGGAAAGATCCACGGACGAAACGAAACGAGAATACCACTTGCCATTGACGTATGGCCCATCTGCATTTACCCTTTCTCGATCTCAGCTTTTTTTTTTCTAGTTCAGCTTGCCGAAATCAAGGGAAGGAAAGGGAAAGAGCCCTGAAGACGGATGATAGACAAGCAAGCAAGCAAACAAGCAATATTGCCTGCACTTGGGAGAACCAATCAAGTAGCTAACAGACCACGCCTCCCCCCCCCATCTACGTCAGGGGAGGAGATGCTGTAGTCCATGATGACACCTTCCATCTACTGTACTCTTCTGATCTCTCTTCTTCCCTTTTGCTGCCCCCCTTCATGATGCGGGCTTGTTGTTGTAGCTGCTGTGGTAAGTTGGTAACACAGGCAATTCATCTCCACATCTCACTTGTGAACCTTTTTCCCGCTTTGATCCTGCCTCACTCCCCCTCATTCCTGTCCAATCGACTTTTTTGGGGGTTACGTTACGTTTCTCCGACTCTAGCATGTGGATGATCGTGTTCACGCGTGAAGGAATCCTGTGGGTGGGGGCCTGATACAAGTGGAGGTGGTTTTTTTTTTCTCTCCCTTGGTCGTCTGGTAAACATGCACATGTACACTGCCTGTTTCGGGAGATGGTGGGAACTAAAAAAAAGTCTACAGACTCGATCTCCAGTCAAGGAAGGGCGAAAAAAAATGGAAGGAAACAAGAAAACGGAATGAACATTTCGAGACGCGAAAGAAAAAAAAAGGCGATGGTGGTATTAGGCTAATGAATTAGATATTAAGAGATGATGATGATGATGGTCATGTGTCGGGTGAAGAGTGAGGACAGAGGAATGAGTCACTTCATGTACCGTAGAGTGTTGACCAAAGGTGACTACAAGAGTAAATGTCAAGAAAGGCGAAGGCAAAGTTTTAAGGAGGTTAGGGCATGTTCATGCAAATGGGTTTCGGCTTTATTTTACTTTTTTGGTACAGCGGTCCGCGGGAAAGAGAAACAAGGACTGACTTCATCTTGCTACGATGATCATTCCTCTTTGACGCGAGGAGGGCGCGTAGATATTATTAGAATAAATAACAAGAAAAGAAATGAAAGAGGGACGATGCTATGGGAAACTGAGCAACAACAACTTGATCTCCAAATCCCACTCTGCTATCCACTTCGCATTCCTCACAGGCCCCGCTCCCGGCGCCAGATACGCCGTCTCACCTACAATCTGATCTCTCACGACCTCCAGAATCTGATTCAAATTCCCATGCATCGTCGCCTGGTACACCTCCAGTTTGGGATGCGTCATCACAACCTTGGACAAGGCTGGGCCCAAAAAGTTGGCATACACATCTGCCTCATCCGCACTTCCCCCTCCATTCTCACTGACACCCCCGCCAACAATCTTGCTGCTGCCACCAATCTTGGTCTCAAGCTGTTCGGCCAACTTGCGTTCAATCCTCGTCTTGATCATCGGCAAGAAATGACAGATACTCGGTGGGTTCCCACAGATGTAATCCATCGCATGACAATCAGTCATCGTCCAATTCACTCCCAGAGCCGGCTGATCCACCCGATGAGGCTCGTTGCAATCCCCCCTAAACTGGGGCTCATCCACAAAGATCGTATCAAACACCGTCCGGAACAGGGACACATCCCAGGCTCTTTGAGCTTTAGTCACGGCTTCCTGAAGGTGTTGGATCGCGTTTGCGGCTTCGGTGGAGGAGTAGGCGGTGGTGGGGACGCCATGGAAGAGGGATTGGTCGATTTTTGTGGAAAGGGTTGAGAAATGAAGGGAGGAGAGTAGTTGGTATTTGTCGGCGAAGGCATGGGAGACGTTGAGTTGACATTGGCGTTCGCAGGCTTCTGTGACGTTGGAGGTGAGGGTGAAGAGGAAGGTGGTGATGACCCCAGTCCATATCCTGGTTCTTGAAAAGACTTTCATCGTCTGAGGTATGTTTGTAGTTGAGGGGTTGAAGTGTTCGAAGGGTTGAGGCAAAAAAAATATTGGTGGCGGTTAGTCTCTATTTTTGGGGAGTCAAAAAAAAAAGTTTTTAGGAGAGTGTGATTTTTCGCTGTGTGACGTTGATGCAGTCAAGGTTCATGGAGAACGCAACAAGAGTCGATCGTTGTAAAAGTCGCCAGCGAAAAGCCCTTTATGCTGTAACAAAGAGGACTCATTGCGTACAACTGAGAGAAAAAGGACGCAATTCCATGAGAGGTTGAGCAAAGAACTCGCTCAGAGTGGCGCTGATGAGGGAATTAAAAACGTACTGGTGAGATCAGACTGATGGGCATGCAATGAGGGACCCACTGAAAGAAAATGTTTGTAAATAGGTGGTGTTGGTGTGGTTGCTGTGAAGAAGGAGACGTGCAAAAGGCCAAAGAAAGAGTGAGGGCGTAAGAGGAGATTGAGAGTGGGCGTAGTGGAAAAGAGTGAGCAAAGAAGGAAGGAGAGTCTGTCTTGGAACAGGAAAAAATAAACGTGCATGAAACGAGTGGCTGCCCATGTTTTATCCAGCTCGTTGTACATGGCCAGGGTCCTTTGGCCAGGATTTCATGTACTACACCTTTGCAATCTAATTGACCACTGCATTGGGCTAAAAGCTAACCGTCAATTCGCAGGAAGAGAGAAAACAGAAGATCGCAGTTTATCCTAACTCAGTCTCACAAAGCAAGAAAAAGATGAAAAAGCGACTATATTTGAGACGACGCGTAAGGGGCCTCAGGTATCTACGTCAAGACCTTTCCCTACTCGCATGTCCTCCTTGAACTCTGTACAGATTGTTGTTGATGGGCGTGAGAAAAATTAGTGGGCAACAGTTCTTTCTTCTTATCCCAAGAGAGGGGTAGTCTCGCCGGTTTGGCGACCAACAAGGCGGAAGACAAAGGGCTTCAAGGTATAGGCTGCAACAGCAATGCCCAATCCAAGAGCTGTCCAGTGAATCGCATCCTGCTCCTGTTGATCAAACACTCCAAACAAGTACCATGCCAACACAAGAGCGCCAGCTATCATATCATGGAAGTAAAGAAAAAACAAGGACGCCTGTTAGTTTCTCCGATTATCCGGACATAGTCATATCGTTCTTCGCCATAAAGTAACAACCAAGCAAAGAAAAGAGTCCAGTTGCACATACCGACATCACCCTGCTTGTACTCGATGTATCCAATGACGGTCGAGGCGATAAAGGCCAATCCTGCGATGGAGAGGACGACCTGGAAGGCCGAAGGGCCATTATCGCGGATAGGAGAGATGATTGCAAAGAGATTGATGATCAAGAGGACAAAGATCCAGGCGTGGTAGAGCGAGAAGGGCAGGTGCAAAAAGATGACCTCCGACAATGTCTCGGCATTATCCTGATCCTTGAGGCGATAGTAGATGAAAGAAACTGCTCCAGTGGCGAAAAACAATGCAAACAACGCCAAGAAAGTCTGACCAGAGCTCTACAAGTAGTGAAAAGTAGATTAGAGTGTTTTTTTAGTATCAAGAGTTGCTATTAATTGTCATTGCGCTGTTGGGTCATGGGGAGTGTTCACGTTAGGTAAGCGGCACGTGGGAAGCCAAGGAGGAAGTTGGTAAGGGAAGAAGTACACTTTTCCTGGGCATTGTATTTTTCTTCCGCACGTCCGTTGAGCATGCAACCCATGCGGGAATCCGATTCTCCCTCCAAGTGGACATGTTATTGTCGACAAAAACATAGAAATCTGCTTTTCGAAAAGTATTTCACAGGGAGCAACAGCGAGAACCTCTGTTCGTCATCGCTCGTCCCCCCTACCCATACTCTCCCCGCCTGACTTCCAGTCTGGTTATCCTTACATCAGCCCATCTCCTCTGATAGGCGACACAGTCGTGTTGTCCACAACCCAACCAACCACAACAAAACCTCGAAGGTGCCTTGCCTGTCTGTCTGTTTCCACAGCTGTCCATCATCATCATGACGTGTTGCAATACAAAGAGAAAAGCGCGAAACTCAATCGCCACCACCACGTCAACGAATACGTTCTGTAACTCCTGAAGAAATACAGAGACAAAACGAGAAGAAGAAAAAAAACGAATCACCAAAAAAAACAGCGACCAGAAAATAACAAGGAAACTTACCCAAAGAGCAAGCCAAATGGCATTAAACACCGAAGCCATCACGAAATGCCATCCCACGGCCTGATAGATCTTGTCCGTAAACCACTGGTACACGACCATTCCTCCCAGAAGGAAATGGATCAATGTCCAGATGTAAAACGTGAAGGAGGCCGGGGTGATGTACGACTTGTGTTTGGAATCGTAGGGCGAGTCTTGGTCTTGGTCGCCACCAAATGTCGAATAGAGGTTTCCGGAGACCAGGGTCACGTAGACGAGGATGTTGGCCATCTTTGATTGCCAGTGACTGAATTCGATCGCCATTTTGCTTTGTTTGTTGTGGTAATGTGTGGTGTTCGTGTGTAAAGAATGAAGAAAGGAAGAAAGGAAGAAGAAAGAAGGCAAAAGAAGTTGCAGAGGAGCGGGAAAAAAAACGAAAGAAGATATGTGGGTGACAGAGGGGAGGAGAGAAAGAGGGAGAAGGTTTCCCTCTGCATCATTTGATTTTCGAGCCTCGCGCGCATTCTCTCCGCGATACAGAGGTACAAGAGTATATTCAAACCAAAGATCATCATCTTTCCGTCAGTCCTGTATTCAACGCAATCTTTCACAGTTTATTAGTGGAGAAAGAAAGATGAGAAAAAAAAAGAAACAAAAGCAAAAGCAAAAGCAAAAGCAAAAAGAAAAAAAAACAAACTAAGGGAGCCTTCTAGTAGTGCACGCGATACGGCTCCTCATCCACATAGGCACCGGCCTGCTCGCAGGCAAGCATGTACGACTTTGTCAGGATCGAGGCGCGTCGAGACCGTGCGATCACCATCTTAGCCGTCTTGGGCGGGTTGTCTCCGTTCGTGAGCAAGTGTGTGCACTTCTTACGCCACTCCTCCGACGTTGACGTCACATCCTCCAGAACGATACCACCCAGGGCTCGAATCGTTTTCTTGCACGCATCGCGATGTTCGGCACCGATTCCTGAAAGAAGAAAGTACTTGACTGGGCGAAGCTGTGTTCCTGGGTCTGGATCTAATTACAAGAGTTAAAGAGCAAAATCGTATTAGATACACATACTCCTTTCAACATTCAGTGTCCCTCCAAGAATGTGGACTGCAATAGAAAAAATAACCTACCGTTCCTCTCGCTGATGGGTTGGTCGGTTGGGTGAGCGAAAAGGGAGGATGTGTTCTTGTATCCCAAGTCTTCCATAAGCTTCCTTTTCCTCTCCCTTTCATCCGTATCAACCCAATGCACAACATCCTTGGACTCTCTCGCCTCCTCGTCTTGTGATGCTCTGTAGTAATCGTCCTCCGTTGGGACATCGACTCCTGAGCTCTTAGACGCGTCTGCTCCCGAGGCTTGAGAATCCTCCGACGGACCCAGCGCTCTCCGTCGTTTTCGAGATAATTGATCTCGGGGCAAAGATGTGTATGCCGCTGGCTGCCATACCGCAGGCACGTCCGGATGCTCCTGAATGTCCTGCTCCATAGCCTCCGGCATGCTAATATCTTGATCGTAGATATCCGGAGCAGGCCCTGATGCGGTGAGATTCAAGTTTTGGGATACCGGTATTATCGGCTCTGACTTGAACTTGACGCTCAGTTTTCCGGCTGCCGTTCCTTGAAATGTTTGGCTGGCATCCTGTTGGTTGGAGGGAGTACTCCATCGAGGTTTTACTAAAGTTGGTCGCGCCTTGCCTATGCTCGTTTTCCCGCTTGCTGTTACCCTCGGAGTCGAACTCGATCCTTGCCGCGTAACAGGGGCCGACTGCGACTGCTGACTGCGTTTTATTGGTGGTGCTGAGGGTGGAGGCATGGTCTGGGATGTGAAAGACTGCCGCAAGTCCTTGTAGACCATGGTTTCTGTTCCGTATACTTCTGGATGCTCCTGCTCTGGTGGGCGCAGTCCAGTTTCATCCGCCTTGTATAACCAGCTGGGCGCGATGACACACACTCCAGCATTGTTAGCAGCTCGAACATCCCGTACCACAGTCGTAGAGATCTTGCCATGATGAACGAGATGAGTCATGCTAGTATTGCTGGAGTTGTAGGATGTGCAGACCCGAGCGCCCAACTTTTTGGACAAAGTCCTCATCTCATCCACGTTGCCCACTACGCGGTTGGGTATGCAGATAGTAAGGCCATCGAGGGGTGTCGAAGAAGGGATCCCAGACTGTGTTGGGACCACCGATGTATCATACAGGGAGGTGTCATCGTACTCGCCAGAACCTTGAGATACCGAATGACGCACTGGTACTAGAAAGAAGTCGTCAGATGGCAAGCATACACCCTATGACAATTTGAAGCTTGTCAGTCATTGGTGTAGTGGGTATCTTTCTTGCATGTGATCATACACTCTCATCATGTCGAACTCATGCCACAGATATCCAAAGAGTGTTTTACCTCTTCAATGCATCTCTGAAGCCAGCTCATCCTGACAATGGGGAGCCGGCTCCTTGCCATATGCTCGAACTTGGGACCCGAAGGTCTGTCAGTGATTAAGAGGTTGGTGACGCCCTTCTCGAGATCTTTGTGAAAGTGACCTCCTAGTTGCTTGACTGCACGTTCGACGTGTGTGTGCTCCGTTATATCCAGCCCGCTGGTGGAGATGTAAAGGTCCTCGAAGCCTAGCAGAAAGTCAGTGTCAGCGATTAGTAAACATATCAAGAGGGCAAAGCATCGACAAAGAGCGTGTAAGTTATTCCTCGTTTACCTTCAATCGGGAATGACTTCATTGGAGCAAACAGAAAATGATCCGCGCAGCCCACAATCTTTTCGTCTGCCACCGATCTCTCAAACCAACAGCTTGTCACCACCACTCCAGGAAATCCTTGAGTCTCTTCCAGTTTTCTATTAGAAAATAATCGACAGAATTAAAAAGTCAATCTTGCAGCTCCACACAGGGCAGGGAGGAGGCGACCACATGATAATTGAGCTGGAGAAGCATGGCACACTTACGTCCTCATTGGGACCACTGTTCTGATCTTGTTCTTTGCAACAAGGGGCGGGTCATCATCAAAATAAGTTCCGCCACAGGCTCCGGCTTCTTTGCGAACAAACTCTTCCAGTTTCTTGCTGCAGCCTCGAGTGGTGATGTAGAGCCCAGCGAATATATTGAGCACTGGCTCTTCCTTGACCCTCTCGTCGTCGTCGCTTTCTTCCAGGTTGAGATCAGCTGCTCTCATTGTCAGAGAGAGATCTTGGGTGACTTGAAAGGGAGTTGACGCCACCATCGAGAGGTCACCCAGAGCTTGAGTCAAAAGTCCCGAGTGGGTTCTTTCCCGAAGACCTTGCCTTGTTTGCACAGGTGATGTCGATGAAGGTGAGGCAAGTCTGGTAGTTTTGTCAGAGGGCGTGGATGGCGGGCTATCTGTGTTGGGAGACCTCACATCGTTGAGTCCATAAGTTGCGGAGGACTTGAGGAGAGGTTTCGAACGAAGGGTTGCTGTACTGGTGATCGTCCGATTTTTGTCCTTGGGCGCTACTGCCGCATCCAGAGTCCAGGTGGTGGCGCCTTCCATCCGTACTGGTTTTGGCTGTCCGTTCTCTGTACGCGTGGGGAAGGGGACAATGTGTTCAGACTCTGGGGCAAGCTTGCCCTCCCGATTCGACTGACGGAGCCAATGCTGGTGAACAATAAATGGCAGTTCCTCATCCGCATTGAGAAATGCCACCGTGCTAACAATAACAGTGTGTTGAGTTCACGAAAGATGAATGGTTAAAAAAACAAGCTCGCCATATAGAGGTAACATTGTCACACTTGCCCTAAATCGCGTGCATACCTTGCCTCCATCTTGTTCGAGGGAACCACGATATGAGTTACTTCACGATGATCGTACTCTGTGATATGGATCCCTCCGGCCAGCCGAATGATCTTTTTGTACTGAGCTACCTCCTCTATTGAGAAGGACGGACACAGAAAGATCTGACATGCTTCCATGTACATATTGTTTGGTGGGTCAAAAATCACAGGGTCCAGCGTCAGCTCGTCAACTGTAGCCAGGTCCCGCTTTCCTGCTCCGCTGCCGCTCCTTGATGGTACATTGGTTTCTATCATTGTCAATGTCGTTAACGATGTGAGTTACTTGTATGAAATGTGCTGAGAAGCGCAAACAGGCATAGTACTGCATCGGACTCGCTTACCTTCTGTCGGGGGAGGATACAGAGTTTCGTCGGCGCGTTCTATCGACAACCAAAAAAAAGCAACGCAATCGGCATGTCAATAAGCAACTTCCCTAGAGTAACTAACGGCTCCTTCAGGGACATATTTCCTTGCAATGGCTCACACACCCCAGATCCTTACCCAGGGTCTTAATGGTGTCCTTGAACCAGTTAATCGTAACACATTTGATGCCACCCCAGGAGACGGCCGACCTGTACTTGTTTCCTATCCCAAAGTCGCAAATCAGATGCGTCGTTTGGTTCTTTAAAAGGTCCGCTGTGTAGCGTCCTCCGTATTGGACAACGTCCTTCTCGATGATATTCCGCACGTCTACAAATACAAATAAATGCGCCCGTTCATGGTCAGTCGTTTGTCCTGCAATACTAGTTTCGTCCTTTGTTCAGTCGGTCGGTCGATCGCCATTCCTGAACGTTACCATGATTAAGTCCTGTAATGCACACTGAACATCCTTGGAACGGTCCTAATCGGCATTCGTCAAAGACCTACGACAGTTGAACGTCGAAAACTTATTAGAATACAGGTTCAAATACCACCAAGTTCAGTACTGTATTGAGTAAAGGCCTGTCCTCACCTTTTTGGCGTCGACTGGGTATCCTGTTCCCCATAATGATTCTACTTGATCCAGCCAGTCAGGTTTTACAACAGGGATGTCCAGTTCATATGCGATCTAATACATGCATATATCATGCGAACTCCGTTAGCATTAAGTCCTGGACCCGTTTTTTATTGAGTGCCTTAGCGACTTTCCCAGTGTCCCTTTGTACCTTGTATTTGGGTGATCCTGTTTTCGTTGCAATTAACACTGTAGTATCGTTGGACATTGATACTATCAGCGTGCCTCCCAATGCTGTCACTCTCTTTCCGGCCGCATCCTAGAGAGAGATATACGGTGATGCATACATGCAAAGAGTGTGAATATTAATTTTATTTTCTGCGCGGGACTTAAGAAACAACGCGAAATGTTCCATGCAAAGTTACCCTCTCGTCCTTGGTGTAGCCTGTGCATGCAACAATCCAATCCTGTAGTGGTTTTGGTCGCTCGTTCTGGGAGGCAGTGAGCTGTAATGTAGCCTTTGCCGCGGGTCCAGGTCGGCGGGGTTGTCGGAACATGTATGTTGTTGTAGTGTGTGTTTTTGGAGCGGGATGTGCGGTGATGTGTGTGTGGGCTAAGCGTTGAGTTGTGTTCCCGAAGTGAGGAGGTGATGTTTGTAGTTGCTTGTTTGATGTTTTGTCTGTATGCCTGTCGATTATTATTTCGGTGGGTATGTGTGTCTGTGGTGAAAGAGAGACGAGTGATGATGGAAGAGGAGTATGGACAAGAGAGCGTGGAATATTAGTCAAGGGTGCCTGAGAATAGTGAACAAAGCCCTGGAACAAACAACACAACAAAGTTGCTCTTGTTGAACTCAAATAACAAGTTCCATGTGACTGCAGTTTTGTTTACCTTTCAAGCGCGTTCTCGTTGTCCCCCCTTTCCTTATTCTCTTTGAACTTCTCCATGCGCTGAAATGCACCACAGTTCATTGTCGCTGGATACAGGACCTTTTTTGTACACCGTGCACCTTTATTCATTGCATTGCTAAAGGTATGTGAAGTATCGTTGTACTATGGTCGCCGTCCCACAGGTGAACAACTCAATAGGACAAGTTCCTCCTAGGAACGCCTCCTAGGAAAACATGAACAACTCACCATTAACTGACCCATCGGTCACCAGGATAACCATTTGTAACCCATTTTTCGCCAGTCTTCCGGAAACAATTCTGGTTCTTTTACACGTCCACCGTTTATTCCCCTCACCAAACCAACTCTATCAATCATAACCCCACAGTCGATTCTCCTTCCCCAGTTAACCATAAGGACAGAAAAGGGAACATTGTCCATGGCTGGGTAAGGAGCAAAGAGTGGAGAAGGTGATGAAATGTGCAAACTAAAAAAAAATCAAGAAGGCGGAGGCGGCATAAGATAAGAAAGTCCCATTATTACAGTTGTACTTTTTGTAATAAGAAACGCGGGGGACCAAAAGACAAGGCAAGATCGCTCTCGTTTCTGTGTTAGTCGAGTTGGTCGCGGAGGAAAGCCAGCTCCGATAATGTTCGTCCAAGTGCAAGTGCAAAGGGACAATGGTGGTGAAATAGTGACCCGGGGGGTAGGTTAAACAAGTTCCTAACGGAACAGGGGAGCCAATCAGTCCCTATGTCCCCATTCGTTTAAGAAACTTTGTTGACGAGGTGGGGTAGAAGAGAAGGACCAGTTGCGATGAAGAAAGAGGAATGAAATCAGAGGCGCGTAACGCGGGGTAAAGAACCAAGAGGTGTACCCAGTCTCTCAGTCTCTTTGAGCGTTAATTCGGTCCTTCGATGAAGGTTTACGTTGTGAACAAAAATGGGTTCAGACGAAAAAAATAATTAGAAAGGTGAGCCTGACCCCGCCCCTGCGGAAGGAAGGGACACGAGGGAAAGGCACTGGAGAATAGGGAAAAGGTGGGGTAGCGGATGTCATCAACAAAGGATGAAACGAGAAAGTCAATGGGAGTTTACTACTAGACATGTTGTTTGCTCTCCTTCAATGAGGGCACAGTTCGCTTCTAGCAATTGACAAAATGACTTCGGTAGACAGATAGAAAAGATGAAGAAGGAAGAAAAAAAAGTGGGTTCAGATTCGCAATTGGGCGTAGCTTGGACGACACCTGTTTAGCGTCCTGTTGATCCTTGTCCAGGGTTTTCAAGCTAGGTATGCGCTGGTGGTCCATGTTCGGGTGGGAGGGTAGTGGAAATATAGGCCTATGCGCATACACACCAATTGCATGTAAGAAGCCCCTGAGACGGACAAAAGGGCAGGAGTGAAGAAGTAACATAGCTTGTTCAAAATGCCGAGTGATGACATAGTTCAGGGCGTGAGGATTATATTTTTTTGAAAAGAGAGATCTGTACAGCGAGTGTACCCAGTTTTTTCTGCGAGGGGTTCTTTTTTCTTCGTTCGTTCGTTCTTGTTTGTTTTGTTGAAGTGTATGTGTACAGTCAGAGTGCAAATGTGCCCGTTTCCTGCGATCGATGAACGTCGGAGGTCATTAGTATCCATGGCGGTCTGTCTCCAATTGCGGAGAAAGGAAGAGCGAGGGAAGGGAATTAACGTACAGCAGAGTGAGCAGAGTGAGAAAGGGAGCATTCGCAACAACAATAGCACTAATTGGCTGTGACCCACAATTGTTTTCTCTTCTTCTCTTCTCACTACCTTTCCAATTCAATCGAGAATAGAAAGAATAATGCCGCCGTTCCCTCTGCTTCGATTCGCTAGCAGGCTCCGGGCTTGCAGTATTCCTTCCCTTGCTGTTGTACAGGGCGTGATGTCGTCAACGACAAATGGGCGATCAGCTTCTTGCAATTCCATCACTATAAAAGGGCCGCAATCCCACCTCTCATTCTTTTCTCATCGCCCTTCACTCCTTCCACTCCCTTGCGGCTCCTCCACACAACATTCCTACATTCCCACTCCTCTTCCATTACCCATTCCCACTCCTTCTCTTCCTTCATTCCCTTCATTCACAAAAACAACAATGAAGACTTTTGCCTCTACCATCTCCAAGGTCTTCTACGGAACTCTTATCCACTCCGTCTCTATCAAGGAGATCGAGTACATTCTCCAGGGTCTCCTTTTCATCGATAACCAGGGCAAGATAGCCAAGATCGTCAAGAATGTCTCCCAGGACAAGCTTGATGCTGCCCTCGAAGGTGTTGACAGTGACAAGGTAACTTTTTTTTTTTAATTGGACACACACCCTTGTGTTCTGTCTCACTGTTTTGTCCCTGCAGCATCAACAGCAGCAGCAAACAGCAACTATCCCCTCTACCCCATTTGTCTCTCCTTCCTTTGGATCTTTTCATTGTACAAGTGCCTTCGTACCTTTCACTTCATTCCACTTCATTATTGATCTCCCTTCCTTTCACCGTTCGCCCGCAGTTCTTTCTTCTTCACTGTGGATGATGTATGAAAGTCGCCCCTGGAAGAAAATTAATAACACAGACTCAAAAGACTCAAACGAGAAAGAGGGTGGAACACCACCTGTGAGCATGAACCCTATTTCACCCGCCAACTGGATACTTTCTTCCGGACCCCTATCTTGATCACTTTTGTCTAAGATCAATGATCATCACTGATATCATCATTCTAACAACATGTTTACCTGTTCCTGAATCTAACTATCGTTTTTTTTTGCCACCAATCTTTACTTCTATTTAGCTCGTCCGCTTGACCAGCGACCAGTTCGTCATCCCCGGATTCGTCGACACCCACATCGTAAGACTCTACTCTTCTCGTCTTTCACTTTGCTACCATTGGCATTTGACCTCATCCCCCACATGTTCGACTCCGTGTGTCTAATGCATTCCTTTCTTATTTCCCAATTTATTCATCATTCATAGCATGCTCCTCAGTATGCTTTCTGCGGAAACGGACATGATCTGCCTTTGCTCGAGTGGCTCGACACCTACACCTTCCCTGCCGAGGCCCGCTTCGCCGACAAGGACTACGCCCGCCGCCTCTACACAAAGTCCGTCGCCCGTTCGCTCCGCAACGGTACCACCGCTGCCTGCTGGTATGCTACCATCCACCTTGAGTCTTGCAAGGAGCTCGTCCAGGTCATCCAGGAGCAGGGTCAGCGTGCCTATGTCGGCAAGGTCAACATGAACCAGAACTCGCCCGATTTCTTGGTCGAGACCACCGAGTCATCTGTCCGTGACACTCGTGCCTTTATCGAGTACGTCAAGGATGTTAACGCCAAGATTGAGAACAAGCCCCTTGTCACCCCCATCATCACCCCTCGCTTTGCCATCTCCTGCACCTCGGACCTCTTGACCGAGTTGGGCAAGTTGGCCGAGGAGTACCAGTTGCCTATCCAGTCGCATCTCTGTGAGAACATGAACGAGATTGGCTTCACCATGTCGCTCTTCCCCGAGTCCGTCAACTACACTGCCGTCTATGCTGACCACGGCCTCCTGAACGACCGCACCGTCATGGCCCACTGTGTCCACATGAAGGACGAGGAGCTCGATCTCGTCAAGGAGAAGGAAGCCGGTATCTCCCACTGCGCCAACTCCAACTTCAACCTCAAGTCCGGCATCGCCAACGTCCGCAAGATGCTCAACAAGGATATCAAGGTCGGTCTCGGTACCGATGTCGCTGGTGGTTACACCCCCTCGATCCTCGAGGCCCTCCGCGCCTCTCGCACCGCCTCCGTCGCCATCGACATGGAGTCCTCCTTGGTCGTTGCTGAGCTCTTCTACCTCGCCACTGTTGGTGGTGCCCGTGTCATGGGGTTGGAGGACACTATCGGAAACTTTGAGGTCGGCAAGGAGTTTGATGCCATCTTGGTCAACGCCTCGTCCGACAACTCCCCTGTCGATATCCACGAACATGACACCGTCGAGACCTCGTTCGAGAAGTACCTCTTTGTCGGCGACGACCGTAACCACGAGAAGATCTTTGTCCAAGGCAAGGAGGTCCGCATTCCTGGCAACGCCTCTCGCAAGTAATTGACTCTTTCTTCCTCTTTTAGCCCTTCTCCTTCTTTTCTGCGAAGGAGTTGGTACTCTTTGGGAGTTGTTTATTTTTTTGTTTGTGAAGGTGTTATTCTCTTTTATGACGGAAGGTTGGGAAACGCACAAAACACACCTCCCTTCCTGTCTTTTTACATAGTTCTTATGAAAATATGTGCTGCAGTTTCTGTTTTTTTTGTTACTTCTTTTCTTTTCCTTATTTTCTCTTCTTAAACTTCTTTTTTTGTTCGTTTTGGACAATAACATACCCGCTCAGAATGGGCAAAATAGAGAAGTAAGAGAAGAGGAAGGGGAGAGAGGAGAGTGATGCGAGGAAAGAAACCAAGACGAAAGTGTTTAGAAAAAACCCACCCTGTACGATTTTTGTAACATAATAAATCTTAAAAATTTCGAAAAAGAAAAAATAATTTCCTCCGCTTGTTCAATGCTTAAGACATGCAGTTTATTCAAGATTCTGTGACTCAAAAGACTTCATCATAATGCTCAATCATGACCTTGACAACAGTGCCCAGAGTCAAGGCGCCGTCAACAGGTGCATCCTTATCCCGGTGACCAACACTCGACAACGCAATCTCTTGCATCACATCCTCGTGCCGCACCATATTAGGCGTCATGACCACAGCCAGGTTATGAGGCGTCATCAGGTTCGACTCGCGTCTATCTGCGACTAGCTTCAACAGCCTAAACACTTCCATCATTAAGATCAAGTTGTTGTGTGTCACCTTTGTCACGATCTCGGACCGAATGAATTCCGCCACCGTCTTTAGATCCTCCCCACGCTTCTGCTGTTGCAAAAGACTGTACAGTTCGACAGGGAAAATGGGTTCAGGAAGCTCGCGCAAGAAGAGTTTGAGTAATACTGCAGAGATGTGGATGTCGTATTCGGCCAGGTTGACGGGGTTGCCACGGTCGTATGCAGCACGGACCTGTTTCAGCATGGCGGAACTGGGGCTGCGACGGAAAAGGCCCTCAACGTAGAGACCGTTCTCGATCAGGTTCCTGATACAGTCCTGGATGAATTTGGGGAGGCCCTTTTCGCCGTTGGGTCCCATGAGTCGTTCCAGTGGCGCGCCAAAGACTCTGTGTGCGTGATCCTGTTGGTTGTCTGGAAGCGTGATAGTGTCCTCGAACTTGAGGTTGTGTCTAATGATATATGAAGTGTGTTAGCTTCGGATTCTTTGCACCTATACCACATTTAGCTTATTCTTTGTCAGACATCGGTCGTCACTCTTACTGGTATACTGCGGCGGGGATGTTGATCTGGTTGAGAGGCACGACCCTGGCGAGGTGAGATAGGTTGTCGATGTAATGGACCTTGGCGCCAAACTTGGGACTAATTAATTGGTGAGATGCACGACCTTGTTGTTAGTTTCAACGTCCGCATCTCGAACAAATGTGATGTGCAGAATGCGATGCTCCAAAAAAGACGTCCGGCCTGCATACCTGATAACGGCATTCATAGTCCCGAGGATAAGCCGTGGCCAAGTGGAAGGATGGACAATATACAACGCTTTCAGATTCTTCTTGTATCTAAGTTTTAGTCAATGGACAATAAACAAGGGGCAGGTTAGGACATGGCTTCAGCCTCGAAATAGATTAAAATGTTGACCAGTCCCGCAGAGGCTATGCTTCAATTGCAATTGATTGCGCCGTTCGATGAAAAAACAACTTGCCTGCGATTAAGACTGCGATAAGCCTTGAAAAGCCAACCCCATCCTGGACGGTACACAGCTCCTCCAGAAAACATGACGACGGTATAATCATTTTCGACAAATTGCTCCAGCTGGGCCAAGACGACTCTAATTAGAGTGGCCGCCACCCGGAAAAGGAAAATAATGTTAGTCGATACAACCCTATAGCTTCCCTTCCTCATGTCAACCAACCAACCCCTGGCTCTCACTTCTCAGAGAAAGACATTTGATCAAATATCAAAATTTGAACAAAAAGAAACGCCGCAATTGAGAAAATGAAGGTAGTGAGACTTGCCTGAGGATGGTGTCGTAGTCAACTTTGGATGGGTCGGGAAGGTTGCAAGCACAGAGGATGACTATGGGTCGACTCTCGTAATCCACGCCTATTTACATATATGGTCCAATTGAGTAGAACGTGCTTCCTTGTTAGTTGGTCTGAGCATCATGACCGTGCTGCAATTCCCCCCCTATCATTCGTGATGATGATAATGATAGTCAATGGTCGTTGCGTTGTGTCGAAGGGTAAGCGAGCGACAAGGGATAATTGTGTTGTGATGCCACAGGCTCAAGGTGAGGTATGTGCTTTGTCGTCTATGTTCTTCTTCCTTTTCTTCCTGGTGTGTGCCCGTCGTGTGTGTATATGTACAACCGAGGGTATCCTGTGAAGTGTGGCACTTGCCTGCGCGGTAAATGATGTTGTCACTTGATGCCATTGAGTTGTCGTTGTTGTTGATTGTTGGAGAGAAAAAAAAGAGTGATGATGAAAAGAAGAGAAAGAGAGGAAAAAGAAGTGTCGTGCAAGGTGAATCGATAGAACAACAGGTAAGGGTGTGGAACGGACATTGGGAGAGAGATTCGAGTGGTGGCTTGCCCCCCTCCAACCTTTTCCATTAGATGATTAGAGTGTCTCTCTCTAATTCTCCGCCTGACAGCCACAATGTATGCCATTGTCGAACTCTCTTTCTCTCGTCGCTGTTTGATCCTTTTTTTTTTTTTTTTTTTTTTTTTCAACCTTCACTCCCTCTTACTCTCCGTCGGTCTCAATCACCCCTTGGTCAGCCAGCACGCACGTCAGTCATCCAAGGATCACCTCAGCACCCACACACACACACACACACACACACACACATACACCGACAGATACACGCGCGCTACGCAGGACACGGGAGAAACAAACAACTGAAAACAAACAACCAACCACACAAGCACGCACACACTCGGGACCCATCAGGAACAAGAGGCGAGAACATAACGGCACACCACAAGACACCACCATGGTATGCATCACGACCTCCCTCTTACCCTCATGGAACTCGGACTGAAGGAACGAATAAAGGATCACATCTGTCGTCATGAAAATACCACCGAAAAACGCCACCACTCTGACAACCCTCCGCCCTATGTTTTGCTTTTTACTACGTGTTGTTGAATAGGCAAAAGTCCCAAAAGGGTCTGTCTCGTTTGCGAAGGGCAGCAAGACCACCAGTTCCGGCGGCAGTAAAAAAAAACTAATCAAGAAAACATCGACCAAACCAACATCATCTACCAAAACGTCAACAAGGAGTTCCAAGGCGAGCGATAGCGACAGTGGCTCGAACTCCCGGAAACGACCCTCTTCTTCTTCAAGCTCTTCAAAGTCGCAGCCAGAACCTCCCAAGAATAGCAGCAGCTCCAGCAGCTCGCGACGACAGGCTTTAAGATCGGCATCGTCATCATCTAAAGCAGCAGCGGCAGGATCGTCGTTTTCTAGTGGAAAGAGGACAGAGGACCATCATCGTCGCGTGTTGTCGGACGAGGAGGGCAGTCAGGGCGAAAGCGAGGAAGAGTCGGAATCGGATGGTGAGGACCCGGACACGCAACTGGGATTGAGACCTACCTTGCGCGTTGTCTCCAAGGCCACTGTCAGGAAAACATGGAAGCCCGTCACGACCAGGACTCGGACACATATCCAAAGCCTCGTCACTGGACTCTTCCCGTAAGTTTTGTAATCGTTGATGTTTTTGAGTATGTTGCTTTGTGTCTGAATTGTAGGAAATTGTCAGGGATGCCGGAGCCGAACCTGGATAATAACCTATTCACTTTCACCTTCTACGAAATAGCGCTGCGATTACACAGGCGCGAGGAGAAAAACGAAAGATTGAGATGCAGGCAGGATTGAACCGCCTTTTGGAAAAGTATGGATCGGGAACACACGACTCACAAAGGCGAATGAACGTTTATTGTATTCACCATGGATACTGTGACCGACGACTCACCAACAACTAACTTTCGTCGATTGAATTGTTTTGTCGTAGGTTGAACGACACACTGAGTGAACTCCAAGTGCCACAGGGGAGCGTTAAACCCAACTATGCGCAACTGTCAGCGCGCAATGTAAGAGTTAACAGATGAAAAAGCGCTCAATGAGATTTGGGAAGAATTGCCACGAATGTACCATTTACCGTTTATCTTTTCACTCTGCTGGAAATAGAAAGAGTTGGAGGCAACGCTTGTACCTGACTTGGAGCACATTCGCGACCTGGAACGTCGTCTTGAACAGGAGGAAACGTAAGAACGCACTGTGTCTCTCTTTCTTTTTTTTTGACTTTCATGCAGTCCCTTCATGTGTTTGCTTTCGCAACGTGTTTAACAGAACGATCATGTCGTGTTATTTGCGTCTTTCAACCTTTCCTATAAATTAGTCTTGCAAAACTGGATGAAGAGGCCTTGCAAGAATTCAGGGCAAAGAGACGGGCACAGAACGATAGGATGGAGTACTTGCAGAAGACTAATTTGCACCCCCACCTGCAAAGCGAGGACCTGACGGAGACTATGGAGTCTCTCTGCCACGCCAAGGGCGACTATAGCCATCTCTCCGTGGCCGACCAACGGTTGATGAATCTGATGCCTTTATCGCGCAATGAAGACTTAGCGGGGTCAGAAGTGCGCGAGTCGTTGTACAACGTAAGGGATACTTGCCTTTTAGCCGTGCGTTATTTCATCTCTAGTTTTAACCTCCCGTCGTTACAATGCGCATTCCTTCCCCTGGTTGCAACGCACACATACTATGTACTTTTTTTCCATTGTAACCAACCTAATACTCCCTTTTTTTTGTCATTTTTGCAACCATTTAGCCCGACCAGGATGTGAGCATCAACAAAGTGTCGAAGCGTTTGGGAAGTCGGTTGAGCGCCATTGAGCGAAACAATGAGGTTCTGGACCCATTGATGCAGTTGGTCGCTGCAGCTAGGGACAAGGTCGCGGAGTTGTCTCGCGCCATTCCTTCCACTGCCGCGTCCCCCATCAACACACCCGCTAAATCAACATCCACCCCACGTCCTCGTTCATACTTATAAGAAACTACGACAACGTATCTCTTTGCTTCTTTTTCTTCATTTTTCGTACATGTCTGCCAATAGACTTTTTTTATACCCCATTTCATCTTTCCCGTGCATGATGAACCAACCCCCTTCATTTCTTTTGGCACACGTAATAAAGTGGATGCAGAATTGTATTTTTCAGTTTGGGTGATGGTACATGGTTAAGAATTTTATACATCTGTTATGGACTACATGGGTGGGGCGTGCGAGGGAAAGAGGGAAGAAGGAGGTGGTTATGTATGGTATCTGGATTTTTTGTTGCTTGTGTGATGAATGGGTGGGAATGCTACTTAGGTTGGGGGGGTTATCATTACTATTATTGAGGATTAAGAGAAAGAGGTGCCTGAACTTGAGAAGGGAGGAGGTTTTTTTTTAGTTCTGGCGGGGACGGGCGTGGGACCGTTCGGGAGGTGTCACCATACCACTTGCACCGGTTGCACTAACAGCCGCAGAACCGGCGAAGTTCAAGGACCAGGATCCGCCAATCGAGGAAGGAGATTGGTGACCTCTCGGGAACCCGGACGACGAGGGTGACGAGGGCGACGAGGGCGACGATGGCGATGCTATGGGGGTGGCACCACCGAACTGTAGCTGTTGTTTGTTGGAGTTTGAGGGTTGGCTACGAAGCCAGTCTTGACTTGCATGGTGGGAGATTGGGACCGGGGTTGCGGTTGTGCTGTGAGTATTGATGGAGCCGTAAGGGATGTAGTCTTGGAAGTCGTCGACGACCCGTTGGTTGTGTTGGAATTGTTGTTGTTGCTGTTGGAGTTGTTGTTGTTGCTGTTGTTGGTATTGAAGTTGGAGGGATGGGCGTTGTTGGGAGTGGTTGATGACGACTGGGGATACAGGACGGTTATTGGCGGAGGGGGAACCGGTGGCGGTGGTAGAGTTAGCGCCAGAACCGGTCAGGTCGTAATCGCTGTTGTAACCCGTCTCGGCCGCGTGAGACGTCAAGGGTGAAGTCGAGTTCTGGGTCAGAGGACGAGGACGAGACGACGAGAACTGGTTCTGAGCATTCTGCTCAAAACTCTTGAAGCTCGTGGGGGCCGCAGATCCCATGGTCGTGTTGACCGTCACATGGGTCCCATGCCCACCATTAGGATTACCAGAGTGTCCACCACTGCTGGCATTGATAGAAGCCATCTCGAGCTTGGAAGGGCTCGACGTGGCCTCAGATCCGGTCTTGGGCTCCTGGACGGTGTTGAACAAGATTCGGATGTTGAGTCCAAACTCTGTCAGGGTAAAGATCGTCAGGGTCGACGAGAAGAGCTCGATATAGACGTAGGGCGGCAGGGTCTTGTCAAAGATGCCAATGATCCGGAAGATGGACATGAAGATCAACAGGAGCAAGTCGACGGTGAACAAACTGGTCTGGAGCTGACGGTACTGCTTGAGCTGGACATTCTTCCCGGCCGACATACCCTTCAAGGTTCGGAACAACTTGACGTAGAAAATAACCTCGCACAGGATATAGTACCCTCTGAAAACCGGCGCACCAACATCTCGGATAGTCCAAGCAATCGCCAAAGGCGCACACCGCGTCCCCGCCGCAACCGACCCGTCACACAGATAGTTCTGCACAATGTTGATAATAATGATTGCGAACAACTCGATCGCCCGGAAGCCAATCAAGAAAAAATGCAACCAATTGAACTTCTTGAACGCTGGGAAGACAGCCGAGCACCGAAGGTAAGCCAAGTACATGGTCGTCGGCTTGGTAATGAAGTAACAGACATTGTTGATAACGTTGAGCCAGAGGGCGGTGTCGAGGGAGATAATATCAAAGACGGTGGTGATGAGGAAGAAGACTGCAAACTCGTTGATGAATTGGGCAACGTTGATAATGGGGAAGAGGTGGTATTTGGAACCGGAACGACGGAGGAAGATCATACGAGAGAGGGAGTGGGTGGAGAGGATCATGGAGGCGCCGACGAGGAGGGCGCCTACCAGCTCGTTTATGGTCAGTTCTGTTGCGATGAGTGAGGCACCCATTGTGTCGTTGTGTTGGAGTGTTGTTGGAGTGTTGTTGGAGATTGTTGAGTTGGTTGAGTTGAGGGTGTTGATGTTGAAGGAAGAGGAAGACGAAGAAGGAAGGTGTGAAATTAGAAAGATAAGGAGGAGAAGGAGGGAGGAATAGATTGTCGTCGTGAGAAAAGGGAGAGACAAAGATGCGTTATCGAAGAGATGGAAGAGGATAGAGAGGGAAAGTGAGATGATGTCTTTAGATGAGAAAAAGAGGAAAGAAAAGTGGCGGTAGTGTTTGACAAAACTGTTGAAAGGTAAGGGAAAGGAAGGGGGTATAAAATGTTCAGCAAGGCAATAATGATTGGTGAGCAAAATAAGCTGAAGGCAGGAAAGGTCGAAGGAAGAAAGAGAAGAGAAGAAGGAAGGACAGAGAGTCAAGCAAGAAAAGGAGAATACGGACAACGACGTCGACACTCGGGCGCATGGTGACCTTTTATACCGTTGCTCTTCCACTACTGGCAAGCAAGCGATCAACACCGTTGGTCGAAGACAGAGACGGCATTCATCTGATAATAATATTTCGCCATTCAACCATTGCAATTGAATCGACTCCTTGTGCACACTGGTGCCATCCATCTCTAATTTTTCTCTCTCAGCCCCCCTGCCTCGGTTCTTGCTCAAACAGGGCAACACACAATAGCGATTAACATGGATTGGATTGGGTAAGGAAGGTGCGTTTTTTGTTTACTCCCTCAGACTTCAGAGCAGTACAACATTAGAGTGCACGCACTCTACTTTGGTCTTGGAAGGCAAAATAAGAAAGTTGAGTGGACAACATGGTGTCATTTGGACCTTTGATGGAGAGTTTGTCGTATTTTTTTGATCTGCAGCAACCTCGAAAATTTTCAACCGGCGATAGTGTTTGGTGAATTGAATTGGACCGTAAAGTAAAGTAAAGTAAAGTGGAAAGGAAACGGCGGTCGCGGTGTGTGCTCTCTTTACCATAGTACAGTAGTGCGTTTTTTCTGGCCAAAAGGTCAACGAGAGCAGACAAAAAGAGAAATGGCGACACAGGAACCATCAGAACCGAACGACTTACTCTCTTTTTTGGTTGCTCGATCGTCATCAAACACCGAGGCGAGCCGTGAACAAAAACCATCCCATTTTCAATGGCATGAATGGCTCACAGTGCATGGAAGGGATGAGGCTAGAAGAACAACGAAAGAAAGGTACGTTGCGTATTCTCGTGTTTTCTTGTCGTTCAGGAGTGAAGGTACTTGGTCAAGTATAAAATGGTAAGGTAAAGGGATGAGGATGAGTAACGACATGGATATGAACAATGGTTTGTGTTGGCTGCGGCTGCATAAAGAAAAATAAATATTGTGCAATAAGCAATTCAAGATGACAGGAAGATTGAACATTCAGGACACGACGGAACGAGCGAGCGACTCGTCAATCAAACAAAAAACAAAAGGGTTGATGTTATGCAACCCCTTGGTGTATCTGTTGTTATCTCTGTTCTCTCCTTCATCCCTCATGTTCAATTTTCCCTTCGATGGCCCATTCTCTCAAGGAGAGGAGGGAAAGCACCACACATTTGGAACCAAAGCGCGGTTTACCACTCCCTCCCTTTCCATGTATTCTAAACGTTTTCATTTCACCCGCTCCTTCATGCAAAAAAAAGTGCACCAACCAAAAAAACGCGGCTAAAGAAAAGCGAAATTGCATTGTCTATTGCTTCGTTTTTTGTTTGCTGTATTATCCGATGGTATGGGGTTTACCAGTACCTTACATGATCGGTGGTGCATTGTATGTTGCTTGTCTACGCTGCATGTTTGCTTTGGTCAACCGGTCAACTATCAGAGAGAATAGAACGGAGAAGAATGTGATGGATCAAAAGGGATAGGCCGTTGAGTGAGAGAAAGGCATGTTGCGAAATAACATCTCTCGCACCATCCTTACTCCGACTTTTGTTCATGAGGACCAGAAGGGCTAGACAAAAAGACATGAGGAGGATCATGACCACACACGCATTTCATGGAGATGTGGGCAACATCAGTGGGTCAAGCACGCACACATGCACGCGTCCGTCTGTCTGTCGCGCCCCGACAGTTTTCTTTTGATTGCTTCATCAAGCTCTCCTTCTTCCCCTTTCGGTTCAATCGATCATCGAAACCCTTTTCCGAAGTTTCGCTATCACAACAAAAAGGAGATAGACGAGCAGATGGACATAGAAAGAAAAGAAAAGAAAAACAAAGAATCAAAAGGATTGGGAAATGGCTCTTGTTACAGGTAGGTTCTGACAACAACCACCAAAACAACAATCAATTACCGCCTTATGTGTCAGAAAGAAACCGAAGAAAAAAGACCTAATGAGGAATTACCCGCTAAACCACCAAACCCATGTCCACGAGGCAAGTGTACCCAAAATGGACCAGAGGTTTTCCCTCTTCACAACCGTCGCACCAAACGCCTGTAAAAAATAATTGCAACGGTCAGTGGGTTCGCAGATTATTGGGCGAGGATGCTCAAAATGGCACCATTTTCGCTCTCATTTTGTCCATTTTTCACATTTTTCCAATTCATTCGCGCACCTCCTGTCCCTTATTCAGTTCTTATATTTTTTCTGCGATGCTGTTGTTGTTGTTATTTTGGGATACAAATGTAAGTTAGGCGCAAACAAACAAATTGACATACTGTACGACCAATCTTTTTGCCACCTGGTGAAGTGGACGGGTTATCTGTCCAGGGTGGCTGGGGACGGAGCAAGGGCAGGGGTTGAGAGAGGCTTAGATGTAGATGGAAACGAAGTATGGAACAAGGTGTAACTCACACCTTCGGATCGGTACCTTTTTTCTCTAAGATAAACCTAAGGTACCCATGGAACCATCCATATGCACAGTTGAAGAAATGGTGCTGGATATGGAAATATAATGATACCTCGTCGACCACTGATTCTGAACTGATCAAGGAAAAAAATAGTTAAATAGTCTCAGTTCACATCAACCGTTAGCTATTATGCAGAAACCCAAAGCAAGTGTTGATATCTTGTTCTTATGGTGTTGGTGTGGTTGATAAGTTGTCGATCATTATCCTAACCTTGCTCCGATGCCCCTTTCCTGCTAACGCCAAGGGCAGCCATTTAGCCGGAGGAGAGGGGAGGGGCGATAGAGAGAAAAAACGCTACTGCTCGCTTCGGCTATTATATCCTTACCCTTCTTCATACTCTCTCATTCATGCGGTTGCTCGCGAGTCGCGACAGTCCCTCGCGTGTTAATTTACGCCCCAAAATACACTATCTCTCCCATTTTCCACGCCTTGGATCTGCTACCAGTCGCAAAATGGTTTTCTACTATGGCATTTCAATCCCTGGCGTCCTCTGGCGTAAGGTGTCGTTCATGCCGTCAAAATGGCTGCACGGTCATTGCAAATAGTAAAGGAGAATAGGAATATGAAAACATGGGTTAGCTCCTCTCCTCCACTTCCTTTTCCAGCATGCATATGGCAAGGGATGGTGTGATATGATTCATTACCTCAACCATTGGGGCTAGGTTTGGAGTGATGTTAATTTTGCGCCCTTTTTTCACGTTGTTAGTATGCATATGTGTATGGTGTATTTGTGGGTTGTTGGTGATATGTATGTGCATGTGTGGGTGTGCAGACATCCAGTGACCACATTTCCCCTATCGGTTTTTTTGTTGGTTTTTGTGAGAGGAGACCAGGGAAAGAGGGTGAAAGACGATGGAAGCTCAGTCCGAGCATGCATCAATATTTTTTCTATGGGCGACATCATTGTCACACCAATACACACAATTAGACGGATCGAGAGCAATTATCGCGACATATTTTGCCTTGCACAAAAAGCGATGCTTGCGTTTTTGTTCCTTTGAGCTTTAGAGGAGACAAAAGTTGGACGAAGGAAGAAGGAAGAAGAGACAATCGATCTATTTTTTTTCTGTTCAGACATTGTTGGCACGATTGTCCACAATGATGACATTTGTTGGTTGTTTGTTGCATTTGTTTATGTTCGTGTTTATGTCAACCATCCACGCTCTCACCCTCTTTTTCTTCGAAACATACCCCTGAGTGACACAGAAAAGATGTTGTTTTCTCTATCTCTACTTTCGGATAATATCAAGGCAGCCTTGTGGTATTTTTCGCCTCCTCTCTATCCTCTGCTCTTCCGCGATGGCTCTCATGGGCCTCTATATCGGCTCGACATCCCTTACTGACGGGCAGTGTTCAGAGTCTATGGCTGATGTCCTCTCTCACGCGGCCACTTGTTTTTCTCCGTGTGGACACGCCGCACCACTCGTGGTGAATTAACTCTCATTTCCAAAAGCAGAGTCCAGAGCCTTGGTTGTTGTTACCGACTTTTTTACCTTTTTTTTTTTTTTTTTTTTTTTTTTTTTTTTTGGCTCCCTCCTTCCTCGCTTTCGTTCGTTCGTTATGATGCCATAGCAAGCATCAGCCTACTTTAATCATTACACTGCATTTCGACATAAATGCCTAATTACGCCTTTTGCAATGCCGCGGAGGGAAGGAGAGAAGCGAGAGAGGGAGCCTCGAACCATGATGAACACAATCATGACTTTACTAATGAGGTTCCTATTCCTCCTTTGTTGCCTCAAAGATTGATTCACCCAACGCGTTATGGACTAGCGACTCAGGACTGATTGCAGGTCAAGGAAGGGGGGGTCTATATCAGTAGATAATGATGCTCCCTCTCTACTGCATGTCCTTCCAACTACATCACGCCCTACAACACAGGGCATTGAGACCTCTTCCGAAACTACTTGGTTGTGGCGAAGTCCTCCTCTAGTTCCTCTCCACTCACAAGCGTGAGAAGTGTGCTGCAGTCTCGCTATCATCGGTATTGGTTTCTCCGCACACCACACTAGTAAAAAATACAAACGTGCCGCCTCCCTTTCCTCTCTCTCAATACCAAAAATACAACCATGCATCACCATCATGTCTTATCTGATCTATTGCTAGTTCTCAGTAACAACCATGGCATTCACGTTCAGACACACTCTCTCTGCTACGCTAAAGTCGACTTCTTGTGCTTCGTCAACGCACCTATAAAAAGCTAGCAGCCAGCACGGTCTCCAACAATCCTCATCCAGCAGCGAGATCAAAGAACACAGCTACTCAGCCAGCAACACAAACACACCACACACACTTACACTCACAGAATCACGAAATCCTTACGAACAATGCAGCTCAAGACCGCAACCTCGATCGTTCTCATGACAACCCTGATGTCCCTCCAGGCTCAAGCCGCACCCGTCGGCCAACAGGACACCAACGCGCTCACCATCGCCACCCCGCCAACCCAGTCTCTGATCGCTCCTATGCCGGACACCAAGCACTACAAGAACCCTCAGCCTTGGGACTGGAACGAGGCCGACCAAAGCATTCAGGCCGATCCCAACGCGACCGATTACACTCCCGAAAACGAGGAGAACGCGAAATGGGGTGGTTCGAGCTTCTGGAACCCGTGGGGCTGTGGAGGCTGGAACAACTGGAACTGGAGCCCTTGGTGGAACACGTGGAACTCCTGGTGTTAGGTGTCGCCTGTCAGTATGTCTTTGACATCCTCCAAACACTTCTACTTCACATTGAGCATTTCCTTCTTCTTTACAATTCCTTTTCATTCTTTCTTCCCATAGTCGGATAGTCCTTTGCCTGCACTACCCCTCACTATCGCATACTATACACACTTGACCATTTGCTCAGAATAAAACCCCCCCAAAAAAACATAAACAAAAACCAACTTACTAAATAATGTGTCTTGAATGACTTAACAACTTGACATGGAGATCGAGAGGGGACAGGGTAGGGGAGCTGCTGAAAATGTATTGTTCATTTATTGTTGCTGATTTTTGTTCGCACATTGGAAAATCTCGAGTCGGTATCCTGCTGTTGTGTTCAAGTCGGGCGAAAAAACTTCCAGTGCTGTGGGGTGTGGTGTCGCTCATGGTCCTCTCTCTGCTCCTCAGATCCAGGTCTGCCTCCTTTCCTTGCTTCCTTCCATCTTTCCATCTTTCCTTCACTACTCCACTCCAATTCCATCATCACTGACGGTCGGCATGGTTCTACAAAAAAAACGACCACTAGAGCTGGACGAGACGGATACCATCCTTGTTGACGATCTTGGCGACAAAGTCGGGCATGTTGAGGATCATGCGGGTTCGCAACTCGCCCACACACTTTTGCAAGAGCTTGATTCCTTCCTCCTCGGTGATGTCCTCGCGATGGTACCGGTCCAGAAGCGATAAGCAGTAGTAGGCTCCGTAACCGTGGGCTGCAAAGGGGACATCAGCCAATGATGCCAAGTGGTCGAGCCAATAGAGCGAAGGCTTGTTCGTCTTGACGTCGAATCCTGCAATCAACAAGTTCACCGAGTATGGTTTCTGTTTTGTTTTTTTTTTGTTTTTGTTTGTGGTGAGATTGGTGGTGGTGGTGGTGGTGGTGGTGGTGTGGTCGAAGGTAATTGTTTGTCGGTAGTTGATAGGAATAAAGAGCACAGAGGAAGGGAAACAACAGTTGGTTAGATAAATGCGCCTGTTTCTCACCACTCTGGCATTTCCTTTACTTTCCTACCAACAAGCAACAGAACAACCAACAAAAAGATAATGAAAAACATACCCTGCTACGCAAGCTATCGGCAAGTTCGCGTCTAGCAAACGAGGCAACAGCGCGAGGACTCAACTCGATACCGTTCCGGATCCCATAAAGCTTGATGTTGCGTTCGATATATTCCGAGAAGTGGACGCCGTCACCGGGCTCGCCCGAGAAGAGCATCAGCGTGTGTGGGTTCAACTCCCGGGACTTGTTCTCGCCAATCTTCATGAGTGTGATTGACGCCACGGCCTTGGAGTCGTAGGCGGTGATGACAAAGTCCTTGCCTGTGATTCCAAAAAGGGTCTCCATTATGTGTGTTTTGGTGTTTGGTTGTTGTTGTGTTCGTGGGGTTGTTCCTGGAGTACGGTGTAGGTGGGGTCCTTGGGTATGTTTGTCCTGATGGTAAGAGTAAAGAGTTGCGTTGGGTCGAGTCGAATAAAAAAAGAGAAAAGGGCAAGGCACCCTTTCGAATGAATGACTGTTCACTTCCCTCTGTCTCTCTCCCTTCGCTTTCTGCGTTGTCCTCGAACGCGCACGCGTTGACTGGTGAGGGTTACGTCGTCGCAATCTTGACCCTTAATAATCATTGCACGTCACAAAAATGAATCGAAACGCGTTGGTTACTTTTATGTATGTGTTGTAGTCGAATGGAGAGTCTAGTAGTAAGTCCCGCCATATCCACCGCCACCATATCCTTGCTGCTGCTGTTGCTGCTGTTGAGGATACCCTTGAGAGTAAGCGTGAGCATGCTGCGAATACGGCGAATAAGTCCCTCCTCCTCCTCCTCCTCCTCCATACATATTACTACCACCCCCAACACTCTGGTTATCCCTCAAACTCGACCCTCCCAAACTGCCCCTCCCCGCATACGCAGCCTCAACCACCGCCCCATGACACCCTCCATCCCCTAACGCCTCTGACTTGACGTCAATCGACCCCACACCATTCGACCCACCACTGATACTGCCGTTCGTCCCACCGTTGTACCCGATGGTACCGACATGATTCTTGAGGATGTTTTCGTCCCAGCAGTCTTCACGTTCTTTCCTCCGGACGCGGGATTGGCGGATTCGGTAACAGCTCAAAAGGATTGCGGCCAGGGCTCCGAGAACGATGATGATGATCATGGCGACAATGCCAGATGAGAGACCTTCTTTAGGAGTAGTCGCTACGTCCTTGTTGTTGCTGTTGACACCACTCGTGGCGGTGGCGGGGTCTTGGTCTTGGCCGCCGTTGAGACCAGACGTAGTCATGGTATTGCCGCCTTTAGAGGACGTGGAAGAATCGTCATCAGTTCTTGAGCTACCACTGCCACCGCCTGTAGTAGTTCCCGCGGCCTGGGTGGGTTTCTTCTTGTGTTCCGCAGAGGTCGCAGGAGATGTTGAAGATGTAGCCGGAGAATTCGGAGGAGAAGACGAAGTCTTTGGTGGATCTGGCTCAGAGTCACCACCTAGCAACTGCTCAACCAACCCAGGGCCACCCTGCGTCTTTTGTGGAGAAGATGTTGCTAGTTCTGAGGCTGGTTCTGGATCCTTCTTTTCCGGGGCCGGTGCTGGAGGAGGTGAAGACGGCGCTGGTGTCGAAGGTGGGTTTTCTGGTGCTGATGCTGGCGCGGGAGCCGGTGCTGCAGGTGCTGGCGCTGGAGAAGAAGGATCGCCGTTCTTGCCAGTGGGAATGAGTTCACCCAAGAGATCGCGCTTGTCTACTGCTACTGCTGCTGCTGCTGCGAGTTTCGATGTGCTGATGTCGTCGCGCCGTTGTGACAAGGATCTGGCGTGTGCGACTGGGGTGTCGGAGAGGAGGCAGAAAAGGAGTAGGGTGCCGAGTGTTGAGCAGGTGAGTGTATTTAGTGAGATGTACATCGTATATGTGTGTGTGGTTTGGAGTAGTAAACTTTTCTTTGAAGGTTGTACAAAAGGTTGGGTGATCAGAGTCAGTTAGGATGTATGGATGTGTGTGAATAGTGAAGGGTAAAATAACGGTCGGACAGAATAGTAATTAGGATACAGGAATGGATTACAATAGTTAACGAAACAGTGAAGAAAACGAAGAAATGAGAAATAAAGGCAAGAACAAAAGAGAAAGACGAAAGACGACGAACAAAAAGGAAGGAAAAAAGAACGAAAACGGGTGATGGCCTGGAATGGTCTGACAAATATCCAAATGGATGGATCGTGGGGTTCAAGGGTCAGTTGAGAAAAGAAAAAAAAAGAGAAAAGAAACAACTACACCGAGCATGAGCAATAAAAGAAAGAAAGAAAGAAAAAGGGATAGGCAGACAAAGACAAAAAATATAACCATGGTCGTATGGTCACCATGTCAATGTGCGTTAAAGGATGTGTGCTTGTGCACACGATCCAGTTGTAAAAATAGTCGAATAGGAGGGAGAGTAAGGCGCAGGAAAACACGATAAGGCGCAGGCGCAGGCATGTATTATCCCTCGAGTTTGTTGCCATCTTGGCAACTAGCACATGTCATTCATATGTACTTTTTTTTTGTTGAGGAGAGGGAATAGGAGTAAGAGCAGGAGGAGGCGGTGTGTTTTTAGACGAAGAGGAATCTCAGTCAAGGACCTTTGGATGTTTACCAACCTGTGGCGTCCCTTACGCGTAAAGCCCACTGCTGCTTCTCTCTTTTCAATGTTAAGGCAAAGATGTGTCTGCTGGCTGGCTGGCTGAGTAGCTGGCTTGCAGCATGGTAACCAGATGCAAGTGCGCATTTTTTTCTTCCCATAACTCATTGGCTCACAAAGGGTTAACTTTGTTACTTCGCTGTACGTCTGAATAAAAAGAAATCCGTCCCTTCCCCTTCTTTTTTTTTGTTTTCCTGTAATAGCTTACTGCATCTCCTGGCAGATGTATTATCCCCAGCGAGTGTCGCCAATTGTGTCATATCCAGACACAAAAGAACAAGAACCAAGAATAGAAAAAAAGGGACAACAGGAGGAAGAAGAAGAGAAGAAGGGAGTGAAAAAGAGGAGTGAAAGACACGCATCCGATCCCACTCACCTTTCTTTTGGAGGCGCATTTTCTTGTGTTTGCTGGTTGTTTCGAATCCTTGAAAAGTGTCGTTCCTTGTACCCCTCGCAGTGAGCCCAATTCTACAAACCATTGCCCCAACTGGTTCCTTACTCTCTGAACATGGTGCGCGTGTGTTCTGTATGATTAGGTCGCCCGAATCCACTTCCCCCACCAGGCGGAGTTCCCTCGTCCCCCTTCTCCCTGATCCTGGCTGACCCTTTTTTTCTCTGGCTCACAACAATAACAAAGAAAAAGGTTCCCTTCGTGTCCCTTGCTGCACAAAGAAACCCAAAAAAAGGCCGCTCACCCCTCTTGTCCGCAAACCTCAACGCGCATTGTTTTGCCTTTGTCGCCAAAATTCATTAAGGCCTATTGATGAGCCCTTTTTTCGCATCGAGTCTGTCGCTCGCTCCTGGTATCGCATAATTTCTACACCTGCTCACACATAGGTAACACAACAAAAAATGACAATGCTCGTTTGTATTCGATCTGACCAAGAAAACGAAACCAGCGCACGCATTTATACAGACGCCGCAGCAGTAGTACTACAATAAACGCCAGACACGCCATTTCCAGCAACGATCCTAACCTCAACAAAGTCCTTAACCTCTTCCTGTTTATCCTTCTTCTTCGTCTCAGACGAGGAAACCAGGCCTGCTGGTCGAGGTTGAGCTGGCATGAGCTGTAACCGGTTAGTAGCACTCAAAGCGTCCGTACTACCAGATTGTTTCTGTTGACCCAAAGCAATCGCAGCAACAGCCTTATCGGCTGCCTGGAGGAGGTCCGAATCCAGGGGTAAGGCATGCACGGGCTCGGTCTTGTTGGTCCTCTTTCCAGTCAACAGCTGGTAGTATGTGTTTTGGCCCCATGACAGCACATCGCGACCATGAGTTACTGTTGTTGCTGTAGTTGATTCTGCGGGTGAGGAGGTATCCTTGGTGATGGCGTTATCGAGAACTGCAAATCCGTGTGTGGATCCGATAGCGAGGTCGTGGATTCCGATAGGTACCATTTTTTTTTCTTGCTCCTTGACTAAACATATCAAAACACCAGAGAGTGTTAGCGTGATGCTCACGTCAGTTCAGCCCGAAGATACGTTGTATGGGACAAGCAGGCAAAGAGTAAACTTACATTCTGCGAGATTAGAAAGCGGTGCAATGGTCACCAGTGAGCCCTGGATATGCGTGTACTATATCAACGGCAATGCAAACACGAGCATTAGTTTCCTCGGTCAAATAAATAACACCAGCGGCAAAATAAATAAGTAAATAATAAAATAACATTAGTAAGAACTTACGCTGCCATCGCCCAATTGTCCCCACTGTCCCATGCCTGCAGACTTGACCTTGAATACATTGCTCTCCTTCAACACAAAGTAGCTGGACTGTCCACCTGCAGCAACCTTCACACACTCAACACCGCCTTCAGTTCCTACAATATCCTTAATCAGAGTAGGGTTGGGCAACTTCAGGTTGGAGTGCGAGTAAACACCCTGGGCGAGCTGTCCGAATCCATTGATACCCCAAGCCCAACCGCGACCCTGGTCATCCCTGGCAATAGTGTGGACCTCTCCACAGGCCACTTCCAAGATGCGGCTCTGTCTGAAGTCGGCATTTCCGATCAGCGAGACTGAAAGTCCATCCTCAGATCCAAACACACGTCCGTGAGATGTGACCATAACCATATGGCTCTTTCCCGAAGACATCGACAAGACCCTATAAATATACATGGACAAAATGAATGCGGTTGGTGTTGTTAACATATCAGGCAGTTTAAAGCATCACCATATCTAGTACGTGGAGTTCATTCCTGCTGCTTACTTCTCATCCTTTTGCAATAAGTCCTGGAGGGGCAATTGGGTCATAGGGTCATGCTTGTCATCAACACTTCCTCCGAGTCCCACGTAACGCAACACGCTTCCCTTGGGCTTTTGGTAATCGATGGCTGCCTTGGTGGGTCCCGCTGTTGGGCGGACCTTGGGCAAGACATAGATCCTGGATCCATCCCTGGACAATCCGTACAACTTGGTGTCGCAAAGTGTCACCTGAGAGATATCCCTGTTTGTGAGTGTTGCCTCGGGTTGGTGTGATTGCTGGTTGTATCCTGTTCCCCATTGGTAGACGGTTCCGTCTTCATCCACGGCAGCTATTCCATATAATTATTTAGATGTGAAAATTCGGCCAATGACATTTCTAGTGGTACACACGCCATAAACAATCAATTTGAAGGTGAAAAGTTCCTTGCTTACCAGCAAAGTCATCGCCAAGCTTGAGATCGCGGAGAACCTTTCCTTGGAAAGTAGCAAGACGCTGAGGGATCTGGATTACTCCTGGGCTTCTTCCTGTTGGATCCACCAAACCATTCCTATGAAAGAATAGCAGATCACGATTAGTCTTAAAAATTCCGGACATGTCAACCTCGACCCTGAACAAAACTCGGACAAATATGAAGGATAATATAGGCTTACTTGTTGGATCCCCAGAGCATGATACCCGGGGACTTGACAAGCGCATCCTGCTCCTGCTGCTTCCAACTCGTCACCGTCAAATCGGTGTCCAAAACAACATCAGCCTGGTCGATCTTGGGTAGCTTCTTGAGCCCGAGAAGTACTGCAAGCGAAGAACCAATGCTCTGCTGTTTCTTCTCCGAGTTATTGTTGGGTGAGTCGTTATGGACCATCATGTCACGGGTCAGGCCCAAGGTGGGTGACTGGAGCACGAGGGTCACACCTGTGAAGACTACTCCTGCGCCAACGGCCCATGCGACATTCTGTCTAACATTGCTGCCGTAGTTGATGACAGGTGTTGATGAGAGTGATGAGAGTGCACGGTGGTTGTGGACAGGTATTCTGAATGCAGTGATCTGGGTGAGTCTGCGTCCTGTCTGATGTCCGATTCGATGCATGGTGCAGGGTATTGTTGTCGTAAGAAAAGAAGTGGTTGTGGAGGCTCGGAATTTTTGGCCGAGAAAGGGAATAAAACGTAAAGAGTGGGCGGATCGTGACTTTCATTTGGTATCAACACCGATCAATCACAAACGCGTTTGTTGTTGTTCGCGTTAATCAGATTGCTTTTATTAGAGATAAGTGATATATTTTTTGTTGATTGTTTTGTTTGAAGAGGTGCTAAATACAAAAGAGAGGGAATGAATATTTTACTTGCCCCAGGCAGTCTGGTTGCGGAAGAGATCGCAGTGGTGGGGGTGCTGGAGGCAGTATTTGGGGACGATGGGCTGGGCACCGTGGCCACGGGCGACCATGCGCTCACGGTAGTCCGAAATACGGGCAGTCAGCTCAGTTGCGCGCTTGTAGCCCTCGGCGTTGCGGTTACCGGACCAGAGCAACTCGGCCAACGCAGCAGCACGGGGCCAGACCTTGCTCTCGACAACAGTGGCATCCGACTGCTCGGACCAGAGAGCAACCTCACCACCAATGACGTGCTTGGCCTCTTCGGCGGTCAAGCCCTTGGTGAAGTCATACGAGTAGATACGCTGCCAGGTCTTGTAGGGGGCGCACCAAGAAGCACCCATGCCGAGGTAGTTGATCGTGGTGGCGCTGTAGTCGCTGGGGTTGGCCTCCATGGCGTCACTGACAGCCTCGGGGAGAACTGGGGGCTCGTTGACGTTGTAGCGGGGGTCATTGGTGACATAGCCTCCGTTACCGCAGTCGAGGTAAAAGAAATCGGACGAGGAGACAACAATGTCGTAACCCTTTTCGGCGAGCTTCTTGATGTTGGCGGTGCCAGAGTTCCAGGTCTGCATGATGATGTCCTTGGGGACCTCCTTGGCGGGCATGTCAGGCGAGAGGACGATGTCCTCCCACATCATCAGGCGACGCGCGGGCTTGTCCATGTAGATGGGGAGAGCCTTGTCGAGGTAGTACTGGGCAAAGTCGGGGTAGGTGGCACCGGGGCGCTGCTTGAACCAGTCCATGGCCGACTCGGAGTAGTTGAAGCAATAGGTCATGAGCTCATCGGAACCGACGTGGAAGACGTTGTCCTTGAAGAGGTTGGCGGCCTCGGAGTAGATGTCCTTGATGAGCTTGTAGGTGCCATCGTATGAGATGTCGAGCTGACCGGGGTTGGGTTGGACGGCAGAGTGATGAGTCCAGCCATCGTTGTCCCACCAAGAATCGGCGCAGGTGACGGCCTTCTTGTCGACCTGGAGCCATCCCGAGGCAGAGTGGCCGGGCATGTCGATCTCGGGAATGACACGGACACCGCGCTCACGACCGTACTTGATGAGGGCGGCAATGTCGCGCTGGGAGTAGATCTCACGGGGGGAGTAGGCATCCTTGAGCATCTGGGGGTACTTCTTGATCTCGAGGGGCCACGACTGGGTGTCAGTAATGTGCCAGTGGAAGACGTTGAGCTTGGCCCAGGAGAGAGCATCAATCTGCTTCATGAGAGACTTGATGGGGTAGTAGTTACGGGCAGTGTCAAGCATGATTCCACGGTGAGTGTACTTGGGGGCATCCTCGATGTGGACGGGCTCCTCGATCTGGAGACCGTGCTTGCCGTCGTCGATGATGATCTGGGTGAGGGTGTTGAGAGCATGGAGAGCGCCCCAGGGAGTCTTGGCCTTGATAATACCCTGACCTGCTGCGGTGACGTCAAGGGTATAGGACTCATCGACGCTCATCTGGAGGTCGGCCTTCAAGTCGGAGACCTGGACGGTGAAAGTGTTGATGGCCTTGTTTTTGTTTCCGCCGTTGTTGTAAGCCTCAAAGGCAGACTCTTCATCGCCGCGCTTGGAGAGGGTGGGGAAGGGAGGGAACTCGCCGGCGGCCTGCTCCCAGGTCTGGGGGATCCAGCGCTCCTCCTTGATAAGGGCAGCAGTGCGGGCGTAGGCCTTGGTGAGGACATCGTGCTTGGGACCGACAATCTTGAAGTTGTTGTTGACCTTGATAGGGCCAGTCTTGCCCCAGCTGATGGTGACGGGGGCGGGCAAGGGGTTGACCTTGACGGCCTCGGCAGTAGAGGCGGCAATGGCGAGGAGACCAAGGGCAGCGGCAATGGAGATCTTCATGGTATAATTATGGGTAGATATATGATATAAGTAGGTGAGAGTGAAGAAGAGTGAAGGAAAAATGAGAGAAGTAAGAGCGAGGAAGAGTGAAGGAGAAGGGAGAAGAGATATGAGGGAGAAGAGATATGAGGAAGATATGAATGGTTAGTTGAAGACAATGTGACAAAAATGTGGGGGTAAGGCTTGCTTTTATATCTCTTGGAATGAATGGAGATCGTTGAGGGGGTTATTACTTTTCTTTCTTTACTTTTTCTTTGGGCGGCACATCGATCCTTAGACTGCGTGAGAAGGAGGACTAAAAGAGTATATAGAGTTCAATAACGGATGCAAAGAGCAAAGAGGGACAAGAAGCCCAACAGGTTATTGACCCCTGCCACACAAAGGGTGCAAGGGCTAAACACTCTATTCAATTGCATTCATTTCAACTGAAAAATTACACTTTAGAGTATGGCAGGGTCAATTTTGAATCCGAGAAAAGGTATCACAGAGTGTGTATGTTTGTGTGGGGGATTGGGCGATGGAAACAAGAGCCTTCTTTATTTTATTTGACATTTTCGATGGATATTCAAGGGTGGACATCGCTCTTCGCTCTTCACTCACTCACTCTCACTCTTTTTGCTGCCTCTATTCTGCACGCCTCTCGCCAACATACCCTGGCCAACCTTGTTACTTGGTATTGGAATCAACAGTGTATACAAGGATCAATGTGGCTGGATAATTGAACGACAAGAGGAACATAAAAATACAATCCAGAGGAATGAGGAATGTCCTTCCTGTACAAACCTCCTTTTTCTTCGTTTGTTCTTCGGGCAATCCGAAGATGGTGTCACTTATTTTTGTAATTTTCCTCCTTCTTTTTTGTGCCCTTTTCTCTTCTGTTTTTTCTCATGACTCCCTGCGCCCACTTCCTTTCCACCCATTCATTTGAACCAACTCTTGATACTTCTATTCACTACAGCCAATTGCAAACCAACCAAGGCCAAAGAGGGAAAGGATGATGTCTTTGTGAAATAAGGAAGAGGAAGAAGAGGAGACAGGAAATTAAAGTTTTTGTCCACGGAAACAGACTAGCTGAGATTAGATCAGTCTTTTGCTCCTGATTGGCCAGATTTCACATGCGGGACCTTGTTTTTACTTTTGTCTCTCTCCCTCCTCATCCCCTCCCCTTTGTCTCCTTCCTCTTCCCTTTCCTCTTCCATTCGTTCTGGGTCCGATTATCAGCAGACTCTCGTTTACCCTTTACCCTTTACCCACGCTCTTGTGATGCAGCCTTTGTATGAACCGGCTCTTTTCTTACATTGGCATCTCCAACTCGGACTTTGCCCCTCAACAAATGACATGACGAAAATGACCTCGTTCCTCATTTACTCAAGTCAATGCATTGACCCAGGAAACAGCAAGGTTCCATCGCAGATCATCATGATCAATGATCGGATTATTCCTTGGCAAACAAGCTAAGCTGATCAATCGGAAATGACAACAAAAAGGTTAACCCTTACTAGTCAAGACGAAGAAAGAATCCAAGGGGTTGGCGGAAGGAAGAAGGTAGAACCCGAGTCGCCGTCTGTCCTGTCCTTCTCTTCTTTCCTCATACCCTAAACCAAACGGTCTATGGAACAAAAAAAGACTCTCACATTCCACCACATAGAAAAACCCCCGAATGTGGAACTTTAACGAGCAACTGCTTCCTGAAACAGGACCTTTTCTTAAGCCGTGCTTTCTTTCCCCAATTTTATGAACTCTGCTCTTCCCTCTGTTCTTACCTGCTTGCTGTTCCTCTCTTGGGCATAGGATATTAAGAAGCAAACACCATTCCGAAGGGGGAGCAATTGCCTCAGTTGTCCTTGTTTGGGATCCACTCACTCCTTCTTTTTCTCTGACCCAACTCACACTCCAACTCGCATTCACAATTTCGCTCAACTAGACTGGGATGTTGACCCTTCCTTCCTCTTCACTACAGTTTATCCATTTATCCTATCGATGGCCCATTGACCCGTCAAGAAAAACAAGAGAGCCAAAAAAAAACACAATAAAATACGGTTTGGTGATGGATCTACCTTGCCCTGCAGGATCGAAGTGGAGTCGAATGATCGAGAGCAAAAATATTCGAAAGGGAACAGGGTGAACAGGAAACGAAGAAAGGGTTGCGGTGGCATCAATTGTAATTTATTTGTTTGTTTGTTTGTTTGTTTGTTGTTTGTTTACCTCTTGCAGCACCCGGATACAGTTTTGCACTAAGGAAATCAATCCTGAGGCGATAATGCACTCCATGTCAGGCAAGAGGTTCCTGTCTAGAAAAAAAATAAGGCCAAGAGAGGGAGAGAGTGGAATCAGGCGCCAAGTGGGCGTGAGGGGATAGAAATTTGTGAGTGGTTGGGTTGTTGCTAACTTGCGCATGCGCTTTCAGAGTAGCAAACATGCCACACCTACAACCGCTGTTCGGGATAGAGTCTCGACAAACACGCGAGGATACGTTATCAAAACCTTTTTTGTTATCGATCTCCGTGTATGTGTGTGTTTGTATGTTCTCCACAGACATCTATGGCACTGTCCTCTCCAAAGGGAGAAGAGGGATGGGTGGCGGACAGAGTTTGGGTTGGGAGGAATAAAAAAACGATCGATAAATCCATCGTAAGTGAAAGTGGACATCACTCACACTCGCCAGGATGCAAATGAATCAATGACTACATACAAGGAAGTGTTTAATGTTTCTCGAGATACCACAATGTGTGTCTCTTTTGCGTTTTGCCCCATAAACCTTGGCTGTGGATGGGGGATGTGGACCTTCTTTCCTCCCTCTTTCCTTGTTTCTTCATTCCAACTCTTTCGCGGCGGACGGTTAGCCGTGAACCGTCTTCCATCCCTTCTCTTATTCTCCTCCCTTAGTCTCAAAATGAGGGGTTTGCGAGAGAGATTGTGGTTGTTGTGCAACGTGAGATATGGTATCAAAACTGACGAGAGAAAACGGGAGAGAGTGTGCAAGCAGTTCAGTGTTTGTTTTCCTTTTCCTGAAGGGAGGCCAAGGAAACGTACCAAGAATGTCCTACCTTTCTATTTTTCTTTGGTTTTTGAGTTGTTGTCTACTCTACGCCCTGCTCCTCTACTTACGTCGATTGCGTTGCGTTTGACTTGGTAACGACAAGAGACCTTCGCTTTCTCCGGAATAAAAAGTAGAGTGGTTACCAAATATCGGATTCGACTCTTTTGGAGGAGAAAAAGGTACAGGGAGAGTGAGTAAAAAGAAGGTTGGCAAAGATGGTTTGGATCTTGGCATTCATTAGGCTGATTGAAATGATGTTTTTCATCGCCAGCCAGCCAGTCAGCTTCTCTTGCCAGGGAGAGGAGAAAAAGGAGAAATGAGGGGAAGAAAGGTAAGGAGCCGAGTAGATTGAGTGGATGGTCGGTACCTCAATTGATGCGAGGAGTGAAAGAGCGGTCCCTTGTCTCGAGTTCCTCGTGGGAGTGAAAGTGGAGGACTTCAAACCCCTCTGGAGACCGGGCTAATGAGGGATGAAAGGAAAGAAAGAACCCTTACCTCACATCCATGGAAGAATACATGTTTCGAGATTGAAAGGGCGACTAAGAGACAACTAACATATGGAAGGACAGGAGGACGTGATGCATGAACGGACGACCAAGGGTCATCATCAGCCTACAAAAATTACCTTTTCCATCTATCAGTCACGTGTGGCTAGAAGGCAACGCCTTCACCAGACGCGCCTTTTTTTTTCCTTTCGTGTTCGCCATCTCGTTCCTCTTCTTCACTCCACACTCCACTTTACTCATTCCAACTCCCCACTCATTCCCACACTTCATACCTTCTCCCGTCATGGTTGTAACAACACTCACCTCCAGAGTCTGCGTCCCCAGACTCTCCACCCTTGCTCCCACTTCTTCCAGTCGCACAACCCTCTCCAGACATGGTTCCGCTCCCTTTCTGTCGTTCAAGTCACCCAACTTGACTACCACCACCATGGCTATGGCCCCACGTCGATTCATCAGCACCAGTAAGAGAAGCAATATCGCCGGCAGTATTGATATCATCGCCTACGCCAATGGAATCGAGGCAAGCTTCTTCTCAAACCTCAATCGCACCCACCACCTCATCGAGCGCAAGAGCATGGACTGGAACTCTTATTTCGCACTCCGTGGAACCCGGCGGCTCTATGAACGTGCTTTCATGGTCCCTTCCACACTTTTGGGGCTCCTGGGGGGTGGGTATTATTTCGCCCATCAGGATTTTGACCCGACAATGTCGATCTTTGGACTGGACCAGGTGCTCGTTTATGGGTTGGGCGCGGTTGGAGTGGGCTTGGTGGGCTTGTCAGTGGGTTCTATTGTCGGGAATGTAATTTTCCGTGCCGTCCATGCTAACGCACGACCTCTCCTCGACAAGGTAGAAAAAACTGAACGGTTCCATACAATTGATTTTTTTCCTATTTTCTTTTTCCTCTTTTTTAATTACCTCGGCTGTGGATGATGAATGGACCGGTTCATGTGAGTTACTTTTGTATGAGTGTGCGCTCATCAATTCCAATATCCTCTTCTTGGGCTTTAGATGGACAGAGAATTCTTTAACCGAATCGTCTTGAACCGCGCCAACCCTACTGGCAACCCACTGACCCACCCTATCCCCGACTTTTATGGCGAGAAGATCAAGTCTGTGCACGACTACCGGTCTTGGCTTCGCAAGCAGCGCGAGTACCACCGTAAAGCCATGTACTTTGTCTGAGACATGAATACGCACATTCACATGCGCGCATAGAAGGCAAGCAACAAAGGACGATGCTATGATGAGAACACAAAAATATTTCGCCAACCCCAACTCCACTCCACTTCTTCCCTCTCCTTTCACAAGAATTAATGATATCAAAACAAGAAAATAAAATGACAAACAACAGACAACGTTTATTATCGCGAGAAAAAAACAAAATGAACGAAAAAAGCACTTAGCCATAGTAATCGCAAGAATACAAGATGTACCTCAAGTCCGGTCGATGGACCGTAATCCAGTCGTCCACCTCCGCTGTATTAAACGCCCACAACTCAATCTTTGTCGTGTTGGGGAACATGGACAGCATGACCTTGAACTCTGGAAGGGTCACATATCGCGCGAAGGATTCGAGACTGAAATAGGTCATCTTGGGCCATACCATCGCATCATCCTTTGCGGCCACGGTGTACAGCCTCTCCCCCCGTCCCATGTCGGAAGCGTCCATGACCATGTCTGCGAGCACCCATGTTCCACCGAGACTCAGGTGTGATAGTTGGGGCAGTTGGCGGATATGATGTCTTGCTGCGGCTGCAAATTCTTGCCCGCGGTGGCTCATGTTGAGCTTGAAGAGCGTGAGAGTGGAGAGGGTGTTGCGGCAGGCCCAGGGCGTCGAGTTTTGGAAGAGGGTGCCCGAGATAGTGGTGCATTCCAGGGACAGCATCTGGAGGTTGGGGCAGTTGTAGAAAAGGGCTTCGACGCCGATGTACGAGAGGTTGGAGGCGCGGGAAATGTCGAGGCCGGTCAGTTGGTGGGACATGATGCGGGACTGGGCGATGGTCTTTGCAATCATGTCGGTGATGCCGTGAATGCTACTGTAGCCAAAGGCCAGGGATAGACCGCCACTCGATGCTGTTGTCGTTGCTGATGAAGCGAATTCGTCAGGTGGTGACAAGGTTGACTTGAGGGAGGAGGAGGCCGATGGGGTTTGTTCGTACCCATCATCTCCAAAGAACGAAGCCCAGTGAGCCTCTGTCAGATCCGAAGCAACATGTTTGGTCTTCAAACGAAAGTCATCACCGTGGCGGAAACGTCGGATAGCTGTGAGGTAGTCCTTTCCGTCCAAGTAATCCATTTTGAGAGTCGATAGTGCAGGGAGACGGCGTAAGAGCTTGGCTAGGGCAGAGGGAGAGTCAAACTCAGAGACATTGAGTGTCTCCAGTGGGATGGTTGAAGGTCCTCGTCGACGAGACTGAGGCTGGGCCGAAGATGACGTCTTCTTGGGTTCCGCTGCAGCAGATCGCTTGATGTACTCCTCTGGCGGCGGTGGAAACACGGCATCGACAACAGCGTCGGGAATATCGTCATAGATGTCGCCTTGACCCAGTGAAAAATGCTTAAGCCTGGGGAGTGACCTGACAAAGAGCAGCACGAGTGACAATCGCAAGGGCGGTTCCTTGTGACGACGATTGCGCTCCCCCCTGATTGCTTGCCCTACAAGTTCGACCTTCCCTAGACTCTGCAATCGCCCGTTCCTTGCAGCAAGCCCCAACCAGTGCATGGCATACTCAGCCGACGTGTGACCGTTTGCAAACCTCAAGGTTGTAAGATAGTCGGAAAAGATGGCCAGCCTTGGTCCGTCACGGAAGAAACAGCTCTTTCCTGTTTTCTTCTTCCTGATGAGCGTGCGACTGGTTCGAGTCGTCGACGACGACGACGACGGCATGAATCCTGTCGATTGGCGCCCGTTCTCGTCATCCGCGTTCGCATCTACATCCTCGCCAACGACTGCTGCTGCTACTACAGCATTCTTCACCTCCCTTCCTCCTCCTTCAATCGTCCAGATCGATTTCAAGAACCGATCTGTGAAGATATTCTGATGAATCTTCAAGGTCCTGACGTTCACACAGGTCCTAAGAACGTCCTCGCAGTGCCGAGCACCAGCAAGCTTCTTGTCGTCGTCATAGTCACTGTCATCCCAGTCGCTCAGCTCAACATTATCGATGTACTGTCCGACTCGATGAAGGACTTGCGACGAGAGCGTTGATCCCCTCCGTCCTTTCCATTGATATTGACTCCAGAGGGGTTCAGTCCAGAGGTCCTGCCAGGCTTTCGAGACTTGGCAGCAGTGGGCCAGGTCCTTCTTGGAGAGGTAATCGGCGATTCCTCGAACTGTATCTAGGTTGAGTCGCAGTGGTGGTGGGGGTTGTATTGTGAGAGTGTCCTGCATTGAAAAAAGTGAAGGTGGTGGGAAGAAGAGTGTGATTTTTTTTTCTCTTGGAGGAAAGCCCATTTATTATTTTGAAATTTTGTGTACACAAAATGTGGCCTGGTGGTGTTTGTTCAATCATGCAGTTCATTCTCCCATGATCCCATTATGTCAACTCTATCTTGGTGCCGCAGTGACCCCTGGCATGAAAGAGTCCCCTCATGAGTCAATGAAATAGTCTAGTCCAGGCGGGAAAAGACTATCCTCATCCTCTTGTGTTGTGGACGTTGTCGCCGTCGCCGCCTCGCTCTTGTCGTTCGCGCTCGTAGGATCGACTGCTGTAGTAAACGGAATGATAGACGAGAGCGAGGGCAATCCCCAATCCAATGAGCGAACAACAATATACAACGTCTGCGGGTGCAACTTCGTCCCTTCATACGAGATCTGCAAAGTCGGTTTCTGGTCAGCCTGGGATGGTTGTTCGTCTGCTTTCGCTTTGGCGCGCTTTCCTTTCCCTCTGCCCTGTGTACCTGCACCAGCGTTCTTCCGCTTGGATGCACTACCACTGCCACGAGGTTGATTTGCGCTTTCGTCCAGGTAATCACCGTCATCCCTCGCATCTTCCTGATCCTGATCTTGATCGCCACCTCCTTGTTGAAAGTCACTCACACGCAAGTCATCACTTTCATCCTCATCTCGAATCATAACCGGACTACCCTCGTCCACAGGCGCCTCACCCTCCAACGACGCAAGACCCATGCTCGTCCGCCGACTAGAGGTCCTTTGACTCGCACTTGGGCCTTCTTCCTCGGTCTTGATCCTAATAAATCCCAAGTTCTTGTTGGCAATCAAAACAGCACCTCCGCGTTCCGACGGCGTGTGTATCCTGAACCCGAACCGAACTCCAAACTGTGGTCTACTTGCCGCGGTCCTCCGCTTTGTTCGCTTAGCAGTGGTGGTGCTTGACTCCTCTGATAGTGATGGTAGCTGTTCTCCCCCAAGGATAAAGCCCGCATCTTCCAATCCGTCCTCTGAGCTGGTAGACGAGCTGTTGGTGGCAATTGGGTTGATAGTGCGTTTGATGACATGACCTTGGTTGAAGAGTTCAATCCTGCTCAGTAGTATTGGTTTCAACATCGCCAGGATTTCCTATTCGTGAATGAAGTGGGTGCCGTGGTTAGTCCAGGTTGTTTCTCCTTTTTGCTTGTTGTGTGGTTGATGGACAAGAGAAGTGACGAGTACCTGGAATGAATAGTCGTTGAACCAGGCGAGGTCATCCTTTGAGAGGAGGAGGTTGAGAGGCAGGACGCTGTGTTTGCTGATGCGCAGGTATCGAAAGTTGTTGGTCGTGTACATGGTCAAGCGAGGATTAGGAGAGTGAAGGAGCGACAAAACGAATGTAAACGCCAGTGGTTGCCTTTTAGACAGCGAGCGCCACCAAACTCCTCACTCGGTCTTTCCTTTCAATGGTGCCGTTTGTCAGCAAGGCCGTGACCAAAAGGTTCTGTGACGTTGTTGAGGCGTTTTTTTTTGTAGGACTTTTCCCCTTCCTGACCACACTCTCTACCTCATTCCTCTCTCCTTCCTCCTCCCCCTCTCCTTTTCAACAACACACAAACACACAGCATGTCAGACAAAGAACTGCTGGCACAGATCGCACAGGTCGCAGGTAGCGACAACGTTCACAACTCTACTCGGTCTGAACCCACTGGTCAACTAGGACTACAGGAGCTAACAACTTGTTCATTTCTCGAAACTATAGGTGCCATCAACAAGCATCAACTCCAGAGCCAAGGGTACTATACCGCATACAACCCTCACCCAGCACCAATGAGAGGCGGATACGGCGGCTACAACGGATACAATGGATACAACATGCGAGGTCGTGGCCGAGGACGTGGAGCACCCGTTCCTCATACTGCTACTGGGCCCTTCAACAGGTCTCTCACCCTCAACAACAAAACCCCTACGCCAGTCAGCTCTACCATCAATACCGCACCCTCCGTTTCACCAGCTACGCCAAGCACAGCAACAAAGCCTGTCCCAGTGTCAACCCCTGTTCAAAGCATGCAGCATCGACCAACCATCAACAAGCCTTTCGTACCCGCTCCCACCCCCTCTCGCCACCTCACTCTGGTCAACAAAAATGCCGCCAACAACACAACACTTGGACCTCTACCCTCACCCGCTTCATCCCCACCAAAGAACAGCTCTCTCGTCACAGCTCCTGGACAGCAATGGATTCAGTCAAAGGGCAAGAACATGTCGCTGATGAACCACTCGACCTTTAAGAAGACTATGGTCGCTAAGGAGAAGTCTATCCGCACGGCCAAGGAGAAAAAGCTGAAGCTGATGCAGGTCAGAGCCAAGCGGGCTCAGGATCTTCACCGTGGAATCGTCACTATGGGTGGACAGGAGTACAGCAGGAGTGCTGACGGTCGGAAGCTCGTTATGCGAGACACCTCTCAGGATAACATTGTCATCAACGGAGTCGAGTTTCGAATGGACCCTAGAGGCAATAAGCTTGTACGAGCAGCAGCAGCACCAACGACAGGCAAATCACCTTCGATGGCCACTGCCACACCAAAGGCACCACCTATCGCTACACCCAAGCAATTCTCAGTCGGAGGGGTTGTTTATGTGCGTACTCACAGCGGCAACCTTGTCCGCGCTACTCTAGTGAAAACCCAACTTCTCGAGAAAAGGTAAGATTACTAACGATGAAGCTAGCGAATTGTGGGCAACCACATAAAGATCGGTATGGAATAGTCAGGATAACACTTGTTTACTTTTTACTTTTTCATTTGTTCTTAGGGCGGTACAAGAGGCACTCAAGACCCAGCGCAGCAGGACGGCACCCAAGAAGGCACGACCTTTCTGCAAGTACTACACCCGTTTCGGTAAGTCGTTCAGTGCCGTGGATGCGGAATGATGAAATGATCTATGTGTTGTATGCATGACAGGGATGCCTGACCTATCAACATCGGTCATGACCCTTGTTTTTTATTACTCTTGCCAATTGGCGATTAGGAATTTGTTCAAGGAATATCGGCTGCCCCTTTGTTCACTCGAGATCTCATCTCGCCATCTGCAAAAAGTTCCTTCGTGGTGTCTGCCCTAACACAGAGGCCACCTGCAAGTTGTCTCATACTCCTTCTCCCCACACTGCGCCCGCTTGTGTTCACTTTCAGCGCGCAGCATGCAACAAAGACAATTGTGTATATACTCATGTCAGGACCAACCCTCTGGCTCCTATCTGTAGGCCCTTTGCGACCGAGGGCTGGTGCGAGGCAGGAATCAACTGTAAGGACCGCCATGTCTGGATATGTCCCGATTTTGGTACCGATGCTGGATGCAAGAAGAAGTGCGGACTTCCTCATGTGCCTAATGGCGGAATCTGGGTCAAGAAGTCGTCCGATGGCAACGACATTGCATTAGGAGGGAATGACAAAACATGGACGCGACCAGATTATCAACCTTCGTCTTCTGTTGCCAGCACTTCTCGGTATACGGACAAACAGGATCAGGATGCAGAAAGTACCAGCGGTGGAGCTGGTACTTCTGCCGCAGTTCGGAACAAGAACCGGCAGTACGATGAAAACTTTATCCCTCTGGATCTTGGAGATGATTTTGAGGCTCAGCAAGCTGGTATACTTGATGAGGATGAGGATGTGGTTATGAGCGATCAAGAGATGGAAGAGGACGAGGAAGAGGAAGAGGATGTGAGCAGTGACGGTATGGAGACTGGCGGTGAAGATGACGACGATGAAGGTGAAGGCGAAGGTGAAGAGGAACTGGATGAGGACTTGGTGGAGGATGAGAATGACGACGAGGAGGAGATGAACGAGGAAGATGAGTACAATATGTATCAGGAGCAGCGTCGTTATGAGGACGATGACGACTATTGAGCTTTGCTTTCTCTGTATTCTGGGCATTTCATTGTACAACAATCTTGTAGTTTAGCATTTCTCACAAAATAAAACCACATAAAAATAACTGACTTGTGTGCTAGTTTTAGTTTTTTTCACAGCCTGTTGGAGAGGGAAAGTAAGCAGGGGTTCTTCAGTGAGTAACAATATTGAAAGGAGGCTGGAATGAGTACACGTAAAAAAAACGTTTAAGTTTTTTTTTTGTGCTGACACTGTATTGTAGTACCTAGGCCAAAGCCATAGGTGACAACACGGGAAGTCATACACCCTTCATCCCTTACTTACTCATGATGTGAGGGCGACGAGGGTCCCAGTAGGGTGAGGGGGGGTAGATCAACGAGTACTTGACATCGTCGTTCTCGTCTGCAAAATCGTCGTCATCCTCCCAATCAACCGCCTCGTTCTCGTCACGCTTCGGGTGTGTGAGCTTTCGTCTTACCCGACTTGTCCTTCTTCATGCCCGACCTGGCATCGAGGGTCCCAGGCTTCTGGGAAGGTTTATGTTGTCCGAGCGGGTAGCCGGGTGGGTAGCGGGGCCGGGGACCAGCACCGGGTTGGATGAATGAGATCTTGGAATCCTCGTCGATAGCCTTAGAGCGCTTGCGAGGGCGCTTAAGGAGTAGGCCGCCGCCACCGCCTGGACCGCGGCGGCCATAAGGGTCGATGATGATGATGATAGGGGGGCGAACTCCGCCGGGGTTATAAGGAGGGCGTGGGTATCCTCCGCCACCACCGCCGGGGTAGAGAATAACCTTGGGGTCGTCATTTTCAGCATCATCGACGTCGGAGCGCTTGTGAGAGCGTTTGAGGAGGATGGGACCGTAAGGGGAGGGCCTAACGATGACGGTGGGGGGTCGGCCTCCGCCGGGGTAGACGATGATTTTGGAGTTTTCGTCGTTGAGGTCTTCATTCTCATTCTCGTTGATGTCGACGACGAACTTGCTGAGGCGGGCTCCGGGAAGGATGGCACTGATGTCTGCGGCCTGGACAGGGGCTGGTGCCGCAGAGGCGACGGCGAGGACTGCTGCAAGCACGGTGAGGATGGTCTTGAGTTGCATGATTCTTACGTAGGTGAGGAGGAAGGTTGGATGTAGGTGAAGATGAAGGTGAAGGCGAGAGTTTGTGGAGAGTGGGATCTGGAGGGATCGGCCAAAAAAAAGGGTCGTGTGCTAGGTCCCATACTTAAATAGTTCATCGGGAATATTGCATTAGCAAACAAAATTGAGGTTGTGGTGGACCATCAGGTTCTTTGTATCTTATTAGCCAAGGAAGGGGAAGGTCTAGGCGTGTGAGCTCGGTAATGGGGTATGTTTGCTATCCACAGATCGGGTCATTTTCTCCTCTCACTACCTTGAGGATCCGATCAAAGGTACCAGGATGTCAAGTACGGAGGAAATGGCGTGATATGATTGTGGGAAAAACGACCCGAGTCAACACGCGTTTCCATCAGTTCCATCGCTTACATTTTTTTTACGACGCGTATTCGCGTCGTTCGTCACTGACGATGAAAAGGTAGAATGTCTCTCCACCTGCACCTTTCCTCCTCTTTTGGGCTTATTAAGAATGAACTGGGGCTACAAGGGGTATGGTTAGCCCTCTCTGAATCGGACCCTGCCAATCGTATTCAAGGGGACACGGGGCAATTTTTTAAGGTAGAATACCCCTCCCCGCACCTGCAGGAATGAAAGATGATCAGGGTAATAGACCAATCGACGTGGTCTCGGCCTTAGTCAGGATGTGAGCGAAATAAAAAAGTATCACTTTTATGAGACGTTCATGACCATGAGTAAGACAAACAAGTTGTTGAAGGCTGAGGTGGTCATCTTCTATTTCGCATAAAAAAGACCTCCTTTTTCAACACTAATACACATTTCTCTTCCTTCACTTTCCACCTTCACGAATCTTTATTACCCACCTCTTCCATGATGGATTCAAAATTTATCATTGCATTCTTTGTGCTGCTGGCTGCAGGAAAGACGATCATGATTATCTCGTGCCTCAGAGGCAGAAAGCGTTCGACCTCGCCTTCATCCTCGTCGCCCAACGCAAGCACAATGGAGACAGGGCCAGAAGTCCTGGTCGAGGATCCGATGACACAACGACTTGTCTTGGCAGGAGAAATCGCTGTTGACGATCGACAACAACCCGAGATGGTCGATGTTATCCGGGTCCCTCCACCAGCCTACACTGCCAAGGACCAGCATCTGGAGTTTGAGAACGTTCCGCCGCCACCTACTTTTAAGGATGCCGTTCCCTCTTCGTCGCGTTCGCCATTATCGCCCTTTTTGCATACACCAAAGCCGTCCAGGAGGGAACTGTCGCAGGCAAGCAGCAGTGGCATCCAAAGCAACACCAGTGATACGCAACAACATCGTCGGAGTTGTCACCAACTCCTCCGGTATCGTCCTGCCAGCACGGATATCAATAACAACAACGTCAACAACAGCGACGACGCGGCAGAGACTGTCTCAAACTCTGGATCAGGCGTTCGCCGTCCTGCTGCAACTGCAGCAGCTATCGAACCGACCATCGTTCGGATACCCAACGTGGCGCGATGGGTCGCAGAGTCTAGGAGAGACACATTCCAAGCCTTTGCAGGATCATCGTCGTCTTCATCGGAGCAATACCCTTTTGGTTTCGTGTCGACCTACTCTGACTCTGACTCTGACTCTGACCATCACTCTGACTCTGAGCCATACGGGTCATCGTCGTCGTCAGGGAATATGCGCATTCTTCCCAACATGGGTGTTCTCTACCCCTCTGTCATTGTACATATGTAATTATATTATCACCTCAACTCTTGCACAAGACGCACGCGCGCTTCTCTTTTTTTCTTTTGACCTTGTACAACAATAAAAATTTAATCGATACTCTTTACTCCTTTTTGCTGGAACGAGAGACATTTGTTGGTTGAGTGGGCGTGCGCTTTCGAGTGGAGGAGATTATTTGCTCGTTGTCTTTCTGCTTTCTCTTTGTTCCAGCCTTGAAGGCCCAGGCTTCAATGCAAAGGGAAAGAGAGCATAAACAGGGAAGGAGTGGATGAGATTGGCGCATTTATTTCTGTTACCCAGTGCGCGATTTTTTCTTGCTTCTCTGACTTCTTGCTTTGTGGAAGGTGTAGCCCAACGAAGGCGAGAGTGTTCAAAAAAAATCCCTCTTTTCTTTTGCTTTCTTTTCCATGGCTGTTTTGTCGGTGGAGATGAATTTCCCCCCTTTAATCTTCCGCGCTTTCGATGAATGAGAGAAAAGGGACGTAGTCCTTTGTATTTTCTCGTCGTTGTTGCGCCATTGCAGTTGTGCCTGTCGCTACCCCCCCTCCCTCTCTCTCTCTCTCTCCTTTTCTTCTCTTCCTTCCCTTCCTTCTCTCTTTTGAGCTAGCATTGCATTATCCGTATGCGCTTCCACCCACTCGACCACGACTATAACAGCAGCACCAACAACATCAACCAGTTACCTTGGCCAGAGGAATAATAACCCATCCATTTCTGCTTTAACCGTCCGTCCAGCCACTCCTTGCTTCAACCCACCAAACCCTCCCCCAACTCGCAGAAATAATCAAATCCAAGGAATGGGTGCCCCCTGGGAGATTTTCAGCGTGGTCGCAGTAACCATGTTTTTCGGAGGTTCATTCTGCTACTACATGAGCCAGAAGCAGAAAAAATATCTCGCCGACGAAGCAGCAGCAGCGAACGCCGCGAATAGAGCCTTCCTTGCGGTGTTGCCCATGTCTAGTCATCCTACCACGGACACGCTCCCTGTCTACTCTGTTGCTGTCCTCACCCCTGCCGTGACATTACTACCTTCAGCCTTTTCTTCTCCTCCTCCTCCTTCGTCAGCAGCATCATTATCTTTGCCATCGTCGTTGTCCTTGGCTTCACCGTTGGCGTCTTCGTTGTCGTCGACTGTTCAAGGAAGTCTATTAGGAGGAGCAGGAGTGGAATCTTATTCGCCGGCACCGCCGAGTTATCAGCCTATCGCTGTCCCTAGATAGCTCCCTCCTCCTTGTCCAATCCTCTAATACAAACACGGACTGTTTTGACATCCTGATTCCCGGATTCTTTGGTCGACTCTGACGTAGAGGGTGACCCTTATTGTGCTTTCATATATATTTCCACTTATGCTTTCAAAATAACCTTTTCCCTGGTAATGAGAGGAAGAGGTCATGCGGTGCAAGCAAACAAAAAAAGTTGAGCTGATTTTTTTTCTTTGCTTGGGTGTTGATTCAAGTCACATGCCTCACCCGCATCTCGCATTTTTAGCAACTTGGCCGTTTTTTTTATAGTCGAATCGACTGTTGCACAAAAGAGTGGAGAGAGAGGAAGAAGATGAATTGCATGGGCAGGAACGCTGCCTCAGCCCATGCATCTACCTCGTCATACAGAAAGAAGTAAAAAAGAATGGAAGCAACAAGAGACAAACTACGAGCTTCATTGATGAGCATTCATCATGCGTCCACACGTGGGGATACTCATGGTCGCGCATCAAGAAAACAAAAACAAAAAAGGATATAAAAGAGACCAAACTGCACTCCACTTTTCATTCATCATCAAATCCAATAACACATCCTTCACAACAAAAAAAACAACAACAACAGCAACAATCAACAATTAATCAACAACAGCAAGACCTACACCTACAACCACTGTCATCGTCCACACAACAACAATAACGACAACAACAGCAGCAGCACGAAAATGCTATCAAAGGGCGCAATCATCGGCATCGCCGTAGGAACCCTAGCCGCCACCTGTATCCTCATCTGCCTTCTCATCCGTTGCCTCAAACGCGGCGAACGTCTACCCACTGTTACCCACCACAAGAACAGGAATGTCGTTACCGAGAAGCCGAGCAATGTCAGGCCCGACATCTTTGTCACCATCCACTCTGTGGACACAACCACCACGGTGACTCCTCGGTCTGCTCCTGCTCCTGCATCTGCTGCGCCCAAGCCCAAGGGCAGCACCACGACTGCACCAAAGCCCAAGCCTAAATCATCGTATACTCCAAAGAAAAACTATAAGAGCTCGTCGCCTTCGGGTTACCGTTCGGGAGGAGGTGGTACCACGTCCACTTCCTACTACTATGGTGGAGCCGACTTATCTGGATATGGCGATTCGGGCGGCTATAGCGGGGGTGGACATGGTGGACATGGACATGGACATGGACATGGTGGACATGGTGGGGATGGCGGTTGCTCCTCAGGAGGCGGCGGATATTCAGGAGGAGATAGTGGAGGTGGTGGTGGTGGTTGCAGTGGAGGCGATGGCGGCGGAGGAGGTGGAGGCGATGGCGGCGGAGGAGGAGGTGGTGGTTGCGACTAGGCCCCGCCCAATATCAGACTTTTCTCTTTCTCTCTTCTTTTGTCTTCATCGGGTGTGGTATGCAGTACAATATCGAAAAACGAGTTTGCGTAAATTAAACCACGTTGTATATATCCGAGTCCATTGTAGTGACCCGGCTGTCGTGCTCCTTACGGATGAACAGTACTTGCATAGGCGTATTCTTCATGTAGTTGATTAACTACTAAACGAATCAGCGATTTGATGGCGCCTGTCTTTGGAAAGGGCAACTAGGGCGACGGTTGGAGTAACAAGTACCTGGTCGAGGGCTAGCGGAAGGGAGCTGCAAGAAGCCACTATTGACGTCATTGCCTTCATCCTGGATGGGAGAAGGAGCAACCATTAATTGCAGCACAGATGCAAGTTGGTGGCAAACAAACCCTTGATGTCTGAGGACGGTGCGCTGGAATTGTTGGTGGCTTGAGACCCCTTAAGTCGAGCCGAATAGTATAGAAGAAGCCTGCTCGAGGTCAGAGAGAACAGCACCTTTCTTTCTTGATATCGAGCAGGTATGTGCAATGCTGTTCTTGTTCCTAGCGGTTTTGGTGGGAGCGTTTGACATAGCATAATCCTAACATTAAAAGCACCTTTCTTTCTTGATATCGAGCAGCAACGTTGAAAGTGTCAGAGTTTACAGTCGTTTTCCCTTTACACATCTTCTGAGTAACACACACACATACATATCTACACACAAACTACCACACCTACGCGCACCTATACACACATATACACACAAATACGTCTTTTCTTTTTCCTTTTCATGAGCGACAAAGACTCTGGAGACACCGGGTCGTCCACACCTCTGCGAGAAGGGGCAATCCTCCCTTCGCCTCCTCTTGATGGTATCTGCCGTGACACTTCCACCCAGGCATCTCAGCCCCCTCAGACAACCACAACAAACTGATCTCGTGGACGCGACAATTTGAAACTGATTGAGTTGACGTATCACTAACGAGTCTGGAAGAAAGAAGAAAAATAGGAGAGGCGAATGGCAAACGAAAATTGAATGTCAGCTCCGTTGACGAGTTACTGCGCCTACAACCATGTTTGACTCCACGAAACCAGTGTGAGCCCCTCGCTATGTCGACCGACCCTGACTGAAAACACTTAACACTGGTTAACTTGTCCTGTTGTCTTCCTCGCGAAAGAGCGGCGTGAAGAAAGAGGGCGAAAGGGTCTAAGCACGCGGGCCTACCCTACAAAGAACAAAAAAATGGTCCAAAGGTCCATTTACCAGCAATAGTTCCATCTCGAACTATCAATTAGTGTTCACAAATCCTTGCTTGGCCTACTGCGGATTTCACGTTTTCTGAGGTGACTCGATGATCACAGCCGCTTAACACCGCCTCTTCCTCGTTTTTTTTTCGGTCCGCACACATAGTTGTTCTTTTGGGTCCTTACTTTACTTTCTTTTTTCTTTTTTCTTTTCCATTTCTCCTCATTCACTCATTCCTCATTCACCACCAAGAACAAAGAACCAACAACAACTTGATCCTTCTCGCAATGACTTCCAGGAACACCAACACCAAGAGGAACCCCAACCCTCGCAACAACAACAAAACGGGCGTCTCTTCCAATTCGACCCCTGCTGCTCCCCGCTCCGCCCCCACCGCTTCGGCCATAAACCCTCTCACTCTCACCTCTCCTGTTCCTGTTTCCACCACCTATGATAACCCCCGCAGCCACAAGGATCTGGTCGATCAGGACGACGGTGAATTCGCCGGGATCCTGTACGACACAATCCTCTATGAGCGCGCCGTCCACCGTCTCGAGACCCTCAAAAAGTACGATTTCCCCGTCCAGTACGAAGAACTCGCCCATGACTTCTTGATCGCCTACCGGCTTTGTCTCGAACCAAAGTTCCTGGCTGAACCCAAACTGGCTCCCTACGCGACCTATCTCCTCAAATCCAAGCTTCTCACCGGGAAGGGCGTCCGTGCCTATGCGAAGGACCATGGCGGGACCTATGAGATCTTCCCTTCGCTCGATCAACTTTTTGACGACTTTGGAGATGAAGTTGAAGAGATTGACGAGGACGATTTGAGTGATTATGATGAGGTCGATCATGGGTTTAAACAAAAGCAGAAAAATGTCGGGTACCAAGGTCCAAAGCTGAGTGGACGCCAGGGGTCGCAGAGTCATCAGGATATGTTTGCAAGGGACTATTTTGCAGTCCATAAACATTCACAAGACATGATTGCGATGATTGTTGCGCACCTCCGGAAGCGTGTCTGGTACCATAATGGGTCTGGAGGCGAAATTGTCGATATTCGGAACATGGGCGTCGACAAGGTCCCACGTCGTCGGACCGATGACTCTGCTCCCAGTGCTGAGATTGAAGGTGGTGGTATAGAAGTAAACGCCGGGTTGAAGGGCATCAAGGGCGTCAAAAAGTACACGCGTCGGTTCAATGGTCGGATTCGTCGACGGAACTATGAGCGCAACCTGGAGCGGGAGCGGGACAACGTCGCCGGGGGCGCTACGACTTTCTTTGGGATGTACGGAAACGACGCCGAACCTCCTACCGACTATTCTGAATCCGAATCCGAATCGTCGTTTGGTGGTGGCGCTGGTGGAATGAAAGGAGTGGGCAGTGGGCAGAACGCCGAAGATATGAAGCGGATCGAGGAAGCGATAGCGAGGATGGTTTCGATGTCTCTGGTGGACTATACTGGTAGTGCCAAGCGCAAGGTCCAATGGTTACCCTTGGGTCGGTCCGAGGCCCTGTATGATTGGAACGGTGTGAGCAAGGAGCTGAGGCTGATTGACTTGCCTGCCGAGGATGCCGACCCGTCATTTTATGGATGTCTCACCCGCGACATTATGAACAAGTACAAGGTGGGCAGACATGATATCGTATTTACTTCCTTGGAATTAATGCCGCAGCCATGCTCAAAGCACTAATGCGGTCGTCCTTTTGAAATCAATCTTGCGATCATAGAGCCTGGTGCCACCGCCAGATCTCATGGAACGCCACGCGCAACTGACGAGCACTCTGACCAAGCTCATATCAGATGCCTTCCCTGATGAAGACCTGAAGGTCGAACCCTTTGGGTAAGTCAGCAACCTTCTTGAACATGCACTTCCCACCAAGTTTGCATTCAGAGAAACAAGGATTAAGTATTTATTCACTTCAACAATAGGTCATTCGTGAGCGGGTTATTACTAAATAACAGCGACGCCGACTTTTGCATCACTGGCGCCAAGGTCCACGACCACGACCACTCCCTGAACGACATGAACCATATCGGTCACATCCTCAAGACCAAGGGTCACATGGAACAAGTCCTATGTATCTCCGATGCCTTGGTCCCCATTGTCAAGTTCTACGACCCTGTCTCCCGCTTAGAATGCGATCTCAACACCGGCAACACTCTGGGAGTCATCAACTCGGGATTGATCCGGATCTACACCACCATCGACGAACGTGTCAAGCCCTTCCTGTACATGGTCAAAGCCATCTGCAAAGCCCAAGGGATCAACGACGCCAAATCTGGATACCTGAGTTCCTATGCCCTCACCTGGATGGGAATTGTGTTCCTGCAGCAGGAAGGGTACCTCAAGTCGACGGGGACGTCCTTCAAACCCGTCCTGCCACGTCTCCAACAGCAACCCTTCGAACGGATGACAGAAGTAACCCTCCGACTGAACCACAACCTCCCCAACAGTCAAACCATCACCTCCACACCCAGCCTCGTCAACTCCAAGAGCAGCGACATGGTCCACTGCCGCTTCGACACCAACAAGGATGGTCGTCACACGGGTACGGGCCACGCAAACCCCAAATCCCTCGCGCGGTTGTTGATTGAGTTTTTCGAGTTTTTCTCTAGACGGTTCTTTTATGCGGAGATGGCGATTCATGTGGCCAGGGCACAGTTCTTGCCAAAGACGAGTAAGGAGTTGCACTATGAGAGTACAAGGACGACGACTTTTAGAGTCGTGGATCCGTTTCTGCATCATAGGAACTTGACGGGAACTTGTAGGGGTGATTCGTTGGCCAGGGTATGGAGGGCGTTTGATCATTCTTATCGGATGCTGAGTGCAGGCGACCTCGAGGGAGCCATGACTATTGTCGAGTAGTATTAGCGTAAAGTAGCGTTGGATAGGCAGGTTTGTTACAGAGTAATAAGAAAACGTCATGGGTTTATTGAAAGTCATAACAAGGAAAATGTACAAGTGTGCGTGTAATCAAGCATAACGAGCAACTAAGAAAGATGCCAGTATGATCGCTTTAACTCTGCAAAATCGAGTTCTTAACGAAGTTCACGGTCAAGACGGTCAGAGGCATTATTGACGGCATTCTTGGCGTTCTTATTAGCAGCCCTGGCAGCATCCTTGGCATCATCCTGGACCTGCTTAGCCTCATGGTGAAGATCCGACTTGGCATGACGGGCGGCATCACCGACATCCTTGCCGAGTTTGTTGGCGTCCTTTCCAAACTTGCGGGCGTGGTCTGCAGCAGGGCCCTTGGCGTTCTTGATCCAGATGTCGTAATTGAGGGCGGTGGCGTATCCAAGCCAGGCGACGTAGGGGAGGGTGAGGTAGCCGGCAACTTCGTCGACCTTGAAGAAGTAGTATGAAACTGCAATTGCCGACGTCTATTTTATTGTTGTTGAGCAAGAAAGAGGAAGGAGGTACGGTGTTAGTGAGATTAGAAGAGAAGCGACTGATGTCAGGATATTTGTGTTTGTTACTGTTTTTCCCGCCCCTTATTCCTTGTACCATCCGTGAGAAAGTTATGGTATGCTGCATTGTTCCAATCCCTTTGTGTGTGCGTCGAGATCAAGTAGGCGAAGTAAACGACAGCCTCCTGCTCTGCCCCCCAAATGAGACATTGGCGAAAGTGCGCTCGCCTAATATTCGTTTTTCTTTGGTGTCGCTGGTATTCCTGCCGTCGTATCCATCCATGTTCCGCTCCTGTCCTCTTCCTTTGCTTTCCTTGTTGTTGCCCTCTGCTCCATGATACAACCATAACAACATGCGTCCTCAACCAAATACACAATAAACACTTACGAATACACCACCAGCGGTAATGAGGGCAGCACCGATCTGCCTTTTCCAAAAGAAAATAGGCGACCATGCAAAGTTCAACGCCAAATTCAATCCATACAGCCCCATCCCAGTTTGAGCAGCCGACCGAATCGAGGGGAGAGTCAAGGCCGTTGGACTCGTATGCGAAGCAACCAGATGGGATGCATAACCGATAGAGAGGTAGAGACCAGTCCAGGCAGGACCAAAGGCAGAGGAAGGAGGTGCCCAGGAGGATTTGTAAAGGGACTCGTAGTAATCCTTAGCGGATCTTATGGAGGGGGAGGCGGAGATGAAGCCGCCGACGAGGGGGAGTCCGACGGCCAGGGCTGGGTACCGGGTCAGGTTCTGGTTGAGGCAGTTTTGTGAAGAGTGGTAGAAGTTGTCCATAGTTGTAGTTGCAAGGGTGGAGGATTGGAGGGGCGAGGAAGAGAAAGGAAGAGGGAGAAGGAAACTGGGTTGAGGAAGAAGAGAGATGACCTAGAAAGAGGCCATTTATATGGATTCCTATCAATGCGATGTCATCGTTACCGCGCTGAAACGCGTTCCCTTCAGCGTGAAGAAAAAAGTCGTCATTATTTATGCGGTTGCGCCTATGCGTGATGCGAGATCGGGTGTCAATCTCTCTCTCTCTTTTTTTGTCTTGACCAATGATGAAATGATCACATGATGAGAGTCAAAGCCACTCTTAACACATTTGACACTCCACTCGTTTCCCGCAAGCATAAACAAGCGCGCAAAAAACTTTCTCGCTTCTCTCTTCTTTCTCTCTTCACTCTTCCACACAGCTCCTTCCGTGCTCCTCCACCTTTCTACACGTAAGTTCTCCCTTCCCTATCCCATACCAACACAAACAACAAAGCAACACACTGAAGCGAGGCTGATATGATGTTTATACTTTCGTGGGAATCTCTCGGAAATCGAATGAACGAAAACTAAATCGAATGTCCTGATCTACATCCTCAAACAACAAAAAAAAGAGATCTCTCTTTTAAAAGACATTCGTAACTTGAGGTCAAGTCTGCAGAAGCGATCAATTTATTAATCACCTTTGCTCGCCTTATCCTTTATCCCTTTTCTAGTTCACTCTTTTACCTCGTCGCTCAGGAAAACAGGAAATATACTCTGGATCAGGATTTTGCTCATAAGGTGCGTACTTCACCCATTCTTCCGACCTTCCCCTTTTTACCACGATCACGATCGAGCATGACAGGCAATGATGATACAACCCATGCACCACTCTCAACCAAAAGCGTGTGGATAACCATTACCATTTATATATGAGCCTACTTCTTTTTCTACTCGATTCCCTTCGTCTGAAAAAAGAAATCGTCAACAGAATGATTTTATCGGCAGGCATGCTAATTCTTTCTTTTTCTGTTTGATTCTTTATCTTAGGTTCGTTGCGTTGATGTCTTTGCTTGCTTGTCCGTGTAGAATAATTGTTTGAAGAAAATGAATAAAAAACATGTCAAAAAAACTACCAATTTGTCGCGCTGTGTTCTGTCTTGCTTATGTGAACCGTATAAATCGAGCTTGTTTTGAAAGAAAAAAAAAGATGCCGTGAAATGGCACCAAAGTCACGTGTAGATCGCGAATGGCTCTGGTGCTTTGGAGGTGCTGGTTGCACACATGAACTCCTTACACTTCTTTTCTCAGGAACTCATCGTCGAACCACGCATCAGGAACACAGTACAGGACACAGACATACATTCATATACACAGCAATGGCACGCACAAAGCTCTCACGCTCATCACGGATCACCCTCCTCCTCGCACTCGTCTGTCTCCTCGCACTCCTCCAGGTTCGCACCTTCTCTCCATCTCGTTCCACGCTCACGGTCATGGAAGACTTTCTCGACATACCGGAAAGGAGCCCAATACACGGGAAGCAAAAAAAACCCACTGACACACACCCCCTACTTATTAACCGTCAACAACCAACGAAAATAGACAACACTGGCAGCAGACCCAATTAGTTTCTGCAAATGCGTCTGCGGCCAAGAAAAGTATATCACAGCCCTTCCCCGAGACACCCAGCACCCGATCTTTGGCGGTTCGTCCAAGGCCTGTGGCAGCTGCACAAAGAAGTACTGTCTCGATACAAATCCGGACATGTGTAAAGATGTCGGGACCGGCGGGGGCGATGAATTGACTACTATTTGTTTCGGTAAGTGCGTCAGTTCGATACAAAGGGTGGAGGAGTAGGGCGAGGAGGTGTAAGGGATGTGCGATTGCGTTGGGAGGTGATGTACAAAAGGCTTGGCGGATGAAATAGCAGGATGTGACAGGATACGAGAGGATAGAGACCATGAGCAAGGGCTAATGTTTACGTTTTTTAATTGTTTTTGTTTTTGATATTGGTCTTGGCATTGGTGGGCGTGTGTGATAGAGCGCGACTCGTACAAGGATCAGTTCATCGTCTATCTGTTTTTGACCATCACGTTTGGTCTTCTTGCCTTTGCGGTGCTGCAGCCTTTCCTCAATGGCCTCTGGCAGGTAAGCCTCTCTCTCTGTCTCCTTCCTATCTTGTTTTACCCCGTATGAAATGCTTTCTTAGGTCACACTGCCTTTGAACTAACGACTTTTATTTGTGCGATTGAAAAATGATAGCGTCGGCAGCAGCGGTCGTACACGCAGATGCCAATGTAAAGAAACCAACCTATTCAATACAAGGAATAGCAAACAGCCAACAAAACATGTAAAATACACAATCGAAACCAGCATGCGGAGTAAATTATGTAAAAGATATCTATGAGGGTTGTCTTTAATGACCTAAATGGCTTTAGTAGGGTTCCTTGGCGCGGCAAACTTCTCCTTAATCTTCTCAGTTACCATCCTGTTCAAGGGCGCATCAACCCCAGACCGCTCCGCCATCCGGACAAGGTATCCGTTCATGTAATCGATCTCGCACTGCGTTGAGCCCTTCAAGTAATCCTGTAGAGTCGAGCATCGGTTCTGGCGGGTGGCTCTCAGGATCGCCTCAGTGGTCTCTGTCAACGCCTCGACGGTCAAAAACTCCTTCTTCAATTGCTCGTCGAGGACCTGACACTCCTTGGACTGCGACAGGATATGATGGGACTCCTTGATCAGGTTCTTGACGGCCTGGTGGGCATCCTCCTTCTCCAGCAGATCCCCATTGGTGGATTCCAGTAATGTCGCTACGGGGTTTACGCAAGAGTTGACGACGACTTTGGAGAGTTGAAGGGCGAGAAGATGATCCGGTAAGAGAACACGGAGTTCCATATCCTCGGAGAGTTCCTCGAATGCTGCGAGGGTCTCAAAAAGGGATTTCGTCCGGAGATCCCGAAGTTGTTGGCGGGTCTTGGGGGCAGTGTAGAATTTTGAAAAAGGTGTAGAGGGGCTGAAGCGGGTGGCGAAGGGTGCGGGGCTGGTGGTTGGGTATGGGATCGAGAGCTTCATCATCACCGGGGGGATGAGTTTCGGGTACAGGGAGTTGGAACCCTTTGCTGGGACTTTTAACAGCTTGTTGATTGTTGGGAGTGTCGATTGGTTCCAGCGTGGGGTTCTTGTCTTGTTGTCAGTGTTGTTGTCGTCGTCGTCGTCGTCGCCGTCGGCACTGTCGCCGTCGCCGTCGCTTGATGTTCCTGTTCCTGCTGCTACTGTTGACGGAGACGGTGCTGCTGAAGGATCAATGACGGGTGCCAGCCAGACATGCCCCTTCCCCGTATGAACAACAGTATCCCCTGTCTTCTGGGCGCCATGAGATATAATCCCCTGCACAAAATTCGGCCTCTCCAGTTCATCCTTCCACCCCATCGACTCACAAATCTCCTCCCTCACCCCCATCCCATTCTGCATCAGCACAATCGTCGTCCAGGGCCTCAACCGATGTCGGATCTTTGAAATAGCTTCGACAGTCTGATAAGTCTTTGTGGTCACCAGGAGGTGGTGAATAGGAGCACGAGACATTTCGTTGTAGATGGGATCGTTCCGGAAGAGTTCCTTGTCGATGGAAGGGTAGAGCGGTTCCCAGTCGAGGCCGTCGATGATTTGGGGTTCAACTGAAATGGTTTCGAGGGAAGTCAGGTTCATGTATTTGAGGGTTGATGGTGGGAATGTTGGCTTTGGTTCTCGTAGTACCGAGTCCGTTCCTGTTGTCGTTGCGATTTCTTTAGCATGTCTGGCGAGTGGTGGGACGGGGGGTGCGTGGCGTTGGAAAAAGGTGAAGGGGATCTTGTGGCGGTGGAAGTGGTAGGCGAAAAGGGAGCCGATGCCGCCGGGTCCCAGGATGTGGAAGCGAGGTTTTGGTATCGCCAGGGCCTTTGGGAGGTTCTGCATAAGGAGGAAGGAGTGTTGGTTCCTGAATGGGCTAAAGCTGGTGGGTAGTTTGTTGAATGGGTGAATGCCTGTTTGGTGGTACTGTGATCCGAGTGGAATGGTGACTTGGGCTGACGAGTGATGAAGTGGCTCCTCTCCCTTGTTCCTTGTCCGTGGTCTGAGGGCTCCTTGGTGGTCCTGCTTGGCTTGCCGTTGGAAGGGAAGAAAGCGAAAAGAGGGAAAGTGGAACGGGAAGGATACATCTTCGATCGGTGGTCGTGACTGTTCAATTGTATGTTTGCAAGGAATAAAAGGAGATCGCGTGAAAAAGTATGAGTGAAGGGACAATGCTTCACCATTGAGCCACATCTTTGTCAATAGTTTTACTGACAATAGTTCAAAATCAAGGGGCCTAATCACTCTGTTCTAACACCGAGCCTGGCACCTTGGGCACTTTTCACATCACAAGTGGCGCAACGTAGGTGTGGTATTTACTGATCAGATATGAATATAAAGACAAATGATCAACAGGAGCCTGTTCAAAGAAACAGCTCCAAAAGTACGCTATTGTTGAACGCTGGCGTCTGTCAATGTACAAAAGGCAACAGCCCGACGATGTCTTTGACTCTCTCAACCGGCAGCCCATATAAGCACGTATCTAAGTATCTAATTAGCCACCTCGCTCTCAATGGGTCCATGGGGACACACCAACACGACAAAAAGAGAAACAAATATTTCGATAATAATCAAACAAAAGAGAACAAGACGTGGTGGTTGCGTGTGTGTCTTTCATGGAACGAATGAAATCGATTATTCTCCCTTTTCCCTCTTGAAAGGTTAAAAGGGCGTGTGCACCTTTTTCTTCTTCTTCACATCACCCCTTTCCCTTCCCTTCCCTTCCCCTCTTCACCCATACAATGTTCATCAGAACTGCAATCTCTGCAGTGCTCACCATCGCAGTATGCGCCTCCTTCAACGGCGTGCACGCCTCAGAGGCATCCAAGGGCCTCACCGGAAACGACTTTGCCACCAACGTCGCATCGGGAACAACGTAAAGTCATCTCCCGTCAACCTCGCACAGCAAAAAAACGATCTGTCACCATGAATAAAAGAGACTAAACAGTGTCATCTCGTCATTGCTACTTTCATGGACATAGTTTCGTCAAGTTCTACTCGCCTCAGTGCGCACACTGCATTAGACTCGGTATGGACAAGCATGGACATTGTTGTTGCTTCCTAGGATGGACCCTTGAACTAGCTCGATGAGCCCTGCTTCTGACTTTGCATCCACCTTCTCTTGTTATAATTGTATCAGCACCCACCTGGGAGGAGCTTGCTGTGAACCACAAAGATTGGGCAAACACCAAGGATTTCAAGTTTGCCGAAGTCAACTGTCTCATGGAGGGCGATCTCTGTGATGATAACGATGTCACTGGGTACCCCACCATTCAATTGTAAGGCACACACGCTTATTTTGTCAGTTAGGCTATCAGGATCACTTTGTGCCAACGCTGCGCATAGATACATTATTCGTACTTGCAACGAGAGTTGGACGCTTACATAGGCTTTCTTCTTGTGGTGAAAATAGGTTCCATCAGGGCAAGTCGGTCCATTTGTACCAGGGCGGCAGGAGCATCGAGGATTTGACCAGCTTTGTCACCACCAAGGCGAAGGAGTACGAAGTCAAGGCACCTTCCAACAACAAGGTTGCCTCCCAGAAGAGCAGCAACATCAACCCTTCGGGCAAGGTTACCGTCCTGGACAACAAGAACTACGAAAGCTCGTTGAAGAACGGCGAGCCTTGGTTAGTTGAATACTATGCTCCCTGGTGCGGTCACTGCAAGGCTCTGGCTCCTATCTATGAAGAGCTCGCCCTGGAATTGAAAGGCAAGGTCAATGTCGCCAAGGTCGACTGCCCCGCCAACGAGGTCGTTTGCCGCTCGCAAAAGGTTCGCGGATACCCCACCATCAAGTTGCACCAGAACGGTCAAGCAACCGAGTATAGCGGCCAGAGACAGCTGAGAACCTTGGAGACATTTGCCCTTGGTGCCACCACGTAAGTCACATCGCTCTTTCTTATTTATCATCATCTTCATAGGCAAGCATACGAGAATATGCCTTGTTCATTCAGCTAACCTCTTTGTGCAACGGTTAATATGACTAGCTCCTCCGTCAAGGCTCTTACGCAGCAGGGATTCGAGGAACTCAGGAAGGGTTCTGATGTGTCGTTCGTCTACGTATACGATGCCAACACCAACTCGGATGCCACCGAGTCTATCAACAAGCAATCTCAGATCTTTTACGAGCAGGTCTCGATCTACTCAACCAATGACGCCACCATCGCACGCCAGCTCTCGGTCACTTCCTTCCCCGCCTTGGTCGTCTTGAAGGACAACCGCCAGTACAACTACCAGGGATCCATCGCCAACCAGCTCGCAGTCCAGTCATGGATTGAGCAGTCCAAGGAGCCTCTTGTCCCCTCTCTCAACAAGCGCAACACTGCTGCCATCTTGAACGCGCCCGGTTGGGTTCTTTTGGGACTTCTCGATCCCGCAAAGCCTGCTTCGTCTATTGCATACCGCGGCCTTGTCGAGTCTGCGCACAAATACAAGAAGTCTTTGGCCGCAGGTGACCGCACTTTGCTCGATGGCAAGCCTTTGCGCTTTGCTACCTTGGATGGCACCAAGTGGACCCGCTACATTAGCGAAGCTCTTAGCGTCGAGCCCTTGAACTTGCCTGCCATTGTGGCCGTCAACAGTGACAAGGAGATTTTTTACCCCAACGCCGCTGACGAACGCCGTGTTGCCTTTGACGAGGAGGCATTGTGGGAATACATTCTTGATATGGAGAAGGGCCACTTGGAGGAAAAGTCGACCATTTCGAGCACCCAGCGTACGTTCCGCCAGATCTCTAGCCGGGCGTCGTCAGTCTTTACCTTCATCACCGGCCATCCCTTTGTGACCATGATCCTCTTCTCGGCTGCTGCCTATGGACTCTTCAAGATGCTTTGCGGAAGCGGACCCGAGGATCGTTTGGATGGTCTCGCCAAGGCGGACTAAGTCGTCGTTGCGCGCCGTGTAGGTTGGTGTTTTTTATATGGTTTTCTATAAGTAAATTGTGCGGCGACGTGGCAAAGTAATAAAGCTTCGTCGTTGATAAGTATTAGTCCATATGCCAATATCTATCTTGCACCTCGGTCGACCACGAAGGGTAGAAAAGCTAAAAAAGCCTTGGCAAGAGGTAACGAACGGCTATCCAGTCAGAGAGAGTTGATCTGTGATGTGTCGTGTAGAGCACAATCCGCTACAGCCTAGCTTTGCGACCTACTCGCTCCAGTACTACTGCGTTTTCTCCTTCCCCTGTGAGAATCGAAGGATATGAGAAAAGGAGAGAACAAGCAAGCAAGAAATCGAACAAGGGGTCAGTTCCTCTATCAGTGAATAGAGTCAATAGACTCTGTCGGCAAGGCCTTGGCAAAGGCAGGTGTGACTTGCCAAGACACCCTCAAAGTACCTATTTGAAGCAAAGCCATTTCTTATGCCTTTTGCTTCTTTCCCTTCGCCATCTCTCTTCCTCTCCGTCCCTCCACCCTCACTTCACACCCTTCCTTTCCTCTCTTTCATTCCTCTCCATCCACTCTCTCCTTCACCCTCATTCTTTTCTCTTCGCCAAATAACACATACACTCAGCTTACCTTACTCTCCTCCTTACCTTACCCTACACCAACAAAAAAAAAAAAAAAAAAAAAGGCAGCCATGGCAGACTCGAACCAGAGACCCTGCAAAGTCTGCTACAACGGCTCTCTCCGACGGTTCCTCATTGCGCGACCTGCCATCTGGCTAGACTTTGAGAACAAGGTACTTTTTCATATACATCCATTCGAAAGGGCTATATTTGTGAGAGTGAGGGGGCGTATTACCCTCTTACCTTTTAGTTTTCGACTCTTTTTTGTCAAACGCACCCGCCCAACACACATTCTGGCTGAGCAAACGTATAATATGGTTTCTTTTGTGTGACTGGGGTAGTCCGGATGTCTTGGCGTTTTTTATTTTTTATTTCAGCATGTATTTGTGGTGTGTATGAGCATCCCTGTCGCAGCGTGAAAATTGAGAACTAAAAAAGCCCACAGCCTGCGTGCCCTATACGATTTTCGTTATTGCTTTGACTATTGGCAGTTCTCTGTGTCACCACAGGATAAAACAGGGGGCATACGAGAACCAACCCGTCTCCCGGGAGCAAGTTACCTGTCTGGTGCCACTAACCAACCAACCGCAAAACGAACATAAACACACACATGAACACAGCAGCCAACCACCATTCGAAACAAAAAGAAAAGCCTAGGCCGAGGTCTACTGTGATGGGCACGCATGCATATTAGTGTGGGAATTGATCACGATAACACCCCTTTTACTTAGCCGTGCCATGGCCACTTGTCTGCTGTGTTGCTTTTATGCAAACCCTCATCTGGGTCTGCTTTGCCATTTGCATATTGTATACATATCACAGAAACTTCAGCTTGCTCCCAATCTCTTCCATTGTCACATATCCAATCCATCCATCCTTTCATGTCACACAACACAACACATCCATCCACTTTTATCTGTTCAAATCTTCTATCTGTTCAAATTATCACACCCTAACACCCTATCTTTTTTTGTTTCGTACAAACTTAGATCCGCAACGTGTACAGTCTCCCCGGAAACCTCGCCCTTGATGTCCAGTACAAGGATGATGAAGGGGACCTCATCACCCTCAACACCGACAGCGAGCTCGACGACGTCCTCGCCATGCACACCATTTTCACCCCCCTCGCCCCCGTCAAGTTTGACGTCGTCGCCAAGGGTCAGCCAATGTTCCCCAGCATGAGTTTCTTCTCCACTCGTGCCAGTTCTGTTGTCGATGACGACGAGATCCGCAGCCAGACTGCGCGCTCTCAGATGTCCAACAGTTATTCATTCTATCATAGCGATGACGTCTCGATGATTGATCTGGAGGAGGAGAGAGACGAACAAGAGGCAGAGGCACAGCAGCCTGAAGACGCATTGACCCCTTCGGTAGCAGAGACCCTTGAGCAGTCTATCAGCTACCCTCAACAGGTCCTGGAAGACGCTGCACGTCTGCAGAAGGAGGTCGATAGGCTGGAAGCCCTCAAGCTGGACGCCCCCATCTTCACAAGCTCCCTACTGGGTGCTCGTGTCGAGGATGCTGCGAGTGAGAAGGCTTACAGCGTTCATGATACCAAACAGTCCGTTTCAAGCAGTGTGTCGACTCTCACCGCCGAGTTTAAGGTCGACGATGAGGAGTTCAGAGCAAGCAAGTCAGAGCAGAAAGTTCAGGAAGAGGAGGAAATCCTCGAAGAGCGCAAGATCGAGATTGAGGCTGCATCAGTCGCCTCCGAGTCGGAGAGTTTGCCTACTACGTCTACAGCATCGACTTCTACCAGCGAGCACCGCAGTCTGAGCGACGACACCGCCTTGATCGAGCAGTTCCAGTTGTTGATCAAGGAGTTCCAGGAGATCATCCAGAACAACCCTCAGCTCGTAGCTTTGGCCGGACACATTATGACCAAGGTAATTAATTCTTACAATGATCCAATAATGCGTTCATTTGAGTTTCCAAGAGCGTGCTATCAGCAGGACCCGCCCACATTTCTAACTTGAGCGCTCATGTCTTGTAGATTTTGAGTAACGTCAAGGTTAACGTCGAGTCTTTTGCCAACTTCCTCCACGCACAGGCGCAGGCAGCCGCCCAGAACTCGCAGAGATCTGCCACTGAGGCATTCCCTCAGCTTCAAGAGGCCGCAGCAAGGGCTGCTGCTCAGGCTCAGGAGGCTGCAACCAAGGCTGCCGCACAGGCTCATGAGACTGCTATCAAGGTTGGTCAGCAAGCACAGGAGGCCGCTATCAAGGTTGGTCAGCAAGCACAAGAGGCCGCTGCCAAGGCTGGTCAGCAAGCACAAGAGGCTGCCGCACAGATCCACAGGGCCGCGACCCAAATGCAAGAAGCAGCCACGGCCCCTCAGTCCCAGGAGTACCAGCGACCTCTTTTCCCTCAACACCCGCCTCATCAACACCCTCGCCACCGCGGAGCCTTCAAGCCATTTTACCCTCACCACCAAGGACATAGCCAGTACAATAATGTGCTGAGCGACCTCTTTGGACAGCCTGTTGGTCCTCTGGCCCCCATGGCTCCTATGGCTCCCATGCCTCCCATGCCCCCTATGCCTCCCATGCCACCAATGGCTCCTTTCCTCTCCTTCGCCCCACCTCCCCAGGCACCTGTATCAGAGTCTGGGTCATCGTCCTCGTCCTCCAGCGGTCTTGGAAGGAGCAACACCATTCACAGCTCCAAGCCTTCGCCTTTTTCGCGAGGATTCCCATTCAACTCTGCTCTCCCTGCCAACCGTGTGAACACGACCTTCAAGAGTGACCGCCCTGTCGCCGGCGATACTGAGGCCTCAAGTGCTTCTTCAAGCTCAACCCACACTGAAAAGGGCAAAGCTGTTGATGCAAACACTCAGGCTAACGAGCAAGGATCTCCTTCCATCGTGATGCCTGGATCCTTCCCTCAGCAGCCACAGATGTCAGAGCTCAAGCCCGGTTGGTCGTGGGCCCGTCTTCCCGATGATGGTCCAGAGCACGTTCAGCCTCCATCGACACGTGCCAAGTACGGTTGGGTCTGGAACGATGCTGGTGGTGAGAAGACCGAGATTGTTGATAACCAGGTCCCCGTCTCGTCTTTGTACACCAACCTGAACACGACGGAGCCAACCACTCCAGGATCTTTCCCACAGTCGTCTGCCTCTGCCTCTGAGAAGTTGCAGCGTCGCCAGACAATCCACCAGTTTGGCCGGACATCCGCCAGCGAGATTCAGATGCAGGCCTCGACCGAGGCAACTGAGGACCTTGAGCAACAGGAGCGCATTCTGAACGAACACCGTCAGTCCATTGCTGCAGCTGCCCAGGAGGGTCAGCGTCGAGTTATGGATGAAGCGGCATCACGGATTGAGGAGCAAAGGGAGGAGATGAAGAAGCAGCAGCAGGCAGTTGAGGAGCAGCGTCAGGCCCTTGAGGTTTTGCGTCGGGAGCAGGCTCAGCAGCGTCTTGACCGGATGGCATCTCGCGTCCGCCCCTTGTCACATTCGGCATCGATGGGTCACCGACCCCCCGTCCGCCTTCAGGACCAGGGTCGTTCGAACAGCTGGTACTCTGCGTCTTCTACATCGATCTCAACTCCCGGTGATTTCCCCACTGTGACTCGCCCTCGCGCACCTCCAGCCCGTGCACCGGCACCTGCTATTGTTGTCCCTGCACCCGTCCCTACTCTAGTTGCTACTCCAGTTGCAACTCCCGTTCAAGTCCCAACCCCCGTCCGGGCACCAGCACCAGCACCAGCACCAGCACCACCAGCACCAGCACCACCAGCACCAGCACCACCAGCACCAGCACCAGCACCAGCGACAACGCCTGCTGATGTGAACCCTTTCGCGGACCCATCGGAGTTTGAGCTTGAGATCCAGATGCTTGTGTCGATGGGATTCCCCAACACGCCTGAGCTCCGCACCATTGTGCGAGACTTTGGAGGTGAGGTTGAGGCCGTCGTCGAGCATTTGATCTCTTAGTAAGTCGGAGAGGAGCAGGGGGTTTCTTTCATGACGAACAAAATGCAAGCTCCTTTGGTTTGCTGTCAACAGCAGACTAAGAAAAAAAAAAAAAAAAAGAGTTCAAAAACAACACAAACAACATGAATCCCTTTCCAGTTTGAATGAATCACCAAAGTGAAAGCAATGAAATAAAAAAAAGGTTGTACATAGCCATGGTTTCCGTCATGTGATGGTTTGATGTTGTTTCGCATGCAAGAAAGGAAATCGACCTCTAGAAGCACCTGTTCCAATGTAAACTGGATCAAATCAAATCTAAGAAAAAAAGCAAGAAAGGAAAGACCAGGCTCGAGATGACAAAATGTCCTGGATCCTGAATAATAAGAATCTCGCACGAAGTAAGCTAGGATCTACTGTACATCCGGATAAAACGACAGTGGGGTTCAGGGTCATTACATTCGAGTTCATGGTCAGATTCTACTCTTTTTGGTTATTTTTCCTCTCGTCATCTTTGTTTTGTTGTTGTTGTTGTTGTTAGTTCTTATTCGTTACAGAAAGCTCATAGGTCAGACCCGTTTTGTTTCTCTTGAGTTATCCCAGGATCTGGTATCACTCGTAACCTCGTCGATCGACGACAATTGACTTTTGTGCTGTGGTAAAGTGAAGCATAGAGGAGAGAGAGAGCATGGCAATATGTAGATTTCGACTTTTGACGACAGTAATTGACATTTGTGTTATGACGCAGGGCTATTCCTTGCGCCAGCCTAAGGTTCATCTTTCTTTTTGACAGACAGGTAGGATTCCTCATACCTTTCTTTCTTTTTCTCTTTCTCTCTCCAGCCATTTTTTTCTTTTTCGCCTTCACTTTGACACATATCTCGCACGGGCCAACGAAGCACTATTAGCGAGGAGTAAACCTTGATCATCACGCATCCACACACATCGAGGCACCATTCTAACATAGATAGCACACGAGTCAACCCATTCCTGCTCCCTTCTCTTCTCTTCCTACTTTTTTTCTGCATCGCATCTTTGACCCATCTATCTTTATCCTCATACACCAATTTCAGCCCTACCTCCTTCCCTCCCTACCCTTTCATTTCAACTCCTTTTTATTTCTCCATTCTCCAACTCCCTTTCCACATCCATTCGTCCCTTCCCAAACCGCCCCCTCAAACGCCGTTTACATAATAACCCCGACCAACTATCCATGTCCCACTTTGAACAAGCTTCCACCGGCACAAACACAAACACCTTTCCATCAAACCCTCCTCCCCCTTCCTCTTCTTTACAACCACCAATGCACCCACACCAACATCAACAATACAGCAGTGATGGCGCGATGAGCTATGACGCCGATACCGCCGAAGGAGACTCGGAAGGGATGAAACTGTACCAGTATGACAACAACCAACAGCAGGGTCAAGGGCGGCATGGGTTGCATCACATTGACAGCGATCCAGACATTTATGGCAAGAATTCTGGCGCCATGGCAGCAGAGTTCACTCTTTCGTCCACTCCACCCTCGCAGCAACATAATAATGGGATCGACAACAAGAAGCGGATGTTGATGGCAGCAGCAGCAGCAGCGACTATGATTGATATGAATGAGTATCCAGAGGACCGGAATGATGATGGACACCAGCAACAGTACCCCACCAAAAACAGCAACAGGTCGTCCCCTACTCTTCCTTCGTCTGGTGTTAGAAGAGTGGTTGGGCACGGACAAAGTCATGGCGCACAAGGAGCAGCATATCATCTACAACAAGGCCAGTCTCTTCATCGTCCAGATCACGCCCAACAGCCACTGCAACATGAAGGACCTCAAAAGTCTCCTCCAGCTCAGCAACGGCGTCCTAAACAACAACACCAACAACAGCAGCAGCAGCAGCAGCAGCAACCACAACATCCTCCTAACCATTATGGGTATGACCTCCAGCAGCAACAGCAGCAAAGGAACCAGCGGTCACCGCCGCTTCTTCAGCATGAGCACCATTCCCTATATCAACAGCAGCCTCAACAGGAGCCTAATCGATCCGCCAACAGTAGTAGTAACAAAGGACAGCATCATCCTCGACCTCCGAAACTCATCCATGTTGCGCCACCTCAACAAAAGGAAGAACAACAGCAGCCGACGATGACATCTTCGCCATCTCCACCACCAAGGAAGGCGAGCCTCAAGAACGCGAAAGCACTTGCTGGAGCAGGAGTTGGAGCAGAAAATGAGTATGGAGGTGTCTCCGCACAGGAGCAAGCACTTTTGGACGACCAGGCGCATTACCGGGCGATGATGATGGCAAGTGCCGACAGTGCCGTTTCACTCACGGGTGAAGGCGACAAGGATACAGAGTATGGCGACAACAGCGGTAACGTTGGTAATAATGAGGTTTGGATGGCGTCGCCTAGTTCTCATTCGCTTGATTCTCGATCCAACAGTTTATCGAACACACAAGCTGCTGCGAACCAGTCTGGGGGATCGGATACTTGCGTTGTTGGAGCACCTCACCAAGGTGGTACAGGAGCAGCAACAGGAGTAGGAGGAGGAGGAGGAGAGTCGCCACTTGCGCAGCCCAACTTACCTCTTTACCCGCAAAAGGCAACAACAGCAGCAGCAGGACGAGAAGGAGTATCCAAGAGTCGGTCTGGTTCATTGTCATCAGCACATGCGCATGTTGTCAGAGGACCTGGATGGCAGATTCGGATGCCGGGTGGTGGAAATGGCGAAGGAAGTGTGACTGTCGACATGGGAACCTCGACGCTTCAACCGCCTGTACCTTCGTCACCAGGTAAGACGGGCTGGGAACGCGAGGATGCGACACCCACCACGCCTGTGCCTGCGTATCATTTTCCTGCACCCAAGAATGGTGGCACAGACAATGGGAAGGATTCGGGGACTGGTGCAGGAGCAGGAGTAGGAGGTCATCAGCACTCACATTCCCTGTTCGATTTCTTTCGTGGTCGTAAATCCTCGATCCACAAGAACAGTGCCCTCCATCAACAGGCCGCTGCCGCCGCTGCTGTCGCCTATACCGCTTCTCATGGATCTGGGTCTGGGTCTGGATCAGAGTCCCTTGCGGGGGCTGATGCTCATCCACCAGCGTTGCCGTTGATGGGTACTCCTCCGTCAATCGCCAGGAGCCGTCTCGGATCTGTGGCGGCGCTTGGACCTCCAGCGCCCCCGCCTCTCAGGAAGCAGTCGTTGGATGTTTCAGTACTGAGCGGGTACCATCATCATGCTCCGAGCGCTGCTGGAGGAGGTGGTGGTGGAGGGCCATTTAGGCTTGATCGTCATGCGGCGACGATGCCCACCTTGCCATCATCGACGTCTTCGCCTGTCTTTGGAGTGTCGAGAGTTGGGGCTTTGACACCCACACAAGCCATGGAAGCGATCACATTCTCGACTATCCCTTTGACACCCACCATCACCGCCAGCACGAATGTGGGTGCAACGACATCCTCCAACTCGACACAATCGACATTGTCAAAAGTGGCGGCTGCAGTCGTTGGAGTGACGGTCGGAAAGCGTCGTCCTTCGATTGTGGGTGAGGTGGATGCCAGTGCCGGTGGCAACGGGCTTGGGTTATTGAAGTACCGCGAGAAGCCGCCTCCTGTGCGTCTTGTCGTCAAGCAACAGCAGCAGCAGGTTCAGTACCAGCATCAGCACAGTGGAGCTGAAAGTGACGGGTTTGGTGGCGGTGGTGGTGGGACGGCGTTGGATGCGGAGCAGTTGCAGAATCATGCCCAGTTCATGCGAAGCGAGGTAAGAAATAGAGAATATGCATTTGTGGCTCGCTCCTTTATTTCCGTCCGCGTGTTAGTATTGACAACAAGATTTTATTTCCACTCTACATCTTAGAAATCGATGGCAGAGTTGATGGAGTATGTGGACAGGATGTACCACACGGTGATGAACAAGGACGTGGCGTTGGAGTACTCCAGGACGCAGATCTCGGTGCTGCGGAAGGAGTTGGACCAGAACCGTGTCCGTAGCGAGGATGATCGCAAGTCGTTGACAGGTACCCCAGCCCTCCACACTTTCGTTATCGCGTTTATTAGGAGAGACTATGGAGGATTTGTAGGACTAACGCCTGGGATCTTTTTTTTAATATGTGGTTATTAGCGGAGGTGGACATGGTGAAGGAGCAAGTGGTCATAATGGAAGAGAACTTTTTGTTGTGGAGGACGAAAGTCCATAACGACCAGATGGCTCATCAGGAAGAGTTTCTTCAAGAGAGCCTTGTCAAACAAGATCGCGTAAGTCATTCATTTTATTCGTACCATGATGATAGAAGGGATGACAAACATCACGTTTTAACAATTTATGCATTCGATTTTGGTATGTAGATGGAGGAGCTGGAAGATAAGCTGTACGCCTCACAGGAAGAAGTGACCCGTCTCCGGAATAGACTCCTAGTCCTCGAATACGAAGACGGGTACGTCGGTCCCACCGCCTTCCTCCCCTCCCCCACTACTACCACCTCTTTCACATCAGATTGCAACCACCACCTTAGCGACCCCTACAACCACTCCACAACAATCGCAATCGAGTATGGCCCAATAACAGTCAACTCTCACAAGCGTCGGTCGGGGGACTTCCGGATCATGGAGCAGCGTGCTCAGTCGTTTGAAGGGCAGGTACAGGAGTTGAAGAAGGCCATGGAGAAGTTGAAGCAGGATCAAGGGAAGGATTTGGCAGAGTTGAGGATGAAGTTTGGGGCAAAGTGTTCGAAACTTGAGCATGACGTTCATGCCGCCAAGGTAAACTATGATGATGATGGCGAGTTCTAGGTGTAGGGGTTGAATGCGTGCTGTGTTTTAAGTGGCGTCTGTGTTCTAACATAAGGGTGTGTATTATTTTTGTTATGGATTATAGATGGAGTCGACGATGTACAATGAGATGATGCACGAAGTGGTGACCGAGAATGACGATCTCCGAAAACAGCTCAAAGATGCACAGCGACAACTGCGCCGCCAAGGCCTCTCCACCTCCACCTCCACCGGCAGCAGCAGTGGCAGTAGTACCAACACCAACAACAACTACGGCAGTAATAGTAACAGTAGTAACGCTGTGAAGAGCAAAAGCAGCAGTAGACCACGACGAAACCCGGACCATTATGGATTCCCTGATGATGGGTGCTATAGTCTTGATGGTAGCGATGATGATGACATGGAAGATATTGTCATATAGGAACACTCTTCTTTGAAACATAGTCTTTCTTCTTTTTTTTTTCTTTCTTTATCCCCCCCAAAAACCGTTATGAAAAATGACCCCTGCCTTCCACCTTGTATGTTTTCATACATTACCTATTTAACGCCTCCATCCTCCTCATTCATCTCACTCTTCGTCCCTTCTGCCTTACATATCAATCCTCGCCATCCTCTCGCCTCCTCCTCTTCTTCTTCCTCTCAATTCTTCCTCCTGCCCAACGTTAACCGTATCAATAAAAAAGTTTCCTTCTCTGATGTCGTGCTCACATGTGCTCGTACCTTCTCCCTTCCTCTCTTTTGTTTCCGAGATCGGCGCACAAGACGCAAAGCAAAAAAAATAACAACAAAAAAACACATCAGCAACAACCTTAAACGCCAAGCGAAAATATTCTTTCCCAGGCCCCATTGAGGACGCGTTTTCAGCCAATCAGCGCTCGTTATTTCTACTATCAATGTGAGTGAAGGGATGGACAAGATTTTTTCTTTTTCGACACTTAAAGTACAGGTCTTCCTCGGTTTTTTTTTTCCTTCTTTTTCTCTTCTTGTTTCATTATCTTCGTCTTCCCTCCACCTTCTTTTCCTCACCCTTTCACACCTTTTTTTTTTTTACCTGCCTGCCGTTTCAAGAACAGGAAGGCCATCATGCCAGCGACTGATTCGATACCTTTGTCCTCGGAGGTCGCAAGGTCAGGAACCCCTCCTCCTCCTCCTCCCACTGTTGACGTTGATAACGACACCGACAACAACAACAACAACCAGGATGATGACCATGGACAAGAAGATGCAGACTATATCCAAACAACGACATCTACAGCAATACAGCAAGATGACCACCGATACCAGGAACAGGACCGAAGCAGACTCGATCCTGAAGCTGACGACGACAAAGTTGGCGAGGAGGACGACTACGAGGATGAAGGCGATATAGATTGGGGTGACGATGATGACTCTTTTGGAGAGGAACCAGACCCGGTGTACGTCGCAGATATGCTTCGCCAGAGTGGGATCGATTGGATGCAGTACCCCAATTATGCCACCCACCGACTTGTCGTCACTTCCAGCGCGGAAGAAACAGTAGCAGAGGGACAGGTTCCTGGTAGACAGTATTATCGAGTGATGGCCCAGTTCCTAATCCCTGGATCTGCTATCTTTCGGGATTTCTTGCTCGGCGAGGGTCCAAACACCGCAGCCAACGGCGACGAGGACGAGGAAGAGGAGGATGAGGAGGAGAAAGTGTTTCGGAAGGAGAGATTGGCTTGTCTTCAGGACGGACCCTTCACCGACTCGGACCCCTCCCTCGCCGACAACAATTACTTCCAGGACCCCACAAATGCTCCAGATATCGCACGCAGTTTACTCGAGCCCTTGGAATCCTACATCTACCAACGCTATGCACCCTATACTCCCACCACCTCATCCGACGCCGACATAGACCCATACGCCCACCAACCCTGGCTTCACCTCTCCCTCCTTCACCCAGAGCACTTCCCGGGGCTTCTACAAGTCATGTATACCATGGACCTGGACACCTGGGTAGAGACGTGTTTCCGTCCAGAGACGATAGTAGGGATTATTGAGACGGTGAGGGCGTTGGAGTGTTATTCAAGGTTGATGGTGAAGTGTTTGGAGTACTTCCGGAGGGTGGAGGATATTCGGGGAGTTGAGGAGTTTGAAGAAGAGCGTGAGGGAGGTTTGGAGGAGGTGAGGAGGTTGGTGAGGGCTGCTGTTGAGAGTGGTATGTTGCCACCCGATCCCGACCTTTGAAAAGTGGACGGACATCAAAATAAATGAAGCAATGCATAGTCGTTTCTGAACCTCTGGTAGGCAATGATGAATTGGTGTACAAAGAACGCGTATGGTCGCATTCATACTTTTTTTATCTCAACAAAAAAGAAAAAAAAAAGGCAAGCGATTCTTACTACGCTACCGCTATACATCATCAACACATCCCACCCATCCACCCTCCAACATCACCACCCTTCCTCCGCCCTGCCAAAGAAACCTCGAGACATTCACTGTGTAATTACACCCACAGCTTGATGTTAGAGTCCCAGGAGGCAGTCGCAAGCAACGAGGTCTCATGAGGATGCCAGGCAGAGTCAATGACAACCTCGTCATGGGCCTTGAACTTCTTGTGGACCTTGCACGACTTGTAATCCCAAATCCACATGTTACCCTCAGAGTCTCCCGAGGAGAGGTACCGTCCATCGGGCGAGAAGGATGGCTGACAGGCGTATCCGGCCACCATGTGTCCCCCAAACAGCTTCTTGCGGTTCTGGCTGACTCGATCCTTGGCGTTGTAAATGTAGATCTTGTTATCCATCGACTGACATGCCAGCCATTTTTCTATTTTGTGCAAATCGGAAAATCTACCTGTTAGTAAATCATCTCTCTTCATGATGCAAGTAATAATCACAGAACAGTAAAGCAAAAATACAAAGAGAGGACGTACGGTTGGGGCTGATGGCGACGGCAGGCATGGAGTGCATGTCGGGCTCAGCAATGTACTTGATGATGACAGGGATATCAAACTCCCAGACACGGAGTGACTTGTCATCAGAAGTAGTGACGAACCTCCGGTTATCATCCACAAACGTAATCGTGTTGACAGCTCCCAAATGCTGATCATACTCCTGGGTCACATCCCCAGACCTTGTATCGAACTGGTACACCTTGTGATCCGAACAACCAGCCAGAAACACGTTCTGCTTGTCTTCGTCCGGGTTGAACTTGACTACAAAGGGAATGGTCTTTTTGGAGAACGTTGCCTTGCACTGTCCTGTTTCTGTGTCCCAGAGCTTGATGTTGCGGTCGTAAGATGCACTTAGGAACTCTGTGCCGTTGTTGTTGAAGTTCACATCCCGAACTGCCTTTGAGTGACCCAAGTATGTACGCAGCACCTTACGATCGTGATACACATCCCAGATCTATTATTTTGTATGATCGTGAGTGAACGCGTTAATTCACACTTCAGCTTTTCGCGGGCATTGACAAGCATCGACTTCTGAATAATGGAACAAGATGTTACCTTGATTTTGGAGTCCATGCTTCCAGACAAGAGCAAATGCGCAGATTTTGGAAAGTAGCGGATGGCAGAGACACCCTTGCTGTGTCCAGTATAAGTGTGCAACAGCTTCTTTGGTACAAAGCAAGTCTGCGTTCCAGGCTCGCCGTTCAAGTTGACATCCAGATCCAGAGGGACATGCATGTAGGTCCGTCCCATATAATCGTGCTCCTCCTTGCCATGGAAAACGGTCGTCTCTGATCCGTTGGCAACAGCCTTGGCGGGGGTTGCCTTGTTCCTTGCCAGTTTCTCCTCAGCTGCTGCCTCACGTTGCTTGTCGTGCACATCCCGCTCCTCCTCTGTGGGCCCGCTAATTTCGCCGATGCCATCTCCCTCGAAGGTTGCCCATGGTCCTCTATAAGCGTTATCGCCCTCTAGTACCGAGGGGTCTCCTCGTGTCTGTCTCTTTTTCTGGTTCTGATTGTTGCGAAGATGCTTCGGCACCTTGTCCCATATCGTCGCACCTATTGTTATACAAAGTCATACGATCAGGTTGTTAAATGGCTGATCCATGAATACATCGAACCATATAGCCTCAGTGAAAATAGAGAAAGCCGAACCAATGGGACTAAGAGGTACGTACCATCCATCTCTTTGGCTCTATCGATATCTCCAACAAATCCTGAACCCTTCTTTCCCGATCCAGTCTGTCCGTTATCAGCAACGCTCAAGACACTGGGGTCCTTTGCGAATCCAAACGCAGCATAAGACTGTTGCTGTGTCCTGAAGTCGTTTTCCGAAAACATATTTTCCTCGACATGGCCCGTCCAGACGTTCTTGCGAACCTCCTGGGTCTTGGACGCAAAGGGGTTGACGGGTCCTTGAACTGGTTGGACCATCGAGTCGTAGTCGAGGTTGACGGAGAGTGTTGTGTCTGTGGGGTTGGTATAGATGTGGCGCGCGTACATTGGGTCCTGTTCGTTATAGAATGATGAAGTAGTATGTGTTAGCTACCGCGATACTTGGGCGACAGGAATAAAATCACACGCAAGCAGCTGTTGAGCGATTGAAAAAAAGAGAAAGAGGATAGGATACCTCGAGGCTGACATCAGGCGCGCCGTTGACTTGAAGGGAGGTGGATGTGATCTTTGCGACCTTTGCGGGTTTGCCAGAGGACGAGTCCTCGCTGTCTGATGAGCTTCCGTATCCCTGTGCAATCAAGTCCATACTGAGAGTAGCAATAAGTGGTGAAGAATGAGAGAGGAAATGACAAGGTGTGGAGTGAGAACAAACGCCTCCCTTCACTAAAGCGAGATCTCTTTTTTAACTCAAAGCCACACTATGGTCACGTGTAAGGGTGATCGAGAGAGACAGTGTTCACTTCAATCTGCGGCAAATTGGGACGCGGTGGACCGACATAGAGCAGAATGTAGTGAGAGGAGCAGCCGTTGGTTGGTCAAGAAGAAAAGAGACAGGGCACCCCCGCTTTTTACTTTCACTTCTACTTTACTTGGAAACATACCATCCTTCTTCTCGTTTCTTCTTCTTCTTCTTCTAACTCATTCGCCTTCCTCCTCCCTACTCTACCTCCTCTCTCCCATTCACACAACAAACACCGCAATGTCTATGCCAACAGATCTCGACACCTTCGAAATCAAGCTTCTCGAGCACGGCGTCTGCGTGATTGCATTCAACCGGCCCAAGAGGTACAACGCCCTCAACCCCCAGGTCTACGACCAGTGGGGCCGCGCCCTCGAGTGGGCTGCCACATCCGACGACGTTCGTGTTGTTGTTCTCACAGGCAATGGCAAATATTATACTTCGGGACAAGAGTTGACTATCCCTGACTCGAGCGAGCTTGAGGAGGGTGTTGAAGCAGCCATCAAGAAGCGATCCGGATACACCGTGTAAGTCCAAGTCCGCCCGTTTTCACATTCTGGGGGTAGAGGGGAATTTCAATTGGAAGTGACTTGTTCATTTCTATCTTTCATGTGAAGGAGGAGAAGAAGAAGCAATTGGGAGTCAAATCTAGAAATGGTGCCCGAACTTTTTGCAACCGTTGTCGTTCTACTTACTTCTATAGCAAAGGACTGCACCCGTGTTCATGTTTATGCTAATATTGCCTCTCCATTGTTCGATTGGGACGATAGGAAGGTTGTCCGTGAGTTGATCAACTTCCCCAAGCTCATCATTGCTGCCATTCAAGGTATGAAGATTAGAATTCTTTGGAGTCAGCCATGCGGATACACCTGGGAACTGGCATGCGGACTTGAACACACAGCACAATTGACATATCCGGAGCAAATGGACTTTTGAGGCGAACGAGGGAGAAGTAGTTGTTGACAGCCACTTCACTTCCCTTGGTCACAGAGGGAAAGGAAGAAAGGGGTCCTTCTCTGTGCCGAGCCAATTGATGGCTCTTGTGTGTGTACATGTCATGCAGAGGTGTGGGGATGCAACTTCCTTCTCTTTGTTGTTTGAACACAAATGCAGAAAAGTAGAACCAGGGTCAACAACCAACAGCAGAAGCGCCCAGCCGACAGCCAACAAACCTGATCGAAAAAAAATAATACATTTTCCGGATCATAGATCACATGGCGCCAAAGTATCCTTCTCCCACAAATCTGAAAATCCACCAGCCGATCGGCAGGGGACATCAACATACACACACTACAGACTATTTTCTTCACACGCATCCATACTACAACAACAAACATACAAACACCAACAACAACAACTCTCACACACACATTGGCCATCCGTACCGATAATTGATCTACCATTCCTTCGACCCCTTTGTCAGTTACAGTTCAGAGAACTAACTTGTTACCTTACTTTGTCTACTCGCTAGGCCCTGTCATTGGCTTCGGAGTCACTTCCTCCGCTATCTGCGATGTCATCTACACCGTCCCCGATGCGACCTTCAACACTCCCTTCATGCAGCTCGGTGCGCCTCAATTGACCCGTTTACAGTCCTCATTAGCATTGTCGATCACAAGGAAGCACTCAATTTACTCACACTCGTTCTCTTCATTGGACATTGAGCATAGGTTTCTGCGCTGAGGCTTGCTCCTCAATCCTCTTCCCTCGGTAAGTCCTTGTACCCCTTTTTTCGATTTCAACGACCATATCATTCACGATGCATCAAATAACACCAACCGTGGATCTTGATCATCATTCGTACTTTAGCATCATGGGATACTCTCGTGCCAACGAGATGTTGGTAAGTGACATGTCAACGGACACACTCTCAGTCATAGAACATGGTAGCGCGGCTCAAGTTAATGCAATTGAACCTGAAAACTAACATCTCATACTCCTTCATTTTTGTACAATGTAGCTGATGGGCCGCAAGTTTACGGCAGAGGAGATGAAAGAGGCTGGCATGGTTGCAAGAATCTTCCCTAAGGAGACGTTCATGGAGGAGGTCCTCAAGGCTGCCACCATTGCTGCCAAATACCCACCCCAGGCCATGAAGGATACCAAGCGTTTGATCCGTGAGCACGATTTGAAGTTCTTGGAGGATGTCAACACCAAGGAGATGATCCTCTTGGGTGAGAGAATGGCCTCTGAAGAGTCTGCAAACGCCATCGTCGAGTTCATGAGTAAGTTCCTCACTTTCGTTGTTGTCTTTCAAAGAGAGCCAATGTCAATTGAATACTGTAGGTCAAACTAACGTTACTGTTTGCGATGTGATGAATAGTGGCCAAGCACGATCGCAAGGCCAAGCTGTAAAAAAGATATGCATGTATTGACTGGGTGCCGTCGAATACCGAAAAATAAAAACTAGAATCAAAGAAAGGACCCTACTTTGTGCGCCATTTCACATTTTTTGATCTTCCGAGATCTTCGGACTCCGAAGAGCGAAGAGAGGCACCGCATCACGTGAAATGAGGTATAAAAGTGACATTTTCGCGCGCCAGCTTGAATTCCTCATCCTTCTCTTCCCACCACCCTACATGCCGTCCATCCATCCTTCCTACCGCTGATCAGGTCGATCCATCCATCCTCATCCGATGCTTGCGTCCCATCCATCCGTCTCAAAGAACATCCCGTATCTGATAACTACCTCCATCGATGGCCATTCCTTTCGCGTTTACGCATTGGTCGTTCGATCGATGATCCCATCCGTCTGTCTCTGATCCGCCACTCCAAGATACGCGATCTACAACACACAAGGTATGCACCCAAGACCCATTTTCTACTCGCTTCACCTCCTACCCTCCTCCGCTTTTGCAGCATCAATAAGATGACATCAATATGCTACTTTAACCCAGCTCGTTTAAGGACAAAATACGTACCTCATGAGATGAAGTTAAATCTGACAAATGCTCAAAGCACCTTTCCCTTCAGTTCAATCTGATCCCCCGCCTTGCCTTCAAGAAAAGAAGCATAGAAAACTAATATTTCGTTTATTTTTTTGTGCCTTCAGATCACTAGTGCGAGCATTCTTCGACATCCAGACCAAGATGTCAATTGGACAAGTGCGACGACGACAAGTGGATCAATACGTGGCAATGCAAGCTTTGCTGAGGACCTCCTTGTGCATCGACAAATGTGGGTGGTTATGATTATTGCTTTGGCTTGGACAAGGTAAGTGCTTCGTTGCCCATGGATATGCATAATGTTTTCCTCGAAGTAGTAAATGACAAGATTCTCAAATAAAAAACAACTCCCGAAAAACTTTTCTCTGCTTTGGAATGATGACTGAAAAAAAGAGGAAGTAAACAACTGGGTCGATCGAAGAAGGAAAGGACGACTGTTTGGCGAAGAGACCTTTCTGAAAAAAGACAATTGGCTTTTTACGGAGGGTGGGACAAGAAATGAAGATATGACGTTGATGAACAAATGAATGCTGCGTTGGCCAGGCCTCCTTCCCTTCAATAGGGACAATTGCTTGAAGCCTTGAAGGGGAACGAGGCGATCATCTTTAACGAGGAAGAGCGAGAGTGAGTGTGCAGAGGCTAGCGAGAGAATGAAACCAATAAAGAGGAAAAGAGGAAGGTGGTCATCCCAAAATCCGGCCTCTATTCTTGTCCCTTGGCCCTTTTGCTTACTTGATTTTCTCGGCTCCTTTGCCAACAGAACAGCAGTCAAGTCTAGCCCCTTTCGACTTTCTTTTCTTTCCCTTCGTTATGTTTCTGTCACTGCCCTTTCAATCTCGCCCTTCTTTTCTTCCTTTCCTCCCCTTCACATAATCCGCTACTTGATCCTTCTTGCCTTCTTGCCTTCTTCCCTTCCCTTCCCTCCCTCTTGCACACGGACACACCATTACCATCACTACCATGCTTGGAAGGAACGCTGCCCGCCCCTTCGGCATGTCCCCTTCGCGCATTGTCGCTGTCTACAGCACCGCCGCCTCCCATCGGATAGCTCACTGGATCGCACGCCCCTTTGCTAGTGTTCATATGCACCGCTACATCACCGCCGCTCCTCAACTCCTCCTCACAAACACAACAACCTCCTCCTCGCTCGACTCTGTCCTCCCCGCTGTTGCTGTCGCTCCCGGAACCACTTCTGTCGCTGGAATCCATACCTCCTCAGTCTCATTACAGCAACACCAGCTCCATAATCAGGTGCTGCAGCAGGACCAACAAGCTCCCTTGTCTGACAAACAAGCTTCGACAGGTGCTCCTACTGGCGCTAGTACCTCTTTTATTGCCACTGGTGCTACAGCAACTTCGACTGCAGTCGCTAGTTCGCCTTCGACAGTGCAGACGCCGGGATCACAAATTGCATTCAACTATCTATTAGCGGCCTCGTGGCATCCGAAATCCCGACACAGGAAAGCGTCTTCTGCCCTATCGGCTTTATCATCCAGCGCCTCGAGCTCCGAAGACGAGAACGACGAATCCGGGGCAAAGTGGTGGAAACAGAAAATGAGAGCAGGAAAGGTTGATGCTGGAGAGGATGCCTTCTTCCATGTCTCTACCCCAAGCCGAGTTGCTCTGGGTGTTGCCGACGGTGTCGGAGGATGGTCAGAGGTGAGTTTTGTTATTGTTTTTTTTTTTTTTTTTTTTTTTTTTGCTATGTATATGCTGTTGCTGGGAGGTTTTTTTTGTTCACTTCCTTGTTTGACTGTATGCTTTGTGTGTGTGTTTATTATTTTCACGGAAAATTGGAATGTGATCCCTTATTTTCTATCTCCACTTGTGATTTTTTTTGTGGCAAAAGGAGAGAGAGAAAGAGAACAAAGAGAGAAGGAGGTCTTGACAAACATCTAGAAGCATGGACGAGACAAAAGGGATCGATTGAGGATAGAGGCGCTTAATGGGAAGCCTATTTTGTTATCTGATTTGCTCTTCTGAATGGGAAAGCGAGAGAGAGAGAAAAACACCCACTTGTCAAACATCCTGGAGTCGAGGCGAGAAGGAGATTGCTTGCACTATGTGATGATTGTTCATGCCTTTGTTTTTCTTGTCGACTTGTTCATCTATGACTTCACCAATACACGCCTGTATTTGAGGATGCGCATGTGTGAAGGCTAAATGGTTACACCTTCCAACCCACCCGGGTCGTTATTCTCTCACCTTGCGCAAAGCGGCAAATTTGTTTTCGCCATCTATTCTATTATCCACGTTATTAACCTTCTGGTCTTCCTCTTTGTTATCGATAGGTTGGAGTGGATCCAGCTCTGTTCTCTTGGGCACTCATGGACAATGCGGAGGCTGTGGCTCGTTTGACAGACGTGGATCAGTCAGGAGTAGATGCAAAGGTTAGCCAGGCAGACCACGGCCCCAGCAAGATTCCTCTGGATGCTCAGACAATCCTCGATGGCGCCTACAGTGAGCTGGTTCAGAGCGGCAAGGTTGAAGCAGGTACAAAAATAACTGTTCACTGCGCTCAGATGACCTTGGGCGTGGGAAGAAAAAATAGCGCATCAAAGTGTTACCACAAACATTTACATCCATGCGCACATGAGCGCGTGCAGACTATTGGACTTTGGACACTGACATGTCCTTCTCTGTCTCCTCTTCCATTATAGGATCAAGCACTGCATGTATTCTCTCGCTCTGCAAGGTCACAGGAACTCTTCGTGCATCCAACTTGGGTGACAGTGCCTACCTGCTCATCCGTGACAACAAGTGCATCTACGAATCGCCTTCTCAACAGCACTTTTGGAATTGCCCCTATCAGCTTACAGTCTTGCCACCAGGATACCCAGGTGCGAAGCAGCACGTCATGGATATGCCCAAGGATGCTGCCCAGACGACGCACCAGTTGCAGGATGGAGATGTGATTGTGTTGGCGACTGATGGATTCTGGGACAATGTCTTTTCCAGGGAGGCGATTGAGTTGGTCCACAGGGAATTAGGCGATGTGATCCAGCAGACCAAGGGTGGACTGGGACAGGGCGCCTCGGTCGAGGATGTTGTTGGAAGAGTGCGGGCGCTCTCTCAGCGATTGACCAACACTGCCCGCCGTTTCTCGCTTGATCAGAAGCGTAGGACACCCTTCAGTCAAGGCGCCAGACATATCCGTTCCGGAGGGTACGTGTCCTTGTGTTTATGTGCACATTCGATCGCATGTCTGTATCAATTGAACAACAAGGATCTGTTTTTCTAACGTACTTTTATTTGCCTTCTGTTAATAGCAAAGTGGACGATATCACTGTTATTGTCACTCTTGTTCGTGCTCTGACCAACAACGAGCATGCATAGTCGATCGTCTATGTGGAGTCGATTGCTTGTTACTCTACTCGCTAGACATTCCGGCCCTCTACCTATTGTTATTTTTCATTTTTTTTTTCAGACGTGCCCGCTGTATGCTTATGTTTTCGTATATCCAAGAACACCTACCCCTCTCCACTCTCGTTTTCTATAGACGCTATCTCTTTTCCTCCTCACTCTGTAAAATACATTTTCGAAAAGAACGCCTCATGAGTGGCAGTAGTTGGGCGTGGGCGAAGCAGACTGTGATGGATGTGGAGATGGGTGTGTGGCCTCTCCCTCTCTCTTTGAGCTGCTTCAACAAGTGCTTGCAACAGCAGACAACATCAACTGTGCGCATTCGTAAGGACACGCGTGACGTGCGTTTTGGACGTGCCTGCCTGTGTCTCCCCGTGTACTCTTTGTCGCCTCCTCGTTTCCCACCTCCTTTCATCAACAACCTCTCACGCTCCGGACGAAACAAACAACCATGGCCGAACAAAAGGACGACGTACCCTTCTACCAAAAGCCCGAGTGGGCCGATGTTGTACCCATCCCTCAGGATGACGGACCCAACCCCCTCGTCCCCATCGCCTACACCCAAGAATGTAAGACCTTACCTTCGTTGAGTCTGCAAGTGTTGTCAAAGGAAGACCAAGTTACTTGCATGTCGTTGTTACTCACGGCTGTGGAATCTCTTTAAAACTTTTGAATAGATTCGACAACGATGGGATACTTTAGAGCGATGTGCCGAGCACAGGAGAAGAGCGAGCGTGCATTGGATCTCACAAAGATTGTAATCGAGTTGATTCCCTCCCACTTCACTGTCTGGTATGGCACAACAGCAACACGACATAACACAACATGCGCGACTGTCAGGCATACCAGCGTCAGGTCACAAACAACCAAGGACAATAACTAACACGTTATTTTATATATATGATCTTCATCCTTTGCAAAATGGACGAAATAGGTTCTACCGCCAGCAGCTGTTGAAGGAGCTGAACAAGGATCTGAAGATCGAGCTGGAGTGGATCGAATGGATGGTCGAAGAGCACCCAAAGTCCTACCAGATTTGGCACCACCGCCAAGTTATCGTCGGACGTATCGCCCAATCCCTTTTCCCCTCCATCACCACCACCCCTTCCAGCACACCCTCAACAGCACAATCAGCAGAAGCAGCATTCGTATTCAACGACCTGTCCGAGTTACAAAAGACCACCGTCCAGGACCTGGTCAAGTCCGAGCTGGAATTCATTGCGGAGGCGTTGAAGGAAGACACCAAGAACTATCATGCCTGGTCGTACCGTCAATGGGTGCTGGCTCATTTTGGACTAGGCCCTTGGTGGACTGGAGAGTTGGCCTATACGGAGGAGTTGCTGAAGGAGGATGTGAGGAATAACTCTGCGTGGAATCAGAGGTATTTTGCGGTTACTAATGGGTCTGGTGGACTTACTGAGGAGGATGTTCAGCGGGAAGTCCAGTAAGTATTATTTTGAGTTTTTAGTTTTTGGTGGCTATTGTGTTCGTGCTCAGTTTGTGGTATTTAAATGCTTGTCTCTAACAAGTTTTTTTCTTTCTGTTTTTACGTGATGTTGTGTTGTAGGTTTGCAAAGTCCAGCATTGAGAAGACTCCCAGCAACGAAAGCCCATGGGTCTACCTCACTGGGTAAGAATCGCCATCATCGCCCTTTTGCGGTCTACACGCGGGCCCAATTGTCACTAGCACTTACAGGAATTGGCAAAAATACCTAACACTCCCTTTCTTTTTTCGTGACATGACAAAACAGGATACTGAGAAAGGGAAACCACTCTGTGACGGAGATCAAGGAGTTTTGCGAGGGCCTGCTGTCAGTCCCCCGTGCCAACTTTTCACCATTCGTCCATGCGACATTGCTGGATATCTATGAGGTTGAGGCCAAGGAACAGCGGTCAGCAGCCAGTGTTGAGAAGGCCAAGGAGGAGGCTACTATGCTCGCCGAAAAGGTCGACAGCATCCGGAGCAAGTACTGGAACTGGAGGAAGACACAGCTCCAGAAGATTGATGTTGCGGCATAAATGTGTTCTTGAACTGAGCGCGTTTGGGTGTTTGCCTGAATCTGAGGGAAGAGCGGTCTCTTGAAACCGGGAGAATGAATGTGTCTTTATTTTTCGTGTAAGGAATAAATGCAATATAAAAGACTTGACACCTAGTACGCGACAACGAATGGCTTGACTGAAAGTAGCATGGAGAACGGACAAGGTTCAAAAAATGGAACGTGTTCAAACGTGAAGGAAAGGCGAGGAGTGAGGCATTCTTCGCGTTGCATCGATAGTCTGGATCTCTTGGAATCTCTCCCTCCCTTCTTCAACAGTCGTACTGCTGTTTTTCTTTCTGTACTCACAAAGCTTTCAGGAGAGAGATTGCAACAGAAGCCGCTCTCCTCTCCCTCCTCTCTCTCATTTCCCCTCTCCCTTTCTCCCCTCCCTCACTCCCGTCTGTAGATGCTTGCTATTTATCGGTATCCCTCGAAACCGCCAGACAATCCTTAGAACTCATCAGGGTCGTCTCAATTCCTTAGTACCGGATCAAGACCCTGTTCTTCTTAGGCATTGAGGTCCCTCCGTATTTTTGCAGACGACTTCCTCGGGTACATAAAGAGGCGTTATCCCTATCTTACTTCTTCTTTCCCTCTTGTTTTCGTCACCACACAACACATCCGCTTCAACAATTCATATACCTTTGTCACTTCATTATTTCTCCAAGAGCAAGAACCCATCAGAGAGTAAGTGAGCGTGCCTATTCCCCCCCCCCTCCCCAAGCATTTCAATTACCCAGCATATATCTATAGAAATGCACTTTGTCAAGGCCGCGATCCTTCAGTTCCTGGCGGTCGTAGCAAGCGCACAAGAACAAACCTTGACCCCCTGCAGAATGCGCTGACAGAGGCTCTGGTTATGTCCCTCTTGGTGGTTATTGCGTCGTAACCGCTGGCAAGGTCGTTTCCTCAGCCTTCTGGTCCTCCTGCTGCTCGCCCTTCTTCGTGAGCCAGGTAAGATGAAGAATGCTGTTAAAGGCTGTACAGGACGGACTGGTACAACCGCAGACATACTTACACGTAGGCATTCTCGAACAGTTTTGCTCTTTCTCTCTCCATCCTACTGTCCTTCTCATCGGGCGCCAATTTTCATGTAACCACTTCCCCCCCAGCCAACATGAAAATAAATACCATTTGCTTGCGTATTTTCTTCAGCCCAGTCTTTTTGTACACATAAAAAGTATCTGTTTTATTGGACATCGCATCTGTCGTCATCGCCCGTCTTCTTCTTGGCCACATTGTTTGTTTCTCATGTTCTTCATCGATAGATTGAGGGGAGGTGGCAGGGGCAAGAGGCGCCACGAAAGGAGGTGCGAAAGAAAAGAAAAAGAAAGACACAGAAAGTCATAAAGAAAAAGAAAAAAACGAACCTATTGTGAAAAAAGTACGCGCGTAGAACCCGAACACCTCTCAAAATGAAAACTATCAACAAAATGGACATAACACGTTCAGATCTGAAAGGAATAGAACCAGGCTGGGCCTGTTCAGAATATCGTATTGCACAGAACCGTTTTCTGTAGGGATCCAAAAGAAAGGAAAAAAAGGGTGTATCGAGGGGGGGACATGTGTTGCAATGCATCGATAGAAAGAACTATGATAATTTATGCTCTGCCCCAACTCTTTGTTTATTTATGCTCTCCCAACCCATGTATACCTCCGATACTGATAAATTAGTTCGAAGGACAAGGATGACAAAAAGCAGAAAAACAATATTTGCCCCTGAATTCTGTTCTGCCACTAGTTTATCAATGGTCCATTTGTTCACCCAATAGAATTATATCGCCGAGGATGTCATCCAGCATTGGGCCTCTAGGAAAAAGGGAGGGAGTGAGCGTCTGAAAGAAGTAACCACCGCCGCATTTCAGTTCACTCGCCACCACCACCACAAGGGCCAGACCTTGTCAAATAGTGCGGGAAGAAAGAACAGGACTAGAGGGAAAGAGGAAAAAAGAGAGTTTACGTCCTTTTCGGCTTACATACTCCCTCCTTTCGGTTTCGACATTCCGCGGTGGCCTTTTCAAATATCATCGTAAGCGAAAATAAAAAAGACCTTCCCTCTTCCTTCTATGTTTTCTCGATCGATCAGGCGAATGGTTGGAACTTATTACTGCGCTGGGCAAAAAAAAAAAAAAAAGCTCATTGATACAAGAAATAGTAGACATATGTGCAGCATGCGGCTGTCCCACTTTTTTGTTTCTGTGAACACAAGATGGGGGGTGCAGCTTACGCCAGAAATCAAGTATCATATCAAGTGGGGAAGGTGGCGCCCTGGTCATGGAAAAAAAAAATCAGGTACGAGCCAGAGACTCACCGATAGGTTAGTGATCCTCCGCCAACTGAAACAAAAAAGGTTCATCAATCATCACCGTTCGTGAAGTAAATCCACAGCCGCCTCTTTTCCCTCTCCTATTCCTCTCTGCCTCTGGAAGAGAAAAAAAAATGAGAGAAAGGACAAAGGACAAAGACGCCATGCCATGCAGGAAGGTGGACATTATCGAACAACTAAAAAAAATAATAAGATGCAGCGCCCAAAGAAAATTTTTCTTCGGGTGAACTGCTGTGTCACAAAAACATTGCTCACAAGGACCTCTTGTCATAAGGTCACAAAAAAGGACGCAGAGTTTATATTTTTTTTCACAGCCCTTTCCATCAAAACGCACAGACTACCCCTGTTCGTGACGGAATCCGATGTTGTAAACAGTCAGTTCAGGAGAGGTGGCAGTGGAGAGACGAAGGAAGAGGGTGGGCAGCGAAAGGAAAAGAAAGAAAAGGGTGAGCAATATTGCGGATGATATCAGCATTCTTGCCCAAGTATGCACCCCGAAAACACCACAATGAAACTTTTGGACATGGTCTCCGCGGGGGTTTCCTGCCACTCCAAGAAAAAAAAATACTTTTGTGGAATTGGCGGTAAACAATTTTTTATTACTTTGCTTCGACAGCACTCTTGCTCTCTTCAATCCATGATCGAGACAAATTCAATCAAAGAAAAAAAAGGTAGGGGGTGAATCCCCTCCCGCCGAGGTACAAAAAAAGGAGCTTAGTGAGGATAGAAACAACAACGGCCAAAGATGCAAGGGAATGTATTGAAGTATAAATATGTGCTTAGGTTTGTACTAACGTCACATCAAAGGGAGAGGGAAAAGCTCAAAAGAATTCTATTTGGTATTTGGTTACCCGAAAAGTATGCAACAACGGAGGATTAATTTTTTGGCTTGGGAGGAAGAGAGAGAAGGGAAGAAAAGGTTTAGTCGAGGAGCTCAGCCTTGTGAGGTACGGGTGTCGGCGCAACAATAATGGGGTCCGGGAGGACATATGGCTCCTGCTCCTCGTCGTCGACAACACTGGCGCCGCTGTAAGGGTTGATGACGGTGGTCCGGACAGGTAGGTGTTGATGACGAGGTTGGTCCTGGTAGGCGGTAGGGTATGAGAAAGCGGGGACGTTGCTGTAAGGTCGGGCGACGAAGGGACTCTCTTGCTCCAGCTTTCTCAGCTCCTCATCGTCTCCCTCTGACTGTTGCTCGAAGGGGTGCTGTTCAAGGATGGCGGGGAGTGAGAGTACCTCCATTCCCTGTGAAACCCCACGCCGTGATTGCTGCTGTTGTTGTTGTTGCTGTTGTTGTTGGATCTGTTGTTGCTGGAGCTGTAGTTGCTGGGGAACTGTGAGTGGAGCTGAAGTTGGCTGAGACTGACCGGGGAAGTGGGCGTTTGGTCTAGTTGAGGATTGATGGGGTGCGTAGACGAGGGGTGCGGTAGAGGAAGAATTGAGAGTGATGATAGACCCTCTCGACGACTCGGCCATCTGTAACGACACTCGGTTCTGTTGATGCTGGTAATCCGACAACACGGGCTTGTTCTCCTCCCTTTCTTCTGCTCCCAGGTCACTGCTTCCTCCACTTCCTCCTCCTTGCCCTTGTCCTCCAGCCAAGTGGTGCTTCTGACTGATCCGACCACGACCACGACGTTGACGTTTCCGGCGGACGATGAAAAATGCTGCGATGAGAACGAGAATCAAGACTCCAGCGACCGCACCACCGATGACCGCTGCATTCGATGTTCCGCTCGAACTGTTTCCGCTGTCAGTTCCAGCGCCACCGTCACCATTGCCGCCATTGCCATCTCCAGGTGTGAGTGGTGATTGAGGAGCCAACCCTGGTCCTGACCATATCAGGGTCGTCCTATCGAAGCTGTTGAAGACGGGGTTACCTTTCTGAAGAGAATAGATAACGATTTGGGACGCCGTTGCTGAGCCGACCATAGAGTTTGTGAACAATGGAACGCTACTGGAAGGTGCAGCTCTGATGAGTGTCAAGGCTGTAGGCGTTCCCGGGGTGATTGTATAGATGGTGACTGAGCCATCATTCTTGGCCTAAGAAACAGAAGGATGGTAACAAGCCAGGCGTTTAGTTGTTGTTCTTTTCCGGTTTACATTCAGACAAGTGTACTGATTCAGACGCCGAGGAGCTGCATGCTTGGTTTTTGGACGAGTTGCCTGTTTGTTTATTTGTTTTCAGGGGGATGGGATGTTTGGAAAGGCGCTGCAAATGGGTCTCGATCCTCTCCATTTCAGTCCAGCTTGCACCACCCAAACCATGCAAAAGCACGCAAGAAATTCAATCTCAAAGAAAATAGAAAACGCACATGTACATGAACCAATCAAACGATACACTACCTTGTCAAGGATAAAAGCAGTGGTGTCCATATGAACAGGGATAGCATCTTTGCTGAGTGTGATATTTCCCATCTGGATGCTTTGTGGATCAGCGACCAGTATGGTATTGTCATTCAAGCCCGTAGTTGTAAATATCTGACCTGAGGTTCCATCGGCGCCAAAGGCGATGATATTGCCATTCACTGGAGGGACGGGTTCGGTGTTGAAAGTGCCCACTACCAGGGATACCCCTTTCAAATAGTCGTACAACGGCGACCTAGTTCAAGGGAGGAATGAAGAAAAGTTGCTAATGGAATAAGAATGTTGAGAAGAATGAAAGACACGAGTCGTTTTTATGCCCATTGATGCATGCTTTTTAGTAGGCGAAAAGAAAGTGAATGTTACCCTGACATCTTCCAGGCAATATCAGCAGTGGTGGAATTGACAGCCAGTCCAATCCATGACCCTCCAAGCACAGTCGTCTCTCCCGACCCATACAAAGTACTTCCAGTCCGACCCACAATCGCAAACTGCTTTGGCGACGGAAACGAAACAGCCCTCTCGCCATGTGTGGAATTCTGAAACGTAACACTGTTCCCACTTGTCAAAGCATTCACATCAAAAGTCTTCTGCGGCGAGAATTGCTGAATATGGGTCCTTAGCGGTACTGCTACACCCGCGCTGTCGACCACTGCATAGTTGAAGCACAGTTTTGCAGCAGTGGCTGACCAAAGATCGTCCGTATTGAATGTGATGGGTCGGCTAGCGGGGTTGTTGATATCTGTTAAGTCGACAGAGTAGAGGTCCAGTCGTCCATCTTGAACGGACCCGATTAGGTAGAAAGTTTTTGCTGCTGTGGATTGGACTAGGCAGGGGAAATTGTATGTTGGTACCGGCATGTTGTGTATGAGCGGCTGTACTGGTGTGAATGGGGGCGGAAGGGGAGAACCGAGATGAAAGTAGGGAACGTGGCGATAAGAAGGGAGATGAGGGAAGAGAAAGAAGTGAAAGAAGTGAAAGAAGTGAAGGAAGTGAAAGAAGTGAAGGAAGTGAAAGAAGTGAAGGAAGTGAAGGAAGTGAAGGAAGTGAAAGAAGTGAAGGAAGTGAAGGAAGTGAAGGAAGTGAAGGAAGTGAAGGAAGTGAAGGAAGTGAAAGAAGTGAAGGAAGTGAAAGGGAAGTGAAAGGGAAGTGAAAGAAGTGAAAGGGAAGTGAAAGGGAAGTGAAAGAAGTGAAAGAAGTGAAGGAAGAAAATGTAATGAAGGAAAGGAAAGAGGAAGGAAAAGAGGAAGGAAAAGAGGAAGGAAAAGAGGAAGGAAAAGATGTAGGAGAGGAAGGAAGTGAACGGAAGGACGTGAAAAGGAAGAGGATTGTCGGTTTGGAGAGAGAAGAGAAAGATGGGCTGGAGGTTCGGGATAAGGTGGGTGCGTTTGTGCGCACTAGACGACGAAATGTTTGCGTGTGAGAGGATAAAAGAAAAAGGAAGAGATAATGGAAAAGGGAGTGTTGGAGAGAGAATGTAGAATAGGATAAACAAGAGCACAGAAGAAGAAAAAAACAGGTAACATTCTTGCATACAACTTGAGTGTGGCACAATAGATGGAAGTCCGACCGTTTGATTGAATGCCAGCATCCTTAGTTTTTCTCTGCGAATGTGGTCCGATCCATTGCATTCATTGCCCAGGCACGAATTCGTAGAGGTCCTTGAAGCAAACTCTTGAGAAGCTAACCATGAGCACTATTCGATGACTTCTGTTTTTTCTCATGCGAATATTTTTTGTCGCACAATCGTTTATATCTCTGACAGAAAGCCAAGGGAGAAGGCAGTTGACAACGAAAGAGGACAACTTTTCCGAGCAACATCGTCTATTCACATTCCCTTGCTCTGGGCAGCAAAGGCTGCTGCTTCTTATATCAAATGCAAAGCGCACACATTCGCATAGTTATGCCTTCATGATGCATTGGTTGCAACTCTTAGGATCTCAGGTAGCAGAAGAATATTGATATGTAAGTGCAGACCGACGCAGACCGAGCAACGATTATCGTAAGGTGGCTCCCTTATACTATTGTTTATCAAACTATTTATTCGTGAAATACATCTACCGAACATCCCTGGAGGAAACGAAACGGACATGTGTTCTGCGGCTGTTGAAGAAAAGGGTGTGAGTGCTAAAAGTACGCATATTTTTTTTTATGGAGAGAGCGTTGAGAGGGAAGTAGGGAAGGAGAGATCGAGGAAAGGGAAAGTCGACAGACGTTCCAAGAAAAAACCGAGTCCAGCTCAGGTCGTCTTATTCTTTTTACTGGATGCAGAGCCAGTACTGATACTCCTTTCCAGCGACTTCCTTCCCATCGTGACTGGGCAATGATGTCCCAAAACTGAACCCGTTGAAATTGTATCGTGACCCCTGGTAGGTTAAAGTCAAGCCCTCGTTATTGGTGTATGCGCCATGGTTGACCGAAAACCTGTTGTCACCCGATGAAATGTTCTTGTTGTTTTTTATGGATCGGAAAGAAATACGTCCGATGTACTTGTTGCGGATCACCAGCGTGAAGGATTCTTGAGGCTTGCCCGAGTTTACGTTGCGGATTGACCACGTCAAAGTGCTAGGCTGGCATGTTGATTTCGGCATTTTGATATCACTGAAGAAAAAATGTCAGGTGCAGGAAAATGCGTCAGAGGTGAATGTCAAGACAAGAAACGCGAAGTGGAGTAGACAACACTGAATGCAGGACGAACAGCAAAAAGAATGATGCACTCACCCTCTCTTTTCCATGTTGGTGGGGAGAGCGAACACGACTGCCAGAGTCATAAGGAGGTAAAAAATCAAAAACTTCATTGTTGGAGTGGAGGGAAAGAAAGGTGCTGGTTGTGATACGTGAGGATAGGATGTGTGATGGTGCTGTGTGAATAGAACGAGTATTAATGAGAAGTAGTAAGTGTGTATCAGAAAGAGTGAGAGGGAGATAATAGCAGAGTAGTGCAGTAGTGCTAGTGTGGGGGAGTAAGGTGGTGCAAGTGAAGGACAAGGAGAAAAGAAAAGCAGGGGATGGCCTCTTGTATTTATACAATTTGTTCCTTCGATGATCTTAACCCTGCTTTGCTATGACAAAGGCACCGTTCCTCTAGAAAAATGAAATTGAAACAGAAAATTGGGTGAGACAGGATCCTTGAACGTGTAAACAACTCGAAATTATTTGTTTACATTTCTGCTTGATCCTCCTACGACCATACCGCGCACGAACCACGCCTTTTTGCTCATGAATTTTTTTTGTTTCATTCTCTCATATGACCAAGGAAAATGGGGTTCGAAATATCCGAGTGGGACTCTTGATCCATAAAAAAAAAAAAGGCATATTCCACTTTATCTCCAGAAATGCGTCAGAGGGTGAGACAGTAAACAGCGACTTTTTGGCGGCACTGAGTGAGGGGTTTGCCTTTGTCATCAAGCTGATCGTTGTTTGTTTTTTTCTGCCATCGAGGGGAGGTACCAAAGTGTTTGATGTTTATTATGTTTACCGCTCACTTGGCTTTTTGCACCCAGGTCTGGCAAAAAGCGAGCGAGAAGTGTTGTAGGAGGAGCGCCTAGATGGGGTAAATGCTGTTATGGTTTAATTGTCTCTGTCTGGAATTCTAATCGATGAAGATGAAAGCAAGAAAAAGAAAACAGTGGCGAAATGGGGGAGAAACATAATCCGCCTCGTTACTATGATGCCGTGCAGGGTACTCCTGACTGCCATGCGTCGACAAAGGAATTTTGTTTTAGACTCATTCATACACAACGGCGAAAAAGGGAGGGAAGGTTAACGGTGCATGAAGTCGACCAATGTATGGTACAATCATTCTCTTACAGCGGAATGACAAAGAATGCAAGGCGATCAAGCATGCCTCTGGTGCCTGTTGCTTTTGTTTTTGGGGTGGTGTCTCGGCAGAATAGGTGTCAAGCAGACATTATTGGATCGATGGAAGAATAGACGTTCTTAGAGTCTCACCGGCATCTGCTTAACTTGGCGCTTTGCCCACTCATATTGAAAATCACCCACTACGATACTTCCGTCAACAAGGCAAACTGGAGGCTGTTTTTTGCTCCTTGTTTTTTTTTCAGAAGGGAAGGATGGAAGGAAAGGAAAAAGGAAAGGAAGGCGAGATGCATGGGGAGAGTAAGACGTAGAGAGGAAAAAGTAGGACCACATAGAACGAGAGAAGAGAATAGTGTGATCAAAGAAAAGAACTAGGCCATGACTGTTGAACCACTTTTAATCCAAGGCCTTCTTCCCGCCAAAAGGAAGAATGCCATTCAACAAAAAGGTGAACCCTTTCCTTACTTTGCTTACTTCCTCTTTTTCAAGGAGGTGATTTCGAAATTAGGTGACATCATCTCCTTGCTGCACATGAAAACGATAGCGAGGCTACTACTGCTCCTTTGCTTCTCCACATACCAAGTACTATTGTGTTTGCCGTTTGCGCGGTGACGGTAGGATTTTTGACGCGTAGAAGCAATAGCCTTCGCTGGAGTCTAAATTCACACATCATACACCTTAGCAACTTAATTTTTTCTTGCTGATCAAAATAAATAAGAGTCGGGCTGTCTACCTACTCCAGCACTTTCATTCCTGCACACATTTGTTGTACTTATGAGAGATCGTTTTTATTAACATGCCTGACTGGTATCATTCTAGGAGCTCTGTCTTGTGAGGTCGTGGTGTAGGCGCCACAACAAAGGGCGCCGGAAGGGTATATGGTTCCGCTTCACTTCCATCATTACTACTATCTCTGTTGTTAGTATTATCTCCAGAGGCGACAATAGTAGTCGGGACAGGGTAGGCTTGGTAGATGTCAGAGTCTGAGAAGGAGCGTCCTGTGCTGTACAGTTGAGATGAGTGTGAGCGTTGTTGTCGTTCCTGTTCCCGTTGAAGACGTTTCTGCTCCTGTTCTTGCTCGTATTTGTGTTTCTCGTGGATGGAGGGGAATGAAATGACCTCGATATCTTGGACGGAGAAACCACGTCGCGGTCGGTGTTGTTGTCGCTGCTGTTGTTGCTGTTGTTGGTGTGGCTGTGGTTGCTGGGGGCGTGGTGGAATAGAAGGTGGGTGCACTGTTGGACATTGGTTGAGCAGAGGTGGTTGCGGTGGCGCTAATATAGGTCTAGGAGGGATATAAGTCAAAGGCATGGTGGACGAAGATAGGGTAGTGAAGGATCCTGACGATTCGAAGAGATGTGGTGGTGGTGGTGGTGCTGATAGATCCTGTTGGTAATCCGACAATGCTGGCATATTCTCCTCCGCACCCTCTGGTCCACTTGGTGCTCCATCTTTGGTTATGACACGTTTCCGACTATCACGACCGCGCCTCCGTTTCCGTTGAACGATGAAGAGTCCTACCAGGATACCAAAGATCATTCCTCCTGCGATCGCGCCTCCAATAACGGCTCCACTCGGTTTCCCGTCCGTGATACTCCCGCTATCGATCCCGTTGTTGCCTTCATGCCCACCGCTGCTGCCATCACCAGGTGTTGTCATCGTCGGGGGTATTGGCATTGATTGAGTGACCAAGGCAGGTCCCGACCAGGATTTGGCAGTCAAATCAAAGCTGTTGAAACGAGGGACACCGTCCTGCACAGAATAGACAATGATCTGAGACGCCGTTGGAGTAGCTGTGGCCACCATGTATTCATTGAACCGCGGGACTAGACTTGACGGCGAAGCTTGGATGAGGGTCAAGTCTGAGGACATCTCTGGGGTGATTGTGTAGATAACAACCGAACCGTCCTTTGCCTACAAAAAGAAGACAGTATCGAGAGTTAATTGTCGGAACATCGTCTTGGTAACGCCGGATGTGAGGAGGTGCGGATATTGATAGGATGGTTTTGTTAGTGCTAGTGCATGTGGATGCAATTTTAAATTTTCGGTCCTCAACACTGCAGCCTACTTTCTTGTACTACGCGAGCACTCATAGACCAATTCTCGACAAAAACAACAACCCATACAAGGGCAGTACCTGGTCGAGGATAAAGGCGGTGGTGCCCATATGAACGGGTATCGCAACAGGAGAGATCGTGATGTTGTTCATTTTGACAGGTTGTGGTTGCCTGATGTCAACAAGTTTCTCCATGCTGTGGGCTGGGAAGATCTGTCCCGAGGTTCCATTGACTTCAAAGGCGGTGATATGGCCTATCACGGGTAGTACGGGACTGGTGTCAAAGGTCCCGACTGCCAGATACGCCCTCTCTGAGGGGAAGTATTGTGTTGGTCTAGGAGAAAGAAGAGAAGGAAACAATAAAGTGACGGGGGGTTGAAGACCGTTGGCAACAAGATAGTGGTGGAGAATAGAAAAATGTGAGCGTTTTGTTTGGTGACCCATCAATGCATTTTTTTACGCGCTAACAATACAAAATGCAACAGTACGAACATAAAAAAACGAATGAAACCTCCTCCCACCTCCTTTTACCTGTAGAGATACGAGTCGACATTGGCGGTGGCATCGACGGTCAACACCCTCCAAGAAGTCCCCACCTTCAGGTCTGGAGAATCCGTCATCCCTACTCCATACATACTCTCCCCTGCCTGCCCAACAATCGCAAACTGTCTCGACGACAAGAACGAAACATTCTTGTTCCAATCACTGGGGTTCTCAAACTTGGCCTTGACATTACCACCACCACCGCCTTTGCCACCATCACCCTCCTCCAGCAAAGCATTGGAATCAAAAGACCACAGCTTTGAGAACTGCTGGATATGAATCCTTGTCGGTTTGACCTCGCCCTTCTTGTCAGGAAAGACACTCCCCGCATAATGCGCACACAGTTTTGGAGCAAAGGCCGTCCAGTGTTCAGGATCGACTTCAGATTCGAGGAGCTGGATGATCGGGTTGTTGATGTCGGTTAGGTCGACAGAGGAGAGTTCTAGACGACCCTTTTCCTTTTCGAAGGATTCTGTGGCGACGCCGATTAGATAGAGGGTTGTTATTGGTAGTGCTGTGGATAGAGATGTGGCTGTTGTGGTGTGGATGAGGCAAGGGTATGGGTAGGCTGGTATGGGTATGCTTGGCTCCATGATGCGTATGTGTGAAGGAGGAGCCGGAGGGGAGTGGAAGAAGAAGGAGGAAAAGGTGAAGGTGAGAGAAGAGGAGGAGAAGGCGTAAAGACTGGGGTATGAAGAGTGGACGAAAATGGATCTGAGGGTCAAATGGACAAAAGGAAGAAGGGGGGCAAGGGATCGTGTGTGCGTGCACGGGTGAGAGTGTCGTGTGCGTGCGCAAGGCGGTGCAAAGCTTGAACAGGAGGGAAGATTTGCGACTGTGAGGGGAGGAGTAGAAAAGAAAAGAGAGCGAGGGAACGAAAAGAGAGAACGAGAGAAAAAAGAAACAAATGAAAAACAGAGAGCGGGAACGGGAAAAAGAGAGCAGGATACCCGGGCGGATGTCACTTCACCGCATTTCATCACCCAATTGTAATGTACTTTACATGATCCTCTCCCATTTCATATATATCTCAAATACAACCATCGACTCACCAGTAAAAGTTCAAACATGCACAGCAAGGTTCCGGAAGTAATGCCGAGTAGACGCTCTCTTGTTCTTTTTATTAGTGTATATCTGAAGGGTATAGAAAAACGTCAACCGTAGGTGCTAATGGCCTTGAGAAGAGGGGGGTCTTGAGCCGGGTGTTGCTAAAGGAGGGACGATGAATGTCTGGTCAACTCCGAGGCTATCTCCGCTGAAATCCGAGTAGGCATCCGTCGCAGCCGAAACGAGAGGCGACGAGTACGTGAGCTCAGGTGATTGGAGGCGTTGTTGGCTGCGGTGGTGCAATTGTGGTGTCCCCACTGGCGTGCACTGTTGGTGCTGTTGGTGGTGGTATGATATCTCGGACGAGGACACTGGAGGCGAAGATGGGGTGAAGGATCGCTGATTTTTGTAGGAGTAGTCATCGCTGTTCAACTCTCGCGATGTTACAACGGTGACAGGGCTCGAAATGTCTCCACTGGCATCACTAAAACTGCTGAACACTTCCGTGTTGTTGCTGTTGGCGTCATGGTATCCACTGCTGTTGGCGATGGTGATGTTGTCGTCGTTTTCCGGGTAGTGGAGTTCTGGACCTGGAGGCGTCTTGGGTATAAAATCAAACCCCAGGGATTGCCGCATGGGAGACTGTAGATTCCGTCGCAAGGTCGAGTTTTGGGAGGACGGTGAAGGAGGTGGGTAATAAGTGTCTGTTGAGGACAACTGGGGGTCGCGAGGGGTGCTGTTTCTGGGTAGGACGGGGTAGGTGACTGTACGAGGAGGAAGAGGGTACTTGACACTAGGTGGAGGCAGAAGGGTGTGTGGAGTGCCGATCGTGATGGCGACCTTATTAAATTCCTGATCTGTAGAAGTGTTGGGGGAGGGTGAAGAAGACGAGAACTCGGTCTTGCCATTGCCTTCTTCAGAGTGTGTTGATGATGGTGACGACAATGAGACTCGGTGGTGGCGATGACGGATGACCAGAAAGATAGCCAGCGCAAGTAAGACCAGTCCACCGACGACGCCACCAACAATGGCGCCAAGGGGTGCCTTGCTTGCGGACGCGTCAAACTCACCGTCGCCTGGAGTAAGAGAACCGCCACCAGTAGGAGTTATGATATTCGAGCTAGTCCAAGTCTTGGCGGCCAAGTCAAAGACACTGAACTTCGGTCCGCCAGTTTGGAGGGAGTAGAGGACAATCTGGGTTGATGTCACTGTGGCGACCATGGATGTGATGAATGCCGGTGCTTGCCCGGACACGACGACTTGCTGGAGTACTGCTGACTGGCTAGGATTGATGTAGTAGATCGCCGTTGTGCTGTCGGGGGCCTTGTCCAGGATATAGGCGCCGGAGCTTGAAGTGATGGGGATTGCGTCGTTCGAGAGGACGACATTCTTCATGGAGACGAGTTGGGGGGCAGAGAGGATGAGGGTACGTCCTTTTACTTGGGTATCGGGAGTGTCGTACCCCGTTGTGGTGTAGATTGTTCCTGACTGAGCAGTGTCGAACACGATCGCGTTTCCGTGAGCAGGTGCCTTTGCTGCACTGGTGTAGGCCCCAACAGCGAGGAAGGGTCTGGAGTTAGGGTACACTTGTAAGTTGAAACTATGAAAAAAAGAGGGTGAAGCATGGAAAGGAACGAACTTGGTTAAAGGAAGTTTTACTCGCTCACAGACGCGTGAAAATAATAAAAGGGACATGTCGCAACAATAAAGCACTATCGCATTATTACGGGTGTTTGCCTACTCGTAAAGGTTTGAGAAACTGTCAGTCGCGTTCGACCGCACGCCAACCCAATACTCCGTTGTATTCGTCATCGCCAACACAAACCCATTCACACCTGCATACCCAACCGTCGCAAAAAGCTTCGGATTTACATACGCAACTTCCTCATACCCACTCGGAGGATCAAACCTGCCATTGGCTGGGTACACATTCGCATCGTTCGTCCACCCCATCCCGAACTGTTGAATATGTATTGCCCCTTGTGTATCGAAGGCGTTTTTGGGTGCTTGGTAACCGGGGAAATGTGAACAGAGTTTGGGGGCAGTGTTGGACCATTGGTAGGGGTTGAAGTTGATGATAGTGGAGGTGAGTCTTGGGGAGGAGATGTTGGAAAGATCGATGGTGTTGACTTCTAGGCGGCCTTGGATTGTGTCAGAGACACCGATGAGATAGATGGATGTGTTTGATGCTGGGGCCAGGCAGGGGTTTGAATATGTTGGTATGCTCATGGTGCTGCAATGTTGTATGTGGGTGAGAGAGTGTGAGGGAATTAGGGAAAACGGGAAAAGGTAAAGTGCAGGGAGATCAAGTATGTGTAGATGTGAGTGGGAAGGGAGGGGATTGGGAATGCAAGAGTTGTTCCTGAGAAAAAGGGGGAGCAGGAGAGAGGATGGATGTTGAAGTGTGATGATGATAAATGAAGATGAAAGATGAACAGAGAGATAGAATGATATGAAAGGAGATGGGGACAGAGGCAGCGTAAAATAAGCTTTCATTGAAATCCGATTCAGGCCATGCAACCGGGCTTAGCAAGAAAATGGGCCAGAGAGTGGTTTCATTTGAATTGGACATGAGCGACATATTTTTTTTTATGTTCTTGTGGCACGTCTGCCCTTGGGGATCCCCGCTCATCTCCTCGGTCCAAACCCCCTTGAAGAAGATGTGGACCAGTCTAACTAACGGTGTGTCATCACTTCTCCCCTCCCTTTTTTTCCTCTCTCTCGTCCAAAGATGAATTGTTGTAATGACCTTCCCACCTCTGGTTATTTGGACCCTTGAATAACGGCCGAATCAAATGTCCGCGGAACTGTCGACCGCTGGGCTGGGTGTGTTTTCATTTCTAAGGGTTTAGGCAGGAAGGATTCGAGCATGAATGAACTTGGCCTTGGCTGATTGGCCGTTTTTCCACATATCTCCTCGGTCCTGCAGCATCTCTGCTTCTTCAACCTCATTATCGATCCTCTGATCTTTGTTGTTGCTACTGTTATGTGAAGGGAGAGGGGGAAGCGGTATTGGACACGGAAGCATCGTTGAAAGATACACTGTACTTTCGTTAGCAGGATGTCTTGAGGGAGAGTCGATGATATGGCTTGTCGACCATGAGGTCCGGAGAAGAATACCAAGAGTCTTTCAGAGGTCGCCGTCGTCTTCTGATATGGGGACTACCTGATCCAAAACATGGAAAAAAATAACAGGTCGAGGGTCGTCCTACGCAGCAGCTCAGTCCTCTCTTTGCTCTCGTAGCTGGTGTTGATGTTGACAAAGGGAAGAAGGCAGGCCGTTTGGAAGTTTGGGTGACAAAGTATGATCAGATAATATGGTCGATCCTCAACCCCACTTGTCCTTTACTTCTTTATGAGTTCTCTGTGGAACGTCACTATCGAGTATTGAGAAAGGAAGAGATTTTGACCTTGTTCTGAGGTGGTCTTGGCTCTGGATGCCAGGAGTGACACGCACATCGCTACTGAGTCACAGATAGGGTTGATAAAGTCCAATCAGAGGAGAAATTAATCGACATACATATATGTTCTTTCTAGTCCCTTCATCTTTCATAGTGGGAATCAACAAGCCAAGATTCAAGCAAGAGGAAGCATTGACAAGGAAAAAGATGACAAGGCGTATGGACAAGATAGGGATTGCTGTTACCAACAGACGCTCGTTGCGATTATGATGCATGCCTCCTTGTTCTTGTTGTATTTTGCTCTGCACGAGTGCGAGTCGAAGCCAGATATGCGAAATGGTAAGTGGATGTACATGAATGTTTTTGCTTTTCATAGCAAAGGATAACGGCAAAGCGAGTGAAATAAAGAGCTACTAGGAAGATTGACAATCTCTCTTCTGAGCGGATTTTGGTGTTGCATGATCATGCAGTTTATGTGTGTGTTTTCACAAGAAGAAAGGAGGCAAGATTTGTAGAGAGAAGATTCTCCTTCCTCTCCCCCCCCCCCATTCTCTCTCCATTCATGTGCAGAAGGATAGATACACCAACAAGAGACACACCTTAGATTGATAATAAGCAATTATGTTGAAAATAGGTGTATTTTAATAAACCCTCGTCTACCTGAAGCAATAACTATTACAGCGGCCAAGGTTCGTCGTACAATCATCAAAACACGTCTCCCCCTTCTCGCAATCATTGATACAAAAGAACTCGCCCTTGCATCCATCCTTGCAGGTCTGGTAGACGCTATCCTTCTTACATTCGCCCTCGCATGTGTTAAAAAAGTAGTTGTGGCAGAAGAAGGTTGGGCAGTGGCCCTTTTCGGAGGGGTATGGCGGAATCGGTGGGGCTTGGACGCGGCCTCCTGAGGTTGAGGATCCTCCTGATGATGATGATGATGAGTCCTTGTTCTTCTTCATGGAGACGACGAGGTAGATGACTACTGCGAGAAGGACGATGGTGATGATAGCCATGGCCCAGATGATCTTTTTCCGACGACCGGTGGATTTTGGTTTCTTGGTTGATACGAGGGCTGGCTTGGTGGGCTTCATGGCGGTGGTGGGGGTGATGGGGTTGTCGACCAGTGCGGGGTTCGGGTAGGCGCGGACGACTGGTTCTGGGTATACTTGCTGGTGGTGCAGATATGATTGCTGGTAAGGATCCTGCTGGTATATGTACTGTCGAGAAATGCCGTCGGTGGAGGAAGGGTATATGGCTGCGCTGTTGTTGTAGTAGTGTCCTTCTGGTACTGGGTATGCGCCTCTCTGACTGGGTGTGGGGGACGGTGGTGGAACATAACTTGAGGCCGGGGTTGGCGAGTAAGCCTGGAGGTTGCTGACGGACGGGGAATACCCGGACGACTGGACGTGAGGGCTACGAGAAGGTGTTGTCGGTGTCCAGTACGGAGATTCTGCACCGATATGAGGCGTAACAATGGTTCCGTCGATGTATTGTGGTGACGCTGCAGTGATTGGTCCTTGTGCTGCCCCGCTGGAGGTGAGGGCTTCTCTGCTACATCCTGGTGTGGTGCTGCCGCTTGCGGGAGGATCCAGAGGGGCGAGCATTTGTCTGTGAATTAGGGTATAGATGGGATGAGGGTGAAAAGAAGAAAAAAAGAAATGGGAGTGAGCTATGTCTTATGCTTTTAAGTATCACCCCTTTCACCCCTGACAACTCGACAACGAAGAAATCGCCATGAGAAGTAAGGACGGGGGCAGAGCAATTATTTGCATTTTCAAAGTGCGACAGGCCCCCATGAGTGTACGGGGTTGGCGCCTGGCAGCAAGAAAAAGTAAAATAAATAGACAAAAAAAAGACATGAGAGCAGTCGAAACCCAGCCTCGGTAAGGTTTCTGCGGTGAGCAAACCCCAGAGTACATGAACGTACAGCTTTCGACTGCTCTGACATACGGATTCTCATTCCTTGTCTGTCGTCTTTCTCTCGGCAATCGATGATACATCGATTTGTTCTCTGGCTCCCCACTGCCTCCTCTGCATGAGAAAACGAAAACAATTTATTGGCATGGCTGGAGGAGAAGTGGATCAAGCATTGGCATGGTTGCTATCTTTAGGCTAACCGTGCCTATCTTTAAAAGGCAAAAACGTCCACGCGAGTGTTTGTCCCAATAAGTCATAGCACGTTCGGAAGCTAACAAGCAAGAGGAGGCGTGGTGTTTTCGCGCTCGGACCTGACAATTGACCCAATATCGAGCCTTCCGGCGCGCGCAATCAAAAGGAAAGAAAAAAAAATGTCGAATCAATCATCGTTACCAACAAAAAGTGAACAAACTCGGTCGTGTATATGGTACTGTACATGGTTTTTTTATTTATTATTTTCAGATGCAATTGCTGTCGGTATAATACAATTAACGGCAGTAGGCGCGGCAACTGCTCCAGGTATCACTACACTCCTTCTGACAAGGGTTACTCCTCCGACAATCTGATTCACAGAAGAAAACACCATTGCATTTGCTCGTACAGGCCTTGTAGTTACCATCCTGCGCGCACACGTTATCCCGACAGTCCCAGAACCAGTCATCGCAGAAGAATGTCGGGCACTGGCCCTTCGCGGGTAAAGGTGGGAGGGGTTTTGGGGTGACTACGGACCCGCTGCTGCCACTTGTGGGTGTGGGGACGGTGACGGGGGCGTATGAGACAGTTACGGGGGTTGAGGGCACGGTTACAGGGACTGAGCGGATTGGACCAGCGGTAGTGGTGGTGGGTGTGGATGTGGATGTGGTTAATGTCGTCGAAGAACCCTTTCCGGAGGTCGAGTTATCGCTGCTATTGCCGCCATTGTCAGAATTCTTGTTCTTCATCGAAACCACGACTCCGACAATGGCTCCAATCAGAATGAGAATGACAAAAGATCCGATCCAGATGAACTTTTTCCGGCGGCCGTTGTTGGTGGGCTTGGTCGTTGATCCTGTAGATGATGGCTTGGGCTTCTCGGCGGCGGAGGTGAGAGTGTCGACCAGTTCGGGTTCAGGGTACGAGAGGACAATGGGTTCTGGGTATGGCTGTTGCTGGTAGGTTTGCTGGTAAGGGTCCTGGTACGTGTTGTGCTGGTAGGCGCCGTCATGGCTAGATAATGCCATTTTGCCGTAAGTTCCTTCCGGCGCCGGGTAGGCATTCAACTGACTAGGCGTAGGCGATGGCGGTGGAATATAGCTCGAGCTTAGTGCGGGCGAATAGGCCGGAAGGTGGCTAGTACACGGGGAACCCTCGGATGACTGGCCATGGGGGCTACGAACGGTCGATGGTGTCCGGTAAGGAGAATTGGTAGTATATGTTGAGGACACTGCGTATCCATTGGTAATATACTGGGGAGATGCAGCTACCATGGCACTGGCACGGGAGTCGTCGTCGATCTGGTAGTTTGCTTCCTGGGGTGCTCTGCTGGAAGAGATGGACCGGGAGTGGATGAGTGCGTCATTGCTGCTTCCGGGTGTGGTGGTGTTGTTTGTGGGGGCCAACATAACTGATAGTATTAGGGTATTAATGGGAGATGATGGGAGATGAGAATGTTGATGAAATAAAAAAAAAAGGAAAATGAAGAATCAATTTATATGTCACCTTTGAAGTGGGAGTTTCACTGGTTGGTTGATTGAGAGCAATTTTCCATCAATACAGAAGGAAGACAAAGGAATGGATGGCAGGTGGGAATTTTTACCATTTTGAAATGGCGCTGCTTGTTTGCAATGAGAGCAGTCGAAGGAAAGGGTAAGGTTCCTGCGGTGAGTGCGAGTGCTTACTTGTTTGCTCACCAGCCTTCGACTCTTTCCTTGTGCCCTCCTCTTCGGTTTGCCTTTCCGACACTTTTTTTTTTTTTTTTTTTTTTTTTGCTTATTCTCATTTTCATGCCTTGGAGGAAAGGTGACAAAAACAAGAACCAAAAAATGATGGCATTGAAGGCGTGCAGCAAGCACATTGTCGTTGTTGTTCTTCACTGTCATGTTACTTGGAGGCACAGCACCAATCGACTGATTTCTACTTCTTTATCACTGGTCTCACTGGTCAACGACTACACCCACTATCACTTCGGGATTTTTGTGTGTCATCCTGTCATCCATCGACCATTGTCACTGGTCAGAGTCAATAATAACCCCCCCCCTTTCACCCAACGCTCAGACCTAGCTTTTTTGAATTATGCTCGGGAACAGTGTACATGGCAATTAGCAAAAAAAAAAAAGTGAAAGAGAGACTCTCGGTTCGCATGCGCATTAAGGCACACAAAATCAAAGCCATATTTATTGTTCTCAAGACAGAGGAGGATCGCAATTGACACGACAATCCCACCAGATACTATTACACTTCTTATAGCACGGGTTCTGAAACTCACACTGGGTCGTGCAAGAGAACTCGCCGTTGCATGGGGCCGCACAGGCCTTAAAGTCACTATCCTGTGCACACAGGCTATTCTGACAATCCTTACGCCAGTTGTCGCAGAAGAATGTCGGGCAGTTGTATTGGGGTGGGAAAGTAGGCGCTGTGGGGGTTTTCGTCCCACTGCCTCCGCTGCTGCCGCCGTTTGTAGGTGTGGGGACTGTGACGGGGGCGTATGAGACGGTTACCGGGGTTAATGGGATGGTGACAGAGACCGAAGGGATTGGGGTTCTTGCCGACGAGGTGCCGGTGGGTGTGGGTGTGGTGGACGAATTTGAGGAGCCGTTTCCTGAATTAGAGTCCGAGCTGCTGTTACCACCGTTGTTGTCCGAGTCCTTGTTCTTGGAGACCACGATTCCGATAATGGCGCCGATGAGGATGAGGATGACGATGCTTCCAATCCAAATGATCTTTTTCCGGCGACCGTTGTTGCTGGCGGGTTTGGTCACAGATGATACTTGGTTGACCTTTTCGTCGACGGTGTCAACCAGCACGGGATCAGGGTATGGGTGAAGGGTTGGTTCTGGGTACGGCTGCTGTTGGTATGCTTGCTGGTCCTGGTAGGTCTGATGATATGTCTGCTGGAAAGGGTCCTGGTACACATTCTGCTGGTACTGTCCTCCCGGCACTGGATAGGCGTTCAACTGGCTAGGGGTTGGAGAAGGCGGTGGGATATAGTTCGAGCTGAGAGCCGGCGAGTAAGCTTGAGGATGACTGACCGAAGGCGAGTATTCCGTTGTCTGGGCGTGAGGGTTACGAATGGTCGATGGTGTTCTGTTCTGAGAATCTGCAGTGTATATCGAGGGTGCTACATATCCGTCGGTGATGAGCTGAGGTGAAGGTGCTACTAGTGCGTTGGGACGGGAGTCGTCGTCAAGCTGGTAGTTTGCTTCCTGGGGTGCTCTGCTGGAAGAGATGGACCGGGAGAGGATGAGTGCGTCGCTACTGCTTCCGGGTGTGGAGGTGTTAATAATGGTAGGGGTGTCCACGGGGGTCAACATAATGTCTTGAATGAGATTAAGGTATAAGGAATGTTGGTGAGGGAATGGGCAAGAAGAGCAGAAGAAGGGAAGGGAAGGAAAGAAAGAAGAAAACAGAGAAGGAAAAGAAATGCGTGCACGCCTTTTTTCCCCTGAAGTTGAAAGTCCGTCCAGGATGATTTTTCTTTGTGCACGATGGGCTGTTGATCGCAAAAGTAATTGATTTTGTGCCAATAGAAGAGGGTCAGCGTTCCATAAGGTTTCCTGTAGGTGAAGAAAAGGATAATGCTCTCAACGCTCACTCATTCAGACGTTTTCAACCTCCTCTTGTTCGCCTTTTGCGTCCTCATGAAAAATATCACCAGTCATGAAAATAGCCTGATACCATGACGGACATGTGTTCCTTGTTCACAAGTTGGAGGCAAAGTAGCAAATAAGATCTGGGGTGTGCTTCCCTGGACCTACTCATAACAACATACGTGTGTGTGTTAGTGCACAGACTTTATTCTCATCTGTTGGTTACTAAAAACACGACTAAAAGCAATATCAGCTCTCTCATGATGCCACGCGCAGTTGCATTGCTATTGTCACAATCGTTTCTAATCACAAGTTGTTCTTGTCCTTAAAAGAAACGATGCTGTTGACAAGTATCCTAAGTATTAGAACAGCTTATATGGAAAGAATTGCTACCTTCACAAGTCGGCAACGGAAATGGTTTTTTTTTTTTTTTTTTTTTTTTTGAATGCCGCAAAAAAAAAGTATAATGAAGCTGTGAGCAGTCGATAAAAGAAACATGTACGGATTTGTGTTTTTTTCTCAACAGAAGGACGTCTCATCCTCCCTTTTTCTACTTTGATGACCCATTTCAGTGAGATGATCACCTTCTCCTTGGCAATCAAAAAAAGAAACAAAAAAAGCAGACAACAAGACGAACACAATGGGCTGTCATCCCCTGATTTCCCGATGAACACCCCTCCCTGGAGGCGTAGCTTTTCTCTCAAAATTACCTCCACACCGAAATTTAATCTCACAAAATCCACAAAACCTGAAGATCTATCATTTAGAAGGGAACCCAGAAGGCATGGGGTAAGGAAACCCAGTCGGGAAACCCGTAGGGAAGTTCGAAGGAAAAGGAAAGTTTGTTGGAAATCCTGTAGGAAACCCTGTAGGAAATCCTGTAGGAAACGGGATGTCAGGCCAAGACCCTGTGGGCACAACATAGCTACCGCTATTGCTGTTCTTGTTAGAGTTCTTGTCGTTCAGGCCAAAGGCTAGACCGAGGGTGACTCCGATGACAAGAAGTGTTACTGTGATCCCAATCCAGATCATTGTTTTCCGACGACGGCGACTGTTGGTGAGGCTGGTGGCGGCGGTAGGGTTGCTGGGATGTCCTTGGTCTGGTTTTTCGTTGATAGCGACGAGTGTGGGCTCTGGGTAGGGGTTGAGGATTGGTTCTGTGAGCGTTTGTTGCTGTTGGTGGTCGTACATATACTGGTGTTGTTGAGAGGTTTCATTGCCTTGAAGGTAGTATTGGTATTCTTCTTGAGGCGAGAGCGAGTATTTCTGGTTGGGTGTAGGGGATGGTGGAGGGATGTAAGCCGAAGCGGGTGTTGTTGGTGAAGTGAGTTCTGGCGAGTAAGTTTGAGGGTTGCTGGCTAATGATGGTGAATAGGCGTGAGGGTTGTTGCTGACCGATGGTAATGAAAACTCAGTCAGGCGAGCATGAGAGCTGTGAAGAATGGACGGTGTAGTGTAGGGGGAAGAAGAGGAGTCGACGGTTGGTATGGAGGGTACTGAGTGTCCACCAGTGTATTGAGGTGATGTTGCTACAATTGCACAAGGACGAAAGTTGTCGTCGATCTGGCTATTAGTGTCCTGCGGCGATCTTGTCTGTGGTCGAGATGCCATTAGTATGTTGCTGGCGTTGGTGCTTGAGAGAAATAAGGGTATAAAGGAGTGTGGTGGGAGGAAGGAGAAGAAGGAGAAGAGGAAGAAGAAGAAGAAAGAGTGTTCTTCCTCTCCCTCAATTCAAAAGGAGCCCGGAGTTGGTATTAGTTGAAGCTTGAAATAGCACCCTCTGCTGTGTTTGCGCCTGAAAAAAAAACCTGAGGTGTTTGATTTTGATTCCTCTTGCATATGCAAAAGAAAGGGCGCCAGATGCTGAAGGTTCATGAGAGTAGTCGAAGGAAGGGTGCCAGAAAGACTCTTCCATGATGGCAAATCTTTCCGTTTCAACTCCACTCCATCCCTCTGCTTAATTCCCTTCAAGTGCCAAACTCTCTCCTTTCTGTACTTGGCGCAAGGCGCAAAACGTATACTGGTATGTGACCAATGTAGAAAGGGATTTGTTTTTATTCGGAACCACATCGCGTCAGACAAGAGCGTGTGTTCTCCGCGCCCTCATTGAAACACTTATTGGTATATCTACAGTCAACTTCACAAAAAAATTCGGTAAGGCATGGAGCCGTACAGGCTTTGTACGCACTATCCTGGCTGCAGGTTTTTAGATAGGCATCAAAGTAGTCCATGCAGGTGGACTCTGGACAGGGTATGTTCTTGGCTGGGAAAGACGGTAAAGGTGGAGGTGAGAGTTGTGGGCCACTTATGGGCGAGGGTGGTCCGCGTGTGGGGGTGGGTCTTGGAGGCCATGTTGCTGGTGGTTGTAGGACGGTGGAGTGGTTTGGCGGTTGTTGTGAATCCCTGTTGTTGCTGCTTGCGTCGTCCCTATTGTTGTTGTTGTCGTTCGATTTGTCCATCTTCTTGACGACGACAAGCGCGATCACGGCCACAATGAGAGTGACGAGCACGGCGCCTCCAATCCAAAAGTTTCTTTTCCTCTTACGAATCATTGGTTTGACGGGCGAAGAAAGCGAGGAAGAGGAGGCGGAGGATCTGTGGGAGAGGGAGCGTCCGGCAGATGTTGAGAGTACTGCTACTAGATTGCTTTCGTTCACACTAGTGTCGACGAGTTCGGGCTCTGGGTATTCGTGGATGATGGGTTCTGAGTATGCTCTGCTTTGCACGATGGGTGGTGGCGGGTATGATGCATGGCGCTGCTGTTGCTGATGCTGTGGCTGGTATTGTTGTTGGTACTGCTGTTGCTGTTGAGACTGGTGTTGATGGCTGTTCGATTGTTGTCGAAGTTGGCGTTGCTGCTGACGTGGGATGGACGGCTGAGGAGAGAACGCCCGGTTCAAATGCTGCACCTGTGGCATCTGCTGGAACGAATCCGGGTACGGCTCTTGCTGCATTTCATAACTATTGCCAGTGGCGTCGTTCTCTGGGAATGTGCCGATGTAAGCAAAATCGCCAATGGATTCATGGCCCATCGATTCTGGGATCGAGTACTCATGTTGTTGCTGTTGTTGAGGTTGAGGTAGGAGGCTTTGATTGGATGTAAGCGCAGATCTGTGTGAAGGCAAGGGTGATGGCTGGGTAAAGGGTTGGGTATACATTGCCAACGCAGCAGGAGAAGGAGGCGCGGTTGATCTTCCTCCATTTGGAGGGAGTTTCTGGTCTTCCTTGGGTGGTGAGTCGTCGTCAGAGTCGTCGACAGAGAGTAATAAGTACTGGGTGACAGGGGATTGTGCATGAGTGGATGACTGTGAGTGTTGTTGTTGGTGAGGTTGCAGGTTGGCGATTGGCTGTGAGGAAGAGGACAGAGTGTCGATTTGATGTGAATTTTGAGAGGCCAAAGCGGCGGAGGTTGTGTTATTGCGAGGATCAGGTTTGCCCGCTGGATGATCTGGAGGAGCCAGCATCACGATTTAATAACGGAAGAGAGATTGTAGGAAGGTATATGATATCAAAAAAAGAGAAAAGGGGGAAATGAAAACAAACTTGGGCGCCTCCAATGTCTTTATACATCAATCCTGGGACCTGCTCTGGGGATTTGTTGTTGTGGTTGCTGAGTTGGCGTACTGGGAGAGGAGATCCGAATTGGCTCAACTGCATTTCTGAGCAGTCGAAACTTTCAGTAAGGTTTTGTATCTGCTGCATGCGGCTCACTCGTCGACTCACCCAGGAAGAACCATTGCAGATGAGAGTGGGAGTCAGAGGGACGGAGAGGGGACACAATCCGCAGTGCCTTTTCACATCCCTCATCCTTGGAGATGGCGGGACCATCGATGCCATCGTCAAAGTAAAGTGAAAGAAAAATCACACATGTAATTTCTCGAATTGCCTGAACACAAATCTCATTTAGCTCTCTGGCACTCGCCCACGCTTGTTTGTGTCATTTCTCTGACCCTCTTTCCCAAGCACTTCGCGCGCACAGTCTAGCGCGAAAACGAACTGCCAATTGTGCTCAGAAAGTCAAACACAGCACTACCATAAAACGTCCTTCATAGTGCAACAAACAACAAACACAGAAACAAACATCACATAAGGTTACTTGCGCGGCATGCCAGCACTTTTTATCTACAAAAAACAAAAACCTCATTAAAAAAAAAAAAAAACTACGCGCAATTCTGTTCACACTTCTGGTAATTCGTCTGACACCCCTGCATACACCCATTATTATGCTCGCAAGCCATCGGGCAAAACTGATCTGTGCATCCGGCCTTGCAAGCCTTCAAATCCCCGTCGTTGACACAGATATCTTGCATGCACCACCAGTAGTAGTTTTGTGAACACCATAGAGGGCCGCAGGTGCCTTTGGCTGGTAGCGAGGGGAGAGGAGGGGTGGGTACACGGGGCCCGTAGTTTCCGCCACCACCTGAGGTGGGTTTTGAGGGCTCGGCTGTTGTTGTTGTTGTGGTAGTTGTTGTTGTTTCCACTGGAGGAGGGATGGATTGTGGCGGTGGGGTTGTTTGGACTGGTGGGTTCACGACAGGGGGTTGTCCAGTTCCAGAAGTAGTAGTTGAAGCAGGGACGACGACTAGAGTTCCTGTAGGTGGCGGGACGACCACTCCGTTCGAAAGCGTTGTTCCAACGGGAACACCAGTAGGAGCACTGCCTGACCACATCGAAGACGACCTCGATCCAGATGGTACAGCTCCATTCCCCGACGCCGAGTTGTTGCTGTTTGCGCCGTTGTTGTTTCCAGAACCCTTGTTCTTCATGCTGACGACTAACCCGATAAGCACACCGGCTAAGATGGTGATCACAACACCACCGATCCAGTACAGTCGTTTCCGTTTACCAGTGTTTTTCTCAGGAGTAGAGTCGTTGTCGTCAAAGACATGGTCGACCTTCTCGATGGTGTCGACAAGCTCAGGCTCAGGGTACCCCTGGTGATACTGCTGTTGTTGTTGGTAAGGGTCGTGATACTCTGGCTGAGAATACACCGTCTGGTACTGCTGCTGTTCCTGCTGGCAATAGTTCGAAATCGGCTGTTGCTGCTGTTGCTGTGGGTAGGGCTGGAACGTCGAGTCCGGAATGTATGCGCTGCCATTGAAGGTATATGAGGCAACCGGTTCAATAATAGTCGCTCCAGCTGGAATAAGGGAAGGCACCGTCGTCGTTTGGTTGTTGTAGGCGTAGTGGTTGCTCTGCCCCTGAGGAGGCGGGACGAACAAACTTGAAGCCCAACCTCCTTGTTCGACAGGTTGAGTATGAGGGTTGACGAGCGACGATGATGAAGCTGGTGAACGGTCTTGGGGAGCCTTGGGTGGTGGTGCTGGCGGTGAGGCGTGGTCCATAAGAGGAGTTGAAAATGTTGTGAAAGAGTCGGTCTCTTCAGGACCCCGAGCAGAGATATCGGGGGAGTGGAATAGGTCAGGGTGGTCGATAGTGTTTTGTGGTGCGCCTCTGGACGGCGGGGTGGAAGGGGTCATGAGGGATGCTTGGCTGCTGTTGCTGTTCCCTCCTTGGCTCATAGTAGGAGTCGGCGGGTCGGGTAAGAGCGCCATGGTATGTCTGGGAAGGGAGGAAGGGGAGGGAGTAAAAGAAAGAAGAAGAGAAAGAAGAAATGTTCACGTTTATCGATGTTGCGCCAAAGTTAAAGTCCACGCCGAGCTCTCAGGAAAAGAATGATTTCGCTGTCGGGGTGCAAATCACTGGAGTTGCATGCGACGGAAAACTTTACCGAGGTTGTCTTGGTGAGGGTCATGGTAAACCATGCAAAAACAGCACCATAAACAAATTAAAAAAAACATTGTGATGATGGATAGATGGCGTTGGTGACCAAGCACATAATCCTCTCCTCCTGTGTTTGTTTCTTGTGAGTCCATGCCCGTATCAAGGTCGAAGATCAAGCAGCCGCCCCCCCTTTTTTTATGGAAACAAAAAAAGAAATCAAGAGCCCTCTTCTTCTTGGTCGGAAGACCAATCCGCAATTTCGTTCACTGCGACCAACGACAGAAGTCTGAATTCAGTGCAGCGCTTAATTTTTTATTCGCTCTCATGATGCATGTCCTGGGAAATCTCTACTTTGCCTGGTTGAGGACAATGACCTCCGTGCCATCTGGGATATCATAATGGGAAAGCATACGCAAATCATCCTTCAAAAAGACCTTGTGCTTAACACACACACATAACACACAAAAAAAAAACATGTTAGCAACAACTCTATCATCTCATCTGACTCTACACCCGACAAAAACAAAAAAAAACATAGTGATATATGCTTACCATGACACCTGCATAGACGGGATCCTCAGCAATGAACAGGAGCACTTGACGCATTGCGGAAATACGCAACAGCTTTTGGACCAAGTTCTTGACATTCCTGACCGTCATTGAGCCTAGCACTCCGCGCTGGACAGATGCCTTGACCGGCCCGTCGATTTTGTCCTTTGCGACAAATGTGATGTCTATTTAAATAATGATGTTGACACGTCAGAAAACCCCTGGCACAAGTCTTTCCTACGCGTTTACTGTGTACAATGAGGTGTCAAGATAAGATGAGAGTGTGGTGTCTTACTGAGGAGGCGATCCTTGATAAGGTCGCTGGTAGCTTTGCGTCTTTCGTCACTGGTGTCAGGGCGTCCGTGAACTATTCGAGTCGCGAATGATAAAATGATAAAATGGTTTTGAAGTTAGCGTTCATGTTATATCATTCTGCAAAAGTAGCCACGATCAGTCAAATGGATCCATCATAGCCAAAAAGACATACTTTCGCAAAGTTGCTCGAAACGAGGGTGAAGAGCTTGGATGGTCGCTAGCTCGGCTCCAACATTCGAAAACGCCGCATTCTTGAGGTAATACAACTCTGCATCAATCCTATTCTTCTTCAAAATCTGCCAAAGAGGAAAGATAATTGAAATGTACTTGTCAGTTCTCGGAACTGCAACGTCAAAACAGCACATTGCTACGTTCATAGAGACTCTCATATCCAGTATCGCGTACCTCTGTTCCGTTGAGCTGATCAATGTGAGCCATACGAGCAATAGTGATGGTTCTCACGTCTGGTTTGCCAGAGTTGTCTGCAGTCGCGTCTTCAGCAGCTTGAGTCATGACAGGGTTCTTTTGGATCCAGACCGACTTCAACGAAGTGTAGAGGCCAAGTTGGTCAATGCTCGACCACTCCTTGAGATCATTGTCATTGATGCGCAATGACTCCAAGTGCTTGAAATCCTCAGGGTCGCGTGGTCCAATGACATTCGCAATCCTGTTCTCCGACAAATCAAGCGACTTCAGCCTAACATTACAGAATTGTATACCCTAATAAGTCTGATGATCTGATATGAACATGGTTGACCAAGGTAGGTATGATAGCATGTATACGTACTTGGGCAAGCGAGAGAGGCGGAGGATCTGGTTCCAGTCTACAAGCTTGTTGCCCTCCAAATGAAGGTCTTCAAGTTTGACAAAGCCCTTGATCTTTTGATCTTCTACTGGAGTCGACTCGTCCGATTTGCCGAGCTCGGTAAAGAGGTTGAAACCAATCTGCAAAATCTCGAGGTTAGGCAATGATGGTTCCAACATGTTCATCTATGAACGATGCGCGAAAGAGAATGAGGTTAGAAGTCAATGTGTGGTAGAGTATAATACGGTAACAATATAGGTTCTGTCGTCGCTAGTCCCAGAATCTCCCGCACCTCATCCCAGGAGATAAAAATACGGTTCATGGCGAGGCAGCGGATGTTCTTGAACGCGTACTCGAACGATGGTTGAGCTGTGAGTGGGTGAAAACGGTTTCGACTAGCAGAAGCAAAAAAAAAAAGCACGCAGTAACGCGTCAGAAGCAACTCCAGCGCAGATACGATGTGTGACAAAGAAGATGGAAATTCAACAGATAATTAAATACCTGATACGGAGAACTGTCAACTTGGAGAGGGGGGCAACAATGTCGGCAAGGTCTTGCCAAGTTGCGATCAGAGTCGAAGACAAATCAAGGTCCTGAATCTCTGAAAAAAAGAAAGACGAGAAGGTTGACAGTTATCAGTCAACGGTCAATATTTCAAGACACTACGCGACTGTAACATCAGCTTTGACTTTGTCGATTGCATACCTGGGCAAGCCTTTTGGGTCTCGTCAAAGTCAGCGGCCGTGCTAACGTTAGTGTTGGCTAGTCCAATAATCTGCATCAAGTGGAGCTGACTAAGTTATAGGAATGCAGAAGAAGTGATGATAAGCTCGAGTGAGTTGATACCATCGTTGACATACAAAGGCATGGACATCATGAAAAGTAAATAGAGGTCAAGAGGCCACATACCTATTCTTTTTCTTGACGCGATCAAAGTCATAGATGTCGACCTTGACGTTTGTTTCTCCGAGATAGAGGTCGTCTACGGTCAGTTCCTCGTCGACATAGCGTTCCTTCAGGATCTCGAGGAGGGTCTGGCCAACGTTAATGTTGGGCGATGGACGTGTGAAGCTGCCTGTGCCTGGGAATCTGTCCAAGACAAAGGATTAAATTATATGTGATCAGCAACCAATTAGGGCAAAGGATCACCACCATAGGATACATGGACAATCACACAACGCAGCTCAACTTACTTGCAGGTGAAGTACTGGATACCATCACGCTCTCCAGAGTGCTTGCCACGCTCTTCGGTGTCCCATTCGACTCCGATCCATTCTCCTTTGGTAGGAGGGACGGCGCCGAGGAAGCGAACGGTACCCCTGGAGTGGTCGAGCGCAATACGCTGGCCTAGTTCCAGCTTGGGAGGTTCTGTCTTGATGACCATTTCCTTGTTGTTGTGGTTTTTGTGGTGATGGAATGAAGAAAGGTGGAGGCAGGAGGTTGGCAATGGTGTGGCGGCGATGAGTGGTATAAAGAGTGGGCGTTAGAGGGTTAAAGGGGAGGGTATGTTGGCGTGATGGAGGAAGCAAAAAAAAAAAAAGTTGATGTTCATGGGTACGCATATTTATTTGGTTCTTCGGAGAGGTCGTGGGATTCAAGTGACTGTCCCACAAGGGCGAAATGATGTCCATTCCAAGAAGCTGCGCTTTTGTGAGGGAGAAGGGAAGAAGGTTTCTGTGAACTTTGCTCTGGGTCAATGAATGTAAGCCGCGCAGGCAAGGTTGCTTTGTGCAGGGTGCAGGGTGCACAATTGAAAAGGCAAGAGGATGGACAGGAGACTAAGGCCCAGATGCCAGTTGGGCTACATGATAAGGGTAAGATGGTGTTCATGTATTTGTGTGTGTATGCGTATCAGATTGAGTTATGCAATGACCGTGAGGCAGTACGGATGAATGACAATGGCATGAAAAATGATTGCACGGGATGAGATCCGGCGCTGTTGTTGGATTGGTGTGGGAAACCAGCCAGTGAGAGCAGAGGTGGTTGAAGAGGAAGAGAGCAGCGCAGAAATAAGGATTAGAAAAGGAGAAAAGGAACCATGCCTGTCAAACATGCAAACCTTAGTTGGTGTGCCTGGCCCTGATTTCATTTTCCGTCGTTGGTTCTTCTCGACCACTTGGCACTCTTTTCTTCTTTTTCTTCTCTTCTTCTCCTTCTTCTACTTCCTCTTCTTCTTCCCCTTCACCGTTCCTTCCCTCCTCCTCCCTCTCCTCCACACCTCTCCACCTACCCTTTTCCTTCACTCACCCTTCTATTCTTACTTTCACCCTTCAGTCCACACCAATGGGAATGAAAAAGATACACCCGACTGAACCACAATGGGACAACAACACCGAGCAAGAGATCTTTGGCAGCCAGTCCCCCTTCGCCGCCGATTCTTCTCCCTCCAACACCCTTCCTCCCCCACAACAACAACAACAACAACAACAACAACAGGAGGATCAATACCCTCCTGCTGGCAGTAGCAGCAACAACAACAACAACCATGCTCCTGCTGCACCACCAACAGACTCACCCTTTATCTTCCCTCACTATCCTACACAACAACCCTACAACTCTCCGTCCTCCCAACAACCTCGACCCAACAACAAGGGTTCATTTAAAAACGTCCAAGGTAACCATCCCTTTTCACTCGCCCGTTGATCCATATTTTGCGATCTCTGCAAACCCTGTCTAACATAACGATACCCTTTGCAACTAGTCCCGGAAGATGCCCCGCCTATGTACACAGAGGAACCAACGCCGATGGCTCCACCACCAACGCCACTTTCGATTCCTCAACCAAGCGCCACTGCACCTCCCAGTCCAAGTCCGGCAACAACAGGCGCACCTCAATCAGCTCACCCATACCCACAACCACAGGTTCAACCACATCCTCCACAAGAGTCTCTTCCACGAGTACTTCCTGTACAGACCCGACAAGCACCTTATCACCATCCTCAATCTCCTGTTCTTCACCAGCCATCCGTACTCCCTACTGAACAAACCCCTCTCTCACCTCAGATGTACTCGCCAACAGCGCCTACATCACCTCGACAGGATCGCCCACCACCACCAGCACCGCAGACAATACCTGCATCGTACGGAGCCATTCGTCCTCCTCATCATCAAGGGCACAGTCGTGGCCCCCAGAGATCTCGACCCAGAACGCCACTGTCCGCAGGAAACAGTGGCAGCGAGAGCAACAGTGGCAGTGAGGATGAGGAAGAGAGGATAGCTGCAGGAGGTACGCACACAGCACACACAGCCATTATTTTCATTTCCGTTTGTGGCAACGAAAACTCCAAAAAATGTTCGCTTTGTTTCTTCGGGGGATGAAAATAATCGGAAGTCGACAGCAGAGAAACTTACGGAACTCTTTTTCGTTTTCTGTTGCTTTTGTAGAACGACATAGGAGGAGGAAGGCGATTAAGAAGCACCTCTCGGGGTGCACTTGCAACAAATTCTGTTGGTTACTTATTTTCCTCGTCTTATTATCTTTCTGGACATCGCCCATCGAGGTACACACATATTTTGATTGCGCCTTTCGTAACCACAAAAAAAAAGACGGCGTGTGTTCGTATTTCGAGCTTTGTCCACTTTAGTTCTGTCACTCATACACGATTTATGTTGTATGTTGCACCAATTAGAAGACTATCAAGGACCCATGTTTGCTGATGGCTGAAAGACGACTTGAGCCCGAACTTGAGATTTATTCAATTGGAAAAGCATCTCACAAGGACATAACCCTCGACATCATGGAGCACATTGTAAGGTCAATGCAGCTCTTTTTGTTGTTTTCAGTCAAAAGAAGAAGACAGGGTGAAAGAAACGAACGACAGTCGATTGATCGCGTTCTTTTTTCTTCATTTGGGCGATAGCTTGGAGATGTCACCGTGGTGGAGGCAGACAGCTGGTCGCAGGATTGGATCAGTGTCAATATCTACAAGACCTTCAGTCATCCGGACGTGAACGACATCATCAACCTTAGTGTCAAATTCGACTCGTCGTTCACCAACGTGGCCATACGGGCAGATCTCAACTCGACCGATCCAACAGAGCGCGAAAGGGAAGCCAGGATCATGAAGAACCACTGTGCTAGGATAGATGTCGAATTCGTCTTCCCCAAGTACAGTGACAATGTCAAGCGACTATTTGTCAAGACACAGAAGGGCGATATCCGCATTCGGACCGAGGGTACGACCGTAGTCTTTAGCGAGTTGCATCTAGAGACCCTTGCGGGCGATGTTCTTTTTGAGGCGGGAACTGTTCGGACTAGTACGACCATCAAGACCGGCAGAGGCAAGGTTCAGGGGACGATCAGGACATTGGAAAAGGTCGAGGTCTCGACGGCTATAGGCGATATCGCGTTGGTTGTTGACGCCCGGCCAGGACTTCATGGCACGGGCGATGGCAAATTCAATATCACTCTTCAGTCTGCCAAGAGCTCCATTGACTTGGGACTGGTAAGAACAAGGGCAGTTTTTTGATATTTGTTCTGGTGCCAAGCATTTTTTTTCGTTCTATTATGCTTAGACTTTAATTTTTCCTTTCCTTGTGAATAGTCCGAGAAATACACGGGTTTGTTCTCACTGGAGTCTGGCATTGACAGGCCCACATTTGGCCTCTCGCCTAACTACACAAATACCATTCGGATCAGCAAGAAGACGGCAACCTTGCTGTCGGGCTGGGTATGGGATGGATTCTCTAACAGTCCTCGTAGTTTGCCAAGCGTGTCTGCCACTGCTCTCAATGGCCGTGTCCACGCCCAGGTCCTCAACAAGCCCAAGAAGACAAAATAAAAAGATGTGTCACGCCATGTATTTAATCTGATCGTAATTCTATTCAACTACTTGAACTGTTTGGCGCGCTTTTTCTCTGTTACCCATCAGTCGCTTTCAAATCTCCCTTTACCTTTGGTTGCACAATCAATCCTTTGGAACCAAAAAGTCAGGACAGTGGACACCACAACGATAGAAAACACAACACCTAGGATCTGAGCAACCACAGCAGGCCCATCGCACCCCGTCTCACACGCCCCCAAAGACATCTCCTCGCCGATGACTTCCTGGGTCAACCACACAGCTGCCTCCATGCAGAACCCTACAGGCACAACCCCTTCGTCTCGTCGCACCCCAGGAGGATCTGACCGCGGATCACCCGCACCTTCAACCTACTCTCCACGAACAAGTCGCCACCCATCTCAAACCATTGCCCCCCAGACGACCCCTTACCCACCACCACCCCATCAACAACAACAACAGCAGACTGTCTTTAGACCTTACCAACCACCAGTACAACCCCACCCCCAGCAACACCAGCAGCAGCAGCGTCAACAACCACTGCCAATTTACCCTAACGGAACAGCACCAGCACCCGTACAGCATCATCACCACCACCCCTACGCACCACAGGGCTTCTCTCCCTCAGCCACCGGATCTAACAGGGGAGGCGGAAGGGGCGGAGAAATGACCGCCGGCGTTATGGGAACCTACAGCACATATGCGTCCAGGATACGGGAAGCCAACAGTGCATTGATCCTCCCACCTGCTCTGGGTCGCCGTGCCAAGCGTGCAGTGGTGTCGATGGCCGAGTCTGATGAGGATGATTGGGACTTTGAGGATAACTCGAGGGGTACACCGACTTCTCGTGCGCAGCGTCAGCAGCAGGCTCAGTTGGAAAAGGAGCGGTTGGAGAAGGAGAAGAAGGCTTGGACCCGTCGTGCTCGCAAAACGCGTCATCCTATCCAGTAAGCTTTCCATCAAAGCTTTCTGAGGTATTATTATTTTCCTTTTGCTTGATTGTCATTCCTTTTTTTCTTAACGTTCGTCTTTGTTCATCCACAACTCAACTAGTTCACAGAAGGATCTGGACGCAGTGGCGGATCAGGATGCGATCCTGGTGCCCATCAGGCTGGACATTGACACAGACGATTACCGGCTCAGGGATACATTCACCTGGAATGTGAACGAGCAGTTGATGACTCCCGAGAGCTTTGCCGAGATCCTTTGTGATGATCTTGATCTCTCGACTGCAAAGTTTGTTCCAGAGATAGCCCAGTCTATCCGTAACCAGATTGCCGAATTTGAGCCTGTTGCTGAGGTCCAAGTTCCTAATGAAGGATCTCGAGTTGTGATCCAGGTACGGATTCCTGGTTCGCAATTGTGCGCTGTGAAACTCTACCATACAAGTTGATTCAAACAATCGCGAACGGACAGAGATTAATCTCACACATTCTACCCCTTTTTTTCATTTTACTACATGTATCCAACCATAGCTGGACCTACATGTGGGAGGAATCAACTTGCGGGACAGGTTCGAATGGGACGTTGGCTCGGAACTGACGCCCGAGGAATTCTCGCGTCAGCTGGCCGCAGATTTGGGCATCGGCGGCGAATTCGTTACCATGATTGCACACGAGATCCATGAACAGCTCTATCGGTTCAAACAGGACAGGCTTCTGGACCGCGGGTTTGAGGCTGAACCGTTGTACTCGGGATTCAGACATTTGGAGGACGCTGAGGCCTGGGCGCCTGCGCTTGAGACCCTCACTGCGGAAGAGTATGAGCGTGTTCTTGAAGACCGCGAGCGTAGCGTTCGGTAAGTTTTTTTTTCGACACATTTTTGTGTTATTTTGTCCTTTTGTTCTCGTTTGTCATATAAGCGAATTGTCTTTTTTTTTGCGGCATAGTTTGCTAACATCCATTCCATCCATTTTTCCTGTTGCAAATGTAAATAGCCGGAACAGAAGAGCGACATCGAGCTACGTCAAACGCCGCGGCGGACCCGTCTACGCAGCCTCCAGCGCACCAGGAATCGGCATCGGATCAGGATACATCAGCAAGATCGCCACCAAACGTGGCCGTAGCGCCCCATCCTCTCAGCGACACCTTGCCATGGTCGACACGGCAGCCTTTGAAAACTGGCAATGTCAGCATTGTGGCCTGAGTGCGCATTCCACAGTCCATTTGCGTGCTGGTCCTGGGGGTGATAAGACGCTTTGTAATACTTGTGGGCTTTCATGGGCTGTTCATGGGGGTGTTTTGCCGGACGAGCGGTTGGATCTTTTCAGGATTGCGCCTATTGCTGCTGTTGCTGCTGCAGATGTGCAGATGATAGTAGAGGGGAGTGTCAAGGATGATGAACAGGAGGTTGAGACTCCTTCAGGAGTGACTAGCAGCAGTGTTGGAACTCCTGCACTTGTCTCGGAAGTTGGCGCTTAGATTCCTTGTTTTTTTTTTTTTTGGCTACACACTTTTTTTTCCCCCTCACCTAGACAACACCAACCATTTTTCTTGTTCTTTAGTTTTTTTTTTTTTGCTCCCATTACATTTTACACACATTCTTCACATACACTTTACACTTGTTACAAAAAATAAATATAATTCGCCGTAGAAAAAAGAAAAAAAAAAACTTGGTATTGTGAAATCGAAAACACGATTCAAGAAAAAATATATGTATAAAAAAAAGGCGCACTAATGCTCATGAGCAGCAGCTGTTGCACCTGCAGCGGCGGTGGCGACGGCAGTTTTGGGAGTTGCAGATTGAGGTTGAGTTGGAGGCTTGGGCTGAATACGAGAGCTTTTGCGCTTGAATCCTCCACCAGTCGTCAAAGTCACACCATCTGAAGTTGCAGCAGGGGCACCATTGCCAGAAGCCGAGTTATTACCATTGGCAACATCCTTGTTCTTGCGCCCTCCTCCACCACCACCAGCACCACCAGCACCACCAGCACCACCGGCACCACCGAAAGCGGCACCGCCTTCTTTAGTCTTGCCAAGGAGGAGCTTGTGCGTCTTGGCCAGGACTGGGAATTGTGGATTCAACTGCTGCTGCTGCTGCTGCTGCTGTTGACCCTGATGTGGCCCTTGCTGCTGACCCTGTTGTTGCTTATTCATCTGTCGATTGAGCTGCTTATTCAACTGCTTCTGCTGCTTCTGCTGCTTCTTCTGAGCTTGCTGTGCCAGTAGCTGTTGTTGGATCTGCAAATGCTTCTGTTGGAGATGTTGAGCAAACTGGTCTCCCAATGGCTGCTGAGTCGGCTTGTTGTTGTTGTTGTTGTTGTTGCTGTTGGTGATGTTGCTGTTGCTGTTGTCGCTGGTGTTGGTGCTGCTGAGCTGGGTGGTATCGTTACTGCCAGCTCCGACGACAACAGGTTGCTGAGAGACGGTCTGCTTGAGGCTAACAGAGTTGGTAGCACGAGCTACGGCGGAGGCAAAGACGGCCGCTGCGACGGCTCCCTCTCTCGCAGTTCCTCTAAGAGGAGAAGCAGCAGCAGGAGGAGGAGCAGGAACAGGTGCCACAGAACCGGACGCGGCCGTACCAGCAACACCAGTAGAATCAGCGGCGGTAACAGAATGGAGTGTCCGAGCAACAGATCGCCTCTGGCGACGTTTTCGAGACCTGGAATCACCGTCGGGACCACCCTGCTGTGAATCATTGTCGTCACCGGCGTCATCGTCTCCATCAACAGCTCCTCCTTCAGAATCCCCAGCATCAAACGCAGCGGTCGCGTTCTTCTTGCCATCGGTATGTCCTGAGGCGATCACGGCGGCGCTCGCAACGACTTGAACGACGGCTGGTTCCTGAACAGGCTGTTGAGCGGCTTCTGCGGTGGCAGGAGTGGACGCTATCGAACTGGATATGTTCCGTGACGAGGACGAGGACGATCCAGCTTGGTGGTCGCGTGAAGCCTTGTGCGACTCTCGCTGCTCGCGTCTAATCTCCTTTCTCTCCAGCTTCCTTTCCGTCTTCTTCTCCCTCGATCGATGGGTCTCAGTCGCTCCAGGTCCAATCACGGTCTTCTCTTGTACTTGTCCCTGTGCCTGGACAGGGGTTTCAGCCACCTTGACCTGAGGGTGAACAGGAGGTGCCTGTTGAACCTGAACAGGCGTCCGTGGTCGCACAGCAGCAATCTTGACCTGAGCAGCAGCACGAGCCTGCTTGGACGCAAGTATCTTTTCCTGCGCAGGTGTCAAGCCACCCTTACGGCCCCCAGGTGGGTACCGTCCCCTCGCAAACTCCTCGTCATCATCAGCATGTCCCGAAATGGTCTCAAACGCGCCCTGGAAATCTCCACGACTCAACGTCAGATACAACGTCTCAAAAATAGTCCACACCCTGACCAAATGTCGGCCCGAACACGATCCTGCAACATTACGGTCGAGGATAAACGGGTCCATGACAATCAGTTTCTTCTCGCCCCTGCCACGCTGAGGGGGTTTGACGTTCGGGTTGCCATTCTTGCGGGCCTTGGTCAGTTCCTCTCGGGTGCGGACTCCGCCACCAACACGGACATTGACCTCCATGGTTTGGTAGTCGTAAAATCGGGAGTAAAACTCAAAAAACTCGATCAACAGCTGGCCGACAGATTTGGTGTTGGCGGCGCCAAAGTCTTTGTAGCGTCCTGGGTCCCGATCAAATGTGCAGTTGATGACATCCTTGCCGCCGCGACCCTCGTGGTTCATCTGGACATAGAGCTCCGTCATGTGCGACTCGGGTTGCATCTGCAAGGCGGGTAAAACTGGCGGTTCCTAGAAAATGGAAATCAATAGTAAGTACAGTTGAGCCGTCAGTTTCACATCCAGGGTTTCTCATCCTGTTTAGATATGCGGACGAAATTATATCTCACACATTCTTTACCTGTGCCTGCAAGAACCCAATAGCCATCATGACATAGGCATAACTACTCAACCAAGACTGACTCGAATCATTGATCCCATGCTTCTTGACCAACGTCTTGAGACTGTACAGGAACGGTCGTACTCGATCGTCAATCATGGTGTAGCAACGGATCAGCTCGCTGTTGTGGATCCCGAGGACATGGTTAGTGTTCACATCACATTTGGTCCTGGTCGCTGGGTCGACAAACTTGACAATGGGAACGCGTGCATTCGTGATCGGCTGGACTTGAATCATCCCCCCGCGTCGTAGGACATTGGCGACCGCGCGAACATTGTTGTATGAGGCTGTTTGTTGAAAGTGGTCAGTTGTGATGCATAGATCGGCGTCGCTCGATTCCGAACCCAATCCACTTGCATATGACCTACAATATTCAAATAAATAAGCGTGTATTAATTAGACATTCCTCTCGGTCGGCGAAATCTACGGAGCACGACAGTCTCGAATGAAAATACTTATAGAGTACATACCCAAAGACTTCAAGACGCAATTTTTGGCCTGGGAAACCAGCATTCAAAATCCCCTGAAGCTTCTGCACAAGCATGGTGCGCCTGGTCATATACTCCTGACTCGGCACCAATCTCTGATAAAGCTCCATGATCCCGTCGCCCACAGTCTTGAAAGCGCCCTCGGCCGGCACAACCAAGGGCAGATCAAACAAGCCCTGTAACCCGTATGTCGGCTTGCGATCACCTTTCCCTTTAGCCTCTACAATCTGTAACCCCTTCAATCGCTGACTGATCTCGCCCAGATGGTGCGCCGCCGCCTGACTCATAACAGCATCCGAGGTGCCCATAGCCTTCTCGGCCTGCTTCCTTGCCTGGATCTCACGACGTCGTTGGGCGTACCTGGACCCATAGGGCATCAGCAGTTCCGGTTCCGAGCGATCAATGTCAGATGTTGTGATGGTGCGGTTCCAGTAATCTTTACGGAGTCTGAACAATACTCGGGCGACCATGTCCTGATACTCTGGGTTGACATGACCATATCGATCGTTAAACTCCTTGATCTGGACCTCGTTGAGCGCCGGGATGAAATAGCTGTCCGAGACCGAAAGCCGTCCTGATGGGAATACGATGCCTGCCTTGACAAAGACAACGTTGTCTTCATCGTGACCTTGTTGCTGATCAGAGCGGTCTTGATCCTGTACCTCAACATCACTGTCCGCTTCCTGTGCATGCTCCTGCTCCTGTTCCTGTTCCTGTGCATGCTCCTGCTGCAGATCACTCTTATCTCCATCATGACGACCATGATCACCATCCTGATCCACACGAACAGCCTTTGCAGCAAGAAGGGTACCCCCGCCACCGCGACAGCCTTCCGCATCCAAAAAGTACCCATTACACCCCCCAATGTCCCTCACATACATCTTGACCCTCTCAACATCCTCCAACCCAGCATCCTCCAACTCATTCTCCGCCAATGCGCTCACGCCATGCTTCGGGTGTACTTCATGGTACGCACGACAGACCTCCTGGGCGATTTCAAAAGCTCTAGCCAGACGGGTATAGAACAAAGGTACGAGGATCGGTTTGTTGGAGTTGTTGATCCCGCGGACGGGGGCCGATCTGGAACGGTGGAGGGTCGATTCTTCAAGGAGGATCGTGTCAAAAATTAGGTCAATGAACCTAGGTCTTGCTTCTACTTCTCCTCCTCCTCCTCTTCCTGAAGCCTTTGCCTCTGCTCCTGGGGTCGAGACTGCTGCCACAGGGGAGGGTTGCATGGGCTCTTCCTCTGTGTGAAGGGCGGTGGCGGTGGTGGTGGCGTTGGTGGCGCTGGGTTCAGCTGTAGTAGATACCTACAACCACAAAGAGAGGTAGGTCGTGAAAACGCGGTGTGAGCTCAACATGGAAAATAAAATAAAATGAGAGCGCCATGCAAAACTGCGGCGTAATGGAGGTGATGGCATTCAAAAGGGGAAGGTGTGGTTACCTCCATTGGATGAGCGACTTTTGTGCAAGGGTGTTGTGCTTTGTTGGGTGTAGAAAAGAGGGAAGGCGAATGAACAAGGGACAGAGAGAGAGAGAGAGAAAGAGGAGCGATGGTATTGAAGGTCAAACCAACGACTGAAAAAAGTGAACCTCCCCCCTGGGTCCCGAACACAAAGAAAGCGCACTGCACTGCGGCCCATTCGAAACAGTCACTGTGACAGACTTCAAAGCCTTCGCCGCAAATGCATGCTAATTTACTACAAGGTAAGGAGACCCTGCAAGCCTTGTTTTTTGTTTGTAGTTGTTGACACACAATGAGAAATTATCTTGAAAGGACATGGATGACTCCCATTACCATCCATGATTCAAATAAGATAAAGTACCTGTTTGAGCACGGCCTTTGTTTGTATAGATATGCTTTACTTTTTTTTCTAGAGGACTATCTGGCGCGCCATATCAAGTTCTGCCGTGCCTACGTGCGTGTTGAGTTTAAGACTCGAGTACCTGCCCCGAGGTGTTTGTCCCGTCTCAGTCCGCCAGCCCTTCAATACCCTGTCCGATTCGTACTTGACCTTGGTCGTCTCCATATCTACATGATGAATGCCGACAGAACCACTCCCTGCCTCCACTCGGAATGATCCCACATATGGAGTCGTCTAACCATGCTCAAGAAGGAACGACAATGTTGGTCAGTAATTTGCAAAGTAACACTCCTCAGATGAAAAAAGCGCGCTCGCAAGAAGATGACATAACTTACCAGGCCAACGTCAATATTACCGTTAGTAACAATGATCTTGCCTGTCATCACGTCAGTAGATTGGGTGACATTTAGGGACACATATCCATCGACCATAAGCACGGACATCGAAGGGCCAACCACTACATTGCCCTCAATCAATCCAACACTTCCTCCCAACGTCATCGCCATCACATCGGCATCAATCCGCGTGTATCCTGTCACGACTCGTGTGCTAAGGTCCTTGATCTGGAGCGGGTGATTTGGGAGGAGCATTGCCAGCGTAACATCCCCTTCGTCCACAATAATCTTCAATTTTTCCATCACCCTCATCCGTGGTGACAACGACAACCGGATTGTAACCGACATACAGTCGTTAGATTCAAATCCGGGATCCTTGTAGAGTTCCAGCCTGAGTTGACCCGTGGACGGGTCAACTCCGGATTGAACAAGGAGCTTCTTCTTAAACTCATCTCGGTCCCTTGCTGTCCCAAAAATCGCGATCTCTGACATGTCTGGATCCTCGCCTGCATGGTCCCGTTGCTCCAGAATCACCGTCGTGGTCTATTGTTGTTTTAAGTTTTGGTGAAGGGATAAGTTATATGGCAGCGTAATTAAAGTGCTCGACCTAAGCATAAGAGCATTTGACAGCAGGAAAGCAAAAGCTGCGAACAAACATACCACGCCGTTGGAAGAAATGAACATGTCGTTGATTTTGAGAGGGATGGAGTGGCTGAGAATTGGCCTTGTGAATCCACAACTTCCGTTCCCACTCTATATTTCATTATTTTTTCGCAAGCAGTTCAACGAAAACAAACTTCAGTAACGAATAACACAAGCATAATGTGTAAGTAGCAATCAAAACCAAGGTGCGACAACAGCCTACAAATATCAAACACTTACATCGTCGTCTTCATCGTGGACAGTTATGGAGAGAAGGACGACCACTGCCAAGAAGATCAGCCAGAACTTGTTGAACCTACGAGATCCATCATCAGAGTCACCATCTAATGTGTCCAATATTGCCAAGAAGCAAACACAATGTCAGAAAAATAAGGCGCTTCTTGCAAAGATTATGACATTTTCTCTTATAACTTTTAACATTTCCATTATCCAAAACGACAAATGCGGTGTCCTGGAATCGTACATGTAGACCTGGGTGACCCTGGGGTGTAGGGTGTGGCGGGTGGGATGGTCGAGTATGAAGTTGCAGGAGGTCCTGAGGAGGGCAGGAGTGGCGCAGAGGGATTAGTGTATCCATGGTTGTTGTTGTCTCCGTAATAGTTCTGTGGTGCCCTTGGTGGTTGTGCTACTTCATCGTATGCAGGTGGCGGTTGGTCGTCTAGTGATATGTACATGTTTAGGGAGAAGGATAGTGAATATCAGACGGTTCCTTAGCACTGTTGCGAAGTATGGAATGTGAAACCATTATTTTCGTTGGCCGGACAAATACCTTCAGGATAATGCTGTGCACCCTGTTGGGCGGGTATTGCGAAAGGTACTGTTGGTGCTGCTGCTGGGTGTTGTTGCGGAGAAGTAGCTGCTGACGGTTGGCTGCTTGTTGTCGCTATTGGAGGTGCGAAGGGGATAGAAGGGGAACGGATAGAAGGGGAACGGGTAGGAAAAGTTGAGGAAGGTACGTCGTTAAACCCTACGGCGTAAGGAGATTGCTGTCCGAAAGTCGACTGTTCTTCCTCGGGGATGAGGACAGATGGGTTGACGCCCTTGCGGTCCTTGGAGGCAGCCATATGTTGGCTGTGTGGGAAGGTGTGTTGTTGGTTGGAAAAGAATGAGGGTGTGTGAATGAATGGGCGAAGGAGGAGAAGAGGGTTGATGGAAAGTGGGAAGGTGTGGTGAGAATGAAATCATTTGTCACGTCAGTGTTGCACACGCCCTTAAGAGGATATTCACCTGTGGGGCGCATTAAGAACTGAGAACATGAGAATGCATTTCTTTGTTCCACGGAGACCATCAAAAGCCAATGTTTTATTTTCATACAAGTATTCTTTTTTTTCTCTTCCTAGGCTCCGACACGCTTCTTCATCTTGATCACATAACTCTCGGTCGCAAACGCGGTCGTAATAAACTGCACATAGTCCTCTCTCTGTCGGGGAACATACTCGATATCATACGTCGTCAGAATCGTCGCCAAAATCAATCTCATCTCCATCCTATCCATCATCCACATGGAGCATGGTATGATAATAGTTAGCAAACACGGGCGCAAACGAAAATGAAAAAAGGTGAATATGAGGACTGCTTAGAACACAAACACTTACATGGCAAAGTTCTTGCCAACACAGTTGCGGGTGCCAGCAGAGAAGGGATAGAACGTGAAATCCTGGATGGGAGGGAAGGGCGATTCCTCGGGGATCCATCTCTCAGGGAAGAAGTTGTTGGGCTCAGGGAAATAGTCCGCATTGTGGTGCAACTGTGAAATTTGTGCCAGCACGACTATTGGGAAAAAAATGAAGACCGTGTAATAGTTAGACACACGAGGTAGGAACTCACAGCGGTTGCGAACTGTGAAATGAAAGCAACCTACTTGTCCCCTTGGGAATGTTGTATCCTCCCATGATCGTATCTTCATTCACTTCTCGAGGCAACCCTAAAATGATGAACAAGATAACGCGTCAGAAAATAACAACAACTACTCATTGTCAGGCAAAAGAAAACACAATGTCGTTTACCAGTGGCAGCAACGGGGCGCAAACGCATTGACTCGTTGATGCAGGCTGAGAGATAGGTCAACTTGCGGACTTGATCATAGGTAGGCAGAGCTCCTGTAGGATTGCTTGCAGTGGCCTGATCAAGTTCCTCGCGCAATCTCCTCAATGCCTTGGGGTTTTTAACAAGGTACATCAGTGCGACCGTAATTGCCGTCGATGAAGTCTCTGATCCAGCAATCCTACGTAGAAAAGAATAGAGTGGTGGTTTAGTGGGTTGCGGACCAAATTACTCATTTTCCCAGTGCGCCTTGCGATTTGCAACTCGAAACAAAACACAAGCCGGAACCTACAGGAAAACAAGGGCCTCGGTTTGGACAGCTCGGTCGGTCAACTTTCCGGCAATCATGTCCGCATATTCATCCCCCGTTTCGCCATTGCCGCTCGCCCGCTCGTTCGCCTGAGCATCAATCAAGAACTGCAACAGATCCGCTCTCCTGCCTGCCTCCCCTGCCTGTCGCCTAACATTAACGCGCTCAACCGAAAAGTCGATAAACGAGTAGTCGATTGGAACAAACCAGCGCATCCAGGGGTTGAACGTCTGTTGCATACTACGCTTCAAACTCTTTGCCATCTGTTTAGGGATAGGATGGTTGTCGTCCTTAACCATGTCGAACGACTCTCCAAAGGCCGTCTCGCCGATAATGTCGAGTGAGAGTCGGTTCATGAACGAGCAAATGTTGATGTGTCCCTTGGGGAGGACCTTGGCTCCGTTCTGAACTGAGGTTGGGTCCTGCAGAATTTCGTCGATTTTTCGAATCATAATGTGGATGCAATCCCCCATGATGGGTTCCAGCGATCGAAGGTACTGTAATCCGAATGCTGGAGCAACAAGTCGTCTCTAGATACGTGAAAGCAATGCACAGCGTTAGAACGACGTGTCAAGGGGCCTCAAAGCACAAAGTCCCTATATATCTGTCATGGCGGGTTTACCCTGTTCTTGTGAAAATCTTTGTTGCGCGAGGAAAATAGACTGTGCTGCTTGTAAAGTTCTAGTCCCTCATGGATCTCGCTTTTAGGATAGTCAGATGCAACAAGAATCTCGTGGATGGCGTCCTTGTCCGCGACCGATACAATGTTGGGTGCTATGACGAACAATGAGATAGTGACAATGTTAGAGGATATTGCAGTAGGAAGGTTCCTCCAGGTGAATGAATGCAGGGCTGGAAGTACTTGCCTACTCGCACGATCTTTCCGTACCGCTCATGTGTCTTTGGCAGGAAGTAATGGCTATGTGGATCAATCGACAGATCAATGGCATTAGATATTGTGGGTCACGATATGTTAATTGCACACCAACCACGCAACGAAATGTGTACCTTCGTCCAGTGTAAACGCCCAGCCCAGTGAACACATAGGTGAATGCAAAGAGACCTGCAGGGAGATGGCTCAAGCGGTCAAAATAGCGAGTAATAATGAACTATTCAAGCAAGAGACGAAAGAAGAAAAGTGTTACCGAAACATGCCACAGACAAGGTTAAAGTAACGTCGAAAGCAATTAAAGTGAGAACACGGAAAAATCTTTGTGGAGAGATAACGATAGAGTGTAGGGAATGAGCAACGAAAGACAGACAGGGGTGCAGAGGACCGGAGAGCCTGTATTACCTTTCGAAGGGTATTCAAGAAGACGAACGTGGCAATGATCCTGACGATGCTCCGGGGTTTCTTCAAGTCCGCCAAGGATTTCGGATACTTGTCCAAGAATGCCTTTAGGAACGGCCAGTTGTTCAGTGTGGACAAGACTGCCATGTTTTATTAGGGGTAGAGGGAACGATGAGCAACAGCAGATTGAGGGAGTAGTTGTTCGGTGTGTGAGTTGCGAGGAAGAACGAGAAGAAGAGAGGGGGAAAGAAAAGAATGAGTAAAAGCGCGGAAAAAGAAGCGAACGCTGAGAAAAAATAAGGTCGACGAAAAAGCCCCGAGAAGGAAGCGGGGGATGGGGTGGATTGACTCTTTACACGGCGTGGATGACCCCATTTCCTTGCATTTCGGCTGGCGGTTTGTGCTCACCTTGCACACACGTACCTCCTCCTTCTTTTCGTCTAACGCTCATCAGCCGAGGAGTTGAACAAGGGACGAAGGGAAGTCACAGACAGCGGCAGTGGCTAATGGGAGAGAAGCGGGAAGAATGGGAAAAAAAGGAAACCGGTATGTTTGTCTGCTGCTGGCCATGATTCCCACGTACAGATTGAGGATCTACTGCCACTTCCTTGGCGACCAATTGCTCCGAGGGTGATGCCTCGTGGCGAATTCGTCTATCAACAAGCCATGAGCCGAGGATACCGACCCTTAAAACCTGTATTCTTGTTCTAACTTACAAGATCACTCTGTCAAAGAAAAAGAAGCAGAGGAATGGCATCACCGTTACCAAAGAACTGTAAGCGGGATGCTAACGCCAAAGGCAAGTGAGCCCTAGTCCAGGCAGGTGCATGGATCGACCTGATGCAACTGCACTGCGCAGCTGTATGTCTAACAAGTTGGGCGCGTTTCATCGACGTGATTTTGGTATCTGAGGAATAATAACGCGTGTGTGAGAGTGACGGTCAGGATAGCCGTCTCGCATGGACCAAGCAAGAGTCATCAATGGACAGAAGAGAGAAGCAATGCTTTGCTTGGACTGAGGGGATGCCCTTTGTCCCGAATGACGTGTTCGAAGTGCTTTTTGGCGCTCAACAATGCCTGAATGTCTGTCCCCGCACACCCAGTCACATCTAAATTCTCCTCCTTTGCAAGAAGGCATAAAAAGGTGCGCAGAGCTCCTCCATTTCTCTTTTCTTCTTTTCTTCTTTTCTCATCTCATTCCATCAACCAACACACTCTTCCCCTCTCCCACCCTCAAACCAACTACATACACAACATGACTGTCAAGGCTGTCTGCGTCTTCCGCTCCAACGACAAGAACGTCACCGGAACCATCCACTTCACCCAGGAGAACGAGGCTGCTCCCGTCCACGTCAAGGCCGAGCTCGCCGGTTTGGCCCCCGGTCTCCACGGATTCCACATCCAGTAAGTCTATTCTACACACATACGACTGCGCTGCGCTGTTTTTTCTGGGATATACTCGTCTTGATGATGATCGCGTCGGTCGATCTGTATTTCACGCCATCGATACCAGAATCGCGTATGTGTGATAAAGAAGAGAGTGTTGTGTGTCTGTCGTCGTTCGTGGTGGTGGTACGTTTTTGAAGGAATTTTTATGGTTTCCTATTCGACCCGGGAACATGATCAACAAGGGTGAGAAAGAGGAGATATAGATCGAGCAGTCGCCTCCTCCATCACACCATACACCCATACATACGCCATATCGACTCTCTCTCTTCCTCTCCGGAAAAAAGACAGCATCCTCTTGCAGGCAATTGCGTGAGAATTGCTGCAGCAACGAAAAGCGATCCCTTCTTACCCTCCTCCCCTTCATCCTTACACAGTCTCTCTCCTTTAACCTCCCCCTCTTCTCGTTGTGTCATTATTTGCCAATTGCACGCATTCGCATAACAAAAAATCTTCTGACACTAATCTTTTTTTTCCCTTGAAACTTATAGCGAGTTCGGTGACAACACCAACGGATGCTTGTCTGCCGGTGGTCACTTCAACCCCCACGGCCAAACCCACGGTGCCCCCACTGCCCAGATCCGTCACGCTGGTGATCTCGGAAACGTCACCGCCGGCGCCGACGGCAAGGCCACCTTCGACGGCAGCGACTCCCAGCTCAAGCTCATCGGACACCACAGCATCATCGGGTACGTTTCCTTCTCTTTTTCTCTAGATGGGGGGAAGAAGGCTCTCATTCTTTCTTTCTCGTTCTTTCTATGGATGGATAGCAGACGAGTCGGTTCAAATTCATATCTGATCGCAATTCCTAACGCCTCTTTTCCTTTCTCTCTTGATTGTCGCCTTACTTTCATAGACGCACCGTTGTTGTCCACGAGGGTGAGGATGATCTCGGACTCGGTGGTCACGAGCTCTCCCCCTCCACCGGTAACGCTGGCGGTCGTCTCGCCTGCGGTGTCATTGGTGTCACCAAGTAAATATCTCCTCCTTCCTCCACCAACAATCTTGGATTGTGTCGCGTGAAGAGAATAACAACAAAAAAAGCAAGGAGTCGAGGGGATGAGAGAATGTAGCGGGAGCTCAATTGGACACCCACCAAAAAAAAACACTTTAGGAGGAACGTATCAGCGCGATCGTTTTCCTTTTTGCTTCTATTTCCTTTTCTTTTCTCTGGCTTGCGCTTCTTTTTCTTGGGATCTTTTAACCTTCGCTCTTTGATTCAAAAAAAAAAACTTGTATATTTTTGTAAAGCGCTTTCTGCAAACAAATAAAACTCCCATCAAACAAACCCACCACAACTTTTTCTGTTTCCAGTGGCATTTGTTCTAATTGCGCAGCGGGAGGGAAGGTGACATGTAAGACCTCTCTCTCTCTTGGTCTGTGCCAAGTAGCGCCCACTTTTACCACTTATAATCACACATGCTACACCCCTCCATGTGCTCTTTTACGACGAATCATTGTCATTTCCGGTTAGATGTATGCATTCGGTAGTTGGGTTTATTATCGCGCGTGTTTTTTGTCTTCTATGTTTAACCATGTGCGATTGTTTGGGTTATGAGAGAAGGGAGGGAGTGAGAATGATGAGGAGGAGGAGAGGGGTTGATTTGTGGTCGCCTGTGGGATTCCTTGACGCATCATAGAGAGTAGGCAGTGTTCTAAAGGTAGTCGAGCAAGAAAACATCGGGATCCCTGGTTAGTTCATTGCTGTCTTTTATAAAATATTGTGTTTTTTTTGTTCCAGAAGTTCCTTGCACCGAGCCGCTCGATCCGGAGTCCCGTTGGGTTCTTCAATGGACCTGCAGGTCTCCAAACTGAAAATATATGGACACAAAACAGCGAGGTAGTCTGCAGCTTGACAAGAATCTGTCCTACAGGTCGGACCAGTCCCACTCCTGAATCCGAATGCAGGACATCCTGGTATTGATGGCTCACTTATCCCTTAAGACAGGGGACCCAAGAAACTGATATCGAACGGGGGGTTGGTGACCAGAAATGGCGCGATTTCAACACCCCCAATTACCGACAGTCTTTTCCATGCTTCCTGATCTCCCTGAAGGTATCAATTGATCCGTTCTGTCTGTACAGCCATGTTTCCTCTCTTTTGCCTCCTTTCCCTTTCCTTTTCCAGTTCTCAATCAGGTCCCGTTTGTCGTTCGTCTGCCCTTCCTGATGATCCGTTTTCCTTGAAGACTCTCTAGACGGCCTCCTTTCCTCCCTTCCAGCTAGAAAACCCTGTTATCGACCCTTCCAAAAAAAAAGGCCCATTGGTCCTGTTTCAACAGGGTTTAAAGATATAAACGCACCATCAGATAGGGGGTGGGAGCCTATTCGTGCCAACACTTTAGTGGTGGGCGTGACCCTCAGAGTGTTCATGATGAGTCTCCTTGGGGGCGGTCACGTATTCGTATCCGAGGTAGGCGGCAAAGGCGACGGTCGCAATGCCGAGACCGGGGAACATGGTGCCGATACGAGCTCTGCGCGTGAACAGCGCATGGTTGCGCCAGGCGTGGTGCTTTGCCCAAGGGTCCTGGAAGTAGGCCATTTGTTTGAATTTGGTGTGTGTGAGGGAGGGGAGGGTGATGAGGACGAAGGGGGGAAAGGGTGGGACACGATCAACAAGATCCGGATTTCCGAGCCGGAGTTTTTGCTGACGTAGTGGAATTGACAGGAGTGGATGGGCTTTGATTCCACAGGGTCAGATATTGAAACCTTGTTTTTTTTGATTGGCACCTTGATGACAAGGAGTTAAAGAACAAGGAACAGCGAACAAGGGACACAAGGTCAATGGACATGTAGACACAAGGACATGCAGACAAAAGTAGGGATAAGAAGCACGGCAGCGCCTTTTTCTATTGAAAACTAACTAAAATTACATGATGCACTGGGAGTATGGATTATCTCTAATAGTCCATAGAGGAGGGGTCACTACAGCTAATAATCATAATCAAGCTTGATGATAGACTTTGTGGCAGGATCCTTATGAACAGCATATGTACAAATATCTCTCATCACCCCTAACTTGGGGATCAAAATCGACTTGCTCGCCAACTCCAACTCCATCCCACTCCTCTCCGCAACCTTCCTCGAGGGCCAGTTCTCGACATACGAAACCGCCCTCACAATATCACACCCCATATCCTTTATCGCAATCTCCTCCACCAAAAACCGCCCCACCTTCGCCGCAAACCCCTTCCCAGTGTGCTCGGGGCTCAACCAGTACCCAATATCGGCCACCACCAACGGAGTTCCAGTGACGGGGTGAACAGGCTGGGGATGCTTCTCGTCATAATGATCGAAATGGAGGTGCGCCCATCCGATTAGGGGTCCGTGGGGGTCAGTCCGCATGGCCCAATGGGTGTTGATCCCAATGGCGGTAACGGTATCGTGGGCCTTTTGGATGCGGTCTTGAGCGTGGGATTCGAGGTAGGGGTATTGGAAGAGGGCAGAGCCGTTGTAGACGTCTTGGTTGATGTTAAGGATCCGGACCATCTCGGGGATATCTGAGAACTCGACCGCCGAGAGATAGAGGGCTGGTTCGGTACAGACGGTGTATGGGCCCATGCATTTGGCTGACTCGCGCGTGAATGATTCTTCTGTGGGTGCTGCTGTCATCTTGAAGGCTTGAATAGGGACTTGACTTGGCTTGGGTGGAGGGACTTGAGAGGAGAGGAAGCTGTTCGATGGAGAGTGAAGAAACAAAAAAAATGGGAAACTCCCTTTTATATGCTGGGTAAAAAGACTGCTCAATTGTCCGGTGGGGATTGCATTTGCTTGGTTGGCTAATTAGATAACTATTTATCCGTTGTGAACCAAAGCAACGTCCGCCCTTTATTTTCTTCTCTCTCCCGTACTCTTTGACACTCACTCCTCTCTCTCCTTCGTCACCCCTTGCTTCCTTGTCTCTCTTATCTTACTTCTCCCCCACCTTCCTTTCCTCTCACAAATTCAACCGTTCGCACTAATCACTACTACCTTCTTTCACCCTCTTTCAACGACAATAGAACATTGATATGCCATGACTCACGAACACCGAACATTTCCTTATTATTTTTTCGATGGGCTTCGTTGATGTTCGATGCTTGAGGAACAAGGATTCACTCCATTTCAAGTAAGGTTAAGGTGTAAAACCAGCAAACGACCCCCCTTCTCTTGAGGTTGCGTGCTTTCAATTGCAATTGGGCCGTTGGGCGCAAGGTGGGAGTTCTATTGTGGATCCGACCAATGTCTCTCATTGGATTGGTCTCTTATCCTTATGCCTTTCCTTCTTTCTCTCAGTCCCTACCCACAATCAACGTCATGTCAGGTCTGGACTCCAGAACGTTTTTCTTTATTTCTTCGAGATACCATGAAATCCTGTACCTCATCACATTTCCCCTTCCCCTCTCCCCCCTTCCCCTAGGTTCAAGGCTGGGCCTTCAAAAGCGTCAAGATATGTCCCTGCAACTCGCCCAACTGATTCGCAAACAACTGTTGCTGCTCCCTCAATTGGGTCTGTTGAGCCACATTCTGTTCCTGCTGCTTGGCCAACTGTTGAAGGAGTAAGAGCATCTGGGCTTGAGAATCTTGTAACTGGTTCTTGACTTGGGTCACTTCCGAGACTCTTCCTTCTCTTTCTGCTCCTGCTCCTCCAAGGTATGTGGTTGGTTGTGAGACTGAGGATGATACTTTTGTTGTTTCTGAAGCTGTAGGCGTACCCGACGACGCATGTTGATGGTGCTGATGATGATGCCCGTGCCCATGAACCTCCTCCTTATCCTCACCCACAACACCATCCCCAGGCGAATGAGAGTGCGAATGCGAATGCGTATGAGAATGAGAATCATCTCCAGCACCTCCCACACCAAGGATCGCCTGCGAAGAAGGAGAAGTCTCCTTGACCGTCACGATCGAATTCTGCTCGTCCAGACTTTCGGAGATCTTGTTGTAGTCCCGGACTTGTTGGGGGGTAGCAGAGTAGTAGATTTCTCTGGGGAACCAGTTGTGGCCCTCTCTAAAGCCTTTTTTGATCACAAAATAAATAGAGAGAAGGAAGAGATGTGGTTAGGGATCATGGAATGGTAGAGTGGGAAATAGAGGAGAGAAGAGATGGGGAGAGAGAGAGAAGAGAGAGAGTAAGTACCTGGGACGTGGTAGGACATGTTCTCGGCGCTCTCAATATATCGAAGGCGGTACTCGATCCACGTCAGGCGCCACGTCTCGTCCCTGTCACTGAACGCCAAACTGATCAACGCTATTAGTTTTTTGAAGGCACGTAAGAAAAAATAATTAGTTCAGTGCCTGTAACGTTCCCTTGCGAAAATAACAATAAACACAAACGCCAAAAAAAAAAAGTAGACTTACAGATGAGAACGCTCAACATGAGGATAACAGCAGAGAAGAGGAAACCCATCATCATCAAATGGAAGGCCACCCGATTGGAATTGAACAGAGGATTGATCGGGTCATAGATCCCGCCCATGAAAAAGTACGTCGCCGAGATTGCTCTGAGGAAATTCGACGGGTAGTCAATATGTTCACAGGCATCGCCAGTACAGGATGGTGAGGAAATGGCGGGGGACCGGAGGAGGTGGAGGAAGGCGATGGTGAAGGCGAGGATGCCGCCGGCAAAGATGAAGAAGAAGACTTTGATCTTTACAAAGATTTGAATGATGATTGTTACAAAGTGACAGACACTCTTGTTCACTCTCAGCTCGAACAACTAAGAAAGAAAAAGTTGACAAATAGTTAACATAATGAACAATGGGTATGGAGTGTAATGACACACGTCAAGTTAGAGGAATATAAAAAAAAGTGAAGGGGAAGAAAACTTACAAAGTGCAGGAAGACAAAGAGGACGGAAAAACTGAGGAGGGCAGGGTTGGCACCAGGAGGGGTGTTGCCCCAGATGATGCACAGCTGGTTGATGCACCCTGCCAACGGCAGCCCATACACAACCAAATCCACAAAGTTGTATATCGACCTATGCATCCACAACAGTAATATAGAGAAACAAACGCGTGAGTAAAATCAATTTCACGAATGGAAATACACAACCATCACTAATAAACCAGAAAAGAGATATTGATCAATACGTACGAGAAATAACCCTTTTTGTCGCGGATCAATTGGATCAGCTCGAGCCAGAGAAAGATTCCCGCGAAGGCCATAATCGCCACAAAAAGACCCGCCATATTGTTGCCCTGATCATTGTACACCTGCAAGAAGACCGTCGTCAGGACGAGGACGTAGTACAAGCATTGGAAGAAGAACCGCATCAGCCAGTACTTGTATCCAATCTTGTTCCTATATGTTTGACAAGATAAAAAATGAGAATGGTGTTAGATATGGGAAAAGCATGAGTATCAAAAAGGAAAGACAAGAAAAGTGAAAAAAAAATGGAGGGGCAATAATACCATTTGTACTCGACGATGGCGGCGATGGCCGGGTGATCAAGAGCCTGAGGGGCATAAGGATGCACATCAATCGCAGAGGTGCTCCAAAGCTTGCGTTTGTGCCACATTATTAACACAGCAGCTTTGATCCAGGTCAACACCCCATTCGGTCGAACCGCCTTGACCAGCGGTCTATGAGCACTCCTCGCCTCAGCATCCTGGTTTTTGCGCAACGACCACAGAAAGTCATCCGAGGTCACATAGAGATCTGCGACAAAGTTGCCGTTGATCGGATCCATAACCTGATCGCGCGTCATTTGGACAACGGGGCTTTTGCACTTATGTAAGGGCCGGGCATTCTGGGCCCAGAACTTCCATCGGAATTCTAGGGGGTGCGTTGTCTGGTGGTGGTCGATTATAAGGGACCGGCTCTTGACGGGGATATAGGCAAGGCGACGGAGGGTTCGCTGAGCCAGCTCCTGGTGTGGATGATTGGGTTCACTCAGGATGGGAAGAGAGCTCAGGACGGGTACGAGGAAGTGGGCGTCGTCTTCGGCGCGGGCCTGGCGGATACAATAATCGATAAACGTCTCGGCCATCGCGATCGCTTGGGGTTGGGTTTTTGCTTTTTCAAGCATCATCTCGACCGGGTTCGACTGCCGGTCAAAGTCCTGTGTAGGAACCCAACGGCCGTAGGGAGAATCAAGGAGGTCCGCAACAAACGGTTGAAGGGTACCATGGTTCTCTGGATCCCACCTCTCACAAATGTACGACAAGATATTCCTGCTGGGGTCTTCAGGAACTGGGTAAGTGTTGAGGTGCTTGCCGACATATTTCAAGATTTCGCGTCGGAAGGTCTCGTCTCCTTGCTTGTACAGATCCGCGAGGATAGGGATGCCGATCAAAAAGTTCTCCGCCGATTCCCGTGTAAAAACTGCTCCGACACGAGGAACCTCGTTCACGACCGGGGACCCATCCGCGTTGATACACATGTACAGCTCTGCAGAAAAGAGCTGATGGTGTGGACAGCAACGCCACCTCCCATCGGGGGCGTGAGCCGCCACCAACAGCTTCAAGTTCCCGTCCAATGTCGTCGGGAGACTCCAGAGTGTAAAGAGTTCTCGGGAAATAATCACCACGCGCGTGCCACAGTCCAAAAAGAACTTTTCCACATAAGAGCCTCCCCACGAAAGACGCTCCAACTCGGGCATCACCAGCTTTTCGACGGGCTCGCCGTTCCCAACGGATGCACTGATGACCACAGAGGTGAGTTGGACCTCGTTGGTCAGCTTCACCAACGTCTCGACACAGCTCTCGATCGTGAACCGGATCCCCGAGGACGAGATGACCTCCTGCTTGTCGTCTGACTTTATAAGGGACAGATTGGCGCGGCACTCGTCATCGCAATCAGGCTTAGGTTTGGACCGCGACTTTGCAATACGGTCCTCGAGGCGGATGAAGTCCAGGGTGGACTGGTGGGCAGTAAGCAGGTCCTGGCTTCCTCCAGTGGATCCTGAACGAGCGCTGGTCGCCGGCAAAGCGAGGTACCTTCCAGGAAGAGAGAATGAATCGACCAAAGCCATATCCTCCACTCGAACGATCAGTCCAAGGAGACCAAGACCCAAATCCTCGTTCCTGGTCTCCACGCGAATCAAGAGATGGGTGTCACCACGAATGAACTGGATGTCGTCAGGAATCTTGTACCGATCCGGCAACAGGAACTTGCCTCGCAGTGTACCCGAGCCGACCCAATGCGTCGAAATGACTCGCTCCTGATACAACGCCAACACGGCGCCATCGTTCGACAGACAAAAGGGCGTCTTCTCATGGAACCGCAATTCCTTTGGATGCAATCGGTGTTTGAGATTGAACGAAACAACCGACCCATCCTCGACATCATAGACTGCAATACCATCATCGTTTCGGACATCCCAGACAAAATTCCTCCCACGCAGTGTATCGATAAGTCGCATACAGGGCAGGTTCAAGTCCAACATAGTATCCTGGGGCCGGTCAAGTCGGACAGTATGAATATGGTGCCATTTTGGGTAGACGCCATAGACATTGACCTCCTGCTCGTTGCACGTCACAAAGAGCTCATCCTTGATATCCTGGTTCTCGAGCGCCGAGATGTGGAACTTTCCGTATCCGAAAAAGTTCTTGAGGCGAACATCGGTCGCAGCCAGGTCGAGGTGTTGTTCCGAGGGTCGAAGGACGGTAGCCACTAAGGGAGTGACCTTCCCCTTCTCGTCAATGGTCGAGTGCGGGCCACAGATGTGATCAAAGACGGCGAAGGAACTCTGCGTGTGCGAGTCCCATTGGGTACCGAGCGTGGTCGCGTCCAATATCGCGACCATGGAGGCATCCCACGACAGCGAGACGCCGACTTGACGACCACTATGAGTCTCTGGCAGCTCAATCGCACTGACTCGAGCACTGCAGCGCGGGCTGAAAGGCTTAGAAACAGGATTGGCGGGAGTCGTCGAGTCCGAGAGGAGGAGAGGCGAATCATTAGCCTTTTCAATGTTGTCAACACTGGCGTTGCTGCTGTCGTAATGGTGATGGTGTTGGATGCTACTGTTGCTACTGTTGCTATGACTGGTGTGGAACTCGTGCGGATCCCGGAGGTCCCAGACATCAAGAAAGACGTGTTGGTCAATAGCGGCGACGGTGGCAACATGGGTTCCGTCTCCAGAGATGGTATAGGCGACAATCTCCATCGTTGGCGAAAGGTCCTCTGACTGCTCGTCGCTGTAGTTCACGTTGATCGACCACACGTACGGCTTATGCACCTTCAACGACGGATCTACCATTACATATGAAGGATACAAGCTGTTAGCTGTTTTTCTATAGGACTCTTAGTCGCCGATTAGAACTACAAGTCAAATCAAATTAACATACCATGGGCACTGAAACTGGTACACTCAATGGGCTCCTTGACCAACTCCATGTAGTGCAACTCGAAGTGTCCTGGATCGACCAATAAGTTGTCGTCGTGGTCGTTCTGGGTCGTACGAACCTCCAACTCCACGACGACAGAGTCGAGGACGTCCTTCTTGAACTGGTTGTGCAACTTCCACCTTGCCAATCCCGTTCCTGCGACTAGATCCAATACAAAGAGAGAGAGAGAGAGAATGCGCGTTAACGAACCATTGCACCTCCTGTGGCATTGTAAATGGCACTGTGTGCATTTTCACAGGTACTTACAGAGATCCTTGACCTCTTGCTTATTAAAGAGCTAAGGATACAATAGGAGGCAACGATGTAGACAATTGTCAGTTCTACTCTTTTCATCTTCCAAGAGCATTAACATCAATTGGGTTCGCCACAAGTTAGATCATTGTTTGTATTTACCTCGGAGGGGTTACTAAAATCTTCGATATACTCGTTCTTCTTGAAGATCCGGAACTCGATCGACTCGATCCGGTCAATGTTGGCATTCCCTGCAGAGATACCCAAGAGTATACTGAACAGACCTGATTTCCTCCCACGCAGATCCAGCTCCCACTATTTCAAGTCAGCAATAAATACCAATTGTGTCAGCATTCCGGTATGGAAAAAAAGAGGTAAAAAATATCAAAAAAGAAGAGCCAAGATGCATTCATCCCCCTCTTTGTCAAGGACTTACGCTTGTCACTCTCCTGCGGATGCTGACCATGACTGGCGGCTGCGGCCTAAACAAAGTAAAAGGCACAAAACATTCGTTAAAATAAACAAAAAGAATTAATAAGAACAGTTACACCAGATCAATCTGCCCCATCCTGTCTTTTTTCTTTCCCTTCACAAAAAAAAAAAAAAACTTACTGGACAGAGGTCCGATAGGTAGGCTTGAGTTCCGCCCCATTCTCCGTCACCTCTGCCGATTGCTCCTCCCCCGTCGCTGATCCCTCCTCACCTCCAGCTTCAATGTTATCGGTAACATCCAGATCATCCGCATCCTCATCCTCACTCTCGTCCTCGTCAATCGACGGCGCAAGCAAGGATTCTGGATCGGGCTGGGAGGTTAGGTAGTCCTTGAAGTACCAACGACGAGAAGACTCGCGGTAGTATCTTGTGTGTGAGAGGGGTAGGGGTAAGTAACGGGTGTCGAGACTTTGGACGATTTCGTCCGTGTCTGGGATTATTAGTGAGACGTGCGACATTTGTTGGCTGGAATGGTATTAGTGTTTTTTTGGTATTAGGATTATTGGTTTTTAAGAGTAGACTCGTTATAGGAAGGGCGGTTGAGTGTGTGCGCGTGTGTGAAAGTGTGGGAAGGAGTGAAGATGGAGTGGAGATCGATGTAATGAAAGCGAAAAAAAAAAAGACGAGGGGTGAATCGTGAGGAAGAAAGAGAGAGAAAAGAGAGAAGGGGGAAGAAGGGATCAGTCATTAATAATGAAAGATGAAAAGTCAACAATGCAAAAGGTTGGAAGAGGAACCATGGAGGGAAGGGAAGGGAAGGGAATGAGAACAGGTGTCCTCTCCCCTCAGTGATTGTATACAGTGTGGATTCAAGCAATGGTATCCCTTCCCCTCCCCCCCTAATCTTCCGAGGAGATCCATCCATGGGCAGGTGCTAAGAGAAAAAAATTGGACCTGGATCTCTGGATGTAGAAGAGCGCTAATTGAATATGGTTTGCCTGTCTGTTTGTTGTATGGATGGTATCGGATTGCGGTGTGGTGTGTAAACGAAGGATGTACGACAACGACAACCATAGCGGGACAATGGAGTGGGAGAAAAATAAACTAAAAGAAGGTTGGTACGCTATGCTAGGCTAAGCAGGCCAAATGTAACCTCCACTTTTCTTCTTCTTCGCCTTGGGTCTCATTCTCATCTCGTTTCCCAACACTCGAACCCCTCGCCATGACCCATGGGGTGGACTGTCAAGAACAAGAAATAGAAAGAAAGGGCAAGGGGAGGACAGTCTAAACCATCTCCTGTCGTCTCAATGCAATGCACATACATCTCTCTACATTCTACCCTCTATCGGCACCATAGTATGCGTGCAAAGCAGATAAAAAGAGCGACAGTTGCATGAGCCAAACAGGGGAAGGAAAAAAGAAAAAGAAAAGCAAGGAAAATATGTCCCGAGGAAAGCAGGGAGGGAAAGGAGGGAAAGGGACAGAGCGAAGGGGGAAGGAAGGGCGGGTGCAATTGAACGAACGCCATGAGGGATTGCTTCTTATCTGTTTTTTGTGTTTGTTTTGTCTGTTGGTTAGTCACAGTTACACAGTGGTAGGACGGGATCCCTGGATCTAGTCCACAGGAACGAATGGATAAACATGGAGTGCGGAAAGAGGGTAGGAAAAAAAAACCTTGTCGGCTAACGAAAGGATGGAAAAAGAGGGTCAGTTTAGGCAAACTTAGAAAGGTGCATGCAGGGGTCCCTGAATGCTGTTTGCAATGTTGCATGGTGCATGGTTGCATGTAAAGCGTAAAGTATCGACGAAAGAAATATGCGGAATTCATGTTTTTTTTATAAAGATGCGACCGACCATGTAATTGACCTCATACCCTAATGACGGTGCTATCCACCCTTGGTCCATTGGGCAATTCGTTTGTTTGCAGGAGAAGCGGGATTCTCGACTATCTGACCAATCCACCATGTCGATCCATCGCTGTATTCAAGAATAACATCTGGTTTTCAATAGGAACGCATGGGTGGATAATAGTAGTCCCAGGTGCTCTGCCGCATGCTGTTGACTGACTCGGGCAGCTCGATCCAAGGCCGCGCCTTCTTCAACCACTCTACAGCCTTAATCGACTCATCCTTGACATTCAGCCCGATAATCCTGTTCAGCCTGGGCCAATTGGCCACCATCCACTGCACTTCCTCCAGACCGATCCGATGCGCCATCTGCTCGACATTCAACTCGCGCAGTTCCTTGAGATTAGACATCAGATCCAGTCCTGACGCGAGTGACAGAGGAAGGCAGGAGTATTGGAAGTCGGGGTTGAGGAACATGAGTGGATACATCAACGGGTTGCCGTACTTGTCTGTATCCGTGTTAGAGTCATACCCATCGTCGTACTCATCATCATCATCTTCCTCTTCACCTTCCTCGTCTTCCTCATCGCCATCGCCATCATCGCCTTCCTCACCCTCGTCTTCGTCTTCTTCTTCGTCCTCACCCATCGGAACATCTTCCTCCTCATCGTCATCATCATCGTCATTTGGATCCTTCTTGGGCAGCTCAAGCTCCTCTCGACGCTCGGGAAGGGTGACTCGATAGTTCTCCAGGTTCTTAAAGTCGCGTGTCTCATACCCCAGCCACAACACCCGCAGCTGTTTCAACCTACCCAACTGTCGACAGATCTCTCTCTGAATCCCCAAAGCCTGCGCCTCGACATCTCCTGCAAGCCCCTCTGTCCCATTCCTGGCGGGCATCAAACGCGCTCTGTAATGAGTCCTTTCGCAATCCGGCCGGGGGATGTTGGTGATGGCCGCCTTCAACGTCCGTAATCCTGTACAAGCCCATCCAGTCGCCGCTTGTCCTGTATTTCCGTTGCTAATCGTCGGAGCCCTCTCCATAAGGTGCCTCACGTCGATAAAGTTGTAGCTATATTCATAGTCATCGGAACCTCCCTTGCGATTCTTGATTGTCGTTAGGGTCTCCAGCCCCGGCGATGATGTAAGGAGGGTGGCTAGAACTTGGCTCGGGCACGAGTGGCACTTGAGAACGTCCAGGGACTTGAGGGTTGGGAATTGCGCTGCCAATGCTGCCGACGACAGAGGACCCAAGGTGGTATAGCTGTTCAGCTTGATCACTCTCCATCCACACTGCTCATCCTCCTTCCCCTGATCCTGCGAGTCCTGTTCGTCACCTCGAAGTCTCGCCACATCCGTCGAGTTGGTGTTGTTGGTGTCGACGACTTCCTTGACCAGTCGTGTGCGATCCAAGAGCCGCGCCAAGGTTCTATCCGCGAGTGTGTCTTTCACTGAAAGAGTGGTCAGCATCTTTGCCTCCGCCAAGTAACTGACGATGTGACTCACAATCGCGTCTTGATGCTTGGTATTGTGAATACCTAGTGATAGTTCCCTCAGACGAACACATCGACGCAAGAGTGAGCCCAAACTCTGAAGGAAAGTCTTGTGTTGTGGGTTGTCCTCTGACAACGTAAACAACTCTAGAGAGAGCCTTTGGACGGCGAGTGGGTGGGTTGGAGGATGATCTTCAATGTTTGTGGGGTTGGTGCATTTGGTGGGAGAAGTAGTGTCGACGACCGGGTGTGAGGATGGTGCCAAAGTGGAAGGGGTCGTTTGATCCGTGACATCCTCCAATCTTCCTGACAGAGTTAATGTTTCGACCGTCTCGGGCACTTGAAATAGGAACCTGGCAAGCGGCTCGCCCTTGCATCGAAAGAGTTGCCCATGATATGTATGATAGTAACGGAGGGCGAGGTCCTTGAGATTGGGGGTCAATTGGGTCAAGGACGAAAGCGGCGCGCAGGAGAAAGAGGAGGAGGAAGAAGGACCGATGAGCAACCTGTCACGTTTTAGGAGCCATTCCAGCTCAAAGTTGAAGCCTCCGAATTCAAGGGAGAGGATGTGCGGGTTATTCTTGAGCCACCACAAGACAAGAGGCGGATCATCAAGAGAGACGTCCAGAGAGAATGTGAATATAGGTGTTGGGGATGTTGAAAGGTTCAAGAGGAGGTCAGAGTTGTTGGTTGTCTTCTCTTTCTTTGTCCGCCGTATCGACAGTTCGAACTTGCGGAGGTTCTGAACGCAATTGCAAGGAATATGGGTAGGAGTTCTGGCGGTATATTTGTCGTCCAATGGAGCCTTTGATGGGGAAATAGGAGGGGGAAGTTCCTGTAGGAAGGGCTTGAGGTGCCAGTAGGATCCGAGATGGAGGGAGTTGATATGTCGGCCATGACGGAGGACGGCTGCGGAAAATTCTGGGGTGTCGATTGCCCGCAGCTGTCTGGGTTCCTGGGCGTAAAAGTTGCGCCAGAGGAAAGGAATAAATATTTCGGACCAGGTTTTTGAGACGCGGAGACAATGGAGGAGGGCACGTTTTGTGAGGTATTCTGCGATGATGTGAGTGATCTCTGGCGGACAGGTCTCCATGATGAGAAGTTCAGGATGGGAAGAGAGAAGAGGCAAGAGATGAGGAACAGAACAGGAACAAGAGGAAGGAGAATGGTGTTGGTGGCAAATTTATCATTGCCCAATCAAAGTTGAATGTGACCACATCAAGCGCCACTGCGGTACCGTACTGAGCGGCTTGTCTGACTCTTTTGCTTCTAATTGCCTTCTTGCGACCTCTTTACCAGATCACTCCTTGCCTCTCTTCTCCTTACATTGGAATTCACTCTTCTTTTCTCCTTCATTCACACTCCCTGTCGCCATAATTCTTCCTTTGCCACTCTCTCTTCTTCTCTTTTCACATCTCACTGTCTGCATTCAACATCTCCAAGCAAAGCTTATGTCAACGACGAATCCACATCATCAACAACAGCCGCCAACACAAGACAGGACGAAAACAAATCCACTCCTACTCCCAGAGATCCTTTGGCAGATCGGACCACACCTCGACCAGCAACACATTGCCCATTGCGTCATCGTCTGCAAGACATGGAACACAACTCTCACCCCTTTCCTCTTCCAGCGAGTAGCCCTCCCCAAGCGGAAGCTTCTCCCTAGTGGCAAGTTCGGTACACGGCCCATGATCACAGCCATCCAGAGGAATGGTGTCCATATCCGTCACCTCGTCTGTTCACCCGACAGCAATACCATCCTGCGCCAAATCACGCCTCAATGCTCGGCAGTCGAGACTCTCGTCTTGGGCAAGATCACCCCCGAGGTCCTGCCTATCCTCCGGCTCTGCCGTAACACTCTCACACGCCTCGAAATGACCCCAAACCCTCACTCCAATTCAACAGCCACGCTCACCCAGACCTATCAGCGATCACTCTCCGTCCTCGGATACAGTCAGGTCCTCCCGCGATCCGAAACTACCGCTCTTCTTAGTGCTATCCTCGACCTGCCACATCTTGATCATCTGGTCCTTGACTACCTCGGACTCCGGGATCCGGCACAAGTTTTGTCGTTTTTTGATTATTGCAAGAGACTATCGACCCTCGAGCTTCACAACAATGCTGTTCTCGTACAGGCACCGCACGATATAGAGCTCGGCTGTCTGCGGTCACTCTCATTGATCGACAGCTCCATGCCGCTGGCGGATCAAATGTTGCTTTTCCTACAGTGTCCAAATGTGGATCATGTCATCTGGAGGAAAGATGAGGCGGCGATCCCGATCCAAGCTTTGAGTCGAACCTGGAGCAGCGGACTACGACCTTTGAAACTTTTGGATGTCGCTAATGTGAAAGTACCGGACGAGGGTCTGGCAGAGGCGTTGGCTCATTTCCCACGACTTGAGCAATTCATTGCACGAGACACGCTCTTTGGTTCTCTTTCGAAACAGGCTATTGTTGACGCCATGCGATCTACACTGGAGGTATTGGATCTGGTTGACAGCCCAGCAGCTACATCGGAGGTTGTGACAGAGATCATGTCGCTGTGCTGGTCCCTCAAGAGCATCAGCGCCGACAGCTTGCGAGTTCTGGATGTTTTGGAGAACAAGTGGGTCTGTGGCGATTTGGAAGAACTGCGGGTCGTTTTTATTGGACCTTCTGTGATGTCCAAGGCTGCGACCCAGTTGGCGATCTACAACCGGCTCGCAACCCTGAAACGACTGAGACTGTTGAGTTTGGGCAGGCATGGGTCTACATCGAGATGGTCTGTCCGGTCGATCTTGGACTTGAGTCTCAACCATGGACTCGGTTTGTTGGCACCGTTAACAGAGCTGCGAGAATTTGATTTCTGTCAGATGTATCACAGCATTGGGATGGATGAGGTCAAGTTTATGCTCAAGAGTTGGCCAAGACTGGAAGTGATGCATGGGATCCTGAGCACGGACAGGGACCGCACAGCTTTCATGGAGAGCTATATTCAGCATGTTCGACCTAGTGTTAGTGTCAAGCATAACTTGAAGTACCAACGCGCTTCAGGGCGCGATTGATTTGCATTAAATAAATAATTGGGCGTTAGTCACCGATGTGCCTGAAGTATCACCCTTAACTGTTTGTTACGATTCAGCAGTCACTGTTGCTGTTTTATTTCTTTTTTTCTTTTTTTTTTCCAAAGTGGAGCATACGCTAGGGTGCAAAAGGTCACTCCATTTCCACACCTCTCTACTCATCAACACTCAAACAAGTCCCCGCCATGTTCGCCGTGCCAGGATTCAGTGTCGGCAACCTTGTCGTCGAGGGCTCAAAGGAGCAGCTCAAGAAGCGCAAAGCAGACACCAACACCTCAACTACCACCACCACTGGCGCCATTACAACAAGCACTACTACCACAACCACGTCTTCAACCTCCTCTTCAGCAACAGCAGTCCTCCCAATCGCAACCTCAACCTCCAACGCCCCCTTCTCCAAAAAATTCAAGAAGGAATCCACTTTTGAAAAGCGCCCTCCTTCAGAACCACAGCCCGGCTGGGGTTGGATCCCAGAACCCGTCCCCCTCAAGGAGCGCGCCACCTGGAACCAGTCCACAAAGGCCTTGCGTAAGGCCAAGGCTGAGGAGGAGAAGGTTAGGAAGGCCAAGGAGGTTGAGGATAAGAAGCAGTTGGTTAGTTCGATTTCGGGACCTTCGAGTGCAGTCGAGTTGCTGTTGAAGGGGTCGGTTGATCTGACGGATATTGCGGCTATGGGTGGGAAGAAGAACAAGAGAAAGGAGAACAACGAGGATGTGGAGATGGAGGATGCATCGGGAGCTGAGCCCAAGAAGAGGAACAAGCGGTTGGAGAGAAAGATCAAGAGGGCGGCTTATATTGCTGCCTTGGAGGCCAACAACAAGTCTGACGACACCCTTGAGGCTACACCAACCGCTACTGTGCAGGAGACCAACAACGACATCCAGGAGGTTTCAGGAGAGACTGAGGACGGCAAAGAGAACGACGGCGGCGAGGGTGAATCCGCGGACGGCAAGAAGTCGAAGGCCAAGAAGACCAAGATCCTCCAGGCACCTGCACCAAAGCACCCCGAGCTCGCCAAATTGACCAACAAGGAGAAGAGACTTTTGAAGCAGTTGCAGAAGAAGCAGCAGGCCGAAGGAATCGACCCTACCGCCGTCGTCGTCCCCAAGCAGCAACCATTGAACCCATCCAGCAAGCGGATCAGTGGACAGAGTGCATCGGATCTGACGACTCTGGATGCTTTCCAGGCTGCAACCGCTGCTGCCGAGGAGAAGATCATGTCGGGATTGTTGCCCAAGAGCAAGAAGGACAAGAAGGCTGAGAAGAAGGCCGCTGCCGCTGCTGCTGCTGCTGTTGAGGAGGCCAAGTCTGTCGAGTCAGAGAAGCCCGCCAAGGGGAAGAAGGACAACAATAAGGCTGACAACGCTGCCTCCAAGAAGCAGCAGCTGCTCGCCAAGGAGAGGGAGAAGTTGCTTGAGGTAACTTGAATTTGCTTTGACATTCTTATGTATGTGTCTTTTTTCGCGTCGCGTATGTGGCCCAGTTGTGCTAACAAATCTTTCTATTTGTATTCACTTACAATTAGGCCCTCGCGCGTACAAATAGTGCATTGGAGGAGTTGCAGGAGTCGCTTGGAGATGAGGGCGAGGGTGCTACACCCTTAGCCAAGAAGGACGTCAAGTCTGCAGTTCAGGACAAGAAGAAGAACAAGAAGGAAGAGGCGGCACCCACCACCACCAAGAAGGAGAAGAAGGCAGCAGCTGCAACACCCGCACCAGCACCAGCAGCACCAGCAGCAAAGCAGCCCAAGTTGACAAAGTTGCAGGAGCAGATGAAGAAAACTCTGGCAGGAGGGAAGTTCCGGTTCCTGAACGAGCAGCTCTACACCACCACGGGAGAGGAGGCTTTCGGCCTCTTCCAGTCCAAGCCCGAGCTCTTTGATGAATACCATGAGGGTTTCCGGTCGCAGGTCGAGGCATGGCCCCAGAACCCTGTCGACATCTTTATCTCGCAACTCAAGCCCATGCCCAAGGACACTGTCATTGCTGATCTCGGATGTGGAGATGCCCAGATTGCGGCCGAGTTGCCCAAGCATAACGTGCTCTCGTTTGATTTGGTCGCCAAGAACGACCGGGTAACAGCCTGTGATATTGCACATTTGCCTCTGGAGGATGCCTCGGTTGATGTGGCTATTTTCTGTCTGTCGTTGATGGGAACTGACTTTTTGAAGTTCTTGAAGGAGGCCTACCGCGTCCTCAAGCCCAAGTAAGTTTTCTTTTTTTGTATGACGTTGTATTGTCAGGACAATGGACATGATTCAGACCAGTATATTAATTTACGCTTCCCCTCCCTGCCTGCCATGAACTAAATAGCGGAAAGCTCAAGATTTCAGAGGTGATCAGTCGATTCACGGATGTGGACGCCTTCGTCGCAGCATTGAAGGCGCTCGGATTCGAACTCAAGGACTCGGACTCATCCAACAAGATGTTTATCATGTTTGACTTTGTCAAGCCCGTCCCCGGCGCTTTCAGTGCAGGAAAGAAGGCAAAGAAGGGAAGCAAGAAGTCGAAGGTCCAGGAGGAGGTTGTGGATCCTTCGAATGTCGATCTTGAGGAGCTGGATGGGCCTAGCTTATTGAAGCCCTGTATCTACAAGAAGAGGTAGACGGGTTTGCTTTTTTCATTTCTTTTTGTGTCGCCCCAGTCCCTGGTTTCTTCGTCCCTTGTTGAAGGGAACGGAACACCATTTTGCATCTTTTTTTTTTTGCATTTCATTCTTTTTCTCTAGTCATATAAAAAAGGCATATTAGCATTGTTCATAAAATAATATTTGTGCAACGTCAAGGAGTATCTATTTGCTGCACCGCGATCTAGTGATTTGGAAGGCGTCTATCTGTCTAGGATTCGCTTGGGGAGGGATTTAGTCCGCCGTGAACTTTTGGAGGACCTTCCGTCCCGACCGCAGCTATCCGCAGAGTTTGGCGATGACAATGTCGAGAACGAGGACCTCGTGGATAATGTAGCGATAATCCCAAAGCGACCGATCGAGCAGGCAGCGGCAACTATTCCCGATCGGCTAGAGCTACTTCGCCATCCAACTTTGGACTCTTGTTGTTACTGTTGTAGTTGCTGGTGGTGGGGATATTGTAGTGAGGATCCTTGTTGCGCATCCCACTGCCAGCGGCCCGCCGGATTAGATCTCGAACGGGTTAGGAACTTGAATAAAGGGCGAATGAACCATTCTATCACTTTCTTTAGAGCCGGATATTGAGTGTTTGTACGGATGATGTTGAATTAGTGGCAGTCCGTCTTTGGGTCCCAGATTAGCAGTGGGGACCTGACGTTGACGATGATCCACTGCTTGCGACGCGACCGGTAGGAATGTCCGTTCTTGTACCTCGGCGCCTATATCTGGATCGTCATCAACTACATCGTTCCTTTCACCACCACCGGTTCTCTTCTCTTCCTCCTCGTCCAGGCGGAGCATCTGAACAAGCCGATTCGACCGGGCCATGTACGCCTTTTGGGAATCCAACTCTACAGACGCGAGGGCGACGTGGTGACGGATCCTGTCCATCGCTTCTGAGACCGCGACCATTCCGGCAGGTGTAGTGTCTGTGGGCGAGAACGAATTGAGGCAGGAGAGACCGATTCCGAGACTCTTTATGGGAGGAGAGGAGGCGAAGGAGTAGGAGGGTATGGATACCTTATCTCCTGCCTCTGTGCTGGTGGAGGCGGGGTATCCTTGGTAATGTTTGTGGTTACCGTCTTTGGAGAGTATGTTATTGTCTCTGGGAGGATAGATTGTTGAAGGGATTGTGGACTCTGTTGTGGAAGATGGGGGATCGGGAAGGATGGGAGAGGAGGCGCCTAGGGGGTCTGTGAGTTCCATTGATGCAGTTGTTGGAGTCATTGTTGTGAATATGCGTGGTATGGCGATCAGCACTCCGTTGTCGAAGATGGTTCGGTCTTGGTCTTGGTCTTGACCCTCGGATTCATGTTGTTGAACGTCCTGAGATATGTCGTCTTGAGTGTCCGGGAGGGCCTGAAAGCTGTTCCTGCTACTACTGCGCCTGCTGAAGTTGATGTTGCCGCTGGAGCTGGAGTTGGTGGATGCAAATGTAGTATAATGGAAGATGGTGTCCTTGTAAAGAAGGTCTGGCCGGTCCATTGCTGTAAGAGCGACTGCGTCGGCGGCAGTGCTGATGGTACTAGATCCATAGGTGTTGGGGTAGTTTTCCTGAGGCTTCTTGTTGTAGTTGTTGCTTGTGGATAGATTTCGATTGCTGTCAGAATCAAGGTAGGATAATGATGACGGCGACGATGGCATGTCGCAGGGGACCAAGTTTACCGATGAAATGGAGGAGACCGGTGATGTACTAGCAGCGGTGATAGGGGCAGGGGCAGGGGCAAGGGCAGGGAACCACCAGGGAGTCCAGATGCCATTCATAGTCATGGTTGAAGGAAATGTGTTCCCTTGTTGTTGTTGCTGGAGCTGACGGAGTGAGAGGGGGAGGGAGGGGTACTTCGCCCAGATGCTATCTGTAGCGTGCGTCGTAGGAGTCTTCTTGATCAGTCGAAACCTCCAACCTGGCGAGAGGTCCAGAAGATCTCTATCCTTATCCTCGACCATCTGGACCAGATGGATCGCCTTCGATGTTGGTGCCGTCAACGGTTTTAAAGCGGTTTGGTGATGACAGCCGCGGCGGCTGTCGACAATATGTTCGTCCTCGTCCTTGTTCGGTAGATAGAAAGTTTCCATGCGACTCTTGGTTGGCGATCTTCTTGCGGACAGGTGGGACAGGTCGTCTGGGACCGAGGGGTTGGCGGCAAGGACAGCTGCGGTGGAGGTGGGGTAGATGAAGCATCCGTTACCCAGCGGCAGTGTAATCTCATGGTCGTTGAGTTTCCTGTAATTCATGAGTGGGATCAGCATATCCGGGGATGTGAAGGTGGAGTGGATCTTGGACATTGCAAGACAAGGAGAGGAGCAGGCGGCGGAGGAAGTAGAAGGTGTGCGGGGTGAGGAGGAGGATAGAGTATGTCGACAGAGGAGGGGTGAAGTCGTGAAGGAAGAGGCCAAGGAGGTGGAGTGGGAGTAGGCCCAGTTATGGGTAGAAGCCAGGGTTAAGGCAAGCGAAAGGATGGTGGGAGGAGTCCAAGGAGAAGCGGAGGAAGTTGCGTTCTGCATCTGTCTTTTAAACACCTTTTCGAAGATGGGGAAGGCGGGGGGTTCTTTGTGGTGGGAGGGTTGGGGGGGGGGTTGGATCTTTGAAAGGAGTGTGGATGAAAGAGAGATATGTAATGGAGCAAGGAACCAGGGAGAAGAAGAGTGTTCTTCCCTGTCGTCTTTATAACCAACGGGGAGGTCCATTTCTTACTGTGGTAGAGAATGACAGGATGGGTGAACATGATCGTGATGGTGGTGGTTCTGTCTGAGGGAGACAAAAAGAAATTAAAAAAGCGTTGCCTCTCTTTGTTGAGCGATTGACGCTGATGATGCGGGTGTACCACCGTTAATTAGATCCTTGTATGCATGAGAGGTGGATGGGGGGGGGAGGTCCCTTACCACAGCACCACAAAGAGAAGGGCTCGTTCTCGATATATTTGTGCGTCTCTGCTCTTCTCTGCACCCTAACAGGGCGGAAGATACCCAGAACGAGAGATGTCGACTCGATAAGTTCTCTTTCTTTGGAGATGTGAGTTCCTGTTTGGCGCGCGAGAGGGAGGACATGCATATTGCGCATAGGCATTGTTGCATGCAGTGGAGAGTTACTGACTTAATGTGCTTGAATACTTTCTATCCTATGTCCTGATTGGTCACTACAAAGGTGCGCAATGGTTTGGGCGTAAAAAAAAAAAGGTCTCCCGGTTGGCGACGTTTTGTTTATATCCGTTTGCTTGTTCATGTTGTTTTGTCGGTCCCGCGGAATGGATTGTCATCGTGAACAGAAAAAACTCTCTCTCTCTCGGGAAGGCAGAGGCCCCTCCCCTTTTGTTGGTTGTCTCCTTTGTTTGTGTCTGGACTTCGATTTTTTGTCCCACTGTCTCTGTGAAGAATATCAGGAAGAACATTGGTGCTTGTGTGTCTGTCTTTTGGAACACTATCTCTCACGGTTCTTTATCTCTGTGTACCATCACGTTTTTTTCATGGTTTTTTTGTTCCTTTTCAGAAACGCGTGTTGAAGTGCAGTGCGAGTTGAATAAGAAAGTGAGGAAGGGCGGAAAGGACAAGGGATGACATGAGAGAAACAGAACAAGAAGCGCTCGGCGTTCGTTTGTATAATCGTGAAGGCAATGCATGCGGATTGTGTGATATGTGGTATTAAAAATGCAAGCAAGCAAAGGAAAGGCTACTGTTGTTCCCGCTTGGTTGTAACATGCCTTGTCTACCCCCAGTCCATCACCCTCTTCCATCTCTCACAGAACGAGGTGATATCTATGAGAGCAGTTTGTTTATGTTTTTTAATATTGCAATTCGACCATTCGAAGACTACGACTATTGTTGTGTTTGCAACAAAGACATCAGTCGAGAACAACAAAACAAGTGGGGGTTGAGTGAGAAAGAGACATGCTCCCATTGGATAACGATGAACCTTCCTAGTCTCACCAAGTGATAATGGAGGGACATGATGGGTGTGCCTGGATTCTGCCACCCCGGAAGGTGTCTTAACTGGTCAAAAGTAAGCTTACTTTCACGCCTTTTTTTTTCGTCTCCCCTTCCAGCCACTCCTTCTGCCTCTTTCCCTCTTCAACCTTCTTCCTTCTTTCTCCCCTTTCGCACTTTTTCTTCTTCTTCCCCCTCAGCAGATCTCCAGAATCCTTTTTCTCATTCACTGTTCATCCGCAACCAAAGGTCGCCACTGATGAACAACCACGGCAGGGACGAGGTATGTACCTTCTACCACCTACACCTACACCACCCCTCACTTACACTTTTACCTCACTCACTCACTTCACTCCACCCTCACTCCATACTTCACTCCACTGCCTTCTCCAAACCTCACACTACCACACGCACAATACGCCAATACACAAAATCCACTCACTCAGTTCCAACTAACACACCCTCACCTTCTCCGACCACCCTACCCTGTCTGTCTCATGTCCTCCATCGCAATTAGTCAACGGTCATCGACCTGTCCGTCATCAACCCCCAGAGGTCAAGACCTCAACAATATTCCCCACCTCTACGTTCACCCCCTGTTATCACCTCCCCCACCGTCAGTTCGCCAAATATCTTTAACCACCTCTCCCTCCTAGACAGCAACGACCCTTCCTCCCCTACCGTCGGCAGTCCTACCAGTGGATCCGGAGCAGGCAACAACAACAACAACAACAATGACAATAACCAGAACCGGCTCTCCAAGGGTCTGGCCAAGAAAGGTGCTGGAGGCGGAGGAGGTGGGCACGGCGGCAATGGAAACCATGAAACCAAAGAGTGCCCCCGCCACGCTGAGGGCCACCCTCCTAACCGTTTAACGACTCGCGATCTGGGCAACAACAGAACGGTGTATCTTTTCTTTGGATCTGATGTTGTCCTCTTTGATACCATCATGACCTATCGTCTTGGCAAGCCAGACATGCTTGTCGAGGATGCTATTGACGCCCACGGTATGTTATTACGAAATCACCAAAGGAGTTTCGAATGAGAGGAGGACCTTTCGTCAAGTTAGTCGGAACAACGGAAATAGCCAACGACAACAGGCGACAAACGAGCCTAACGTGGATTGTCAAAAAATGAACCCGGAATGACAGCCCTTTACTTCTCCCCTCTCCTTTCCTTCCACCCATCCTTCTTTTCCTTTACGGACTATCGCCTTCATGTTTATGCCTTGTGGCGTTATGCTGTCACCCCTTTGTCATCAAATTGTCGCATTCATTCAATCTGTATTAATCCCTCCCCAATATCTCCGACTCTTTCGCATACCATATGTTACTTTTTCCCCGCCGATGTTGTGAAAAATAGGAGAGCATCAGGGTGCAGATGCTATGGCCAACCTCATCTACGGAACTCAGGCCTTTGACATGGTCCTCAAACACACTATTGCCGAGCACCTTCGCAAAGTGGCCCCGACCCCCGAGCAGACATCCATCAACGTCGACAGTAATGGTGTAGCCTTATCCGAGAAGGGACCAGCGACAGCACAGGAAGGTCAAGCATTGATCAACAACAACAACAATGCCACGTCAGGAGCTGATACAGCAGCAGAAGCAGACAACAAGGATCTGGAGGCTGGTGCAGTCAGTCCTGCCAAGATTGAACAAGAGGCCAAGCTGGAGACACACCGTCGTCGGTTCAAGAAGGCGTTGTTGAGGGAGGGCTTGATCATCGAGGAGGAGCCCAACATTGATGGCGAGGAGATGTTTGTCAAGATCTACACACCCTTCTGGAGACTATGTGTTGAGGCTCAACGATTGCGCTTCAAGGTCGAGCTCATGGTACGTTTTTTTTTCTCTTGTTGTTTATCGACAGATATGACAAATGAACGTATGGCGGTTATTTTTAACATAAATACGATTGCACCAAAGGAAAGCTCAGAATTTTCTATGCTTTCTATATCCCTCACACCACTCCTTACTGCCCAACATTTGTTCATTCCACAAGCTCACTCACCTTCATACCATACCCTGGTACTCCACAACAGCCCGTCCCATGTTTCTCGCTCATGGACAGCAGCTCACAAAAATACCTTATTCCTTCTCAATGATTAGCATGCAGAGACCTCAAAGGAAAAGGCGGCAGCGGATGCAGCGGTAGCCAAGGCGAAATCCCAGGGAGTCCTGTACAGATTCTTTTGGCGATTCATCCAAAAGACTGACAACGTCTCGCTCCCCCTCCGTCCGGAATCGCTCCAGTTCAAGGCGACTAAACTCCGACAGTACGCCCTCGCGGAAAAGACCCGTCGCTGGAGTGATATTGTCCGGCATGGTGGAGGTATCAAGCCCGATGGGTCTGGTGTCGGGTCTCGTATAGGATCTGATGGACGCGATGGGTTCTTTAACACTGCTCAACGTGGTCGGCTGGTAAGATTTTTTGTTGTGGGAACCTGTCCCTCCTTTTATAATTTTTTGGAATCTTTGTGGGCTGTGGTTTTTGTCTAGGATGAGGGCAATCCTACAGCAAAAATCAACGCGTCCTACACGGATAAACGATTTATGCACCAACGTTTTGGCGTAACCGCAGGCTGTTGCATATGTTTGTTTTTTCTTTCCTTCTTTTTCACATCACTCATGCTTCTTTCTCCATATTGTGTGTACTTTAGACGGAGAGTATTATTATCTACAGCAAGATCAAGACCAAGCGTGGAGATCGACATGCTCTCAAGACAGTTATGGACAAGAAAGCATACACCGACATGTTCACCCTGCATGACGGCTCATACAAGTCCAAGGTCAAGCCCATTCCTAACCAACGCTCCCTCCTCTACCGGAACTGGGTTCGTTCCGGTCGCACTCAACCTCTGGAGGACATCCGTCACTACTATGGCGAGAAGGTTGCGCTTTATTTCGCATGGATTGAATATTATACCAAATGGCTCATCTGTGCAGCCCTTGTGGGAGTGCTCTTCTTGGTCTATGGAGTCTCGAACCATTTTATCAAGGGACCGGCTGTTGCAGACGGTGCTGGTATTCGTGGACAGCTAGTTGATGTCTTTGATAACGCTCTGACTCTGCCCTATGCCCTCTTCATGTCTGTCTGGTCAGCATTGTTTGTCGAGTACTGGAAGCGTAGGAGTGCTGTGTTGGCTTATGAGTGGAACACTCTGGACTATGAGCAGCTGGAGCGAGCTCGGCCGGAATTCAAGCCTACTGGAACTCGTATCTCGCCCGTCACTGGGAAGTTGGAGCTCTACTACCCGCGTTACAAGCAGGTCATCTCCATCGTCACCAGCGTTTTGGTCGTTTTGATATCTGTAAGCAATTCGTCTGATATATTTACCTTGCGTATGACTGTGTTATTGTGTTTTTTTTTTTTTGGTGGTAGCAATTTATATCTAACGTATCTTTGTACACCTCCTTCTCACAGATTGGAATTGTCATTGTATCGGTCGGATCACTGATGTTGTTCAACGTGGTCATGACAAAGAGCGACGACCCGGATTCGATTCGCGCAGGAATGAACCCTTATGTCACCACGGTCGTCACGGCCCTGCTCTCCCTGACCGTCATTGTCGTCCTTGGAACCGTCTATGCTAGGCTTGCCAAGATCCTGACCGACAACGAGAACCATAAGCGTTTGACTCAATACGAAGGTAGGCAACCATATTGTTTTTAGGGTGCATTGGCAAGGGGATTCGATAATGCTGTATTCAAATGGGAGTTGACTGTTATGATACATGTCAATATCTAACACCCAAAAAAAAAAAAAACTACTGAAAATATTAGACGCACTGATTATCAAGCGGTTCCTGTTCGACTTTGTCAACTTCTACTCTGCCATGGTCTACATCGCATTCTTCAAGGGCTACATTGCCCAAGACGTCAGATTCTGGAAAAATCAACCACGGGACAGCTGTGGAGACGACGGGTCCTGTCTCGGCGAGCTCGCGATCCAGCTTGCCATCGTCTTTGTCGGTAAACAATTGCTCAACCAAGCCCAGGAGATCGCCATCCCAGCCATGAAGAAGTGGTGGAACAAAAAGAACGAGCTTGCCGAGCGCGCTGCCCACTTGAAGGGCAAGTACAAGGACCGATCAAAGGCCGTCAAGCCCCCACAATGGGCCAAAGATGATTTGTTGCCGGCTTATAACCCTCAGATGTTTGAGGAGTACCGTGAACTGGTGATCCAGTTTGGGTTCTGTACACTGTTTGTTACCGCCTTCCCAATTGCGCCCATCTTTGCGTTGTTGAATAATATCCTGGAGATCCGGGTGGATGCCTACAAGATTCTCACCCAGCACAAGCGACCCATCGCTCAAGGCGCTCAAGATATCGGTATGTTATTGTTGTTCGTTTTCATGCAAGTATGGAAGGATGCTCTCCCTCGATGCTCTTCTGCGATTCTAATCGTTTCTTTTTTTTTACTTTGTATAAATATATATATATCCATGTTGAAAAAAAAATAGGGAGCTGGAGCACGATTCTGATGACTCTGACTCATATCTCGGTCTTCACCAACGCCTGCCTGATCGCCTTCCAGTCCAACTGGATGCTCAATAACGTCTTCATGACCATCCCCTGGGTCAAACATTTCGATTTTGTCAAAGTCACAGAGCAGGACTTGAATTATGCCCTGCTCGCCGTCCGGCTCGTCTTCATCTTCATCTATGAGGTACATGTTTCCCTCCCCCCCTTCTCCTCCTTTTTTTTCACTCACGCTCATATCTTTGGTTGCTTTCATCTTACATCACTCCTCATACTAACTCTTTTCTTTTTTTTGTGTGTGTTCTTGTTTACAATGAAATAGCACTTAGTGTTCTTGATCAAGATCGGAATCGCAAACCTGGTCCGGGACACCCCCCAGACCGTAAAACTCGCCATCCAACGCGAATCCTACTATACCCGCCTTGCCCTCGACGACGAAGAACCCGCCCGTGATGAAGTCCTCGAAGACGTCGAGTCTGACAGTGATGAATCCGAAGACGAATTCAACGACGACATGTACCGCAAATCTGCAGATGGTACTCTTTACCCACCTGGCCTCGGCGGCGGGGGTAGAACCACGCCCTCGGGTGAAGGCGAGGGGCAGGTGGATGAAGTGAACGAGAATCTGGAGGAGGAAGAAGACGAGGAAGAGTTGGAGGCGATGATTAAGGCCGGCGGGTGTGGGTGTGCCGCACATGGGGATGGTGTGGTCGGAACGGTTAAGGGTGGGTTTGAGGGGACTTGGATGAACCGGTTCCGCCCTGAGATGCAGGCTGCTATTCGTCGTCGACAGCAGAGAAGGCGCAAGAAGCTGCAGAGTGCTGACAAGGGCCAAACTGCCGAGTAAACTAGGAAGAGACTTCACTAGGACGACAAAAAGTCGTTTTCATACACACACGCACAAAACGGACTCGACCAGGAGGAGGAGTTCGGACTTGACAACCACATCATAATAACTACAAAAGTTCCGCAGAAAAACAACTATATTATTTAACATCATATCCATAATAAAACATTAATTAGCAAATAATAATTCTTGTTGTACAAAATAATTAATGGTTGTTTAGTAGTGAAAAATAAAGGTCCCTTTCATCCAAGTTCATCTACCTCCCTTACTCCTCCTCAGACATCTCCTCCGCAGTCTGGAATCCCTCTTCAAAACTACTCGACCGTGCCCGTTTGTGTGATGGAGAGGATGACCTTGACCTGCTCGAGACAGGGCTAGCACCAGCAGACTGAAAGTGGCCCTCCACACTCTCACTGTCCTCCTCCTCCTCCTCGTCACCCACACCCATATCACCATTCTCAACCACCTCAGCATCCTCACTCCGCCGCCTCTTCTGCTCCGAGACCACGCCGACATCTCGCAGACCTCCAGAACTCTCAGACAACTCTCTGCTAACTCGGTACAGTCTCTTTTCAAAGATCTGCACATCCTTCCGCGGTAACCCTGTAACCTCACACATCTTTGCTCGCCGCTGCTTTAACACCTCCAGCTCTCTAGCTATATTTTCTCCGATGACCCCCCGGTGTGCCATCCCTCTACCAGTGACACCATGAGTCGGGATCAGCTCAGCAACCCCAAGCTTAACCATCGTATCTAGATCAATAGCCTTCCATGTCTCTACACCACTCAGACCAGACCCACCCTTGTCAGCCTTGAGAACAATCGTCGTATCTGAGATCTCGTCAGACTTGTTGTTCACGACAGGCGCATACCGCTTCGCACGGTCAGCCTCCCGATAGAAGCCTCGTAGCGCCTCACGGTTGATGATCTTGGGCACCTGGATGGGTGCACCTCCTGCCAAGCAGTCTCCTTGTCGCTTGTATCTCTCCGTCCGCACCAACCTCACATCTACAGTACGCGCCTCGGCTGTCAGCACAGCTTGGTAGACATGCACCTGAAACTCGGCAGGGACCAGATGTGTTGGAACCTGAGCAGAAGGCATGGGTGTCGGATCATGCGCCAAGGGAAGTGGGGTCTTCGCTCCATTCGCACGTTTCTGAGTCTCAATCTCCACCATTTTGTTCACAAAGATCTGAAGACGGTCACTCTTCGTCCTGGCACTTAGGTGAGCGTCTGTTGCGTGTCCCGTCTCGGCATCACCGCCACGCTTTCTCGCCTTGCGTACCAACATCATACAGTCCTCCAGGCTCCGCTCAAACCCGTGGGTCGTACAAAACTCCAACAACGCAGCCGCTGCGTCCTTCAAGGCTAGGTCAAGATCAAAGCCCAGGGCATCCTTGGGCTTGGTTTCACCGAAAGATTCGTAAAACAAGTGGCGTTGATGAATGTGGTTCAGACGCTCGTCCTGAATAGCCTGCCGATGCACCTTGCGTGCCCTCTTCTGCGCCCATTCCGGAAGCTGCTTGAAACGAGGCTCTGGTGGGTCCGAAGGCACAAAGCCCAATCCAGTCGATGACCGAACCAGCCCCTGCTTCTCCTCAATCAAGGCGTCCATCGTCCTGTCATCAAACCCCGCCACCTCAAAGTCCGCTTGCGTTTTCTTGGCCGAACCCCTGCCACCATTGGAAACAACTGGTGAGGTTTTCAGCTTCTTGGCGACTTCCGCAAAGAAAATACGCGGCACGACCCACTCGAGTAAGTACTGATCCCATGCCTGGGGATCAAAATGGAGCTGTTGCAGCAGGTGTTGGTTCTCCATGTTCAGTGATCCCGACAACAGCTCAACAAGTCGATCTTTCCATTTGATGTGATCCTTCGGAGGGACGGCTTTCAGAACCTGACCCCGATCAACTGGGAACATCTTGCAGTACATTCTCCAGATCCCGTCTTTGGTCAGTTTCTTTGGACCCTCCTCCAGAACACTCTCTCGAATCCGCTGCTTGAGCTCCTCAAAGGTCTGGAGACCGGATGACAGATCCTCCCAGTCGTCTCGTCGGGATGCGGGTATATTCCAGGTCTCCAGCTTCCGGATGTAGAGGTAGGTCTTGGGCTGTTTCTTGTAGAGCGCCACAAATCGGGAGAAATAAAGTGCTGCTTGAGTTGGTGTGCTGGCATGGCAGGTGTATAGTTGAGAGCGTGGACTTCTCCTTGTGAGGTGATTATGTTGAAGCAGGATATATGTCGACATGCCCGGTTGATCTAAATATTGATAAGGCAAATGTTTGCTTGTTAATGCGAAGCGAAATGTTCTGCCACGTATCTGTCAAGTACAATGAACATAATTAAAGTCGATATGCAGCGCCAACATGACCGAAACGTTGTCGTACCTGGCATTTTCTGGTGCTGAACCCAACGATGTAGAAGGCCATGGGCCGAGTACTCGAAATTAAGGTTGGCATGGGGATCATTGGCGACCTTGTCCCAACGAATCACACCGTCCACAGAGTTGCCAACAATCGACTTCTGCAGCTCTCTATTAATAAGAGATATGTCAATATGATTAGTCGTATATACTCACCCCAGTGCATGGTGATGATTCATAGAGTGCCCTTTGAAAGGCGCTTACTCAATCCTCATCTGAGCTTTAGGAATCTCACAATCCAGTCCATTATGCTCCTTGAAGGCGCCTAAAGATCCAAATATTTACAACACGAATAAACTCAATTAATAAACGCGTTCTTTCTTTAACGACCTCGCTCAAAGCACTCGACCACAGACACCAAATACTTACTGCAGACAGAGCAGAGTGAGCCCACATGTTTGGTATCAACGCGGAATCGATCACTCTCTCGAATTCCGCAATTAACACAACCCTGTGGTTGGATCCTGGCCGAGAGTTCATACAAGAGCTGGAACTTTCTCTTCGCCTTGAGCAACACACCGCAATCATAGCCTACAATATCGAAATACGAAAGAACAACAAGTTAGTGTCACATTCATTTGCGTACTGTCTATCAAAGCACGTTATCGACCTAGAGGCATACATAGTTGAACTCAGTGAAAAGGTGGCAACTTACTGCAGGTCATGCAGAGACGCTTCTGTTCGTGATCGAACTCGTAGACTAAGGGTAAAGTTCCGACATCCTTAATCCGCACCCGATCGCCAACAAACTGCTCCTCGATAGTGCCCGGGCAATCGTCTGAAATCCTGATTCCGCACCAGTGACATCGGCTCTGAAACATCGTTGAAGGACCTGGATGCTGTCTGATGCGCAATGTTTGAATCTCCTCCATGATGCTCTTGTTATGGCTCTCCAGACTCCCACGCTCAGCCTTGGCATCAATCATTAGTCTCTCTAACAGAAGATACAGAAAACAATGCAGCTTTTGTTAGACGAGTTACTCGTTCGTCTCATAAGAGACATCCGCAGATCAGTTTTGCATCTAAGGGTGTCAAAACCTAGTGTCCGCATACTACAATCAGAGCATCCAGGATTTTGCGTGGACGTGCTATCCAGATCGTCAACAGCGCACTTAGGACAGCGCAGTTCCTGAGTTTGGTCCGTCGATTTGAGTTCGCCACTGAGTTTGTCGATCCGTTGCTGCACCTCATTATTTGCCATGCGCACTGGAGCTGCCGGACTCATCCAATCGTAAACATCTAGCAGCAATAATAAAGGAGCCAGTTAACATCACTGATGCTAATCAATTCCTCAGATTCCTGGGGATGTGGAGTACAATGAAGCTGCAGTACTTACGGATATAGTCGACCTTTCGATAAGGCTCCTTCCTCTCACAGAATCTAAAATGCTGTTGGTACTTCTTCATCTCCTCGGCCTGAATCGGCGATTTGTCTACCGTCGCCTTCGGGAGAGTGGCAACAACAGCTTCCTCCTCTGCATCTGATTCCACTGGACTCGACCCCTTCGAAACACTCGTATGTTCCTGATCTTCCTGCGTCTGAGTCGATGTTGGGCGAAATAAGAAGGGCGCATTGCTCTTGCTCAGCAAGCGGTTTGTGGTTCGAACCTCCTCCATACAAATCGGCTCCTCCTGTGTTTGTATTGTCGGCATCCGTATGAGCGGGGTCTTGCCTGTGCTCCGTCGCCGACCTGTCGTCTTGATCGCAACCACGTCATCCGCATCATTCTCCTTATCTTGGTGCGTCCGTCCTTGTTGTTCCTTCTGTGAGGGTTGCTTGAGTGGGAGTGTAGAAGAGGGTAATGATTCTGACTCTTGATCGGACTCTGTCATATATCGTGGCGTGGTCTTGACGACTGTCCTGCGTGCACGTTTCTTTTTCTTTGTTGGTGTTGGTGGCGTCGTATTATCGGTGGTTTCGGTAGTAGTGATGGTAGTAGTAGCAGCTGTTGTTGTGCTGATTCCTGACGAAGCATCAGCAGGTGTTGTTGTTAATTCTGATGCAGAGTATGGGCTGGGCAGCTTTGAGGTCGACTTTGCTCGACGTGGACGAGAAAGAGGAAGAGAGGGGACCCCGCCCTTGTCAGGAGGTAAGGAGGCCATTGTTGTTTGGTGGATGGCCAGCCAGGGAGACGAGCGCGCCGAAGGTTGATCAGTTTTGACAGAAGGCAAAAGGTGTGTGAGAAACCAAAGGCAACAACATGCAAAGGGCCAAACAAGCAGTCACCCTTTTGTCTTTTAGAGCCCAGTTTTCTTTCCTTTCACTCCCCTCATTCGCCATCAACAACCGGCACCACCCACAGGCAGCTTCAAGATCAGCACACAGACACGGATGCATCACACACACTCTCCACCCTTCTCTACACTACCTTCTCCGTTCATCGACACACAGAATTCAAAGTGGCGCTTTCTTTTTTTTTTTCTCCTTTGTAAAATTCAGGGATCCTTCCCAGTTTGTGGTCAGTCTAGCTTTCGTTTTGGTAGAGGTACTGGAAAATAAACATCTTTTTCATAAAACCAATACGTTGATGCGACTAAACATAAAGCTACGAGCGAAGGCCTTGACGACCAAGAACTCTGACACAAAATGTTGCTGGTATGGCTAACGGTGTTGCAGGAGCTGGTAAGAGAACGCAGAACAAATTACTCGGCCCATAGATGGTGCGGGAGCTAAAGTGCGAGTGGTGTCTCCCAACCGAGGACTGAAAGGAATGAGAAAAGTGAATGTGAGTTGAATGAGTAAGAGAGACGAAAGTGGAGCAGAGGTGGGCGTGAAAAGAAGAGTGAGCAAAAAGTAGACACCTTTTCTCATCGAAAAATCTACCGTTCTAAGATGTTGTTGCACGGAACAAAGAACACAAACCTGAAGGGTTTCGAATAAATATACGCGCCGTGGCATGGGACATGTTCATTGATAGCTACTACTATAGTCGTGTTGCCCACAGAGCCAGATCACAGATGGAAGCGCAGACCCGCTGATTAAAAGCGAGTGAAACGGACTAAGCTCTATTTGGTCAGCGACGATAGTTATGTCTTCGCCACGACAGACGAAAAACGACGCCATCATCGCACACCAATAAAGGAGCGTATCGATCCTTCCTTTCGTCTTATTTTATCATAAAAGGGAAGAAATAAGAGGAATGGAATCACACTGGAATAGAGTGTTACGATCCTGTAACAGTTGAGAGTGGGGTAGAGTTTATTTTCGTATAAAAAGGGGTATTATTACTTCTCCTTCAACCGACAGTTTCCAAGACATCATATCATACAACACCCCTCTCAATAGCTCTTCTCAACAGCTCTTCTCCACAAATCGCGTCAAAACACGTTATAAAAACTTTGCTCGAATCATCCAAGTAGGTAAACGAGTTTCTCACACACAGCTAGCAACATCTTGACGCGCATACATCGTCAATGTTGATGTTGATTTTTGTCTTGCCTCATTATCATTAGATACAATAATGCACTTCAAGTCTACAATTATCGCTGCACTCTTAATCGCCTTGAGCCTCGCTGCTTACACACAAATTGTTGGTGGTGTAGTCATTGACGGCGCCCGTATATCCAGTAGCATACGCAAACTAATGGAACAATTCCATCGACATCGGCTCCTTCCCCGACAACATGATCATCCGCCTCAAGCCAAAGAAGATCTTCACCTGCAGTGCCGATCAGCTTGCGAAAATTGGGGGTAAACCTCCATTTTGTGCATCACCTCTCAATGTCCTCACTATGGGACGGAGTGCTGTTTATGCACAGCAGGAGTTCTTGAGAAGGCTGATTGCTGAACATACATAAACCCCGTTTAGATGTGCGATGGTTTCCTTCTCACCATCTTTTTGACCATCAAACGCATAGTTGCTCATTCTCCGTCATTTTTTTAAAATTTACACGGTGAAAAATACAATTTTTTGGTTGGCTTTCTTCGCTCATCGCACTATAGCTCCTCTACTCTCATCTCTCTCTCTCTCTCTCTCTCTCAAATCAACCCCACCGCCCTCGCAACCCTAGCATTACGCGCCTTCAGATCAGCGACCAACCTCCAAGCAACCCAAAGTCGCCCCAGATAAAACAATGTCGCACCCGTCATGTACAAGACGCGCATAAGAAGGATCTCTTCATCCGTCTTGTCGGCAAAATCCTTCAAGCTGGCGCCACCCCCCTCATCATTCTCAATGGTCTCTGCAAGCTCTGCAAAGTTCTTTTTGAGATCCTCGTTCCAGAATCCGATGTTGGCGCTGATGGTCTGGTATACGGCTGTAACACAGAGGGAGTAGAAGAGCCATTGGGTCATGACGAGGGATTTGCGGTAGAGGATGTAGAGGCCTGTGATGCTTTGCGTTAATGAGATCGCGAGCTGGGCGTACTCGCGTACTGTGTGATGGCAAACAAAAAGAAGGGAAAAAAAGAAGGGCGTTAGACAAAGTAACAGGTTGTTATCCATGTGCCAAGAAACGAAAAAGTGAGAGCAAACGTAGAAAATTCCCTTTCCTGGCGACTTTCCCCCCTTTCATTACCTGAGAGACGATGCGCCGACGCAAAATGAGACACATGGTGTGCGCCATCGTAAATCGACCACAAGAACCAAATCGCCACAAAGAAGCGAGGCCAAGTGGGTACCCTCAATCGCAATCGACCAAGCTCTACCTCCGTCTTAAAGCCCTCGACAGATGACGCCGAGGCAATAGGAGTCGGAAGGCCCTTATCGGAGGACACCAGGAGGTGGTGGTAGAGGTGGTGGTGTTGTTGTTCCTCACGCTCAAGGTCCAATTGACGTCGCTGGTTCAAAATGGCCTTCAGTCCAAGACCGAGCACCAAGTGAAGCCCACAGTCAATATAGTACTTGGTCTCTTCCCACATCTGTGGTGTTGTTGTTTGTAGAGACGACGATGACAATGGCTGATCGTGCTGGTCGGGTGTAATCATTGTCGCTGTCTCAACCGTCGAGTTGTTGTTTGTAACGATACCGACCTTGGAGAATTGGATGAAATAATCCAAGATTGCGCCGTAGATGAAAACAAAGTAAAAAGCGGCCGCTCCAATCAGCCAAAGATTGAAGGCAAACTGAGTAGATCTTGTTGATGACTTGTAAACGGCGATATGGATCCTGTGGAGGTCGATTGCGATCCCGATGGCCATATAGGTGTAACAGAATTTGTATATATTGGCAGCATCCGATAGGGTCTCATCTAAACATGCGCGAGAGAGATACAGTAAAAACAATGTTAAGATGAGGTGATGTTCTAAGGGTTTCTGTATTGGTAAGTATGTTGGTTTCGTGTTATTTTCGTTGCAGAGAGGAAGAGGGGCGCACCTGGAGGTGTAAATGGGTAGCGAAAAGGGCCTGCTCGCAGAGAGTCGACAAGAGTGTACAGCGAGAGAGAGGCAACAGCAATGCGAGGCCAGTGTTGTCGAAGGTGTGGAAGATGCAACGCTGACATTTCTTTGTAGGTAGAGTGAAGGTGTGGGAGCAATAGCGTATGTGTGTGCGTTTTAGGAAGAAAAAGAGAAGAAAGGAGTAGAAAAACAAGAATTGATTGCGAGTTAAGTGTCCATTTTCGAGCCATTTGAGATGTAACTCAGCCCCCCTGAGCACCCGCATTCGACTTCAAAAAAAAATAACTAGTCGTTGAGAGCTTCGCGCAAGCTTTTTCATAACTTGAAGATAACGAGGTTTACAGTGCTTTAGATGAGAACATATGCAATCATTGCTGTGGGAGGTAGTAGGTCGTTGTTGTTTTGCTGGGCAATTATCTTTTTTTCCCATATCTAATGCTTCGTAGTAACTATTTCCTCTTTTCACATCTTTTCACATTGGTAAAGTGCAAACTGACAATACATTGCTAACTTGTCATTCTCCTTTACCAAACTCATTCGCATTCTTATATCTTCTATCTTGTAAGCTTGATGTCGCTCTGCTACAGGGAGAGAGTAACCTTCTCGTTTCCTTTGGGACATGAGGTGCCGTGGTCAATGGTGATTCCTCCTCTCTGGCGCATTGATCATCCCAGATGATTAGATATCCTATGTGCTTGGAACATGCTTGGGGACCTGCCTTTGTCCTTGGACATCTGTTATTCTGTTCATGGGACCTGTCCTTGGTCAGACTAAGTTACTTTTCATCAGCCAATTGATCGTTGAATTAACAATTGAAAAGGAGGGAAAAAAGAGAAGGAAGGAGGAGGGGAGAAGAGAGAGAAAAAGGTATAAGAGCAACCGACCTCCAGCACAACTTCTCTCCTCATCTCAACAAAAAAAAACATCCTCACTTTTCACTTTTCACTTGACTACAATAACAATCTTCATAACTCCCATTCACTACTTCTTCTTTCACAACAACAAGGCAACAAAACAACAACCCAAATTGGCTGCTATTTCTGCACCCCTCTCAAGATACATCAGAAAGTCTGTCCTCTCCAGAGAACAATCCGAGGGTGTCGGTGCCCGTGTCCGTCGATCCATCGGACGTCCCGAACTCCGTAACCACGACCCCTTCTTCATGCTGGACGAGTTCTCGGTCGACAAGAACGGAGGCTTCCCTGACCACCCCCACCGCGGATTCGAGACTGTGACCTACATGCTCGAGGGTCAGTTCCAGCACGAGGACTTTGCAGGACACAGGGGAACTATTGGACCTGGTGACTTGTAATGAATTGACAGCGGGAGGGGGAGAGGAATCGTGCATTCGGAGATTCCAGTCAAGTCGCAGACCCATCCTTAAGGATTGCAGCGCTGGATCAACTTACCCCAAGAGCACAAGATGTGCGAGCCCTAGTACCAGGAACTTGTGGACGCACTGATCCCACGAGCCAGACCCAAGGATGAACTTGTTGTTATGGTCATTGCTGGCGAGTCACACAGCGTCAACCCTCAGATATATATATACCTCCACACCCATCATGTACCTCGACTTTAAGATGTCCAGCACCCAGACTATCACCAGGACTATCCCGGGAACATACAGCAAATTCTTCCACGTCCTCAACGGGACCGCATACATTGGCGACCTCGGCCACGAGACCGAAGCCGAGGCTCACCGTACTCTCATCTTCTCCGAGAACGGTACCAGCACCATCAGGATCTAGACAAAGGATGAAGACGTGAATTTTGTGATGATAGCGGGAGAGCCGTCAAAGAAGCCCGTGGTCCAGATTTGTCCGCTTGTATTCATCGATGAATACAAGAGAGGGTATGTAGAAAACTTATCGGGATTATCCCAATGGCGTGAATGGGCTCGAGAAGGGGAGGACGTGAAAATCAGATGGCGCTTCAAAGGACTTTGCTGATTTCTTTTACTTTTGTACCAAACGTAGTTCAGCACGACTACCAGGATCGCATTGGATAAAAAAACATGCACAGCATTCAATTAACAAAAAAGATGATTTGTTATTAAATGGCGTACCATTCGCCTTCAGTAGCAATCGAATAAACGCTGATAATGAACAAGCCTGATTTCTCTCTACATGAAAAATATTGTGTAATGGACTATGTTGTTCAAACAACAGCAACCTAGCCACGCTGAGTGAGCAATTGCTGATTGGCTGAGGAGAGACCAACAGCATCGTCAAAAACGGCATCTGAGGCGGCTAGAACAGGATTTCCAGCGCTCCAAACCAACTGGGCCGACCATGCATCCGACGACGACGACGTCTCCACCAGTTTCCACACTTGAAGGGTCCCATTCCGCCATCCGATGCTAAACTCCAAAGTGGCAGGTTTCCATGCAATGCTGCTGACTTCTCCAAAGATATCTCTGATACGCACCAAACACTTCCACTCTCCTCGGCCTTCCCCTCCCTCTGCTGTGTTGTAAGATGCAAAATTCCAGAGCCAAAACGAGCCCGGCAAGCCTACACCCATCCATTGCCCACAGGACGAAAACGCAAAGCATTGTACATAGTCGCCGTGCTCTAGACTTTGTTGAAGTTGCCCGCTCTCCACGTCCCAAATCTTCGCCTCCTGGCCTATAGTTGATCTAGAAGCAACCCTCAAGCCATTGGGTGAAGTCGATAAAGCCCAATCATATATATCATATATACGCCCGCTACCAACCACAACGACTCTACACTCACCATTGTCCAAATCCCAGGCTCGAATAGTCCCATCCCGACTTCCCGACAAAACCAGAAGGCTGTTCGGCAAGAATACCAAACAAACAACTATCCAAGTATGGCCTTCAAGCACGCGGTCGAGTAACCCTGAGCGAGCGTCCCAAAGCCGCACTGTCATGTCGCCGATGCCGCTGCCGGTGGCAATCCAGCGGCTGTCGGCTGAAAAGGCCATGGCGGTCACCGCTCTTGTGTGACCGCGCAAAACAACGTCGGCTTGACCTGTTCCGATGTCCCACACAGTGACGACTCTGTCGTACCTTCCAACTGACGCGATTCGAAGACCATCCGGGGAGACCGCTAGGCAGTCGACAGGTTTGTCTCCGTAAACAACGAAAGGACCAAACTTTCCAGTGACTGCATCATACTGACGCACAGCTCCCGACTCACTACCACAAAAGAGAACTCGACCGTCTGGAGAAAAAAGTACGCTCGTCAACGTGTCCGATCCGCCCTCCACGTCCATGCCTGTACCCAACGACCTCACGTCCCAAAGTCGGATGGTCCTGTCATCACTACACGAGGCAAGCTGGAGTCCGTTTGGCGAAAAGGCTACTTGACAGACAGCAGCACCATGACCGGTAAAGACAGAAAGGACCGATCCTGTTGCTGCACGCCAGACCTTCACCGTGTAGTCCCAACTGCATGTGGCGATCCACTGGCCGTTCGGTGAAAAGCTCACACCCGCGACTCTCCAGCGATGAGCCTTCCAATTCCTCGTTGGCTTGCCGGTAGTAGTATTGTAGAACAGCAACTCGCCATTGCCATGTCCTACGGCAATCTCTAAGCCTTCGGGAGAGAATGCGATGCTTTTCATCTCTCCACTTTGACACTCCCAGACTTCCCCTGGCTGTCCGGTCTGTGTGTCAAAGAACCGGATCATCTTATCGTAGCCAACAGACACAACCGCATGTCCATCAGGCGAGTAGGAAATGCTACGAACCCACCTAGTATGACCGGTCAAGATGAATAGATTGGTGCCTGTCTGAACATCCCATAGCCTCACAGTCTCGTCCTCCCCAGCCGACGCGACCTGCTTGCCAGAGGGTGAAAACGCCACAGTCAACACATTTTCGGTATGTCCCTCTAGAACACAAACGCACGAGCCACTCTCACAGTCCCACAATCGTACTGTCTTGTCGTCACTGCCTGAAAGAAGTTGAAGGCCGGTTGGCGAATAGGCTAGGCTGTTTACACACTCTTGATGCCCTTCAAACGTGCGGGTCATTGTCCACATCGAGGTGTCGTAAATGTTGATGCGTCCTTTGAGAAGACCCGCAGCGAGCGATGTTCCGTCAGGCGAATAGGTGCACGACCATACTCCATCACTCTCCTTCAGGTACGGCATCTCCCCGAACTGAACTCTCTCCATCTGCGCCTTGGTGAAGTCAGCCTGACGAATCCAGCTCTTGGTGAGGTTGACACCTGTCAAATCAGTCTCCTGCAGTTGTGCCGAGTCGAACTGGCCTCCAGATATGTCCGCTCCAGGAACTCGAATACCCCGAAGATCGGCTCCATTGAATCGCACTCCTGCCTTGACCAAGATCGTGATGGCGTTCGCAGCGGCTCGAGCTGCTTGGTCGTCGGTCTTGGACTGCTCAATGATGGCGAAGAGCTCGTCCTTGAATCCAGAGTTCAGCTGCACGCGCTCCGCCAGAAACTGGACGATAGATGACTCTACGACAAGGTCCTTCTGGGACAATGGATGTGTGCTAATGGCGGATGAGGTGGCGGGGGGTTCGGAATGGACAGGCGGATCAAAATCGCCATGTTCCTTGGTAGGCCCAGAGATTGTGCAAGAGAAAAAATATTCCAAGACGGACCGGTGGACAAAGCGGTATTGGTTGCCGGCACGACTTAGCAGACTGGAATCTCGAAGGAGCGCCCTCTCAGGATCAAGACCAAAGAACTGAGCCTTCCATGTCTTCCTGTCTCGCATATGAGAGTAGTTAACGACTGGTCTGCCCTCCTGCTTCTGAAAGATTGACGCCGCCAGATCCATCTGGTACAGAATACCGTTGTGCTCGAACCCGTCGGCACAGAGGACGTCAAGCGCGATCTGGCTGCTCTCGCTCAACTTTTGATCCTGCAGTCGACGCTTGTTGACACCCATCCAGTGCCTCACAAAAGTGTCGTACAGTTCCGCACGAGTTACCCGAAGTCTGGAGAGGTCGGTTTTCCTTCGCACGACCGTAGGAAGAGCCTCCAGTGACAGGGTAAGGATGAATGGGTTCCTGACCAAATCCATCAGATTGGGGATAGCCTCTAGCTTGTCCATGTAGTCTTTCTTGACCCAGGTGCGCGGCTCGAGAGGAACATAATGCTCTACATAGTCCTCGATCTGCTCCCTGCTGAATGGTGTGATGACGGCTTGCTGGAAAAGGTCATTGGCGACACGAGCATACTGGTCAACCGCCTTGGGCTCAAAGCGACTCCGATAGTCCGGTCCGAGATACTGTGTGCGACAGGTAATGAGTAACTTGACGTCCCACTGCCCAGATTGGTTGAAGAGGTTGGTGGTATGCAGATTGGATGTAAGCTGGCTCTCATCGTATCCATCACAGATCAATGTGAACTGGCGGTGCAGCTTCAGCTCACGGATCTGGTCCTCCAAAAAGTTGTGGGTCCTCAATTGCTCCGCAACCAAATCCTTCTCTGGTCGCTCGAGGGATGGCAAGTTGACGAAAAGCGGGATGCGGCCTCCTGCCTTGTACTCTTGCCAGAGCTCGTGTTCCAGGTGTCGATTGAATGTTGATTTACCAGCTCCCGAGTCGCCAAGAACAAGCATGACCTGGGTGTTGCTGGCAAGAAAGTCCCTGACCTTGTCCATGAGAGGGAAGAGATTGTCGTCTGTGTCTTGAAGATTGAGTTTGGCCATGGGGTTGATGTAGACCGCCTGTTTGTAGTCGGCAATCCTCATCAACTTCAAGACGTGCAGGTCGTACTCGAGTTTTGGGATCTCTTGGACCTTAGCAAGAAGCGGGGAGGTTGACGGCAGAGGGAGGCGTCTGCTCAGCGAAAAAGAGCCAGGCCACTCGTCGATGCCGCCATTTTTTAAGCCTAGTAGTAAAGCAACAGCGCGATTCTTGACAGAGACATCTGACAGCTCCAAGATCTGGATGAGAACGGTCAGGATCCAGCGCTTGACATCGACATGCGGTTTCCATTCAGAACCACCTTTGTACAGTTCACCCAGAAAGTCAACGGCCTGCTGGCGGACAAGAACATCCCAGAGCGGGTCGACCGCAATCTCTCCGACCTGGCGACAGATTCCCCACTGAAAGTTGGGGTTGTTGCGGCAAGGCGCTTGGCTGACGACCAGGTTAAAGTCCGAAAGCCGTCCCTGTCGAATAAAGAGAGCCGTTCCTTGAAGGGCAAGGTACCACGAGCGCTTCTTCATAAAGTCGAACTTGTTCTCCGACGCCCGCATGGCCTCACCAGCACCAATACGAAGTGTCTCGACGACCTCAATTCCAGTGCTGACAGCTCCTACAACCCCTGCACCGATCTCTTGAAGACTCTCGATGCCTTTGAGGAATCCCTCTGGATCCAACTTGAAAACACTCGACACTGCGCCTGCGCCTGTCGCTGCTACCTTGGCATATCTCCACAACACCTGGAGCGGAGTCTCGTCATCGGGCGCATACTGGAGGGCCTGGTAGGCATAAGTTGCATCGTACCTCTGGACGACATTGTCGCTATCCTTCAGGCCGTCCAGGAGTTGCAGCATCGGCTGGTGGTCTCGTTCGCGGTTCAGGTCCTTAACCTTGCCAGTCACCATCACATCAAGAACTCGAGCGAGCGACAATGTCAGGTGCAAGGGGTGGTCACTCGTGCCAATGTGGGTAATCGACAGCTCCTTGGAGAGAACGGCGGCGATCCTGACCAAATCATCGTCAACAAGGTATTCATCAGAGGCGCATTCAACCAGCTGCACAAGACCTTGGAGAATAGTGACATCCAGCGCTGTTGTCTGTTCAAACTTGGAGATGAAGCAAGAGAGCAGGCTGCGGTAGGTGTCGCGGTCAAGAACGGGACCAACAAGAACGATCTCGGAGACCACATCAGATGCCTTGAGGGGGTTGTCAGCGAACGCTCTGACCAACTGCTCGACAAGCCATCGATATCGGTCCTGCAAGACGGGATCAATGAGTTGAACCCATTCCTTCTCCTTGCCGTCGATGGGAGAATTCTGGGAAACATTGCTGTCCGAGGTTGACTGCAATGGTCCAGGAGCCTTGAAGAGGAGACTACAGCAGTAGACAAGCTGCGGGGTCTTGTCAACACGAGCATGCGGCTTGGGCAAGTCGATCTTGTAGATAGGTCTGATAACGTTTTCGGGGAAAATGTCCATGCGGAGGGTTCCATTCGCAGAAGGGTTCGGTTGCAACTGGATAGCTGGGACAACGAGTGTCGTGGACGAGGAAGACGCAGGGGGAGGCGAAGGCGAATTGTCCTGGAGTGACGATGAGGACATGGTTGCAGCTACAAACATCAAATATGAATGGCGTTGGTTAGCATTGTCTGGACAACCTTGAAGAAATAAAACACTTATAATAATTACTCTACCATTTTTACCTTGTGTTGATTTAAAGAATGATTTTTGGTGCTGGTAAAAGGTCGTGAAGGACCGGATGAGGAGATCAATGGCTGGTATGACAGCACGAAGCTATCAACAAAAAAGTATGTGCAACGTTAGGGGAGGTTTGTAAACAAGACGGCGTTTCATGACCACGCATGCATGGGACAGTTGTGCTTCGTTCGCCTTCCTTACCAAAGAGGTAGCAAAAGGTCACCTTTTTTGTTCTGTTTTGGTGACGGACTGGGCTTGCGTTTGGCTGGCGAGACTTGTTGGTCCATGTCGATACGATATCGGTTAGAATCGTGTTTGGCTAAAGTACGTTTGGCAATTGCACTTTTTATTTGTTTTTGTTCTCTCACGCTTACCGGGCGCGGACTTATTGTCGATTTTTTTGGTTTTTAGTTTTGGCTAGTGAGTGTACAGCTGCCAAAGGGGTTGTCTTGTCCTAGACATCATATGTATGTCCAATGCGGAATGGGTTAGCACCACGAAGTCGACAAGCAAAGAAGCGGTTGAAGAGTCTCCACGACCTCATGACTATTTAAAACGCTCTTTTCCTTACCTTGAGACGAGTGGGGCACCAGCGTATTATTTTTTGGGGTGAGTCGCGAAGACTAGGGCTTTTGGTGGAGTCGGTTGTCTCTGACAGGAAAAATTATCTTTGTACGTTTCAATCTTTTCTTAGTATTGTGCAAAAGTCTTGTTTCTTTCCTAGATACAGCGACACATACATCTATGCACACCCGACGACCTGTTGAGATGGACTTACCCCAGTACCCGTTAGGTTTAAACGCTGTTTTTTTTTTTTTTTTGTGTTGTAGTGTGTTCTCGGCAGACGTGGTGGACGAGAAGGGGGGTATAACGAGGTGGTGAATGAACAAAGGCAAAGTGAATTCACAATGTGAACAATGTGCTGAATGTCGAATGGACAAGTGTGAGTAACGAAAGAAAAAGAGAGAGAGGGACAGACGGTGGTGGAGGGTTTGCGGATGGTGGTGGAGTAGATGATGACAGGGGGTGAGCCAATGAGAAAAGAAAACAAGAAAGGTGGAGCTTGGGATATTTTACGTTATCTACTCGCCCTTTCGTCCACTGCTTCATTCTTGCTTCGCCAGGGCAGTGACCTTTCTTGCATGCACGCCACCCCACCTTGCCTTTTCTTTTCGAATGCGAAACTTGCCATTTGATTTTTTGCTTGTTTCTTTCCCGCATAAATAGTTGTTATTGTTCTTGTTGTGTGAAGTAACAGGAAGTAAAAGAGAAGGAAAGGGGATCCACAGGTGAACAGCGAATGCAAAAACCAAGCAATTCTAAACCATGGGTCTCTTGAAAGAAAGCATGTAGTTCGGTGGCCTTATTCAAGTTGTTACGGAGGTATATGGCCCAAAGCGTCATCTTGACCGCCGATTGAATTCGGTGAAACCGATAAACTTTTATTCAATAAGCAACGAAAACTATCGGAATGCGACACAGGAAAGACTTTTTCTAGAGCACGATGTTGCTCAGCAGCAGGGAGAGAGGAATCTTCTCGTTTCTTTTGTGGCCTTTATTCTCACGTAATGCGCCATGGTCAATGATGACCTGTATTTCAAGTGCTATGCCTGGGACCTGTCGTTGTCTAAGTGGGACCTGTTCTTTGTCAGACATATCCCATATCCCATGCTTAATCAATCAGGTAAGATATCTAAGCCACCGCTCTTCAAGGCTTAGTCACTTTTCATTGGCCGCATTATCAATTCGCAGGAGGGGAGGAGCAAACAAAAAACGTATTTAAGCAACCGACTTTCGACACAACTCCCTTCTTCATCTCAACAAAAAAACAACATCGTATCTTCACTCGACTACAACAACAGTCCTCACTACTCCCATTCACACAACAACTCCTCTTCTCTCAGCTACACTAACAACAAGACAACAACTCAAAATGACTGCTACCACTACCCCAGTCTCCAGATCCATCACAAAGTCCGTCCTCTCCAGGGAACAATCCGAGGGTGTCGGCGCCCGTGTCCGTCGATCCATCGGACGTCCCGAACTCCGTAACCACGACCCCTTCCTCATGCTCGATGAGTTCTCGGTCGACAAGAACGGTGGCTTCCCCGACCACCCCCACCGAGGATTCGAGACTGTGACCTACATGATCGAAGGTCAGTTCCAGCATGAGGACTTTGCAGGACACAAGGGAACCATTGGACCTGGTGACTTGCAGTGGATGACTGCCGGTCGTGGTATTGTTCACTCGGAGATGCCTGTCAAGTCTCAGACCCGTGCTCATGGACTCCAGCTCTGGATCAACTTGCCCAAGGAGCACAAGATGTGTGAGCCACAGTACCAGGAACTTCTCGACGGTCAGATCCCTCGTGCTACTCCCCAGGACGGTGTTGTCGTCAAGGTCATTGCAGGCGAGTCTCACGGCGTCAAGTCTCAGGTCTACACCCGCACACCCACTATGTACCTCGACTTCAAGATGGACAAGAACAAGACCGTCACCCAGATCATCCCCTCGACCTACACCGGATTCCTCTACATGCTCAAGGGTACGACATTCATCGGTGACAAGGAGTTCGAGGGTAAGGCTCACCACACTCTCACACTCTCGGAGGACGGTGCCACAACAGTCAAGATCCAGACCAAGGATGAGGACGCACACTTTGTATTCATTGCTGGCGAACCCCTGAAGGAGCCCATTGTTCAGCATGGTCCCTTTGTCATGAACTCGTCCGAGGAGATCTATGACACCTTTGTCGACTACCAGAACAACAAGAACGGATTCGAACGAGCCCGCAACTGGCGTTCTACCATTGCTTAAACGTCCTTTCATTTCTTTTCTCACTCCTTGTACCATATGTAAAATTCTTGTAAAAACCAAATAAAACCAATTGAACAATGAACAACACTGCTAGCTTGTCTGAAGCGTGTGCAGGTGCTATTGGTGTTATGTATATTCGAGAATGCTTCTTGTCCTTTGCTTTCGCCTCGTAAGCGATTGTAAAAGGGTTCTTTGGTCATCCACCGCGCGTGCGTTTCTCCGGCAGTCCAAAGCCACCTTGCTCTTTCTTCCCTTTTTTTATTTAACGTTCAAATGCATATACCGTTCTTTCATTCTCCCAACGCCTCACGCAAATTATTGCCATGCCGTTCCTGACCAGGAACAGAGTGACCCTGTTGCTCCGTGGACTTATCCTGCTCCATTCTCTTGTTGACATTGTCAGCGCATATATTTTTTTGAGATCGTTGTTGAGTTAGCACAATGTAAATTTTGTGGTGGTTGGGATTGGGTTGAAGATGGTTCTGGACGAGACAAGGGCGAGTGATGAGTCCACTCAAGGTCTTGACAAGGAGGATGAGGATATCGGGGTAGGATCCTCAAAAGAACGACAGGGAGAAGACGAAAGTCAAACTGAGGAAGAAGAATTAGAAGAAAACAAGCCGGAGACACTTTCGAATCTGATGTCGAAGAGGTCGGTTATTCTTGGTTTTCACTTTATGGTGGCCCTCCAGAGTAACTGGAAGAGAGTCAAGTTGGCCGACAAATATCCTTGTAAGCGAGCGTTACCTTTTCTTGATTCACCTTTTGCATTAGCCATTTGTACGATGAAAAGATATCTTGGGTCAAATTGAACCTATATCTTCCTCGCATGATCTTCGATGCTTATTTTTTTTCTCATATCTTACTGCGCCATAGGGTTCATCAAGGCAGCAGTCGTACTCAACATGTGCGTGGAAGTGTTTGGCCTGTTTGTTGTCACAGCCACCGGTGCATCGAAACGACGCTTTCAAGTGTTGTACTATGCAATACTCAGCTGGCTGTTGGTATTGTGGGTCTATCCGTGCAGGGTCGTACACGGTTTAACAATGAGCCAACCAAATCGATGTTACCAATGGCCTTGATCGACTATGTCGGGTCGCTGCTGTGGTCATGGATCAATCCATCTTTTGATGCTGTTCTGCTCGAGCTGATCTCGATCTACATTATATGGCGGACGGTCAGGCACTTTAAAAGAATGGACGAAGAGGATGCCAAGAGGGATACGGATGCTGAGCGCGAACAACAAAGAATTGATGGTCCTAGTCAAGAACCGAAGGAGAGTCCATAGTTTGTAATATGAAAGTGCCTTTTTTAAATGGATGACTAGCTGGTTCTGACACTTTTTTTTCATTTCACTTTTGCACGGCGTACAAAGATGTGTATGTATCAACATATGTACAGTTTTATTCACTGCAGTGAAGGAGAAGTGACAATATACAAATGGATCCTACTTTCACAAAATAAAAATCTAATGGCATTACTGTTACAACCACTGACACTCAATCTTTTTCTACACTCAAAACATCTAATGATGCGACGACTGCTGGGATAGATCAATCTTCAAGGGATGAGAACCCGAGGACTTCTTGTGCGAACCATGGTGTTGCTTGTTGGCTTTGGCGCGGTCTTGGGCGATTGAACTCTGTTGTTGTAGGTTCTGTTGCTGGTTCTGGTTGGATTTGGTCGTTTGGGATTGGGCTTTGGCTCCGTGGGCGGCGTTCTTGTTATTGGAGGACGAGGTTGATTCCTGCTGCTGCTGGTTTTTGGAGGGCTGGGAAGGCATGGTGGCTGGCTGGGGTGGTCCTGCGGGACGGTCTTGACGGAGAGGGTCTTGGGTCTTGGCGGCGGGGGAGGAAGTCTTGAGAAGGGGTCTCGGAAGGAGGACTAGAAGGGAGAGAAGTGGCGCGGGGGAGTGTGAGTGTGTGGTAATTAAGAAAAGAAGGTAAAGATTGATGCAGGACAAGAACCACCTCTCAGATCAATTTATACCGCAAGGCCGACGATATGTGAAAAAAGGCGCGCAATGGAGAAGGTACTCTTGCATCATGAGAACCTATTAGCATTGGTTGTGTTTGCGTCAAAAAAAAACGGCAATCAATATGCGATGGGTCATGTCTCTGCTTGCCCTCTCTTTCCAACTCTGGTTCAGACCACTAGAATCAACGAGGGGTCAGGGCAGAATTGTCTCACCTCTAGCCAACTAGCACTTAGACACAACAACTCTACCTAATCGCCCACTCGACGCGAGCGAGCGAAGGAAACCTTATGTATGAGAACGAGTGAGATCTGTTCTGACTCATGCTCGGTGTTGTGGGTTTATGCTTCTCCTTCAACTGGCAGTGTTTGTCGATACCCAATGCCCCTTCATGCTTGATTTTTGCTGAGGAAAAACTGTGAGAAATATCGCGCCTAATTGATCGACGATTGTGATTGTGCTTGCAATGGATATGGTTGGTTGCCAATGTCTTTGACCCTGACCCCTCAAGGAACCATCAAGGTACCCACCCCCTGCCCAGAACATCATCAACGACGCTGAGAACATACATACACACATTGATAACTTCAAGACCCATTCTTAATGCATACCATCGCAACAGCAATGTGTAATGAGAGCAGGTCTTCACAAAAAATAAAGGAGCCACCCAGACACTTCTGTGTAATTAAGCAAATGCGTCGATTTTATTTTCACAGAAAGAAAGACTATATACAAAAGGACTCCGCCTCGACAAAAAAAAAGTGCATCCTCAAGACATGAACATGTCCTCCGAATTGTAATGCTGCTGGAACTGACCACTTTTTCCGGTTCCAAACCAGCTGCTCTGCTGCTGTCTCTCCTGTTGCTGTCCCGACTGATGAGGGATCTGAGAGTACTGCGCGGCGAGGGAGGCCGACCTTAAGAGACGACCACCAGGGCTCTCGTGGGCGATCGACGACGACGAGACGGACTCCAACTGGGCATGGTGAACTACATGGTCACTGAAGACACTGGAGGTCTGACCGGCGATGTTGCCCGGTGGGGGGACGATGGCGCTGATGCTGCTTCGCCTTGTGTTTGTGGGCGGTTGGTCGATGGTGGAGGTGGTGGTTTGTTGCTGCTGTTGGAAGCTCTTGAAGATTGGGAATGATGGCATGTTTTGTTTTTTTAGGGGTGATGTGTGTGCTATTGATTTGTTTTTGCTTGGTGATGAAAGAAGTGAAAAATAGTAAAGGTACGATATTAGCGATGGACGACAAAACCCTTTCGTCTCCAGCAGGCAATATCGACGGGGTCACAAGGCCAACTCCTGTTGCATTAGCCTTGACCTCGAACGCCAACGAAAATAATTCTCCGATCCTGCCAGCGCTTGTGAGTGCACGGGGTCATCATTGAAATCCAGGGGCCGACCATGTCTCACCCCCACACATCGTCAAATAACAAATGTGTACGTTCATCCCTCCAACAGTAGAAGGGTGATTTCATGCTCCTCCTCTTATTGGCCAAACGCGTCGTGTATTTTTTTTTTTTTTTTTTTGTGGGTACCGATTTATTGATATTAAGGGTGCTGGACAATCATCAAAAGACCATTTTTTCCCCCTAGAACTGACCAACAAGCGCGCCTCAGGCTACGAAATAGGACAAAGCTGTAGAGCATCAACATCCACTACCACCGCTCTCCGAGGAACCACCGCGACCAAACTCACAATCACCAGCACTCGACAGATCCGACCCCTGCGTCTGCAACCCCTCCTCCTCCTCCTCTTCCTCATTGTCACCTTTATAATCACCACACTCGTACATCTTCTCGTCTGCATCCGAGTCCGAGTTCTCCAACTCCTCCTCCTCTTTTCCTTCCATATCCTCATCCTCGTTGGTCTCAAAGTCATTTTCGCCCGTCAAAAACCCACCACCACCAACAAGAGATCCTCTATACTCCACATCTCGATTGCGCCATCGCATAACTGGCAGCGCCGACGACATCGAGATACACCCTCTCGCCAACGCCATCGCCTTCAGATCGATGGGATACCCAAGACTGGAGTCTGCACTAGAGTTGGGACTGCCACTGTCGGATCCTCCGTGTCGTGATCCTGAACGAGTTGTGGCACCAGATCCGGATATGGCTCCGAGTCCTGTTAGAAGGGGACAGCTCAGTCGCCAGTAGTCGTCGCTCAGGTGCCCTTGCTTGGGATAGTAGTACTGCGGCGGGATATGGTGCTGCTTGCACTTTGGGATAGGCCATGGAAGAGGAAGAGTGCAAGTCGTCAAGGGCTTCTCTTTGGGCGAAGCTGGAGGTGATCCATCGTCAACATCCTCATCTTCATCCCCAGCGACGCCTTCGACATCATGAGCCTCGGGCGGAGTAAAATACTCAGCAGTAGAAGAAGTTACCTCATAAGCTCGGTAGACAGCCTCAGTGGCACGGTTGCGACGAGCCTGAGCTCCCAGGCGAGGGAGTGGGAAGGAATACACCTTATCGGCTCCTGCAGCATTAATCACCATTGCCGCAAAGTACTCATCCATTGCTTCATTGTCACTGCCTACCAGATAGTGCCATCCTGTAGCAGCAGCCGGCTGCTGCCGCTGCTGTTGTTGTCCAGGGATCGGAATCGGGGTTACCACTTTCGCCACTTCCGCCTCTGCTGCCTCCGGGAGTTCAGGTATGGGCGATAGAGAGGGATATATTGTGAAATTCGTCACTGTCATCGCGCGAGGAATAATAGGTTTCGCAGGAAGAGGAGGAGCGGGGATGACCAGTCTCTGCAAGGCTTCCTGCGGCTTCTTCTTTATCGGCTTGACTGTCATTCTGTGGGTCAGCTCCTGCTTCAACAGCCCACTGCTGCCGGTCGCCGTCAAGGTTGCGTTCACTTCCGCCGCAGCAGCAGCCGAGCCAAGGTAGGCCTCAGAAAAGGCTTTAGCACACTTCTCATCATGTCGCACGACTCGGATCCATGCAGAGTCGACCATCAGCAAGTTGCCACAAAACACCAGTCGCAAGAACGGAGCCACCGGGAATAAGAGCCCAATTAAGAGGTCGGTTACAAAGCACTGGCGCGCGTAGCGCTGTAAGGTAACGCGCTCCGAGTCGTCGAACATGAAGCGGTCTATGAGAGGGCGATAGACCTTGAAGTACGAAAGCGTCGCACAGATCAGGAACCCGACTCCCGGGATCAGTCCTATCCACAACAGAAAAAAAGGCGAAACAGAACGGTGGGCGAATAAATTAGTCTTTTCACCTGTCGCCGCGTCCCAGCAATAACGGAGATCACGTCTGCGATATATTTACCGAGAAAGAATGCCAGACCGATACGTGACAAAAAGCTCCGAGCGCTCATCTTGTGCCAACCCTTGTCATCGACAGCCTGACCATCAACATCGGCGTCGCACACTCCGTCCAACAGGCTTGCCCACCACTGAATCCGTCGCAAGGTCTCATGGTTGGCCTTCATCTCTTTCTCTTTTGGATGTGGTTCAAATTCCTGCATCTGAATAACAAATCCTCTCACTGGTGTTTCTGTTGATGGTGGATCGGTAGTCTCCGAAAAGTTGCTGAAGTTACAATTCAAAAGGTACTGGTGGTTGCAATGGTGGTGGCGTTTGTTGCTGTTATTAATGCGGTTGTAAGGAAAAGAAGAGTGGGTTAGATAACAATGTTTGAATATGTAGTCATCGTTCGATGAAAGCATGGAACGGGGAGTAGGAGAAAGGATGTGTTACTTTTGTGAAGATACGTGTGGAAAGTGTGGAAGTATGGGTGGAGGTGGGGAGAAGTGAGAGAGCGAGAGAGCGAGAAGGAAAAAAGTAAAGGTGTAGGCGATGGCTGATCTTTATAAGAGTCGAACCTCGTACTCGCATCTGGTTGTGATAGAAAACGGCTTTCTTGTCGTTAGGTCGCCAGGCAACATGAAGCTCCAAGGATCAACATCAAGCGCATTGTCCATTCAACGCGATGTTTGCACCGGCGAAACCAACCAGTTTCCTCCGTAACCGAACAAATCCTGCATAACCGCCTTCATAGGGTTTAAAGGAATCTATATTTCATCTAGGTTGAATACCTATGCCACTTGCTCTGCAGAAGCAGGTACAGAAGGAGCCACTTCACTACCCTGAGCAACAGCAGCTGTAAGAGGTCCCGCAGCAGGCGTTGTCTCGGCTGTGGCCCCTTCCTGTTTATCCTTCTTACTCTGTAAGCGCCTTCCAGCCGCAGGCTTGAATCCTGTTCTCTCGCGCACAACAACCAAGGGTTCATACCAACCCCTGGTCAAGCCTCCCTTCTCACGATCGGCGGTGTTGAATGGCGGCTTCAAAGATCCCTTGAAGTATTGAACAACAACCTCTTGGAACCGTTTCCGCCTTTGTGCCTCTGCAGGGTCAACTACCTCCTCTTCCACCTGCTTCACTTCGCTCGCTTCTCCTGCTTCCTCTGATTTCTTCTCGGCATAGGCAGGGGGTACCTGTCGGAACTCGTACAAGTCATCATCAGCATCGTTCACATCGCTTCCTCCAGCAGCTCCAAAAGCCTTCTCCGCGTCCTGGTCCAATCCAACTCCCTCATGCTTCTTCAACAGATAACAGAACCACCGATGACCGATCTGGACGTGTGTCACCTCATCCTCATGAACTTTCCGCAACATATTCGCTGAATCCTCGTCGCCACTCCTGCTGAAACGAGCAATAGTCGCCGGGTTGACATCTAGACCTCGCGACTCGATCGTCATATGCACAACAGCCATGCGTGCTAGTGCCGATCGTGCAGTGTCTGTGCAAGAATCCCAGATCGAGGCGTGAACTGGGAGGTCTCCGTAATGTGCTCCTTGCGACTCTAACCGCTCATTCAGCCATTTGAAGTGCTACCATTTCAAAAGAGAGCACGATATTAGCTGACTGGCTTTCTTAATTACTCAATGAATTAATGAATCCACTTGGCTCCTTTTTGCTTTACCTTGGATTCGTCGCAAGCCATTTGCATAAAGTCGTCAAAGAACCGGTTGGGCATTACAAACTCCTTGTCCTCCTCGTTTTCGATCTGGTTCTTGAGCGCTGTTCCTGCAGTCGCCTGAGTATAGTATCCAAAGCGCGTCATATTGTCCAACGCCGTGTCGATCGCCCATTGCTCCACGTTCGCCAATGCTGTCATAGCGGATCAGATAAGAAAAGATGGTACATCAGTTGTCCGTTAGTTATTTTTGTTCAATTGCACCCGTAGTGGTCTTTCTGCTCTACGCGACATTCCTTGTCATCATAAATTGTCCTCCTACGATCTCCCAGCTGTAAGCATATCCTGCGCTCTTACCATGCAAAATGGCGATCCTGCTAGCTAAACATATTAAAAAGGGTTGGAAGAAGCCACAAGGGTCTGTAGGTCAGCGTGGTTCCTTTGTTCTTCAGCCAGGCCAAAAAAATAAGACGACATAAAGATCCTCCTCGAGCTTGATGACAAAAAGGAAAGCCAAACGAAACTAACAAAAACAACGAAAGCCTCTTACACAAAGAACCAGCCTTGCCGACCTTGACGCCAAACCCCGGCCTCACAAACTCGAGTGTATCGGGTCTTGAAGGCTTCTCTGGAGGCATGGCACGACCCAATGGCATCAACTCTACTTCCTTCTCCTTAGTGCCTTCCTTGGTGTTACGAGCTTGAATGATCTGTTTCCATTGCTCGCCCAGAAGAAGGGTCAAGTCAGCCTTCTCGATGGGATCGATCGTATGCATGATGTGAACACATCTCTCGAGGAGTGAATCACACCCCTCAGGGAATCGCAGATCCTGTGCATGAGGTTGTTCTTGTTCTGACATCCTTGTTGTTTGATGAGTCCTGTTCCTTATTCCTTGCTGAAGTTGCTGTTGATCCTGAGGGTGAGGAAGGCTGATCTTTGTGGGCGTTGGGTTAAAAAGGCAGAAACAGCGTGGCAGTGAACATGGAATAAATAGCCCTGTCGGAAACAAAAAAAAACGAATTTTATTTTTCTTTCACAATAGAGTGGGCGAGAGAGACACCTGTCTTGTAGGTAGGAAGGGTTGGCAGGGCAGTGCAGTACGCAAAACACAAATAAAAAAAAAAGAACGAGGACAATGAATGGTAAATGGTGGGTCGATAAATGTGGTGAGTGTATTGAAAAAATAGTCGTTCCTTCTTTACATCTCGTCCATGGCCTTCAAGGTCTCGTCCAACTCGGCCTTGACATTGTTGTGCTTCTCGGTCATATCCTCGAGCTTAGTCTCGAGCGAGTCCCTCTCCTTCTCAAGAGTCTTGACCTTGCGCTCAAGATCCTCAACCTTCAACTCGTGCTCGCGGAGCCTAGTAAGAAGCAAAACGGCAATTAGTACCTTTGTTCTATGGTTCTGTTTGTAGCCACTGTTTGTTTGTTGGCTTATTTGTGTGTTCTTTGTTCGTCTGCGAGCTCATTTTCCCCTGCGGTGGGATAAGCAAAAGTGGCAAAGGTAAAAAAGGGGAAAGGAAAGGCAACGGAGGATTGATAATGGAAGCCAGCCAATATTGACGTTGATACTTGCTCCCAGCTATTTTGCTGTTATCGTGCTATATCGTCGTGAATGTCGTTGTTTGTTGAGCGCCTGATGATGTTGGCCTTCCTGCAGCCGTAAGTAAGGAGCCGTTCATTCGGCCTTGAAGTATTGGCGGACCCTTTCTTTCACACTCTCCTTGGGCCTTGCAGTTTAGAACGACAAGTGTAGGCTCTCAACCGTAGCCCTCTTTTCTACAACCGTTGACTGTTTCGTTGACTGGTTGGCTGGAAGGTGTCTGTCCGTACTTTATATCCACCAGGCTCTCCTGCTCCACTCCCTCGACCCCGAATACAAAAAAGACGAGAGCAGTAGCAAACATGAAATGACCAGATGGAGGGAAAACGCAACTTATTGTTTGTCCCTCCTGCGGTTTGCACACAAAGGCAAAAGAGAAGAGAAAAGAAAAGAAAAGGAACCCCAGCCAGAGCATCGCCTGCTAGTCTCCTCACTCATGCGCCATTGTTCCCGTGTCCCTCCTCCCATTTCTCCTTCTCCTTCTCCTTCACCCCTTGGATACTTTTTCTTTGCCCTATCGGCTCCTGAAATAAAAAAGAACGGGGGATTAACTTACTTGGTCTTGGAGTCGCTTCCGCCAGTCTCGGCCTTCTCAAGCTGGCTCTCGAGGTTGGTGATGCGGTTGTTGAAGGAGATGGCCTCCTGATCCTTGGCGGAAAGCTCGGCCTTGACAGCAGCGAGCTCGCGCTCAGCAGTTTCGGCGCGGGCAGAGGCAGCATCAGCCTCAGCGCGGAGGTTCTCGAGTTTCTACAATAGGGTGACAATGGTGGCGAAGGAGTAGAAAGTAACAAAACGCGTACGTTAGTGGTGTCGTCAACCTCGAATTGGCCTGGGAGGAAAATGCGCAAGGGCATTCAATGGTGTCGCTTTATCGACAGTTTTTTTCGTCCTTGGTTCCACTCCTTCCATGGCAGCCAGGGTTCTGTGAGAGAAACAGTAACGGCTGAAATAACAAGAGGTGCGAGATGAGACGAGTTGTCATCACATGAGAAAAAAAGCACAAAAAAGAGGCGCGCGCCCACGAAGTGCCTTGATGCCGCAGTTGAGTCTTGCTGTGCAGTTTATACTCTTGGGATGACCCTTCTTTTCTGGCGGTGGCGGCGAGTATGGTTGTCCGCCTGAGGTGTGAGATGGCCACCAGAGGAGGGAAGAGACCACCACAGTGACGGTGACGACAGAGCCAGGTACTTCTCCTGCACGCGTGCAAAAAAAAGGTGTTGTTGTTGTTGTCGTTTGTTTGTTATTCACAAGCTGTCGTTTGTTACCTTCTTGAAGGCTTCCATTGTGAGTTGTTGGGGTGTTTAAGGGATGATGAGGGAGAAAGGTGTGTGTCGTCAAGAAAAAGGCATGCACTCTAGCCAAACGTTTTATTACTTCGGCTAGCCCTCTCTAAAATGCAATCGCTCTCTCACCTCTCACATTCATTTTACAGAGGCTGCGCTGGCTCGCCAATGTGACGCACGAGAACTCGCAAGAGCTAAAGACGTCCAACAGGCAACAAGCACATGGCCCTCTTCCTAGGCTGTGTCCCATGCTCACATGCATTTTTTGTTCACAACTGCCAGCGCAATGCCCTCAGCATGTGTGATTCGTTATCCTATCCATAACAAGTTGCCGCAGCCACTCGCAAACAAAAGGCAAGGGCCTGGATGTGTTTATTTTTTTGAGCACCGTCCAGGTCCATCGGGGAACTGAGTATTAAGTTGTGCTTATTAACATGCATGGTGACGGAGAAATAAAAAGAAGACCATGTAATGAAAAGGTTAAAAATGTTCCCAGGAGAGTGTAAAAGTGCATGAAGTAAAAGAAGGAGAGGAGGAACAAGAGAAGGGGGCGAAACGCGTTTTCCCGATACTCCCTTTTGAAAGGCAACAAGATAAGGCATTTCGCATTCCATGCCAAACTGCAGCAAGAAAAAGTAAACGGGTGGTTGCCTGTGTAGCATGTTTATTATGTTTATTACTGTGTAGTGTTGGAGTTGGTTGTCTCCTCTCTTGTCTTTGTGTTTATCTCTGTCTGGTCAATGTGTTCTTTCCCCTTCCCTTCTTTCTTTTTGTGTATGTCAACACCGCCTATCTTTCCCCGTTGAACTTGTGTCCCTTTATTTCTTCTTCGCTCTCATTTTTCTTCGTCCATCCCCTTTGGACCACAGTGGCCCTTGGAGCACAGACAGAGGACGAAAGTGACGCGTAGAGTGAGAAACCAGATCGCGACGGACAAGTCAAATTTGGCCAATCAAACCATGCTGTGATCCACCATTGACCCATTCGCGATCCCCCAGGTTGTCCAACTTCTGAGACACATCAAATCAATCCAGGGACCACAAAAAAACTTCTCTCTTCACTCTCCCTTCTTTTCTTTTCCTCTCTTCTTTTTTCTTCTTCATTTCCTTCTTCTTCACTCCTCACTCTTGTTCTTTTATTATTCATCCACTATATTCGCAACAAACTCAACAAAGGAGCAAAGAACACACAGTCAAAAGGAATATCAGTAGTACTTTTGGCATTCCAAAAGGGTATCATTTTTCTGTACATTCAGCAAACCATACCCTCCTTCTTCTCTCTTCACACTTTCCTTCCCCCTCCTCTCTCTACCCTCACCCCCCCTCCTCTCTCTACCCTCACCCCCCCTCCCGTCCCGTCATGACCGCAGATATCAAGGCCCTAAACAACCTCATCAAGGCCACAGAAGAAGCCAGCCTCTCGCCCGAGGCCCGCAAATCCCACGCCAGCAAAGTGGCCGACCACGTCAAGAAACTCGGCGTCATCAAAGCCTTCCATGAGGGTCATCTCGTCAAGACCCTCACCGCCCTCCTCGAGAACAAGAAGCAGGGCCATATCCGTGAGGCTGCTCTGTTGATCCTTGCCGAGGTCTCCAAGGCCGTCGGCCAGGCCGGTGAACCCTACTTGATTCCTTTAATGCCAAAGGTCCTCGACGGATATGCCGACAAGGTCGCTACCGTCCGTGATGCGGCCGACAGTGCGTCAAAGGCCATTATGTCTCTGCCTTCGATGTATGCCGTCAAGCTGTTGTTGCCGGTTCTCTTCGACACTATTGAGAATGGAAAGTGGCAATCTCAGTGCGGATCTTTGAAGATCTTGGCTGGCCTCTGCAAGACCTCACCCAAGGTATTTAAAGAAGCAGAGGGATTGCGAGAACCTTTTGCATTTGTTCATTCATTTCGATCCAGTTGACGAAATTTTTCATGATCTGGATCGATCCATGGCATCAAGACAGTGAAACCGCCACTCCCTCATTCATTTACCTACTCTTTACTGATCGATCTCTTCTTCTCCTTCCATTTTTATTCCTTTCTTTCTTTACTTCACAACGATGTAGCAAATTAGTAATTGCCTGTCCGAGATTGTGCCCATCCTCAGCGCCAGTATGTGGTCCACCCGCCCAGAGGTAAGAATTATCTTTTATCTGATTACTAGCTCCAACATTTTCGCAAATCCATAAAAAAAATAAGAGGTTACAAGGGAGAAATAAGGAGTGGCTGGAAGAAGAGGTGTGGATAATAGGGGGAATGGGAAATGGTAAGACACCCCCGAACTCAAACATCCCACTAAGCAATGGCCCTTGGATAAGGAGGGATGATATGCAACGAAGGGATGAGGAGTAGAACAGAGCGAGAGATGGGTGGATCCAGTGACGGAGATATTTTTTTCGGACTGGAGGATGGGATGAAATGATTACAGCATGACATTCAGCGATTACAGACTTATTCAGTAGCAGTCGAGATGGGTTGCACATCCACAGACACAGGCAGCGACCACCACAACTTGGATGTGCGATCAACATCATCAGAAAGGACGCACACACCGACAGACACAGGGAGCACAGACTCAGTACAACAGCGCAGGACAGAACCCCATCTTTCATGCACCTCCCGCGGTCCAATGAGCTGACAAAGACCTGAAAAAATTTGCTTCCCTCAAATTTTAGGTCCAGGAAGAGGCGACCAAGACAACAACCGCCTGTTTCGACGTCGTCGGAAATCCGGATCTGACAAAGTCCATCCCCTTCCTCGTCGGCTGTATCAAGAACCCCGAGGAGGCTCCCGATTGTATCCACCAATTGGCCTCGACAACCTTCGTCACCACCGTCGAGGCCCCCACTCTCGCCATCATGAATCCACTCCTTATCCGTGGTCTTGCCGAGCGCTCGCCCGCCATCCAGCGTCAGACCGCCGTCATTATCGACAACATGTGTAAGCTGGTCGAGAACCCCGCTCACGCCCATCAGTTCTTGCCCAAGCTCTTACCCGGTCTTGACCGGATGATCGAAATCGGAGCCTCGCCCGAGCTCCGCTCGGTCGCTGAGCGTGCCCGTGCCACCTTGGTCCGTGTCGGTGGTGGTGAGAAGGGCCACGAGGACGCCTTGGTCAACATTGCCTATGAGGTTAAGCCTGACGAGGTCTTTGAGCAGATCAAGAAGTCGTTGGGTGAGAAGGTCAAGATTGACGACTTTGTCAAGACCAGTTTGAACTACAGCGCAGGACTCTGCTCAGAGTTGGTCACTGCCCGTGATTTCGAGGCTGAGGCATGGCATGCTTCAGTCGAGCCTTACTTGGTCACCTTTGTCTCCAAGGACGATGCCAAGCGTGTCGCGACCGAGGTCCACAAGTACTTTGTCGAGTTTGATGCCAAAAACACCCGCGACAATGCTGCCGTCGAGGATGTCGAGGAGGGTGAACTCCTCTGCGACTGTGAGTTCTCGCTCGCCTACGGTGGCATGATTCTCTTAAACAAGACCCGTCTCAACCTTCGCCGTGGTCAGCGCTATGGACTTTGCGGTCCCAACGGCGTCGGAAAGTCGACCCTCATGCGTGCCATTGCTGATGGTCAGCTCGAGGGTTTCCCTCCAGCAGACGAGCTCCGCACTGTCTTTGTCGAGCACAACTTGCAGGCCGAAGAGGCCGATCTCCCCGTTGTCCAGTTCATGTTTGCCGATCCCAAGCTAGGAGACATCCCCCATGAGGAGGTCGTCTCAAGGTTGGCCTCTGTCGGTTTCACGGATGCAATGCAACAGCAGGCTGTCGGTTCTCTCTCTGGCGGTTGGAAGATGAAGCTCGAGTTGGCCCGCGCCATGTTGATGAACGCCGATATCTTGCTGCTGGATGAGCCCACTAACCACTTGGATGTCAACAATGTCGCCTGGCTCGAGAACTACCTGACCTCACTCACCAACGTCACCTCAATGATTGTCTCCCACGACTCGAGCTTCCTCGACACCGTCTGCACAGGCATCATCCACTACGAGAGTCGCAAGCTCAAGAAGTACCGCGGTAATCTCTCCAAGTTTGTCGAGCAGTACCCCGACGCCAAATCCTACTACGAGCTCAAGTCATCCCTCGTTACCTTCAAGCTTCCCGAGCCCGGTTTCTTGGACGGTGTCAAGTCCAAGGACAAGTCCATCTTGCGTTTCGTCAACATCTCGTTCACCTACCCCGGCAATACTGTCCCCACCATCAGGAACATGTCTGCCCAGGTCTCTCTCAACTCTCGAGTTGCCGTCGTCGGTCCCAACGGTGCTGGTAAATCGACTCTGATCAAGGTCCTCACAGGAGAGACCGTCCCTCAGGTCGGCGAGGTTATCAAGCACCCCAACCTCCGTGTCGCCTACGTCGCCCAACACGCCTTCCACCACGTCGAGATGCACATGACAAAGACCCCCAACGAGTACATCCGCTGGCGCTACCAGTACGGTGAGGACCGTGAGCTTGCCAGCAAGGCCACTCGCCAGATCACGCCCGAAGAAGAGGCGCAGATGAAGAAACTGATCCAATGGGAGATTGACGGCAACATGTTGAAGCTCCAGATCGACGATATCTACGGTCGTCGTAAGGCCAAGCGCTCGTTTGACTATGAGGTCCAATGGGTCGGTCGTCCCTTCGACGATAACGCCTGGATCTCACGTGAGAAGCTCGAGGATTGGGGTTTCGAGAAGTTGGTCCAAGCCTTTGACGACAAGGAGGCCGCCCGTGCCGGAGCATGGACCCGTTCCTTGACTGCCGTCGAAGTCGAGAGGCACCTCGGCGACCTAGGTCTCCCCGCCGAGTTTGCAACCCACAACCACATCAAAGGTCTCTCTGGTGGTCAAAAGGTCAAGGTCGTCCTCGCCGCCGCCATGTGGCTCAACCCACATATCCTCGTCCTCGACGAGCCCACCAACTATCTCGATCGCGACTCCCTCGGAGCCTTGACAGAGGCCCTCCGCGATTTCGGAGGCGGTGTCGTTATTATTTCCCATCACCGCGACTTTACCGACGCCATCTGTACCGAGACCTGGTCAATCCAAGCCGGAGAACTGACCGTGACAGGCAACAACTACACCCAGCGTGCAGAGTCCAAGATTGTTCAGGCAGAAGCCGAGACAAAGATTGATGCTTTCGGAAACGTCGAGAAGGTCAAGTCAACCCGCAAGTTGTCCCGTAAGGAGGTGAAGGAAAAGCAGAAGCGTCGTGCTGCTGCCAAGAAGCGTGGTGAGGAGGTCTCTGATTCTGAGGAGGAGCTGTAAACAAAGGACGGTGAAGATGGGCTGCAGCTACAAAGGACAAAAAAAAATATCATTACGAATAACACTCGCATTAGAATCAACATAGAAACCCACTCAAAAGTAATCCCCATGCTAGGGATTTGCAACATTTGTATATAAACATTTCATTACTTCTTTCTTCTTACTCTTGTTAATGCTACCAATGAGTTGTGAACGCTAATGGATCATCAATTGGGTTGCCTGCGAAAGTGATCTCAAAGGAAAAATTAGAAGCGCTCTGTATAGATACCCTTATTTTCAATTGATCCATCCAGCCAACCCTCAACTCAACTTTCTCCCTTCTTTTTTACCCTCCTTGACAGAAACAAGAGTGTACAACGAAAAGAGTGCTCTGTTTATTTTTTGTTTGGGTTTGGTGAGATATCCATTGGTATGTACATAAATGTGCAGAGTGTTTTTTGTATGTGGTGGAAAAAAAAAGGAAAAGAAAAGCGGAGAGACACGCGAACCCGCTTTTTTAGTCGCGGCGCCAGATGGAGTTGGCGACGGTAGGTTCCCAGGTAGGGTTGGAGGTATGTCCCTGGAGGCAGATATAATCGCGTCCGTGGTACTCGACCTTGTCGCCAGCAGAGTAGGTTCCAACAGGGTCCCACTCGCATCCACCATGTTCTTCGCGGCGATGGTGCTCGTGGTGGCTCTCATACTGGTTCTGCTGGTTCTCCTCCTGCTGCCTCCTGAAGGCCTCCTGGTCAGCCTGGAATTTAGCCTGCTCAGCCTCAAGACGTCTCTTCTCGTCCTCGAACCGCTCGTGCTCCTGCTGCTCCTCAAGGTCAGCATTCTTCCTATCCTGCTCTTCTTGGTTGTGGTCGTTGTTCAACTTGTTTGCGAGGAGTCCAGCACCAATGGCGAACAAACCACCGGCAACAGCAAGGCCGGCATCAGTAGCCATTTCCTTGTTCTTCAACGACTTGGCCCTCTTCAAATGAACATCCACAATTCTCGAGACACCAAACCGGATATCCTCCTGACCGCCCGCAGCCAGGTAGTCCGAGTTCTGACCGGGGACATTATGAACGGTCAAGGTCAAAGTAACTTCACCGTTCTGTTTGCCGTCAGGGGTATAGACAGAGAAGATGGCGTTGAGGTTTCCACCGGGGGCATGGACGACCTGGTTGAGGGGGATGGCTGCAAAGGCAATGATGGCGTCGGTAGTGGTTTCTTCATCCATGATCTCGATGAAGAGGTCTGGCTCGCCGTTGAGGGGGACGTTGAAGGACTGGTTCCAGACGGCGTTCTTGCCGGCGTTCTTGTGGACGAAGGTCTTTTGGAAGGACTTGGGGTTCTCGAGGTCAAGGGTGAAGCGGAAGTAAGGGTCCTGCTTACCAAAGGTCTATTGGAGGGGATAGGGTGTGGAGGGTGGGAGAGAGGAGAAGGGGACAATTGAGTTGGTGGGATAATGCATTGGTGATCCTTCATGAGAGCAATTTGTTCATTCTGAACTGAGTAACAAAATAATTGGTGGTCGCTGTGCTGAACAAGGAGGACTTCATACCTCGACATCCTTCAAGTTGGATGCGCCGTGAGCAATGATGGAGAGGGAGGGGCCCTGGTTTTGTTGAGCGAGCATGTTGGATGTATGTGTGTTTTGTTAGGAGGAAGAGTGGAAAGTGGTGTGGGTATGGAAGTGAGGGGGGGGGGGGGTATGAAAGAGTGAAAGTGCAGTGAATGTTGAAAAAAAAGAAAGGAAAAGAAGGCAAGGTCCTCTTTTTATATGTGGCATCTTCACGGATCAATGCTCGGGTGGATTCTATGAAAGGAACATGATGTTTCAATTGAATGAATGGGAAGGGTACCCTTGTGCAAAAATAAACAGCAACAGCCGCGGTGTTGCTTTCCCCCTTTCTTAGTCTTACGAAAACATGTTCGTTCGCATTGCTGTTACCCATTATCCCTCCAATTCGCTCTTGGTACACCTTTCACCATCCATCAAGTCCCTTTTGCCCTGTCGCCAATTGACAACAAATAATCAACGTGCTGAGAACAGTAAAACCATAAATCACTCAGCCATCAGTCAGGCCATGGTGGAATGGGGATCATGATCATGATCCGCACTCTGCTCTTTTGTTCTTCCTTTTTCCTTTTTCCTTGCCTCCTTCTCTCCTCCTCAACCATCGCAATGCATGAAAAACATCACAACAAGGATAAGAGCTACCCCCACAATAATGCGTTTCTATTTTTTATTCTTTTTGGAGGGAAGGAAACAAGTATCGATCGACTGAGGATGAAGGAACTGATAATAGGAAGAAACGCTTCCTTGCCTTTTCCCCTCCAGAAGAGAGATAGTTTGCATGGTTGAGGTTGGGATGAAGGGATGTGGATATTGTCAATGACTAAAAATGGTTTTGTTTTGCTCTCATCAAGGGAAAGGAGGAAGAAAAGGAACAAAGTTGTCGCATCCATCTTCGTACTACGTGTATGCACAAATGAAGGGTTCATTGTTACCCCTAACCTATTGCGCCATGTCCCCTCTTGTCTATTTTTTATTGTTCAGCTGTTCGTAAAGTGCCATTTTGGTCACTTTGTCTACATGCACTACAAGCGAAGGAAATAAGTGGGCGGAGAAGATAAAAATTAACTTGAGTTTTAGCAAAGCAGTGACAACTCTCGTCATCACCACCATCATGCAATTTATTGTTTTAACAAATGGGATCGCGTAGAGGCACCAATGGATGATGAAGACGGGAAGGGTATTCTATCTTTCCTTCCTTCCTTCCCGTCATCCTCTCTACTCAGCTCAGCCCATTTCAACACGCCTATCTTCCTATCTTCCTATCCTCCACCCGTCACTTTCTCCTGAACACGTCCAACATACTCTACGCATCGAAGGTGTCTCACGTCACTTCGTATCAATACTGTATCTCTTGCTTCCCCTGTTTAACTCATAGTATGATTCTCGATGAGAAACCGATTCAGGAACAAAAAAAAATATTCAAAAACTAGGAGCCATCACCCACACCAAAACCTCCATGGTCCTAACTAATCGTTCCTGGCATTATTTTCTCTATGCCTTGTTCAGCTCCCACCCTCCCTCCCCTCCTTCCCCAGGAACGTACCCTATCCTATTTCTTGGTGTCAAAATAAAGTACACGCCCCAGGTAAACTCATGCTCCCACTCCTCTCCTGGCTCTGATCTCTCTCTCTCTGTCGCCAACAGGAATCCCTCGATGATGAAGCTATTTTTGTTCGTCTTCGTTTGCCAACCAGGGACCTGAAGCTGCAATGTTTCACTCTGTCCTTTTTGGCTTTTTGGAGGTTTATGGATGGGGTGGCCAAGGGGGGGGCCAATTTGGACATATATTGGGTGTAATCACTGCCTGCTCGTCACATATGGACATGAGAAATCTATTTTTGTAATCAGACACAGCCTGGGAACTCGTCCCTTTTTTTGGAGGAGGACGGTTTTTCTAGGAATGGAAAGTGCACCAGGTAATATGACCAGTCGCAGGGTAAAAGAGGGGTCCAAGGCCGCGTAACTGGACTTGGCCACCGCCACAAAACAAAAACGCCTTTTTTTTTTCTCTTCGTCTTTCGTCAGACGCGTCGCCCACATGCACTTCTCCTCTGACAAAAACCGTGAAAATGGTCCCCCTCACCCTCTCCCACTTCACTCAAGTTAGGGACGTGTCCATAACAAGTCGATATCCTCCATCCACATCCGTCCTGTCAGTCACAAGAGAAAAGGCAACCTCCAGGCAGGTTGCAAAAGAAAAAAATTCATGTGCTCTCTCCATCCTGTCCGTCGCTATCTTTTACTGGGGACTGGAAAATATTAGCGGTCAGACCCCTCCCCCTCCTTTCATTGACAGCACAACCCCTTCCCTCTCTGTCCATGCACTAAGTAGCAAACGCGTAATTGCGTGAGGAGTTGTGACGTCTGATTCGATTCCAACAATGCGCCTCTCGAAAGCTAAGCAGTTTACTGAGAGCCAGAGAAAAAAGTGTGAGAAAATAAAATCATGCCTTCAAAGACATTCATGCCCCTCCCATTCACTCACTGACAAGCTACACCTCCAAAGTCTCGGAAGACAAACCTCTGCGAAAACAGGTAGCAATGAAGGAGGGGGGGGGGAGAGCTTTGGGGGAGGGTTTTTTTTGGTGGTTTTTTATTTACAACTTTTTACAAGTTTCGGGTGGAGTGAACCTCACCATCCGAGAAAAGAGAGATATGGAAGAGAGAAAAAAGAAGGGTGTTTTTTTTGGTGGAAAGAAAAAGAGATGGTATCATACGAAAACAGGACAAAAAAAAGGGGAACCCCGTCTTGTATTTACTGGTCCTCAGCCAAGGCCTGCTCGCGCTTCTTGGCCTCCTCAGCCTTCTTGTTGTGTCCAGCCAAGAGACCAGCTCCCGCGGCAAATAAACCACCAATAGCAGCGGCAGCACCGACATCGGAGGCAGTCTCCTTGAGGACCAACTTCTTGAACCTCTTCTTCTGCTCCTCATCGACACGAGACTCGGCCTTCTGGAAGTTGCCGTCGTAGGTGATACGACCGCTCGACTCTTGACCGGGCTGGACAATGCGGATGGTCAACGAGATCTCGCCCTGGGCGACACCGTGCTTGTTGTAGAGGTCGAAGCGGGCCGAGAGGGATTGGCCATTGGCCTCCTTGACCTGGTTCAGGGGGATGGCAGTGTAAGCGATGGGGGCATCGGCTCCCTTGTCTTGGTCAAGAACCTCGACGAAGAGGTCGGTGTGCTTATCCGAGATCTCACGGATATCAAACGACTGCTCCCATGAGGGGTCTTCAGCGTTGCTCTTGACCTCAGTCTTGAACTTGTCGTACTGCTTGCTGTTATCCACGTCGACGGAGAGGCGGACATAGGGATCGTTCTTGCCGAGGCGCTATGGGTTTGTGATGGTGTTTTTTTTTTGGAGGAAGGGTAGGAAGAAATAGGGTGGGAAAATATATTGAATATAGCCGTTAGTGGGGCACTTGTCTTTCAGTCATTTTACACGGATGGGGTGCAAAGGAAAGGGACAATGAAAAGTTGGCAAGGAGGGATAGGAGGAAAAGTGGAGTAGCATAGATGTTTCCTCGACTTGTCCTGCAGAGTGAGGAAAAAGGATCATCGATACAAAGGCGAAAATGGCAGAGAGAGGAAGGGATACAAGCACGTCGAGGACCACATTGCTTGTATGCTGTGTATGAGAAGGAAATTCTTACCTCGACCTTCTGCAAGCCGTGGGCAGAGTGGACGGTGACCTCGAGAACAGAGTCGGTGTGAAGGTGCAACATGTTTGGTTATTTGAGTATGTGTAGAGAGGAAGGGTTTAGGTGGTGAAGTGTGTTAGGGTTGAAGAGTTTAAAGAAAGTGGAAGGGGGGTAAGAAAGAAGACATTGGGGGGACCTAAGAGGTATTTATGCAAATACACAACTTGATTGACGCGAGTGCGATGAAGAAATGGATAACGACGACGACACGCGTACCATGGTCAATTGAAGTAAGTGAGGCAAAGCGAGGAGCCCCGAGCGATGACAAAGTGTATGGGTGCATACGAACCCAATAATCCCATTGGTCGTCCATTCTGAAGGAAGGAAGAGGCAATAACAAGCAAGAGTGAGCGAACCAGGTGATGATGAAGAGTTGTGGGCCATGACGCGCCCGGCGTACTCTACTCGAAGAAAAGTAATAATAAAAAGGGCCCAAAAGTCCATAGAGTTGCCCATAGCTCATCTTCCTTGCCTTTCAATGTTGGTGTTGATGTAAGCGGAAGAAGAGCATTTCACTTTGGGCCTAGTACTCGTCAAATATGAGGAATAGCGCACAAGCAAAAGAACGGACGAATCATAGAAATTATTCAATAATAAAAAATGATGCAATGCGCACCATGCACCCTCACTTTTCCCTATTCCTTTGGACTAACCCTCAATCGCCTTCTATCCTTACCACTTTTCTCACACACATAATGATGAGAGGCGGGACGAGATGGACACCCCTCTATGGTTTTCTAACCGCTTTATTTGTATTGCTTTTTAACCGCGTTCTATTTCTGTATGCTCCCCTTGCCTTTTCTCCCTCCCCCAATCAATGGTGCACCTGGGCCCTGCCAATTTCTTTTGCTAATTTCAACTGTTGTACGTGTAATGTACGTACAAGTCATGGTCATGGTCGCGTTCATGTCTCCTCCTTCCCATTCTCACTTCCCACTTGTCCTTCACTCCCTTTGACTCTTTTCCTTCAGTCCTGACCGACTGACAACGATAATGGGCGATACGTTATTCTACCTTCCCCTCCCCTGCCCTGCCCTATTTCCACTCTCTTCCATCCACCCCCTAACTTTTGCATGAAAGAAGTGTGAGAAAAGATCCCGTAAAATGCGCATGCCAAAACAAGTTTTGCGAGTACGTGCGTGTCGTTGTTCTAAAACTAAAAGCCAGCCCTACTGTACTCTCTCCCCTTCCCCTTGTTCTTCTCGCTCTCTCGCTCGCCCCCCCTTCCCTTTCGTCTCTATCTCCTCGTCCTCCCCCTTGCATGTTCTATCGTTTCTTCTCTTTTCTCACCGATTGGCGAATAGACCTTCCATTGACTCGATGCATGAGCAGCGATAGCCTGCTCCCCCCTCCCCAACCAAAAAAAAATAGGTGCACAATCACACCCACACTCACATTCTCCGTGGACCTCTTGCCTACTTCTGAACAACGCCATGTCCTCTACCAAATGCGCCATGCCGCCGACTAGATATCTGCGATATTCACAAAAAAGGAACCTTGCACATTGCCATGCTCCCATCATCATCCGCTTCTATCATCTTCCATGCCTCCCACAATTCACTCGACTGATTGTCGCCACAAGCAGAGGGTCACTTTTTCAAAGCATTGACCTTTTTGCTTTTCTGCTTCAATTGACAAGTAGATGATGAAGGCGGTTCTCCTTACTTTCCGCTTTTTTTTTTAACTTGAACCCCTGGGAACCAGCAGAAAAAAAAGCGAAAAGTAAAAGCGCATGTCTTGACAGACAAAAATGATGCTGGATATTCTTTCCCCCTCCCTATTCTTCCCAAGCAAAGTTCCTCCTTTGACACTTTTCTTGATGTTGTTGGTCTCCGGGTGGGTGCCTGAGGAGGGAAAGAAGGCCACTGCGTTTTTTTTTCCCCCCAGGAATTGACTGTTTGACTTTAATCGAGTCGAAGCCGGGTCAATTCCAATTCGAGGGACCTGGAAAATAAAAATAAGTAAAGATATGGATCTTTGGACTGGGGTTTTCCACTCCTATGGGTTGTTTGCATGTTTTTGTTTTTGTGCCGTTGAGTACTTTTGAGGTTTCGGACTACCTTCTACCTTTCCTCGACACCCCCCTTCCTCGTTAGCTACTCCTACCTGTCTGTGTATCGCCGAGGTAATGGACAAGACAATAAACGAGGGTGAGGGGAGGAGGAGGAGGGACAGTTGGACAGGACTAGAATTGCAGGAGAATTAAAATCACTGTCCCAGAACCTTGATTGGGGCACTCTCTCCCTTCCCTTCTGGCTCACTCTGCCCCTGTGCGTTTTTTGCCCATCAAATTTTGCAAATTCACAAAAAGCACAGAGCCCTCTTTTTGCTGGTCACAAAACAGAGGCCATTGACAATGGTTCAATTGCAACTGGCTTTTCTAGCATCCTAAAAACGTCGTCTCTTCCAATTTCAACGAGGGCTCATCGAAAACTCCACTAGCATCATTACAGATCCGTTCGACAACATTCATCCCAGTAACTAGGCCGACACCCATGGCAAACATGCAAGTGGCGCGCACACATTTGTAAAGCATTGACACAACAAAAGGACAAGTTGATATTCAAGATGATGTTTTTCGTGCGATAAAAGTACAGTGTATTGTGTTGAACAATGGGGTGTGAGGTGGTGGGTAAAAAAGAATGAAACAAGAAAAAGTCTACATACAAGGGGTTGATTGAAAAAAAAGGATGAACATCGCTTATGCTTTGTGGGTGTTACTGTGAGATGGTTTTAAAGAATTGTTAAAAAGAGAAAAGGGCAAAAAACAGGAATGGGTTGAACCACCTGTTGTGTTTGACAATTTTGAAAGAAAAAAGGATGTTCATGATGATAAGATATCCCCGTCTCAATCGCTTCATTGCATTATTATAGATGCAGCATTGGTCCAATGAACCCGGTTCCATCGTTCCAGTAAAGAAAGATGTTGCGATCGTCGTTGTCGTCGTGCTGCATGCCTTTTTTTTCCTTGGTTACACTCTTTAGAACTTGAGCTCGCGGGGCTGCTCCCTGTTCATTGTGAAGGTAGAAGAGAAGAGAAAGGCGATGTTGTTAGCAATTGAAACTTCAGCTGTCAATGTTAAGCGCAGGAATGAATGAAAATGAGCAAAGGCGTACCAGGTGAACTCATCACGACCAAAGTGACCGTAGCAGGCGGTCTTGGTGTAGATGGGCTTGAAGAGATCCAACTCCTTGACGATGACACCGGGGCGAAGATCGAAGTTCTTCTTGACGATGGCGAGGATCTCGGCATCGGACTTGGTGCCGGTACCGTAGGTGTCGACGAAGACGGAGGTGGGCTCGGCAACACCGATGGCGTACGAGAGCTGGACGAGGGCACGGCGGGCGAGGCCAGCGGCGACGATGGACTTGGCGATCCAGCGACCGGTGTAGGCAGCAGAGCGATCGACCTTGGACCAATCCTTACCAGAGAAAGCTCCACTGTTGGTTGTAAAGAAAAGAGGAAGCAGAAGTAGGTTAGTGTCACGTGCAAGGAGAAATAATTATCGGATGGGATTCAGTAACATTCCACCTGCATGTGGTGGGTGTGCGCGCGAGCAATTGAAAAAACAAAGGCTGAACAGAAAGAGAAAGACGTACCCTCCGTGAGCACCGTGACCACCGTAGGTGTCGACGATAATCTTGCGTCCAGTGACACCGGCATCACCCTGGGGACCACCGATGATGAACTTGCCAGAGGGCTGGAGGTGGTACTTGGTGTTCTCGTCGAGGTACTTGGCGGGGATGACCTTATCGATGACCTCCTCCTTGAGGGCCTTGCGGAGGGTCTCGTTGGTGACATCCTCAGAGTGCTGGACAGAGATGACGACGGTGTCAACACGGATGGGGACAAGAGCACCACCCTCGTTTCTGTACTCGATGGTGACCTGGGTCTTCGAGTCGGGGCGGAGGTAAGGGAGGGTACCGTCACGGCGACCGTCGGCCATCTTCTTGTTCAACTTGTGGGACAAGGTGAGGGTCAAGGGCATGAGCTCGGGGGTCTCGTCGGTGGCGTAACCGAACATGATACCCTGGTCACCGGCTCCAATGTCCTCGACGTTGAAGCTCTTCTGGACCAAGCCCTGGTAGATATCAGGGGACTGCTGCTCGATGGCGACGAGGACGTTGCAGGTCTTGTAGTCGAAACCCTTGGAGGAGTCATCGTAACCGATGTTCTTGATGGTCTCACGGATGATCTTCTGGTAGTCGAGGGTGGCCTTGGTGGTGATCTCTCCGAGAACCATGATCATACCGGTCTTGGCGGCGGTCTCGCAAGCAACCTTGGACATGGGGTCAACAGCCAAGCAGGCATCGAGAATGGCATCGGAGACCTGATCGCAGATCTTGTCTATTGGTAGAATGGGAGCAAGAAAGATTTTTTTTTCTCTTGGTCAGTTTACCAAGTCGATCTCACTCATCAAGTTATTTTTGTTGTGATCACTGAGGGATGGAGGAAGGGAGAAGGGTGTGAGTCACGAATCAACAGACTCCTGATTCGTGCTTCTCATCCTTGTCTATTGTTTTTTGTTCTTCGTGAGGCGAATAGTCCACTGCGCTCGTCGTTCTCGTGGTGGTTGCTGTTGTTTGTTGTGGTTGTTTGTTTGTTGTGGTGGTGGAGAGGTCGCCGTGGGGTGTGGTTGTTGCATATATAGGGTTGGCTCCGCTCAGTTGCCGTGTACAATTGCTATGTATTTCCATTGACATATGAAATAATAACAAATGACAATAGGAATAGACGTCGGTGATATGATGGCAAGGTGGACATACCGGGATGGCCCTCGCCGACGGACTCGGAGGTGAAAAGGAAGGTGTTGGACATGTCTGATGAAGGTTGGGTGGAGTGAAGGGGGGATGAGGAGATGTGAAGAAGAAAGAAAAGAGAAAAAAAAAACCGATTAGCGCTGGCGGTCGGGCTTCTTTTATATTGAGAAATTCGAGCGAATGCTAAAGAACTTTTTTTCGTTTGTTTTTTTTCTCTGACTTTTTTTTTTTTTCATTCTCCCCCAACCCTTTTCTCCTTTTTTCTTCCTTGCACTTGCGGTGGCGAACAGTGTTCAATTGCCTTGTGCCATTATCATCCCGACTGACCATCCGCACACACATTGTCCTTGTTCAGTCCTATTCCCTATTTCTCACTTTTTCCCTTCTCCTTTACCTTTCCTCTTCTTCTTCTTCTTCTACCTTTCCCTTCCCCTTTCTTTTCTCCATTCTCCGCAATTGACATGCTCAACCGAGAAGGAGCTGGGGGGACCAAGAGAAAGAAAAAGGACCCTTCCACGTTGGCTTCTTCTAATTTTCACACTCATAGGGATTTGTTATCAAATCATCGCACGCTCTCATCACACAATCCGCCTTCAATTACGAACTGACCGTCGGGCCTTTCTTCTTTCTTCCTTTCCACGATCCACAGTGAGAATGCACCACTCTTGACCCCCAGCTGGTCTTGAATCTTTTTCCTTCTCCTACCTCCTCACTACCTTCATAGCCTCCACCACCCCTTCCTGGTTCTTGCTTGTATCATCCAGTTGACAAATGGTTGCATCCTTGCTTTGTGTCCTTCATGACCATGTCGTCCATGGATCGCTTATTATTTACACCTTGTGTTTACCATGGGGACGATCTTGTCTTTATCCATCTTGATCTCCTGTGACATGTTGTCGGATCAAAATGCCATTTAGCGCGTCAGAGTCCGTGGAATGACAAATGCCAAAGAAAAAGATCACTTCGTCCTTTTCCTTCTTGCCTTCCGTGCACTCTGTAGTTCTTTCAATTCGCTTGTGTCTCCTTCCATTCCCTTCCTCTTGCCTCCTTCTCCCGCCTTGGTATCGTTATTTCCATCCTCCGTTCGTGCAAGCAGCTCAGGAAAATTGAATGCACGACCCAAACCAAGTATCAGATATCATTCTTTTCGCGTTTTCATGCACTTTCTCCTTCTAAGCTCCTGATCCGCGATCCAAGTAGTATCAACCTTCAAATAAATAAAAAAACCAAGCAATTGACCATAGTTCAGGCACGCACCACCAAAAAAAACTTTTTTTTTTCTTTTCCTTTTCGCTTACTTCCTCGTGGAAAATGTTTGCTTTCTTCAGGTCTTCCTCGTTATCTCTCTCCAACCTGCCTGCATCTACCCTGAACCCTTTTCTTTCAGGGCGCCAGAACATCATTCTTTTGATTCCCCACCAACTTTTTTGATTCAACGCAAAACCCTATTTCTTGAAACGTAACAGTGTTTTTGATAGTCCGCAAAGCAAAGCAAAAAGCAGTCGCGACTGGCCAGTCTGAGCAAAGGGATCCCTGTCCGAGCCAGCCAATCAGCGCATCCATGCGGCACGACATCACACTTTTGACAGAACTTACATGGGATTAGCACGAGGAACGGGATTTGCACGCCATCATATACGAGGCTGATTCACGCAATAACAAACAACAGCCAGCCCCTCTTGTCCAGAAACAACAATTGAAAGAAAGGATTCAGGAACAAAGAAGCAAATGAAGGGTGTGGGAACGTGCAAGGGAAGGTACTGTACTCAGACAAAGACGATTAGCAAAGAAGGTCTAGAAAACCAAGGAGTTGAGGAAAAGAAAAAAAAAAAAAAAAAGATTGTGCCTCTTCTTGTGCCCTTGTGTTCGTGCTTTTCGTGCAGTATGTGTTGTATGTGCAGTTGAACCCGTGGGAAAGAAAAGGGTCAGAACGCATGCTTGTGCACTCTCAAATGTACCTTTTCCCTTACTTTTCCTTCTTTTTTCCCTATGCAAAAGACAATCAGGGAGGGGTTGTGGGCCAGATCGATCTTTTTTTTTCTTTTTGGTCAGAAACCTAAGGGATGGGACTAAGATAACTATGAATCAGATCCGCCACAGGCACATAAATTGGAGCGTGAAAATGCGTGTGTCATGTCTCTCGTTCATCCTCCCCTCCCCCATTCAAAAACACAAACCATTCACCCCTCGTAGAAGGGCTCTCCTTCCCTCTACATAAGCATCTGGATTGTGCCCGAGACATGAAAGAAGCCAAATGTTAGGTTCCTGGCCCTGCGTCGATTTCTTCCACACCCTTCCTTCTGTTCTTTGCTCTCTTTTTTTACTTTCCTGCTCTTTTTTCGCGTGTTTGAACATGTCATCAAACACGAACAACCCTCCAACCACTTCATCATCACCCATGAACTCTCTCACTCCCTTCACTCTTGCTCGCGTACCCCAACAAATAATTAGTGTTGGTGTCACCATCAAAAACCCAACTAACTCAACGGTCCCTCGTAAACAAGCATATGAAAAGGCAACTCATCAACTCTTCAGAAAATGGGGAAAGGAAAGGATGAGTGACAACGAGGAGCAACTCTGCAATTCAGCTGGCGCCCGATGGCGCCATGGCATATGGCTTTTGAACCTGAAAATAAGCGCAGTTGGGGGTAACAAAGGAGTGAGAAGATCATCCTAGAGCGATTAAAGAGAGCTGGGCACCACCATTCCTATGCCTCCTCTATCGTCATCAATTGCCCTCCCCTCATGCCTTTCCCTCTCCTTTCCTCCCCCTCCTACGTTCACCTTCGCCCCTTTTTACACTCAACCCATAACGACGAAATCCGCCCATAGAATGGTGCCATTTTTTACTTTTCCCTTTCAGTTTGCCACTTTTTCACACCCGCTAAAATCCCATTTGTTGTTCATTTCTGCGGGTCTCAAATTGACTGTTTTTTCCATTCCCCGATAATGGATCTCTCTTACTTGACAGCGACTGAATCTCAAAGATTGGTTTTAACGATTGCTTTGCTTTTGTTGTTGTGCTGGATGGTTTGGGAGCATCAGATAATGCAGGCAGAGCACAATCAATTTTGCGGTTAGTGAGACACCCAGAATACCACTTCCTCATCACGGGCAAAGACTGTCTATACGTTTGTGTGTTTGGCAACAGTCAAGTCCAGTCTGTGCGCGCTCTGCTGAATGCACAGGTCCAGATGTCCGTTTTGCACAAATAGAGGCTACGAAACCAAAAGAATGATCCCACGACGTGTTCCAATTTGCTGATTGCTGGTTTAATTGCTGAGTGTTTGTGTACTTTTTTGCCCTTTTGTCGTTTTATCGCTTTTTTGTACTCCTCTGTTTATTCTCCGGGCGAAGGAAAGAAATGATATGAATATGAACCAGCCCCACCTCCCCCCCCCCGTATTCCTTCCCGTCTTCCGGTTGTACCCATTACTACCCAGTGATCATTTGCACCTCCGGGACTCGATCAAAAAGCCTAGACTTTCACGCACACAATCATCCCAAGAACAACGTGGAAAGATACACAAACCGACTTTTATTCACCTTGCGTATTAAGGAGCCGCCGTTGTAGTCGGAGGGTTAGTCTTGCGGGTGATCATCTCAATCATCTGCTTGCCAACCACAGCAGCCTCGCCAAACCGGCTCTTGAAGAACTGAGCAGTGTCCTCAAACCGGACCCGGTAGCCTTCCATGTTGCCCAACGCAATACACTCCTGCCATCCACGAGCTGACATCATAAACTCCATATCGTCCTCTCGGATCTCCTTCTCGTACAATGCTGCTTGCATCGCATCCTGCAAAAAGTCTTCGTTCAGGAACAAGTACTCTGAGATTCCACTGTGTTGTTGTTGTAATACAAGTACGTGAATGAAACGAGATATGTGAGCATGCTGATGCAACAAAAAACCAAGTGTCTCGAGAAAAAAAAGAACAAGAGCAGCATTAACTAGAGAGAAAGGGGTAACTTACAGCCAGAAGCGGAAGAGCGGGGTTTGACAGACCATGTGAGAGTAAGGGTTCATCTTGAGCTGGTACCAGCAGTCAACCATCGCCAGCAGCGACAAATGCGAATTGGGTTTGCGCTTGTCCTTGGGCACACTACCTAGCGAGTACTGATCCAGCAGGTTATCCGACAACAAGATCTGCTCCCGAGCGCCACGATTACCAAACACAAACTCTCCCGCCTATTCAATTGTCAATCAATATGCATTTCAGCGAAGAATGTTAGTTTTTGCGTTAGCAGTTTATCATTACAAAGTAAGAGTGCCCATATCGAACAAGGCAATAGCAACAAGAGAAAGATGGGACCTACAGCGCGAATACGGGCAACAAACTCGGCCTCCTTCTCTTGGATCATAAGTTTGAAGAGTGCAGCGACTGAGAGCGAGTACTGTTTGACCTGTGCCTTGGCCGATGGGTTCAAGATTGCCAACCCAGCATAAACTATGAAACGTGCACAGCGTTAGTCTCTAGAGTACGATCTGCGAATAACACAAAGCCTTCCTATGCGGATCAAATTCCTTGCAGTTCACAATTCCGTACCGTGCCACTTGTTGGAGAGGATACGCATGGTCATGTTCACTTTGACGTTCTCAATGCCTCCAGTGTAGGTTGGATCAAACCACTATATCAAAAATGACATAAAGGCGATCGTTAGTCAAAAGGGCAATATTTCTGTCGCACCTCCTGAATCTTACAGCTGCATGCTGAGGGTTGCCTTACCGGAAAGTTGTCCTGATGCTTCCAGGTGGTTCCCATACTCAAGAATGCCATATGAGTGACAGCCTGGGTATCTGCTGTGATCCGGTCATGCTCCTTGTACGACAAGTGAGCAATCTCACTTTCGAAGCATCCCAAAATCCTCTCCACCAGTGCCAAAGTCTCGGCAGTACCCCTGTGGTTGATGATGACCAGGGGTTGTCCTTTCGAGGGGACAGTCGGTCCGTGCATAGAGTGACAGGTGATGATGTGGACATCTTCGGGCAAGTGCTTCTCGAACGCCGCAATCTCTGGTGCCTTAACCGATGTCTGACCTGCCACAATCGCTCCAATCTTTGTTGCTATGGGCGTGTTGAGACGAGGGTGTGTCAGTGATACATTGTCCAGGGAAATGAATCAAATGCATTATCAGCAGCAGCGAGATCACGTCCTGAGCAGGCTTACAAGGGCCATAGGTAGCGACGACGGAATCGATAAACTCTGCAGGGACAGAGTACAAGATCCAGTCACTCTGACGCGAAACCAAATGCCCATCCTTCATGACGCGGATATCTGTTCCTGCAAACTCCCCACACAGCGCCTCGTACTTGTTTGGCATATCGCACACATTCACACTACCCAGTTTGAGATGCAATAGAGATAAGGATGTTGTTAATTATTGTTGGTCGCGATTCGATCCAGATAAACAAGACGCGCAAAAGTCGACAACAAGCGCAAGCAAAGAGCCTTACTTCTTCCAACCGGCGGCAGAAAGAGTTCTGGCGTAGAGTTTTCCCATGTCTCCCATTCCAATGATTCCAAGCTGGATGGTTTCCATTTCGACGATGGTCTCTTCCTGTGCGATGTTGTTGGTGGTGTTGGCCATCTTGCTTTCTTGTTGTGCGAAACTTTAAAAAGTATTCTCCGAGAGTGCTCTGGCTTGAGTGATAAAAAAAAGGGAGACGCGGGTGGTTGTGTGTAGGGATTGATAGCTGTCCTTGATATTGCGCGGTACAGCTGGTGGTAGATTCCTGTTCTTGATGCGGGTTTCCTTGAGTCGAAGGAGATGGGACTTGGAAGTTAGAATGGGTGAGTGAGAGAGTTGATTCGAGTGGTGGGTGATGTTCCTGAGAAAAAGAAGTGAGTGAGAGCCGTGACTGTTCGCACTGAGTCACCCGCTTTTTGAGCCCTGACTCTTTCGCATTCTGTGCACGCCCCTACTACGAAACAGGATTTATGGACCAAAGCTCAGCCTAGGCGTAAGACCAAAGGCAGGAATGATGCCGAGGACAAGGGACCATTGCCTGCCCCTTGACATGAGCACCTGCAAGAACACGCACTAGACCATGCACGGCTGCTTGATTTGCTGTATGGCAGCACCTGCTAATTCAAAGCTAAACACAAGGTGAAAATGGAGGCTTGGGACAAGAAAAGCCACGGTGTGGCTCCTAGGCTTTATGCGACTTTGACTTTTGGTGCTTCTCCACACCATGCATACCGAGCGTGAACGCATCTATATATTTTTTTCTCATAGTAGTGCTCGGAGTGCCAGGACTGTCATATCAGCACCACCGACAAAAATCAACATCCATGTTGTAGTTTGATCACCTCTTTCGCCTTTGTTCCCTTCTTTCTTTCCTTTTCTTCCTCTCTTTCATACGCAACCACCACCACTTCAGCAACACCTCTCCGACCCCTTGACAGAACGCACCTCTGCTGCTTCCCTTTGTTGCCTTCTCCACCACACGCAACAACAACATATCACCACGCCAACACCACCTCAAAACAACCCAACTCAACAGTACATCGAGCCTACCTCATCAACAAAGCATGACCATCCAAGGAGTCTACCTGGAGTCAGTCGACATCCACTCCGACGAATTCAAAGATTTCGCAGCTCGCTTCCAGCGCAGGCTTGTCTCTCTGTACGAGATCAACTACGCCGAGCTAGTCTGCGGGTACCTGGGCGATGCCACAGAATGGGGTTCTACCGCCTATTACCATGGCACCTCGCACTGTGGATGTGTTGACCGACGCATCTGTAACGACAGTAACACCAGGATCAACGTCCATGAGTGGTGCACGAGCAACATCTGTAGCACAAAGGGCATTATGACTTCTGGTCACCTACGCACCAAGCTTGCCTTTAACATGGAAGGTATGCATACACCTACCTACTGTTTTGACTACTGATGAGCTTACTTTTACAGTGCTCGTACTCGTTGTCTTGCCTGCTGGATCATCGCCATAGAGACAAGTGGTGTGCGTGTTTTTGATCTGTATTATTGTTGTTGTTGTTGTTGTTTTTGGCGACATAGGACATTTCTTCTCTCCTTTGGTGACAACTGCGATCGACTATGCCGGTTACAGAAGCTCGAAGGTCTACGCCTCAAATTTTCTCAGTATTTTTATCTGCATTGCGAGGAAGGTCCAATCCAGCCAAAAGGGGGCCCACTTCTACTATGTGCAAGATGACAGCGTAAGTTGTAGCTCTATTCTTTTTTGGTTTCGTTATGCAGGCCAAGATGGTCCTCTTTTTAATCTTTTAGCTAAATAGAAACATATTGTGTGCTTTGCTGCGTACAATAGGAGATCCTCCCCGTCTTCCTCGCGATCGTTCGAGTCTAAGCACATGCATGGACACCCCCAGGCTTCTCTTCTCTTTCTTTTCACGTCTCTCGCTTTGTTTCTGTTGCCTTTGATGGCGACCTGGATCATATGCATCAACATTTGAGCTAAAATTTGCGCACGAACTCGGCGGCTACTTTCCCTACCGTTGTGATCTCCCCATTTATGCCCCTCAGGATCACTGCTTTGCTTACTGCAACTACCCTACATGAATTAGCTTTTATTGCTGAAACTAGCTGCTGAGGTTGTTCATAATAAAGAGAACTTTGCGTTGTTACAGCAAGAAATACATGGAATATGTTCATGTACACCATGCGCACCATGCCCACAAAAAGTTACGTTTTGATTGTCATTCAAGTTTTTGTTTTACATATGATACAACGAGGAAAGAGAAAAAGAGGATGAAAGTTGTCTAAGCAATAGTAGAATGCCAGTTGCGGGCTCGTTCGAATCCGTTCTTGTTGTTCTGGTAGTCGACAAAGGTGTCATAGATCTCCTCGGATGAGTTCATGACAAAGGGACCGTGCTGCACAATGGGTTCCTTCAATGGTTCACCAGCAATGAACACAAAGTGTGCGTCCTCATCCTTGGTTTGGATCTTGACTGTCGTGGCACCGTCTTCTGAGAAGGTGAGAGTGTGGTGTGCCTTACCCTCGAACTCCTTGTCACCGATGAATGTCGTACCCTTGAGCATGTAGAGAAATCCGGTGTAGGTCGAGGGGATGATCTGGGTGACGGTCTTGTTCTTATCCATCTTGAAGTCGAGGTACATGGTGGGTGTGCGGGTGTAGACTTGAGACTTGACGCCGTGAGACTCGCCTGCAATGACCTTGACGACAACACCGTCCTGGGGAGTAGCACGAGGGATCTGACCGTCGAGAAGTTCCTGGTACTGTGGCTCACACATCTTGTGCTCCTTGGGCAAGTTAATCCACAACTGCAGTCCATGAGCGCGGGTCTGAGACTTGACAGGCATCTCCGAGTGAACAATACCACGACCAGCAGTCATCCACTGCAAGTCGCCAGGTCCAATGGTTCCCTTGTGTCCTGCAAAGTCCTCATGCTGGAACTGACCTTCGATCATGTAGGTCACAGTCTCGAATCCTCGGTGGGGGTGGTCGGGGAAACCACCGTTCTTGTCGACCGAGAATTCGTCGAGCATGAGGAAGGGGTCGTGGTTACGGAGTTCGGGACGTCCGATGGATCGACGGACACGGGCGCCGACACCCTCGGATTGTTCCCTAGAGAGGACGGACTTTGTGATGGATCTGGAGACTGGGGTAGTGGTAGCAGTCATTTTGGGTTGTTGTCTTGTTGTTAGTGTAGCTGAGAGAAGAGGAGTTGTTGTGTGAATGGGAGTAGTGAGGACTGTTGTTGTAGTCGAGTGAAGATACGATGTTGTTTTTTGGGATGATGAGGGGAGTTGTGCTGGAATTTGGTTGCTTTTATACTTTTTTGTTTGCTCCCTTCATCCTCTTCCTTTCCTTCGAATTGATAATGCGATGATCAGTTGGCCAATGAAAAGTGACTAAGCCTTGAAGGACGGTGGCTTAGAAATCTTTTCATGATTAAGAATGGGGATATGTCTGACCAAGAACAGGTCCCACTTAGACAAAGACAGGTCCCAGGCATAGCGCTTGAAATACAGGTCATCATTGACCATGGCGCATTACGTGAGAATAAAGGTCTCAAAAGAAACGAGAGAGTTCTTTTCTGCCTGCTACTGAGCAATAACATGTTATAGAAAAGGCCATTTCTATGTCACGTTAGTTAACTTTCGTCGATGATCAAATCGATCTCACCCAGCTCGATCACCGGCCAACGCTATGCTTGAAAAGAAGACGCGTACAGTTCTATGGGAAATAAACCTTGCGAGGCGGTTGTAGATACTCGAACAAGATCAAGCTGCTGCCACCGATCTACATACTTCACACCTTGGCCATGGTTTATAATTGCGTTCTCTGTTTATGCCAAATTAAAAATCAAATGGCAATTTTCGCTGTCGAAAGGAAGATGCAGCGGCGTGCATGCATGAATGGGCCAAGGCCTGGACAAAGGCCTGGACAAAGCAAGAGGAAGCAGTGGACGAAAAGGTGAGGGATAACGTAAAATAACCCCAGGCTCGCCTTTCTCTTGTTTTCTTTTCTCTCAGGCTCACCCCCTGTCATCCTCCACTTCACCACCATCCGCAAACCCTCCACCACTGTCGTCCCTCTCTCCCTTTTTCTTCCGTTACTCACACTTCTCGATTCGACATTCAGCACGCTGTTCACATTGTGAATTCACCTCGCCGTCGTTCATTCCCGATCTCGTTACTTTGCTACTGCCAATAACACAACCATACCGTTCCCTTCTCGTCCACGTCTACCGAGAACAAACCCCAACCAATAAAACCAAAAAAGTGTTTGACCCAACAGGTACTGAGGTAAGTCCATCTCAACAGGTGCATCGATGTATGTGTCGCTATATCTTGGAAGGGAAACACGACTTTTGCACAATCCTAATACACGATTGAAACGTACAAAGATACTTTCTCCTGCCAGAAACAACTGAGCCCAAAAAAACAATAAGCCAGTGCGCCACTCGTATTAAGGTAAGGAAATAAGCGTATGAAAAAAATCATGAGCTGAGGAGACTCTTCAATCGCGTCTTTACTTGTCGACTTTGTGGTGCTAACCTATTCCGCATTGGACATACATATGATGTCTAGGACAAGACAACTCTTTTGCCAGCTACTCACCAACAAAAGAAAAAACAAAAACCCAAATAATCGACACCTAGTCCACTACCAGTAAGTTCGAGAGGACGTACACAGCAAACAAAAAGTGCAACTGACAACTGTACTTTAGCCGAATACGATTCTCACCGATCTCTTATCGACATAGACCAACAAGTCTCGCCAACCAAACGCAAGCCCGGTCCATCACCAAAACAAACAGAACAAAAAGGCGACCTTTTGCTGCCTCTCTGGTAAGGAAGGGGAACGAAGCACAACTATCCCATGCGTGTGTGGTCATGAAATGCCGTCTTGTTTACAAACCTCCCCCAACGTTGCACATACTTTTTTGTTGATAGCTTTGTACTCTCATACCAGCCATTGATTTCCTCATTCGGTCCTTCACGACCTTTGACCAGCAGCAAAATCATTCTTTAAACTAACACAAGGTAAAAAGGATAGAGTAATTATTACGAGTGTTGTATCTGCAAGGTTGTCCAGACAATGCTAACCAACGCCGTTCATACTTGATGTTTGTAGCTGCAACCATGTCCTCATCGTCACCCCAGGACAATTCGCCTTCGCTTCCTCCCGCGTCTTTCTCCACCCCTCCAGGACATGCGGAAATAACTGTCGATGGGCAGCGTGTCATTTCTCAACTCAAGAACACCGTAACGCTTGGACGTGTGTCGTCAAAGGCGAATGGCGTTTCGACAATCGCTCAAGGATTGGCCACCATTCAGCTTGGGCCTACCAACTTGTTGAACTCCCTTGGTCATCGCACCACAGGGGATGTTGCCGCGGACGTTGATCATGGACCACGTGACGCCAGCGATGGCAGATCCATATCGTCGGGCCCTCCGTCGAAATATGGATTCAGGAAACGTTTGTCGAGACTTTTCAAGGGTGACCCTAAAGTCAAAGAGTCTGTTTCCACTTCGTCTGCCTCGTCAGCATCCTTTACGCTCGTTGGAACTGAGGAACGCATCCAGTCTGCCGTACCTGACCGTAGCGCCATGCCTATATCGTTGGGACTGCACTCACCAGCACATTCCACTGAAATGTCGTCCACGCCACTCGTTGTTCTAGATACTCAGATGCAACAGAATCCTGCTGCGTATGGAACCCTCCGTGTAGACATCTTCCCCGAAAACGTTATCAAACCCACCTACAAGACCGACTTGCCCAAGCCGCATGCTCGTGTTGACAAGACCCCGCAGCTTGTCTACTGCTGCAGTCTCCTCTCCAAGGCTCCAGGACCGTTGCTACCAACCTCGGACAGCAATGTCAACCAGGATTCGCCTCTCGACGACAAAGAGAAGAAATGGGTGCAGCTCATTGATCCCGTCTTACAGGACCGATATCAAAGGCTCGTTGAGCATTTGGTCAAGGCGTTCGATGACCACCATCTCAAGGAATCTGATGTGGTCACCGAGGTTGTTTTTGTTGGTCCCGTCCTTGACCGTGACACCTACCGCAGCTTGCTCTCTTGCTTCATCTCCGAATTTGAGCAGACAATACCGCTGGATGACATTCTGCTCCAAGGCCTTGTGCAACTGGTCGAGTGCGCCTCATCTGGATACCTTGTTGACGATGATCTGGTCAGGATCATCACCGTTCTCTCCAAGGAGCTGTCGATTACCCACATTGGCACGAGTGACCATCCCTTGCACCTGACACTGTCGCTCGCTCGAGTCCTTGATGTGATGGTGACTGGCAAAGTCAAGGACCTGAACCGTGATCGAGACCATCAGCCGATGCTACAACTGCTGGACGGTCTGAAGGACAGCGACAGTGTTGTCCAGAGGTACGAGGCAACCTATGCTTACCAGGCCCTCCAGTATGCACCCGATGACGAGACTCCGCTCCAGGTGCTGTGGAGATATGCAAAGGTAGTAGCGGCAGGCGCAGGTGCAGTGTCGAGTGTTTTCAAGTTGGATCCAGAGGGATTCCTCAAAGGCATCGAGAGTCTTCAAGAGATTGGCGAAGGAGTCGTGGGAGCTGTCAGTACTGGAATTGAGGTTGTTGACACCCTTCGTGTTGGTGCTGGTGAGGCCGTCCGGGCGTCGGAGAACAAATTCGACTTTATGAAGAAGCGCTCGTGGTATCTCGCCCTTCAAGGAACGGCTCTCTTTATTCGACAGGGACGGCTTTCGGACTTTAACCTTGTCGTCAGCCAAGCGCCTTGCCGCAACAACCCCAACTTTCAATGGGGAATCTGTCGCCAGGTCGGAGAGATTGCCGTCGATCCGCTCTGGGATGTTCTTGTCCGCCAGCAGGCCATCGACTTTCTGGGTGAACTGTACAGAAGCAGCTCTGACTGGAAACCGCATGTCGATGTCAAACGCTGGATCCTGACCATTCTCATCCAGATCTCGGAGCTGTCAGATGTGTCTGTCAAGGATCGCGCTGTTGCTTTACTACTAGACCTAAAAAGCGGCGGTATCGACGAGTGTCCTGGCTCTTTTTCGCTTAGCAGACGCCTCCCTCTGCCGTCAACCTCCCCGCTTCTTGCTAAGGTCCAAGAGATCCCAAAACTCGAGTACGACCTGCACGTCTTGAAGTTGATGAGGATTGCCGACTACAAACAGGCGGTTTACATCGACCCCATGGCCAAACTCAACCTCCAAGACACAGACGACAATCTCTTCCCTCTCATGGACAAGGTCAGGGACTTTCTTGCCAGCGACTCTCAGGTCATGCTTGTTCTTGGCGACTCGGGGGCGGGTAAATCGACATTCAATCGACACCTGGAACACGAACTCTGGCAGGAGTACAAGGCAGGAGGCCGCATCCCGCTTTTCATCAACTTGCCATCCCTCGAGCGACCAGAGAAGGATTTGGTTGTGGAGCAATTGAGGACCCACAACTTTTTGGAGGACCAAATCCGCGAGCTGAAGCTGCACCGCAAGTTTATGTTGATTTGTGATGGATACGACGAGAGCCAGCTTACATCCAATCTGCATACTACCAACCTCTTTAACCGATCTGGGCAGTGGTATGTCAAGCTGCTCATTACTTGTCGCACGCAGTATCTCGGACCGGACTATCGGGGTCGCTTTGAGCCCAAGGCGGTGGACCAGTATGCTCGTGTCGCTAACGATCTTTTCCAGCAAGCCGTCATCGCCCCATTCAGCAGGGAACAGATCGAGGACTATGTAGAGCATTATGTTCCTCTCGAACCGCGCACCTGGGTCAAGAAGGACTACATGGACAAGCTGGAGGCGATCCACAATCTAATGGATCTGGTCAGGAACCCGTTCCTCCTTACCCTGTCACTGGAGGCCCTTCCTACGGTCGTGCAAGGGAAAACCGACCTCTCCAGACTTCGAGTGACTCGTGCGGAACTGTACGACACCTTTGTGAGGCACTGGATGGGTGTCAACAAGCGTCGTCTGCAAGATCAAAGGCTGGACAGGGAGAACCAGATGGCGTTTGACTTCCTCTGTGCCGACGGGTTCGAGCGCCACGGTATTTTGTACCAGATGGATCTGGCGACGTCCATCTTTCAGAAGCAGGAGGGCAGACCTGTCGTTGACTACTCTCATATGCGAGACTGGAAGACGTGGAAGGCTCAATTCTTTGGTCTTGATCCTACGAGGGCGCTCCTTCGAGATGCCAGTCTGCTGAGTCGTGTGGGCAACCAATACCGCTTTGTCCACCGGTCCGTCTTGGAATACTTTTTCTCTTGCACCATCTCTGGGCCCACCAAAGGGCATGATGAATTTGATCCGCCTGTCCATTCCGAAACATCCGCCGCCTCACCAACTATCGGCGCCCATCCGCTGTCTCAGAGGAGCCTTGTCGTAGAGCCCTCGATCATCCAGTTTCTGGCGGAGCGCGTGCAGCTGGACTCTGGATTCAAGGATGAGCTCGTCGCCATCATTGAGCTATCCAAGTCCGACGACCAAGCAGCCCAAGCCGCTGCGAACGCCATCACGATCTTGGTCAAGGCAGGAGTGCGATTCAACGGAGCCGATCTTCGGGGTATTCGAGTTCCCGGAGCGGACATGTCTGGAGGCCAGTTCGACTCGGCACAACTGCAGGAGACTGATTTGACAGGTGTCAACCTCACCAAGAGCTGGATTCGTCAGGCGAACTTCACCAAGGCGCAGATGGAGGGAGTTCAGTTCGGGGAGATGCCGTACTTGAAGGAGGATAGAGGGGTACAATCGTGCGCCTATTCGCCTGACGGAACAGCGCTCGCTGTAGGTCTTTTCAGAGGACGCATCAACATTTACGACACCTCTATGTGGACAATGACCCGCACGTTTGAAGGGCATCAAGAGTGTGTAAACAGCCTCGCCTATTCGCCAACCGGTCTCCAACTTCTTTCAGGCAGTGACGACAAGACAGTGCGATTGTGGGACTGCGTGAGTGGGTCGTGCGTTTTTGTTCTGGAGGGGCATACCAACGAAATATGGACTGTGGCGTTTTCACCCTCTGGCAAGCAGGTCGCGTCGGGAAAGGACTCAACTGTGGGACTATGGGATGTTCAGACAGGCGCCAATCTATTCAACTTGACTGGTCATACTGGATGGATTCGTAACATCTCCTACTCACCCGATGGATATGCGGTCGTGTCTGTTGGCGGCGATGAGATGATCCGGTTCTTTGACACACAGACTGGACAGCCAGGAGAAGTCTGGGAGAGCCAAAGTAGTGGGATGAATAGCGTCGCATACTCCCCTGGAGGCCTAGAGATCGCCGTCGGGTGTCGTAATGGCGAGTTACTGCTCTACAATACAACTACCGGCAAGCCAACGAGGAGTTGGAAGGCTCATAACGAAGAAGTCTCGGGTGTGAGCTTTTCACCGAACGGCCAGTGGGTCGCCACATGCAGCGATGACGGCACGGTGAAGGTCTGGAGTGCAGCAACAGGTTCGGTCCTGTCCGTCTTTACAGGTCATAGCGACAGGGTGACACAGGTAGACTTTTCGCCAACCGGACTCCAACTTGCCTCATGTAGTTCTGACGGCACCATTCGACTCTGGGACGTGAGCTCATTGGGTACAAGCATGGATGTGGAGGGTGGATCGGACCCGTTGACGAGCGTACTTTTTTCTCCAGACGGTCAAGTTCTCTTCTCTGGTTCCAATTCGGGAGATGTGCGGCAGTATGATGCAGGATCTGGAGAGTCTGGTCCTTTCTTTGTTTGCGGAGACAATCCTGTCGAGTGCCTAGCGGTCTCCCCGGATGGTCTTCGAATCGCGTCAGTTGGAACGTGCGACGAATTCGTCATTGTGTGGGACATTGGAGCAGGTCAAGCCGACGTTGTCCTGTGCGGTCACACAGAACAGGTGGAAGCCTTGGCATTTTCAGAGGACAGCCGCTGGATTGCTACCGGCGGTGACAACTTTACAGTGCTACTTTGGGACGCTCGCTCAGGGATACTCGACCGCGTGCTTGAAGGCCATACCGGTTCTGTTGTTTGTTTGATATTTACGTTAGATAGTCGTCGAATTTTGTCAGGAGCTTGGGATGGAACTATTCGAGCCTGGGATTTGAACAGTCACGAGTGTAGTGTCGTTGTGGATGGTGGCTATGATATAGTACGTTGGGCGTTATCAACTTCACCTGGTGGCTTGAAGGGTGCTTGTAAACGCTTTAATGGCTATACTATGAAGCTTTGGGACATGGAGAACGGGCATTGGCAACAAACGCTAGAGCACAATGACAAGGTACAATGCTTTGGGTTTTCGTCCTGTGGGCAATGGATGGGTGTAGGCCTGCGCCGTTCGGTTTGGCTGTGGAATTTCGTCCCTGAAGCGTCGGTGGAAGGAGGAGGAGGAGGAGGAGGAGGAGGTGGAGAGTGGGAGTGTTCGGTGTTTGTCCAAGATATCTTTGGAGCTGTCAAGAGCATCGCATGGAAACCCCAAGCACTGGAGTTTAGTATCGGATGCGATAATGGGTCTCTTCAAGTGTGGAGATTGGTGGAGACGTCGTCGTCGTCGCCGTTGGATGCATGGTCGGCCCAGTTGGTTTGGAGCGCTGGAAACCCTGTTCTAGCTGCCTCGGATGTCGTTTTTACTGATGCTGTTGGTCTCTCTTCAGCCAATCAGCAATTACTCACTCAGCGCGGCAGGGCGCCGCTTGAAATTGCTACTGATGGCGAATGGCGCGCCGATTAATAATATATCTTATTTTTGTTCATTGGAATGGTGTGCGTCTGTTTTTTTTATCGAATGTGGTGGTGCTGAGATACATTTGGTACATGTACCATCTTGAAGGATTCTGCCGACAAGACGGATGAAGATGTGCTTTTGTTTCCCGCCTTGTCCATGACGGGCACGACATTGTTATATCTGGAGCGACTTTGGGTTTTTTGGAGGTTGGTCGAGGGTGGTGGGTTTGATTTGAGAGAGAGAGAGAGAGAGAGAGAGAGAGAGAGAGAGAGAGAGAGAGAGAGATGGAGATAGAGGAGTGAGGCGCATTGGATGACATTGCTACCGAGACTGGTCAACTTTCATCAACTGAACACGTTAGTGATTCTTTTTAAAAAAAGGCATTGTTTTTAGGTTTTTTGTTGACTGCAATACAAACTATGGACTCTCCTTCGATCCTTGATTAGGACCATCAATTCTCTGTTGTTCGCGCTTAGCATCCGTAGCTTTCTTGGCATCCTCTTCATCCATTCTGTTTAAAGTCCCTGACCGTCCGCCATATAATGTAGATCGAGATCAGCTCGAGCAGAACAGCATCAAAAGATGGATTGATCCATGACCACAGCAGCGACCTGACATAGTCGATCATGGCCATTGGTAACATCGATTTAGTTGGCTCGTTGATAAACCGTGTACGACCCTGCACGAATAGACCCACATCGACCAACAGCCAGCTTAGTATTGCATAGTACAACACTTGAATGCATCGTCTCGATGCACCGGTAGCTGTGACAAGCACAGCGAGATGAGAGAGAAAAAAATATGCATTCAACATAAAGAGTTTGATCATAACCCATGCGAGGAAGATTTAGGTTTGATTTGACCCAAGGTATCGTTTTCATCTCACAAATGGCCAATGCAAAAGGCGAATCAAGAAAAAGTAACACTCACTTAGAAGGATAATTGTCGGCCACCTCGACTCTCTTCCAGTTACTCTGGAGGGCCACCATAAAGTGGAAACCAAGAATAACCGACCTCTTCGACATCAGATTCCTCCGTCTCCTCCCTGTCATGCCTTTGAGGATCTTACCCCAATATCCTCATCCTCCTTGCCAATAACCTGAATGGACTCCTCCCGACTGTGCAGCGTCCTCTCATCACTCGCCATTGTCTAGTCCAGAACCATCTTCAACCCAAATCCAACCACCACAAACTTTACGAAGTCAAACACCATCGGTTGGATGGATTGAAAGGAGTCGAAAGTAAATACATCCGGTGTGGCAATAGAAATCCTGTATCCCACATACACGACTCCGAGGATCAGTTCAACGGGCCAGCCATAGAGGGCGAGTCGAGTCTGCACTATCCTGGAACTGTATGAGACGACTGATCGAAGGATGCCACTGAGTAAGTAAATTTAATTACAAAAATCGAAGGTCACTCTCTTTGGTAATGACTGTGGGATTGGGGGGATCTGTAGTCAGAATTGTCCGCGAAATGCTTTTATTTTAAAGTATATAATAAATAACACGACGACTTTATGGGTACTTGGGTATGAGAGATTAGGGGGTACCAAAAACTGAAGGCCGATTGACAAGGAGACAATGTGTGCAGAAAAAGAGTGAATGGTCAAAAGCAAGCAGCATAGCAAAGTGCGTAGTAAGTGATGGGCAGGGTAGAATGCGAATGTATAGAAAATACAAAGGATAAGCTGTCATTGGTACTGTCACTGGGGCAGAGGAGGTAGGCAAGAGATCGCTTAAAATCTAGATATGGCTGCCCCTGTGCGTGTGTTCGCTGCCGTGACACTTGGCGGCAATTTCTCAAAAAAGCTCGTTAACCTTTATAATTGCAAATGCACATCCTGACAGTGTTCAGTCCAAACAAGCCTTCCAAGAATTCCTTTTTTTCTTTGTACAACGCCCTTGATTAAGTAGGCAAGAGCATTTCTCGCGCATACACCGCGGGAAAGCTTCCGAGTTTACGCTTCTGTCCAATCATTCTCCAAGTTCAGGATCCTCTGACTCGCGCGTGGGCGAGAAAATAATAAAAAAAAAACGAACATGTCTTACGCGCTAATGGAACTCTTGTGAGTAAAACCCACTCCTCTTGGCGCAAGTTTGGGACGCTGTCCGATTGGTCTGTCAAAAAGTCGATTGAAGATACATGGCGGAGTTACTTTGACGTTTGAATTCTAATTCCTTTAGGCATTTTTCTCACGCTGATGCCTGATGGTATATGTAGTGCCTGATTATGAGGTTCGTCAGGATCTTCATTGTTCCTGGACAGAGTATATCAATGGCGTACATGTTAGTCTCGAAAAGTGTGCCCAAGGGTTGGTTAGCGTTGGCGAGCACACTGCACTGGTTCAAACTCTCACAAATCTAGCCCTGCAAGAAGTAACCATTCGGATTTGTTCCGTGCAAGCACCGTCGAGGGCAAGGGCGGAATGCAGTTTTTGGAGGTAGCACCCTCATGCGACCTTCATGCGCCAAGGACCATTCTGAAGAATTGTCTGGATTCTGTTCTTGTTCCTTCTGATATGTAGCCACAGCCTCCTTCCATGACTTCCATTTACAGCCTTTCAATTCGATTAGAGATCCTTTTGAACTTTCAGATACTCGCTCCTGGGTGTAAAAATTCACGCGCCATCAGTTGTTTCATATAAAGAGGAGGTAATTCTCTGTCAATTCTCTTTCCCCCTCCCCTCTTTTTTGTCCCCTGTCCACCACCTGTTGAGAACCATCGCCATCCTCCTCGCCCTCCCCATCCTTCCATCTTCCATCTCCATAACTTCTTTTGAAGAAGTCCTCCTGTATATTTTCCCTCTCCACCCTATTTGTATACCTAGCATCCGCCACTTTTATTTACGATGGCCACACAAGTCAACGAGAAGTCGGAATACAACGACTTTCCCAACGAGAAGCCCACTTCCCTTAATGGCGTCGAGAATACGATTGACCTCCATGACGAGGAGGATGAGTTCATTGACGAGCCTAAGCAGTTTACTGTGTAAGTGCCTGCTTGGCCATTCCGCAGTACCTTTCCGCCTATATCTCCCTCGTTGACTTCCTCTAACCTTTATGTTTATTTTTCTTTTATGCTCACAGTCGTGCGGTCCTTGTCGGATCTGTCTTGGGTCTTGTAGTCGCTGCCAGCAACATGTACACGGGTCTCAAGGCCGGATGGACCTTCGGAGCAGCTTTGTGGGGCTCCATCTTTGGTTTCTTGCTCTTGAAGCTCTTGACTCGTTTCACCGGTGGTATTTTTGGCCCCAAGGAGAACACTGTCTGCCAGACTGCCGCAACCGCTGCCGGAGGACTCTCTGCTGGATTCGTCACTGCCATTCCTGCCATGTATCGTATGGGTCTTATGGGCGATAGACACCCCAGGGATGATGTCGTTGCGCTGTTGCTCTGGTCCACCTGCTCGGCCTTCTTTGGCATGTTCTTCGCCGTCCCTCTCCGCACCCACTTTGTCATCAACCAAAACCTGGTCTTCCCTACCCCCCGCGCTGCTGCTGAGACCATTAAGAGTTTGCATAGAGCCGGCTCAACCGCCGCCAAGGATGCTAAGGAATCCGGCATCGTCATGGGAGCATCGTTCCTCATTTCGATGGTCTGGGGCACCCTCGCTCATTTCGTTCCTGGTCTCTTGGGTGATCTTCACATTCTCTACTATATGGGCAAGTCCGCTGCTAATGGGGCCCTCATGAACGCCGATAAAATATGGGGATGGTACTTTTCTTGGGACTTTGCCTTCTTTGGTGCTGGTTTGATGACCCCTGGAAGTACCGTTTTCTCGTTCGTGGCTGGATCTATCACTGCCTTCGGAATTGCTGGACCCATGATGACTGATGCGGGCTACCTGTGGGGCAAAACCGGCTTCGATCGCGCAAAAGACGCACCGAATGCACCCATTACAACCGTTGCCTCTGCCCAGTCCTGGTTCATCTGGCCCGGTATTGCCATGATGGTCTTTTCTGCATTTTCGGAACTCGGTATCAACTGGCGTTCTATCTACTTCTCGCTCCAGGTCGTCGGTCGTGAAGGTCGCAACCTTATCCGCAAGCTGAGCAAGAAGGAAGCCCTGGCTGTCGACGCAGCTGCCCCGGTCTCCAAGGACACCACCCCTGAGCAAGAGCTGATCCCTACCTCCTGGTGGGTTAGTGGTCTGCTTGTTTCGACTCTCTTTACCATCTTGGTCATGTATTTCAACTTCCAGGTCCCCGTGTACGCCAGTATCGGAGTGGTCCTTTTGTCCTTCCTCCTTGCCTTTGTCGGTCTCCAGTCCACCGGTGAGACAGACATCAACCCCACCGGCGCTATTGGTAAGGTCACTCAGCTGGTCTTCGCCCGCATCCCAAACCCCGACATCCAGATCGTCCAGAAGACAAACTTGATGTGTGCCAACATTGCTGCTGCTGCTTGCTCTCAGGCTGTCGACATGGTTTCCGATCTCAAGACCGCTCAACTGACCAAGGCCTCGCCCCGCGCCATGTTGGGAGCCCAGATTGTCGGTTCTGTCTTCGCCATTGCCATTGCCATCCCCTTGTTCTTACTCTACGCCGGCGCCTACCCTTGCATTCTGATGGAATTGCCCGACGGCGTGAAGTGCCAATTCCCCACCCCTTCCGTCATTGCCTGGGCTAACACGTGCAAGCTTTTGACTGGCGGTGGCACGATTCCCAAGGAATCTATGATCGCAACCATCGTTCTTGGCCTACTGGCCGTTCTTAACGTCCTCATCCGTGTCAAGTTCGTACCCGACGCGTGGAAGCCTTACTGGCCCAACTTGAACGCCTTTGGTCTTGGTTTCGTCAACGTCGGAGTCGCCACTCCTTGCTGCATGCTCGTCGGTTGGGTTGCCGGTCAGTTGTGGTTGAAGTTTGGCAAGGCCTCGCACGGCCGCTTGATGTACTCTGTCTCCGCCGGTCTGATCTCTGGTATCGGTATCGCTGGTGTGATCAAGGCTGCTCTCACTGTCGGCGGCGTTGATGGCGGAAGCGTCCTTGTTGGCTGTGGTATTGGGGGAGAATTGTGTTAATACTCCTATTTTAATAAATCAACATTTTCTTTTCAGATTGTCGAACGTAAAGGTGCATCTCATCCTTGCAGAGGATAAAACCATGAATTGGATTCCCAGCGATAGGTAAACAAAGGATTGGCGCGACAGAAATAACATAAACACTGCCCAAACATGACTGGGTAAGTTTAGTCCTTGCACCAATTTCTATTACACATCACTCACGCACTGCATTACTCCGTTCACCTATCGGCAGTTTACCACAGGGGACAAAAATGATTCAATATTTCGTCGGAATAGACAATTTTTGTCGCCATCAACAAATACAGCGTTAAGAAAAGGTCAACCTTGCCATGCTATAGTCTAGATTCTCGATAGTCAGCTCGCACCAGCTTGCAAAACCTTCGTACGACATCAACCTGTTGGTAAGATATTTTAGCATTTGCTCTGTACTTTGCTAATGGATTAAGATCCATATAGATTTTAACGACCAGAGACCGACAACAATGCGGCTCCATTACTCAATGCGTGTTTTTGAGGGATTTGTCTGGGGTCTGGATCAGCTCTAGTGCCGATGTTGATTTACTTGCTGTCTAAGCAGTCATCGCACTGACGCAGAACGGATCTTCAGCTCATCCTGAGAGCAGCATGTTCTGACCTTGTCTTAGTCAAAAACAAATAACCCTATTAATCTTAGTTGGAGTGATCGAACTGACATATTTTTTCTTCCGTACTCGAGTGTCTTGGCACATCATTTCGTATTCTTCGCATGTACTCAACAATATTGATAAAACATGGGTAACAGAGGTATTCTACAACATGACTTTTATTGATGGGAACCAACCGGTCTCAAAATGAGGAAGAGAAAAGAAGAAAGTGAGGCAGAAGACAAATCGTCCGGGCTTAGACCTCGACGCAGTCCCAGTATTCATAGGCGCCACCGAAACCGTTGGAGGGAGCGGGTCCATTGTGGTCTCTCTTGGACTTGGGGTACTCTCTGCCCTTGTAAATCAAGGTAATAGCATCGGCCCAGTGAGCTCCACGGGCCTTGATACAGAACTGGTCGTTGCATCTGTCGACGCGGCATCGGGACGGTCGACGAACTCAAAGGAGCCATGGTAGTAGCTCTTTACCTCAAGCGTGAACTTGTTCCTGAAGCTGCCCGCGTAGGGTCCAAGATAAACATTCCATGACAAAGTCATGCTGCGGTAAGAATGCCTCTCCAAAGCGCAGACATAGTATTAGTAGTGCGCCGAGCCCTCTTGTCTGCTCTTTGTCCTTTTACACATCACTTCTTGGACGAGAGCAGTATTGACAAGAGTTTCGCTGGCGCGCTGCAGTGTATCGTTTCGTGTGATTCTTTAGGACGCTATTATCACTACTCCCGACTATTAACCCCCCCCTCGGTACCGATTGAGGACTTAACAGCGGTCCTACAACTCTGGCCTTCGATCCTCTCCCCTGAGTAACAATATCTATATGTTACTTACGGGGTTGAATCGCTAGTAGGCATGGCAACGGCAACGGTGGCAGCGACGAGGGTAGCGATCAAAGCAGAGAAGCAGAGAACCTCATCTTTGGATGTGGGTGGGGTTACTGAGGAGGAAAGGTGATGATAACCTTTCTATATTGAAAACTCAATGGTGCCCTAATATGTTCTGCTGAGAAGGGTGAATGACCAAAATGTGGAAGGCACTTGACTGAGTTTTGTCCAAATACAGCGCGCTTTGGGGGTCTGCATTGGGAGAGCTGTCAGAGATAAAGGGAGAGAGAAAAGAGGAGAGAGTATCGAAGTTGCTAGAAGATCATATCAATCAGTCAGCACGGAACCGTTTTCCGTGAAAAAGTGGCGAACGGGCAGTAAAGCCTTCAAACTATCGTGTTCAATCCCATTTAAAGTTTGATTTTTATGGCGTTATTTTTTACGTAGCGTTTTTGACCGAAAGAATACACATGGATGGCGCGGAAAAAAAATTGACGGAAAAGGCACCTTGAGAAGGAGAAAGCAGATATGTTGGTATCCAATGGAGACGGTTCAACTGGCCAAGATAGACTCTTGGCAAAAAAGACGGCCAACAATATCGCATTGCTTTGTTTTTTTTATGAATGACCATGCACTAAAGACAAAAGGACAATGGTGCTGTTAATTGAGCGGTGCCGATATGTGGCTCCTTCCATGCCTTTGAAACCTCCTGAATTTTTCATTTCCCTCTTGGTATGAAGTAGAGAACGATCCACAGGAAGGTTTGGAACCAGGAACGTGAATGCCAAGAGCCGATCCGCCAATGTGGATGTATTACCTAGATTTTTCTTTCCCTCATGCACAACAGCCCAATCTCATACAGTGAAAGCAGCTAGCGTCATCAAAAAACATTTCTTGTGATGACGGAAATAGTCCTAGCCTAGGACTCCCGCTCGCATATACTCGGGGTGTGGATATTGCTTGTATCTGTTTGTTTGCCCTCCTTGCTACCTTCTAGCACATCCACCATCCTCTCCTTCAATTCTCTCCCAATGTCGTTCCACTATTCAATGGACGAGGACCATCTTCCACACCCGACTGAAGAAGGTGTATGAGAGAGGAAGCAAGGCGAGACTGCATGCAGAGAGCCTTTGACGAATGTCCATTTTTTTATGTTAGACAGCAATATCGCTTTCGTCCTAAGTTTATTGACACCTATACAAAAGAAACTTGCTTTTACAGTAAAGATCGTGAAGTATTTGGGCTGTGTGCAAGACTAGAAAAATATCCGGGCTATCCGTTCAACTTTGACGAATCGAAGTTTCTCGGTATTCGCGTTCGTGGTTTAGATCTTCCTGTGCATCGTGTCTCTACTTCGCACCAAGAAAAAATAAGAGAAAGACAGCGAATTCCAAGATCATCGGGCGCTTTATATGGTGTTTCTTTGTCTGTAATGTATGGACATACATGAAATACATTCAACAATATGATATTGTTGACAGTTTTTGACGGCGAAAGGTTCTCTTGGCAAGCTAGGCCTATGTTCATACCCACAGGTGGCATTCACAGCGATTGGCATCCAAGCATATTCCCCATTCTTTTCTTCTTTCTTCTCGAGCACCACCTTTTTAACATTACATTTTTTCTTCTTTGCCCGCATGTTCATTCTCCGCCCGCATGTTCATTCTCCAGGACAAAAAAACTACTGGAAAAAACAAAATAACGACAAAGCTGTAAATCGAGTACCTTGGGCGTAATGTTACCGGCAGTCGGCCCCTGAAACGCTTTTGGTAAAAAAAAGATGAACACGGATTCTGTGAATGACTAACCTGCAGTCTGCACACTACTCCGACTCTCGCTCTCTTCCTCTGTCTCTAACATTTTTCGCTCGACAAGTGGGGTGCGTACATGTGTAGGAAGATGATACAGGAATAAGAAAAAACAAGCACAAGAAGGACAGGCGAAGAGAGGAAGTGTACCACGTTTTGCCCCGGTTCCCAAGTTTTCGCGGGACTTGTTTCCTGCCCCTTTTATTGAACACGTCGAGGCTGGATTTGGTTCGTCACTTAACCTTCTGTGCCTTCCCTCAAGCATGCCCCCCCCTCAAAAAAAAAAGAACAAGGGGCATTGGGCTGCCAGTTACACGGGCGTGGTGGATGACAAAGAAATCTTTTTATAATCACTCACGATGCGTAGGCAAAGGACAGGAAGCATTCTCAAATATACATAACACCCATAGCACCTGCACAAGCTTCAGATAAACACTAGTAGTGTTGTTCATTGTTCAATTGGGTTTATTTGATTTTTACAAGAATTTTACATATGGTACAAGGAGAGAGAGAGAAATGAGATGAAAGACGTCTAAGCAATTGTAGAACGCCAGTTGCGCGCTCGCTCGAATCCATTCTTGTTGTTCTGGTAGTCGACAAAGGTGTCATAGATCTCCTCGGACGAGTTCATGACAAAGGGGCCGTGCTGAACAATGGGTTCCTTCAATGGTTCACCAGCAATGAACACAAAGTGTGCGTCCTCGTCCTTGGTTTGGATCTTGACTGTCGTGGCACCGTCTTCTGAGAAGGTGAGAGTGTGGTGGGCCTTACCCTCGAACTCCTTGTCACCGATGAATGTCGTACCCTTGAGCATGTAGAGGAATCCGGTGTAGGTCGAGGGGATGATCTGAGTGACGGTTTTGTTCTTGTTCATCTTGAAGTCGAGGTACATGGTGGGTGTGCGGGTGTAGACCTGAGACTTGACGCCATGAGACTCGCCTGCAATGACCTTGACGACAACACCGTCCTGGGGAGTAGCACGAGGGATCTGACCGTCGAGAAGTTCCTGGTACTGTGGCTCACACATCTTGTGCTCCTTGGGCAAGTTGATCCAGAGCTGGAGTCCATGAGCACGGGTCTGAGACTTGACAGGCATCTCCGAGTGAACAATACCACGACCAGCAGTCATCCACTGCAAGTCGCCAGGTCCAATGGTTCCCTTGTGTCCTGCAAAGTCCTCATGCTGGAACTGACCTTCGATCATGTAGGTCACAGTCTCGAATCCTCGGTGGGGGTGGTCGGGGAAGCCACCGTTCTTGTCGACGGAGAACTCATCGAGCATGAGGAAGGGGTCGTGGTTACGGAGTTCGGGACGTCCGATGGATCGACGGACACGGGCGCCGACACCCTCGGATTGTTCCCTAGAGAGGACGGACTTTGTGATGGATCTGGAGATTGGGGTAGTGGTGGCAGTCATTTTGGGTTGTTGTCTTGTTGTTAGTGTAGCTGAGAGAAGAGGAGTTGTTGTGTGAATGGGAGTAGTGAGGACTGTTGTTGTAGTCGAGTGAAGATACGATGTTGTTTTTTGTGATGAAGAGGGGAGTTGTGCTGCAAGTCGGTTGCTTTTATACTTTTTTGTTTGCTCCCTTCATCCTCTTCCCTTCCTTCGAATTGATAATGCGATGATCAATTGTCCAATGAAAAGTGACTAAGCCTTGAAGAGCGGTGGCTTAGTTTTTTCCTCTGATTAAGAATGGGATATGTCTGACCAAGAACAGGTCCCACAAACAGGTCCCTGACACGGAAGATCCAGTTGCCCTGACCGTGAAGAGAAAGCAGGTAGGTTACCATTGACCACGGCACATTACGTGAGAAACAACAGGTCCCAAAAACAAGCGAGGAAGTTTTACTCTCTTCGTAGCAGAGCGACATCACACAACAAGAACAAGTTCATTCATACCCCTTCTGTGTCGCGTTCGATAGCTTTCGTTGCTTATTGAATAAAAGTTTATCAGTTTCACCGAGTTCAATCAGCGGCCAAGAAGACGCGTCCCGCTCTATGGGCCATATACCTCCGTAACAACTTGAATAAGGCCAAGCTACTGCCACCGAATTACATACTTCACACCTTGGCCCTCCTTCAAAGAGACCCACGGTTTAGAGTTGCTTAGCCTTTGCGTTCGCAAAAAAAGCAAATTAAAAATCAAATGGCAATTTTCGCGAACGGAGGGAAGAAATGGCAAGATGGAGTGGCGTACATGCATGAATGGGTCACAGCCCAGGCAAAGCAAGAAAGGGATATGCGCGAAAAGGCAAGGGGATAACGTAAAATAACCCCAAGCTCTACCTCAGTTCTCTTTGGCTCACCCCCTGTCATCCTCTCCCCTGCTACCATCCGCAAACTCTCCACCACCGTCGTCCCTCTCTCTCGTTGTCTTTCGTCATTCACACTTCTCGATTCGACATTCAGCACGTTGTTCACATTGTGAATTCACCTTGCCTTTGTTCATTCACCAGCTCGTTACTCCGCTACCAACACCACCAACACAGACACATACCGCTTCCTCCTCTCACTCTCTTGTCGAGAACCTCAGCCACAACCCAACAAAAACAAAAAACGAAACCAACAGAAAAAGGTTCGTTTCGACCTTGCAGAGGTATGTCCTTCCCAATAGGTCGTCGGGCGTGAATCGATGTATGTTCCGCTGTATGAAGGAAGGAAATCAAGACTTTTGAACAATACTAATACACGATGGAACGTACATAGATACTTCCTCCTTGCCAGAAACAACGGAACCCACCAAAAGCCCTCATCGTCGCGACTCACTCAAAAACAATAAACCAGTGCCCCTCTCGTCTCAAGGTAAGGAAAAGATCGTGTGAATAAACAGGAGCTGGAGAAGATTCCTCAATTGCTCCATTGCTTCTCGACTTTGTGGTGCTAACCCATCCCGCATTGGACATACATATTATGTCTAGGACAAGACAACTCTTTTGCTAGCTACACACCAACAAAACAAAAAACAAAGACCCAAATAATCGACACCAGTAAGTTCGAGAGGACGTACACAACAAACAAAAAGTGCAACTGACAACTGTACTTTAGCTAAACACAATTCTCACCGATCTCTTATCGACATAGACCAACAAATCTCGCCGGCCAAACACAAGCTCAGTCCATCTCCAAAACAAACAGAACAAAAAAGACACTTCTTTGGTAAGGAATGCGAACGATGCACAACCATCCCATTCATATCTGGTCATGAAATGCCTTCTCGTCTCCGAACCTCCCCTAATGTTACACATATTCTTTTTTCGTAGTTTCGCACTCTTATACCAGTCATTCGTCCGCTCTGCTCCTCCGCAGCCCTTCACCAGCAAAGTCATCCTTCAAACCAACGCAAGGTGAAAAATGCAGAATAATTATTATGAGTGTTTACTTTCTGCAAGGTTGTCCAGACAACCCTAACCAACGCCATTCCTTTTGGTGTCTCTAGCTATAACCATGTTCTCCTCGTCACCCCAGGGCAATTCGCCTTCGCCTCCTCCCGCGCCTTCCTCCGCTCCTCCAGTACATCTGGAAATAACTGTCGATGGGCAGCATGTCCGTTCTCACCTCGAGAACACCGCAGCGCTTGGACGTGTGTCGTCAAAGTCGGGTGACATTCCGACAATCGCTCAAGGATTGGCCACCTTTCAACTTGAGCTTGCCAACTTGTTGAACCCCCTTGGTCATCGCACCACTAGGGATGTTGCCGCAGACGTCAATCATGGAGCAAGTGACGCCAGTGATGCCAGGTCGGTATCCTCGGGCCGTTCGTCGAAATTTAGAATCAGGAAACGTTTGTCGAGACTTTTCAAGGGAGGCCCTAAAGTCAAAGAGACTGTTTCCACTTCAGCAGCCTCATCAGCGCCAGTTACGCTCATTGGCACCGAGAAACGCATCCAGTCCTCCGCACCTGACCGTAACGCGGCGCCTGTCTCGTTGGAACTGCACTCACCAGCACATTCCACTGAAATGTCGTCCACGCCACTCGTTGTTCTAGCTACTCAGATGCAACAAAATCCTGCTGCGTATGGAACCCTCCGTGTAGACATCTTCCCCGAGAACGTTGCGAAACCTACCTACAAGACCGACCTGCCCAAGCCACATGCTCGTATTGACAAGACCTCGCAGCTTGTCTACTGCTGTAGTCTCCTCTCCAAGGCTCCAGGACCGCTACAACCAACCTCGGACAGCGATGTCAACCAGGATTCGCCCCTCGACGACAAAGAGAAGGAATGGGTTCACCTCATTGATCCCTTCTTGCAGGACCGATATCGATGGCTTGTCGAGCAGTTGGTCAAGGCGTTCGCTGACGATCCTCTCAAAGCGTCCGATGTAGTCACCGAGGTTGTTCTTGTTGGTCCCGTTCTCGACCGTAACATCTACCGCAGCTTGCTCTCTTGCTTCATCTCCGAATTTGAGCAGACAATACCGCTGGATGACATTCTGCTCCAAGGCCTTGCGCAACTGGTCGAGTGCGCCTCATCTGGATATCTTGTTGACGATGATCTGGTCAGGATCGCTACTGTTCTCTCCAAGAATCTGTCAATCGCCCACATTGGCACGAGCGACCACCCCTTGCACCTGATACTGTCGCTCGCTCGAGTTCTCGATGTAATGGTGGCTGGCAAGGTTAAGGACCTGAACCGTGATCGAGACCATCAGCCGATGCTGCAACTCCTGGACGGCCTGAAGAACAGCGACAATGTTGTCCAGAGGTACGAGGCAACCTATGCCTATCAGGCCCTCCAGTATGCACCTGATGACGAAACTCCGCTCCAGGTGCTGTGGAGATATGCAAAGGTAGTAGCGGCAGGCGCAGGTGCAGTGTCGAGTGTTTTCAAGTTGGATCCAGAGGGATTCCTCAAAGGCATCAAGAGTCTTCAAGAGATCGGTGAAGGAGTAGTGGGAGCTGTTAGTACTGGAATTGAGGTTGTTGAGACCCTTCGTGTTGGTGCTGGTGAGGCCGTCCGGGTGTCGGAGAACAAGTTCGACTTCATGAAGAAGCGCTCGTGGTATCTCGCCCTTCAAGGAACGGCCCTCTTCATCCGCCAGGGACGACTTTCGGATTTTAACCTGGTCGTCAGCCAAGCGCCTTGCCGCAACAACCCCAACTTTCAGTGGGGGATTTGCCGCCAGATCGGAGAGATTGCAGTCGACCCGCTCTGGGATGTTCTTGTCCGCCAGCAGGCCGTCAACTTTCTAGACGAGTTGTTCAGGAATGGTGCCGACTGGAAACCGCATGTCGATGTCAAGCGATGGATTCTGACCATTCTCATCCAGATCTCGGAGCTGTCAGATGTCTCTGTCAAAAATCGTACTGTTGCTTTATTGCTAGACCTGAAGAAGGGCGCCATCGCTGATTTTCCTGGCTCTCAACCGCTGAGCAGACGCATCCCTCTGCCAACAGCCTTTCCACTTCTCGCCCAGGTCCAAGATATCGCCAAAGTCGAATATGAGCTGCTTGACTTGCGGGGAAAGAGGATTGCCGACTACAAGCAGGTGGTTTACATCGACCCCATGGCCAAACTCAGCCTCCAAGACACGGACGACAATCTGTTCCCTCTTATGGACAAGGTCAGGGAATTTCTTGCGAACGACACCCAGGTTATGCTTATTCTTGGCGACTCGGGGGCGGGAAAATCAACATTCAATCGACACCTGGAACACGAGCTCTGGCAGGAGTACAAGGCAGGAGGCCGCATCCCGCTTTTCATCAACTTGCCATCCCTCGATCGACCAGAGAAGGATTTGGTTTCGGAGCAATTGAGGATCTACAACTTTTTGGAGGAACAGATCCGTGAGCTGAAGCTGTACCGCCAGTTCACATTGATCTGTGATGGATACGACGAGTGTCGGCTCAATGCAAATCTGCATGCCACCAACCTTTTAAACCAGTATGGGTGGCGCGCCAAGCTGCTTATTACCTGTCGTACTCAGTATCTCGGACCGGACTATCGGGGTCTTTTTGAGCCTAATGCTGTGGACCGGTATGCTCGTGTCCCCAACTATCTTTTCCAGCAAGCGGTCATCACCCCATTCAGCAGGGTGCAGATCGAGAAGTATGTGGAACGTTATGTTACTCTCAAGCCGCGCACATGGGCCAAGAAGGATTATATAGACAAGCTGGATGCTATCCCCAACCTAATGGATCTGGTCAGGAACCCGTTCCTCCTTACTCTGTCACTGGAGGTCCTTCCTACCGTTGTGCAAGGGAAAACCGACCTCTCCAGGCTTCAAATCACTCGCACGGAACTGTACGACACCTTTGTGAGGCACTGGATGGTTGTCAACAAGTGCCGTCTAGAAGATCAAAGGCAAAAGTTAGACAGAAAGACCCAGGTGGCATTCCAAGAATTGTTGGAGGCTGGATTCGAGCAGAGTGGGGTCAAGTTTCAACAGGATCTGGCAGCTGAGATCTTTGTACATCAGCAGGGCAGGCCCGTTGTCGACTACATCAACAAAAACGACAAATCTTCCTGGAAAGCCGCCTTTTTCAGCAACGAACGCGATAAGATGCTTCTCCGTGATGCCAGTCTTCTCAGTCGAGCCGGCACTCAGTACCGCTTTGTCCATCGCTCCATCCAGGAATATTTTTTCTCTTGCACCATCTCTGGGCCCCCCAAGGAGCACGATGAATTTGATCCGCCTGTCGATTCCAAAACCTTCCCCAATTCGCCCACCCTTAGCGCCCATCCGCTGTTCCAGAGGAACCTTGTCGCAGAGCACTTGATTATCCAGTTTCTGGCGGAGCGCGTGCAGCTGGGCTCTAGATTCAAGGACGAGCTCTTCGCCATCATTGAGCTATCCAAGACCGACGATCAAGCAGCTCAAGCCGCGGCGAACGCCATCACGATCTTGGTCAAGGCAGGAGTACGATTCAACGGGGCTGATTTTCGGGGTATTCGAGTTCCTGGAGCGGACATGTCTGGCGGCCAGTTCGACTCGGCACAACTGCAAGAGGCTGACTTGACAGGCGTCAACCTCACCAAAAGCTGGATTCGTCAAGCGGACTTCACCAAGGCGCAGATGAAGGGAGTTCAGTTCGGGGAGATGCCGTACTTGAAGGAGTATACATGGATAGAATCGTGCGCCTATTCGCCTGACGGAGCATCGCTCGCTGCAGGTCTTCCCGGAGGACGCATCAAAGTTTACGATACTTCCATGTGGACGATGACTCGCACTTTTAAAGGGCATCGAGGGTGTACCAAAAGCATTGCCTATTCGCCAAATAGCCTTCAACTTCTTTCAGGCAGCGAGGACAAGACAGTACGATTGTGGGACTGCGAGGGTGGTTCATGCATTTTTGTGCTGGAAGGCCATACCGATGAAGTGTCAACTGTGGCATTTTCACCCTCTGGCAAGCAGGTCGCCTCTGCTGGAAAGGACTCGACTGTGAGGCTATGGGATGTTCAGACAGGCACCAATCTATCCATCTTGACCGGTCATGGTGGATGGATTCGTAGCATTTCCTACTCACCCGATGGACATGCGGTTGTGTCAGTTGACGACAATAGGATGATCCGCTTTGACACACAGACTGGACAGCCAGGAAATGTCTGGGAGAGTCAAAGTGATTTGATGAATAGCGTCGCATACTCCCCTGGAGGCCTAGAGATTGCCGCAGGGTATGGTAATGGGGAGTTACTGCTCTATAATACAACTACCGGCAAACCAACGAGGAATTGGAAGGCCCATGGAAAAGCAGTCATAGGTGTGAGCTTTTCACCGAACAGCCAATGGATCGCCACATGCAGCTTTGACAGCACGGTGAAGGTCTGGAGTGCAGCAACAGGTTCGATCCTGTCCGTCTTTACAGGTCATAGCAACAAGGTGACACAGGTAGCCTTTTCGCCAACCGGACTCCAACTTGCCTCATGTAGTTCTGACACCACCATCCGACTCTGGGATGTGAGCTCGTTGGGTACAGGCATGGATATGGAGAGCATATCCGACCCGCTGACAAGCGTACTTTATTCTCCAGAAGGCCGAGTTCTCTTCTGTGGTACCGAGTCGGGAGCTGTGCGGCAGTATGACGCAGGATCGGGGGAGTCTGGTCTAGTTACTGTTTGCGGAGACTATCCTGTCGAGTGCCTAGCGGTCTCCCCGGATGGTTTTCGAATAGTGACAGCTGGAACGGACGACGAATTCGTCACTATGTGGAAAACTGGAACAGGTCAAGCCGATGTTGTCTTGCGCGGCCACACAGAAGAGGTGACCGCCATGGCCTTTTCAGCCGACAACCGCTGGATTGCCACCGGCAGTTACGACTGGACAGTGCGACTTTGGGACGCTAGTTCAGGGATACTGGACCGCGTGCTTGAAGGCCATACCGATCGTGTAGATTGTTTGGTATTCTCGCTGGACAGACATCAAATTTTGTCGGGGAGTTGGGATGGAACTATTCGAGCGTGGGATTTGGACAGTCGTGAGTATAGAGTCGTTGTAGATGGCGGATTTTACGAGGGGGGTCGTTGGACTATATCAACCTCACCCAATGGCTTGAGGGTTGCTTCTATATCCTATTACACCGATATTGATGCTGCTGTTATCATTTGGGACGCGGAGAGCTGGCTTTCCCAACAAATTCTAGAGCACGACTACGGCGACGCACAATGCATTGCATTCTCGTCCTGTGGGAAATGGATAGGCGTAGGCTTGCTTCGCTCGGTTTGGCTCTGGAATTTCGTCGTTGGCACGTCAGTGGAAGGGGGAGGTGGAGAGTGGAAGTGTTTGGTGCGTGTCCATGATTTCTTTGAAAGTACCAACATCATTACATGGAGACCTGACACGCTGGAGTTTAGTACCGGATGCGAGAATGGGTCTCTTCAAGTGTGGAGACTGGTGGAGACGTCGACATCGTCATCGGATGCATGGTCGGCCCAGTTGGTTTGGAGCGCTGGAAATCCTGTTCTAGCTGCCTCGGATGCCGTTTTTGCCGATGCTGTTGGTCTCTCCTCAGTCAATCAGCAATTTCTCACACAGCGTCAGTATCAGCATGGTGATAATGTGAATGAAGAGTTGGATGAATGGGAGAACGGAGGAGATCCATCGTGGCGTTGGGCTGCCGGATAAAGAGGCGCGGTGGATCACAAAACAATTTTTTTATAATCGCTCATGATGCGAAAGCAAAAAATAGGAAGCATTCTCGAATATACATAACACTCATAGCACCTGCACACGCTTCAGACAACCTAGAGTTGATCATTGTTCAATTGGGTTTATTTGGTTTTTACAAGATTTTTACATATGGTACAAAGAGAGAGAAAAGAAATGAAAGGGTGTTTAAGCAATGGTAGAACGCCAGTTGCGAGCTCGTTCGAATCCGTTCTTGTTGTTTTGGTAGTCGACAAAGGTGTCATAGATCTCCTCGGATGAGTTCATGACAAAGGGGCCGTGCTGAACAATGGGCTCCTTCAAGGGTTCGCCAGCAATGAACACAAAATGTGCGTCCTCATCCTTGGTCTGGATCTTGACTATCGTAGCACCGTCCTCCGAGAATGTGAGAGTGTGGTGCGCCTTGCCCTCGAATTCCTTTTCGCCGATGTATGCGGTTCCCTTGAGCATGTAGAGGAATCCGGTGTAGGTCGAGGGGATGATCTGGGTGACGGACTTGTTCTTATCCATCTTGAAGTCGAGGTACATGGTCGGTGTGCGGGTGTAGACTTGAGACTTGACGCCGTGTGACTCGCCTGCAATGACCTTGACGACAATACCATCCTGGGGTGTCGCACGAGGGATCTGACCGTCGAGGAGCTCCTGGTACTGTGGCTCACACATCTTGTGCTCCTTGGGCAAGTTGATCCAGAGCTGGAGTCCATGAGCACGGGTCTGAGACTTGACAGGCATCTCCGAGTGAACAATACCACGACCAGCAGTCATCCACTGCAAGTCGCCAGGTCCAATGGTTCCCTTGTGTCCTGCAAAGTCCTCATGCTGGAACTGTCCCTCGAGCATGTAGGTCACAGTCTCGAATCCTCGGTGGGGGTGGTCGGGGAAGCCTCCGTTCTTGTCGACGGAGAACTCGTCGAGCATGAGGAAAGGGTCGTGGTTACGGAGTTCGGGACGTCCAATGGATCGACGGACACGAGCACCGACACCCTCGGATTGTTCTCTGGAGAGGACGGACTTTGTGATGGATCTGGAGACTGGGGTAGTGGTAGCAGTCATTTTGGGTTGTTGTCTTGTTGTTAGTGTAGCTGAGAGAAGAAGAATTGTTGTGTGAATGAGAGTAATGAAGAAGACTATTGTGGTAGTCGAGAAAAGTGAGAATATGTTTTTTGTTGAGATGAAGAGGGGAGTTGTGCTGGAAGTCGGCTACTTAAATACTTTTTTTTACTCCCTTCATCTTCGAATTGATAATGCGATGATCAATTAAAAGTGACTAAGCCTTGAAGAATGGTGGCTTAGACTTTTTCTCTGATTAAGCATGGGATATGTCTGACCAAGAACAGGTCCCACAAACAGGGTCCCTGGCACATAAGATATCCAATTGCCCTGACCGTAAAGAAGAAAGCAGGTCACCCATCGACCATGGCGCATTACATGAGAAAACAGGTCCTCAGAAAACAATAACGAGAAGGTTCTCTTCCATCCTGTGCCATACAGTTTCCCACTGTGCAATACGAAATCATATCTCGATCGTGTGGCATTCAAAAAACTACTGTCGTCGCTAATCAAATCGAAACCTAGGGGCCAAGCTTTCACCGCCTTTGAGCATCAGCCAAATGCTGTGCCTATTTACGAGTGTAAATAGGGGCGATGATCGAACATTAAATGATGGAAAAAAGCACTTTCTTGCAAACATCAAAAAATCATATTCGTTCTTTCATCGCCTCGGATTGTTTTTATTCCATCATAGCAAAAGACAAATGAATGAACAAAAAAAAATCAACTAGAGGCGAAAACGCAAAGAAACAGAATAACGAAAACGGTAAAAACACAAGTTTTGTAAAAGTACAGAGGGGGAGAATGGAAACAAGGTTAGGTATGTAGTACACGCATTACAAAGATGGCTATTTTTTTTTTGTTGTTGTTGTTGTTGCTGTTGTTGTCTGGGGGTGGTCCCCATTGTTGAAAGTGTGGGTGTGTTACTTCTTCTTGCGAAAGAAGGAGGGAGAGAGTGTGGTGCAAAAAAAAAGTGGCGACTTGGTGGGGGGTGTACAGATTGATGGACCCTGTTGTACAAAATTGCTCTGGTTTACAAAGGATAGAAAGGACTCAAACAAAAAAGAAAAAATAAATAAAGACAAGCGAATACAAAATACGACAAAACAAAGGTGATAGAAAAAAGAAAGAAAAAGAGCGGGGAGAGTGGCCACGGTCCAACGCGTGAAAGAGTGGAACTCCGTTAGTCGAAGGAGACGCCAAAAGGAACAAGCCACTCGCCGTCGAATTCAACAACAACTCTGCCAGGTCCACGGTTCTCGGCCAAGTGAACCGTCAGCCTCTGGTCACGCCCCGGTTGGATCATTCCAAAGCTGGGCGAGACGCTGATTCCTGCAGGTCGCAAGATCTCATAGTGCATCGTGCGGTTCGACCGGTTCGAAAGCGTCACAGTCGACTGGATCTCGCCGGCAACGCTGTTCGAGAACCGGAGCTCCTTGGGGCGGATCTGGGCTGGGCATCCGGCGGAGCCAAACTCCATGCCATCAGTCATTGCTGATGTGAAGGGTGGTGAATCTGAGAGAATTAAGCTGCCATCATGCGCCTGTCGGAAGTGGTGGCTCGTTTGGTTGGATCCGAGTTGACGCTGCTGTTGCTGCTGTTGCTGACGAGCGCGATGACTGGCACTCATGGAAGACTGGGGCTGCTTGTAGGGGTTATTGTTAGCAGAGGCGGGATAGTGGTACTGGTCATGGTAAGCAGGCTCGTCATAAAACTCGGTGCTTTGACCACTGCTACCACTGTGGTACCGATCCTCATATCCCATTTGCTTGTCCCGCGACGCCACAGGTGACATGGGCTGGTGTGTAGAGTGGCGGTAAGTTGTTGACGAACGGCCTCCAGGATATGCAGTTGTAGGTGTGCGGGGGACAGTAGTGGCGGGTTGCTCGGAATCGATCATAGACCGCGACATGGGTTTGATGGGGTAAGATTGAGAACCAGAGGCCTGGCTTTTGCGGAAGGTAGGCGAGGTCTTTGACTGCTGCTGGCCGGTCGATGCTGAACTGGGTGCAGGTCCAGAGGTCGAAACGTGCAAGCTATTGCGGCTCAGCTTTCCGAGGATGTCGCCGAAAAAGTGTCGGCGCGTGCTGACCTTGACCTCAGGGCTGCTAGGCGCGCTGTTATGAGAATCGCTTCTGCTGAGCTGAGGACGAGTCTCCCTACCACCAGTGCCATTCTGAGGCTTGTTCTCCAACGAGTTGTGTCTCGAGTGTGTCTCACGGTCACGATCCCGATCCCGTCCAGATGGTCGCTTGCCGGCGGTGGAAGCACGTGGTCCTGCTGATGTGGGCGAAGGGAAGGAGGTGCCAGGCTGGTCCTGGTAGATCTCCTCCCGAAGCTCAACAATATCCTGCCGGATCTTGGCCAACTGCTTACAAGACTCTTCCAATGAAGGAACCTTGCGCTCGCCATTCATATCATAGAGTGATGAGCGCTTGGAAGAGATTCCTCCAGAACGGAGAGGTGACAAGGGCGAGAGAGGAGAAGTAGGGACACTTCCACGTTCTCTTTCGCGCTCACTCGATCTCCGGTGAAGAGACTGCTGCAAATCCTTGGATCTCCTGTTTTCAGCCGGCTCCGAGGAGGTGCGGACAGACAGCTTTCGGGGTGTAGCAATCTTCTCCTCTGCCTCAGCAGCAGCAGCTGCTTCCTCTGCTTCCTCTGCCTCAATGAGCTCCAGCTCTCGTTGAAGATGGCGCTTGCGCTCAGCAGACTGACGACGAGCGAGCTCCTGTGGCCTTTCCTGCTGCTCCACAGACTCATCCATCGAAGCCTCCTTGACAAAGCTAGCAGCCTTGCTAGGATTCTTCGGTGTCACTGTTCCTGATCTTTGTCCCGACGCTGGCGCCTCAGCTCTTGACTTGGTATAGGTTGCCACTGAGCGAGGCGAGCTTCCCGAGGAACTAGGGGGAATAGGCGACTTGGATGGAGCTCTCACAGGAGAAGCGGTCAAGCTTCTGGGTGGAATAGGGCTGGCCACACTACGAACTCTGGGAGGAACAATCGATGGTCGGACCAGCTTGGAGACTGGCGTTGGGGCGACGAGCATCGACTGCTGATGTGTTACGGATGTCGTGGTGGGAGTTCTGGCGGCGGCAGGCGCCTCCTCGATCTTGAGCATGTTGGTCAGTCGCTCAACATCGCCTTCAGGCATGACGACAGTGCTCCTCGCAGAGGGGAGCTTCAGTCGAGGTTTGAGCAGCGAAGTGCGAGGAGCGGCCTGAGCAGCCAATAGACTTTCCTGCTTCTCCTTCATCAACTCCTTAGCGACCTTGGCAGCAAATATGGCGCCAGGGCTCTCCTCCGGTTGCGAGTCGTACTCTTGCTCCTTCCAAAGACCGTCCAGAATGCTGACAGTTGTATTTGAAGGTTGTTGTGTTGACTGGGTTGTAGGTTTTGGGGTAGTTGCTGAAGTAGAAGGGGTGGGCAAACTGGACATTGACTCGGGTCCACGTTTGGCAGCAACCTGGGGTGGGCGGAGTCCAGTTGAGGGTGGGACGATGCGTGAGACAGACTGAACAGGAGCTGGGGAAGAAGGCGCTGGGGATGGTGATGGTGATGCTGAAGCAGAGGACAAAGGACTCCGTACTACAGGGACACGACTGACGATCTTGGACTGAAGAGCCAAGGGTACTTTTTCTTTGTTAGCCGATCCAGGGACGGGCAGTCGAGAGCCGGGAGGAGGAGCTAGCGCGCGTGGCTTCCGTGGGATGTTGTTCTAAAACGTTGTGTAGTACGAAGAATAACAACGGTCGAGTCAACATCCATGATTCCGATGATATGGAAAATGGAGCCGTACAGATCGAAACAAGGATTGTGCCGAGGGCATGGTCAACAACAAGGACAAAATGAAAAATAAAGAAAAAACTTACTCCGAGGATCATGTTACCAACACCGCCGTTGAGGTCGAGCATGGCATAGAACTCTTCCTCGGCCTCGTCATCCTCGTCATCCTCATCGCCGAAAAAGTCGTCATCGTCATCTTCATCATCGTCGCCGCGGGGGTAGAGGTCGTCCGAGTTGTCGTAACCTAAGAGTCCATTGGCATCGCTACCGGAGCGTTCGCTGTCAACAGCTCCCTTGGACCCAAAGAGGGCCTCGTACTCACGTTTGAGTGCCAAGGCGGTCGATGACAGGTCGGACTCGCCGTCCTCACGGACAAAGCTGTCGTGCTGCGAGTTCTTGTCCTCGTCATCGTCTTCCATATCCTGGTCGTCTGGGTGCTCTTCTTCATCCTGGGGAACATGCTGATCCTGTCGTTCCCACTGTCGGCCAGGGCCAGTGAGAGATGAGAGCTGGAAGTCGCGAGTTTCGTGGAGAGGGCCAAGAATGTCGGTTGGCTTAAGGTTAGCCATGAGTTGCTGACGAACCTCTTCCTCGGCATTCTCTGCCTCCTCTTGACCTTCAACAAACAAGTCCTCAAGAACTAGGTCTCTTGATATTACCAGATGACCGGATTGTGCTGGTTCGAGGCGGCGAGAGTTAGAAGCTGCACCTGTTGCTGTCGTGTTGTTGTTGTTGTTGGAAGAGGAGGTGTTGTGGGTGGTAGCGAGAGCTGAGGGTGTCCGGTGTGGATTGTTGTGGTTATAATGTGAGCGAAGGTTGTTGTGATGATTGTGGTTGAGGTTGATAGATGGCAGTTCGGAGAGCTCGGCAATCGTTGAGAGTCTTGCGCGACCACCGCCCAAGAACTGGTCGTCCTCTTCTTCTTCTTCTTCTTCGTCTTCAAAGTCACCACCTTCTGGGACCTCTTCGTCCTGATGTGCGCCTGTCCATGATGCCGACTCGACTTCGAGATATCTGGAGTGAAGGGCGTCCTGAGGATGATTTTGAGGCTATTATGCCGACATCCAAGGGGGTTGAGGAAGAGACGGGAAAAAGGGTCAATCATGATTGTGAAATAAGTATGTGAGAATGTTGTAAAATAACGAGGGACGGAGAAGGCACGCGCTATGCCTCGTGAGAAGAAAGAAGTAGCGAAGAAGGAAAGATAGAGAGCAAAGGAGTGATGCTCCGGATGTATATCGTCATCATCCTTGGACTGTGAACTGTGTGTGGAGAGTGACAACAGCCCTTCGTTGTTTCTTTTTCCCTTGCAGGAAAAATGAAGAGAGGAGAGGGGGGGTGAGAGTAGGGAGTGTGTGACAGAAGTAACCAAAGTGAGAGCGAGAGAGAGCGAGAACGAGAAAGAGGAGAAGAGTGGAAAGAGCAAGCGAGGGACAAAGAGCGAAGAAGTGGAGTATCATAAAGTCAAAGGGAAAGGACGTTGGCTGAAGGGAGATGGTGATTATGGTGTTATCGATATCGATCAATGATTGCTGGTCTCGGTGATACGATATTGTCGATATGGTGATGATTGGTGGGTGGTATGAACTGATATAGTACCTGGCTGTGATTATGGCTACTGCTGGTGTTGGTATGGGTGTGAGTGTGGGCGTGTGTGGGTTGGCGATAGGCGTCATGATGGCCGGTGGTCTCCTGGAAGGATGAAGAGCACATAGAGTCGTCCTGGTAGTCCTCGGTGTCCGATATAGACAGGTCATCGTCATTCTGGGGATAGATAGCAGAGAGGTCGCACTCAAAAGGCTCGTCGGGCTGGTTAAACGAGTCGTTGTAGACCGGCCGTGGTGGTGATCTTGCTAGGCCGGGCTGTGGGATAGAGCTGGTTCTGTTCCTGTTCATGGTATTGGCATAGAGAGGGGAAAGAAGTGGAGGTGTTGTGTTCTGTGGTGGGTTGGGTTGGATGTAGTAAAAGTGAAGGTGAGGCCAAGTTAAAGTACTGTAAGAGAGAGAGAGAGAGAGAGTTTGAGTGAGTGGGTTGATTGTGAGTGACAAAGAGGTGTAGTGAGTGAGTGTGATTGAAGAGAGTGAGGGAAGGGTGAAAGAGAGAGAGAGTGTGTGTGTGAGTGTGTGTGTGAATGAAAGCAAGGAAGATGATGAGGTTGAGTGAGAGCGGGATGATCGAAGACTAAAGGAGTATTGACTAACAGTGGGGTGTGAAAAGGAGTAAAGGAATGGAGAAAAGAGTTTTCTTAGCTTGTTGCTTGTCCCTGACGGCCTGAAGGCTAGCTCAGTTATGGATGTTTAAGGGGATGAATACTATTAGCTTTGATTGATAATGGAAAATGGAAACGTATGAAATAACGACAACGGCTGCAAGAGGCACCGGGTTGCAGGTGTAGCAGTGGACGGAGGATGAGAGCGGGCTGGGTACGTACAACAGAAGGAAGGGTGATGGGGAGGGATATTGGATGCAGCCGACATGCAACGGATTATTATCCATGACCGTGAAATGCTTGAAGGGAAAAGAAGAAAAAAAGAAGCGCACTAACGACCATTGACGACAGAGCGAGAAACGAAGGGCCATCATCCTCTTGTTCCTTTCATTACTCTTTTGCACTTGTGTTCACTCTTTGCCCTTGCGCCAGTGTATGCGAGCCCACTTTTTTTTCATTCTCTCTGTCGTTGATGAGCACATCCTACCACCCGCTCTCTTTGCCGTAGTGTTCTCTTCTGATGTCCGTCTATTCATTTCAATTCAGTCGGAAGGAGGGCATGCTGATGCTGACATACTCAACACCCATAAACATACACCCACTCTCAAGCACCCAACAACACTACTCCGCCATCTTACTTTTCTCAATTGCACCCTCCCTCCAACCCTCAACCGTTTTCCACACTAATCAAGGCTGTCAAGCACGGGAAGAAAAATGCGACAAAGAGATGGGTCCGGGATCACTTTGAAAAGAGTTCAATTGGGCCATGGCTCCCTCTCCCTGTCTACCCTCATCAAGCACATCATGCAAAAAAAAGCCTGTCTGTCTTTTCCTTTGTAGCCCTTGACTGACCCTTTTTTTTACTTCATCTCACTGCTTTTTTTTTCAATTATCGGGAGAGTGTGTGCGGGCTGGACCCACACAATGCACAACGAAGAACGCATGCCTCGGATGCGCACAAGTAAAATGCAAAAAACTTTTTTTTGCAAGCCTCGTCCCCGCTCCCTCCCTCTCTCCCTCCCTTTTTCTCCCTTCCCTCGCACGACGACGTGGATGGGGTGGATAGGAGGTTTTGATCATGCATTAAAAATGCATCATGTCTGTTTTGGTTGTTTGCCGCTTGTCTTTGATTGTTGTTTATTCCATCTCACTCAAAAGCCCTCACTCAAAACCCACATGCACACAAAAAAACACGCCATTAAACTCTCAGACCCACACAACCTCGCATTTTCCCTCTCGTTCTCTGTCCTAACTCTCGCTCAGTCTCTTTCTCCCTCTTTCGAGAAAGAAGTGAGAGACGCCTAGTTCCTCTCGAAAAATCCCCCCCCCCTTTTTCTTGTACTTGTACCGCATGTGATCGACGACCCATATCCTGTCCTTCCTCGGCGCGCATTCGAATTTGTAATTTCTTTGAGTTCATGAAAACAACAACAACGCTTGCCCAATAATGCGCTAACTCACACAAGCCAAGTTACACGACACACTCAGCCAAAAATAACAACACAAGGCGGGGGGCCTTGTTTATTTTTTTCTTTGTTTACGATAAACAACAACTTTTGGCTGAGGAGAAGGAGAAGGAAGGGGGGTGGAGAGGAGGATGAAGAGTCCATTCCGTCCCAAGGGTGGTTTATATTCTACCAAAAGGAAAGCTCAAACCCTGCCAAACATTGCAACCATGAGTAACAACGTTCTTTTTCATAGACGTCCATTCCTCTCTCTCTCTCTCTCTCTCCACCCGCACATTCACCAACTTGACGAGAAGTGCAGTCGTCTATTTTTTGTGGAGGGATATTTTTCGAGTGTGATTGATATCTGATCCTTGCCAGAGTCGTTCCTGGATTATTTTCGACGGACTGTCTCTCCGAGTCTCTTGATTGATTGAATGTTTGTCTCGAGGCTGAAACCAAAACCTATTGCTTTTTTCGGTGCCTGACCATCCCTCTATTTCTTCCTTAGCACTTAGCAGCGAGAGTCAAGAAACAACCTCCCACTTCCCGTCTTTTTTTTTTTTAGCGATTGCATGCGGGTATCTGTGAAACTATCACGTGTAGGATATCCAATGTAAATCACCTTCACATCTGCATGTCGCGCATGAGATTTGTGTCTGCATCCCTGTACATGTACTTGGTGATTGCCTCCTTCAGCTTTTTGTCTGAAAAGGGCGTCCTTGTAAGAACCGTTAAAGAGATCTGCCCCTCCCTCTCTTCAAGCTATTCAAGGATTTTTGTCTATACCATTTTATTCTCGAACATTTGTTATTTTCGGTCTCGCCGCGTTGTATTTTGTTTTACAAACAAACAAAAAAACCGCCTTGCCCCACTGGCCCACCCACCCACTGGCCAAAAATAAAAAAAAATCAAGGAAATGAACTTCTAGACCCTTTTTTCCCCTCCTCGAGCTCTCCCGAGAGCACTTTCACACAGACGCATTACACAAGAAAAAACAACCACATAAAAAGCGCTTCCGAAACGGGTCCTGCCCCAACTGCTTCTATTTCATGCACTTCGCAACAAGCAGCAAAATAACCAGATCAACATAGGTTATTGGTTTCAGTGTCGTTTCGTTTTTTTATGTTACAAAAATATCTAGGTGTGTTGCAGGTGTATGCTCCTGATTAAATGTCATTCCTTCCTCCTTCTCCCTCCATCAACTAACAACCAAAAAGGCCTTCCCCTACAAGGAAGAACACCCTCCACGGACACACATAAGCTCCCTCACTCCAAATGAAGCAACACTTCCCATCGCCAACCCAGCAGTCAACCAGAATCCCAACTTGACCCCCGCGCGGGCCTTATTCTCGCCTCCCAACACACAAGCCGGCCCGACCATCATGATCAAACTGCCCAGGTACCCGTTCGACAGCGCAAACAGGAACACAAGCATAAACCAAATCTCGTCCCGCTGGATCAACAATGGTAACAGACGGGCATTTCCCGGGATTGGTAGGTTGGCCGTCAAAAAGATGGGGATGAAGATACACCGTCCAAAGGCGCCAAGCAGGTATCGCATCTGTTGACGACGGGTCGGGTGTGTGGTGTTGGGTGAGAGCAACGCAAATGATGGGAGAGTCTTACCAGCCCAATCTCCAAGGTTGTAGGTCAAAAAGTGGAGTGGTACAAACAGGTCTCCAAAGACGCGAGCGCGGTCCGGTGCAGTGTTGGTCGACTCGACCAAGGCCGTCAACGAAGGGAAGAGCGACAGAGTCAACGCAAAGACAAGCGAGATCGAGATATACAGCACCACCAATGGGTGCTTCTTCTTCTTGGGGTAGATATCCAGCATCAACTGCATGGCGCTATCATCCGTCGCCAAGGCCGTGGCTCCAAGACTGGTGCTCCTGTAATGATTCGCTCTCTCCGTCTGCCGTTGCTCTGCCTCTTCCTCTGCCAATCTGCGGTTGGTCTCTGCAATCATGGCTGGTGTAATAGTGACGGCAGTGGCCACAGACACAGCCGAGCTCGTCGAGTTGCGTCGATGATCGACCTCATCCTGTCCCTGTACATGTGAGTTTGACGATGGAGGCGAGGTGGGTGCCAGGAACTGGATGGGCTGACGGGGCTGTTCCTCAGTGTAGAACTCGTAAATGGGCAGCCTGATCAACAATGCCTGTGCAAGAACGGCAAGGAGGGTATATCCCAGCGCAAACATGAAGAACAAGAATGCCGAATGCTCCAATCCTTCGCTCTTGTTCTTGCGACCTCCACCTCCATGACCACCCTGTATATCAAAGGTATCGTCAGCAAAGGTGGTTCCTTTGGGTGGCGAGAGGATCTGTGTCACAATCTGAGAGATGGCGACTCCTGCTCCTGCCAATCCTTGTCCCCTATGGAGAAAAATATTCATTTCATTAGTTTTAGGTCAGCGTTACGAAAATACCGTCTGTGTATGCGATCCAAATAAGCCAGAAAAAGAAAGGTCCTGCAAACTCACATCATGACACCTTGGACGTGCCGTCCGGTGAACTTAGAGGCCAGACCAAACATGCCGTTCTGTACAATGGATGTGGAAATGGCTGACAGAGAGAGCATGGACATGGTAAAATAGAAGTAGCTGGTTGGGTCGATATGGCGGTCCGTCTGGATCGAGACCAGAATGGCCAAGAAAACAGCCGCGTTCAGCAGTAGACTTCCAATGATGTGCGTTGTTCCTGGTGCCTAGAGAACGAACAAGAAAAATGAGTTGGTGATGAGTATCTCCTTTTTGCATAACGTGAGAAAACAGGGTTCGCCCCTTTCACCCCTTGTCATGTTGCTTATCCTGGTTGTCTATGCTTCCTTGTTCCTCGTCTTCCTGACTCTCTGACTCTGCCATAGTTTTTTTCATACTACTCCTTGCACGCCGTTGATGATGAAGAAGCAATCAATCTCCGAGGAGACAGCAAAAAGAAAGAAGAGAATCCAGGGACTAGGTCGTATCCTTTGCGCTCAAGTGCTCACAATTGGAGTCCATTCATCCCTTCCTTCCCGTCCTCTGTTGGTGTTGTTTGCTTGGAGTTGTCTTTTTGGCGGGGTTTTCTTCTATCAATGTTTGTTTGTTTTGCATCTCTCTTTGGTGTTGTTGTTGTTGTTGTTCGTGCTGTTGTTCCAATGTAAAATCAGTTGGGTTATGGGATTGTTCGGCTAGAGCGATTTTTGGGTAAGCGCCTCTCTTCCCTTCTGTCTGGGTCTCACGGTTTATTTACCTGCTTCTGAATCATAATGGAACTTCCAACGACCAACAGATTCGTCCCCATAAAGCCGATGGAGAAGTAGTTCTGAAAGTTGTCCTCGTAGGGCGATCCTGCAAATTTCAACTTGAAGAATCCCTGTGCCGTGATGAACACTATGCCCATTCGCCAGTTGCAAAAAAGGAAGTGTTAGCAGAATGAACTAATGAACAATGACCTTTCCTCCAAACTCTCGAACTCTGCAATGAGGGTAAAACACACACCATTCCAAGGGAGGAGCATGGAGGCACCCTGGATGGCCATGATCCAGTAAGAGAGGCGGTAAGGATCGGCGGGTGGGCCGAGCTCGACAGTGTTGTGTCTGAGTAGTGGGGTTGTGTGGTTATCGTTGTCGTCGGTCTCATCCTGTTGGTGTTCGCCGAGGTGGTTTGTGGTGTGGACTGCGCCCTGTTCCCAGAGGGGCGTTGTCTCGTCGACAGAAGGCATCCTGTCGCTTTTGTTTCCTTCTTGGGTTGGGTTTGAGAAGTGAGTGGAACTTTGGGTTTGGTTTGTGGTGATGGTTTTGGATAGGAATAGGAAGTAGAGGAGAGAAGAAGGAGAGGAGAGAAGAAGGAGGGGAGTGAAAAGAGAGAAGAGGAAGAAGAGAGCCCTTGTCTGGTTGGTGTTCAATTCAATCCTTAATCTGGCAGACGAGTTCTCTTGCTCAAGCAGGGAGTGCGAGCGTAGGATGTGTGTTGCCAAGCAAGAGCAATGAAAAAAGATATGGATATGGAACCATGCGTCATGATTTCGAAGCGTTCGCCTTGCAAGAGCGTTCTATGACTTGTCCGTGGTCACGTCGAAAGACAAAAGAAAAAAGAAGAAAAAAAAAAGAGGAGCCAGCCGAAAGAGCCTGACCCCGGTCTCAGTTCTAAGCTCCAACATGGAAATCAACCCCGTGACAAGCAAGAACCCAGATCCCGAGGGGCAGTTGAACAACCCTTAAAGAAGCAGGCGACCGGAGATCAACAGAGGACAGACTCACAGTGTGTCGATTCGCATCGTTTTTTGTTTTCTTGAAGCGCTAATAGAAAAAGCAGTCTCCTTGTCCATCTTTTGATGGCAAGACAAAAAAAAAAAGTCTAAAATCGGACAATCAGGACAGTGGACAGAGCCAGCAGGGGGAAATACCGGAGACTTTGTTATCAACCCTCGGCCCTGACCTTTTTTCTTTTTTTCCTTTTTCTTTGTCTTCTTTGTCCTCACACCCCCTTTTCTCTCCACTCCTTCCAACCACACTTACACTCGAAACCCGCCATGTCGCCTCCTTCCTCCAGCAGCAAGCATTCCGAGTCGGGTGTCGCCCGTCTCTGTGGTTCAGGAACCTCGGGTTTCCTCGAGCTCATGATCTTCCACCCCATTGACACCGTCGCCAAGCGCCTCATGTCCAACCAGACTCGTGTAAGTTATTTCTCTTTCTTACACTCTCGTGAGTGGATACTCTTTGTTCAGTTGGTCTTTTGCCAAGGAATAGGCAGACGACTCGCTCCTTTACGGAATACAGGAAGACAGACAAGGAAGAAAACCATAGCAGGATCGACTCGACAAGGAAACTACTTTTCCGAGCACCCTTGTTACTTTTTCGCACTTCAAAATCCAAGGAACCATTGCTTCCTTCTCTCTGCTGGTACTGAAAGCACTTGGACTAACTCTTTGCATTATACGCACATGTAACCGCGACAACCATACAATAGCTGTTTGTTCCTGGCCAGGCTTTGGCTGTCGGTATGGCCAGCACCAACAAGGTCATCTTCAAGGACGCCGCTAACGCCGCCTTCATGAAGAAGTACGCCTCGTTGTTCCCCGGTCTCGGATTCGCTGCCGGATACAAGATCGCCCAGCGCATCTACAAGTTTGGTGGCCAGCCCTTTGTTAACGAGTTCTTGAACCGCCATTACAAGAAGGAGTTCCACTCTGTCTTTGGCGAGAAGACCGGCAAGACCATCATGCACGCCACTGCTGGTTCCTTTGTCGGAATTGGAGAGATTGCCCTCTTACCCCTTGACGTCCTCAAGATCAAGCGTCAGACAAACCCCGAGGCCTTCCGTGGTCGCGGTGTCATGAAGATTGTTGCCGACGAGGGCATGGGTCTCTACAGGTGCGTCCCTTTTGTTCGTTGGCTGCAGGATGGGGGGTTTTTTTTTGGATTGTTGACCGTGCCTTTTTTTAGGAGGTTTTTGTTGTCCTTGCGGTTGACTGTTGGCAACTTGGCTGTTGGCAGGTGTTTTTTTTATGAGGGAGACGGATGAGCGATTTTCTGTTTACTTTTTCAATGTTTGTTTTTGTTTACTTTTTTTACTTTTGGGTTAACTGGCAAGCCCGTATACCTTTTCATTCATTTGCACGCGTGGGTCGGGCCAGGCATGAGCATCTTACTCATCGCCACTAACATCTACATCAAAATTATTATCTTATCTCTCTCGCGCATACACATACTTACTGTTTATATCCAATCTCTTGTACAAATAGAGGTGCTCTCTGGACTGCTGGTCGTAACGCCCCTGGATCTTTCGCGCTTTTCGGAGGAAGCGCATTCGTCAAGGAGTGGGTTTTCGGATTGGAGGATTACAACAAGGCTACCTTCTTCCAGAACTTCTGCGCCTCCATTGGTGGTTCCGTCGCCTCGATCACCGTTGCTGCTCCTCTCGACGTTGTCAAGACTCGTATCCAGAACCGTCACTTTGATAACCCCGAGAGTGGTATGAACATCATCAGGAACATGATCCGTCACGAGGGCTTCGGTGCCTTCTTCAAGGGTCTCTTGCCCAAGATTCTTGTTGTTGGACCCAAGCTCGTCTTCTCGTTCACTATTGCCCAGCAGTTGATCCCCCTCTTCCACCACAAGTTTGAGGAGATGGGTGTCACCCACATCGGCAACACCGTCAAGACCGCCTAAGTCTTTTTTTAGTTAGTTCATTTGTTCATTTTTTGTTTCCTTTTCACCTTGTAGAATTACATAGACGCATATTCCCAAAAAGTTACTTTTCATCATCATCATCATCATCATCATCATCATGTTGTCATCGTTGTCAATGCTATGTGGCATTGTTGATATGATAATATGCGACGTAGTCTACCTATCCTTCCCTTTATCTTGCATTGTCCCTGTCCTACTGGCGGCTGTACCTTTTTATCGAATTTGAGCTCCAACTAGCCTACCCAACTGCCTGTATTTCTGTTTTGTGAAACCTCATGTTGGTCAGACATGTCTTATCTTAATCACAAAAGATTTCTGGACGAATTAGCAATTGAAAGAAGAGAGCTGACAAAAACGTATAAAAGCAACCGACCTCCAGCACAACTCCCTTCTTCACCTCAACAAAAAAAACATATTCTCGCTTCACTCGACTACCACAGACAGTCTTCTTCTTTACCCCATTCACACAACAACCCCTCTTCTCTCAGCTACACCCACAACGAGACAACCACCCAAAATGACTGCTACCACTACCTCAATCTCCGGATCCATCACAAAGTCCGTCCTCTCTAGGAAACAATTCGAGGGTGTCGGTGCTCGTGTCCGTCGATCCATCGGACATCCCGAACTCCGTAACTACGACCCTTTCTTCATGCTCGACGAGTTCTTGGTCAACAAGAATCGTGGCTTCCCTGACCACTCCCACCGCGGATTCGAGACTGTGACCTACATGCTCGAGGGTCAGTTCCAGTACGAAGGCTTTGCAGGACACAAGGGGACCAGTGGACCTAGCGACTTGCAATGAATTGACTGCGCGGGGGGGGGATCGTGCATTCGGAGATGCCAGTCAAGTCGCAGACTCATGCTCAAGAATTGCAGCGCTGGATCAACTTACCCCAGGAGCACAAGATGTACGAGCCCCAGTACCAAGAACTTCTGGACGCACAGATCCTACGCGCCAGACCCAAGGATGAACTTGTTGTTAAGGTCATTGCTGACGAGTTGTACAGCCTCAAGCCTCAGATCTATACCCGCGCACCCATCATGTACCTCGACTTTAAGATGTCCAGCACCCAGACTATCACCAGGACTATCCCGGAAACATACAGCAGATTCTTCCGCGTTTTCAATCGCACCGCATACATAGGCGACCTCGGCCACGACACCGAAGCCGAGGCTCATCGTACCCTCATCTTCTCCGAGGATGGTACCAGCACCATCAGGATCCAGACCAAGGATGAGGAAGCGAATTTTGTGATGATAGCGGGAGAGCCGTCGAAGAAGCCCGTGGTCAGATTGGTCCGTTGTAACAAGAGAGGAGGTGTATAACACCTATCGGGATTATCGCGATGGCGTGAATGGGCTCGAGAAGGGGAGGACGTGAACCCCAGTTGGCGCTTCAAAGTAGTTTGCTGATTTCTTTTACTTTTGTACCAAACGTGGCTCAGCACTACTACCAGGACTACATTAGGGAAAAAAACATGCAATGGACAAAAAATAAGATTTGTTATTAAATGGCATACCATTCGCCTTTAGTAGCAATCGAAAAAGAAACGCTAATAAGGAACATGCCTAATGTCTCTCCATATGAAAAAATTGCATAATGGACTATATTGTTTAAGCAGCAGTACCCTTGCAACGTTGAGTGAGCAATTGCTGATTGGCTGAGGAGAGACCAACAGCGCCGGCAAAAATGGCATCCGAGGCAGCTAGAACAGGATTTCCAGCGCTCCAAACCAACTGGGCCGACCATGCATCCGACGACGACGACGTCTCCACCAGTTTCCACACTTGAAGAGACCCATTCGCGCATCCGATGCTAAACTCCAGCGTGTCAGGTTTCCAAGCCATGCTCTTGACATCTCCAAAGATATCTCGGATACGCACCAAACACCTCCACTCTCCTCGACCTTCTCCTCCCTCTGCTGTGTTGTAAGACGCAAAATTCCAGAGCCAAACCGAGCGAAGCAAGCCTACACCCATCCATTGGCCACAGGACGAGAACGCAAAGCATTCTATCCTGCCGTCGTGATATAGACTTTGTTGAAGTTGCCCGCTCTCCATGTTCCAAAGCTTAACGCCGTCCATGTAACTTATAGAAGCACCCTTCGGGCCATCGGGTGAAGTCGATATTGTGCAACGCTCTATGTGGCCTACATTCACAACGACTCTACACGTACGACTGTCCAAATCCCAGGCTCGAATAGTTCCATCCTGACTTCCCGACAAAATTCGATGGCTGTTCGGCGAGAATACCAAGCAAACAACAAAATGGGTATGACCTTCAAGCACGCGGTCGAGTATCCCTGAGCGAGCGTCCCAAAGTCGCACTCTCATGTCGTCACTTCCCGTGGCAATCCAGCGGTTGTCGGCTGAAAAAGCCACGGCGTTCACCTCATATGTGTGGCCACGCAGGACAATGTCGGCTTGACCTGTTCCAGTGTTCCACACAGTGACGACACCGCCGTACTTTCCAACTGACGCGATTCGAAGACCATCCGGGGAGACCGCTATGCACTTGACAGGTCTGTCTCCGCAAACAATAGCGAGACCAGACTCTCCAGATCCTGCATCAAACTGTCGCACAGCTCCCGACTTGGTACCACAGAAGAGAACTCGACCGTCTGGAGAAAAAAATGCGCTTGTCAACGGGTCGGATCCACCCTCCACGTCCATGCCTGTCCCCAGTGAGCTCACGTCCCAGAGTCGAATAGTGCAGTCAAAACTACACGAGGCAAGTTGGAGTCCATTTGGCGAAAATGCTACTTGGAAGATGTCAGAACTATGGCCGACGAAGACTGAAAGAAGCGATCCATTTGCTGCACTCCAGACCTTCACCGTGCTGTCCCAACTGCATGTGGCGATCCATTGGCTGTTCGGCGAAAAGCTCACACCTGTGATTACGTTGCCGTGAGCCTTCCAATTCCTAGTTGGCTTGCCGGTAGTTGTATCGTAGAGCAGTAACTCGCCATTACCATGCCCTACGGCAATCTCTAGGCCGTCAGGAGAGAATGCGACGCTTTTCACCTCTCCACATTGACTCTCCCAGACTTCTCCTGGCTGTCCAGTCTGTATGTCAAAGAACCGAATCACCCCATCAACGCCAACAGACACAACCATATGTCTATCGGGTGAGTAGGAAATGCTACGAATCAACGCACTATGACCTGTCAAGTTGAATAGATTGGCGCCTGTCTGAACATCCCATAGCCTCACAGTCTTGCCCTCCTCAGCCGACGCGACCTGCTTGCCAGAGGGCGAAAACGCCACAGTCAACACTTCCTTGATATGCCCCTCTAGAACAAAAATGCACGACCCACTCTCGCAGTCCCACAATCGTACTGTCTTGTCGTAGCTGCCTGAAAGAAGTTGATGGCCGGTAGGCGAATAGGCGATGCTGTTAACACGACTTTGATGCCCTTGAAAAGTGCGAGCCAGTGTCCATATCGAGGTGTCGTAAATGTTGATGCCTCCTAGATAATGACCTATAGCGAGAGATGTTCCGTCAGGCGAATAGGCGCATGATAATACGGACTCGTTCTCCTTCAGGTACGGCAACTCTCCGAACTGAACTCCCTTCATCTGCGCTCTCATGAAGTCCGCCTGACGAATCCAGCTCTTGGTGAGGTTGACACCCGTCAAGTCAGCTTCCTGCAGTTGTGCCGAGTCGAACTCTCCACCAGAGATATCCGCTCCAGGAACTCGAATACTCCGAAGATCAACACCGTTGAATCGTACTCCTGCCTTGACCAAGATCGTGATGGCGTTCGCAGCGGCTTGCGCTGCTTGGCCGTCGGTCTTGGACAGTTCAATGATGGCGAGGAGCTCGTCCTTGAATCCAGAGTCCAGCTGCACGCGCTCCGCCAGAAACTGGATGATCGAGAGCTCTACGACAAGATTCCTCTGGGACAGCGGATGGGTGCTAAGGGTGGGCGAGGGAGCAGGAGTTCCAGAATGGACAGGCGGATAAAATTCATCATGCTCCTTGACGGGTCCAGAGATGGTACGAGAGAAAAAGTATTCCAACACGGAGCGGTGAACAAAGCGATATTGGTTGCCGGCGCGACTCAGCAGACTGGAATCTCGAAGGAGCGCCCTCTCAGGATCAAGACCAAAGAACTGAGCCTTCCATGTCTTCCTGTCTCTCATATGAGAGTAGTCGACAACAGGTCTGCCATCCTGCTTCTGAAAGATGGATGTCGCCAGATCCATCTGGTACAGAATACCGTGGCGCTCGAACCCGTCGGCACAGAGGATGTCAAGCGCTATCTGCCTGCTCTCGCTCAACTTTTGATCCTGCAGACGACGCTTGTTGACACCCATCCAGTGCCTCACAAAGGTGTCGTACAGTTCCGCACGAGTAACTCGAAGTCTGGAGAGGTCAATTTTCCCTTGCACGACAGTAGGAAGGGCCTCCAGTGACAGGGTAAGGAGGAATGGGTTCCTGACCAGATCCATCAGATTGGGGATAGCCTCTAGCTTATCCATGTAGTCCTTCTTGACCCAGGTACGCGGCTCGAGAGGAACATAACGCTCTACATAGTCTTCGATCTGCTCCCTGCTGAACGCGGCAATGACGGCTTGCTGGAAAAGGTCATTGGCAACATTAACATACTGGTCCACCGCCTTGGGCTCAAAGCGACCTCGATAGTCCGGTCCGAGATACTGAGTGCGGCAGGTAATGAGTAACTTGACGTCCCACTGACCAGATCGGTTGAAGAGGTTGGTGGTATGCAGATTCGATGTAAGCTGGCTCTCGTCGTATCCATCACAGATTAATATAAGCTGGCGGTGCAGCTTCAACTCACGGATCTGGTCCTCCAAAAAGTTGTAGGTCCTCAATTGCTCCCCAACCAAATCCTTCTCTGGTCGCTCGAGGGATGGCAAGTTGACGAAAAGCGGGATGCGACCTCCTGCCTTGTACTCCTGCCAGAGCTCGTGTTCCAAGTGCCGGTTGAATGTCGATTTTCCGGCCCCCGAGTCCCCAAGAACAAGCATGACCTGAGAGCTGCTGGCAATAAAGTCTCTAACCTTGTCCATAAGAGGGAACAGATTGTCGTCTGTGTCTTGGAGGTTGAGTTTGGCTATGGGGTCGATGTAAACCGCCTGCTTGTAGTCGGCAATCCTCATCAACCTCAAGACGTGCAGGTCATATTCGACTTTGATGATCTCTTGGACCTGAGCGAGAAGTGGAGAGGCTGTTGGCAGAGGGAGGCGTCTGCTTAGCGAAAAAGAACCAGGATACTCGACGATACCGCCCTTCTTCAGGTCCAGCAGCAAAGCACCAGCGCGATCCTTGATAGAGACATCCGACGTCCCCGAGATCTGGATGAGGATGGTGAGAATCCAGCGCTTGACATCGACATGCGGTTTCCAGTCAGAGCCGCCTCTGTATAGTTCACCCAGAAAGTCAACGGCCTGCTGGCGGATAAGAATATCCCAGAGCGGGTCGACTACAATCTCTCCGATCTGGCGACAGACTCCCCACTGAAAATTGGGGTTGTGGCGGCAAGGCGCTTGGCTAACGACTAGGTTAAAGTCCGAAAGTCGTCCCTGGTGAATGAAGAGGGCCGTTCCTTGGAGGGCGAGATACCACGAGCGCTTCTTCATAAAGTCGAATTTGCTCTCTGTTGCGCGAACGACTCCATCGGCACCAACACGAAGGGCCTCGACGACCTCAATTCCTGTGCTAACTGCTCCCACAACCCCTGTACCGATCTCTTGAAGTCTCTCGATGCCTTTGAGGAGCCCTTCTGGATCCAACTTGAAAACACTCGACACTGCGCCCGCGCCTGCCGCTGTAACCTTGGCATACCTCCACAACACCTGGAGCGGAGTCTCATTATCTGGTGCATACTGGAGGGCCTGGTAGGCGTAGGTTGCCTCGTACCTCTGGATAACATTGTTGTTGTTCTTCAGGCCGTCCAGGAGTTGCAGCATCGGCCGATGGTCTCGATCACGGTTCAAGTCCTTAACCTCGCCAGTCACCATCACATCGAGAACTCGAGCGAGCGACAATGTCAGGTGCAAGGGGTGATCGTTCGTGCCAATGTGGGTGATTGATAGCTCCTTGGAGAGAACGGTGGTGATCCTGACCAGATCATCGTCAACAAGGTATCCAGATGAGGCGCACTCGACCAATTGCACAAGACCTTGAAGAAGAGTGACATCCAGCGGTGTTGCTTGCTCAAAGTTGGAGATGAAGCATGAGAGCAGGCTGCGGTATGTGTCACGGTCAAGGACGGGACCAACAAGAACGATCTCGGTGACCACATCAGATGCCTTCAGTGGGTGCTCGGCAAACGCTCTGACCAATTGCTCGACAAGCCATCGATATCGGTCCTGCAGAACGGGACCAATGAGCTGAACCCATTCCTTCTCTTTGTCGTCGAGGGGAGAATTTTGGGAGACATCGCTGTCCGAGGTCGGTGGTAACGGTTCTTGAGCCTTGGAGAGGAGACTGCAGCAGTAGACAAGCTGTGGGGTCTTGTCAACACGAGCATGCGGCTTGGGTAAGTCGGTCTTGTAGATGGGGTTGATAACGTTTTCAGGGAAGATGTCTACGCGGAGGGTTCCATTCCCAGCGGGACTCGGCTGCGGCTGAGTAGCCGGGACAGCGAGTGGCGTGGACAACATCCCTGCGGATTGTACTGGTGAGTGCAGTCCCAACGAGACAGACACGGCGTTACGGTCAGGTGCGACAGACTGGATGCATCCCTCAGTTCCAACCAGTGAAATAGGCGCTGATGAGGCTGCCAAAGCGGGAACAGTCTCTTTGACTTTAGGGTCTCCCTTGGAAAGTCTCGACAAACGTTTCCTGAACCCGAATTTCGACGAACGGCCCGACGATACCGACCTGGCATCACTGGCGCCACCTGGTCCATGATCAACGTCTGTGTCAACGTCCCTTGTGATGTGGTGACCAAGGGGGTTCAACAAGTTGGCAGGTCCAGGTTGAATGGTGGCCAATCCTTGAGCGATTGTCGGAACGTCGTTCGTCCTTGACGACACACGTCCAAGCGTTGCGGTGTTTTCGAGTTGAGAAAGGAGATGCTGCCCATCGACAGTTATTTCCGGATGTCCTAGAGGAGCAGAGGAAGGCGCGGGAGGAGGCGAAGGCGAATTGCCTTGGGGTGATGGGGAGGACATGGTTGCAGCTACAAACATCAAGTATGAATGGCGTTGGTTAACTTTGTCTGGACGCCCTTTCAGAAATAAACACTCGTAATAATTATTCCCTCTCATTTTTACCTTGCGTTGGTTTAAAGAATGGCTTGCTGTTGGTAAAGATTTGTGAAGGACAGAATGAATAGATAAATGACTGGTATGAGAGTGCGAAGCTATCAACAAAAGTATGTGCAACGTTAGGGGAGGTTCGGAAACGAGACGACATTTCATGACCAGATATCATGGGATAGTTGTGCATCGTTCGCCTTCCTTACCAAGAGGTAGCAAAAGGGGGTTTTCTTTTTTCTGTTTGTTTTGGTGATGGGCTGGGTGTGCGTTTGGCTGCAGACTTGTTGGTCTATGTTGATATGTTGATAGGATATCGGTGATATCGGTTAGAATCGTGTTATCTAAAGAACAGCTGTCAATTGCACTTTTCGTTTGCTGTGTTTGTCCTCTCACGCTTACTGGGTGTGGACTTGGTGTTGGTTTTTATGGTTGCTGGTTTTTTATTTGGGGGTGTAGAGCAAGCAGAAAGTTGTCTTTTCCTTGAAAGTATAATGTCCAATGCGGGATGGGTTAGCATTAAGAAGTCAAGAAGCAAAGGAGTAATTAAAGAATCTTTCCCAGCTCCTGTTACTTCGCATTACCCGTTCGGTCAAACACTCTTTTTTCTTGGGTTGGGGTGTGTTCTCGGCAGACGTGGACGAGAAGGGGACGGTATGTCTGTGTCGTTAGACGTGGTGGAGTAATGAGGTGGTGAATGAGCAAAGGCAAGGTGAATTCACAATGTGAACGATGTGCTGAATGTCGAAGCGAGAAGTGTGAATAACGAGAGTCAACAAGTGAGAGGGACGGTGGTGGTGGGTTTGCGGATGGTGGCAGGAGGATGGCAGGGGGTGAGCCAAAGAGAAAAGAAAACAATAAAAGGTCGAGCCTGGAGTTATTTTACGTTATCCACTCTCCTTTGCGCCCACTGCTTCTTTCTTGTTTCGCTGGGGCAGTGACCATTCATGCATGCATGCCACTCCATCTTGCTTTGTCTTCCCTTCCATAGCTAAAATTACCATTTAATTTTAAGTGTGCTATATTGAGCACAAACAGAGAACGCAAATGTCAAAGAAATCTAGAGCATAGGCTTCTTGAAGGAGGGCCAAGGTGTGAAGTATGTAGTTTTACCTTATTCAAGTTGTCACGGAGGTATATGGACCATATAGCGGGACGCGTCTTCTTTTGCCGCTGATTGAACTCGATGAAACCGATAAACTTTGTTCAATAAACATCGAGAGCTAACGAACGCGACACAGAAGGGGTATGAATGAACACGTTCCTGTTGTGTGATGTCGATCTGCTACGAAGAAAGTAAAGCTTGTTCGTTTGTTATCGGGACCTGTTATTTCTCACGTAATGCGCCATGGTCAACGGCAACCTGCCTGCTTTCTCTTCACGGTCAAGGCAACTGGATATCTTATGCCAGGAACCTGTCTTTGTCTAAGTGGGGGTGCACCTTCGCTGAGAACATCAGGCACCGGACCAGCCAATAAGAACAATGAAGAACATCCAAACAAAAGGAGCACACCCTTGTTGTTCCATTAGTTCACTCAAAAGACAGGAATCAGCATATAGTTACCCTTCGACAAACTCCAGGACTTTTTTCACAGTTCGGCCTCGTCGGAGTTACCTACTGCCCTTGCAATGATTTCTCAAGGATAAAATGTCAGCCAGAACCAAACGATTCAGTCATCAAGCAAGTGTAAACAAGGTATGTGGACTAACCGACTCTTAAGCGTCCTATTTGTCTTCTCTGGCGTCTCAGTAGCGCACGGACGTTCAACGCTCTCTACAAGCTCCGCGGAAAGTCGTTGTCCAAGTGAGATAAGAAGCCATGACCAAGGAATCTCTGTGTCTTTTCATTCCGTCCATCTTGTTGAAGGAGAGTAACAGATGAGCTTAATTTTTGCCACCATTTTCACAGAGTGGCTAGCCAGATGTGTGTTATGTTCCCACTCTGGTCTTTCTTTTATCAGGCCGACTCTTTTCTTGTTGCGTATCCGCGTCAACCCAGGAGCCAGATGGAACCTACGGACCATTCATAACTCGAGCGAGATACTCTTGACGCAATTCACAGAGTAAGTCTCGAGCAATTCCCCACTTTGTCATTTGTTTTCTTTTTTGCACGCTCTTTGCAGATTGTTGTTTCTATGGATGGAGCAACATGTTACACACTTTCCAGAACGACTCACCGTATTACGTTGTCCTTCATGTTTTATCATTTACAATACTTAGGATACAAGATGAAAGGGATTGCGTTTAATGATGCGACCTTGTGGGTGGACAGCCCAGCGATCACTCAAGAGAAACAGGGATATGCCGTGCACTTGTACTCTCGCTACGGCTCTGACACTCACAAGGTGAAAGTGCAAATCGCAAATAACTCGGCAGAAGCGCAAAAATGCGCACTTTACCCGTTTCTCAAAGATATCGACAGTGGGGCCATTCAAGCAGGAGCGGCGTTCTCAATCGAGGGATTCTATGGACACAGAGCCTTCCTTGGAACCGGAGGAGTTGGAGAGGCAGTCGAATTGAGGGTATCGAGGGCGGAACGAGATCCTGCAAATGACCGGTTGCTAGATCTCGTATTGACATCTGCGGTAGTCTATGTAAGTTCAACAGAAGATGCGCATACTGCGTACGTGCTTTGCGGAGGTATTGCAAGATGTGGATTGAATGCGAACGCTTTTATATCACTCCTAACGCGTATGTATGTGAATTCTTTTCTTGATGTACAGAACAACTCGAGAAACAACAACAGCAACTGGTCGATGCCAACTCCCGCCCCAGTAAGCTCGTCACGGTCGAGTCAAGGACTGCGACCTTCGGCACAGGACCAGCCGGGCTTTTCCATGTCTTCCCCTGCGATGCCAGGGCCAACGTCTCGGTCACCACATATACCCCAGGCGTCACAGCAACAGCCATCAGGGTCATCCTCCACAGGACGCCGACTGGTGGGACGACCACCATCTTCAGGACAATACGCACGACCATCCATTCAGCCTCAAGGATCGTCATCCACGCGGTGATGGCCAGAAATCCCCCCGCCTCCATTTGGAACTGCAACTGTATTTGACGCAGCAACGCACACATGGGAGTACCCTTGAAAATCTCTCACAGCTTGTAATTTTTTTTATAGACCTACGATCTGTATCTGCGGAGCTATTAATTTCCGAGCTTAATAGATTTCTTGGGGTACCATAAAAATTCCATTAGACAGGAATAACTGGCTTGTGACAGCCAAGCGTTCATAGCGACGTTGCTTTTTGATCCTTCGATGTCGGCTCTTTCTCTCCTACCCTCATTATCATTCAAGGGCGTGTCGAGATACTTTGTTCACTGTCCACTACCGTGGACTACTTGTAATGAAGATTAAGGGGTTCGAACTAACCTTAGGCTGGAGCAACCAAGTGCTCATTGCGACATACTGTTTGATCTTTTTTGTTCGTTCTCCCAACTATGTCTATTACAGTCGAAAGTGGTTTTTGCGGTCATTTTGATAGTGAAATTGATCAGAAAAAGTAATTGGAACATTTGTAAAGCGACGAAAGTATTGTGGTGATTTGGAGTGGCTTAGTAGTGCGCCGAGCCCTCTTGTCTGCTCTTTATCCTTTACACATCACTTCTTGGACGAGAGCTGAATTGACAAGAGTTTCGCTGGCGCGCTGCAGCGTATCGTTTCGTGTGATTCGTTTAGGACGCTACTATCACTTCCCCCCCCTCCAACCTACAACCCCCCTCCCCCCCCCCCGTACCAATTGAGGACTTAACAGCGGTCCTACAACTCTGGCCGTTGACCCTCTCCCCTGAGTAACAATATTTTTTATTTCAGCAAGTTCATGTGCTAAGCAAGAGTAGGCGCCTTCAGGCAACTAAGAAAATGTACCGGTACAAGGGGCAAAGGTGGGGAAGCAAGAACAAACACGTATAGGCAGGCAAGAAAGGCAGAATAATCGATTCAGGAAACCGTTTCGGAGCATATTGAGTAAATGCGAAGAGCCAGATATGTCAAGATCAAGTAAAAGAAGTCCAGAGGGGCAGCACGTCCAGAAAGGGGTCGAGCGACACGACTCAGGACGGGGGGGCAAGAGAGGAGCTTCCGAGGGTTTGATCACCCTTGAGGCTCTCTGGATCTTGGTACAACCATCTTGGATCGTCCGCGTCGCTCTCGCCACCAGAGCTGTCCTCGTCCTGCTTTTCCACCGTTGTCAAACAACGCTGGTAGTGCTGGATCGTTCCCGCCACCATCGCCTACATCAAAAAAAAGGAAAAGGAAGCGGATTAGTCCTCAATGTCCACTGTCCTTCCCAAAGGATGGATATGTCTCCAAGAATACTTACCCTCACACGCAGCAAATGCGCGATTCCTTGGATTTGCCGGGTCCACGTCTGCGGGGCGGACGGCAAGATATGTGGCACGTGAGCTTGGTGTAGAAAGATGTATGGGCTTTTCTTTGTTGGTCGGAGCTGAAAGGTTTCGAACCCTGGTCCTCCTGAGTATACCGCGAAGAACCGGGCATTCTCGACAAAGTCCTTCCTCTTAGCCTCTTGGACCCGACTGCTCGCCAGCAGATGCAGCTCTTTGAACAGAACCACGCTAGTTTCGTGCAGAAACTTCGTCGAGAACTCATCCCAAACGGCCATGGATTCGACAATGAACCAATCCTTCTGGTTCCGAGTGTCACGACCACCATATCGACATTCTTGCCCTTTTGCTTCCTCGGCACCTGTCCTTCAACATCAAGACGACGATACTTGTTCCTGCGGTTCCTGCTCTCATAGGTGGTCTTCTCTCCATCAATCATCGTAATCCCATTGACATTTCCCAGGATTCTCCGGAGCAGGGACCAGCCCTCTCGACACCAAAATGATTCGGACGTGTCCGAGATATTAAACGGGGAGGGTCTCGCCTTGTACAGTTGCGTCCTAAACGTTGAGTCGCGTTAGATCAATGCTGGCAAACACAAATATAAAGCATGCTATCAAGCCTATCGATTTCGAAGATGCTTACCATTGAATTAAAGATATTAGGGCCAGTTCGCAGGCTATAACGTCAGTTTCCGGGATCGGCACGGTGGTGGGGTGATCGCCTCGGTTCAGAGCCTTTCGCAGCGAGAGTAGGTATTGCTCCGTGGTCTTGCAGAGACCTGGTAGATCAAACGCCCTCTGTTCGCACAACTCTGACCATTCCTCATCTGTGAACAATGCTTGAGTCAAAGAACAATCGTAATCAATAGTATAGGATCTTATCCTAAGCGTTTAGAGTGCGATAGCAGATGTCAGTTACAGATCGCCATGCAGCACCCCATGATCCGAAAGCGCGCAGAATAAGCCTTACCGAAATGTGGCTGCCCCATCCAAGCTGGCTTCAAATAGAACCGTCTCGACATCCCTGCCCGACCTCAAATGCCAGAATTTGTGTGTGTCCATGGCTCGGTACCGCTGCTGTTATAATAGAATCGTCATGATGGAAGGGGATTAATCGCGGTGTTACAAAATGCGCCAACTGCACTGCAATCTGGTCACCAACAAAGAAAAGACTCCGTATACGATAACCCACCTCCTTTCGACTGGACATGGTGTCAACGTGTGCATCGTCCTGGCGGCTCCGCTTGCCTGCTTGCTTCTGCAAGGCTCCTTTTGGACGAGGTTCTGTTGATGTTGATAAAGGAATGTAGATGAGTGTTGGAAAACGCAAGACGGGGCTATTTCATTTTGGTAGCCAAGCAGTAGTCGCACTTGCATATTCCACAGTGTCATTGGTATCGCTGTTCAATGTGCATTTCTCTTACCAGTATGTGTGTGCAAGATACCGTTCCCAGCATTATTAACCCCACCCGATGCACTGAAATCTGGGTCCTGCACCCTGTTCATGACATTGCCATCGAGAATGTCCGCGATGACCGCCACAAAGTCGTCGGCGTCATTTGAGTTGGAGGTCGAGTCAGGGGAGGCAGCAGAGGGGACTAAAAACAAAAGAACAGACATCCACGCACTATTAGACAGTGATATAACAATCAACTTTAAATAATAAATAAGAAAGATGTATTGCTGAAAAATACCTGCTACCCCAAAGACGCGCAGAGTATCTCTGGTAACGGTCTTCACAGAGGCCAGTGATTGGACCCGGCCTTCATCTTTCACAGCAGAGGCGTGGGATACCTACACAATTTTGCCCTTAGTTAGTGGTACTGTACTATCATGGAAACTCTACGCTAGCGGTAAATAGGGCCAGTAAATACAAGTACCTGCTTTTCCTGCTCCCGTGTATCTCTCCAGTACTGCGCTACATTGTACTTCTGCGATTTGAACACCGATAGCAAAACGCCGCCTTTAATAGTGTCCTGTTGCATGACCAGCGCGATCAACTTGTGATATTCCTGGCCTGCAAAATCCTTCTGCTTGTACATGAATCGATGGAATCGAAAGAAGCTGATCGGCGACAGCTTGTCGACACCTTGATTTTTCAAGTATTCTTTATAAGGGTAATCAGCGGGGATGGACATTTTACCCATATTGTGTGCCACTATGCGAGTCAATAGAGAATTGGTCTTCGAGGAAGGTCAGTAGGTCCAAAGAACTCCATCTTTGTCGCTGGCGCCACTTCACTCTCCGAAGAACAATATATGTTGCAATCTATTGCTATTGGTGGTATCAAGGACTTTTGCCGTCGCAGATGAATTGAAGTCAAGACGATAAGCCCTATCCGCACATGCATCTACTTTCCAGCCCATGGTCAACTGGGGTTCAAAAGTAGGTGATAATGACAAGCACCAGGAGCATCAGAAAGCGCTCAAGATGACGTCACGGCGAAATAGAACATACCCCACAACAAGCTCGCCGTGTGGTTGTCTCGACGGCCCCACACCGATTATTGCTGACCAATGTGCAGTACCGGATGTGTCTGTCACAATGCATCTACGTTCCAGGAATGCTGAAGTCAAGACGGTAAGCCCTATCCGCACATACACCTACTTTCCAGTCCATGGTCAACTGGGGTTCAAAAGTAGGTGATAATGACAAGCACCAGGAGCATCAGAAAGCGCCCAAGATGGCGTCACGGCGAAATAGAACATACCCCACAACGAGCTCGCCGTGTGGTTGTCTCAACGGCCCCACACCGATTATTGCTGACCAATGTACAGTACCGGATGTGTGTCGTCACAGCACTCTTGTACACACATCAAGATCCACGTCACCATAATAGATTCGATGATGGAGAGCTAGGGAGGTGCAGGAGAGGGGAAGGAGAGATAATGGAAAGAGTTGATGGAGAGGTAAAAGAGCGATCGCAAGGTGATAGGAAGGATCAAAGTGACGGAGTACGCATGTGGAATGCGAAATATAGGCTTACGTTGGCCTTACTTACTCTGGGTTAAGCGGCGCCAATGAGATGCAGCAGGTACAACTCTAGGGAAATCAGCACGGAAATGAGCGAAGGAGAAGCAAGCGATGTGAATGGATAATAGAAAGCCAGGTGAGGATGAAGTCGACCGAGGGAACAAGACAATGGGCGCGAAAATTACGTCTCCGAAGTGAGAAAATCGCTTGCCACTGATTGAACTCGGTGAAACCGATAAACTTTGTTCAACAATCAACTAAAGCAATTGAACGCGACACAGAAGGGCCATGCATGCTACGAAGAGAGTAAAACTTCCTCCTTTGTTTTTAGGACCTGTTGTTTCTCACGTAATCCGCCATGGTCAATGGTAACCTGCGCTCTCTTCAGGATAACTGGATCTTACGTGTCAGGGAGGATCTTACGTGTCAGGGAGGATCTGTTCTTGGTCAGATATATCCCATGTCTAATCATTTCTAAGCCACCCACTTGCCAGGCTTAGGCACTTCCTCATTGGCGAATTAGCGGTATGAAAACAACCGACCTCCAGCAACAACTCCCCTCTTCACCTCAACAAAAAAACATATTCTCGCTTCACTCGACTACCACAGACAGTCTTCTTCTTTACCCTCATTCACACAACAACCCCTCTTCTCTCAGCTACACCCACAACGAGACAACCACCCAAAATGACTGCTACCACTACCTCAATCTCCAGATCCATCACAAAGTCCGTCTTCTCTAGGAAACAATCCGAGGGTGTCGGCGCCCGTGTCCGTCGATCCATCGGACGTCCCGAACTCCGTAACCACGACCCCTTCCTCATGCTAGATGAATTCACCGTCGACAAGAACGGCGGCTTCCCTGACCACCATTACCGCGAATTCGAAACTGTGACCTACATGCTCGAGGGTTAGTTCCAGCATGAGGACTTTTGCAGGACACAAGGGAACTATCGGACCTGGCGACTTGCAGTGAATTGACTGGGGGGGGGGGGGGGGATTGTGCATTCGGAGATGCCAGTCAAGTCGCAGACCCATGCTCAAGGATTGCAGCGCTGGATCAACTTACCCCAGGAGCACACGATGTACGAGCCCCAGTACCAAGAACTTCTGGACGCACAGATCCTACGCGCCAGACCCAAGGATGAATTTGTTGTTGAGGTCATTGCTGGCGAGTCGCACAGCCTCAAGCCTCAGAGCTATACCCGCAAACCCATCATGTACCTCGACTTTAAGATGTCCAGCACCCAGACTATCACCAGGACTATCCTGGAAACAAAAGGCAGATTCTTCCACGTCCTCAACGGCACTGCATACATAGGCGACCTCGGCCACGAGACCGAAGCCAAGGCGTATCATGCCCTCATCTTCTCCGAGGATGGTACCAGCACCATCAGGATCCAGACAAAGGATGAAGAAGCGGATTTTGTGATGATAACGGGAGAGCCGTCGAAGAAGCCCGTGGTCCAGATTGGTCAGCTTGTGATAAATACAAGAGAGGAGGTGTATCATATCGGGATTATCGCGATGGCGTGAATGGGCTCAAGAAGGGGAGGACGTAAAACTCAGATGGCGCTTCAAAGTAGTTTTCTGATTTCTTTTACATTTGTACCAAACGTAGCTCAGCACTAATACCGGGACCGCATTGGATAAAAAAACATGCACAGCATTCAATGAACAAAAAATAAGATTTGTTATTAATTGGCATACCATTCGCCTTCAGTAGCAATCGAACAAACGCTAATAATGAACATGTCTAATGTCTCTCTATATAAAAAAATGCATAATGGACTATGTTGTTCAAGCAGCAGCACCTTTGCCACGCTGAGTGAGCAATTGCTGATTGGCTGAGGAGAGACCAACAGCATTAGCAGTAACTGCATCCGAGGTGGCTAGTACGAGATGTCCAGAGCTCCAAACCAACTGGGCCGACCATGCATCCGACAATGATGTCGACCTCTCCACCAGTCTCCACACTTGAAGGGTCTCACTCTCGCATACGATGCTAAACTCCAGCGTATCAGGTTTCCAAGCCATGCTCTTGACATCTCCAAAGATATCTCTGATACGCACCAAACACTTCCACTCTCCTCGGACTTCTCCTCCCTCTGCTGTGTTGTAAGATGCAAAATTCCACAGCCAAAACGAGCCCGCCAAGCCTACACCCATCCATTGGCCACAGGACGAAAACGCACAGCATTGTATGCTGCTATCGTGCACTAGCGTTTGTTCGCGATGCCCTTTCTCCACGTCCCAAATCTTCGCATCATGGCCCATAAAGTATTTAGAAGCACCTCTCAAACAATCAAGTGAAGTCGATAAAGTCCAATGATGTATACCACGGCCAGCAACCACAACGACTCTACACCCACGACTGTCCAAATCCCACGCTCGAATAGTTCCATCACAACTTCCCGACAAAATTTGACGACTATCTGACGAGAATGCCAAACAATCAACTATCCAGGTGTGGCCTTCTAGCACGCGGTCGAGTATCCCTGAGCGGGCATCCCAAAGTCGCACTGTCCTGTCGTCGCTGCCGGTGGCAATCCAGCGGCTGTCGGCTGAAAAGGCCAAAGTTTTCACCCGTACTGTATGACCGCGCAAGACAACGCGGGCTTGACCTGTTCCAATGTCCCACACAGTGACGAATTTGTCGTTCGTTCCAACTGACGCGATTCGACGACCATCCGGGGAGACCGCTAGGCATCTGACAGGATTGTCTCCGCAAGCAATAGCTAGCCCAGACGCTCCAGATCCTGCATCAAACTGCCGCACAGCTCCTGACTTGGAACCACAGAAGAGAACTCGACCGTCTGGAGAAAAAAGTACGCTCGTCAACGGATCGGAGCCACCGTCCATATCCATGCCTGTACCCAGCGAGCTCACGTCCCAGAGTCGAATGGTCTTATCAAGACTACACGAGGCAAGTTGGAGACCGTTTGGCGAAAAGACTACTTGGAGAGCTCGAGAACTATGGCCGGCAAAGATGGAAAGAACCGATCCTGTTGCTGAACTCCAGATCTTCACCGTGCCGTCATGACTGCATGTAGCGACCCGCTGGTTGTTCGGCGAAAAGCTCACACTCTCGACTGCTTCGCCGTGAGCCTTCCAATTCCTCGTTGGCTTGCCGGTAGCTGTGTTGTAGAACAGTAACTCCCCGTTGCCCTGCCCTACGGCAATCTCTAGGCCATCAGGAGAGAATGCGACGCTATTCATCCAATCGCTTTGACTCTCCCAGACTTCTCTTGGCTGTCCGGTCTGTGTGTCAAAGAACCGGATCATCCTATCAGCGCCAACAGACACGATTGTATGTCCATCGGGCGAGTAGGAAATGTTATGAATATTGCTATTATGACTGGTAAAGTTGGATAGATTGGCGCCTGTCTGAACATCCCATAACATCACAGTCTTGTCCGCTCCAGCCGAAGCGACCTGCTTGCCAGAAGGTGAAAACGCTACAGTCCACACTTGGCCGATATGCTCCAGAACAAAAACGCATGACCCACTCTCGCAGTCCCACAATCGTACTGTGTTGTCGTCGCTTCCTGAAAGAAGTTGAAGACTGGTTGGCGAATAGACAATGCTGTCTACACACGAATGATGCCCTCGAAAAATGCGAGTCATTCTCCACATCGAGGTGTCGTAAATGTTGATACTGCCGTATTGTAGGCCTACAGCGAGAGATGTTCCGTCAGTGGAATAGGCGCACGAGAATACGTAAGAACTCTCCTTCAGGTACGGCAGTTCTCCGAACCGAACTCCCTCCATCTGCGCCTTGGTGAAGTCTGCCTGACGAATCCAGCTCTTGGTGAGGTTGACATCTGTCAAGTCAGCTTCCTGCAGTTGTGCCGAGTCGAACTGGCCTCCAGACATGTCCGCTCCAGGAACTCGAATACCCCGAAGATCGGCTCCGTTGAATTGTACTCCTGCCTTGACCAAGATCGTGATGGCGTTCGCAGCGGCTCGAGCTGCTTGTTCGTCGGTCTTGGACAGCTCAATGATGGCGAGGAGCTCATCCTTGAATCCAGAGCCCAGTTGCACGCGCTCCGCCAGAAACTGAATGATTGAGAGCTCTACGACAAGATTCCTCTGAGACAACGGGTGGGCGCCGATGGTGGGCGACGTGGCGGAGGTATCGGCAAAAACAGGCTGATCAAGCTCTTCATGCTCCTTGACGGGTCCACAGATGGCGAAAGAGAAAAAGTATTCCAACACGGAGCGGTGGACAAAGCGATATTGATTGCCCGCGCGACTCAACAGACTGGAATCTCGAAGGAGCGCCCTCTCAGGATCAAGACCAAAGAACTGAGCCTTCCATGTCTTCCTGTCTCTCATATGAGAGTAGTCGACAACAGGTCTGCCATCCTGCTCCTGAAAGATGGATGTCGCCAGATCGATCTGGTACAGAATACCGTGGCGCTCGAACCCGTCGGCACAGAGGACGTCAAACGCTATCTGACTGCTCTCGCTCAAATGTTGATCCTGCAGACGACGCTTGTTGACACCCATCCAGTGCCTCACAAAGGTGTCGTACAGTTCCGCACGAGTGACTCGAAGTCTGGAGAGGTCAATTTTCCCTTGCACGACAGTAGGAAGGGCCTCCAGTGACAGGGTAAGGAGGAAAGGGTTCCTGACCAGATCCATCAGATTGGGGATAGTCTCTAGCTTATCCATGTAGTCCTTCTTGACCCAGGTTCGCGGCTCGAGAGGAACATAACGCTCTACATAGTCTTCGATCTGCTCCCTGCTGAACGCGGCAATGACGGCTTGCTGGAAAAGGTCATTGGCAACATTAACATACTGGTCCACCGCCTTGGGCTCAAAGCGACCTCGATAGTCCGGTCCGAGATACTGAGTGCGGCAGGTAATGAGTAACTTGACGTCCCACTGCCCATACTGGTTGAAGAGGTTGGTGGTATGCAGATTCGATGTAAGCTGGCTCTCGTCGTATCCATCACAGATTAATATAAGCTGGCGGTGCAACTTCAACTCACGGATCTGGTCCTCCAAAAAGTTGTAGGTCCTCAATTGCTCCCCAACCAAATCCTTCTCTGGTCGATCGAGGGATGGCAAGTTGACGAAAAGCGGGATGCGGCCTCCTGCCTTGTACTCCTGCCAGAGCTCGTGTTCCAAGTGCCGGTTGAATGTCGATTTTCCGGCCCCCGAGTCCCCAAGAACAAGCATGACCTGAGAGCCGCTGGCAATAAAGTCTCTAACCTTGTCCATAAGAGGGAACAGATTGTCGTCTGTGTCTTGGAGGTTGAGTTTGGCCATGGGGTCGATGTAGACCGCCTGCTTGTAGTCGGCAATCCTCATCAACCTCAATACGTGCAGGTCATATTCGACTGTGATGATCTCTTGGACCTGAGCGAGAAGTGGAGAGGCTGTTGGCAGAGGGAGGCGTCTGCTTAGCGAAAAAGAACCAGGATACTCGACGATACCGCCCTTCTTCAGGTCCAGCAGCAAAGCACCAGCGCGATCCTTGATAGAGACATCCGACATCCTCGAGATCTGGATGAGGATGGTGAGGATCCAGCGCTTGACATCGACATGCGGTTTCCAGTCAGAGCCGCCTCTGTATAGTTCATTCAGAAAGGCGACGGCCTGCTGGCGGACAAGAACATCCCAGAGCGGGTCGACCGCAATCTCTCCGACCTGGCGACAGACTCCCCACTGAAAGTTGGGATTGTTGCGGCAAGGCGCTTGGCTGACGACTAGGTTAAAGTCCGAAAGTCGCCCCTGGTGAATGAAGAGGGCCGTTCCTTGAAGGGCGAGATACCATGAGCGCTTCTGAATAAAGTCGAACTTGTTCTCCGACGCCCGGACGGCCCCATCAGCACCAACACGAAGGGTCTCGATGACCTCAATTCCTGTGCCAACAGCTCCCACAACCCCTGCACCGATCTCTTGAAGACTCTCGATGCCTTTGAGGAGTCCTTCAGGATCCAATTTGAAAACACTCGACACTGCACCTGCGCCTGCCGCTGCAACCTTGGCATACCTCCACAACACTTGGAGCGGAGTCTCGTCATCTGGTGCATACTGGAGGGCCTGGTAGGCGTAGGTTGCTTCGTACCTCTGGACAACATTGTTGTTGTTCTTCAGGCTGTCCAGGAGCTGCAGCATCGGCTGATGGTCTCGATCACGGTTCAAGTCCTTAACCTCGCCAGTCACCATCACATCGAGAACTCGAGCGAGCGATAATGTCAGGTGCAAGGGGTGGTCGCTCGTGCCAATGTGGGTAATCGACAGCTCCTTGGAGAGAACGGTGGTGATCCTGACCAGATCATCGTCAACAAGGTATCCAGATGAGGCGCACTCGACCAATTGCACAATACCTTGGAGCAGAGTGACATCCAGCGGTGTTGTCTGCTCAAACTTGGAGATGAAGCAAGAGAGCAGGCTGCGGTATATGCCGCGCTCAAGGACGGGACCAACAAGAACGATCTCGGTGACCACATCAGATGCCTTGAGTGGGTTGTCAGCGAATACTCTGACCAATTGCTCAACGAGCCATCGATACCGGTCCTGTAAGACGGGATCAATGAGCTGAACCCATTCCTTCTCCTTGTCGTCAAGGGGGGAATCCTGGGAGACATCGCTGTCCGAGGTTGGTTGCAACGATCCTGGAATCTTGGAGAGCAGACTGCAGCAGTAGACAAGCTGCGGGGTCTTGTCAACACGAGCATGCGGCTTGGGCAAGTCGGTCTTGTAGATGGGTTTGATGACGTTTTCAGGGAAGATATCTACGCGGAGGGTTCCACCCGCAGCAGGGTTCGGTCGCAACTTGGTAGCTGAGACAACGAGTGTCGTGGACGACATTTCAGCTGGTGAGTGCAGTCCCAACGAGACAGGCACGGCGTTACGGTCAGGTGCGACAGACTGGATGCGTCCCTCAGTTCCAATGAGCGTAACGGGCGCTGATGAAGCTGCTGAAGCGGGAATTGTCTCTTTGACTTTGAGGTCTCCCTTGAAAGGTGTCGAAAAACGTTTTCTGAGTCCATTCTTCGACGGACGGCCTGGGGATACGGACTTGGTATCACTGACGTCACTTGGTCCATGATCAACGTCCGCTGCAACATCCCATGTGGTGCGATGACCAAGGGGGTTGGCAGGCCCAAGTTGAATGGAGGCCAGTCCTTGAGCGATTGTCGGAACATCACCCGACTTTGACGACACATGCCCAAGCGTTGCGGTGTTTTTGAGTTGAGAAAGGACCCGACGTCCATCGACAGTTATTTCCGGATGTCCTGGAGGACCGGAGGAAGGCGCTGGAGGAGGCAGAGACGAATTGACCTGGGGTGGGGGGAAGGACATGGCCACAACTCTACACATCAAGCATGGATGTCCTGGGTTAATTGTCTGGATAATTCTTTTGAAATAATTCAATCATAATTACTCTGTCCTTGTTACCTTGCGTTGATTTGAAGAATGACTTTGCTGCTGGTAAAGGGTTGTAAAGGACCGGATGAGTAGATCAATGGCCGCTATGGGAGTGCGAAGCTATCAACAAAAGTATGTGCAACGTTAGGGATGGTTTCTAAACACGACGGCATTTCATGACCAGATATGCATGGGATGGTTGCACATCGTTCGCCTTCCTTACCAAAGAGTAGCAAAAGGACCCTTCTTTTGTTCTGTTCGTTTTGGTGACTGACAGCCCTTGTGTTTGGATGGCGAGACTTGTTGGTCTATGTCGATAAGAAATCGGTTAGAACCGTGTCCAGCTAAAGAACGGCTGTCAATTCCACTTTTTGTTCGCTGTGTTTGTCCTCTCACGCTTACTGGGTGTGGACTTGGTGTCGACCTTTTTGGTTTTTATTGTTTTGACTTGCGGATGTCTTGTCCTAGATAGCATATCCATGTCCAACGCGGGATGGGTTAGCACTACAAAGTCGACAAGCAAAGCAATTGAAGAGTCTCCTCGGACTCATGACTTTTTCATATGTTCTCTTCCTTACCTTAAGACGAGTGAGGCACTGGTTTATTGTTTTTGGGTGAGTCGCGACGACTAGGGTTCTTGATGGGTTCGATTCTTGTTTTCTGGCAAGGAGGAAGTATCTATGTACGTTTCAATCGTGTATTAGTATTGTGCAAAAAGTCTCCTTTTCCTTCCTTGATACAACGACACACACATCGATTCACGCCCGACGACCTGTTGAGATGAACTTACCTCGGTACCCGTTGAGTCGAACGGGCTATTTTTTTTTTTGGTGTGTTTCAATGTGTTCTCAACAGAAGTGAACGAGAAGGGAACGGTGTGTCTGTGTCGACAAGAATAGCGGAGTAATGAGGTGGTGAATGAACAAAGGCAAGGTGAATTCACAATGTGAACAATGTGCTGAATGTCGAATCGAGAAGTGTGAATAACGAAAGATAAAGAGGTAGAGGGACCGCGGTGGCGGAGGGTTTGCGGATGGTAGCAGGGGAGGATGACAGGGGAGTGAGCCAAAGAGAAAAGAATACAAGAAAAGGACGAGCCTGGGGTTATTTCACGTTATCTACTCGCCTTTTCGCCCACTGCTTCTTTCTTGCTTTGCCAGGGCTATGACTATTCATGCATGTACGCCACTCCATCTTGCTTTGTCTTCCCTAGCGAAAATTGCCATTTGATTTATGCCGTCTCCGGGACTTGAAGAACGTAGCGCATATGGCAGAATCCCCTCTAGCCAACCCCGCGATCGCCAGACATTACAGCAAACACAATCTTATCGCCAAAGTCTGTCAACTGATGGTGGAGCGAGACATAACATTGAGAGACGTGGAAGCAGTCGAGGAAGATCGAGTGTTGCTATCAAGAGCGCTCCCGGAGGATGTGTTCGTAGCAAACGGTCACCAACTCAAGAAGGACGGGGTACTCTATCTGCAGGACATAGTCAGTGAAGACCGTACACGCACAAGGATATGGCGGGAAGCGGCGGTAGCACACAACATACGAGCACTGATCCCGAGAAAGTGGTACACAGAGGCATGCCAAGCCATGTCAGTGCAGCCGGTCATGGACGTGGAGGAAGTACTGTTTGAGTACGGGGACGATGACGGCGAGAGGCTGTTGGAGGAGGCGGAGGAGAGAATACAGCAAGAAAAAGAAAAGAAAAAAGAAAAAAGAAAAAAGAAAAAAGAAAAAGAAAAAGAAAAAGAAAGAGAAAAAAGAAAAAGGGGCTGCCATCAAGAGGAGATAAGAGGCATGGGAAGGGCGGCCGCGAGAAGCGACGACAGCCACAGTCCAGAGGAGAATCGCTGCCCAAGCCAAGAAAAAGAAAAAGAAAAAAGCACAGAAAGACAAAGAGAAAAACAAAATCAAACAGAAAAGAAAAAGAAAAAGAATAAGAAAAAGAAACGGACCTACAAGAGGTGTATTTGGATGATCCCTTTTTGGATTCCCCCTTTTTAGTATCACAAATGTCATCTTCTACCACACCACACGCCTTCCTTCATTTTCCTTCTTCGTCTTGTTAATTTTCCTTCTTCTCCTGCATCCCCTATTTCAACAACAATAGCAACACTACCAACAACACCAACAACACCAACAACAGCACACATCGATACAGCAGCAACAGCAATATCACCCCTCAAGCGCATGTAGCAACCAGACACTCCCCCGCAGACAGGAAACAAACAACTGGACAAACACAACAAGAAACTCCACCGGCAAACCAAAAACAAAATCACTGACGAGTTTATTCACTACCGCAAGGACCGCGAGGCTAGGGCGAGGCAACAGAAGCTGGAACAGAAGCCTGAGGAGGCGGCACGACGCAAGTCGGAGGGCAGAGAGGCGAGCAAGGGCAAAGGAGGCGGCAGAAGCAGCACTCACACTCAAGCAGAAATTCAAACGGCAAGTCAACGCCGCAGGGAAGGAGATGGCAGAGGAGACCTACCAGCTCCTACCGGACATCACAGCACTAGTACAACAAGCAACACACAACACACCAACACACAAGTACAATCAATTATCATGGACCCAGAGGCACAGGAGTCCGCAGAGAGCTGCAGGAAAGAGACTAGGCCATAACTGAGACATATCTACTCCGATGGTTCAATGGTGGACAAGAGGAAGGAGACGTGAGCCATGGCCTTTGCAGTCGTGGGAGAGGAGCAGACGGTGGTGAAGGGAACCACCGGGGGATTCCCATCGTCGGCGAAAGTGGAACTAATGGGATTGATCGCAGGAATCATCGCAACACCACAGGACCAGGACCTCCGCATCCGACTCGACAACCAAGCGGTGGTGAAACAGTCCAGAGAGGTCGTTGTCAATCGGAAACGAGCGTCGGTGAGAGAAAAACTGAGGTGCGATTACGCTGCAGAGTGGGCGGTGATCGCACGAATATGCGGCGAGCGCACGGGCTCAACAACAGTCGAGTGGGTCAAGGGCCACATGAAACGAATGGGACGGAAAGGCGGATATAGCAGCAAAGGAGGCGCAATCGCAAGGCGGAACGGCATGGGAGGTGGACAGAGCCGCCCAGCACGACATCAAATACTCTGCGACGATGGCCGGCGTGATCCTCGATCAGTACACGAGACACGTGCTCAAGATGCGGACCACCAGACGCTGGCACCAAGAGTGGAGGGCACTCAGGAGGACCAAGAGATCGATTCAAGACTACGAGGCACAGATTGACTTGGCACCCTTTCAGACAAGCACAGCAACAAACCAGTCAACACCTTTTTCAGTTCACAGCAAGACACACGCCTACGCAGCCATAGGATAAAGAAGGTGCACGGAATGTTGCCTACCATGGACATCTTACGCGCCAGGCGTCCAGATCTGTACAAGGACGACTTATGCCAGTGTGTGGTCTAGAGACGGAGGATTACGAGCACATCTGGACGTGCTCCAAGAGCAGGGAGACGCAGGAGGAGCTGTTGGGAGGATGCTCTCGACTGAGTCGACGGATGGAAGGAGATCGCCACAGGACTGTTCAACAAACAGCGACAGAAGCAGCTCAAGCCAGGAAAACAGCCACCCCCCGAGACCGTATGGAGGATACCAAGAACCAGCAATCTCCGCAAGACGCTGTGGCAGGCGATCAAGCGGCCAGACAAGGAAGAGGGAGAGGAACCGGAACAACACACCCCAAGCGCGTGGACAGTCAGCCACATCTACCGAGGCCTAGTGCCGAAAGCCCTAGCTAAGCAATGGAGCAAGGTGTTCAAGGACGTAGCAAAGAGCATTACCCAGCACGTGAGCCGTCTCTTTTGTCGATATGTCGAAAAGGAGGCCAGGGAGAAGATATGGAAGCCACGCTGTGAGAGGACCATCAGGTGGGAGGAGGAGAACAGCATCACCAACAACATGAAGTGCATACGCATCACCAAGGACCAGAGGGCGCAGTGCACACAGACCCACAGGTGGAAAAAAATCTATGGGCGGAAACTCCGAGAGGACGAGTGCCTTTGTGGACGAACCGTAGCAGAACACAGGGAACAGCGGTGCCCAGGCGAGCAGGGCGATACTCGAGTGGCTCATCGAGCAGTCATCGACACCCTGCTGGGTCTGAGGCGCATGGATATTATGGAAAGGAAAGGCAACATGGTCATCAAGGAGTTGGAGGAGGAGCACACCTAGATCTCTTGAACGCGCCCCACAAAGCAACAAGGGTCGTCCGGACTCACACGCGTCGCCCCTGACCCGGTGAGGACGGGCTGTACAATCCTCATGTGCGCTGTACGGTTTACTGAGTGGGGTAGACTATGTGCACGTACGAGGAACACTTAGACAGCTCATTGAGCACAAACAGAGAACGCAAACGTCAAAGAAATCTAGAGCATAGGCTTCTTCAAGGAGGGCCAAGGTGTGAAGTATGTAGTTCGGTGGCAGCAATTTCGCCTTATTCAAGATGTCACCGAGGTATATGGGCCATAGAGCGGGACGCGTCTTCTTGGCCGCTGGTTGAACTCGGTGAAAGTGATAAACTTTGTTAAATAATCAACTAAAGCTATCGAACGCGACACAGTAGGGCCATGCATGAACATGTTCCTGTTATGTGATGTCGCTCTGCTACAAAGAGAGTAAAACTTCCTCGTTTGTTTTGGGACCTGTTTTTTCTCACGTAATGCGCCATGGTCAATGGTATCCTGCTTTCTCTTCACGGTCAGGATAACTGGATCTAATGTGCCGGTGAGGACCTGTTCTTGGTCAGACATATCCCATGCTTCCAGCACAACTCCCCTCTTCATCTCAACAAAAAATAACTTCGTATCTTCACTCGACTACAACAACAGTCTTCACTACTCCTACTCACACAACAACTCCTCTTCTCTCAGCTACACCCACAAGACGACAACAACCCAAAATGACTGCTACCACTACCCCAATCTCCAGATCCATCACAAAGTCCGTCCTCTCTAAGGAACAAACCGAGGGAGTCGGCGCCCGTGTCCGTCGATCTATCGGATGCCCTGAAATCCGCAACCTCGACCCCTTCCTCCTCCTCTCCGTCCCCAAAAACGGTGGCTTCCCAGATCACCCACATCGCGACTTCGAGACCGTTACTTATATGCTGGACGGCCAGACGCACCATAAGGATTTTGCTGGCCATAAGGGAACCATTGGGCCTGAGGATTTGCAGTGGATGACTGCAGGGTTAAATTGACGAGGGAGCAGGAGGGTGAGAGGGCGCATGGGTTGCAGTTGTGGATTGATTTGCCGAAAGAGTTCAAGATGTGTGAACCACAGTACCAGGAACTATTGGACACTCAGATACCACGTGCTAGACCCCAGGATGGAGTTGTTATCAAGGTCATTGCAGGAGACTCGCACAGACTCAAGTTTCAAATCTATACCCACATCCCGACAATGTTTCTCGACTTCAAGATGGACATGAACCAAACTGTCACTCAAACCATCCTGGCAACATACAGCGGATTCATTTACATTCTCAGCGGCACCGCATACATCGGGGATCCGAAGAGCGAGACCGAGGCAAAAGCGCATCATACCCTCATCTTCTCTGAGGATAGTACCAGCACCGTCAGGATCCAAACAAAGGATGACACAGCGCATTTTGTACTAATAGCGGGGGAGCCGTTGAGGGAGCCCGTTGTTCAGATTGGGCCGTTTGTGATGAATACCCGGGAGGAGGTGTATGAGACTTATAGGAATTATCGCGATGGGGTGAATGGGTTTGAGAGGAGGAGGGCACGGAACTCGGATGGTACTCCAAAGTAGTATGTTGTTCTCTTTTACTCCTTGTACCAAACGTATCTCAGTACCACTATCATCAATACTCTCAGCACTACAATGATTACAAAAACATACACAGCATTCAATGATCAAAAATAAGATTTGCTATTGATTGGCGCCATCGCCTTCAGTAAAAATTGAAAGGCTACCGACGAACATGCCTAATGTCTCTCTACATGAAAAAGTTGTGTAATGGACTATGTTGTTTAAGCAGCAGCACCCTCGCAACGTTGAATGAGCAATTGATGATTGGCTGAGGAGAGACCAACAGCATCGGCAAAAACGACATCCAAAGCTGTTAGAACAAGATTTCCAGCGCTCCAAACCAACTGGGCCGACCATGCATCCGACGACGAGGACGCCTCCACCAGTTTCCACACTTGAAGGGACCCATTCGCGCATCCAATGCTAAACTCCAGCGTGTCAGGTTTCCAAGCAACGCTGTTGACATCTCCAATAATATCTCGGATACGCACCAAACACTTCCACTCCCCACCTTCTCCTCCTCCTTCCGCCGATGTGTCAATGACGAAATTCCAGAGCCGAACCGACCTCCGATAGCCTACGCCTACCCATTGCCCACAGGACGAGAATGCAAAGCTTTGTACGCTGTCGGGGTCGCGCTCTAGACTTTGTTGGTGATGGCAGTTATCCCTGCCCCGAGGGTCAACATCAGCAATAACAACGATCTGTTTGGTTATAGAAGCAACCCTCAAGCCATTGGGTGAAGTTGATATTGCCCAAAGCCCTACATCATCGTAAACATCCACAACGACTCTACACTCATAACCGTCCAAATCCCAGGCTCGAATAGTTCCATCCCGATCTCCCGACAAAATTTCATGGCTGTTCGGCGAGAATACCAAACAAACAACACGACCGGTATGGCCGTCAAGCACGCGGTCGAGTATCCCTGAGCGAGCGTCCCAAAGTCGCACTGTCTTGTCGTTACTGCCCGTGGCAATCCAGCGACCGTCGGCTGAAAAGGCCATGGCGATCACCTCTCTTGTGTGACCGTACAAGACAACATCGGCTTGACCTGTTCCAATGTTCCACACAGTGACGAATTCGTCGTCCGTTCCAACTGACGCGATTCGAAGACCATCAGGGGAGACCGCTAGGCACTCGACAGGCTTGTCTCCGTAAACAACGAAAGGACCAGACTCTCCAGATCCTGCATCAAACTGTCGCACAGCTCCCGACTCGGTACCACAGAAGAGAACTCTACCGTCTGGAGAAAAAAGCACGCTCGTCAGCGGGTCGGATCCGCCCTCCACGTCCACACCTGTACCCAACGAGCTTATGTCCCAGAGTCGAATGGTCATGTCATCACTACACGAGGCAAGTTGGAGTCCGTTTGGCGAAAAGGCTACTCGGCAGACGGAATCACTATGACCGGTAAAGACAGAAAGGATCGATCCTGTCGCTGCATTCCAGACCTTTGCCGAGCGGTCTGTACTACATGTGGCGACCCACCGGCTGTTCGGAGAAAACCTCACATCCGTGACCTCTTCGCCATGAGCCTTCCAATTCCTCGTTGGCTTGCCTGCAGCTGTACTGTAGAGCTGTAACTCGCCATTTTTATGCCCTACGGCAATCTCTAGGCCGTCAGGAGAGAATGCGACGCTCCACATTTCTCCACTTTGACTCTCCCAGACTTCTCCTGGCTGTCCAGTCTGTGTGTCAAAGAACCGGAACATCCCATCGTCGTCAACAGACACAACCGCATGTCCATCGGGTGAGTAGGAAATACTACGAATCCACTTAGTGTTATCGGTCAAGTTGAATAGATTGGCGCCTGTCTGAACATCCCATAGCCTCACAGTCTCATCCGCTCCAGCCGAAGCGACCTGCTTGCCAGAGGGTGAAAATGCCACAGTCAACACTTCGCCGGTATGCTCCAGCACAAAAACGCATGACCCACTCTCGCAATCCCACAATCGTACTGTCTTGTCCCCGCTGCCTGAAAGAAGTTGATGACTGGTAGGCGAATAGGCGAGGCTGTTAACCCACCCTTGATGCCCTTCAAAAGTGTGAGTCGTTGCCCATGTGGAGGTGTCGTAAATGTTGATGCCAACTCCTTTGGAATGACCTACAGCGAACGATGTTCCGTCAGGCGAATAGGTGTACGAGAATACCCACTCATCCACCTTCAGGTACGGCATCTCTCCGAACCGAACTCTCTCCATCTGCGCCTTGGTGAAGTCCGCCTGACGAATCCAGCTTTTGGTGAGGTTGACATCTGTCAAGTCAGCTTCCTGCAGTTGTGCCGAGTCGAATTGGCCTCCAGACATGTCCGCTCCAGGAACCCGAATACCCTGAAGATCAGCCCCGTTGAATCGTACTCCTGCCTTGACCAAGATCGTGATGGCGTTCGCAGCGGCTCGAGCTGCTTGTTCGTCGGTCTTGGACAGCTCAATGATGGCGAGGAGCTCATCCTTGAATCCAGAGTCCAGTTGCACGCGCTCCGCCAAAAACTGGATGATCGACGTCTCTATGACAAGGTCCTTCTGGGACAATGGATGTGTGCTAATGGCAGTTGAGGTGGCAGGGGTATCGGAATGAACAGGCGGATCAAATTCATCATGTTCCTTGGTGGGTCTAGATATGGTGCAAGAGAAAAAGTATTCCAGCACGGAGCGGTGGACAAAGCGATATTGGTTGCCCGCACGACTCAGCAGACTGGAATCTCGAAGGAGCGCCGTTTCAGGATCAAGACCAAAGAACTGAGCCTTCCATGTCTTCCTGTCTCGCATATGAGAGTAGTCAACGACAGGTTTGCCATCCTGCTCCTGAAAGATGGATGCCGCCAGATCCATCTGGTACAGAATACCGTGGCGCTCGAACCCGTCGGCACAGAGGATGTCAAGCGCTATCTGACTGCTCTCGCTCAAATGTTGATCCTGCAGACGACGCTTGTTGACACCCATCCAGTGCCTCACAAAGGTATCGTATAGCTCCGCGCGAGTGACCCGAAGTCTGGAGAGGTCGATTTTCCCTTGCACGACAGTAGGAAGGGCCTCCAGTGACAGGGTAAGGAGGAATGGGTTCCTGACCAGATCCATCAGATTGGGGATAACCTCTAGCTTGTCCATGTAGTCCTCCTTGACCCAGGTGCGCGGCTCAAGAGGAACATAATGCTCCACATAGTCTTCGATCTGCTCCCTGATGAATGGGGTGATGACGGCTTGCTGGAAAAGATCGTTGGCGACACTAGCATACTGGTCCACCGCTTTGGGCTCGAAGCGACTTCGATAGTCCAGTCCGAGATACTGCGTGCGGCAAGTAATGAGTAACTTGACGTCCCACTGCCCATACTGGTTGAAGAGGTTGGTGGTATGCAGATTGGATATAAGCTGGCTCTCGTCGTATCCATCACAGATCAATGTGAACTGGCGGTGCAACTTCAGTTCACGGATCTGGTCCTCCAAAAAGTTGTAGGTCCTCAATTGCTCCCCAACCAAATCCTTCTCTGGTCGTTCGAGGGATGGCAAGTTGACGAAAAGCGGGATGCGACCTCCTGCGTTGTACTCCTGCCAGAGCTCGTGTTCCAAGTGCCGGTTGAATGTCGATTTTCCGGCCCCCGAGTCCCCAAGAACAAGCATGACCTGAGAGCCGCTGGCAATAAAGTCTCTAACCTTGTCCATAAGAGGGAACAGATTGTCGTCTGTGTCTTGGAGGTTGAGTTTAGCCATGGGGTCGATGTAAACCGCCTGCTTGTAGTCGGCAATCCTCATCAACCTCAATACGTGAAGGTCGTACTCGAGTTTTGGGATCTCTTGGACCTTAGCAAGAAGCGGCGAGGATGTTGGCAGAGGGAGGCGTCTGCTCAGCGGGTAACAGCCAGGATACTCGACGATGTCGTCCTTCTTCAGGTCTAGCAATAAAGCAACAGCGTGATCCTTGACAGAGACATCCGACATCCCCGAGATCTGGACGAGAATGGTCAGGATCCAGCGCTTGACATCGACATGCGGCTTCCAGTCAGCACCACCCCTGAACAACTTGCCTAGAAAGTCGACGGCCTGTTGACGGACAGGAACATCCCAGAGCGGGTCGACTGCAATCTCTCCGACCTGGCGACAGACTCCCCACTGAAAGTTGGCGTTGTTGCGGCAAGACGCCTGGCTGACGACTAGGTTAAAGTCCGAAAGTCGTCCCTGGTGGATGAAAAGGGCCGTTCCTTGCAGAGCGAGATACCACGAACGCTTCTTCATAAAGTCGAACTTGTTCTCTGATGCGCGGATGGCCCCATCAGCACCAACACGAAGGGCCTCGACGACCTCAATTCCTGTGCTGACAGCTCCCGCAATCCCTGCTCCGATCTCTTGAAGACTCTCGATGCCATTGAGGAGTCCCTCTGGATCCAACTTGAAAACACTCGACACTGCACCTGCGCCTGCCGCTGCTACCTTGGCATATCTCCACAGCACTTGGAGCGGAGTCTCATCGTCGGGTGCATACTGGAGGGCCTGATAGGCGTAAGTTGCCTCGTACCTCTGGATAACATTGTCGCTGTTCTTCAGACCGTCTAGGAGCTGCAGCATCGGTTGATGGTCTCGTTCACGGTTCAAGTCCTTAACCTCGCCAGTCACCATCACATCAAGAACTCGAGCGAGCGACAATGTCAGGTGCAAGGGGTGGTCGCTCGTGCCAATGTGGGTAATCGACAGCTCCTTGGAGAGAACAGTGGAGATCCTGACCAGATCATCGTCGACAAGGTATCCAGATGAGGCGCACTCGACCATTTGCACTAGACCTTGGAGAAGAGTGACATCCAGCGCTGTTGTCTGCTCAAATTTGGAGATGAAGCATGAGAGCAGGCTGCGGTAGGTTTCACGGTCAAGGACGGGACCTACAAGAACGATCTCGGTGACTACATCAGATGCCTTGAGTGGGTTGTCAGCGAACGCTCTGACCAATTGCTCAACGAGCCATCGATACCGGTCCTGTAAGACGGGATCAATGAGCTGAACCCATTCCTTCTCCTTATCGTCGAGGGGGGAATCCAGAGAGACGTCACTGTCTGAGGTTGGCTGCAACGGTTCTTGAGCCTTGGAGAGGAGACTGCAGCAGTAGACAAGCTGCGGGGTCTTGTCAACACGAGCAAGCGGCTTGGGTAAGTTGGTCTTGTAGGTGGGTTTGGCAACGTTCTCGGGGAATATGTCCATTCGGATTGAGCCATCCGCAGCAGGAGTCGGCTGCGGCTGAGTGCCTGTAACAGCGAACTTGGTGGATGATGTTTCAACAGTGTCTGCTGGTGAGTGCTGTATCGACAAGACAGGCACGGCGTCATGGTCAGGTGCGGCAGACTGGAGGCGTCCCTCAGTTCTAACGAGCGTAATAGGCGCTGATGAGGCTATCGAGGTTGGAACAGTCTCTTTGACTTTGGGGTCCTCCTTGAAAAGTCTTGACAAACGATTCCTGAATCCAAACTTCGACGAACGGCCCGAGGATACCGACCTGGCATCGCTGGCGTCGCCTGGCCCATGATCAACGTCTGCGGTAGCATCTCTCGTGGTGTGGTGACCAAGGGGGTTGAACATGTTGGCAGGCCCAAGCTGAATGGTGGCCAATCCTTGAGTGATTGTCGGAATATCACTCGACTTTGACGACACATACCCAAGCGTTGCGGTGTTCTCAAGTTGAGAAAGGACACGCTTCCCATCGACGGTTATTTCCGGATGTGCTGGAGGAGCGGAGGGAGGTGCGGGAGGAGGCGGAGGCGAATTGCCCTGGGGTGATGAGGAAGACATGGTTGCAGCTACAAACATCAAGTTTGAAAGGCGTTGGTTAGTTTTGTCTGGATAATTCTGTTGAAATAATTCAATCATAATTACTCTGTCCTTGTTACCTTGCGTTGATTTGAAGAATGACTTTGCTGCTGGTAAAGGGTTGTAAAGGACCGGATGAGTAGATTAATGGCCGGTATGGGAGTGCGAAGCTATCAACAAAAGTATGTGCGACGTTAGGGTAGGTTTGTAAACAAGACAGTATTTCACAACCAGAAATGTATGGGATGGCTGTGCATCGTTCGCCTTCCTTACCAAAGAGGTAGCAAAAGGGTTCTTTCTTTGTTCTGTTTGTTTTGGTGATGGACCAGGCGTGTGTTTGGCTGGCGAGACTTGTTGGTCTATGTCCATAAGATATCGGTTAGAATCGTGTTCAGCTAAAGAACAGCTGGCAATTGCCCTTTTCGTTTGTTATGTTTGTCCTCTCACGCTTACTGGGTGTGGACTTGGTGTCGATATTTTTTTCTTTTTATTGCTGAGTCTTGTCCTAGATAGCATATACATGTCCAATGCGGGATGGGTTAGCACTATGAAGTCGAGAAGCAAAGGAGCAATTGAAGAATCTTCTCCAGCTCCTGTTTTTTCACACGAGCTTTTCCTAACCTTGAGACGAGAGGGGTACTAGTTTATTGTTTTTGAGTGGTCGCAACGACGAGGGCTTTTGATGGGCTCGGTTGGTCCTAGCAGGGGGAAGTATCTATGTACAGTACATTTCAATCGAGTATTAGTATTGTGCAAAAGCCCTGTTTTCCTTCCTTAATACAGCGACACACACATCGATTCACTCCCGGCGACCTGTTGAGAAGGCCTTACCTCGGTACCCGTTGGGTCTAACGCAGTTTTTTTTTTATTTTTATGTTGCGGTGTGTTCTCGGTAGACGTGGACGAGAAGGGAACGGTATGGCTGTGTTATTGGCAGTAGCAAAGTAACGAGGTGGTGAATGAACGAAGGCAAGGTGAATTCACAATGTGAGCAACGTGCTGAATGTCGAATCGAGAGAGACGACGGTGGTGGAGGGTTTGTGGATGGATGACAGGGGAGTGAGCCAAAGAGAAAAGAAAACAAGAAAAGGTCGAGCCTGGAGTTATTTTACGTTATCCATTCCCCTTTTCGCCTACTGCTTCTCACTTGTTTTGCCAGGGCTGTGACCCATACATGCATGCACACCGCCATGTTGCCTCTTCTTCTCGATAGCGAAACTTGCCTTGTTTGCTTCTATCCCGCACAAACAGTTGTTGTTGTTCTTGTTGTGTGGGAAGAGAGAGAGGGAAAGGGGATCCATAGGTGAACAGAGAACGCAATGACTAAGCAATTCTAAACCATGGGTCTCTTGAAGGAGGGTCAAGATGTGAAGTATGTAGTTCGGTGGCAACATGCCTTATTCAAGTTGCTGCGGAGGTGAATGGCCCATCGCGTCTTCTTGACCGCCAATTGACGGGAAACTGATAAACTTTTATTAATATTCAATAGGCAAAGAAAGCTATCGAACGCGACACAGGAAATGCTTTTTCTAAAGCGTGATGATGTTGCTCAGCCCCAGAGAAGAATCTCCTCATTTCCTGTGGGGCCTTTGATCTCATGGTCAATGGTGGCCTGTATTTCAGGCGCTTTGATTGTCAATTCACCACAACACTTATTCCCTCACCGGAAATTTACAACGTCTTCAAGTTACCGCACCTTTGTTTGATTTTCTTACTACCCCATCACTCTCCTTCGAGATCCCACCCGAAACCAACCCCTTCCTCTCTCTCCTACCCCTCCACTACCTTCCCCCATCAGGTTTCTTCCCTTTTCTGTTTGCAAGTACTCTTCAATACAGTCCGTCGGCGTACCTTCCTTACCGTGCATTTGCCTCAACCCCCTTACTCTCGTACAAACTGACAAAATTGATATCATGAAACGAGGGTTGCCGTTTATTACGATCAGTGTGTGCCTGACGTTGACAGGGTCTCTCGTTCATTGCAATTCTTCTTCCTTTGTGTTTGCCCCTGCTTAAAACTCCGTTTTCTTTGACCCTTTTTTGCAACGACGAAACCCTACAAATGAAATGAAGATGGTGTATGGTGGGGGTGGATTTGGATGTCAGGTAGGGCCAGGTACCCCATGGTCGTTGAAGGTTAAGATATATAAAAAGAGTGAACACCTCTTTTTCGTTTCCTCTTCCTACTTTATCCCACTCCACACCTCCACACTCATCAAACCCCACTACTGCAGCATCAAACAACAAAAAAACACAAAAACCATGGCCCGCTCAACAACCCTCCTCCTCCTCACTATCTTGCTCCTGACAACCTTCCTCCCAATCCTCAACCACCACATCCACGTCTTGGCCGTACCCGTCCCCATCCCTGTGCCCATCATCCCCACCACCACCGACGAGCCAGCCCTAGCAGTTGAGCACCCCAACCCATCAACCATCGAGAGGCGGCAACTCCTAGGAGGTCTTCTGGGAGGACTCCCCAGCTTCAGGAACGAGGGTGGGAACGCTGTCCAGGGGGGTGGTAGTGAGCAGCCGGTGACGGGTGGTGTTGTCCCTGGCTGGAATAATGTCAACATTGGTGGCCGTTGAGAAAAAACACTGAACATAAAAACAGCTTAGCAAAATAACCCCACTTCATATCGTCCGTCCGTTTTCTTTCTCGCTTTGTACAATATCACACTATCCTTTTTCTTCATGTAGCAACACCCTCTTATCCCATTGACAACTTTCAAAAGGGCATTATACAAATAAAACAAAAGCAAATACCATTCAATACCGATGTGTAAGAGGGAATAATCTACGATATTATTAATGATGATAAAGAAGAAGAAAAAAAGAGAGAGAGAGAGAGAATGGAACACCTTCCTACAGAATATCTACCAAAACAGAATGTTCATTAGATAAAACATTAAAAGGTCCCTCCGCCACCACTTTCCCCTTTCTGCTCCCAGAGCAGAAGACAAAGTGGGCCAAAGGCAACAAAAATAGGTGAAGGGAGAAGAGACAATTTCCTCCCCCTCTTTACTTGTTGGCGAATCCAAAGCCCTTCTTCTTCTTCTCCGGCGTGAGGGGACGGCCCTGCTCAATCCGCCTCTTCTTATCCTCCAACTCCAGTCTCTGCTTCTCCAACGCATCCTTCATCTCCTTATGCTTCGCATACAACTCGGCCTCTGACTGTGTCAACTTGGCCTCCTTCTCCTGAACCTTCTGCTGGAAGACATGCTTCATATCCTGTTCCATCTTGACCAGCTTGGCCTCATGCAACGCACGCTCCTCGGCCAACTTGGCAAGTGGGTCAATCTCACGGAAGACAGTCTGGTCCTGTTGGTAACCCAATCCGACGAGCTTCTCGGTACGGTAGTTCTCGTAGTGGATGTCGTTTGTGAACTCGCGGAGCTCCTCCATGTGGGTCCGGACGAGCATCTGGCGAAGCTTGACGAAATCGCAGTGGTCCTCGTTGTCGACCTCGATTGTGCCCCAGGGGTAGCTGCGGCCTCGGACCACACGGCCGTCCGATGTCTCGACCCCCTTGTCCGATCCCACAATTGCGAATGGGACCTTGCTCTATCAGTTCCCATTGAATTGAAGATGTTAGATACGATGGTAAAGGTGATAGTTGGGCAAGGAAAGCGAGCACGCCTGCCCAGAGTATGAAATAGTTACCATGACGTCCTTGGTCTCGTTGATGGTCTCCTGGTCGTCACAGTCGTAATGCTGGGCGTGGTAGATCTTGATGTTGTGGTGAGCAATATCCAACAGAATCTACAATGTCAACCACACAAATACAAAACAAAACAGTGTGTCAGTAGCGAAATAAAAACTGCCTTGACCCTTCATCTTCCTCTTCAAACACTGAGGTTCAAAAACAAACAAAAAAAGGTAAACATACACGCTCCTTGAAGGCGGCAACTTCCTCGTTGGTCATGGTGTCAGACTTGGCAATGACGGGGATCAGGTTGACCTTGTTGTGAAGACGCTTCATGAACTCAATGTCGAGCGCCTTGAGCGAGTGGCCTGTGGGGGCGATAAAGTACAAGCAGGCGTTCACGCGGGTATCGGTGATATTGCTGCGGTTGACTCTGTTCTCCTGCTCGAGGAATGCGTCGAATCTGCTCTCGATCGTCTCCAAAATGGGCTTCCAGCTATTCATTTACAAGTCATTGCTACAGGCGTTAGTCAAACCATTGCATGCAGATTCTCTTGTTTCCACGCGCCTAACATCTGAAACGTGAAAGCAGCTCTAATTACCTCTCCTCGTTGTTGATAAAGTCGCCAAAGCCGGGTGTGTCGACAACGTTCAACTTCAGACGGACGCCGTTCTCCTCAATGTCCGTGTTCAAGACCTGGATGCCAACAGTCTTGGGGCTCTCCTGCGAAAGACCAACGACTTCCTTGGGAGGGTACAAGGGGGCGTTGAACAAGGTGTTGACAAGCGTCGACTTGCCGAGACCAGATTCGCCTATAAAAGTCCATGTGGGAAGTATATACAAAAAAAAACGTCAGATCAGAAACGGTAAGAAACTGGGAAGGGGAGCGGTGGGTAAAGTTTGAGGCAGGCGCATGGTCATGGGATTCTCCCTCCTGTCCCGCCATGGCTTTCCCGGCCTTGCACCATCGGATGTAATCCATTGGTGTGATACAGCCACGACTCTAGCCTACTCCTCCTTGTCCAACCGAGCCTGTTTTGTCCATGATTCGGCGTCAATGGTCGCTGATGCTGTATTGTCGTCCTTTGCATTTCCTCCACGCAAATAACACATGGTTTTATTAATATCGTCCGATGGAGGGTGTGGGTGTGCGAGCCCATCTCCCAAACCATCAAAAATATGGCAACCCAACGGTCCATCGCACGCTGACACACCAAGACAAATGCCAAATGGACACCAAAACAAACAAAGCAATATCGAGAGCAAGAGATGCTTCCTAATTATCTTTGGTAATGGTCCAAGTTCATCCGCGCTCTTTGCAGTGTTCAGGCTTGAAAGAGTGTTGCGTGTCTTCAATTGTTTGATTGCCCAAGTACTTACCGACGACCATGATGGTAAAGTTGAAGCCCTTCTTGACGGACTTGCGGTGAACCTGGTTAGGCAGGTTGGCGAAACCAACATATCCCTGGAGCTTCTTGCGAAGAGCGCCGCTCAAAAAGGGCTATTAAGGATAAAAAACCAATTGATAGAACAAAAAAGGCCGTCTGTTGTTAATTGGACGTGTTCTCGTCGTGCACAATCCCTCTGTTCCGCGAAAAAGTCAGCCGTTGTTGTTGTTTTGTTTCTCCCGCTTCGTTTGCGGCTCCTCCTGCTAGTCCCTTATTGTGCTCATCCGCGAAAGAAAAAGAAGACCACACATAACGACCAGGGACAAGCTAGTCGCTGTTGCTCACGTCTCTCATTCTCTTTGACGGAAGGTACCCTCCCAGCTCTTTGAAGGTTGAGATGAAGTTTAGCCTTGCAAGGCGAAACCCCATACTCTCGTTCTTTCCTGGCTACCCTTCTCCAGTCGCCTACTCCTTGTTCATGACCTCCTGAGTAACAAAGATGGCGTTTCCCAACCTCGGCCATTCCCCTCCCTACGAAAATAAGAAGGGGGGCGCCAGAGTCCCTTAAACCCATTTCACTTTTCCTTCTTTTCTAAACCTGCTGAATTAGAAAGATGGGGCGAAAGAGAGCGAGCTAAGGGGGTTTGCCGAAGAGAGTCGATGAGTTGGCTTGTTGGTGTTTTGTTGACACTGGGAGAAGAGAGGCATAATTCTCAGAGCAGTAACAAAAAAAAGAGGGAGAAAGGGGAGATAGAGAGGACTGGCTGGGAAGTGAACTGGGACGGGAGATAAAGAAGGGGTGAGAGGAGATGGAAGGGGAGGTGGAACAAGGGCTGGGTATCCGTGAATTGGTCGATTGATGACCCATTGTCGCATAGGCAACAATGGGGATGTGGTGTAGTGTTGGAGAATGCTTGCCTTGGAGGTGGGAGGAGTATTGGGAAGGGCTAAGTATGGAGTTGACAAGGAGGAAGTGTTAATGTGAAGGTTGTGTTGAGAGTGTGCTATTGACACGAGGAGTGTCAAAGTGCCATTGAGCGAGTGAAGGAGAGACACTTACGGACTTCTGATGCCATTATGAAGGAAGTGGGGTGGTGATGATGAAAGGTAAGGGTATGATTAAGAAAGGGAAGGGAAGAGGTAAGGTATATGAATGAATGTAAGAAGAAGGTGTGAGGTGGATCAGGAGTGAAAAGGGATGATGAGAGAAGGGAAAGAAAAGAATTAAAAAGTGGAAGAGAAGAAAAACTCTTTTTTTTTTTACTTCTCTGTGTGCCCCGGACCCAGCCATTCAGACAAGGACCCGTCCAGCCAGTCCAGTCAACTACGCTCTACTCAAATGCTCTCCTTGTTCAACACGTCCTACCATATGTAACCTAGACGGCAGTCGCAATTAACCTCCCGCTCATTGCACTAATGACCCTCAGAGCACAGACTGATAACCTGGTGAGGATGCCCTCCCATTGCCCCTCTTTTTCGCATTGCCTGCTTGTTTGTTTGTTTTTATGCTTAATGTGCTTAATAGTGGTGTTGTCGTCCCAGGTCCATGTACCATATGCAATTAAGCAAATCTGGTCCCACCCCCTTTGTTGTCAACAATGCAACAAACAACAATCTCAAACAAAAAGAGGACCCTTGACCCTTACTCAACACGTCTTTTCTTGTCCTTTTTCTATCGGGCCAAAATAATGCAATTGGCTGACACGAAAAGCGTTTTGTCAAATGTTCAAGTGCACTACTCTCTCGCGAGGGCTGAAAGCATTAAAGAGAAGGAATGTGATGACAACACAAACCATGAACGACATTATGCCTTGTACAAAGGACGGCATCATGTGATTGATTCGACTGTCAGTCCAGGTCAACTACAGGGTCCATCAGTCGACCGATCGTTCTTTAACGACTGTTGTGGCCACCAACTTCTTGCAATCCAGCCATCCCTTCACAATCATATTTGTCTGTATGTTATCAGCGCTGAGCGCCAAAGACTGACCTCCAGGGTCTGAGCGATCTGAACCAGAGCAAAGAGCCAGGGACCTGAAAATACAAAGGAATGACGACTGTTCTTAATTCCTCATTCTTATTTTTTTTTCGTCCAACGCCTTGACCTTGTTCATCAAAGTCCGCCCATCAACTATGTTTTTTTTTTTTCTTTCATTCTGTTCATTCTGTTTTCTACAGTACGCGTCGTCGCACGAGTTTGTTCATCTGTTCATTTGCGGTGGAAGTGAGCAATTGGGGAAGAGTGAAAAGAAACGAAAAAGGAAGACGAAGGTACTATTTATACTCGACAGCCAGCAAGTCTAATGAACTCGTCTCTCCACACATAAACATGTTGCATGCACCTCTCCCCCCTCCTTCGCGTCCGTGGATCGAGTTGAGTCCTATAGAACTTGTTATTAACAAACCAACACAACTCGATTTGAAATAATTCCGCCGAACTACTATCATCCGTTTCCAGACCAGGCTGTCAGGGGTCATATGTACCCCTGTCCTGTGCAACTTTCTTTTTGGGCGCTACTCTTTTTTCTGTGTCGACCTTGTCCCTGTACATGTGTCTGTACCTTTCATAACTGAACCTCATCCTTTGTTCTTTTAAAGGGGTCATTTAGTTCCCAAGTCTAGCTAACGACGGGCGATAACAGGCTAAAAGGCGAAGAAAAGAAAGTGGTAAAAGGGTTGAACATGCGTTCCATTTCCCAACCATGATATGAACCTCTAAAAAGTCAAGGCAACCCTGGCATCCACACCATCGACGGACAAGTATGAGTGTGTGCTAAAAGAAGCCCAAGGCTGGCAACAACATTCGACTCATCGTTCTCGGCAAGCAAAGGTATGCGCTTGTTTTTTGTTGTTGCTTCTTGGTTGATTGTAGGGTTATCGGAGCCGGCACATTTCTTAGAAAGCAAATCCGCTTTATGTTTTTGTTCTTTTTTGTTGACAAACAGACCAAGATACGACTTTGACTCTTGGTCCTTTCTCCAAAAGGCATATTGCATGGGACGAGGAAGAGGAACAAGAGAAGAGAAGATACAAGTCGAGGCAAGGCGGGTCATGGGGAGAGAAGGCTGGAATGACTCTTTCTGCGCCCAGCCTTTCTCGTTGTCAAGCAACACCAGCAACAGTGAGAAAAAAAAAGACGGAAACGAAATGGGAGTACCTGTGTGTTGGTGCCCGTCCTTCATCCCCCTTCGCCCCCTTCCCTCGGCGCTATGATCCTTAGTATGGCCATCACCGTTGGATCATGCACACAAAAGCGTCCTAACCAAAATCAACTTTTTCTGCTCTGACCTCTGCACGATAGTAACAAGCACTCAGAAGTGGCGGGAGGATAAAAAGGAATCCAGGGGTTCGTCATATTTCTTTTCTCTCTCTCTTCTTCTTCCTCTTCTTCCTCTTCTTCATTACACACTCTCCCCTCCAACACTCACTCACACTCCCCTTCTCACCCCCTCCCTTCTCCACCAACAACTACAAAAGAAATGCTGCAGTCACCAACAAGTACACATAAGTCCCGCGTCGCAGAGTTCACAGACTTGCTCAGGGACGACCATCGCGTCAAGGTCGCCGGCGTCGATCTGGACGGCATCCTCCGCGGAAAGGTCATGGCCAAGTCCAAGTTCCTCTCCGTCCTCGAGTCCGGGTTCGGCTTCTGTTCGGTCATCTTTGGTTGGGACATGCATGATAAGACCTATCCTGAGGAACTCTCCGTCTCCAACGCCGCCAACGGTAACTCTTTCGCTTCTTTTGTGTTTATTGAATAACATGGATATGGATGGGCGTTGCTTCTACGTCAAGCATTCCTTTGACACCTTGTCACCCTTCTCACGTTTTTATTCTTCTTGATACTCTCGATGCTACTTACACCATAGGCTACAGGGACATCATCGCGATTCCGGACTTGACGACGTTCAGAAGGATCCCGTGGGAGGACAACATCCCATTCTTCTTGTTATCGTTCTACGAACCCCACACGAGGGAACCCTTGGCGGTCTGTCCTAGAGGGCTTTTAAAACGAGTCACGGACGAGCTGGCTACCTATGGATGGGAAGCCATGTGCGGCGCCGAGTTCGAGTTCTTCAACTTCAAAGGTAACCTTTTCTTTTTGGTGCAAAGGTGTTCTGATTGTTGAGGCGTGAGAGTGAATAGTATCTGTTACCAAGGATATGCGAGAGAAGGAAAAGGGATGACGAGATGACGAGTAATGAGGATAGAGGGATGGGAAGTAAAAACGGCGTGGGAGTAATATGATAAGGCAAATGGAGGCGATGGATGAATTTTTGTATTGTTGGAGATGTATGTAAATATTCATGCGTAGTTGGTCCAAGCCAAACTAAAGTATACTCATCATCCTCCCTCTCTTTTCTCTCTACTCCATCAAACCTCCTGACTGCTGACCATAACCATGACCCTCCGACTACGCAATCGCCCACCAACAAACAAACAACAAAACAACGAAACAAACAACAAAAAACAAAAACAGAAACGCCCGAGTCATTGGCATCAAAGGGACACCATGAGCCCGAGGCGCTGACGCCAGGAATGTTTGGCTACTCCCTCCTCCGCCCTTCGCTCAACCAGGAGTACTTTTATAACGTCTTTGATGAGTGCCGGGACTTTGGCGTGAACATCGAGTCCTTTCATACCGAGACAGGTAAGAACTGGGAGACACTGTTGTTACTTTTCTCCGTATGACCGTAATGATGCGTGCGTCTCTTATCGCTTGGTATCGACTTTTTTATGTGGAGAAAGCAATGACGACATGGTTCAATGTGAACTAACACATACTTTAATTTTCCTGTTCCTCTTCAATGTACCTCCACTTCCTTCCTCTTATGAACAAAAATAGGCCCAGGAGTGTTCGAGGCGGCTCTAGCGTACGACAATGCGACTAATATGGCAGACATGGCCAATCTCTTCAAGTTATCCGTCAAACAATTGGGAATGAAACAGGGCATCATGCCCACCTTCATGGCGAAACCCTACGGCGACCAACCCGGATGTTCGGGTCATCTTCATTTCTCTCTCCGTGATATTGCTACCAAGACCAACCTCTTTGCCGCCAGCCTCAATAATAACTCTTCCTCCACTTCTGTTGGAACTATTAACAACATTTCGGCGAACAGAACTAACCCCCCAAGTCCAGTCGAGGAAATCGACGAGGCCACCGCAACTACACAGGCACAGCCGAGACCAGAATGGGAAGACACGGTCGAGGGCGTCGAGCACATGTCTCAAGTCATGAAATGGTTCACTGCAGGACTCCTCACCGGCCTCCCTAGCATCATGGCGATCCTGGCTCCCAACATCAACTCTTACAAACGGCTCGTCGAGAACTACTGGGCTCCCGTCACAGTCTCCTGGGGGATCGAATCCCGCGTCTCGGCAATCCGTGTCATCGGACCCCCACAATGCGATCCCAAGGGCACCCGTCTCGAGATGCGCGTCGGTGGCGCCGACATCAACCCCCACCTCGCCATCGCGGCCTGTCTCGCCATGGGTCTCTACGGTATCAAGAACAAGCTCCCCATGCCTGTGGGTCCAACTACCGCCGAGGCAGAAGTCGAGATGGCTCAGCAGGCCAAGGGTGGAAACGTGAAGGTGAAGGCGGAGAGGTTGCCAAAGTCATTGAAGGATTCTGCGATGGCGATGATGGAGAAGGATTCGATTGCGAGGAAGGTATTGGGGGATCAGTTTGTGGACCATTATGGTGCTACTCGTCTGAACGAGTACCGGATCTGGGAAACGGCTGTTACTTCTTGGGAGATGAAGCGCTACTTTGAACTCGTTTAGATGGGAGAGGGTGTTTGGGTGGGAGGGTTGTTTTTGATAATGTAATAATAAAATAGGCTGCTACTTTTCGCGTATTTTCTAGATTTTCTATGTTTCTGTCTATGGGTGGTGAAGAAAAAAGAAGGGAGGGCGCGATTAGCGAATGAGAGAGTAGGAAGTGACGATATGAGTGGTGACAATGAGAAACAATGATGTAGAAACTATATAGTAATGCGCTTAGGAAACAGCCAACAGCAACGACGAAAGCAAACGAAGGTGGCGAGGTGACGGGAAGAAAGGGAGTAGAGCAACAGCCCTTTTCCGAAAGACAAACTTCGGCAAGCGGATGGATGACCGATTGGGAAACTGGGAAGAAGAGAGGGAGACAAACAATTATCGTTTCTTGGCCTAGTATGTTTTGTTTGTTGTTATTTTTGTTTTGTGTCCTTCTGCGTCTAGAACTCCAAAAGAACTTCCACCATGTAACGACACCAAAAGGGCATTCCTCAAGAAAAGAACAGACAATCAACGAAAGAAGGGGGAAAAAAAAAAAAAAAAAAGGAGAACCAGACCCGCCTCACAACAGCCCAGCAAAGACAGGGGAGGAGGGGAAAGGTGGACAAATGATGTCGATGTGCATTAATGCAATTAACAGCCCAAAGGCTTCCTCACTTGGTCACTGCCCTGCATTTTTTTTTTTTTCGTTGCCGAGGTGTGCAATGTACTTTCTCTTCTGTGTTTTGGTATGGGACATAAGAATGCGATTGGACGAAAACGAACAAAGAAGTTAAAAACGAGTGGTCAGGAATCTCTCCGAATCGCAGTCGATCCCTTTCTCATCCCTTCGTCATGGTCGAACACACAGCCCGCACTTAAGCGCTAATTCGTGAACGGGAAGAAAAAAAAAAAAAAAGAAAAGGTTGTTGCCAAGAATGACCAGGTGCTCCTCTTCATCAACAAGTGGTTCATGACAAGAGTCAACGGGAGGGAAGACAATGTCCAGGGGAAGTTGACTATCGCGCATTAATGCAATTAACCCTCTTTTTTTTTGTTCGCTGCCTCCTTCTTTCCCTTGACGACAGCCCATCCCTCCGGGAAGAATGGAAGGACGATGTCTCTGCTTGGACCTGCGTGAGGGAGTGATGGAGGTGTGGGATGGTGTATGTGCGTATGCGAGTGGGATGTGGGATATGTATGTGTGCTTTGCCATCCTGCTACTCAAAAAAAATTCCACCTGTTCGTAATTGAGTGTGCTTCCAGCCAAACAGAAAGCCAAGCACACACAAGACGGGAAGGGAAGAAAAGAAATATGCGATCGGGAGGACAAACTAGTACGTGCATGAATCAGGTCGATGCTCCCTCCCTCCCTTTCCCCTTGTTTCCCTATCTCAACCCACCATCGTCAGTCCAGTCGAACAAAACACACACACTGGTACACAATTTGTGCTCAGCCCGCACCTGCATCATTATCTGTTAGCGCACTCCCACCTGCCTACTCCCAAAGACAAAAATATTCACCAAATACGACATCATAGACATCTTACAATCACCATTGCCCACCCATGGGAAGATGGAAAGGGCAATGCAAGCGAAGACTTTACGGTTGGAGCAGCAGGAAACAATGACAGAGAAAGGAAGCTCCTATAATACGGGGATTGCACGCAGGCGTTGGCGTGCATTGGAGTTTTCTCCAGAGGAGGGAAGACACTGCCCCTAGGATGAAGGATGCTTATGGAAGCAAGAAGGAGGAGTGTGAGGCAGTGAATGAAGAGAGTAGCCAGGGGAGGGAGGGCGGTGCGGAGGGGAAGAAGAGAGGGGTGAGGGTCCGTTCGTTGCTGGTTAGTGGAACTGCAGTGAGCTGAATAGAACGTATTTGCAGAAGGGCATGGAATGAGCGAGAAGGGACCAACTCACATAGAAAAATAATAAGAGCAAGAGAGAAAAAGAAGGGAAGGGAAGGGAAGGAAGGAGGGAGCCAAGGTGAGAGGGAAACACAGACAGGCGGGAGCATCGCAGCTGTTAGCATTGACATTCGTTGTCTGATTTACTGTAGTAGGAGTTTTCTGGTGAAAACAAAACAAAGCGAGTAGGATGGAGAGGGTGGTAAGACCAATTGGACTAATCGGCAGACACAGTTGGTCGCGGATGAGTCTCGATGAGTCGTTTGACGCGTCTACCGCAGTTTTAGAAACGGGGAGGGGGAATGGACGATTGTGGCGAAAGCCCAACTCCTTTATCATATAAAAAGGGTCCATGGTCCCCTCGACAAAAAAAAATAACATCCATATTCAGTTCAACAAAAAAAAAGCAAATCTATCTCGATCTTCAACAGACGCCAAAAGGAAACCATCAACATTGACCCGCAACAATCATATTACATCTCAACATTCAACTGCAACCCGCGCCTCACTTTATTTCATTTGTCTCTCTTTCTTCCTTCTTCTCCCTCTTCTTTTTTTTTTACCTTTTATTTTAACATACACACATACACATTTACCCACTACCACCCTGTAAAGAAGATGTCTTTCGCTTAGATCCAGGATTCCCACAATCGCAACATATACCCGTAAGTAAACCATTGGATACGCCAATGAAGGATATATGAAGTATACGAACATTTTCTCGAGTACGACGTCAGTCTGAACCGAGTGCAACGTTCAGCCCACCGTCCCTTCCCGAGGGGACCTCTCCCTCTGCTCTATTTTTTTTTCTCTGCCAGCAAATATTTCCTTTTTGCACCATGTTATTTTTTTTACACGCAGATCTATATGGAGCCGCAGCAGAAAGCACTGGAACAGCTGTACTTTTTGTTTACCTCGTCTTTTCTTTGTGCCCGAGGTGTGAGAAGAGGCATGAAGACGAGGCGACAAACAGCATAGGAAAGACGTGAACGAAAGAAAAAAAAGGAAAGAGGGCGTAGGATTGCTAGTAGCATAGGTATAGAAGCATCAGATAACATATGAGAAAGAAAGAAGTAGAAAGAGGTGAGCCGAGAGTCGATGCTCTTGGTCGGTGGGTGATTCATGGTAACCGTGGTATTCATAGAGCACAAGGAGGAAGCAATTGGGTTCCCATGGGGGTAATGGGAATCAAAGAGGTGTGCGTGCAAGGGAGTGTACGTATGCTGCTCTCAGGGTAGAAAGAGTACAAGAAGATGGTTTATCGACTGCTCTCTCTCTTTTGCAGGATGTTTCTGTCATCGGATAGTACGACCTGCAAGAATAAGAGGGCGTCCATTCATACCCATGCCTTTGGAGTGTGTTCTGGCTTCGACTCGACTCCAATTGAGCAATTCGACTGCGTCGCAATTTTTTTTTTATCTTTTTGAATGAATCATATCACCCCAAAAGTGAGGCGGAGTCCAGCCCCATTTCTATATAAAGGGAGTGGTATTGTCTGCCTGTCTGTTTCTTTTTTTTCCCTTACTCCTTCCCTTCCTTCCCTTCTCTCCCCCCTTTCCTTCTTCCCTTCTTGACTTGTTTGCCTGCTTTGCTGTTGCGGCCACACTCTTCTTCCTCCTTCCACTTCACTATTCTCAGTTGTTGGCACAAGTCATTCGCTTGACCTTGTGTGCTTGTTTGTTGTTGTTCTCATTCCTTCTTCTACACTTTGCCCCCTGCAGACACCTTTTCTCATTTCCACAACTTTGTCACTTGGACTGTTCAAAACGCTTTTTCAGTAATCACTCACCCTGGACACTTGCACTCACGCTCTTCACCACCGACAAAAAACGTCGATTTTTTACTCAACTCTAAAAGACTTGTCTTTGCCTGTTGTCTAAAATAACAATCGCGTTTTGCTACTTTGACTGTGTGTGTTCTGTATCCTCTGTGTTTGTGTGTCCTGTCTCTGTGCTAGTTCATTCTCGCGACTCTTCTTTTTTGTCTGCCTGTGCCGGTCTCTTTGTAGTCGATTGTACTTTTTTTTAATTCTTTGGTTGTTGTTGGCCAAACGAACGCTTTTTTACTTTTCTTCCACGTATCTCACTAAGAGTAAGACCATCACCCCTATCTCCTTTTTGCCACCATTTTTTACTCCTTCGCCAATATAAATACCCTGCAATTGCCCTTCTCTCTTTTTTCATCCCTCCTTCCTTCCTTCTCCTTCCTCTCGTCACTCTGCTAACCAACACATCTATCCAACCATCCATCTCTATCCATAATGAATAGTCCAACTACTTCAATGGATAACGCTCGCTTCATGGATCTCTTCATGGATGTCACCGCCGACATGGGTCTCTTTGACGACTGCACTCAGTCCGTCTTCCCCTCCAATGCCATGGCCTCCTCCTCCTCCTCATCTGTCGCTTCCACCTCCACCGCCTCTACCTCTGTCTCTGCTTCTTCCATCTCTGCCATGAACCTCAACAGCTACGTCTTCCCCAGCAACGACATTGCCAACATGACCTGGGACACCACTCTCCCCAAGCAGTTCCAACCCTTTGTCCCCGTTGCTCCCTTGACCATGGATTTCACTCCTGAGCTCTCGCCTGCCCTCAGCTACTATACCCCTGCCATGAACTCTGTCCAGTCCCCCTACGCCTTTGACAACCTTGGTCTCGACGAGCTCGGTTCTAGCCCCTCGGTCGGTTCGCAGTCGCCCATGGATGAGATCTTTGGCAGCCAGCAGTCGCAGGAGAGCTTTGACTACGATTTTGGAGTTGTCATCCCCCAGAGCAACGCTACCATGAACACGGTCTGGTCGCCCCAAGGTGACTTTGAGCTCTTCCCCACTGACACCAACCCGTCTGTCACCAGCCTGCAGCAGTTACTCATGACCCCTGCGCCTATGGGAACCGAGTTGGCGGCCTTGGAGGAGTCTCCCTTTGAGTCTGACCTCGACTACTTTTCGCCCCTTGCCTCAGAGTGCGGTAGCCCTGAGATGAGCGACTTTTCGGATGCCTTTAATGACTTTAAGCGTCGCTCGTCCGATTACAGGCCCCCTCAGCGACCCCGTCGTCGTCGCATGACCTCGGAGGAGGATGCTCGTGTTGTCATCGAGGAGACCAAGGAGGGCACCAACGGCAAGCCCCGCTACCAGTGCAAGGTCTGCGACAAGACCTTCTCTCGTCCCTTCAACCTGCGCTCTCACCGCGCCACCCATGCCGGTGTCAAGCCCTATGTCTGCACCCATGAGGACGAGAAGAACGAGGTCTGTGGATGGTCTTTTGCTCGCCGCCACGATTTGGAACGTCACGTTCGCAGCCGACACTCCACGGAGAAGCTGTTCAAGTGCAAGACTTGTCCCATCCAGTGCGGACGTAGCGATGCCTTCAAACGTCACTTGCAGCGTCACCCTGCCTGCGGTCTCGCTGCTCAGTTGGAGGCTGAGGCCCAGGCCCAGTTTGAGGCCGAGTCCGCGGTCAAGGCGGAGGGTAGTCCTTGAACGGAAGGTCTCCCCTCTTTCTCGATTTTCATCCATCGGGAATTATTTCTCTGCGGGCGATAGTCGGACATCAGCCTCTTCTCTTTACTTTCCAGGACTTTTTTGACGACGTCTGAGTGTGCGCGCTTCTTATTTTCAGCGACTGCCAGACAACCGTCTTTTTATCTCTTGTACCAGCAACAACTACAACTACAACTACAACTACAACAACAACAACAACAACAACAACAACAACAACAACTACAGCAACAACTACAACAAACAACAAACAACAGCAAACACCAAAACCAACAACAACACCCCCTTTCGCTATACAAGTAACATTGGTTGACCAGGAACGGCACTTTGAATTGAACTCCTTTTCCGACAAAGGACTCTTTTCAGAATACAGGAAAAAACACTCCCCTCAGCAAAACAGAAGGAACCTCGAAAGACGTGGTGATGACTTTTAGACACTCTTCTCGCCCTTTTCCTTTTCATTTCGCTTTCTTTTCCTTTTACTTCTCGCCCAGTACTCCCATTTTATATCAGTATAGTCCCACACACCCACACCGCAATTGCTTTCACATCGTTTTTCAAAGGGCACAGACAAGAAAGGAAGGAACCTTCTTTGTGGCCTAGGAGACAACCACCCCACCTCCTACTTTGAACCCAAACGCGTGTTGGCTTTTGCACCGGAATTTTTTTCTTTTTTTTTCGACCCCCCTTTTTTTTTAGTTCATGCTGTAGTGGCGTTATTGTTGGTTCTTCTCTTTTGAAGTCCTTGACGAAACCTTCTCACACCCAAGCATAGAGCGCCTTTTTTTTTTTTTTTTTTTTGCCAAAAAAATAACCATTTCGTTCGGCCGTACAATAGCGTTGTACTTGTTGCTCGTCCTCCGGGATGCAGCGACGACACCTTCATTGACGCGGTTCGAACTCTCCATTTTTTTTCTTTTTTTTTTGTATATTTTTTTTTTTTTTTTTTTTTTTTTTTCTTGTGCGCCATCTTGTTTCTCGGTAGTACCCTTTTCTTTCTTTTTCTTTGTAGCATACATTTCTTGCATTTCTTTTAGCATTTTCCTTTCATAAAAACAAGATAACACATAACTGCCTCGCCTCTGCCATTGACTTGCCAATGTTTGCTTGAATGAATGGTTGAAGGACACGTCCGATTGAAATGCCTTGTTCCCTCACGATGACACGCTCTGGACTCTCTTCTACATATATTGCAAGGTGTCATATTCCCTCTTTCTAATTGACTGGTTGAAGAGTTGAACACGTCTCCTTTTGGTCGAATTCTTGACTCAACGCGCGAGAACAAAATCAAAACGAAAGATGCAACAGTGAAAGCGAAAGGCATTGCCCTACACACACACACCTCCCTTGTCAATGGCAAAAAAACGTTCCAACCATCCAGGGCATTTGCACCCAAGAACAAAAAAAATTCTAGGCGGGGAGAAAAAAGGTTGGAGAACCTGGGCATCGATCCCAGTGCCTCTCGCATGCTAAGCGAGCGCTCTACCATTTGAGCTAGATCCCCTCACAAGACAAACTTATCTTGATGACATTTCCACTGCTTCAGTCATCTATATTTCCGACAATCAATTCTCCTCGACTTGGTGGCTTAGAAGGCTGATCATGTGACGAAGTTTGATTGGTGGTGTTTGACTCAGATTGGTGGGAGAAAGCACGAAATCATCAAGTTGATTGGCCGGATGGTTTAGTGGTATAATTCTCGCTTAGGGTGCGAGAGGTCCCGGGTTCAATTCCCGGTTCGGCCCTTTCTCTTTTGCTTTTGCTACCTTCTGATTGTAGAAACGCGATGAACGCGGAAGGTTGTCGTCCTATGTGGCTTCCTTTTGGTCTGGACAACAAACAAGCTTGCTATCTATCTCTATCTCTCGATCTCTTACTCAAGACACGCTCGTCCCCACTTTCTGTTGTTTTTTTTTGTCTTAAGGCGCAACGCGACCAGTATCCGTACGATCAAAACGTAAATGCACCTTCTGTTCAAAGCTTTTCACTTCTCTCGCTTCTTTCCTGCAACTTCGTTCTTTTGTATTCTTCTCCACCCTTTTTCTCAGACGAAAATCTTCATGTATGTGAAAAAAAAGAGTTTATTGGTTGCGAAAAAGACGTTACTTGCACAAAAAAAAAAAGCGAGCCTCTCTAAAACTTGGGGGTTTCAGGGGTAGGAGGAGTAGGTGCGGTAGGAGGAGCATCAGGCGCAGCATTATATGCAAAGAACTTGTACTTCAGAACCAACGCCAAAGCACCATGGAGGACAATCACAAGGATTAGGATAATCTTGGCAATCTGCGCCTCAGCGCGCTGCAGAACCGGGTACATGTTTCTGATCAGGAAAACACCCGAAACACCAGCACCAATACCCAATAAGATCCATCGAGCCAGCTCGATTGGGATCACAGAGAGGACTGACACAGGGATCCAGATCGTCAGGGCGTACCCGTAGAGGGCCAACATCTCGAGGAGATCAGGTTGGCATCCAAAGTACTTTGTGGCGCCCCAGACGAGGAGGGGGATGATGAAGGCGTAGGTGTAGATGGTTCCAAAGGCAAATGTCATCTGGAAGATGTTGTACTGGTATGTCGTTTTGTTGAGGTAGGCGTTGATCGAGTCCACAATCGACGATGTCACGAACAGTACGAAAATCACCGTCGTCGCAATCCAGAACGGTCCTGCGAGGTTTGTATGAAGCAAAACGTGGAGTTTGGTGTCAGTGCTCCGGATCGTTTTTCCTATTTGTTGCTGGTTCTAATAATATGAAAGCTGACAGGGGTTCTTACCATAGAGATCGGGCCTTCCACCCATGACTTCCAAGAAGTTGTCCTTGGGAATCACACTTGCAAATAAGCGCTCCATGACCTATCGCAATGATATTGCCAAAAGTTAGCATCCCGCCTGAAAAAAAATAAGCCCTGATCCAGTTCCTGATACAATCTCGTACTTAAAACAACCCCAAGCATACCTGGTTGGTATCGACGTCAAAGAACCTCGAGTAGTATGCAATCGACCAGATGGGGCTCTTTGCTGCCTGTTCCTGCTGAGCTGTGGGACGAGCAGGTTCAAAGATACTCGCCGAGCCGAATCCTAAATCCAGTTCATGAACAAAAGTCAACAGATGTGAGTGGAACTGAGCGAGACTGATTGTTCCTGAAAGCACCCAAGCCCAATAGTCGTTGAACACACACCTGTGGACCGAGGTTGTGGCGTGTTTGCAGAGGACATGTTTCCTGCAGGTGGGTTCGTCGTCGTGTTGGACGATGGGAAATCTAGTAAATGCACAAACAATCACATAAAGACTGAGGTGAGATTTGTGTTCTGCAGCGAGAAAAATAATGCCAAGGAATGAGAAATAAGGGGCTCCCAGCCCAATCATTTTTTTGAAGGATCCATGAGTGTCGCTTCTTTGATATGTTTCGTCGGTCCTGCCCGTTTGCAGAGCGAAGTAGGCACTGTGGTTGTCCATGATACTAGGGAGGCGAGTAGAGACGCTGTCTGTGCCAAAACGATCCATCGGAGTGTTCCTCCTGCATCCTGTTGCATGTCAAGTCATCCTGCTTAAGGACAGAGGGTTACTTCCTGCTCTGTACGGCGCTCCAGGATCAAAAGGCAATCAATTGGCGTGGTGGTTGACCCGTATATCCTCGTGGGTAGCGTAAGTGTTAAAGTTGTCAATTGCTCCTTGTCTTGGTTCTGAGGGCGTTGTTGTACAGTGTGTCACGAAACGACCCTGGAGAGGACACGTACTCTGAAACTGCAGCTCCGTGGCATTATTGAGCTATTGAGGAGACATCAGTTGGCATCGGTGGGGTGAGAGAATGAGCGAAGGAGGTTAAGCGAAGGGTCAGAAGAAAGTTCACTTTGTTAATCGGGTTGTAGTGGCATCTCTCATTGACGACAAGAGGGTTGGTTGAGTGGTGGCTGTGTGTTGCGACGTAAGAAGGAGAGGAGTACCTCGTCATCGTCAATCTCGATGGCCCTGTATGCGTTGCTCATGGCTGGTGGCGAGGGGTACGTGTGAAATAAGAAGGACAGATGTGTATGAAGGGGAGAGAAGTTGTTGTTGATGAAGAGACAGATGGAGTATAAGTGAAGAAAAGAGAATTGAAGAGGGCGATGATGAAGCAAAAGAAAAAGACAAGGCCATAAAAGAAGGGTTCGCTAATAATATCTTTTCTTTTGTGAGAGTTGGACTGTCTCCCTCTGTTCGCAGATCAAAAATCCAATCTGAACTTTGAATAATATTGATATCAGAGTGTGCCTGGTCCCTGCCATATCCTCCCACCTCCGAAGAACACAAGTGACGTCTTGCTCTTAATCCGCACACAAAAGAAAAATATTCACTTTTACTCCCCCTACCACTCTCTTCACCTCATATTTCATTCCAAAAACACAATGACAACATACCTTGACGACCTCTACTCAAAGCTCGGATCAACCTACCACGCAGCCCTCCTTTCCGGCAACCTCATCTTCACCACCTCTGACACTCAAACCATCACCGAGACTGAATACAACATCGAGGTAACACCCCCTTCTTTTCTTCCTTCTCGCCCCCTTTTCGCACATACTCACGTCTCTTGCTACCACAACACGTTCACCAATTGACTCTCAAACACTTATATCTTAACCCTCCCTACTGCCTTCTTTACTTAATAACATAGTACGAAGTATGCTACGCACCAGCTCTGGCAAAGAAGCCACAGGGGATCCCACCAGTGGTTGAGGCAAAAACCCACGAGAAGATTGAACGTGTCGACCCCTTCCTCCCCCACGACCCCACCCTCTTTGTCGAGGATGCCTCGGAGCACCACAAGATCCTCCTCAACAAGTTCTGTGTCGTCCCTCACCACTTCCTCATCGTCACCAAAGGTAAGCAACTTTCTTTCAATTGAATCGGGAAACGCATGAAAAAAAAAAAAAAAAAAAAGTCGCGTCGTGGCGGTATCTTCCGAATAACGCGTGCTAATTATTTCTTTTACGCCTGACCGTGTTTCAACAATCTAAGACTTCCGCCCACAGACACAGCCGCTGTTGCCAGAAGACCTCCTCACCGCCTGGAACGCCCTCCAAGCCCTCAAGAACTCTCACCCAGACGCAATCGCATTCTACAACTGTGGAGCCCGCTCAGGAGCCAGTCAACCTCACAAACACCTCCAAGTCCTCCCCATCACCCGTCCCACACCCCTCACCAACCTCGTCCGGGAAGTCATTCAGCGTCGTCCTGGTCGTAGGGAAACTCGTCCAGGTGAACAATTCACAGTTCCATTTCCTTGTGTCCATCATGCGATTCTGTTGCAGGACCCCGAGAACACTCCTGGCAAGGACGCGGAGGATATCTTGGTTGAGACGTATATCAAGCTGATGGATAATATGCTCATGTCGATCCGGGAGTATGCCGAACAGGAGCATTTGTCGGAGGAGGAGAGGAATCTTGTTATGGGTGGTGGGCGTGCTAGCGGACTTGCCTATAACTGGATTTTGACCAGTGAGTTCATGATGTTGGTTCCTCGTCGTCAGGAATCAACCAACCCGACCGAGGACGGGATCGCATTGAGCATCAATTCTTTGGGATTTGCGGGAATGGTGTTGGCAAAGACACCGGAGGAACTGGAACATGTCAAGAAGACAGGTGTGATTGAGCTTATTGCCGAGACGGGCTTTATGTTTGGTAAAGATGGCGAGGGTCGATCAGCAGAGGAGGAGGCCCAGAAGAAGAAGGAGCAAGAGGTCCTTGAGAAGCAGATGGGAGGCGCGCTTTCTAGCCTTTAGACCATGTTGAGGTAATTAGATTCATTTTTTTATCGTTATTTCTTCTTGGAACTAAACAAAAGCAATAAACAATAGAATGGGCATGTATAGGCGTAAAAGGGTTCGTTATGCGTTATGATCGTCGAAACAGAGGCTGAAAGAAAAGGAGAGGGAGGGTAAATGAGGAAAATGAAAGCGGCGCAAAGTATCACACATGAGTTGAATCAAGGCCAGCTCTGAATCAACTCTAAACATCTGAGTAGGAAATATCACTACGGAGATGGAACAAACAGTTCCTGGCTGCCTTGGGAAGAAGAAACAACAATCAAAGGGGGAGGTTGCTGGCGGGCAGACATTGCCGGTGTTGAGGACGACCTCCGGAATGACTTGGCCTGAGGCGCCCGCTGTTCTTGTTCTTGATCCTGTTTTTGTTGTTGTTGTTTTACCGTCATGCGGCGGTTTATCGCATGCTGGAAGGTCATCTCACAAGTGGGAGAGGAGGAAGAAGGAGAAGAGGCGAGCGATGAACTAGAGGATGAGGGTGGGGACGAGGGAAGACTGATACTGTGTTTTGTTTTGGTGCCGGACTTCGTTGGAGTGGAGAGGGAGGATTTTGGTGCAGGCGTATCGGCAAAAATGAGTTCCACACACTCATCCACATCCGGATCTCGAAAGGGGTCAGAACGGTTACCCCCATCGCCACCAAGAGTGAACCCATTGGTTTCAGGGTAGCCCTTGTTCTTGTCCTTCTGGCCACCCTTCTGGCCACCCTTCTTGTACCTGGCCATGAACTTGGGCACAATATGGTTCTTGGAATCGATCCAATCGCTGGAGCCCAGACCGAATCGGCTCGACTTGGTTGTCTGCTTCTCCTTTTGTTTGGCACACTCTTCATTAGTATCGTGGTCCTTTAGGTTGTAGTGGAGGCGGAGGTGGCAGGCAAAAGGGATGGACGAGAGGGAAGTGGACTTTTCGGGGGTCATCACTGGAGCTGCAGACTCGGACTTAGTGCGACGACGACTTTGGTGAGGACGATCTGCCTCTGTCTCTGCCGCTAGGGACAGACCAACATGTGGCAGAGAGGGGTCGCAGTTACTGAAGTCATAGAAGCTTGACATAGGGTTGCGGGTTAAGTCCTCAGCTGACCGGGTGAAAAGGCTGGGTCCGCTCGGCGACGACCAAGAGAGCTGCAACAAGTCGGCGGCAACAGCAGCAGTGAGGGGCGGGGCAGTATTCTCAGTCGACTTTGATGAATTAGAGGAGACACTGATCATATCGACTTCCATGGGCCAGGAGGCCAGCGTTGGTACGGAGGAGGAGGAGTTCACACGAGACGGGGAGGCGGTAGAGCTGGGTACGGCATCAGAAGGAGCAACAATCGAGGCCAACGATAAGGTCGATATGTCATAGTCCTCATTGTCCAGATGACGATTCTCAACTTTGGTGACAAGGGACCCTTCGTCGAACTCGTCTTGGTCAAACTTGAAGTTGTTGGACTTTTTGTGCCTCTGGCGGATACCACCAATCAGATCGGTGGCGCGTTTCTTGACTTGACGCATGGACGACGACATGGACGACGACATGGACTTGAGAAGTGTCTTCTTTCGCTTGGGTGTACTCGTTTCTTGCCCTTGGTTGGCGGTGGTGGCGGTGTGGCGAGGAGGAGCAGTGACTCTGGAGGGGGTGGTGATGATGCTGGTGCTGGTGGAAGTCTGGCTGCGGAGACTATTGGTCAAGTTGACATTACTTTGGTTGTTGTTGATCGTCATGGTCGCGACCCTGGCTGGAGTTTGGTGCCGACTAGCGCGTCCGACCGCGACAGGGGTCCGGTCAGATAGAGGAGACGACTGATCGGCATGATTCATATCCACGTCCATGTCGCCAACCAACGCATTCGCCGTCTTTTGAAGAGCAGCATGACTGATGGCAGTAGCGGCGGCGACAGAGGCGGTAGTGGTAGTGATAGCGGTGAGAGGAGTAGGAGTAGCGGGACGACTGAGGATAGAAACCTCTTCAAAATCGCCAAAATCGCCCAGTCTCGTGTTAACAGGCCCACTGCGATGAGCTGCCGGATGGATCGGGACGCTCGAGGTACTGGGAGAAGGCTGTTGTTGCTTGCGATACAGCAGGGAAGAAATCCTTTTTGAAGGAGACAAAGGCCGAGCGACTGGCGAGGGTGAATCGGCGAGCTTGTCGACGAGAGGGGTGTTCAAGAGCGTGTGCGTTTTGTTCGAAGGCAGAAGAGGTCCCGCTCTAACCGCAGTGGTGAAAGATAAAAGGCGCTTCATGGAAGAGGTGCCGAGAGATATGGACTTATCAAGGAGATCCATGGGGATCTGGATCGGTCTTGACTCGTTGAACCGACGGTCATGGTTACTGAGCTGCTGCTGCTTGTAGTCGCGGGGGTGGTCCGAGTCAGTGTCAGAGGTGGACCGTTGGAGAGGCGACGGAGGAGGTGACTCGAGTTCGGCGTATGCGCTCGAAGGGCGTGAGATGGGTTTGATGGGGCAGTGGACAAAGAAGGGAGTTGCAGAGGACATTGGGGAAGGTCTATTGTGTGATTTTGGGGGTGGGTGCAATGAGGAGGAGCGGGAGGAATAAGAGGTAGATGCCATTGCAGTGGAGTAGGGGTTCTTTGTATCGTAATGGTAGAAGAAGAAGAGATCGTTGTTGTTGAATGATGAGGAGAAGGATAAAGAAAGAAATAATGAAAGAAAGAGAAGGAAGATAGAGACGACGAATATTTACAAAGAGCAAGAAAGCATCCAAGCTGTTCTGGATACAACTGTCTATGGATCCAATGGGCGAAGTGACCATTCTTTTATTGGGGTAAAAGTTCACTGTCTGTGCCCTATTGTTAAATATCCCTTCCATTCCACCTAGTGTCCACCTGCATGTCCATTGTTCCAATTGTTTACTCCATTGTGTTTGTAAACAGAAACAGAGCTGGATGGCGTGGATGGCTTCAATGGTTCAAGCGCACGGTTCCACACTCTCTCCCTCATGCACCAAATTAATCCTTTCTGTGTGACCCGCCTCTTACTTTTGATTAGTTTTCAATCAGCGCCATATTGGCAGCTGCGTATGCACCATTTAGGCGCGACAGAGAGGCTCAATCTCCCTATCCTCTTTTTCTTTTCCCTTTCTCTCGCTTTCTTTGTACTCATTACCCGACCTTTCTTTTCCTTATTTTCCTTCCGCAATATCTAGCTACCCCCAAGAGGCGCAAGGTCAGGTGTTTCGTTCTCTTGTGGGCAAAAATCCACGTGTGTTTCTACGCGTTCATTGATATCATTCCTTTCGCGTCTCTTTAGGACGCGTCGCCCGGATCTACCAAAAAAGCCACTACCACTTCGCCAAATAAAGGGATCACAAAAGCGAACAACCATCCATCAAACGTCTCAAGGCTGCATTCTTCAAACAAAACATGTGATAGTTTTTATTTCTTTACACAAAACGTTTGCTCGTTTTTTTTCTTTTGAGAACATGCTTTAACCAAATAAAGCAATGGACAAAAGAGGGGGCGGAGGTGCCTTCAACAGCTTACTTAATGAGCGCGTTGACTTCCTTAATTTCGGCTTGAAATTCGGCGAGAAGGGCGTTGTCCTCGTCCAGGTTCTTTTGGATCGCCTCCATAAACTTGCTCGCGTGTGCGTGACGTCCCTGACGGAGCTTCTCCCGGTCCTGAACAACCGCTGTCCTTCCCAAATCGGCTTGGTCGCAGAGAGGTTCCGCGAGGGTCTTGACCGAATCACGAAACGTAGCAATTTGAGTTTTGTGCGTGGAAATTCGTTCGGAGACTTTTGCAATATCAGCGGCCAAAGCTGCCTGTTGGGCTAGGAGCTGGGCGAGGCATTTTGATGCTTCTGGCATGTTGTTGGGTTGGTGTTTGGTGTTTGGTGTTCTGGGTTCTTGTGAAGAGAGAACGCGTTGGTAGACGACGCGTTTTTTGCTGTTGTGTGTGGAGGTGCGAGGAGAGTGGAGATGAATGAAGAACTGAAGGATAGAAGGAAGAGAAAAATGAGAGGAGATCTCCTAGTTTTTATACACCCTCTCTACCCTCGCCTTTTTTTCAACACAACTCCTCTTCACTCTGCTCCTTTCGCTTATTACTTACTTTATCTTCATTAACCTTCTTTTCGTCGCCGTTCCTTCAGGTATTGCCATCAGCGATTCGTGCTCCGTTATTGAGGACACTACACATTCATTGCGCTATTCTTGCCATCTACAAGGAACAATGATTTCCAACTCCACAAATCCATCCCTCTATTCTATTCCCCCGCATCTTCCCGACAACTCAAAGCGCCTTGAATGGCATTGATCCGAAAGCCATGCACAGCAAAAACAAAGGCGGTAATGAAAGGAATTTGGGTTAAAAAGGTATTGATAGAATGCCTCGTAGAAAAGTGTATGTGCCCAGAGTCCGTGCGTGTGTGCGCCGCCGTGGGGTGTGAAATCAATTGGAAGGAAGGGAAGTCAAGGATCCTGAGTTTGATCCACCGCTTGCATTTTTTTTCCACGAACGACCTGGGAGGACTCTTTTGTTTTTGTAGATCGTGAAGCCTTTTTGCTGCTCTTGTTTGACAACGTTGCCATGAAGGGGCATTGCCAAGCGAGCTGGTAAAAATGAAGGAGCCTTGCTACATGAGATACTATAATAGTCAATACAAGGCAAAAAAAGGAAAAAGAAACAAGAGGAGGTTGAGGTCTAAGATGTGTATGAGACGAAAAAAGTCGAAGACAAAGAAGGAAGACAAGCAAAAGACATGTACAAGAAAAGATTGAGATGGTACTCTACGAATGCAAGATAAAAAAAAGATGGGTAGATGTAAGAATCATATTGGGATTATATGTGTACTTTCAATACTTCAAAGATTGAGCAAATGTCTGCCCATTTGTAGTCTTCCTGAGCGTTAATAGAAAACATTGAAGAGAAATGTTTCTCAGGCGCCAAAATCAGGAATTGACTGAAGTAACAAGGAGAAAACTGAGGAAGGGGATGAGGAAGGGAATGAGGAAGGGGAGGGAAAAAAAGAAAGTTGTCCATGCGTGCGCACAATTATGTACCACAACAAAGGAGCTGGCCTACTAAGAAGACCCTGAACAATTTGTTGCATGGGCGTATGTGTGTATGTTTGCCTACTGCTTTATTCGCTCCTTTAATTGACGTTCTGGGCATTGTTCCTTATTGACAAGACCCTTAAAGTAGAATACTCCTCCTCCATGAGAAAAGAACACAAAGGCACAAACACATAGAAGCACGTTGATGGCACTCTACCTCTTTGCTTCGCGTTAGCATGCAAGGCACACATATGCATCGTCATCGTGGATATCTACAGCAGCAAAAAAAGAACCACAGCCACAAAAATATAAAACAAAAAGGTGGGTTCCCACACTTTTTGTGCATGGTGGGGGGTATTCTCGCGACCATCCCCTCCCTACGTGAGTTAGAATCCAGTTCCAATAGCGAAGAGAGTTATTGGCGGAGCGGGTCGTAAACGAAAACGAAGGTTCTTAAGGGTCCTGCATGGACATGGTACGAGGAGTTGAGTTGATTCTTTGATTGTATCACAAATGTCGGTTCCAGTGAGAATCCCCTTTGCATAGTCCTAGTTCACCTTCCTTTTTCGTTTTACGACCCGCTCTGCCAATTCTCTCTTTACTGTGCGAAGATTGAAAATCGGAACTGGATTCCAACCCATGTAGGGGGATGGCCGTGAGACTACACTCCATCTGGCCCTTTCTTCCCTTCCATAGCGAAAATTGCCATTGGATTTTACATGTGCTTTATTGAGCGCAAACAGAGAACGCAAACATCAAAGAAATCTAGAGCATGAGCTTCTTGAAGGAGGGCCAGGGTGTAAAGTATGTAGTTCGGTGGCAGCAGCTTGGCCTTGTCCAAGTATTCACAACCGTCGCGCAAGGTATATATAGCATATAGAACCGTACGCGTCTTCTTATCATGCACAGCATTGGTTGCTGATCGACCTGGGTGAGGTCGATTTGATCATTGACGAAAGTTATCCAACGCGACGCAGAAAAGACCTTATCTAGCACGATGTCGTTCAGCAGCAGCAGAGAAGAATCTTCTCATTCCTTTGGGGACCTTTATTTTCACGTAATTCTCAATGGTCAATGGTGACCTCTGAGATGCCGGTCAAGTCTCAGACCCGTGCTCATGGTCTCCAGCTCTGGATCAACTTGCCCAATGAGCACAAGATGTGTGAGCCAAAGTACCAAGAACTATTGGACACTCAGATACCACGCGCTAGACCCCAGGATGGAGTTGTTATCAAAGTCATTGCTGGAGACTCGCAGAGAGTCAAGTCTCAAATCTATACCCGCATTCCGACAATGTTCCTCGACTTCAAGATGGACAAGAACCAAGCCGTCACCCAAACCATCCTGGCAACATACAACGGATTCATTTACGTTCTCAGCGGCACCGCATACATCGAGGAACCGAAAGCGAGACTGAGGCAAAAGCGCATATTACCCTCACCTTCTCCGAGGACAGTACCAGCATCGTCAGGGTGCAGACAAAGGATGAGGCAGCGCATTTTGTAATGATAGCGGGGGAGCCGTTGAGGGAGCCCGTTGTTCAGATTGGGCCGTTTGTGATGAATACCCGGGAGGAGGTGTATAAGACTTATCGAGATTATCACGATGGGGTGAATGGGTTTGAGAGGGGAGGACGTGAGACTCAGATGGCGCTTAAAAGTGGTCTCCTGCTTTCTTTACCGAACGTAGCTCAGCACCATTATCAGCAACTCTATCAGCACCACAATAATTAAAAAACATGCACAGCATTCAATGATCAAAAATAAGATTTGCTACTAATTGGCCGTTCGCCTTCAGTGACAATTGAAATGCTACCAACGAACATGCCCAATGACTCCGTACATGAAAACTTGTGTAATGGACTATGTTGTTTGCGCAGCAGCACCCTTGCAATGTTGAGTAAGCAATTGCTGATTGGCCGAGGAGAGGCCAACAGCATCGGCAAAAACGGCATCCGAGGCAGCTAGAACAGGATTCCCAGTGCTCCAAACCAACTGGGCCGACCATGCATCCGACGACGACGTCTCCACCAATCTCCACATTTGAAGAGTCCCATTCTCGCATCCGATACTAAAATCCAGCGTGTCAGGTTTCCATGCAATGCTGTTGACCACTCCAAAGATATCTCGGATACGCACCGAACACTTCCACTCTCCACTTCCTCCTCCTTCCGCCGAAGTGTAAGCTACGAAATTCCAGAGACAAATCGAGCGAGGCAAGCCTACACCCATCCATTTCCCACAGGACGAAAACGCAAAGCAGTGAGGTCTTCCGTTAGCCCCAAGCGTTTGTTGAAGTTGCCCACCCTCCGCGTTCCTAACCTCAATAGCCTCCCTGAGAAAGGTTTTAGAAGCAACCCTCAAGCCATCGAGTGAAGTTGATATTGCCCAAAGTTCTATATCACCGCCAGCATCCACAACGATTCTACACTCGCGACTATCCAAATCCCAGACTCGAATAGTTCCGTCCCAACCTCCCGACAAAATTCGATGGCTGTCCGGCGAGAATACCAAACAAATAACACGATCGGTATGGCCTTCAAACACACGGTCGAGTATCCCTAAGCGAGCGTCCCAAAGTCGCACTGTACTGTCTTCACTGCCCGTGGCAATCCAGTTGCCGTCGGCTGAAAAGGCCATGGCGGTCACCTCTTCTGTGTAGCCGCGCAAGACAACGTCGGCTTGACCTGTTACAGTGTTCCATACAGTGACGAATTCGTCGTACATTCCAACTGACGCGATTCGAAGACCATCCGGGGAGACCGCTAGGTAATTAGGAGGATAGTCTCCGCAAACAATAGCTAGACCAGGCTCTCCAGTGACTGCATCATACTGCCGCACAGCTTCCGAAAAGGTGCCACAGAAGAGAACTCGACTGTCCGGAGAAAAGAGTACGCTTGTCAACGGGTCCGATCCGCCCTCCACGTCAATGCCTGTTCCCAATGAGCTCACGTCCCAGAGTCGAATGGTCCCGTCATGACTACACGAGGCAAGCTGTAGTCCGTTTGGCGAAAAGGCGACCTGGGTGACCCAGTAGCTATGACCTGTGAAAATAGAAAGGACCGATCCTGTTGCTGCACTCCAGACCTTCACCGCGCTGTCATCACTACATGTAGCGATCCATTGGCTGGTCGGAGAAAAACTCACGCCCACGACCTCTTCGCCATGGGCCTTCCAATTCCTAGTTGGCTTACCGGTTGTTGTATCGTAGAGCAGTAACTCGCCATTTTTATGCCCTACGGCAATCTCTAGGCCTTCAGGAGAGAATGCAACGCTATTCATCTCTCCACTTTGACTCTCCCAGACTTCTCCTGGCTGACCAGTCTGTGTGTCAAAGAACCGGATCATCTCATCGTCGCCAACAGACACAGCCGCATGTCCATCAGGCGAGTAGGAAATGCTACGAATGCATTCAGTATGACCGGTCAAGTTGAATAGATTGGCACCTGTCTGAACATCCCATAGCCTCACAGTCTTGTCCTTTCCAGCCGAAGCGACCTGCTTGCCAGAGGGTGAAAACGCCACAGTCCACACTTTGCCGGCATGCTTCCACACAAAAGCGCACGACCCACTCTCGCAGTCCCACAATCGTACTGTCTTGTCCTCGCTGCCTGAAATAAGTTGACGACCGGTAGGCGAATAGGCAATGCTGTTGATACGCTTTCGATGCCCCTGAAAAGTTCGAGTCGTTGTCCATGTAGAGGTGTCGTAAATGTTGGTGCGGCCGTCTCCCAGACTTACAGCGAGAGATCTTCCGTCAGGGGAATAAGCGCACGAGCATACGAGCTCATTCTCCTTCAGGTACGGCAACTCTCCGAACCGAACTCTCTCCATCTGCGCCTTGGTGAAGTCAGCCTGACGAATCCAGCTCTTGGTGAGGTTGACATCTGTCAAGTCAGCCTCCTGCAGTTGTGCCGAGTCGAACTCTCCACCAGACAAGTCCGCTCCAGGAACTCGAATACCCTGAAGATCAGCTCCGTTGAATCGTACTCCTGCCTTCACCAAGATCGTGATGGCATTCGCAGCGGCTCGAGCTGCTTGGTCGTCGGTCTTGGACTGCTCAATGATGGCGAGGAGCTCGTCCTTGAATCCATTGTCCAGCTGCACGCGCTCGGACAGAAACTGAATGATCGAGAGCTCTGCGACAAGATTCCTCTGGGACAACGGATGGGTGCTAAGTGTGGGCGAGGTGGCGGGGGTTTCGGAATGGACAGGCGGATCAAATTCATCATGCTCCTTGACGGGTCCAGATATGGTGCAAGAGAAAAAGTATTCCAACATGGAGCGATGGACAAAGCGGTACTGCGTGCCGGCTCGACTGAGAAGACTGGCGCCACGGAGAAGACTCGTCTCGCAGTCCATGCTGAAAAAGGCTGCTTTCCAGGAAGATTTGTCGTGTTTGTTGATGTAGTCGACAACAGGCTTGCCGTCCTGATGTACAAAAATCGCAACTGCCAGATCCTGTTGAAACTTGACCCCACTCTGCTCGAATCCGGCCTCCAACAACTCCTCGAATGCCACCTGGTTCTCCCCTTCCAGTCTTTGATCCTCCAGACGGCGCTTGTTGACAGCCATCCAGTGCCTCACAAAAGTGTCGTACAGCTCCGCACGAGTGACCCGAAGCCTGTAGAGGTCGGTTTTCCCTTGCACGACCGTAGGAAGGACCTCCAGTGACAGAGTAAGGAGGAATGGGTTTCTGACTAGATCCATTAGATTGGGGATAGCCTCCAGTTTGTCCATGTAGTCCTCCTTGACCCAGGTGCGCGGCTCGAGAGGAACATAATGCTCGACATAACCCTCGATCTGCTCCCTGCTGAATGGGGCGATGACAGCTTGTTGGAAAAGATCGTTGACGACACGAGTGTACTGGTCAACCGCCTTGGGCTCAAAGCGACTCCGATAGTTCGATCCGAGATACTGACTGCGGCAAGTAATGAGTAACTTGACGTCCCATTGCCCAGATCGGTTGAAGAGGTTGGTGGTATGCAGATTCGATGTAAGCTGGCTCTCGTCGTATCCATCACAGATCAATGTGAACTGGCGGTGCAGCTTCAGCTCACGGATCTGGTCCTCCAAAAAGTTGTAGGTCCTCAATTGCTCCGCAACCAAGTCCTTCTCTGGTCGCTCGAGGGATGGCAAGTTGATGAAAAGCGGGATGCGGCCTCCTGCCTTGTACTCTTGCCAGAGCTCGTGTTCCAGGTGTCGATTGAATGTCGATTTTCCCGCTCCCGAATCTCCCAGGATCAGCATGACCTGGGTGTCGCCGGCAATAAAGTCTCTAACCATGTCCATGAGAGGGAAGAGATTGTCATCCGTGTCTTGGAGGTTGAGTTTGGCCATGGGATCGATGTAGACCGCCTGCTTGTAGTCGGCAATCCTCATCAACCTCAATACGTGCAGGTCGTACTCGAGTTTTGGGATCTCTTGAACCTTAGCAAGAAGCGGGGAGGTTAACGGCAGAGGGAGGCATCTGTTTAGCGAGTGGGAGCCAGGAAACTCGGTGATACCGCCCTTCTCCAGGCCTAGTAATAACGCAAAAGCGCGATTCTTGACAGAGACATCTGACATTCCCGAGATCTGGATAAGGATGGTGAGGATCCAGCGCTTGACATCGACATGCGGCTTCCAGTCAGAGACGCTTCTGTACAGTTCGCCCAGAAAGTCGACGGCCTGCTGGCGGACATGAACATCCCAGAGCGGGTCGACCGCAAATTCTCCGACCTGGCGGCAGATCCCCCACTGGAAGTTGGCGTTGTTGCGGCAAGGCGCTTGGCTGACGACTAGATTAAAGTCCGAAAGTCGTCCCTGGCGGATGAAGAGGGCCGTTCCTTGGAGGGCGAGATACCATGAGTGCTTCTTCAATAAATACCACGAGCGCTTCTTCATAAAGTCGAACTTGTTCTCTGTTACGCGGATGGCCCCATCAGCACCAACACGAAGGCTCTCAACAACCTCAATTCCAGTGCTAACTGCTCCCACAATCCCTGCACCGATATCTTGAAGACTCTCGATGCCTTTGAGGAGTCCCTCTGGATCCAACTTGAAAACACTCGACACTGCGCCTGCGCCAGCCGCCGCTACCTTGCCATATCTCCACAGCACCTGGAGCGGAGTCTCGTTGTCGGGTGCATACTGGAGAGCCTGGTAGGCGTAGGTTGCCTCGTACTTCTGAACGATATTGTCGCTGTCCTTCAAGCCGTCCAGGAGCTGCACCATCGGCTGATGGTCTCGTTCACGGTTCAGATCCTTAACCTTGCCAGCCACCATCACATCAAGAACTCGAGCGAGCGACAATGTCAGGTGAAAGGGATAGTCACTCGTGCCAATGTGGGTAATCGACAGCTCCTTGGAGAGAACAGTGGAGATCCTGACCAGATCATCGTCGACAAGGTATCCAGATGAGGCGCACTCGACCAATTGCACAAGACCTTGGAGCAGAGTGACATCCAGCGGTGTTGTCTGCTCAAACTTGGAGATGAAGCATGAGAGCAGGTTGCGGTAGGTTTCGCGGTCAAGGACGGGACCAACAAGAACGATCTCGGTGACCACATCAGATGCCTTGAGTGGGTTGTCAGCGAACGCTCTGACCAATTGCTCAACGAGCCATCGATATCGGTCCTGCAAGACAGGGTCAATGAGCTGAACCCACTCCTTCTCCTTCTCGTCGAGGGGGGAATCCTGAGAAACATCGCTGTCCGAGGTTGGTTGTAACGGTCCTGGAGCCTTGGAGAGGAGACTACAGCAGTAGACAAGCTGCGGGGTCTTGTCAACACGAACATGCGGCTTGGGCAAGTCGGTCTTGTAGGTGGGTTTGGCAACATTCTCGGGGAAGATGTCTACGCGGAGGGTTCCATTCGCAGCAGGGCTCAGCTGCGGCTGGGTAGCTGAGACAACGAGTGGCGTAGACGACATTTTAGCGGAATGTGCTGGTGAGTGCAGTCCCAACGAGACAGGCACGGCGTTACGGTCAGGTGTCACAGACTGGATGCGTCCCTCAGTTCCAACCAGCGAAACAGGCGCTGATGAGGCTGCCGAGGCGGGAACAGTCTCCTTGACTTTGGGGTCTCCTTTGAAAAGTCTCGACAAGCGTTTCCTAAATCCAAACTTTGACGAATGTCCCGAGGATACCGACCTGGCATCGCTGGCGTCACCTGCTCCATGATCAACGTCTGTGGCAACATCCCTCGTGATGTGATGACCAAGGGGGCTCAACAAGTTGGCTGGTCCAACCTGAATGCTGGCCAATCCTTGAGCGATTGTCGGAACGTCACTCGTCTTTGACGACGTACGTCCAAGCGTTGCGGTGTTCTCGATTTGAGAAAGGACATGCTGCCCGTCGACAGTTATTTCAGGATGTTCCGGAGGAGCGGAGGAGGGCGCGGGAGGAGGCGAAGGGGAATTACCCTTGGGTGGCGAGGAGGACATGGCTACAACTATTCACATCAAGCATGAATGACCATGGTTAGATGTCTGGACAACTCGGCTGAAATACATCGGTCATAATAATTACTCCCTCTCTTCTTTTACCTTGCGTTGGCTTAAAAAATGACTTCGCCTCTGGTAAAGGGTTGTGAAGGACCAGATGAGTAGATCAATGGCTGGTATGAGAGTGCGAAGCTATCAGCTAAAGTATATGCAACGTTAGGGGAGGTTTGTAAACAGGAAGGCATTTCATGGCCAGATATGTATGGGATAGTTGTGCATCGTTAGCCTTCCTTACCAAAGAGGTAGCAAATGGGCTCTTTCTTGTTCTGTTTGCTTTGGTGATGGACCGGGCCTATGTTTGGCTATAAAGACTTGTTGGTTTATTTAGATGATATATAGGTTAGAATCGTGTTTAGCGAAAGAACAGCTGGTAATTGCACTTTTCGTCTGCTGTGTTTGTCCTCTCACGCTTGCGGGCTGTGGACTTTGTGTCGTTTTTATTGTTTTTTGTCTTATGGTTTGCGAGTGTGTAGCAGTCAGAAAAGTCGTCTTGTCCTTGATAGCAAATACATGTCCAACGCGGGATGGATTAGCACCGCCAAGTCGAGAACCAAAAGAGCAATTGAAGAATCTTCTCCTGCTCCTGTTTATTCACGCAGTCATTTCCTTACGTTGGGATGAGAGGGTTCACTGGCTTATTGTTTTTGAGTGAGTCGCGACGATGAGGGCTCTTGGTGGGCTCGGTTGTTTTTGGCAAGGAAGAAGTATCTATGTACAGCGCCGGCGCTTTACATTTCAATCGTGTATTAGTATTATGTAAAAGTCTCGTTTCCTTCCTTGATACAGCGACACACATATTGATTCACGACCTGTTGGGAAGGACATACCTCTGCAAGGTTGAAACGAGCCCTTTTCTGTTGATTTTTTTTGTTTGTTGAGTTGCGGTTGAGGTCCTCAACAAGCGAGTAAGAGGAGGGAACGGTATGTGTCTGCGTTGATTTTGGCAGTGGAGTAACGAGGTGGTGAATGAACAAAGGCAAAGTGAATTCACAATGTGAACAACGTGCTGAATGTGGAATCGAGAAGTGTGAATAACGAAAGACAAAGAGAGGGACGATGGTGGTGGAGGGTTTGCGGACGTTGTAGGGGAGGAGAATGACAGGGTGAGCCAAAGAGAAAAAAAAACATGAAATGGTCGGGCTCGGGGTTATTTTATTTTATCCCCTTGCCTTCTCGCCCATATCCCTTTCTTGCTTTTGCCAGGGCTGTGACACATTCATGCATGCACGCCACTCCATCTTGCCTTTTCTTTCCTTTAATAGCTAAAATTGCCATTGGATTTTAAGTGTGCTTTATTGAGCGCAAACAGAGACCACAAACGTCAATGAAATCTAGAGCATGGGGTTCTTGAAGGAGTGTCAGGGTGAAAAGTACTTAGTTCGTTGGCAGCAACCTGGCCTTGTTCAAGTATCCACATCCGCCGCGCAAGGTATATAGCCCATAGAACCCTACGCGTCTTCTTTTCAGGCACAGCCTTGGCTACTGATCGAGCTGGGTGAGACCGATTTGATCATCGACGGAAGCTATCCAACGCGATACAGAAAAAGCCTTTTCTAGAGTACGATATTGTTCAACAGCAGGGAGAGGGTAATCTTCTCGTTTCTTTTACCTTTATTCTCACGTAATGCACCAAGTCCAATAGTGACCTAGGTGACCTGCATTACATGGATGATGATTGTTCATGACTCTTAGAAATCATCTGTATCTGGGACTTATCTCTCTGTCATTGTGTGGGACATGCCTCGTGACCAGACATGCCCAATGCTTGGATCATGAAAGGATATCTGTTCTCCAAGCTTTGTTACTTCTCATTGGCCAATTGATCAATTGGTCGAAGGAGGAGAGAGCAGCAAAGACGTATAAAAGCGACCAACCTTCCGCGTATCTTGCTTCCTCATCTTACCAAAAACATCACTCTTCACTCAACTACAACAACAGTCTTTTTCATAACTCTCATCCAACAGCTTCATTTCCTAATTCAATAATAAAGACAACAAAGCAACATGGCTGTTACATCAACCCCCTTCTCCCGCTCCATCACATAGTCCGTCCTCTCCAGAGAACAACCTGCGTAAGTTGGCGTCTGTGTCCGTCGATCTATCGGATGCCCTGAAATCCGCAACCTTGACCCCTTCCTCCGTTGCAACGAATTCTCCGTCCCCCAAAACGGTGGCTTCCCAGATCACCCACATCGCGGCTTCGAGACCGTTACTTATATGCTGGACGGCCATACGCACCGTGAGGATTTTGCCGGCCATAAGGGAACCATTGGACCTGGGGATTTGCAGTGGATGACTGCAGGGCGTGGGATTGTGCATTCGGAGATGCCGGTTAAGTTGCCGAGGGAGCAGGAGGATGAGAGGGCGCATGGGTTACAGTTGTGGATTAATTTGCCAAAAGTACACAAGATGTGTGAACCACAGTACCAAGAACTATTGGACGCTCAGATACCACGCGCTAGACCCCAGGATGAATTTGTTATCAAGGTCATTGCTGGAGACTCGCACGGTGTCAAGTCTCAAATCTATACCCGCACACCGACAATGTTTCTCGACTTCAGGATGGACAAGAACCAAACCGTCACCCAAACCATCCCGGCAACATACAACGGATTCATTTACGTACTCAGCGGCACCGCATACATCGGGGATTTTAACAGCGAGACCGAGGCAAAAGTACATCATACCCTCCTCTTCTCTGACGATAATACTAGCACCGTCAGGGTCCAAACAAAGGACGAGGCAGTGCATTTTGTACTGATAGCGGGGGAGCCGTTGAGGGAGCCCGTTGTTCAGATTGGGCCGTTTGTGATGAATACCCGGGAGGAGGTGTATGAGACTTATCGAGATTATCGCGATGGGGTGAATGGGTTTGAGAGGAGGAGGACATGGAGCTCGGATGGTACTCTAAAGTGGTATGTTGTTCTCTTTTACTCCTTGTATCAAACATATCTCAGCACCACTATCATCAACAGCACCACAATGATTAAAAATCATGCACGGCATTCAATGATCAAATATAAGATTTGCTATTGATTGGCGCCATCGCCTTCATTAACAATTGGAAGGCTACCAACGAACATGCCTAATGTCTCTCTACATGAAAAATTGTGTTATGGACTATGTTGTTTAAGCAGCACCCTTGCAACGTTGAGTGAGCAATTGCTGATTGACTGAGGAGAGACCAACAGCATCGGCAAAAACGGCATCCGAGGCGGCTAGAACAGGATTTCCAGTGCTCCAAACCAACTGGGCCGACCATGCATCTGACGACGAGGACGCCTCCACTAGTCTCCATACTTGAATAGACCCATTCTTGCATCCAATGCTAAACTCTAGGGTGTCAGGCTTCCAAGCAATGCTGGTGACATCTCCAAAGATATCTCGGATACACACCGAACACTTCCACTCTCCATCTACTCCTCCTCCTCGTTCCGCCGAGGTGTAAGCGATGAATTTCCAGAGACAAACCGAGCGGGGCAAGCCTACACTCATCCATCGGCCACAGGACGAAAACGCAAAACAGTGAGGTTCTTCGTTGTCCTCTAGCGTTTGTTGAAGTTGCCCACCGTCCGCGTTCCAAAGATTAACAGCGTCCCTGAAAAGGGCTTTAGAAGCAATCCTCCACCCATTGGGTGAGGTTGATATTGCCCAAAATCCTACATCATCGTAAACATCCACAACAACTCTACATTCACAACTGTCCAAATCCCAGGCTCGAATAGTTCCATCCCGACTTCCCGACAAGATTCGATGGCTGTTCGGCGAGAATACCAAACAAATAACTGTCCGGGTATGGCCTTCAAGCACGCGGTCGAGTATCTCTGAGCGAGCGCCCCAAAGTCGCACTGTCTTGTCGAAACAGCCGGTGGCGATCCAGCGGCTGTCAGTTGAAAAAGTCACGGCGCCCACCTCTCTTGTGTGGCCGCGCAAGACAACATCGGCTTGACCTGTTCCAATGTTCCACACAGTGACGAATTCGTCGTCCGTTCCAACTGACGCGATTCGAAGGCCATCTGAGGAGACTGCTAGGCATCTGATAGGTTTGCGTCCGTAAACAACGAAAGGACCAGACTCTCCAGATACAGCATCGTACTGTCGCAGTACTCCCGACTCGGTACCACAGAAGAGAACTCGACCGTCTGGAGAAAAAAGCACACTCGTCAACGGGTCCGATTCGCCCTCCGTGTCCACTCCTGTACCCAACGAGCTCACGTCCCAGAGACGAATGGTTTCGTCAAGACTACATGAGGCAAGCTGGAGTCCGTTTGGCGAGAACACTACTTGGATCGCTCGAGAACCATGGCCGGCAAAGACAGAAAGAAGCGATCCTGTTGCTGCGATCCAGACCTTCACCGTGTTGTCATCGCTGCATGTGGAGATCCATTGACTGTTCGGAGAAAAACTCACACCCGCGACCTCTTCGCCATAGGCCATCCAATTCCTAGTTGGCTTGCCAGTAATTATATTGTCGAGCAGTAACTCCCCATTGCCATGCCCTACGGCAATCTCTAAACTCAGGAGAGAATGCAACGCTATTCATCTCTCCATTTTGACTCTCCCAGACTTCTCCTGGCCGTCCAGTCTGTGTGTCAAAGAACCGGATCATATCATCGTCGCCAATAGATACAACCTCATGTCCATCGGGTGAGTAGGAAATACTACGAATCCACTTGGTGTGATCGGTCAAGTTGAATAGATTGGCGCCTGTCTGAACATCCCATAGCCTCACAGTCTCGTCCATTCCAGCCGACGCGACCTGCTTGCCAGAGGGTGAAAATGCCACAGTCCAGACTTCGTCCGTATGCTCCAGCACAAAAATGCACGACTCACTCTCGCAGTCCCACAATCGCACTGTCTTGTCACGGCTGCCTGAAAGAAGTTGAAGACTGGTAGGCGAATAAGCAACGCTCTTAATACAGTCTTGATGCCCTTTAAAAGTGCGAGCCATTATCCATGTGGAGGTGTCGTAAATGTTGATGCCTCCTCCATAAAGACCTGCAGCAAGCGATGTTCCGTCAGGCGAATAGGCGCACGATTACACCGCATCATCATCCTTCAGGTACGGCAACTCTCCGAACCGAACTCCCCCCATCCGCGCCTTGGTGAAGTCCGCCTGACGAATCCAGCTCTTGGTGAGGTTGACACCTGTCAAATCAGCCTCCTGCAGTTGTGCCGAGTCGAACTGGCCTCCAGACATGTCGGCTCCAGGAACCCGAATACCTCGAAGATCGGCTCCGTTGAATCGTACTCCCGCCTTGACCAATATCGTGATGGCATTCGCAGCGGCTCGAGCTGCTTGGTCGTCGGACTTGGACTGCTCAATGATGGCGAGGAGCTCGTCCTTGAATCCAGAGTCCAGCTGCACGCGCTCCGCCAGAAACTGGATGATCGACGTCTCTACGACAAGGTCCTTCTGGGACAATGGATGGGTGCTAATGGCGGATGAGGTGGCGGGGGTATCGAAATGGACAGGCGGATCAAATTCATCATGCTCCTTGGTGGGTCCAGAGATGGTGCAAGAGAAAAAGTATTCCAACACGGAGCGATGGACAAAGCGATATTGGTTGCCGGCACGACTCAGCAGACTGGAATCTCGAAGGAGCGCCGTTTCAGGATCAAGACCAAAGAACTGAGCCTTCCATGTCTTCCTGTCTCTCAGATGAGTGTAGTAAACGACAGGTTTGCCATCCTGCTCCTGAAAGATGGACGCCGCCAGATCCATCTGGTACATAATACCGTTGTACTCGAACCCGTCGGCACAGAGGATGTCAAGCGCTGTCTGACTGCTCTCGTTCAAATATTGATCCTGCAGACGACGCTTGTTGACAGCCATCCAGTGCCTCACAAAGATGTCGTACAGCTCCACTCGAGTGACCCGAAGCCTAGAGAGGTCGGGTTTCCCTTGCACGACCGTAGGAAGGACCTCCAGTGACAGAGTAAGGAGGAATGGGTTCCTGACTAGATCCATTAGATTGGGGATAGCCTCTAGCTTGTTCATGTAATCCTTCTTGACCTAGGTGCGCGGCTCGAGAAGAACATAATGCTTTACATAGTCCTCGATCTGCTTCCTGGTGAACGGGGCGATGACCGCTTGCTGGAATAGATCGTTGGCGACACGAGCATACCGGTCTATCGCCTTGGGCTCAAAGTGACTCCGATAATCCCGTCCGAGATACTGCGTGCGACAGGTAATGAGTAACTTGACGTCCCATTGCCCAGATCGGTTGAAGAGGTTGGTGGTATGCAGATTGGATGTAAGCTGGCTCTCGTCGTATCCATCACAGATTAATATAAGCTGGCGGTGCAACTTCAACTCACGGATCTGGTCCTCCAAAAAGTTGTAGGTCCTCAATTGCTCCCCAACCAAGTCCTTCTCTGGTCGCTCGAGGGATGGCAAGTTGATGAAAAGCGGGATGCGGCCTCCTGCCTTGTACTCTTGCCAGAGCTCGTGTTCCAGGTGTCGATTGAATGTCGATTTTCCAGCTCCCGAATCTCCCAGGATCAGCATCACCTGGGTGTCGCCGGCAAGAAAGTCTCTGACCTTCTCCATGAGAAGGAACAGATTGTCATCCGTGTCTTGGAGGTTGAGTTTGGCCATGGGGTCGATGTAAACCGTGTGCTTGTAGTCGGAAACCCTCATCAACTTCAAGACGTGCAGATCATATTCCACTTCAGAGATTCGTTGGACCCGGGTGAGAAGCGGAAAGGATGTTGGCAGAGGGAGGCGTCTGCTCAACGGGTGGGAGCCACGAAACTCGGCGATATCGCCCTTCTTCAGGTCTAGTAATAAAGCAACAGCACGATTCTTGATGGAGACATCCGACATCCCCGAGATCTGGACGAGGATGGTGAGAATCCAGCGCTTGACATCGACATGCGGCTTCCGGTCAGCACCACCCCTGGACAACTTGCCTAGAAAGTCAACGGCCTGTTGACGGACAGGAACATCCCAGAGCGGGTCGACTGCAATCTCTCCGACCTGGCGGCAGATCCCCCATTGAAAGTTGGTGTTGTGGCGGCAAGACGCCTGGCTGACGACTAGGTTAAAGTCCGAAAGTCGCCCCTGGTGGATGAAGAGGGCCGTTCCTTGCAGAGCGAGATACCACGACCGCTTCTTCATAAAGTCGAACTTGTTCTCTGATCCGCGGATGGTCCCATCAGCACCAACACGAAAGGCCTCGACCACCTCAATTCCTGTGCTGACAGTTCCCGCAATCCCTGCTCCGATCTCTTGAAGACTCTCGATGCCTTTGAGGAGTCCCTCTGGATCGCCGCTACCTTGGCATATCTCCACAGCACTTGGAGTGGGGTCTCATCGTCGGGTGCATACTGGAGAGCCTGGTAGGCGTAGGTTGCCTCGTACTTCTGAACGATATTGTCGCTGTCCTTCAGACCGTCTAAGAGTTGCAGCATCGGCTGATGGTCTCGTTCACGGTTCAGATCCTTCACCTTGCCAGCCACCATCACATCAAGAACTCGAGCGAGCGACAACGTCAGGTGAAAGGGATAGTCACTCGTGCCAATGTGGGTAATCGACAGCTCCTTGGAGAGAACAGTGGAGATCCTGACCAGATCATCGTCGACAAGGTATCCAGATGAGGCGCACTCGACCAGTTGCATAAGACCTTGGAGCAGAGTGACATCCAGCGCTGTTGTCTGTTCAAAGTTGGAGATGAAGCATGAGAGCAGGCTGCGGTAGGTGTTGCGGTCAAGAACTGGACCAACAAGAACAATCTCGGTGACCACATCAGATGCCTTGAGTGGGTTGTCAGCGAACGCTCTGACCAACTGCTCGACAAGCCATCGATATCGGTCCTGCAAGACGTGGTCAATGAGCTGAACCCACTCCTTCTCCTTGTCGTCGAGGGGGGAATCCTGAGAAACATCGCTGTCCGAGGTTGGTGGAAACGGTTCTTGAGCCTTGGAGAGGAGACTGCAGCAGTAGACAAGCTGCGGGGTCTTATCAACACGAGCATGCGGCTTGGGCAAGTCGGTCTTGTAGGTGGGTTTGATACCGTTTTCGGGGAAGATGTCTACGCAGAGGGTTTCATTCGCAGCAGGATTCGGTTGCAACTGGGTTTCTGGGACAATGAGTGGCGTAGACAACATTTCAGCGGAATGTGCTGGTGAGTGCAGTCCCAACGAGACAGGCACGGCGTCACGGTCAGGTGGCCCAGACTGGATACGACTCTCAGTTCCAACGAGCGTAACAGGCGCTGATGAGGCTGCCGAGGCGGGAGCAGTCTCTTTGACTTTGGGGTCGCCCTTGAGGAATCGCGACAAGCGTTTCCTAAATCCAACCTTCGACGAACGTCCCGAAGATACCGACCTGGCATCGCTGGTGTCACCTGGCCCATGATCAACGTCTGTGTCAACATCCCTTGTGGTGCAATGACCAAGGGGGTTCAACAAGTTGGCAGGTCCGAGCTGAATGGTGGCCAATCCTTGAGCGATTGTCGGAATGTCATTCGACTTTGACGACGCACGTCCAAGCGTTGCGGTGTTCTCGATTTGAGAAAGGACACGTTGCCCATCGACAGTTATTTCCGGATGTCCTGGGCGAGTGGAGGAAGGCGTGGGAGGAGGCGAGGGCGGATCACCCTGGGGTGACGAGGAGGACATGGTTACAAATATACACATCAAGCATGAATGATCTAGGTTAGTTGTCTGGACAACTCTGTCGAAATACATCAATTATTGAAATTACTCGCTCTCCTTTTTAGCTTGCGTTGGTTTGAAAAATGACTTTGCTGCTGGTAAATGGTTGTGAAGGGCCAGATGAGCAGATTAATACCTAGTACGAGAATGCGAAGCTATCAGCAAAAGTATGAGGAGCGTTAGGGGAGGTTTGTAAACGACAACATTTCATGGCCAGATATGCATGGGATGGTTGAACATCGCTCGCCTTCCTTACCAAAGAGGTAGCAAAAGGGCCCTTTTTTCGTTCTGATTGTTTTGGCGATGGACCGGGCTTCTCTTTGGCTGTCAAAACTTGTTGGTCTATTTCGATAAGATATCGGTTCGAATGGTGTTTTAGCTAAAGAACAGCTGCTAATTGCACTTTTCGTCTGCTGGGTTTGTCCTCTCATGCTTACTGGGTGTGTAGTTAGTGTCGATCTTTTTGTGTTTTATTGCAAGTCCAAACGAGGGATGGGTTAGCGCTACAAAGTCAAGAAGCAAAGGGCCAATTGAAGAATCTTCTCCAGTTCTTGTTTTTTCACATGGACTTTTCCTTACCTTGAAGACGAGAGGGACACTGGTTTATTGTTTTTGAGTGAGTCGCGACGATGAGGGCTCTTGGTGGGTCTACCAAGGAGGAAGCATCTATGTACGTTCCAATCGTGTATTAGTATTATGTAAAAGTCTCGTTTCCTTCCTTGATACAGCGACACACATATTGATTCACGACCTGTTGGGAATGACATACCTCTGCAAGGTTGAAACGAGCCCTTTTCTGTTGATTTTTTTTGTTTGTTGAGTTGCGGTTGAGGTCCTCAACAAGCGAGTAAGAGGAGGGAACGGTATGTGTCTGCGTTGATTTTGGCAGTGGAGTAACGAGGTGGTGAATGAACAAAGGCAAAGTGAATTCACAATGTGAACAACGTGCTGGATGTGGAATCGAGAAGTGTGAATAACGAAAGACAAAGAGAGGGATGACGGTGGTAGAGGGGTTTGCGGATGATGTAGGGGAGGAGAATGACAGGGTGGGCCAAAAGAAGAGAAAACAAGAAAATGTCGCGCCTGAGGTTATTTTACGTTGTCTACTCGCCGCTCCTTCAAGTGTCGGCCCTCCTCCCTACGTGAGTTGGAATCAATCCAGTTCCAATAGCGAAGAGTTATTGGTGGAGCGGGTCGTAAACGAAAAGGAAGGTTCTTCAGGGTTCAGCATGGACATGGTACGAGGGGTTGGGTTGGTCGTTTCCAGTGAGAATGCCCTTTTGCATAGCCCTAGTTCACCTTCCATTTTCGTTTTACGACCTATTCTGCCACTCTCTTCGCTGTGCGAAGATTGAAAATTGGAACTGGATTCCAACCCCCACGTAGGGAGGGGATGTCCTAAAAGCCCTGTTTCCTTCCCTCTCTTCATAAACACGAGTCAAAGGGAGCATGCTGTTGTTTTCTTCTCCATTCACAACCAACCAGGTTCAAGCGCAAGAGGGAATATGTGTGTTTATTGTCTAGGCGAGTTTCTTAGCCTGCTCCAACATCTTGCCGATTCTCTGGTAATCCTCCAACAAACCTAATTTTGTTACAGTAGCAGGGACGAGGGTCAGTAAATGTGACACAGCGTACATTCAATCAACAAAAAGTAATCACACAGGGATTGAGTTGCACCTTTGATATCGCTGAGTCGGAGGTCTCCAGAATTCGTGCACGCCATGAAATGGATCTGAGGACCATCTGCTGTCCGAAGAAAGTCGAGCACACGATTCTAATTTCAATCAACGATGAAAGAAGTGGGTGTTATCTCACTGCACTAGGATATCTTTCTCTACCTATAGATCCACATTTCGCATGAAAGTCGTTGTCCTAGTATGTTCTTACCCTTGCGGCGGCTTCCATTGCGCTGTCATGAGGACTGGACTTTTCCACGCCAGTCGTGCCTGCAGATCCATCCACACTCACAGCCGAGACATTGCTCGTAGCCTCTGCCGGACTTACCAGTCCCGAGATCCGGCTCTTCTCATCCGGCAATCCCGATCCTGTCCGTGGCCCTGCATTTGTCATCGCGTTCGTCACAGCTGCTGCTCTCCGCTTCCGTTCCTCCTCCAGAGAGTTTGCTGGGCTCACAGATGCCGCCGCTGCAGCTGCAGCAGTCGCCGCAAGCGAAGAGGCTGCTGACAATGACCTTGTCCCCCGTGTCTGATTCTGGACTCTTGGACTACCGACACCAAAGGGCGTGCTTCCATCAGAGGTTGTCAAAAACCTTCCAAAGAATTTTGAGTACCCATCCTGGACGACATCCGAGATCACTTTGATACCTTCTTCGGCCACGCCAACGAGTTCCTGGCTGACTTTGTGTCCCAATGCTTTCGTCTGGTCAAAGCCCTCCTGGAAGTTGAGCAAAGGCACTGCAGTTGGGTTGGATCTTCCTGTGGTCGCATGGATATCCGACAAGTCGCTATGGAGGAGTCAAGTTATTACAATACAGACAAAGTGTGAGTTCATGTCTTAAATACCAGCACTAGTGCCACACACAAGCATAGTGCAATCATATGCTCAAAAGTTGTACCTCAAGACCCTGATGTCGCTTGAGAGACCAAAGGCCTGAGGATCCAGTTCTTCCAGGAACGATACCACAGCCATCTACGACAAGAGTATTCCTATGTGAGTGCGTTTGTCAAAGTGCAAATCCTGATATTCGAACCACAGTCGCATGATCAAGATCGCCTACCATGTTTGTAAGACAATATGCCAGTTCTCCTGTGAGATGATCCTGGACCTTGAATCTTTGGATGTACCTATGTGTATAAAGTCATGAAGTCGACAGGATCAGAAGTCATCACGATGGAACGCAAAAATACTTAGTAATACAAAAAGTCCTAGGTGCTTTACCTAAGGTTCGAGATTAGCATGGGCGGGTTACTCTTGACGACGCTGAAGATGAGCAACGGCAGCAAGACGTCGGCACTGTACTGCTTGCGAGAAGAAGGTAAGACTGGGAGAGCACTATCTGTTGCTGCTACCGGTTCTGTCTTAGTTGTTGTTGATGCTGGTTCCGCCTCTACGATTTCAGGGACGACAATTGACAGGGTTGACGATTCTTCTAGGGGGGCAGGGCTCATGGGCAATGCGACGTTGGCTGGATTGACCTCTGTCGTGGTATCACTCTTGGTCTCGTCCTTGGTGTTGTCCTGCTTTTGCTCTGCATCTGGGCTGCTACATGCAACTGCCGCCTCGAGGGTCTCGGCAGTTTCTGCCTTTAACACGGGTCGACTGGCGCTTTCGTCATCATCCGCCAGTGACCGACGCTCATACCCCTCATCCATAGGGATCTTGACCTGGCGGACTCCTGGCGATAGTGGAGAGTTGCCTCGAGGAATGTCACCGTCCATCATGATCTTAGGCATGTTGGGCCGCTTGTTCTTGGTGCTGGTGGGAGAAGAGGGTTTGTTCTCGGTCACTTTCGATTCGCCAGTCGGGTTGATGGGTTTTGTTGAAGATGCAGCGACTGACACAGGATCCTGAGTTTCACCGCTTGTTGTCACGGCGGGTGTTTCTGCAGGTTGCTCTGCCTCTGCTAGCATTTCCTGAACAGCAGGCTCTCTATTCAACGCATCTACAGGGTCACGATCGGAAATAGACATGTGAATTATTTGCATCGCCTGTTTCACACACGTACCACAAATAAACCGTCGTAAAACAACGTTATACTTACCAACAACGACGCGGTGTGAGGAAAGGATGACGTTCATCTTGTCCGTCGGAGACTTGACCAGCGCCAACTTTTGCATCTCTGATATGTCATTCCAATAAAATAAGAAGAGGTTGTGGTCAGATTCTTGCCCAACCTCTAATCTCGTCATTAAGAATAAAAGCTCATCGACGAGATTAAAGAACTTACCGAGACCTCCCTCGCGGACGACCTGAGCGATGTGCTCAACATCCTCGGGGTGCTCCAAGACGAAGCCCAGGTGCTCCAGTGTCAGATCCAAAAAGTTGAGTGCCGCAATCTTGGCCTGCAGTTGCTCGTCCTGTAGATAATCCTGGCTATTTGGTCCGTCGACTGATTGCGGAAAGATAACCGAGTACATCTCGCGACAAAGCCATGCCTCCACCCACTGCTGCACCTCATCAAAGTCGCGCTCAGTCCATCTATTGTTCATTCCTGATGCAGATCCATACACCTCGAAGCGATGACGGACTTCGTCGTATTTCCGTTGAAACTCATTCGCATAGCGATCGGCATTAGGCAAAGGGCTCTTTCTCAGCTTTATCACCATACTATTGTGGCGGTTGATGAGGATTAAGAAAGTTAGTATGAGACGCTCATACACAGTTTTCATCCTTCAGACAGGTTACTTAAAAAGTAAGAACATGGCATTTACAGGTACCTCTCCAGATCTCGGATCATATTATCCCACTCCAAGGGAACATCGGACGCAATCTTGGGCAACTTTGGCAAAGGTGTCGCATCCTTTTCCTTCTCCTCTGCAAAGCTCATAGATCGCACGGAACTCGCAGAGCTGGCGGTCCTCCTCGCTGCCGATCGATCCCTGACTGACAGAATTCCTGAAGCCAGAGGGACAATGGGCGTCGGAGTCTCTTCTCCTTCCGGCCGAGGGATCATCTTGTCGACCAACAGTGCTTGGATAGATCCCACAGATTCAACGAAAATGACCACTGGTTTCCTGCTCGAGTTGACCAGCTCCAGTTCATCCTCGGCTTTTGTATTCGTAGCCCCTTCGGATTTGGAAATGTTGTCAAAGAAGGATCGCTTGGTGGGTCCAGAGGCGTCCGAGACCATGGTGCCAAAATCCTGTCCTGTCGCCAGACCCAAAAGGGCTATCGATGATGACGCAGGTTTTAGAATACCTCGGATGCCACTTAGCGTCACAAAGAGGGATTCCCCAGAGTTGCTCTCAGGGATGATGACGTGGTCCTCGTAGTATGCACGCTGAGGAACCGGATCCTCTGTCGATGCCGGATATGTTGGCAGAATCAAAATGGCCTAGATGCGCAAAGTAACACAAAGGTTAGGCTTTGCATTCTTGCAGGACATCGATATCATTACATGTTATCATCCATAACAGCTGTTACCTTTTTGGTAACCAAGAGACGAATGATATCTGCGAGTTCGATGGGGTGTTCTTGAATCCGCTTCAGCATAGCGAAGGCTTGAGTTCCAAAGGCCATTAGAGCCACATCCTTCGCAGTGGGTTCATTGCTCTCTCTGCCTAAAAATGAGCTACTCCGGTCTCTTCCTCCTGCTGCTGGCGATGATGATGACTTTGTGCTATTTTCTGCAGCGCTGCTTGGTCGTTGGTTCAGAATAGGAGCCGAAAAGATGCTGTCTTTGGAAAGAATAGAGGACCTGGTCGCTGTCGTGTTCCCGCTTATTCGTCGAGTAGGGAGACCAGGCATAGGCGATGAGGCAGCAGAGACAGAGGCGGCCCTTCTTGAGAACGATGATGCAGGGAGTGCTGTTCCTGAGGGTGAGAGTGGGTCGTCAAAGGCGCCTGACGAACCCCTTGGACTGTCGAGGCCGCTCTCGCTTCCACTGAGAGGGTGCGAATGCGAGCGGAGAGAGGCGAATGGGGCAGCATCGCGTAGGGGAGTGTCAGGGGGTGATGTTGCTGAGGTTGAGCGAGATGTGTTTGAGACGGAAGAGGTTGGCCGTGAGCGGGTGAGGCCGTCAAAGAAGGACAAGCCTGGTATGTTCTGCATTGATGTGCGTGCTGTGGTCAGTGGTCAAGGGTGTTGTTGTTGATGAAGAGGAGTGAAGTGTGTGAAAGGAAAAGGAATGTAATGAGACACCCTTGGGAAAAAAATACTCTTTGACGCGCTAACTCGCCAAGACGACGAGGTGACTGCGAATTACATTACCGCCAAGGTGAACCTTCTGGTCATCTTTGGGTGCAACCTTATCTCAGAAAAATATATACACAATGCATGCTGCACTTGTTGTTATTCATTCTTTTTTATTCAGTGGCTGTTTTACATCTGGTTTACAAGGGGAAGAGGCGAAGGAGGAGGAGGAGGAGGAGGAGGAGGAGGAGGAGGAGGAAGAGGTAGGCAAAGACATCTAAGCAATGGTAGAGCGCCAGTTGCGGGCCCGCTCGAATCCGTTCTTGTTGTTCTGGTAGTCAACAAAGGTGTCATAGATCTCCTCGGACGAGTTCATGACAAAGGGACCATGCTGAACAATGGGTTCCTTCAAGGGCTCGCCGGCAATGAACACAAAGTGTGCGTCATCATCCTTGGTCTGGATCTTGACTGTCCTGGCACCGTCCTCCGAGAGTGTGAGAGTGTGGTGGGCCTTGCCCTCGAACTCCTTGTCGCCGATGAATGCCGTACCCTTGAGCATGTAGAGGAATCCGGTGTAGGTCGAGGGGATGGTCTGAGTGACGGTCTTGTTCTTGTCCATCTTGAAGTCAAGGTACATGGTGGGTGTGCGGGTGTAGACTTCAGACTTGATACCGTGAGACTCTCCAGCAATGACCTTGACAACGACACCGTCCTGGGGTGTCGCACGTGGGATCTGACCGTCGAGGAGTTCCTGGTACTGTGGCTCACACATCTTGTGCTCCTTGGGCAAATTGATCCAGAGCTGGAGTCCATGAGCACGGGTCTGAGACTTGACAGGCATCTCCGAGTGAACAATACCACGACCAGCAGTCATCCACTGCAAGTCGCCAGGTCCAATGGTTCCCTTGTGTCCTGCAAAGTCCTCATGCTGGAACTGTCCCTCGAGCATGTAGGTCACAGTCTCGAATCCACGGTGGGGGTGGTCAGGGAAACCACCGTTCTTGTCGACGGAGAACTCATCGAGCATGAGGAAAGGGTCGTGGTTACGGAGTTCGGGACGTCCGATGGATCGACGGACACGAGCACCGACTCCCTCGGATTGTTCCCTAGAGAGGACGGACTTTGTGATGGATCTGGAGATTGGGGTAGTGGTAACAGTCATTTTGGGTTGTTGTCTCGTTGTGGGCGTAGCTGAGAGAAGAGGAGTTGTGGTGTGAATGGGAGTAATGAAGAAGACTGTTTGTGGTAGTCGAGTGAAGAGAGAATATGTTTTTTTATTGAGAAGAAGAGGGGAGTTATGCTGGAGGTTGGTTGCTTTTATACTTTTTTGTCTGCTTTCTTCTCGTTCTCCTGCTTTCTTTCAATTGCTAATTCGCCAATGAGAAAGTGACTAAGCCTAGCAAGTGGGTGGCTTAGAAATCTTTTTCATGATTAAGCACGGGATATATCTGACCAAGGACAGGTTCTCCCCGGCACAAAAGATCCACTTGTCCTGAAGAGAGCACAGGTTACCATTGACCATGGCGCATTACGTGAGAAACAACAGGTCCCAAAAATAAACGAGTAAGTTTTACTATCTTCGTAGTAGAGCGTCATCATACAACAGGAACATGTTCGTGCCCCTTCTGTGTCGCATTCGATAGCTTTCGATGCTTATTGAATAACAGTTTATCAGTTTCACTGAGCTCAATCAGCGGCCAAGAAGACGCGTCCCGCTATAGGCCATATACCTCCGTAACAACTTGAATAAGACCAAGCTGCTGCTACCGAACTACGTGCTTTACATCCTGGCCCTCCTTCAAAAAGTCTATGCTCTGGATTTCTTTGACGTTTGCGTTCTCTGTTTGTTTGCGCTCAATAAAGCAAACTAAAAACCAAATGGCAATTTTTCGCCACCGAAAACACAGCCCAGGCAAAGCAAGAATGTGGCAGTGCACGAAAAGAAGTGGATAACCCCAAGCTCGACCTTTTCTTTTCTTCTTTTCTCTTTGGCTCAGTCCCTGTCATCCTCCTTCCCTACATCATCCGCACACTCTCCACCACCGTCATCCCTCACTTTGTCTTTCGTTATTCACACTTCTCGATTCGACATTCCTTTGTTCATTCACCACCTCGTTGCTCCATTACCAACACCAACACATACACATACCGTTCCCTCCTCTTACTCGCTTGTTGAGGACCTTAACCGCAACTCAACAAAACAAAAAATAAAAAACCAATAGAAAAAGGCTCGTTTCAACCTTGCAGAGGTATGTCCTTCCCAACAGGTCATGAGTCGATATGTGTGTCGCTGTATCAAGGGCGGAAAACGAGACTTTTACATAATACTAATACATGACTGGAATGTACATAGATACTTTCTCCTTGTCAGAAACAACCGAGCCCACCAAGAGCCCTCATCGTCGCGACTCACTCAAAAACAATAAACCGGTGTCCCTCTCATCTCAAGGTAAGGAGAAGATCTTGTGAAAAAACAAGAGCTGGAGAATATTCCTCAATTGCTCTTTTGCTTCTCGACTTCGTAGTGCTAACCCATCCCTCGTTTGCTCTTGTATATGCTATCAAGGACAAGACAACTTTTCTACTTGCTATCCACTCGCAAATCAAAGACAAAAAAACAATATAACCAAAAAGATCGCCACCAAGTCCACACCCAGTACGCGTGAGAGGACAAACAGAGCAAACGAAAAGTGCAGTTGACAGCTTTTCATAAGATAAACGATTCTAACCGATAGCACCGATATCCTATCAACATTGACCAACAAAGTCTCGCTAGCCAAACACGCACAAGAACAAAAAAGTGTCCTTTTGCTACCTCTTTGGTAAGGAAGGCAAACGATTCACAACTATTCCATGCATATCTGGTCATGAATTCTAACTTATTTACAAAACCCCCCCTAACGCTGCATATGTTTTTTGCTCATAGCTTCACACTCTCATACCAGCCATTCATCCATTCACTCGGTCCTTCACAAACCTTTACCAGCAGTAAAGTCATACTTCAAATCAATAAGGAAAAAATGAGAGAGATTAATTATCATGACTGATGTATTTAAGCAGAGTTGTCCACACAACTAACCCAGATCATTCATGCTTGATATGTATAGTCGTAACTATGTCCTCCTCGCCACCCCAGGGCAATTCGCCTCCGCCTCCTCCCGCGCCTTCCTCCGCTCCTCCAGGACATCCGGAAATAACTGTCGATGGGCAGTGTGTTTTTTCTCACCTCGAGAACACCGCAACGCTTGGACGTGCGTCGTCAAAGTCGAGTGACGTTCCGACAATCGCTCAAGGATTGGCCACCATTCAGCTTGGACCTGCCAACTTGTTGAGCCCCCTTGGTCATCGCACCACGAGAGATGTTGCCGAGGACGTTGATCATGGACCAGGTGACACCAGCGATGCCAAGTCGGTATCGTCGGGCCGTTCGACGAAGGTTGGATTCAGGAAACGTTTGTCGCGATTCCTCAAGGGCGACCCCAAAGTCAAAGAGACTGTTCCCGCCTCGGCAGCCTCATCAGCGCCTGTTTCGCTGGTTGGAACTGAGGGACATATCCAGTCTGCCTCACGTGACCATGACGCCGTGCCTGTCTTGTTGGGACTGCACTCACCAGCACATTCCGCTGAAATGTCGTCTACGCCACTCGTTGTCCCAGAAACCCAGTTGCAACCGAATCCTGCAGCGATTGGAACCCTCCGCGTAGACATCTTCCCCGAAAACGTTATCAAACCCATCTACAAGACCGACTTGCCCAAGCCGCATGCTCGCGTTGACAAGACCCCGCAGCTTGTCTACTGCTGCAGTCTCCTCTCCAAGGCTCAAGAACCGTTTCCACCAACCTCGGACAGCGATGTCTCCCAGGATTCCCCCCTCGACGACAAGGAGAAGGAATGGGTTCAGCTCATTGATCCCATCTTGCAGGACCGATATCGATGGCTTGTCGAGCAATTGGTCAGAGCGTTCGCTGACAATACACTCAAGACATCTGATGTGGTCACCGAGATTGTTCTTGTTGGTCCAGTTCTTGAACGCGAAACCTACCGCAGCCTGCTCTCTTGCTTCATCTACAAATTCGAGCAGGCAACAGCGCTGGATGTCACTCTGCTCCAAGGTCTTGTGCAACTGGTCGAGTGCGCCTCATCTGGATACCTTGTTGACGATGATCTAGTCAGGATCGCCACTGTTCTCTCCAAGGAGCTGTCAATTACCCATATTGGCACGAGTGACCATCCTTTATATCTGACACTGTCGCTCGCTCGAGTTCTTGATGTGATGGTGGCTGGCAAGGTTAAGGACTTGAACCGTGAACGAGACCATCAGCCGATGCTGCAACTCTTAGACGGTCTGAAGGACAGCGACAATGTCGTCCAGAAGTACGAAGCAACCTACGCCTACCAGGCCCTCCAGTATGCGCCAGATGATGAGACTCCGCTCCAGGTGTTGTGGAGATATGCCAAGGTAGCAGCGGCCGGTGCAGGCGCAGTGTCGAGTGTCTTCAAGTTGGATCCAGAGGGACTCCTCAAAGGCATCGAGAGTCTTCAAGAGATCGGTGCGGGGGTTGCGGGAGCAGTTAGCACTGGAATCGAGGTTGTCGAGGCCCTTCGTGTTGGTGCTGACGGGGCCATCCGCGCATCAGAGAACAAGTTCGACTTTATGAAGAATCATTCATGGTATCTCGCCCTTCAAGGAACGGCCCTCTTCATCCGCCAGGGACGACTTTCGGACTTTAACATAGTCGTCAGCCAGGCGCCTTGCCGCAACAATCCCAACTTTCAGTGGGGAGTCTGTCGCCAGGTCGGGGAGATTGCAATCGATCCGCTCTGGGATGTTCTTGTCCGTCAACAGGCCGTCGACTTTCTAGGCGAGTTGTTCAAGGGTGGTGCTGACTGGAAACCGCATGTCGATGTCAAGCGCTGGATCCTCACCATCCTCATCCAGATCTCGGGAATATCGGATGTCTCGATTAAGAATCGCGCTGTTGATTTGTTGCTAGACCTGAAGAAAGGCGGTATCGCCGAGTGTCCTGGTTCATTTTCGCTGAGCAGACGCCTCCCTCTGCCGTCAGCCTCCCCGCTTCTTGCCAAGGTCCAAGAGATCCCAAAACTCGAATATGACCTGCACGTCTTGAGGTTGATGAGGATTGCCGACTACAAACAGGCGGTTTACATCGACCCCATGGCCAAACTCAGCCTCCAAGACACGGATGACAATCTGTTCCCTCTCATGGACAAGGTTAGAGACTTTATTGCCGGTGACACTGAGGTCATGCTTGTTCTTGGCGACTCGGGAGCGGGAAAATCGACATTCAATCGACACCTGGAACACGAGCTCTGGCAGGAGTACAAGGCAGGAGGCCGCATCCCGCTTTTCGTCAACTTACCATCCCTCGAGCGACCAGAGAAGGATTTGGTTGCAGAGCAATTGAGGACCTACAACTTTTTGGAGGACCAGATCCGTGAGTTGAAACTGCACCGCCAGTTTATGTTGATCTGTGATGGATACGATGAGAGCCAGCTTACATCCAATCTGCATACCACCAACCTCTTCAACCGATCAGGGCAATGGGATGTCAAGTTACTCGTTACCTGTCGCACGCAGTATCTCGGACCGGCCTATCGGAGTCGGTTTGAGCCCAAAGCGGTGAACCAGTACACTCGTGTCGCCAATGACCTTTTCCAACAAGCCGTCATCACCCCATTCACCAGGGACCAGATCGAAGACTATGTGGAGCATTATGTTCCTCTCGAGCCGCGCACCTGGGTCAAGAAGGACTACATGGACAAGCTAGAGGCTATTTCTAATCTGATGGATCTAGTCAAGAACCCGTTCCTCCTTACGCTGTCACTGGAGGCCCTTCCTACGGTCGTGCAAGGAAAAGCCGACCTCTCCAGGCTTCGGGTCACTCGTGCGGAGCTGTACGACACTTTTGTGATGCACTGGATGGCTGTCAACAAGCGCCGTATGGAGGATCAAAGACTGGAAGGGGAGAACCAGATAGCTTTCGAGGAGTTGTTGGAGGCCGGATTCGAGCAGAGTGGGGTCAAGTTTCAACAGGATCTGGCAGCTGCGATTTTTGTACATCAGGAGGGCAGACCTGTTGTTGACTATATCAACAAACACGACAAATGTTCCTGGAAAGCGGCGTTTTTCAGCATGGACTGCGAGACGAGTCTTCTCCGTGGCGCCAGTCTTCTCAATCGAGCCGGCACTCAGTACCGCTTTGTCCATCGCTCCATCTTGGAGTACTTTTTCGCCTGCACCATCTCTGGGCCCACCAAGGAACATGATGAATTTGATCCGCCTGTCCATACCGATACCCCCGCCATCTCATCCGCCATTAGCACACATCCATTGTCCCAGAGAGACCTTGTCGTAGAGACGTCGATCATCCAGTTTCTGGCGGAGCGCGTGCAGTTGGACTCTGGATTCAAGGACGAGCTCCTCGCCATCATTGAGCAGTCCAAGACCGACGACCAAGCAGCTCGAGCCGCTGCGAACGCCATCACGATATTGATCAAGGCAGGAGTACGATTCAACGGAGCCGATCTTCGGGGTATTCGAATTCCTGGAGCGGACATGTCTGGTGGAGAGTTCGACTCGGCACAACTGCAGGAAGCTGACTTGACTGGTGTCAACCTCACCAAGAGCTGGATTCGTCAGGTGGACTTCACCAAGGCGCGGATGGAGGAAGTTCAGTTCGGGGAGATGCCTTATTTGGAGGAAGATGAAACGGTATACTCGTGCGCCTATTCACCTAAGGGAACATCGTTCGCTGCAGGTCTCTCTAGAGGAGGCATCAGTATTTACAACACCTCCACATGGACAAAGACTCTCACTTTTGAAGGGCATCAAGGTTGTATTAAGAGCATTGCCTACTCGCCAACCAGTCTTCAACTTCTTTCAGGCAGCGACGACAATACAGTACGATTGTGGGACTGCGAGAGTGGGTCGTGTATTTTTGTTCTAGAGGGGCATACCGAGTTTGTGTTGACTGTGGCGTTTTCACCCTCTGGCAAGCAGGTTGCTTCGGCTGGATGGGACGAGACTGTGAGGCTATGGGATGCTCAGACAGGCGCCAATCTATCCATCTTGACCGGCCATACAGGATGGATTCGTGGTATTTCCTACTCGCCTGATGGACATGCGGTTGTGTCTGTTGGCGACGATAAGACGATCCGGTTCTTTGACACACAGACTGGACAGCCAGGAGAAATCTGGGAGAGTCAAAGTGGTAGTATGAGTTGCGTCGCATACTCTCCTGGAGGTCTAGAGATTGCCGTAGGGCATAGTAATGGCGAGTTACTGCTCTACAATACAACTACCGGCAAGCCAGCGAGAAATTGGAAGGCTCATGGCAAAGTAGTCGCGGGTGTGAGTTTATCGCCGACCAGCCAATGGATCGCCACATGCAGTGAAGACTGCACGGTGAAGGTCTGGAATGCAGCAACAGAATCGGTCCTTTCTGTCTTTACCGGTCATAGTGCTTCTGTCGGCCAAGTAGCCTTTTCGCCAAACAGACTCCAACTTGCCTCGTGTAGTCTTGACGGCACCATTCGACTCTGGGACGTGAGCTCGTTGGGTACAGGTGTGGACGTGGGGGGCGAATCGGACCCGTTGACGAGTGTGCTTTTTTCTCCAGACGGTCGAGTTCTCTTCTGTGGTACCCAGTCAGGAGCACTGCGACAGTATGATGCAAGATCTGGAGAGTCTGGTCCTTTCGTTGTTTACGGAGGCAAACCTGTCAGATGCCTAGCAATCTCCTCAGATGGCCTCCGAATCGCGTCAGTTGGAACGGACGACGAATTCGTCACTGTGTGGAACATTGGAACCGGTCAAGCCGATGTTGTCTTGCGCGGACACACAGAAGAGGTGATAGCCATGGCTTTTTCAGCCGACAGCCGCTGGATTGCCACGGGCAGTAACGACAAGACAGTGCGACTTTGGGACGCTCGCTCAGGGATACTCGACCGCGTACTTGAAGGCCATGCCGATGGTGTTGTTTGTTTGGCATACTCGCCGAACAGCCATGAAATTTTGTCGGGAAGTCGGGATGGAACTATTCGAGCCTGGGATTTGGACAGTTGTGAGTGTAGAGTTGTTGTGGATGCTGGCGATGGTATAGGACTTTGGGCAATATCAAATTCACCCAATGGCTTGAGGGTTGCTTCTCTATCCTCTCTCCTTAGTGATTCTTCTGCTGTTTACCTTTGGGACACGGAGAACTGGCGTCACCAACAAAGTCTAGAGCACAACCACAACTACCCAATATGCATTGCATTCTCGTCCTGTGGGAAATGGGTAGGCGTAGTCTCTTGGGGGCGTTCGGTTTGGCTCTGGAATTTCGTCGCTGATACGTCGATGGAACGAGAAGGGGGAGGTGGAAAGTGGAAGTGGTCAGCGTGTATCCGAGATATCTTTGGAGATATCACCAGCATTGCTTGGAAGCCTGACACCCTGGAGTTTAGCATCGGATGCGAGAATGGGTCTCTTCAAGTGTGGAGACTGGTGAAGGCGTCCTCGTCGTCGGATGCATGGTCGGCCCAGTTGGTTTGGAGCGCTGGAAATCTTGTTCTAGCTGCCTCGGATGTCGTTTTTGCCGATGCTGTTGGTCTCTCCTCGACCAATCAGCAATTGCTCACTCAGCGTGGCTAGGTTGCTGTCGTTTGAACAACATAGTCCAATACACAATCTTTTCATGTAGAGAGACATTAGGCATGTTCGTTGGTAGCCTTTCAATTGCTACTGAAGGAGATGGCGCCAATCAATAGCAAATCTTATTTTTGATCATTGAATGCTGTACACGTTTTTTAATCATTGTAGTGCTGAGAGTATTGATGATAGTGGTACTGAGATACGTTTGGTACAAGTAGTAAATGAGAATAGCATACTACTTTGAAGTACCATCCGAGTTTCATGTCCTCCCCCTCTCAAACCCATTCACCCCATCGCGATAATCTCGGTAAGTCTTATACACCTCTTCCCGGGTATTCATCACAAACGGCCCAATCTGAACCAGGGGCTCCCTCAACAGCTCCCTCAACGGCTCCCCCGCTATTAGTACAAAATGCGCTGCCTCGTCCTTTGTCTGGACCCTGGCGGTGCTAGTACTATCCTCGGAGAAGATGAGGGTATGATGCGCTTTTGCCTCGGTCTCGCTGTCAAGATCCCCGATGTATGCGGTACCGCTGAGTACGTAAATGAATCCGTTGTATGTTCCAGGGATAGTTTGGATGACGGTTGATTCTTGCCCATCTGGAAGTCGAGGAACATTGTCGGGGTGCGGGTATAGATTTGAGAATTGACACCGTGCGAGTCTCCAGCAATGACCTTGATAACAACTCCATCCTGGGGTCTAGCGCGTGGTATCTGAGCGTCCAATAGCTCCTGGTACTGTTGTTGCAGTGGAGTGAATAGTTTTTGCTGCTCGTCTTCTCCTTTGATCAATTGATCAATTGGCCAATGAGAAGTGACTAAAACTTGTAGAATCGGATGACTTAGATGTCCTTTCACATTGACCACGAAGCATGTCCCACACAATCACAGAAAGATAAGTCCTAGATACAGATGATTTCTAAGAGTCCGATCACCTTTCAAGACACTACACCACTGCACCAGACTACACCAAATATAAACCCCCACTCCTAGCTGCGGCCTTGGGGTTATTGATCTGGCCAAGCAACAGGCCTTCCCCATCAAGCACCTTCGCAACGCAACAACTACGTCAGTATCCTGGGGGGAGGACCTTGTACTGGATCTCATCCTCTGGAAGACAAAGTCCACCCACCGCCTATCCATCATGCTGAACCCCCAGGAGAACCGACTCCACCAACAACTTAAATCACTTCCTCCACCTTCTGCAACTAGCCAAAGCGGCCAGCACACTTCCCCCGCTCAAGACACCCACCATGCAAGCATGACTTCCAGATTCGACCACCTTTCTGGAGAGCCCGTTGGAATGGTGTTTCCCTTCGACGGATGACAACAACACCACCCTCACCGCACGGATTGGAGACCTATTCGCCCTGGAGATAGACGAGGACAACAAGTTCAAGGTGGCATACAAGCGCCGACTCTCTCGTAAGCCGAAGCGTGTAAGAGACGACCTCCTCACACAGCTTACAAGAACCAATACCTGACGGATGTCACAAGTATATCTGGACGCGATACAGACACCACATGGCGTCATCGGAGACCACCTGGCTTAGAGGATACGCTCACTCATCTTCCTCGACAATGGCAAGACAAAGGTGACTTTAGGGACTGCCTCCACCAGACAGATCCGACAGTACCTCTCCCCGAACCTCCCGAACCCGAACCTCCCCCAACCCACTCGTCGATGCACCCTGAATCTGGCACCAAGTCCCAATGGCGCAAGTTCTGGAAGACCAAGATTCCCCATAGAGCCCGCACTTTCTGGTGGCGATACAAGCGTGTCATTATCTCATGTAGTACGCTTCGGGCCCACCGGTGGAAACAGGACGCCCAATGTGACGCTCAGGGATGCAGGGAAAGATAGGCGGACAAGAACCACCATGACTTCGGATGCAAAGGTAAGTACCTAGTATGGGAGTTCATTTTGAGAGAATACACGGACAAGCCCACATGGTTCGATGAGGATCTCCCTACTTTGCTCTCTAAATCATCCCACCTTCTTCATTAAGCCCAAATACAACATCATCCCCTCACAATTGCTGGCGTGCTGCCTCATAGGTATAAACATAGCAAACATCATCCTCTTCCTTCACAAACACACACAGTCCTCGGAGGAAATCTCTGACTGTATTCCCATAGAAATTAAGAAAGCGAAAGCGACAGCGCAAAACGATCACCTCTTCAAACTCACGGCTACAACCCACAAATAAAATCTTAGAAAGGCAAAAAATATAATCATACTTCTCCAAATCCATCAAAAAAATATCCCATACACAATGCACAATATACTTGTTGTTATTCATTCTTTTTTATTCAGTGGCTATTTTACATCTAGTTTACAAGGGGAAGGGGCGAAGGAGGAGGAAGAGAAGGAAGAGGTTGGCAAAGACATCTAAGCAATGGTAGAGCGCCAGTTGCGGGCCCGCTCGAATCCGTTCTTGTTGTTCTGGTAGTCAACAAAGGTGTCATAGATCTCCTCGGACGAGTTCATGACAAAGGGACCATGCTGAACAATGGGTTCCTTCAAGGGCTCGCCGGCAATGAACACAAAGTGTGCGTCATCATCCTTGGTCTGGATCTTGACTGTCCTGGCACCGTCCTCCGAGAGTGTGAGAGTGTGGTGGGCCTTGCCCTCGAACTCCTTGTCGCCGATGAATGCCGTACCCTTGAGCATGTAGAGGAATCCGGTGTAGGTCGAGGGGATGGTCTGAGTGACGGTCTTGTTCTTGTCCATCTTGAAGTCAAGGTACATGGTGGGTGTGCGGGTGTAGACTTCAGACTTGATACCGTGAGACTCTCCAGCAATGACCTTGACAACGACACCGTCCTGGGGTGTCGCACGTGGGATCTGACCGTCGAGGAGTTCCTGGTACTGTGGCTCACACATCTTGTGCTCCTTGGGCAAATTGATCCAGAGCTGGAGTCCATGAGCACGGGTCTGAGACTTGACAGGCATCTCCGAGTGAACAATACCACGACCAGCAGTCATCCACTGCAAGTCGCCAGGTCCAATGGTTCCCTTGTGTCCTGCAAAGTCCTCATGCTGGAACTGTCCCTCGAGCATGTAGGTCACAGTCTCGAATCCACGGTGGGGGTGGTCAGGGAAACCACCGTTCTTGTCGACGGAGAACTCATCGAGCATGAGGAAAGGGTCGTGGTTACGGAGTTCGGGACGTCCGATGGATCGACGGACACGAGCACCGACTCCCTCGGATTGTTCCCTAGAGAGGACGGACTTTGTGATGGATCTGGAGATTGGGGTAGTGGTAACAGTCATTTTGGGTTGTTGTATTGTGGGGTGTAGCTGAGAGAAGAGGAGTTTTTGTGTGAATGGGAGTAAAGAAGAAGACTGTTTGTAGTAGTCGAGTGAAGTGAGAATATGTTTTTTCGTTGAGAAGAAGAGAGGAGTTATGCTGGAGGTTGGTTGCTTTTATACTTTTTTGTCTGCTCTCTTCTCGTTCTCCTGCTTCTTTCAATTGCTAATTCGCCAATGAGAAAGTGAGCAAGTGGGTGGCTTAGAAATCTTTCCATGATTAAGCACAGTTTTACTCCCTTCATAGCAGAGCGACATCATAGGAGCGTATCAGTGTCATCAAGTCCAATCAGCGGCCAAGAAGACGCGTCCCGCTCTATAGGCCATATACCTCCGTAACAACTTGAATAAGACCAAGTTGCTGCGACCGAACTACATACATCACACCCTGGCCCTCCTTCAAGACGCCCATGCTCTAGATTTCTTTGGCGTTTGCGTTATCTGTTTGTGGTCAATAAAGCAAACTAAAAACCAAATGGCAATTTTTCGCTATCCAAAACACGAAAAGAAGTGGATAACCCCAAGCCCGACCTTTTTTTTTCTTTTCCTTTCTCTTTGGATCACCCCTGTCATTCTCCTCCCCTACATCATCCGGACACTCTCCACTACCGTCGTCCTTTTCTCTCATTGTCTTTCGTTTTCCACACTTCTCGATTCGACATTCATCACGTTGTTCACATTGTGAATTCACTTTGCCTTTGTTCATTCACCACCTCGTTACTCCACTGCCAACATCAACACAGACACATACCGTTCCCTCCTCTTACTCGCTTGTTGAGGACCTCAACCGCAACTCAACAAAACAAAAAGATAAAAACCAACAGAAAAAGGCTTGTTGCAAACTTTGCAGAGGTATGTCCTTACTAATAGGTCGCCGGGCGTGAACCGAAGTGTGTCGCTGTATCAATACTAATACACGATTGAAGTGTACATAGATACTGCCTCTTTGCCAGAAACAACCGAACCCACTAAAAACCCTCGGCGTCGCGACTCACTCAAAAGCAATAAACCAGTGTCCCTCTCGTCTCAAGGTAAGGAAAAGATCGTGTGAAAAAATAGGAGCTGGAGAAGATTCTTCAATTGCTCTTTTGCTTTTCGACTTCGTAATGTTGACCCATCCCCCGTTGGACGTGTAGTTGCTATCAAGGACAAGACAGCTTTTCTGCCAGCTACACACTCGCAAATCATAAGAACCAAAAACATCGACACAAAGTCCACATCCAGTAAGCGTGAGAGGACAAACACAGCAAACGAAAAGTGTAATTGACAGCTGTTCTTTAGATAAACACGATTCTAACCGATACCACCGATATCCTATCAACATATCAACATAGACCAACAAGTCTCGCCAGCCAAACGCACACCCGGTCTGTCATCAAAAAAAAAAAACGGAACAAAAAAGGGTCCTTTTGCTACCTCTTTGGTAAGGAAGGCGAACGATGCACAACCATCCCATGCATATCTGATCATGAAATGCCGTCTCGTCTCCGAACCTCCCCTAACGTTGCACATACTTTTGTTGATAGCTTCGCACTCTCATACCAGCCAATCATCCATTCATTCGGTCCTTCACAAACCTTTACCAGCGGCAAGGTCATTCTTTAAACCTACGCAAGGTAAAAATCAGAGGGAATAATTATTACGAATATTTTATTTCTGCAAGGTTGCCCAGACAAAGCTAACCAACGCCATTCATACTTGATGTTTGTAGCTGCAACCATGTCCTCCTCGCCACCCCAGGGCGATTCGCCTTCACCTCCTCCCGCGCCCTACTCCGCTCCCCCAGGACATCCTGAAATAACTGTCGATGGGCAACGTGTCCTTTCTCAACTCGAGAACACCGCAACACTTGGACGTGTGTCGTCAAAGTCGAGTGACGTTCCGACAATCGCTCAAGGATTGGCCACCATTCAGCTTGGACCTGCCAACTTGTTGAGCCCCCTTGGTCATCGCACCACGAGAGATGTTGCCGAGGACGTTGATCATGGACCAGGTCACACCAGCGATGCCAAGTCGGTATCCTCGGGACATTCGTCGAAGGTTGGATTCAGGAAACGCTTGTCGCGATTCCTCAATGGCGACCCCAAAGTCAAAGAGACTGCTCCCGCCTCGGCAGCCTCATCAGCGCCTGTTACGCTCGTTGGAACTGAGAGTCGTATCCAGTCTGGGCCACCTGACCGTGACGCCGTGCCTGTCTCGTTGGGACTGCACTCACCAGCACCTTCCGCTAAAATGTTGTCCACGTCACTCATTGTCCCAGCTACCCAGCCGCAGCCGAGTCCTGCTGCGAGTAGAACCCTCCGCGTAGACATCTTCCCCGAAAATGTTATCAAACCCATCTATAAGACCGACTTACCCAAGCCGCATGCTCGTGTTGACAGGACCCCGCAGCTTGTCTACTGTTACAGTCTCCTCTCCAAGGCTCAAGAACCGTTGCAACCAACCACGGACAGTGATGTCTCTCAGGATTACCTCCTCGACGACAAGGATAAAGGATGGGTTCAGCTTATTGATCCCGTCTTGCAGGACCGATATCGATGGCTTGTCGAGCAATTGGTCAGAGTGTTCTCTGACAACCCACTCAAGACATCTGATGTGGTCGCCGAGATCGTTCTTGTTGGTCCCGTCCTTGACCGCGAAACCTACCGCAGCCTGCTCTCATGCTTCATCTCTAAGTTTGAGCAGACAACAGCGCTGGATGTCACTCTGCTCCAAGGTCTTGTGCAACTGGTCGAGTGCGCCTCATCTGGATACCTTGTTGACGATGATCTAGTCAGGATCGCCACTGTCCTCTCCAAGGAGCTGTCAATTACCCATATTGGCACGAGTGACCATCCTTTGTATCTGACACTGTCGCTCGCTCGAGTCCTCGATGTGATGGTGACTGGCAAGATTAAGGACTTGAACCGTGAACGAGACCATCAGCCGATGCTGCAGCTCCTGAACAGTCTGAAGGACAGCGACAATGCCGTTCAGAAGTACGAAGCAACCTACGCCTACCAGGCCCTCCAATATGCACCCGACGATGAGACTCCACTCCAAGTGCTGTGGAGATATGCCAAGGTTGCAGCGGCAGGTACAGGTGCAGTGTCGAGTGTTTTCAAGTTGGATCCAGAGGGGCTCCTCAATGGCATCGAGAGTCTTCAAGAGATCGGTGCGGGGGTTGCGGGAGCAGTTAGCACAGGAATTGAAGTTGTTGAGAGCCTTCGTGTTGGTGCTGATGGGGCCATCCGCGCATCAGAGAGCAAGTTCGACTTTATGATGAAGCGCTCGTGGTATCTCGCTCTGCAAGGAACGGCCCTCTTCATCCGCCAGGGACGACTTTCAGACTTTAACCTAGTCGTCAGCCAGGCGCCTTGCCGCAACAATCCCAACTTTCAGTGGGGGATCTGCCGCCAGGTCGGAGAGATTGCAGTCGACCCGCTCTGGGATGTTCATGTCCGCCAACAGGCCGTCGACTTTCTGGGTGAGCTGTACAGAGGCGAACCGCATGTCGATGTCAAACGCTGGGTCCTCACCATCCTCATCCAGATCTCGGGGATGTCGGATATCTCTATCAAGAATCGCGCTGTTGCTTTGCTGCTGGACCTGAAGAATGGCGACATCGTCGAGTATCTTGGCTGTTACCCCCTGAACAGACGCCTCCTTCTGCCTTCAACCTCCCCGCTTCTTGCTAAGGTCCAAGGAATCCCAAAACTCGAGTACGACCTTCACGTATTGAGATTGATGAGGATTGCCGACTATAACCAGGCGGTTTACATCGACCCCATGGCCAAACCTAACCTCCAAGACATGGATGACAATCTGTTCCCTCTCATGGACAAGGTCAAGGACTTTCTTGCCAGCGACACTCAGGTCATGCTTGTTCTTGGCGACTCGGGAGCGGGAAAATCGACATTCAATCGACACCTGGAACACGAGCTCTGGCAGGAGTACAAGGCAGGAGGCCGCATCCCGCTTTTCGTCAACTTACCATCCCTCGAGCGACCAGAGAAGGATTTGGTTGCAGAGCAATTGAGGACCTACAACTTTTTGGAGGACCAGATCCGTGAACTGAAGCTGCACCGCCTGTTCACATTGATCTGTGATGGATACGACGAGAGCCAGCTTACATCCAATCTGCATACCACCAACTTCTTCAACCGATCTGGGCAGTGGGACGTCAAGTTACTCATCACCTGTCGCACGCAGTATCTCGGACCGGCCTATCGGAGTCGGTTTGAGCCCAAGGCGATAGACCAGTACACTCGTGTCGCCAACGATCTTTTCCAACAAGCCGTCATCACCCCATTCACCAGGGAGCAAATCGAAGACTATGTAGAGCATTATGTTCCTCTCGAGCCGCGCACCTGGGTCAAGAAGGACTACATGGACAAGCTAGAGGCTATCCCCAATCTGATGGATCTAGTCAAGAACCCGTTCCTCCTTACGCTGTCACTGGAGGCCCTTCCTACGGTCGTGCAAGGAAAAGCCGACCTCTCTAGGCTTCGGATCACTCGTGCGGAGCTGTACGACACTTTTGTGATGCACTGGATGGCTGTCAACAAGCGCCGTATGGAGGATCAAAGGCTGGACAGGGAGGACCAGGTGGCTTTCGAGGAATTGTTGGAGGCCGGATTCGAGCAGAGTGGGGTCAAGTTTCAACAGGATCTGGCAGCTGCGATTTTTGTACATCAGGAGGGCAGACCTGTTGTTGACTATATCAACAAACACGACAAATGTTCCTGGAAAGCGGCGTTTTTCAGCATGGACTGCGAGACGAGTCTTCTCCGTGGCGCCAGTCTTCTCAGCCGAGCCGGCACGCAGTACCGCTTTGTCCATCGCTCCATCTTGGAGTACTTTTTCGCCTGCACCATCTCTGGGCCCACCAAAGAACATGATGAATTTGATCCGCCTGTCCATTCCGATACCCCCGCCATACCACCCACCATTAGCACACATCCATTGTCCCAGAAGGACCTTGTCGTAGAGCCCTCGATCATCCAGTTTCTGGCGGAGCGCGTGCAACTGGATTCTGGATTCAAGGACGAGCTCCTCGCCATCATTGAGCAGTCCAAGACCGACGACCAAGCAGCTCGAGCCGCTGCGAACGCCATCACGATCTTGATTAAGGCAGGGGTACGATTCAACGGAGCCGATCTTCGGGGTATTCGAGTTCCTGGAGCGGACATGTCTGGTGGAGAGTTCGACTCTGCACAACTGCAGGAGGCTGACTTGACAGATGTGAACCTCACCAAAAGCTGGATTCGTCAGGCGGACTTCACCAAGGCGCAGATGGAGAGAGTTCAATTTGGAGAGTTACCGTACCTGAAGGATGATGATGCGGTGTACTCGTGCGCCTATTCTCCTGACGGAACATCGCTTGCTGCAGGTCATTCCGAAGGAGGCATCAACATTTACGACACCTCTACATGGACAACGACTCACACTTTTGAAGGGCATCGAGGCATTATTAGGAGCCTTGCCTATTCGCCAACGAGTCTTCAACTTCTTTCAGGCAGCGGCGATAGTACAGTACGATTGTGGGACTGCGAGAGTGGATCGTGCATTTTTGTGCTGGAGCATACCGGCGGAGTGTTGACTGTGGCATTTTCACCCTCTGGCAAGCAGGTCACATCGGGTGGAATGGACGGGACTGTGAGGCTATGGGATGTTCAGACAGGCGCCAATCTATTCAACTTGACCGTTCATACTGAGTGGGTTCATAGCATCTCTTACTCACCCGATGGACATGCGGTTGTGTCTGTTAGCGACGATAGGATGATCCGGTTCATTGACACACAGACTGGACAGCCAGTAGAAGTCTGGAAGAGTCAAAGTAGTGGGATGACAAGGGTCGCATACTCTCCTGGAGGTCTAGAGATTGCCGTGGGGCATGGCTATGGCGAGTTACAGCTCTATGATACAACTACCGGCAAGCCAACGAGGAATTGGAAGGCTCATGACGAATCAGTCACAGGTGTGATCTTTTCGCCGAACAGCCAATGGATCGCCACATGCGGTCGGGACTACACGGTGAAGGTCTGGAGCGCAGCAACAGGATCGGTCCTCTCTGTCTTTACCGGTCATAATGCTTCTGTCTGCCAAGTAGCCTTTTCGCCAAACGGACTCCAACTTGCCTCATGTAGTATGGACGGCACCATTCGACTCTGGGACGTGAGCTCGTTGGGTACAGGTATGGACGTGGAGGGCGGATCGGACCCGTTGACGAGCGTACTCTTTTCTCCAGACGGTCGACTTCTCTTCTGTGGTTCCAAGTCGGGAGCTGTGCGGCAGTTTGATGCAAGATCTGGAGAGTCTGGTCCTTTCGTTGTTTACGGAGACAAGCCTGTCGAGTGCCTAGCGGTCTCCCCTGATGGTCTTCGAATCGCGTCAGTTGGAACGTACGACGAATTCGTCACTGTGTGGAACATTGGAACAGGTCAAGCCGACGTTGTCTTGCGCGGTCACACAGGAGACGTGATCGCCGTGGCTTTTTCAGCCGACAGCTGCTGGATCGCCACGGGCAGTTACGACAAGACAGTGCGACTTTGGGACTCTCGCTCAGGGATACTTGACCGCGTGTTTGAAGGCCATACCAGTCATGTTTTTTGTTTGGTATTCTCGCCGTACAGCCATGAAATTTTGTCGGGAGGTCGGGATGGAACTATTCGAGCCTGGGATTTGGACAGTTGTGAGTGTAGAGTTGTTGTGGATGCTGGCGATGGTATAGGACTTTGGGCAATATCAACTTCACCCAATGGCTTGAGGGTTGCTTCTATAACCAAACAGATCGTTGTTGTTGCTGCTGTTGACCTTTGGGGCAGGGATATCTGCCATCACCTACAAAGTCTAGAGCGCGACCCCGACAGCGTACAAAGCTTTGCATTTTCGTCCTGTGGGCGATGGGTAGGCGTGGGCTATTGGGGTTCGGTTCGGCTCTGGAATTTCGTCGCTGACACATCGGCGGAAGGAGGAGGAGGAGAAGGTGGGGAGTGGAAGTGTTCGGTGCGTATCCGAGATATCTTTGGAAATGTCAACAGCATTGCTTGGAAACCTGACACGCTGGAGTTTAGTATCGGATGCAAGAATGGGTCTCTTCAAGTGTGGAGACTGGTGGAGACGTCGTCGTCGTCGGATGCATGGTCGGCTCAGTTGGTTTGGAGCACTGGAAATCTTGTTCTAGCTGCCTCGGATGTCGTTTTTGCCGACGCTGTTGGTCTCTCTTCGAACAATCATCAATTGCTCACTCAACGTTGCAAGGGTGCTGCTGCTTAAACAACATAGTACAATACACAATTGTTTCATGTAGAGAGACATTAGGTATGTTCGTTGGTAGGCTTTCAATTGTTACTGAAGGCCAATGGTGCCAATCAATAGCAAATCTTATTTTTGATCAGTGAATGGCGTGCATGTTTTATAATCATTGTAGTGCTGAGAGTGTGGATGATAGTGGTGCTGAGATACGTTTGGTGCAAGGAGTAAAAGAGAACAACATACTACTTTGGAGTACCATCCGAGTTCCACGTCCTCCCCCTCTCAAATCCATTCACTCCATCGCGATAATCCCTATAAGTCTCATACACCTCCTCTCGTGTATTCATCACAAACGGCCCAATCTGAACCACAGGCTCCATCAACGGGCTCCATCAACGGCTCCCCCGCTATCAATACAAAATGCGCTGCCTCATCCTTTGTCTGGACCCTGGCGGTGCTGGTACTATCCTCGGAGAAGATGAGGGTATGATGCGCTTTTGCCTCGGTCTCGCTGTCAAGATCCCCGATGTATGCGGTGCCGCTGAGTATGTAGATGAATCCGTTGTATGTTGTCGGGATGGTTTGGGTGACGGTTTGGTTCTTGTCCATCCTAAAGTCGAGGAACATTGTCGGAATACGGGTATAGATTTGAGACTTGACTCTCTGCGAGTTTCCTGCAATGACCTTGATAACAACTCTATCCTTGGGTCTAGCACATGGTATCTGAGCGTCAAGTAGTTCCTGGTATTGTGGTTCACACATCTTGTGCACTTTTGGTAAATTAATCCACAACTGCAACCCATGCGCCCTCTCATCCTCCTGCTCCCTCGGCAACTTCACCGGCATCTCCGAATGCACAATCCCACGTCCCGCAGTCATCCACTGCAAATCCCCAGGTCCAATGGTTCCCTTATGGCCTGTAAATCCTCATGCTGCGTTTGGCCGTCTAGCGTATAGGTAACGGTCTCGAAGCTGCGATGTGGGTGATCTGGGAAGCTACCGTTTTGGAGGACGGGGAATTCGTCGAGGAGGAAGAGGAGGGGGTCGAGGTTACTCAGGCTGTTTTCTGGAGAGGACGGACAATGTGATCTAGCGGGAGAAGGGGGTTGATGTAGCAGCCATGTTGCTTTGTTATCTTTGTTATTGAATTAGGAAAAGCAGCTATTGAATGAGAGTAATGAAAAAGACTGTTGTTGTAATCAAGTGAAGAGCGTTGTTTTTTTGGTCTGATGAGGAAACAAGATAACGCGGAAGGTCGGTCGCTTTTATATGTTTTTGCTGCTCGTCTTCTCCTTCGATCAATTGATCAATTGGCCAACGAGAAGTGACTATGCCTGGCAAGTGGGTGGCTTAGAAATCTTTCATGATGTTACAGAGAGCCCATTCCTTGCAGTGCTTTGACCTCACCGTAATTTAGACCAAAGTAGATGCTGCAGTAGTAGAAATAGCGAGGCAGCTCGATCTTTTGCTCCATGTCCTTTCAAAAGACAACTTCACGAAGCAATTGATTGAGTTAGCTGACGCCGTTTATTTCAGTGTGTATTGTTTGCTTGCGTATCGTGCCATAGGATCCCCCCCAGTTTCAACAACCTTCTTCTACATTTCCTTTACTCACAACATCAACCTCAACTGTGAGTGTAACAACCACTCCACAATATCTCAACCGAACCCACCTGATTCCGTAACAATGATGAAGCATGGGATATGTCTGACCAAGAACTGGTTCTCCCCGGCACGCAAGATCCACTTGTCCTGAAGAGAGCGCAGGTTACCATTGACCATGGTGCATTACGTGAGAATAAAGGTAAAAGAAACTAGAGGAGTCCCCTCGCACTGCTGAGTAACATCGTGCTCTAGCAAAGGCCTTTTCTGCGTCGCGTTGGATAACTTTTGTCGATGATCAAAGGGGTCTTATTGGCTAGATCAGTAGCCAATACTGCGCATGATAACACGCGTACCGTTCTATGGGCTATATACCTTGTGCGACGGTTGTGAATACTTGAACAAGGCTAAGCTGCTGCCACCGAACCACGTACTTTACACCTGATCCTCCTCCAAGAAGCCCATGCTCTAGATTTCTCGTTCTCTGTTTGTGCTCAATAAAGCACACTTAAAATCAAATGGCGATTTTCGCGATAGAAGGGAAGACAAGGCACAACCCAAGCAAAGCAAGAATGGGGTAGTGGAGTGGAGAGCGTAAAATAACCCCAGGCTCAACCTTTTCTCGTTACATTTCTCTTTGACTCACCCCCTGTCATTACCCTCCCCCGCTACATCATCCTCACACTCTCCACTACCGTCATCCTTCTCTCTCATTATCTTTCGTTATTCACACTTCTCGATCCGACATTCAGCACCTTGTTCACATTGTGAATTCACCTTGCCTTTGTTCATTCACCACCTCGTTGCTCCATTACCAACATCAACACAGACACAGACCGTTCCTCCTCTTGCTCGCTTGTCAAGGATCTCAACCACAACTCAACAATACAAAATTAATAAAAACGAATAGAAAAAGGCTCGTTTCAACCTTGCAGAGGTATGTCCTTCCCAACAGGTCATGAATCAATAAGTGTGTCGCTGTATCAAGGAAGGAAAACGAGACTTTTACATAACACTAATACACGAATGGAATGTACATAGATACTTCCTCTTTGCCAGAAACAATCGAACTCACTATAAGTCCTCGTCGTCGCGACTCACTCAAGGTAAGGAAAAGATCGTGTGAAAAACCAGTAGCTGGAGAAGATTCTTCAATTGTTCCTTTGCTTCTAGACTTTGTAGCGCTAACCCATCCCTCGTTTGACTTGTATATGGTATCAAGGACAAGACAACTTTTCTGCTTGCTACACACTCGCAAATCATAAGACAAAAAACAATAAAACCAAAAAGATCGACAGCAAGTCCACACCCAGTAAGCGTGAGAGGACAAACACAGCAAACGAAAAGTGCAATTGACAGCTTTTCATAAGATAAACGATTCTAACCGATATCACCGATATCCTATCAACATGGACCAATAAGTCTTGTCAGCCAAACACACACCCGGTCCATCACCAAATCAAGCAGAACAAAAAAGGGCCCATTTGCTACCTCTTTGGTAAGGAAGGCGAACGATTCGCAACCATCCCATGCATATCTGGCCACGAAATGCCGTCTTGTTTACAAAACCTCCCCTGACGTTGCATATGTTCTTTGCTCATAGCTTCACACTCTCACACTAGCCATCCATCCGCTCCTTCACAACCCTTTACAAGCAGCAAAGTTATTCGTCAAACCGACGCGAGGTAAAGGAGAGAGGGAGTAATTATTGTGATTGATGTATTTCAGCCAAGTTGTCCAGACAACTAACTATGATCATTCATGCTTGATGTGTATAGTTGTAACCATGTCCTCCTCGTCACCCCAGGGCGATTCGCCTCCGCATCCTCCCGCACCTTCCTCCGCTCCTCCGGAACATCCGGAAATAACTGTCGATGGGCATCGTGTCCTTTCTCAACTCGAGAACACCGCAACACTTGGACGTGTGTCGTCAAAGTCGGGCGATATTCCGACAATCGCTCAAGGATTGGCCACCATTCAGCTTGGACCTGCCAACTTGTTGAGCCCCCTTGGTCATCGCACCACGAGAGATGTTGCCGAGGACGTTGATCATGGACCAGGTTACACCAGCGATGCCAGGTCGGTATCCTCGGGACATTCGTCGAAGGTTGGATTCAGGAAACGCTTGTCGCGATTCCTCAATGGCGACCCCAAAGTCAAAGAGACTGCTCCCGCCTCGGCAGCCTCATCAGCGCCCATTACGCTCATTGGAAATGAGGGACATATCCAGTCTGGGCCACCTGACCGTGACGCCGTGCCTGTCTCGTTGGGACTGCGCTCACCACCATATTCCGCTGGGATGTCGTCTACGCCATTCGTTGTCCCAGCTACCCAGCCGCAGCCGAGTCCTGCTGCGAGTGGAACCCTCCGCATGGACATTTTCCCTGAAAACGTTATCAAACCCATCTACAAGACCGACTTGCCCAAGCCGCATGCTCGTGTTGACAAGACCCCACAGCTTGTCTACTGCTGCAGTCTGCTCTCCAAGGTTTTAGGACCGTTGCAACCAGCCTCGGACAGCGATGTCTCTCAGGATTCCCCCCTTGACGACAAGGAGAAGGAATGGGTTCAGCTCATTGATCCCGTCTTGCTGGGCCGATATCGATGGCTTCTCGAGCAGTTGGTCAGAGCGTTCGCTGACAACCCACTCAAGACATCTGATGCGATCACCGAGATCGTTCTTGTTGGTCCCGTCCTTGACCGCGGCATATACCGCAGCCTGCTCTCATGCTTCATCTACAAATTTGAGCAGACAACAGCGCTGGATGTCACTCTGCTCCAAGGTCTTGTGCAACTGGTCGAGTGCGCCTCATCTGGATACCTTGTTGACGATGATCTGGTCAGGATCGCCACTGTTCTCTCCAAGGAGCTGTCGATTACCCACATTGGCACGAGTGACCACCCCTTGCACCTGACGTTGTCGCTCGCTCGAGTTCTTGATGTGATGGTGACTGGCAAGGTTAAGGACCTGAACCGTGAACGAGACCATCAGCCGATGATGCAACTCCTGGACGGTCTGAAGGACAGCGACAATGTCGTTCAGAAGTACGAGGCAGCCTACGCCTACCAGGCTCTCCAGTATGCACCAGATGACGAGACTCCGCTCCAAGTGTTGTGGAGGTATGCCAAGGTAGCAGCGGCAGGCGCAGGTGCAGTGTCGAGTGTTTTCAAGTTGGATCCAGAGGGACTCCTCAAAGGCATCGAGAATCTTCAAGAGATCGGTGCAGCGGCTCTTGGAGCTGTCAGCACAGGAATTGAGGTCGTCGAGGCCTTTCGTGTTGGTGCTGATGGGACCATCCGCGCAACAGAGAGCAAGTTCGAGTTTATGAAGAAGCGCTCGTGGTATCTCGCTCTGCAAGGAACGGCCCTCTTCATCCACCAGGGGCGACTTTCAGACTTTAACCTAGTCGTCAGCCAGGCGCCATGCCGCCACAATGCCAACTTTCAATGGGGTATTTGCCGCCAGGTCGGAGAGATTGCAGTCGACCCGCTCTGGGATGTTCTTGTCCGCCAGCAGGCCGTCGACTTTCTAGGCGAGTTGTTCAGGAGTGGTGCCGACTGGAAACCGCATGTCGATGTCAAGCGATGGATTCTCACCATCCTCGTCCAGATCTCGGGGATGTCGGATGTATCCATCAAGAATCGCGCTTTTGCGTTATTACTAGACCTGAAGAAGGGCGGTATCGCCGAGTATCCCGGCTCTTACCTGCTGAGCAGACGCCTCCCTCTACCGATAACCTCCCCGCTTCTTGCTAAGGTTCAAGAGATCCCAAAACTCGAGTACGACCTGCATATATTGAGGTCGATGAGGATTGACGAGTATAAGCAGGCGGTTTACATCGACCCCATGGCCAAACTCAGCCTCCAAGACACGGATGACAATCTGTTCTCTCTCATGGACAAGGTCAAGGACTTTCTTGCCAGCGACACTCAGGTCATGCTTATTCTTGGCGACTCAGGAGCTGGTAAATCGACATTCAATCGACACCTGGAACACGAACTCTGGCAAGAGTACAAGGCAGGAGGCCGCATTCCGCTTTTCATCAACTTGCCATCCCTCGAGCGACCAGAGAAGGATCTGGTTGCGGAGCAATTGAGGAGCCATAACTTTTTGGAAGACCAGATCCGTGAGTTGAAGCTGCACCGCCAGTTTATGTTGATCTGTGATGGATACGACGAGAGCCAGCTTACATCCAATCTGCATACCACCAACCTCTTCAACCGATCTGGGCAGTGGGACGTCAAGTTACTCATTACCTGTCGTACGCAATATCTCGGACCGGACTATCGGAGTCGCTTTGAGTCCAAGGCGGTGGACCAGTACACTCGTGTCGCCAACGATCTTTTCCAACAAGCCGTCATCACCCCATTCACCAGGGAGCAAATCGAAGACTATGTAGAGCATTACGTTCCTCTCGTGCCGCGCACCTGGGTCAAGAAGGATTACATGGACAAGCTAGAGGCTATCCCTAATCTGATGGATCTGGTCAGGAACCCGTTCCTCCTTACTCTGTCACTGGAGGCCCTTCCTACCGTCGTGCAAGGGAAAACCGACCTCTCTAGGCTTCGAATCACTCGTGCGGAGCTGTACGATACCTTTGTGAGGCACTGGATGGCTGTCAACAAGCGCCGTATGGAGGATCAAAGACTGGAAGGGGAGAACCAGGTGGCATTCGAGGAGTTGTTGGAGGCCGGATTCGAGCAGAGTGGGGTCAAGTTTCAACAGGATCTGGCAGCTGCGATTTTTGTACATCAGGACGGCAGACCTGTTGTTGAATACATCAACAAACACGACAAATGTTCCTGGAAAGCGGCGTTTTTCAGCATGGACTGCGAGACGAGTCTTCTCCGTGGCGCCAGTCTTCTCAGCCGAGCTGGCACTCAGTACCGCTTTGTCCATCGCTCCGTGTTGGAATACTTTTTCGCCTGCACCATCTCTGGGCCCACCAAGGAGCGTGATGAATTTGATCCGCCTGTCCATTCCGATACCCCCGCCACCCCACCCACCATTAGCACACATCCATTGTCCCAGAAGGACCTTGTCGTAGAGCCCTCGATCATCCAGTTTCTGGCGGAGCGCGTGCAACTGGATTCTGGATTCAAGGACGAGCTCCTCGCCATCATCGAGCTGTCGAAGACCGACAACCAAGCAGCTCGAGCCGCTGCGAACGCCATCACGATCTTGGTCAAGGCAGGAGTACGATTCAACGGAGCCGATCTTCGGGGTATTCGAGTTCCTGGAGCGGATCTGTCTGGAGGCCAGTTCGACTCTGCACAACTGCAGGAGGCTGAGTTGACAGATGTGAACCTCACCAAGAGCTGGATTCGTCAGGTGGACTTCACCAAGGCGCAGATGGAGAGAGTTCAGTTCGGAGAGTTGCCGTACCTGAAGGAGAATGGGTGGGTATTGTCGTGCGCCTATTCACCTGACGGAACATCGTTCGCTGCAGGTCTCTCTAGAGGAGGCATCAACATTTACGACACCACCACGTGGGTAACGACTCACACTTTTGAAGGGCATCGAGGCCGTATTAAGAGCATTGCCTATTCGCCAACCAGTCCTCAACTCATTTCAGGCAGCGACGATAGGACAGTACGATTGTGGGACTGCGAGAGTGGGTCGTGCATTTTTGTTCTAGAAGGGCATACCGACGAAGTGTTGACTGTGGCATTTTCACCCTCTGGCAAGCAGGTCGCTTCGGGTGGAAGGGACAAGACTGTGAGGCTATGGGATGTTCAGACAAGCGCCAATCTATTCAACTTGACCGGTCATACTGAGTGGATTCGTAGCATTTCCTACTCGCCTGATGGACTTACGGTTGTGTCTGTTGGTGACGATAAGATGGTCCGGTTCTTTGACACACAGACTGGTCAGCCAGGAGAAGTCTGGGAGTGTCAAAGTGGAGGGATGACAAGCGTCGCATACTCTCCTGAAGGCCTAGAGATTGCCGTGGGGCATGGCTATGGCGAGTTACAGCTCTATGATACAACTACCGGCAAGCCAACGAGGAGCTGGAAGGCTCATGGCGAATCAGTCGAGGTTGTGAGCTTTTCGCCGACCAGTCAATGGGTGGCCACATGCAGCAATGACGGCACGGTGAAGGTCTGGAATGCAGCAACAGGATCGGTCCTTTCTGTCTTTACCGGTCATGGTGCTGCTGTCTGTCAAGTAGCCTTTTCGCCAAACGGACTCCAACTTGCCTCATGTAGTCTTGATTGTACCATCCGACTCTGGGACGTGAGCTCGTTGGGTACAGGTATGGACGTGGAGGGCGGATCTGACCCGTTGACGAGCGTACTTTTTTCTCCAGACGGTCGAGTTCTCTTCTGTGGTGCCTATTCGGGAGCTGTGCGGCAGCTTGATGCAAGATCTGGAGAGTCTGGTCCTTTCGTTGTTTGCGGAGACAATCCTGTCAATAGCCTAGCGGTCTCTCCGGATGGTCTTCGAATTGCGTCAGTTGGAACGGACGACAGAGTCGTCATTGTGTGGGACATTGGAACAGGTCACACCGACATTGTCTTGCGCGGTCACACAGAAGAGGTGACCGCCATGGCCTTTTCAGCCGACAGTCGCTGGATTGCCACGGGCGGTTGCGACAATACAGTGCGACTTTGGGACTCTCGCTCAGGGATACTGGACCGCGTGCTTGAAGGCCGTGCCCGGATTGATTGTTTGGTATTCTTGCCGAACAGCCATGGAATTTTGTCTGGAAGTCAGGATGGAACTATTCGAGCCTGGGATTTGGACACTCGTGAGTGTAAGGTCGTTGCGGATGGCAGATTTTGTGAGAATGGCCGTTGGACTATATCAACTTCATCCAATGGCTTGAGGGTTGCTTCTATAATCTGTTACAGCGGTGCTAAGGTTTCTATTTACCTTTGGGACACGAAGAGCTGGCGTCACCAAGAAAGGCTAAAGCGCTACTACGACAGCGTACGATGCATTGCATTTTCATCCTGTGGACAATGGGTAGGCGTGGGCTATCGCCGTTCGGTTCGGCTCTGGAATTTTGTCGCTGACACGTCGGCGGAAGGGGGAGGTGAAGAGTGGAAGTGCTCGGCGAGTATCCTAGATATCTTTGGAGCGGTCAACAGCATTGCATGGAAACCTGACACGCTGGAGTTCAGCATCGGATGCGAGAATGGGTCTCTTCAAGTGTGGAGACTGGTGGAGGCGTCCTCGTCATCGGATGCATGGTCGGCCCAGTTGGTTTGGAGCGCTGGGAATCCTGTTCTAGCCGCCTCGGATGCCGTTTTTGCCGATGCTGTTGGTCTCTCCTCAGCCAATCAGCAATTGCTCACTCAACGTTGCAAAGGTGCTGTTTCTCCTAGAAGATAATCCACCACACAACGGTTTTTTAATAGACACCAGGCGTGTTCGTCAGTAGCCTTTCAATTGTTACTAAAGGCGATGGCGCCAATTAATAGCAAATCTTATTTTTGATCATTGAATGGCGTGCATGTATTTTAATCATTGTAGTGCTGAGAGTGTTGCTGATAGTGGTGCTGAGATACGTTTGTCACAAGGAGTAAAAGAGAACAGTATACTACTTTGCACCATCCGAGTTCCACGTCCTCCTCCTCTCAAATCCATTCACTCCATCGCGATAATCCCTATAAGTCTCATACACCTCCTCCTGGGTATTCATCACAAACGTCCTAATCTGAACCACAGGCTCCCTCAACAGCTCCCCCGCTATCAATACAAAATGCGCTGCCTCATCCTTTGTTTGGATCCCGACGGTGCTGGTACTATCCTCGGAGAAGATGAGGGTATGATGCGCTTTTGCCTCGGTCTCACTGTTCGGACCCCCGATGTATGCGGTGTCGCTGAGTACGTAAATGAATCCGTTGTATGTTGCCGGGATGGTTTGAGTGACGGTTTGGTTCTTGTCCACCTTGAATTCGAGAAATATTGTCGGGGTGCGGGTATAGATTTGAGATTTGACACCGTGGGAGTCTCCAGCAATGACCTTGATAACAACTCCATCCTGGGATCTAGCGTGTGGTATCTGAGCGTCCAATAGCTCCTGGTACTGTGGTTCACACATCTTGTGCACTTTTGGCAAATTAATCCACAACTGCAACCCATGGGCCCTCTCATCCTCCTGCTCCCTCGGCAACTTCACCGGCATCTCCGAATGCACAATCCCACGTCCTGCAGTCATCCACTGCAAATCCCCAGGTCCAATGGTTCCCTTATGGCCGGCAAAATCCTCATGCTGAGTCTGGTCCTCCAGCATATAAGTAACGGTCTCGAAGCGATGTAGGTGATCTGGGAAGCCACCGTTTTGGGGGACGGAAAATTCATCGAGGAGGAGGAGGAAGTCGAGGTTGCGGATTTCAGGGCGTCCAATAGATCGACGGACACAGACGCCAACATACTCAGGTTGTTCTCTGGAGAGGACGGACTATGTGATGGAGCGGGAAAATGGGGTTGATGTAACCATGTTGCTTTGTTATCTTTGTTATTGAATTAGGAAAGAAGCAGTATAGATGAGAGTAATGTAAAAGACTGTTGTTGTAGTCGAGTGAAGAGTGATATTTTTTGGTAAGATGAGGAATCAAAGTACGCGGAAGGTCGGTCGCTTTTATACGTTTTTGCTGCTCAATGAGAAGTGACTAAAGCTTGGAGAATCGGATGGCTTAGATATCTTGTCATGATTTAAGCATTGGACATGTCTGAAGCAAGCCCCACACAATGACAGAAAGAAAAGTCCCAGATACAGATGATTTCTAAGAGTCCTGAACAATCATCATCCATCTAATGCAGGTCACCCAGGCCACCATTGTCCATGGTGCAAAACGTGAGAATAAGGTACAAGAAACGAGAAGATTCCTCTCTCCTGCTGATGAGCAACATCGTGCTAGAAAAGGTCTTTTCTGTGTCGCGTTGGATAACTTTTGTCGATGATCAAATCGGTCTCACCCAGCAAGTCGATCAGCAGCCAATGCTGTGCCTGAAAAGAAGACGCGTACCGTTCTATGGGCTACATACCTTGCGCGGCGGCTGTGAATACTTGAACAAGGCCAGGCTGCTGCCAACAAACTACATACTTTATACCCTGACCCTCCTTCAAGAAGCCCATGCTTTAGATTTCTTTGACGCTTGCGTTCTCTGTTTGTGCTCAATAAAGCACACTTAAAATCCAATGTCGATTTCCGCTATCAAAGGAAAGAAAAGGCAAGATGGAGTGGCGTGCATGCATGAATGGGTCACAGCCCAAGAAAGGCAAGAAAGGGATAACGTAAAATAACCCCGAGTTCGACCTTTTCATGTTCTTTTTCCTCTTTGGCTCACCCTGTCAATCTCCTCCCTACATCATCCGCAAACCCTCCAGCACCGTCGTCCCTCTCTTTGTCTTTCGTTATTCACACTTCTCGATTCGACATTCAGCACGTTGTTCACATTGTGAATTCACCTTGCCTTTGTTCATTCACCACCTCGTTACTCCACTGCCAACATCAACGCAGACACATACCGCTCCCTCCTCTTATTTGCCTGTCGAAAACCTCAACCGCAGCTCAACAAAACAAAAAATAAACAGCAATAGAAAAGGCTCGTTTCAACGTTGTAGAGGTATGACCTTCCCAACAGGCCGTGAATCGTTATGTGTGTCGCTGTATCAAGGAAGGAAACAATACTTTTGCACAATTCTAATAACGATTGAAATGTACGTAGATACTTCCTCCTTGCCCAAAAATAACCGAGCCCACCAAGAGCCTTCATCGTCGCGACTAACTCAAAAACAATACACCAGTGTACCTCTCATCTCAAGGTAAGGAAAAGATGGTGATAAAACAGGAGCCGGAGAAGATTCTTCAATTGCTCCTTTGCTTCTCGACTTCGTAGTGTTAACCCATCCCCCCGTTTGACATGTATTTGCTATCAAGGACAAGATAACTTTTCAGCCTGCTACTCACCCGCAAATCATAAGACAAAAAACAATAAAACCAAAAAGATCGACAGCAAGTCCACACCCAGTAAGCGTGAGAGGACAAACACAGCAAACGAAAAGTGCAATTGACAGCTTTTCATAAGATAAACGATTCTAACCGATATCACCGATATCCTATCAACATAGACCAACAAGTCTCGCCAGCCAAACACACACCCGGTCCATCACCAAAAATAAACGGGGTCCTTTTGCTACCTCTTTGGTAAGGAAGGCGAACGATTCACAGCTATCCCATGCATATCTGGTCATGAAATACTATCTTGTTTACAAACCTCGCCTAACGTTGCACATACTTTTATTGATAGCTTCGCACTCTCATACCAACTACTCATCCGCGATCAGCTCCATCGCGACTCTTTACCAGGCAAATCAGGCTTCAAACCAATGTAAGGCAAAATGAAGAATTATGATTGATTTATTTCAGTAAGGTTGTCCAGACAATTAACCAAGGCCTTCATGCGTGATGTGTATAGTTGTAACCATGTCCTCCTCGTCACCCCTGCATCCTCCCGCGCCTTCCTCTGCTCCTCCGGAACATCTGGAAATAACTGTCGATGGGCAGCGTATCCTTTCTCAACTCGAAGACACCGCAACGCTTGGACGTATGTCGTCAACGACGAGAGATATTCCGACAATCGCTCAAGGATTGGCCACCATTCAGCTCGGACCTGCCAACTTGTTGAGCCCCCTTGGTCATCTCACCACGAGAGATGTTGCCGAGGACGTTGATCATGGACCAGGTCACACCAGCGATGCCAGGTCGGTATCCTCGGGACATTCGTCGAAGGTTGGATTCAGGAAACGCTTGTCGCGATTCCTCAATGGCGACCCCAAAGTCAAAGAGACTGCTCCCGCCTCGGCAGCCTCATCAGCGCCTGTTACGCTCGTTGGAACTGAGAGTCGTATCCAGTCTGCCGCACCTGACCTCGACGCCGTGCCTGTCTCGTTGGGACTGCACTCACCAGCACCTTCCGCTGAAATGTCGTCTACGCCACTCGTTGTCCCAGAAACCCAGTTGCAACCGAGTCCTGCTGCGAGTAGAACCCTCCGCGTAGACATCTTCCCCGAAAACGTTATCAAACCCATCTACAAGACCGACTTGCCCAAGCCGCATGCTCGCGTTGACAAGACCCCGCAGCTTGTCTACTGCTGCAGTCTCCTCTCCAAGGCTCAAGAACCGTTTCCACCAACCTCGGACAGCGATGTCTCCCAGGATTCCCCCCTCGACGACAAGGAGAAGGAATGGGTTCAGCTCATTGATCCCATCTTGCAGGACCGATATCGATGGCTTGTCGAGCAATTGGTCAGAGCGTTCGCTGACAATACACTCAAGACATCTGATGTGGTCGCCGAGATTGTTCTTGTTGGTCCCGTCCTTGACCACGACACATACCGCAGCCTGCTCTCATGCTTCATCTCCAACTTTGAGCAGACAACAACGCTGAATGTCACTCTTCTCCAAGGTCTTGTGCAATTGGTCGAGTGCGCCTCATCTGGATACCTTGTTGACGATGATCTGGTCAGGATCGCCACTGTTCTCTCCAAGGAGCTGTCGATTACCCACATTGGCACGAGTGACCACCCCTTGCACCTGACGTTGTCGCTCGCTCGAGTTCTTGATGTGATGGTGACTGGCAAGGTTAAGGACCTGAACCGTGAACGAGACCATCAGCCGATGATGCAACTCCTGGACGGTCTGAAGGACAGCGACAATGTCGTTCAGAAGTACGAGGCAGCCTACGCCTACCAGGCTCTCCAGTATGCACCAGATGACGAGACTCCGCTCCAAGTGTTGTGGAGGTATGCCAAGGTAGCAGCGGCAGGCGCAGGTGCAATGTCGAGTGTTTTCAAGTTGGATCCAGAGGGACTCCTCAAAGGCATCGAGAATCTTCAAGAGATCGGTGCAGCGGCTCTTGGAGCTGTCAGCACAGGAATTGAGGTGGTCGAGGCCCTTCGTGTTGGTGCTGATGGGGCCATCCGCGCATCAGAGAACAAGTTCGAGTTTATGAAGAAGCGCTCGTGGTATCTCGCCCTTCAAGGAACGGCCCTCTTCATCCACCAGGGACGACTTTCGGACTTTAACATAGTCGTCAGCCAGGCGTCTTGCCGCCACAACGCCAACTTTCAGTGGGGAGTCTGCCGCCAGGTCGGAGAGATTGCAGTCGACCCGCTCTGGGATATTCATGTCCGTCAACAGGCCGTCTACTTTCTAGGCGAGTTGTTCAGAAGCGGTGCCGACTGGAAGCCGCATGTCGATATCAAGCGCTGGATTCTCACCATCCTCGTCCAGATCTCGGGGATATCGGATGTCTCTATCAAGAATTGCGCTGGTGCGCTGCTGCTGGACCTGAAGAAGGGTGACATCGCCGAGTTTCCTGGCTCCCACCCGCTGAGCAGACACCTCCCTCTGCCGTCAACCTCCCCGCTTCTTGCTAAGGTTCAAGAGATCCCAAAACTCGAGTACGACCTGGACATATTAAGGTTGATGAGGATTGCGGACTATGAGCAAGCGGTTTACATCGATCCCATGGCCAAACTCAGCCTCCAAGACACGTATGACAATCTGTTCTCTCTCATGGACAAGGTTCGAGACTTTATGGCCGGCGACACTCAGGTCATGCTGATCCTGGGAGATTCGGGAGCGGGTAAATCGACATTCAATCGTCACCTGGAACACGAACTCTGGCAGGAGTACAAGGCAGGAGGCCGCATCCCGCTTTTCATCAACTTACCATCCCTCGAGCGACCAGAGAAGGATCTGGTTGCGGAGCAATTGAGGACCCACAACTTTTTGGAGGACCAGATCCGTGAACTGAAGCTGCACCGCCAGTTCACATTGATCTGTGATGGATACGACGAGAGCCAGCTAACATCCAATCTGCATACCACCAACTTCTTCAACCGATCTGGGCAGTGGGACGTCAAGTTACTCATTACCTGTCGTACGCAATATCTCGGACCGGACTATCGGAGTCGCTTTGAGCCCAAGGTGGGCCAGTACACTCGTGTCGCCAACGATCTTTTCCAGCAAGCCGTCATCGCCCCATTCACCAGGGTGCAAATCGAGGACTATGTACAGCATTATGTTCCTCTTGAGCCGCGCACCTGGGTCAAGAAGGACTACATGGACAAGCTAGAGGCTATCCCTAATCTGATGGATCTAGTCAGGAACCCGTTCCTCCTTACGCTGTCACTGGAGGCCCTTCCTACGGTCGTGCAAGGGAAACCCGACCTCTCTAGACTTCGAATCACTCGTGCGGAGCTGTACGACACCTTTGTGATGCACTGGATGGCTGTCAACAAGCGCCGTCTGGTGGATCAAAGACTGGACAGGGAGAACCAGGTGGCATTCGAGGAGCTGTTGGAGGCCGGATTCGAGCAGAGTGGGGTCAAGTTTCAACAAGATCTGGCAGCTGCGATTTTTGTACATCAGGAGGGCAAACCTGTTGTCGACTACATCAACAAACACGACAAATCTTCCTGGAAAGCGGCGTTTTTCAGCATGGACTGCGAGACGAGTCTTCTCCGTGGCGCCAGTCTTCTCAGCCGAGCTGGCACTCAGTACCGCTTTGTCCATCGCTCCGTGTTGGAATACTTTTTCGCCTGCACCATCTCTGGGCCCACCAAGGAGCGTGATGAATTGGATCCGCCTATCTATTCCGATCCCTCCGCCACCTCACCCACCATCAACACCCATCCATTGTCCCAGAAGAACCTTGTCGCAGAGCCCTCGATCATCCAGTTTCTGGCGGAGCGCGTGCAGCTGAACTCTGGATTCAAGGACGAGCTCCTCGCCATCATTGAGCAGTCCAAGACCGACGACCAAGCAGCTCAAGCCGCTGCGAATGCCATCACGATCTTGGTCAAGGCAGGAATACGATTCAACGCAGCTGATCTTCGGGGTATTCGAGTTCCTGGAGCGGACATGTCTGGTGGAGAGTTTGACTCGGCACAGCTACAAGGCGCCGACTTGACAGGCGTCAACCTCACCAAGAGCTGGATTCGTCAGGTTGACTTCACCCAGGCGCAGATGGAGCGAGTTCAGTTCGGAGAGATGCCGTGCCTGAAGGAGGATGATGCGGTACACTCGTGCGCCTATTCGCCTGACGGAACATCGTTCGCTGCAGGTCTTTTCCGAGGAAGCATCAAGATTTACGACACCTCCACATGGACAACGACTCGCACTTTTGAAGGGCATCGAAGATTTATTAACAGCATTGCCTACTCGCCAACCAGTCTTCAACTTCTTTCAGGCAGCGACGACAGGACAGTACGATTGTGGGACTGCGAGAGTGGGTCGTGTATTTTTGTGCTGGAGCATACTGGCGGAGTGCAGACTGTGGCGTTTTCACCCTCTGGCAAGCAGGTCGCTTCGGGTGGAAGGGACAAGACTATAAGGCTATGGGATGTTCAGACAGGCGCCAATGTATTCAACTTGACCGGTGATACTGCAATTTGTAGCATTTCCTACTCGCCTGATGGACATACGGTTGCGTCTGTTGACGAGGATGGAATGGTTCGGTTCTTTGACACACAGACTGGTCAGCCAGGAGAAGTCTGGGAGAGTCAAAGTAGAGGGATGAATAGCGTCGCATACTCTCCTGGAGGCCTAGAGATTGCTGTAGGGAATGTCTATGGCGAGTTACAGTTCTACAATGCAACTACCGGCGAGCCAACGAGGAATTGGAAGGCCCATGGCAAAGGGGTCGCGGGTGTGAGCTTTTCGCCGAACAGCCAATGGATCGCCACATGCAGTGATGACAACACCGTGAAGGTCTGGAATGCAGCAACAAGATCGGTCCTTTCTGTCTTTGCCGGTCATATCGGCTGGGTCACACAGGTAGCCTTTTCACCAAACGGACTCCAACTTGCCTCATGTAGTGATGACATGACCATTCGACTCTGGGACGTAAGCTCGTTGGGTACAGGTGTGGACGTGGATGGCGGATCCAACCCGTTGGCGAGCGTACTTTTTTCTCCAGACGATCGAGTTCTCCTCTGTGGCACCAAGTTGGGAACTATGCGACAGTATGATGCAGGATGTGGTGAGTCTGGACGTACCATTGTTTGCGGAGACAAGCCTGTCAATAGCCTAGCGGTCTCTCCGGATAGTCGTCGAATCGCATCAGTTGTAACGGACGACACAGTCGTCACTTTGTGGAACATTGGAACAGGTCAAGCCAATGTTGTCTTGCGCGGCCACACAGAAGAGGTGAATGCCGTGGCTTTTTCAGCCGACAACCGCTGGATTGCGACCGGCAGTTACGACAAGACAGTGCGACTTTGGGACGCTCGCTCAGGGATACTCGACCGTGTGCTTGAAGGCCATACCAGGCGTGTTGTTTATTTGGTATTCTCGCCCAACGGCCATGAAATTTTGTCTGGAAGTCAGGATGGAACTATTCGAGCCTGGGATTTGGACAGTCACGAGTGTAGAGTCGTTGTGGATGCTGACGGTTTTATAGGACTTTGGGCAATATCAACTTCACCCGATGGCTTGAGGGTTGCTTTTCAAGGCAAATCCCTCTCCGATATTGACCTTTGGGACACAGGGAGCTGGCAACATCAACAAAGGCTAAAACACGGCAACGACTACGTACGATGCATGGCATTCTCGTCTTGTGGGAAATGGGTAGGTGTAGGCTATAGCCGTTCGGTTTGGCTCTGGAATTTCGTCGCTGACACGTCGGCGGAAGGAGGAGGAGAAGGCGGAGAGTGGAAAAGTGCGGTGCGTATCGAGGATATCTTTGCATGTGTCAACAGCATTGCATGGAAACCTGACACGCTGGAGTTTAGCATCGGATGCGAGAATGGGTCTCTTCAAGTGTGGAGACTGGTGGAGACGTCGGCGTCGTCGGATGCATGGTCAGCCCAGCTGGTTTGGGGCGTCGGGAATCCTGTTCTAGTTGCCTTGGATGTCGTTTTTGCCGATGCTGTTGGTCTCTCCTCAGTCAATCAGCAATTTCTCACTCAACGTTGCAAGGGTGTTGTCAATTGGGCAACATAGTCCATGACACAATTTTTTCATGTAGAGAGACATTGGGCATGTTCGTTGGTAGCCTTTCAAGTATTACTGAAGGCGATGGCGTCAATTAATAGCAAATCTTATTTTTGATCATTGAATGCTGTGCATGTTTTTTAATCATTGTAGTGCTGTTGATGGTAGTGGTGCTGAGATACGTTTGGTACAAGGGGTAAAAGTGAACAACATACTACTTTGGAGTACCATCCGAGTTCCATGTCCTCCCTCTCTCGAACCCATTCACCCCATCGCGATAATCCCGATAAGTCTCATACACCTCCTCTCGTGTATTCATCACAAACGGCCCAATCTGAACAACGGGCTCCCTCAACGGCTCCCCCGCTATCAGTACAAAATGCGCTGCCTCATCCTTTGTCTGGATCGTGACGGTGCTGGTGCTATCCTCGGAGAAAAGGAGGGTATGATGTGCTTTGGCCTCGGTCTCGCTGTCAAGATCCCCGATGTATGCGGTACCGCTGAGAACGTAAATGAATCCGGTGTATGATCCCGGGATGGTTTGAGTGACGGTTTGGTTCTTGTCCATCTTGAAGTCGAGAAACATTGTCGGTGTGCGGGTATAGATTTGAGAGTAGACTCCATGCGAGTCTCCAGCAATGACCTTGATAACAACTCCATCCTGGGGTCTAGCGCGTGGTATCTGAGCGTCCAATAGTTCCTGGTATTGCGGTTCACACATCTTGTGCATTTTTGGCAAATTAATCCACAATTGCAACCCATGGGCCCTCTCATCCTCCTGCTCCCTCGGCAACCTAACCGGCATCTCCGAATGCACAATCCCACGTCCTGCAGTCATCCACTGCAAATCCCCAGGCCCAATGGTTCCCTTATGGCCTGCAAAATCCTCATGGTGCGTCTGACCTTCCAACATATAAGTAACGGTCTCGAAGCCGCGATGTGGGTGATCTGGGAAGCCACCGTTTTGGGGGACGGAGAATTCGTCGAGGAGGAGGAAGGGGTCGAGGGCACGGAGGGACATTGTGCCGATTGAGCGGTGGACGGTGACGTTCTTGCCGTCGGTTTGTACAAAGGGTGGGATTGTCCTTGTTATTGTCCGAGATTTCTGCTCCGTTGTTGTTGTTGTTGTTGTTGGAGATGATGGTATTGTTGTTGGTGGCGGTGGTGGTGGTGGTGGTGGTGTTGTTGTTGTTGAAGTGTCCGCCATTGTTGTAAGCGTTACCGTCCTGGGCGTAGGTATACACGCCTGTTGTTGAGTTGTTTGGTGGTTTTTTTTTTTTTTTGGTGTGCAGGAAAGAAAAAGGAGGTGCCACTGTTCATTTATACTTTTTTATCTCAAAAAGTAGGTTCACAAAAGTGACTAAGCCTAAAGCTGTGGCTTAGAAATTGGTTTCTTTGATTATCTGATTAGACGTCATTAGACACCCAGCATGGGAGTCAAGGGTTCCTAACCAAAGTGTCTCAAGGCATGCACCCAGGACGAAATAGCAACAGCTCACAAACCAAAAGAACAAAAAAAAAGAAAGGGTTCTCTGTGCAGTGTTCCTCAGCAAAATATACGGAAAGAAGCTATTTTTTAGGCAAAGAGGTGTACTGTACCTCAGCCGACATATACACACGAATACAAGAGAGACAAACATACACACGTTGGTACTATTTGATTTTTCTTTAATTCTGATTATGTACAATTGAGCATGGAGGATCTATGCATCTCCATCTACATTTTTTTCTTTTTGCTTTCGCGGTCCGAACAAGCTTGTGCATGCATGGATACGCGAGAAAAGATTGTTTGCGCCATTTTTTGTGTTCCTTTGGTCCTGAAAGAAGAAAAAAAAAAAAGGTCGCTTAAGCCTTCGCGAGAGCAGCAGCGATGGCCTGGTCAAAATCGGCCTTGATATCGTCAATGTGCTCAATACCAACCGAGACTCTGTTAGTGAGCAAACAAAGAAAAAGGAGAAAAAGACAGTTTAGTTTTTCATCCAGCCTTAGCTTACGCCCAGCACCTGTGAGGAAAACAACAAGCAACAACACACTCCATCCCACTACCACTTGTTCAATATCTCCCCCCTTTCACGACAACGTACCTGATGAGATCCTTAGTAACACCGGCAGACACCTGCTCCTCATCCGTCAACTGCTGATGAGTGGTAGCAGCAGGGGAAATCACCAACGTCTTGGCATCTCCAACATTAGCCAGATGCGAGGCCAACTTGACAGAGTTGACAAAGTCTGATCCAGCCTTGGCACCACCCTTGATACCGAAGGACAAGACAGCGCCAAAACCATGGTTGAGGATCTTCTTGGCGTGAGCGTGGGAGGGATGCGAGGCAAGACCGGGGTAGGAGACCCATGCGACACCGGCGTGGTTCTCGAGGTGTTGGGCCAAGGCCAGGGCGCTGTCGACTGAGCGTTGGACACGAAGGGAGAGGGTCTCCAATCCTGTTGGATAGAGTAGAAAAGTGCGGCGCGGAGGGAGAGGGAGGAGAGATGGTCATTAGAAAAGGTACAAACAAATCAGAGCAAAAAAAAAAAGGTAGAAAACCACATCGCACATTTCTTTCTTCATTCTCTGTGCATTATGCATTGTGCATGCAGGTATTCCCTCTTTTTCTCAGGGCACATTTCACATGAAAATAAGATCGCCAACAGAAAACAAACGAGTAAAGGACAAGAACGTACCCTGGAGGAGCAAGAAACTGGCAAAGGGGTTGGGCGAGGCACCAAAATCACGGAGTCCTTCAATACGGGTCTTGACGATAAACGACGACTTGCCGAAGGTATCCCAGTACTTCAATCCATGGTATCCCTCCGAGGGCTCCGTGAAGTCAGGGAACCGCCCATTGCCCCAGTTAAAGTTTCCGCTGTCAACAATAACGCCTCCAACAGTGGTACCATGTCCACCAATCCACTTGGTTGCCGAATGGACGACAATATCAGCACCATGCTCAAAGGGACGGATCAAATATCCACCAGCACCGAAAGTGTTGTCAACAATCAGGGGCACACCGGCATCATGGGCAACCTTGGCAATGGCATCAATATCGGCGACGATGTACTTGGGGTTGGAAATGGACTCGAGGAAAACAGCCTTGGTGTTGGCGTCGATCAGCTTGGCAAAGGCCTCGGGCTCATCAGATTCGGTGAACTTGACCTTGATTCCCAGACGAGGGAGGAGGACCTTGAACTGGTTGTAGGTGCCGCCGTACAAGTGGGAGGAAGCAATGATGTTGTCACCGGCTTGGGCCAGGGTGGCGATAGCCAAGAACTGAGCGGCTTGGCCGGAAGAGGTGGAGACGGCGCCGATTCCGCCTTCGAGGGCGGCAATGCGCTGCTCAAACACATCCGACGTGGGGTTTCCGAGTCTTTTTGGATATAATTCACACGGGAAAGATAGGACAGACGAGGAAGAGTAAAGGAACGAGAGAAAGAAGGGGTAGATTTAAGTTTACTTTGCAACTCAAAGTTCAACGGAAAGTTGCATTCATTACCCGAGCAAAGGAGACATATTAACAAACAATGTGTGAGTAATAAGCAAAGAGGAAACGAGGCTGCTTACCTGGAGTAGATGTTACCGGCCTCCTTCAAGGCAAAGAGGTTGGCACCGTGCTCGGAGCTGTTGAAGACGAACGAGGACGAGGCGTAGATAGGGACGGCTCTGGCGTTGGTAGCCGAATCTAAACGGTGACAGCATGAGAGGTGACATGGTGAGTGTTAAAGTTTGACATAATTTGTCGGTTTGGTGCAAGGAATTATTACGAAATAGTGGTACGGGGAAGGAGGGAACAAGACATGTGTGTAAGGTTGTACATGCTTTTCTATGGAGAACAACATCAGCAACAACGAGAGTCATGGAACTCGTCTTCAACAGGGTTATGAGGGTTACCTGGGGACTGGCCGGCGTGGACCTGGAGGGTATCGAAGTGGTGCTTGGGGGCGGGGTTGGCCATTGTGAAGGATGTGTGTTGTGGGTGTGAGTGTGAAAGAGAGGTGTGAGAGTTGAGTGTGAGGAAGAAGGTTGCAAAAGAAAGAGGGAAAATAAAAACGAGGGAAGGAGGGGGGAGGGGTCAACCCTTTTATGCAGAAAAGAACAGAGGATACTAAGAATAAAAAGACGGTGGGCCACTACGGACACCAGGGGTGTGTGCCAGGGGTAAGAGTAGGAAAAAGCGACAGTCCAGCCAATAAGGAGCAGGATGAAGGAGAGGAAGAAGGATGTACTGAACCCCAGTTCGTTGTTCTTGCCGAGAGGGGAGGAGGAATGGGGGCAGAGGGAAAAAGAATACCGTCTGGCACGAGTCATCGCATGGATAACATAACGCCATCCGCACAGCCAATTCTACGTTTTAAGTACAAGTGCCATGCAACGGGTATTGGAAGGAGAATAAAAGTGCGTGCTTTTGAAGTTGAATTCCGTGTCTCTCCTTCACAATGTGTCATTCCTTCCCTTGTTCAACTGCCACCACCTCCAAACACTCTCGCCTTTCTTTGGTCCTCTTTCGTCTTTTCATTGTTTATTTGTCTCCTCCTCCTCCCTCTCCCTTCTGGAATGGAGAGAGGCGCCCGAACAGAAAGAAATTTCAGTAGAGAGAGAGAGAGAGAGAGACAGAAAGAGACAGAAAAATATAGAAAAGGATACACAAAAATGCTCTCATGCATGATCAACACACACACACACATGCACTTGCACCTTGTTACAAAACACCCTCGCGCTTCTTCTCCCTCTCATTCTCTACACGCACATATAATAAATAGCACACACGCTTCTCAATTCTCACCTCAAGGTTTTTCTGTGTCTTTGCTAGGGCTGGGCTCGGGTCCCTTCCTCCTTCCTTCTATAGTCTCCTTCCCTCTTCCCCTGTTGGATTGTTTGAGAGATTGGCAAAAGATCTTATTTCTCTCTTACCCTCCTTCCTTCCTTCCTTTGTGTGTGTGTGTGTGTGTGTGTGTGTGTGTGTGTGTGTGTGTGCGTGGGTGTTTGTGGGTGTGTTTGAGAGACAAGGAGGGAAAGGAGAGGTGCGGCTGCAGAGTCGAAGAAATGACGCGATCGCCCCATTCTAAAGTGGGGGATTCGCCCAAACTCATTATGACTTACTCACTCACACCCGCACCCACTCACATACCTTCCCCTTTATCCTTTGGACCAATAAACTGTATTAGTGGCATATGTGGACTGCGAAAAGAGGAACAAGGAGGAGACAGGTAGACAGGCAGGTCTTTCACCCCTTCTGTGGTTTTCCTTGATGTGCGCCATTTGCTCAGTTAAACCATTGTCACCCCCTCCTCATTCTTAACTTTCTCTGGGTAGCCGCAATTGAAGCCCATAGCGCGCAACTAAAAAAAAAAAAAAAACACCATCGAATGTTAATCCTCCCCCCATTCTTCCCCTTTCAAGATTCCTAACCCCATCAATTGTTAACCATTTTCTCTTTTTGTTCAGCACTTCCCTCCCCATATCTCCTGGTGCCTTTTTTACTCAACTTTGTCAACCCCGAAGGTTTGGTTTCATCGACAGTCATCAAATCGCGAATCGGACAGGAGGACGAGTTGAGTGGACCCTTGTCAACCCAGGGGGGGGGGAATGAGACAGGTTCCATAACTCTGGTTGTCATCCCTTCTTTTGAAGCAACCTGCTTCTCCCAAGCGCGAGCGAAAGGAGGAGGGAGGGAGGGGGGCATTGGTGAGAAAAACGATTGGTTTCTAAAGTGATCCATGGTTATGCACAACTGTTGCTTATCGAGATGGTCAAAAAAAAAAAAAAAAAAAAAGACCAGTAACGTAACGCACGCGCCTCTTGTGTGAGAGGATGCTACGGTTGAGGGCAAGATCCCGTTTGTTTTTAGTTTTGTTGGTTCCTGTTCTCCCTTTTTGTAATTGCAGCTAAAAAAAAAAAAAACGAGATGGACCATGGAGGTTTTTTTTTGTTCAACAATGCCCTTCTATATAAACAACGAAATGGAAAATCACCATTTTTTTTTTTCCATATTTTTTTGATCTGTTCTTCTCATGAATCGGCAAAAAAAAGCGCAGGTGTTTCATGCCTGGTTGGCGCGCCTTTCAATTGATACTTTAGTGAAAACGAGGATTTGATACTAGCTATTTGTAAAACATACGTGTACCTGGTGGGCATCCTGGTGGCGAAAGAGAAAGTTCAAGGTGCAAAAACACCACTGTATTTTCCTGGAATGAAAAGGCACAGCGCGGGCAAAGAATCAAAGGTTGAAAAGTGACGTGAGTGAGAGAGAGAGAGAGAGGGGGGATGACTGCGGAGAGTTTTTTTTTACCTGGGGTATGGCACACACCCTGCGAAAGGAAATTCTCCGCCCACACGCTTTACTCTCCTTTGTAAACCTCAGTAAAATAAAAAAAAATAAAAAAACGCACCGCCCCGCCCTCTTACTATTTCCTCCTGAACTTTTCCACCACCACCACGTTGCCACGCGCACATACACAATCCCTTTGTCTAAATGCAATGTAAAAATGCATCAAGACAACGATGCACCCACCCACCTGCGCATCTCTCTCTCTTTCTATCTCTCCTTCTCTCTCTCACTCTCTCTCACTTCGTCTTCCCATCCATCCGTACGTATGCATGTATACCATCCCTCCGTCTCAGATCACAAATCAATGTGACAAAAGACCATTGAGTCGAAAACGTCGTCGATCTGAACAGACAAAAAAAAAAAAAAAAAAAAAACGAGATGAAGGGGGGGCTTTTTTTTTTTGCCTTTCCTTTATTCCTTCCATCTACAAATTCTACATTTACAAGCTTCATAACAGAAAACGGGTTTGTTAGAATTTGTTCAGGCAAGATGTGGAAGAAAAGGGGGAAGGGGGGTAAGTAGGATGAAAGGGAAGGGCGATGGAGCATGGACGATGGTGAAAGGAGTGAGAGAGAGAGAGAGAGGAGGACCAACCATCAACCATGGGTCCACAAAAGGACATTTTTTGTAACAGATCGCGTAAAGTACATAGACACAAGATACAATCTTCTGATGAGCAAATCAACAAACCAGTACAGTAGTACAGCATCAAGAAAAAAAATATATGCAACATGCGTATTTCACAAAAAGTAACAGAAAGGCGGTGATTTTAGTTGAAAAAAAAAGAACAACAACGGGGAGGGTATGAATGGCTGTACTATACATGTGTGTTGCTATTTTTCTACAAAGGGTGAATTAAGAAAGGATCCAGCCCATCTCCATCTTGATGGAACGGCCACGTTTGGTGGTTAATGGGACAGTCCGTGAGATGGGCTTCTCGATCATGTCCCAGGCATCGACGTTGGGCTCGTTGTACTTGCAGTCGATCTGGACAGGTTCCGCATCGTCCCTTCCGACCTCAAACTGACTAGATGCAGAGACAGGGGCAGGGGCAGAGACAGGGAGACGGATGGGGGCCAATTCGGTTCTTGGCGATGAGAGATCCATCCTCATCGGAGGAGAGCAGGGCGACGTAGGGGAAGTAAGCATCGAGGGCAGCTTTGTTCCTGAAGAAGGGGGCCAGTTGGAAGAGATCTTAAGTTGCGGCAACGTAAAGAACGACGATAATGATGATGTTGTTGTCGACTCTGAGACTGAGGCGGTGTCCCTGGGGACGTAGGAGGGCGAGTAGGAGGGGGAATAGGCGATGCGAGCCGATTCGTCATGCTCGACCGTTGCAGACCGGGTGGACTGAGGTGGAGAGGCAAGCATAGGTTTGCTGTGGCTATTCTCATATCCACCGTGGCTCACATTCGAGTAAGGGCAAGACCCAAGGGCCTGACCTTGCATAGCGGCGATCTGACAGCAGCACTGAGCCGTAGGCGGTGGCTGCTGCTGGGTGTAAGAAGCAGCATTATTGCTGGAAGGCGAACCTGCTCTGGCAGATGCCGAGGACGAGGGGGAAGGGGAGAGCTGGCAGTAGGAGGGACGGGCGTAGGGCGTGGCCTGGTTGTAGGCTGGCTGACCATTCTTCTCTGCACGTGAGCGCGAGCGGTCAGGTCGAGAGAAGGACGATGGCATCCGCTGCGCCAAGGCGCGCTCCAGTTCCTTCTCGTAATCGATGGTCTGGCCAGCACGACCGGGGTCCTGGGAGATCTCCATCTCCTTGGCCTTGAGGTAGGCAGCCAGGCCAAATGCCTCGGCCATGTCCTGTTCGTGGACGGTCTGGGTATGTTTGCCAACTGCCTGGGCCCGCCAGATGGGCACATTGGCATTGTCGTCCTCGATATCATCACTGTCGGAGGAGAAGCGTCTGTAGGCAGGGGCGGCGACGGAGACGGAGACGGAGGCTGGGTTTGAGGTTGCGATAGGAGGAGGGGAGGGGCGTGATGGCGAAGAATCCGAGAGCTTCACCTTATCAACGTGATCGTTGATGTCCGAGAGTTCCATACACATGCTGCTGTTCCCGTAGATACAGTCGGGTACAGGCTTTGTTGGTTTGGACGAGAGCTTGCGACGGTGGATTTTGTGGATGCGGACACGGTCAATAGCTGTTGGTCCTGTTGTTGCGGCTGTTGTCTTGGTGTTGATGTTCTTGGCCGAGACTGCAAGGAGGAGGTTGGCACAGGACTCTGCGTCGATACAAGAGTTGATGGACGACGAGTCGGATTTTGTCATCATCATCCCTTTCCGGACTGAGGGGCTGTTGCTGTTGCTGTTGGTCTTGCTTGTTGATGGCGAGGTAGACGAAGGAGGGATAGCATCGGCGGTATAATCGACCGGGCAATTACTATTGTTGTTATTATTATTGTTGTGGATGTTGAAGTGGATTATTGGGGGCGTATGGGCGGAGGAAAAGGTAATTGTAGACGAAGAAGCAGCAGGGGCTGGAGAGAGCGAGTTGGAGGGAGAGGCATGAGAAGAAGAGGCGATGACGGGAGTGGCGGTTGCGGTGATGATGCCGGCGCCGTCCTTTCTGATTTTGGGGCTGTTGAGGTGTCGCTGGAACTGGCGAATGTCGAGCTGGACGGAGGTGAGTTCACGGTAGGAGCACTCGACGTTGTGTTTTTGGCAGCGGGAGCAGGGTTCTTTGCGATCACACTTTACTTTCTTTGTGCGGCAGCGGAGGCAGGATGAGTAGACTTTGAGCCGACGGAGGTCGTATGCGACCTTGGTGGTTGAATCAGATGGGTCTTCTGGGTGGAGTTGGATGTGGTTGGGGGGAGATGAGTTGTCTGATTGATGCGGAGACAGTTGGAGGATGGAGGAGGCCATTGTCGATGATGGTTGGAGTTGTTGTTGTTAATTAGTTGAGGAGCGAGTGAGTGTGAGAGAGTGCTGAAAGAGGAAAGACGAGAGCGGGTGAGTGAGAGAGAAGTGTGGGTGTGGGTATTATGAGGGAGTGCGGGGGTGTGTGTGTGAAGAAGAAGAAGGGAATGAGGATCAGAAGAGGGGGAAGTGGAAGTGGAAGAGAGAGAGGTGAAAAAGGAAAAAGAGAGAGGGAGAGAGAGAGGTGGTGAAAGAGAGAAAGAACAAGAAGAGAGAAAAAGGTCCGGAGATGCGAATATTTTTTCGTCGCCGTTGTTGTCGTTTCTATTCCTGGTGTTTGGCCTCCGAGAAGGCTCAATCTGATAACGAAGTGTGTTGTCTACCCACTGGTCCACTGGACTCGATACACATGGATACTGTCTGCTGTCTGCTGTCTTTGCTTTCTGCGCTCTTTTTTTTCCCTTTCTTTCCTTCTTCTTCTCCTTTGCCCCATCTGTCCGAGGTTTCCGTGGAAGATATAAAGGGGAAAGCAATTACTCTCTCCCATTCAAACAATCCCTCTCTGCCTCGGCCCATTCACTACCTCCTCTAATCGCACAGTCTTATATAGACTGACTCGCATCCCGTTCTCGGACTCACTCACTCACTCACTCTGTTGCATGTTGCATTATGCCATATACATATACGTCCTCGCTCTCCTCTTTCCTTTTCTCGAAATAGCCGACCGGCCGTCCGATGAATGAATGTCCGAGATCTTGTCTGTAGTCATGCCCATTATGTCCTCTTATGTCCTGACGTACAGTACCGACTCTTTCCCTTCTCTCGATATCATGCAAACCACACACAAGCGAAAACAGTTCACACGAAAACGTCAAACGGCCAAGACAGACAACAACAACCTTGTCAACTCGCTAAAAAAGTAAACAACAGCAGCAAGCATCCTCATCATCCTCATCCAACATATACACCCACGATACCCTCAACAAAGTGTCCGGCTTTTTCTTGAGCAAAGAAAATACCGCGTTTGAGAAAGCGAGAACGAGAAAGAGTACCTTACAAGGTCAGGCTTGCATGTCAGAGAGACGACGTACTTCTCAGTTCATACTCCACTTTTTTCCCTTCTTGTGGCCCGCACACCCACTTTTTCTCTCTCTGAAATCTCTCCTTTTGTAGACTGAATAGAAGAAGTAAATAGTTCCTCTCGGATGGTCGGAACTCAAAAACCCGGTCCTTTTGCCTTTCCCTCTGACCCTTCTCCCCTTTGCACCCCTAATGAACTAATGAACAGAGAGAGGGTAGCACGTTTTTTGACTCTCTTTTATCAGATCTTGACTTTTTCATCGATGGAATGATTCTTACATGTACGTATCCCCCTTCCCTTCCCTTCCCTTCCCTTCCCTCACTCCCGCTCTCTTTCAAGTATAACTGGTTTCTGTAATTGAGCATCCATTATTGAGTCTCATATCGATACCATTGAGCGACTGGTACAAAGAAAAGCCGATATGGATACCTCACAAGAGAAATAGGGTACCCAAGAAGAAGAAAAGGAGTAGTACGTGTTTCTTTGCAAGGACAACAAATGATTTCGATTCTCCTTTCTCATTCGACACCGACGTCTCTTATCAGATTTTTTTGTTTTCTCCAAGAAGTGGTCTGTCCTGGCGTCACTTTTTTTTTTCGTGCAACCATGCCAAACGAGATGGAGGAGGGGGGGGGGGGATATGTATTTACTCCCATGGTCATTCGCCTTTTCCCTCCCTCCAAAGAGCAAGCTCACTTTCCGCTAGAAAAGGGGCAGATCCTCACTTCCAAACAATGGAAAAGCAAAGAATTGCAAGGTCGCCTATTGAAACTATCCACATGTAATGAAATGGATATTCCGGGGAGCCCGAATAAAAAAGTGAACAAAAAACATAAATGCAAGGGGAGCTCGGAGGAGACCTTCTCCTTTTGTACATGCGAATTGAAACCTTTTTTTTTTGATTGCCAAAAGGAAACGGGGCGGAGAGTGATGCACTGTTTTTGGTTTGTCAAGGCCGACCATTTGGACACAACGAGCAGATAGATAAAGATACACGTACAAGGTGTAATAAAAGGGAGAGGAGGGTTTTGATGTTCGCGCAGGCATGACACGACCGCGCTTTACTCCCGTGAGGGTTGGTCTTGTTCGCGTCAGATACAATGAGGGTGCGACACCATCGGCGTAGTGCCTTTAACAGGAGCAATTGAGTGGCGCCACTAGTGCACATGTCTTGCATATCTGGATAGGTGCTATGTCGTGTCGAAGCGTCTTGCATGTTGGTTGTAACTGGACTATGACAAGCAAGGCGACAGCCTCGAGGTTAGTGTGGTGGGGTGATAAGGTTTAGGGAATACGATTATTTCCGAGTACAGAGATGTCACTCACAGTCACGTGCAATAACTCAATTTCTCGAACAGGCCTTGTCCACAGGTGTCTCTCAGTGAGTGAGTGTGTGTGTGTGTGGGTGTGTGTGCCTGCACTCTCTTTCTTGTCTTGCTTCTTCCCTTCAGTCAGTCATCCTTTCATCGACCTAGTTGTTGCCTGCAGCCGCACCTTTTCTATTCACTCGGCCCAAAGTGAATAGACGATTGTCTTGACTTGCCACCGGACCAAGGACACACACCATTGCAACTTCAACTCCAACAAAAAGACGATCGACTCTCTCTCTCTCTCACCGAGGAAAATCAAACAACTACACCACCACAGGACAATAATCATTTACAACCAACTGTCCCAGGGCTCACCTTTATTTTTGTGGATCGTCAGTCCCATCACCACTCACACAAACACTCTCCTTTTATAAATCAACCACAACAACGCGCCTTTTTCTTTTTCTCTTCCCTTCAACCAACGCCACCCACTGCCATCACACCCACCCTACCTTTCCTCTCCTACATCCCTCCCTTCTTTGAACCGTCCCTTTCGAGACGACAACAGACCCCTGGAGGATTTGCACAGCGCCACGACGAATGAACACCGCCCAGCCAGCAACACCAGGAGTCCAATGAGTTTATTTTCAAGCGAGCCACTCGAGGCGGATCCCAACGCCGACCTCCTGGCTTCACCCATGTCTGTCTCCAACCACGGTACCGACCACACAGGACTCGAGGAACCAATGGACACGAGTTACGACTCTCTTTTTGGAGGGCCAGAGTCTTCAGCCCCTTCTTCAGAACAACAGGAACGCCTTCTTCGGATCCTCAACGACCCATCCTCCAACAGCCAAGCCCGCCTCACCTTCAATGTCGCCCACGAAATGAACTCGAGGAAACTCTGGCGCTTTTATCTGTCTGAGGACGAGCACGCGATCTTTGAGGCCGCCCTGACAAGCATTGACACCTGGAGGAGCTTTATCTCTCTTGACGAAGGATTCAGCGACCAGTACGATGGCATCAGGAGACAGCAGCAATTGCAGGAAGGACAGGACCCATTACCAGAGATTGTTGAATCCGTACCAATACCAAACATCCTCACCGACGACCTGAACAACAACACTCCTTCAGAGCTCCCGGTTCGATCGCCCGATCATATCAAGCAGGAAGTTCTGGATCCGGATCAAGGCTACTTTGGATTAGGAGCAACAACCATCAAGAAGGAAGGCTCCTTGTCAGTACGCAACTCGCCATCCATATCGACACCTCCAATCACTACCCCCAACGGCCACCTGCGGACACATCATACACCCCGCATTGAAGGCTCACCCTCTGTCAACACACCCCGAGGTTCACCGGCACCGAATGGATCCACTAAACCCGAAGCGACTACCAACCCAGCACACTCACCTTCTTCGACTGAGGTCATGCCTCCACCTTCCATCCCTACGACTGCCTTCCGGTCACGCGTCATGGTCTTTGAGCAATTGCTCCCAGCTTTGTATCCAAACCACGGAGGATGCTGTCACCCAACTGTCGATATTTCGGAGCTCAGGGACAAGGATATTACACAATATGATAAACCCTCACAGGCTTCTGCCATGGCAACAGATGATGGTCCTCTGGCACGGAAACGGATACTGGATGAGGATGAAGACTATGATGCAGATATGGAAGCTGCTCCCAAGCAGATCAAGGACGACCCTGCACCTCCCAACAAGACTGCAGCTGGATCGTCCAAGGATGACGAATCAAAGCCCGCACCCTGTAAGTCATACTGCTTTGTACTATATCCGTCGCGGGAATTCTGTCTTTCAGCTATCGTGATCGTCATTACTAACAACTGATCATATCATTTATATTTTATATAGCACCCGAGAACGCGCCACTCCGACTCCCCATTCACCACATCTACTACACACTGGAGTACGACATGGATGCCATGATGGAGCAGCAACAGTTGGAAGAAGCGGACAAAAATATCCAGGAGGAACAGGAAAACCAGCCCGGAAGCAGTTTGGTGACGGACAACATGCTGACTCAGCTCGGAGCAGGAAGCGTGAGCATGAAATACCTTTTGGGCGCAATCGAGTCCAACCGTGCAGCAACAGGCCTTACCGATCGTGAGCTGCGGACTCTACTTTCCGACGTCCGACCCAACCGATCCAAGTGGGCCAACGAGGACAGAGTCGGTCAGGAGGAGCTATATGAGGGCTGCGAGCGAATTTTGACAGAGTTGCGCAACTACACGGAGCACTCGCTACCGTTCCTCAACAAGGTCAACAAACGCGAGGCGCCCGACTATTTCCAGGTCATCAAGACACCCATGGATCTGGGAACCGTCCTCAAGAAACTCAAGTCATTTGCTTACCAGAGCAAACAGCAGTTCGCGGAAGACCTCTACCTCATCTACCAAAACTGCATGACGTACAACTCTGACCCCGCCAGCGTCTACCGGAAACACGCTATCGCCATGAAAAAGAAAACTCAACAGTTGCTGGAGACCGTTCAGGATGTCACTATTCGCGACAGAGCCGAAGTTGAGGCAGAGGCGGAGGAGAGTGATGAGGAGACAGAAAGTCAGACAGGTCGGCCAAACGAGGCTGCCAAGGGCTTGGGCCGGAAAGAGCAAAAGTCGTCCAAGACTGTTCACGGTGTCAACGGAGAGCCTAATACGTCCAAGAACCATTCCGCCAAGCGTGGTACAACAGTCGGTCAACACGGTTCCGAGACGCCCAAGATTACTATGGATATCGACTCAGCGGCCAACGCAACACCAACTCGCGAGACGAGTCGCGAGCCCTCCACCATGGATTCTATCGAGACGCCAATACTGCAAGGAGGTCTCTTTGGTCACGGCCGCGCCGGAACACCCAACGGACTTTCTCTGCACTCTCCGGCTCGTCATCGGATGATGAGGTCATCGGTCCCAGTCGAGATTGATCTAGAGCAGGAAGAGAAGGATATTGCTGCAGAACTGAGGGCAAGCAGGGGTGACATTCTGTTTCAGGAGTGGAAGGAAAAAACCAAGAAGGTGCGCGCCAAGATCTGTTCTACACGGGAAAGCCAACAATCTCTGCCTTTTGAGGACCGTTTCGCCCTGGAGAGAACGCCCTGGGAGATGAAAAAATCGAACGACATTGATCAGGCACACGACAACGTCTTTGATTCTCTCGCACTCAAGAGGCGGAAGAAGAAAAAGAAGAAGACTGGCTTTCGAGGTCGAACAGCTCCTGCTGCAGGAGCAGAAGGAGAGTCGTCGGATTCCTACGAGGACGTCTATGGCGAGAGCGAAAGCGACGAAGAGGAAGAAGACGAGGAAGACTTTGCACGTGACTTGTTTGCTCCACCCAGGATCAAGGAGGAGGATCTGGACAAGAAGAGGACAAAGAAGGTCAACGAGGTCTTCCTGCCCGAGTACGCGGTTCGGTCTGGTCTGCCCGAGGTGCCAGGACGAGGACTCGAGCGGTTGGATGATCCCGAGTTGGCACGCAAGTTGTTTGATGAATCTGAGATATCTGCGTAAGTTTTTTCTTTCTTGTTGTCGTTGTCTTTGTTTGATGTCTTTTGCTGCTCGAGGGGCTCATTTACTAATGCAATTCCTTACTTTCATGTTACATTTACAACTAGTCTCGAGGAGAAGCAGCCTTCATTATCCTTATACCCATCCGCAGTTGCGGCACCAGGACACTTGGCGGCTGGTATCGATCGCAATGTCGAGGAGTTGCGAAAGATCCGACACGTCTACTCGAAAATCTTTGCAGCCAAATCCTTGCACCCCGTAAGTATTCGCCCTTTTTTTTTTATCGGCTTTGTTATGTGCATGGAAGGTTAGAAGGTTTACTGACCCAGCCCCACTTTTGCTTGTTGACAAAATAAATTAGGACCTTGCTGCCCTGGAAGAGCCACCAGAGCCAGCGCCAATTCCTCCTCATGAGGGACCTCTGCCACCATTGGTCATGAACGACGCCACAGGACGTGCCATGGTCTCACAGGTTGCCTCGAAGCTACTGGCACATGCAGGATTCCAAGGTGCTCAGGCATCAGCGCTGGCCGTGATGACTGATATCACCGTCGAGTTCTTCCTCAACTTGGGCAAGACGCTGAGGGGTTATACTGACCTCTACAACAAGGGCATGACTGCAGAGGTAAAGACGACGTTGTTTGTTGGGACGTTTTTTCATGTCGCGACGGTTGGAAAAGAAAATGTCCCCCCCCCCCCCCCCCCCCCGTTGGATCGCAAGTACTAATTATTGTTTATAACTATTTTTTTTTTTTCCTTGGTATAGGAAATCTTGCTGCACACGCTGCATGAGAACGGAGTGAGCGGGGTCGGCGACCTGGAGGGTTATATCCGTGAGGATGTAGAGCGTTACGGGAACAAATTGCAGGATATTCACCGCAAGCTCGAGACTAGCTACACCGACGTAGTCAACACGACGTTGAACGAAGGTCATAATGTGGACGCGGACTTTGAGTTCCAAGAGGACGACGATGCCTTTACGAGCGGAAACTTTATTGGAGGCGGCACGGACGACCTTGGCGAGGACTTTTTTGGATTCCGGGAACTCGGCATTGATCGCGAGTTTGGAGTCGGCAAATTAACGATCCCCTCCCGCGTCTGGTTTGGAGGTCATAAGGAGGGCGACCCTGGTAGTAGCTATGGAATGGGAGGATTCCGAGGCAGTGTCGGAATCGTCCCCGGCAAGGACATTAAGGCTGAGGTGCCTTTCCCTCCTCCACCTCCCTTTGTTCAGATGACGGACCCAACCGCCACGGTTGGGTTGCTTCACAGCTTTTTCAAGAGGCGCATGGAAGATCTTGGGGCATTGAAGGAGGACGAGTTCATGCCAGTGTCGCGGAGAGTGGCGATGCGACCCAAGATCCCACCGACAGGCAAGATTGTGAGCTCATTAAAGAAGCGAGCAAACAAGCCCGGCGAGTTGAGCGCACTGGCCGAGGCCAAGAAGCGGAAACGGAAAAAGGAGAAGGATGCGCAGGAAGCAGAGCGGGCGGAGCGTAAGCGTCAGAAGCAGGATGCCAAGGACAAGAAACTGATGGAGAAACTGGAGAAGAAGAAGATCAAGGAGGAGACCAAGATCAAGGAGAAGATGTCTAAACCCACCAAGAAGGTAAAGAAACAGCGTTTTTTTTTTTGCATTTTTTGAAAGGGGCAAAAAAATTAATATGTTTGAGGGTGGGGAGTTTTTTTTTTAACTAAACTGATTTAACTCATTTTGATGTGATAGGGCAAGAAAGGGACTTCGGAAGGACCACAGGATGGCGAAGACGACGACAGCGATGTCGATATCAAGTCGGACGGACGGCCGAGCCAAACGCCAGATCCTATGCCTCCACCAGCAACGATACCAGTCCCCAAGATCACCATCCCCGCACCGGCCCCACCAGCAGCAGCCACACCTACGCCCAAGAAGCCAAAGAAGTCCAAGGCCGCTGCGGCCAAGGCAGCAGCAACTCCCGCGACAACAGCAGCTCATCTCTTTGTCGCTCCTCCGACATCGATCCTCAGCTCTATGGACAACGATGCCGACGACATGGAGGAAGAGGTCATGGAGAGTGGCGGTGGAGGAAATGCCGGCAGGATGTTGCCACCCAAGAGTGGCTCTTCTTCCCACATCAAGGCCGAGGATCACTCCAAGTCCAACATCAACGCACCAGGCAAGACTGTTCCTGGAGGTTACTCATCCTCAAGTACCACGTCCCCTTTGGTCCCTCCATCCTCCTTCAAGGCTGGTATCGCCGGAAAGTCCTTGCCTCCTGTCCCCACAAAGTCCAAGTCCAAGTCCAATAAGGATAAGGAGGGTAAGGATGGCAAGGAGAAGGATAAGGACAAGGACAAGGAGGAGCGTAAGGAGCGTATCAAGGACAAGGACCGCGACCACAAGGAGAAGGACCGTAAGGAACGTGACCGTGAACGGGACCGCGACAAGGAGAGCAGTTCTGAGCGCGACAAGGACAAGGACAAGGAACGGGAGCATAGCGTCAAGAGTAGCAGCAGTCATAAGGAGTCCAAAAGCAAGAGCAGTAAGGACAAGAGTGGCAGCAGTAAGGATCGAGACACTAGCGACAAGGAGAAGGAGCATCGAGGTGATCGGAGCGAACGTGAGCGAGATCGTGACAGGGACAGGGACAGAGACAGGGATAGGGATAGGGATCGTGAGAGAGAACGTGATCGGGAAAAGGGTGGACGGGAACGCGATCGTGATAGAGAGCGTGAGCGTGATCGGGATAGAGGCGATCGAAGTGAACGTGATCGTGATAGAGGAGACCGAAGTGACCGGGGAGACCGGGCCGACCGAGAACGCGATAGAGGTGACCGTGAGAGAGACAGGGACTACCGTGATCGCGATCGAGACCATAGGGACCGAGACCGTGGAGACCGTTCTGAACGCGACAGGGAACGGGGCGACCGCGACAGAGGTGATCGTGAACGCGATAGAAGCGATCGAGGTGACCGTGAGAGAGATAGGGGTGATCGTGATAGAGAACGCGAACGCGACCGCGATCGCGATAGAGGAGACCGTAGCGAGAGGGACCGTGAGAGAGGAGACCGAGGAGATCGAAGTGAGCGAGGCGACAGGGAGCGGGACAGGGGTGACCGTGATGGAACTGGCCTTCCGGGTTCCTTGTCCAACAACAGCAGCAATGGCAGTCTTGTAGGCGGCAGCAGTGGACACCACAAGAACGGAAGTTCTGGTAGCAACAAGGACCGCGACAAGTTTATGTCCTCTTCGAGTTCAAGCAAGGACAAGGACAAGGATGGGTCCAAGATGTTACTGGATTCGTCATTGACGGCGCAGATCCCTACGACACCCAAGAAGAAGAAGCGTACCGCCGGACCTGTTGATGGATCGCCAAGTCATTCTCCCAAGAAGAAGAAGCCCGTCGCCCCTCCTTCTTTTACCGACCTCTGAGACCCCCTCTGAGACCCCCCTCGGGGGATCAACCAGACAGTCTTTCATTTAGCCATTCAACCCACCGGCAAACGACAACTCCACAAATCACACCCACTCAACACTCCCACGCAGCATTTCCACACCCCGTTGGCAACCATGGCATTGTAATAAAATTATCGAGAACATAAACAAGATGATTACCTTTACTTTGTGGGTGGGGAAGATTTGATATTGATGAGGGAGATGGTTGCGAAATTGGGTTAATGGTTGCTGTTCTCTTTTACTCCTTGTACCGGACGTATCTCAGCACCAGTAACAGCAAGTCTATCAGTGCCATTATCCAGCTTGGGCAGACGAGCCATGTCTGTGGCTCCAGAGATCGATCAACCTAAAACTATGTCTGTAAAGTTCGACCTAGTCTTGCTTGATAAGAGGTAGAACTTATCGAACATCCGGTGGGAAGACCAGATGCTTTGGGCTACAATGTCGTCGATACTGACTCCGTTCTTGGCAGCGTGGGTGGGACCTGCGGCGCGGGCTTTTGGTAAGCGATGACCTGGGTGTGATGTTTACGCGGGACATGATGGCGACGAATGTGCTTACCAATCCTTTGGGCTCCAATGTGATGCTTGGGTGACTTGATGGTGTGCAGAGATCGAGCAGGCTCATTTTATTTTTTTCCTTGGTTTAGTTTCTCGAGTGCAACCAATGAAGACTGATTACACAGACATGGCTCGTCTGCTCGGATAATTGACATAAGACTTCCTTCGTCGTCTTCGTAACCCACAATGAATGAAAAAAAAAAGTACACAGCACTCAATGAATGAAAATAATGATTTGTTATTCATTAGCTCGGCATTCGCCTTCAGTAGCAATTGAAAGGCTACTTACTAACAGCACCCTTGCAACGTTGAGTGAGCAATTGCCGATTGAATGAGGAGAGACCAATAGCATCGGCAAAAACGGCATCCGAGGCAGCTAGAACATGACTTCCAGCGCTCCAAACCAACTGGGCCGACCATGCATCCGACGACGCCGACGTCTCTACCAGTCTCCACACTTGAAGAGACCCATTCCTGCATCCGGTGCTAAACTCCAGCGTGTCAGGTTTCCAAGCAATGCTGTACACCTCTCCAAGGATATCCTCGATACGCACCGAACACTTCCATTCTCCGCCTTTTCCTCCTCCTTCTGCCGACGTGTCAGCGACGAAATTCCAGAGCCAAACCGAACGGCTATAGCCTACGCCTATCCATTGCCCACAGGACGAGAATGCAATGCATCGTGCGTTGTACTGGAACTCTAGACTTTGTTGGAGACGCCCGCTCTCCCATTCCCAAATCTCAACAGCGTCACCCATAGCGGATGTAGAAGCAACCCTCAAGCCATTGGGTGAAGGCGATATTGCCAAAAGCTCTACATAAGCGCAAGCACGCATAACAACCCTACACTCACGACTGTCCAAACTCCAGGCTCGAATAGCTCCATCCCCATCTCCCGACAAAATTTCATGGCTGTCCGGCGAAAATAACAAAAAACTGACATGATCGATATGGCCTTCAAGCACGCCGTCCAGTATCCCTGAGCGAGCGTCCCAAAGTCGCACCGTCTCGTCGCGACTGCCGGTGGCGATCCAGTGGCTGTCGGCTGAAAAGGCTATGGCGGTCACCTCTTGTGTGTGACCGCTCAGCACAAGATCGGCTTGAGCTGTTGCAATATTCCACACAATGACGAATTCGTCGTCCATTCCAACTGACGCAATTCGAAGACCATCCGGAGAGACCGCTAGGCAATAGGCAGGATTGCCTCCGTAAACAACAAAAGGACCAGACTCTCCAGATCCTGCATCATACTGCCGCACTGCTCCTGACTCGGAACCACAGAAGAGAACTCGACCGTCTGGAGAAAAAAGTGCGCTCCCCAATGGATTAGTTCCGCCCTCCACACCCATTCCAGTCCCCAGTGAGCTCACATCCCAGAGTCGAATGGTACAATCCATACTACATGAGGCAAGTTGGAGTCCGTTTGGCGAAAAGGCTACTTGGTAGACACGACCACCATGACCAGTAAAGACAGAAAGGACCGATCCTGTTGCTGAACTCCAGACCTTCACCGTGTTGTCATCACTGCATGTGGCGATCCATTGGCCGTTCGGCGAAAAGCTCACACCTGTGACTGATTCGTCATGGGCCTTCCAATTCCTCGTTGGCTCGCCGGCAGTTGCATTGTAGAACTGTAACTCGCCATAGACATTCCCTACAGCAATCTCTAGACCTCCAGGAGAGTATGCGACCCTTGTCATCCTTCCACTTTGAGCCTCCCAGACTTCTTCCGGCTGACCAGTCTCTGTGTCAAAGAACCCACTTTGAGCCTCCCAGACTTCTTCCGGCTGACCAGTCTCTGTGTCAAAGAACCGGATCATATCATCGTCGCCAACAGACACAACCACATGCCCATCGAGAGAGTAAGAAATGCTATAAATCCATTCAGTATGGCCGGTCAAGATGAATAGATTGGCGCCTGTCTGAACATCCCATAGCCTCACAGTCTTGTCCGCTCCAGCCGACGCGACCTGCTTGCCAGAGGGTGAAAATGCCACAGTCGACACGTCGTAGGTATGCCCTTCTAGAACAAAAATGCACGACCCGCTCTTGCAGTCCCACAATCGTACTGTACTATCGCCGCTGCCTGAAAGAAGTTGAAGACTGGTTGGCGAATAGGCAATGCTGTTAATACTGCCTCGATGCCCTTCAAAAGTGTGAGTCGTCGCCCATGTGGAGGTGTCGTAAATGTTGATATCTCTCATAAGACCTGCAGCGAGAGATGTTCCCTTAGGTGAATAGGCGCACGAGTATACCCACCCATCATCCTTCAGGTACGGCATCTCCCCGAACTGAACTCCCTTCATCTGCGCCTTGGTGAAGTCCGCCTGACGAATCCAGCTCTTGGTGAGGTTGACATCTGTCAAGTCGGCCTCCTGCAGCAGTGCCAAGTCGAACTGGCCTCCAGACAAATCCGCTCCAGGAACTCGAATACGCCGAAGGTCGGCCCCATTGAATCGTACTCTTGCCTTGACCAAGATCGTGATGGCGTTCGCCGCGGCTCGAACTGCTTGGTCGTCGGTCTTGGACTGCTCAACGATGTCAAGGAGCTTATCCTTGAATCCAGAGTCCAGCTGCACGCGCTCCGCCAGAAACTGGATGATTGAGGGCTCTGCGACAAGATTTCTCTGGGATAGCGGATGGGTGCTAATGGTGGGTAAGGTGGCGGGGGTATCGGAATGGACAGGCGGATCAAATTCATCATGCTCCTTGATAGGCCCAGAGATGGTGCAAGAGAAAAAGTATTCCAACACAGAGCGATGGACAAAGCGGTATTGAGTGCCGGCTCGACTGAGAAGACTGGCCCCACGGAGAAGACTCGTCTCGCAGTCCATGCTGAAAAACTCTGCTTTCCAAGAAGATTTGTCTTGTTTGTTGATGTAGTCGACAACAGGTCTGCCGTCCTGATGTACAAAAATCGCAGCTGCCAGATCCTGTTGAAACTTGACCCCACTCTGCTCGAATCCGGCCTCCGACAACTCCTCGAAAGCCACCTGGTTATCTCTGTCCAGTCTTTGATCCTCCAGACGGCGCTTGTTGACGGCCATCCAGTGCCTCACAAAAGTGTCGTACAGTTCCGCACGAGTGACCCGAAGCCTGGAGAGGTCGGTTTTCCCTTGCACCACCGTAGGAAGGGCCTCCAGTGACAGAGTAAGGAGAAACGGGTTTCTGACCAGATCTATCAGATTGGGGATAGCCTCTAGTTTGTCCATGTAGTCCTTCTTGACCCAGGTGCGCGGTTCGAGAGGAACGTAATGCTCTACATAGTCTTCGATCTGCTCCTTGCTGAACGGGGTCATGACGGCTTGTTGGAAAAGATCGTTGGCGGCACGGGCGTATCGGTCCACCGCCTTTGGCTCGAAGCGGCTCCGATACTCCAGTCCGAGATACTGAGTGCGACAGGTAACGAGTAACTTGACGCTCCACTGTCCATCCTGGTTGAAGAGGTTGGTAGTATGCAAATTGGATGTAAGCTGGCTCTCGTCGTATCCATCACAGATCAACATAAACTGCCGGTGCAGCTTCAACTCACGGATCTGATCATCCAAAAAGTTGTGGGTCCTCAACTGCTCCGCAACCAGGTCCTTCTCTGGTCGCTCGAGGGATGGCAAGTTGATGAAAAGAGGGATGCGGCCTCCTGCCTTGTACTCCTGCCAGAGCTCGTGTTCCAGGTGTCGATTGAATGTCGATTTTCCCGCTCCCGAGTCGCCAAGAACAAGCATGACCTGAGTGTCGCTGGCAAGAAAGTCCTTGACCTTGTCCATGAGAGGAAACAGATGGTCGTCCGTGGCTTGGAGACTGAGTTTGGCCATGGGGTCGATGTAAACCGCTTGCTTGTAGTCGTCAATCCTCATCAACCTCAATACGTGTAGGTCATACTCGAGTTTAGGGATCTCTTGGACCTTGGCAAGAAGCGGGGAGGTTGAAGGCAGAGGGAGGCGTCTGCTTAGCGAAAAAGAGCTAAGGAATTCGGTCATGTCATCCTTCTTCAGGTTTAGCAATAAAGCAACAGCGCGATCCTTGATAGAGACATCCGATATCCCCGAGATCTGGATGAGGATGGTGAGGATCCAGCGCTTGACATCGACATGCGGTTTCCAGTCAGAGCCGCTTCTGTATAGTTCACCCAGAAAGTCGACGGCCTGCTGGCGGACAGGAACATCCCAGAGCGAGTCGACTACAATCTCTCCAAGCTGGCGACAGACCCCCCACTGAAAGTTGGCGTTGTTGCGGCAAGGCGCCTGGCTGACGACTAGGTTAAAGTCCGAAAGTCGTCCCTGTCGAATAAAGAGAGCCGCTCCTTGAAGGGCCAGATACCACGAACGCTTCTTCATAAAGTCGAACTTGTTCTCTGATGCGCGGATAGCCCCATCAGTACCAACACGAAGGGCCTCGACGACCTCAATTCCTGTACTAACTGCTCCAACAATCCCTGCTCCAATCTCTTGAAGACTCTCGATGCCTTTGAGGAGTCCCTCTGGATCCAACTTGAAAACACTCGACACTGCACCTGCACCCGCCGCTGCAACCTTGGCATATCTCCACAGCACTTGGAGCGGAGTCTCGTCATCAGGTGCATACTGGAGAGCCTGGTAGGCGTAGGTTGCCTCGTACCTTTGGACGACATTCTCGCTGTCCTTCAGGCCGTCCAGGAGTTGCAGCATCGGCTGATGGTCTCGTTCACGGTTTAAGTCCTTGACCTTGCCAGCCACCATCACATCAAGAACTCGAGCGAGCGACAATGTCAGGTGCAAGGGGTAGTCACTCGTGCCAATGTGGGTAATCGACAGCTCCTTGGAGAGAACAGTGGCGATCCTGACCAGATCATCGTCAACAAGGTATCCAGATGAGGCGCACTCGACCAGTTGTACGAGACCTTGGAGAAGAGTGACATCCAGCGTTGTTGTTTGCTCAAATTTGAAGATGAAGCATGAGAGCAAGCTGCGGTAGATGTCGCGGTCAAGGATGGGACCAACAAGAACAATCTCGGTGACCACATCAGATGCCTTGAGTGGGTTATCAGCGAACGCTCTTACCAACTGCTCGACAAGCCATCGATATCGGTCCTGCAAAACAGGATCGATGAGCTGAACCCATTCCTTCTCCTTGTCGTCGAGGGGGGGACCTAGAGAGACATCGCTGTCTGAGGTTAATTGAAACGGTTCTCGAGCCTTGGAGAGGAGACTACAGCAGTAGACAAGCTGTGGGGTCTTGTCAACACGAGCATGCGGCTTGGGCAAGTCGGTCTTGTAGATGGGTTTGATAACGTTTTCGGGGAAGATGTCTACGCGGAGGGTTCCACTCGCAGCAGGGCTCGGCTGTGGTTGGGTAGCTGGGACAATGAGTGGCGTGGACGACATTTCAGCGGAATGTGGTGGTGAGTGCAGTCCCAACGAGACAGGTACAGTGTCACGGTCAGGTGTCGCAGACTGGATGCGTCCCTCAGTTCCAACCAGCGTAACAGGCGCTGATGAGGCTACCGAAGTAAGAACAGTCTCTTTGTCTTTGGGGTCTCCCTTGAAGAATCGTGACAAACGTTTCCTGAATCCAGACTTCGACGAACGTCCCGACGATACCGACCTGGCATCGCTGGTGTCACCTGGCCCATGATCAACGTCCGCGGAAACATCCCTTGTGGTGCGATGACCAAGGGGGTTCAACGAGTTGGCAGGTCCAAGCTGAATGGTGGACAATCCTTGAGCGATTGTCGGAATGTCACTCAACTTTGACGACGCACGTCCAAGCGTTGCGGTGTTCTCGAGTTGAGAAAGGACACGCTGCCCATCGACAGTTATTTCAGGATGTCCAAGGGGAGGGGAAGAAGGCGCGGGAGGAGGCGAAGGTGTGTTACCAGGGGGTGACGACGAGGACATGGCTACAACTATATAATCAAGCATGAAAGACCTAGGTTAGTTGTCTGGACAGCTTGGCTGAAATACATTGCGTTGGTTTGAAGAATGACTTTGCTGGTGAAGTGTTGCGAAGGAGCGGGTGAACAGACAAATGACTGGTATGAGAGTGCGAAGCTATCAACAAACGTATGTGCAACATTAGGGAGGTTCGGAGACGAGGCGGCATTTCCTGACCCAGACATGCATGGGATGATCGCTCATCATTCTCCTTTTCTTACCAGGGATATGACAAAAGGGTCTTTTTTTTGTTCCTTTTGTTTCTTGGTGATGAAATGGGTTTTCTCTTGGGAGACTTGTTGGTCTATGTCGATAAGATATCGGTTAGAAGCATGTCTAGCTAAAGAACGGCTGTCAATTACAACTTCGTTTGCTGTGTTTGTCACTGGCGTGGACTTGGGGTCGATCTTTCTATTTTTATTGTTTTTAGTTTTTGATTTGCGGGTGTGTAGCAGACTGAAAAGTTGGCTTGTCCTTGATAGCAAATACATGTCCAATGCGGGATGGGTTAGCACTACAAAGTCGAGAAGCAAAGGAGCAATTGAAGAATCTTCTCCAGCTCCTGTTTTCACGCGATCTTTTCTTACCTTTAGATGAGAGGGACACTGGAGTATTGTTTTTGAGTGAGTCGCGACAATGAAGGCTCTTGGTGGGCGCGGTTGCTTTTGGCAAGAAGGAAGTATCTACGTACGTTTCAATCGTGTATTAGTAATGATACAGCGACTCACACGTCGATTCACACACTTCGATTCACACACTTCGATTCACGCCCGGCGACCTATTAGTAAGGACATACATCTGCTACGTTGAAGCGAGCCTTTTTGTATTGGTTTTTATCTTTTTGTTTTGTTGAGTTGCGGTTGAGGTTCTCGACAAGCGAGCAAGAGGAGGAACGGTCTGTGTCTGTGTTGATGTTGGTAATGGAGCAACGAGGTGGTGAATGAACAAAGGCAAGGTGAATTCACAATGTGAACAACGTGGTGAATGTCGAATCGGGAAGTGTGAATAACGAAAGACAACGAGAGAGAGGGATGACGGTGGTGGAGGGTTGCGGATGGTAGCAGGGGATGATGACAGGGGGTGAGCCAAAGAGAAAAGAAAAACAAGAAAAGGTCGGGGATATTTTATGTTATCCCCTTGCCTTCTCGCCCACATCCCATTCTTGCTTTTGCTTGGGCTGTGACCCACTCGTGCATGCACGCCACTCCATCTTGCCTTTTCTTCCCTTTGATAGTGAAAATTGCCATAGGATTTCAAGTGTGCTTTATTGAGCACAAACAGAGAACGCAAGCGTCAAAGAGATCTAAAGCATGGGCTTCTTGAAGGAGGGTCAGGGTGTAAAGTATGTAGTTCGTTGGCAGCAGCTTGGTCTTGTTCAAGTATTCACAACCATGGCGCAAGATATATAGCTCATAGAACGGTGCGCGTCTTTTCAGGCACAGCATTGGCTGCTGATCGACCTAGATGAAACCGATTTGATCATCGACGGAAGCTGTCCAACGCGACACAGAAAAGACCATTTCTAAAGCACGATGTTGCTCAGCAGCAGAGAGAAGAATCTTTTCGTTTCTTTTGGGACCTTTATTCTCACGTATTGCGCCATGGCCAATAGCGACCTGGGTGGCCTGCATTAGATGGATGATGATTGTTCAGGACTCTTAGAAATCATCTGTATCTGGGACTTATCTTTCTGTCATTGTGGTACTTGCTTCAGACATGTCCACTGCTTAAATCATGAAAGGATGTCTAAGCCATCCAATTCTACAAGCTTTAGTCACTTCTCATTGGCCAATTGATCAATTGATTGAAGGAGGAGAGAGCCGCAAAAAAGTATAGAAGCGGCCGACCTTCAGCAGCACTCTTCACTCGACTACAACAACAGTCTTTTTCATTACTCTCATTCGCACAGCTATTTTTCCTTATTCAATAATAATGACAACTAAACAACATGGCTGCTACATCAACTCCCTTCTCCAGTTCTATCACATAGTCCGTCCTCTCCAGATAACAACCCGAATGAGTCGGTGCCCGTCGATCCATCGGACGTACTGAACTCCTCAACTACGACCCGTTCCTCATGCTTGACGAGTTTCCTGTCGACAAGAGCCGCGACTTCCGCGACCACCCTCACCTCGGCTTCGAAACTGTGACCTATATGCTCGAGGGCCAGTTCCGGCACGAAGACTTTGCAGGACACATGGGAACCATTGGATCTGGCGACTTGCTGTGGATGACTGCCGGTCGTGGTATTGTTCATTCTGAGATGCCTGTCAAAACTCAGACTCGTGCTCGTAAATTGGGACTGTGGATCAATTCGCCGAAAGAGCACAAGATTTGTGAACCACAGTACCAGGAACTACTTGACGCTCAAATACCACGCGCTAGACCCCAGGACTTCACTATTGCCACCACCACCGCCGTTACGATTGCCAAGCCCAAGCCACCCTCCGTGTAAGGCCTCATAGACGGCAGCGGGGTCATCGCGGTCCTCCCTTGCCACATATTTCACGAACTGCAAATACTGTGGCATCGTGAACACACCATCGCTAAAGTCAGTTTTCGGCTTGAAGACAAAGCATCTGCAAAGTCGACTGTTCTCTTGTTCCATAATGTCGGTAATATCTTTCTCGATCGCCAGGGCGTCTGTTGATATACCGTATCCCCGAAACCTATTGCTGCTACTTCTCAACTTGGATTGTGCTCATAGTGAGTTATGTTTGTTGTTGTTGATTCAAGGGTTTTATTTTACATATGGTACACAAGGAAAAGAAAAGGGGTAAAGAATATGTATCTAAGCAATGGTAGAACGCCAGTTGCGGGCGCGCTCGAACCCGTTCTTGTTGTTCTGGTAGTCAACAAAGGTGTCAAAAATCTCCTCAGACGAGTTCATGACAAAAGGGCAGTGCTGAACAATGGGATCCTTCAACGGCTCGCCGGCAATGAACACAAAGTGTGCGTCATCATCCTTGGTCTGGATCTTGACTGTCCTGGCACCGTCCTCCGAGAGTGTGAGAGTGTGGTGGGCCTTGCCCTCAAACTCCTTGTCGCCGATGAATGCCGTACCCTTGAGCATGGAAAGGAATCCGGTGTAGGTCGAGGGGATGGTCTGAGTGATGGTCTTGTTCTTGTCCATATTGAAGTCGAGGTACATGGTTGATGTGCGGGTGTAGACTTGAGACTTGACTCCATGAGACTCGCCTGCAATGACCTTGACGACAACACCGTCCTTGGGAGTAGCACGTGGGATCTGACCGTCGAGGAGTTCCTGGTACTGTGGCTCACACATCTTGTGTTCCTTGGGCAAGTTGATCCAGAGCTGAAGTCCATGAGCACGGGTCTGAGACTTGACCGGCATCTCCGAGTGAACAATGCCACGACCAGCAGTCATCCACTGCAAGTCGCCAGGTCCAATGGTTCCCTTGTGTCCTGCAAAATCCTCGTGCTAGAACTGTCCCTCGAGCATGTAGGTCACAGTCTCGAATCCTCGGTGGGGTGGTCAGGGAAGCCTCCGTTCTTGTCGACGGAGAACTCGTCGAGCATGAGGAAAGGGTCGTGGTTACGGAGTTCGGGACGTCCGATGGATCGACGGACACGGGCGCCGACTCCCTCGGATTGTTCCCTGGAGAGGATGGATTTTGTGATGGATCTGGAGATTGGGGTATTGGGAGCAGTCATTTTGGATTGTTGTCTTCTTGTGGGTGTAGGTGAGAGAAGAGGAGTTGTTGTGTGAGTAGGAGTAATGATAACTGTAGTTGTAGTCAAAGCACTGCAAAGAAGGGGCTCTCTGCAACAATGATTAAGCATGGGATATATCTGACCAAGAACAGATCCAGTTATTCTGACCATGAAGAGAAAGCAGGAAGGTTACCATTGGCCATGGCACATTACGTGAGAAACAACACCAGGTCCCGAAAACAAACGGACAAGTTTTACTCTCGGTAACAGAACGACATCGCACAACAGGAATGCGTTCATTCATACCCCTTCTGTATCGCGTTCGATAGCTTTCAATGCTTATTGATTAAAAGTTTATTAGTTCCACCGAGCTCCAAGAAGACGCGTCCCGCTCTATGGGCCATATACCTCCATAACAACTTGATTAAGGCTAAGCTGCTGCCACCGAACTGCATACATCACACTCTGGCCCCTTCAAGAAGCCCATGCTCTAGATTTCTTTGACATTTGCGTCTCTGTGTTCAATAGCACACTTAAAATCAAATGGCATTTCTCGCTGTGGAAGGGAAGACAAGGTAAGTTGGAGTGGCGTGCATGCATGAGTGGGGTCACAGCCCAAGCAAAGCAAGAATGGGGCAGTGCACAAAAAGAAGTGGATAACCCCAAGCTTGACCTTTTCTTCTCTTTTTTTCTCTTTGGCTCACCTCCTGTCATTACCCTCCCCTGCTACCATCCGCAACCCTCCACCACCGTCATCCCTCTCTCTCGTTGTCTTTCGTTATTCACACTTCCCGATTCGACATTCACCACATTGTTCACATTGTGAATTCACTTTGCCTTTGTTCTTTCACCACCTGGTTGCTCCATTACCAACATCAACACAGACACATACCATTCCTTCCTCTTACTCGCTTGTCGAAACCCTCAACCACAACTCAACAATACAAAATAAATAAAAACGAATAGAAAAAGGCTCGTTTCAACCTTGCAGAGGTATGTCCTTCCCAACAGGTCATGAATCGATATGTGCGTCGCTGTCTCAAGGAAGGAAAACGAGACTTTTACATAATACTAATACACGATTGGAATGTACATAGATACTTCCTCTTTGCCAGAAACAATCGAACTCACTATATGTCCTCGTCGTCGCGACTCACTCAAAACCAATAAACCAGTGTCCCTCTCGTCGTCAAGGTAAGGAAAAGTTCATGTGAAAACAGGAGCTGGAGACGATTCTTCAATTGCTCTCTTGCTTCTCGACTTCGTAGTGGTTATCCAAACCGCATGGGACATGTATTTGCTATCAAGGACAAGACAACTTCTCTGCCTACTACACACTCGCAAATCATAAGACAAAAAAACAGTGAAACCACAAATGATAAACACCAACAGCAAACGAAAAGAGCAATCGCCAGCTATTCTTTAGCTAAACACGATTCTAACTGATATCTTATCGAAATAGACCAGCAAGTCCTACCAGCCAAAGAGAAGCCCGGTCCATCACCAAAACAAACAAAGCAAAAAAAAAGAGTCCTTTTGCTACTTCTTTAGTAAGGAAGGCAAGCGATGCACAACCATCCCATGCATGTCTGGACATAAGATGCCGTCTTGTTTACAAACCTCCCCTAACGCTGCACATACTTTTGTTGATAGCTTCACACCCACATACCTGCCATTGATCTACTCATCCGGTCTTTCACAACCCTTTACCAGCAGCAAAGTCATTCTTTAAGCCAACACAAGGTAAAAGGAGAGTGTAATTATTACAGGTGATTTATTCCTGCCAGGTTGTCTAGAGACAAAGCTAACCAACGCCATTCATACTTGATGTTTGTAGCTGCAACCATGTCCTCCTCGTCACCCCAGGGCAATTCGCCTTCACCCCCTCCCGCGCCTTCCTCCGCTCCTCTAGGACATCCGGAAATAACTGTCGATGGGCATCGTGTCCTTTCTCAACTCGAGAACACCGCACCGCTTGGACGTGCGTCGTCAAAGTCGAGTGACATTCCGACAATCGCTCAAGGATTGGCCACCATCCAGCCCGGACCAGCCAGCTCGTTGAACCACCTTGGTCATCGCACCACAAGGGATGTTGCCGCGGACGTTGATCATGGACCAGGTGACACCAGTGATGCCAAGTCGGTATCCTCGGGCCGTTCGTCGAAGTCTGGATTCAGGAAACGTTTGTCGAGATTTTTCAAGGGAGACCCCAAAGTCAAGGACACTGTTCCCGCATCGGGAGCCTCATCAGCGCCTGTTGCGCTCGTTAGAACTGAGGAACACGTCCAGTCTGCCGCACCTGACCGTAACGCCGTGCCTGTCTCGTTGGGACTACACTCACCAGCACATTCCGCTGAAATGTCGTCCACGCTACCCATTATCCCAGCTGCCCATCCGCAACCGAATATTGCTGCAAATGGAACCCTCCGCGTAAACATTTTCCCTGAAAACGTTATCAAACCAATCTACAAAGCCGACTTACCCAAGCCGCATGCTCGTGTTGACAGGACCCCGCAGCTTGTGTACTGTTACAGTCTCCTCTCCAAGGCTCAAGAACCGTTGCAACCAACCACGGACAGCGATGTCTCTCAGGATTACCCCCTCGACGACAAGGAGAAAGGATGGGTTCAGCTTGTTGATCCCGTCTTGCAGGACCGATATCGATGGCTTGTCGAGCAGTTGGTCAGAGCGTTCGCTGACAATACACTCAAGACATCTGATGTGGTCACCGAGATCGTTCTTGTTGGTCCCGTTCTTGACCGCGAAACCTACCGCAGCTTGCTCTCATGCTTCATCTCCAACTTTGAGCAGACAACAGCGCTGGATGTCACTCTGCTCCAGGGTCTTGTGCAACTAGTTGAGTGCGCCCCATCTGGATACCTTGTCGACGATGATCTGGTTAGGATCGCCACTGTTCTCTCCAAGGAGCTGTCGATTACCCACATTGGCACGAGCGACCACCCCTTGCACCTGACATTGTCGCTCGCTCGAGTCCTTGATGTGATGGTGGCTGGCAAGGTCAAGGACCTGAACCGTGAACGAGACCATCAGCCGATGCTGCAGCTCTTGGACGGTCTGAAGGACAGCGACAATGTTGTTCAGAAGTACGAGGCAATCTATGCCTACCAGGCTCTCCAGTATGCACCCGACGACGAGACTCCGCTCCAAGTGTTGTGGAGATATGGCAAGGTTGCAGCAGCAGGCGCAGGTGCAGTGTCGAGTGCTTTCAAGTTGGATCCAGAGGGACTCCTCAAAGGCATCGAGAGTCTTCAAGAGATCGGTGCAGCGGCTGTTGGAGCAGTCAGCACAGGAGTTGAGGTCGTCGAGGCCCTTCGTGTCGGTGCTGATGGGGCCGCCCGCGCATCAGAGAACAAGTTCGACTTTATGAAGAAGCGGTCGTGGTATCTCGCCCTTCAAGGAACGGCTCTCTTCATCCACCAGGGACGACTTTCGGACTTTAACCTAGTCGTCAGCCAGGCGCCTTGCCGCAACAACGCCAACTTTCAGTGGGGGATTTGTCGCCAGCTTGGAGAGATTGCAGTCGACCCGCTCTGGGATGTTCATGTCCGCCAGCAGGCCGTCGACTTTCTGGGTGAACTATACAGAAGCGGCTCTGACTGGAAACCGCATGTCGATGTCAAGCGCTGGATCCTCACCATCCTCATCCAGATCTCGGGAATATCGGATGTCTCTGTCAAGGATCGTGCTGTTGCTTTGTTGCTAGACCTGAAGAAGGATGATACCACCGAGTTTCTTGGCTCTTTTTCGCTAAGCAGACGCCTCCCCCTGCCAACAGCCTCTCCACTTCTCGCCCAAGTCCAAGAGATCATCAAAGTCGAATATGACCTGCACGTCTTGAGGTTGATGAGAATTGACGACTACAGGCAGGCAGTTTACATCGACCCCATGGCCAAACTCAACCTCCAAGACACGGACGACCATCTGTTCCCTCTCATGGACAAGGTCAAGGACTTTCTTGCCAGCGACACTCAGGTCATGCTTGTTCTTGGCGACTCGGGAGCGGGTAAATCGACATTTAATCGTCACTTGGAACACGAGCTCTGGCAGGAGTACAAGGCAGGAGGCCGCATCCCGCTTTTCATCAATTTGCCATCCCTCGAGCGACCAGAGAGAGATTTGGTTGCGGAGCAATTGAGGACCTACAACTTTTTGGAGGACCAGATTCGTGAGTTGAAGCTGCACCGCCAATTCGCATTGATCTGTGATGGATACGACGAGAGCCAACTTACAGTCAATTTGCATACCACCAACTTCTTCAACCAGTATGGACAGTGGAGCGTCAAGTTGCTTATTACCTGCCGCACGCAGTATCTCGGACGTGATTATCGGAGTCGCTTTGAGCCCAAGACGGTGGATCGGTCTGCTCGCGTCGCCAACGATCTTTTCCAACAAGCCGTCATCTCTCCGTTCAGCAGGGAGCAGATCGAAGACTATGTAGAGCATTATGTTCCTCTCGAGCCGCGCACCTGGGTCAAGAAGGACTACATGGACAAGCTGGAGGCTATCCCCAATCTGATGGATCTTGTTAGAAACCCATTCCTCCTTACCTTGTCACTGGAGGCCCTTCCTACGGTCGTGCAAGGGAAATTCGACCTCTCCAGGCTTCGAATCACTCGCGCGGAACTGTACGACACCTTTGTGGTGCATTGGATGGCAGTCAACAAGCGTCGCCTGCAGGATCAACATTTGAGCGAGAGCAGTCAGACAGCACTTGACTTCCTCTGTGATGACGGGTTCGAGCGCAACGGTATTCTGTACCAGATGGATCTGGCGGCCTCAATCTTTCAGAAGCAGGATGGCAGACCTGTCGTTAAGTACACTCATTTGAGAGATAGGAACACATGGAAGGCTCAGTTCTTTGGCGTTGATCCTGAGAGGGCGCTCCTTCGAGATTCCAGCCTGCTGAGTCGTACCGGCAACCAATATCGCTTTGTCCACCGCTCCGTGTTGGAATACTTTTTCTCTTGCACCATCTCTGGGCCTATCAAGGAGCATGATGAATTTGATCCGCCTATCCATTTCGATTCCTCCGCCATCTCACCCACCATCAACACCCATCCATTGTCCCAGAAGGACCTTGCCGTAGAGCTCTCGATCGTCCAATTTCTGGCGGAGCGCGTGCAGCTGGATTCTGGATTCAAGAACGAGCTTCTCGCCATCGTTGAGCAATCCAAGACCGACGACCAAGCAGCTCGAGCCGCAGCGAACGCCATCACGATCTTGGTCAAGGCAGGAGTACGATTCAACGGAGCCGATCTTCGGGGTATTCGAGTTCCTGGAGCGGACATGTCTGGTGGAGAGTTCGACTCGGTACAACTGCAGGAGGCTGACTTGACGGAGGTCAACTTCACCAAGAGCTGGATTCGTCAGGCTGACTTCACCAAGGCGCAGATGAAGGGAGTTCGGTTCGGGGAGATGCCGTATTTGAAGGAGAGTAGCGAAGTACACTCGTGCGCCTATTCACCTGACGGAACATCTCTCGCTGCAGGTCTTAAGGGAGGAGATATCAACATTTACGACACCTCCACATGGGCAACGACTCACACTTTTGAAGGGCATCGAGGCGTTGTTAGGAGCATTGCCTATTCGCTAACCAGACCCCAACTCCTTTCCGGCAGCTACGATAGTACAGTACGATTGTGGGACTGCGAGAGTGGGTCGTGCATTTTTGTGCTGGAGGGGCATACCAACGAAGTCTGGACTGTAGCGTTTTCACCCTCTGGCAAGCAGGTCGCTTCGGCTGGGGAGGACAAGACTGTAAGGCTATGGGATGTTCAGACAGGCGCCAATCTATTCAACCTGACCGGTCACACGAAGTGGATTCCTAGCATTTCCTACTCGCCTGATGGACATGCAGTTGTGTCTGTTGGCGACGATAGGATGATCCGGTTCTTTGACACACAGACTGGACAGCCAGGAGAAGTCTGGGAGAGTCAAAGTGGAGAAATGTGGAGCGTCGCATACTCTCCCGGAGGCCTAGAGATCGCCGTCGGGCTTCGTAACGGCGAGTTACTGCTCTACAATACCACTACCGGCAAGCCAACGAGGAGTTGGAAGGCTCATGACGAAAGAGTCGCGGGTGTGAGCTTTTCGCCCAACAGCCAGTGGGTCGCCACATGCAGTGATGACAGCACGGTGAAGGTCTGGAATGCAGCAACAGGATCGGTCCTTTCTGTCTTTACCGGTCGTTCTCTTCTCTACCATGTAGCCTTTTCGCCGAACGGACTTCAGCTTGCCTCATGTAGTTCTGACTGCACCATTCGAATCTGGGATGTGAGCTCGTTGGGTACAGGTGTGGACGTGGAGGGCGGATCCGACCCGTTGACGAGCGTACTCTTTTCTCCGGACGGTCGAGTTCTCTTCTGTGGCACCAAGCTGGGAACTGTACGACAGTATGATGCAGAATCTGGTGAGTCCGGACGTACCATTGTTTGCGGAGACAAACCTGTGGAGTGCCTAGCGGTCTCCCCGGATGGTCGTCGAATCGCGTCAGTTGGAAAGGAAGACAGTGTCGTCACTGTATGGAACATTGGAACAGGTCAAGCCGATGTTGCCTTGCGCGGTCACACAGAAGAGGTGACCGCCATGGCCTTTTCAGCCGACAGCCGCTGGATTGCCACCGGCAGCGAGGACAAGACAGTGAGACTTTGGGACGCTCACTCAGGGATACTCGACCGCGTGCTTGAAGGCCATACCCGGGTAATTAATTGTTTGGTATTCTCGCCGGACAGCCATCGAATTTTGTCGGGAAGTTGGGATGCAACTATTCGAGCCTGGGATTTGGACAGTCGCGAGTGTAGAGTCGTTGTGGATGCTGGCGGTGGTGTAGAACTTTGGACAATATCAACTTCATCCGATAGCTTGAGGGTTGCTTCAAACGCCTTTTTGGGGAACGCTGCCAAGCTTTGGAACACGGATAGCTGGCTTCCCCAACAAAGTCTAGAGCTAGGCTACCACCACGTACAATGCATTGCATTCTCGTCCTGTGGGCAATGGGTAGGCGTAGGCTGTCTCCGTTCGGTTCAGCTCTGGAATTTCGTCGCTTACACATCGGCGGAAGGAAGAGGAGGAGGAGGAAAGTGGAAGTGTTCGGTGCGTATCCTAGATATCCTCAGTTATGTCGCCAGCTTTGCTTGGAAACCTGACACCCTGGAGTTTAGCATCGCATGCGAGAATGGGTTTCTTCAAGTGTGGAGATTGGTGGAGACGTCGGCGTCGCCGGATGCATGGTCGGCCCAGTTGGTTCGGAGCACTGGAAATCCTGTGCTAGCTGCCTCGGATGCTGTTTTTGTCGATGCTGTTGGTCTCTCCACAGTCAATCAGAAATTGCTCAAGCAGCGCGGCTAGGTTGCTGCCGTTTGAACAACATAGTCCATTAAACAATTTTTTTTTCATTCAGAGAGACATTAGGCATGTTCGTTGGTAAGTTTTCAGTTGCTACTGAAGGCGAATGCGGCCTTGACTAAAAATATCTTATTTTTGTTCATTGAATGGTGTGCGAGTCAATTTTAATGTATCTTTTCGCAGAGGACTTGTCCGACGGCTTATAAACATTGTACGAGATGGGAAACCCACTTCATGTCTAACGTGACAATCTTTATTTTCTCAGCAAATCCAAAGATAAAAGAAAAAAAGTGCAGTACATAGAACCTCACCATCCGCGTAGGAACATTGCGAGGTAGAAGGCTAAACTAAATGGGGTGGGATGGGCGGGACATGAAGTGGATTTCCCATCTCGTACAATGTTATAAGCCGTTGGACAAGTCCTCGGCGAAAAGATACATTGTACTTCAATAGAGGGAAACCCACTTCATGTTACTCCAGCTAACTAGCCGGCCAGCGTGATCTGGGTCATGTTCTTGACGGACCGGCGAGACAAGCGATAAAAAGAATCATACGTCGCCGAGTGCGCCCAAAAACCTTGGGCTTGCACCTCGTCAGAGGAAGCACCATGCTCAATGGCCAGGGAAGAGCCGAGAGAGCGACCAGAAGGCGCCTTCTCCATGCTTGTAGGCAGAGGAAGGAGGTCAGACACCTTGGTGATGTGGCGGCCGATCGTGTCAGAAGAGGCGGCCTGGTTGATATCGAGGATGTGTCGAATCAAGGGATTGAGAGTCCGGTTCAAAAAGGGGTGCTTGACGCTGGTAAGAGTGGAAGAGGCGAGCTGTGCCACATAGCACTGGTAGGCGGCCACAGGGCAAACAAGAGGGTCTTCATGAGGGTGAATAAAAGCCGACTTGATAATGTGTTGGCCTGCTCGTTTCTCCTTCGGTCCCACCACTTGCAGCTCGAGTTCACCAGAAGGTAAAATTAAGCTGTGAGAGACATCCACTCGATGGATATCTGAGGGGCGCATAAAACCGTAGACGGACAATAACCAGCACAGCTTAGGCAGTAGCTGGCCAGGTGTGAGGTCCGAGTTGGGTCCCATAGTACGAAAGTGGTCCAGCACAGGCGTAATGTCGACGGGCGTGTTGGTGAAACGCTTGATTGCATTGCTGGACAGATGGCGGAAGAAATCGCGAAAGGTCGAGTTGTTCCAGTAGGAAAGGCGATCTGGAAATAAATTGAGGATGGCGGAGCGATAGTTGTTGACTGTTCCGGATGACCACTGTTTGGTCTCGATGCCGTCGGCCAAAAAATTGAGCAATTCGACTGCCGTAGGGTTGAACGGGTCGATCGAGTGCGTGGAACAGTAAAGGATCCATTGCGCCTGAGGACCCTTGTATTGACGTTTGCGGGCCATGGCAAGGGTAGAATCCGTCATTACTTTGACCGTGGCAGCTGATGCGCCTTCCTCCGTGAGCCGCTGCCGCTGATGCGCCAGGCTGCAAGTGTCCAGTCCAGTTGAGTCCCGTCTGGAGAAAAGGCGAGTTGATCCTGCGGGTGGATCAGGAGTGGTGGATGAAGTGCAAGGTTCCTCAGAATTGGGAACCATATTGCTGACGGCCAATAAGGGGTCACCAGAGTGAGTGTCGACTGCTCTCTCTGTATCTTCGCCAGGCACTGAGAGATGAGGGCCCATGGTGGGCTGGCGAAACCGTTCTCCTTTATCCATGGAACTGTAAGGGCGTTTGTTGATAGCGCTTGTGGGTCCTGTTTCCACGATATGAAGCGTGGAAGTTGAGTGTTGGTCCTCGATGCAAATAGGTCCACTGTGTGTGGGCCCCACATCCTGTCGATCTGCTGGAATAGACTTGGATCCAGTGTTCATTCCGTCTGAAGCCAGAGGGCCCGAGATGGGCGGTCTGCAGGGTTGTCCTCTGACCTGATGAACGATGTCATGATCCTCGTTCCGGTCTGTAGACAATGTGTCCATATCTGGCGAGCAAGATCCATAAGTAGTGTCGATCTGGTTCCGCCGAACTTGGTCACGTAAGCCAGAGTTGTCGTGCTGTCCGAGTGAATCTGGATCACCTTGCCTTGAACTTGGGGGAGGTGAACGGCATGGAGTACTGTCCTGAACTCCCGCCAATTGATCGACTGTTGGGATTCCTGAGGTGACCAGGGATGAGAGATCACCTTGTTGGGGAGAACAATGCCCCAACCCCAGTCGGAGGCATCCGTGAAGAGATCCACTTCCGGAATCTGTGGAAGGAATGACTGTCCTGTCCATGACTGAAGATGATCGCGCCACCAACTGATGTCGTTGAGCGCCTCCTTGGACAGTTGGATACTGCTGGACCAATCGAGACCAGAAGCAAAGGCGCGGTCCTTGCATGCCACCAAGTGTCGTGTTTGGAGACGTGCTGGAAGCACTGTTAGCGTGGCTGTCTGCGCTTTGCCAATGAAAAATGCTAAGCGTCGAATCGTAGTGGTTGTCGACGTCCATAGGGCTGTCGCCTCCCGTTTCAACTCGCGAACCTTGTCCTTTGGTAGGGTGAGGATCATCTTGCGCGTGTTGATGTAGAACCCCAGGTGCTTGAGGATTTGGGTCGGTCGTAAAGCGGACTTGTCGCTGTTGATCAGAAAGCCTAGGAGACCATTCAGATCCAAAATACAACGTGGCATCTTCCACATCTATGTCCATCTTGATGAGGTTCATGGTGACAATCAGACAAGAGTATTTGTATAACAGCAATCACGTATGCTAACCATTGTAATATTCCGGGCGTAATAATCCTACCAATCACCGCCAACTTTTCCAAACAGAAATGTACCATAGTTTTTTGCATAGATCTCTCCTGAATGTACATGTCCATCACCAGATCGCATCCTTCGCATCGAAATTAAGGGCAGTAATTCTTGGCGATGATAGTCCAAAACTTGTTCTTACTATGTTGCATCTTTGTGGTGAAATGCAGATAAGAGACTAGTTCTTAAAAAAACGCATCTTGCTTGGTGCCTATTTATATTGTATCTCTCTTGCAAATTCGGATTGTATACGTCAACTCGAATGGTACACAGGTCGTTAACAGAGAGTTGGATGTTTTAAAAAACCATTTCCGTGTGAGCTGGAATCCATGAGCGCGGGTCTGAGACTTGACCGGCATCTTAGAGTGGACAATGCCGCGACCAGCAGTCGTCCACTGCAAGTCGCCAGGTTCAATGGTTTCCTTTGCGTCCTACAAGTCCTCGTGCTGGAACTCTCCCTCGAGCATGTAAGTCACGGTCTCGAATCTGCGGTGGGGATGATCATGGAAGCCGTCGTTCTTGTCGACCGAGAACTCGCCGAGCACGAGGAAGGGATCATGGTTACAGAGTTCGGGACGTCCGATGGATCGACGGACACGGGCTCCGAATCACACGGGTTCTCTGGAGAGGAGAGATGGTGTGATGAAGCAGGAGAAGGGGGTTGATGTAGTAGCCATGTTGTTTTGTTGTTTTCGTTATTGAATAAGGACGACTGGCTGTGTGAATGGGGGTAATGAAAAAGACTGTTGTTGCAGTCGTTTGAAGCAAGCTCAGTCTCTTCCAATGAGAAGTGAATAAGTCAGGATAACCCTTGTGGCTTTTCATGATTAAGCACATGGCATATTTGACCAAGATGCAGGTTCCATACAATGACAGAAAGATAGGTCCCAGATAGATGATATCTAAAAGTCCTGAACAATCATCGTCCATGTAATGCAGGTCGCCCAGGTCACCATTGACCATGGCGCATTACGTGAGAATAAAGGTCCCAAAAGAAACTAGAAGATCTTTCTCTTTCTGCTGCTGAGCAACATCGTGCTCTAGAATAGGCCTTTCCTGTGTCGCGTTCGATAGCTCTCGAAGTTTATTGAACAAAAGTTTATCAGTTTCACAGAATTCAATCGGCGGTCAAGTTGACGTTATGGGCCTTAGCTGCTGCCACCGAAATACATACTTCACGCCTTGGCCCTCCTTCAAGAAGCCTATGCTCCAGATTTCTTTGACGTTTGCGTTCTCTGTTTGTGCTCAATAAAGCACACTTAAAACCCAATGTCAATTTTTGCTATCAAAGGAAAGAAAAGGCAAGTTGGAGTGGCGTGCATGCATGAGTGGGGTCACAGCCCAAGCAAAGCAAGAATGGGGCAGTGCACAAAAAGAAGTGGATAACCCCAAGCTTGACCTTTTCTTCTCTTCTTTTCTCTTTGGCTCACCCCCTGTCATTACCCTCCCCTGCTACATCATCCGCACACTCTCCACCACCGTCGTCCTTCTCTCTCTCATTGTCTTTCGTTATTCACACTTCTCGATCCGACATTCAGCACATTGTTCACATTGTGAATTCACTTTGCCTTTGTTCATTCACCACCTGGTTGCTCCATTACCAACATCAACACAGACACATACCATTCCTTCCTCTTACTCGCTTGTCGAAACCCTCAACCACAACTCAACAATACAAAATAAATAAAAACGAATAGAAAAAGGCTCGTTTCAACCTTGCAGAGGTATGTCCTTCCCAACAGGTCGTGAATCGATATGTGCGTCGCTGTCTCAAGGAAGGAAAACGAGACTTTTACATAATACTAATACACGATTGGAATGTACATAGATACTTCCTCTTTGCCAGAAACAATCGAACTCACTATAAGTCCTCGTCGTCGCGACTCACTCAAAACCAATAAACCAGTGTCCCTCTCGTCGTCAAGGTAAGGAAAAGTTCATGTGAAAACAGGAGCTGGAGACGATTCTTCAATTGCTCTCTTGCTTCTCGACTTCGTAGTGGTTATCCAAACCGCATGGGACATGTATTTGCTATCAAGGACAAGACAACTTCTCTGCCTACTACACACTCGCAAATCATAAGACAAAAAAACAATAAAACCACAAAAGATCAACACCAACTACACACCCAGTAAGCGTGAGAGGACAAACACAGCAGACGAAAAGTGCAATCGCCAGCTATTCTTTAGCTAAACACGATTCTAACTGATATC